GTTCTTGCATTGGTACCTCCAGCAATACACTACACCTCGATAATTGGCACCAATAGGCAAGAGGATCTTTTTTATCACCACATCCTTCAACTACTATTTAAAGTCGAAGCAAAGCTCACGGTACTTGAATGTGGTAGTTTTTCACAGGCTCAACGGGTGGTAGCTATGTTCAAGGCCTTTGCAGATGTTTATCGATCAAGCAACGAATTTTTGGTCAAAATTTGGCCAAGTGCAGATGATATGTCTACTGTGGATGCTACACCTTGTGTAGTGATTGTGCAAAAGCTACCTGTGAACCTATAAAGAGTACTATAATTATAAAATGTACATTGATTAACTTAACTGTATATGAGTCTGTTAGCTCTATGCTGACTGGGCGCTGAAAAAGGCTATGTCCCAACTGCCGGGCTAACTTCATCTAGACCAAGAAAACATAGTACAGCCAACTGAAGCAACCCAAATATGGTAATTTGAGTTGACGGGCGGGCCAACCATGCAGCACCACTAGCCGCATTCTAGTTAAAGCAGGAAGAATAATAAGAGAGATAGTATAGTAAGTGTTGAAACTCTATATGACTCACTATTACGGCTCTAACTACGGGTTGTCGAATAGTTTGTCTTCATAGTAGGTATAGTTATATCAAGATATCTGGCTAAGTTCTGCCTTGGGCCGCCTATGAATTCTTCAAGTACCAGCAGAACTCACCCCGAGCTTTCCAACAAACCCCCGCCCCCGAAGGTAGATAGCTAGCGGTGTAATGTGACTAACGATACAAGAAGGAATATGTACGACAAGAGATCACATTGATTCTAAGATCAACTCAATTACCTAAGGCATGGAAGAAAGCATAACGGGATTAGGCCACGTGACAAATGTGGGCAGGTTTTTATAGTCAGTGGTGGGATTTTGAAACTCCAGTTTCATGAAAAAAAAAAAAAAAACATAAATTTGTTTGAAGCGCTAATTTCTACGCTAGACCAATAATAGGAAGGTAAACTAGCTAACGAAATTAGGAATATATATGGAATGATTCATTTGTACTACATAGATCTTTAATTTGTTATTCCGTGCCGAAGTGGCCGAGTCACTAGAATTAGCACGTGATAGCCAACGTAATCAGAAAGCGAGTGTTCCATATAGGCGAGAATTCCAGCTTCGTATCCCATAGAAAATGGCCAGTTTTGAACCTTAGACATCTCAGCAACGACAGACCTAGAGAAGCTGTAGTTTTGTTACTGGTATTATATTGTATTATAAACCAACATAGCAAATATAGCACCTCATAATTCTAATAATTCTTTCTAATATAGCAAATACAGTGGTATTTTTGTGTAATTTATAGATTACTAGGATACAAGGGTCTAAAAATTATATTAAACCTATAATACATTATAAAAAAAAGCATACCTTAAGGCTAACAATAAATTAAATCATAGATCTTTATTATTGTTGGGATATTCAGGTTGCGGAAAGGACGATTTTATATAGGATCCACTGCCGAAAGGCCGTGGGGGCACTGGAAGGCACGGATAGTTACATTATTTAGTTTACTAACTAATTAACTAACGTGATCAGCCACCGAGCTGGGCAGTCCCCTCTAAACTGCGCACCCATACAAAGAGGCCTTTTAAGCCAATTAATATCTCAACAAAATAAAAGGATTTTATAGTATAAGCTCTATCGTCATCAAATATTCAAAGTGGCTTTAAAGCAACTAGTCTTGTTCCACTACAAACCAGTGACTACTTTTTTAAAGCTTAATATTTAGCTTAAAATACTAACTCCACTATCTACGGCATATAGCAATGTCTTTTGGAATTAAAAAGACCCCTGCAAATCTACATTAACTAGAGCAGCAAAAAAGCAGATTTAGCGCCTTCAAGACAAACCATCTAACTCTCCAACTGTTGTACAGCAAGCTATGGATAAGATTATTAAAAGTGCAGAGGTTACAATGTGAATACTTTTCCAATAAAACAGGCACTCCGTCAGCTTCAGGAAGGTAATAATTATTAAAACGAGAAGGATACAGCACCTCGAATCTTTAGACGGAGTAGGGGAAGCCTAACAAGGGAAGGACAGCAAAAAGCGCTTGAGTAAGAGGAGATGCTAAAGCAGAACTTAAAAGCACCACGAAGGCCGCCAACCTGGAGTAATTGTGGTAAACAAGGTTACAATAGACTCAAATACTCTAGTAAATAATGTCATCCTAATAGGATGAACTGGAAGAACAGTGAATGAGAGGAAAATGGTAGAACTCCGAAGGAGTAGGTCAAGGAAACACTCTTAGGCAGTTCAGAAGTTGTGGGCCCCGAGCCCACAACTTCCTGGTAGGAGGGAAGGCAACATTCCCTTTACGCAACTGCGTCCCGTGGTCTGTGAGAAGGTTGTTGATTGTCTATTACCTCTTCGAACGAGGACTTAAGATAATAGCTATCCATACAAATGTCACGTGCCAATCCCCGAATTCCTCCACCACAACAGATAGCTAAAAAGTCTGGTTTTTTAATAGAGTGGATTCTTTCCATGCTATCTCTGCAATCTTTTGAAAGGTAGTTAGTGAGAAGCAGTTCACATCTAGTGGCTATAGAAAATGAGAAGAATAAGGAGGTAAATAAAGAGGAATAATCCTTTTATCTGTACAGAATCTATTAAACTCTGCAGTTGCATGGCTACTATGTCTATCTGTAACTAAAAGGCGGTGTCTCCCAATTGTGTGTGGCGCTGTATATAGGTTAAAGTAATTTTTGTAGCCAATCTAAGCCTAGATTGTTATTTGTCCATCCATTCTTGCACATAGAGATGTGATAGTCTTTTAGTATATTTTTATACCTGAGATTGGTGATTCTCACCAGCAAGAATAATCTGCGGTGGCAGTACTCATCCAGATGTATTAATTGCAATAACAGTAGTAACCTACTCCCTATTCGCAGGCTAAACTGCTTTGGCTTTGCTCTGTCATGTCTCCAAATCACGGACTATTTTTACAGTTGACATGACATCTATTTAAAGCCCTATTTTATCTATATTGTAGATATCTTCGTTACAGATCCTATACTTTTGTATAGTATCCCGGAACCGCTGTAATCACTCCTGGGTAAGCTCTAGACTTTCACACTTTGCTATTATCGGGTATATTTTAAGCTGATTTCTGGTTGGCGCTTAATAAATCTTGATACCCAGTGGTCTTTAAAGCTAAGGCAGATTGAGCTCGTGCAGAGAGAAGTAGCTAAGCTAGATAGCATACAGTTAATATCCGGGGAGGTAGGCCACGTCGATCCATATCAATAATCTATAAGATAAAAGTTGATTCTTTTGTATTTGTTAATTTCCTTATATTAGCAACTAATTCCTTGCGAGAGGTAGTGCCATTAGGCTGGCCGTTGGGAGGGATTCGGGATCAGAGGAGGTCTGGTCCCGTCCCATATTCCCATAAGGATCCTGGGGGTGGTCCCGAATCCCGTCTCAAGAAAATGGGAAGGGATTCCCATCCCGTGCCAAGCAATATGGGATGGGATTCCCATTACATGGGATTCGGGATGGGATAATCCCATCCCATGCCAAGAAATATGGGAGGGAAATCCTATCCCTAAATTATAAAAATACTCTTCCCATTTCCCGTCCCATTTCCTAATTAGGTTTAGTATATTTTTAAAGTAGCAGTTTTTAGTAGTAACTATACAGTATATACAGTAATCATTGATCACGTGATTTAGTATGGGAAGTTCCCATCTAATCCCAAGGGAATTTCCTCAAATTCCCATTCCCTTCCCATTAGTAAGTGTGATCCCATTTCTTACCCCAATTCCCATCCAGAAAGAAGGGGGAATCCCAGTGGGAATCTCTTGGCATTCCCTTCCCATTCCCATTCCCATAAAATCTTAGAAAATCGTCCCGTTTTTATGGGACGGGAATCCCATCCCGATTTCCCATGGGAATTTCCCTTCCCAACGGTCAGCCTAACACTGTGCCATTAAAACGCGTAATTGAGGTGCTTGGAGGGACATTAAATGCCTTAGCTACAGCAGTTTTAGATTTAAAAAGGCCTCGCTTATAAGCATCTATAGCCAATTGTAAAACGGCCTTCTTTGAATGTTCTATCAACCATCGCTCTGTGGTTGGAGATAATAATAATATTTTGAATAGTTTTGTGGTAAGCGGGTGGGGTCCACCCATGCTCGATGGCCGCTCAGTGACCAATTACGTGGTTACTAAATATTATTAGATAATACCTTTGGACCCACCTAGTTCTTTAGCATATACAGAATATTTATTTTGAAGCAAAAGAAAACATTTGAAATTCCACTTTTCATGAAACTAAATCTATTTCAGAAGCTCCCCATCTGTACCTATTGTATAGCTGTGGCAAGTATATATATCTGGGAATCAACATGAGTAAAATATTTGTTTTCTATCCATATAGCTGTGGGTTATATCTAATCAGGAAGTTGAGGTTCGCTATATCACTCACATGAGATAGCTAGAACATATTAAATGACAATTACAACAACTACTGCTGGTGGTGGATGGTAGACTAACACGTCTGGCTGAAGCAGCCTGTTCGCTTTGAACAGATAGTGAGACAACAGGTGGTCATAGAATTAAGCTATTTTAGCAAGGATGTGAGGCCATCAGAACAACTCCAGAGGATTGGATGGAGCCCTTTTCTCTTTAGCTCGCTATTTAGATACACATTCTATCTTTCTACCAACGCTGAGCCCACAGTATCTCCAGACATTTACACTGCTCCTGAGCCAGTACAATGCATACATGGGAATACTTGGCACTATGTATTTATGGGACTGGAGACTTTCCATATCTACCGCAGTACCGCACCGCTGAATAAAGCAGAACGTTTTCAGATAAATAACCTTAATATGAATGATGAGATTGAGACAGATTCAGAAATATTTTATTTCATTGCATAAGTAGCGACAACTTGAAACGAACTACCGCCACAGAGTATTTCTTAAATACCCGTGGATGCTCTACCAAGGCATTAAACGCTCTCAAGGACTTGCTCCTTGAATTCTCTCTCAACCTTGTGGCCCTTGTCATCGGTGGTCGACTCGCCATGCAAGTTCAGCAATGCACCCAGATCAAACTTGGGAGACTTAAGGAGCTTAACCTTGCGGATGTGGACCTAAGAGGCTTGTTAGATCGTGTATGCGCATATATGGAAGAAGGGCGACAAACATTTTGAAGAGGGTAAATCCCCTGGGTAGCCTTCTCAATCTCGCGCCCGATGACTTCCGGGATCAGCTTCGTGGTGAGCTGCGCCAGAGAGCAGCTGGCTGCCTCCCGTTGCATAATCTCGGTCATTTTCTTTCGGATTGCACGGATCTGGGAAGAACGGGCATATGTGGTCTTCTTGATCTGATTGGGGCGTCTCTTGGTGAAAGCGATGGCAAACAGACGAAGAAGGTAGTCGTCAGTTGTTTTCACGGTGACGTTAGCTTCGATAAGCGACTGCCACTTGCGCACAAGGGACCGCAGTTTATCGGTCGTGAAGTCCAGGCCGTGGAAGTTGGTTAGGCAATTCTTTCCTTGGATTTCGTCCACGCGAAGCTTCACCTTGCGGAAGGCGTGGTCTTCATCATTCTGCAGGTCAGCCAGAGAAACCTCGAAAATCCGTCCCTTCAAGGAGTCGTTCGCATTCTTCAAACCGCTGGTGCGGTTGACCAGAGTCTTCCCAACACTTAAAGATTACTCGTCAGTTGTCGCCCTGTAGAACTCTCCATTGGATGTAGTATAGGTACAAAATTCTAGACGTACTCTCTGATCTGGAAGGTTGAGGGTGCCTGTTTCCCATTAGTAACGCCCTGTCACTTACTTGCGTGAACATGATTTACCTTCACGGAGTATTCATCCTTCCTGGAAAAAGGATCGACGGTCCTCTTCTTGATACCCTTCTTGCCTTTCGACAAGCGCTTGTTCCTGGTAGTGATCAGTAAAAGTTTCCACCGATTCTCTAGCTACTCAACGCATGAAAACGGGGTTCAAGTTGTCATACTTTCCAACGGCCATAGCTGCGACTCTAGCCTATCTTGCAGTTGTCGAAGACAGACAAGTATAGCACACGACGAAGTGTCGTGGAGGGAGTCGATACGCTTGACGCTTCTGAATCGGCAGAACAGAAGTTGAAAATGAAATCCCACAGAAAAAGTTCAATTAAGCGAGGCACCGGCCCTATGGGTGTATTATGTAATTTTACCAACCCCACAAAAGTTCAGTACTTGATACATAATTGGCTTTTACATTACTATTGTCACATGATAAGGTCAAGCGTTACACTACTAGGGTGGTAACTTAGCAGTCGCTCCAATGGATACAGCGAGAGTACCTACTTGGGTAATTACTGTTGGTGACAATGGATATCTACATAGTAGTACCTGGTAGTACTACGTATATAGGTAGTTTACCATCCAGCTCACCACGCATATACATCTTTCTATCTGTACATATATCATGAAAACTTGACGGAGCGATCTGACCGCCTTGCGATTCTGCCACCCACCAAAATTCTTACAGCATTTACTCTCAAACAATCCCCCCGCGCTGCGTCAGACGATACACAGTGGTATTTTATGGCTCCGCGCCGCGTTTCGCTTTAGTATAAAAGAAAGATACTAGCAAATATAATGCTTCCAATATAATATTCTATACCTAGCTAACCCAATAAAATAAGCATTTGCTTGGGAACTATACACGACTACTAGTTTTCTATTAGACTAAGAAAAGGACTTAGAGATCTGGAAAGATACGATTAGACTGGAGGAATATTATAAGAAAGTATATTTATTTATACTGCTTTTCTATAATACCATAGTTATAGTATGGGAGTAGCTACTTTTGCTTGTAAGCACATGACTAATGACGGCCTTCTGGCTTTGTTCATGAACGAACGCCTCCATGGTCCTCCCCACAGCACTTAAATGAAACTTATTATTTTCTATACGAGTACCATAAATCAAGATTTCAGGATGGTTGCCAACCACATAGCTGACACGTAATACGCCCTACTAGATGGCTACCTATCTGCTCTATAGAGTATGGTCCTTTCAAGTGCCTACCTCCTTAGATTATCTACGTAGATACAATCGTACTACGCTGTACTACTTGTCACTATGTCCTAAAATGTGACCCAGGCTCAAAGTTATAACCTAGAAAATACAAGTATTGTGTGTACACAAAATTGTATAATGTACAATATACCGGCCACTTTTACCTAAAACGTTCTATCACAAACTGTACTAGAAAGATACATAATAATAAACTGATAGTACCTCAGTAAAACATAGATAGAGTGCAAGGTTATCTAGGCACTCTTAGGGACTGCCTACAACCTGGACTATGAGGAGTAAATACTGGCATTGCTATGTTTAAATTGCCGTCCTGTATCACTAAAATGAAGTTTACTACTAGAGCTTGCTACTGAATTTGTAACTGCCTATATATCTGGACGCTGCACAAGTGCGTACGAAGTACCATTCGCTAGTATCAAAGCATTATTATTCTATATTTGCAATACGGACTTCCACTGCTTATTGATTCAAAGCGAAGGCAAGGTACTCCCTACTTACTAGCATTTGGACTGACAATGGAGTATGTGATGACTATCCAAACAACCAATGACAATTTCTCGATATTACATAACTAGACAGTAATGGAGAAATTCTACTTCGGCCTAAGATATTTGAAATAATTCGATCGTACTGCACTGGATTTCCAGATTCATACAGCCCTCCCTCCAGGTACTCCGTATCATCGCTTGTTCTTCCCCCTTTCTTGTCATTAGTAGGTAGGTAGTAGTTATTCACCTAGGAAGAGGGATAAATCCTAGGTCTTAGGAAACCTGTAACTAATTATGCTCTGGACAGAATATGGTAGATTATACCCAGTATTTAAGGAGGGTCCTCATTGAACAAGTTAACATGGATAACAAAGGCAAAAAAAATCACATGCTAGCAAATCAACATCATCTCTGATCTCTACTCTGCTATGAGGGATATTAAATTAGCCACATACAGAGTCTGGAGAGAGTAATCAAGATCAATTGAATCCAACCCGACTCTCGTGCAGCATGTAATGTAACGCGAGCAGTGATGGATGCATGATCACCCTTCGGGAAAAGAAGGGTAGGACTTTCGCTGACACTACAAGAATCTGAGAGAGATAGAAAATGTTAAGTACGAAGTATGGAAGATAAGATCCAATCCGAATCATCGCCGAGTGGTATTCCTGCTTCCTCCGTACGACCAAATCACTTTAGGTTGAGTAAGAGGTCCCAGTGGTAAGAGACATGATACCTCGGAATGGTAGAACAGAAAGATCTTATCTCTTACTATACAACTGCTATTGATTCTACACGCAAGCGGGCTGATTCTGCGTTCAAATACTCTCTGTACTTGAATATCAGGACCAGAATATGAAGGAATATGTGATACAGCAGCAGGATACATGGACGAGGAAGAATTCCTTGTTGGTATACTTTCTAAGGCCAAGAGGATCTTTTCCGGGCGTCAATATGACCAAGGATGCAATACTTAACTCGTTCAGGATGGTATTCGGGAATGGATTACTTTAATTGCTTGTATATGTGCAGATCAAACTGCTTTAACTCCTGGTTTAATTTACCTAGCTTCATCTGGAAAACTTTAAGATGCCTGGCTGCAGGACTTTGATCCTGCAGAACACCAATAGACCGGTTGGACCGACGATGACCTCGGATTTGCATGGTCGAAGTAGGTATGGAGACCAAGGCCAAAGCAGGCAGGCTTTGGAGGCTTCTAATCTTAGATGGCCACGATTCTCATGTCACCATGAAGTTCTTGAACTATTTTGAAGCCAATAGGATCCTCGTTGCCACTTATCCACCTTATTCTACTCATTCCTTGCAACCGCTAGATGTCAGACTGATCTTTGGCCCGCTTGCAACCGCTTACAGCAACAGTTTGGAGGCTCATCTGCAAGAATGCCAGGGACTAAGCTCTATTATGAAGCGGGACTTCTTCAGTCTATTCTGGCCTGCATGGAAGAGGGGCCTTATCTGCAAGAAATATTGAAAGTGTATGGAGATCGTGGCTTATATCCTTTTAATCTTGAAGTTGTATTGGCCCGTTCTAAGAAGATAGAGGACAGCGGCCCTCTTCTAGTGACTCTTCTAGGTCTGTTTTACATGCAGAAGATTGGAGAAAGTTCGAGCGGCTTATTAGAGAGATTTTTGCAAATATTAGAGAGGAAAACAGTAAGAAGTTAAGCCGTACCATGCACCATCTCTCTACAGAGAATATCCTGCTTAAAATGGAGAATGTAGGCCTCAAAAAGACATTTGAGAATGAGAAGAAGCGCTGCCAGCGTGGAAGACCTCTGCAGTTCAAAATTCAGCTCCTGAGGGTGGTGTGCAGTCTTTTACTCTCCACGGAAAGTCCGTCAGGTTCGGCAGCTTGACCAGGGGAAGGCTCTGCAAGTACAGCTTGCTAAGGCCTCAAAAGAGGAAGAGAAGCTACGCCCTCAACAGGCAAAGGAAGAGAAACAACAAAAGTTGCAAGAACGGAATCATATGAGGGCCTCTGCACGACAAGCTCGCCTCCAGGAGGCATAGGAAAAAGAGCGCCAAACGGAGGAGCGTTTGGCCAAGGAAGCACCTGTACAGCTTCAAAATTACGTCAAAACTGCCAGAATAGGCAAGAAGAAGTCCCCAGCAACCTCAAAATCGAAGAACCAAGAAGTTGTTTCAGCCCCAGCGCCTGAAGTTGTGATGAGGTCCCTCCCACCATAACCCGTCGAGGCAGGCAGATCCGGCTACCACAGCGCTTTCAGAACTAAAAAGAAATTGTTGTATAGGCGTATTAGGTGTTCAATTTTATTACTTCAAAAGATCTCTGTATGATTCTAATTGTATGTGGCTCTAAAGCTTCATCTTCGAGGTGGTGTTGATATTGGAAAATCGGACGGAAGGCGGTATCAGGCGGGCAGGTGGTAAAGTACTTTATGATTACTAAGCAGATCACAGTTAACTATTTTCGAACAATATTGTGCAGTTAATTCTGAAGACCCACCGCCGTCCAAGCTAACTGCTTCTCAATTGCAGACTAATTTGATGTCTCTTCTGGTCTGGAGACACTCTGTAACTGTTAAACTGAGATCAGTCTTGAAGTCATAAACCCTCCATTTCCTCATGGCTCAACACAAGTAAAACCTTGATTGACCTGACGTATCGCCTGAATACTGAATATTAACACATACCAGCTAATCTTGAACCATGGTGGGTTCCCCCTAATATTGATATAAGGAACTGTTTTCATTAACCGATTTACTGACGTCTTTCTTTTGACAAAATAGGGCAAACGGAAGAAATCAAGCAGAAAACCACAGCAACCAAAGAAGGTTATGATGATATCCTCCACAAAAACCACAGGAGCTGATGCCTAATTAAACAGAAAGAGCCACTTCCCACAACTTTTGCATGCTTATTCTGTAACCATGAAAATTCCGTTGTGATTAAGCTAGACAAAAAGCTGGGTTTAGGAAATTTGTCCTGCAAGGTATGCGGGCAGAGGTTCCAAACAGGTATCAATTGTATGTTCTATCCAAGCACAAATTCTATGCATATACCTCTAACTATTCTCACATTAGATCTCTCTGCTGCTGTTGATGTGTATTCAGACTGGGTCGATGCGTGTGATGCAGTTGCCAAGGAGACTGCTCATAAATACGGAGATGATACCCATGCTATTCAATCAAATGAGTTTCACATTTCTTCGGGCGAGCCAAAAAATGGGATGGAAGGTTCAGAACATGTTGATACATACGCAGACGATTATTGATTGTATTGCCATGGTGCCCTACAGTTTACAGACAGCAGAACAGAGCATTTTGCCATCTATAATGTTGAGACTAACAAATCTACCATGTTAAGTACTCCCAGTGCCTTAAGAGAGTATGAGCAAGACAGTCAAGAATGTGGGTTCCGTTATAAATCTAACCCAAGACATGGTGAGTGAGTGGATCCCACTTATTGCTTTCAGCATCTGCTTTGCACAGATCCCCTAGGGCCAAAGGGACCGTCTAGTAATATAGTAAGATGCGCCAATCCCATACATGATCTACGCCCTTAGTTGAATGATTCCGATATATACTGTCTGAGCCATTCAAGACTACAGTGTATAATATCTGTCACCGAAATCGCCAAGGCCTGGAATGATATACCTTTTAAGTTGTATTAGCATCTTATCCCCCGACTTCTTTTAAACAGATTTCAAAGGCTTTGTAGAACCTCACTTACTTCTTGTCATCTAAACCCTGGTCGATAAATGCAGTTACAACTCTGAGCTTAGGAAATCGTTCAGCAAAATCGGCAACCCCCGATGGACTTGCAATGAGATTGAGGAACAAGATATGGTCCTCTGGCACTCCTTTTGCCTTCAAAACCTCAACAGCTAGCGTAGCAGAACCTCCTGTGCAGACATATATCAACAACGTCCAGATATTTGGTAAGGTCTCATACTCACCAGTTGCGAACATCGGATCAAGGAGTAGGACCCAACGATTCGATATATCCGTGGGAAGTTTCTCATAAAACAGTTTGGGTTTGCAGGTCTCCTCATCTCTCTGGATCAAGATTTTCCCAATTCGAACTGACCGGCAGCAATCCCTCAGTCCTTGCTCCATCGCTTCGCCTGCTCTCATAATAGATACTCCACATATTTTACCTTCAAATCTGACACCAAGGTAAGCACGACCAACAGGAGTAGTAACTGGTTGTTCCACTACTGGGAGATGGTTTAAACCCTCTTCAACCAAGAGACGGATAATTCTATTCGAATAAAATATAAAATCAGCACGACCGGTTCTCTTGTCTCTAATCATACTATTGGAATGTTAGCGAAGAATTAATTCAAATCTCATATCATCATTAAGACAGGTGTTAGGCTTAGTCCGTACGTCAAGAGAGCAATTAATTGAGGAGTTTGAGGCAAAACATGAACATTTTCATATGGCATGTCTTTCGAAACTGTTGCTGTAGGTTTCTCGCCCTCAGGTCTGTAAACTGGACCGACTCCCTGAGCGGGGGAAGGTATGGATTCCGTTTCTTTGTTAGCCATGATTGTCAAGCCTGCCAACGGCAAGAATTCCCCAATGGAACAAATATTCCGGCTTCACATATGCTGGAGCTCAGAGGATGTTAGTTGCAGGACTGGGAGGGAAAAGGTAGCGAAAGAACAGAAGCAGTGGGAGTTGCGAGTTTTAGAATGGACTCCACTGGACTAGCACACCCCCTCTTAGGTGCATATCCATGACAAGACGCTATCTTTGATTAATACAAGCTGAAAAAAATCGTGGAAATATAGAAGCAGAAAGCACTAGACTGTAATGACATGAGAGGTACATATTCTTTAAATTTAGCTACAGCATTCACAAAATATCCTACCAGATACAGTAATGGTATGTAGGGGTCGAATTTTATTTCTTTATACGTATTAAAAACACAGATACTATTTTACGCAGGTACGGAGTATCTCGACAGGTATGCTTCCCCCACCTTGCTGCAGTCACAGTCACGGGTGGCGCCACAGGACAGCCCTGCTGGTGGATACCTCCTATCTGTACATTGGATCCCCTCATTTTTCCATATCCCCAGATCTTTATTTATTTAATTTATTTGCTCTAGTTATTTCGAAAAATCTGATATTCCCGCAGATAAGAGTATCAATGAAATAAATACGTCAAAACTGGTAATAGCCGATGATATAGTTTTTTCACTATCTACAGGCAAGCATAGAGCCGCCTAGGCTACTGGATAGGGAATGTACCTGCTTGGCTATATTGCTTAGTACTGAACTTTACACCCTGCAATCTACTTTTGGCACTGTTGCATCGTGTTCTTCTGCCAGGTCTATTATGAAAACACGACATCTCAACGCGTGAAAAAAAACCAAGAAGCTTGGGACCTATGGTAAATTGGCCGCAAAAAATATTCAGAAAAACAAGGGTACTGACTCTGGCACTGGTGCCTCAGCATCACAACTTAAGCCGGAGGCGAAGGGAGATACCAAAATGAACCCCAAGTCAACTTCTCGTACCAAATCATCTTTACTTATGGGGAACCGGCCTGAACAATCTGAGGGCTTTAGTGATCGAAATAGTGGTTTCGAACATACTACTGGGGACAACGTGGCTACCACTCGGTACGAAGAAAGTGTCTCTACCCCAAGGAAACGTCTCGATGGACGAAAAAAATCGGCTGAAGGCTGCAACGTCAGCAGGAATTATATCACCCGCAACACGAGAGATCTCGACGACAACTTCGGTATAATCCAAGAATTTGATAATTGCAGGGCTAGCGGCAGTCCTCAATCAACCAAGAATCAGGCACAGATTCACAGGTGCAGCTCTCCAAAGAAAGTTCGTGATGAAGGACTGGAATTGGAACGTGCTCCTGTGGGCACCGCAATGCGTGTGCGACAATCATCTAAAAAGGAGCTTTCACTTAAGAGAAAAAACACTGTTACGTCAAGCAGAGTGGGTGCTGAGGCCGAGACTTTCCAGTCTTTCCCTTCTGCAGCCAGAAAATTTCAAAAAGCGAGCTCAACTCGGAGGAGATTGGTTGATTCGCTGGATGTGCCGGTGGAATCAATCATGGATAGATCTGCGGCTTCATCGCCTGACAAACAGTCGCGAATCCTTCGATTCCCCCGACTTAACCAAGAGAGCCACCAATCGTTGTCGCAGGTGACAATGAATATGAATAAGGACAGACCTACCAACAACAGACAACAGTCACCTACAATATCATCCAGGCTGCGGGGATCCATGGTCACCTATGCACGACAGCGGTCTTTCTTAAACGACATTCCCCTCGCTGATAACGTTAAAGATGGGGAATCGTCTTCAAATCCTCCCGACCACGAATCCGCGTTCATTATATCAGGTTTGGCTTCTCAAAACCCCGAGGGTGTCGATGAAATCGACGACGAAAACAGCGACAGCAAGCCTGTTCGTAGTATCCATGAACTAAGGCAGGCTGGGGATAATGCCCGCTTCTGTGAGACCGTGGACCTGATTCTGGAGGATATTGAAGACTCCTCTGACTCTGTCTCGAAAAGATGTGACGGCTTTGTCAGACTATGTGTGAAGCTTTCGGATCCTAGGTTTGTACGCCGTTTTACTGAATGTGGCTTCGACGAACGACTTGTGGAAACTACAACAGGCAGGCTTGATGTAATTTCTGCTTTTCTTGCCCTCTCTGCTTACATATTGATCTGCAACAGCGGCTTTTTAAGTTATGTACTTTCGGGCCGCTTTTGGTCAAAGATTCTAGAAGTATCCCCTCCACTACTCGGCGTGGAAGATGATATATTATCTATTATAAGACAACCGTCCGCTGGGATTTCTATTGCTGTGCGAGCTTCTCTTAGAAAGGAGCTGCCTCAGATCTTCTCTGTAATATGGAGAGGGCGACAATTGTCACATATCTCACCTTGTTTTTTGGCGCTCTCCAGCATTAACTTTTATCTCAAGAATCTTCGACAGAAGGCTCACAATGTTGAGGCGATACCTGCTTCATTACTGAATCAACTCATTGGGTTGTTGGTAACCAGGGAGCTCAGGGATATAAACTCTTCCAGCGAATCTCTTGAGCTAATAGCCTTGATTCTTTCAATACTGGACTCCTACACGGTTTTATCATCAGAATCTTGGGGTTCTAATCAGAGGGTCTCTTTCAAATCACTTTCTCGCCTTCACGATCTTCTCTATCTGAAGAATCAATCAGACCATGGCCGAGAAGCCCTTGGGTTTTACATAAGGGTTATTATAAATATTACCAACAATGACCCACCACTTTGTAAAGAGCTTGCAACCTCTGAGTTAGTGGCTGGGCTAGTCAGAGTTGTCACCGAAGAGTTTCATGTCGTGCCTGAGGATTCTCTTTCCGAAGAAAACAGCTCTTTAAATATCGTAATATTGGCCCTTGGGGCACTCATTAACTTGGCGGAAAAAAGCGAATCATCAAGGTCTGTTTTTCTAAGGTCGACAGGTAGTTCTACGTCCTTCTTTCAGTTGCTCTTGCAGCAGTTCTCTAGCCGCATCAGTTCTCTCGAGAAGGTAAGCCACGGATTCTATATCTGTTTATGCCATCTAATCGGAAAGGTAGGCGCATTCTGTTTCTGAGGTTCATCACAATGTTGCCATTGGATATTTGTCAATTCTGTTGGCCACACTGTGCTTGAACATGGAAGTCTTTTTTCAGATGAAGAAATCAATGGGTAACAAAGGGCTCACTGCTATATTATCGACTGCCGAAGAGTTTCTCCAATATCACCAGAAAGTGGAGCAAGATTTACATCCTTTTGAGCCTCGAGAGGATGGAGGTTCTGGATTCACGACAAGGCTAGAACAGATCATATATCAGTTGAAGCAAATTGAGGGGCATGATCAGTAAACTCTCCATCTCGCCCATCTGAGATGCTCATATGTTTTCTTAAAGTTCCTAGGAAAAAAATTATTTAAATATACTCATGAAACACAATCCCCTCGTTGGGTTTACAAATGGCTTTAGGTGTATGGTGATAGATAGGCAATCGATTGTTATGAACGGGAGAGAGGGAGGCCTATTCTATCGCCCCATTATCCAAAGTCATATCCAATTTTTCTATCGTAGAACCCTCGTAAAAGTTGAAACTGGTTACTATGAATTAGATGGACGCAGGCTTTCATGTGGATACCAACGGACATTACCGTTAAAATATATAATATATTTAACCACATAGTATTTAATTTTAATATTGTTAGGAAAAACTACGGGTGGTGACTCTGGTTGCTGTGTTGTGTCCAATTCAGTTTGATCTGTTTGCCCCGTAGGAGCTACCCCAATTTGCCACATCGATGCAGACTCAATCATTACTGGACTTCGCCCTATCAAAGCCAATTAGACTTGTTCCCGGATTAATTGATTAGGACTCTAATTGTGTCAGACTCGAGCGCATGCCTGTACTGGGAATCCTGTGTCTTGTTTGCTTTGCCGTGGGTCTGTGCGATATTTATACTTAACTGATCCCAGCGCTTTGAGTGTCATCTATTCATTTTTACAGGAAGATTCTCCTGTGTTTTGGCAAGCGTTAAGACAATGCCAACTGCACCGAAGCAGCGGAAGATAGCTATTGTTGGCAGTCGGTCCGTGGGTATGTTTGCAATGGATATTCTTCTCTCTTATATTTCACAATCTTCTCCCTAATATAGTACCAGGCAAATCTTCCCTTACAGTTCGATTTGTTGAGCACCATTTTGTAGAGAGTTATTACCCGACAATCGAGAACACGTTCAGCCGCATTATTAAATATAATGGCCAAGATTTCGCAACTGAAATTGTTGACACAGCTGGTCAAGTAAGAACAATGGCTGTGGGAGCTATACCCACAAACGCTAATCCGGTGTTAGGATGAGTATAGCATACTGAATTCTAAACACTTCATTGGAATCCATGGATACATTATTGTTTACTCGGTGGCTTCCCGCCAATCCTTTGATATGGTCAGAGTTATTCGAGACAAGATATTGAATCATCTCGTGAGTGCCCTTTGATTTTAGTTTAATGTTTTCTCCACACATCGCTGAGGGAAGCACAGGGAGCAGAACATGTCCCCCTTGTAGTGGTGGGAAATAAGAGTGACCTCAAACATGAACAACGTCAGGTGTCTTTAGATGAAGGCCGACATTTGGTAGAAGAATTTCATTGCGCGTTTACCGAGGCCAGCGCTCGGCTTGGCCACAATGTCGATAGGGCCTTCGATCTAATGATCGGGGAGATTGAAAAGTCACAAAATCCATCTCAGCCGACTGGAGGCAACAAGTGCAATGTAATGTGATATTGGGAACTTATGCAAACCGGATAATAATCAATAATTCTTCAGACTTAGTATAGGTCACTATTGAAGGTATCGAGATTGCGAGATGAGATCTATTTTACTTTATCCTCCTAATACTTAAGAGTCATTTGTTGGTTCGGTCTCTAGCTTAGTCTTCTTGTTGATATGTTGAACGCAACTATTACAACCTCCTACTCGTCACTTTTCGACGTTATCACTTTTAGCTGGCCTCACTTGTATGCCACAGCCATTAAGATTACCAAGAGATGTCAACCAATGAAACGAGACTATCAATTTTATTGTGTTTTTAATTTAGATAGAAAATTGTGTGTGATCATTATGCTGAGCAGGGAATGAATGGCATAATCGGTGTTATGTTGAATACAACGGCGAATGCATAGGTGTGCAAAATATGGAAGATAAGAGCAGGAAAAGTTTGTTATTATATTTAAAACCTAACCTTAAAAGTGAATTAAAACCATAAGATTTACATTTACATGTATGCGGTGGAAACACTGTGGTTACGGTACCTCCCTATATCTGTTTCAATTGAGTTACTCCAAGTATTCCCTCCGTCCCTCCGGAGTACTTAGATAATATTCGGCAGTCCTAATTAGTTGGTTAACTAGTAGTAGTACATATGAAGTAGCGGTTGGTTAGTAGTTAGTTGAGTCACTAGTTAGTTACCTGGCTAGCCCCATATGACTAAGCTAGAGCCCCTCATGATTTATTTCTTTGTGCCCTAAAAAGTCTCAGCTACTTTAGCTTCTACCCCTCGTTTTAAGTCGCCCTAAAACCAGCATATTTCGAATGCATTTGACTGGTGCAGAATATTAGCATTCGAATTGCTGAACTATACATCTTGAAGATCATACTTCCAGGCTCGCGCGAAGCTTTTAAAATGCTAGACCTTGCTGACTTTGTCAGTGACCGTGGTGGGAACCCAAATAAGATCAAGGAGAGTCAGCGGAAACGATTTGCCCCAGAACATGTAGTTGACGAGGTTGTTGCCTTGTATGAGGAAGCTCGCCGAGGTATGGTTTTAAAAAGGTGATTTCGAAACCACTTAGACTAGCTTGGCTGACTTGATATGTTGCAGCTCGCTACGAAGTGACACAGATAGGCTCTCAACTTAATGCTCTTCTTAAAGAAATAGGAAAGAAAAAGAAGGTCAGTCGGTTCTCTTATCTATTTCATTAAAAATGATTACAAATTAACTTCATGTGTATGGAGTAGAACAAAGAAGATGCAAGTAGTTTGATTGAACAAAAAACCGCACTGGAAAAGCGCAAGAAAGAGGCCGAGGACCTGGCTGTGCAAAAGGAAACCCAGAGGGATAGCAAAGTTCGTACAATTGGCAATTATGTTCATGAATCAGTCCCTGTGAGCAACAATGAAGTACGTGTCTTCTAATTAAACGTCCCCTTATATAAGTCTAATACAACGGGTACCATAGGATGATAATGCTGTTTTAAGAACATGGGCACCAGAAACTCCTTCTGGTAACGAAATGTGCAACCAGTGCAACATCTTGTCACATCATGAGGTTCTCACTCGACTTGATGGATATGACTCTGAGCGTGGGGTGAAGATTGTCGGGCACCGTGGATATTGCCTCACAGGCTACGGCCTCTTCCTGAACCTTGCCTTGATTAATTACGGGCTGGAATTCCTGTGGACAAAGGGATATAAGCCAAATCAGCCCCCTCAATTTATGCTTAAAGAAATGATGGCGAAAACTGCACAACTTGAACAGTTTGATGAAGAGCTGTACAAGGTCACAGAAAGTGAAGATAAGTCCACAGACAAATACCTTATTGCCACTTCTGAGCAACCATTGTCAGCGTTGCATGATGGAGAATGGCTCCAAGATATGGATCTTCCTATCAAGTAGGGGTTTTTTGGGCCTCCATACCTTTTTATTGTTTAAATACTAACCAAGAGTAGGTACGCTGGCTATAGCACGTGTTATCGAAAAGAAGCAGGGGCTCATGGTAAGGATGCATGGGGTATTTTCCGTGTCCACCAATTTGAGAAGGTATGTCCTTGTTGCGATCGATGTACTCTCACTGGGGTCATTTCTGATATGCTGTAGATTGAACAATTCGTGATAACCAAACCTGAAAATTCCTGGCAAGCTTTTGATGAGATGATGGAAACTTCCGAGGAGTTCTATCGCTCCCTTGGGCTGCCTTATCAGATTGTCTCGATTGTTTCTGGGGCGCTGAACAATGCCGCGTCGAAGAAATATGATCTTGAAGCCTGGTTTCCCTTCCAAGGAGAATACAAAGAATTAGTTTCTTGTTCCAACTGCACTGATTACCAATCGCGTGCACTGGAGATCCGCTATGGTATAAAGAAGGCGACAGATTTGAAGAAGTCCTATGTCCATGCCCTAAATGCCACTTTGTGTGCGACTGAACGTACACTTTGTTGCATCCTGGAGAACTATCAAACAAAGGATGTATGTGTTGTTTTGTCCACTGCTTACTGCCAATGTTACTAATACAATGTTTATAGGGATTTCGTGTACCAGAGCCCCTAAGAAAGTACATCCCGGGTGCTCCTGAATTTCTCCCGTACACAAAGGAGCTTCCTAAAGACACTACGTCGCAAAAACCCAAGGGCAAGCAGGTTCCAAAAGCTACAACTGGTACAGAGGAGACCACTGGAAGGATGCAGAATTTGCGCGTATGAATAGGTGATAACGATGTTAGTATCTAAAGCAAGTTGACCTGATTGGACTGTAGTGTCCTAGTTATTATTTTATAGATTAAATCAAGTTATTTTACCAGCCCCACTATCCGGAGCACGGCGGGGAAATAGCTGTCTGGTGGAAGAGTAAGACACAGTACTGTATTATTTTGTACAGTAAGCCCCCTATATAGGCAACCCCCGGTATCATCTGAATTACGTGGCCAATTTGATTTTGCATATAAAAATGCTTGTTTTTTTTGATACAAGGAGATTGCTTAATTTTTCACCTCCCCCCATACAAAAGTGCTTCTATCAGAATCTTAAAAACCTTACTCAGACCTTATTCCTTGCATTTAAAATAGTCAAAAAGACCAGACAGTCTATTCCCAACAGCCAGAAGGCAGCCGGGCTTTACAAGCTTAGCATGTCCTAAATCCGCATTATTCTAATCTAACTTTACAGAAGTGGTTTTAGAAGCGGCAGCTTAACCCTTCGTCTGTCTCTTGAATCATCTCCCAGTACGCTTTTCTCGATACAGGATTATTAACTTGGTGATAAGAGATGCCGTACAGAACAGTGGCCGGAGCATGAAAAGGCTCTTTATAAGTGGATACAGCGGGCAGAGAATTATATATCTATCACATGAGGTTATAAGCGAAAGAGCAAGACAGTACTGGCCAAAACTCTATCCGGATAAGGCTATGCCTACTCTCAGCAATGGATGGCTTAATCGCTTCCAGTCACGCAGGAATATAAGGAATATCAGTCTACATGGTGAAGCAGGAAGCCTTTCAGAAAATGCAGCAACTGAGATAATTAAAATCCGCCAGGTTTTAAGCTCCTTCGCATGTCAAGATATTTTTAATTGTGATGCGACTGCTTTATATTGGAGAATGATTCCAGATCGGATTTTATCTACACACCAGGTCCCAGGCCGCAAAAAAAATAAGGCTCGAATAACTGCTTTATTGTGTTACAATTCAGATGCCTCCGAGCGCCTTCCTATTTGGATTATTGGGACTGCAAAACGGCCCAAATAATTTACTGCAGCGGGGATTGATATTAAAAATCTTAGATGCTTTTGGCGCAACAATTACATGGCCTGGATGTCAAGTGATATCTTTAAGCAGTGGATTCTCTGGTTTGATAGCTATATAAAGGACCGAAAAGTGGCTCTTTTAATAGATAATTTCTCTGCTCATGAGTCTGCATATAAAGAAATAAACTCTCTACTGCGGAACACAATTATAACATGGCTTCCAACCAACTCAACTACTCGGTATCAACCACTTGATCAAGGAATTATCCGTACATGGAAAGCATATGGAAACGTCTGTGGGCTTGCTACCTAATGACTGAATATGATCGCGGTTTGACCCTGTGTCTACAATAACATTATTACAAGCAATTAGATGGGCTATTCCTGCCTGGCATTTTGATACCATTCCAGAAACAATTAAAAATTGCTTTAAGAAAGCACTTTCTATTAAGGACACCAAAGAAATCAATAACCGCGAGCTTGTTAAGGAGATTGAGGATGGTCTTCGAGTGCTTGAGCTCTTAAATTATCTTCAAGACATCATGGATATAAACCAGTTCTTAAATCCTTCTGATAATCAGGTTTCGGATAGCCTTATGGACATTGATAGCATTGTTTTAAGCCAATTTTATACCGCAGATGATGATGATGGAGACAGTAATAATCATATACCTGAGCCATTACCATATATTTCACCTTCTAAAGCTCTTGAGGGTCTCTACAAGCTCCATCTCTTTGAAGAGCAACATTTTAATGCTGATAAAGGTTTTATTCTGCAACTTATGCAACGTGAAAGGGACATTATTAAGAGATATCAAGCTCAGCAGCAGACTGATATCCGGTCATTTTTTGCATAAGAGATAAGCGCATTTAGATAGCTCAAGCAGTATAAAATAATATAAAAATGCATGTTTGAGTACTACATTCAATATAGGCAATCCCCCGGTATAAGCAGTTTTCGAGGCGTTCCAAATTAATTACCTATATTGGGGGTTTACTGTAGTGCTTGAGTTTTGGGTTCAATCTCTAGAGGGATTAGAGTACGTAAATAAATGGCAACCCCACCCTCCGAAGACAGGAATCTACTCCCCTCCAAAAATTAAAAAAAAAAAAAAAATGGAATCTAGGGATTGGTCCCGCCAGTGTTACCGCTTTTTGTTTTGTCCCACCAAGGTCGATGACTCAATCAAACACAAGAAATAGTAGTTATTCACACAAGCACTTCTGGAGGTCCCGGAAGTGAAAAATTTATCTGGTTCCTTGTTTCCTCGTATATACTACCGCTATCTTTCACCTATCCTGCTCTTTAATAAATCCTCTTATGCGTGTCTGTTTGTTCTATTTTAACTGAACATCCTTGAAATTTGGCCACAATGGAAGCTTTTCCTAGAGACATCAACGCGCCCCAGGTGTCAAATGTGAATCTTTCGCAGAACTTGAGCCTATCTAGCTCTCCTTCCACAGCATTTCCGTCGCAGTCGTCAAGTCTTGGAGGCTCGTCTTTTATAGGCCGAACAGTTCCCTTGCCCAATGCAAAGCACTTGAAACCCTTCGCTACCGAGGATATTAAAGTCCTTCTTCTAGAAAATGTGAATCAAACTGGTCGAGATATTCTTGTAAAGCAAGGCTACCAAGTGGAGTTTCTAAAATCTTCCTTACCTGAGGATCAACTTATAGAGAAAATCCGGTCAGTGTGACAATCTTGAGAATTATGTTCGCAGGCTAACCCTTGCTTTCCATTAGAGACGTGCATGTCATTGGTATTCGTTCAAAAACGAAACTCACGGCCCGTGTCTTAAAAGAAGCCCGGAACCTAATAGTTGTTGGCTGTTTTTGTATTGGAACAAATCAAGTTGATCTCCAATATGCTGCAGAACACGGCATTGCAGTCTTCAATTCTCCGTTCAGTAATTCTCGTAGCGTTGCTGAGCTAGTTATAGCCGAGATTATTGCTCTTGCTCGCCAGCTTTGTGACCGTTCCAACGAAATGCATCAGGGTACCTGGAACAAAGTGAGCAATAAATGCTGGGAAATACGGGGGAAGACTTTGGGTACGTTCGCGGTCTACTTCACTGAGGATAGCTTGGCTTGCTAACTGTGGTGGCAGGAATAATTGGATATGGCCATATCGGTGCACAGCTATCAGTTCTAGCTGAAGCTATGGGCATGTCAGTACTCTTTTATGATGTGGTGAATTTGATGGCCCTGGGCACTGCTTGCCAAGTGCCGACCTTGGAGAGTCTGTTGTCACAGTCAGATTTCATCACATGCCATGTACCCGAACTTCCAGAAACCAAAAATATGATAGGGCAGCGCCAGTTCGAGCAAATGAAGAACGGTAGCTATTTGATAAATGCGAGCCGTGGGAGTGTTGTGGATATCCCAGCCTTAATTCATGCAGTACGTACTGGGAAGGTTGCTGGTGCTGCGCTTGATGTTTACCCGAACGAACCGGCTGGCAACGGTGACTATTTCAATGTTGACTTGAACCATTGGGGAACCGATCTGTGTAACCTCAAGAATGTGATTCTCACACCACATATCGGAGGTAGTACCGAAGAAGCGCAACGTGCCATCGGTGTTGAGGTAGGAGAGGCATTGGTGAGATATGTTAATGAAGGCACAACCTTGGGTGCTGTCAACCTTCCTGAAGTTACTCTTCGCTCCTTGACCATGGATGAACCAAATCATGCCCGGGTAAAATCAATTTATACCTTTTTGTTGTCCATATCTCGGATTGCTAACTTAATGGTATAGGTGATCTATATCCACCAAAATGTTCCGGGAGTTTTGCGAAAAGGTGGGCTTCTTCGAAGATCCATTGGATTTCAAACTGATAGTTTGCTAGTGAATGAGGTCCTCGGAGATCACAACGTTGATAAGCAAATGACTGATAGCAGAGGCGATGTATGTTATTTATCCAGCAGTGAAAGGAGTTTCCACGATTAACAATACCTAGGTCGCCTATCTTATGGCTGATATTAGTAGTGTCGACAACTCGACTATTAAAGATTTATATGAAAGACTCGAGAGTCTTTCTTGTATGGACCCTTCTTATCCTTCTAGAATCCATGCTGATGTTTCCCATAGCTCGAATAATGACGCGGATATTATACTGAAAGAGATCCGAAGAGGAAAAGTTGGGATTGTTAGATAACCTAGGATGATCAGACATGGTAGAGATCCCTCAACGGCATTGATCTACTACGGATGGTGGAGGCAGAACAAAAAGTCTGACAATTAAGGAGTTACCATACTGGTTGGATTGATCAAGTTATTGGATTTGCAGACCATTGGAGATGTTACGCAGGCGATGTAGGCCTTCACTGCGCTGATCAGATGTCGAAAACTAATATGATAATGTTCAACACTTAACTTCTTATTGATCTCACCCTGGAACTACCCTGGAACTACCCTGGAAGTAGACTAATCGAACGTCTTCCCTCTTTTGAATATACAAGCACAAGATATAGCATTTTTCTTCTTTTTTGAAATCATAAATACATGCAGTGTCAATCAGTTTGCCTCGGCGGGGCTTGCTGCGTTCTGGTACTGTACATATCTGTCTAAGGATTATGGTCGTTGCTATTCTTTGAAGTCGAGGGAAGATGGTCGCTTGGCAATAAGGCAAACCTTTACCGATTTAATCGCAGTCTTCAGTTGCCAACGTAGTGGTTAAGGACTTGCGTATATTGCTTGAAGTGGAAGGCGACATGGGCATATGATTGCAAATTTAGGTACATACGCCTAATGTTATCTCCGATATAAAGCCTTGTCTGCTGTATGGGTTTCTTCTCTAGGGTTTGGACTTCGGCTCCGCCTTCTTGAAGCATTGTCTCTTGAATAATCATGCTTGCTCAACTGATGCAATGGCTCATGTCTGATACTGCGCCGACCAGTAATACTATTTGAGACGGATCCATCCCATTCTCGATGGTGGTCGTCTATGCCCACGTAACTGGGACCGTGAGCATCGAGGGCCCCGTCTGACCGACCAAACAATCGGCTTTGAGAAATTTTATCGCGTCTCACTCTACCCGAATGATCCGTAGCCCAAACATGGGTAGATGTTGGAGGTTTAGGAGGAAGACTGCTATCTTTTTGCCAGGGAGGATGTACTCGATTTAGATCGTTAGGCCTTTGTGCCATTCGAGCTTCAGGATTTCGATACCCGAGGGATCGTCCTGGATGGTTTCCCTGGTTTCCCTGGTTTCCAAGGACGTTTGCACTTCCCATCCGTGCAGCACTAGGAATGCGACTACCTCTCCCTTCTGCTGCTGCTTTGGTTCCTGAGTTTGTCGCCCAGCTCCCGTTTGGACCCATGCCCACTGAGCCACCCGCAGGTGCCGGGGGCATGGCTGCCCGTTGTCCACGAAATCTCCTCCTATCAAGTTCATGCGAGTCCTCGAAACGGGGAATTTCACCCGGGCGGGCTGGAAGGGGCGGAGTGGAGAAGTAAGGGTGTTCCAATGCATCAATGGCGGTTATCCTTTTCCTCCAGTCGAGCTTTAGAAGCTCACTAAGTAATGATATCGTAGTGGGACTTTGACTATCCAATTGTCAGATGCTTATCTATCGACTCCGTGTAATACCGTTTCTCGTCCTGGTCTTGCCAAAAAAAAAAAAAAAAAAAAAGGAAAAGAAAAAGAAAAAGGTAAATAAATAAATAAAAGGGAATAATCGTACTCTTTGAAAACATCACATAGATTCCCAGGTTTGTGCCCAAAGGTTTTAACACCCTCGCAACCAGGCAGAGAACTCCAGCCAGGCATAGTTTCCTCCGAAGGCGTGCCCACGAGATTGAATATGAGATGCGCTTGATTCAGGTCACTACTGCCAGCAAGTATTGGCTTACCTTTGAACATTTCACCGAAAACACAACTATCACCGTCAATAAAGAAGCATAAGGTAATCAGGAAACTTACCCGACGCCCCACATATCAATAGCCGTTGTATAACGCCGTAACTGTAGAAGCAGCTCTGGTGGGCGATACCATCGAGTAACAACCAGGGTAGTATAGTCTCTCTTTGCCTCCCCTCCACCTTTTCCAGGGCGAGGCGGCTCCTCATCATAAGGTCTAGCCAGCCCGAAATCAGCGATTTGAAGTATACCATCATTGTTGATAAGTAAATTGGCAGCTGTATTAATGTTAGCCAAGAATATCTAATCCTAGACGCAAACTCCACCTTTCATATCGCGATGTAATATACGATTCTGCTTCAAAGTTAGAATGAAGCCCTTCCATAGCTGTCAATGGAATAAATAATACCCCATGTAAATACTTAAGTCCTTCTAGAAGTTGTAACATGTAACATTTTATTTGCGCTTGAGTTAAGTTTACTGCAGGATTCTCTAGCAGCCCAGAGAGGTCATGTTCCATGTAAGGCGTGACCATGTACATGCTCGGCTTCTTTCGCCCTTCTCCTAATATAAAGTTATTATTTCGCTAATATAAGTACAATGAAATGAAACAATATTCCATACCTTTACTGCGCTCCACAGCCATCTCCCTTAACTGCAGTATGTTACGATGAGACAACATTTTTAAAAGTTTGATTTCACGAAGAGCAGTTATTGGAAACTTTCAAAATTAGTGGCCATCTTTATAAACATATCAAACACTCACTCCATCCTTTTCATTGTGCATGAGAATCTTTTTAAGGGCAACGATTGAGCCTTCTCTTTTCGATTTTGCTTTGTAAACCTCTCTGTGGAATGTCAATAACCTGGCTACTTACAAAACAAGATGTAGTACATACCCAAATGTACCCTCACCAAGTTTGCCCAAGAACTCAAACTCGCGGATACTGGTGCATCCGCGAAATCTGGTGTTACCATTGTTGTCCCTCTCTAATGACGCTCTTACCATTGCTTCATAGGAGGTCCTTTTTACAAAGAAGATATTTGTATAAAATGAGAATGATTGTAGTTGTGGCTTCAGGTGGCTTCAGATCACTATCGCAAATACTTGTCCCCGCCTTCTGAAGGGCTGAGATACATGAGGAGTTTTAAACTGATTGTTACCCTTGTTCCGAAGTAAACGATTCAAATGAGAGAGTCTTGCGTTTTGTTAGTAACCGATTCTCGACGACAATGGAGCGAAATTTGTATGGGGCAAGCGGAAATAGGAAAGAGCACGGAGTGCTTGAGTACCACCAGAATGTAAGCACCTCCGTTCTGGATCGAAGTTGCCACAGAGCAAGGTAAGATAGTTGAAATATGTGAAGACTTACAAGGACACAATAATCGAATTAGATATTTGAAAGGTATTTCAACTCCCAGCCCATCCAAACCATCATTACAGTTAGAAAGTTCGTTGAGGGATGAATCATTCTATTAGCGGAAAAAGACTTTCTCGATCACATGACCCATTTCTGACCGCCCACTCGGCTCTTCTGCTCAAGATCGTCTTTTATGCTCTAGTGACATTCATGAAATCAGTTGATACCCAGCATTATTTGAAGTTTAGAGAAGTACTCCATAGCCATTAGCTCTGTCTTATATGATACATAATTAACAGAAGCATAGGTATGGCTTCAAATCATCCGATCCATATTCACCCCCCACGGCCTCTTTACCGGTTTACTGCAACTGCCTTGGGTGCTAGCATGTGGTTCTTTGTATGAGTTTAAAACGCGAATCTCCCTTTATTGGACCACGCTAATTGCACAATCCTGATTATAATAGTTGATGTATCGAGCCAAGAAGGATGGGCCCGCTTTGCTGGGTTGGAAGCACCCTTGGGATCATTGAACATGTTAAGTTATTGTTTGTTAATAAAACAAGTTTGTTCAACTTTCATGTCTTCTCCCTTAGCTATGATCATGTTAATATTGCGGCTATTTAAGGTAATTACTATCCTGTTAAGCAAACAATTCAAAATATTATGGGCTAGTGCCAAAGTTTTTTATTGTAGACTGGTTCTCTCTCTTTTTGGCCAAACCTCAAACAGTAGCCTCGAATCAAAGACGCTATGAGCTTTATTTTAGACAAGATCTTCAATAGCTCAATTTGGTTAAACTAAGGTGTGTACTGCACAAAAATGGAACTCAAAGGGTGCAAATTCATAGTTTGGGGGCTTCATTTCTTTCTTTCACGTGTGTCTTCTCTATAGCAACACTATTGCATTTCTTCAAGTAATACCTTGTACTGGCGGCGTTGTTTTTGATGTCGAGGCCGCAGGAATATGTATGCTTGTCCGAGGGTCCTAGCAAGTCTAGGGAAGAGCATGTGTTCAGCTATCCAAGACAAAATAAACGCACAAATTGCTAGTGTAAATAGCCAGAACGCGAAACCTCTAGACAAGAAAGTCAACTGCATAATTTGTTGTACCCAGTGTGACGGCTTGAAAAGCATATAGCACGAAACAATCAAGTCCAGTATTATCACGGAGATGAAGGGTTCTACTGTTTGTCAACGTCAAATTCTAAATGAAGAATGATGGGCACTAACTGTTTGATCTCATCGCCATTCGAAAAGGAGGCCCAACGCTGAGGACAACACTTGCTAGCGTATATTGGAAAATGGAAATCAAGAACAATGCAGTATTTTCGGAATTTTCGATGTTGCTATTCTCTAAGTCGATCTTTGGAGGCTTGAACCTGCCAATACATTCAGCAAATGAGTTTGACATGTGGTACAAATCTACATACCATGGCTGTAACTGGACAGTTTTATACACCAAAAGTTGGGTTAAGACACAAATCAATATCTGACCGAGTAGAGGCGTTAAAACCTTCCGCGAGACAAGATCCGCGGTTGGCCGTTTTCGAGACAGCACAGGATAAGGACCGGTCCAGCCCACTGTCGAAACCAGTTAGTCACCTTTATGTTACCTTTTGTAAAAAAAAAAAAAAGGAAATAGAAAAATAAAAAGCTCGAGTGGATATAGGTTGGACTTACTAAATATTGCAATTGGAAGGATCAGAGCCAGATCAATGAGCAAGAACTGAAGAATTAGTTAACTAGTCAGTTACGAACTTTGTGTTCTTTCGTAGACATACCTGAAAGTCACCGAGATTTGATCCTGAAGCATATAGAAAGCTGACAGTGGAGAACTGGATCATCGAGTAAAGGCTCATGTATTTAAAGCAGCAGAAGCTCGTAACCAAGGCTGCACGCCCCTCCCTAAACTCACTTAGCAACAACCCCGTGTGCAAGAAGGAACCGATTCAGTACCTAATTACTGTTGGGACGCAGGAGATATCAAATTGGCGGCTGGTGAATGGAGCAGCAACAGAGGCTTCTGCATCAGATAAAGAAATGCCCACATCTGCTGCTTTTAATGCACCACAGTCATTAGCTCCATCACCACAGAATCCACAGCAATAGTCAAGTGATTGGAGTTTTTCAACAAGCTCATGCTTCTCGTCTGGTGACATCCTTGCAAACACATTCCCGCAGACGAGCATCTAGATTTTTGTTAATAGGTCAAAGAAAAATGCTGACTAAGCATTGATTCTGAGCAGATATTGCGGCACGTACTCGTTTAAGAGTGATATCATCACCATAATCCACTATCCACCTGAAAACATCTCCACTGACAGCAAGCGAGTATTCAGAAGATCTACAGGCATTGACAGGTATTGATAAATCAACATCCGTAGAGGTCACAGAAGGCTATTGGCTGTCAGTTTATCTTTTGACCGAGAGGGCTTTGCTTGGATGTCGAGGAAAGTAATACCGTCAATAACATTGGGTCGAGTCTTAAGCAAGGATTATCGATACTTTCCCAGCATAGAGAAGCTTTCGGGTCGTGTGAATGACCTGTACTCAAATCAGTAAACATTCATATACTGCGGCAAAAGCAACAAACCTTCTATGAAGTATGGAATAAAACATTGCTTGTCTTGGTTAACTAAACCACACTCACGTGCAACACTGATTGCGGTGAGAATATTGTCACCGGTACACATGACGCTGCGTATTGCTGCTTGATTCAGTTCACTAATTGTCTCATATGTCTTTGGTTTTAGCTTATTTTCAAATATAATAAGCCCGATAAATTCCAAATCGCTTTCCGCCTCTGGACGTGTTATTTTTTGCACTCTCATCCAGCTAAGCTTCTGTTCATATTTAGCTGCACAGGCTATAACACGATATCCCTTGTGGGTATATTGGCTTAGGAGTTCTTCAAAGTTATGAGGCACTGGCAATATTTTTGTTAGTCATCTCGTATTAATGCCAATTGATATATACCAACCCGTTTCTGGTGCACATATAGCTTTTACACTTTCTGGTGCACCCTTCACAAAAACACTCGCACCATTGTCTCCGAACTGTCTCACGATCACGCTCGAACGACGAAGCTGCGACACAAATTCAAAGCTGCGCAAAATGCCAAGCTCTATTGGTGTTTTCTATAATTATTAATAACACGTGCTATTCCATGTGTTGTATTATAATAAGACAATGGAAACTACTCACATTGGAGCTTTCCCCTCTTTGATCCATTTGATAAGTTGCTGAATTCGGTGGCCTCGAAACAGATGGCATTATAGTTTCAAAACAGGTATTTGGATGATCTGAAATATGACTACCACCTTCTTGATAGGACCAACCTGTGAAATGAAACATTTTCACGTCCAGAGGGTCCCCTAAGAGTTCGTTATCAATTACTCTTAATGAATGGCATGTTGCCATAATGCATATCATTTTATAGCGTTTATCCGGATCATCAGTAATGCCAATACTTGGTTGTAAAGGAAGGGCATGGTTTAGCTCAGAGAGAAGGCCTGACAACCTAGGGATCAGCGTGTTAGTGTATGCTTAAATATCCTACACATAAGCATCCAAACCTCATGTCTCGATTTACTGTTCGCACTCCAAGGACATCTAAGCCGTCTTCTGTCAAGGTCCCGGTTTTGTCAAAGCATATAACATCCAATTTCCCCCCTACATTAACTCTATAATATGATTTAGCATAAAAACTGGTATGTGCTGCGACTTCCTCACCTCTGCGGACTTATACAGAATATTTTGTGGTGTTTTAACCGTGAAAGAGCAAAGTTAATACCGATGCTTAGTGTAGCTGGTAGGGCTGGCGGTACAACAATAGTGATTAGGTCCAGTGCCCTGACAATGATTAAATGCCAGGAAAGCTAGGCAATGTCAGATACGGATTTATTTCCACTGTTGTGAACTTACGCCCAGCCGAAGGAAATTGACAAATGAGGCTATGAATCCCAAGAGAGCGACCACGGCCATGACGGATATATAGCGGAAGGAATCTCGATAGAATTTAAAACCAGATGGCTTTGGGAAAAGCATTGAACGAATAAGAGTACCCTTAGTCGTCAGGAACCCTGTTCTCACGACAACTGCCAAGGCGATTGCTTCATCATCATCAACATTCTGCGGACGCCGTGCTCGAATCACTTTCGTCCCACCGAAAAGGAAATGCTTTGCGATATTTGGATGGAGAGAGGGGGCATTTAGGTCGAGATATTTAAGTGCATCATTTGTTACCGGGGTTTTAGACACTGGAACAGATTCACCTAATCTTCTTAAGAACTCTTGTAATTATTATATAGGGATATGTACGCACCTGTAAGCATGCTTTCGTTGACAATGCAGTCCCCAGACAGTAAGATGCAGTCACAAGGTGCTTGGTTTAAAGATGGGTCAGAAAATTCAAAAACATCTCCCGGCACAAGTTCTCGAGATGGAACAGATCTCCCTAAGGGCATATGGTATCAACAACTGTTTTTTGGAACTTATGAAAATGAAAATAAACAGGCATTTCACTTACAAAAACCATTTCTAAGCACACGAATGTCACATTCAAATAGAGAAATATCTCTCAGTCGACTCATAGTCTATGGGCTTATAAGCACCTGTGTAAGTTTATATACATATAAGACTCACTGTTTTCGTTTCGAGAACGGTTGCACTTATGCTGATAGAAGATATAATGAATATGCAAGCAGCATAATAATAATACTGGTCCAGCGACCATAAAATAAGGCTTGCAAGTTGAAAAATATAGAAAGGATGAAACGCCTTTAATTGTAAGAATGTCTATCAGAAAACTTTCAGAATGCGACACTTACTTCATCTATAAGAAGTTGAAACGCTGGCTTCTGCTGAATATCGATTATATTCTTACCAAAAATCTGCTCTCGGGTATCCCGATCATCTGCATCTAATCCAACTCGCATCATTTTTGGGTGTGTCCACAGGGGATCTTTCCAGCCAGTGATCAAACAAAATCGGTCGTCAAGTTGATGGTAAAAGAGGCGAAGGTATTTGTAGTCGATATACCGCAAAAAAGAGATAGTTGGATCATTTTCTTCATCATAAAGCTGGTACTCAGGATGTGCAAAGATGGTAGAAAGAGGGCGCCCGTATGCTTGATCCCGAACTTCGTAAATGCTGAATTGGCCCCACTGGTCCTATGCAGGTGTTAGAAAGAGAGACTCCAAACACACGAACTCAAAGACAAATATATATATACCTCTACTGCGATCCACTGGCACGTTCGGAGTGGCCTGGGGTTTCCTATAATTCGAACTCGCCACCTCGGAAACCATCGGCATACCAGATAAGTTAAACCAAAGCTGAAGAAGCACAGTGCATAATACAGCGATAGGCCAGCTACTGATGTTGAAAAGCCGGCAAGGACAATGGTCAAGTCTTCTGATTCAATGTAGACCTTTTGGATGTGTCTACCATCTGGTCTTCGATTATGGACATAGGAATCGTCTGACGAGTGCTGGTGTGGCAGAAGAGGATCCTCGACAGAGTTTCTCGAACGGGGTTGTCTTTTTGACGCGAATGATGATATAGTGGACGGACTTGTTGGGCGGACGCCATTAACTTCTTCATCGATTTCACTTCCAAACCCTAGCGCATCTTCATTTTGCTCCCTAGCAAAATCTTCTTCATCTTCCAAGTACGTAAAGCTAACGGTGGAGTTATTCCGGTGCCCACGGTAAGAAAATGAAGCAACACTGGATGGAATGCTCTCTGATATGGGACCATCAAAAACCTGTATAAACTCAGTCCTGCTCTGCTGGTAGGACTAGCAGGGATTAAAACGAGAACAGAGAAACGAACCTCGCTACGGGCCATCTCTACATCTGACACGATACTATAACTATGGTTTTATCAGCCACCAATTGATAAGGACTTCGTTGGGCTTGGTTCAAAAACCTGCTTCTCATAGAATCACGCCGATGGCCAGACCCGGAAACCGATTCTTGGGGCCATTGATCCACCTTCTGCGAACGTATCGAGTAATCCATTGTCGCGCGGCTCTCTGTATACTGAATTTTTCAAAGACGGAAATACTGAACACTCTGTAAAAGCAATCAGCAATTATTTTATTCAGACTAATGCAGCTAGAGACATATTAAAAGAACCATGGATCATGCATATAACAAAGAAGAGCAAGAAGAAGACTGATAATGTATGATTTATCAGCCAATTTACCTAGTTATCCATGACTGTGTGTGCTTGGATTTATTGGGTAGTCAAGTTAACTAGTAGGTAGCAACCGTGATGTTTTATCTACACGTGACTCCGGATCCTAGCCAATACCAGCACCAGATCGGCCTTATAGCCGCATACCCATCATCAAGCCACTGTGGCTGCTGCACAACTGCCGGTGACTCCAAAATGGGTTCTTTTTTTAATAGCACTTACTTACACAGTAGAACGAGTTAACTTACTCCATTGTGCTTGTACCCTGAGTATGATAATTGGACAATACAACTGGTAGTCATTTGTGTCGATAAAAATGTGCTTGGCTAGACTAAGTTGTTAGGCATGATACTTTCGTGAGAGATAATTAGATTATCTCTATGTACATCATATAAGTAAGGATAAGAAATGAAACTAATAGCTTATGATCATTCCTTAGATGAATAATAAAAATAAAGTCATCCGCATTTAGGTAGTTAGTTAACTAGTTAACTAACCAAAATAGCACAAAAGAAACATGTGTTTACAGAGTAAACACTGGTCATCAGAGTATTTAAATATCCTAAAACCTAATAACAACCAATTTGCGGTGGGTTTCATAGCAACATCGATATCAGTGAGAAAATTTGAGCAATTCTGACAATACTGTTGGGAGTAGCTTGAAGATTCTCAACAACCGTCACCCTCGTTCCGCCAAGCCCCTAGGCCAAAAGGCGCTAAAGATCCCACCAAGTATTCCAGACCTCCCCAAAACTAAGCGTATCAAATTCTTCCTCAACCCTTGATCTTTCTCCTCCGCGACAACCCCTCCGCGAACCCCCGTTCACCCTACCTTAAACCGCTTTTCCATCAACGGAATTCCAAAATGTCTGAACCCATTAGAAATAAGAAAGCAGATTTTCCTGTTGCCCCGTAAGTTCCCATCCAGTGTGATTTCGCCTATTGTTCATTGCCGTTATGTAACATTTGCCGCGTAACCTCATCTTGCTGACATCTGTGCCTGAATTACAGGACGCCGCAAAACACTCCAGCTAATAATGCTCCTATATCGTCACACGCTCAACAACCTGGAATTGCCAGCATTAAGGAAGGTAGTTTAACCAGCTTGGATCTATTTCGTGCTGCATGTCTAATCTGATCACCAGAGTCACTTGACCATGCCGCGGCCGCTTCCCTATTTGCGAGGAATCCGGGGCTTGTTTCTATGATCCAAGGAAAGTTGGGATCACTCGTTGGTCGCTCATCTGGCTATATTGAGTCTTTACCTGCTCCTGTTCGTCGACGTGTTGCTGGTCTGAAAGGTATCCAGAAAGACCATGCTAAACTGGAAGCCCAGTTCCAGGAGGAAGTGTTGGAGCTTGAAAAGAAATACTTTGCGAAGTTCACTCCTCTTTACCAGAGACGTGCCTCAATAGTCAACGGGACTGCGGAACCAACTGATAATGAAGTCAATGCGGGTCAGGGGGATGAGGAGGAAGAGGTGGATGTCAAGGGCGACGAAGAGTCTAAAAAGGAGGACAGTGCAGAATCTTCAATAGATGGTATACCAGAATTTTGGCTTTCTGCCATAAAGAACCAGATTTCTCTGGCAGAAATGGTAACTGAGCGAGACCAGGAAGCTCTGAAGTATCTCACAGATATCAGGATGGAATACCTTGATCGCCCAGGGTTCCGCCTTATTTTTGAATTTGCGGAGAACACGTTTTTCACCAATAAGACTATCTCAAAGACATACTATTACAAGGAAGAGAATGGATATGGTGGTGATTTCATTTATGATCACGCTGAAGGCACCAAAATTGATTGGAAGGCTGACAAAGATCTCACTGTTCGTGTTGAAAGCAAAAAGCAAAGAAATAAAAGTAAGTTGAAATACCTTCTCTTTCTCCCCCCTCCCTCCCCCCCCTTTTCTCTGTCTCAGGTTGGGAAAGTGGTAGCTAAGACAGTTTTTAGATACGAAGCAGACACGCGTTGTAAAAATCACTGTGCCCGCGGAGTCATTTTTCAATTTTTTCTCTCCTCCTCAGCCTCCGACGGACGATGATGATACTGTTACTACTGACATTGAGGAGCGCCTTGAACTTGATTATCAACTTGGGGAAGATATCAAGGAAAAATTGATTCCTCGTGCAATTGATTGGTTTACTGGCGAGGCACTTCAATTTGAAGAGTTGGGCGATGAAATGGATCCGGACGAGTTCGAGGGCGAGGATGACGAGGATGACGAGGATGATGATGAAGAAGATGATGAAGGGAAATCAGACCAGGACGTGGATGATGATTCCGATGAAGAGGTAGATTCCCTACAGTCTTTACCCTTTCGAACCATCTCTATATGGATGCTAATGTATATCAGGATGGCACTTCCAAGCCAAAGAAAGAAGCGGCAGAATGCAAACAAAGCTGAAATTTGAAGGGCTTATTTAAAAGCAAGCGGAACAAAAAATTATCATGCTATGCCATTATCTTCTTCATGCTTGGCATGTAATACTGTCTATCACTCTTGTGCCCCTGCATCCCGCACTTGTTCTTTTGATTTCATTTCTCCCTCAGATTGTTTTGTCCCATCCAACAATATTGTGAAACTTCCACAATCTTTAATAATTTCGCTACGCCCATATTAGTCCTCCAGCAAATTGTGGATAGTCTACTTGTGCTTTTACAGCTTTGACTTTGTTGGATGAGCAATGAATGTTTATGTGCACATTTAGCTACAAAGAGTAGTAGCTTGCTACTGTCGACATTATTTGTCATGTGTGTCCTAGTTCTTATTTTGTTTGACACTCTTCATTTTTATATTTCTTCTTTATTACCGTTTAAAATATTGGCGGCGTGAGGTGTACGCTCTGTTCTAAAATATTCTAAATCCTCAGGCAATTAATTTATGTCTACCAAAATTATATGTGGCTGCAGTACATCGTCAAACTACATATGTAGAACCAGGTACACGAGCTATACAGGGTGCAGAGTTTACAGATGGGGTCATTAGGTTACTTACTACCGAGCAAGTATCCAAATCTATCTCACGACCTATTAAGTTTCGAGTTCTTTCGCCTTAGATACATGGAATACAATAGGTCTCCATCTCATCGGAACATGGTAATACACTCGTCATTGTCGTTTGGACGCCTTGTGGCAATTAAAAAAGGAGTGTATTTACTCGAGTCACATAAATGTGATGGTTTGGTTCTCTTTGCCAGCAGAGATAAAACTACTTGACCATAGAAAAAGTTCAAGACGACTGATCGAAGGTCAGTCGCATCTAGCGCCCTATATAGGAGCGAAGGCCATACCTGAGCAATACATTGGGTTCAACCGTTGACACATAAATTACTATTTTATGGTACTTGACTCTTTATAAAAATAATCGGTATTATTTCCTATATATTTACTTTCTTTATAAAATTTCAAGGCTATAAAAATTTATACAAGTTAAGTATATAAGTTTAAAATGCACTTTTGCCATACTATAAGCTGTGCAGCTCGCTAGTGTGTGGCACTCGGTAGTTAGTTAGTGGGTCACGTTAGTTAGGTCAGCACGTCTTTACTCTTGGCATTAGCGGCTGTGGAGTTTTGACAAGTGGCGCGGCTCCCCAATCCTCAGGGGCTGTGGCTCGCTAACGGCCAGCTGTTAGCAGCCAGTTAGTTCAACAACTCTCTGATAGTGGAAATTCTTCCCTTTTCCTAGAGCTCACTGTCACAAGGCTGATTGTTTTCTTAATTACATACTATATCAACTAGCTGCGTTTCCTTTACCTTTTGGTGCTAGATGCTTGTCTCGATCTCTGTCTAGTTTATTCCTGCTCTGGTCTAGTTTAAAGTCGGAGTGTCCAGCCTTTGGCCAACAAACGTCGTCTTGATGGCACATAACTACGAAGTTGGAACGCGGGCCTGGCAACCAGATCCGACTGAAGGATGGATCGCATCCGAGGTGAAGGAAAAATTGGTTGATGGGGATAAGGTTCAGCTTGTGTTCGCATTGGAAAATGGGGAGGTTCGTTTTTTTCTAAAAAGAAAACAAAAAAGAGAGGCCGCATGCCTTTCGTGATTATGATAATCGACTAATCGTGAGCAAATAGTCGAAAACATTGGATACAACGCAAATCGAATTGCAGTTGGGCAATAGCTCAAATTTACCTCCCTTAATGAACCCGGCCATGTTGGAAGCTAGCGAAGATCTTACCAATCTCTCTCATTTAAATGAGCCTGCCGGTTCGTTCAGTTCCCAACTTTTGTACCTCCGCCAGAACTAATGACCCCTAAGTGCTGCAGGCTATTAAACTCCGGTATGCGCAGAAGGAAATATATACATATAGCGGGATAGTCCTCATCGCGACAAATCCTTTCGCCCGAGTCGACTCTCTCTATGTTCCACAAATGGTGCAAGTGTACGCTGGGAAACAACGGGCATCACAGGCGCCTCATTTATTCGCCATCGCTGAAGAAGCATTTGCGTAAGGAACCGAACTATCATTTCCCCATGAAATTTTGCTTATGGAAAAACAATTCAGTGATATGTTACGAGATGGAAAGAATCAAACAATTGTCGTCTCCGGAGAGTCGGGGGCCGGGAAGACGGTTAGCGCCAAATACATCATGAGGTATTTCGCAACTCGTGAATCCTCTGACCAACCCGGCAAATATACCACAAGCAGAGCGGATGCGATTAGTGAAACAGAGGAGCAAATATTGGCCACAAACCCGGTTATGGAAGCTTTCGGTAACGCCAAAACCACGCGCAATGATAATTCTTCTCGGTTTGGAAAGTATATCGAGATCATGTTCGATGATAGAACCAATATCATTGGTGCAAAGATCAGAACATATCTTTTGGAACGGTCACGATTGGTATTCCAACCTCTCAAGGAACGAAACTATCACATTTTCTACCAGCTTGTTGCTGGTGCAACAGATGACGAAAAACAAGATCTTGGTTTAGGCTCGGCTGAGGACTTTGACTATCTCAATCAAGGGGGAACGCCCACTATTGATGGTGTAGATGACAAGATGGAATTCAATGCGACAAGGAGATCTCTTAGCACCATTGGCGTATCGGATAAGACACAAACCGAAATATTTCGCATTCTTGCAGCTCTTTTACACCTCGGCAATGTTAAAATCACCGCGACTAGAACCGACTCAACTCTATCCCCCTCAGAACCATCTCTTATCCGAGCCTGTGAAATATTTGGAATCGATACCAATGAATTTGCTAAATGGATAGTCAAGAAGCAGCTTATCACAAGGGGTGAGAAGATTACCTCAAATTTGACACAACAACAGGCCATAGTCGTGAGGGACTCAGTCGCAAAATTCATATATTCAAGTCTGTTCGATTGGCTTGTCGAGAAAATTAACTGCGGTCTGGCAACTGACAAAGTTCTAAGCAAGTTCAAAGCTTTCATTGGAGTTCTGGATATATACGGATTCGAACACTTCGCTAAGAACTCCTTTGAACAGTTCTGCATCAACTACGCCAATGAAAAACTCCAGCAAGAGTTTAACCAGCATGTTTTTAAACTCGAGCAAGAAGAATACGTACGGGAACAAATAGATTGGACTTTCATTGATTTCTCAGACAATCAGCCGTGCATTGATCTGATTGAAGCGAAGTTAGGTATTTTGTCCCTTTTGGATGAAGAGTCGCGACTGCCAATGGGCTCTGATGAACAGTTTGTGACTAAGCTGCATCACAATTTTGCCGCGGATAAACAGAAATTCTACAAAAAACCCCGATTTGGGAAATCGGCATTCACGATATGTCACTACGCGATTGACGTAACTTACGAATCTGATGGCTTTATAGAGAAGAACAGGGATACTGTCCCAGATGAGCATATGGAAATTTTACGCAACTCTTCAAATGAATTTGTCAGAGAGATCTTAGACACAGCAGCTGCCGTACGCGAGAAGGATTCGGCTGCCATTTCGTCTAAGCCCGTTGCTGCTCCAGGTCGTAAAATCGGTGTTGCTGTTAATCGCAAACCTACACTTGGTGGAATTTTCAAATCATCCTTGATTGAGCTCATGAATACAATCAACTCCACAGATGTGCATTATATTCGCTGTATCAAACCTAACGAGGCGAAGGAGGCATGGAAGTTCGAAGGACCAATGGTCCTCAGTCAATTAAGGGCTTGTGGTGTCCTTGAGACAGTTCGCATCAGCACTGCTGGGTACCCAACCCGCTGGACGTATGAGGAATTTGCTATCCGCTATTACATGCTTTGTCATTCCTCACAATGGACATCTGAAATCAGAGAGATGTGCCATGCAATTCTCCAAAAAGCTCTTGGAGACGGTAGCCACCAGAAAGAGGATAAATACCAACTAGGTCTAACGAAAATATTCTTCCGAGCGGGCATGCTTGCTTTCCTTGAAAATTTGCGCACGTCCAGGCTGAATGAATGTGCTATAATGATACAGAAGAATTTGCGGTGCAAATACTATAGACGTCGGTATCTTGAAGCCCGTGCTTCTATTCTCACAACCCAGGCGCTTATTAGGGGCTTTTTGGCAAGACAGCGTGCGGCGGAGGTGCGCCAAGTTAAGGCCGCTACGACAATCCAGAGAATATGGAGGGGGCAGAAGGAAAGGAAAAATTACGCCCGCATTCGTGGGAACTTTATCCTATTCCAGTCGGTTGCCAAGGGATTCCTCTGCCGCCGGAACATTATGGACACTATTCATGGCAATGCAGCAAAGGTTATACAGAGCTCGTTCCGTTCTTGGAGGCAGTTGCGCGCCTGGCGACAGTATCGCAGAAAAGTAATGATTGTCCAGAATCTCTGGAGGGGCAAACAGGCCAGAAAACAATACAAAAAGCTTCGAGAGGATGCGCGAGATCTGAAGCAGATATCCTACAAGTTGGAGAACAAGGTGGTGGAATTAACACAGTATCTGGAGTCTTTGAAGCGTGAAAACAAGTCATTGAACTCGCAGCTAGAGAATTACGAGACCCAGATAAAGTCATGGAGGAGCCGTCATAATGCTTTGGAGAATCGCACGAGAGAGCTCCAGGCTGAGGCAAATCAAGCTGGCATTACTGCTGCCCGATTGATTGCTATGGAGGAGGAAATGAGCAGGTTGCAGCAGAACCACAACGACGCACAGGCAACTATCAGGCGTCTACAAGAGGAAGAAAGAGCTTCGCGGGAATCAATACATACCGCTAACCAGGAACTGGAGGGTCTCAAGCGTCTGAACACTGAAGCTGAAAATGAAAAATTATCTCTTCGTCAGCAAGTTGCCGACCTAGAAGAGCAACTAGAGCTTGCAAAACAAGCCATGCCTGTGAATGGATTAAGTGGAGAACAACATAATGGCGGAGCGATCCAGCCCCCTGCAAGTGGTTTGATCAATCTAGTCTCCTCGAAAAAACCAAAACCTAAGCGACGAAGCGCAGGTGCAGAAAAGATTGATACCGATCGCTTCAGTGGTGCTTACAATCCACGGCCTGTGTCCATGGCAATCCCAAGTTCTCTCGCTCGTCACAATCTTTCCGGCACAACACTTTCTCAAGGTATAGATTCCGTTGAAGTTGAGCTTGAAAATTTGCTGTCTGAGGAAGATGACCTCAACGAAGAAGTAACAATGGGCCTAATACGTAACCTCAAAATCCCATTACCTAGCTCCACGCCGCCTCCAACGGAAAAGGAAGTCCTGTTTCCTGCTTATCTGATCAATCTCGTCACTTCTGAGATGTGGAACAACGGCTTTGTTAAGGAATCCGAGCGTTTCTTGGCCAACGTGATGCAGTCAATCCAGCAAGAGGTCATGCAGCATGATGGTGATGATGCTATCAACCCTGGAGCCTTCTGGCTCTCTAACGTACACGAGATGCTTTCGTTTGTATTTCTAGCTGAGGATTGGTATGAAGCGCAGAAAACCGACAATTACGAGTATGATCGTCTATTGGAGATTGTGAAGCATGACTTGGAAAGCCTGGAATTCAATATATACCATACTTGGATGAAAGTCTTAAAGAAGAAACTTTTTAAGATGATCGTCCCAGCAATTATTGAATCCCAGTCCCTACCAGGGTTTGTTACAAGCGAGACAAATCGCTTCCTAGGAAAACTCCTACCCTCCAACAATAATCCAGCTTACAGTATGGATAATCTCCTCAGCCTCTTAAACAATGTCTACAGGGCAATGAGAGCTTTCTACCTCGAGGATTCCATAATCACCCAGACTGTTACTGAGCTTCTACGCCTTGTTGGTGTTACCGCCTTCAACGACCTTCTTATGCGGAGAAACTTTCTATCGTGGAAACGCGGCCTCCAGATCAATTATAATATAACGCGCATTGAGGAGTGGTGTAAAAGTCATGACATGCCTGAAGGTACATTACAGCTGGAGCACTTGATGGTAAAGTAGATTCTGCAACAAGAGAGTATCTATTTATACTAACACTCAGATAGCAAGCGACTAAACTTCTCCAGCTCAAGAAGGCTACGCTTAACGACATTGAAATTATCCAGGATATTTGTTGGATGTAAGCTTCAATAGCCCCGTTCTCCTCAAACAACCCTAACGAACTGCTTTGTAGGCTGTCACCTAACCAAATACAAAAACTTTTGAACCAGTATCTTGTAGCAGATTATGAACAGCCTATCAATGGCGAGATCATGAAGGCAGTAGCCTCTCGTGTCACTGAAAAGAGCGACGTCCTCTTGTTGGCCCCTGTTGACATGGAGGATAGCGGGCCATACGAGATTGCAGAACCACGAGTTATCACTGCTTTAGAGACATACACACCGTCTTGTAAGTCGATCACCATTGACTGAGGTAGGATTTTGCTAATTACATACAAGGGCTCCAAACACCCCGATTGAAACGTCTTGCAGAGATTGTTTCCGCTCAGGCAATGGCACAACAGGAGAGGATTGAGTTGGCGGAAAATGGTAGCGTCTCTGCCGAGTGATACTGTACATAAGCAATCGTATTAACTACTGTTGTTGTTTCCTAACACCATAGACCAACATGAGAGTTTTCATCGCATTTGATAATAGATCTAGATCTATGATCAAACATGCGTGTATCAATAAGTAGACTATTATTCCTCTCCTGTCTTTGTCTTCTTATTGCCAGGGTTTGGCTCCGTGTCTCGATCTGCCTCATGCCTCGAACAATAGATAGCCAGACCGGCCACAAAGATCGTGTGGTGCCCCAAGTGGGGGTGACGTGTATCGTACTGTACATAAATTTCCACCACCTCATGTAATGTATGTCGTTCATAAATTGGATTAGCAGTCTCTACAACAGTGCAAGTGGTTAAAAGCTTTAGGGCCATCCTTTTTTTCCCTTTCTTTTTTTTTTTTTTTATTTTATTTTTTATTTTTTTTGCCCCTTTTTGACATTTGCCTTTCGTTTATTCTGCTCCAAAACCAGTCCCTTTCCCCTAGGCTGCCAACTCAGGCGGCTTGTGGAGTTGTCATGGCTACTACTCTGAAGAAGTTGAATTTCATTACTGGCAACAAAAACAAACTAGCAGAGGTCAGGGCAATTTTAGGCGGCGTGGTTGAGGTTGACAATCAGGCAATTGATGTTCCCGAGATACAGGGGACAATAGAAGACATCGCCAAAGAAAAATGCCGACAGGCAGCAAAGGTGGTATGGAGCAAATTCGGACTTCCCCCCTCCACATCCACACCAATCTTCTTTCATCGAGAATGCGAAGTACTGACTCGGAGCAGGTAGGAGGTCCAGTTCTCACGGAGGATACAGCCCTTGAATTTCACGCCCTGGGTGGCCTTCCTGGCCCATACATGTAAATTTACCCCCATGTAGTGAGACCTTGTGCTGACAACTGAAAGCAAATCCTTTCTTGATGCTTTAGGACACGAAGGATTGAACAGGATACTTGATTCATTCGATGACAGAACAGCAGAGGCCGTGTGTACATTTGCGTTCTGCTGGGGTCCCGGATCAGAACCCATTTTGTTCCAAGGGAGAACCAAGGTATGTATTGATTCGATATTTGATTACACCAGTTCTAAATTCACACCAAAAAGGGTATAATTGTAAGGCCAAGGGGCCCTCCGAATTTTGGTAAGCAGGTTTTTGTTCAGAGTACAAATGATTCGACTTTTAGTGACTTTTACTCTAGGTTGGGATCCAATCTTTGAATATCAAAATAAAACGTACGCCGAGATGGTTAAAGAGGAGAAGGTAAAGAACGCAAAATCTGACTGTCTAACCCTGCTGATGGATGAGTAGAACAAAATATCCCATAGATACAAAGCCTTGGATCAGCTACATCGGTGGTTGATCGAAGGGCAATCATAAACTACAGTACTTGGGAATTTTAGAGAATGTTTCAGAATGCCCTCAGTTATTAGGGATCTAATCGACATTTTCGGACTGATTTTTCTTCCAAGATTCTATCCATGTTGAAATTCTTGCACAATTATCTTCAACGTCATTATCCTTTTCGCTATTGAGCTCAACCACAATTTCTTCATCAAAGGCCTCCTTAGCCTCTTCCAGCAAAACTCCGAAAATTTCCGTATCCAGGTTCTCTTGCAGCTTGGTTTCTTTATATGCTCTGAAACACATGTGACAGTTAGCAATTTGTCGTATAGTTCCAAACGGTCCCATTGGATGGCGTAAAAAGATCAAGGTTTGATGTATTCATACATCTAGTGGAAGAGAGACACAGAATTTCATGAGAAAAGAACGGTCTTAGCGCATACCTTGTTGAGAGACGATCATATAAAACAGACGTAGAAGGACACCGTAGGACTACGACGAGGTCAATCCAAGATTTAGGAAATAGATCACATGCATGCCAATCTATCAAATAACCACCGTGAAGTAATTCATCCTCGATAGCATCCAAGAGCTGTATGAAACAGAGTAAGTAGCATTCAGTAAAGTAATAAGGAGGAATGCCATAATGAACGTACTCTGTCCTCATCCACAACCCAGGTCTCCAATTCAGAATCGTAAATCTCGAAGCAATCCCGTTCTTTTGCAACCTGATTAATCGATAAATGCCGCAGACCGGTGTCCTGCGCCAGTTGCTGGCAGTGGACAGTTTTCCCTACGCCAGGAGTGCCTGTAATGACCACATTTGGGGACGTTCGCATCTTGATCCCAGCAACTGCGCTGAGTGCTCGTCTTGTGAAACCCGATGGCAGCAGATCAGGACCATCAGAGAGGGGAATTTTTTGCCATGCGCTGATAAGGCCTCAGGCATTCAAGGCTACGGAATACCGGACTAAGTAGATCCGGTTCTCATCCAATGGCACTAAGTAAGCGGTGAGAAGAGGAAAGCTGGTCATTTGTGGAGTCAAATGGGAAAAGCACCAGTAAAAACTTAAGTATGAGAGAGTACGGAGTAGGTATTCATCTCACTACAGTACACATACTTCGTCCAAGGCTATATTTTCGTAATTTTCTAAGTCACGACTATGAAGTTATTCCAGTATATTAAATATTGACTGTATTTTGTCACCTGTACACTCTCAGACGCCATGGTGATATGGATGCTATATTAAATAGTGTCTAATTTAAATACAAGCTGAAGAGGCAAGGCTACCTAGTTGTGGATAGAACAAATATTTAGGCCACAGAAAGTATGTACATGCAAATATAAAATATGAAGGTCTTGTGTTACTCATAGCCCGTACCTTTTTTTGCACACCCTAAGAAAAGTCACCCTGGAACAGATTCAATCTGGAGAACTTTGTAGATACGTAGTTGTAGGCTTATCCTTAGTGCAATACCTATATATCCCATAAAATCTACTTTTACAGAGAAAGTATGTATTGTAGTATTCATTTAGTGAATTTTCTAGCGCTTTGGCTACATGCAGATAGAGATGGTGCGCATACGAACTGCTTTCTAGCTACCTTAAAGCCTTGAAAAGTTTAATTTTAGAAGAAGGTATGATATTATTGAGGCCTCTAATAGTTAAAATTTTAACATCCTAGGCTAAGCACTCTAAATTACAACATTTTGTTATTTCCAAAGACACTGCATTCCACGTATCGTAGGTCCACATGTTCTAACTGACTGTAAATTACCAGTAGCCAGTACGTCTTGCAGGGTGGAAACAGTCCAGTGCGTTATTTTGTCACTTTCTTTACCTATTTTACTTAACCTGGGACGATACCTCTCGTTAGCTTTGTCTTTGTTAGAATTAAATATAAAACCCTGGCACGATAAATGGTATGGACGTCATTTCGAAAGCAAAGAATGCGTTGAAAAACATATATAGTATACAGTAAACTGCGATCATACCTTATGAAACATAACGATGGCAAGAATATTAAGTTCGGCTTAGATCTCAGAGAGATATAGGAACTGACAGCCTTCTTTGGTTAGATGGACCTCCATAGTAATATAGAGTAGTGACATACTTGAGAATCTCGAAAAGCTTGTATTTTCGCAAGTAGTCTGTACCTCGTCGATATCCTTTTAAGGTTTGAGTGGGATCGTGGAACTTCGAATATGTCTCCTTGCCATGCTCCACCACTGGAGGAGGCTTGAACATCGGGTCTAAAACGAGGAGATTTGCACTTCCATTGTCACGTATCTCGAAGCCAATGATTGTTAGGGAATGTCCTTCACACAATTTCCATGTGTTAGACACCAAGTTTGTACCTCAAGGTGCTAGTGGAATGGAGGAGATCCGAACCTTGGTGCTGAAAATAGATGGGTGGCAGGCTGGTAACGAGTACTTTGTCGTTCTTATCAGGTGAGAATTCTTGTCGAAAATAGCTCGCAATACTTGCCAAAAGGGCATCATAAGCCCGTACCTCCTGCGTCTCTCCGATACTACAAGTCTCACATCTAAGTAAAGTCAGAGTAGTCCTTGCTGAGACTTTCACGCGCTCCAACTTACTGGATTCCCAGACTTCGAAATAAAGCCTGTGCCTGAAAGGCAGAATGGATTAGAACAATACACAGATTTTTTGGTAACAATATCCTACCTCAGATGTCCCGATATATTTTCTAGTGCCCCGGATCCCCCCTGTCTCCTCTCTCCCAACACTGTTGTACCCCATGTCCCATGCTTGTTCAATCATATTTTGTAGTTCTAAAATTGTAGGCAAGGAATCCGGGAAACGGTCGTTTCCGGGAATGCCGGCTTCTTTTATGTATGAGATCATCATCTGAATATTTCTATAGCCACAAAAGCTGCCCTCCCTAGGTAGCTTGGAGATCTGACAAACTTTGGGGCTGCATAGGAGAGCTCGCCGTACTGATTTATCCATTGAACACAGACGTGCAAGAGTTGGAATAATATCAGCCGTTTCATTCGCAGCCGTCTCAGGCTTCCGTAGTCTGCCACGGGAGGAAATTCTACTTGGCTGAGTCACTTTGGTACTCTTCTCTAGCATTTCCCGGAGCCAAGAAGGCATCTGCTTCTCGTGGGCATAAGGTCCCAATTCCGCACGCTGTGTAGAGCCTTTGTAAGTCATACACTGAATACAATCAGAGATAAGGAAGAAAAGGTGTAAAGATACCCCAAGTCTTGTGTTTTTAGTGCGCGCTGTTTTTGGATCCAATATCGTCGAAAAATCACTAGTTTTGCCGCTTCTTCTTATAGATGGCTCTTGAAAAACCGCATGTTTCTTTAGGCGACCCTTCTCAGAAATCCCTTGTGTTCGGAGTTGACCGCCTCTCTGACCATGGTCATCGGGAGTTTGCGCTAACTCGTGAACATTTAATGTTAAGCCAGGTGATTGAGCCAGTTGAGAGTATTCCATTTCGAGAGTGGTCTTTTCGGTGGTTTGTGAGTTTAAGTCAGCAGTGAGACCGGTGCCTGCTCTTATATCTCCACAGGACAATTCTCCCACAGCTACACAAAATTACCCCAAGTTGCAAGGTCCTGGAATAAGAGTACTACTACCTAGCTAGGTAGTTGTATTACATATTGTTACATATTACTCCATACTGAATGGAGTAAATCCCTTAGGTACAATGGAGATGATTGGCTGTTAGATCCGTCTTCCATTTGGGGTTAGGTAGTGACCTAAAATTAGAAAGTAATAGAAATGGAAGTTGGGATCGGAAATTAGAAATGAGAAATAAATAGGTGCATAGTAACACCAAAACAAAATAACAGGGCCACTCCTGAGGAATGAAATAGAAAAGTACAGTATGTATGTATTGTGCGGGTCAGATTTGGTAGGGGCGGCACTTGTCAATGATTCTATAAGTGTTCTACAAAGCCAATGATCGAATAAGCAGCTTCAGCAGTATCATGAGGCGCTAGAGAAGGTGAAACCTTAAACACAATTTTAATAATTGTATTATGCTGCCCCTTGATGAGACAGTATCTCTGTATTGGAGGAGGACATGCTACCGTCCATTTACTTATCAAAATGGATGATGATGAACTGCTTACTTTTGTCCCTGGCGCTACTGCCTAGTCATGTGATAACAACTGCAATGAACAAAACAACTTTTCTGTTATCAATAGCCCGCGGGGTTAATCTTATATTCTAGTACTAGTAGGTTGGTTGGTTGTTTCTTTTACCCCGTCCCCTTGCCATAGGCGATATGCAGGCCACCACTACTACATCTATCCTTTTATCTCTAATTATAGTGTTCCGCTACATCCCGACGAATTTAGAGCCTCATCAAGGTCTGTGGTAGCCATATTATATTGCCTTTGCATTCAGTTCTGTGGCACCTCTGGGCCGCGGCTTTGGTCTAACTAGTACTAGTAGTTAGGTAAATTTGCTGACCGCTTCCCCTGCCAGGACTAGACTGGCTATGTTTTACTGGAGAATGTATTCTACTCTGTACAGACTTCAGTCAATTTGCGACTTACGGCTGAAATAAATCTATATGGGGCACATCTTCTGTTAATTGAATGAAAACTAAGTGGTACCTGCAGGTAATCCTATCCATACCTTGAAACTACTATTGTAAATCTTACCTGAACACAGAGAGGCCACACTTCGCGCTCCGATATCGTGTGCATAAGAGGAAGGCGGAGTAGAAACTTTAAGGGCAGAAAATTTAACCCACTCCGCATGCCCATTACACTGCTCCGCTTTCGCTATCACTTCCTCCGCCTAGTGCACATAAAAAAGGGAGCCCCGCTACCGAACCAAGTGAAAGGGTGTGTCTCTTGACTGCAGGACTGAACCGTCGCTGAAATATCTGCAGCATGGAAAGTCAACTGCAGCTCAATTCCAATTCGCTATCTATGGTCAATTGTGCACCAGTGGGTTCCTCGAACAGAAGTTGGGTCGTACAGAAGTTCGGAGGCACCAGTGTCGGGAAATTTGCCCTTAATATTATTGACCAGGTTGTACTGTAAGCCATTCCACCAAAATCTATACTGTGATGAATTTCGCTCTAAAAATCTTCTCATAAATCAGACCAAGTCTTTCCGAACATTGTGTAGCTATTGTGTGTTCTGCGAGAAGCAGCTCTACAAAAGCTGAAGGGACCACAAACCGGTGAGTCATCACTTTACATTCTCACCCAATTATTCCCACGTCGCCTTTAATCATCCTATATTTCGCAACTTTCCTTTGTGACTTCAGTTCTTCAATTATTGTCCCTAACACTCTCGGCCAATTGGTAGGTTATTGCGAGCTGCGCGGGACGCAGAGAATGCTCAGTCTCAACGCTATGTTGCTTTTATTGATGCTGTCCGACTAGAACATGTTCAAGTGGCCGAGGATCAAATCCATTCTAAGGAGCTTAAGGCCCGATTGACGACAGAGATTAACAGTGACTGTGAAAAAGTCCTAAAGGTGCTAGAAGCTGCTCAGACACTTGGAGAGATTAGCGCCCGTTGTGTTGACAAAGTTATCAGTACTGGAGAGAAACTCAGCTGTCGACTTATGACCGCTTTCCTCCAAGATAGAGGGGTAGATTCGCAGTATGTGGATCTAGCAGAAGTCATTGATTTTCCTATCGCGAACCAGGGCCTTGATCAAGGCTTCTATAACAATCTCGCCACTACCCTTGGTAGAAAGATCAGGACCTATGAGGGCAAAGTTCCTGTCATCACAGGGTTCTTTGGGACTGTACCTGGCGGCCTCCTTGACCAGATAGGACGTGGGTATACAGATCTTTGTGCCGCGCTAGTAGCCGTTGGAATACACGCCAAAGAACTACAGGTATGGAAGGAGGTCGATGGGATATTTACTGCCGATCCTCGGAAAGTGCCAACTGCGCGTCTTCTACCTGCAATCACACCAGCGGAAGCAGCGGAATTGACATTTTACGGCTCGGAGGTGATCCATCCTTTCACAATGGAACAAGTTATACGCGCTAAGATCCCAATTCGCATAAAAAATGTTATGAACCCTAAAGGCGACGGTACTATAATCTTTCCTGACTCTACCCTTGAGCTGGAGAAGACGGCCCCTGGGCATGACCCTCGACTGTTTCGAACAAGAAGCCCTAGTCTTATGCAAAGACCAAAACGCCCGACTGCTGTGACCATCAAGCATAAAATCCTAGTGATCAATGTACATTCTAACAAGCGTTCTCTGTCTCATGGCTTCTTTGCCGGCATATTTTCAGTCCTTGATCGGTGGAGGCTCTCAATTGACCTGATATCCACAAGTGAAGTGCATGTGTCGATGGCTCTTCATTCTGAAGTGCCTCTTCTAAATGGGGTTGGTAGGGATGAGTACCAGGTTATTGATGATGACTTAAAGGGAGCATTGCACGATTTGCAAAGATACGGGACAGTTGACATTATTCCCGAGATGGCCATTCTTAGCCTTGTCGGGAAACAAATGAAGAATATGATTGGGGTTGCTGGACGTATGTTTACAACCCTTGGTGAAAATAATGTGAATATCGAAATGATCTCCCAAGGTAAGCTAAGCCAGTTCGCTCTTTTTTTCACTTCCATGAAATGTATCAAAGTGCTAATCACTTTCTTTTCTGTTTCAGGTGCAAGCGAGATCAATATTTCGTGCGTTATTGAAGAGAGAGACGCAGATCGTGCTTTGAATATAATACATACCAGCATGTTTACATTTTTAGATTAGATGCAGCCTTTTCGAGTCCTTTTTTTTAGTTCATTTTCTATATTGCCTTTTCGCTTGCCGAGTTATAGTGCGTCCAGAGGATATCTTAAGATATATATGACCGGAGTAATCCAGTCATTGAATAGTTTGATGTTCTGCTCATAAATTCTATGCGATGCATAGTTATTTTACATATCTTTGCATGTGGGTCACAGCATAAGCATGACTTTCTCAGTTCCTGGCCCTTCCATTCCACTCCTTTTCCTTGATTTCATCCGAGAGAATGGAACCGTCTGTATCCCTTCCATGAGATTGCGGCTGCCATTGATTTTATTTTATCTGGATCCTTATTTCCTTTAGGGGTGAGGGTTCGTTGGGGCTCTTTTCAGAAGCAAGAGCAATTTAATCCGTAGTGAATACGGAGTAAATTATTATCTTCCAGTTTGCTTCGTGCCTTGTATAGCAAGTGTTGGCTAAACTGCAAATGGCAGTCCTTCGTAAGACTTCACCAGTTCTGAGCAATTATTCTTTTAATACCGGGAGCGATGGTGCCTAAAGCTGGTAGCTGCCTCCCCGTAGTTATACGCCTTCTCATTTCCTTGAAAGTTTCATATGTTCTATCTTCCTCTTCCTCGGACTCAGTTCTAATCACTCGAAAGAAACAACCCCTCAGGACTGACAGGAGTATCTCCTAAACTATAATTTAAAACTGGGTAACCTGGGCAACCTCGGCAACCTGGGGGCCGATGGGGAAGGGGAATAAATTATAATGTAAATGTCATAGACGTGCCAATAATGTCAAATGAATATCTATCTATCTATCTATCTATCTATCCATGCATACTCCGGGCTAACGTATGCACCACCATAGTCAATATTATGTTACTCCCGAAATCACCACGTAGCTATTGTTATCCAGCTTTATTTGGATCAATATTCCATACTGGATATTTAATACATCACCCATATTATGCCAAGAATTAAGAGTGCATAAATACTAGAGTCAATATCAAAATATTTAAAAATGATTTCGGTACACTGTGATATTAGGAAATTAGCAAAGTGTAGGCCATAAGTTGCAGTTGTAGTATCTCTGCGCCCAACATCATGTAAATATTGTGAACAAATAGTGGAGATTACAACATCCCCACGACCTGGTGAATTCTGGACTCCCGGAGAGCTGATCAGACCAATTTCACAAGAGTACGTATTTAATCTAAAACATGGAACTTCAATAAAAAGTAATCTGAAGGGGGCGCCTAGCTTAACTAGTATCTGGTAGATAGTGATAACCTGCACACTAGATTATTTGTACCTGCAGAGCAGGTACATACCTACTGCGTATATAGTATGCATGCAGTATGTACCATATATAGAGAGTATAGTGCCTATCTAGGTACTAAAGAGTTAGGTAAGGTGTGAGTTTGGTCGTTACATTTTTTTTTTTTTTTTTTTTTCTTGCACATGCCTAACTCCTATTAATGAGAGTGGTTCATGGTCCACCAAGATTAGCAGATACGTAATTGGATAAGATGATTACTTACTTGTGCAAGGAGAGGCCGAGACTGCCTACATACCTACTACTGGTAGGAACTACAAAGTACCTACCTACACTGGAGCCCAGCCCAGCCCAGCAAGGCACTAAATGCGCTAGGAAGTATGGAGTACCTATGTACGACCTATTCAGCACACCCATGGAGCATCTATCTTACCTGTACTTTATCTCTGTAACAGTTTTAGTATTTTATGACAAAACCGCCACGGAGGAAAAGCTTCTTTAGTGGAATCCTGACGCGTGACGCGTTCGCGTTTAAACCATACCATACAGGGAGGCAATCAACACCACATCTGTTATCTAAGGCTTCTTTCTCTCATTCCTCACTTTAACAGTTCCACAAATCATACCTACTTATTAACGAAGTATTTCACGCATCCCCACCTTAGCGGCAGGCTTGAATTTAGAGTCAAGCAGTCTACTCTGTACCTACCCAGATCCTCTTTTTGTTCTACTCCATAAAATCTTACTCCAACCACTCCACCCAATCTTACACCCATCCTCTTCTATCTTGCTCTCTACTGGCGCGTAAACCTCCCCCCCTCTTTCCTCCCAAAAAGCTAATCGTTTATCAGACTACACAACGGAAGCTTTTCTTGTGCAATAATATATCCTATTTACTATCTCACCTCTCCTAACCTTTTATTTCTTTGGAGCTTCCCTTGTTGCGCCTTGCGGCCCAATCTAGTCGCTACTTCGGGCGCTTCTTACCCTGTCCAATATTTCCCAGTCCCTCAGACCGTTTTCTCCTTATCGAACTTCTAGCCTATAATTTATTCACTACTAGGCCTTTCACGCCTATTACCATTATCTACAGGACCTGGGGTATTCCTTAAATTTCTTTGATGCCTTGGTTGTCACTTCATGTTCACGGCACTCTTGACGCGTCAAGACTTTGTACATGAAGAGTGGTTAAACTAGTCTGAGATATCATGACCTTAGCAGGTTCTGAATTAACTGCGCAGGCGATCCCAGAAATGCCTTCACCGTCTAATCAGCCAATGGGTAAGCCACACGTTTGTTTAGAACCTTGGGCCTTACCATTGCAAAACACTGAGAATATCGCTCCAGGACGTGACTACGTTTTGAATCCACCATCCGCCGGTACGCACAGACCATCGCCAACCAAAGCACCTCGCAGATCAAGTCCTTCGATCGCTAGGCAGGGGAAGTTGGGATTTGTTTCGATCACTGCTCCTGCTCCCTCGTCTTTCCCTACAGACTCCCCGACCAAAAAGTCACCCTTTCAAAAATTCGCGCAATCAGCTGCCGCCACCCCCCAAATGCTGCAATCAGCGTTGTTCACGACATTTTCCAGCGTCAACCCAGAGAAACAGTCTAGACAAGAGCATCAATCCGGTGATGAACTGACCAGTGATAATTTTGCTGACTTCCCCGAGCCGCCCTTCGCTTCCAAGCCGCCCTTGAAGAGGGCACTGTTAGAAGCAGCACCGTTGAAGGAGCGGTCAGTTAAGAAACAGAAACGCGATGATCTCATATCCATTCGTCTACCAGAGCCTCACGAAATGCCTCAAATTGAAGATGATGGCACAAAGCCCCCTTATAGTTATGCTACATTGATTGGAATGTCAATCTTACGCGCTCCAAATCGACGCCTGACACTTGCGCAGATTTACAAATGGATTTCAGATACATTTTCGTACTACAAAAATAGCGACCCTGGATGGCAGAATAGCATTCGTCACAATCTTAGTCTTAATAAGGCATTCATAAAACAAGAAAGACCTAAGGATGACCCAGGGAAGGGGAATTACTGGGCTATTGAGGCTGGAATGGAGGCACAGTTCCTTAAGGACAAGCCGCTGCGGCGTTCAACCATGTCAAGTCTTTCTCTTCCAGCTCTTGAAAAAGAGTCTGCTCACTCCCAGAGGCAAAATTCTTCTACAATTTCTTGGGCAGCACCCCCATCTTACCATCCAACAGCGCCGAGATCCTCTAAAAACGTGGACTTATCATCTGACGCAACGCTGCCCGCCTCAGATCCCGCCCTTCAGGAAGATGCAGTTGATGAATGCGTCAACGTTTCTGTGCCCCATGCTCTTCCGCCGCGCTCTTCTCCTCCTCAGCCAATACACTCCTCTCCTCCTGTTGCACCACCTCGCTTTACCCGTCGGGGAACACCTCCTACGCCATCGCAGACTGCTGTTTCCTCTGGAGTTGTTTCTCGCTCTAAGAAAAGAAAGTCAACTGCTATGAATGATAGCGGATATTTTTCATCCCTAGAGTCTTCAGCTATGCGTCCAAACAAAGCCGGGCATATCTTAACCTCAGACTTGGACATTGAACCCCCCCGCATTAAGCGTGGTCGCGCTGAGGAAGAAATAGCTCGAATTCGAAGCTCCTCCCATGACATAAGCCCAACCCAATCGGGTGCTTTGAAGGATGGAGGTTTGATCGTTGGTTCTTCTCCACTGCGCGGTGAATATGTGAGCATGCTTCCACCTCCTATCACGCCCGTTATCAAATTCAAGAAGCCAGCGAAGCCGCCACCGTCAGTATCTCCGAATACAAATCTTCGCAATCACCGCAAAAGAATCCAGCAGATGGTCAATTCTCCGATCAAGCATATGGGCCTTACAGATGAGGATCTTCCATGGAGTCCGGCCTTCAACATACAAGACGAAACATTCACGCCAAACGATCATCTTCATGCTAGCTTTGATGTGTTTGCAGATCATTCCGCGGAGAGCATTTCCATTCCGGCTTACGGTTCGCCTGAAAAGCGTACTGCTAAACGTTCTCGAAATGATGATAATGAACTAAGCGGCAATGTTCTGGCGGATATCACAGCCATGAGTGTGAATAGCCGGGCTGGTATGCAACCCATGCCAATAAACAAGACAAAAGGGTTGCTTTTCCCTGAGTCCCCATCCAAAGTACCCGAATCCGGACGCTTCCTTGATGCAGCCAATGACGACTTCTTCTCTTTCCATTTATTCGATGAAAGCTCAGGAGAGGTCGATGGTGTTGATCTTTTGCAAGGGTTTCAAAAAATTGGAGGTGTAAGCAAGGAAGAGCCATCAAAGTCGAAATCGAGACCGCAAATTAGTCATCGAAGTAATCCTTCGCTATTTTAAAAGACTTATGGTGCTTATCTCTAGCACACGGCCAAGTGCAGAGAATTGGAGGGAATAGCAGGTGCGAGAACGAGGTTATTTGGCACCTTAATCCCGAATGCTGTTGCAGAGTCCTTGATTTGAATATGCCACATTGCTCTACGAGTAACGTTTCTGATGGAATTTCGAAACTGGATGCTGGAGTTCCTGTGACGGATTTGCTTGTTTCTTATTTTGCTTTTAGGTAGCCGACTTCCTGGAGTTTGGGGTTAAAATCAGGCTTGGAGTCGGTTCTGGTTCTGGCTTCAGCTGAGCCCTGAGATGACTTTGTTATGACCTTTATGATGACATTTGCTAAGATGTACATGAGAGTGCTCTTTTACGTATGTATGGTTTTTTTTTTTAAAAAAAAAAAAAAAAAAAATTCCTCTCCAGCCCCGCCTCTTTTGAACATGAATCTATTCCGCTTCGCACCTTCGACCATTTTATAGAAGCTAGACTTGAATTATCGCTCGTTCAACAGGTTTGTCGTAGATTAATGTTCTTATTAATTGAAGAATAATCACAATTGCATGACATAAAATCCAGTAATAATAATATGTTAATAAGTGGGAATGTACTTTTCCAGGGTATCATATTGCTCAGAGGGTAAAACCTGAAGCGACAGTGTAAGCTTGTAATCAAAACAAACAAATAAAAAAAGGACAGAGGTAACATTATGGTCAATTTCAATCTGGGAAGTCGAACGACACTTTCTTCTGTCTTATAGTTTTTCCAACATCAAGGAACTCTCTTCCACGAACTTATTGATGAGAACATATCCAATGTCTCGAATTATTACTAATCGCTACTCGCGCAGCCTCGGCATCCGCAACTAACGCACTGAATCATCTGATCTTCTTTCAGTTGGGCTTTTGGAACGCGACAGATGCATGTTGCATTGAAATTGGTTTCCTTTGTCTGAATGCAACGGAGACAGCAAAGCTTCAGGGAGGAGAGAATCAGCGAAAGCTATATTTATAGCCGAAGAACTAGAGATCCAAAGAAGGGGCAAAAAACCAGAGCTTGCTTACCTTTTCATACCCTTGCTTTTTCCACTTGGCAATCAAATTGGCATCTGCATAGTTATTCTTTAGGAGCCAGTCATACAGCTGCCTTGATATTGCCTCTTTTTCATAATATAGGTCGTAAATATATCTAGAACCTAGGGGTCCACAGTTAGCACACTATAAAGGGGCTTTCTAGATTTACAAGAGAGCGAGGCCTACGTTGGTGGCTTATCTGAAAAATAGGCCATAGCATTTCATGTTTTTTTTTGCCATCATGCGATGCGTTCTCCGCATCCTTCATTTTGTTGCTGAATTCGAGCAGCATGTCTTCAATGTCATCGAACCCTGCCGGTGGGGATTTCCGGTTGTGGGATGTCCGTATTGGGGGCATAATTGCGTGTGCTTTGGTATTTGAAAGGAGAGCAATCAGGAGCTTGGCCTATTTTTGTAAAAGGGCTGCACTGGATACGCAAATTATACTATGAACTGAGATGTAGGACTTAAGACTGGTCAAAACGCCAGTAATGTGTGGCTATTTTCTGTCATAGCACACCGCCTACCCGTCTGTACGGACTTGAAATTGGAAATGGGGCTTGCAAAATGAATTAGAACTGCTGAAAACTCCTGATATTAAGCTTGTCTGCGCGAATTACAAAATATCAATACTCTTCCCACTATTGCACGTCTTCCACACCCAAGATGGACCAAGCCTCCCAGTTAGATGTTTCTAAGCTCAGTGATGGTGACAAAAAAGAATTAAGTCAGTTCCTAACAAACGAAGCTCAAAAGTCCAGCATTCAGCAGAGTAAGTGTATATTTCACTCATTCACAAACTTTTTATTATACAGTACTGCTAGTCTATCTGTGTACCAGCAAATACTGGGTGATTATTGGCTTCTTCCTGATCAAATTTACTTCCTACCCACATTGCTTGTTCAGTATCGGTTACTAATTCACCTCCCCTAGCTGTCCATCATCTCGCCGACACTTGCTGGAGAAAGTGTATCACTGGAAAGATATCATCCAGCCGCCTAGATCAGTCTGAAGAGACATGTGCACATAACTGTGTGGAGCGATGGATGGACACCAATTTCGCTGTTTTGAAACACCTTGAGACTCTACGTGGACAATAGCTCTTCTGTGCTGGTGACTGAGACGTTATTATTTTCCATTTCCTGACTTTCCTTGTTCACCGGCTAGATGAAGGATACAGAGTGTGAATGCAGAACAATAATCAATTTCCAGCTTGGAAATTCGGTAGTTCTACTGTAGAATTAGGAATGATATGTTGGTCACTACATACTGGTCTCCCAGGGGAATATGTCGAATCTTTTCAGTTTTGCTTCGAACGTAGGGTCAATCAAGGTCTAAGTAACCTCTCCTGGATGAGGTATAAAGTCTTCAATAGCGGAAGCTACGAAACAAGACGAACTACTGAAATATTCATTACCGGGGAAATCGTGCATTCAAGTAAATCCCTTCTTTTCGATCAGTCAGCCGTCATTGCAGTGCTTGTAGCTAACTGCATGATTGATATTTATGAACCACCGCCGTAAAATAAGAACATGCACCCAAACCCATAAGAAACCAAAACATCTAGACAATAGCAAGCTTGGTGGCAGCAATGTCCAGGGCATCCACATCAGGGGTTAGTCGGGCAAAAGCCTTCTTTGAACCGTCGGGCCTATTAGAAGTTAAACAACGAAGTTCCTGGACGTAGACCGCTCGGAAATTTCGGTGACTTGTTCATACCTAACGAGAGTGTTGACCTTGACAGTATCGACATCATAAAGCTTCTTAAGAGCCAGCTTGATCTGTCTCTTGTTTGCCTTAACATCCACAATGAATACAAGAGTGTTGTTCTCCTCAATCTTTTTCATCGCGCTCTCGGTGTTGAGGGGAAACAGGATGACCTTGTGGGAGTCGAGGCGGGGTCCATGAGGGATTGACTTGCGGGGATACTTGGGAGAGCGGGACAGCTCAAGGGTCTTGGGGCGGTGGAAAGTCGTTGAGGTGCGAATCTTGCGAGCCTTGTGCGCCTGGGAAGGAAATTAGTATTGGTCATGATATATGCGATGCTTTCTCGTGAAAACATACACCCGCACCCTTTAAGACTGCCTTGGCGGCAGCACCAGCCCTGTCGCTGGGCGTAGACTTGCCTGTGCAGAAAAACAAGTCAGCACATCTGTAGACTAGGCTCAAGATACTTTTTCTCAAGCGAAAACATTGAAAATGGTCTTATATTCCCTTTCCCTGCTCTTTTTGGGCTTTCTCTCTTTTCTTTTTCGACATCTCGAAGGCTGTGACAGATAACATTGCCAGCACCCCATTTCAACATGCTTCTGATCATGCACTGTGTGCAAGGCAGTCATTTTGAAAGATGTCCATACTTAAAGACACTGTCTCTCGGCAGTCACAAACGCCCAATCCAAATCTTCACCATTTCGCATCTTGAAAAAAAAAAAAAAGGCCAACGAGACCCTTTGAATCTAACCTACCTTGCTTGTTTTCCTGCTTAGGAGCCATGGCTGTCGTCCGGCGCTGTCGATATGGTTGTCGCAGTGTTGAGTGTCAAATTATTTGGAGGGCCTTCGCTTAGCGAAAACCCTACAGTTTGGCTGTGGGTCACCTGACTTTTTCCTCCCACCTGAGAAATTGTGGCCTCTTGGCATCCGAAATGGGGTCTAGCGCCTTCTGCGTAATGTACTTAGGTATTGCTGGTACTATTACAGTGTGCATACCTAGGTTTGTACTGTGTATATATTATTACCTGGTACTTTGTAGTTCTACAGTAATTCTGTACATCGCTGCCTACAGTAGGTATCTGGATCTTCATCTCGTTAGTTGCATCTTCCTTATTTGCTCTTCTGCCGACGGTCTCAGCCTGCTTCAACTATCAAGTAAATTTTTACTCCTATCGTTACGCAAACATCATTATGGCCACAAGGAAACCTCGAATCAAAAAGCCTGCCCTGCTCTCTCGCACCCGCCCACCTGCGGCTAGAGCAAAACTTGCAACATTATCATCAAAAGCCACCCGGAATCTTATTCGTACTCATCATAGGCTCCTCAAGCAGCGCACACAGGCCCAGCAGGCTGGGGATGCCCTGCTAGTTGATAAAATTGAGTCTCAGATTAGACAAAACGGCGGATTGGAAAGCTACCAGCTCGCTAGCCGACTTGGCCAGTCACTGGAGCGTGGCGGTGATTCAAGTAAAGTCTTGGTGGACTGGATAACTCCGCATTTACTTCACGAGCGTACAAGGCTCCGAGTGCTAGAAGTCGGTGCTCTCAGTACCAAGAACGCTTGCTCGATGAATCAATATATGGATGTTACTAGGATCGATCTCAGTTCTCAAGAACCAGGAATTCTAAAGCAAGATTTTATGGAGCGGCCACTTCCCCGTGGTGATACAGATCGGTTTCACGTTATCAGTCTTTCATTGGTGCTCAATTTTGTCCCCGATGCTATTGGTAGAGGTGAGATGTTAAAGCGCTGTTCGGCTTTTCTCACCACTTCACCTCCGTCTGGTTCTTCCCTGCCCTTCACGGGTATGATGTTCCTGGTTCTGCCCTCTGCCTGCATTAACAACTCGCGATACCTCACGCAAGACAGACTGAACGATATAATGAATAGTATGGGATTCTCTCTATCAGAGTCTAAGGAGACTTCGAAGTTGACATTTCAGCTTTGGAAACATGGCCAAAACTGCAAGCCTCGCCAATTTAGGAAGGAGATTTTGAATCCGGGAAAAAAAAGGAATAACTTTGCTATTATTGTCAAATGAGAGATGGCTCGAAAGTCTCTATTATGCGGGAATTAACTCCTGTGGCAAAAATACCCAAGCAGTCCCAACAATCGCTGACAATGATGATATGATCAGAAGAGACCAGTTCAAAACCCGCTCCCTCAAATCAATCTCTTTTCCGAAAATCTTCAAGTGAAATAAAAGTGGCAGTATGATGCATATAGTAAAGCACAAAGCAGAGCCCATCAACGCCATTATCCTATCGAAAGATGGGAAGAGAATAGCCATTAGGAGAACAGCACCTACTACAGCCACGCGTATAATGGCAGTTAACGATTGGTGTACTATTGTTTCAGCATTTTGAGGACGATTTGACACCGAAACAGGGGTCGATTCCAGGCCGCAAAGTACCTCTATGGTGGACACCAGAGGCCGACAGCTGGAGCTGATTAGTAACTTTAAGCTTGGAGTCTGGGTAAAAATATGAGAACTTACTTTAACGGTACTTTAGTTATTGGAATGACAGCAATGGAAATTATAATGCAAACTGATAATGCTCGCGGATAATCCTCGGACAGTAGCACATTGGCTGTAACTTCATCCTGGATTAACTCACCAAACATTATCCAACCAATAATTGCCATAGCACAGTCAAGGGAATACTGGTTTAAACAGCAAATTAGAGGCAGACCTCTCACCATCTTATACTCTTCGTTCTTTTTCTTGGGTCCTTGCTTACCGTAGAGAGGTATGTGACCACAAGGCTCCTGTTATACTTTTGTGGATGTCTCATATCCCTATATATATTTGGAAACACCCCATGACCACCCCAGGGTGCTTCATAGACATGTGCCATGAGGTTAGAGAAATATCCACCAATAGTTGTAATGACTTACACATAATTAGTCCAAGACTAAGAGGAAGAGTGTTCCAATTATCTGGAAATATAGAAGTCCTTGCTGGTTGGCGGAGCGAACCGGGAGCATTTGGTTTCACAAGACCATCAATGCATATCATGATTACAACTGTAGGACATAGGAAGTTGAGAGAAGGCCAGAGAAATTGGGAAGGAGGGACATACTTGACATGCACGAGAGTATTCCTAGAACACTTGTAACACTTAATAGCCGTAGAGGGGCAAAATTAAGGGGAACAAGCAAAAGCCCACATATCATCTTCCACTGAATGATGCTGACATTTGGCATCAGAGCATGAAGACTATCTGCAAAAAGAACGACAAGGGCAACACAGGCTCCTACAAGCTCTAAACAGAACAGAATGCTTGTTATTATGCGTGCATGGTGCCCAAAATTAATATATGCCAGGTCAGCATATGTGACTAGGTTCTGATCAACATCCAGGCATTTAGCAAGAATTCGGGCAGTGTACGACGTTGTCACAGCGGCGAACAGAAGAAACAATAGACCAAAAAGCCATCCTGCTTGCTTCATTGCTAGCGGCAAACTTAAGAGACCGACGCCAATTAGAACGTTGACAGAATTAAAAATTGTCTGTGGAAGAGTTGACTGGCCAACAACAACACTCGCTCTTGTTCCATCCTCCTGCTGGACACTTTTAATAAATAAGGGTTCAGTGCCATTGTTTCCAGGCACCTCTACATGAGCCTGCTGCTCCTTGTGGAGTTGAATCGCGTGCCTTCACGTCGCTTCACTAACACGAGAGGATATCGTGCCATATGAGGTCCCAAGGCTTCTATCCAGCGAGGAGCCAAAGACATTTCTTGGAAGAGCATTGCGGTCAATCGGCCCACTATCCTCTGATTCTCCATCGATACCCAGCAATGGTCGAGTGAAGTCAGACTCTTGTGGCTCGATCACGTCATTAACGGTGGATCTTCTTTCTTCGTCTGAATCAACCGCTACGTACGAGGAACGGCGGGGAAGAATTTCGGGGAAACCCGCAGCTCGTTGCCATGACCGAGCAAAATTATCAATGCTGTTAACTCCTCCTACTTGTCTGAAGCGCACAGAGAACGAAGCTGATCTGGAGAAAGGTATGAGCTTCTGTTTTTCATCTCGCTTAGTACATCTGAATCGCAGTAAATACACAGCCTACCTCGACCTCTGGAAATCACTGTCATCAGCTGCATAGCTAGAGTAGCCTGCTGGACTCCTGCGAACACCAAAATTGGGTTCAAGAGGCGGATATGAATTTGGAATTCGCACCCCGCGAGTCACGGTTTCAGAAGTACTAGGATCTTCTGAGCCTCCACCCGCTAAAATTAAAGACGCCCTCATTCTCTGATATTCGAGACGCATAAAAAAACTACCATTGAAGGTAGACAGGACAGCAGAGTAGGCTTAACTTCCCACAAGACGAATGCTGAATTTTGCACCGGTGACAAATCGAGTAAGCAGGTAGCTAAGTAGCGACTTGAGATAATAGCAGACTGTATGCATCCTCGTTAATTTATTCGCTAGTAGGTGCACATAGCAAGACACTTAACTGTGCTAGTACCTACTATAGACACAATAAAAAATTCCTGTATAACTTGTCTATTTGAATGACCTGCGGTTGCGCAGAGAAGTGTTCCCAGGAAGATGTATGGTTATTGAAGAAAGGCTGCAAGTTACAAAGAAACAGATCAGCCAGCCAAGGTATCTACGCTCAATTAGAAGTTGTTATCCACGGAGCGGGGTTCAGATAAGGGGTTGATAGTTAACTAGTAAGTAATGGATAATAGATAGTAGTAAGCGATACCAAGATAATTAGGGTAGCATCTTCCTATTATCCACAAAAATGATCCCCAGCAGGTACACATTAGACTGACCTTTAGTAGATATTCTGAACGTTGTGATTTTGGGGGGTAAATTCTAAGAAGGTGCGACATATAGGTTATTCTGCCGAACTATTTTAACATTTTTAATGATGAATTACTTCATAATACTCTATAACCTACTTTTGTACTTAGTGGGCATTGTTGTGAGGTACAACCTGGTTTGTTACCCAAGACAGTGTGTTAATATTCATTACTAGTTTGGGAATTAATACAGTCAAGTTGCTTATTAAATTATATATATATCTAAGTTATCTTGTTAATCTAGTTATATTACTGATTTAGATTGCTAGGTTAATTACTATGGAGTAGTGTGGGACGGCGGGACGCAGCGCTAGTCAATCACATGACCAATTTTAAAGCTTCGTGCAAATACACCACAAAGGCACCTGACCTGTGCACTTGTTGGTACCTATGGCTCAGCATATCTAATTAATGTACCTCTTGTATTTGGGCAAGAGGTAGGAAATGGAGCGCGTGCTCCGCAAGTTGCTGGAAAGGGAATAATTAACGTAATCAACCACCGAACTGTAACTTTTCCTTCGCATACCAATTCCTACTTTCAAAGCATCATTTTATTACCATTAGAAATGCCTCTTTCAAAAGAAAGTCGACTTTAAATGACTGTTTTGGCTTAAAATAAACGCCAAACTAAGTAGGTATTACGCGCTGCCAAAGTCTTTGAAGTTGCTAAAATACTCTACGCGACATCCTCAGCTGCGTACAAGATGTAATAGAAGAGACAAAGCAGGAGGATCTAAAGTTATAATACCATAGTTTGAAGCTGTACATGCAGCTATATAAGAATATGATATATATAAAGATAATATATTGCGTCTGAGTATGCAAGAGCAGGAATAGAAGAAAAACGATGTTTTAAAAAAGCCGCAAAACAAGCTAATAAGGATAAAATGAATTCTCTGGGACATTCTTTAACGAAAAAAAGCCAGGAGGAAGTGAAACAGGCACATATAATGGCTAATCGGTGAGGGAGGCAAATCCGGCTGCCGCAGCGATTTCGGGGCAGAAAAAAGCTAGCTGTATAGCTTGTTCATATTGAGCATGCTATTCCACCAAGAGATCTAATTTAACGGTAAATCAGCTGTGTGTCTAAGCCAGCTCTGTATTGCATATAAATGGCATATTTACAATCTTAATATCTTAACAACGACATATTAATAGGGCCTAGAGTCTATGATTCAGGCGATTATAATAGTATCATTAGTATGCAAACATATATTACACCTAGAATCTTATAATATAAGTAATTATTTATATTACAAAGAATAGTCCTTAAATACAGCTGTATTTAAAATAATATTGTATTATAGGCTATAAAAAATCTTTAAATCGAAATAAAATAAAGGAACATTCTACAGAGTGTGTTTAATTAGTAGAAAGCAACTCTTATAGTATGTTTAACATACTGGTTGAGATATTGAGATCGCAAAAGTGTAATTTTATATAATACGGAGGTCGCCCGCTTGTTTACAGGTTACATTACTTAATTAACTAGTTAGTTAGTTAACGTAACCGGAAAGCGAGCGAGCCATGAAAGCGAGCGAGCACCTCCGTATTACATACAAACTGGCACTTTTTGTGATCTTAGTATTTCAACAACAACCTGTCAATACAGCCTAGAATTCGGAATCCAGACTGACATAATAGTGTACAAGCAGATATTAAACCTCGAAGCTTATAATGTAAGTGGTTCTATATATTACATGAAGAGGGGATTAAATACAGTTGTACTAGGGATTGTCCTGTATTATAGTGAAGAAAAAAATTCTGAAAATTCCGAATAAAATACAGATATGTTCTACTGCATGTATTTAATAAGAAGGACTTAATACTACGCCGTAGCTATAAGATTGGCTGAGATACTAAGGCTGTAAAAAGTGACATTTTATATGCAATACGAAGGTGGCTCGCTCGCTTTTATGGCTCGCTCGCTTTCCGGTTACGTTAACGTAACTAACCAGAGAGCGAATGAGACTTGTAAGCGAGACACATCTCTATTGTACACTTTTTGTAATCTCAATTTCTCAACAACATACTAGTAGGGCCTAAGATCCCTAATTTGGACTGATATAACAGTATTTAAATTAATTCAAAGCCTAGAAGCTTATAACTTAAGGAGTTCTTTATATTGCATAGAGAGGGTCTTAAATACAGTTGTAATAGTAGTTATACTGTATTATAAAGTAAAAAAGTCTAAAAGTTCCAAATAAAATGCATAATATTCTATTATTATATCTAAAATACCTAGAGGATAAATTATCACTGCAGCTATAAAATTGGTTGAGATATTGAGAATGCAAAAAGTGCCATTATATATATGTGTAATATGGATGTCACTCGCTTACTTGTCTCATTCGCTTCCCGGTTAACTGTTAACTAACAACAAATGACAAGATTATGTCATCAAAACAGGCGACAATTCTCTCTGCCACCCCATGGTGCCTGATGAAATTTACTTAACCTCCGCTGGACTACAACAGTAAATCGACCAGCCTCAAGGTATGTAGGATTTTCTTACTCCCATTTGGAACTTTAACCTAAACCTTTTTTTTTTTTTGCCTCACTTCATCCTTTACTTGTATTGCTTAAAATTACTAACAATTTTATTAAGAGCCAACGGTCCACTATCTTCTCTTCTCTCTTTACCCCTCTCCTGGTCGCCTTGATATCGTCGCTTCGCCCAATATGAGCACGGCTCAGGCGAACGAAGCGGAAAAGAACATTGAAATATGGAAGGTTAAGAAGCTCATCAAGCGCCTTGAGGCGGCTAGAGGAAATGGAACCTCCATGATTTCTTTGATCATTCGTGCGTTCTGTTCACGTCTGTTCCACAATACTCGACTAACTCATATCCTGCAGCCCCCAAGGATCAGGTATCTAGGGCAGCCAAAATGTTGGCAGAAGAGTTTGTAAGAAATTCCCTTTATATATTATTTTATTTTAGTCTTCTATTGTTATCATCATTATTAGTTGTTATTTCGTCAAAATGGCATCCTAATGGGAAGTCCGCAGGGTACTGCTTCCAACATCAAATCCCGTGTCAATCGACTTTCGGTCCTGTCTGCCATTACCTCTACACAACAGCGTCTCAAACTTTATAACAAGGTCCCCCCTAATGGCTTAGTCGTCTACTGTGGTGAAATCATAACGTCAGAAGGGAAGGAACGGAAGATTAACATTGATTTCGAACCGTTCAAGCCAATCAACACATCTCTTTACCTTTGTGACAACAAATTCCATACAGAGGCACTGAGCGAGCTTCTTGAATCGGACCAAAAATTTGGTTTCATAGTCATGGACGGTAACGGTGCTCTTTTTGGCACGCTAAGTGGAAATACCAGGGAGGTACTGCAAAAGCTAAGCGTCGACCTGCCCAAAAAGCATGGTCGCGGTGGACAGTCAGCGCTGCGTTTTGCACGTCTTCGTGAAGAGAAGCGTCATAATTATGTTCGCAAAATCGCCGAGTTAGCCGTTCAGAATTATATAACCAACGATAAGGTTAACGTGGCAGGACTGATCTTAGCCGGCTCCGCGGACTTCAAAAATGATCTGAATCAGTCGGATATGTTCGATCAACGCTTGCAGGCTAAGGTTATTAAGGTCGTTGACGTTTCTTATGGAGGAGAAAATGGATTCAACCAGGCAATTGAGCTTGCCTCTGAGACTTTGAGCAACGTCAAGTTCGTCCAGGAGAAGAAACTGATTGGGAGATATTTCGAGGAGATCAGTCAAGATACTGGCAGAGTTTGCTATGGCATCGATGATACTCTCAAGGCTCTAGAGCTCGGTGCGGCGGAGACTCTCATTGTATATGAGAATCTGGATATCAGCCGATGGGTCTTAAAGACTTCCAGCGGGTCCGAAGTTATTGTTCACACAACGAAGAACCAAGAGGCGAACCGGGAGTTGTTTACCGACAAAGAGACGGGGGCTGAGATGGAAGTCATCGAACAGACCTCATTTCTTGAGTGGCTTGCTGAAAGCTATAAAGACTTTGGTGCAACCCTCGAGTTTGTTTCCGATAAATCCAGTGAAGGAAATCAATTCGTCAAAGGCTTTGGTGGTATTGGAGCTATCCTCCGGTACAAAGTCAATTTTGAACAGCTTGCCGATTTTGAGGACGAGGATGAGTTTTATGACGGTATGTCTGCTGTCGCTCTGGGTTGATACATTTACTAACCACTAATTTTCTATAGATTGACGGTTCAGCGGCCTCGCAAAGAGCGAGGATGAACGGCCAGAAGTTCCCAGAACGGGTCTTTTGACGGCTCGCCCCATAGGAAATGAAAGCGGTTTCTATGGCAATCCAGTGACTTCCTTGATGGTTGATACCATGGCATTGCCTGGAAAGAGCTCTGAAGCTACCCAGAGGTATTTTTGATTGAAACCATGCGTTGATCATGCTCCAACCCTATGGTGCTAACATCATACTATTAATCCATAGGGCCATCCAAGCTCCGTGATTTATTACTGAGGTTGCCTAAAGACACTAGGCTAACACAAAGATGTTATTCGTAAAAGAAGGGTGGTAAAACCAATATATAAATCTACAACCATTCCTTGAAGATTGTCAGGCTTTATGACGTTTGAGATGGCGGGCTAAGATTGATTTATTCTGATATACTGCTGTCCCGTGTTTGCTTTCTCTTATTATTCTCTTGCTCTCCATATGTTTCATGTACGGAAGCCAACAATACTTCTTACTGCCCTACATCCGACCCTCTGCCTATTCAGTGCTTCGTAGATTGTATGAAGCTGATCTTAGAGATCATGCTTCTATCGCAACTGTTGTGTTGCTTTGAAAAATTCTTCGACTATTTGTTCTATGAGGGCAGCATAAAGGAAATCTATATTTTGGTATTATTTATTGCTTGATGAAGACATACTAACCCACGTCCCTAAGTGCCTGCTATTTTCAGTGGTATCGTTCAAAGCAGCCAGTATCTCATTAACCCCCTCTCTGTCATCATTGGCAGAGGCCAATTGACATTCTACCAGAAAGACATATTGCCAAACCTTCCTTTGACTTGGTCTGGTGTTGATGCTAGTGAGGTTCATGCCATAGTTCTTGAAGACCAACAATGCGTCCGCCAATGCCCCTGGAGAATCCTGATGAAGCATAAAAGATATAAGGGCTTTTTTGGCTGTTGGAGATGATGCAGGCGCTGGTATTATCTTCTCAAGGTGTAATTGAGCTGTGCGTTCCGATCTTACATTTCTCAATATCAGAAACCGTGTTGTATTGTTGGAGTTGTCCTCAATATTCTCCTCTAGGATATCAAGCCCATGGTACACGGCTGCAAACCGGCTAGCGATTGCGGCACTTCGTCCCGCAGTTTCATTTGCGACTGTCTCGGCCGCTTTTGATGTTGACGAAACATCTTGTCGTTCAACACCTTTGAAATGCCTTCCAAGAAATTTCTCGCATTGTCCCCATGCCTGTGGGTGTGTGTATAATTTATCTATTGAGTTGTATTTACTCTCGCCAAGAGAGCGGAGGCCCCTCTGGCTTAAGAGGCAGTGGTGTACATTCAGATAATGCTCACCGCACACTTTCACATCGGTGTAGAGATTGCTAGGGTCCGCCAGAAGATTGAGGGTTTGGACGACCGATCCATTAGATGAGTTTTCGAAGGGAACGACAGCATAGTCAGCTTCTTCCTGTTGCACTGCAGCAAATGCATCCGTAAATGATGGAAGAGCTAGTAATTTGACTGAGGCCCCAAAGGATTCAACAGAAGCCTGGAATTCCAATTAATGCCGTTGTGTGAATTGGGGTGGTGGGTTGTTTCCTAACCTGATGGGAAAAGGATGCGGCTGGGCCCAAGAAGGCAACCGTAATAAGCACCATTTGCCTTATAAAATGCCAGGGAATGCAAAGACAACGACTGCTCTTGCTCCCTGTTGCGTAACCTTGACTGGGGCTAAGCTGAGGGGAGGATTTTCGGACATCTTGACCTAGAGAGTGTGCGTGGCTGTAGCAGTGTAGGATACCCGGACAAACAAGTCAAACCGCCACGTCTATTTACCGGCCGGAAGTCTAGACCCAAATTATGATGCTGGTATGTTATAGACGATCGATGTATCTATCCTTCTCGGCTATTTTGGTGTTTAATTAATTAAAAGGACCATCTCTTACACATATAGAGACCAATGAATGGAGTTATTGCTCGATGCTCATACTTTGGGGGACGAGCAGGGCTGGCAGCTACTTTGCGGACAAATTCCTCAATTTCCGAGGGGCTGCGTCGGGAATTGACGTTGCGGAGACTGCCTTTAGCATTTGATTATCTGCATCCCCAGCCCTCTCATCTCCTGGATTTGACGCTCAGGGGTGTTCTCCCAGATCCTCAACCTTTATCAGAGGATGATGTCGCCCTTCCTTCCGTGAATTCTAATCGCTTCCTGCCGGCGGGCCATCATTTAGTTTACTTTCCTCCTCAAGTCGCTCTATCGCAGCTACTACCAGATGGTACTGATGCCCTGCATAGTCCAGGAGAACCCTTTGGTAGGCGTCTGTGGGCTGGTGGGAAAGTCAGGTTTCCGGCTGCTAGTGAGCTAGTTCTCGATGGTAGCCGAGCCGTGTGTATCGAGACGATTCGTGATGTAATTGTGAAAGGACGGCAGGGTGAGGAGAAGGTTGTCGTCAAAATAGAGAGACGGGTGGCTACAGTGCAAGAAGATGAGAAAGAGAGTAGTATCCGGGAGCGTATATGGAAGGAAGATGAGGACAATGTTGGGCAGTCGTCCATCATTGAAAATAGGGATTTGGTCTTTATGCGCAAAAAGACGCGTGAGCAGCTGGACCATGATAGAGCAAAATTTGAGGAAGAGCCTCGATTTATTACATGTGCGTAAATTCTACTGCTTGGCTCTAGTTTATTTTCATACTGATTCTTTCCTTCTTGACTAAAGCACCAGCAGACCCTGAATTTCGTCACAAAATCAAGCCCAGCAGGGCTCTGCTATTTCGCTTCTCAGCTCTTACGTTCAATGCTCACGCCATCCACCTTGACGAAGCCTACACTCGAAATGTGGAAGGCTTTCGGAGTCTGCTCGTGCATGGCCCCTTGACCTTAGCATTACTGCTAACCGCCCTTCACGCTCATTTAATCAAGTACAATCGGAACATCAGGGAGATCGAATATAAAAACCTGGCTCCCCTCTATGCTGAAGAATCCTTATCGATTTGTGGGAAACCCAAAACAAGTAAATATAATGCGGCATGGGATGTGTGGATTGAGAACAAAAACGGGGGTCTTGCTGTTCGAGGCGTTGTTCAAACAGATCCTTTGTAGTTAGCAAAAGGGCGCTGTTCTTAGATATCTCTGTAGTTAGAATCGGTCGCCGGCCTCAAGCCAGCCTGGATCCGACTGATGATGCAGATCAAATACTTGTATAGCAACCATAATAACGCTAGTGAACTGTACAGTGTTAATTGTCTGTAGCTCCGTAGCTCAGGTCCCAATATGTATTTAGCTACAGGATACTAGCTATCTAATTCTCTTAAATACAACCTTAGTAAATCAACTAAAAGAAATAGTAAGTCAAATTATATAGTGACAAGTAGAATGTACCTCCCTAGAAGGAAGGAGTCAGCCTTGAATACGCCACTTTGTTATACGGTGTACTGTTGTGGCCTTAGATTAATAGAGAGGTTCTGCATAATATAATTATATAAAAATATATTATATTTTCTGCCTGGCAAAATCGAATTAGGCAAAATAAGCGAGATCTGACTGATAATCAGCTATACCATATTTGATTTAGTTATTATATCACGATTCTTGGCGGATTTCGTAAATATTGAACCTCATTATGTTAATCAGGCGCCTGATTGAGCGCTTTAAGGCCCCGATAGCGATGACCACACCATTCTATCGACTTCCTAAACAGGAAAAATTAAAGCTTTTGGCGTTTGCAAGCCTTGCGTTTCTATGCCTGACCATGGAGGATGACACACGAGAAATATGCAGAGATAAGTGCTTGAATAGAGGCTTTATTCTTGATGATTGGAATGATGAAACTGCTGTTAGCTATACAAGGTATTTTATTTAATTTAACTTCCGATTTACATACTAATTTATATATAATTTAAAAGATTTACAAAGAACGAGCTCCGCGAGATTATACCGCTTCTTCGAATCGATGAAATTCAATGGCGATATCGATATTCCTGCAACGCTGAAGCAGCTATTTGTATCCTTTTAACACGTTTATCATATCCCCGGCGCCTTGAAGAGTTGACTACGATATTCAGGCTTAGCCGGACCGCTATCTCAGTGATTTCTGCAGATATATTGCTATTTTTAAACGATCAATTTGGCCATATAATTGAATGGCACCCCTCCTTGACATATAAAAATATGATGCTATTCGCGAATCATATTAATTCGGCAGCACGTGTATGGGGCTTTATTAATGGAACTCTTCGTCAGATCTGCCGGCCAACACATGATCAACAAATATACTATACTGGATATAAGAAAATTCATGCAATTAAGTTTCAGGGTATTACTACTCCCAACGGCTTAATAAGCTCATTATATGGCCCTTTTGAAGGCCGTATAAATGATGCAAAAATGTGGAATTTATCTCCGACAGAGCAGAAATTACGCGCGATACAAGAGGAACAGGAACCTTTGTATTTATATGGAGATATCGCCTATAAAGGAAAGTTTCGTGTGATTACACCCTACCAAGATCATGATACATTGTCTGCAGAGAAAAGGGCTTTTAATATAGCACTTTCTCGTGATCGAATTACAATTGAGCAGTCATTTGGACGCGTACTAAACCTCTGGCACTCGATATCATTAAAATCACTGCAGAAATCAGGACTGCGCCCTGTTGCTGCAGATTATAAAATAGCAGTGTTTTTCACTAATATACATACGTGTATTCGACATGGCAATCAAATATCTGATCGATATAAGATATCGCCTCCTTCTGTATCTAGATATCTCTATCCTGAACTAGATGATGAAGTAGGAGGTCAAGCTTTGTCTTGACGTCATTAAATTGAGCGTCTATACTGGATTCCACTGTAGATAGGCGAGATTCAATATTTCCGAATCGAGTATTTATATCATCGTTTTCGACTACTAATTTAGCAGTATTTTCAAAGAAATTAGCAATATTTTCAAATGCTCTTTGCTGCGGCGTTTTTAATCGCTGACGACGCGCCTCAGATGACCGAGAGCTTGTATTTGAATCTATTTTTTTTAAACATATAAATCAGTATATAAAAATAAAGTTTATAAAAATCTACACATACCAGTGTATAACTCTGAATCAGAAAGTAAAATATTATTATCACCTTCTAATTCGGACCTTCTTTGACGCTTTTGGGCGTATCGAACTGACAGATCATCACGATAACGCTGAGTTGCCTCAATATGGTTTGCCTCCTCGGTAGCCGCGCGTTTTCGAGCGGCCTCTATCTCCCGTATTTCATCAATATGACTCAGCCATTCATCTATAGCCTCATGAAGCGCCTGATCGTGATTAACTGCCTGACCGGTAATAATAATATGTCTCGTTTGACGTCTCTCGTTGGCTAATCTCGTGACCTTATTCCGAGCTGTCTGCCAATTATATGAATCAAGGCCATATTCAAGGCGGAAGGCCTCTGCAACCCGTGACCACCAACTGATATTTCCACGTGAGGTTTTATAATCATCCTTCAGACGATTACACGTCTCTACCAAGAAACCTCCTGGCCACGCTGTAGTCTCTTTGCGCGCGGCCCATATTCATGCCTCAGGGGCCTTGTATTCCGATCCCGTCCAGTATTTTGATTAACATGTTCGAATAATTGCGTATTTAGCTGCGAATTAGGGGCCTCATCGTATATAAAAAAGGACGCGGGGGTCGCCGTACGAATCTGATTTCGCCGTGGCACCGGGGTTGCAGGAGATGGCCGCTCGGTAGTATTTAACACGTCTAGATGAGGAGCTGGAGTAGGCGATTCTGACCATGCAAAAGGTGTTGAATTCATATTGCAATATATATATATAATTATATATGATTATATGACCTGGCTATAAAAGACCTCCGCGGCGTCCTCTAAAGGCATTCGGCCAAGGCCGGAATATTATTTATCCATCACGCTAAAATAATATAATGATTATATTAACAATATAATCATTATAACGTAATCGATAAGCGAGCGCCGCATGAAAAGCGAGCGCCGCACCTTTGTATTCCATATAAAATGACACTTTTTGAGAGTCTAATATCTCAACAATAAAGCACCTAGAGAGCATAAAATTTAATATACAGTATAATATAATACTGTGTATTTATATATTAAGCAGAGAAATTTCCGGGATGAATATTTCTCCAGGTAAGATAAATTGCAGCTGTATTTTTTATACTTTTAGTTGTCCTAGTATTTAAAGCCAAGAAAACTACCTAAAAACATGAAAATATAAAAAACCCTTTTAGAGTTCATATATATTTACTATCTTATCAAGATGTTTCTATATCTACTGGTGGTTGAGATATTAAGGTTTCAAAGAGTGCCATTTTATATGGAGTACAGAAGTGCGGCGCTCGCCTTCAATGCGGCGCTCGCTTACCGATTACGTTATTATTTTAGCGTTGTTGCTTAAGTAATAAAATGGACCGCCTTCCAAATGTGGAAGCGCTAAACTATTTTGGTCGAATATTTATATAATTTTATATAATTTTATTATGCAGAACCTCTCTAATAAGACGCGACGACGGCCACGCTCATTTTTTTTTTCCTCCACGCTTGCACTTTCCCCTTACCTCCTGACAAACCTTCCAACTTCCATGCTGCATCCCAGTGTTTTGTGGCTTTAGTTAGTTTAGTTAGTCCAGTTAATCAATCAAATCGCCCAGTCGTTTGATTAATTACACAATTATATTGTTATATTGCTAACTACTCAAGACCCCTGGTATGTTACCCACATGGATACAAGTGCAGTACCGGAGCGGAGAATGGTTTTCCCATGCACACATTTCTGTCACCTCTAAAGTGTTGAAATTTGCTCTTCTCCCTTGTCACTTCGACCAATGCTTCTGAAATTCTTATATCCATGGATCTGCACTGTATGATGTACACAGTGTGATCTGTTATAGACCTACCACAACAGTCTGTCTCAGAGAAGCCAAGCCAAAGGACCTGTCTTGCTTCAATGGATCGTTTCTGGTCGGCCCCTCCAGTTTCGAGGTATTGCTATCTAACCATTCATGTAGCATTAATTGCTCATGTGCGTCGATTAACTTCTTCTTGACAACAGGACTATTACTGCACTCACCTTTGTTCAGTCCCTCTTGGTCTATGCTGAATTCCTTAGTGCCGGATACATTTTTTTTTCCCCAGGGCGTCTTGTCAAGCTTCCCCCCGAGGCATGGAGACTCTTCACACCCTTTATGCTTACAGGATCAGACCTAGATTTCATATTTGATCTCTATTTTAGTATGATTTCATGTTGGTCTGGAATGACAGCCCTGCTAATCTGCAGGTAGTGTTCAAATATAGCAGCTCGCTTGAGACAAGCTCGCCACGTTTCAATTCACCTGGCGATTTTTTCACCTACGTGATCTTTGTAGCTACCGTTATTTTGGTAAGTGATGGGCAGAGTCAGTTCACAGACTTTCTCCAGTTAGAGCATTTTTATTGTGTCTTTGAATTCTTGCACATTCCGCAAGGGGTTTCACCCACCCAGTAACCTCGCATTATCTGCCCGCCCAGCCTCAATTAGCTGAAGCGGTTCCTGGAAACGAGGAAGATTACCCCTGCAACTCCTAATGCACCTAATTCGCATTGATCCTTACAAGGTCTTTATGCGTTGCAGGTACGGTGGGATGGCCTATTGAGATAGCCTGCGTGATACTCTTAGTTTACGGAGGTGGTTATGGCGCCCTACATTCCTTTAATTCTACACATTAGCATCCTAGAAATCCTTCCTTGATATTTGAAGTAGTTTATGGATGCGCTAATGCTGACCGGCTAAAGCTCACCGCAGGTTGTCTGTTGAACAGTATAATCTTTACTCATGGTGAGCTTGTTGCAGCGAATGATATAGCAAAACGTACTGATAAATTGTAGCACTGATTCTCGCCTTTGTGTACACGTTCGCCCAGGACAACCGACATAGAAAGGCATCTTTTTTTGTCATTCAGATACCGATTGAATGGCTACCCTTGGCGATACTTATTCTCACCATCGTGCGAAGTGGATGGAATGCAGCATTGTGCGATAGCATGGGGATAATCGCTGCTCACTTGTATGATTTCCTTACCCGCCTTTATCCAAAATTTGCTGGCGGCAGAAACTACATCTCTACGCCTGCATTTGTGAGGAGGATTTTTACTGTTCAGGAACGCCGGGGTGAGTACCGAGCCTATGGGACAGCATACCAGCCGGGCAACGAGACTCAGAGCTCCTCAAGGGGCTGGGGCTCGGCTTTCGAGAGCTCATGGAGTGGTAGGGGACCGGGACGAAGACTGGGTTGAGATAGGCGGATGTATAGGTAGAGAAGTAATAGCATCATGATCATTATCATGGATCGACTTGGTCACTTTGTAAAGTGAGTCACATCCCACCCGTACAACGTGGAAAGTTGTATGGAATTGTTTGGAGGGATAGCATGATCGGATACGCCCAAAGGCTCCATAAAAGGTGAACTTGACTTGTACTATTATTATAATGATGATTAAATAGTATTAAGTAGCTATTAGTTACCTGGAATGTACCACGTAGATTCCAGTCACGGGACTATGTTCAACTAAGGGGTGAAATTTCTGCGCTAAACTGTATTTGTAGTCGGAGCTGTTGGCCACACTTGAAAATTTCCAGACTCCGTCCGCCTCGCTAGGGCCAGAACAAAACTTTACCATAGCCAAGTGCAATTTTTCCTGCGCACCTCTCCCATCACGCGTACTTGTCTGGCTACTCTGCACAATCTGAGCCAACCTGTCTAGTCAAAATGGCAGTTGCAGTAGCTAAGGAAGCGATGGACTATACAATTAAGCCAGAGGCGAGTGCTTCCAATATATCCACCTCGGACTGGCCGCTTCTGCTGAAAAACTATGACAAGCGTATGTTAACTCGATACTGTATCCTAAATTATTTGACATGTGGCTCTGAATGGGTTTGGTGCTTCGATTTTGAGTATCTTGGCTGATCTATTCCGGTAGTTCTTGTTAGAACTGGTCATTTCACCCCAATCCCCGCCGGTTGCTCTCCTCTCAAGCGTGACTTGAAATCGTACGTCAATTCTGGTGTGATCAACCTTGACAAGCCTTCCAACCCCTCGAGTCATGAGGTAGTGGCTTGGATGAAGAGAATCCTGAGGTAAATCCTACATAGATCGCCACCAAAATACGGGGACAGAATACTGAGAGATCATTTACTATAGGGCGGAGAAAACTGGCCACAGTGGAACTCTCGACCCGAAAGTGACTGGCTGCCTGATCGTTTGCATTGACCGTGCCACTCGTCTGGTTAAGTCGCAACAGGGTGCTGGAAAGGAGTATGTTTGTGTGATCCGTCTGCATGATAAGATTCCTGGCGGTGAGGCCCAGTTCAGGAGGGCTCTTGAGACATTGACTGGAGCGCTTTTCCAGCGTCCGCCCTTGATATCTGCTGTCAAGCGCCAGCTTCGTATCAGAACTATTCACGAGAGTAAGCTTTATGAGTTTGACAATGACAGACATCTCGGTGTGTTCTGGGTTAGCTGTGAAGCTGGAACTTATATCCGAACTCTCTGTGTCCACTTGGGTCTTCTTCTCGGCGTCGGCGCACATATGCAGGAACTGAGACGTGTAAGAAGTGGAGCCATGGATGAAAACAGTGGTCTAGTGACCCTGCATGACGTTTTGGACGCGCAGTGGCTGTATGACAATCAGCGAGATGAGTCTTATTTGCGGAAGGTCATTCGCCCGTTGGAGTCGTTGCTTACAACATACAAGCGCATTGTTGTCAAGGACAGCGCAGTAAATGCTGTGTGCTATGGTGCTAAGCTCATGATCCCTGGGCTTTTGCGCTTTGGTAGGGCATCGATAACGATATTGACTCAGATACGATGACCGCTGACTAAATTGCAGAGGCTGGCATCGATGTCAACGAGGAAGTGGTACTTATGACCACCAAGGGAGAGGCAATTGCAATTGGTATCTCCCAAATGTCGACAGTTGAGCTCTCTACCTGCGATCACGGTGTCGTAGCGAAGGTTAAGCGCTGTATTATGGAGCGTGATCTCTACCCCCGTAGGTGGGGCTTGGGTCCTGTGGCTTTGGAGAAAAAGAAACTCAAATCTGCTGGGAAATTGGACGTGAGTTACCATTCCAAGGACTTTCAATGCACGGGCCCTGGCTAATTTTTCTCTCTTACGCCTTTAACAGAAGTACGGTCGTGCAAACGAGGCTACTCCTGCCAAATGGAAGAGTGACTATAAGGACTATAGTGCACCTGATGAAACACTTGCTCAGCCGGCAGCTGAGACGGTCAAGGATGACGCGGCTGCTATATCTGCGGAGGCAGCTGAAACTCCATCATCTCCCAACAAGATGGAAGTCGACGAAGCTAATGATGACGACAAGAAAAAACGTAAGCGGCATGATGGCGAAACTCCTGAGGAGCGAGCAGAGCGCAAGCGCAAGAAGAAAGAGAAGAAGGAAAAGAAGGAGCGACGGAAGTCCAAGCAGGATAAGGAAGATAGCGACGACAGTGACTAGACACCGGCATCTCAAAATGCCCCTTGATGGACTCTGATTGGAAGCCTTTTTCCCCCTTCTTTCCTGTCTAGGAGGATCCTGGCATACCCCTGATATAGTCAGCTCGCTCTGTCGGAGTGTAACTTGGGGTATGATTGATGTATCATAGTTTGCGTGTCTGATTTTTTTTATCATGATTTTTTTTGATTTTTTTGATTTTTTTCTTTTGGAGTCTGAGGCTAAAAAGGGAACTCAATTTCTATCAATGAACTGTTTATTTCTGAATTGCCCGCTTGACTTGTAGAGATCTAGTATATTATTAATTATAATTATAACAAACTCACATAGATTGTCTGACCCACGTGACTCACACTCACATATTTTGCGCTCACGTGCCTGCGCCTAACCTGATAACCTGATTTGCCGTCTTGATGCCGAGCGAGGACCTCATAATAAGACTTCTAGCTGTGCTTTCCCGTGACCGACAACTGCAATGACACTCTCCCCACATTGTGCATCCGCACTATTCCATTCCCTCTTCATCCATTAGTTCTACCCACCTGGGTATTGTTCTCAGCTATTCCCAACCGACTTTCCTAGGAATACTATTGATCAAATAGGCCTGAAGTACATCCCAACCCCGAGAGCTGACCGTCATGGCTGCAGAGCTTACGTCCACGAAGCTCAGTGCGGAGAATCACCTTCTCTTAGTGAATCCCCACATCAACTTGCTGGTTGAAGCTCCTGTACTAATGTAGCCGATTCTACACAGGATCAACCCCTCCTTAGACTACCACATGAACTTGCCCGAAGAAATTTCAAATCGGTGCAGCGGCTCGTTGAGCGCGAAAAAGAACATGTTCTTCCCGTCCTTAAAGAAACCGCCAATGCGTCGTTGTCCAACGATCAAACTCCGGATCAGACTCTTACCGCCCTCGATGCTATGATATCGCGCATGCAGGGTCTGAAGCGGAAAATGGAAAATTTACACCAGGAGGAGCGAAGAATCCATGACCAGTCTAGAAAGCGCATACAACACCTTGAATGTCTTCATCAAATATCTAGTCTGGCAGATGTGAAGTATGACCAGTGGTCAAGAGTGCGGCTAGACAGGTTGGTGGTAGACCATCTGCTGCGGTCGGGGTATACGGAGAGTGCACAGCAACTAGCCCAGGAGAAAGACATTGAGGATCTTGTCGATCTCAATGTATTTGTGCAGTGCCAGCGTATTGCTGAGAGCCTACGCCGTGGCGGAACTAAGGATGCCCTGCAGTGGTGCAGTGAAAATAAGGCAGCTTTAAAGAAGAGTCAGGTTCGTTGCAATTATATTCCTTCGTGTGAGCCATAGACTTTCTGTGGACTGACATTTGATACAAAGTACAACTTGGAGTTCGAGTTACGCATGCAGCAATACATCGAAATGGTTAGGACTGGGGACAAATCGAAGTTTGTCGAAGCGATGGTGCATGCGAAGAAATACCTTACGCCGTTCATTGAAACACAGTCGACTGAAATCCACCGGGCTGCAGGCCTTCTCGCTTTCCCACATGACACTAAAGCCGAGCCGTACAAGGTACGTGTCAATATCATATTCATTGATTGGCTGACGCCCTTTCGTACTCCCAACTTTCAGGCTGATTTATGATGTAGTCGATGTATTCTCCCGATCGGTGGATACACCTCTCGAAACTTTTTGTCCGCACTCACCATGAACTTTTGTCATTGCCATCACGGCCCTTATTACACATCGCCCTATCAGCGGGCCTGTCGGCCTTGAAGACGCCGTCTTGCCATTCAGCCTATACGTCTTCAAGCTCCAATTCTTTGTCTACTACGACGTCAGTCTGCCCCATATGCTCGACTGAGTTGAACGAACTCGCGCGAAAAATGCCGTACGCTCACCACACGAAAAGCTATGTGGAGAGTGACCCAATTGTGCTTCCAAATGGCCGAATATATGGCAAACAGCGACTGCTAGATATGAGCAAGAAGGTTGGGTGTGTCGAAGCAGGCAAGGTTAAAGACCCCACCACTGGGGAAGTCTTCGAGGAGAGCGAAATGAAGAAGGTTTATATCATGTAATTGTGGATGGCATGAGTGGCATGAAGTACATTTTGTCTCCATGATTTGATAGCGACTTAGTCGCTGCCCTCGCTATCAGACGCACCTTTCAATCTCTTTCTCCTTGTACCAATGTCCTTCTTGTGGGTAGTAGAGCTCCCCATACGCACGGCATGGTCTTCCTGCTTGACCTCAAAGACGTACGTCCGGGCCTCCCTATCCTCACCCCGCCAGCCACCTCTTCCTCCGTGTTTCCCTTCCACATCTCCTAGGGTCCGCGCATGTGAGTATCCTTTGTACGAGGCCCATGGAAATTTAAAGCTCGTAACCACTCGCAGACCGGCATGTCGTGCCAAGTCCCTGATGTTCCAGAGGGTATAAGGCTCTCCCTCGAACAAGGTCACTAAGATTTGCCCGGACTCGGACCTAACTTCACTCTTTGCTGGAAACTGGGCGTCTCCTAAAAGGGCATCCTCGTCTAGGTCGGATCTATCATCAGTGCTGTATTCCCACTCATCTTCATCGTCCACTTGAGAATGTGCCGACAGCAATGGGACGCAGGCTTCGAAGAAGGCCACCAGAAGCTCTTGATTAGCGCGGACCTGCCGATTCACGTCTGTGGACAGCCCCCCGACGTGAGGGAAATTAAAGCAAATGATGTCCCAAGGTCCGCCCTTCGGAGTAGAGGATAGCGAATCCTTTTTTTTCATCTTTAGCCAGCCGGGAAGTTTGCGCTCCCGCCGAGGGAAGCCCAGACGGACTTCCTTCCCGCCCCCAGCAGCAAACCCAAGCTTTCGAGCATCAACCGAGAAAAGAACATTGGGCCCATGGCGCCTCTGTACATCGCTTCGTGCTCCCCTTTCCATTCCGTTAGTCACTATGGTATTCCTGATAACCCTAGCCCTTGCCTCCCTAAGAATTTCCTGACCACTCTGGCCGTCGTTTTTCAAGGCATCGGCGTCGTGTTTATTTTGCTCGGGAAATGCATCAACAATCTCACGAACCGTGTGCTCTGCCTGGGGGTATTTGCTGCAGAGTATCTCCTTGGAGTCATAGCAGGTGGCTAAGACATTTCTGCAACGATGATGGACGACCAAAGAGCGTGCAAAAGAAAAGTCGCCTGTCTGGACTGTTAGCATCAAAATATACACATACACGGTTGAACTATGACCACTGGAGAGGAGGCCGTCTACTAGGTGGGGGGACAACGGAGGAGGCGAGTTGAGATTTGTATAGTATTGTCGTATGACGCATCACCTTACAATACCATCTATGGAATCATCATCATCATCATCCCCTTCCCCCCTTAGGTATGTGTATGTGGTCAAGTGACCAAATCTTGTCTCTTTACAATAATACATAAATATGTAAGAGAGGGTAGCTAGCTCACCTTCACCAATCAACAAAATATGGTCTTTCCTACCAAAAGGGATAATCGGCCGCTGTTGTTGTTGTCGCTGTTGTTGCGACGAGTGTTTTCCTGCTTGATTGCTACCGTTGCTGGTGACCTGCTTTGACGGAATAGTGCTGCTGTTTTTGCTGGTAGTGGTGGTAGATAGCTTGAGAAAGGTGTGCATTTTGCGGCCCTTTCCATGACGGCCACCAGCAACCGGGCCCTGAGTTCGCGCTTTCTTGGCCCTGGCCATGGTGTGGTAGGTATAGAATTAACGAGAATCAGATTGAGCAGACGGTATTGTGTCTTCAGGGTCACTCTTCCTCGGAACTGATATAGTAATGGAGGAGGTTGAAATGACGAAATTCCCATTTCTTTTCTTTCCTTTTTTTTCTCCTTCTGCGCGTGTGCGGACCAATGAGGATCCACGACGCGTGGATGAATTATCGAACGGTCCTTAACGAGTTCACAATGGATATAATACTAACTGCTTAGGCATATCCTCAGGTGTTTCTACTAGCTAGCAATGAAGTTACTAATTTGACCTGCTTCATTGCTACACGACAGGTGGGAAGAAATGTGGAATTTTCTCTGCTTCATGAAGCATACGCCTTCTATAACCATATTAAAAACAATAAACAAAAAAAAAGAAAAAAAAAATTTTCAATATATACACTTGAGACATTTCTTCTCTTCTTAACTGAATATAGAGCCCTCTTTTAGCCATCTCGCCCCTTACGCTTAAAGGTTGATAGATCAGGCCCGCCGCCGTACAATCCAAGCCCCGCAATAGACAAAAGAGGCGCGAACGGGGGGAAAGGCGATTGCGTAAGTAAGAGCCGACGACCGAAAGAGATGGAGTGAGCCAAGAGGTGGAAACAAAGGCAAGGTCCATGGGAGTTGATCGACGCGCGAACGTAGCATGGACAGTCGTCTAACCCAGGCCGACACTATATTATTACTGTTCAACCAAAATCCGTAAATCTACTTCAGCTGGAAAGAAACCGGAACCATGTGGCACATGTGGGTCATGAATAGGGTCCGAAAGCCAGGGAAGGGGGGGAAGAGAGAGAGATCTGTAAATAAAGGACGTCTAACTCGATTAATTCATCACGAAAGAATTTCAAAGAGATTCCGGGCCAGCGCTGTCTGCCCAGTCAAATGCATCAAACCGAAGGGAATTACCTAAGATCGCAGAGAGTCCCTCATGCTCTGGCTGCTGGCACTGACTGGAGGGTTGGATGTTGGCAAAAGGCCTGTCCTAGGCTTGGCATTTTGCTTAATTTTGGCGATGGCGTACACGATGCCACTGACGAAACCCACGACGATAGCAGAGACGCTAGGGAATGTAACTGGAGCATCGAAAAAGATCAAGCCCGAGACCGCAATGGGGAGTTTGTTGAGGGCTCCCACCATGGAGTAAGTAGTCGAAGAGGTCACACGGACGCACCAGGCAGAAGTATAGGAGATGAACACCGACGACAAACCCGACAGGATCATCGCAAACATAATAAAGTTACGGTCGGCTGAGGGGAAATTGCGATTGATGTTTGCTGACGACCAGTCTTCCAGACAGACAGTAGACACGATGAGGATGGGGATCGACAGCAGATTATTGTAAAACATGGCTAAGGAGATGGAATATTAGAAGATCGGAACGGAGTTAACAAGAAAAAGACACATACTGTCGAAATCTTTGAAATTGGTCAACTTGATTCTCTTGCGCATCCCCAGTACGTAGGATGATGTGCAGAGACAATTAATCAGCATCCAAATGTACCCGGCATTCAGAGTTGAAACTTTGGCGGTCGCATCCGAACTGCTCTCAACTGCATGCTTAATGTCGGCCCACGCAGCAATGATAGAACTCAGGACCATTAGTCCAAAGGAAAACAGCGTCAGGCCAGTGACCGAGCCACCGAACCAAAGCACCTCTCCGTACGCAATGAGAATAATGGTTAGGTTCTTGAAAATGGTGTACACGGGAATCGAGAGGAACTGAAGTGCCTTCGAGCCGGTGTAGATCATGCCAATCAGCAGCAAAGAGATCGGAAACCCTGTTCAAGAGTCTGGTCATTTCGAGTCTATAGTAGGAACAGAGCCTATGGATACTTACATTTCCTGGCTTCATCGGTGCTGAAATCGCGGTAAGTGATGAGGCCGGAAGTCTTGCATGTTTGGATCGCGACGATACAGACTACAGACTAAGCACACCTCAGTCAGCCAAATGCTGCGCGTACTTCCAGTCATGTCGTTTAATCTTCGACTCACCTGAACCAAAAGGAGAAAAAAGTTGAGGTTGAAATCGAGACCAGAGAGAACATATTTGTTCATAACGGTCATCAAAATCGACGACCCACAATATGCCAGTACAGGCAAGATGGGGTTATGGGAAAGCGTATTGGATGGAGGACTTCGAGGCTGGGGAGGCGACGCTGCGGCCTCGAAATTCTTATTCCCCTGGTCTAATTTATCCATCTCAATCGTATAATCATCGGTCTTCTTGTCTTCGGCCATCTTGTCAGAGACAACTTGTCACGGGCGAGGCGAAAAGGACGGATTTGCGTGTATTGATCTGAAGGAAGCCAGACACGTCCGAAGGAGGTAGATCGAAAGGGATTGATGTTGCTCCCCCAGGGGAGAGAATAATTTTCAAGTACGTAGAGTCGATAGGTGAAACAAAGAGGACGTTAACGAGTGTAAATATAAGAACTAGAGAGGGAGAAGAGAAAATGAGAATAAGAATAGCATGCAAAGTAGCCCAAGTCGATCTCAACAAATGGTACAATCGAGACGAGAAAAGAAGAGCGCAAGATCCCAAAAGATTAATTAAATTAATTCAAAACAAGCACAGCTTTTGCTCCCGGAAGCAGAAAAGGTAGGAAACATGTACCGTACGTATTGAGACAGTACCAACATCTGATACCATAACAGCGGTAATACCATACATATTGGCGTCTTTGGTACTTGATACATACTGCCAGGTACTTCTATCAATACATCCGTACTTCATGTCAAAAGTGCTCCCTGTATGTTCATTTAGTTATGGTGCCTAGACGACCAAACATTCTGTAATTCGACTTTTTTTTTTTTTTTTTTTCTCTTTGGCTCCTCAAGACAGGCATTCATGGCTGTTGTGGTCATACTCATACGGTCCGTTTCCTAGGCTCTTCTGATATCTCCAATCACTTTGGATTTCTTTTACCTCCTCTTGCCCTGCTTTTACCAATTATTTGATTCATAACTGCAAACTCATATACCTATATGTGTGCACACTGAGATTTACCTCCTATCAATCTCTAGCCTATTGACCGAAATTTTGATATCGTGCTTCTCCTGAATCGTGTCCCCCCCACGCGAACCTCCCAACTCGTTAACTACTCCAGCCAACCGACCACAACGCCGTATCTATGCCTCCCGCAAGAGAAGAAGAAACTGAAGATGATGCCCTTTTCAAGGCCTTGGAGAACGAAGATGACTCCGCTTACCGTGCCCATCGAATCGAACAGCTCAATGCCGAGTTCGCGTCGGCAAAAAACGACCGGCCTGGCGCCCTTTCCTCAGCCCCAGGGACTATGATTATTGAAGACAGTCTATACCCTACATTGAAGAGTGACCAGGCATTGCTGGACTTCACTACGCAGACCCATCGGTGTGTCATTCACTTTGCGCATCCGGACTTCGCCCGCTGTAGTACAATGGATGAACATATTCGGACGTTGGCAACGCAGCATTACGAAGTGCGCTTTGCTCGTGCCGATGTGCAGAGCACCCCGTTCGTTGTGGAGAAAATGAAGATACGGGTACTTCCTTGTGTGGTTGGATTTAAGGATGGTGTCGCGGTTGCGCGTGTGGTTGGGTTCGAAGGGCTTGGCTCTGGTGGCCGAGATGGAACCGATGGATTTAGCACCGCAACACTTGAAAAAAGACTCTTTTGGAAAGGCATACTGGCCCAGGCAAAGGTGAAGGGTGGAGATGAAGTTTCCCAGTCGTCCGACACAAGCGATGCAGAGGATTCCAGCGTCATAAGGGGTATACGAAGTGGAAATGTGCGACACCAACGGGGCCGTTATGACGACGATGATGACGACTAGGACCGAAGCGAATGATTTTTCTTGACTTCAGACACATTCACCACAGCCCGCCATCCCATATAACCACGGGAAAGTGGTGTGGCACGGTTGGTTTATAGAAAACCAGCTCTTCCGGTAGGTCTGGATTTGAAAAGTGCTTCAACGAAAGCACAAGGCGAGCAACCGACATATAACTGGCACCCGCACCAACCGCTCACTATGAATCGGGGGTCATGGCCGATTTCTATTGCTTTGGCCGACCTGAACTTGTTGATATGCTAGGAAGAAATGTCAAAATCCACAAGAAGCTCCCCTGTTTCCCCGAGTGCCTTTGATCGCTCGCTACACGCGGTATTCAATAAATTTCTCGCCAGTATAATGGCCACTGTGTACTAGGTACATGCTAGTCCGAATTAATTCAATTAGGTCCAAGCCCACGATAATCGCAGGACATCAAATACCAACATTGGAAATCTCAGTGGCGTAAGAACCAACACAATTCATGGTGACTCGCTTCAAGATATGACCGTACCATTTTACAGCGATAGATTCTTCTTTTTCTCTTCACCTCTATAGGTTTCTGTTGATGACCCTTGAATTAAATACAATACACCGAGAAGTGGCATAAGGGTCAATATGAGAGAGCTACTATTGCATGATTGTTGGGATAGAATTACAAGTGGTGAATATAGAACGGGATAGAAGTCACCAAGCGAAATAAACAAGGAGGCTTCTCCGAAGAAAGAGAGAATGCCATAGAATACATCGGGAATAAAGCTAGGAATTTATACAAGCAAGTCAAACCAGCCACCACCCGTATCCATTATTAGGCGTGGATCTCAGCCGGAAAAAAACTGTAGCATTGAGGTCCCTGAACCTTTCATTCACCAGAACAGGAAGGCCCAATTGCTCACAAGAGACACGACACGAAATGGTAGAACCGGTGTGAACAGGCATAAAGGTAAGAGTCCAGGCCTAAATAACCACGTTCTTCATTTCACCCAAGACCTCGGTATCCAAGCTGGCCCCAGGTGTTCCTTGATTTGACTCACTTTCTTGCACCTTATTTATTTCTGACGGCTTGTGCTCATCTGCCTTTGCTGTAATTCCTTCGTTTTCCTTACCCGATACCTGCGGTGTGGTCACCTCCATCAAATCATCACCCTGGATTTCTTTCGTTTCTGTTTTGGCAGTACCCCCAGGTAATTCAGCTTCGCCGTTTCCTTGCACAGGGCTCGGCGCTTCCTCTGTGACGCGGGCGAGAGGACTTGATACACCGAACTGCGTCTTGGGACTCTGAGTGGATCCGCGATTGGGGAACCGGTGGGGAGACCTCCCACGTTCTTCACTGGGCGTGGGACTTCCGTAAGGAGACTCCTTCCCAGACTTGTTGCCTGTACTTAGTCCTAGTCCATTAGGGGCCTTGCGACGAGGTGGCTTCCTGCCATATTTTTGATCTGTTCTCCAACGGAGAATCTCCAAGTAGGGGGGTTCGACATTCTGGGGTTTGAATTCCAACAGCTTCAACTCGCTGTTATCCTCATCTACAGCGACCTTGCCGCTACAGAAGTCATCCGCCACCATTGCGAGGAAAGCGGCCCAAGACCGAGCGATGACATATTTGCAATCATAATCTCGACCAAAGATAATGACCTGGCCCCATTTTCCAGTAGGTCCGGGCGCTAAGTCGATTGCAATATTATTGCCACCCCAATCGCGAGCGAGAGGAATCCATGCTGGGTGGGCATATGCCTTCTGGACTGCACCGGGGGGTTGGCAATCCTGGCGCTCAAGAAGATCCTGTCTCCACATTGGATTGGGACCCTGGGGAGTTAGAGCAGTAGACGAGGAACTTGCGAAGGCCTTTGGGGGACGCTGAGAGCTCATCGCACCAGATGAGCTCAGGTACTCCTCGTTGACCGTTCGCCAGTTTTTCCACTCCTGAAAGATTTCTTCGCAGTCTAGGAGCATGCAGCTAAATATGACTCCCGTGGGCAACCCGGGGCGCTCCTGTCCATCATGAGCCATCAAGGACTCGCGCACTTCAAGTGGTAGGCTACAGTCCAGCTCATGCTCCAGCTCGTTAATGTCATTCTGTGTGCATCCCTCGCATAGATTATCATATAACTCTTCATAATTATTTTCCAACCACCGATCGATTTTTTTCCACGAATGGGAGACCGGCGGAGGAGGTGGCGCACCATCGTGGAAACTCTGCATCTCTGCGGCGCCATCTACACCAGGATCGGTGGACTGTCGCTTCTGGGAAGAGAGTGACCGCATCCCGGGGGAATAAGGGCGATTTGGAGAGCCCACTCCTGTAGGAGAACCAGTCCAGCCATTGGAGTTGGTGTTTGTAGAACCCTTGGGCTGGTCATCCTCATAGGAATCTGTTAGGTCCGGTCGCGATTCAATGGCGCTGGTTGCAATGGATGTGAGAGGATCATGACGGCTTTGACCCAAAGGCACATGTTTGCCGGTTCGATAAGGAGAGTCGTGGGATGCATGCCGATCATACGAAGTCATTGTATGCCAGAAAGAGCGCCATGCTGATCCGAAGCTATTGAAGGTCAACCAGCCGTCTACAAAGTGGCGTTCTACCGAGGTCGACGGGGGTCCAGAATCACTCACACATTCGACATATTGTAAACTCAACAAGTTGAGCTAAGATTCGTAATTAACAGAAAATCTGCTCCTCAGCAATGTCTTTCAAACCACCTCAAGGCAGATCATTGGACGGAGGTATGATTCGAGGCCCACAGTCGAGAGATAGATAGGTGGCAGTGATAGAAGGTGCCGACAAAAAGGGAGACAAAAAAAATAAATGAATACTGGTTCAAGAAAAAAGAGAAGAGGTTCAGAAAAAAATAAATTAAGAAAAAAAAAGTTAGAGGGTTGCGTGAAGTGAAAAAGGAGGAGAGGACGATGAGGCGGAAGAGCTCACGGAGGGTCGAGAGGAGGGATGATGTTTTTGATGATCTCAGTGGTCAAAGGCAGACAAGTGAGCAAGACTGAATGAATAAATGAGAGAGTGAGTACAGGATAGAAAGTGACGATGACTGACAATGGTGTTGGTGATCAGTTTGCAGCCTTCCTTCGGGCGTCTGTCTGTCTTCCCATTGCAGCGAAGGTCTTCTCTCCTTGAGCTAACCAAGTAGCGGGTGAAGGAGTCGATTTGCCGCCCGCCAACGATTTTCTTGACCCCCTAGGAAGGCGGACCCAGGGATGCGTACAGTACGGTTTCATACTTACCATCATATCCCCACCATTCCAATAATGCATCACATTGTATTACTTTAAAACAAGTACCCGGTACCTCTATGAAGGTAGCTACAAATAGTAAATTTTATCTAATTTAATCGTAACAGGAAAGCCAATAAAAAGTATTGCTACCATCCCCCTTGCCCTCCCCGGAAAAGGAAAGAAAAGAAAAGAGGGGGAGCGAGGTAGAGGGGGGAAGGAGACAGAGGGAGAGAGAAAACAAACCAAAATAATATGCACATTCCAAAAATATTGAGACATGAGAACAATGGCGTTTTAATCACCACACGCCAACAAACAACCGCATTCTGACAACTGTAGCGCGTGCACTTTGGTTACATTCCTTGCGTACTCTCCTTTCCGTAGGCGGAAAGGAGAGCTTATTTCCAGTAATGGGCAAAAATAATGCTCCAATTGGTATGTATCTTTTCCTATTGCATTGGATTTGCTCGCTGCAGTAACTAACTAGTTATCCAAGAATTGATGACAACAAAGGGAAGCCTATCTCTACATAGATAGTTACTACCTACTATTGTATTTGATATCTGCTTCGTACCTACTAGTTATCCATAGACACATTACGTAATGTTACGGTACAGCCGTTACCTCCTAAGTAAACTTTCAGCAGTTGATGAATATTACAATCTCATTGGGGCAGGTAATCGGCCTTGCCTAATTATAACTTAACTATTAAGGACTTTATAGCTCTCCAAAGTCCTTTTCCCCTTCCCAGGCGCAAATTCTACTAAACCGCAGAGAGGAATGAGATACTGATATCTGCAGCAGAAGTGTAGTGTTTCTTTATGCTTGGCTCAAACGTCTATTCTGCGGTATATGACTAGCTTCGCAACGAGTGTACATACATAGGGCAGAACCAGGTGAAGGTGTGAGAAGCAACTAGGTAAATATGTCGCTGACATAACCAGATGGGATACATATATCTCTCAAATGTAGTGATCCCGAATGAAAATAGAGAAGAGAATTGCTAACAAGAGGGGGGGGATCAAGGGAGGGGATACTAAAAGTAGACCCCAATAGACAATCCACAGAGCCTACAGAAGGCAGATATAGTTTCACTTCTTGGTGAACTCGTAGGGGGGCAACAACGACATAGAGAAGAGGTTAAGCAAGCTGAACAATCCGAAACGGGTAAGGATAACTATAGTAGAAACATAACAATAAAAACGACAATCAAGAGAGGACAAAGGCCGTAAGATAAATGAATGCTTCCAGAAGTGCATCATTATGGTTGCCCAGAACCCATCCCAAAAACCAAACCACCCCGAAAGAACAGTCAAAAAGGCACCCAGACTCCGGGTTCAATGCAATCAGAGGGTATAAAGTCATCCCGCTAAAGGACCAAGAATCCCGGTAACCGCGACAATAACCGCTACTAACATGAACCGCGGAGAAACACCAATCTTAAGAAACAACCATCTGAAACGTTAAAGGAGAGAGAGGAATGAAAAGTAGAAAAGAAAGACTGGAGGATCTGATCGTGGCATCCGCTACACACTATCCAAACCTGTCTACTGGAAGGAAATTAACAGTGTGGACAGATGGTTCACGAGATTGAAGTTCCACGAAAGAAGAAAACGGCAGCGGGAATGGAAAGCAACCCTAAGATTTCGAAGAATAGCATTAGGCGTACGAACTCTGGATGCCGTTAGGAGGGAATCCTTGATTGACGTCGAGTTTTAAAATTCTTCGTATATCATCTTCCATCTTCTTAGTATCGAGAGCTTGCGCGGACGTGCTTGCCGACATGGGACGAGATGCAGTAGACTGTTGGGAAACCGGGGAACATGAATGCATATAGCCATTTGGGAGCTTTGGGTCATGCGCCACGTGGGGTAAACAAGCTGATTCCCCTGCAAGGCCTCCCGTGTTTCCAGGAATTGACGTTAGTACTTCTTTTCTCATCGCGGAGTTGTGAGTCCGCAGTTGCAGGGGACCACCAGAGGATGGATATTGAGAAGTTGGCGGATGAAACATATTGCCGCGCCTAAGGGGCCTTTGCTCGCCTGGTACATGGTAAGGCATGGTGGTGGCTGGTGGGCCGGAGGTAGTCCTCAACGGGGTTGCAAAATGTGGAACGGTGGGACAGAGAATTGATCGCTCTGTGATCCCGCTACTGTTATCATGAGCAAGAGTTGACGAAAACGAAGGCCTTTGAGGACGAGGATTAAGTAATAGGTTTTTCAGCGCTTCAGTTTTAGCTCTTCGTTGATCTTCATCGAGATCTGTCATTGGCGGGGAAGGCGAACTAGCGGATCGCAAGGCATTCATGCGTTCTTTGTATGATGTTGCAAACGAAGGCCCAATTTGTGAATTACGTGAGTTCGGGCTATCCATCTCCAATGGGAACATTCCGTTAGAAACTGCGTCGGCTTTGCGTTGTTGTAGGGCCTTGGAGTCTGTCTGTGGGGACCTGATCCTGGAGTTGGATTCGGGACTACGTTGTGGCTGGGTGTTCCTAGCCTCAACAGCAGCCTTAAAAAGGAAGTCGAGAGGCGTTGATTCTTGACCTCCATTTTGAATTTGAGGCCGTTGCTTTGGCTTTGACGGAGTGGTTTCAAGATCTGGGCCGGCATCATAATAGTCATTGTCTTGCTCCAATGCTGGCACGATGTCCGAATCTGGCATGGACTTTGAAAAGAAACTTGGAATTGGAAGGGCAGACGGGGCCGGGGATGCGTGGAACGTGGGGCCTGCATAGTGAGGACTGTCTTTGGGTTGAGGGGTCGTGGTATTGTTTGGATGTGAGGACGTGTATCGATGACCATTTTTCTGGACCGGTGATGCTCTGGGTGCATCTCGTAGTTTCTTGCTGTACCGACCATGTTTCTTCTGGCACAGGTTCACATTGTTTGAGGAGTCTGTGGTTGCTTCTCCCGGGCTTAAATTCCTTGGGGGAGACGATGGAGGCGTCGTTACTAAAGCGCCTTTCTGTGTTGGAGGGGGAATGCTTCTTTTCTGATTGTGTCGGTTGATATTCCGAGGGCCTTTCGGCGTCGGAGGGGTTTGCGATTGTGTCGACATTGCAACAGGGTGGCTTAATAAATAGACAGCCTTGAAGTGAAATTTAAAGATGAGAAGAAGCTAAAGAATATTCAAAAAAAGGAAACGGTAAGGTAAACCCAGCAAGAAAAGTGAAGGTGAGACCAGAAAACAAGAGTTGCCAGAAGGTGCCAAGAGTACTGCCCAGCAGTCTGCACTGAACACGCCAACGCTGAGATTTAATAGTGACAACGAAATCCGGTATAAAACGCCGCGGGCACTGCAGGTGGGCTGACTGAAACGATGGCAAATTGATCGACGAGATATGAGTTCGTCTATTATGAAAACCATGAAATCGCAATGATAGGAAAATAGCTCGAGCTCCTAGGCATGCTCGCGTCTAGCTAGGTGAACGAAGATGGGGAATGGAAAGAAGGGAAATAGGTAGGCATTATAGGGTACTGCGTTGAATGATTGATGATTGACGTTTGTCAAAGAAAGAAGTCTGAGAGGGCGGCTTTGGGGGTAAGCCAAGCGGGGATCTGTGATGACTAAGAAGGTCCCTCTTGTTAACTAGTTACTACTGCCTCATCTCTCCCTTTCTCTTTCCATCGGCGCAGCGGGGTGCAAACAAAACAAAGTCCAACCACTGAGGTCCCCGCTTTCCCCCAGACCCTCTACTTTCTTTCGTTGTTCCTCCGGAGACATCAAAGGTGTGCTTAAAAGCTAGCTTCTCCTCCAGTACCTACCCGACTGTGTTAGGCTTATTTACATCGGTAGCTAGTGTGATTGTGCTTTATCGCCATCTATCTGCCACTATCTAGCTGCGTGCTCGAGATAAAACTCCGTGCCCCCCTTGGAGCCATCCTCCCCATTTTGACAAGATAATATACACTATAACTCAATATGGCGGACGTGGAGATGAAAGATACTTCTGGTGCTTCGGCCAGGACCAAAGGGTCATCAAAAGCTTCGGAAAGTGCCAATGATGGCAAGAAGCGGTTTGAAGTCAAAAAGGTACAATTTCAACGGCTCCTTGCTGGCTCATGCCGACTGGCTCACTTCGGAAACTTGCTATAGTGGAATGCGGTAGCTCTCTGGGCGTGGGATATTGTTGTTGATAACTGTGCGATTTGCAGGAATCATATCATGGATCTTTGTACGTTTGGCGCTACTTGGGTTTTTATCACGAAAGTGAATCTGACGTATGGGATATAGGCATTGAGTGCCAAGCGAATCAAGGCTCATCTACGACCGAAGAATGCACGGTTGCTTGGGGGATTTGCAACGTGAGTCTATACATCCACGCTGGATTTCAAGTCAAAATCTGACGCCCAACTTCGTGCTCTTCAGCATGCATTCCACTTTCATTGCATATCTCGCTGGCTGAAAACTCGCCAAGTCTGCCCGTTGGATAACCGGGACTGGGAATTTCAAAAGTATGGGCGGTAAATAGCAAGCGTCATAAGGCACCCCTCAGGGTTTATAGGGTACGACTCACCCGATGATGCAAGAAACGGAGGAGAATGAATGGGCCTGATCGGCGTTAATGGGACTTTAATCTAAGCTACTTTCCTACATGACTACATGCAGGCATCTGGTTGTGTATATGACGATAGACGATAAATGAGCGATGGGTGGTTGTAATCCATCAGCTCCAAGTTCTCGACTATATTTGATGTAGCTTCCTTCCTATCTAGGTACCACGACTCCGCCAGCGCTCCCTACCAAGGGGACGAGCCAATTTTCCGCGTTCTTGTTATACATGGGCCACGGAGGAATGACAGTCAATCCCGTTATCATCGTGCCCACCAAACCGACCCAGAGTGTTAAGTGGATGTCTTGATAGATATACCCGATTAGAAAAGCGACAGCCTGTATGGTAGCAGACTGTCAGCAGTCATCCGGCTTCTTGAGGGGAAAGAGCTTCCTATTTATAGTTTCTCTTCCCAGTCTAATTGGGAAAGATATTATGGAACACACTCACTCCGGATATAATCAAAAAGGCCGTTGAGAGAACTTCAGTTATGCGCTGGCCGTGGAAATCCTACACATGTAAAGTTGCCAGGTTACCATCGGATGCCAAGTGATAGTAGCCAGGGAAGAATATAAGGACGACTTACGATCTGGCCTTCCAGAGCATCTTGAATAGGCGCAATGAAATCACCCATGGCTAATTGTGGATTTATCGCTATGTCCCTCTCAGTATGCTGGGTTGATGTATCCCAAGAATGACATACGTGGAAGCCGCGCTCCAATTAATAGTACTGACCGCCTTATGGAACTAGAACTCTCCAGTGCCTCGGTCCGTCCCATATTAACTGGACTTATATACAACAAAGTGAACCTGCCTAAAACAATGGTCGGGGATCGAATAATCATAATTCGGCTGCTTCAGGCTAAACCTCTCTGCCTCCATGGGTGCTGTAAATTTTCAGCCATGTTTTGCAATTGACTATCTTATTGTAATGTACTCCGACACTCTGAAGTATATACTCTATCAATAGCTCTATCACCATAAGGAACCGCACCGTTCACTAGAAGCCCAATGTCCAAATGAAGCATGCCATAAGAATACACCTTTTTAATAGAAGCTGTGGTCATGAAACTGGACTATACCGCCCTTCCCCCACCCCCTTCTGCCTTTTTTTCCTTTTCTTTTTTATTGATTTCGATATTCGGAAACCTGAAGGACGAATAGTCTCAATTGTGTTCCTAATATTGCACCGTGGCGCCAGCCTGTGCTGGCTCAAGGAGCTTCCATTGGCATGATATTCCATTGGAAGCAAACCGAGAAATAATACGATCTGCGATCTCGGCAAAATTATCAGTGGCTAAAGCCAGAATAGTTGGGCCGGCACCCGACAAGCAGATTCCAAGAAGCCCCGGCTGCGTACTCGGGTTCATAGACTGGAGAATCTCTGTCAAGCCGGGAATCAAGGTCTGACGATATGGTTGATGCACCTTGTCTTGCATGGCTAGGTAAATCATGTCTGGATCTGGTGGAGAGGAGCCTAAAGCCGCTGGAAGTAAGGCAGCACGTTGAAGATTGAAGACCTGGGAAATTGGGGATTCAGCATCTCGAATGTAATTTATTAAAATGGCCCCTAAGCGTCTCCAAATCAGCAGGAAAATAGAAAGAACTTACGACATCCGCTCTTGAATACGTGGTAGGGAGGACGTTTCGTGCGTTAGCAGTAGGCACCACAAAATCAGGAATAATCGCGATGGCCTTGATCTCCTCAGCCCAGTGGAACTTCCTGTAATGACCAATTCCAAGAGGTGGCTCAGGCGGTCGCTTGCCCGTGTCGACACCCCCTGCTGGGGCTGGCAGAACCTCGCTGAGGGGGATCTCCTTACGGGCTACATCTTCTGGTTTGAGCTCATTCAAGTAAGTCCCCACAAAACCTCCAAAGAGCGAAGCAGCGACATTGTCTGGGTGGCGCTCTGGTCGAGGAGTAAGTCAAAGACCACATAGGGAAGGCTATACGCCCGGCATCAATGCCATCGTCGTGCGGTTGTTTCGGAGAACCAGCCATTCACTCACCGATCATTAAGCAATAGTCCAATAATCGGTCTTTGCTCAGTCCCAAACGACCTACCTCGTTTCCCAACATGACCCCGGCCACCACGGCAGTACCAGACGATCCAAGACCCCGACCCAGAGGAATAGGATTTACAATGTGGACGCGGGTCTCGACAGGGAATGCCCTCTGCTCATGGCATCGAAGTACATACAGAGCTACACGGGTGATCAGGTTGACTTCCGGGTCCAGACTGATTTTTTCGGTACTGCCGCTTCGATCATCATATGTGATCGCACAGTTAAGTGGATGTTGAGAAGGCTTTGATGGGTCAACTGTGACATGAAGCTCCATGTAAAGAGACAAAGCTAGGCCGATCACATCAAATCCGGGGCCGATATTGGCTGATGAACAGGGTGTTTTGAGAACAAATGAGGATGTGGCCATTGTGGCGGAAGTCATGAGTATTTTGGGGCTTTAAAGGGATGGGCAGTAGAAGCAAAGAGAAACAAATTCAATTTACCAATAAAGGTTAAACCTTAGTGCCGTTTGACAACGTGGGGAGCGTCTTGGTGGGAAAGATGTTTCTTTTTCATGCTAGTTATCATTTATGACTCTTGCTTTTCTTGGCACACCGAAATCTTGGAGTAATTCTGGAGCCCAGCCCCCCCTCCCTCTCTTAAAATTTTCCCCTCCATTTCTATTGCTGTGTTTTTTGTCTTTATTCTCGAATATTGCTACTCTTTCTCAACTACTAGTACATCCTGAAGCAATCTCAGCAAGCATACTCAAGATCAAAAAGGGCTGTCGCCATGCAGAGCAGATGAAGTATTTCAGTCAAGTTTCTCGAATTTTGTTATGCTCTGTAGGACTGACAAGTTTAATAGAACTACATAACTAACCTAGTTAACTAACCAGTGAACAAGCGGGCCACGAAAGCGAGACCTCTGTATTGCATATAAAATGGTACTTTTTGCAATCTTAATACTCCGTATCTCAACAAGGACATATTAATAGGGCCTAGCATCTATGATTTAGACTGATATTGTCAAGGGTTGAACCCACTGTATTGCTCAGAGTATGGCCTTCGCTACTATATATAGTGCTAGATGCGACTGATTCGTCTTGTACATTTCAAGTGGTTTTAATACCTCTACTAACGTGGAGACAACTAAACCTTCACAAAATAATATCATGTAAATATATATTATACCTAGAATCTTATAGTATAACTATATAGGTAGTTTTTATATTACAAAGAGAAGTCTTTAAATATAGCTGTATTGAAGTAATATTGTATTATAAGCCAGAAAAAATCTTTAAAATCCAAATAAACTAAGGGAACATTCTACAGTGTGTGTTTAATTAGTAGGAATCAACTTTTATAGTATATTTAACATTGGTTGAGGTACTGAGATCGCCAAAAGTGTCATTTTATATGCAATACAGGGCCCCCTCGTTTACTGGTTACGTTAGTTAACTAGAATTTTAGAATTGCTGGTTTGTAAACCCTGACAGGCTTGCTGCAGCCTTGTGCTACATATTTCTGTACCCAGTGTGCCTTTATGGAGAGTACCTCAGTACTTACCTTGGTATGTATACTAGTATAATTCTTTGTTATGGATGTAGATAGTAAGTCGCCACTCACACTGTAACTAGTTGATTATTTTTGCTAATCTAGGTGGTCAACTTAACCAGTTCCATATGGCTTGGCCCTATCCATCGTGACACGAATAAGTTTCTCCATAGTATATTAGATACCAGCCAATATATACATTTAAGTATTCTCCTGCGCGGCTCACCGCTCACCGCTTCGGCAGACCCCCTCCTGGGGGTCTGCTACAGCTCAATTATAAAAATTTCATTATATTGAAAATAAACCTCACAAATTGCCTATTCAAGAAAAGATGAAGGTATATTACGATCGCCTTCTAAATCTATAAACCATAAATCTTCAGATTTATCCCTTTCAGCGCTTGCTGGAGTCGGTGTTGGGGCTTCATCAATATCTTTAGCAATCCGCTCCATTAATGCTTTTGCCTCACGTTGATGTCTTTTAAGCGTAGATTTCCAACGCTTCTGTGCTTCCTTGAATTTTTTCTCCTCAATATGACGATTGACATCCTTTGCATATATAAGACCGTCCATATGCACCCAGCGGCGTGTTCGGGTGGTGGAATTGAGGTCTTTTCTTTGAAGCTAAGCTTATCAATGCAAAGATGACATTGCATACTTTTCTGCCTGGGTCAACCCACCACGGAGCAGACGATCAACCGAAGGAGATAGCTTTATTTTTAATCTCCGATAAATCACCACCTCCTTCCTAAACGAGCGTAGTGTTGTAGGGGTTTTGTTCTCTTCCTCTCGTGGTGGCGACGGTGTTCTCTGCACTGTAGCAGTGGTAGTGGTGGTGGTAGTAGTAGCAGTAGTTGTAGACACAGTAATATCTTTAAAATTCTCAATTATATGATCTCCATCATATATTTTTAAAGGTTCTTCCTCTTCAGCTGTCCCACCAAGCTTCTGCAATACAAGAGAAGGATTCCATGACCGGATTCCTACCTCCCGCCACCCTGCCTTAATTGTACGCCCAGTAAGCGCTCGCTTGCGGATACTATCTATGTCATATAAAAACTCCAATTTATCATATTTTTCTCCGCGGAATCGGGATACTGCGTTGACTGCCTGGCCATGGGCCATTTTAAGCTGCTGAAAAGGAACTGAATCAAGTGGTTGAAGCCGGTGGGTTAGGTGAGGCGGAAATGTAAGCAATAAAATCTTGTGATTCTGGCAGTATTGGACAAATTCAACAGTTAGATGAGATTCATGATTGTCCATTAAAAGTAACCGATACTCGCCTCGCTACCGCTTAGCAGAAAAGTAATCAAAATAAAGCAGCCAGCTGTACGCTATTACATCATTTATATAGCCGGAATCTGATACCTCCAGAATATAGTTATCTGGAAGACTTGTAGAGCCATACCAAGCCTCTAACTGAACCTTGCCTGGCATGATCGACACTGGTGGTATAGTATAACCCATAGAATTTGCGCATTCAATTGAGGTTACAGTTATCCGTGTTAACGCGCTTGCAATATTATTATTTCTTGTAGGATATTAAGTCACAATTGTCTCAACCCGTCCCTGTCCAATTCGAAAGCCTGTTTCATCGAAATTCCGTATATCTTCATCCTGCAGAGATTTTGCTTCAATTTGAAGCTTTAAATAGTTAACCACTGTGAAATTAATGCAGTATCCTCTGCATTGTGCCGATCCATATCGATTACTTGTCTTTTTCCTTTGAAATATTGATCATGCTGCTTCAAAAATCGGCATGGCCAATTTATTAAGACTTCTGGTGGTCGTATTGAAGAATCTGTATGACTGTTCCGTAGAATTGCATTTGCAGCTTTTCGGATAGCACTAATACTTGGTGGAGCGCCTGCATCATCATATCGATCAATATAATCAAAATAAAGCATCATACTGAGCAGGATCCAGGCGTAGATTAGTACGTTTCCGCGTAGATTTGCTGTTTTTTCCTTGGATTCTTAAACGAAGGCGTTGGTAGTTGACCCCATATTCCCGTGCAAGTTTTGAAATATTCACGCGCGTATTTTCGTGTTTTTCTTTATTGTATAGGTATAGAGCTTTCTGAATAATCTCCTCCTCGGCTTTGTAGGTTGATTTAGCATTTGTGTGGTGGGAATACTTCAAAAATAGATATACTAGTATAATGAATTTTTTAAATTTTTATAATTGAGCTGTAGCAGACCCCCAGGAGAGGGTCTGCCGAAGCGGTGAGCGGTGAGCCGCGCAGGAGACGGGTATGTACATATTTCTGTATAACCGGAGAGCTGATATTATACCTACCTACTCAGCAGTATCAGTGGCCAACATAATGGTTTTACTACTGTTGTATGAGGTCTATGACAAGTGAACCACGGGGACATGAGTGATATATCACTGGCAGCTCCAGTCCTCCCGTTCCAATACTTAGTAAGTGTTGCGTATGATAATACTACCTACAATAGAAACCGTAATTTCTTCCTCGAATAAAGATACAATACAAAAATCTGAATGAAATATTATGTTTCAGAACCAGCACTTGGGCCTCAACTAAGATCTAGAGCTTTTTTCCATTCCCATTGGTATACTCCGTAGTACCTACCGGATAGTACGGCTGTGTTTTCGGGCGTCTTTGCTGAGCGTACGAAATTGGGGAGTGCTTTTGCTCAAATGAAGAATAAAAAATAAATTAATTAGTACTATTCCCCCCCTTGTATGTATGGATAACAATAATGGGCAATAAATTCTAGCAAGAAGTTGCTTGTTACCACTAAAGACAGTTGGGAATTTGCTGCAAATTTCTATCTTTTTTTTGGAAGTTGTTATGCTGTGGGAATGTTAACGTTGTAGCCTTTGACTTTTTCCCGAGCGGAAGTTTCTGCCCGCCCCTCTTTTTTATCTTTTTTTCTTTTTATTTAAAATTCCCATTAAAGCACCCAATCGATGTCTCTGTAATAGTTAATGACCTACTAACTCCGTCCTTCGTACTACCACTTTTTTTTTTTTTTTTTTTTTTGCCCCCCCTTCTCCTTCTAGACATCTTTTTGTAATCAATCACCTGCAGAGGTGGACGATTTCCCCTCCCCTTTTTTCTCTTTCCTCTCCCCTCCAACTTATTTGTCTCCAAAAGCATTCATTGCTCAACGTTGTTAATTTTGCCTTTTATCTGTGCCATTGGGATCATATGATATCATTAAGTTGGGGACAATCTTCGCTATTCATCTTGCAGCTCATTTGCCCTCATTATTTTTAATCCTTGGGGGGGAAAGTTAGGCATCTGACTCTTTTGGGATCTCATTGATCTCCTGAAGTTGCCTTTGTCCTCCCTCCTCCTGACTATATCTTCTACACGTATTTGAACGAATCGGGGTTCAGCGTCGTCAATAGAGCATTTAAGTTGAAATTTGGTGGAGTGTAACGACTTTCTGCAGAGGAGCTTTCTCTGTCGACACTCATTTTCCCTGCAACGTCGGAGCGACAGCGCTTCCATTCGCATTACTCAGTCAAGTTGGCGGGCCTTCGCTACACCCAGTCATCTTTCCTCCACCCTCTTCTGGGCCCCAAGTTCAGGGTCTTCTGCGGGGGCGATACCAGACCCCCATAACCGGATACTTCCAGCAACTTCAAAGCTGGCACACGGACGCGCATCGGTAATGCCAGGCCCTTGCGAGGGGTCTGGCTAGTCGATGGAGGAGCAACTATCCCTGGGACTTGTGCACTCGAATTCGTCCGCTCTTACTCGGAGACTCGGATCGTAAGAGATTATAGGAGGACTTTTTATTGTCGGTGCAGATTACTAGCGTTTTTGGACTTGTTGTCTTAGTGCAATATCCTTTGTCAAGTGCCGGTTTCGCAAAAATGTCTGAATCGCCTAGGTCAGAGAAGTATATGTGCCTGACTAGGTTCAGCACTCCGGTCCCTGAACTGGATGACCATCGGTTTCAGTTGGATCACCCTCGCATTGAAGCTGCGCCAGATCTCTCTCTTAGCGGCCAAAACCCCGCCCAACAAGGCATAATATTAGAGACACCTCAGCGACAAGATTTGCTACATGTTCAGGATGCTCTTCGAGAAGGTTCCTACTCCCGAGATTTTGAACAAGCGATAGTGGATGATGACCGGTCGGCTAAGGATATTGCCGGTCTGGGACGACGATTTTCAATTGAACCAACTGGGACTACCCGGCATGCTCGAACGTTCAGTCGTACGCATCAGGATCTGGCAAATATGTCGAGGCAATCATCTGTTTCGGCCCGGTCAACATCTCCGCCGAACTCGGTCGAAGCTTTTGCGGATCCCCGTCGCCGTGAGCGTGCGAATACTTTGGAAAGCCATGCTGCCCCAGATCTAGAGGCTATTCTCCAACGGACTGTATCCGGCGGCACTCATCCCCGATGTCCAACCTTTAGCAACGCAAGTGCTGTTAGACCTCAGCCGGGTGATATACAGTTAGATTCGACTGATGACACATGTGTTCCATCCTTTGAGCAACCGGGGCGCATCCCTGTCATTGACTATGAAGAGTTGGAGGAATTTGTGGCTCTGAATCAGAAGTCGAAGCCTATCACAGATAGACGCAAGCATAGCCTAAGCTCCCAAAGTCGGAAGCCACGTATTTTTTACGATCTTCGCCCGGGGGCCCAGAAGCCCGATGTGAATGAAATGGAGCGTTCTTCCAGCACTTGCCAATCCTCAGATGACGCGATGGACCCTGATTTTAAGGGTAATGAAAAATGCTTTGATGATTCCATTAATGAGAAACAGTTGCTCGAGAACCTTAAGAACGAAAATGAGCCTTCCCGGTTTGGATTCTTTTCATCCGAGTCGCAGAGCACAGTGCATGCCGCGGAACTAGGTGATCTGGTTTTACCTGGAGACACATTTCGGGACCTTTTTCAGTTAGGCCCAGATGGAGGTGTCTGGTGGCTAGACGTATTGAATCCTACTGAGGCAGAAGTGGGGGCTCTCTCAAGGGCTTTCTCTATACATCCTCTGACAACAGAGGATATTTTGACCCAGGAGGCTCGTGAGAAAGTGGAGCTGTTCAAGCAATATTATTTTGTTTGCTTCCGGACATTTTACCAAATGGACAAAACCAGCGAACAATTTATGGAACCCGTGAATTTTTACATGGTCGTCTTCCGTGACGGGGTGCTATCATTTTCCTTTACCGACAACCCACATGCGTCGAGCGTTCGGAAGAGAATCGGAAAGCTTCGTGATTATGTGTCGCTTAGTAGTGATTGGATCTGCTATGCCATGATGTAAGCCTCTTCTATCCTTTTCTCCTTATATTATATACGCCATTCTGACCATCGCAGTGATGATATCGTGGATAGTTTCGGTCCCGTGATTCGAGAAATCGAAGTTGAATCCGAAGCCATTGAAGACCTCGTCTTTATTGCGCGCATGGACGATTTTGAATCTTTCTTGCCGAGAATTGGTGGTCTGCGCAAGAAAGTCATGAGCTTGATGCGCCTCTTGGGCGGTAAAGCGGATGTGATCCGAGGATTTTCCAAGCGCTGCAATGAGCAGTATTCGGTGACACCGCGGGGCGACATTGGCCTTTACCTGGGTGACATTCAAGACCACGTAGTGACAATGATGTCGAACTTGGCACATTTCGAGAAAATGCTCAGCCGCTCGCATACGAACTATTTGGCGCAATTGAATGTGACAAACCTGGTCCTCGGGAATCACGTCAACAAAGTTCTGAGCAAGGTAACGCTGATTGCCACCATGCTAGTCCCTATGAACTTGATCTGTGGTTTGTTTGGGATGAACGTCAATGTTCCTGGGCAGGATACCCCGGGCCTGGGATGGTTCTTCGGCATCCTCGGTGTCATTGCGGCCGTGATCATCCTTAGTGGCATTGCGGCTCGTTTTTATAAGCTCGTTTAGAGTGCATCTTGAAGTGCTGCGAAACCTGTCGCAGCATACATACATACATGGCCAAGTATGTAGAGACTTCAGCCAGCAGACAACCCAATTGGGTTGAATGGGGGAACCATACAGGCACAGACACAAAAAATTTGTATTGGTATGAATAGGGCCAGGACAATATATCTATCTGTCTGTACTATATAACTACAAAGTATACATATTCAGAATTGAATGGCAGCCTCTTCCATCGCGGTAACCCTTGGCTGTTTTTGTTATACAAAGTACGGAATTGTATGGCTCCTGTATGGTGGGCAGAGTATTATACTGTAATATACCTCTATAACATTGCATGTAACCTGATGTGGCGGTGCAGTATGTTGTACCGTACAAGTGCCAGACAAAAAAGGACCGTAACCGGCAAGAAGCGAGCAGCCACCTTCTTTCTGTATTCCAAATATAATGGATGTTTTTGATGCTCTGAAATCTCAACAATCAGAAAGTTTATATGAATATTAAGTGGTAATAATATATATAGCGCATATCAATGTTATGTATTTTCTAAGAAGTTTTATTATTATTTTCCAGCTTTAAATACCAGAAAGTATAACCAGAAAGTATAGGATACACAAAACTTAGCCAAAAAATTCCTAAATTTTAGGAGCCATCTAATATATATGTGTAGTATACTATTACTATATCATTCAACTATTAGGCTCTCTCGACAATTTGTGGTTGAAGTTTCAGAGCGTCAAAAACAGCCATTATGTATGGAATCCAAGAATACAAAGGCGGCTGCTCGGTCTGAATGGCCACTCGATTGCCGGTTACGTTACTTAATTTGTACTTTGTACTAAGCTTACTTTTTAAGCATCGAAATCATCCCACTCAACAAAGAAATCCATCTATCCAACAACGATGTGCCTGTCCCCATCGGGTGCTGTGGGTATCGTCAGTTCCCAATTAGACCTGATATAGCGGTGAATGATTCTATTCCCTTCTTTCTCACATACTGGCCTTCTTCCATCACGATTCAATCGGCCTCCGCCGTGAGAGGAAGCCTGTTGCACCTCTTTGGCAGGGGCACCTACTCTGTTTCATGCCTTCATTGCAGATCCGATTGCATGCCCTGGATGTCTATGTGGTTAGGCTCCTTCCCGCAGGGCCACTCTGGTGCGACTGTCGGCGCAATTATTCTCTACTGTGTTGTCACCCTCGCTGTCTTGAATTCGAGATTCGCCGACGCTGCGGGTTTGAAGCCCTGCGCCTCGGAGAACCAAAGCGAACTAAGTCTAGGTGATGGCAATGCGCGATTTCCCTTTACGCTAGAAGCCTACAATGGACTTGTACTGGAAGATGTCGTGGACGAATCTGGAGAACCGCGAGGCCTTGATCTGATCCGCCGAGCTCCAACGGGATCATCCGCACTTGCGAATAACCAGCACAAGACTGGCATCGTCAAGCTAGGCGAGATCCACTGGTGGTATTTCCCGAAAGATGCTTGGAATGGGAAGACAATTAACAAGACTTCTGAGGGTCAGGATCATGACAATTCGAAACGCTCGACGGCTGTCTACCTCTCCCTTACCACATGTTCGAAGCCCAACTTCGACAAGTCCGATTCGGGCCACGTACCGGCCTTACCGCAACTAGAGGTCTACATTTCTACGTCCGAATCTTTGCAGAGACCAGGCCCCGGCGGAGATTCCAGGAGTCAAAGCAAAGTCAATGCCGAAGATGGCTATATGCGCATCGCCACACAGGTCCAAGGGGATGTCTACGTTGGCGTCGCTGCTCCCAATAATAGCGACTATTCGGGGTCATACAGTTACGAAATTGCTGCATCAGTAGATGGCTATTACCATAACGTTGATGATGAAGATGATTTCTTGCACTTCCTGGATACGGACATGAAGGCCGCTCTTCTTACAACTAAAAATTTGACAGACCTCAGCTCTCCGAATACCAGTTCTTGGTTGAACATGACACCCCGGTATACGATATTCGTCAGCAGCTTCAACGATACCGCTATCTCAGGCCTACACCGGTCATACTGCGCGCTTGATCGACATGCTCAGATAGGAAAAGATGGGGTTGAAGTCAGCATGACCACTCGCGGCATGAAGCCCAAAGAGCAATTCTTCATCACCGGCCTTAACAGGAGTTCTGTTTATACTGCGATTTTAGCGATGGATGGCAATTCAACTAGGCCCAAAAATGGGTCCGTCGGCGGCGGCGGAAAAGTTTGGAAACCACTGAAATTCACAACCAAAGCAGGTGGGTTGGCTATTTTACCTCGTCCCTTCCATAGGTATTGGATTACTAACAGACAAAAAAAAAAAGATGAGAATTGTGCCCTCCTTTTCGACCTATCGTTTTGCTCCGATGTCGCATATGCCGTACCATCCCGTCCATCCATCAAGTCAGGGGACCTCGGATTAATCTATGATGAGTATGCTGCTGCGATGTACAAGAACTTCTCCTATTCATTAGATCAAATCCAATGTGATGCCCCAAGCGAAAGTCGGTTCTCTTTGGCCGTCGGATGCGATGACTGTGGGAGAGCGTACAAGCAATGGTTATGTGCCGTGACCATTCCTCGATGCACTGATTTTTCGAGTACGGACAAATTTCTCCAAGTTCGGAATGCTGGTCAGAAATTCATCAACGGCTCTTCACTGAGCGGCAACGATCCGCTTCTCCAAAGCCCCGTTACTAATCAATCCCGAAACTCATTGATTGACAGCCAAGTGCGACCTGGGCCGTACAAGGAAGTTCTCCCGTGTCAAGATGTCTGCTACAACCTTGCGATGAGTTGTCCTGCTGCGTTGGGATTCAGCTGCCCGGATGGGAACTGGCTCAATGCTTCGTATGGCACACGCTCCGAGGATATCATTACCTGCAACTACCCGGGGGGCGGAGAACTACCTGAACGGCGCGCGAGATTCGTACCAGTCTCTCTGGACGAGTTTGTATGTACTGGCTATCGTATGGATCTCTTTTTGGGTGCTGCAATGTTAAGACGGAGCCAGTTGTGTGATCCAGAGCCACTCGCCGCACTATAATAACTGCGTTTAGGTAGATCAGGACTGCATTATGACCTTCATTTGTACGCGATAGAAATGAAAGCCTCCTTACGCCCAAATCGTTCAATTACAGCGAGAAATTTGTGAGGTAGCCACATTATATTTGAAATTCTTTGCAATAATACTTGGGGAGGGGAGTTGTGTTTATACATATGTCATATCATGTTTAGATAAATATACATCGTACATAACCTATAGCCTTTCTCAAACCTTTGTCTTTCCCACATGACTTCCCCTCTAACCGATGCGAAGATCCAGTGCCCAGCTAAATAAGGGAGGTGCATTCACCTAAATGGGAGCGGGTTTCGAACAAAATGTTCAACCTGATCAAATTGATCAAATTCTATAAAGTAATCGCTGCTTAGGTATCATAAAGGTCAGAGAACGCCAACCGGCCACACAACGCCAACTGAACCCGTAGTATCAACCTGTCAAGTCCGCTATGGATACATATGCATATACCCATGCAACCCTAACGAATAAGACCAAACAAGAACTAAAAGGGAGAAAAATCACTTGGGTTTCTTCGGTGTTGGTGTCCACATGTTCCGTAAACTTGAGGACGCTGATCCCGTCGGTCGAGGAGTACTGCCCATTTGGTGTAGCAATTTCTGAGCCGCAGGCGTGAGCATCTTTCCTGACCCGGAAGCCATGTGCGGCGAGCGTAATCTAAAGTCTAGTCGGGGAATGCTCGCGGACCGTGGTGTTGTGGCAATCGGTGTTCTCGTCTCCCGTGCAGCCTTTTCTGATCGTTTGGTTCGCGCCACACGATCTACCATTCGATGATGGAGATCTTCTCGTTTCCGGTTCTCTCGGATTTGAAAAGGATTGGGAGTTGCATCGCCACTTCCCAGCAAGCGGAGGCCATCACATGAAACGTCTTGATCGCCTTCCCCTGTTGACGCGATAGGCTGTTCAGGCCCCGGCTCATCCTCATCAACAAACGCGTATCCATTCACTCGAGGCGTTTCGCCTCCCTCATAACCCACCTCCGATTCCGTAGCACGAGGGCGTCCTGCAATAGCATCCTTAATGGCCGACATGGATGGCGAAGGTGGAGGAGCGGCTCCTTCGGATGTAGACGCATGAAGGCTCTCATCGGGCAATCGCGTATTATGAAAAGCTACCTGCTTAGCTCCGGCCCGAGAAGCTGCGTCGGCCTTTTGTTGGATGCTCTCGTATGAGTCTTCAACAGATGAAGGCATGAACATGAGGGAATTTTCCGGCCGGACCCTCCACGAGTCAGGTTTCGCCGGTCGAGCATCCAAGTTTGTTTTGATGACGATCTGTTTATTCTTGTCAGGGTTGCCTCCCTGACCCTCAATCCGTTTATCTTCGCGCCGACGATGCGCAATCTGTCGGGCAGTGGGGATCTTATTGCCGCTCCAGATCCAAGCATACTTTTCTCGACGCTTGGCATTCTGTTTGTCCAGTAGTTTATTGAATGACTCGTTATCTTCGCTAGTAAATTTTGCTTGGAAGTCCAAAAGGCCGACGTTGGATATATCGGGGGAGCTCTCGTTGGAGGGTGGGGCCTGAATAGCCTTCGACGAAGCCGTGGACATCATCGACATGGGGGTGTCCCCACCCCAAGCTATTGGAGTATCCCCCGGGCGTGCGATGTTGACTGGCCGGGGAGTCGCAGTGGCCGAAGGTGAGCAAGGGTGACCACGAGCTCGTGTCATCACTAGGTCGGTGAGTTTCTTCTTCGAAGTTGCGATCCATTCTGTATCCTTTGAATCTAGAGCCTCTAAGTACTCCTGCTTCACTCGCGCCTCTACCAATCCAGGAAAGTAATCTCTCGCAATGATGTTGGATAGAGCTTCGGTGTAAACATCTTCATCCAAAACCGAAGAAGGTCGTTTGATACGTTTGGGAGGAGGCGGCGGCAGCATAAGGCTGGCTTCATTTTGGCGTTTCGTCAAAGCCCACGAAGGTCTCGACATTGTTGGGGCGAAGAAGCAGGACAGTGAGCAAGACGGAGGATTAGGAATCCGGAGAGAAGTGTTGACGGAAGGAAGAAGCATGGATGAAGCATAAAGGAGCAGAGAGGGAAGCCGAAGACAGCAGGCGGTGAGAACCCGTGGCCAGATGACGTCGTCAATGCCTGGAATTCACTATTTTATTCATTGATTAACTACTAATTACTTGGAGCACGAACTATGATCAACATGAATGAAACAGACCCTTGAACTGGTACCTACTGGTCTTTGTTTCTTTGGTCTTTCTATGTGTGGTATGCATAAAGAAACATTCTTGAAGAAAAGGAACCCCCCGATCCCATCACATCGACGAACATGTTGGGCCTAGGCCATGGACATGGTGCTTAACCCCTTTAAAATAAGAGGGAAAGGGAAACAAAAAAGAAAAGGAAAGAAAAGAAAACAACAAGGAAAGAGAGAAGGAAAAAGCTCCTTTGCCTTGGGCCCAATCCTCCCTCCAAATAACACCCAACATTTTTTGTTCCCGGGGAAGAAATCGCTGAGAAATGCAAGAGACATGCTAACAACAGTTTTGAAAACCACCGCAGATAACAAAAGAAAATCATAGCAGCCCTGAGAATTTATGAACCAATATCTCGCAATAGAAGGAGTAATGGAACAAGTGGAAGGTCCAAAAAAAAAAAAAAAAAAACATCATCAGGTCGTTGAAAGGCTCTATAAGCGACTGGCTTGACATCGAAAATGGAAAACTACCGAGGATTGTGTATGCTGCAAAAACTCTGTGGCCCCTTCTTGTATAGGATGAAGAAAAACGAATATACAGTGGCTTAATTGGCCACTGTAGAGGGGAAAAGAGAGTAGGACGTTGTTCTGCCCTTTCTCCGCTGGGCACCTCTAAAGGAGGCTTCATCCTTTACAGCCTTCGAGACTAAGGGGGCTGCCTCCACATCGGACGTAGATTTGGCCCGATCATGGATAGACGGACTGGGAGAAGGCGCCAGCTCCACCTTGTGCCCTGCGTTGTCGGCCCGACTGAAAACTTGGTATTCGATTTCTCGGGCTAGACTCATCGTCTGTCGATGGTGGGAGGTCGAGTCTGCCCGTGCGAGTCCCGACACGGATGGTGGGCCAGATGGCACGGGATACTCCCCGGAATGAATCTGGTCCGTCAAGGGTAGCTCTCGGCTGTTGGCCAGGCTGTGCACTAGTTCTGGAACACTCGCTGTGGAAACGGATGAACGATGTTTGCGGACGATCGATGCAGCACGAGATAAAATCAGACTCTCCTGCGAGTTACACTTGCTGATGGGAGAAAAACTACTTCGAGGAGAGACGTGATGTTCCATTGGCTGGATCACACCTTGCGAGCAAAATGAGAAATGTCGGTCTGACTCTGCATCCGCCGACAGATACTCTTCATAGAGCGTGTCCTGGGTCACATGCTTTCCTAAGGTTGATGGGAATATCGAAGAGCTGACCGGTTGAAAACACTCGCCGTCTCTGGGTTGAAAACGAGGCGGGCTGGGGTCCAGATCTGGGGAAGGCAGCGTGCACGACAGGTGCACTGATGGAAGAAGACGGCGGCCCTGGCCACGTTCCGGTGAATTTCTGGGATCCAGTGTGGTGGCTGGAATCCCTATCTTCCCACTACGAGGCTCATCAAGCGAATTATGAGCCCAGTCGAAGTTCGAGTTCGATTCTGCCGCATGCTCATAGCAATAGTCAATGTCGGCATCCCAGGATTCATGGATGGTCTCGTAGGTGTGCCCGAGTCGGATGGAGGGTCGCCTCTGAGGTATTTCCCTCGCTTCTTGGCCTCTTCGGGATATGTCGGAGCCCATGCAGTATTGAGGAAGAGTGGGGGACCCGAGGGCTTCGGAAAATTTCTTCGACAATTCTTCGGCTACGTAGATCGACAATTGAGACTTAGAACGAGCTACAAAGGCAGATTGTGTCCCAGTGAGCAGGGAGCTGGATGGAGACTGGACACGCGAGGCAACGTTCTCCGCATGCGACACAGGGCTGTCATGCCAATGGGTCGCCTCCTCTTCTTCAGGAACGTCGTCTAGATCAGAGGACATGTTGGTGAACGACAGGGACGAGACCCTAGTGGCGTCGGCAGTATCCTTGGCGGGACCGGAAGAAATAGTATGGTCTACAACTGTTGGGAACATGGCCTCAATGCTCATGTTTGCAAAGGAGGAGTCGGGTTGTACATCGTCATCGTGAGAATACACATGTTCGGGGTATGTCTGCTGGGAGGATAGACCTAGAATTTCATCGATGGCTCGAGGAGCCGGCTCAGGAATTTCAGGCGAGGCTGCCAGTCGCGGCGAAGTGGCTCTCGGCGGCGGGGTAGTTGACTCCCCAAACCTTGGATATCGTGATACCGGACGGGAGAAGTTCTCAAAAACACGGGACTCCCTTGGGAGTTTAGTAGTATCCTTGGGGCTCCTAGCGCCCGCCGATGAAGGCGACACGGCGCCCAGCGATGCTGGGGGGCTGGTTGCAACTGGATCAGGGAGATCTCCCACAATGGCTGTCCCACAATTGGTGAAATCCTCGGACGAGAAGTCACGGAAGTGGAGGTCATCTGCTCGAATACCCTTGAGGCCCGTGACTGGCCTCTGCGAGGCCCGGATTGCGGAGAATTCGGTGACCAGATCAGTTTCAGGAGCTCTTTCCAAAGCCTGGAAATGGGATGGACTTGTGTGAGTCAAATGGTGGAAATCAAAGGGGTCAGAGATAAGGCTCTTCAAATTATCATCTGTAGCAAGAGATGGGGTGAGCGTGTGCAACGACGGTGTTATCATCCGAGGGTGAAGACTTACGGGCATAACTTTGTCGTGACTTTTGGTGACGGCCGAAGACCTCGAAACGAGACTTCTCCCGCTCCATCTCATCTTCCTCGTCAACGGTGGCGGCGATGCTAAATTTGCTTCCCTGCCGCCGCAGTATGCGGCTGCCGCGGTTAAAGAGCGACTTGGTCATGCTTTCATGACGCTCGCTGCGGATGCCTGCCGCAGAGCTCGCTCGTTCCTCTTGCGAGGAAGGCAACGAGGCTGTGTCGGCGGAGGTCATGGAGGAAGCAGGAGAGCGACGTGAGGAGGTGGTCGACGTGGTGGTATTGCTCCGGGAGCGGCCACTAAAGACAGATCGGCGTTTGGGACTATGAGCATGCGCGGTCGACCGAGACCGCACATGGACCATATGTTCCGGGGGGTCATTGGATGCTCTGGTAGAAGGACGGTCCGCATCCTGGGACAGGGTCCGGGAAGTTGAGATGGATGGGTGAGAGACATGCATATTGCCCACTCAATTGTTCATGCGAGTCAGGGTGCTAATAGACAATTCAAGTATGCAATTGTGATAGGCTGGTGGTTCTCAGGACCATGGTAGAAAGGGGATAGGGAGACAGTGTCGTGAGAACCTAAGAAGGTCGATCTGTAAGATTCAGGAGGAAAAAGTGAACATAACACGTCCAGTACCGGGGATTGTCTGGCGTGTTTTGGATTTAGATTTGGAGATGAAACAAGCCTGGGAGAGACCGATGGATCATTGGACAAGGAGGGATTGAATGTAAATGAGGCAACAATTGTCGCAGAAAGAGAGAGAGAGAGAGAGAGAGAGAGTGTGTGTGTGTGTGTGTGTGAAGGAAAGGGGAGATTGTTCAATCAAGTCTATGAGGGGGGTGACAATCAAGAATGAACTGGATTGATAGTCATCAGTCAACCATGGTCGGGGAAGAAGGGAGAGAGGAGAGGGAGATTTAGGGGAGGGGAAACTAACAGTTATGAGTTAGTGAGGGAGAGAGGGAGGAAGTTAGTGTAGTTTAGTTCCGTATAGTTCAAAGGGGACCCAACAAATAAGTAGAGGAAGTAGTCAACTAGTCCTTAGTCGAGGGGTAGGAACAAGGATGAGGAAGAAAAAGAGGGACAGGAGAGGATGGAATCATCAAGGAGTGGAATGGCTGGGGGGAGGAGAGAAGGAGAGGAAAGAATTGGGGCCATTGACGATAAAAATGGTGTTTTTTAATGTATGTTTTTTCATTCCTTTTTTTTTTTCATTTTTTCTAATTTCTTATTTTTTCCCTTTTTTCGATTTTGGCGGAGCTAAGAACGACTTAAAAAAAAAAAATAAAAAAAATCCCACGGTGGTTGATGACACGAGACCTGTACGGAAGATCCAAATATTACCTTTACCTTACCTACAGTACGGAGTACCTTCTCAGGTATCATCCACCCAATAGCATCCGCCTCGGTAGGTAATGAGTATGCCTAGGTACCACTTGGAAGGAGGCACCTAGACTAAGTAACGTGCATGCATGTTCTACTACGTACTCTGTATATAGACACTACCTATTTACTCTGTATCATTCATTCATACCTCCCAGAATACAATCCGGCCCTACATTAGAAGACCGATCTACCAGCTTCGTATATTCCGTATATCTCTCCCTACCTCTCTTTCGTTCAGTCATTTCTATCATCCGAAGAATGAGATGATAATAACCATACCCATGTCATCGTGGAGACGTTCAAGTGCAAATCAGGAGATTCGTTCCTTTCTTTTCCCTAGTCTCCGCACAGACATTTGACTACGTACTCAGGAACCATGCATGGGTGATGGGTTTCTGTCAACTCGGCAGGGAGCCTCCCTGGAATCATTTCCCAGTTCCCGTGGATGGACCGGCCTTTTCCGCGTATTGCTTGCTGATCGCTTTCCCCCCCTCCGTCTCATTTATTACCCCTTCCCCCTTTAGTATCAGGGATCGAGACCAGAGGAAAAAAGCAAGATATCGGCATTATCGACAACAGGGGGTGGGTCAGGTTTGACCGTGAAAGGAATCAATCCTCTGGGTATTACTTAGAGTGCTGGGTGGTACTGCAGAGAAACGGAGACTGAATTCCTGAAGGAAGGCATGGAATTTTAAGTCACTGAAGTACGGAGTAAATCATCAGCATGATGGGATGATTGAAATTGAATGGGCAAGAAACTCGGCCATGTGCGATCCCTCACGGGGGATCCGCTGGGTTGGGAGGCGCTGGATGGGGCGAGTTCCATTAAAGATAGGCCACTAGTGAGGTGGAATCGAATTAGGGATGAAAATAGAATCGTGAGATCCATGTCTGGGAATCAACATAATACTACATACTACATAGTATGGCAATGGATAAGCCCGAGGGGTCCATGACATCTCTTGGATATCAAAGAACTAACCGCACGGAGAAGGACGGAGTAGATATATGCCGGGTACAACCGTCCGAACTTCGACATCATTACTTATTTGATAATACTACAGAGTCCGTAGTTATGCAAGCCGTCAAATCCTCCAGTTCTGATTTCCTTTTTTATTTTTTATTTTTTTTATTTTTTTTTTTCATCCTATATTCAATTCTCTCGCAGTCGTCTCATCCTTCCGAGCCAGAACATCGCGATCCTGTGTCTCCATAAGTCAGCAAGGGGCGCCAGGCACCGGATCGCCATTCGCTTGGAGACGCGGACCCAGTTCAACGTTTCTCCGGGCGTGCATTAGACAATGTCATTAATGGCCAGGTTTCCGCTGCATTGCTGAACTTTGTGACCACAAAGCGGATCCTGTTGGATTAGGGGCTGGATTTGAGTGGGACTCCGGGCTGTCGTCCTCCTTTAGGCCAGGCAGGGAACCATGGAACAAGCTGTAGTGTGTCATTGTGGATTAGATCCCTAAAGCCAAGTATTGTTCATGGTGGGAGTATTCATGAGAGAGATGGGAGAGAGAGCGAGAGAGGATAAAGATAGTTCAGATCGTATTCTCGTGATGTCCCAGACGGGGAATAAACCACGAGATTTGGGCGGCAGGGGTGATAGTAGCATGACGACGAATTCCCGAAAAAAGGGGCGGATTAGGGCTTGATCCTCCTCTCTTGATAGAATTAGAATGAAAGAGTTTCCCTCGGCAGTTCCAAAACATGTGCCTGAGTTCAATCGATCGATCGATCGATCGAGTCCGAAGTCCCAAGGGACTGTCAAACAGAGTCCGTTTCCCCATCTGGATTGATTTATATAACGGAGTCTCCATGGAGGACCTTCGAGGCTTAGACTTTGACATCGCTCGGATTTCTCAAAATCTCGCCCTCTCTAGCTGATCGGATCTGATTTCAGCCATGGGTCGGTTTCATCATCCTCTTTTTTTTGGGATGATCATATCATGGCGTCTGAAACTACCACGACCCAAGTTCCACCACTGTCGCAGGCTCAACCTTAAGAGGGTGCCTTCTCATTTCTAACTCAAGTCAGTCTCTCTAGCGCGTTTCACCGGTCCCCCCCAATGGCTCCATCGTTCGACCTCCTGATGATCAGGATTGGGATTGTTTAGATTCTACGGAGTACATTCTTTCCTAGTCGCTGGATCGATTAGACTGATGAATGTGATATCATCTGGTTCGTATGGATCCTATAATGGTCGATACTATTATTACTATGATTGTGTATCCTCACACTGCTGGATTCGCTGTAGGGGACTCTACGGAGTACACTTTGGCTTTTTCTTTTTGATCTAGTAAAGTTGTAGTTGGTTTGATATCAGCCTTCAATTCTCCCAACGCCAATAGACACTACAGTACAGACTGGAAAGGTTGGAAAGGTAAACAAACAAAAAGAAAAAAGACAAGATATACTACAAATCAAATAATGAGCGCCGCATCTACTCCTACTTCATCGCTGTATCTTCCTCTCCCAGCCCCTCACTAAAAAGCCCATCATCATCGTCCTCAGCTTCATGTCCCACTTCCTTACCCGGTTCATTCTCCCTTCTTCCCTCCTCTTCCTCATCATCCTCGTCGGTAATCCGACGCGTCACCTTCGCCCGGCGTCGTTGAACCACATTCTCCTCATCCTCATCCTCATCCACCCCAGTATCGCCCATCACCTCGTCAGGTGCGCCCGTAGTGTCGGCGACTTCGTCCTCATCATCGGAGTCCACGACCATCTCACTACTCTTGTACTTGCCCTGCACTCTTCCACCCGAACGGCGCTCCAATCGACGACGTTTCTTGGGCGCTGCATCGCCGTCGCTCTCAGGTCCGGAACTCTGGGCCCGGGTTGGCGACCTTCCGTCATCAATAAAATCGTCCTCCGCCCGCGACTTCTTCCGTTTCGATATCTTCTTCTTGCGCTTCACCTTGGCGCCCGTCTCGGACTCAGTCATCATTTCCGCTTCCTCCCTGGCGCGTTCCTCTTCCGCTCGTTGCTCTGCCAGCCGCTGAGCCTCCTCGATCATGTGCTGTCGTTCCTCGGCGACCCTCTGCTTCCGCTCCTGTTCCGCCTCTTGGGCTTTTCGGACTTCCTCCTCGCGCCGTCGGATCTCGGCGTCGCGTGCCTCCCGCGCCTGTTGCAGCTTGGCCGCGTTCTTCTCTTCATATTCCCGCTGGCTCTGCAGAGCTCGTTCCAGCTGCTTGATGATCGTCTTTCCCATGTTGGCTCGTTGCTCCAGCGCCCCCGCCGGATACGGGGGGTTCTTCACCTGCGCGATCCGTCCGAATGTTTCAACCGCCTCGCGGAGCCCCTCGGCAGCGTCTTCCACATCCTGCACGGTCTTCTGCGTCTCCGGCAGACTGTATGCTAGCGACGCGATCTGGTTTTGCACAAATGCCAAATTGAACTCCAGGTGAACCTGCGTCGGCGCGACGGCGTGCGCACGCTGAGCGTAGTCCAGAGCGGTCTTCATAGCGGATAGGTTCATCTCCTGTTTACCCTTCAGCAACCACACTCGGCCCAAGCAAGCCAGGATCTGCGCGTCGCGGGCACGGTCCTTGGACAACGCCGCCTCGTAGTGTTCAATGGAGCGTGTGTACTGCCGTAGCTCCGCGTAGACATGGCCCAAGTTCAGATAAACACTGGCGTCCCGCAGAGTGTCTCGAATCTTCGAGAAGATATGTACGGCGCCGCTATAGTCTTTCTTGTCGTCCACCAGGGCAATGGCAATGCCTTGGGCCGCGTAGGCGTTCCGGGGATCGAGGTGAAGCGCCTTATCAAAGAACTCGACCGCCCGCTCGTACATCTTGCGACGCTTCTCTTTCTCTTGATCGGTTTCGCGCCGCATGTCTCGCGCCGTGAGGAGGTGGACGTTGCCCATTCCAGTTAGGGAGTATCGATCATGCTTGTCAAAGTACTGCAGGGTGTGCTTGTAGTGCCGCTGCTCTTGGTCTTCGGCTAGATTCGCGGTTCGTTTCTTGGATTTGCTCAGATACCACCCAAACAGGGCCCGGACTTCGAGGTTAGCCGAGTCCGCCTCGTAGAGCTTGGCCATTTTCTTGGGCCCCTCGTCGGTCGGGCTCTGCCGCAGGGCAATGTACGTCAGCCTGGCATTGGCCTCGGTGTAGTCGGCATGCCGTTCCAAGAGACCCTCGTAGACCTTCTTCGCCTCCTCAGGCATGTCTAAAGCCTCGTAGGCACGTCCAAGATTATAACTAATGGTTGTGACAAGAGCGTCGGTGTCGTGCTCGCTGTCCTTCTCCTGCGACCGGACGCAGGCATCCAGCGCCGCTTGGAACATGGTCCGCCCCTGGTCAGCCTTCTCCGCTTGGTATAGGAAGCAGCCGATATTGTTGAGAAGCTGCGGGGGTAGGTTCGCACGGAGTGCAGCCTTCATCTGCTCGTCATCCTCGAGGTCTTGGGAACGCGCCTCATCGGGAACCTCGGCCAGCTGTATTTCTTCAAGCTGAGTTAAACACTGCATACTCTTCTCCGGAGCGGTGTTCTCATATAGCCGAGATAGATATACCAAGACTGACTCATCCGGCGAGAGATTCTTGCCCTCATCTTTCCAAAGAGCCCGGACCGATTCGAGAAGACCGGTAGCCTTCTTCGCTTCAGCCGACTTGTCTTCTTTGATACTGCTGTTCTGAGCCGCGAAGACTTCCTCGGCCAGGAGAGCCCCGAGCAGTGTCATGCACTCCGAGTTCTTACTCTGTTGGATAATCTTCTCCAACCGGAACTTGGCGCCATCGTAATCCTTGTTAGACACCTGCATTTGAACCGCACCAAACTTGGCCGGCAGATACCCCTTATCACTGCCGCCCCGAGCCTGGTCGGAACGGTTGTAGTACTCTGTGGCGCGAGCAACGTCACCTTCATAATGGGCTTTCCGACCGAGTAGGTACCATCCATCGCTAGCTATCTGCATCACATCCGTGCGTTCAATGGCTTTACGGGCCAGAGCATCCACAGTGGAGTAGGACTTCCTCAAGAGGAAATACCCCCCAAACAGCGCACAAGTCATGGGGTACGACTTATCCAGTTTGAACGCTTTCTGTGTGTACTGGGTCATGGCAACCTTGTACAAAGAGCCAAACGCCGGGTCGGTTGTAGAATGCCGCGAGCTGTCGTAGAGGTAATAGACGGCTAGCAGAATGTTGGCAACTTTGGAATCCGGGTTCTACACCGTTAAGGGTGAGATTAGCATCATTCCAGTGGGACCTGATGGATGATGTCGTCGGACGACAATAAACTCACAAGAGCCAGCGCTCGCTCCCAAGCAATTTTTGCCTGTTCTTTAAACCCCAGTTGCCACAAGCAGGACCCGATTCCAATACGAGGGTCCGGGTCTGTCAAGCCAGGCATCTTCATCAACACCTTCTGATATCCTTCTAACGCCTCCGCATATCTGCCAAGCATGTAATGCGTTCTGGCGCGTCCAAGAATCGCCATTACATTTCGGCCCCCGAATGCCTTAGATGATTCATCGAAGCATTTGAGAGCCTGTCGCAGGGACTCTACCCTCTCAGACCCGTCGACGGTACCGGTACGAACTGGTTTCGGAGGATACAATGAGGAACGCAGGAGGGACAAGACTCCTCTGGCGAGAAATAACGGTGGGAATGCTGGATTTAGCCGAGAGGCTTCGTTCAATGTCGATGTCGCGAGCTGAAGATAGTGGTCTTTGGTCTTAGCCTCGGTGTACAGCTCCCCTTCGGACGCGACTCGGGGAGCTTGGCGGCTCTTCAGCATCAACAACCAGCACACCCAGCCCAGTAGACCCAGCTTCTCTTTGGTCGCTCCGTGAGCGGCCGAAGCTAGTCCTTTGTTCAGGATGTCAATTGCGTGGTCGATTTGCTCCTGTTTAGCATACGCGAGAGCGATGATGACCCAGAAATTCTTTGCCGCTTTTTCATTTTCCAGCAAAGTACACAGTTCTGTGGGATCGTCTGGAAGCCCTTCCAGACTCACTTCGACCTCACTATCGAGAGTTGACGCGGGAATATCGATGGCAGATGGGATGTCGGAGAAACGAAGATTGACTAACGAGTTGATCGTGGGTGATTCGCCGTTGACACCATTGGTGTCGCCATTCTGGAGAGGTGCCATAGCGGGCAAGCGTAAGATAATAGAAGAAGCGTCTCCTTGTGGTGAAGACGTTGGAGAGGTTGAGGATGGGACTGAAGAAGATGCGAATGTTCCGGGGAGAAGGTTGGGATAAAAGACTCAACTCATGACCATATCATATCGTGTCATAGACGAAGTGCAAATATGAAAGAGCCCATTCAATGGGAGCCTCTACTTTGCTGCGGAAAGAGCCAGAACAGCTCCGTGTTGCGACTGAAGCAGTACAAAGTCTGTCTTTCTCAACCGCCGAAGTTGGAAGCCTCAGGCTGGACCAGATCGGCGCTGAGGCTGGGTGCCACCGCCACACGTGGCTGGTGAATGTCCATGCCCTAATTGGGCTGTCTATTGTCAATTGGCCATTACAATAACTAGGGAATCTGGGAAGAGACCAATACATAGAACGAGGTCCTGAGCTTATTGCTGTGCTGAAGTCCTAGGTATTTAGCTTGCTCTTCGCAATAAATTGAGGTTTATTTAACTAGTCACTCACGCACACTCTGTTTTTATTTTTTAATTATTTTTAATAATACATCATCTAATCGTAATGCACTAGATGCAGCCTTACTGGGACAATGAAAACAAAAATATAAAGTAGATGTTGCTATACTCTGATAAAAGATCACCTCTCATACCCATGGGTAATGACCATCATATAGTTGCGAGTTTGATCCATCAATTACTTGCGTGCCAAAAACCAAAAAACTGGAGCTTGCATAGGAGTGCAACGCCAGCTAACACCATGAATATGCGGCCGAGCTCACTCCAGTGCCCCAGACGGACATGTGCCTCGGCATATCCGTTGGCAGCTGCAGATCGCTGTGCCTTGGATGCCTCTCCACCGTCGATCGTACCGGCCAGTTCGGAGGGAAACTTCCCCGTCTCGAAGTACTCTTCAAGCAGCTGGTCCTTTTCGGTCCATCGGTCTCGCAGCCAGCCATCAAATTCCTTTTGGTCTTCAAGAGGAATGCCTGACATAGCAAACCGCCTCCAATGCATGTTGACGGAGGTCGGAGGCCTCCCCTGCAGATACGTCGACCGGAGAGTAAAGTACTTGTCCGGATAGCTGCCCTTTCTGTTTTACGATACAGGGCCAATCAGTATTGAGCGGCCACAGAGAAAAAACAGATATGGGAAGGTTCACACTTACGGAGGCCCCTCGTAGGCGACAGTGCAGTCATACACCCAATCAATAGTGCCCCGCAATTGTTGCAAACAGAAGAAAAGACCGGTCGACCGAGGGAGGACCTCGTGCCTCAAGGGCAAAAGTCCCTGCTTCTGTCCATACTCATCACTGCGTCGTTTAGTGTTGATTGATAGATTTGTCCCCTCGGGGAAAATTAAGAGCCACATAGGGCTGTAATCTGGGGAGTCGGATTTGGAACCTGAGCGCTGGGTCTTCAGTTTCTCGAGGCGATGCTGTAACCGCGGCTTGTCGGAGAGCCATTTGCGAGCCATGAAAATAAAGCCATAGAACATCATACCCTGCCCCGCTATTGGGATGTACTTCAGGGATTCCTTGAGAATGATGAAGATGCGGCCATGCATGGCATTCGTATATGCCACCCACCACAGATAGATCCAGTCAGTATAGACTTGATGGTTGGCTATCAACACCAGGCGTTCCGGAAATTGCGTCTTCAATCGACCATCCTTGGTCAGCTGAATCTGATCGCGTACACTCTGGTCACCACAGACTCGAACAAAGGTTGGACAGCCCCATTGAGTGAGAGCAGTGATCACTAGTCCAAACGATTGTTTCGTGTATGCCATGAAACTATAGTAATAGTCCTTATTTATAAGATATAAAGGAGACCCAATCAACTGGGTCACTATGATGACAACGCAGCAGCAATTGAACCATGTCGCCAAAAGCAAAGACCGTAGCAGCTGCATCGGAATACCATGCTTTAAGCGGGGCTCTGCATCATTACGATACCCATTTTGCATCTCCCACTCAGCAGGTTGATCAGAGGGAGAGCCCTGTTTTCGCCGTCGAAGATCTGAGCTATCCATTGAAATGGAGAAGAGAAGTTTGACGGGATGATTCTTTCTTTTCTGTCTCTCCTATTTTCTTTTTCTTTTTTTCCCCCCTTTTAGGGTTTATTAACTTGAGCCCGGGGCAATTTGTAGATATTCGATTCGGTTGTTGCTGCCAAATTTGGTCCCCACTACTCAAGGGAGAAAGACGTCTGTTGGAAGTTGCAGGACGATTAGTATATCGTCCATGCTAGTATAATAACGGCAGGAGTAGATAGAGCCGGGGAAGCTTCATACAAAGAACAAACCGGCGGATAGTAGATAGTACCAAGTATGGTGCACAGGGAGAGGAGACTTTGGAAGAACAAAGCAATGTAGGGAGAATCAAGGTCAATACTTGATTTATGCCATATTGTATGACAGTAGCGAGGAGGTCACATGGGGAGCGAGAGAAGAAGGTTTCAATTTGGAGTGACGATGCCTGACCCGGACACGGAGCCACGGAGCATGACGTCCTTTCCTCATGCCGTCAGGCATACAGGGCGGTGAGAGCCGTGGCCGTGACTGTTTGTTGTATCTCATTATGGCCGCATCTCCGACTTGACGGGGTTGTTCGATGCTGGTTCGCACGTGCTCTAATCCAGTAAAAAAAATGAGCAAGGTTTATTGAATGAGGTAATTCTGATTTTGCCCCTCAGATTGGTTGGGTACCGCTAACAGTGTGTTAGGCAAGTTCTTGCCTGAACTTTTCATCCACGTCAAGATGCGACCTGCGCTTATTCGAACGCTATCCATCCGGCCTGGAGCCCTGAGATCTACACGAACATCATGGACGCGAGCTTTTGCATCGTCCTCGCGTCGGTATGAGATGCGAGATATTGAGACGCTCCCTCAACGACTGATACCCAAATACCAAGGTGTGCGTCATCGTATCGCTCCATTCTGCCCTTTCAGGGCATAGTGATGCTATGTACTGACGGTGGTACTTCTTCTATATCAGAATTCCAAGAAGGTGACCTTCTCTCTCTACACTGGCCCGCGCCTCTCAGGAATATCTTTGTGGTCAAAAAGAATTGCGTCCCGGAGGTCACAGAGTCTCTGATCGAATTTGCAAAGTATGCGGGCCCGCTTCTTCTCACGGGCCAGACACACTGACTCTCTTTGTGCCTACATAGCCATGTCATGTCCACATATCCGTTGGTCGCCATCATTCTAGAGCCCAAAACGGCAGCAGAGGTGCATTCATCCCTTCCTTTTCCCGTCTACACGACCCAGCTGGACCGGCTGCCGGCTGCGCTGCACAAGAAGGCGGATCTTACTGTTACTCTTGGAGGAGATGGTACCATCTTACATGCCTCATCGTTGTTTGCTACGTGCTACAATGTACCCCCTGTCCTGTCGTTCAGCATGGGCACCTTGGGGTTCTTAAGTGAATGGAAGTTCGCCGAGTACAAGCGCGCATTTCGCGAAGTATACATGTCCGGGGCGGGAGTTGGGGACCGGGCACCCGTGCTGGAGGGCCGCGACTTGACTGTAGCAGACGACGGGCTGCCGCCGGGGATAGGCCCAACCGGATGGTCCTCGATCCGTGGAAAGTCGATGGGATCGAGCCGTGGCGCTCACATTCTGATGCGGAATCGTCTAAAGGTAGGGCTATTCACAGCCGACGGGAAACCAGTTCAACGGAACGAGGAATCCGTTCCCATGCAGGGGACCTTGGGCAGAGAGGGGGTATATGTGATGAACGAGGTGCTTCTCCACCGTGGAAAGGAGCCGCATCTTGCCGTGGTGGATGTGTACGTCGGCGGACGGTTTCTGACGGAGGCCGTCGCGGACGGCATCATCATCTCGACGCCCACCGGAAGTACTGCCTATAGCCTCAGTAGTGGAGGGAGTATCGTACATCCATTGGTGCCGTCCGTTCTGCTCACCCCGATCTGCGCGCGGAGCCTTAGTTTCCGCCCTTTGGTTCTGCCGTCCAGTACGCCAATCACACTACGCTTGAGTGAGAAGAACCGGGGCCGGGAGCTGGAGATGAGTATTGACGGTGTCAATATGGGACAGGGAATGGCGGTTGGCATGGAAGCCCGAGTGTGGAATGAAGAGATGCGGCACGGCAAGAATGAATGGCAAGGCGGCGTCCCGTGCGTGATGCGCAGGATCGTGGGTGGCGAGGCGCATGATGGCTGGGTAGGCGGATTGAATGGGCTGTTGAAATTCAACCACCCATTTGGTGAGGAGCCATAACAGTGAATCCTCCCGATTGGTAGCTAGATCTTGATGCTGATGCGAGCAACGCCCCTTATGATATATATGCATCTGTTGTATGTGGAACAATGTAGGCTCCGATAGATAGAACTAGCATATCCACACGGGGCGGAAGGAAGCTGATCTCGAAGATTATCGCCAGACGAATCATGAATCCCCAACTTTGGTCCTTGGAATGATCAGTTGGGTGGCTGGGATGGCGACACGGCGTGGACCGGTACATGATCGACCTGACTCGATTGAAATGCGAAGATGAGGATCTGTTTCAGAATCCAGCCACTTGGGACTGTGGACGGGGACGAAGAAGAAGATGAAGAATGGTATTTTTTTTTGGTGTCTTTCCATCAACTGACGGCTGCCTTTTTTCCCAGGCCTCGACTCAGTTTCCAGGCGTTTTCTTTCACTGACAAGATAAACGAATGGGTCAATCAAATATCAATCAATCTGAGTGAGTCTAGCTAACTAACTTCCTTTTTGGCCCCGTGTGGAGTCGAGTTAGCCAACCGGTCGCTCTATCGGGAGGACATTAGTGGCACCCTAAGGAAGAAAGATTTGGGTTGTTATGTCTCAGGATGAGGCTTCTGGAACAGATGGCAGTCCATCATCATGGAGCTAAAGTAGGAAGAGACGTCGAGGGAAAAGTGTAAATAGAGAGATGGATCGATCAGCCTGTGTACTAGATCACACGAGAGAGGGAGGGAGAGATCTATGACTATACTTCGTACATACAAAGAACTCCTGCAAGCGCCCGAAAGAGCAGAGACACCCAGTTGGGTTTAGTTAAAACTTCATTTACTTGCCCTCCCTGTCCCCTCCTCCCTTTCTCTCTCCCTCTCTCTCTCTCTGCCTCTCTCTTTCTCCCTCTGCTCTTTTGTTTTTGAAAATAATTTTGTTATTACTTTCATTTCACCCCATTCATCCCATCTCATCTTTCCCTGATCTTGGTCTTCATCCTATTCTGGTCCTGGTCCCATCCTTTTGCTGGTGAATCTTCTAAGGCCCATCCCGCAGTTGCACTGGCGGCTCTCTCACCGCGTCCTCTCCAAGCGCGCCACCCACATTCAGAGAGAGCGACCTCCCTTCCTCCCCCTCCTCTCTCTTTCTCTCTCGTCCATTCATCCCGGTAAGAAACCCCTCTGGAAAATATCAATGGTGATCAGAAAAAGAAGAAAAACCTGCAGGGTCCCTTGACGTTGTTCAAACCGATGTTTCTCGAATTCGCCCCGTCCAGACCCCGAGAATTCCCCTTCCCCTCCCCTCTTCTTCTTTGTCCTCTTGGGAATTGAATTACGCGGTTCTGGTCTGGATCGCCCTGTCAAGGCTGACGCCCTCTGCAGTTAATTGCTCCTGAGCCAAATCATCTCACCGACTCCCCACTCTTGACCTCTGTCAGTGTGTCGGATTCTCGAGGCCTTTGCGTCTCGCTCCACACCTGGACAATGACCAAGTATGTCATTTGCGCACACCTTCCCCCCCCTTCTTTTCTCCTTCTTTCTCTTCTCCTATCTTCTGAATATTTCTCTATCAATCTGGTTCAATAGAAATCTATTTGGCGATCACATGCTCACTATGTCGCAGCATGTATTCACCTGAACAGTTCATGAACCCCGGACCGGCCCCTCGCCCCCCCGGCGACCGTCCCAAGCTGAATCTCCCCCCAGCTCAGTCCGCAGCCACCTCATTTAGCCAAATGAACCTAAACTCCCCGAGCACGCCAGGATCCGGCAACTTGTCTCTGTTCCCCAATACCAGTTCGACTTCCCTCATGCCGACCAAAACGAACCAGTCCCTACAGGGCGGGGTTGCCGTGATTAAAGAGGGCTATGTGCGCTCCAAAGAGGACAAGTTTCTGGCCACTTGGAACCAGCGATATCTGATTCTGCGGGAGTTCCGCTTGGACTTTCTGAAGAATGAGACCGGGAAGGTCGTTCTTTCCATCCCACTCTCGACTGTCACCGGGGTTTCGCGCTCGGAAGACACGCGGATGGCCTTCGAGATCGTCCGCCTGGCCAACCCGAAAGATGCCTCATCTAAGTCGGCCCTGATTACTCGCGACGTGCCTACCAAGAGCATCACCTGTGAAGTGAAGAGTGACGACGAGATCTACGACTGGATCGATAAGATCTACGAACGCTGTCCCGGCATGGGTGGCGTGAGTAACCCGACCAATTTCAGCCATCGCGTCCATGTCGGCTTTGATCCACAAACCGGAGCCTTTGTTGGCCTGCCGCCCGAGTGGGAAAGACTGTTAACGGCCTCGGCCATTACGAAGGAGGACTACAAGAAGAACCCCCAGGCCGTCATCGAAGTGCTGGAGTTCTATTCGGATATCAAGATGCGCGAGCAAAACCCCCAGTATTATGCAGGGCTTGGCTCAACCTCCTCCAGCCAGTCATCGAAATCCTACAATAATGGCTCCATGGGCAACTCGATTGCGCCCCCACGACCACCACCGCCTGCTCCCTCGCAGCGCCTGGACAGTGGCCCTTCGAGTCGCTCATCTCCTGTCCAGTCACAGGGTAAACCCGAGTCGGATCGGGCACTGGAGCAGCAGCAGCAACTGGAACGGATGAAGGAGATGGCGGAGCAGGAGCGCCGCCGGGTGGAGGTCGATGTTCGCCGGGCGCGCCTGCGCGAAGACGAGCAGAACCGGCTCGACCAAGAAGTGTACAATGCCTCTCTACCAAAGACCCGTGTCCCCCTCGCTAAGCAGGAACTGGGAGGCTACGGTGGTCCCGAACCCTCGGTGAATGACCGCTATAAACCAAGCCGCCCTGCCCCGCAGGCTCCGGGATCAGGCCGATCCCAAGATCCTTCTCGCCACCTGACAGCTCAGCGCCCAGCGCCATCTCCGCCAACTGCTTCAAACCAGGGACACCGGCCTGGAGACTATGGGTCTTCACGCGCCCCTGGCTCTCGGCCAGACGAGGGTTCCCCCAGCTCACGATACCCTCCGCATGATGCCCGGGCTCAACCATCCGCTACGCGCGCTCCGAACAGCAACGCTAAGGGACCACCGGCTCAGGGACCTCCTCCCACGAAACTTCCCGCTCCTGTGCAGCCCGTGAAACCCCTGAACATCGCAAACAAGCAGACCACTAATAAGGCGAATGTCCCCGATGGCGTCCGTCAGGCCGAGGCTGCGTTGACCAAGAAGCCAGAGCAACCCCGACAGAGGGAGGTTCGCATGTCTAACATGAGTGAAAATGAAGTGATGGATCGTCTCAGATCGGTGGTTTCTAAAGATAACCCTAACGAATCCTACAGCAAGCAACGCAAGATCGGTCAAGGTGCGTCGGGATCTGTGTACGTGGCACGGGTAAAGGAGCATGCCGTTTCCCCAGTTGCGCGGGAGATGTATCGCCAATACGGCCCCCGGTGCCAGGTGGCTATCAAGCAGATGGACCTGCGCAGCCAGCCCCGAAAGGAGCTAATCGTTAACGAAATTATTGTGATGAAGGACAGCCAGCATGCGAACATCGTCAACTTCCTGGACTCGTTCCTACAGGAACAGAGCAATGAGCTCTGGGTTGTCATGGAGTTCATGGAGGGCGGTGCCTTAACGGACGTCATTGACAACAACCCCGTGATCCAGGAGGATCAAATCGCCACGATATGTGCAGAGGTATGTCAACCACCATGTAATAACGGTTAAGCGGGATGCATGTCCGAATGATCCTAACTGTCTCATGAAAGACCTGCCAAGGACTGGCTCATCTGCATAGCCAGAATATCATTCATCGTGACATCAAGAGTGACAACGTTCTTCTTGATCGCGCCGGCCACGTCAAGATCAGTAAGTAACTATCTACCCTCCTGGTCGGTGCAATATAGGAGCCAATGCTGACAACAAATCTCCCGTCAGCCGATTTTGGGTTCTGTGCTAAGCTCACCGAGTCGAAAAACAAGCGTGCAACGATGGTCGGCACTCCATACTGGATGGCACCCGAAGTGGTCAAACAGAAGGAATACGGCCCTAAAGTCGATTGCTGGTCTCTAGGAATCATGGCCATCGAGATGATTGAGTCGGAGCCTCCTTACTTGAACGAGGAACCACTCAAAGCCTTGTACCTCATCGCGACAAATGGTACCCCCCGTCTGAAGAAACCGGAGAAGCTGAGCAAGGAGCTTAAGTCCTTCCTCAGTGTCTGCCTCTGTGTCGATGTCCGCAGCCGTGCCACCGCAGACGAGTTGTTGGCCCATGAGTTCCTCAAAACTGGCTGCAGCCTCGCCAGCTTGGCCGAGTTATTGCGGTGGAAGAAAAACAATGGACAGTGAGGTGCTACCGACTCGCACCTGTGCTTTGTTGTCTGAGCAAGTCTCCTACCATCCGACATGTCTCCCCCCTTCTGACGATTTACCACCGATTTCATTTCACGCTCATATGAGTCCCATCTACTCTCATCCGGATGATTTCGCTATTCCGTTATGACCTGCATTGCAATAAGTTTCCTCTTGTCTGATATCCGACATACAAAGCTGTGTCTTTTGTTTGCACGCTTGGCATGGATAATTCGGCGTTTTTATCTTTGGCGTTTATTACTATTTGGTTTCTTGCTTTTCTTGCCTTTCCTATATTATTGTGAATAATCTACCTATCTCTCCCCCTTTGCACCAGTTGTATTCAGCTCGTCTTCCTCCCCCGTGATGAAGCGAGGTGAGTACTCGAGTGTAATGTTGATGACACTGGTGGCTCGTTCCTGTCAGGCACTGGTCCGACCTCAAAATCCTTTTTGTTGAGGAGTAAGAGAGAAAGATGGGGAAACAGACAAAGATGAATAAGGAAGCGGAAGCGGCAGTAGGCATGGGTTATTGACCTACCCATTGCGGGAGCGTCTGCTTGTAAGCAGTGAATGCCAACCCTTCAGCACAGTCATTAATAAATCGCCGCTTCGCCCAATGGAAGCCAACTTACAAAGTGCCTGTCCAACAACCTTTACCTTGTCTGTGCATTGAAAGCGAAAAGGGATGTAGGAAGAAATGGAATTCGGCGAGTTGGATGCGCCGATAGGCGCACTGGGAAAGCATTTTCTTTATTAAAAGAAAGGCTCACGATGAATGGGCAGTACCCAACAATGCATAGCAGGCTCGATGAGTCCTTTTGAGGCTGCTAGGGTTGTCTAGGAGTTGTTGAAGGAATTTGTGGAATTGAAATTTATTCATATTTTCGTTGACATATCACGGTCAGATGTTGATGATATAAGGGAGTCTGATTCAAATATACCGTACAATCGTAGACAACTCGTGATAGAATACATACACAAGGCCCTCTTCGCTTTATATCGCTCTATAACAAAAAGACCTCAAGAAAAGGCAAGACATAGAAGTAGGAGGATATCACGCGATCAGGTATGTTTAGTCCTCTGTTTCAAAAAGGAGATCCTGCAGAAGCGTCTCATCATCTCCGGCGATCTCATGGCCGGAATCCGACAGGCGTTGGGTCCATAGGAGCCGGTCCTGTTCCGGAAGGTCTTCCCAGCGACGGGGGGCCCCTCCAAGCTGGGAGGTAGAGACCGTGTAGATGAAAGGCTCGTTGCGGTCAGAACTCCAGCGCACGAGGATGGAATTGCCTGTGTCATCGGCGGTAGAGGCAGAGCGGGCACGAAGAAAATCCCGCAGGGATTGCTTCTGGAATAGCACCTCCATGGTAGGGACGGCCGAGGAGACCAAAGCCGATTGCTGACCCGGCGGCGGAGTGTTGTACGGACGGACGAAGGGTTCGCGGACATCGGGGGGAAGCCATTCCGTGACGCCTAGATAGGGGGGCATGACGCCGCGGATCTCCGTGAAGGCTAGGACCAGGAAGCAGACGGCCATGATGGAGAAAAGGGCGACAAGGCCACTGGAGAGACTCGTCCATGCGTCCACGTCGTACGGCATGACAAGAACGTACCGTGGGGTACGACTGGACGGCGGCGATGGCGACAAGGGGAAGGTGTGCACGACGACGGTATTCCCCAGGCTGATGGAAGCTAGCTTGATGTACTGGGGCGGTGTTTCGGGAGTGACTGGCTGTGGTGGAGGGGAGAACGGCGAGAAGCAGATCTTGGTCATGGAGAAGGGATGCACCTCGCGCAGGGTGGTGTAAGGGCGGAGTTTGCCGTGGCCACCTTCAGGATTCGACTCCAGCGTCAGAACCTCGATCGACAGATCACTCCCGGCGACGGCGATGGCGACCTGTTGTTGGGTCTCCGGCTTCGTGCCCAGCCGGCAGACATCTAGACCGAGGCCAATCTTCATCGCCCTGCGGAGTTTCTTGCGACGAACGACGGATGCCGAGGACTTTGGGAAGGATGCTGTCGGACGCAGGTCGAGTAGCACAAGCTCGCAACCTTGGCGGTCTGGCGCATTTTGGAGTAATGCCAATGTCGTCGGCGAGATGAAGCGTAGCGCGCGGAATTTGGGCCTGGTCTTCGGGGTCTTCTCCGGCAACGGGGTGGTATACACGCAGGCCACATCCGGCGAGGCGTTGGATCTTACGTCCGGCGAGATCTGACAAGTGAAGACCTTGACGCCATTGGTATAGGCAACTAGGAATTTCCCATCAGCCGGCGACCGGATAATATCCACATCCTCTGCCTCCTCATCACTGTCTAAGCGGATTCTCCCGATGACATCGGACGCGTTGGGGGTTGTTGTGCTCGCATTGAAGAAGACGATCTCGCCCGAGGGAGCCAGCCCCGTGGTAATGGCCGCGACGCGTGGGGACTCAGCATTTCTCCAAGGCGACAATCGAGTGATTCTCTGGTAGGTTCCCGTAGCACCAGGCTTCGTTCGGAAGAGTGGCACGCGAGACAAGGCGGAGGTTTTCCTCTGTTGGCGAAGCGCTGCTGCCTGGATCTCCTTTTCCGTGCTCGCGCCTTCATCTGCGCTCGCTGCACCAAGTTGTCGACGTGGAGGGTAATCGATCTGGAAGGATCTCAGATGCGCATTGTTGCCGCGCTCCTGCTCCGCGATAGAGCTGTTGATGCCGGCCAACGCAATGATCGAGTCGTCGCTTGCATGCGCCGTCGCCAGCGAGGTCACAGAGTCTTCGTCACGCGATAGTTCGATGTCGACCACTTCAGAGATCTCATGACGTTTGGATGTATCCAAGAGAGTCTATTGTAGGGATCGGGCGGTTAGCACTCAAGACCACGGGCATAGACAGAACGGGAGATGTAGAATTGACAGAAGCAAATCCAGGGTAGTACTTGCGATCTTATTGCCCACGCCCGAGCGACTTTCACCTCCTCCACCAGCAACAAGGAGAAAGTCGGGGTTGCGCGGGTCGAAGTCGGCCGCGAACAGAGGACAGGAGAGGGTCAGCTTTGCTGAAGGAATGGATGGAGCCATGATGCAGAGATAGACCAGACCATCCAGGGGGTGGATGGAACAGAAGAATAGGATGAAGCTGGAGAGGGAGAGAGAAATGATCGTCGAACAGACCAACTGGCGGGATCGAGACATGTGATCTGGTGACTAATATAAGCAGGGCTCTAGTTTGGCTTCATCTACAAAACAGCAATCTATTTCTAGCTCTATTCAACCTCCTGCCCGGTAAATTCCGGAAGTCGCTTGCAGATATCCTCCCACGTCTCCTCGCCATCCACCAACGACTTGATAGTCTGGACAATCTCCTCCTCACTGGCTCGCACCTGTTTCGTCGAGTCGCGGTCGCGCAGCGTGAAGGTGTTGTCGTTCACGGACTGGAAATCCACTGTGATGCCGAACGGCGTGCCCAACTCGTCATTGCGCGCGTATCGTTTTCCGATACTGGCCGAAGAGTCATCCACTCGGTTCGAAACGCCCATCCGCCGCAACGTCGTCATCAGGCGCTGCGTCAGAGGGCGGAACGACGCATGCGACGACAGGGGCACGACGAGGACCTTGGTCGGCGCAATTAGGGGAGGGAAAGACAGAACCTATATACATCATTAGTCGAAGAAATCGGTGGAGGGAGGAACCAAACACATACCCCACGCGCCTCGTCGGCTTCCCGAGACCAATAGATATGCTCAATCATGCTGTAGAAGATCCGGCCAATACCGAACGATGGCTCAATCACACTCGGCGTGTATTCACGGATATTCTCAACCCGCGTCCGCTTCTCGATCGTGATCAGTTCCTTGTCCAGCACAACCTTGCCGGAGCCGACCCCTTCGACATCCACCTCAATCTTGCCCTGCTGCTCCAGATCTAAAGCCAGTTTCTCCAGTAGCTCCTGAGAAAGTGCATCGACGGCAGCGGCCACAGTCTTGCCATCCTTCTTAAAGCGAGGGCCAAACTTCTTCTTGTCCAAATCGGCCTGCCACTCTTCGATTTTGAGGGGTTCCGCCCGCGGCTCGCGGACAACCAGGGGGGCCCCAGTTTTGTTTTTGTGAACAGTCAGGTCATACGCACTTCGGTCGGCGCAGCCGACACATTCGATCCATCCGTAGCTGGTCTGCAGCTCAGCGTCCCAGCAGTCGGCTGCATAGTGTGCCATTTCGTTGGCCATGTGTTGGCGGAAGCGGAGCCTTGCCGGGTCCACGCCCAACTTGAACAAGAACTGCTGAATACGGACGAGGAAGTAACCGAGAGTCTCATTGTCCACCAGGCCAATCTCGACGGCCCTGCCGATGGTCATCTTCTCAGTCTGAGTGCTGCCGGCCAGCTGAACAGTGCGGTTGAGCAGGCACATCTCTACATCCTTGACTTCCTCAAAGCGAGCGTGCTTCTTGCCACCCTCGGGGTCAACGAAGTGCTCAATCTCAGCCATAAGGAACTCTCGCACTCGCAAGAGACCCGCACGGGGCGAGATCTCGTTACGGAACGACTTGCCGATAGAGGCCGATGCGAAGGGCATGGAGTGCTGGTTAAACTCCAGCAGCTTCTGGAAGTTCAAAAATTGACCCTGCGCGGTTTCGGGCCGCAGGTAGCCTGGCATGTTGCTGCTAGGTCCGATTGAGGTCTGGAACATCAAATTAAAGGCGACAGGGGGAAGAAGATTGCCATCGGTCGTGGGATTCCGGATATCGTACTTAGCAATGATCTTCTCCAGCTCGGGACCGTCATAGTTGTCAATCTGGGCCAGGACCTCCTCATATTCCTTGACGACCGCATCATCCAGCTTGACGGCTTTCGTATTGGCCTTCTTCTTTTTCTTGGCCTCCTTCTCCTCATCCACAACAACCTTCTGGCCACGCGCTTCCTTGTTGCCCTTCAAACGAGCCTCGAGGACTTCCTCCACCAGGTGGTCGGCACGGAAGATCTCTCCAGTCTTAGGGTCCTTGCACATCCAATCGGCGAATTTTTCGACGTGTCCACTGGTCTTCAGAATCTCATGCGGGGTCAACATGGTACAATCCACCTCCAGCATATCCTCCTCCAACACGAAATGCTTCCGCCACAGGTCGATAATATTATTCATCACCGCGCAACCGGGAGGGCCGTAGTCATAGAGGCCTGAGACACCTCCGTAAATCTCGAATGATGGGGTGTAGAAGAGTCGACGACGTAGCATTGAGTCCAAGGCCAAACGGTCGACGACCTGGCCGGTCTTGGTGGTGACGGTCGCCATGTTGTTCTTCCTCTTCTTCACGGAGATCTGGAACGGTTGGCAGGCAAAGGTGACAGCACAGGGCGAAAAGCAACGGAGGCCTCTTCTAGCGGGGTTTCGGACTAGGAGAAAAGACGGACGGCGGGGAAGAACAAAGAAGCGAACGGCCTGAGTCATCCGCTCCGCACGTGACGCGACAGGGGTTTCAGCTGCAATTCGATTCGGGGTGGGGAAAAATGTTTAGCAAGTCATGCTCTTGGGGCAAGCTGGATGTTCTGGGGTAGAATACTAGTCAGTTGTTTCCCTCGTCTCTCGATTGATTTGTTTGTTCGCCTTCTTTTCCCTGCAAAGACGTCCGAAAGATCCAACGAGGATGCCGTTGAAGTTCGCAATGCTGTCCGGGCAGAATCCTGCTTTCACCGCCGGCCGAACCTTTATCCGCTCCAAATTGTTTCGTCTCTTCTGCAAGGCGTATAGAAAGAAACCACAGGAATTTGCTTTCCATCCATCCACTCTCCCCCTTCCAAGATGGCCTCCAAAAATTCACTGGCGAGGCCTCCCCTGAGTGTCTCCTCGGATGTGAAACCCGCCAATAAGATAAGGCGTCAGCTTCTTCATGTCAAGAGAAAGCGTGCCAAGGACGCCGCTCGCCGAGCAGAACGCTATGCATTCAAGAAGGAGGAGTCCAAGAACCCCAAACTCAGGGAGGAACGTCTTAAGCGCAATGTTCCCTTGACTTTGGAGCGAAAACGGGTGTGGGACGAGCCGGACAGCGACGCCGAGGATGGATTGGGTCTGAGTGTCGACGTTGAGCGCATCAAGAGACAGAAACAGGAGGACGACAAACTCAACCAACCTCTAGAACCTTCGGAACAGGGATTGGAGGAGTCGCAGGATGATCTCGACGACGTGGATAGTATGCTGGCCAGCAGCAGCGACGACGATAATGAGAAGGAGAGCAGTGACGAGGACGATACGGATAACGATCGAGGGCGACGGAGACCCTTGATTCCTTCGGCTACCGAGCGCGCTACGAGTCCGAGTCAGTCGACGAAGAGTACGAATCTGAATCTGGCCCCTGAAGCCCTGGCGGCCAAGTTCCCATCGCTTTTCTCCTCGGACACACCAAAAACCCCCAAGGTTCTGATCACCACCTCCCTCCACTCGACCCTCCACGACGAGGCTAAAGTCCTTACGACGCTATTCCCCAACAGCGTATACATTCGCCGGACCGCCCACCGTTACTCTCACCAGTTCTCTATCCGCGAAATTGCTTCGTTTGCCTCGAACCGGCAATACACCGCCCTCATCATTCTTCGAGAAGACCAGAAGCGGCCATCCGGCCTCGATGTCGTTCACCTACCCAAAGGTCCGATGTTCCACTTTAGCATAAGTAATTGGGTGGAAGGAAAGAAGCTTCCCGGGCATGGAAACCCCACAGATCACTGGCCGGAATTGATCCTCAACAATTTCCGCACCCCGCTGGGTCTCCTCACAGCCCATCTCTTCCGGACCCTATTCCCACCCCAACCGGATCTTGAAGGACGCCAAGTAGTGACGCTGCACAATCAGCGCGACTACATCTTTGTGAGGAGGCACCGATACGTGTTTCGGGAGAAGCGAGAGACGGAGAAGAGCGTTGTCGGGGCGGATGGAAAGGAGATGAAGGGGGCCGAGGGCTTACGAGCCGGCCTTCAAACATTGGGGCCCAATTTTACCCTTAAGCTGCGACGAGTTGATAAGGGTATTCAACGAGCCAGCGGGCAGGAGTGGGAATGGAAGGGAGGCATGGAGAAACAGCGGACGAAATTTCAACTGTGAATGTATTGCATCTTCTTGGGTTTGGCTGGAGTTCAGCATCAAAATGGGAATTGGTTGTGTTTTGGCAGGTCTTTTCATCTACATTGCTAAACACCGTCTTGTTGTAGAGGAAATTACTTATCGAGAGTATTGAACAAGCTAGAGGATAAAAGAAGCAGGTGCGTCCTATCTTCTCCTGTGACATCCAATTTCATAGATGATGATTCTCTTGACTGAAAGGAAATAATAAAGGTGAAGAATTTGTGGTTGGATTGATCGATAAATGTAAGCCCTGGGCTCTGCCGCTAGAGGTATTTCTTCTTTCTTCTTTTTTCTTTTTTTCTTTCGGATGTCACCTGTCATTGAGTTTAGATAGTATCTCTGAGAGGTTTTAGTTCCATTATTGGTTCTGGCCTTGGTGCTCCATACAGAGACAAGTAGGTTGTACATATGGCATGGTTTGCACGACAATTAGGTAACGTGGAAAATCAGCGCAACCAATTGAATTAACTTGCATCCGGAATTGAATTAAATAAATGTTAATTCTAAAAATACATCGACCCCCTGTGGAAAATTCGCCTGTACAGTATCCTTAAGTAGTCAATCAATTGACTGTTAATATCTTGGTAACACTCAAAGACCTACAAAAATTTTTTTTTAAAAAAAAAGTCACTCACTTCACCGTCCCTCGAATTCTCCGATCACTTCACATGGCAACAACCAACGGATCGCTAATAAAAACACCGCGACGATTTCTTTTCATCGCTTCGATCGGAAATCCGCGTCCATATCGGACAACCCGACACAGCGCCGGACACATCCTTCTTGATGCTCTAGGGCCTCTCCTCCCCACCAGGGTTCCCCTGGTTTCTTCGCAAGCGCAAACGCAACCACCTGCTGGTCCGATCTTCTACAAGACATGGCGCAGTGGATCGTACATGAACGAGTCGGGACCCAAGCTCGTACGCCAGTTGAACAACTGGATGTCAACGACTGAGACCGAGGTATTTGAACAGATCGTTCAACGGGGACACGTCGTCGCTCTTCCCGAGACAGTAACAGATACCGAGAAAAAAATCACCGAATGGCAGAGTAGGGGTGTCGACCCCCATTTACTCACCCGTTTCTATCCCACTTTGGTCATTCTCCACGATGAGCTGGAAGTGCCACTCGGGAAGGTCAGGGTGAGACGTGGAGGGCCCGAAAAGGCCAGTTTGCGTGGTCATCGAGGCCTGATCAGCGTCATGGAAAGTCTGCGCGGGAAGGGGCTTTATCCGCCGCGGTCCAAGACGAAGACCCTTGGCGATCTCTCCGTCTTACGCATCGGGGTCGGCATAGGTCGTCCGTCGACTCGGAACCGAGGCGACGTGGCTGACTTTGTCCTTACAGAGATGGATACGACGGAGTTGGCGGCGGTGAAGGATGCAGCGAGACCTGTGCTGGACATCCTGGCAGATGAGCTCTATCGAGATGAAGAGGATCTGTGATGTACCCCGACCCGAGGGCTTCGAAAAGAAGCGTGTGCGACACCTTAGAATCTACATATCCAATCCTGTACAAATAAACATAGAGCCTAGAGTATACAGATACCCTTCATGGAGTCTTGGCGAAGGTGCTTGAATCCATAATCATTATAGAATACGGATATACTAGACAACGGCAGCCTATCAGAAGTGCAATGGGATGCAATTATAACACCTAAAACGCATCGCCGTAGACGTGTATGGACATTTTAAGAAAGCAAATCACGCCGTAGCCAGCTTCAAAGCATACATGGAAGATGTGACAAGAAGCGCAAAAGAAAGAAAATATAAACAAAAAAAAAAAAAACTAAACAGTTCCCGCTATACTAAGATCCCGAATCTCCTGCAAGACTTCTTCTACCCTATTATCCAAATCACCCCGGGCATATTGGTCTCTCGTTTCCGCGTCAAGATACTGCTGTACCTGCGCCATCCGAGAATAGGCTTCCGCGCAGAAACGCAGTTGGATCTTAACCAGGGCTTCGAAGCTAGGGTCCAAGTACGGCACGCGAAGATCAATGAGTTGCGGAAGTTCGGTGAAGAGCTGTTCATTCAGCTGTTCATATGCTTGCTTGGCAAGTTCTGTCTCACGCTCCGCTCGTGGGAGCTTGGTGGCATCCTTATCCGGCTTTTCGACCAGCTTTTTCACTTTGGCTCGCATGGCATCGTAATCGAGTAGCTTATGGTTGCGCTTCTTGATACACTCGTTGATATCCGGGAAATAAGCACAGAAACGGGAAATCGGCTCAAGAACGGTTGTCCTGTATGGGCCATCCAACGCTTTAATCGTCTCGGCGTCGAGATCTTCCACGGCTTGCTTGTAGCTCCTGCTGACTCCATCTCGTGTACCGGCGTCACCATAGAAAGCGTCTATCGTCTCTGCAATACGCATCTGCGAGGCAGTCATCGCTGGAAAATGACCAGAGTATCAGCACCATGTCATCCGAACCAAATGCGCCTTCCATTCATTCCGACCAGGCCGGGTACGCACCTCGTAGCGAGTCCAAGTAGCCCTTGGCTTCCTTCTGTAGTCGATTGGCAGCGGCCTCCATTGTCCGATACCGTCTATACGCATTTCGTCAGCAACGCAGCCTCGCATTTCTCGCAAGTCTTCGCACGGCAGCTATACCGTTCTTCGATTTCATAGTCACGGTCATTCGTTCTCTCCACATGCCCTGTACAATGACCACGGCTGATTAGCATCGAGTAATGGTCCACTTGTCTCAAATTCGAATCCATTTGAACTAGATCCAGGAAATCTTTCCGTAAAAGGTGGAGCGACGGAATGGTCAGGCCAGAACGACATACCCGTCTTCATCATCACTTGCGTCGTAGCGCGGTTAACATTTTTCTTGAACCCTATAGGCTCGGCTTGTTAGCATCGGATGTGGTGAATCGACCACCGGGAGAGGAAGGGGAGAGGGAGTCTGGCGCACCTGCCCAAGACATGATGGCGGTACGTGCAATCGGGCTGTGGGGGGAATTTGGATGGAAGAGAGACGAGAGTCGCAGTGAGGATATCCAAGTCGAGCAGGGGGATACACACAACAAAGATGTACGCTGGTCCTTTTGCAGCCGGCAATTATCAGAGTAGAAAAGGCGGGGTGGTCATCACAGGGCTGAATGAGATCAGATTCACACTACTTAGGATGCCCAATAACGCTTGCAAGACTTTGGAAAGCTTTCATAGTGGCTGTGCATGCGGCTGTGTATGTATGGTAATTACAAGTCGAAAACGGTTTTACAGCCCTACCGGGAGACGATGATACGGTAATTACCTTCCCGGCTCCCCGGGTTCCGAGGGTCTGTATCATCATGGGTTGATTCATACGTCATGTACAAAAACGCTGCGGCCTTGCGTGTACGTACAGTGTATGGAGTACGATAGGCAGGTGATGTCAAGTGTGCAGCAGAAAAGATATGAAACTACTAGTTAGGTCATTTGGCTCCTTATCTAATTCGCTGTCTTATTCAGGAACTGCCGGTGAGTCCCTAATCTGATGTCATGGAAACGATTACTTTGTGCAAGAGCTATCTACTACTACTACTACTACTACTACTACTACTTTGCAGGTTTCTATGTGCCTAGGTACCTAAATATTCAACATATCTAGAAGTAGACAAGCACCTGCTTTTAATACAGAACTCGGCTCAAGTACGTACTTACCAGGAGATACTGAAGTACCTACCGAAAGTGCCAAGCTATAGTTCCCCTGAAAAAAATCCAATGGAATGCAAAGAATACATCTACAGTCAAATGCATCCGGAATTCCTGGCAGTTAATAACGATGCTGCCTGTCAGAATTACACTGCACCAGGTATGTTCATTTTCATAGGTAGGGCAATCCGCCAAGAGATTCCAGCCTTCGACGCAAGGTGATGGAGGCATGCCAAGAGTGCCTGAATTGGGATCTGATTTTTGAATAATCAAAAAAATAAGTAATCCTTACTAACTTTTTTGGTCTGGTTTATGCGCCCTGCAAGAAGGCCCAAGCGAGCGTTAGTTGGCGGCGATGGAAGAGGAAACGATGACTCAGTACTCGGGTATAACGAACAAGCTAGCTACATACAGGACGTAGTATAGAAGCTGACAAATCTCCAGGTTGAATGGCAAATCCCCCTATCCTGGGCCAAAACGACGAGAATTGAAACCTGGCTTGGCTCTTGGCTATTGAAATGAGCAGCCCAGTGGGTTTCGTGTCCACCTCCCTCCAGGTTTTGATTGTTCTGGTTTTGCTCTGTTGTTGAGACAGGCATGCCACTAGGGTATGCAGCGGTGCAGCGGTGCATGCTTAGTGCGCCTATTAGACCCTGGGCAGTTGCCCTTTCTTACTAGAGTATCTGCTAGGTAGGAACCTAGTAAGTATGGTATGTGCAGGAAATTGCTGCAAGTATTTTCTGCCGCCCAATAGGAACCGTATGTACAACCACAGTCGACACTCGACGGAGACAACCTCAGTATCTAGGCCTGCCAAGTCCCTAGGTAGGTGGTAGTACATAAAGGAGTGACTAACTAGTTAACTAGTTAGTTAAATGATCATTGATTGCCTAAATAACTGTCCAGCTCCTCCCGAGTGTGCGATCTAGCAGGAGGGGGTATGCAGGTATTGATCTGAATGAGTGGCCCAGATCAGGAGATCAAAACAAAGAATAAATATGCTTCCTAGAAGATTTGATCATTGTGTCTAGTAATCATGGGCATCCTACTTAGTACCTAACGGCATGGATCTCTTATCCAATCATCCCTCTATCTATTCTCGGCTGGAGAATGTTGTGCAAGGGCAACATCCATCCCCCTCACATGATTATGGGAGGTCATAGTCATACAAAGGCATTGGGTGATAGACTGCAACTGCTGTTGATCATCCTGGGAAGTTCATTTTCTGGCTATAAAACATCATTTTGATAAGAATAGGGTATCACAAATGATAAATCCACCGGAATTGGTTATTAATACAACACTGCAAATTTGTGCTTTGCTGAAAAGACATAAAACGCCGCATGAGAGAGTCACTTTCCAAATTAATTCACGGATCATTTTCCCCTGTCAGAGGAAATATAGCCAGAGAGGAGAGGAAACACAAAGATCTGGATGACAACAAGAAGTGGAAAAGAGAGGGTAGAACAGGTATGCAGTTATCATACTCTTCTGCAGGTCAGTAGCATCATGTTAGTCAACGCATGATGCCAATTAAAAATTGACATATAGAGTGGCGAAAAGAACGAAAATAAGGTGTATAATATAGGTGTTAGTATCAAACAACAAAACTAGAAACAGTCAAGGAGAAGTGAGAAAAATAAAAAGCTCAATCAAGGTCATGACTCTTCATTGCATTGGCATGGAAACATGATGGGCAAAAGCTAAACCCATAAGCTAGCAAGAACAAGAATAACAGAAAAAATGTGCCGGCATTGAGGAAAATAAATAAAATAAAATAAGAAAGAAAAATTCCAAATGACCTCCCTTCTATGGAACAATGAAAGAAGGTCTATACCTCCCACAAACGGGGGTTAATCACAAAGACCACCTGACTTGATAACAAATCAAGGCAGAGACAAAAAAACAGATCACCACCGGGGATACATAGGCCGACCAATTTTCAGACCAACCTGCCGAAACCATGCGCCCCTATGTAGAGACTGTTAGAAGAGTCCGCCATCCGAAAGCTTCGAAAGGGCCAATCAACAACCCAAAAGATCAGAACCCTTCCTCGCCAGCCTTGCAAAGCTTAATCTCGCGAACCCACTCGGATTTAAGGACCTGCGAGGCATTGATACGACGGGAGGGGTTCGGATCTAAAATGGAGTATATCACATTGCGGCACCGAGCCTGGGGGTTGCTTGTAAGCTTCAGCGGTTCATTTAAATATTCTGATGCAATCCTTACCCGATGCAGGGTTTCAATCGGAGCGTAACCATCCTCATGCTTGCGACCCTCGAGATACCGTTGGTAGAATTCATCTTCATCCTTTCGGGCAACTCGCCATAGATGGCGCCCCGTCCTCATGGCCATGTAGATGACACCAGTCGCCCATAGATCAACTGCCCGTGGATCGAATTCCTTCTCAACGTACTCCTCGGGTGCGATATAAGGAGCTGAGCCACAAAGCCCCGCCGTCATATGAGCTTCTTTCTCCCAAGCCATTCGGAAGCACTCGCCATTTCCGAAGTCTGTAATCTTCAAGGCTCCATGGGTAGTCAGAAGGAGATTTTCAGGTTTAAGATCACGATGGGCCACACCCATCTCGTGCATGTACTCCACACCTCGCATAAGCTGCTTGAAAAAGCAATCGGCTTCGGCGACCTCAAGCTTTCCTGCAGCGAGCACGAGGGTATAAAGATCACCACCAGCACAATACTCCATGACCTCGCAGTAGTCACCCTTAGCATCCTGCAGAAGGTCAAGGGTGTGGATAACGTTAGGGTGACGGAGGGATGATGAAATACAGAACTCAGATGTCAGCCGCTTCTGGTACTTTTTGGCGGTCTCCTGGGGGCGACGGCGAAACTCCTTTACTGCATAAAGTTGTTCCATTCTAGAATCTTTCGGGTCCACCTTGTGTGATATTCTCACGATACCGAATGCGCCTCGTCCAACAATTTCCTGGCATTTGCCATATTTGTCAACCAACGAAGCGGTGGCATTAGGGCCACCCTTTTTATCTGCGGCCAACTTATCACGTTCATTCTTGAATTGATCGATCCAAGTAGACATGAGTGACAGCTGCTGATCTTCTACATGGTCGTCTTTTTTCCTACCACCGCCGAGTATATCCCGGAGCAGATCGGTTAGCTTCTCCTGCCGTTTTGCACTCTTAAGATGATGACAATGTGCGCTTTCCGGAAGCACTTCAAACCGCTTGTGTGCGACCACGCCATCCTTTTGATCCTTGCCATTTGCAAGTTTTGGCTTTCTGTCGCTATCCTCCTTCGTTGAGGTCTGTCGGGAGGGAGCTATGGAAGAAGGCCTTGATGATGGTTTTGACTGCTTCCCGCTGCCATTCGCGGGTGACTTTATGCTTTCTGTACTGCTGTCAGAGAAATCTCGGTGAGGATCTGACTCCCTTGGAGTCGATTTTCCCGTGGCGGAGAACATCCGAGAGATACGGTTTGCCATCGTTGGTCTGGCGTTTTTCGCTGCCGAGGGAGGAATGGGCAGCACATCCCCGTTGACAGAGGACAAATTCATGCCCGCGAGAGCGCGTGTTAGCTGAGGATCTCCATCTCGAGGATCGTTTGAAGACTGTGAAGCGGTAGTGGAGGAGACTGCGGAAGGTACTGGTGAAACTGAAGGTGGATTCATGTGCGGTAATTAAATCAAAACTGCACGGAGGACCAGGGAGTAGATATTGGGCCCCGTGACAAGGTATGCGAGGAAGCGCCTACAGCACGAGGCTGAAAAGGCCACGAGTGTTTAAACGCCTTTGAAATAGGACTTGGGAAGGAGAGAAAGAAGTAGTGAGAGGGGCTGAAGGCAAGAGGTCCAGTTTTCCTAAAATAAGTAGGGTTGTGGTGGCTCGGGTGGCTGTGGTGGCCTAAGGCAACGATTTCTTCAAGGTGACGAAAATTAATTAGGGATTGGTGAGGGAAAAAAAAAAAAAAAAAGGCGCCGCCGGCGCAACCAAGCTCGGAAGGGGACGATACAACGCTGAGAACGACAAAATGCTTGGTCAAGTCCTCGGGGGGAAAATAAAGAAAATATAAAATAAAATAAAAATTATTCCAATTGTTGCTGAGACTGAGACTGAAACTAATATGTTGATGGCTTCGAATGGAATCAAGCCACAAAGACAAATAAAATAAATAAGACAAATAAAATAGAATGACTATGTCAGGGGAAAGAGGAACTTCCGTTTGAACGAGAGAAAGGCACTGCTGCCTACGGGGAGGAGAGGTTGAAATACCTCATAGTAGGTAGGTAGCTAGGAGGAGCAGGTGGTAGGAGCAGCAGTGCAATGGGAGGGAATGGAGGGGCTCCAGTGGGAAATCAACCAGCCAAGTTTCTGTTTTATTTTACTGTCGTATTGTCTGTTTTCTATTTTCTATTTTTTTTTTTTCCCCTTTTCGTTTTATTTTTACTGTGGGCACCAGAGTCTATCGGTACAACCGATGATGAGGTTACAAAGGTGAGAGACTTTCTTTTCTGTTACCGGTTATGGCAAGTAAGAGGAGCAACCTCCTGGTCACCCTCTCTCACTACCAGGTCTTTAATGTTTTGTCATGGTATTGGTTGTCAACAAGTAGAGATTGCAGGGCGTGTATCTAATGTATTATCTGGAAATTAATGGATCTATTCCCTACCTACCTTATGCAGGGAAATCCTAGTGTATCGCCAGTGATATTATAGCAGTTCTTCCTATTTAATATTTTATATCTAGAAAATTAATTACCTATTTTCACCTCCTTTTCTCTTACTTTGGCTTTACTATTGTACTGTACAATGTATGTATGTAAAGTACATACATACACACAAGCATCCACTATTGCCACTCTTAAATACCATACCATACTGTACATGTTTCGATACAAATAGTGGCGCTGGTCTTATTTTGGCTTTCCCATGTGCGGTCGACTTATACCCGCGTCCTTGGTAAAGTTCCGCTCTCTCCGGGAGAAGATATTCTCTGTATTAATTGAAGTATTCGTTTTACAGAAAATGTATCATTTCACTGTAAAACCGTTGTGTCTGGAACCAACACTGTTCGCGGCGCGCAACTTAATCCAGACTCAACTGCTTCGTTGTCTCTAGATATTACTATTATCAACAGCTATTATTTTATGACTAATCCAGGCGGTGTTATAGCTAATATATTCATCGTGAAAGCCCACCCCCCTTCCACCAGTGAACATCGACTGTCGAATGACATCGACCTGAGGCCAGCGCTTTGGCTGATATCCAATGCCCCCCAGTATTTTACCAAACTTGGGGGATACAGGTCTGATTGAGGCTGTGCAGCCTCTGCAGTCTTTCAGATAATTTGGTTTTACTGGGTACAGAGCAGACTACCATTCGGCTTGACTTGTTTTTCCCCCGCATATCACCGCAGGGAGCCAATGACTTAGGTAGTTCAACTCAGTAAGGTGCACTAACAGTATCCATCGTACCTCTAGGCTCTAACTGCTACTACCTCTATGGTGGCTTGCCTGCTTGTCTGCGTATATGGACTCTAGGGAGCTTCGGACGCTCTCCACTATCTCCCACCAAAACATAATAATGAGGGGTACAAGTCACCATGGGGCCACAGAGGGACAAACACTGGCCCTACAGGTTGGAAGAGATCGTAGCTCACCTCCAGCGACATAGATGTTAGTTAGGTACAGTGTATCATATCAACCTAAATACAGTCGACCAACTGTTCTTATCCATGACCTTTGGCCTTTCTTAATACAGTCCAATCTTTTCCTGACTGGGCCGGTTTATTGGATATTGGCCTTGAGCAATCGGTTTATACCCACCTGTCCGATGCCTGCAGGCGGATGAAACTCGCATGGTTCACTGTTGGCTTTTCCTTTTCCATAAAAGCTCGATCGGTTCCCCGTAGTAACGATACTTACCTACCCACCTACCCTAGTTATCCAGCGGGTGATACATATTGTCTAATGTGTAATGGCGAGGATAGAGTGATAGAAATTCACTAGTTGGCGAGTATGACTTCATCCTACAAAGCTAATAAACATTCCCGTCCATACGCTCGGGGTTTTGATACTTTCTGCGCTCGAATTCAGTTCGTGACCGGATCATTGTCGTGTCCCTCCCCCAAGCTAGATTGGAGGCGACTATGAATCATGCACAGAGCCCAGTTTGGTTCGAGGATCCGTGTGGGGTCAGCAGGTGTCAGGACTGAGACTCTGTTGCAACAAGCCCTGTATCATCACCGAACATCATCGTTGTTGTCAGTTAGTATCATCATCTCCCGGGCAGAGCAGCGGGCGCAACCAATTCCACAAACAGGCAATGGTCGAGGTACAGGCAGGTCCAGCGACCTTCGAGCCACCATGCAATCATTGCTTTGTTTTCGTCTACCTTTATCAAAGGGGTGTCTAAGTGGACATGGTTGCCTGCTTGCCGAGAGGACGGACTGAGGATGTCTCCATCCGCGTTGTCAATATATCCACTGGGGCCTCCATGGTTCCGTGCATTCATTTAGTGACGTGGGCACTCCGTACATACAGTACATAGATCTACTCCTGGGTCCTAGGTATCTCAGCTCCGGACCCCGGTAGCCTATAGGCTTGAAAGTGTTATGAATAATCCTGGTGTTGATTGTGGAGATCCGTTGATAATCATACCTATAACCACAATAGCGGTGGCTTGATCAGCAAGTATGTAATTAGGTGGTCAGCTTACCGAAAGAGTGCCTGCCACGCAGAGTGGTGGTTCGTTAACTACTGACTAGTTAACTAGTTAGTTGAAGATGATTAATATTATCCTAATCCAAGAATGCGACGTAAACGGAGAACGTCGCGCAAATTGCACGAGGGATTTTTCAAGGCCAATCGCTGAACCGAGAGTAGGGAAACGTGAGAAAACGGTTCCGTCTTTAATATTACTACTGTCTTCCGTAATTCGATACTTACCACCACTACCATGGTGGGTCGTTCCAGGTGAAATTAAGTGTGTGCCCCTCGTCTGTCCAAGAGGAACTGAAGCATCTGATGTATAGGAAGAAAATTGTACATACTCCATACATTGAGCTCCTGTAGAAACCAGGTCAGTTAGTGTGCTTCTAATTTACATAAAGAAGCTGCCGCTAATACCTACCTTAAGCGGTAGTCCGCACTGCTGTAGGTTTCTTTTCTTTTTCCTTTCCCTTTGGTTTCTTTGGTTTTCTTTTATCCCGCATCTTTCACGTCCCGAGATGGCACATTGTGATTTGATCCGGTCCGTCATATTCGAGGTACGAGGCGCAATGATCTGTAATCTAGCTCCTATTACATATGTATGCTCACCACGAAAGATTCCAATGCGTCTCCATTAAATACAGGTTGGACGGGAATACTGATCAGAACAAGTATCATGAATTAGAAATAAACAAAAGGAATTAAACATACCCGCGATCGCATCCGAAATGTACGTGCAGATAGAACAATTTAGTCAATATTCTCTATCATTGATGTTAACAACACGACCACTACTCGACGAAGTATTCTCACAAACAGGAGACGCCATTTCTCTGGCTTTAACTCTATTTACTACCTTAGGCAGGTAAGTCCCAAAAATTCCACTTAAGGTGGCACTATAGTGCGATTTATTGGTTAATTACTATGCTCTGAATCCGTTTGAGTGTGGTTCCGAAACGGCCAACCAAACCCCCAATAGATCGTCTCTCACACATAGTCCCTATGTATGGAAAAAATGTACCCGATACCTTGTAGACTTATTATCGGGTACCCGGATACATGTATGTATGTATGTATGTATATACACAGTGGACACGAGGTAGGCTGACCGCCATGTCAGACAACGCAGTAGCAACACTACCAGCTAGTATGAAAGTATATGGTGTGATTGGAAGCTATTAAATAATCCCATATAACTTAAAAAGCCGACGGGCTTGGTTGGATCAGTCAGTTTCCGTCTCTCTTCACATGCTCTTAGTGAGGACATGATAACTTGGTCTGGTCTGTATGATTTGTTGATGACTATATATAGCCTCGGTATGCTACAGAAAAGAATACTTGTTTTTTTCTAAGCCATAAAGTGTACTGGATAGTACCCTATCAGAACAGTACTCCATACTACAGTTTCAGATGCACACGCCGTCTGTCAGCTCGGTTGGGGGTAAATAAAGTCCAACCGAAACATAAAATGCCCATATTGTTAGATGGAATGATCATTCACTTAGAGTGCCTTTTTTCTCCCTTTTCCCTTTTTTCCTGCTTTTTACGTTTTCGTTTTACTCCTTTAAAGGCATGGCGGGAATTTAAAGCGCTTAGCTAGTGGGGGGTTGCTTAGCTGCCTCCACGTCTCCAATGGAGCCTCCATGAGCGAATCAAGCCATGACTGGCCCCTTTCAAGCTTCGTCACATCCATTCCCTTCGGACTTCCCAAACCAGATTAAGCAGTTGAGATCCAGCGCCGAGGGCTTTCCACCCCTAGAAGTAGGACCGCACAATCTACATGAATAAACTATGAAGACTGTTGAATCTGTAATAGTTCTGTCCGAAGTAGTCCATACGGAGCACAGACTACTCCAATGGATCAGTAGCCTAATCAGATGATACGCTGCATGATCATATGAACTCTCTGAGTCCTTTTATGGATAATGCCACGAATTATACATGATCCTGTTACGAAATGTTTCCCCTCCTACAGAGTGCTTCCTTGACTCGTGGGTGGCGTCTCCCCTGTTTGGACCGTTCTATGCGCAGAACCTGGACATGCTAGATAAGTAATCCCAACCGTGGCATTCAATTTAGCATCATGCTAAGTATTTCTGGCTGGTGGGATTAGTAAACACCAATACACCTTCCAACATAAAGGGTTAGATAATACATGTGACGTAGGATCTCTGGCACTTAATTTAGTTAACTGGGTTTCTTTGGGTTGACATAAGAGGCACCCTAGCTTTAAACCTACCTACCTATTATATGCATAGGTACAAGCACTAGATAGTAAGAGCACCGCAACTTCCTGCCTTAGAAAGAATAAGCTCAGTGGGCAAAATGAATTGCATTCCATCCCGGGTTAGACAGCAACACGTGGCAGTGCTAAATGACACAATTCGAACTTAATCTAAATCTAATTTCCCATCCATGTTGATTGGTCTAACTCCACGCACATTTTGGGACAGAACAAAACAGAGTAGGCACTTTTTTAATAGGTCTCTAAAAGAGATATATTTTTGGTTGCTGTCGATGACCTTTATCGGTCTTGGCTAACTTCGCTGGTGGTACATACATATACGATCCTAAAACCCCCTGCCTACCGAGATATTAGGTACTAATACAGATAGATGATAATGTTCTGATGATGATATGTAGCCTCTATGTTCTTGTAAGGTCCACAGGTAGAGCGGAAGATAGAAAATAAAATGATAGAATGAGCGATCCGCTGTTTTAATATCTTGTGGGTGCGACCCCCAGGACCAGACACTCTCGCAGCTTCAAACAAGTACAAGGAGCTTTGCAGTCAATCTTCTGAGATTCCTCCAAACCAGTCAATGCTATCGGTGTAAAGTAGATGGTATCACCCCCGATTTGATATATAATCATCTCATAGGTTCAGCGTGGAAGACGTAATATATGTTCCAGTCATGCACACCAATAATGAATGTCGGCAAATGCACTTACACCGATGAGATTGAAAATTATCACTTTGCTCGTGGTAGAACAGATTCTGTTAAATGGCCATGCGCCATTTTTGAACTCTGCAACATCCCACATGGATACAGTGCAATTCAGACGGTAATCTCACTCGAGTGACACTCAGGATATTTCCCAAGGTCTTTTTGAGGGGTTTCAATACCTGCTGTATGTAGCCTTTCTGGGCTCATGACACCATCCTGGTGAAGATTTGACATCTCACATAACTTCCTCGGCCTCGTGATGTTTACCATGAGGGCATCGAAATTTAATCCGGAGCAACGTTGACGGTTGGAGCCAGGATCGAAATTTAGCGACCTAAATTCTGATAATACTCCAAACAAGTCGCTAAGGCACTTGATTTCATCCCAATCGAGCAAATAATAAAGGGCGCGAAGGAACTATGATAAGACACGAGTCTGATGCTTTTGTGAGATACCATTTACGCAGACCGATATAGTCAACATAGTCAACATACCACAAACTGTTCCAAGGACTCTTCGAAAAGCTCATTATTTACACCCACACCACCGGGATGTTCTACCGGAGACAACGGGTTCTTGACCACTGAGTCAAATATCAGCATTACGCAAGCTCAAATATAGTACGAGTTTTGGACACTCCGCGCACCGTATTCAACGTAGAGGTTGATGTAAATCTGCTGTAGCGCAATTCGCATAGTCGGACTCTTGATATCAGTAAGCATGACGAATTTGATGTTCGTAGGAGTTTCGTAGTAATGGAGTTTGTATTGGCTGGTGCGATAGGTGACGAAACTACAGTAAGGGATGATAGATTAAAACCGGGCATCTAAGGGCAGGGAAATGTGAATCTTACCTGTCATCATCACCCCCAAGCTTACGAGCCATATTCCGCAAAGAGAAGACAGTGCCAAAAATCAGCTTGGCATCATCGTCTGTGGTTTGCACAGACTGATCCAGGGGGGGGGGTAATCCATTGGTCGGGGCAGACGCCTCGGAAGTTGGACGCGAAGATTTGCCTGGAAATGAGCTCTGGCTGGGGAGCCAGCGCTTTTTATAGATACACTCCGCTAGAGACGAGAAAGGACTGATTAATAAAAAGACTCTTTCTTGACAGCGAAGTAAAGGGGAACCGTACCATGGCGGTCGAAAATGTAGAAAGAGTAGACAACCATGGCGCTAGAGACGATATAGGTAGACTTGGAGCTTTGGAAAGTAAGTTGGATGATAAAAGGGCAATAAATCACGGGAATTAAGAGATGGGGATCGCTGTTTGTTGTATGCATACATAAGTACACAAAAAGACCAGCGTTGAATTAGGCTCAAGATCGATGGTATGCTTGTGGGCGGTGAGGGAATGCAGCCAATAAAAGGTGACCGTTGGGTTGTGTAATGGCTTACGACTGGTGCCTTGAGTGTCAGTCAAGGACCCTTGACTTAATTAGGGGCATGCTGCAGGAGTGACTTCTGTGTGTCCAGGCAAGGTACCTCTGTTGGTATTTCAGTTACACGTGCATCCAATCCCACCTCCGGCAACATCGTCTTCTTCCTTACCCTTCTACACTTCCTGTTTGTTATTTCTCCCAAGTCTATATGGAGGAGAGGGAGACCTCCTTATTTTTTATTCTCGTCCATTTCGTTCTTTTTCTGATTCCCTATAGGCCTCTCGTGTTGTTACAGTTCCTTTCACCGTTTAAGTCTTATCATCGTCAGTGCCCCTCCGAGCCCTTCCCCACATTTGGACATAGGCATCCAGGTTTCGTTGTACCCTCCTGAGAAGAGGTCCAATCAATACGAAAACTAAGACGGATCTTCCTCTCTTCTTACTCCCTCCCACTGCTTGTTTCGTTGATCCCAGCGTTCAATGGCCGACGAAAATGCCGACTGTTCCCTTCAGGATGCCAGTCAAAGCCTCGATGACCGCACAGTGCCTCAGCCACATCGACCAGCTCGTTATGCGTGAGTTTCCTTTTTTTTTGGGGGGGGGGGCGGGTGGTTCTCGGAGGGTTGCCAGTTTCTTCACAAAAAACCTACAAACTAGCTGCTACCTATAGACGCTAGAAGCCGGCGGCTAAAATCAATTCAGTTCGACTCCCTCATATGAAAGCCCCCAAAGGCATTATCGCCGGAATCCAATAGTCAGGCGCCCAGTTAAGGTTGTTACGCTTTTCCGTTTCTTTTTCTCGCTCTTAAAAATTGATTCGTGTGCTGATGAAGCTGGCGAGCTATTGGTAGGAAACACTTAACGCTCGATCGGAGTATACCACCAGCCAGGATGATGGCACTGCGGAACACAGGATCAATCAATATGTGATTAAGCAAGAAATTGGTAGAGGATCTTTTGGAGCTGTACATCTAGCTGTTGATCAGTTTGGAAACGAATACGTGAGTGTTCCCTTCCAACCATTTGTATTAGCAGCCTATTGCGGCAGCGGCTGAGGGAGCGACTTGCTGACAATATTTATTTGGGCCAGGCCGTTAAAGAATTCTCCAAAGCACGTTTAAGGAAACGTGCCCAATCACACCTTTTGCGGAGACCTCGGATCCCGAAGACCTCATCGGATGGCTTTAACTCCCCGCTCCATCGTCGGCCATTGGGGGGTGCCGACGATCAAAAAGGAAATGCCCTTTATCTTATCAAGGAAGAAATAGCGATCATGAAAAAGTTACATCATAACAACCTCGTGTCTTTGATAGAAGTCCTGGATGACCCAACGGAAGATTCACTATACATGGTGATGGAGATGTGCAAAAAGGGGGTGATCATGAAAGTTGGACTCGAAGAAAGAGCTGATCCTTATGAGGATGCACTGTGTCGTTGTTGGTTTCGGGATTTGATTCTAGGAATTGAATATCTACACGCACAGGGGATCGTTCATCGAGACATCAAACCAGACAACTGTCTAGTGACCAGTGACGATGTTCTCAAAGTTGTTGACTTTGGAGTGTCTGAAATGTTTGAGAAGGACTCGGATATGTTCACAGCGAAATCTGCGGGTTCCCCCGCATTCCTGCCGCCGGAGCTATGTGTCGTGAAACATGGCGATGTTTCTGGTAAGGCGGCCGACATCTGGTCCATGGGGGTGACATTATACTGTCTTCGATATGGCAAACTGCCCTTCGAGAAGCAAAGTATTTTCGAGCTCTATGATGCTATTAAAAACGATCCAATCCTATGCGACGGGGAAGCTGATGACAAGTTTAAGGACTTGATGTCACGGATCCTAGAAAAAGACCCGGCAAAAAGAATAACTATGAATGAGCTGCGAGTATGTTGGATATCACACCTTTTCCCACGGACATCTTACTTATAGAAAGGAATGCAGGCACATCCTTGGGTGACAAGAGACGGGCTAGACCCTCTACTACCAGAAAGTGAGAATACCGCCGAAATCATTGGGCTTCCGACTGAAGAGGAAATGAACTCCGCCATCACGAAAAACATCGGACATGTCCTGGCTGTGGTAGGCGAACCATCCGCTTTTATAGCCAAGTCTTTGATCCAGTTGACTGACGGAAAATTTAGATGAAAGCTGTGAAGAACTTTAAGAGACTAGTTGACCCGGCCAAAGCAGAGCCACCAATGCAGAGCATTCTTGGTCAGGAATATGAAACACATTTTGTCCAGCCGCCTCTTGAAATGGAGCCAGACGAAAGCTTTTCAGCTGAAAATAACACAATTCCTAATAAAAGTCAGAGTTTGGACATGTATGACCGGAAATCCTGGGGGCTTGATAGCGTCCTTCATGGATATCATCGGCAGCTGCCTGAAGGGTTGCCTTCTAACCAGTTACTCGATGGTGGCGTTTCTAAAGTTTGCACAGGAGATGGCAACAAACACGCTGGTGGCATTGTACCTGAGAGAAAAGACTCTGGCTCCGTGCGCGGCTGCAATATTCGAGATGAGCTGGGGGACGATGCACAGACTTGTATGCCTTCGTCTCCCTCACCATGCATTCCCTTGTCACGAGCGAGCTCAGCAACTACTAAGCGCAGTATCGAGGGCACACGTGGTCATGCACGAGATCTTTTGGAAGAGGATTTTTCATTTTTATTCATCGGGCCATCTATGTATACTGGCTCTTCACAAACAGGCCCTAGTGATGCAAACCTGGTTGCTATTGGTGACGAGACGGACGATTTGACGCCCACCGACTCCTTGGATGCTGAGCCGATAGTAAGCGAGTCTCCCGGTGCTGCTGAATTTGACATCTATGAAACTGCATATCGACAGGAAATTGAACGCATTCGGAAACGCAGCATTCCCCGGCAAGGAACCGCACCAAAGGTATATCTGACTCGTCGCGTGGAGGGAAGAGACGATATGACGAAACTGGTGCAAGACGAAGGCACCAGTATGGCACCTAGAATCGGCACTAAAGCTGCAATACCTTCGGGCCCGAGTTTGAGTTCTGCAGTAAGCACAATAAGAGCCCAGATGGAACAGCAGCGGCAGCAAGAACAATCGAAGGCGGGAGAACCCCGGCTTCCTGATAAGCCTCCATCCTCTTTATTCCCTTCTATGGTTCCAGAGCCTATAATGTCATCGCTTGCTGCGACCGGTACCTCGGCTACTGAGGTTTCATCGTCAGAGAGTCCCCGGGCCAAATTACGCTCCCTCCTTGACCGGGTAAGAGGGGGCCGTGAATGAGTGAGTGACCTTCCGTGACTTGATCTAAGCAATGTCAAATTGGAGCGCTCATATGGTGGAAAGGATGCCGTTCTTGTGTAAAAGACAACTAGGAGACTATTATAAAGCGTTCCCTCAGCCCCTTGCATATCCAGTCAACCCGTTGTTTGTAGACTAGTACGTATATGCATAAGTACCTATACTACTACTAGGTAGCTTTCCCTACGGTCTGTAATAATTGATCTACCTACCAATAAACGACGTCTTGCTTGACACATGCAATTTATCTTCTAGGCATTTAAAGGTATATAAATACCTCTGGTTCAGAGCTATAGTTGTACATTACATATACATCACAGCATCAATAAACCAAGCAATTAGTGACTGTACAGTACAAGACGCATAATTTTCTATCCAGTTAGCCAAAAGAAAACTCCACAAGAAGCGGCAGAGGAAGAAAGCAAATCCAAACTGAAAGTGAAAAAACGCTCATCATGATATTTATCGTTATATTCATAGTGCTCATCCGAGTTCATAAATCGAAAGAGATTCCTATTCTCAAGGTCCTGAGAACAAGCGACAGAAAAGGAGGTCGTTATATGAATAAGATCATATCCATGTAGCTCAGCGTAAGCGATATCCCGCAACCAGAGTAATGCAAAAAAAAAAAAAAAAAAAGAGAGAGAGAGAGAGAGAGAGGGAAAAAAAAGAAAAGAAGGAAAGAAAGAAATATATATGTCCAGCCCGACCTGTGCATCATTTCAGTCGGCATTGAAGATCGTAAGTTGCGTGATAGGAAATGGTTTTCAAACAGGAACAGCGAAATTAGTCGATCTGCCCTGAGATATGAGAGGAGTGATCCCGTTGATGATCGTCACGATTGTGATGATAGAGAGGATAGAGAAACGGAGACAAATGAAGGAGAATGCGTTGCTCATTATCATAGATTTCTCTCTTTTCTGTTTTTTCCTTGTGGCTCATCTCAGATATAAATTGATCTTAAGTTTAGCAAATGCTATTTGTCGCTCGTTATTGATATAGTCGTTCATTCATCGTGTTCATAGTTATTTCAATAAAATTCTCTAAGGTCTGACCATTATTCTGCTCGCTTCTCACCCAAAGTGCGCAAAGTGGCTTCCGGCCCTGACACGGAAGGCTCGTCAGGCCGCCCACTGGTGGGATGAATGAGTGCCCTTCTGTCCGTAAAAGAAATCCTATCGGATGGAGGTCGTTCAAACGGTCGTTCACCAGTGTCTGTTCGTGGGATCGTCTCCCTATGGCCTAGTTGCAACGTCACCGGGGAGGGCAACGTTTGTCTAATATCTCCTGGACGCGGAAGCTCTCTTATTGTCGGTCCTATATCGCGGTTGGCTATATCTCTTGCCCGATCATCATCACTGGATCCCAATATCCCCATTGCCATTGCAGGCGGAGCCGGAGGCGCATAGCGTATGTCAGGTCGTGGGATATTTGCAGGTCGACTTCCAGGAGGCTGGGGGGCAAATGAGCTCCCCAACGATTCGATTCCAGCGGGACTAGTTGGTGCAGAGGGTGCTTTCATCTTATTGGAGCCCGACCGTCGAGGGGGTGGATATGTTTCCCCCCGAGCCTCCGCAGCCGCCTTGCGTCGTTCTGATTCGGCTTTACTTGGACGTCCTCGTTTTCGAGGTGGCTCACCTCTAGCCGGAACACTTTCTGCACTGGGAGACACAAGGACTGAAGCGCCGCTCTCGCTACTGAGAGACGCCGTACTGGCTGCCGCCGGCCGGGGCTGAATAGCCCGTGGAGCGAGTGGGGGTTTGTCTGAGGGGAATAGAGGTCGCTTTCGGGGGTTGCTGCTCTCGAGCGAAGGCGTAGGTGGCGCTGAAGATTCTAGACGTGGTGGAGGAAAATGCCCCGGACCTCGACTGACTGGCGCTTGTAGAAGCTGGCACATGTTATAGAATGCAAGCTGGCAAGAATTGAGGGAACGGCCTAGAAAAGCGATATTAGCCTATTTGGGATCAGACTAAACGCTCTAAGGGTTTTATCTTGGGTTTAGTAAGGATATGACATGAATTGCATTTCTCAGAGCTAGAAGACAAGCGGAAAGTGCCGGCAAATATGTACCTGGAGGGAGTGGTATATCCGCCCAGCTCGGGGAAATATTGAAATCCCGAATCATCTTGACTAGATGGCTGGAAGGAAGTCCTGCCTTCTTTAGAATTTCGGTAAGTAAGGTGTACTAGACGAAGGATATATTTTGAAGTCAGCCAACGGGGTATCTATGAGGCAAGGAAAGTGCAATATATCCGATTGAGGAGCCATCATAACCGAAAAGAGGAATCACTCCTACCTTCTCCTCCTCGGTCCATGGCCTTTCTGGTGGATTCGACATATCCAGACCATGGAAGCAAATGTGCCTAGCTTCCCTTCGCGGCAGGCAATTCGACAAACCCAGGATGAAAGAAGCACCGGGATCCAAAATGATCACAGCTAAATGGAGTAACGCGTGACGCGCCTACAAACGAGCACGAGAGCACACAAAAATAAAGGAATTGCTTCCCCCCTTCCAAACAAGATGACAATAAGAATAAATGAGGGCGAATAAATCCAATGAGGAAGAAAAAGACAATGCCACCCAAATGGAACAGTGCGTCTACACCAGTGTATAAACACGTGGTTGCTCAAATAGTGATCAAAAAGTGGGCCAGCAGCGCCACGAAAAGGAACAAAGGGAACAAAAAACTTGTTGGCCCAACTAGTCGAGAAAGAGAGGAAGGTGAGTTGGGGCACAGGGAACAAACAGGAGACATTGAAGGTTGGCCTGAGAGCGCAATCGAACACAGAGAGGAGAATGGCTACACGAGATAAATCCTTGGGCGAAGCAGTTAAGGCACATTCACAGTTGGTTCTATGCTTCAGAGCAGGGTGGAGAAAAAAGAGAGTGACAACGAAGGCCAAGGCCCAGATAGCAGAGCAAAACGACGGAAGCACGATGGGCAAAGGACCGTAATGGCGAAGAAAGCTGAAGGGGAAAATCGAATTTCTGGAACAAACCGTTTCAATGACGATGCATCGTGCCCGCCGACTCTAGTAAGGACTAGAAGAACGAGGAAAGGAAGAGGCTAAGAAACAAACACTTAAAAAAAGAGGGCCGGGGGGGGGGTTCACAAAAGGAAAGATAAAGATCAGAATTAAAAGTAATAAATAAATAAAACAACATACAAAAGGAGAGGTAAGATAGAGAGAGAGAGAGAGACACGCAAAACAAAGGCAAAAACCGAATTAGCCAGTAACACTCTCTGCTGTTCAGGGAATTTTCTGGCCAAACGGACTTTTAATTCGGGATTGCGCAGAAAATCCCACTGCAGACACCGCAATCATGCGTCTGGCTAGCCAGAGGGAAGCTGCAGGGACTCTTTTCCTGATGTCCCTCTGGTGTCCCTCTAAAATCACCAAAGACGTCTTGGGGAACCAGAAATCGGTGGGCCAACCAACAGCCTGGGGTGGAATAGGCCGGGTTCTACCACGAAAAGAATAGTGTTTCAAAATAGATGGTTTCAGATGATTCCAAGCGTCAATGGCCTTCGCACCGGGGGAAGAAGGATCAGAGAGAGAAACAAACAACAGGCTGCCCCGAAAGAGGGGCACGTTAGTTGGTTCTGGGATTGCCAATTGAGGGCCAAAAATAATAATGACGATGAAAGATGAATAAAATAAATAGGAAAAGGGCAAAAAAAAAAAAAAAAAGGGAACTAGGAGGGGCGCCAAAAGGAAGCGTAGAGGGAAAAAGAGACTAACAATGCACAAAGCTAGGAATCGATAGGGACTTGGACGGGCGAAGGGGCAGGGGGGAACAGACCAAAACAGAGCCGGCTGAAGAAACAATGCAACAGCCTGGGCTACTGTTGTACTCCCTGACTACGAAACAAAAAAAAAAAAAGTCACCAAAGGGGACTCAAGGGGGAAAACAGAAGACAAAAATAAAAGAGGGACAGCGTCCATTGTCAGTTGCATCCTAGCCACGGTATGGAGAGAGGAAAGCTTGCCATCTGGATGGGAAAATAGCCTTGGGCTCGCTCCTTGAGGGCAATTCAGACCATCTCCCACGGAAATCAGCGCATTTCGACTGTAGGCTATGAATGATAGGAGGTTGGTGATAGGCGGATACTGGTTCCCCAAATCACTGGGTCAACGGACCAGACTTGACATGTTGCTCAGGACTGAACCTTTGAAGCGAGGTTCGGGGGCAAGCTCCCAGATGCAGGTGGTGCGGTCGATCCATGCTGACAGCAGCTTGTACTGTGTTATGTCTGGAGCACAGTTACCATCCAATGCAGAGACGTGCATTGGACCTATTGGCGATAGCGGGAATGCATCCCAACCATGACTGGCAGACAGTTGATAGCGGCGGAGGTATTCGATAACCGCAGAGTGGGGTTGAAAGGCTCCGCAATAGACGCAGACGAAAGCAAAATCCTGGAGGCTGGGAAACGGATGGGTCCCGTTAGTTAGTTTGTAAGGGAAGTTAAGAGAAAGCGCGTGAGAGAGGGAGACTGTAAATAAATTCTGGCCAATACAGCAGGCCATGAGACGGGACTTCTCTTGGACGCTAGTAACTTCTCATTAAGCCTAAGAAGAACGAAAGAAGATGAAGGTCATGCATGAGAGAAGGGGCCGACAAATAGAACGAAGGGAACAAAATGAAGCACATGAAGTGTAAGATATATTTTAAAACAAATTAGAAAATATGTAGCCTTTTGTTTCAACTCTTTTTTTTTTTTTTAAGGACCAGGAGACATTCGACAGAAATTAAAATTCATTAAAACCCCACAGACAGGACATCAGGTTTCTGCATCCACAAGGCCAGACAGACTAATGCCACCACCGCGCTTGTGAACCAGTTAGTACTACATCGTCATGTAGTAGAGCAGGGCTAGACAGCGTTGCCGCTTAGTTTCATTGACGGGTCAACTCTCCGGTGGTTAACAGATATTATTAGTAGTCATTGCTGCCAGTAGGATGTGTTGTAACATTTGATCGATACAGACAATGGTCCATGCACGAAAACTATCGGCATGCAGGAGCAACGCCCCGCCGATTTGAATCAACCGTCAGCCGTAGTCGGAGATTGTCCTGCATGGACACCTTGTGAAGGAGAATCCATTGAATTTAGAATTCTTCTTCTTCTTCTTTTTTTTTTGGAATTTCTATGCCCGAAGGATGAGGAGCCATAAGTGAAGTAGATGACAGCTCGCGGGACAAGAGATGAAGTAGTTGAAGGAGAGGGAGGAACATGAACAGAAGATGCTGAAAAAAGGGGAAGGGAAAAAAAATAAAAAATAAAGACGGTGGCGCGTCCTGACTTTTCCCTGTGCTGTACGCGGGAGGATAATGAACCTTCTACCTAGGTACCTTAGTGGGACACGTTAGTACTTCCAGAGTATTATTACTACTTACCTCCAAAGTCCAAACAAAGTACCCAGTACCTTGGTCAGAGGTTTCCAGTCACCTTCGGACAGGTGGGACAGGATTGTAGCCCCACCTCCCAGGTACCCGTCACGCTTGTATCTACACAGTATTCAGAAAATCCAGACTGTGGTACGATACCGGCCTGCAGCTTGTACCTGGAAAGACCCGAGGAAACGTCAACCGTATGTACAGAGTATGTATGTAATTAATATACAGACGGATACATCCAACATGAACATTGAATATCCTCGATATGCGTCTCTCTAGAAAAAGACCGACTGGATCGAGCCTGTGTCTCTATTCTATTCTATCTAGGTTGGATATGTGAGGGGTTATTCGTGCTCTACATTAGACAAATCCTTCAATGCGGGTGTAATCTATATTGATTTTCAAGAAGGATATTAGGTGAACAAAGGAAAGAAAAAAAAAAACAAAAACAAAAAAGATCACGAAATAGCCTATTTTCCATCTACAACCAAATAATTTCTATCCTCTTAACATACCACATAAGTACTCTCTTGTCCGTCACGGTAACACCACCCGTTCATGCATCATTTGGATGTCGAGGATTTGACGTGCATCCGCCTGTCACCAGAATAGAAGCTGACTGGTTTCAGTGGCTCCGCCAATGGATTTTTCTTCGTTGCGAATTGGTTCTGTGATGTTTTTAGGTCCAATGGTTACCCGCCCCAACCAGGGCCTTCCTCCGACTCTCTTTCCATTTCTTCTTTTTTCTTTCCTCCTGAGGGGATTTGGATCTGAAGAATCCTAGAAAAACTAACCACAAAACAAAGATGATGATGACTATGCGAAGGAGGGGAAATAGGAGAAAGAATAAATTGAAATGTTAAACAGATGACGATTTATCATCGCAGCTAACTAATTCCCTCCCCATGCAGATCTCTTCTCGCCAACTGACACTCTCCCTAGCCACCTTAGATGGAAGCTGCATTGCGCAGGATACTACTAACTAGCTTGGGCTATTCGGTCTTTTCATGGCCTGTGGATTTGACTCAAGTCCGTCAGGTTCGGAATCTGTTGGAAAGCAGCCGCTCGCTTGATCCATGCACGTCTTTGTTGTGTTCGTAGGAGAACCTCGAGATATAAGCGTCTGAGATTAACCCAGCGACTCCATACTGAAGGATCCCAGGAGCTCATGCTGTGGCTCCTCTCATCAGTTCTATTCCACACGTTCCTAAAACAATCCATTCCCCCTTTCTTCTTTATTTTTTTATTTATTTATTTTTTTTTGGATTTTTTTTTCCCTTAAGGGAAAAAAGGACTAACTTTAGTTGTAGTTTCACTCGTTGAAGCTTGCTTATCTTTGCAACAGTTAATATCGCCTCATCTGCGTTGCTATCGTACTACTGATATATCCTCGATGGCGCTTCTTCACGCTCCCTTTAGACGCGAGCTGGGCTATCTACAATCTACGAGCCTTTATTTTACTAAGTTCCCGTTTCTCTGTCATCCTTATGCCGACAAATAAATAAATTACATGCATTGATAAATATACTTTTAATCTCCCCTCACCAAGTCCGCGGAGATGAACAGAATCACATTTGCGGAGGAAGAAAAATGCCAGTCTATGAAAGTGAAGTGGTTGGAAAAGTCGTTCAGACTATCTACAACTTTGGATCGAAGGCAAATTTCCATGTCCCCTTCCACCCCATCGCTTTGAAATTGCCACACTTCACGAGTCGAACGAATAGCTCGGGAGAAGGGCATTAAGAAGAGCAACCACCTGGGAAGAGCTAGTGAATTACTGGTTGAACCTTTTTGCATTTTTTCTTTTTCTTTTTCTTTTTCAAATGAGATCTCCACTGCAGTGAAGGCATGCGCAATTGATTGATTGATTGATTGAATAGTGAGAGAATCCCGGGCGAGAAGGGATTCGAGAGCTTTAGAAGTGTATAAAAAATGAGAAAAATCCCTTGATTCCTTTTCCTTTTTACTGGATATTTTTTTTCTTGGCGCGGGTAAAAAAAAAAAAAGACGTGGACGTTGTTCGACGGTGACTTTGGACTTTGGTTCACACTTTGCTCCTTTGGACGGCGTCGTGATTTTCTCGCTTTCTTTCTCCCCCTCTCACGATTTTCCATCCCGTGCCGCAGCTTCTTCCTCCCTCCCTCCCCTACAGAGTACTCACACATACTCTCTATCCATTTAACTATTTTGCTCATCCCGACCCTTCCACCTCTTCCCCTCCAGCGCATTCTCCCGCTGGCTCCGATAATTGGCGCGCGCCGTCCGTGTCGTCATGTCACCCCATGACTACGCGGACCGTCAGTCTGAATCCGTAGCGGATGGGGTGACCGCAATGAAGCTGGAGACTGACGGCACCCCGGATACTCCCATCCTTAAAAGCGGCGATGCCATGGCCAGGGATGACTCCAGTAGAGCATCGAATTCACCTCCCACAATTGCTCAGAATGGCTTGGGTGCATCGGCGGTCAAATCGCGGTCCTCTTCGCAGACGCCCATCAAAAAAGAAGGAGATGAACTTGATGGCCCTGCTTTCATCGCGGAGGGGAAAATCGGAGGCGATATTACGGTTAAGATGGACCCTGGGCAGCCTCCAAAATTGACTCGCAGCTCTTCACAGAAGGTGGTTCCGCAGCCACCCCAGTTGTTCTCGCATTTACCAGATCGTACTGTGGAAGCTCAGTCTACTTTTGAGCTGATGGATACTTGTTCGTATGCCAACAAATACATGGGATATACAGAACATGCGATGGAATGTGACTGTGCTGAAGAATGGGGTAGGTCGTCCAATTTCCCCTCTCCCCTGACCCCTTCAAGGCTTTCTTTGCACGTTCCCCTCCCCCTTTTCTACGGATGTCACATAGTACGGATCCTAAAAAAAGGATGGTAAAGAAAATCGAATCGCTCGACTTCTCTGTTTCACAGTCCCGTACTTGATGGTCTTTTTAAACCCAGCCATTTCTTCTTGTCTTTCTTTCCTTACTTTCCCCTTCTCCAACATGCTATCCAATTCTATTGTGAGATGGATAAAAAACAAAAAAGAAAAAAGAAAAAAAAAAGGCTTGTGTTGGAATATTTCTCTCTAACTCAAATCAGAATCGACCATCGGCAAAAACCTGGCATGTGGAGAGGACTCCGACTGTATCAACCGCGCAACCAAGATCGAATGTATGGGAGATTGTGGATGTGGTCCGGAATGCCAAAATCAACGATTTCAGCGCAAAGAGTACGCTCCGGTGGCCGTCATCAAGACCGAAAAGAAGGGGTTTGGTCTGCGTGCCGAGGCGGACCTGCGACCGCATCAGTTCATCTTCGAATATGTGGGCGAAGTTATCAACGAGGGCCTATTTCGACGTCGTATGCGGCAGTATGATATGGAAGGAATCAAACATTTTTATTTTATGTCCCTCAGTAAGGGCGAATTTGTCGATGCGACTAAAAGAGGCAATTTGGGGCGATTCTGTAACCACTCATGCAATCCCAACTGTTATGTCGACAAGTGGGTGGTCGGGGAGAAGCTCCGAATGGGCATCTTTGCCGAACGAAGCATTCAGGCGGGCGAAGAGCTTGTCTTTAACTACAATGTGGACCGCTACGGAGCCGACCCTCAGCCCTGCTATTGTGCGGAACCCAATTGCACCGGTTTCATCGGTGGGAGGACACAGACAGAACGTGCAACTAAGTTGTCGAATGCTACAATTGAGGCCTTGGGTATTGATGATGCGGAGAGCTGGGATACTGCAGTAGCGAAGCGCCCGCGTAAGAAGAAGATGGGCGAGGATGATGAAGAATACGTCGATAGCGTGCAACCCAAGTCTCTGGACGAGAACGGCGTCACCAAAGTCATGGCGGCTTTGATGCAGTGCAAGGAGAAATGGATCGCAGTCAAGCTTTTGGGTCGGATACAACGTTGTGACGATGAGCGTGTTCGCAATCGTGTCGTTAAGATGCATGGGTATCAGATACTCAATTCTCAACTGACCATGTGGAAGGAAGATACCAATGTTGCACTGCAAATTTTGGACATCTTGGATGGATTCCCTCGCCTGACACGCAACAAGATCATCGATTCGAAGATCGAGTCTACCATCCAGCCGCTGACAAACTGCGGGGAGGAGCGGGTAGAAAAGAAGGCGACCACACTGTTGCAGAGTTGGTCAACGCTTGAGGTTGGTTATCGTATCCCTCGGATGAAAAGGGATCCAAATGCGTCTGCACAGGCTGTCAATCAGTTCGAGCGACGAGAGACGACCGTCCGTGATGAACGACGACGGTCCAAGTCGCGCACCCGGTCAAGATCGAGATCAATCGAGGCACCTCGCGGGCCGGCTTCTCAAGGCCGTGGGGGGCATGGTCCACGAAATTCCCACCATCACGGCCCCAGGTCATTTCGGCGTCAATTCAACCCACTTCCGGCAGGATGGTTTGCTGCCGAGTCGAACGGTAGGACATATTACTACTCTGCACGGGGTGAGACCACGTGGACACGCCCAACGATGCCAGCACCACAGCCTCCTCCACCACCAAAGGAGGCAAGAGACAAGGCGCTGCAGGATATTATTGATGGCATCATGAACGCCAAGGAAAATACGCCAAAAGAGAAGAGTGGCACGCCCATCACGCCGCAAGCGTCCAAACCTACCCCAGATACGAAGGAAGGGCAGGAGAAGTGGAGGAGTTACAGCGAGGAGAAACGGAAGAAGCTTTACGAGAATACGGTGAGTGTCGAGTAGCAGGTGCCCGTGAGACAAGATGAGACTAATTTCGCCTCAGTTGTTTCCCCACGTGAAATACGTGGTGGACAAGTTCAAACACAAACTTCCGAAAGATGATCTAAAGCGATACGCCAAAGATGTGAGATTAGCAACCCTCCTCCGCACCCGGTCAATGACGATGCATGCATACCTAACACAGACATGTACACAATAGGTGGCTAAGAAGCTGGTCAACTCGGACTTCAAGAACAACCGGGTGGAAGATCCCACGAAAATCGACGAAAAACAGCAAAAGAAAGTAAAGAAATTCTGCAAGGAATTCTTCGACAAAGCCGTGGCGAAACATCGAGCCTATGAACACCGGAAGGCTCAAATGCAGGCCAAGGAGACGGAATCGAAGACGGATGATACGCCGCAAGTCCCCAGCGACGACGAAGCCGAAGACGTCAAGCTCTCTGACGACGAAGGGGACAAGGTCGGGGAGAAGGAGAAATCTGCGAGCGTAGAAGACGCCCAACTCGGCGTAAAAAGGAAACGAGAAGAGGAGTCCAGTGCAGGTGATGGATCTCACGACGACGAAGCCACTTCGTCTTCCAAACGACAACGATCGTCAACACCGCCGCCCCCGCCACCCCCGCCGCCTCCGGACGAGGACAACGATAATCGCGAGGAGGATATGGTCGACTTGGTGGATCCGAATCGATACCATTCCCATGCTCTATCCAATGGGGGATATACTAATAATGATGATAATAATAACCTCCAGCGATCGCAATTCGGCATTGAGGGAAAAGTATAGCTATTGTAGCAGATGAGGCGGCGGCCCGATTCGTTTTCTATGACTTTTCCTCCTGTATAAGCATTTCAGATTGGAGCGCAAGGCGTTGATTCTTCTCCGTATTATACCTTTATTTTTTTATTATTTTACTTTATTTATTTTTATCTTTTTTTTACTTTCTTCTTATTATTTTTTTCCCCTCAACTTATCCTGTCAATACCCCGATTTGCGCTTGTTATATTTGCATCCCGGTAGAAAGATGGTTTCAAAGGCTAAAAGGCAGTGGCAGATCTGACCGCTAGCTATATTCTAAGTGTACAACTAAAAAAGGACGAGCAGAAGAGAGGAAAAGTAACCCCGGGCTTGAGACAGGATCCTTTCATTTGGGGTGGCCTGTCCAGATTGATTTAGTCTACGAACGTTCTATCTACTTTAGGGATTCACTCGCTCGCTTTGTACATCTATCACACGTATTAATTAAATCAAACGAATTTCTGAATTCTTGCGGGGATCAGGAAGGAAAAGTGCAAACGGATAGAGATGGAAGAGAATCTTTGTTTCCTTCTATCTTCTCTCTCCACATCGTTCGTCCCATCCATTCATTCATTGCATTACGTGACATGGTAGTTAGATGATTGTTAGACAATCGAGTCCCAACGATCCGGATATATCATAACAACGAAAATAAATAAATAAAAAGAAATAAAATAAAAGGTAGAAATAGTCGCACAAATCCTAACCCCATACCCGATTCGAGGATTTAGTAGAAACTCTCCACAATGCTTTCCTTGTTGGCATTGCCCATACCCACGCCCCGAGGGCCCATCTCGCCCAACCGGAACACACTCTCAATTACACTCAGCTCGGTAGCGGTTGTATCCAGTCCGGTCACTGCCAGCCAGTCGTTGACGACCATACCTGCGCCAACAACGGAACTACCCCGGTTGACACTACCGGCGACCAGGGGCACCTGCAACAGCGAGGAGAGCTCGTCTTGGTCACGGATCGAAGTCTTGGGATGCACAATACCACCCTGGTTGGAGAGGGCCATATACGAGCCGGTCAGGACGTTGTCGGCAACGGTATGTCGGAAAACTTCGACTCCAAGGACGTCGGCAATACTAGAATCCAGGTTAGTATATACATACATATGTATATATTTTGGTGGGAGAGAATCTGGATCATACATTTCTTCTGTCTCTCGCTCCAGATCCGGATGGATCAACGCCACATGGTCATTGCAGCAGATCACATTTCCCAGTGCCGAAAGACGCTCTTCTATCCGTTGGATTTTGACCGAATCTGGCAGTGTGTTCCGTAGATGCTGCAGTTCTTGGTCTGTGGTGGTGGTGGGAACCAAAAGGCCGTTGCGATTGCTATGTCGAGAAAAGCTCAGCAGCTGCACAAAAACATCAAAGTATACTAACGTACCCCGCTGTTAGACGGCCAACAATTCGAGTTCCGGCAATAGTGGCATGACAAATTGGAATGACATCTTGCAATTCCGCCTCAAATATGCTACGAAGGCGTCGGGGTTAGTGGTCTGCTACCCAGCCCCGTTCCACGGCGGTATAACCGTACCTGTAGAAGTTTTCGGACGCCCCGATGGCAACAATCGCATATGAATTGGTGAGGCGGGAAAAAACACCCACTCTGCGCAAAGGATCACATTGTTAACAAATACGCACACATATACGTCCACATGGCTCAAGAAGTTCCAGGAAATTCGAAAGCGACCAGGTACTCACTCGTTGGAGTTCTCGAACTGTGCGCGGACCGCCATGCTGAAATAGGTAACGGTTGTATGGTCGGAAATGGAGGAAATTTTGAGGAGAGTAGGTTTGTTCGAAAGAGAACAAGTCTCTGGATCAACGAGGAGGGGGGGGGGAAGGGAGAGGGACTACGGTGAAAGAGGGCGCTAACAAGCCGCAGGGAAAGATGAACGAGTGCAATTAAATATATGCAGTCAGACGAGGCGAAAGAAAGACGGCAGAATGTGGAAATCCTCGAAACCGCCCTGCCGAGGGACACTAGGCCCGATCGGGGCAAGGAGTCATCGGGCTGAGTCATCGTGATTAACAGTTAGTCAGTGCCGATCATTCCTTACATGTCAATGCTCAGCAAAGTTGAAGTTATACAGTTGATCCCCAACCCCAGAACAAAAAATGCTGCACCCGTAATCTTCGTAATACGAAAAAAGAAAAATCAAACAGGAAATAGACAAAAATGGATCCATCGCAAAATCCATTCATGTCCATAAAAGACTATTCCACCAACATAAGCGCTCCTTCTGCGCCCAATTCCAGTAACCAAAAGCACCCCCAAGTTACAGGCAGGGAAACTCCCCGCGGTCTCATTAATAGGGTGGACGAGGGCCGGGCGGAGGTGGTGGAAAATACAAGGGCGAGGGATGATGGCCTGCTAGGTAACCCGGCGGCGGAGGCCGTTGAAAGTTGGATCCCGGGGGAGGGGGAAGTTGGGGGGGACCCCCTCTTGAGGCAAATGGGTCAGGCAGTCCAAGCTGCTCATTAATTGGGGGAATCTGCTGCGCAGCAGGGAGTAGTCGACGGGAGCCCTGTCGATGGGGGGTCGGAGGTGGCAAAACAAATGGTCGAGGATCGGTCGGTCCATGAGCCACCTGCGGCTGGGGGAGGATATTCCGATGCGCTGGCAGGCGCGGAGTCGCCTGTGATATGGAGGGCCGAGGTAGCTCGGCCGCCGCGATATCAGCCAGTGCAGATAATGCCGTCGGACGCACATTGGCGACCACAGGGGGGGCTTGTTTCTCGATCGCACCACCCTGCCGCACCTCAACAATTCCTGTCGCTTGAAGCAGGAGGTCAATGATCTCCCGGGCAGACAGGCCAGAAAACGGCCCAGCATTGCCCATCTCCTTCATCTGCGGATCAATGTCGTCACCGAGTTTGGCACGCTGCACGAAATCATCCCAGCCAGCATGGCCTCGCTCGTAGGCAGCCGCCCCAGCCGTATCTTGGACAAAGGAGGAATTGAAGCCCCGTACAAATTCCTTGGCCGGTGGAATTATGGGCCCTCGTTCGGCCTCAGTCTCCGAACCGTCGGTCTAATCATTTTCTACATCAGCTCCTAGCCCTGATAACATTGTTGTTGCTGCGGCAGCGGCGGCGGGCTTACCTCTGTGTGTTCATCGTCTTCTGCCGCGCGGCGCCCCTCCACGAAAGCCATATAATCCCCTTGGCTCGCGTGAAAGTGCTCCTCCTGGATGTTCCGTGCTGCTGCCTGTAATCCGCTACTGTTAGAGAGATCTCACCTTTCCAAGTCGAAAAGACACCTTTACAAAACCTACCCTAAACCTCTCTTCGATAGCTTCTTTGTTTGCCGTAAACAACCTGTTCTCCTGCTCCACTTTGAGTTCATATTCACGATAAAATACTTCCAATCTTCCCCGAAGTCTATCCTTTAGGAGGGAACTGATCTCGTCGTATTCAGGGACATTTATGTGGGCATTCTTATCGAGAGAGAGCTTTTTCTCTGACTGGGAGGCCAGCACAGCCAACGCCAGTCGCTGGGCGGCTGCCAGTCGCCTGAATGCCTTGTCAAGTTCGCGCTGCCGATCCCGTAGTTTCTGGGTGGCTGCACTTGGGGACGGGGAACGTTCGAGCTCGACATCGCTTGAACGATCGTACTGACGACCCGAACGACCCCCTCGAGCACTTCGAGTACTGCCCCGCCCTCGTTTGCTCGATGCGAACCGCGCAGCAGCTCTGCTACGCCCACCGCGCCCTCGACCCCGATTACGACTAGGTCGAACAACCTTGGCCACTGCAGGTCCTGTAGCAATTTCCGATGTAGACCCCTCGGCCTCTTCCGTGATTTGACGGGATTCAGTGTCGGTTTTGTTTTCCGCCGCACCATCGGCGGGAGATTGAGATTCTGTTTTCGCATCAGGACCACCCTGCAGTTGCTGCTCCAGGTCCTGCACGCCATCCTCCAATTTGGGCTTCTTGCTGGGGGAGTCAGCCAAGTTGGCAGGATCTGCCGCATTAGGGCCCTCGATCTCTGAGGATTTACGCTTTCGTTTTGCCAACGGACTGGTGGGCTTGGTTGTAGGGCTCACAGCCTCGTCAGCCGCCGCCAACATACTAGCTTCGTCGTTGTCTTTTTGGGCAGCCGGCACTTCTCGGACCTCCTCCACAGGTTGTGAAGGTCCGGCACTCGGGGCCCGAGAAGCTTCTGCATCCATAGGTTTGGTCTCCTTGTCATTCTCTGCAGTGGTGACACTTCGAGGAGATACCTTGACCACTGTAATGGCAGCATCGGGGGCGCCGTCATAGACTGGTTCTTTGGTCTCATCCACAGTTTGTCGGCTCCGTTTGCGAGTTCTACTGACAGAAGCGATACTCACCGAGGGGCTTGCTTCCTCGGGTCGCTTTGGTGCAATATCTGCCTCTGAAGGAGCATTCTCACCTGCCACGGGATGGAAATGTGGCCGGAGTCGGGCGGACTGCCTCGTTGTCCTTGGCGTTTCTTCCGCCACCGATCCCCGTTTGACCCGCTTGGATCGTGGAGTCTCTGGTACATTTGAGGAGGCTGTACCATCAACCTGGGTCGAAGCCACTGGTGCCGCAGGAGCAGCAGCGCGAGTTCGAGAAGCACGCGTTTCACGAGTGGTACTCTTGGAGCTATTTGCTACAGCGCTCGCATTGTGGGCAGCGGTATTTGCTCGAGCTGCGCGAGTACTAAGTGTGATGATACGGGATGGGCGGCTAGGGCCACTTTTGTTGTTATTGCTGTTGTTAGTTGGAGTTTGAGTGTTGCTTTTATTATTTTCAGTTTGGTTGGCACGGGCATCCTGACTTGCACGAAGGCTTCGAGTCACACGAATGTGAGACGTATCTCCAACCGCAGAGTCTATGGCTTAATGAGAAGATGACGGACAGTGGCAGGAAGTCCACGGAGAACTTACGATGGATGTTGAGAGGCGTAGATGGAGGGCCGCCAGAAGACATGGTAGCAGACCCCTTGGGAGCCTCAATTTTACGCTTGACCCCGGCCATCGCTATACCCTGTGACTTCGTATGAGTATTCAGGATAAGTCGGGAGAGAACCGAACGTAGTAAGGGAAGAAGAGAGAATCAAAATAAAAAAAATTCTCGGCAGCGCGAGAGACGTATTGCAGGGAGGACATGGCATCCAAGGGGCAGAGGAAGAGGAAAACGGCGGAATTTGATAGAGACGGGGATAGTTAAGGTCGTAGAGGGGTCTGGAAAAGGATAGACAGAGATACAGAATGTATTCGGCTGAAATGTAGAGTTGAAAAGTAACACTAGTTTAAAACAATCTGCGATTCAGGTGTGGGAAGTATAGTTTCTGACAGAATCGCGTCACGAAACACTCGATAGTGGGTGTTGCGGACGGGGATGCAAAAGAGCATAGGGGAATAAAGACTGAAAGAAAACAGTAGTCGGGGGTGGTTGTGATCGTGCAGATGGAATGCAAGAGAATGTGTTGGCGATAATCATAACTACAAGACAAGGAAAGGGGAAAAAAAAGAAAAAACTAAAACAAAAAAAAAATTTAGGATACAGCATCAGGAGTTGCACGTACCAATTGCGTAGATGCGATGAAGAGTCAAAGGGGACCCCAAGACGACAAAGTTAGAGAATAAAGAGACGAAGGTCCTTTAATCTGATCGAAGGTAGTCTAAGTCGATCAGAAGTCGAAGCAAGCAATCGAAGTCAAAGTAAGTAGTAGAGTAGTAGTGAGTTGTAGTAAGTAGAGTAGTACTACTACTGTATGGAGTGGAGGAAGGCAGAAAGTGGTTCGGCCCAGTGGATCAATGAGAAGAGTAGATTTGGGTCGCCGGAAGAAGTAGTCGCATCAACGGCAGGCATATATGGACTGGAATCGGAGGAGATTTTCGGGGGGGGTGGGAAGGGAGAGACAGCGTGAAAGTGAGTGAGAGAGGAGAGAAGGAGAGAAAAGAGAGAGAGAGAGAGAGAGAGAGAATGGCAGAGAAACAATCCAATAAGAAGATCGATGATCACGACAACAGTTGTTGATTGATCTCCATGAATAGACACTTTTCCAATGACAAGCAGAAGAAGCAAAAGAGAAAAATACGAGTAGGAAGCGAGATGAGAAGAAAATCAATCGAACAAGCAATACACGAAAACTGAGGTAATTCTTCTGGGTCAATCCATCAATCCGACATCAATCAATCGAAGATGAGTGGTAAATAGGAAAGACAAGCCAGTCCGGTAGAAGGAGATGATGATAATGATTCTGATTATTGATGGATGGATGATGAGGTGGTTTACTCCTACTTACTCTGTACGGTAGTTACTAGTTCGAAGATCCAGCAGAGCCCGCAGCGGTGGCGCAAGTAGCCGGTCTCGGATACACACAGGAGTAAATCGTCAGGAGGATGAGAAGAGCAGGAGGAGGTATGAGTGAGCAGTCTGGATATACAACGAGATCCAGGACGAAGACTAAGTCAGAGAAAAGACGAAAAGGAAGCAAGGAATGAATGAATGAATGAGTTTTTTCCCCTCAAATTCCCTTCGATTGGTCTGTTGTGGTAAATACCAGGTATCCAACCGTATGAGGTATTACCACCAGTACGGTACGGATACCCGGAATAAGCAATCCTTCTATGAAATTGGAAGAAGATTCACCATCAAAAAGGATGAGAAAATAAGATTTCTTCTATATAGAAGGTCTCTATAGTGGTTAAATTCTTTATCAGTGGACTAGACAGCAACACGTATGGATATTGACTGCCTTCCGACAAACCTCGTCATCGTTGTTATATATATATGCTTACACTTCCATCTATTAAGTATAGGGACACACCCATATTTCTGAGGAATCATTGTGGACAGTAGAATCCTCTCGCAATTGTCTAACATCCTATACCCCACTCTGATACTAGATCGTCCTTGGAAGAAATGGCAGCCTCGACCGCCATTTCCTAGATGCCTCTCACCTTCAGTTCACCCTCCATCTACCAGGGGGGCACAGTCACAAGGATATCAGATTGAATTTTCTCAGTATCAGTCGGAACCAGAGGGTAACACAACCATGTTGTACATTGCACCTACTCTGTATTCCAAGTTACACGGCTCTGCAGGTTGTCGAGACATCGATTCAGAGCCCCTGTCAGCCACATCTATGTATAGACTATGTCAACGTTCCATTCGACGAGAAATTCCTAAGCCCCAGTAGAATCCAACCCCAGCCATTTCTTGGTGCAAGAGCAAAAGAGACTAACAATCCATCTCTTCTAGATTTATCCGCACCGATTACTGTCTCCATATAGAACAACATGGGATATAAAAAAAAGGAAATAAATAAATGTTATATCAAAATAGATTAATATTAATATAAAGAAAAATAAATCTAGAATATCTTCGGACCAAGGAAATATACAGGGGAAAACATATCGGCAGGATCTCCCCTCCAGCTCTAGCTTGCATGAGGGGACTCATGAACAATCATACTTTTCTCATACCGCTTGATGGTCCTCCGCACATCCGCAGCCATGATGAAGCTGGTATTGTGGGCTGACGATGACTGCGGTGGTGTTCACCAGAGGACCTTCGCGTTAGGCTCAGCTTTGGCCGGCTGAACCATTTGCTCAAAGAGCGGCGACTGGCTTCGTGGTGGATGAGCCTGAAGGGAATGTACCGACGTGACCCGGTTCAAAGTCTGCACGGAGATGGTCTGCCCGGACGCCGATGATGCAATCACAATGGTGCCCGGCGTTGGCGTCTGGGCCGGCGACGGGCTGTCGCTACGGAAAAGTGGATGGATATTACTTTCGTCAGTGACACTCAACGTTGGAAGCGGACCCCCCGGGAGTTGTCTATCTGGAGCGAATGGGCTGCCGGCGACGAGCGTTCCGAAGGAGACCAGATCCTGAGGCTGTCTAGCGACCGTTTGACTTCTGAATAACTTTGCTGGAGATATACTGACCCTCGGTTCTGATCAGATACCACGGTACAACTGTCTTGGTATTCGAGGCCGTCCTAACCTTTGATCTGTGCGACACGCATTCGGCGTAGTATAGAAATAGTGGTTCCCGTCAAGGGAGCAGTGTTTGGATTCCGGCTGGGTCAGAGTCCGACCAGAATACCGATTGGATATCAGTGATACTACACTCGAAACAGATGGTTGGGCTGATGCGGATGGACCAAGGCTCGTCTTTTAGTCCGTAGCTAGTCGTTGCGATCCCTGATGATCAAAGACGGCATCTTCGAGGGGCAGTGGGGTCTCATACTGGATTGATCAGGAAGAATCGCAAGCTCTTGTAAAATTGAACTCGGCCATTGGCTCTCGTTTCGTCACCGACATCGTGAGATAGCTCCCAAGGTGGCTTGGGTAAGGACGGAAATCGCCCACACCACACAGCGGACAACAATTAGAGACTGTTGTCGTGAGGTCAAAGATGACTGTCCGAACTCTGATACGGACTGGACTGAACTCCACGCTATCACTTCTGCCGTGATCTCTGTGCCCAAGGGAAAGTAGGCAATCGTAATGTTGTATGTGGCCACCCACAAGCCTTTCCACTACTTGCTAAGATAGGCCATAGTATAGTAGCGTCTTGATTGGAGAGTATTATTCTGATTAACGATAGGATGCATTATCAGCAGTCAAAGAGGGTTTTCGTCATAGTCTCATCATAATATATCAGGGCAGCATGTCAATCTCGCTTCAGAAACAATCAAAATATACGAACGTTAGAGTAAAGTGGTAATGAGAGCAGAAGAACCAGAATAGAGGGACGCTGGACGAGGGGATGACTGGGGAAAATATGGGATAGACCTGTACTCCAGTGACCCGGTAAGACCGAAAGTATATCTCTCAGACCCAGAAGAGAGCGACGCGGGAAATCAGTTCCCCGAAAGTACTTGGATTGCCCTGCATGATATCGTTCGAATGGGGACTGGGATCAGGACAAGGGGAAGTACTGTTGTTAGATCAGTTGTGCCTCTCATAAAGGGGGGGGAATCTAGAAGAAGGGGCACTAATGATATTGTTGGAACTGGGGGGTAGCTAAAAAAAAAAAAAAAAAAAAAAAGAAAGAGAGAGAGAGAGATATGAAACTAATCCATGTAGGAAGTACGTACGACAAACTTTCACGCCCTAACCCTCACGGCATTGCAACGGGTTTCGTATTCTCTCTCTCACGTTGGGATACAACGCAGTACTCCGTACTATAATCTCGATAATTCAGAATAGTAACAATTAGCCTCTGTAGGCGGTGGTGATATATTCAAAAGTGATCACACATGCGCCCTTTTTCGCACATGAAATCTAGCCCACATGCCTGGAAAACAGTCTGCGAGGTGACCCTCGTCCCGAATAAAATAAATAAATAAATAAAACAAAGCAAAAAATAAGGGGCTTTTTTTCACGACAGCCATCTGGATAATTGAAGGTGCATGGAAAGCGTCCAGAAGTTGATTGTCGATGCTGTACAGAACAGCCGGGATGATCACCAGCGTCCTGGGGCAGCCCTAAACAATTGATTGTCGATGATCATTCCAGGATAGGATAGTGGTTATACGGACGGACAGAAATCTCCGATCCAGGAATGCGATCATTCGTATTGCTCTGACGGAAATGTGGTGATGTTGAGTCTTGAGAAACCGAGGATGCAGGAGCTGCCCTTAATCTGGCCCATTAGAGAAGAGATCTCGAACCCATCCATGGTGTTCTTTGACACCCGTATGGAGTACAATGGTTCAACATTAGTCTGAATTGGAGGACGATTCCTGTATGTATGTATTATCTCTATCTACTACTAAATGTATAGATTGAGGAGACCCCATCTACCCGGACGGGTTTTGGTCCTTACAATGCTGAATAGTCGAATGGCAAGAACTAGAAGGATCGACCATAATGCCGGATGCACACAATCCCAGATCCTAAAGATCTTTGACGAGTGATATATCTATGGAGTAAATACAGAGTAACATAGTACTGCGCCATGGCTTAGCGAGGGGTGTGGCTGGAGGTGTGGCGGGAGCAGAGGGTCACCGCCTGGGCTGCTCGTCATCGTCGTTACTCTCCCACCACTTGCTGTTCTTTCGCTGTCGACCTGGTCATCTCTCTCCCGCGATTTGCCTGCTTTAGTCTTCCATTGACTGGACTATCTCGCAACTCGATCGAAGCGCGTCCGTCGTCATTTTCCTGCCTCCCAGGGCCTCTTTTTCCTTCAACCCACCTTTTTAAGCCATCTCTGGTTCTTCGGTGGCGCAAAATGAAGCTCACGTTCAAAGTATGCAGCGTTTATCTATGCTCCTCCAACCCCCCAAACAACATACTCATCATGGTTTCTGGTATCTGACTTGTTTCTCTCATCTAGGACCTGAAGCAGCAGAAGTTTGTAATCGATGCAGACCCGTCAGAGACGGTAAGCCGAGACTCCTTTTTCGTCAATAGCTTGTCTAGTGCGGGGCTGAAGGTGCTAATCTTTATTTAGGTCGGCCAAGTAAAGGAGAAGATTTCCAAGGAAAAAGGCTGGGAAGTTCCTCAACTGAAGCTTATCTACTCCGGTGAGTTGACAGGACTCCTTCGCTGTCATTCCTGATCGATTCAGCTATCAAGGATGGCTGTGCCGCCTGAGCCAAGACCCTCATTTTACCTATCCCAGCTGACAACTGTGGGCTTCAATAGGAAAAATTCTGCAAGATGACAAGACGATCGAAACATACAACATTGAGGAGAAGGGCTTCATAGTGTGCATGGTGTCCAAGGTAAAAACGTCATCCCCCTGTCTCTCTGGGGATCATCGTGGCTGACCCGTCTTGCCTTAGCCCAAGGCTTCTTCGTCCACTGCCACCCCATCACAGGCCCCTTCCACACCTTCAAGAGCCGCTGCTTCGACGCCCGCTGCACCTCCCGCCCCGGTTCCATCTACGAATACCTCCGCACCGGCTGCCCCTGCAACTCCTTCCCCGGCTGCGGCTGCTGCCGGCCAGACGCCGTCTTCATCCTTCAATGATCCCTCGGCGCTGTTGAGTGGTTCCCAAAGCGAACAAGTCGTTGCTCAGATGGAAAGCATGGGCTTCCCAAGGTCGGATATCAACCGTGCGATGAGAGCTGCTTTTTTCAACCCCGACCGTGCTATTGAATACCTTTTGAATGTGAGTCCCATAGTTAACCCCCCCGGGCCCCAAAAAATTTTTATGCTCCTGTTTCTTTGCTAATGCATTCTGTTTCCCCCCATGCAGGGGATCCCAGATAATATCCAACAGGAGGAGCAGCAGCAGCAACAACAACAACAACAGCAGCAGCAGCAGCAGCAGCAGCAGCAGCAGCAGCAGGCTGACACTGCCACTGCTGCTACTGCACAAGAAACACCTGCTGCCTCTGGAGAGGGTGCTGCACCCGCCACGACTGGTGCTGACGAGCCAGTTAATTTGTTTGAAGCTGCTGCTCAGGCCGGTGGTCAGGAGGGTGGACGTGGAGCTCGTGCTGGGGGTGCTCCGGGCACTGGTGGTGAAGGACTCCCAAGCCTTGATTTTCTTCGGAATAACCCCCACTTTCAGCAGCTGCGGCAGCTAGTCCAGCAGCAGCCGCAAATGCTCGAGCCGATTCTCCAGCAAGTAGCTGCTGGCAATCCCCAAATTGCACAACTTATCGGACAAAATGAGGAGCAATTTCTTCAACTCTTGAGCGAGGAGGATGATTCCGCGCTTCCCCCTGGTACGCATCAGATCCATGTTACTGAGGAAGAGAGGGATGCCATTGAACGTGTATGTACCTCGTACCTCTTATTCCACCCTCCCTCCAGTAAGGCGTGAAACTAACCAAGGAACTAGCTTTGCCGCCTCGGATTTTCGCGGGACTTGGTCATCCAGGCCTACTTTGCTTGCGACAAGAACGAGGAGCTTGCTGCGAATTACTTGTTTGAGAACCCGGATGACCAGGATGACTTATAATTCATCGGGTCCCTGTCGAAAGCTCGACGGTACACTGCGAGCCTCATTTGTTTTCCTTCTTCCCTTCTTGACGATTATTGCAATACACAACTCTTTCCGCATTCCCCAGCCAGGCCCCAAGTTTATTTAAGCCAATCGTGGTGTAGCCGAAGGCCACGGTTGCCCTATTGTCGCACTGGATAACTTCTAGCCTGGTGTTCACGTATGATGGTTATTCTCTTTTTCTTTCAGATGTGACGTTGAGATCATGCACCTAGTTAATGGAGTAAAATGAATAAGACATCTCGATTCAACTGTGTTTGCCTCAAGGCATCCATACATCGCCGCTGTGGGTAATTAACCTGATGAAACGACTTCTGGACCTCTGTGCTTCTTTGGATTCATAATGTAGGGAAGCGCGTTGTACTTGGAAGCTGTCTATGGTCACCATTGGCCCTGATGAAGTGCACTTTCTTTTTTTTATTATTTATTTTTAACCACCATTCCATACCATGCAATATCCTGTGGAAGAGAGGATCCGACCCCCCACACCCATTTGATTCTTGAGCTCCTGTAGATTAAGGCATGATCGGGAGACTGTTGGATGACCTTCCCTGTCTCGTGACTGTTTCCACACGTGCTTGGTCCGAGGAGTAACCCTAGGTAGGTACGTACTTCGTACGTCCAACTACCTACCTACGACTAGGTTAATCATTTTGTTTCTAGCTCGATATGGATGTACGAAGTTATAATATGTAAAGGGTATAAAGGGTTTATATTAAGCAATCAATATACAATCGAACATAACATACACCTCAGCCTAGGTCCCCAAAGTAGGTAGGTAGGTATCTGGGATAAATCCATCTCAAATGGGAAATGACGCAGGTGAACAATCAACCGGTAAAAAAGGAATATAAGATGATAAGTTATGGATGATATGACGGCGGTGGGTATTAATGCACGAGACCAAAACCAGGGAATTCAAAAATTCGATAGGAACTGGAAAATATGATGAAAGAAACTGAACGTTTGGTTGGCTCCCAATCAAACTACCAACCTACTAGATTTCGTCGGTCTCGCGGGTGCAATGCCTCCGAACTGCCCAAACTGCTAATCCGCGCCTGCCAATCACCCGCCGCAATGTCGAAATGATTCCGTCAGTGCCGAAATCTAGATCATCCATGTTGATATGCTTGCTATAGGACCATAACTCGTGAAGTTCCAGATCTGGGCGATCTGATTCCAACTTTGTGTATGAGTCCAGATACTTGGCAGACTTCGGGGCTACTATGAAAACTGCATCGGGGTGTCTTGCTAGCTCAGTATCCAAGTCCTCTGCACCGTTTTTGTTCCTGGAAGGACAAGAGGGGATTAATTTTCTAAGTTCCTTGTCCATCTCGGGGCCCGACATGCCCATCAAGTCTCGGGATTCAATATCCAAAGAATGGTTAGCGCTGTCACCCAACAGCCACAGTGGGGGTGAGTAGGTCTTCCACCACAACACCACCGCCGACACTGGGGCAGACCCCAATGGGGCGCCGTTTGGGGTAACTGCATTCGCTGAGATAATTGAAGGGATCGCAAGCTGAGCTGGTACGATGCCGCCTTGATGGTAGACACCCATCAGGAATCCTAGGGCAGCGTTGAAAATCACCCAGGCCGCCAGGAACCAACGCGACTTGGGAATGCGGAGGCAGCTGAGAAGCAAAGGGACGCATGGAATTAAGAAGCGAGGCTCTTGGTGAGGGACGATAGATAACAGCATGGTCGCAGATAGAGCGGAAACAGCACGCATGTCCTTCGACCACGAAGGGATAGCAGGTAGACTCCAAAAAGACAGAATCATCACCACATACGCAGGCCCCAGGAGCTGTGGAAGGTTGACTAGAAAGTGTTGATAACGAGGGTGGAGTCCATGGAGAGCCAAGTTAGAGCTATCAGAGTTGTAGAGAAGGTTGTTGATGGGTGTGATAATAGGCGCACGGAGGATATCACGGAATGATGCAGAGGGCCTATAAAATGCCGTGTCAACGATGACAGTAATGCAGAGGAATAGAAGTCCAAATCCGACAAAGGAGACGAACGAAGCTGGCCTAGTGTTTCCTCGGGGTTAGCAATCTCGCATCCAGGGAACAGAAGAGTGGACTGAAGGGAATTGCGACACTCACTTGCGCCAAAAATAAGGCAGCAACTGCAGCCCCGGTATGACAAAAAAGGCCGGGAAGGTGATTCGGTTGAAGATGCCTGCGACGGCAATGAAGGAAAGCACAGCGCAAGAGAAGACGGAGGAGCGTTGCTGTGAAGAACCCTTATTTAGCCCGGGGAGTCTTCTCGGACTTGACAATGGGGGTGCTCCAAACCTTGTTTGCAACAATGCGGCGAATGAGGACGAGCCCCCAGGCGACCAGCAGTGTCTCTAGGGCGTTGGAGAAGGTGTGCGTCTGATATGTCCATGTGACATAGGACGATGCCACCAGCACCACCGTTGCTCGGCGATGGCGCGGGTAGGGCACCAACTCATAAACAGCCCAGTCCTCCAGCACGAAGCTTAACAAGAACATCACACCTCGCAGAACATAGTAGACCAGTTGTGAGGGTGGGTTGACGGTCCCCGTCTCGGTGTAGAACCATTTGAGGAGGCTTATTGGCACATCGTAGGTCGGCCATAGGGGAAAGGCGCTGCGGATCGGGTTCTCCGCAGTGAATTCCCAGGGTAACCTGGAGGGATAGGAGAGGAGACGTCCTGGGAATCTCGCAGGTTAATATCATTTGTGCAAAGATGGACTAGGAGGGCAGAACCATCGTTGCCAGATCGGCGAGGCGGAAGGGAGGACGCGGTCATGCAGAATCGGGAGGATGGATTTAGCTTACCTGCCACCACCTCAGGGCCCTGAAAATTCTCGTCCGGATGCAGGTAGCTAGGAGAAAGAGTAAAGTAAATCCGGATCACTAAGAGCAGCAAGTATGTTCGTCTCCACATAGCGGAGAATTATACGGTCACCAGGGATTAGGATTAGAATTATGATTATGCGATATTATGATCGTGTGTTGTTGGCAACGAGGTAGTCGGGGGGATTTCTGTTCTGATTTCTTTTTATGTACATAGTACCTGCTGCTGATGCATATTAGGGAAGAAAGAAATAAATAAATAATATCTTATTTGTTGTCAGAATAATAATCAAGGAATAACATCTCCGTTATCAAGTGTGGAAAAGCGAGTGGGATGGATTTTCTGTACGGCGACTTTCCGGGAAGCTTGTTGATGCGGTCTTCGCGCTCTCTCCTCTGACTGGGTGAGAGAGACGCGTCGGAGGGGTCTGACAACAGGGGGGAAATACAGAAAAGACACTATTGAGGTGTACTGGAGAAGACAAGATGATTTACTTAGTGAATCGGTGATGGTGGGTCGGCGATAGGAAATAAGGAATCAGCGATCCATAACACACGATCATCCACAAGATATCGTCCTTCGAGATGGATATATGGAGAGGATTGGAAGGAAGATATTTCTTTATTTCTAGATTTTTTAACACTTGAAACAGTCCCAGGTTGTGTCCTCAGATGAACACTACAGAGTATAAGGGTCGATCACTGCTACACATCTGAGAGTGTTGGAAGAGATGTGTTGGGTGGTTCCCATCGACATACGTTGTAAGAAACATATTTATATTGTATATACTGGTATACATCTGCTTACTTCATAGTACCTGCCAGTAACTATTCATCCAACGTGTACACTGGAGTAGGTACCATGCTGCAGAAAGACCGAAGCCAGATACAATCTCGTATTCTATTTCGGGACAGAGAAAGAAATACCCAAGTCGGTCCTTGTCTGTCCACTGAAACAACAACCAAAGGAAAGAAAAGAAAAAAAAAAAAAAAAAAGTAAAAAACAGAGAGGAAAGGAATATCTGTTCTTTTCTGTTCCTTTCCACTCGATCGTCATTATTACTCTCCAGCATTCCTGCCCCCAATCAGGCAGCATCCAGGTAGAAGGCCACCAGTCGAGCACCTGCCAATCACAACACACCCCCACCATTTGCCGCCTTCCTCTCTGGAGAATTGAACTCGCTTTCTGAGTCTTCCAATGTCGGCGCTAACCAGCCCGTTACCTTCCAACTAAGCCTCATCGCTTCTGCTTCTTTTTTCCTTCACTGAACTACAGTTCATCTCCTGTGATCCTACCCACAGTCTTATCACTAGTTAAAAAAGCTGCTGCGATCTCTCCCAATCTTCGATCCCTATTATTCTTCTCAACTTTTCTCATCACCCTCCCGCTATTCTAGTGTTGGTATGCGTTCCTCCCCACCTATCTCTGTATCCCCCAACGCAGGTCTTCTCCTTCAGTCCTCACACTGTTGGCTGACAGACGGTTCTAGTTTCGTTAGTCAAAATGTCGAACACTCTTGTTATGACAAGCTCCGACGGCGTCGACATCTCTGTCGGTAAGTCATACACTCGCGCTGCTCGTGTTATGGCTGGTGGACCCGCCAGTCCAGTTGCTGGTTCTTTCTATCTGGGACATTGAAATAACCCACTGCATTTGGAAATAGAACGTTCCGTTGCCGAGCGCTCCCTCCTCATCAAAAACATGCTGGAGGATCTTGGTGAAACTGGGGAATCTATTCCCATTCCCAATGTAAGTTGTCCGGATCAGATTATCTCCCGTCGTTGTGTTTGTGTCGAGGGCCGTTGTCTGATATGTGTGTTGCTATAGGTCAACGAGGCTGTTCTGAGAAAGGTCATCGAGTGGTGTACTCACCACAAGGAAGATCCCCCCAGCACCGGTGACGACGATGATTCTCGCCGCAAGACCACCGACATTGATGAGTGGGACCAGAAGTTTATGCAGGTCGACCAGGAGATGCTATTCGAGATTATCTTGGTATGTATATGCGCTTGGCGTGATGGAATGTACGCTAACTGGCCACATTTTAGGCTGCCAACTACCTAGATATCAAGGGTCTCTTGGATGTGGGCTGCAAGACTGTTGCAAACATGATCAAGGGCAAGTCCCCCGAGGAGATTCGCAAGACCTTCAACATCCAGAATGATTTCACTCCAGAAGAAGAGGACCAAATCCGTCGCGAGAACGAATGGGCAGAGGAGTAAGTCGCTGCCCCTTACAATACCTCCCTCTAACTTTGTCACCACTCTCCCTCTCCGTCCGCTCCATTGGATACGTTGACTCATGGGCTGACATTGTAATCTAGCCGCTAATGTCACGTCACTGGCAAATGCTACCATTGCTTATCTCAATGGATCACTTCCCCTGGGCCCCTGGAATATAAGTACTGTCCTTGTTTCAAATCAAGTTTTATTCTATTCAAAGGTCCCTCTCTCAATTCTATGGCGTTAGGAATTCTTAAGCGGTTTTTCGTTCACTGACTGTTTCCCCTCTTGGCTTATGGTCTGAAGATGTAGCCTTTCGTTTCATATTTTTTTTTTTTTTTTTTTTCATTCTACTTAATGGCCCATACTGTTCAAATACGTTTGTTGTACTAGGTCACATCTTAGCTTGGGCCGACAAAAAAAAATAAAAAAAAAAATAAAAAAATAAGCGCTTGTTCAAATGACAGGAATGTAGTTGTAATGTAGGTACCGGTTCACTGGCCGATTAAAAAGACCCTTAATAATTGGCGTAATTCGTTGGACAGACACGGTTCGCAAATTGAATTATTTTTTTTTGAGGGGGGCTACACCACACATACGATTGGCATTGGAGTACAAAATTACGCATCACCGTATTCTACAAGCCTCTGCAGACAGTGACCTTTCTCACAACTCCTTTTCGGCTGCGACCTCACGGTCGAGGGAACACAGCCTAGCAAGGCCGGAAGATCCAAGTGTTTTGAGAAAAATTTCCGATTAATGTCTCGTTCGCGGCTCATTATCCATCATGATTTTTTTTTATTGTCTCAGCTCGTGTACATAATTGCAAAAAGTATCGGAACCCGACCACCGCTTGTAGTTTGATAACCGTCCGTCTTTCACCTTGAACGACCGTCCGTTGCCCAGAGCCGGATCAAGATTCCAAGGCGATTTATCCTTGCCAATATTGCCGAACAGATCAAACGAGTGAGCGAGAAAGTCAGAGCGGGACGTGTTCAGGATGCAGAGAAATTGTCGCGAGCATGATTTGCGGTATCACAATTGAACGAAACAATCGGGAATGACATCTCGGTCAGACAAAGAAAAAGCATGAAGTTTTGTCCTCGAATTTAGATACCGAGACGGGTCTTGCGCCAGTGCCTCCGCTTGGCGTTGTATCTGAAAAATAGAAACATCACTCATCAGCTAATTTCCACCGGCATTTGGTTGTGCTGCTTTCGAATTTGGTGCCATGCTTTTAGCCCCTTCTAGCTTGCTTATCCTTGGACTAGACTAACGCATCTCCAGATACATCGGATGTTGAAATAGCCCCCGTTGTTCCGCTCCTTATCTTCCAAACGGCTCTGTGCCTCGAAAAAAAGAGAGGTGATGTGATTATTTACCTGATGGTGTTACCGGTCCTCAGACGAATCCACTGGGGAATGGGACGGTTCTGTCTCTGGGCTTTGGCAAGCTTCTGCTTGGTGCGGAAACTCTTGTGGCTCTAATCAAGAGAAAACATAGACGTTAGCGAACTATCATCTGACGGACTCCTTTTGCATGTTCCTGAATGGCAGGTGTGATAAAATAAGATGAGCTGTCTATGACAACTCTATGCCATATTCAAAACATAATCGACAAGGACTGGGGTGGGTTTTGCTAACCGGCATCTTGAAGGCTTGTCGCGACGGCGAGCTGGGTATGTGGACTGGCGATAGTGAGGTTGTCGACCGTCTTCAAGGGCCTTACGGTAGAGGTGGTTTTTTTTGTGCGGACAGGGCTTAGTGGTTCGCTTCCATTTGGTCATGTGATTTATCTTATGCCTGAGGCATAAATTAGAATAGTGGGGTTCCTGTGACTGTTGTGTCGATGGATCTGGATGGAACATCTCTTCTCCGCGGTTGATATTTACTGATACCCTGAATTTGGGTCTTTCTTACTCATCTGGATGATGCAGCAATGTAACGCATAGTACTCTGTAGCATTGGATGAACTGAATCCTACGGTAATTTCCACAAGGCATCCATTCCTAAATTGAGTCATCAATCAAGGATTCATGGTCTGTCTCAACTTTGAAAGCTTGAAGAGGCTTGTGATCTACCTGAGCCCGTGGTTTCTCGGGGAGTTCCGTAGGAGACCAAACTCTCTTCATAATTATCGGCAGTTCCATCGAGACATGAGATGAGTCAAAGAGGGTCTGGCCTTGAGAATCTGAGGTGATCCTAACAGTGCCTGGAGTTGATCACAGTCACAAAACCACAGGACTAGATTGGGAAACTTCGGGGACTGTTTACGGTACTCGCAATCTAAGCATTCACCCTTGCTTCTGTTAGCGTACACTGTATCCATTTGTTGTTATTATTTGATTTTCCTTGACTGGTCCGAAAACACAGAGTAGCCCATACAGGGGCGAGGTTTTCATGATTGGTGCCTAATGCCCATAAGGCTCATAAGCCAATGCAGATGTACCGTTAGAATGGAGTTACTAAGAGCAACCAATCACTTCCCCCTTTAATGATGCAGTGGAGCCGGAGAGCGGAGCGTCCGATGCCGACTTCATAAACAAGGAAGCGAATACGAGCCCTTGATTTACATACATGGAACGGTACGCTGCTTTTGACCCGCCTGCGGCTCCAATTGTATTGGGACTTTATCTGAGTATGGAGTACGGAGTAGATCCCCTTGTAGTTTGTAATACTGGGGGGATGTTCCATATGTATAATAAGATGAAATCGATATGACCTCCTCTATGATTCAGGGCAGACATTTCCTCTATTGTTCGATTCTTGTATAGACCTGGAATATGTCCGTATGTATGTACAGAGTATGTATCAGTCAAGTTTCAGAAAATCCATCGGAATTAACGAATGAGTCATCGTTAATACTGATCAACTGAAACAAGGATCCTATAGCATTAGACTGGACTCTAGTTGGAAGTTTGGCATTTGGATGTACAGTACAGCATAAGGAACCAGAGTGTCATCCAGCGAATCTGGAACGAATGAAGAAATGAACAGGGACTGAACCAAGATGAAACTAAAGATAGGTGAATGCGCTATAGCACATTTTTTTGTCACTTTTCCAATTCTTTTCGGGTGGCAACAAAGCCTTCTTGCTTACATCAACTAGATATGTCGTTGTTGGTCCTGCATAAAAAGCCATCGGAATGTCGGGGGTCCGGTCGCATGGATCAAAGTCAGTTGGGATATACTTACATTTTTTTTTTTTTTTTCTAAAAAAAAATAAAAAAAAAGCCTACAGCCCGCTTACTCCCCTCCCCCCCTTTAGTTGATAGTTAGTAGATTATGTTGCTTATTTAAGGCTTAAGCTTGACTTGTCTACGTATGTTATCTTGCCTGCTATCCTGATTTTATCCTGAGAGAGCGTTCGGGTTTGGATAGGTCCACCCTTTTTCCCGCCTGGCCCATCCTCCCTCTGGTATCGTGGGCGTGGAAGCAATCAATTGCCTACAGAATCTATCTTGCTCGGAGATCGATTTATATTGGCTTTCAGTCTTCTCTGCCGGTGTTTTCGTTTTTCGTGGTTATACCCATTCCTGGCAAACCGCATATCAACTTATCTCTCTACCTTTACCTGATCTTTCCCTCCCCCATGCAGTAATTGGATCTATTGTCTACCTAGCTTTCTGTCTCCAGGTCCCAACTCCTACAACCTTCGGACACCAAGGGGCTGGAGAAGGTATCAAGACTTAAAAGCATCATGTCTCTACCGGAGAAGGAAACTCCCGGTGCGTCTTACGAAGTTGCCCCGGTCCCAGCCACATCTGTGAAAGGGACGAAATCGACCAATAACTTGTCCGTCTCCAGCTCGACAATCACCCCTGATGGAAGTAAAGAAGCAGGATCGAAGCCACCGCCCGCCGGAAATGTGATCAACGCAGACCAACCTGACCCTCTGTATGCCCACCTCTCGGCTCATGAAAGGGATATCCTGAAGAAGCAGCTGGAGGCGGAGGATGCCACTGTATCCTTCTTTGGCCTCTATCGCTATGCGTCCCGGATGGACATGCTGGCCATCTTGGTGAGCGCCATCTGCGCCATCGCGGCGGGTGCAGCCTTGCCGTTGTTTACTGTATGTGCTACATGGCTCTTGACAAGATGTTATACAATCCACTGACTCTTCGTTAGATTCTGTTTGGCTCCTTGGCTTCGGCTATGCGAGATATCACCCTGGGAGAGATTGAATACTCCGAATTCTATCACCAGCTGACGAAGAATGTGTTGTACTTCGTCTATCTCGGTATTGCTGAGTTTGTCACCGTCTATATCAGCACCGTTGGATTCATATACACCGGGGAACATGTCACCCAAAAGATTCGCGAGCATTACCTCGAGTCCATTCTCCGGCAAAATATGGCCTATTTCGATAAACTTGGCGCTGGTGAAGTGACCACTCGTATCACCGCCGATACGAACCTCATCCAGGATGGTGTCTCCGAGAAAGTTGGATTGACACTGACAGCAATCGCTACGTTTGTCACTGCATTCATCGTTGCCTACGTCAAGTACTGGAAACTGGCCTTGATTTGCACTTCGACCATCGTTGCTCTGGTTCTGGTCATGGGAGGCGGCTCCCGGTTTATTATCAAGTACAGCAAGCGGTCTTTGGATAGTTACGGCGCCGGTGGAACCGTGGCGGAGGAAGTCATCAGTTCAATCCGAAACGCTACTGCATTTGGCACCCAGGATAAGCTTGCCAGGCAGTACGAGGTGCATTTGGCCGAGGCAGAGAAGTGGGGGAGAAAAAACCAGATCATTCTTGGTATGATGGTCGGCGGGATGTTTGGCATTATGTTTTCGAATTACGGCCTAGGGTTCTGGATGGGATCACGGTTCCTTGTCAACGGAGAAGTTGACGTGGGCCAGGTCCTCACTGTGCTGATGGCTATCTTGATTGGCTCCTTCAGTTTGGGAAATGTTAGTCCCAATGGCCAGGCTTTTACCAATGCTGTTGCTGCAGCGGCAAAGATCTTCAGCACCATTGATCGTCCGTCACCGTTGGATCCGTACTCGGATGAAGGAGAGACTGTCGCAGACCTCCAAGGCAACATCGAATTCTGTGATGTGAAGCACATCTACCCTTCACGGCCTGAGGTAACTATTATGGATGGTATCTCTCTAACTATGCCAGCAGGTAAAACCACCGCGTTGGTTGGCCCTTCTGGCTCTGGAAAGAGTACCGTTGTTGGACTGGTCGAGCGTTTCTATCTCCCCGTTGGAGGCAATGTTTTGTTGGATGGCCATGACATTCAGAACCTTAACCTCCGATGGTTACGACAGCAAATCTCCTTGGTTAGCCAGGAGCCCGTTCTTTTTGGCACCACTATATACCAGAACATCCGATACGGACTGATCGGCACGAAGTTCGAGAACGAGTCACAGGACAAGATCCAAGAGCTGATTGAGAATGCGGCCAAGATGGCCAATGCTCACGATTTCATCATGGCGCTGCCCGAGGGATATGAGACCAACGTTGGCCAGCGGGGCTTCTTGCTCTCCGGTGGTCAGAAGCAGCGTATTGCCATCGCGCGTGCAGTTGTCAGCGACCCCAAGATCCTCTTGCTTGACGAGGCAACATCTGCATTGGATACCAAGTCGGAGGGAGTTGTTCAAGCTGCCCTTGATAAGGCGGCCGAGGGCCGAACCACCATAGTGATCGCTCATCGTCTATCGACGATCAAGTCAGCCCACAATATCGTTGTCTTGGTTGACGGCAAGATCGTGGAGCAAGGTACCCACGATCAGTTGGTGGATCGTCAAGGCACGTATCATAGCCTTGTGGAGGCGCAGCGGATCAACGAAGAAAAGGATGCCGAAGCCTTGGAGGCCGATGACGACCTGGAGGACTACGTCCTTCCAAACGATGATATGTCCCGCATCAAGACTGCCTACAGTGGTTCAGCTTCGCTCGACGCCCATGATGAGAAAGCCCGTTTGGAGTTTGCGCGCTCGGGAACCCACAAGTCTGTATCCAGTGCTGTCCTTTCCAAGAGAACCCCAGAAGCAGGCCAGAAATATTCGCTCTGGACGCTAATCAAATTCATCGCTTCTTTCAATCGGCCGGAGATCCTGTATATGGTGGTGGGCTTCGTCTTTTCGTTCCTCGCGGGAGGTGGTCAACCAACTCAAGCAGTCTTGTACGCCAAGGCAATTAGTGCGCTCTCGTTAGGCTCTGCTATGCATGATCAAATCCGAAGTGATGCCAACTTTTGGTCGTTGATGTTCTTCGTGGTTGGGATCGCTCAATTCATCAGCCTTTCCATCAATGGCGCTGCATTTGCCATATGCTCTGAAGCGCTTATCCGCCGTGCGCGAGGCGAAGCCTTCAGGTCAATCCTTCGTCAAGACATCACCTTCTTCGACCGGGAGGAAAATAGCACTGGTGCGTTGACCTCCTTCCTCTCAACCGAGACGAAGCATCTGTCGGGAGTCAGCGGTGTAACCTTGGGGACTATTATTATGACCTCGACGACCCTGGGCGCGGCGATTATAATCTCGCTTGCTATTGGGTGGAAGTTGGCTCTGGTTTGCATTTCGGTGGTCCCGATCCTCTTGGCCTGTGGATTCTACCGGTTTTATATGCTTGCCCAATTTCAACAACGCTCCAAGAACGCCTACGAAGGGTCTGCGAGCTATGCCTGTGAGGCCACATCGGCCATTCGGACAGTGGCCTCTCTTACCCGTGAGCAGGATGTCTGGGATGTTTACCACAGCCAGCTAGAAGCACAAGGTAGGAAGAGTCTGATTTCTGTGTTCAAGTCCTCCATTCTGTACGCCTGCTCACAGGCCTTGGTTTTCTTCTGCGTCGCCCTCGGGTTCTGGTATGGAGGCACGCTTCTCGGGCACCATGAATACAGCGTCTTCCGCTTCTTTGTCTGCTTCTCTGAGATCCTTTTTGGCGCCCAGTCCGCCGGAACGGTCTTCTCTTTTTCTCCCGACATGGGGAAAGCGAAGAATGCTGCTGCTCAGTTCAGGAAATTGTTTGACCGAAAGCCCAGCATTGATATCTGGTCGGAGAAAGGGATTAAACTGGACTCCATGGAGGGTGAAATCGAGTTCCGCGACGTGCATTTTCGGTATCCCACTCGCCCAGAACAGCCCGTTCTCCGGGGTCTGAACCTCAGTGTCAAGCCTGGGCAGTATATTGCCCTCGTGGGACCGAGTGGCTGTGGCAAAAGCACGACCATTGCTCTTCTGGAGCGCTTTTACGATGCCCTTTCTGGTAGAATCTTGGTGGATGGAAAGGATATCACGGACCTCAATGTCAATTCGTACCGCAGTTTCTTGTCGCTGGTCAGCCAGGAGCCGACGCTGTATCAAGGAACGATCAGGGATAACATTATGCTGGGAGTCGACAAGGATGAGATGTCCGAAGAGGCCATTGTGCAGGCGTGTAAGGATGCCAATATCTATGACTTCATCACGTCTCTCCCGTAAGTGCCCCCCTCAACTCGTTCAGTCTCGATTCATGGACTAACCATGACCTCCATACAGGGAAGGATTTAACACCGTTGTGGGCAGCAAGGGGGGCATGTTGTCTGGCGGGCAGAAGCAGCGAGTGGCCATTGCCCGTGCTCTCCTCCGAGACCCCAAAATCCTTCTTCTTGATGAAGCCACTTCCGCCCTTGATTCGGAATCCGAGAAGGTCGTCCAGGCCGCGCTGGATGCCGCCGCTCGTGGTCGAACCACGATTGCAGTGGCGCATCGACTAAGCACGATCCAGAAAGCCGATATCATCTATGTCTTTGATCAAGGGAAGATCGTCGAAAGCGGGACGCACCACGAGCTGATTCGCAACAAGGGCCGTTACTACGAACTGGTCAACCTTCAGAGTCTGGGGAAGAGTCATTAAATACCTAATCCTATCTAATTCTCGCACATATTTAGTGCCATCGCCCGCCATCAGATCCTGATCTACCGCATGCATCATTTCTCTCCTTTCTCCCCTACCTAATTGTTAATGTTTTAACCCTCTCTTCCTTCCTCGAATGGTTGGTTCTTTTGAGGTCTTTGGTGCTTTGTTCTGCCTTTGTTATGTATGTTAGACCATAAAATTCTTCGCTCAATGATACCACTGATTACTCTACTCATCTGACATAATGAAGTTTTTTATTTTTTTTTGTAATTTGTCATATCATTTGAGAGGATATCTTATCCACCCTTCACAGGGTATATCCGTAGGAATAAACTAAAGATTTGTACCGTTCGTAGGACACTTACTAAATACTAGATGATCAATCTCGATCCCCTACACCATACTCTCGCTGCACGTCGATCTGACGCACTCCTCGCGCTTCCGCAATGAGACCCATTAAGCCTTGTCCGATGTCCTTGATCTCGTTGTACTCATGGAGAAGACGGATATGCCGTTGAACCGTTGTCGCCGGATCACCTCTGCAGTGGGTTAGAAGATGGATATGAGCTACACTGGATGCGATGCATGAGAGGAGTTCCTTCATACGCACTTTAGGGATGATTTGATTTCCGCAATCTCGGCTTCAGCCTCGGCTATCTGCGATTCGAGCATCGTGATGGATGTAGTAAGGGCGTTCTGATTTATCAGATTAGAGAAGGTTGTTTCGATGGATTCAATCCATGGGAAAAAATGGATGGATGGATAGATGTATGGACATACTAGTCTACGCTCCCTTTGCGCGTGCTGTTGGGGAAAAAGAGGCGAGAGCTCTGGTGGGTGGACGTTGTTCGTGGAGGGACTCTGCGCGCCCATAATGGATAAGATCACCAGAGGAATGTTATTATAAAAGATGTCTCTTGTCTCAGTAGGATCGAGGACTAAGAGAAGCCAGTATAGATATAGATACTTTTGTAGTACTCGGAGGATATATACATTCTAGGAGATCGAGTCGACCAATCCGGAGCGCCGGAAAGCCGTCTCACTTTCCATTCCCTCCGCGTCATCATTTCTTTCTCTCTCCATCTCCTCTTGTCTTCTTCATCCCCTCCGTCCTCCTTTCTTCCTTTCTTTCCCCCTAGAAAAAGGAATCGACGATGTGGATCAATCCCCTAGATCCCCGGGGGATGTTGACGGCCCTGCTTTTGATCGCCCCCGTCTCCGCTCACGGTGGTCATGATAATATCCCCGAAGGTGCTGCCATCTCGGAGGATCCCATTGTACGTTATCCAGTGGTCCATCTTACAGACGATCGGAAGTCTTCTAACGCTCGCTCTCTAGGATTCGACGTTATGGGCTCATATTATTTTGATGGGTTTTGCCTTTGGGATTATCTTCCCGTTAGGTATGGTCCTCGGGGTATGTACTTCTGCTTTTACTCTCTATTTTTTTTTTCTTTTTCTTGTGAACCCCTTCTAACCTCCGACGTGTACCTCGTTCTGCTCTAGATCGTCCGCTCCCGGTGGCATGTCCCTCTTCAAATTGTCGGAACGGTGATCGCAGTGGTGGCGTACTTTTTGGGTCACGCACATAAGGGCCGACAGTTTTCGAAGAACATCCATGCGTCGTTCGCAAACTCCCTGATGCTCATGATGGTTGTGCAAATCGTACTGGGATTTTATCTCAAGCTGCACTTGTCCAAGGGGATTCACGGACGCATCCGCCGCTATATCGTTGCTGCACATGGGGTCATGGGCAAGGCAATGCCCCTCGTGAGCTGGATTCAGATGGTGTTCGGAGGGATTACATCCATGGGCTTCTGCAGGGATGATCATCTGGGACAGTGTCTAGCCCATTTCATCATGGGCAGCGCCTTCATCGCCTACGGAATATTGCTTACCATCCTCCTCCTGGTGGGCCAGTTTTGGTTGCGCCGCACCGGCCGGAGCCAGGAGTTCTTCGACTCCCTGGTGATCGCCGCCTGGGGATGTGTCAATACTTTTACCGAACATCGATGGGGTCAGCCTTGGGTCCATAACGACCTGCAGCACACCACTATGGGCATTGTCTGGTGGTGCGCCGGACTTCTGGGGATTTGGTTGAGTCGCAGTCGGGACGGTCGCCCCAAGCGGAACTTGATCCCAGCCATTGTCATTATTCTTACGGGCTATGCCATGTCGGCTCATCCGCAGCATTTGCCAATCAGCACGATGGTCCATACCATTTTTGGGTATACGCTGATGGCGGCCGGTGGCACGAGGATCATCGAGATTTCTTTCGTATTGAGGGACCGGTCCACCGTCAGCTCGGATGGCTTGGATCCCAATAGCTTCCAATATTTGACCCCTTTTGTAAGTATCTACTGAACAGGAGAATCGTGGTGTTGGCCTTCTTTGTGCTTACTATTCCTTTAGCTCTTGTATGCCTCGGGATTTCTATTCATGGGTGCCACGGAAGAACAGATGCACTTGCTACATGAAGCGGAAATTACACATGTGTCCTATGTTCTGATATTGTACAGCATCGCCTTCATACTCTTCCTCTGTATGTTTCTTTTTCCTAAAATATTTTCATTCTAATTTCCCCTCGAGAGTATGCTAACCGCTGTCCTAGTTGTCAATGTGCTTCTCCACGTTTACGCTGTTCACGCGTGGCCCGAATCTACGAAGGCATCCCGCTCTCGTAGTGATGAAGATGAGGATGTCGGCCGAGGCCCATCTCGTTCCAAGGTCCAGCGTTCTCAAGCATCCCTTCCGCGTCCAACTGTGAACGGTCATGCCCGCTCGCACTCGGATGCTCAGCGTATCCGTGACGCCGAGGCATACGAGCTACAGGGTCTCATATCCGACGAGGAAGAAGACGACAAATTAAACGGCGATGAGCGACATTCCATGGCTCCCCGAAAAGTTGAAGACGAGGAAACTTCCCCATTGGTTGGGAAGGGTTCGTCAACCTGATTGATAATAAATGTGCTTTTTTTAAAAATATCTTTTTTTGTTTTCTCTTTTCATCGTGTCCACTTCACTTAGCATGGAGCAGCTTTCGGGTACGACAACCAAATGTTCAAATCTTCCTGTTTACTGAGCAAGCTTCTGGTGAGGCTTGAGACTAGAATCTTTTGCACCCTGGGCAAAATATACTAACCAGGGCGTTTTTTGTTCCATTTTTTCTTTGTTGGCTATATTCTGGTGTTCGGGGTCTTAAATTATCTGGGTTGTAATGTTTCGAATGGCGTTGTGTTGACATATGCAAGGTTAATATTTATCATACTTGGTTCAACTCCTGAGGTTTTAGTCTCTAGCATGCATTAATCGTATCCATTTCTTCCAAGCTGCTACATTTCCACTGCAAGTAGGATGGGGACTGCCTTTCAAGAGACTTCAAGGAATAGGTACTCCCAAAACTCATTAAAATCTATCGTATATGTCGTAATTCGGACCCTGGCGTCATAGAGAGAGAGCTCTAAGAGCATCAGCAGAACGTAACCTTCGCAAGTGTTCCTTTTAAAAGTACAAAAGTCATCAAAGTCCCCGGCAAATAGTTTGAGGGTTTTATCTCGCCCTTTGTTTTTTCTTTGGAGAATCTTTTTTTTTCGTCAGTCCGTCCCATCTGCGTTGCCCGTAATCGGGTCGTCATCCAGCAAAATGGGGTTTGCGACAGGAACAACGGCAGGAAGGGCGTTTTCCACCTCCGGGGGAAAGAAGGGATGCAAGGGGTAGACGGGCGCCACGGATTTCTCACCGTCAAACAGCAAGAGATTCTGGATTGGCTGTTCCCTAGCACTCAACACGTTGATCACATCTTGGGCCAACTTGCCGCCCACAAAAGCCGCAACGGGACTCAACTCACTCCCCAGATTCTGCAAGAAGGTGCGCAGAAAGACCGAGTCGAGTGTGCTGATATCTAGTTTCAATTCATGGTGGCGATCCCGGGCAAGCTTGGTGAAGGACTCGAGGTCCTGGAGAGAGGACGTAGGCAGTCGGCCTTCGGATATCTTCTGGAACTCCCACAGAGCCCGGAGGCAGGTAAGGAGGGGGGTAACCTGTCGACGCTTCCGGGGTAGCCGGGTTAAATCTTCAGGGAGAGGAGAGGTGTTGGCCAGAATCAGCGGAGAATAGCTTTCCCGCTTGGTGACCATTTCGATGACATTATCCTGCTCCTTCTTTGTCGTGATGCTGACGATGCTCCGCGTTGGAGTTTCTTGCGTTGCTGACGCTACATTCGACTTGGACCGTTCAATCACAAAATCATGGGCGATCAAGTCGACAAAGACAAATCCATAAAACCCGTGCAATCCCGCCGCGTAGAATGGACGATTGGCAATACGACACGCCGCATTTATGGTTGCGTAGGTGGCATAATCAAGTTCGGTTGCGATAATGACGTCAAATCCCGCGAAGAAGTCCGGCTGCTTGGTATGAACATCGTCGGTGTCGACATGGAGGTGAACCCTTGGGTTCATGGCACGGATAGACGGTGCTGCCGCTTGTGCACGCTGTAGTTTCAGGTCATTACGGTCCATCGTGCCATTAGTGTCGGGGTCGACATACGTTCTTGCCAACGTGCTCTTCTGTGACGAAGAATTGGGCCCCAAGATCCTCCTCCGTAACAGATTCATGATCGATGATGGTTAGAGTACCAATCCCAGCTAGCACCAGGTTTTTAGCGATTTCATTTGCCAGCGCCTTGAACGTAATTAAGAGGATGTTGGCCGAGCGTAGTCTGAAAGGCCAGATTAGGGCTGTCCGTACAGCTGATACACGACGAAATTATCTACGAACTCACTTTTCCTGTGCCTTCAACCCCCAAAGACGAATCTGCCGATCATACAAGGCAATCTCGTCTGTTATGATCAGCGAATTGAGGGGTCAGTTTCCCAAGGATATGCTCTTAGATAGAGGAGTTCCTGTGCTTACCCGCACTGATGGACTGAGCCGTGCTCCCCTGAGCCTCCATCGTGACAGTTGGATGGATATTCAAGGATAGAATTTCAAGACACAGGCCTCTTTTCGCTGTTCAATTGTGAGTTAGTAGCTGCGACTGGAAGATCACGATCAACCAATCTCGACTCTGGAGAGCCTCAGAGAATAGAACAAACGAATCCGGGTGGCGAGATGAGGAGAGAGGAAGTCAAGGTGCGGGCTAGAGGGAGGAGAGAAGTGAAGAAGCAACAGACGCCGAACTGGAAGAAGCCGTGGGGAGAAAGAGAGGAAGAAAGAAAGCCAAAGAGATGAAGCCAACGAAAGGGCCATCACGTGCGCGATAACTCCACGACGTTATCTCTCCGCGCTCCATCATCTCTCTTACTCTCTCTTCCACTTTTCATCGTTCCTTACCAGTCTACTTCCTGTCATCACCGGCATTGTCTCTGGTATTTTCTTTCTTTGGGCCCCACTGTGTATCTGTTTTTCATTTGTCCCGGTACAGTTTCCTTCTCCATTGTCCATTGTTTGGACTCTAAAAATTAACCGCCGGACAGTATGGTATGTTTGCTCCAGAGGATCCCATTATTGGGGTCGCCCACCATCCCCCTCTGCCTCACTCTCCCTCCTTCCTTCCCCCTATTTTATTTTATTTTGTTTTATATGAATATCTGCTCAGCCAGTCTCCATCAACCTTAGCCCATTTTAAAGAGAGAGAGCGGATACTGACTGTCATTCATGTACCCTTCTTAGTCGGGGAACTACGACCATCCTCCCGCCTCTCGCCGTGCCCGTGGAAATCGTCCTAGTGATCGTCCACCCAGGTTTACTGCAACCCACCTCCAACAACACTTACGGGACTTGTTGACCTCCGACCGTAACCGAGATACTTCGGCTCACACTTTAGAGACGCTAAATCGGGAGATTGAACAGTACCGCCGCTCCCAGGACCGGTCCAGCTTCGAGCAAGACAGAGCAGCCGTAGATCAGCAGATTCAACAGCATCGATCACGTCGAGAGGATCGTCCTCATGGTAGCTACCCCGGCTATATACATCCCGGGATGCAAAGGTTACAGGCTCTGAACGTCACCGTGGTGGACCAAGATGCAAACACCCCTGATTCTTCACGACCACCTAGTGGGCCCTCGAGACGCCGGACTATGAGGAACGGTGGTCGATCTGGCCGAGAGGTAGGGAACCGAGACTCCAATGTCAGTTCCCTTCTGGATGAAGCTGTTCCTCCGCTTGATACGTCCGCAGCCATACCAGAGCCGTTAGATAGTAATTACCAAATGGAGCGGTGGAGGGTCAAACGTAGAAAGCTCGAGTCAGACGACAACAGGGAAGGCCTGCAAAGCTTTCGCTATGGGCATTACGGTCAGGTTGTCCCTGGAGCTCTCAAGATGGAGTTGGCCAGCTGTGACGGGGGCACCTATGAGTCGGAGCGTGACAGTTCATGGCCGGAAAACATCCTCCACAATGATTCGTCTATTTATTGTACCAAGTCGGGGCAGTGTAATTTGATCTTGAAGCATCAGGGAGAAGCCCCCTTCTGCCTCAAACGGATTGTGATCAAGGTCCCGAAGATGGGTTATGACACCCCGTGCGTAACTGCTCAAGCCTCAGTCCCACTGTTTGCTTACTGGTCACTAGGGTCCAAGAGGGAATGGTTTTCGTCTCTATGTCTTCAGATGAACTCTTGGCTCGTACAGCTCAATATCAAATTCAGCCCAGGTCAGGACGGCAGCGTCGAAATCGGAGGAGCGGCCTGCAGCCCTCCCAGGAATATCTGAATGCATATCGGACTCCACTACAAACCCTTGAGCGGACTGGTCCTGCGGGCGCAGAGTCGCATTCGGAGTCGGATACGGACATAAACGAGCTTGCGGGATCGAGTGCAGACCATCGATCTCTCCCAAGGTCAGAGTTTCGAATCACTACTGAGTACGACGAGCGTTCCGAACATAGTGACAACGATGAGGAGGACTTTTCAGACTCTGTTTACTCCTCCTTTGCGAACTGGCTACAAATGTACCAAATGGAGGATGATCTTCTCTGTTCTGAGAGTGATGATAGTGAAAGTGACGGTGATACCCCCGAATTGACCACATACAACCGCAGGCGCCGCGATTTCCAAAGACAAGTAAGGGTCATGCGTCGACGATATGGCATGGACCAGGAGGACCAGTCAGGACGCCGACCGATCCCTAGTGTGATCCAGCCGACACCCTCATCCACCACTGCTGGGCAACGCACTGCGTCAGACTCCCATAATCCGGGCTCTGGCTTGTTGAAGCCCCATGCTCGGTTCTCTATTGAGCGTACCAAGAGCATGGTCAGCGTCAAATTCGATCCACCTCCGTATGTCCCCCCAACCATGTCGGTACTCCTACTCAGCACTGAGAAACATGCTAACTGCCATCCCAAGCTCCGGACGATACATCCTTATCAAGTTATGGAGTAAAAGCAACATTGACATCCAAAGCATCGTTGCCCACGGTTTCGCGGGTCCGAGATTCTTCCCCTCTGGCAATTTTAGGTAGATTAATTGTGACTTATGGGGGAACCCTGTCTGTACATTCAATGAACTAACGATGGTATGTCCTCTCGGTATGGCAATTCACAATTCTGGCTGGAGTATTTCAATCTCCGCAATGGAAACTTCTCTCGGCGCTGTTCATCTTTTCGTTCCTTTGCTTATTCAAATTCCCTTCCTTATCATTTGTGCATATAGGCCTACTCTTGAGCACGCGATAGTTCTTATTCTGTGTTTGTCTAAGTCTCCTCCTGTCCCCTCGTATTGTAGTATGTTCGGCATATAGTGTTCTGCTGTACACCATGAATGGAACGATATCAATCATTTCTCGGGATGTAGCTTCCGTGTGCGTATGCGTGGAAATCGACAGCAAAAATTGTAATTTCAGAAATGCTATTTGTCACTCGAATACATAAATCGTCAACACGGCATCAAAAAATAGAATCGAACAGAGTCCAAACTGGCCAACAATCAGACCCAAGAGCAGCGGCACCCACTTTCTCCCAAGGAATCAAACAGGAGAAAATCCAAAGTGAATAGCGAGGGGGATTATCACGTATGAAAGGTGATCTGTTATCAACTGATATCCGAGCAGACCTGTTGAAGCAAAAGGACGTGAGATCTTCGAGCAAGAAAGGGTATCCCAAACTATTGAGTGCACAGAAGTCTGCAAGGCGGCCAATGACACAAGAAGGAGATTATAAAGAGCGTATAAGGGGGGAAAGGGTGCCGAGGAAGAGCAGTTGTGACAGTAAGAAATGGTTAAACATCCGCAACACGCTGGTCCGGGGAATCTATGTACAGCGATGGGCTCGGTCTTTCGTAGCTAGAATAAGAAAGTCAAATGGAAACAGTAAGTAGTGCTTTAAAGCGGGATCAACCACGCTTAAATGCGTATGATTGCCAACCTGAACATACCGTAATGCTGAAGGCCGACGTATCTCGAATCGATGCTCTCGTCTCTCGTTTCTCGTGCAAAGATCGTCGAACGCCGAACTGTCCTTGTACATGAATGTAAATGAGTCATCCAACCAAAACGATACTCCTGAAAAGAAAAAGAAAAAGAAACCAACTCCATCCATAAGCATATCAAAAGAATACGGTTTTCCAAAAAGAAGGGCGAGAGATAAAGCGAGAATGCACGCTTAACTATATGACCACGACGTCCCCTTCGGCATCGACGGGATCAGAGGCCATCATATCGCCGTATTTACCAACACTCATCAGCATTGAATCGTCATCAAGATCAATGGCGCTATCATCATTATTAGGAGCATGGAAAGTTGCTATACTGTCAGAGATGTTCGGTTTCCCATTCTCGGCATTATTGGGATTGGGCTCTGGCTCCCCTCGCGATGATGTTCGACATTGAGAGCCCCCTTCCCCCGGTGCCGGACTAGTCGCAGACTGGGGCTCGTGACCACCGGCGTGCTGAGATGGATGAGAGGCCATGAATGTCCTATTTGGCGCGGAACCTGGACTGCTGGATTGTTTCATTAAAAAATTGCCCGCTCCTGACTGTTGATCCGATGATAGGCGGCCCTCTTGTAGTGTGCTCGGCGTATAACGCATGAATCCACCCTTCTCTGCTTGCCATAACATCATTTCATGGAAGAAGACTTTCGTCATCCACCAAGCGCTGAAACTTTGGGCGCCTCCTAACGTCAGTCGATGGAGTATGCAGTCCCATAAAGCGTCCACCCGTTCTATGATACATTGCGTGCGGTGGTTGGGAAATGCCGCAGGAAGATTCAAAATGAATGATATCCACTTGTCGGGGAAGTTGTAGTCTTCGCCAGTGGAGGACTCCACGGGACATTTATGTGCTTGGAGATTTTCTTCCAAATCCGGCTTGGTGAAAAAGGGAAGAGCAGTAGAAGGATTGAGATCCGTAAGGGGAGTGAGAAGGGCAAGGATATCGTGTTTCAGGATTTGCTCTGTGGCCCGTTCCGCACAGTTTGGAATGTTGGCTTTTGTAATCATTTCCTTGGGGTCAACCAAGGTCTTAAAGTCGAACCACATCTGATTCCTGTTGTCGGGGTGGCAAAGCCAGGCTGCAGCCGCGTTGGCAGATTGGTTCACGTCGAGCATATGTCGGAGCAAATTGCAAAAGATATGGGCCGGCACGAGTCTGGCCAGGGAAACATGGGCCGGTTGAGCTTTGAACGTGTCAGTAATATGGCCCGTAAGCCGCTGCGATATCGAACTAAAAGCGTCCAAGACGAGCTTTGGAACTACCTGCGTGGTAAGTGGAGATAGAAAGGCGATCATTTTCTGATACATAAGCCAGTCGCATTCTCTGATCCACGGGGCGAGGTTGGGGTGTGTGAGCAGCTTCTGCACAGGGACAGTCAATGTACCATGAAAGGCGGAGAAGTATCGTAGAAGGTTCCGTTCCTTGCAGTACCGGAAACTGTCTATGACAGATATACAATGGGAGCGATAAAGGGCTGCCAGAGCGGCAGCCACTTTGGAGTCAGTATTGGCTGGGAGATAGCCATTGATGTCAGGCAGCTGGAAAGACTCGTTATCAACAGAGGCAACGTCGGTAGATGGAAGGTGAAGCATCCGGTAAATCATCTTTCCGGCATGGCTTGCCACATTGTCGTCAAGGGTGATAGTTGATTCCCCACTGGCCCGCGACGAAGGCTGGCAGCCACAGACAGGAAGTGAAAAGTTCGTCGACAATCGCGGGGTGAAGGAAGTCGTAGGCGATGGGAATACTGCTGTATCTGCAGAGGGCTGTGGTAATACGGTGACACTGTGAACTCTATGAGTATCAACTCTGAGAATGTGCCCTCGTCCAACATACGTTCTGTGCTGCTCATCGTCCACTCCTTTCTCGCTATCTATCGCGGCATCGATTGGGTTGGCCGGGCCTTGGGGATTCAGCGGCGGGGGCCTTTGCTGTTTCTCCTCGATCACTGTCAAGTCAACATAGTGATACTTGGATTCCCCGCGAACGCCAAGGCGTCGGGTCTGCACATTGGGAAATATTATCCGTACGAGCTTCCCAAACGAGGCCGGATTCAATACGGAGACTCGTTCGGTGCCACACTTCTCGGCATAGCAGCAGTATACTCGATCCCGTCGAACAGACCCGCTGCTTTTCCGGCAGTTTTCTTTCAACCTAACAGCATGTAAGCAGCCCGTTGCAAGGCATCCATGGTATAGAGAAAGGTATACCAGATCATGGCAAAGACTTGCTTGACTTTTTCGGCCTTGCCTCCAGCCCCTTCGTGTTTGAGGACCTCCGCGGCCATCTGTTTCAGCGAATACCCTTCATACTGCCGTAGCAATTTCCGCAACTCATTGTCATTGGCTAGGGAGGAGCTGGAGCCCTTCTTCTTCTTTGCGCCGGCCTCGGAATTATCGTTCTCCTCCAGGACATGGTCTGGGACATGGTTTTCGATTCCACTGTCATACATGGCCTGGTACTGGGGCATCGGCACGGTTGATAGCCCATGGTTCGATAAACCCGATGGAAGGGAATGGTGGGACAAACGATGCCCGTGCATGGCATGATTTGGAAAGTCTTCGGCTCTGGGCATAACAGGGTGATGGGCTTCATGCAGAGTAGGGTCAAGGGGGGAACCGTTCACGGGATGTGACAGCTGCTGGCCAAAGCGCATGATAATATCTTCGGGATTGCCTCCGAAAACACTGTGGCCAGCAGCGGGTTGAGCAGGAAGGAACTGGGAGAATCCATCGGGTAGTTGCTGGTCCTGTGTTTGCTGGGTGGTGTTCGAATGGATGCTAGCCGTCGAGCCTCTAGACCTTGGGCGACGACTATTTCTTGACACTACAGTTTCTGAGCGTGATTTCATGAGATCTGCCGTCCCCGGACGGCTATGTGGTGCCGCTATTTGTGTTGTCTGTGACGCAACGCTGGAGGACTGCGAGGCAGCTCTGCCTACTATTAGAACCACAGATCAGCAAAACACAATGTAGTTCTCAGCCGAAAGGAGGAAGAAATTAAAAAGGACGAAAAGAACACAAGGAGAGCATTTTTACCCATATCAGGAGGCATCCTTTTTTTTTTTTCCCCTTAATTATTGCGTGGTACGCAGCAAGTTGTTTAGTTCTTGGTGCGAGCTGGTCGGTAACCACGGGCAATAGCGTCTGTTTTGGTCCTTCGGAACACACACACACGCCTTCAGAGCATCAAAAACACAGCAGCAGACAATGAGGCCAACGAAGAAGATCCCACGATGGGTTGTCGGAGCATACAGATGGTGGTCGTGCTGCAGCCGACTAGTTATGCAACGCTCATCGCAGCCGCGCTTCGTTAGCAGGGTCGTCGAAGTGGTTGAGAGACTTTGCGAGAGAAGAATAAACAGAAGACGCCGTTGCCTCAAGCAACGAAACGGAGAAGGGTCACGTGGAGGCTGAGGTAAGTGCATTCCATCGCAGCCAATCAGTGGCTGGCATGCAGCGATCCAAATAAAAGGCTAGATTGGGGTGTGGAATGCAATTTATTTGAATGTATTATTATTATACACAACGGTGTACATATCGATGGTGGAAGGATGCTTGGCCCTCGAGTCAACTTTCGCGGTGTTTGTTGGTATAGAGTCTCGTGACATAGGATGGAATGGTGGAATCAGCATACATGCATCCAGTGCTATGTTCAGACCATGACAAACTCAAGACAGTAGGCAACGTTTACATTCCTAATGGAGTGGATAGCTACATCAGAAAGGCATTGTGATTGCAATGTGATTTCATATAGACAAAAGCTGCTCCTAGCATATTTTACCGGTGCAAGAAAAGTACACACTCATCACATCCATAATCACTGATCATAAAGTAAACTGTTCTGTAAAAGCATTCAAGTGATCTGTTTTTCAGCATTAAATTCATCATCACCCCACGGGATGACGATACTCTAAGCCATGTGGCTTCAGGAACCTTTGCCTCTTTACAAGGACTGCCATGGACAACACAACACTATCAGATAAAAAAGACTTTACATATATAAAGGCAACTACTTCCTAGCATCTCTAAACAAAGAAGGAACCAAAGAGGAAAAGGTGGAAAAATACAGGAGTGTACAAGGAGACATACAAAGAAAAAAAAAAAAAAAAGGGGGGGGTCGTCTAATAGGATAGTCCCCAGAGCTGAGATGCAAGGACTAAATTGCGAAGTTGACAAGACTCATTCACACTGTTGTCCATATTCCATATCTGCAGCGGGTTCAATAAAACTTGTCAATAAATCCCGTCTCTATACCCATCTAGACCAGGTCCCGCTTCACGAACTCAGCAAGGAGAGCCTTGCCCAGACCTGCAGGGCTGGGCTCAACGACAACGCCGGCATCCTGAAGGGCAGCAATCTTCGAGTCAGCACCACCCTTGCCGCCGCTCACAATAGCACCGGCGTGGCCCATACGACGGCCTGGGGGAGCACTGATACCCGCAATGAAGCTAACAGCGGGCTTGTTGTGGCGATTGTTGGCCTTGAAGAACTCGGCCGCGTCCTCCTCGGCACTACCACCGATTTCACCAATCATAATGATTCCATCGGTCTCCTCGTCCTCGAGGAAGATACGCAGGCAGTCGATGAAATTGGTGCCGGAGAAAGGGTCACCGCCAATCCCAACAACGAGGGACTGGCCAAGACCAGCCTGGGTGGTCTGGTTCACAGCCTCGTAGGTCAGGGTGCCGGAACGAGAGACGATGCCGACACGGCCACGCTTGTGGATGAATCCAGGCATGATACCGATCTTGCATTGGCCCTACAACACCACAAAACATCAATCCATCAATCTCCGACTCTGGAAATAATAGACGGGTTCAACGATTAAGACTTACGGGAGCGATGATGCCGGGGCAGTTGGGTCCAACCAGGCGGGTCTTGTTCTGGGTCTTCAAAATGTCCGTAATGCGAACCATGTCTGTCCACCTGCCCGTCAGTCTCTAGCGCAAAGTAGGGTCATCGGGAAGGACGCGGAAAAGCGTACCGTGCTGGGGGATTCCCTCAGTGATACTATCAAAATAACCCGTGTCAGAACCATGCAATCGCTCGGGAGCCTACTGTTTCAACCTACCAGACAGCCAGAGGAACCTCAGCCTCAACGGCTTCCTCGATACCCTTAGCAGCAAGAGGGGGGCTAGTGTTTTCATTAGCAGTGGGTTCACGGATCTCCGGAGCTTGACGGGGTGCCCATACGGGACGAAGATTGCGGAGGCTGTGGCACCAGTCTCCTTCACAGCATCGCGCACATTCGCGAAGACGGGTCTATCGAGATGCATCGAACCGGCCTTCTTGGGGTTGGTACCACCAACGACTTTAGTACCTGAATAGTCGTGAGCTTACCATTCCCACCAGCTATAGAGACATTGGGCAGGGAAGAACGAAAAATATATTCAAAAAAAAAAGGGAAAAAGGGGGGGGGGGGGGGGGGGGGATAGTAATACCATAGGCAATGGCTTGCTCCGCATGGAAACTGTCGAATGGGAGAGAATACACAACATCAGCCTCTCTGCTTCCATGTCGATATACAGGATAGGGGCCGAAAATCCTTACGTTCCTTGCTTTCCCGTGAAACCCTGGAAGATAACCTTGGTATCCCCATTGATACGAAGGTTGTTCACAGTGTCGGCATACGGCGAGGCTCCCTGAGCATATCCTCGACACTGCACGGGAGCAGCATTCCGAATGGCAGAGAGGGTGTTACGGCGGAAGGCTTGCATGACGGCGAAATGGCAATCGCAAAGATTCACTCCAAAAAGAAAGAAAAATGGAAAAGATGAAAAAGAAAGGAGAGGAGAGGGGACAATAATGGTCAGATATAGGGGGAAAAGATTCAGGATAGAGTCCTGCTGCTGTGAAGCTTGAGGTAATTTTCGGGACAAAGCTTTACGCGGATCCGAATTGTCGCGGGCGGTAGGTCGTTCCTTTTTTTTCTGCTGGCCCCTCATCCACGCTCTTTGGGGGTTTACGACAAATCGACGATCTGGGATTTGTATTTATTCTTTGTCTTTTTCTATCCTCCCTCTGGTTCTTTGTTTTTATCGCTAAGCTCGGTCGGTTCTCCTATCGCTCGTTGCGACTTCAATTAATATGGCGACGGCGACCATGACTATGCCGCCACCATCCAAGCCGAAGCAAGCTTCAAAGTTGCCCCCGGAGAATGAACGGTATATGAGAGCTTGTTCGGATATTGCCAATGCTCTGATTCAGGATTACGAGTCGCAGGCGGACTATACGAAACCCAAGAAAGACCTCAACCTCAACCGACTGCGCGGGCAAATTGCGAAAAAGCATGCCTTGAGTAATTTGCCGCCTCTGACGGCCATCATCGCCGCCGTCCCAGAACACTATAAGAAATACATTCTTCCTAAGCTGATTGCCAAACCGATCAGTATGGTGTCCCTTCCTTGTCCGTCCCATCCCGACCGTCCCCGGTTTCTAATTAACCATGCCAGGAACGTCGTCCGGGATCGCTGTTGTCGCCGTGATGAGCAAGCCCCACCGTTGTCCGCATATCGCGTATACGGGGAACATCTGTGTCTATTGCCCCGGCGGACCCGATTCCGACTTTGAGTATTCGACGCAGTCCTACACCGGGTACGAGCCCACCTCCATGCGTGCGATCCGAGCACGATATGATCCCTTTGAGCAGGCGCGAGGCCGTGTGGATCAGATCAAATCCCTCGGGCACAGCGTGGATAAAGTGGAATATATCATTATGGGTGGAACGTTTATGTCGCTTCCCGAGGACTATCGCGAGTCATTCATTGCGCAGTTACACAATGCGCTGAGTGGATACCAGACCGACAACGTCGATGAGGCAGTTCAGGCGGGTGAGATGAGCAACGTGAAATGCGTAGGCATCACAATCGAAACCCGACCGGATTACTGCCTGGATACGCACTTGAGCAGCATGCTGCGCTACGGATGCACGCGACTGGAGGTGGGTGTCCAGAGCCTATACGAGGACGTAGCCAGGGACACGAATCGAGGCCACACGGTTGCTGCCGTTGCCGAAACATTCAAGCTCTCAAAAGACGCCGGATTCAAGGTGGTCAGCCACATGATGCCGGATCTACCGAATGTCGGCATGGAGCGCGACCTGTTCCAGTTCCAGGAGTACTTTGAAAATCCCGCTTTTCGCACCGATGGGCTGAAGATTTATCCCACGCTGGTGATTCGCGGCACAGGTCTCTACGAGCTCTGGCGGACGGGTCGCTATAAGAACTACACGCCCAATGCGCTCGTAGATCTCGTGGCCCGTATTCTCGCTCTGGTGCCCCCCTGGACCCGGATCTACCGAGTCCAGCGTGATATTCCCATGCCGCTAGTGACTTCGGGCGTGGAGAACGGGAACTTGCGTGAACTTGCCCTGGCCCGTATGAAAGACTTCGGAACCACGTGCCGAGACGTCCGTACCCGTGAAGTTGGCATCAATGAAGTCAAGAACAAGATCCGTCCCTCCCAGGTCGAGCTTATCCGTCGCGACTACGCCGCCAATGGTGGATGGGAGACCTTCCTTGCATATGAAGACCCCAAGCAGGACATCCTTATCGGCTTGCTGCGTTTGCGGAAGTGTAGTGCCACACACACCTTCCGCCCCGAGTTCACCGGTCAGCAAACCAGTATCGTGCGAGAGCTGCATGTATACGGTTCTGCCGTGCCACTACACGGCCGCGATCCGCGTAAATTCCAGCATCGTGGGTTCGGCACCCTACTGATGGAAGAGGCGGAGCGCATTGCTCGTGAGGAGCATGGAAGCCGGAAGATCAGTGTCATCTCGGGCGTCGGTGTGCGCAGCTACTACGCACGACTGGGCTACACCTTGGATGGCCCATACATGTCCAAGGTGCTGGATCCCATTGGCGATGACTTATAAATGCAGAACAAGCTCATGCAGTACCGCAGACTACTGATATGATTATGATGGGCGACACTCCTGCCCCAGAATGAAAGCATATATCTTTGATAAAAAGTTTGATAGTTGATATCCGGCGTTTAGGGGCTCTCTCATTCTTCGCATTGTTAAGTGTTATTTAAGATATGCCACTCAGAAAAGCGCTGGCTTTCGTACATAGAAATGGACTGCATGTCATATACTATTATGAATTGGAAATCCCTTTAACTTTAGCATACTTTTAGCATGTTGTAAACGCCCCACACGCTCACTGGTACAGCAAGGAAGGAGAGAACACATCGCAAGAAAAATAAATCTATTTAAACCAATTCACTATATACATACCGCATGGACTCCGTACTCGAAGAAAATACCTAAAGAGGCATTAAGAAACGCCTATACTGAACGACAAATAACAAGGGAAAGACGCAAAAAGAAGACGATCAATAATCGATCATAAAGATAGAAATAACAGATTAGGGTAAGGTTTCTATCAGGCCGTTCCACGATACCCAAAAGAAGACCTCGTGTAATCTCTCCTCCTCACCCATAACTCCTGATGTTATCACTAGCGTATCCTAGCAATGATTCTAACAGAAGTATAGAGCGGGTAAGCAACCATTCAATCACATGGTCGATAAGAATGGATATAACGAGAGAAACGATCTAGTTCAGAGATATGGCACCTCCCCTGCGGCTCCTCGTGTGAAGGTAGGCCTGGAAGGCGCAGAAAATGAAGAATGCCTATTAAGCGACAACACCGCCAATGGTCAGTATGCGAGGGTTCCAGTAGTTCTTCTGGGAGTCTAGATGGGCGAAACATACGGCGTACACCACCACGGCTGTGAAAATCGAGGCAGCGACTGCAGAACCATCTTCCGGTTCGCCTTCCGAGCCGGTAAATCCAGGATGTTCCCTCTATTTTCATTTCTCTATTAGTCCTCTTTCTATACGGAAGAAGAAAAATGGGTAGGCGGCGGAGGGAATGAAGACGAGTAGCGGATATGGCGGAACCGACCTTGTATAATGACCCCAGGACCGAAAGAATTATGATGCCAAAGAGTGAAATGACCACACTGTATCATGAAGACTTATCGTTAGTACAGGACTGGATTATGGATAGGAGTACACGGGGTGTAAATGTTTACCAGGACCACGCATTCAACAACGACACAACAGGCTTCATTTTGCCGCCGGGTCGATAATGCGACGTCCGTCCGAGAGCTGGTTCAGATAGGGGTCGGAGATGTCCAAGTCTCAGCTTGAGAGTACCAGAACAGATTCAAAGGAGTCTAGGAACAGCAAAGGAAGCACCAGTTTCCTATCCTAAGACTAAATCGATGGCGAGTACTGCGTTGGTTGATGTTCATGCAAAGGCGGGTGGAGGGCTTTGGACTGAACCGCTTTAGCCGCATTCGGCAACTATGTTGACACCTTCAACGCTGTCCGCGTCACCAGCGTATGAGGGTAGAGAAAGGAAACAATAGCCAAAACATCAAGAGAGAGTATAAGAGCATATGCTATTGGAAGAATGGTTCAGTGCATCGGGGCTACTTGCTTTATAACATGAAAGAAAATTTAATGTACTATTATTTGTACTCATTTCAAAACATATACAAAACACTGAAGCTCTATTCTTTCAACGTACTTTTTAATGAGATTTATTCCACTGAATACATTCATCAAATTTGATACCCGAACCACCAAAAATGTCCAAAGCACTGCCAATTGTCAGATCAACTTTCCCTTGACTGCTAGCTTGAACCTTTTCAAGGTCCTCAAGACTACGTGCACCGCCGGCGTATGTAACAGGAATGGTGCACCATTGAGCCAGTTTGGACACCAGTTCTTCATCAATGCCTTGTTGTAGTCCCTCTACATCTGCTGCGTGTATGAGGAATTCGGAACAATAGGGTTCCAGTAATGAGATCGATTCTACTCCGAGGTCAGCATCGAAAGACTGGCATTTCAACAACAACTTTCTCTCTAAAAAAAAAAAGAAGTAAAAGAGAAATGCAAAAAAGAAAGAAGGAAGGGAAAGGAAAAGGAAGGCAAACAAACGAGAAATAACTGACCTGGAGTAATCTCCATCTCGGTAATGGTCTGCCAGCAATTCATGGCGACAAACCATGTATTATCCTTTCTTCGACAGCTGAGATCCAAAACTAACTTTGATCTATCACCCCCAAGAGCAGATAAAACAGATTCTAGTCGTTCGATAGAGAATTTGCCTTCTGGAAAGAGGAAGGATGTAATTATCACCTATCCGGTTATGTCAGCATGCTTCATGGCGCAATAACGTACAGTAAAATGGCAGTAACCCCTCTTCCAAAAGAAGGGGGGAAAAAAAGAAAAAAAAAAAAAAAGAGAGAAAAGATACACAGGATCCCTGCAATTAATTACTTTAGAATAGACTTGTCAGCTCACCTTCTCAGCTCCCTGGTCAATCCAATATTGGGCATTCTGGTCCGTGATACCACCGGCAACTTGTAGGCCCCCAGGCCAAGTTCTGAGGGCCTCTTTCGCAGCCTCATCATTTCCGGGCCCAAGCATCACAGCATGGCCTCCTCGTAGGTCACTATTATGATATAATTCCGCATAATAGCTGGCGGGGAGTTTGGATACATAGTTGGTCTTGAGATCCGCAGCTACTTCACTCAATGTTCCCCCAACGATTTGCTTGACTTGACCAGAATGCAGATCGATACAGGGCCGGAACTTGGTCATCTCGCTTAATTCAATTCGTTCTTCTGGCGCCAACTGCGTGAAGTTGTCACTCAACCAACATATGTGGAAGTCCCACGAGGGGCGGCCTATCTTATCACACGTGACAGCAGATACGGGAGGGAAAAAAAACACCTGCTTGTCATCCGACTTGAGCTGCATTTTGCTTTCAAACCACAGCTGGACCATAGAATCCAGACACACGGAGAACCTATTAGACATGATTGGCAAACGAAAGAGAGACACCTCTGTTGTGTCGAGGTCTACGGTTGTAGACGACCAAAAAGTCTCTACGACTAGCGCTGAAACCAATCCCCACGACGTTTTTCGCAAATTTTTTGAAGCGCAATTCCTGCCCATCGAGCTATCGGGGGTTCAAACTACCCGTGATAGAGATGTTGAAGAGGAAGAGGATGATGAAGATGGTGAATCTTCTGACAGTGTATCGGAGTGGGGAGGTCTTTCCGGAGAGGAAGATAATGACAACAGAGTCGAGGTAGTTGAGCATCGAGACACATCTACCAAGGATAGGGAACTGATAGACAAAAAAGCCCGCAAAGCATTCATGGTATGTCTACAATATATGTGAAAGATCTAGGGACCTTTCTCCTTCTAATCCCAAATTCGTTTTTCAGACTGCGAAGCCTCCAACATTCACCGTAAAACCAACCGCCGAGAAGCGCACGCCCAGCAAGACCAAGAAGGACGATGATGACAGGGCCAACGATGCCGATAATTTGAAAAATGATCTTGCGCTGCAGCGACTACTTAAAGAATCTCACCTTCTGGAGTCAGCATCAGAGCTTGGACCGACGGGTAAAAAACCGACTGAAGGCGCTTGACCTGCGGATGCAATCACTAGGGGCAAAGACATCTCTATACCACCAGAACATGCCGTCATCTCATCGAAGAGGCATTAAAGCTAAAGCTGAGCAGAAGGAAGAAAAGCGACGGAGAGAAGCTAGAGAGAACGGGATCATTCTCGAGAAGCCTGTACCAAAAAAAGCAAGCAATGGACGACGCGAACGGGGTGTTGGGGGCCCTTCTGTTGGGAAATTCGCTGGCGGTACCTTGAACTTGAGCAAGCGGGACATATCGGCCATCCAAGGGCCACGGCGACCTTCCAAGGGAAAGACGAAGGGCCGTCGCTGAGATGGAAGTTCCCGGTGTTAGTGGCCATAGCTCCGGACTTCCCCCTTCTCAGACAAAGTAATCCAGTTCGCACTTAGTTTCAGGAGTCGTTGTTTGGGAATACGACTTCTTCACATGGAAAGAAGAAGGAGCTTTTGACTACCGTTCCTCCACTTCACACTTATTCTCCGTTATCGCTCGTTATACTTAGCCATTGTCGGCTATGATAAACATGACCAAGGAATTAGAGTCCAAGCCTGCTCCAGCGGCCCAAACGGTAAATCAACACCAGGAAACGAGGCAGGACAAACATTTCAGCATGAACGGATTAATTCTGAGACCCCTAGATGGGGCGTTGGGAACTCTAACCCCCAACTACCTGCAGGAGGATTGATTCTCGAAGCACGTTCCTCTGCCGGGTGTGCCGCCGTTCCAGATAGAGTGAAACATCCGGTTGAGGCTAGGAATTGACGATGGAACATTGAATCTGAGACACTCTTACCCTACCAGGCTCTAGGGCAACTGTTTCTTAGGACTTGATACTTCGGGGCAGTGCTGCTTCAGATCTCTTGGAGACTTTGACATCCTTGAACATGGGTAGTTAACGTAACTCCACAGTCAAGCTGCGGGGCTGTATTCTCTTACAAAATGGCACTATTTAATTTGGAATATCTCAACCATTTTTTTTCCATTATGGTTCATATTAGAAAGATTTATTCTATATGAGTATATAAATAGGGTTCGTAAATATTTTATAAAAGAAATTTAATTTAGTCTAAAATACTTATAACAGGCTTGGGATATAGGGCAATACATAGTATTGAGGTAATTAAGAGTACCATCTATTTAAAAACTATTATATACTCTATTTAATACCTAAGGATTCCTTATATTAATATCTATATATAAGAGGCAGAATGGTTGAGATATGGCGAGTTTGTAAGAGAATACAAGTGCGCAGCTTGACAGTATGCGCAACTTGATGTGGAGTATATTAGTTCACTAAGTTACCACACTAATACATATACCTAGTCAATCTAAGTATAGAACAAGTGTTGGATCTGAAACTTGAATAAACCTTGGCGCCTTTCGTTGGCCCGGGTTTAGTGCAGACAGACGATACTGGTATACAGGATTTAGGATCGCCAGGAGGCTCCTTTCCCTTCTTTTGTTTTCCAAAAAAAAAAAAAAAAAAGGTAAAAAATTTTCCGTAACCTTCTAGGCCATAATTATTTGTGAACTACTTAGCCTAGAAATTCATCAATGTTTGATTTAATGGTTCTGCGGCTATTTAGAGCCGATGGTCAAGTCTTTTTTTTTTCTTTTCTTTTTTTTTTGGGGGAGGGGTTTTCCGTTACCGTCAGGGTACCTGCATGAACAGTTGGGTCGGTTCCTGGTCTAAAGGCTAGTTGAAGTTTACTCCGTAAGAAACTAGCTATTATTTAGATAGTGAAAAGATGGAAGACCATCAACACCACATATGTACTAGATTTGCATAGCACCCTATGCTCTGGCCATGTGCTGCAAACCATCAGGTACTTACTTATTGGCTGTTTCAGATTCTGCACGTAGCCATTCCAAGCAGCATTCCATCTGAGATATGCCACTAATCACGAGTCAGTCCCAGCTAGATTAGGCTAAGCCTGCACCAAGAGCGTGACGATGCGAAGAGTCTGGAAAAGATACATACCCCCTTTCCCTCCTCACCTCCTTCTTATGTCTGACTGTCAGTGATCGGAAATATTCCGGTTATTTCCAACAGGCGCAGAATCCAAATAGCCCATGCATATTATGCCTGTACTCGCATTACGATTGGGAGGCTCTTTGGAGAATTATTTGTAATCTCAGTCTTTAGCGCTCAGTTGATTCCTTGGCGTTCAAAGCAGTCTAAGACGGTGGGATCGAATTTTTTTTTTTTTTTTTTTGCTTCCTTTTTTTTCCTCCATGGACTTATCTCGATCTGGTATGCTGTACGCACTTAACTGCAAAGGATACCTATTTGGAAAGAGCACAATCACGCACCAATCAGTGGCTGTCTAGTAGACCTACCCTCTGTGGATATCGATGATCACGAGTTCCATCCACCCGAAGTCTGGGAGTTTCATGAGTTCGTTTTCACTTCCTTATAAAACGAGGCGAGTGTGTGGGGAGAGGGGCCAAATCGACCCGAATCCGACATATCCGACCAGCGCCGCTTTGGCAATCGTCGTTGATCTGCTATCGACTACAGGCTTACAGGGAACACCGTACCGATGTTCTGAATCCCTAACGCTCGTGGACAACGAAGGGCTTTTGGTTTCTTCCATGGGTAGCATTTGGCATCATCCATGAAATGGGTACTATTTTATGAACGTGCCTGACGATCGACTAGATACTAGAAAGTAGTAGGACGGAACTACCCAGCATCTAGCTAGTCAGCTTCTCCATACCACGTAAGAATACTTAATATACAAGACGCACGTCTAGCTTCTTCCCTCCGCACGTTCTCAACACACTACCGTTCATACTAGTTTAACTGGATGTAATATAGGTAGATGGATAATGTCAAAGATTACTACAAGACGTACTCCGTACGATACCTCGAGAACATGTGATGGATTTTGTGGGACTCCTTTTATTCGACCTCTTTCCGTCGTCGACTACGTGCTCTATCCCTCCTCTCACGCCATGGATATAGACCACAGTAGATATCTATGGAACGGATGGAATCTTCTCCAGAGTTTCAGATGCGACGATCAAACCCATGCCAAAGACCGCACCGAGACCAGCCATCCGACACTTCCATTAGCCAAGCGTGTCTGGAGCACGTACTCCCTACGCCGTATTGCGATTTGCTACAGGCAGTGGAAACAGGCGTAATTTATTGCCCCAGCCTTACCCATCGAGAACCTCATGGAATCCCATACTGGACCAAGTTAGTTCGACTCGTCTCTAATTCGTCTTTGGTGGAGATGCTTCCTTCACCCTCAGAGGAAGAGAACCTCCTAAATCCACCGGCATAGGGTAAGCAACAGACGCCGTGTAGGCTCGGTTGTTCTCAACTCGGGAACCAGTCTCCGACATTTAAACTACTTGGTAGATTCGATATGGAATTCAATTGTTATTAGTTCCCATTCTACACGGTTCAATGATAATAACGTTAAATATATGTCTGTCTGGACTAAAATACGATGTTGTTTGGGAGGATTTCTTAAGATGCTCCCCAACTGTTCCCCCTTCTCTTACATCGCCTGTACATGGTAAGGCTGGCGCTTCGGAACATGCATGCATCGTTGCTAACATGTATGTATATATGTGCCTATATAAATTTACGCGCATGCATTTGCTAGGCCTGGATTCAGCCGACACTGCGGGGGGTACAGCATTGGAAATGAAGTCGATCGGGCCAATTGTGATCGATGATCTCAGCGGTGGTGATGAGGGCCATAAGCAGCGACACCTGTCATATCGGACAAAAGACTAGTACATGCCTTCGTTTATTAACCCATTCTGTTGTTACATTCTCTACTATAGCTTTACTGCCAAGATATATTCTGACAGGGAAGGAAAGTGTTTTCGGCGTTTGTATATTTGTGGTTAAGCTTTGCCGTTTCCCCCTTCATCAATTCTCTGTTGCAGATCTGCCCCTCAACTCCGTTTTTCGACCGTTGCGATGCCAATCACCAGGTATCAAGTTCAGGCCTGCCGAAAAGACATGCCGAGAATTGCTGTAATTTTTAAACAGGAGATTAAGCGACAAGCATTTATACGCCTATGGTAATTTCAAGTCCTTCTTACAGTGGCTTTCATTGGCTATGGATCATCATTCATGATATATCGGTACGCAAGATAGTAGTAGATTTAAATGTACGGGGGATGAAAATTGTAGCGTGCTCTCCCTACAAAATCGGCCTTCTGCAAGCCATGAACAAATGTGCCTGGAGTTCCCACCCGTAGTATTTTATATCCTGTTGGGTAGTATCTCGGCTCGTGGCTTCAAAATTGAGTCGGAACTAGTCTTCGTATAGTTTCTCTGATGGATGGAGCCGAGCCAATAGGCGGCACGCTTGTAACCCTAGACTAGTATTCATGTAAAGAGTAATCAGGCCTTAGTATTGTTTTTCTGGTACCCATAGTTAAATTCTTTATTCCATTGCAAAGTGACCAGTCAATATGATTTATCACCCGATGGCCAAAGCCTCGACGCCCGGACCCTAAAAGACCACCTTAAATTCTCGTCCGTTTGCTACAGAGTATACGATATGTCTGAGTATGAATGCTCCGGGAAAAGCCCTCAAAAAAAAAAAAAAAAAAAAAAAAATTGGATATAAAAAAAATTGAATAGTATGAATTCTGTGGACCGTCAGGTTGCGCTATGCTATAGACTGGGTGCAATTTAAAGAAGATTAATGTATACAGACTTCAATTGCCACCTTTGACCCCTTTTAACCCGACTCCCTGGCTCGTAGTAGATAAACAGAGCACAAGTTATATTGTGTAAAAATATTGAAGATATATAGTCTGGTGTCGACAATCAACCAAACATTTTCCCAACAATAGTAGCCATGGTAAGGTCAATCTATTTTTGGTGCGGATGGGTTTTCCGCTATGGGTGACCAACAATGGAATAGGTGAGTACCTAGTTCAGGTACTTGGAGTCTCTAGGAGTTTTCTTTAATTGGAAGTTGTCCATGCTGACCCCCACATCTAGAGACCTAGTGATCTGTGATCTGTCAGACTATTCGACTAGGAGTATGACCATGGAGGGTTAGTAGAAAGTGATATCAACTTGGCCAGACAGGATGTGCATCCTCCGACCAAAGTAGTGTGGCTTCTTCATTCTCACTCACCAGGGCATTGGCCAATAGAAGCCACAGTAATAGTGGGTCCTGATCGTGCTATCTTCCATTGGTGTATTTGTTAGCGCTCAACTGGCCTCTGAAACAAGGGGGCGAATGCTTCACGGCTGTTTCCTGTGCCAGTTTCATCTGTTTATACAGTCTTGGCATTGTTTGGTTCCACCCATGAATGCTACCTATCTACAAACTGTCGAGAACGAACTGGCTGGCCAGCAAAGGAGATTGAAAAGCTGGAACTGGGAAGGCTCTCCGTTGATTCCGCACATTTTACGTGGATCTTTTTATTTCGAATTTATTTTTTCAATTTCCCCCCTCTTCTTAATTTAAATAGCTGGTCTGTTGATCACACTCTACATTTGCAGTAATCTGCGGAAGTCAAGGACGCCAACGAGGCATAGTAAGCTGACCCAATAAATCTCGAATTCAGGCCATATACAGAGTACACAAGAAATGCATGTTTAGGTTACACTCGTACTTGGGAAGATATAAATAAATTTCGCAAAAAGCAAAAAAACAGAAAAACAAAAAGGGTCCTATAACTTTACAGGCCTCCAAAATTTAGGTTAAACTCTACTAAAATAGTATTGTTTTCTCACCCACAGAAATGAGATCATGAACTGGGTAACAAGGCACTTTCCATGGTAGGTGATGATCTCTAAGCAAGTATGGTAGCGTACCTGGAATCCTTGAGTTTGTTATGTGTAGCCATCGACATTCCAGACAGGGCCATGGGCCTGTGAATCTACGGTAGGCAAGTATAGAGCGCATAGATGATTTTTTAAGGTACTGTACTACCAAGTTGTGGCTACCTAGGAAGACCTAACTAAAAAGGCAAGTCTCCGTTTGCGCCTACTATTTATCTACCTACTAATCAGATGGTCTCAAGTACTGTTAAGAAGAGGGGGCGGACAATCTATCCGTGCAGAAACCCATAAGACACTCAAATGTTAGTAGGCTAGGGCATTTAGCCAGTGCGAGTTCTCTATTTATATTATTATTATTATAATTATTATTATTTTGATCATGATGATGATGGTGATGTGAATACAGCACTGGACTATCCATGAAGAAGAATTAACCCAACATACAGAGTAGAGGCGGAACAAGTAAGAAAGAGGATGGATCCAATGTGGCCCCAGAGAAGAGAAGTTGAAGAGAGCAACGGGATTGGAATCTTTGGAACTTGACGGAAACCCCACTTGTCCTACATGGGATTGGGCGAAGGTGTACCGCTGGATGGTAAGTGACTGTCAGAATACTATTAGAATGGTACCACCTTCTGTGCTTTACTCTATTTCTACTGGACCACCGGCTAGACGTATGGTAATAGTGGTGTACTAATACGAACTGTGAACAGTACAGTACAGTGGATCTGGTAATAATACCGTCCCTTTTAGATACGGTCCCTGGCGCTGTCTCCGCTTTTCCACATTGAGGCCCTACTTTTTCGTCGCCTTCTTGAAGCCCAACCAACCTAATGAAGACAAGAATCAGAAAGAGGGAAGAGACTCGGAGAAAGTTATCGCGCACTAGTATCTTAGTTCAATTTAATTAGAGAAGAATCCGAAAAAGTGCTCCAACTGGGCGACTCGATCCATGGTCACGGTCGTGCTCCCTGAATTTCTCCCAAGTTCTTACTTAACTTTCCCCCTTGATGGCTACTTGCTGGTGATTGTTACCCTTATTTATTTATGGCCTTTATTGATTGGCATTAAGAACGTTGCTATTATTTAAGTATTATTATTCCCTGCGTGCTTTTTCTTTTCTTCTAACAAAAAAAAGAAAAAAGGAAAAATTATATAATATTGTTGTCATAATTATTATTATTATTATTATATTATTATTATTATTACTACTATTATTTCTCATTTTATTTTAGTGCCCTTGACTACTTCATTTATTATTATTTCTCTTTTTCTTGACCGCGTTGATCTCTTTGCCGCTGAAAGGCAAGAAGGGAAGACTTTACATACCTACCACATCCTGCACCTTCTCCCATCCTCTTTTCCCCCCTCCTCATCGTCACTGGCCCTCTTTCTTGTTCACTTCCCTTCGTTTTCAATTTATTTCATTTCTTGTTCCTTTTTCGCCGTGCGAGTTCTTCAAAGAGACTTGGAAAAGGGCTGGCCCACTTCAACTCTCTGTTGCCTTCTTTTCAACCGTTCCACTATCTTTGTGGTTGACGAGCTTCGCAACGTCAGTGTCTGAGTGCATTCTCAAGAGGCCGGTTCCTCTTGTGTTTGGATATAGCCTATCCATCACTTTCTTTACTGATATCTCACTCGTGTTCCACACCACTCTCTAGCTGAGAAGAAAAAAAAGTTTGTAGTTTTACAGCTTGCTGATACGAGTTTGTTTTTACTGTGCGTATGCGCCTGTTCCCTCCACCTGTTGTCTCAGATCATCGCCCCGGAGCGACCGATACTCTTTACCTGTCTTTTCATAGCCCTTTGTTTGTGCTTTTGCTATCAGACATCCTCTTTTGTCAGGCTAATCAATTCACTAGATATTTGCTTCCGGGAGCAAAATGTATCCCCAACATGGCGCTCCTATGGCGCCCCCACAGAAACCAGAGACGTTTATGCTTTCAAGCGAGGCGCAACAAAGCCTTCCTCATGATGCGCAAGTAGCATTACAGCAAGTTGACAACTGTGAGTCTCATCACAAGCACCAAAAGTTCCCCTCCGCTGTGGTATTCCCCAGTGTATTATGGGGTGACTTTGGCTAAAGATGGATATGCACAGTGAAATATTTCCTCCTTTCGGCGCCTGTTGACTGGCAACCGGATCAACTTATCAGAAGGTTCTTGCTTCCTACGGGCGACTATATCTCCTGTGTTCTTTGGTTCGTCCGACCGTGGAACCATCTGCTTTCTAGTTTGAACTTCGGTGCTAATTGATAGTAGGAACAATCTTTTCCACATCTCGGGTACCGATATCGTCAGATGCCTAGCCTTCAGATTCCAAGCTTTTGGACGCCCCGTTAAGAATTCGAAGAAGTTCGAAGAGGGGATCTTTTCGGATCTTCGTAACCTCAAAGCGGGTACCGACGCAACCCTAGAAGAGCCGAAAAGCCCATTCCTAGACTTTCTATACAAGAATAACTGCATCCGCACGCAGAAAAAGCAGAAGGTTTTCTATTGGTATAGCGTACCACACGATAGGCTGTTTCTCGATGCACTAGAGCGGGATTTGAAGCGGGAGAAAATGGGGCAGGATGCAACAACCGTCGCGGTCAGCGAGCCTGCTCTGTCTTTCGAGTTTGATTCATCCCAATCATTGTATGAACAACTCACAAAGGCACAACAAGCAAATTCATCTTCATTTGCTGCACACGCAAGTACGACATATGGCCAACCCGCATCCCCAGTGGTTCGGACCGTTGACGCTATGCCTCCTCCCCAGATGGCTCCTCAAATGGCACCCCCAGCGTTAGCCCTTCTCCCAGAAGAGTCTCGCAATCCGGCGATGTACCATCAGATTCCTATATCCAACCCTTTGGCCCAGAACGTTGTTAAGCGGGAGCCTGATTATGGACAATTTCAGTACGATCGCAGCGGAATGTCGGTTGCTCGCATACACCACCAGCGCCACGCCTCTATGCCAACGTTCGTCGAATATTCGCCGGCTCCGTCGTTTGTTTCGTCCCAGTATGAAGACTACAGTAACCGGGGCTTATCTTTTGAACCAGTCACTCCTCCCCAGCACAGTTCCCAACTTGGGGCTGAACCAGCATACATTGCTAATGAGGATACCGGCCTTTACACCGCTATTCCCGATGTCTCCTCTTCGGGCTCCTTTAATCCAATGATGCAGCTACCCACGTCCAACCTTGCAAGTGCGCACTTCCCGACTCCTGCAAGAACATTTCACTCAAATGTCTATTCTGTGCTAGAGGGCTCTCCAACATACAAGCAACGGAGACGCCGCTCATCCATTCCCCCAGGAGGCGGCAACAGCATTCCTACATCAGCGCCCTCTCAAGTGGCCGGACCGCCTTCCCAGCCTATCAGCTATGCTGCTCATAGACCAAGTGATCTCCGTCGCTCTGTCTCCAGTTCAGTAGGCCCTGTCGCCGAGATGGATCGCAATTCGTCACATCGCACTGTGAATGGCTACCCCATTGCGACGCTTCCACAGAAGAACTTACTCCATGAGATATCTCGTCACGGTACCCCACTTTCAAGCCTCGACGAGAACTCGGAGCAGAATAATTTGTCTCTTGTGAACCCGGCAGATGAGCTTGCTGGTTTGCCCAATGGCGAAAGCTTGGAGACTGCGGTTCAGAACAAGTCAGAGCGGTACATGCCTGGTCCCGTTCGACGTGCTCGAAGCGCCACAATGATGGAACTTGGCCCCTACCCCCAGAAGTCTCACTCATGTCCAATCCCGTCGTGTGGACGGCTCTTCAAAAGATTAGAACATTTGAAACGGTATGTTACAGAAACCTATTTTTAAGCGCCCTGTCATTGGGCGGCCTTTTCTGCAGGATCTGTAGAGCGTCCCCGGTGATAATTTCTCTAGCCGCCGACTGACGTCTAGCCTGCAGACACGTGAGAACCCACACTCAGGAACGGCCCTATCCTTGCCCCTACTGTAACAAGGCATTTTCGCGATCGGACAATCTTGCCCAGTACGTTCTCTACCTGCCCCGTATGCTACCGCTGGTCTGTATGCTGATTTTACGTGATAGGCACCGTCGTATCCACGAGGCCCAACATGACGGTCAGCCTCCACTCCAGGCCACCGAAGAGGAGCTGGAGAACGAGGAGAATGACTACAGCTCCCCTGATGAGGGCTCTCCCCCTTCCGAGTCCGTTCCGACTACTATGGTTAATGCTCCTAGCGTGACATCGATGCCTTCTTCCATGGCCTTGCATCCTGCTATGCACTCTATAGTAGGCTCTCACATGATCACCCCTCAACTTCTGCAGCAGCAGATATAGGATGGGTACACCGGGTGTAGTCGTTCATTGGGCTGTTGCCGTTTCGCATTTGCTTTGCCTTTCCCTCTTAACCCCAATTAATGCCCCAGTGTTTTTTTTTTTTGTGGGGGGAGGGGGGCTAGGTTCCGCCGTTCTTCAGTCTCCCTAAATTTCTTAGGTGCCAGTCTTGATTTGCGTTGAAATTTTGTGTTCATACCACCCCATTTGCTTCACTTATAGTGGATTTCTGGTTTTATTTCCCTTTAATTAATCACCTTGTGTTACATCACCGAAACTCAGGATTTCGTGTTCGGGGATCATTGATTTTTGTCCTGCAAGATTGTTGACCCTTCCTTGCCGTCTGGCTTACAACAAGGCAAAGGGGCCACCTAGCATAGGAATGCTAGTAGTAGTTGTGTCTCGTTTCTCCGTGTTGAACATGTGACTGGTTGCGACTGGAGTGTTGTGAGTATATCATCACTGATTTGCCAATTTTTTTGTTTTGATCAGGCTTTCCTTTGTCTTTATGTTCGATGTTGATAATGGGTCTTTCTCTCAAGTCTGTTTAGAAATGTTTGGAAGGATTGAAGCATCGTTGAAAATGTAATGCAAGCTTGAAGAAGCTGTGTATAGACACCATGGAATGTTATTTGAGACCTCAGATTGGAGGTACGCCTCGACATGTGGAAATCTTGGGGGGTCTAATATTAGCTATTTACTTTGCACATAGATCTTTTTGCTTTTTTTGTTTCATTCCCATAGTCCTTTACCTACAATCATACGGTATAGTATCTCAATTGATCTTTTTAGATGGGGTCATGGGACTTGGACAGTGTCACGTGCAGGGGATGCTGACGTCAATCGTTCAATACAACGCAGCCCACCTCAACTGCATACGAACGTTCGTCGTCACAGGAGATCTGTGTTATTTCTGCAGACATGGGTCCGTCGTAGCTAGAGTCATCCTGCCTCACACTTGGCTATATTGGCTTTGTTGACCTGACCGCCCTTTTCCACTGCTGGCCCATATAAAGACACCACCGCTAAGCCCAGAAGAGCAAGGAATCTCGTCTTACCTCTTGTCGCCAATTTTCTAGTATTTCAAACTTAATATATCCGAAACGTTTTGGTCACGTTACAGCTTCTCGGATTTTCTGACTTCTACTGATATTGCTCTCTGTAAGCCGAGAGTGGTTCGGTGCTCTAATAGTATCGATGACGGACACACATGAACGGACAGCGAACGAGACGTCTCCACTAGTGGGACCGGATCGCAGTGCCGACGATGACAATGGGAACCCAGTATCAGGCTCCGAAAATACGTCTCGCGGAGCGAATGTTACAAGTGATGTCATGGAGTCAAAGAGTGGCTGGTATCTGTTCTTGTTAACATTGAGTATTGGCGGGTGAGTCACCTTGTCTGCCACATCATCCACCTAGGCTTGGATCTTTCGGCTGAAGGAATGGGAGGTTGACAATATAACCATAGCCTTCAAATTGTCTGGTCCGTCGAATTTTCGAATGGCTCAGTAAGCGCCGATGAGTTTCCAATTTATTGATGGATTAGTCGCTGATTAGGTTTGATTGCAGCCTTACCTGTTATCTCTTGGAATGAGCAAAGCCTTGCTTGCATTTGTCTGGATTGCAGGCCCTCTTTCCGGTTCTATTGTACAGCCATACATTGGAATATGCAGTGATAACTGCCGGATATCATGGGGTAAAAGAAAGCCCTTCATGATTGTCGGAGGAGCGGCCACAGTTGTGTCCCTGCTAGCTCTTGCATGGATAAAAGAAATTGTAGGCGGCTGTCTTGGAATCTTTGGCGTTGATCTGGCTTCTGCGGGTACTAAAACAGTCGTGATCATTTTCGCAACTATCTTGATGTACTGCCTGGACGTTGCTGTAAATACAGGTACGGCCCCTTTCAGATTTCCCTAGGACTCGAAAGTAATGCCTCGACTGCAGTCCAGGCCGGGATTCGGTGTTTCATCGTCGATAATGCACCTGCACATCAGCAGGAATCGGCCAACGCGTGGGCGAGCCGGCTCACTGGCGTGGGCAATATTTTAGGATATGTCTTTGGGTATGTTGAGCTGCCTAAATACCTTCCTTTTCTGGGAAATACCCAGTTCAAAGTCTTGTGTGCAGTTGCATCTATTTCACTCGCCAGTACGTTGTTCATCAGCTGTTTATACATTCGGGAACGAGACCCACGGCTAGAATCGCCACCTTCATCAGGGAATCCTGGAATTGTCGCCTTTTTCAGGCAGGTTTTCAAGTCCATTAAGCATCTGCCACCCCAGATTGCCAAGATCTGCGAAGTTCAGCTGGCTGCGTGGGTTGGCTGGTTCCCTTTCCTCTTTTATGCCACGACGTATATCGGCCAACTCTACGTGAATCCCATTTTTATTGACCACCCGGATCTCCCCGGGGAAAAGATCAACGAAGCATGGGAGAAAGCCACCCGAATCGGGACGTTTGCTCTTCTTATATATGCTATTGTCTCCTTTATTGCCAACATAACGTTGCCCCTTTTTGTTGTCCCCACCTACAAACCCACTGTTCTTACCCAAGACAGGCATTTAAGTGACGGTCTAGACGGAGAGCCATTTCTAGGCAACAGAAGGACATCATTTCCTAGTCTCGCTGGTGCGACTGCTTCAGCAGAGTCACCTTCGAACTCCTCGGAGGGGAAGAGAAAATGGCTGTCGAAGCTGCAGATCCCAGGGTTTACGCTTCGCCGGGCTTGGTTTCTGTCGCATGTTCTGTTTGCGGTCTGCATGTTTGGTACCTTCTTCGTATACAGCTACCAGGCCGCAACGGTGGTGGTAGGGTTAGTTGGAATCTCGTGGGCGTTGACACTTTGGGCGCCATTTGCTCTGATTTCTGCGGAGGTCGCACGGATTGATGCGGGATATCGAGCTAAGCATCAACAGTCCGAACTTGATGAACACTATTCAGCGCCCAACTATCATGCTGATCCACCAGTGGCGGAGTACGATCTGGAGAACGGCTCGTCATCTACTACGTTGAAAGTAGCAGAGGAGGATGAGAATCTGGCCCAGGCGGGAATCATCCTCGGGCTACATAACGTGGCAATCTCCGCGCCTCAGATACTATCCAGTCTGATATGTAGTGCGATCTTCAAAGTGGCCCAGAAACCCCGAGGTGAAGCCTGGGATGACAGTGTTGGGTGGGTGTTGAGATTTGGCGGATGTGGTGCGGTGCTTGCCGCATGGTTGACTAGCAGACTAGTTGAAGGTCGAGGTTAGAGCCAAGTAAATTAGGAAAATGGCAATAATCCTTGTTCCCATCCTCCATCTGTATTCTGTAAAGCGACGATAGAGAGAAAGACAGACTCGTGCTTTGCGATTAAATCCGAGGGTGGCCGTCGGGTCTTGGCACTCGCAACGACGACTTGGCGCCAAATGTTCTCTCCGATCGCTGTTTCACCTCCTTCCTCTCCAATCTCCGCGCGAACCTCGTCCCTAGGGTATATTTTCACTCCCTCCCTCGTCGGCGGATTATGTACGCCATAGTTTGGTGCCAGAGACTCGTAGCTGGAGCGCATCGCTAGGTGTCATTCACCGTGCTCGTGGCGTGGACTTCATCACAATGGCTACTCAGATCATGGGCGACTCCCTTCATCAGCTGCTTCGTATGTCCCCCCCCTCTCCCCAGAGCTTTTCCTCGCGCGCCGTCTTTATCGACGGAGTACATACCATGTTTACTGGCTTCGTATGAGATGCCAGGCAACCGCTGCTGACGGAATGATATGGTTTTGATTAGAGAGAGCGGCGGAATCCGAGACAGACCCGGACGAGGGTACGCCCATCCCATCTTCCCCTACGATGCTTGCTCTGTTTGAAATTATAATGGTGGATCTGACAGTGATGGATGATGACAGATGCTCCGGGAGCTGGCACCAAGGAGTTTTTCAGCTCCTGGGCGCTTTTTATCCTGATCACCCTTCTGATCTTTGCACTCTTTACAAGCTACATTCTTCAACAGAAGAAGATTCAGGCGGTTCACGAGACTGTCTTGTCCATCTTTGCAGGTACGTCTACCGTCCCACAACCGCGCTTGATCGGAGATGGTCTTCTGGTGTTGACTGCGCTAGGCATGTTTGTTGGGTTGATTATCCGGCTGAGCCCCGATTCGCCTATCCAGGACAGTGTCACCTTCGACTACCAATTTTTCTTTAATCTCCTCCTTCCGCCGATCATCCTGGCTTCGGGCTATGAGTTACATCAAGCGAATTTCTTCCGAAACATTGGCACCATCCTGACCTTCGCATTCGTTGGGACCTTTATTTCTGCTATTGTCCTAGGACTGGTCTTATATGTCTGGACGAGGATCCCGCTTGATGGCTTGAACATGACCTTTGTCGAGGCAATCTCAGTGGGTGCTACGCTATCTGCGACGGATCCTGTGACCATCCTGGCCATCTTCAACTTGTACAAGGTGGAGCCGAAACTCTACACGGTGATTTTCGGCGAGTCGATTCTAAACGATGCGATCGCTATCGTCTTGTTCGAGACGGCGCAGAAGTATGCTGAAAGCGAGGCCGGCTCGCTGACCTTTCTGAATTTATTCGAGGCCATCGGGCTGTTCTTGCTTGTGTTCTTCGGAAGTATGCTGGTGGGTGTGATCGTAGGTATCATGACTGCGCTGGGGCTGAAGTACACGCACGTCCGCCGCGTGCCCAAGATTGAGAGCTGCTTGATTATCCTCATTGCATATGCCAGCTACTTCTTCTCCAATGGTGTTTATCTCTCTGGTAGGTGGCACCCGGTCCACGAAGTGCGTGTGTGGGAAGCTCACCATCCTAGGAATCGTCTCCCTTTTGTTCTGCGGTATTACAATGAAACATTACGCCTATTATAATATGTCGCGGCGAACGCAGTTGACAACGAAATATCTTTTCCAGGTGATGGCTCAGTTGTCGGAGAACTTTATCTTCATCTATCTGGGACTTGACTTGCTTGTTCAGAGAAACCTCCAGTTCAAGCCTCTTTTTATCATGGTCGCGGTGTTCGGTATTTGCATCGCCCGGTACCTTGCGGTGTTCCCGTTATCAAAGGCGATCAACTGGTTTATTCGATATCGCGCCCGTCGCCGGGGTATGGATGTCGCAGACGAGCTGCCCTTCGCCTACCAGGCGATGCTCTTCTGGGCTGGCCTGCGAGGAGCTGTTGGCGTGGCGCTAGCTGCAGGACTCAAAGGGGTTAACGCTCCAGCTTTGCGAGCGACGGTTCTTGTGGTGGTAGTGCTGACGGTCATCATTTTCGGGGGCACAACTGCTCGGATGCTGGAGATCCTTGGCATTCGAACTGGTGTGGTCGAGGAGCTGGAATCGGACGATGAATTCGACATTGAAGTGACCAACGGAGGCACTTACTACAAACGGTCCGGCACAGGCCTGGGATACACACCTCGCCGCATGGATTCAACCATTCCTTTGGACGGGATGCTGCGAGGGACCGTGGACGGCCATGATAGTTACTCAAGCGGGAACAACCGTCGTCCTAGCCCCCCCGCCCCGTCCTCGTCGGGGAGAAGCCGCGGCCATTCACGACTTGGTTACAGTCCAAAGGATACGCAGGCCAGCCGTGACCGATCCTCGACGGCTACACTCCTAGGCAGTGGCGTTACGAGCCACAGTGGCAGTAGTGCCGGTAGCGAGGATGAGTTCGGACTGAAAACTAATGGCAAAGGTCGAGTTGCAGATGCTGACCAGGTTGATGCCTTTGACCTCGAGGTAGATGAGCCTTCGGATGATGACCTCCCTCCATCGGCACCTACGGCGTCTCGTTTGCGACGATCTCCCTCGCAGCACCTGGGGGCATCACAAACGCCTTCTTCTACCAGCGCATCCCCCTCGAGACGAGGGACCTCGGGAATAAGCGCCCGAGATGCCATTCGCGATCTTTTTTCGGGCGGCCCGTCTGGAGATCATGCCGCTTGGTTTCGGCAGTTGGATGAGGATTATATCAAGCCCCGATTGCTGCTGGATCAGTCGAACCACAAGGGGCCTGGAGCTGTCTAGTTTTTATGATGTCTGTATACTTAACCTTTGCTTGCCGTTTTCCTTTTGTGCCTTTTTTCATTTTCATTTTCATACTTATTTTTTGTGTTTTCTCCATTGGGACATCACTGGGTCTGGAAACCCTGGGATCAACTCTACCTGTATCACCGGGAGAACTGGTTTGTTTAGCGAGATATGAAGGTGTGGATTTTGAACCGTTATTATAGAAGACATCCATGAATGAACTGAATCGATCGAGATCAGCTGATCGCCGTTCCCGTGATGAATGAATTAGACTTCGCAGACCCCGCGTCTCCCTACATTTTGGTGATCTACATGTGGATGGAATGCTTGGCTGGAAGCCGGCTGATAATATCTGTGTATATCTCTGCTTTTCCATCTCGGACTCAACCCTGGAGTCCTCCTCTTCCATCCTACTGAAGTGCACACTCTACGATGACCATGGCGGACAGAAAGTTCCATGATACGGACGTGCTGCCTCCTCTGGCGGTTGGTGATATCGCACCAATCGAGACCGGAGATATGCAGCTTCTTGGTAAGCTGGAGACGACTGTTTCCTATCGTTCATCCCTTGTATCGATGCGCTGATCAAGATGTTCCCGAAATTAAAATTAACTGGATAAGCTACTCTGGGATACAGGCAGGAGCTTCGAAGACACTACTCGACAACCGAAGTCTTTGCTGTGGCATTCAGCATTATGGGATTATTGCCCTCTATTGCCTCAACTCTCTCCTTCTCGATACCTGCGGGCCCTGTGGGTATGGTCTGGGTAAATTGGAACTCTCTCATTGCACGGGATGAGACTATCAATGGCTGATACTGTGCAGGGTGAGGATATCCGATCATCCAGATAGATGTAGCTCTGGACATTCTATTCTGATGGTGACTCTAGGGTGGCTTGCTGCGAGTGTGTTTATTTTCATTGTTGCGCTGGCTATGGTATGTTGGATATAGACTGACGACGAGACCGGTTGTTGATTGGAAACTAAGCTAACCACTCCCACCAGGCCGACCTGGCATCCGCAATGCCCACAGCTGGTGGTCTCTATTTCTGGACCCACTACTTCAGTGGTGAGAAGTGGAAGAATCCATTGAGCTTTGTCGTCGGTTATAGTAATACAATCGGCCTTCTTGGTGGGGTTTGCTCGGTGGACTGTATGTGAACCCTATAGTTGACTGGTGCGCCGCGACTGACTGTGTTGCTTATCTACCTGTCAAGATGGATTTGCTACGATGCTGCTGGCTGTTGTCTCTATAGCTCGTGATGGTACATGGACGGCCTCTCGCCCCGTCTTATATGGTACATACGTTGCCTGCGTCGTCATCCATGGATTGATAGCTACATTCTTCGCGCGCATCATGCCTAACATCCAATCAGCCTGTATTGTCAGCAACGTTGGCCTCGTAGTGGCCACGGTCCTTGCACTGCCGATCGGAAAGTTCGTCAATGGTGGGAGGATCAATTCGGCTGCCTATGTCTTCGGCCATTTAGAGAACCTTACGTATTGGCCTCAGGGCTGGACATTCATAATGGCCTGGCTTTCACCCATCTGGACGATCGGTGCATTTGACTCGTGTGTCCATATGAGCGAGGAGGCTACACATGCAGCGCGCGCAGTGCCGTTGGGAATCATATGGTCTGCCGCACTTTGCGGGGTTCTGGGATTTGTCTCCCTTGCAGTCATAGCAGCCGTGATTGATGTAAACCTGGAAGCTTCGCTGAAGACGAGTTTCGGCCAGCCCATGGCGCAGGTAAGGACGGAATTTCCCTACCAAATACTACCAGAGGGCTTATCTTCAGTGAATACTAAGTGTCTTCCCTCCAGATATACTACGACTGTCTCGGTAAATCAGGGGCCATTGGCTTCATGGTCGTCGTAGCAATGGTACAATTTTTTATGGGATTAAGCCTGGTCTGTTCCTGGACATTCTACCCTCCCAGGATCACCTCCTAATTGTCTAATAGGTCATCGCAGCCTCTCGCCAAAGCTGGGCTTTCTCTCGCGACGGGGCGCTCCCTTTCTCCTGGTTCTTCCGTCATGTCAGCAAGAGAATTCGTTTCCAGCCCGTGCGCATGGTCTGGGGTGTTGTGATCGCCGCGATCATCGTCGGACTGCTGTCCCTGATTAACAACGCCGCCGCCAGTGCGTTGTTTTCCCTCGCCGTCGCCGGCAACGATCTGGCCTGGATGATGCCCATTCTATGTCGATTGGTCTGGGGTCAGGAACGCTTCCATCCTGGCGAGTTCTACACGGGACGATTCAGTCGTCCTGTTGCCGTCATTGCCATCATTTATCTGATTTTTGCTATTACTCTGAGCATGTTCCCAACCACGGGACCCAATCCGACCGGTAAGTATCGATTTCTACTTCTTCTTCCCTTTCATGCTGTGCCCCCCTCTTGTTCCGTTGTAGGATGCGCCAAACCGGAAGCAAGCTGAGTTGCCGCCTCGCTCTCTAGCACAGGACATGAACTATACGGTTGTGATCAATGGGGCTCTGTGGGGCGGCGCACTTCTTTACTATGCTTTATATGCCCGGAAGGTATACAGAGGTCCCCAAACAACGGTTAAAACGTCATCCAGTCCCCTACCCCCAGAGATGAGTACTGCAGGAGTGGAGGAGAACAAAGCGAATTCAGTTCGTGGGTAGAAACTCGACAGCGGATTTACCACAGTTCTAGAATGTATCAGATTTTGATGCCTATAATATGAGGGGAAGGGTTTTTGGGATAGTGAATCATGCGTTATCTTCATATCATTACATGCGAATGTCAGGTCCTTAAGATCAATCGTCATTCATCAATAATTACAGCTACAGTGCCGGAGAATATGTTGATAAATTGAAAAGGAGGGATAATGCCATGCATGAAAACCCAATGCCGAAATGAACACCGTAGGCGCTCCTTCCGGTTGTACTGGGGTATGTCGAGGACGTAACAACCAGTGATCTTGCCTTGTTCTGTTATCACGGCTTATCAGCAACACTGAAAGCCGGAGGGAAGAAAGAGATGTGGAAAAGGTCGGCAACTCACTCATCATCTCAAACATACAGGGAAGATCCTTCAGAGGAGCCGTCTTGAATTGCGCCTTGATCAGACCAGGTGCAAAGAAGTCCACTGCTTCCACGCCGTCCTGGGGATTCCCGACGTAGCTGCCCTTGATGTTGATCATGCGGACGACCGTGGTAAAGACGGGGACTGTCGGGAATGCACCGGCGGGTAGGCCGACGGCGACGACGGAGACATGGGAGCAGACGTACTCGATGGCTTGCCGGAATGGCTTCTCCGCGACGGTCCGGGCGGATCCCCGACTCTTTCAGGTCCTTGTAAACAGTGAGGCCCGAGCACAAAATCGGGGCGACGGCGTCGAGAGGGCCATTCTTGGGAAGGTTGGAGGCATGGGCTGCTTTAGCCATGCAGGACCGTTGAAAGGTTCCATCGACGATGTAGCCGGACAAAGAAGTGTCGGGGCAGAGCGATTCGTCGGATTGCTTGCAAAACTCGCAGGCCATGCAAGACCCATTTAGCCACTTGATTGCCCGCATTGTCGCCGATCACAAAATCGTGGATCAATTCACTCTTAGCGACAACGACGCCCGCTCCTTCGTACCCTTACGAAGGGCATCTTCACTAGGATAGGCCAGTCACCCCTGAGGGCGTGGAGGTCAGTATGGTAGACCCCCGAGTAGCGGATCTTGACCAGAATCTCATCCGGACCCGGCCTGGGGACGGGGGTATCCTTGTAGCTGAGCGGGCCGCTTTTCTGCTCGGCGACCTGGGCCCACTGCTTCTCCGGGAGAGACATGTTGACCAGTCTGGTGCAGGAGTTTGACAGGAGAGGGGATGAGTGAACAACAGAGACGCCGGGAGGAAGGAGACGACGACGAAGATGAAGCTGCAAAGGAAAGCCTTGAATACAGAGATAAATGAGGCTGGCCCGGTAGGCAGAAGGGATACTCTTGTTGGTTCTTATAGCACTCATGTACCAGCTCAGCTCGCCTGGAAGTCCGAAAATGGATCAGAGGGGTTGGGGTGGTGTCAAGTTGAATCAGAAAGATGTTGTGCCACTCGCGTACTCTTGCCTGGAGTGATTCTCGGCCGTGCGAAATGTACATGAAGTGAAGCGCCGAGATTTCGTCAGTCAATGCAAATAATGAATCCCATGGATGTTAAGCCATCGCGCGGACACTTGGATGGTTATCCATAACCATCGGAAATCGAATAGAAGATGTCATGGAGGGACCCGCTTCTGTCAATCTCCCCACATCCTCTGGAGGACCGTTTTGAGGGCTCGCGTAGGCCCATACTTATAGCGGTGCAAAACCCTTGAGATGGGGGGACAATGAGGATGGACGGACATTAGCTGGGGAGTAATCAGCACCGTGGAGTAAGGGCGGGGTCTAGAAGCGATGATGTATCAGGGTCGGATCACTCGGTAGCGCTATTGTCCACGTCACCACGGTTAGAACAGGATTTTGAATGATAGGATGGAGACCAGTGAAGGAGGGGATGGTGTGATGGAATCTGAGAGAAGGACAAGAACGAAGAGGTGAATGATGGATGCAGATGGATGGAAAGAAGAGACTCAAAATTACCGGATTAGGCAGTCCTAGAGCACTGAGTCAGCAATCTGTTGATGCCTGCAGATCTGATGAGGCATAAACGCTAGTCCTCTTCCAGACAGAGTGCCTCAGGCGGACGTCCGACTTGCATCCCAGCCTTTGGAAAGATTCCCCTGAGCTATTCGGTAGGTTCAATTAGTATAATATGCTAGACCTTCTGGATGACATTAAAAACCATCTTGATGAGGCTACGAATTGACAGACCCGCGGCAATGCGGTGTAATACCATCCCATACGCCATGGTATCATATACACCCTTCTTTGTATTACCAACAACCAATCCGTGGGCGGCGCGGCATACGGTAAGGAATGGCAATACCAAATCGTACCTCTAATACCTATAGGTAATACCTAATACCTAACAGTCACTCTCCGCCATCGCCGTCGCCATCATCGCCTCGTCTCGCTCTCCTTCGCTGCCTCTCGTTTTCTTCAGTTTAGCTTCCTCCTCCTTATCTTCCTTTCTCTCCCTTCAATCTCATCCTCTTCCATCATCCATCCATCCTTCCACCATCCTCTTCCAACCTCTTCCATCTAGTTTCTCCATCCCCCTCGGTCCTTTCCTTTCTTCTTTCCTTTCCTTTTCCTTTTTGTCCCTCCCTTTCCTCTCAAATTCTGAACGGCGTCTCGCCCGCTTGGCTTCCTCCAACGCGACGGTTCAGCTCTGCGGTAGCCTCGTCGCGGTGCCGTAATCGCGAACCTGCTCGCTTTGTCACCTAAACAACGTCAGCTGTGAGGAGCTATCAACCTGGTACAGAGTACGTCTTTCCCAATTGTTGACCTTACAAATAGATCTCCGGCATTCTACCGGCAGGTCTTTTTATTTAGTTTTTGTTAAAAGTTTCCCCAGTCTTTTGTCCCTTTTCCATCGCGGGGCGTTGATTGATCTGTCGTCTAACGAATTTTTTTTACTTAGAAATCTTCACCCGGGACAAACACGGCACCGCTATCTCTTTCATCCCCGGTGCGCATGGAGAGTGGTCGCCTACGGTGCCAATTCAGGTTCACCGGACACGTTTCGTGGCTTCTCCTGCTTGAGATCCCCCCCTAATTCCAACGTTCCCATCTTCGCCGCCACATTTCTTTCTCTTATACGGCCATCATGACGGGGGCTCCGCCGTACAATCCTCAGTCCCCTTCCCAGCAGTCCCATTATCCCACCTACTCGCCGTCGAGCAAGAACCGTCCTTTCTATCCCAACAATGACCAATACCAGCAGCACCCTCCACAGACCCCTCCCGCCTTTCCTGCTCAATCCACCTTGTCCCGGAGTCCTCACTACTCCCATGCCTCCTCTCCACTGCCGTCCGCTCTTCCGCCGTTGAACGGTAATGCACCTTCGTCCCATCCGGCGGATGCGCAGTTCCAGCCTCATTCATCGGCGGGGACGCAGTTTTCTCTTCCCCGCCCATATTCAGGGCCGATCCTCTCCGGAAATGGCACATCCCCCTTCAGTCTCTCAGGTTCTTCCCATGCCCATCCCTCGGGTCTCCCGGAAAACCATCCGCAGCTGTCCCCTAAAAAGGATGCAGCATCTCCTTACCCCATGGGGAGCCATAGTTACCTGTCATCCATGACGCGGGAGCCAAGACTGACGTCTCCCCCAAAGGAAGCAGTACGTTCTGTCTCTTCTCTCTCTCGTTTTCTCCGGCTAATTGGTCATCCCCTCTCTTCCCCCATATAGAGACCGGCTCGTGCTGCAGATCCGATGTCTTTCGCTAGTATTCTCTCGGGGCCCGCGGAGGAGACTTCTCCGAAGAGACCCTCCCCCCCTGAGGAAGCCGCACCGGCACCGTTGGCGTCCGAACCTACCATCAAATCCCGCTCGCCTGTACCAACACATGCTTCGCTCCCCCAAACGAGAATAAAAGAACTTGAAACGGACCCGGCGGCCATCCTTTCTTCGATGAAGGTGGACAAACGACCCGCCAGTGTAGAAAGACGTCGCCAGGTCGCGGAATCGGAACCGGCGAAATCAACCCATACCAACGGCCTCCCAACTCGTGCTGCCAATGCGCGAAAGATGCTCTCGGAACGAGATTCGGAGGCTGTTAATAGGATTATGGCCGAGATTGACACTGCCGAGAAAAGTGACGTGGATGGGCCTGGGTTCGAGGGCGATCTGGAACGTTACAACGCCCGGGGTAGAAAAAGAGCTTTGAATGCGGAGAGGGCCGAAAATATCCGACGCAAGGTATGCATATCAGGCTGTACGTCATTTCATATGGATTCTCCGTTGCTGACATCGATGGTAGCGCCGTCGGAATGACTTCCTGATCAAGCTAGGCAAAACGTTTGAGAAACAGGCTTCTGCAGGCATGGACCGATTCAGGCTAGCCAACGAGGCATCGGTCATTGCCGAAGTTCAGGCGAAAGAGATCCAGGATGAAAAGGAGCGCAAGAAAGACATGCAACGGAAGCGACGTCGCGAAAATACAGTGCGCCTGGAGATGCAGAAGAAACTGGAAGCGGAGCGCAAAGCAAACAAAGCCCAGGACTCCGCCGAGAAAGCCAAGTTCCTTCGCGAGGCCGAACGTGCGCAGCGAAAGATCAAGACCACCAAGCGAGCTCTGGAAGGAGTCACGGCCCCCGAGGAGATTGGTGAGGTGACTCCGCTGGCCCCGAATCTCGAAGGCGGCACCACCAGCTCTTTCCATATTGGCCGCTCTCCCTCCCGACGCAAGTCCGGTCGCGGCGGCCCCGTCACCCGGCCCAAGAAGTCTAAGGAGCAAAAGCAGGCCGAGAAAGATGCCGCAGAGGCCGCCTACGCTGCGATGGAGAATGACGAGCCCCCGCCAATCGCACCGAAAGACGATCCCCGGAAAGAATCCCTCAAGAAGGAGGCCAAGGGAAGCCGTTCCAAGGAAGCAACGCCGACCCCGCTGTCCGCATACGAGACCAAGGGCTACAATCAGATCTACGAGCAGATTTGGCGGGACATTGCCCGAAAAGACATTCCCAAGGTCTACCGCATCAAGGCGCTTTCTCTCGGCACGCGCCAGGAGAACCTGCGCAAGACGGCCCAACTAGCCAGCAAGCAGTCCCGCAAGTGGCAGGAACGCACAAATAAGAGCATGAAGGACACCCAAGCTCGGGCCAAACGCACGATGCGTGAGATGATGTCGTTCTGGAAGCGCAACGAGCGGGAGGAGCGCGACATGCGCCGTCTAGCGGAGAAGCAGGAGATCGAATCCGCCAAGAAGGCAGAAGCTGAGCGCGAAGCCAACCGCCAGCGGCGCAAGCTGAACTTCCTGATCTCCCAAACGGAGCTGTACTCTCACTTCATCGGCCGAAAAATCAAGGGCGCCGAGGGCGACGACGCTGGCGACGCCATGGCCGAAGCGGGCAATGCCGCTGACAGCGTGGGCGCCAAAGCCACCAACTTCGAGGACCTGGACTTTGATGCGGAAGATGATACGGCGCTGCGGCAGGCCGCCATGGCCAACGCCCAGAATGCCGTCCAGCAGGCCCAGGACCGAGCGCGGGCTTTCAACAACAGTGCGAATCAGGACGATCCTATGGCGGCGTTGGATGAGGGTGAATTGAACTTCCAAAACCCCACTAGCTTGGGCGACATCGAGATCTCCCAACCCACCATGCTCACGGCGAAGCTCAAGGAGTATCAGCTGAAGGGCCTGAACTGGCTGGTCAACCTCTACGAACAGGGCATCAACGGGATCCTGGCCGACGAGATGGGTCTCGGAAAGACCATCCAGTCGATCTCGGTTATGGCCTACCTGGCCGAAGTCCACAATATCTGGGGTCCGTTCCTGGTTATTGCGCCCGCATCTACGCTCCACAACTGGCAGCAGGAGATCACCAGGTTCGTCCCCGACATCAAGGTCCTGCCGTACTGGGGCTCGGCCAAGGACCGCAAAATTCTGCGCAAGTTCTGGGACCGGAAACACATCACGTACACCAAGGAGTCGGAGTTCCACGTGCTGGTGACGTCGTATCAGCTGGTGGTTCTCGATGCTCAGTATTTCCAGAAGGTCAAGTGGCAGTACATGATCCTGGACGAAGCCCAGGCCATCAAGTCGTCGCAGAGCTCGCGGTGGAAGAACCTGCTGGGGTTTCATTGTCGCAACCGCCTGTTGCTGACCGGCACCCCCATTCAAAATAACATGCAGGAGCTGTGGGCTTTGCTCCACTTTATCATGCCGACCCTGTTTGACTCGCACGACGAGTTCAGCGAGTGGTTCTCCAAGGATATCGAGTCGCACGCGCAGAGTAACACGAAGCTTAACGAGGACCAGCTCAAGCGACTCCACATGATCCTGAAGCCGTTCATGTTGCGTCGAGTCAAGAAACATGTCCAGCAGGAACTTGGCGACAAGGTAGAGAAGGACGTCTTCTGCGACCTCACCTATCGCCAACGGGCGTACTACACCAACCTGCGGAACCGCGTCAGCATTATGGACCTGATCGAAAAGGCGGCCATTGGCGACGAGGCCGACAGCACGACCCTTATGAACCTGGTCATGCAGTTCCGGAAGGTCTGCAACCACCCCGATCTCTTCGAACGGGCCGAAACGAAGTCGCCCTTCTCCGTGGCGCATTTCGCCGAAACGGCATCGTTCGTCCGCGAGGGGCAAAGTGTCGACGTCGCCTACTCCACTCGCAGCCTAATCGAGTACCCCCTACCACGCCTGCTCTGCGGGTCTGGGGGACGCCTCGACATCCCTGGACCCGAGAATTCCCGGGCGGGCTTCTGCGGCAAGTACCTGACCCACCTGATGAACATCTTCACGCCCGAGAATATCAAGCAGAGCATCGACGCGGACGGCGCCTTTGCCTTCTTACGGTTTGTGGACACGTCGATGGGCGAGGCCTACGAGCAGTCGCACCTCGGGATTTTTGAGCGTGCCGTGCGCCGGCGGGGCGCGACGAACCGATTGTCGCGACTCAATGTGGTCTACGAGGGCGACGAGACCGCCGCGATGTCGGCGCTGCCTCACACGCTGCTCAACATTGTGCAGCGCAACGACCGCGGGGCCGTTCACGACGTCACCGTGGAAGGCTACATGCGCGACTTAATGACCGTGTCGCAGTCGACCTTCGAGCGAGAAGGGCTACATACCATCGAGCCCTGTGCGAGCCCGGCGGCATCCGCCCCCCCCATCACCGTCGCCGCGTCCAGTCCCTTCCCCGGAATCGAGACGGGGAGTGGGTTGTTCAACATTCCTACGCGGCATGCCTTGCTCAGCATCCCGTCACGGCAGATGGAGCTGCAGATCGTGGAACGGAACCTGGACCCTACCCCATACGCACAGACACCGATGCTCCCGACGCCGATCTCCAGCAAGGGGCGGTACACACACATTGAAGTGCCGTCGATGCGGCGTTTTGTCACGGATTCGGGCAAACTGGCCAAGCTGGACGAGCTGCTACGCGAGCTGAAGGCCGGCGGGCACCGGGTGCTGCTCTACTTCCAGATGACACGGATGATCGATTTGATGGAAGAGTATCTGACGTACCGCAACTACAAGTACTGCCGGCTGGACGGCAGCACGAAGCTGGAGGACCGTCGTGACACGGTGGCGGACTTCCAGCAGCGGCCGGAGATCTTCGTATTCCTGCTGTCGACGCGCGCGGGAGGGCTGGGGATTAACCTGACCGCGGCGGACACGGTCATCTTCTACGACTCGGACTGGAACCCAACGATCGACTCGCAGGCGATGGACCGAGCACATCGACTGGGCCAGACGCGGCAGGTGACGGTGTACCGGCTGATTACACGAGGGACAATTGAGGAGCGGATCCGGAAGCGAGCACTGCAGAAGGAAGAGGTGCAGCGGGTGGTGATCTCAGGCGGAGCGGCAGGCGGGGTGGACTTCAACACGCGCAACCGGGAGAGCCGGACGAAGGACATTGCGATGTGGCTGGCGGACGACGAACAGGCGGAGCTGATCGAGCAGAAGGAGAAGGAGGCGCTGGACCGCGGCGAGGTGTTTGGCAACAAAGGGGGGAAGAAGGCGGCGCAGAAGCGCAAGCGGGATATCACGCTGGACGACATGTATCACGAGGGTAGGTCCCGGATATCATAGAATATCTATCTATCGAATGCTAACTAAGGACTCTCACAGGCGAAGGCAATTTCGACGACGCCAGTGCAAAGCCATCTGGCGCAGCAACGCCCGTGTCGACGGCGGAAAACGTGGGCACACCGATATCCACGCCGGTGGCCAAGCGTGGGCGTGGGCGGGGAGGGAAAGGGACGTCGAAGAGAGCGAAGACTACGAAGGAGCGATTACGGCTGATTGATGGGGATGGGGGGTTAACCTGATGCTTCTTTTTTCTTCTTTCTTTTTGTTCTTTTTTCTGTATTAACATATTAACCTGGATTCATCTCGATGTCGCATGGCTCACGTGCAGCCGCCGATTTCCGCCCTCGGCAAGGCAGTATTGTGTGTGCCGGTACTTGTAGCAGTAGCAGCAGTTCATAGTAGTATCAGTACCAGTACTTCAACAGACGCTAAGAATTGTGCGGCCCATCCGACCAATCAGCGCATAGCCGAACGTCAGCACCAATCAAACCCCGGCCAATCGCCGCTGACTCAGCCCCAGAAAAACCGGTATATGACACTCCCTCTTTCTCTCCTCTCTCCCCCCCTCTCTTCTTTATTCTCTCTTCCATTTCCTATTGCTTTCAATTCCTCTATCGCTGCATTCATCGATGGAATCTCTGCTCCAACAGTCCCGGGCCATGTGCCCCTTTCTGAAGCGCTCTTCCCCCACCACTCTGCGCTCCCTGTCCACGGCCACCCGCCCCAGCCTCAGCCCCGGCGGTGGCACGATGTCCAATCTTCAGGTCCTGGCCCGTCGCTGTCCTGTCATGAGCAAGGCGCTAGCGGTGCAGAGTGCTCGTCTGGCAGCCTCCAAGCGATTCACTTCTTCCGCCGCCGGCGTTGTCCCCAAGTACTACTCCCGACGCCCCTTGCATTCGTCCAGCGGCAAGGGGGCCAATCTGAGTGAAGTGTATCCGGATTCCCAGGGCGATTCCCAGCGGGGTATGTCATCCAATATCAAATAAATTAAAATATAGGAAAGAAAAAGAAAGACTAACGGACGAATCAGTCCCCAGTCTATCCCCCGTCAACCGGCGTCCTACCCGGGAGGCCGCCGTCTCGGGCCGCCGTCCCGAGGCGCCATCCACCACCACCCGGGCGTTCGACTATCAGGCCTTCTACCGCACCGAGTTGGACAAAAAACACAAGGACAAGTCCTACCGCTACTTCAACAACATCAACCGTCTGGCCCAGGAGTTCCCTGAGGCCCACACGGCCTCCCGCGAGGAGCGCGTGACCGTCTGGTGCTCCAACGACTATCTCGGCATGGGGCGCAACCGCGAGGTGCTGGACTCGATGCATCAGACCCTCGACACCTACGGCGCCGGCGCTGGCGGCACCCGCAACATCTCCGGCCACAATCAGCACGCCGTGAGCCTGGAGCGCACCCTGGCCAAACTGCACGACAAGGAGGCCGCCCTAGTCTTCAGCTCCTGTTTCGTGGCCAACGATGCCACCCTGGCCACTCTGGGCAGTAAGTTGCCCGACTGCGTCATCCTGTCCGACAGTCTCAACCATGCCTCCATGATACAGGGCATCCGCCACTCCGGCGCCAAGAAGATGGTCTTCAAGCACAATGACCTGGCCGATCTGGAGACCAAGCTGGCCTCGCTGCCGCCCCATGCCCCCAAGATTATCGCCTTCGAGTCCGTCTACAGCATGTGTGGCTCCATCGCCCCCATCGAGCAGATCTGCGACCTGGCCGACAAGTACGGCGCCATCACCTTCCTGGACGAGGTCCATGCCGTCGGCATGTACGGTCCCCATGGCGCCGGCGTGGCCGAGCATCTAGACTACGAGGTCTACGCCTCGCAGGACACCCCCAACCCGCGTAGCACCAAGGGGTCTGTGATGGACCGCATCGACATCATCACCGGTACGCTGGGTAAAGCCTACGGGTGCGTCGGCGGCTACATCGCCGGTTCGGCCGCCATGGTGGACACCATCCGCTCCCTTGCCCCCGGATTCATCTTCACCACTTCCCTGCCACCTGCCACCATGGCTGGCGCCGACACCGCCATCCAGTACCAGGCCCGCCACCAGCAGGACCGCGTGCTGCAACAGCTGCACACCCGCGCCGTCAAGGCCGCCTTCCAGGCGTGCGACATCCCCGTCATCCCTAACCCATCGCATATCGTGCCCCTGCTGGTGGGAGACGCGGAGCTGGCTAAGCAGGCCTCCGACAAGCTGCTGGAGGAGCACGGCATCTACGTGCAGGCCATCAACTACCCCACCGTACCCCGCGGCGAGGAGCGATTGCGCATCACCCCGACCCCAGGTCACGTCAAGGCGCATCGGGACCATTTAATCCAGGCGGTGCAGACCGTGTGGAACGACCTGTGTATCAAACGCGCCAGTGACTGGGCCGCGCAGGGGGGATTTGTCGGGGTCGGTGTCCAGGGCGCCGAAGCCGAGAACCAGCCAATCTGGGAGGACGACCAGCTGGGTCTCCGCTCTGGGGAATCCATCGAGACCGCCGTGGAGCGCGAGTTCCGGGACATGGCGGTGCCTCGCATGCAGACAGCGACCCCCGTTCGCCCGGCGGTTACTGCTGCGACTGCTCCCACCGTCGGGGCGGCCGCCTAGATGAGCCCGGTATGTTGATGTGGATATTGCTGTTTTGTATATATCATACCGCGCTTACCCATGTGCTCTCATGTACTCCGTTCCTGCAGTAGTATTCTTCTAAATTATGGTATTGCGAAGAACCCGACTGTCGTTACCGAGTTTTGGGTTCTCCATGACAATTTATGGACATCGATGGATGTTATTATTACAATTTGCATTAAGCATCCCATCCTCTGATCTGTGGTCCGTAGCCAGTAGACTGGGATGCGCATGTTCATCTCGAAAAATTAAGGTCCCGACACTACAATGTATTCGCAGTCGATAGATATTCCAGACGGATAAGTAAATTTCGCCTCCAACGCCCAAGCCAAAGCCAAGAAACAAAAAAAGAGAATCGATTCTTTTATGCAGAGTCAACCGTCATTCCAAAGAGAAACAAAAACAAAAAAAAAAGGCTATCACCGTCGACCACCACGAGTAACCTTGGGAAACTCCACCGGGATCTTCAACCGCGCTATACGACGCGTCGCAGCCTCCGCCTTGCTCCCGACATTCCATTTGGTAAACTCTGATTCGCGAGGCTTGTCGATGCGACAGCCCAGTTCGCGGAAGTACCTCTGGATAGTAGTGCTATCGACACGGAGGTCGTCGCGGAGATCCGCCGGGTCGGTGGCCAGCTCGTTGGCCGAGTTTCCGCCCTGCGAGCTGGACCCCCCATCTGGGGACGGTTGGGGCGGGATATGCAACGACAGGGCGCAGATGGTGGTGTGCAGGAAGGTGATATCGTTTTTGGAGAGGTGAGTGCCTTGCGGTGCGAATTTCCGGCGCACAGCATCGATAATCGAGTCCGGGATGGCGTCCGCAGCTGCCGCTGCCGCCGCAGTGGAGTCGGCGGTGGACTTTTTGTCGCTGGAGCCACCCGTGGACGAGGCCAGGATGCGACGGAGGTCCTCGCGTGGTGGGAGGCGTTTGCTTCCCGGTCCGGAGGAGGACTTGGGGTCCCGGCCGGGACGGAGCGAGCGAGCAAACTCCAGCAGCAGGAAAATGAAGCGTAGCACCTGGAGGTGGAGTGCATTGCCCGAATTGACGACGGCATCGACACGACGAGACACGTAGCGGGACGTGGTGGTCACACTCAGTCCAGCGAGAACGGTCTCCTGCCATTCCTTCAGTCCAGGCAGCTGGTGGAGGGTGGCCAAGCCGTTTGGCACCAGAGCTTCAATGGGGTACACGTCCGCCGGATGGGAGGCATCCAGGTTCGCTGGAGGCAGAGGCTTCGCGGCTTGGATCTGGGCCTGCACGGCCGCCGCCTTAGCGGCGATGTCGGCAGTGGAGTCCACAGGCATGGCAGAGAGTATGGCGGATTCGGCGGCGGAGGCAGCGCCCGCGGGGGCATTAGACAGCTGGGCGTTTTCGGCCATGGACTGCGCCGCCTTGCGTGATTGTTTGGTACCAAAAGTATTGGTGAGCTCGGTGCGTTGGGCACGGATAGTTTTCTGTGACGGGAGTGAGCCATCAACGTCCGAGAGGTCAGGGAGGGATAAGAGTTTCTTGTATACGCACCATCCCCTCATCTTCGCTTTCCTCCTCCTCGGATTCCTCGGCCACACGTTTCAAGGACCTCACGGCTCCTCGAAGAGTCATCTTTCGTGCCTCAATGAACTGCCAAGTCTGCTTTTGCGGATCAATCACGGCCACATAATGCTTCACCTGTGAATCAGCATCATCGTTGGCCTCTCGGCCCACAAAGTCCATCTTGGGATGCTCCGAGGTCTGCAGCAACAGTTCATCGGCGACAATGCCCCTATTCTGAGTGGAGGAGTGGCTGGACGAATAGGTGCGCGTTTTGATGTACGGTTTCAGGCGCAGTTCTCGAGGGGCATTGACACCCGGGGTGGTGACTGTGCAAGCATTAGCCTCATCTATTCTTCATCTCCTTCCACGAATATCTCATACTAAGCACCGGGGCCAGTTCGCTATCATCGTTGATGACGCTGACGGCAAGAGGAGGGAGGTCATGCAACCCGAGAGCAGGCTTTTTACTAGGCCGCTCGTGACGGTCAGAGGCGCGCTTGCGCTTCTTTTCAACTTTATCGGAGGGCATGCTCGACCCTTTCCAGCGGATCGACCGGATAGAGGTGGGTTGGCGTAAGTAATTTGAAGGCTTGACTGACGAAGAAGAAAAGAAAATCGGTTGAAAAAAAAGGAAAAAATTAAAATCACTGGGCGGCAGAGTGCTTCACCGCTCGTAAGGCGGAGAGGAAGAGTGGCACACAAAACGCAACCATTCCTCAGGCCTCAAGTACTTCATTACATAGCTACAGTGTCTACAAAGTATACGCACTTGAGTTCATTAGTCCTTGTAGATCAGGAACTTTTTCATATTGGGATAAATGCTCGTAAACCTCTTCATGGCTCTGGACCTGAACTACAAGTCCCTGCTTCAAAAGCAGGTTCTCAACACAAGCCCAAATCTAGAGCAGATTGACCAGTCTCCATGCGAAGCCCAAAGGATCGGTGGAATAACAATCAAGCAATACAGAAGATCTTTCCTGGGAATTCGACAAAACTCCTTCCACGATCCCTCCAACCCCACTAAACACATTCACCCCTCCGAGAAAATAGGATACGGAAGATACCATACCCTCCACCACCTGGTCGAGAAGAAAAATCGAATTGAAAACGTTCACTGAGCCCCGAGGGTTGGAAGAAAAATAAAATTTTCTGTTGAACGGCGGACTCCGAATTCAATAAGGCAGAAGACAGGCCAGACAGGTCTCATTGGAAAGGCAGGACCACGCAACGATCATAACGGAAAATCATCATCGTGACGTCGTCAAGTTGTCATGTTAAGCGTTCAACTTGGGCTCCCGCATAGAAAGCTGAGATGAAGCGGGGCGAGTCAATTATTTTCTGGAGCGATGGTTAGCCGTGACTGCAATTATGCTATTACTCAAAGGTTTTGTTCTGCAGGAACTCACGATCTAGCCCTCATCTTTCTTCTCTTACGCTTGAGGCGACGAACGCGCTTCTTTCTCCACTTAGCTCTCATCTTCGTAGATGGTTCGAGACTATAAAGAGCCAGTCAGTCATTATAACAACAGGAAAGGCGTGATGCCTGCCGAAACCCACGGGCCAGCAAGGGGAAACTCACACTTCTGCGAGGATGAGGAGATGGTTGCAAGAATGATCGAGGAGAAGCGCCGGCGGAGCTTCTTGTGTGCGTCGTGGCTGACTCAGCAGTATCTGCCGCTAAGGGCTCGCTAGTGCTGTGTCCCATTTTGATTGGCTCTGCCTGAAGTTTACCGAGCACGGATGATTATGTCATCAAAGGGTTGGGAATTGGGATAGACTTCAATATGCCCCGTGACCATGGCTACCACAACCACCGGCATTCAAGAAAATAAAAATTATTATTGCTACTAAAATTCTGGTAGTGGAGAACACAAAACAAAGCGAAAGAAAATAATTATTCGTATCCATTTATCATGGTAATCAATCAATAACATGATCTCTATCATCGTTTCATGAATTCCCTAAGCCCTAACCCTATGTCATTTATACCCTGTTTGGAGGGCAACCCATTTGACCTTTATAAGCGACCCAAATGCACCCTCGCTAATACGCATATCGATAAGTGGGTGCCATGTCGCCCAGCAGATCCGTTTCCAACTCGCTGTACTCTATCATAGTCCCATTGGCCGCCGCTTTGTCGCGACTCCGGTTATCATGCCAGACCGCTGCTAAGTAGGCGATGCAGCAGGCGGCAGAAAAGCAGAGGAAGGATACACTGATGATATACCCCGGTCGATACTCCGGGGCATCCTTCTCCAAGAACGCGTAGGTGGAAATGATTCCACCGACTAATCATGCGCGTCAGTGGCACAGACGGCACAACACAACCTGGGGTGTAACACTCACTGTTTCCAAACCCAACTTGCCATGCCGTTCCTACGCTTCGTCGGCGATGACCCCCTAAGTTCATGGCAAACCAACACACAATCACTGGCATCGCACTGTAGCAGCCACAGGTGACCAGGAATAAGGCACCGTATTGTACAGCCCGATGAGCTTGTCCGTGTACGTTCAGTAAGATCCCGAATCCGGCCATAGCAACCAGCATGGGGCCTATCGTGAATGAGAACCGGTGTCTGGTCTTGTCGGAAAGAGTGGCAATGAACATGGAGAACCCCCATGCGGCAGCCCACGGTGGGATTGAGTATAGCTGTGTCTTGATAGCTAGGGGCAAATTAGCGGGTGAAGCCGAGAGAGAGGGGGGGAGGGGGGAAACAGAGTGACGCACGACTGTAGCCATAGGATTTGATGATGCTCGGCGCAAAATAGGCATAACCTGCAGTTTATTAGCGACATTCTTATTCGAAGCATCTGCACGGCAAGGAGGCTAACCATATGCTGTAACAATCTGGCCAAAGTACATAAGTCCGCCGAGGAAAATTTTGTCTAAGAATTTCCGTTAGGATCCGAATGGTGAATCACTCGACGACCATCGCACTCACAGTCCTTGAAGACATCCAAAACTTCGCGATAACCAAGTTTGGCATCATGCGCAGCACCTCCGGTGTCTTTGGCCAGTTTCACGCGAATAAACTCTCGCTCCTCCTCAGTGAGCCATTTGGCCTCCTCTGGGAACCCCGGGATAATGAAGAACCAGACAAACGAGACAACGCAAGTAAGAAGACCTTCAATGATAAAAACCCATCGCCAACCTCTGTAGCCTTGAACTCCGTCCATCTTCCCCAGCCCACTGGCCAGCAAGCCACCGAAGGCACCCGCAAGGGTCGTAGAGCTAAAGAAGAAACTAAATCTCTTCTGCGCCTCGCTACGCTTATACCACATTCCCAGCAGATAGAAGCCTGGATTCAGTTGTCGGTCACTGCTCGATCAACCATCACGCGAAGGATAGGGGGTAACACATACATCCGGGGAACATTCCCGTCTCAAACATTCCTAGAAACGCACCGGATCAGTCACCATGTCGTCAGCTCGGAACGGAGAACATAACCATTCATACCTAGGAACCAGCGGGTGGTCATCAGACCACCCCAGTTCGACACCAAACCCTGGCAGATCATCACCAAGCCGAACAAGAACATGCACATCGACACTCGAATTTCTCCATCAGTCGGCGCACTTTTACACAGGGGGTCTCCATACGTACACCACACGTGGGGTTTCAATTTCTTCAGCAGAATATTGGATGGGATCTCGAAGATAATGTATGGAACGAAGAAAATCGTCAATGCGGTATTGTACTTCGTCCCGTCAACGATATGTAGATCTTCTTTAAGCCCGAGCACCGCCGCGTTACTAACGTTAACCCTAGATACGCCCATGTCAGATTGTCTGTGGCATGGTCGCTGCGGGGAAATGCATACCGGTCCAGAAACGCAAGCAAGTACATGACGCACAGGCAGGGGACGATATGCCAGTCGATCTTGGCCATTAGCTTGCGCTCCGTGGTATTGGTGAGAGGGAGTTCGGGAGACTGCGCCCGAACCTGGCCCTCCTTATCATATTGGGGACCCGGACTCTCTGGTCGGACAATCTGGTCAGTACTATGATTGAGGTCGCTTGTAGCATTGCCAGTGAGACGCACCTTGAAATCCCATCATTAATCCCGGGTTGTCCTCGCAAATCAAAAGTGATCTGGCGTTGTACCGCTCATTGACCCCTTAACGTGAAGCTGTAGGGGGGAATAGATATTCGGACAGAACCGAGGAACCGAGGGACAGGCGGAGAAGAAGTAAGGGAGAGAACGAAGAAGAAGAACAGAGATTGAATCACAACGACAGTCTGTTAAATACATAAACTGAGACGAGAGGGGAATGGCCGACTGCCGAAGAAGCTAACAAGAAAAGAAAAGAAAAAGAGAAATGCATACGGTTTTTGTTGAAACCAATAGCTTCCAGGGCTCAGCTTCAACCCAGCGAACTAATCCCAAAGTCCACATTGGTCGGGGACTAAACCGACATTAGCCTCTGGGCGAAAAAGTTAGCGGGTGGCACTTTCGACGTAAGATAGAGTCACTGAGTGCATCCATGGGGCGGACACAAAAGAGTAGTACAATTTGTTCTCCGTCAATTGAAAGGGCCGACCGATCTCGGCCTGGAAGGGGATATCGATCGGGAACTTAATCCGCCCTGCCCATTACAGAGAACGTGGAGACAATCCGAATGTAGTAGGATACTGTATGATTACCTATATCTTATTTTATTTTACTTCTTCTTTAATCCTCTTTCTTTGGATATAACTATTCTTTCCCCGCAGAATGGCTGCTGACATAAACCCCCGCATGGATCGCGGTCACATGGCCCCATCCAGTCCCAATCGGCAATACCTATCTACATATTGGCACTTGGCACTTGGCAGCTTCGAGTTGTTAATCTATTTTAGTAATCGTTTCCCCTTCACTCCTCTCTTCTCGACTTAGCTCCGACACCTTCCCCTTCCTGGAAGTTGGTCATCAACCTCATATCCGAATCTCGCGACACAACCGATGAGTCAATCCTTGGGTACTCGTACACAGTACCTACTATGTACCGTATATCACATGGCCAAGGTAGTACCGAGTACCATGTACCATATACATGCATGCATATCCAGCTTTAATCGGGACGACCATCCTCTATAGAGCCACGTTATTGGGTGATATACTCCGAAAGGAATTGTAGCACTACACTTGATTAAAAGGCATACATAGTACTGTGCAATTTGTCCATGCAATTTCTTATGCACAGCTTACTGCGTACCTCTCATCCAGCTTCAGGTCAGGGGACCCACCACCAAGGCAATCCCCGAGTTCGGCACCATAGTGGAGCTCATAGTTTATTCGCACTATCTTGTGCATCATCATCTTTTCATCTGCGCTAGTTGGTCGGTGTCGTACCTATGTGGTCTCTTTCGTATTGAGATATCATACACTCATCTACTTACTCCCTTCCTAATAATCATCTTCATATATCGACAGGATTGGAGAAACACATGTGGACCCTAACAGAACCTATAAGGGAAAAATAAAAAAAAATAAAAGAAAAGTAACGTAAAATGGAAATGGAATCTACTTGGTAGAGAGAACAACGTCAGTCGGATACATTCCTCCTCCCCTAGGTAACTTTCTCAGCAGGCTCATCGTTCGCAGGTTGTTCCTCGACTGCTTTCCCCCACGCCGTCTCGAACGCAGAATCGTCTCCAGCTTGTCCGACTGGCAACTCTCCCTCCTCATGACCGGGATCAACATCACTCGTCCCGATGATTACTGTCTCTGACCCTCCTACATCCGCTTCCATATACCCGGGCTTGGTCCCCAATAATTCCACATCAAAGTTGGAGCTGTACACCACAGCCGCAAACGCTTCGAGCTCACGTACCCCTTGGTCCATCGCGGCCAGATACAAATTGGGAGGATTTGTGCCGTTGCCGATCACATGCGCCTGTCGGGCCATCACTGCCAGCACGTTCGCCAGCTTCGTCGTGGTTTCGGACCCCCCAGACACGGGAACAACCGTGGCAACCGAGGTGAATGACTGAGGTGCCGTCTCGGGCGCGTGCGGCGTCGATTTGAACGCATCAGCCGAGCACTGCTGGATGAGCGTCTCGAAACACTCATTATTCAGAAGCATCAACACACGAGCGAAGGTAGGGGATTCGATCAGATCAGCCGTCTCGTTTAGGAGATGGCGTAGCGCTGCTATTGTTTGGGGGCTTGAAGGCTCCGTTACCCCCAGCACACCGGATTCCTCTAACAATTGATTCTCCTCTTCGACGTGGGGGAGCAGGTAAGATAGCCATTTCCGGTGCCTACGATTTATGGTCAGCAACATCATTGGGTGGAACGCAAAGGTACGAGGACGTACTTTCTATCCTCTTCTGTGTGGCCCTCCACCTTCTTCCGGACTTGCAAAGCCAACTCGGACAACCTGGCTAGCGAAATATCTTCTCGGGGGTTAAGTGGACCGAAAACCTCCGTGACAGCCTCTTGGACCTCCTGCATCAAGGCCTTCCAGCCCCGGTGGAGGAGCCACCAACTGAAGGCCAGATATCTCCGGTTCGTCTCGAAGTCATTTCCCAAGGTTTGGGTCAGATCGTCGTCGTCATGATCCTCTAGTCTGATCGTCGATGCATTTGCGGGGGGTGTGGCCAGCGATATTACGCTGGAGAGGTAGTTCCGGCGGCCGAGAAGATTGAGCTGGATTCGGGTGAAGATGGTTAATAGAGAGAGGGTGTAGATGAGAGTAAAGGTCCTAGTAATGGCTGTATCGGAGCAATGAGTAACGGCATACAGCACCAAATGGAGAAAGGCGGGAAAGGCACATACAGGTTATCTTCACCTCGCTCCACAGCTGGGTCTTATTGCGCTTCGGCCGCGGCTGACCATCCCCTTCGACTAATGACTCCCCTAGTTGACTCGTGCGGACAAACCCATCACTCTGGAAACTGGATAGACTCCGTCCATCCTCCTCGGGCAAACTGGGAGCCACCGAGCTTAAATCCGATCCCGTCCCTTCACCACCGTTGAGGCGAGCCAACCTCTCTGCCCTTTTCTTCTGTAGCTCCTTGGTCAAGTCCTCGACGGGAAGGGCTTCCAGGATATCCTCGGCCGCGGTCGGCAAGAGAGCCAGGATGGTATAGGTACAATCGGTCTGATTCTGTTCAAAACGCCGCCGTAGACTTGGAAGAATCATTAAGGTAAGCTACCGTCGTCCAACGCAAAATAGGGAACAACACTCACTTCTCCCGAGCAATTCGGTCGCTGCTCATACGCTCGCGAGCCTCCGAAATTTTGGAAAGCACATACTGACCGGCTAAGTAACCAGCTCCGATCACGCCAGCCCCAATCGCAAGGCCCCTGCGATTGCGCCGGAACCAGCGCCTCGTAGCACCGATCATGGTGGAGGAAGCAAGGGAAAAGGATCAGACGGTAATCTTCCAAAACACTCAATAAGTACAGAAGTTCATCATCCAGCGGTCAGCGAAAGTCTAAGGAGAAAGAGAAGAGAAATAAACGATAGAAAAGTGAATCGAAATTAACCCAGGGAAGTGAGGCCGGAAGCATCAGCAAGGTAGATGCGACAGGTTCATGGAAAGAGGGTCGGTGAATGGAGCTGAGTCGGCCTCGGCTAAACCTGATAGTTGCTGCCAAGGTGAATGAGGATCGGCAACAACGCTGGGGATGGCATTTCCATACTTCTGACAGCTTGAGGGCCAACCTGGAGATCTCGGGATTCAGTTATCTTTCATAGACTTGCTATACTAGCAATTCATGCAAACGGCGAGTACTTGCCGGTACATCTTGATGGATGATCATAATACTGCCGAAGTACCTCGTCGGGACAATACGATTGACAATACCTTACAATACCTCTAGTATTAAATAATACAATACAATACAATACGTACCATGCTGTATCAGGGAGGGGTAACATTCAACAACAAATCAGTGCTGGGAGTTTCTTATCGGCACTGACTCTGTCTGGATCATCACCGCCACCCATCCATCCATGCCATCAAGGGAGAATAATTCAACTTCTGCTGGGAATCATGTCTTCTCCTCCATGACGGTTTCTCGATTCTCTTTCCTACGATGAAAATGATGGTCTAGATTATCCCACATCGTCTATTCGTCCATCCCCACGACCTCATATCTAGTTCTAGTACTACTACTCCGTACTACTCCTAGTACTACTATTACCTTCCCTGGACATCTTCATCGAGCCTTTTCTCTGTGGCACAATCTCGTCCGTCGTTTTTGACTGGGTCATTAGCGGTTTCTTGATCCGCAACGCTCTAGACGGTTCGAAGGTTGAACCACCAAACGTCGGGGACTCCATCGTGAGTTGTCATCCTTGGTTGATGACGCGCCCCCGTCACGATGGAACCCCGCAAAACCCCTCCGGAGTACTTTCTGGAGATCTTTGCAGATACCACGACCGTCCGAGACGTGCTGAAAGGTATGTATGCACTTAGCCCTGGGGTTCTGGCTGCTGCGCACTTGATTCTATATCATTACTATACTTCTGTTTATTGTTTGCGGGCTAGCATTCTCTGAAGGAACTGGGCTAACTAACCCGTCCCCTCCCCCTTTATTTTCTAGGTGTCCTGAACTTGATCTTCTTTCATCGTTATTTCCCATCAATCCGACCGACTACCTTTGATGTCTTAGATTTCACCCTCCCGGCGATCAACGATGTGGACCTGGAGACTTTGATTGAATCCCGGATCAGCTCCTTAGTTCGCCAACACTCCTCCTCTTCCTCATCCTCCGCTAGCGCCAACGAAGGCGCCGGTGGAGTACGTGGTCGGATCGCGGTGGAATTCTATGAGAAAAAGCGCAGGCGCTCGGGGATGTGGTTTGGTGGGCTTGCAGGCAAGGGTGAAGAAGAGGTCTGCTGGGAAGTGTGGAATCTAGACGTGACCATTGCCACTCCACGGACAGAATCCGGTACGGCTTCATCATTCATTCACCCATTCATTCCCCGTCCTCGTGACCCATATTCGCACGCAGAAGAAATCCAACTAATGCACATGCATATACTGATGCAGAACGCGCCAAGGTACGCAAGGCAATGGAGAATATGCTCCAGAAAGCCGCGCTGAAGATCCTCGCCGTGGTCAATCGGGACAAAGACCATATCCCCCCCATCACCACCAGTGATTCCAATCCATTCCCCTATCGCATCGTGCTGAATCCCCGTACGGATGGGTGGCAAAATGGCTTTGGTTTGTATTAACGTGGAGAATTGGAAGTTCCCACTGGATGGTTCGGGCATCGCTGGTTTACGGTGTCCGGAATGCAAAATTGCCTTGTGCCCTAAAGAGCACCTCGACAGGGTTGCTAGGCCATGGTTATGCTCTTTTCGATCTAACCTTTCTGTTCTATTTGTATTTTCTTGCCTTGACCCTTTTACTCCCGTGTACACTATTACTCATATACCGGTCGAGCTCATTGCTCCGGTGGTCGAGACGCCTGACGACCCCTTCCATATGTCATAGAAGAACCCCCTCCAACGGTATAGAATAAAGAGAAGACCCCGGGAGGGAATGATATCAAACGGTGCTTCATTTACCAAAGAGGCATTATTGCATCAAATACAGCTATACCCACAGCTCCGCCGGATATGGAACACCTGATCTCTCGTCCTTCGTTCCCCCTCTTATCGCAATCAACTCTACTGAATCAGTCATGACAGAAAAAAAGAAGAATACCCAAATAAAAATGGTTCAAAATCGTTTTGACCCGATCCCCAAGTCCTATCTCATCCAGTACGTCTTCTGGCATCAACGAAGTGTCATCGCTTCGTTAGTTGTAGTTGGTGGTTTCTTGACTAATCACAGAACGAATCGACCTAGCCCATGGTCCAGTGGCAAAATGTGCCATGGATACCATATATATATTGCTGGTCTATCTTTACTGCGCCTTGGTGGCATCAGCCGCCTGGGCCCGAAGGTTGGCCGAGGTGGATCCGCCAGTGAAGAAGCGGCCCAGCACAGGCTGGAGGAAGGAGTGGAAAACGACCTGGGCGCCGCTACCAAAAGGAAAAGGGTCCAGTCAGCGAGGGTTCTCGGCCTTTGACGGGTGGGTAGAGATAGCTTACTTGGTCTGGGGAAGAGACATCCAGAGGATGAGGGCGAACTTGAAGAGGTAGTAGAAGGCTATTGTTGAGATTGAGATCAGTAACCAGCATTCTTTTTTGTCCCTTAAAAGGAACTCCCGTATCCGCGAATTGGTAAGCACTTACGGAACCAGTAGGGGGCATTAATGGCGCTCTCAATAACAGTGAAGAGGGCATAGACCACCCAGTACTATTGGTTTCACATGTCAGTATCTCTTTCCACAGCAGTAAGGTATCACGTGCTCGGGGAAGAGGCTAGGCGAAAGGCCGCGTAGATCTCGGGGAAAGAGAGGACCGATCACGAGAACATACGGTCAACCACTACACACAACAGTCAGCATTTCTTATCAGACCGTCAGGTCATCAGGGTGCAAAAATTGGGTTGGAACTCACCTGCGTGTCATCTGCAGTTCCGGTGGTGAACAATGCGTTCAACGAGTAGTAGCCAGGGATAAGAAAACCCGCCAGGTTAACCAGGAACGAGCCAGCGATGTTAAAGAAAACGAGGAAGAAGTAGATGCCGACCAGGCCCAGAATGGCATAGACCTTTGGGACCGAGGTCTGACGTTCCAGGTTGTTGAGGACAGGGTACTTGGACAGCTATACCAAAGATACACAAGCACATTGATTGTTAGCCTTGGCCTGGGTAGCAGGAATATTTTCAGATATGACAGAATCGTAGATTAAAAGTAAATAAATCAAAGGATATTCATCAAACAATCCAGATGAAACCCAAATCCAGGTAATACCATGATCAAGGGTCTTCTTATCCAGTATTAGAGAAGATGACACCTTGGGGGTATCTCGCACGCAAAAAAATAACGAACGCACAAACTCACCTCCTTGTCAAGCTGAGCTATGGCGTGCTGAGCACGATCCTGGAAAGTGGCCATTGTTGATGTGGTTTTTAATGAGATACTCGAGAAGCAGATTTGACTCTTTTGCGAGTGACAGAGGGTTTGGAAAGGGATATCAGGGAAGGGGGATGGATAGGGTGGAAGATGGGAGAGGGTTCGAAAGGACGTGCTGGCGGTTACGTGACGGGCGCCTTTGGTCACGTGATGTGTCATGACGTCGAGGGCCCCCGGTGACGTATGGCGATACGAAGGCGAATCGTATGACTTTTGATAGTTACAGCAATGGTAGACATCTCGGTTGTAGGTACAATGGGCAGGTCTACTTGAAGTACATCAGGCATTCAGTAGATACCTAGCCTATAGAGGTACCTATAGTCGGAGTAGATAGGAGGTATTACCTGGATACCGGTATTGCCGATACCTTTGTACCACGCTGTAGATAGTATCTTCTTACGAAGAATGAAAAGTACAATGATTACTCAAGAGGACCTGCAATGTTCATGGCTTCTTTCGATTCTTTCAGGGGTCAGCACTAATCATGGATCGACCTAATAGTGGGCGAATTTATCTGCAAGGACTCCCAATGACCTATCCGAGGTGACTCGTGATATACTTTACAATCAGACGTCTAATGTGACAAGTACCAAGTGCAATCATCTTCGTCTACCTATGTATAGATATAGTAAGTCATCCCATTTCTCTGCCAACTTCCAACCAACAGATCGTAGTATATTACGCAAATGTAGGCTGAGCCCGAGAAATGAAAAGACAAAACAAAGCGAACAACAGAGTTAAGAGAATCCAACCAGTTACAGCCAATCCTGCCGTCATCCTCGGCCCCCGTCTCTGACGAACAGCGGCGCCTGCCCTGGGGAAATGAACGGCCCAGTATGCTCAAGGGAACAACAACATAAGGACGGGTTCGGGAAGGAGAGGAAATAATGAAGAAATACTAGCATAAAAAACAAGGCGACAAAACCCAGGCAATTCGCTCGTCTTATTATATAACAGAGCAATGCGCCATCATCCATCATCCACCGCCGGCCACCAGATCATACAACGCCGTCCAGAAGAGCAAAAATCGGGTGGACACATGTCAAGAAAGACAATAAAACACAAAAAGTGAGAAAGAAAGAAAGAGGCAAAAAAAATAAGCCCATCCACAAACGGAAGTCAACTAGTTGCGTTACTCATCTTCGCTCATCCCAACACCAGGAGTTCCATTCATAAACCCAGTGCTGTCCCGGTTACCACTGTTGAACGTAAGCTTCAGCTTTGGCTGCGCCGGTGTAGCAACAGTGCTGGGAGTCTCGGCCCCAGAGGCAGCAGCGGTAGATAAATCATTGGCAGCCGGTGAGCCCAAGTCGTCAAAGTTAGCAAACTGCGGGTGGCCCTCGGTTTCCTTCTTCAACTCAGAAAGACATTTGGCCTGCGCATGTATGTATCAGCAATCATCCCAGCGTAATCCTTGTAGACCGGGTCACTTACCTCGATGTCATTAGCATCCTGGAACAAGATGCTACCGTCTTCATTGTAGGTCCGGGCATTCTGGCATAGAAGATGGATATCATTTCGGAAATCTTTCAGATTCTGGTATTCGTCACGATTTATCTTTTTCCGGATCATCTCCATGGCGATGGGGTTTTGAATGATCATGTAGTAGTCGGGATACTGCGACTTCGGCGGTGGCTTCATAAATGGCTCAATGATGGACCGGCTAACAGGGCCATCTTCGCTATCCGACGAATCAGCCGGCAGCTCCTGTTCCATTTCCATCAAAGACTGGTAAACGTGGTTGACTATCCGTTGGAGAATAGCACGATCTTCGGGGCTCAATGTTTCCACGGGTTTGGCTTGCCTGCCCCTCTTGCGCTTGGGCTGAGGTGTCTCATCCACAACTTCCTCCGCCTTGCGTTTGGGTGCAGGACCCCTACGCCGCTTTTTAGGCTGAGGTGTTTCTGAGCTTTCACGAGACGGTTCGGGAGACGATTCGGCCCCTCCCTTTCGTTGGCGCTTCTCCTTGTTGATGCGCCGACGTTCAACTCTAGCTTCCTTTCGGGCAATGGCCTCTTCAATCGTATCATCGTCGGCATCCACAGCCATGAGCCATTGCTCCTCGGTGAGACCGTCATCGTACCGCGTAATCTTGCGCTCACGTGCACCTCGCCCACTAACTTCGACATCGGCCTCCTCTGTGACAGGGTTATCCTCAGCAAGGTAGAGCTCTGGAAGCTCATTCTCTCCCATCAGACGAGGCAATGGGTGACCGGGGCCGTAGTGGTCTCTCAAAGGTCGTTCTTTGTCCAAACGCTGGAAGACAGTCAATTCCTCGTCAGAACGAGCCATAATATCATTCAGGTCGTCATCATCCATTTCGTCTTGTTCGCCGATCTGATCGGCCGCCTCGGCTGTTTCCAGAAGCGTCCGCAGTAGAGCATCCCGTTCCTCATTGGTAGACTTGTTGTCGAATTTTCCTGCCTGAATGACCTTGCCATCCATATCAAGCTTGAACTGCGCACGCTCAAGGATCTTTTCCTCGACGGAGTTGGAGCTAATCAGACGCAGGATACGAACTTCGTTCTTTTGTCCGATACGGTGTGCACGATCTTGGGCTTGCAAATCCTGGTGAGGGTTCCAATCGGAGTCAAAGATGATGACGGTGTCAGCAGACTGGAGATTGAGACCTAGACCGCCCGCGCGAGTCGAAAGCAGGAAGCAGAAATATTCCGAGCCCGGAGCATTGAAAAGCTTCAAAAGTTCGGAGCGATCATCCGATTTCGTCGAACCGTCCAGGCGAAGATATTTCATTCCACGGAGACGCAAGAAGTCTTCCATGATGTTCATGATCTGAGTCATCTGGAAAAACATCAAGACGCGGTGACCAGTTGCCCGAAACTTAGGGAGGATACGGTCAAGAAGCTCAAATTTACCAGCGGTACGCCAAATAAGGTCATTGGTGCCCCGTGTAGGGTTCATTTGATCCTCGACGGGTTCAAACACGAAAGGATGATTGCACAGTTTCCGCAGTTGCATCAGCATATTACTAAGGCCGCGCATTCCAGTCTTGCCACCCTTACCGTCGCTGACAGCCATCTTGTTGTGGGTAACAAGTTGTCTGTACAGTTTGGCTTGCAAAGCAGAGAAACGGCACTTGATGACTCGTTCCTGCTTATCTGGCAGGTCCTTCTCCACATCCTTCTTGAGACGCCTGAGCAAGAAGGGTCTAAGAACCTTGTGTAAGCGACGGATGACTAGCAATTGTTCTTCTTCCGACAGCTCCATGCGGTCCTGGCCACCAGTGTTGGCAAACGGGGTGTTAAACCACTCATCAAACGATTTCACAGATTTAAAGATATTCGGCAGAACAAAGTTCAACAGCGCCCACAGCTCAGGTAGGTTGTTCTGCAGGGGAGTACCAGTCAAAATCAGACGGTACCGGCTGGTGTAGTACTGCGATAGAGTACTGCTCAGCTTGGACTGAGTATTTTTCATGCGATGACCCTCATCGACAATCATGTGAGTCCATTTGACCTTGCTCAAGATCGGTCGGTCCTTGATGATATATTCGTAGGTGGTTAGAAGGACCTGGAAGTTACCCCACCGAATGGCCTGCTGCTGCTGTTTACGAGCATTAGGGGGGCCCTTGTAGACAACTCTCGAAACAGCCGGTGCCCACTTTTCGAACTCCAGGTTCCAGTTGGTGAGGGTACTGAGGGGCACAATCACCAAGAACGGGCCGTTGTTCTTCTTCTTTTCAATAATGTAGGTGATCAAGCTGATTGTCTGGATGGTCTTTCCAAGACCCATCTCATCAGCCAGAATACCGTTGAGGTTATTATTGTACAGAGAGATCATCCACTGCAGACCTCTCATTTGGTATTCCTTGAGCTGGCCACCAACAAGAATGTTTGGCTGCTCAGTGACATCTTCCTTGATGCGATGAGCAACAGCATAGTAATCGATCTTGCGTCTTCCACTGCCTTCTTCTTCTTCATCAGTTCCGGATGCAATATCATCTTCTTCATCCTCATAGAACTGATCGTCTTCGCCATAGCTTTGGGCGAGGCTGCGCTGCTGCTCCCTAACAGAGGCTGCAAGTTGTTTGAGGAAGTTATCCGTTTGCTTCAGAAGATGAGAAATACGTGAATCTTTAGCCTGGCCAAGAAGCTTCATGTAAGTCTCTTCGTCGTTGGCCTTCAGTGCCTGGAGACGCTGCTTAGCAGTCCGCTCAACACGTTTCTGCTCCTCACGCTCCATGTGTTGATGATGCTGAAGCATCATGCGACCCAATTTCTGCATGCGGGTGCGTTGTTGGTTAGCAGCGTTCTGAAGCTCAAGACCGTGCTGAAGAATGGCTTGAAGCTGGTCGTATTGCTTCCTCTTCTCCCGTGTCTCACGAGCATCACGCTGCTGCTTCTCCAGCTTTTCAGTGATCCTCGCCTCCCGCAAGGATTGTTTCTTCATCCGGCGATGATTAGAGCGATTCGCGGTCATGCCCAAATTATCAAAGTGGAACATCTCGTTCTGGATTTGCTTGCGAAACAGCCTTTGCTTGGGTAGCAAGTTGAGCATCTTGTATTCAATGAGAGCTTTCAACTTCAACGAGTCATCACCCGTTGCGGTATCGCTTCGGCTAGAATCCCATACGCCAAGATTAGCAGGCAGCTCAGCCAACTCCGCCTTTCGCGCATTGATTCTATTGTACAAAATCACCTCCCTCTCTTCGCGCACCTGCTCTAGATCAATTCCAGGTGGCATCAAGGCGGGAACACGCGCACGGTTTGTACGGGAAGCGTGGTCTGTGAAGCTGATAGTCTTGGGGATTGATTCAAACGGCGACTGGAAATTTTCATAAAAATCTTTAGACTGAGGGGTCGCATCAGTTGTGCTTGTAGGCTGCTCGGATTTCCCTCGTGCTACGCCTTCCAGAACAGCTTCTGCGGCTGTCACACTATCAGAAGGCGCGGGAGTGTGTTGTTTCTTAGAAGCGAATAGCTGTTGCTGGACACGGGGGGGCAATGGAAGATTCTTCGAGAGCATTTTGAAAGCCAAAATTTGATTTCGGAGCGTCGCAAGTTGCTCCGCAGAGAAGCCACCACCGGCGACAGGGCCGCCCTTCTGAGAAGCGGCCTGCCCCTGAGTCTGTTGCTGACCAGTGGCCGTGGCATCTTGAGCAGCGCCAGCCCCAGAAGAAACCGAGTTGCTTCGACCTACATTGCACATGTCAAGATTAGATGCAGCACAATCTCATACGAGACAGAGGGAAGATGGCCTTACCATTGACACCGTTTGCGGCTGCAGATTCAGGAGTCACACCATTCAACTGCTGTTGGCGCTGCTGCGCTTGCAGCTGCTGTTGCGCAATCTGTCTCTGCTTGTTATAGACCTGCTGTCTTTGAACAGCGGAAAGTATGTTATGGAACTTCAGGTATTCAGGGTCGTCATGGCGAACGCCCTGCTCTTGCATCTGTTTGAATTTCTGCGAGACAAAAAATTAATATACTGTTCCATGGTTCCGAACTAGTTGTCGAAGATAATGGGAAAGAAGAGAAAGGGACTTGGGGCACAAGAAGGTGTGTAAAATTAAAAGATAAAATTAAAGGTGAACGAAAGGCCAGGAAAAGTCAAAAAGAGACCAAATGAGGTGGGTAGCGCCATACCTGAAAGATCTCTTGAATACCCTGCTGCGTCAAATTTGGCGGCAGGCTCATGTTTCCAGTGCCCATATTTGGTGCTGACTGGAGGGAGGCCATGCTCTAGCGCGTGGTTGCTCTGACCATAAGCAATAAAAACCACGTTGGGGGTGGGAGTAGATGCGACAGGAGTCGGGTATGCGATTTGGCGGCCGGAAAACACGTGGAAGGGACAGTGAGTGACAGTTCGCGTCTGTATGGCGACCAAGCGCGCTAAATGATTGAAGTGGAGGGACGATAGGCGCCCTTTGTCGAAGGATGCGACTGATAGCGGCCTGTATCTAGACCTTGGCAAAAGGTTTAGTGATGATATGGGCCGGGTCGGGAGAAAAGGAAGACGACAGAGGGCGGTAGGCAACAAACAGGAGAATCCTAGGAGAAGGGAAGGGAAAGGGGAGACCCAACGCGATGGCAAAAGGGGTGTAAAGGGCCCCAAACAGAGGGGTCGCGCTGGAAACGGCGCGTGGAAAGGCAAGATGGATGAAATGGAGATGGAGGGGACGGGCTTTGGCGAGTTTCCGTGCTGGTCGGGGAAACTGGCGGTGCTCAGCCTGTCTGTAGCGGAGGAGAGGCAGGCGGCGAGACGTTGGAAGAAGATTTCAGTGCGGAGCACGTGATGGATGACTCAGCACGGCAGTAACTTACTGGCCTTGTCCGTTCTTGTCGGGATGCTGACTCAGCTGGTGATGACTAACGAGCTGCCGGTGGTCTACAATGGCTGTCTCTGTACATGATAGAAAAAAGTACCCCAAACGAAGTATGGAATCAGAGCAACACAATTCAGCAATTACACAATAATTACAAATCATCGATGGTTTTCTCCATCTGGGTTTAACACTAGGTTAGCTACCAAATGCCATCCACACCCGTCAACTCAATTATCTGTTCCGGACAGATCTTGCAATAGAATACAGACCGGTTCTCAAAAAAGGAAGAAAAGAAAAAGCGCTCCATCTCTCTCGACTCAAAAGCACTACGCTTCGCCAGCGCTGAGGATGGTTTTCTTCATCGGAGGAGGAGGAGGAGCGGGCTTCTTTGCGCGTGAAGGTGGAGGGGGTGGAGGGGCCTTCTTATGTAAACCGGCATTGTTCAATGTCGTGGAACTGGCCCTTCTCGAAACCTCACCTCCATAAGATGACGCTGGTGACTCGGACCGCCCATAGTACAATCTTTCAGGGCTCGTTCCGTTCTGGGAGCGGAATTCTCCGGGATAATCCATGTGAGGATCAGCGGGTACTCTTGGGATAGACCGATTTTGGATGCTATTCCTCCGGGTAATGGCATTCTCACTGGCTGTCCGCGACGGCCAGTGAGGTGATGCAGACGAGTGCTCCTGCCGTAACTGTGTGGGTCCCTCAAAGGTTGTGATCCGGTTGAGAATAGGTCTCTGAGGAGGGGTGTCGGGTGCATAGGTTTCTCTCGACTCCGCAAAATGGGACGAGGGAGATCTGTTTGAGCGAATAATGGGCCGCTGATCAGTCCCATTGGTCAGTTCCTCCTGCAATGGTTCACATCGGTCTTGGAACGAGTGCGCAGTGTTGGAACGAGCCCGTCCGATACGGCGCCCGTTCAGGGTCGGTGTCTGAGAGTGTCTGAACCTGGTATCAGCGTTGTGCAATAGTGCTGTCCTAAAACACACGCCGATCTTACCTGCTAGGCCATTCATTCCTAATCTGAAGGAGCACTTCCGTGCACTTCTCGTGGTAGTCCAATTGGGCTTCCATGAATGCCTCCAAATCTGCAACGTACTCGGCCTCTGCATCCTTGATATCCTGCATCCGTCGATAGACATCGTCGTTGGCCTCTTCGTACTTGACCTTCTGGGTTCGGAGTTCTTCCTCCATGCGAAAGTCCTCCTTTTTCACTTTCTGCACTTTGGAGAGTGAGGTGTCATAAGCCAGTCGGCGGCTGTCAAGCTTCTTGCGCGCAGCCTGTTGTAAAAGTTAGACGGCCAACGTGGTTTCTCAAAACGTGAAAAAAAAAAAAAAGAAGAAGAAGAAGAAGAAGCTTACCTGGTAGTCTTTCATCTGAGTCAAGGATCGTTCCAGAGACTCAAGCCAGCTCGAGTTCACCTGAGAGATGTAGGATTCCTGAATACGAGCAATGCGTTCTTCTGCCCGTCCGAGCACTATATTTGTAAAAAGCAGGCATGAGCCTCAAATTCACTCGGAGTCGGTAAACGCGTCAAGTAAGACTTACTGGTCAAGGAGCAACCATATTCTGAATTCGCATCAAAATCCTCCCCGTAGCCAACCATACTGGCACCTAGATGGGCAATAGGCAATGTTTTCTCCTTGTCGTCACCTTCGCTGCGCTTGGAAACGGACTTGATGTAGGCGGTCGTGGATTTGTGAATACGATCCACACCTAGGAGAGAGAGTAAAGATCAGTAATCATTATCGGCGCACCATTGTCATGTCGGCTTACCTTCATGCCGTACGTTCATCTCCGTCTCCAAGGCTTTGAAGTTGTCCGAGAGGTTGGTCTTGACTTCGCCGCCCATTCGCTCCCCCGCCCATTGCTTGAAGCGATCGAACTTCTTGTTGACATTCATTTGCAGGGTTATTAGGAGAGGACTGGTCAGTGGTGACGCTGTACAACTAAACGGTGCGAGAATAATTTAATCCTCAAGGTCAATCCGGGCCGGCGGATAGTAATCAATCGAAAACGGATAAAACGACTGGATAAAAAAAAATAAGAGAGTTGGGAAGCGAATGTGAGATCCAAGAGGATCTAAGGGACGAAGAAAGAAGCGAGAGGCCGGGTGGGATGTTGGGGAAAGAAAGAAAGAAGAAAGAGAAAGAAAGAAAGCACCAGATCGATTTGCGACAGGTGGTGGGATGGGTAGGGGATTAATGAAGAGCTGGCCCCATCAGTCTGGTCTCGAGAGGCGGTAGGAATAGGAATTAGTGAACGACTACTAACTACTACTTAGTTTGTAGGATTAGATAAATGTCGAATGATTTGTATTTATGATGATGACCAGGCCATATGGAGTATATGTAGGTATGTACATAATAGTTATTATTACCTCCCGGTTTCCCCTAGAGACCAGTTTACGTTGATTGAAGAATGACAGACTGCCAATCAGAGATATCCCTGGTACGGAATAAGATTCGCCCTTTTTTATAATTAGTGTTATGGGGGAGTTAACAGCGCTACTAGTAAGTACTTCAAGTAGAAATGTTTGTACTGTACGACTACGACCTCCATACACGACCATACGACCATACGACCAGGACCCTAGATTCACCTTGTTGGATAGTTGATCTTGGAACCTTCCTGTCAAAAGCCAATTGGGCTTTCCCTCTCGCTGTAAACCCAGATGTGAAACATGGCGCGGTCAGATGTTGGAACTTGGTTTATTATTATCGGTAACCGTCATCCAGTGGGAGAGAAGTGACACGCGTTTTGTGGGCCTTGCAAGTGGGGGATTGATCGCTATGGAACTACGTAAGTACTAGTGAGTACTCCATAGGTCGCTTTGCCACTGCTATTTATGGTGGCGTTATTATGTACATTCCATCCGCGAGGCTCGGTATCTCCAATTGTATCTAAGTCCTAGGTACGAAGTATATAGAATAATAGGGAATTTGTATGGTAATGGAATGAAAACATAAATCCATGGATATCCACGCAGCAGGTTTCGGAGAATATCTCCGTTGTATATTTATTTGAGAAGACGGCTAAGCAGATTGCAAGTACCACCAACCAGTAACTTTTCCAATCATTGGTATTTCCATATAGTTATCCGTAGGAGAGAACCCATCAGGTTTATTGATAGTTTCGACAAGTATATATACAGGATGTCTCATACTCGGCGATCACAAAGCCTATCAGCACTTGGCTTTGGGGGCATTGATACTGTGCCTCTCGCCCCTTTTCGAATATACAAGAATAAATATCATATCCATGAACCCCTGATTCCTGCAGGTCCACTCCCACTGATTGGTAACCCGTAGCGACCGAATTGTTTCATGTTTTCCCAAGCCCTGATATCCAACGTTCCCTGGTGAATGCCAGTCAGGGGAACCAACCCCTTAATAAGACTCCATCTACTCCCTACTGGGTAGTGCAACGGTGCCATGGATTCTAGGCCATTGTTATCACTAAGAAACAATAGGTTTGATGGCTAGTGGCGGCAAAAAAGGTGCAGCAGCTGCATCAATTCCGATCTGCGATATGATATCCGGTGGAATCGTGAAGTCGGCGGCAACAGTGTCTTCTTCGAGCATGGGCAGAGTGCAGGTGCCGTTCATATCCGGCCCAGGCATCCATTCAGCCTCCGCGGCTATGAGAACATCAAAGTCATTCCATCGCTCCGTGCTTCCACCATTTGCGATATCGGTATCGTCCAATCCCCTAGTCAAGAGGGAATCAAAACATGCGCCCACCACAGCAGGCTGAAGCGCTGCCGGATCCTCCACGGGGCCGTTCTCATCCAGTGATCTCCCATCATTTTGATTTAACATGATCGTGACATATTGACTGGGTGTGACGCCCGTGATCTTTTTGAACACCCGATGGAAATGACTAGATGTGAGACCCGCCTGATCCGCCAGTTTCCGGAGCGTCGGTTTTGAACCACTCCTTATTTGTGACTCGATAGCCTCGCAGGTCTTCTGTATCAATTGGACCTGCGAATTAACCGCCTGTAAGTCCTGTGGTTTGCAGCGCTTACAGGCCCTGAAACCCGCCCACTCTGCGTCTGACGGTGTATCGTAGAATCTGATATTCGCTCGTCGTGCGAGACGAGCAGGACATGATGGCCTGCAGTAGATCCTGGTCGTTGTAACCGCGTATACAAAGGAGTTTACCTTGGCGTCTCGGTTGACCAATGCCTGCCAGCGTGCAGCATCCGACAATCCGGCGGGACTAGTAGTGCTCAGACGTGGTATCTTCTGAGGCGACTTCTTCACAATCATTATGTGTGTATAGGAGACAAAAAGACTGTCACTTGTCTGCTAGTTACAACTGGACTGAACGGTGAACTCAGAATAAAGTATAAGAATAAGAATGCTTCGTAGGACTCCTCGTATTTCAAATCTTGGAGGCAAAATGTGGTTGAGTCGAGATCCGTCTGTCGCTGATTGGTCACTTTGGTGTCAATGATTTTTGTACTGTAGACAGGTATAGAGTGTTTTATAAACAACTATGTACACACGGACATTGGGCAGATGGTGGTAATCGTCATCGCTGGTTTCTAGGGATTCTAGTTCTACCCTATTACAAGATCAAGTAATTGCGGTAGCCAAGATATTGGAAGAGGGAAGAGATCTTCACATCTGAATTGTCTTACCTATTTCCAAGCAATGGGAGAAATCATCCACAAAGGCCCAGAATCACTGGCTAGATATGCACATTAAATAACACGATAGATTTGTGACACCGAGTATGAACATAATTACACAACAACCATTCAACAAGTAGTGGCGAGTGCCAGAGGACTAATACCATGTATCGGACGACCTTTGGGGGACACGATGGAAGTAAAGAAAACAAGATTGAAGCATATCATAGCCGTGAACTCGGACATGAGTCTACTGCTTTGCACCTTAATTGACAGGAAACAGACTGCATCATGCTAGATGCAATATTGGCAAGAAATCAAGGGACATCTGAACGAAAAGAAATTTTATTATAGGTAAATTCTCACTTCTCTGCGATATGCCACCCGCTCTGAATCGGAGACACGAATCTGACCACTTAATTCTTCTTCCTCTTTGTTTTAATCGTCACTGAAATTTGTTTGGCCACAACCTTAATTTGCTAAGGACGCGTGGGGGGCTATCCACAGTCGCCTTAAGTACATGTGTCTCATAGCAAAAGAGCATTTTTAACCCATCGCAAAGAAAATAAAAAAAAACCACACCATATCCCATTTAATCCTTGGTCTTCTGGGTACCACGGAGCAGACCAGTTCTCCGGGCAGCGATAAGACCGGCTTTTTGACCCTGGGCAGCGTAGCGGGAGATGGTCGAGGCCTTACCAATGTGCTGATGGTTACCACCACCGTGAGGCTATAGAAACAAAATGTGTCAGATATCTGCAGAACCGAAAAATAAAATCAACGGGGAAATTCCTTACATGGTCCACGGGGTTCATGGCAACACCACGAGTCTTGGGCCACGAATTGCGCTTGACAGCGAACTTGTGCTTGGCACGAGAAGCCTCTGTAGAAGAAACATCAGCATCGAGAAAATTTATCGAAGAACGTCTGATCGCCCTATGAGCGACTACATTCGTTGTTCGGGTGACATACTCAGCAAAGGCTTGTCGGTACGGCCACCACCGGCAACGATACCGACCATACCACGAGCGGTGTTCTTCACAACCTTCTTAGCACCACTGGGGAGCTTGACTCGGGTCTTGCCCTCTTCGGGGTTCTGGCCAATGACTGTAACGTAGTTTCCAGAAGTACGACCAAGAGCACCACGGTCGCCAGCCTTCTCCTCGACGTTAGTCACGACGGTACCCTCGGGAACGGAGGCGAGAGGGAGGATGTTGCCGATGGTGAGGGCAGCGTTCTTTCCGGCGTAGATGAACTGGCCCGAGTACATGCCCTCATTGGCAATGAGGGTCTCGGTGACCTGCTTGAACTTGTAAGGGTGACGGAATTGGACCTTGGCGAGGGGAGCACCACGACCGGCATCGTGGATGATCTCCTTCACAACACCCCTGGTGTATCCATGACGCTCAGCGTAGTCGAGGACACGGAACTGGGCAGGGGCCTTGTTGAGACGGGTGTTGGCCGCTGGACGCAAGAGATCACCATCAGCACTTTTTTGAACCTCGAGGAATTTAAATCATTCAGGATACTGCGGTCGTCACTCACTGAAAATGGATCCACGACCCTTCCTCTGGTTGCGGATCACACGACCCATGGCGACTTTCTGTAACGAGGAACCTGGAGTTAGTATTCAAAGAAAGACCGCCTGCGACCCAGTGGTTGGAGTGTATCGAGCGCTCGTACCTCAAAATCGGAAGATGGGCTTGTCGGGTTGGTGTTGAGAATTCGTCCGCGAAAGGCTGTGTGGGCTTTAGGGCGAAATCGCTAATCTAACCGAGTTGGCGCTAGTGCCTTTTGGACCCGTCTCGCGGCTGTTTTGGCGCGCTGCGGCTAACTTTGTGACCTTTCCGCGTTTGCCTCCAAAGGTTGCATTGCATCGTCATGGATTCTCCCACCGAAGGGGAGTTTCAAGATCTTGAAGTGCATCGATGCATCTCGGGTCGAGGATCGAATTCCCTGACAACCATGCTTGAGCTGCATGCTGCGTTTACTGTCTGAATGCTCTCTGCTTAGGACAGTCACGCTGTCAGAGCTGTACCAACTTCACCACCCTTTATACTGCAAGGAAATAAAATACGATCTGGGGATCGATGTCAACAAACTTAATGATAGCATGTTTCCATTTTAAGCTGTGTTGTGTTGGGCAGTAGCATGTTCCTGATCAACCCAATTTGTTTTCATGAATGATGGTTTAACTCGAGACAGATTGACCACACGAACAAAATTATGTGTGAAAGAAAACAGAGAAAAAAAAGTAGGAGACAATATGAAGGTCATAGAGACCGCTTTGCCTGCAACCAGAAAATGTCCCTGTTATAACTAGACTTCCGCACTGTCGCGTTGGTGGACCATGCGAGTATCATTGATTCGAGAATATGGAAATCTATTATTATTTTTTTCCCCTGCCGATGCGACGGAACCATTGAATTGGTTAATTCATGCCTATGACATCTTGTTTCTTGATGATATTCGTTTGAAAACGCGAAAACACCAGTGTCTTACTCTTCCATGATTTCACAGTCAATCACCTCTCTATATCCCATGGACGGGGAATCTTCCCCATTTGCTCTGGGCTCTGTCCAAGGGAATTGAAATAAGGTCTATACCAATTCTATGTACTTCAGTGACTCTGTCAGCTGTAGAGGCACCGAAATTCTCGTATGCGACTCAGATAGGGTTATCACAAGGCCTTTCTCAAGCGCCGTAAACGTAGAAAAATTCCAGAATTCCGGGGATAGGGAATGCATTGTATTGATTAGGCGCGGATCATATCTTGATATGGGCTGCTATGAATGATGCCAGAAAAAGCCACGCGCGTAAAAGCCGCGCTCCAACCTAGGGAGCAGTAGCGCAGCAGAACTTCTTACGGCGCGGTCATGCCCACTCTTCCTTGCCGCAACACCACCTTGAAGCAACCACGAACATGTCCAGCATGTCTCTTTCCGACTCGGAACTCTCGTCGTTGTCATCGGCGCCTCCTTCGGATGAAGAGTCTGGCGCTATGGCAGTTGACGAGGCTGTGGGTATCACCAAGTACTTCAAGAAGGAGTCCGAATCTCCGCCGCCGAAACGGGCTCCCTCGCCACCGCATGAATATGTTCTGGCAGATAATCCGCATGTTGCAGTAAGTGAGCGTGTGACCTAGATTGGATACAGCCCTACAGCTCTTGTTTGACGCGTTTTTGATCATATTGGGCCCTGGCCGCTAACTTGTCGCAACCTGAAGTTCATTGTCATGTTCCGTTCGCGTTTCCACGAAGTCTTCCCCCGGTCCACGCCACACTTTGGGCCACAGGATATCGAGAGGGGTGCTGCTGAGCTCCCACCTGGGGATCATATTGAGAGGCTATTGTGTGCACTGCTAGGTCTGGTGCTGAATCGGAAGAAGGACGTTGAGTATGACCGCCGCCCAACTACCACCTGCCCAAAACCTACCCTACAAAGAATTAATGATGCGAAAACTTCCCATTATCACACTGCGCACATGATTTGAACAATCTGTATTGAAGTCTATCTAACTTGCCCTTGCGAATTTGCAGTCGAAACCACTACCAACGCCCTTTGGAGGAGGCAATCCAGACACATGCTTCCCAATGGCCTAAGGCTTGGCAGGGAAAGAACCCTCTCCATGGAGGTCGCACTTTCGCGGTAATGTCGCCGGAAGAACGCGTACGTGATGTGGCTCAGCAATTGGCTAAGGGTGTATTGGTTTACTAACAAATGGGCACCAGCTGCAACTATTGAGATCTCTCATCCTCTGGTCCCTGTCTTCCTCCGAGGCCATCCAAGCTAAGATTAAAGAATCCTATAAACAAGCACGTCATGAAGATGACCTGAATCAGCCGCTTTCAGTTCAGCCGTGGGGCCGCGATGGCTTAAAACGCCGGTATTGGCTCGTCGAAGGGCTTGACGATACCCATTTTCGGCTGTATCGCGAAAGCAACCCGGCCTTGAAGACTGTAACATGGTGGAGCGTAGCGGGGACAATTCCCGAGTTGACGGCTGTTGCAGATAAGCTGGACGAAGAGAGGAGCACGAATTCGAAGAAACTCAGTGAGAAGATCAAGAATTCCATTCCCCGGTTCGAGGGGTCCGAGGAGGTGAGTCGCACACTTTTGTTTCCTATCCATCATCCCTGCTCACAGGACACAAGAAACGTAAACGCCGGGACTACCGCATTGCACGAAAGGCAGCATTCACTAGACCGGAGCCTGGATTCTCTCTATATGAAGGCCGTACTCGGGGGAAGAAGCTGAAGTACACTTATTCCGATGATGAAGACATTTTCTCTGATGGACTGCCGTCCACTCGACGATCCACACGGAATACGTCGGGTGTTTCCACACCCCCGGAGCCTTCAGGGCCTAGATTTACGGCGAGTGGAAGGCAAATCCGGTCGCGGGCCGGTGGCCTATATGGCGAGACGTTGTTGAGTGGTGCACGCGATGAGGCAGCTCCTTTTGAGGAGGGAACTGGCAGGCCTCAAAGGGCTCGGGCTACTCGAGGGAATGGATACATTGGCCACAGCCTCGATGAGATAGACGTTGAATCAGACGGGGCTCACTCTAGTGGTAATGAATGGCAGGCCGGCGAGGAAGAAGAAGATAACGACTTCGAGGGAGACGATGAGGAAGAATTAAGTGGCGATGAGTCGGTCATAAATGGTGAACCCCCAAGTCTTGTGGTGCAGCTCAGATACACGAGAGGTAAAGCATCAAGCAGTCCTAGTGGCTCTGCTGGTCAGCCACCAGAAGGAAATAAGCCAGAAATGGTGACTGAACCTGGAAACCATGCCGAACTCCCGCGACTATCTGAATCACAACGACCCGGGGTCAATGGGCTTCCAGTTGCAGCAGAGGAAACCCCGCCAGCATCGGCACCGGATGTGAAGGAGCCAGCCATCGTTTCGCCTGGCGAGCCTCCTTCTCAAGAGCGAAGGGCTGAGCCGCCGAATGGTACAGATGCTCCCGTTCGGGAGAATACAGAGGTCGCTCAGGCTACACCTGGCCTCGACCTGTCTACCAACCCGCCCGCCCCTTTCCCTGGTCCGAGCGAAGCAGCTTGACCATTGAGACGTCCCATAGCACCTGGTCGAGTGCCCTCCAACCGACCCTATTCACTTTCTGATCGTGATAGAGTTCTTTGTTGGAAGCATTTCTTTTCTTTCTTAATGTTAACGAGGGTCAAACGTGGAAACTTCCATGGGCGTTATCTGTCTCCGGGGGTAATTGTTAGGCAGGCATTGAAAGGTGCAACTGCTCAAGAACCAAATGAGCCTGAGTTTGTGGAGATTCTTATATAGCCAAGTGGTAGGTACAATAAAAGTCTTCGAATATTGTATATAAAGTAGTGAAAGATGGTGGAGGAACATGGATTACTCGAGTAATGTGAATGAGGTTCAGGATTTTTGCTATGTATATGCGGTTGTCATTCTCTACGTAAAAGCTTGAGAGGATATCTCCTGTGTGGATCGACTATGCGTGATAAAGTAGGCCTGTGAGGTTTTGCTGCAACGCCATGAACCGTAACTCCGAAATGCGACCTAAGAACTAAACAAAAGTGACGAGCCCAATAGATGAATTAGTCGGCACCTGCATTTGAAAACTGAGCTGTGTAGAACTGTAAAAACTCCATGATTGTCAGCCCCAGTACGATCGTCGACGGGAGATATGCCAGCTCCCGTGACAAAAGGGGCCAGGTGCACTTACGTCCTCTGCACGCGCCGCAAGTTGGGGACCTTTCGATGAAGGGAGACGAGGAAGCTTCCAATTGTTCACTTCGTACCACCACCGTCGGATCCTGCTGCCCAAGGTCTGGCCACTGAGGGAGGCGGAGCGGTTCCAGAACCGCCAGCCGGAGAGCGCGAGAGTCCAGAGCGTACCCTGGATCAAGGGAAGAAGAACCTGAAGTAGAGGGACGGATTGGATTAGCTCCCATCATAAACCATTCATCTCTAGCTCAGAATGCAAGACACGAGACAAACCTGGTCTCTGACTGTGATCCACGCCACTCGTCCCCAAGTGTCGGCCCCCCGTATGCTGGCCAGGTAACTCTGCTCAAATCGCAAATCTGGTAATGGAGGCAGGTTGTGCCGCCGTGAAATAGGCAGAATCACTCTATGAGGATCCACGACATCCGAAGGAATGCTGTCGGGCTCGGAGGGAGCGTATCTAATAACGACGGGCGTCTTCTCCGAGGTTGAGGTTGATGGATTGATGTCGTGGGATGGGGAAGGGTCGGGATTGATGGATGCGGATTGAAGGGTCTCTGCAACCCCCAAGGCGGGATCTGTCATGATGCGATTCGGAGGAATTAAGGGGAGTAATGTAACGAGAGAAAGGTTCTGGATCTGATTGACGTGAGCTGAACTGCACTGAACTTGGACGATCTTCTCTCCTGACGCACAAGCGGTCCAAACGCGATTCTGCCCTTCTCCCCCGCTCTCTTCTTCTTCCCCTCCCTTTTCCTCTTAGTCTCACCTCTTTCTCTCTCCCTCCCTCTCACTTTATCTTCTCCTTCATCAATCCGTTCCATATTATAGCCGTTCTTCGCTCTCCCCTCCCATTGAAACGTAACTGTCATGGCTGCCCCTCAAGGATACCCTCTCTTGTGTCTGGAGAACCCCCTCCTTGGTGCGTGTATATGGACTGTAAAATTGATAGTCTTTGGCTAATGGGCGTCTATTTTTTATTATCGGTTGTATACAGATATTCAGGGTGTGGGGTAAGTTACTCAATCCTTGCATAATTGGCTGAATAGTGAATTGATCTTTGTGTAGTGATGCTGCTCTCCTGGAGAAGTATGGCCTGAAGGACAACGATGCCATCCTCGCCGAGGATAAGCACATGGGACTCTATGAGGAATTGCTCCAGAACCATGATGCAAAGCTGATAGCCGGTGGTGCCGCTCAGAATACCGCCCGTGGAGCCCAGGTATGGTCTAGGGACCATTTTCTTTTAATGCTATTGGATGTTAACTTGAAGCAATAGTACATTCTCCCTGAGAACTCGACTCTCTACATTGGCTGCGTCGGACGTGACAAGTATGCCGATATCCTCAGGGAGACCTGCAACAAGGCCGGTGTTCACACCGAGTATCGCGTTGATGATGTCCAGCCTACCGGCAAGTGCGGTGTGATCATTACTGGCCATAACCGTAGCATGTGCACTCATCTTGCCGCGGCCAATGAGTACAAGATTGAGCACCTGAAGCAGCCTCATATCTGGTCCCTCGTTGAGAAGGCTCAGTTTTTCTATATCGGTGGTTACCACCTGACTGTGTGTGTGCCTGCCATCCAGGCTCTTGGAGAAGAGGCTGTTGCAAAGAACAAGGTATATCTCTGCACCACCATGGTCTTCATGGGTCATCGCTGACTAGATGTCTCCCCCTCCAAGGTCTTCATGCTCTCTCTTTCTGCTCCCTTCATTCCTCAGTTCTTCAAAGATCAGCTTGACAGTGTCATGCCGTACACCGACTACACATTCTGCAACGAGACTGAAGCTCGTACTTATGCTGAAAGCCACTCATGGGGCACCGATGATGTGGTTGAGATTGCCAAGAGACTGGCCCAGTTGCCCAAGAAGAACACGAGCCGCCCAAGGGTGGCTGTTGTGACCCAAGGTACCCTGCCTACTGTCACTGCCACTGTTAAGCCCAACGGTGAAGTCGAGGTCAAGCAATTCAGCGTGCATGAAATTGAGAAGAGCAGCATTAACGACACCAATGGTGCCGGGTGAGTATATAGTTTGATCCTGTATCATTTTGTTAAGGAATCACAGGCTGATGTAGCATGATCCAAAGTGATGCGTTTGCTGGTGGCTTCTGTGGTGGCGTTGTGCAGGGCAAATCTCTTGAAGAGAGCGTGGACATGGGCCAGTGGCTTGCTAGACTTAGCATCCAGGAGTTGGGGCCTTCGTAAGTCAAAATTCGTTGGCATCAGACTAAGGCAGAGACAGCTGACTTGTAATGTTCAATTTACTAGGTTCCCCTTCCCCAAGCAGACCTACACCCCCTCCAACCGGTCATAAGTGCACATATACAAATAGCGCCGCAAACGGGGCAACATATTAACAGCAAATACCGTTTTCTTCCCTACCCTCTCCTTAGGATTCAACCTTCTATACCCTGTCCTTGACTTAACGTCCTAGACTTTTTCTTATCAACTTTATCATGTGACGATGCGCTTCCAATCGCTTCATGAGATAGACGGGAGCAGCGGAGATGACGTTCTCAACAACGAAATGATGAACAGGCTTTTCGGTTCCATATAAATATTTATTCCACTTCAATCTATCTTCCTCGCATCTATAAAATATGCCTAGATAGTTACTCATTCTAAAATCAATAAAACATTCAGACCTTATTATGATTTTTTATTCTCATCTCCCAATAGCTGAGATGCAATCGTGACCTAAGACGAAAAGAACGATAAAGGAGAAAATCTTCTAAGCTGCAAACATAAAAATAATTCGAAAATAGATAAAAATAAGAAATAAACACATGCCTCGTAATTTCGGCTTGAATGAGACGCAAGGCCGGCGTTTGGGCCTCCAGACATCAAGACTCTTTCCCTCCTAGAATAAAAAAAAAAGAACCTTCTGCTTCCCCGTTAACATGCTCTTTCTGACTTGCCAAATCAACCGAGACTACTCGTTATAAAAAAAACCCACTCTCTCTGCAAATATACCACCATCGGTCGTTGCTGAAATGTTTGATTCACCCTCCCAGGATATCTAGCGGGTAGCAAACAGCATGGGTGGGTGAACTGTGGTACACGCCTGCTCCCCTACCTACGACCAGACAGGGCCCGTCATGCAATATAAAATTTGCCAGGTAGGATCCTGCTCAGGGGTAGATGCACAATGGCCTCTCCATTGACTGCAAATAGAAAGAAATGGCGCTCCTTTCCTCTCCGATTATATATCGGAACAATCAGTTCACTAACGTATCTTACATCCTGTCGATACGCCTTTGTGAATCTCTTGAGAACTTTGTCCTCCCCCCCCCAACCCCCCTTTATGGAACAACAATTTTTTTTTTGAAAGAAACAAAAAAGATCTGAGATCAACCTCCCTGTTCGCAGGAAGGAGTCTGGCCAATGGCACCGTATTGAGTGACGGATCTACGATTCCCGCTGAACCCGGAACTGGGGTATCCGGATGGAAAGCTACTGGCGATGAATGGATTATTGGCCCATGAGACGTCGGCTAAGCCGCTCGAAATCGACCGGCTGGGTACACCGAGGGAGGTAGGCGTGTGTGCAGAATCCAATGGCGCCCTGTCCCAACTGAGGCTGGAAAGACGGTGATGCGGTTCGAGATTAGAGGCTCCCATCCACGGAGGTGATATGGGGCCAGGCTCGTTCAGGGAACTCTGCAGGGGAGTTTGGTTCATGAGACTCTGGCGGAGCAGATACTCGTTGGTAATCGCGTCCTGGGAAGACTGGTGATGGCCTGGGATGCCGGTGCTTCCAGGCACCATATGAGTTGGATGTTGTCCAAGGCCCGGTGGGGTCCTAGGAGACGAGGTAATACCCATCTCAGACGACAGAGAGGTATTCCATATACTGGGGATAGCGGGAAGCGCCGGCCGCGAAGTGTAAGACCGGGACGATGGATCCCTGACCAAAGCGGCAGCGCCTCCAATCGGTGGCCCAAGGCCAGGAGGAGCAATGGGAGTCTGGCGGGGATGAAAGTTGTCTTCCCGGAAAATCGACTCCGTACTGGGATCAAAAAGGTGGCTCGAGCTAGGCTGTTGAATGGTAGTCTGTGGGAAGGTCAAATGTTCAGGCAATGCTGGACCGCTTTCATACGTGTCTGACTCCACCAATCTTTCCACGCCCTCGACAATACGGTGCATACTGGCAGACAATGACGCCGAGGCCGACTGAGAGCCGCCAAATGTGCTTCGGGTGTCGGCAACGTTACGTGGATCCTGCGCGACTTGTTGGATATCTTCCCGCCCAATACCTGCGGAGGAGAGGGTGTGATGATGGCCAGGGGGACTAGCGAAGAACTGAGAAGGTAGACCTTCTTCCTTGTAAATGAACGTCTTTTTGTCTTCATCGTCGACAAGAGCCAGGGGGATTTTCTGAACCAGAACATGTTAGCCACAATGTTCGTCTGCGTTAGGCAGAGGGCCACGGTACATTGCTCACAACTAGATCCAACCCATCAATCACAAATTCACGGATTCGGTAAAGCATTTCGATGTTGGGGTGGTTTCGTTCTACCCCTGGATCATTCATTCGAGGCTTCTGCTGGCCCTTTATATCCAAGTATCTACGAGTTGTAGCTTCCATATTTAGGGGTGCAAAACACAACGTCTCTTCATCCTCTTCCAATAGATAGTCGACTTCGGGTAGATGGACAACATCAAACGTCGATGCGAGAAGAGTCAGTGTGTTTGCATATATTTTCCAAAACTCAGTTATCTGCACAGCAAGAGGAGTATCCTTCTCCTCCTTGTGCGCCACCAGCAAATTGTGGACCGTGAGAAGCCAGGAACTGTAATTGCGAAGGGCAGGCAGGACGCGGCGCGCAACTACAGTGACTTTGTGTGTCCCGGTTTTCGCATCCTTGTTGGTAGGATCCTCGACTGCAGATCGTTCCACCTCGGCCAGAAGAATCTGAAGCAAAGTGAAAAACGTCTTGACATTGATCCGCTGAAGGAAGAGGCGAGCATTGGATACGGACTCCTCTGAAGCTGGTATCAATGAAAGTTCAGGGAGTATCTGCAAAGTTAGGAGACTTACCATTGGAGCGTTTCCTGGAAAAATCTTCCGCGGCAATGTTGATCAAACAGAATTTTTGTAACGTTCCTTCGAGGGAGCGTTCTTTCAAATCAACAGCCAGTTGATTTAGCACTTCGCTTTCAAGCTCATCGTGCTCGGGAAAATCGGTGCCCTTGTAGCATTGGGCGTGTAAATATACAAACCAAGGAGCCAATGCTCTGCCCGGAATGCCCGCATCTTCAGGACGGATCAACTCCCTTTTAGCCCATGCAGTCATAACCTTCCTAAACTCGATCTCCAGGTTGCTCTTGGCAGATGGGTGGGGTTCTTGCGCGCCCAGTGCTCGGTAGAGGTGATAAGTGGCCCTCAAATGGTTGCCATCTGCCAGTGCAATGACGGCCAACTGGTTGTGTGACATGCCTGAGGCTGGGTAGATTATCATCGCCAAGTCATAATAGCCGATGGCAGGCCCCCAATTCCGGACCTTGCTAACAAGTTCGGTTTCGCGGTAGCGTGAGAGATCTCCGAGACGAATAAGGGTCGCATGGCAAGACAGAAGTACGTGTTTCCGAATGTCTCCGGACGCTTGAGGTATCGAATCTCCAGTGGATAAATCTGCTAGTAAAACAATCCTAGATTCAACAAGAGCCCCAAGCAATGACGGGGGCGGTAATGCTCACTGTCAAAATTGAACCTCCGTGCCACTTTTTCCAGTTCGGGGATACCACCAAAATGTGACGACAATTGCTGGACGTACCCCCGATAGAACCGTTGGCTCGACTTGATAAACTCTAGATAATGTTTTTCAAGCTTTCGTCTCTCTACTGGTTTCTTCTTCCTCACGGTCTCGTCGCGAAACTAAATATGGGCCCCTGATTAGACGGCGACGGAGGGAGATATTAGAGATTTATCGGGCGGGGTCGTGACACTCACACGAGAGAGCAGCTTGCGAAATCGAGTGTTGATCTTGAGATGCGCCTCCCAAAGACGGGATTCAGCATCGATGGAACGAGCAGCTTCAAAGTCCTGCAGGATGGCATTCTGACAAGCCGCGCGGAATCTGCGACATCGGAGACACGGTCAGATACACTGGGTCATGAGAAGAGGCTGCCGACCATGGCCAGTGAAGGGAAGAAAGGCTAACTCTGTAAGAACATGGGAGATTCGGGTAAATGTAGGCTCCTTTTCCGTGAGGCTATTCAGCAGCTCCCTTTCGGCATCGAGCGCAATCCTGCATGTGCACATGGCTCAGAAGAAGTCCATCTCACTAAGGCACGGGGAAGATAAATATACTGACTGCCACGTATTCTGAAACGTAGACGCCATGCTCAGGATGAGATGAGATCAAATTCCCGTGTCACTCCACCGTTGACCTCGCCCGTCAGATGGTTATGGCTGGCTGAAAGTCTGCGGGCGACCAAAGCAGTGAACGATCCATCAGTGGTCGTAGTTGGTATGTACAGAGCGAGGGCGCAGGTGTAGAGCAAACTGGGGGAAGGTTCGAATGGACCGCGCCAATAACCGCGCGAGCGTCCACAAGAGGCGATATCAAGATGGACTCCGGCACGTGGGGACGAACAGCGAGGGTTTGAAGCCGCCGCTCGTTGCAGAGAAAATCCCATATCACGGCAAGAAAAGAACTCGGTGTCGGAGATGTGGCGCATGTCCGCTGATTGGCCCGCCTGCTTGTGGCTCGTGAGGCTCAGGAACCGCGCGGCAATCGTTACCATACGACGGTATATACGGCACGGTACGAGAACGTATCCAATACCAGATTCTGTATGGATAGGATTATTCATCCATCGCTGAGGACATCAAGTATAGTTCGTACTTCCTACTTCCAGAGTATCAACTTCCAATTGGGAGTGAAATCAAAGGGATTTCCCCTTTGTTACCATCAACATGCATTCATAACCTCAAATGGAACCATTTCCCAAAAGAACTACCTTCATCTTCGGCCAAACGAACTGAAAGGCCACGGTTTAAATCAGCCAAGGAGAAAGATATCACCCACAATGTCTAAGCGTTCTCGAAGCGAGTCCAACAGCCCTTCGGCTGGCCCAGAGGCTCGATCAAGATCTTACTCTCCAGCATCGTCCACCACCTCCCTTGGACGTGCGAAGATCCATCTGCTAGACACCGTCACCGATATCTCTGAATTGATGCACTGTTCCCTGCCACCCCATCGGGGAACCCTATCATTCTCTTCCTACGAGGAATACGAAGTCCACTACCTCCAGGCGCACGTCAACCGATGCTCGGAGTGTGGGAGAAACTTTCCCACCGACCGAATTTTGAACCTGCACATCGAAGAGAATCATGATCCATTGACCGCGGAAAAGAGGGAACGAGGGGAGAAAACGGTAGGATTCTAAGCCCCACTAATAACATATATCGACGCTCGTGGCTGATCACTGTCCATTGGCAAAAATATAGTACGGTTGCTTTATTGAGGATTGCGAGCGCAAATGCTCAACGCCTCAGAAACGTAGAATGCATCTAATAGATAAGCATATGTTTCCCAAGGTAAGGTAGTCTGGATACTTCTTGACTCAATTCTACTCACTCATTGTGGGCTGCTTCTCTTCGATTCTTCTTCCCATGCATGAATCTGCGTTGACCTGTTAGCATCTAATCGAATCTAACGTGCACTACTTGTAGACCTACAACTTCTTCATTGTGAACGATGGTATCGACAAGGAGACATCTTTGCTGAGGCCGGTGAATGCCAGCAGCCGTCGCATGCCAACTACCCCTACGTCACCGCAGGAGGGCCGATTGAAGTACAGAAAGGCCTCTTTATCGTCTTGTTCCGACCCTGCACCCAGGCCAGCCCCTGCACGGAGCTCGGGGTCCGGGCTGGTGTCGGATGAACCGGGAATATCTCAGCTTGAACATTCGATGTCCGCCCTTAAATTTGTCCCGACAAGCGTTACAACCAAAGGAAAAGCCAGGTCCAATTCTTGACTCTGGAACTGGGTCCAGAGAATCGAAGTTTTCTACAGCGTGATGAATTTTGGGTACTATGGTATACTGACTACTTTCTACCTGAGTATCAAAGAGATATCATATCACAGCAATCTGTGCGCTGAATACTCCATTAACGCAGACAATATAATGATATCAGAAAAGACAACCCCAGCGTTTCCGCAAACCGAGTCATAAATAAATTAAAGACGAGCGAAGCGTTAAGAAATCCGATTAAAAAAGGCAAACAGCCACCCATCCGAATAATAAGGGGGAAGATAGGAAAAAAGAAAACCTAAACATAATTTTCTCAAACGACATCAGAACGAGCATTCTTCCAGGCGGAATAGGAATATACACAGACAACACATTTAACCTATCCCCCCATAAGAGAGGCCCTTCACACTAATTTATACAACGAAACAAACTAGAAACGAGTAACATGGGTATACAGCAACATCATATACCATCCCATCTTGAAGAGTTGCCTTGTCAACGACCCGAGTCGACCATTTGGATTAATGGCACCACTAATGATGATATTGATATTGAGTAAAAAGAGATAGTGAGAGAAATAAAAAAGAAGAAAGAAGAACGGCTCATAAGCAGAGTGATTTTCTTCCTGGCGAAAACGAGCCTCCCGCAGAGCTCAAGTCCCAGCGCCATAATAGGTCACAAGTGATGTAGAAACTCGAGACGTCCATTAATCATATCCAAGCAGAACGTTATAGTTGAGTCTCTAAAAGTTCTGCATAAGCATCTAGGCTTAATCCGACAAGATCGACTATCGCCCAGCTTGTATTCCCCTTGAAAGTTCTCGCCCACACACGGACAATAGCAACGCTAAGCTGCTTTAATTTATAGGGGTTGTTCATGAAATCGGCATCAGGTGCACCGGGGGGATCGACAGCCATGTCGGTTTCATCCATCATGCTTTTTATCCACAAGAGTAACTTCCTTTCATGCTCTGATAGTCTCTGTTCGGATTGCGTCATCGGGATAGACAGAAGCCAACGGCTCAGGAGGAAGGCGCATTCTAGGCTACAGAGCGAGTGCTGAATACTCCAAAAGAACGAGTGGGTTCTTGCAACAAAGTCAATCCCGAGACGAACTGGAATTGAAAGTGCATGTGCGGAATGCAATAAAGCCATTATCAGACGAGGGCTCCGTGCGACGGGAGGTGATTCGCTCAAAGCTCTTGCAATCTGAATTGGATCCTGGGTAATTAGACACCGGCAGGGTCCCAAATCAACGTGTAATCTGATATAGGCAAGGCCAAGAAGAGCAGTGGACGTGAACGCAATTGGACCGGCGGGATTTTGAGGGTCAATGCTAGACTCGGGCGTGCGTTTCCACAGGGCCTTCCAAGCACTCAAAGAGCCGTCCAATGCCGACAAGTCCTCCTGTCTTAAGCTGGTGCCTTGAATGTTTGGTGCAGAGAGACAGAGCTGGCGTGCAAAAAAAATTTGTTGTATAAGGGCGTGTATAAGAATATAATTCCCTAGGGGAGAAATGGGTGCCGAAGAGTTGGGCATACTGGATTTAAGAAACAGCCTAGTAAACGCTTCCTGGAAAGGAATATCCGTCCCCTGGCGGCTGCGAATGATCCGGCGCCATTGAGTCGCATTGCTCGCTTTCCAGACATCGTGTGAGCACGGCATGTTCAGTCTCAGCTCTGCATTGAGAATCAGCGGAGGAATGTTGTACATAATAGAGTGGAGGTTGAAGAAGCAGTAAACGATGAGCTTGGTGCGCCTGTTGCCTTCTCTCCGTACCCATTCTTCCCAGTTGTTCGGATCGGGGCTAGGAGGTGGCTCGGAGAGGCCATGTTCCCGGACAAGTCTCGCCAAGGTGCTTTGAAGCGAGAGAATCTCTCGCAGCAATTCGGGATGCCTCTCCCATGAAGCAAACACCGTCAGCAGCAGGAAGGTCCGGATCACTTCCATGTGGGCCTCGGAGTCTTGGGGAGCAAACCCCGAGGGATCAGTCGGATACGAGATGGGATGGTGCTGTTGAAACGGACTACTAACGGCATGGTTGGAAGTGATGGACGATCCCCGAGAGTCATGAAAGCCCGATGGCGGAGAAATAAGATTCCAAGTCGGATACTGCACCTGTTTGCTATCCCTTCTCTGGAGGCGCTGGAGAAGGATGGCTTTCGCCGCATGAAAAAGGTCAATACCACGACTATTCTCAAAACGATAATGAGAACCTGCAGCTGCCAAGGCAAGGGTAAGCTCAGGGGAGCATTTGGCAACCGAGAGCGTTGGGACGTGGATAAAGGGGAGGTGTTCGTTTAATCCATTGATGTAACCCGCGAAGAAGCGAGACAGAGCATGCCTCGAGGGCGGCACGAACCCCTTCGGGAGAATAGGAGCAAACTCCTCAAGCTTCGACATGAACACTTGACGATCTGTGTTCGTTATGTCCCAAGCAGGTCGCGGGCCGTCATCAACAAACCCGAGGCGTTCGTCCACGTCGTGAGGCTCCGGTTGTAGGGATGGTAGCCGCGAACCGAAATTGGAGAACGACGGGGGCTCGTCAACGGTGCCTCGTGGATCATTCATGATATCGGGCCCCAGTCTCGTGTTTTCACGGATCTGTGGTTTCGAATCCATCGGGATATTAGGTAACATGGGGTCTTCGACGGTTGAAAACACGCCAGAATCCCAGTCTGACGAAAGGCCGACGCTTTCCAGAAAGACGGAAAAGTCTTGGACGGGATCTCCTAGGTCGGTAAGGTCCAAAATCGAAGGCTCAACCCCATAGCTATCGGTGATTCCTCTCTCTGGGACATTGGACAGCGACTGAGGGCCTACGTTCTGGGAGGACTTCCGCATCGACTCCAGGCTCTCCTGCTGACCTTCCAGGGCAACATGGCTGGCCGCATGGGAGAGGAGATTCAGATCATAGCCCCAGGATGGGTTGAAATGGGTTGTTTCTACTATCGAGGGCGGTTGGACCTGCACCTCTGGCGGAGGGGGCGCTACCGGTTGGGGTTGAACAGGAACGGCGTCCGCAAGCTCTAGCATGCGAGAGTCATGGTGGGGAGGCTGTATTATCGTTGACGGGGTCTGATGAACTTCATGATTGTTGTGGTTTCGATGTTCTCGATTGGCTGCGGCCTCTGCTTGATGAACTAGTCGCTCATGCCGTACGAGCAGATCGCTGCAAAGTGTTTCCCCCCATATTAGCCCAGCGCTGGGCCCCTTCTGCAGGGCGGGATACCACTTACCTTCTTGCGAAAGATTTGGAGCATATATCACATGAGAACGGTTTCTCTTTGGTATCTGTCCTCAACGGTCAGTATTTTGGGGGGGAAGAGGGGAGCGGGCCCTCAAGTAAAACGCAGCCTAGACGACTTCAGGGTTACTCAACGGGTGCGGAGATGGCGTTGGAGATGCTCCAAGCGCGCAAAAGATCTGCTGCAGTATTCGCAGGACAAAGACTTCCGGTGAGCGGGTGCGGCCTTCTTCCTCACTTTCCCGGAGGCAGTTCTCTCGTCTTCCATCGCGAATTGCTTTGGAATCGGAGTCTGTCCTCCGTCATGGATAGCAGACGAGCGGGGAAGAAAAACTGTGGGGTCGACATGAGGGGGTTTGCGTTTTCGGGAAGATCACGTGCCGGCGTGGTCCGAGCCCTACTCTTTGTTCTAGTTAACTAGAGTAACTAGCAAGTAGCAGTCACACCCAGGCCAGGGATAGGGCCATCTGATTCTAGTGACGAGTAGATCACTATGAGAAGGTCTCCAACGAATTGTTGGGATGCCCTCAAATCCCTTGGCCACGTCCAGGATGGTTGGTGTATTGCATGCACACTCCGCCATTCATCCCCCACTAGTGCGGAGACCTACGCTACGAGGGGGTCAACAGCCAAACGAAAGGGTATGGACATTGTATCTCCTCATCGGAAGATTTAGACACAGAGGGTGCTGTTGGGGTCATATGCTCTCCTCATGATATGGGCACATAGAACCTAGTATTTATATAACCCGACCGACCTTGCATGGATATATATACTTGACTATATTGCACCAATCTGATATAGTATTGTTACAAATGAGTTGCGCTAGTGTGAGGATGGTGTGAAGAACATTTTGTCTATTTCAAGACATGAAAATATTCGCATTGGGAGGTAAATATAGAAATTGATAGATTGCCCGTGCCCATCCTTTGTATATTAAAGTGGGCTATAAGCCTACTCTGTAGACGTGTACTGGGTAAGGTACACGATTTTGTTGTATATATTAAAGAGGATATGTTCATGGTACTCTCGTACTCAGCTGTCGCTTGGATGGTCAAAAGGATAAATATAGTTCTCTGTAAAAGGGTCCCATTTCAGAGAGTTTGTAATGGATGAGATGTATACACGCAATATACGGAGTAGATCATTAAAACAGGCCATCTGATGAGAAAACGCGATTAATTAGGCTTGTGGCTTGGGACTGAAAATTGGGAGCTCCCAAAATGGATCCCTCTACCGAACTATACCAGATTGGGTTTAGCACACCCTTTTCGCGTACGTGCACAGAAGATGCCGAATGGAGTATGTACCTGGAAGTACTACCGCTAGTAGTTCGGTACCTTAGTATCTATCAGAAATTAAGGACTATCCGTCGACCCGAATAACCGATCTAATTATATCGTTGCTGGATATGAATAGAGGAATCCGCTCTTCCTTGCAAGAACGGAGTACTGCGACTAAGTATCGTGAAGATGTTGTATTAATCATGGTAATTTACTGTTAAACCACTTCTGGATAAGTAGGTATATTATATGAGACAGGAAGCTCAAACTGTCCTTAACTATCTCACGTAATATATGTAACAGAATTGGACCAAGTCAACAACAGCGATCGAACGAGTCTATGACGAAAGACTGTAGACATGCATGCATGGACCTCAGTGACATCCTGAACGGACTACACCGATTATTGGATGCGCGACCGCTGTCGTCAGCCGGTTTCAGATGTGTTGGATACACTGATGTCAAGTCGACCATGTAACCCACTCCCAATCCAACGGAACAAGAGAGAAGTAGTAGCTGCCATACTGACATATTCTGGCAGTAATATTTATTATATTATACGGTAAGTTCACAAGCTTTCCCTCGGGCCAAAATAGGAGGAACCATGGATCTGGTGGCGACCGCCTAAGAATAGTAGAAATCGAATGTTTCAGGTTGGGCCTTGCCAACAAATCATCCGCGTTGGAACTTCGGCGGTGCTCGTCGTCCCCGACCGATCGGCCCATGTAGATACAATCTGGGAGACGAGAGCCCAAGTGTAAGACAGGAAGAGACCGGGACCTCATCGTGGATTCTTGATTCACCGTCTCTGTTCTTCTTCTCCCTTTTTACGCTGGTGACCATCCTCTCACTATTCCCCTTTCTCTCGTCCCTTGTTATTCCGCAGTATCCGTTATTCTGATTCTTGGAGCGCCCACCGTCCTTTCGCCCTCTCCCCCTCCTCTCCTCTCCTCTTATTATTCTTCTGTTCCACTGGGGGTGGTGGTGCTGGATGCGTCATCTTTTTGATAACGTCCGATCCTTTACTCCTTAGTGCGATCGAACTCCAACAAGAGAGGGACGTCGGATCTGCAAAGAACCTGGAAGCTTGCAAGCGCCCAGTTGCTGCTATCCAGTGTTAATCTGCAGTATTGTCTATCTTCAACGCTGTTTAAATCGGTATGGGTCCAATTTCACCTCCTATCTTCCGTTTCCCCGTGTCTTTCCCTCTCCCTTGCTCAATCCGCTCTTCTCCCCTTTTCTCGTTCTGTCTCTGGAACCCCTTCCCTTTTCGTCTGCCTCATCTGCCATTTGCAAATCGATGGCTGCTCCCCTCATACATCATGGAACTCATGAAACTAATGGATCCCTAGAACTCTAAACGGCCGGCCAGGATCATGCATTAACCCCTCTAGAACCTCCGTCGGGACTCCTCGATTCCTATCCGTTGTACGAAACGTTTTCGACGTCGACGAATAATCAAGTTCACCATGTTGGCATCGAAGCCATATTCGAATCCGCTGGGCGTGCCCACGTCCCAGACCCCGACAACATCCTACCATACCGGTCCTCAGAAGACCGCTGTGTTTTCCAAACCACCAGATGGGGGGTTGTTCACCAGCCCCACGGAGTCGGAATTCTCAGGCGGACACGACCCACTGGATGCTGTTCGGTAAGTCGTCCTACACGAGTGAATGTGGTGATAATGTATCCTATTGACACGAGCCACCAGGTCCTGGGATGAGAAGCAAGTGGTTGCCTGGCTGCACAGCATAAATTGTGGCCAATACGAACCTTTGTTCAGAGGTACGCAGGGGAAACCCACACCCGTGTCTGCATTGTTTCTGCAGACTGCACACGGCGAGCAGGACCTGACAGGCAGTAGCAAATAACTTCAATGGTAGCAACCTGATTGAGTGTGACCAGAAGATTCTTCAGGAGATGGGAGTCAAGAAAATCGGCGATAGGGTGCGCATCTTTGTTGCCATCAAGCAGCTGAGAAACAAGTCGGCTGCCAACCGTAAGCAACGAAATATTGTACGTATCTTCATTATGGATATTTCTCACTGGAACTTTACTCATACTGGTACAGAATCAATTGGCTTCATGGGAAGCCTCGACGTACACCTCCCCCACCGAATCTTCTCGTCCTTCCCAACCCCGACAACAGACTCTAAATAATCGCCGTTTGTCCCGGGCTGCTGATACCGGCCTCCATAGCCATGCGCCTGGGAGGCCGTCGTCTCGCCCAGGGTCACCCTTGCGAGCCCAGCGATATGTCGCCGGCAGTCCAATGGAAAGTGGCCGAAAAGAACAAGGCCAGGGCTATTTCAGCCATCCGTCATCGGCTGGTTCAACGTCTGGCCGGAATGCGGGAACCCCAGGTGAGACCGTCCATACTCACAAAAGTACGTCACATTTGAGGCAAAACCCTAGCCTGGACGGCTTGACAATGGGTTCCCTACCTACTAACTCCCCTGTCATCCGCGTAATATACACGGGCGGGCAGACCAAGGTATTAAACATCAAGCACTGCAAAACAGCTGATGAAGTCATCCTGTGTGTTTTGAAGAAGCTTCAGCTTCCTGAGCACCAATATCGCAACTATTGCTTCTATGTTCTGGATGGCCTAGAGCCGAATCCGTCCAATTGTCGAAGAGTTGGGGATCAAGAGCTCATGCAAATATGCGAGGGCGCGCACCGATCCGAGCGTTGTCGTCTCATTCTACGGAAAATACATGCCGGGGAACCCGATAATGATGAGTTGCGTCGTGCATCTCAGCTTGCGCTGGATGAAAGCCAGGTGACGCACTTGAATGCCTTGAGCAGTTCAAACGTGCGCAACCAACTCAAAATACAACAGCTGACCGGCGAACCGTGGCATAACATTAAACAGCCCATGTCCCCCGTCTCTACACGACACCACCCGAACTCGAGCGAGCAAGATCTAACACTCCAGAACACGGAACGCCATCCAGTATCCAAGCTACGGTCATTCTTTGGCGCTCGGCCGCCTAGCGAGATGATCATCCACGAAATCACATCATACTTCCCTAGCCATCATCGAGAAGACATCGAGAAGACCATGCGCATGTCGGTGCGGAGGTCGCAGCGTTTGAGTCGAGCAGCAAGTCGGATGAGTGTCGTCAGTAATACAAGCTATGCATCGAGCTTGAGAGATGCGCCCCCTATCCCTAGCATTGCCGATACTTGGCTCAATCCCGGAACACAACCTACGCGTGCATCGAGACCACTGTCTGTCTCGAAGTTTAGTCTTCCTCAAACGGCATACAGGGATTCTATCGCCTCAAGTTCCCTTCAGCCACTTCAGGAGGAGTCTCCAATCGAACCGAATCGCAAATCCTACGTTTCGTTCGACAGTGGGTCTGACGATCCCAGCAATTCTCGACAGTCTCTGCTCGACGAGAACGCCAGTGTGGCAGCCACGGACGGAGGCTCCTTCAACGAGCGATTGAGTGTTCTCGTGGCCGACGATGGGGAGGAAGAGGACGATGGCCTGAATGACTTCTTGGCCGGAAACAATTTCGCCCCTAAGAATTGGATGAAGGGTTCCTTGATCGGGGAGGGATCATTTGGCAGCGTGTTCCTGGCTCTGCATTCAATAACTGGAGAGCTGATGGCCGTTAAACAAGTGGAGATACCATCAGCAACTAAGGGGACCGAATTTGACAAGAGGAAAAACAGTATGGTCACGGCACTCAAGCATGAAATTGAGCTCCTGCAAGGCCTTCACGACCCCAATATTGTCCAATATCTGGGTACTTCTGCCGATGACCAGTACCTGAACATTTTCTTGGAGTATGTGCCGGGAGGGTCTATTGCGACGATGCTCAAGCAATACAACACTTTCCAGGAGCCGCTAATTAAGAATTTTGTACGGCAGATCCTGTCGGGGCTCTCGTACCTCCATAGCCGGGATATCATCCATCGTGATATCAAAGGTGCCAATATTCTCGTGGATAATAAGGGGGGCATTAAAATCTCGGATTTTGGCATCTCTAAGCGCGTGGAAGCGTCCACACTCCTTGGTGCTCGAGCCAGTGGCAGCGGAGCCGGCCATATGCATCGACCCTCGTTGCAGGGCAGTGTGTACTGGATGGCCCCGGAAGTAGTTCGACAGTCAGCCCACACCAAGAAGGCTGACATTTGGAGCCTAGGCTGTCTTGTTGTGGAGATGTTTATAGGGGCTCACCCATTCCCCGACTGTAGTCAATTGCAGGCCATTTTTGCCATTGGCAGCAACAAGGCGCGACCACCTCCACCGGAGAATGCCAGTGAAGAAGCCATGGCGTTCTTGGACATGACTTTCCAAGTTGACTACGAGCAGCGACCGAGCGCAGATGAGTTATTAGAGTCCAAATTTCTAACCGCGCCTCTCACTTGAGCTAGGGTATTCGGTTGCGAGGCATATGATGCGTGAGAGAAAAGGTATCACCGGGCTTTTTATAGAATATTTGAACAGACTGGTTCTATTTTGAGGTTGAGGGTTTTCCCTTTTTTTATATTTTATTTTATTTTATTTTTTTTCGATCTCATCTTTCCTTGGTTGTGTCATTCTCAAAGGTCAAATTCCGCGACATTGGAGAGTAGCCGAAGCTTTGGATAAGTATACATATATTGATTCTTATGACGGGAAACACTATTTCTATATCTGTACGGAGTCAGATGCTTTGCATTTCTGCCTCACAAATTTGCGTTTTAAAACTGTGTGTGGCCTAATGTTAATAGTTGGGGCAGTGCTCCCCGGGTGAAAGATTAAATTTACTGTGGTTCAAAAATATATTACCCAGATTGCAGGTAATTGGCAGTAGTGATATTGTCGAACATAGACTGATTCTATAACCGGCAGAGCAGTTTTAAATAAAATTGGACACTATAAAAAACAGATAAACCAATGTATAGATAGATAATGTACATGATTCAAAAATACCACAATGGTATCCATGTTGCATAGTCCATGCCATTAACTGCGGACGATTGCATGAGAGTCGGCATAGTACCTATTTCTGTGGAACTTCCTTGGCTTTGGTTCCTTTTTACGCAGCTTAATCCACCATTTTCCCATAGAATGGAATACCCATTGCGCTGAGAAGGAGACGGGCATCCTTGTCAGTCTTGGCGCTTGTGTGGATCGTGATATGAGCACCGGGGATCATTTTGGGGGGATACCTAGAAGACGCAAGGGTCAGTCAAATGACCCATCTGGCCAAAACTGGGCGAAGAAAAAGAAACTCACATGTCATAGTTAACCTCGATTTCAGGGAAGAGAGCGACGGTCTCAGGATCCAGACCGAAGGTAATGTTTCCACTGCTGTCACCACTGGTGCCTTTGACACCTTCCCAGTCTTTGATCTTAGGCATCACGACATCAACCAGCTTTCCAAAGAAATGGAGCATATTCTCGCCGCGAAGCTCTGCCTTGACAGCAACTGAATCTCTGCCCGGTGCAATTCCCCAAGTGGCAACGCTGCTCTTCGACTTGAATGTCTCAACCCGCACATTTGAAATCGCCTGGACGGCCATTCCTGCGACATGAAGCCATGATGAGTTCTCCTGCGCCGCTCCCTTGACGTAACTGTGGATGGTGATACGCTCTAGTCGGGGGATGTTGTTGAAAGTAATAGGTTTGCGGAGTAGCCGCAGGACATCACCGCCACGAGGTCCGCGAAGTGGTCTGTTTTTGTGATAAGGCGAGCTATCATCCCATTCACGCAGACGTGGGGCTTTCGGAGGTGGCTTGAAGCCGGGAGGAGTATGCACGTAACAAAGGGTGAGGATGTCCGAGGCGACTGTCGAGTGGTACGTCTGGTCTACTCTGGGTAAGGAGAAGGGGCCAGGAACGAAAAGGCGAGAAGCAGGATCCGAAGGTGGCGGAGGTCGGTGAGGATGTAGTGGGCCACGATCATACTTGGGCGAACGGAATTGGTACCTGGGTGCTGAGAATTAGCGACGAGATCCTACAAGTCGAAAAAAGGGCACGTATTAGAGTGAGTGGGTGACTGACCGACTTCGCGGTAGCTGCTTTTTCCGTAATTTGGCTCTTGCAGCGGGGTCAAACGACTTCACAGCATCTTCTGATGCAGTCGTTTTTAGAGAGGTAGCCGACTCCAGCTCACAGAGATTGACCGATGCTGCCGACTTGGGCGTCGTTTGATCGGAAATATTGCGCTTCCAGCAAAAGCCTTTTGGGGAAGTCAGCGGGATAAAAGCCCGTGGCAATGACCTTGCCAGGTATCTGGACGGTTCACAGGCAGCCATTGAGGTCCACAGGAAGGGGTGACGCTGTAGACTAGGCAAGACTGGACACCCAAAAATTGTGTCCCCGAATCGGCGAGATGTTGACTTTCGGGCGGCATCACGTGGGGATCATGAGGCCTGAGAAAAGAGGCAGAAATATCAGGCAGCAACATTGGCTCCGCAAGGGAGAGCTCCACAAGTCCACATGTGATCAGCTTCAGCGTCCCCCACGTCGAAGACAGCAAAGCTGCTCTGGAAGTCTGGTCCAGACTAAGATGGCCAATCTGGTGCCATGACCTTCTAATACGCTGTCAGTACTAGGCATCCATTATACTATCTCTGCCCCGGACACGTGGATTTAGCCCGTGCGCTTTATTTTGTTCTGAACAACTCCCATGCCGTCAGGTGTGATGTCACTGGAGTGTCTCAGCTGGCGCAAGTGGATTTCTTAACCTGGGGCTCCTCTGATAAGAAAGGGAGGGAGTAAATATATCAGAGGATTTGGACACCTGATATACTACCGGGCATTTGACTCCACAGAAGGCTCTTTGTCTATGGAATTTTGGGGCCTGGATTAAATTCTCAAATTGTCCTCATGTCGATGCATATCTAAACCACCAACTCGCACCATTCGTCTATTGTCTTCGAGACCAAGACTTGCATTGCTACGGACCTAATATTATTCTGAAATATGAGTGGGATACATAGGTTTTTGACTAGACGCGAGCGATATAGCAGACATGGGAGGCATATCAAGGAGGAGGTACAGCATCGCGTTCAGATTTAGCCTGTCTGTCCTGATGGCTTATTATTTTTAGACTTCAAATATACTCTCCCGTCCTTATTTCTATGGATTCTTTTCGTCAGACCGTTCGGTAGGAGATACTAGCGAAGAGCAGAAAAAGGTAAGGCTGGGAAGAGAAAGAGAGAAACTGTATAATTTCTCTAGCTAATAAATGTTCTTTTACGGGAAAACAGGTCAAACTACTTGAGCGTCGCATCGCACAATTGGGAATCACAAACCTAAAGGAATACCATTTGATTTATGCACTGCAATCTTATCATTCACAAGGGGATGTTGATAAGGCTTTCGAGTTGCTCCTCCTCCTTGAGGACTCGATTGAGGGAATAGTAAGGGACTACACGCCGCGCACGAAGCTTCTGGGAGCGGAAAACCGCGAAAATGTCACCTGCTACCTGGACTCACTTCTCTTCGCCATGTTCGCTCGGCTTGATTGCTTCGAGGCTATTCTGTACAAGTCGTTCAATGACGAACCTCGTCGAAAGCTTGCGATTTTGCTAAGATTTTGGGTCAACATGTTGCGGTCGGGAAAGCTCATAACAACAGATATTGTATGCAGTCCCCTCCCTGTGACTCTCGCAATAGAGCTAAAGCTTACTGAATAATCTATTTAAAGACCAAGCATTTGCAAGACGCGCTGGCTGAATGCGGGTGGGAGGACGCGGCTAAACTTCGTCAGCAAGATACCTCGGAAGCATTCACCTTTATAACAGAAAAGCTAGAGCTGCCTCTTCTCACCCTGAAGATGGATATCTATCATACAGGAAAAGAGGATGTGAGTGGCGACCACAAATTTGTCAACGAAAGACTATTAGAAGTGGCGATACCAGAACCTGTTGATGGAAATACTGTTACGTTGGAGGATTGCCTAGAGTCGTACTTCAACAATAGGATTGAAGTGAAGCGCCACCTAGAACGCCGTAACACGGCGGGCTCCACCAAGTCGGTTGATTCCATGGCGAAAGGTTTCACGGCACACGTGGAAGCCGTAGAGGTTTCTCCTTCACTCACGGCAACTCCGACCTCGTCAACTCCGGCGCGACTTGATAGTATAACCCCGATATCATCGGCGACAGAAAAGACCGATATGCGTGTATCATTACCTCGGCGAAGCAGCATTGTACAAGCACGATTTATACCCGACTCAGAGGATGAAAAAACAACCGACGGCGGCGCTACGACGTTTACGCGCAAGGGCTCTTACAGAAAGGAGGTTATGATGCCTGCATGGCAAATTTTTAGCTTAATTCGTGAGGCGCATCCATCGTTTTCGAACCATTGATTGCAAAATCTAACATCCCATACAGCATGGTACACAGATAACACTCCCACCAATGATGCGCAGGTTGCGGCTCACTTTTCTTTGAAGCGACCGATCCTCGGCATGTGTCTGAAGCGATACTCTATGCTGCCTAATGGAAAAGCAGTTAGGCTAGACACCGTTGTTGATATCCCGACGGAAATTGGGCTGCCGCATTTTATCCAGGACGACAATATGGAGGAAGAAGGGCCCATCTATGGGAACTTCAAGTTGTCGTTGCAAGCAATGGTCTGTCATCGAGGCTCGTCGGTCGATTCGGGACATTATATCGCCATCGTCCGAGGAACCAGTGCTGGTGCACCTCCAGCCAGCTCCCATGGAGTTGAACAGCATTCCTCGAATAATCCGCGATATTGGATGCGGTTTGATGATATGGCCACGGAGCGCGTTACACTAGTTAATATTGAGCAAGCCCTGAAGTATGAATCGCCATACCTCTTGTTTTACCAGATACTTCCTATCGACGAGGATGCGGCAGCGGCCAACTTCCCTAATAAATTGTCTTCTGAAGAAACGCCTGAGGATAGCCAAGAATCAGACTTTGCGACAAACCTCCAGAAGTTGAATCTGTCACCGACAAATATCCGGGAAGCAGATCGTGCCGAGCTATTTCGTCCCCAGCGACCCAGTTTTGAAATTACAGCCCCGCATAATGCAGAGAGTATGCCGGATCTAACCGAAAGAAAGCAAAGTATTGTCTTTTCAGATGCTGCCGATGCTGCCGATTCTACCCATAGTATCGGGGCACGTATGGTCTATGCCGCCTCCACATCGCCACAGCTCAGCGCCAGAGACGATGATGGCAGGAGGAGTTCGAACTCATTCTCTCGACATGGCTCAAGGGTGACCAGAAGCAATCCTAGCAGCCGCGCAGGGAGCCAAACCAGTGAAAATAGGGTCAGTGCTACTTTTGCACGGTTTACTGGACGGCTCAGTCGAGACAAAATCAGCAATGATGGATTCCCGATCGAAGGAGACGACGAATTGACGGGATGTAATGAACCTGCTGGCCAGGTGGGCGAGAGGTCGGTCCCTAGTAGCGTTGAGAGCAAGGAAAAGATTCTATGGCGCTCTAGAGACATGGGCAAGTCTCGAGAGAAACCTAGGTCGCGGGAGAAGATTGGACGAAAGTTGGAACGAGAGTGCCTGGTGATGTGATCGGATTTATTAGAGGTTCTTTTCCTGGGGAAAAGAACAATTGATACCCAGCCCTGGTGGGTTCGATGAGACTATGGTTTCTTTTTCGTTTTTTATGACCATACTATCCTCATAATGCTTTGTTTATCGCTCAAGGTGGCGTTTGGGTTTTGACAGACCGCAGGGCCCAAGTGACATAGAAATAGATAGAGCGGATATGATACACCTTGATTTCAGGCTCTATGATGCATAGCTTCTGGTTCGCAGTCAGGATGTAAGAGTACATAGATATCAATGAGTGACTGCCTCAGGCATAACAATATTTCCCAAGGCATCCCTAGGCATCCACAGCTCCGCCTACCCCAGCCGGGCAAGTCAGCTTCGGCTTCGACTCCAACGTCGGAACTGCTGCTTCCTGCATTCATTCCACCACGCCTCTCGGGGGCCCCCGCTATGATATAACCTCTCCCGATCCCATTGGCGCATGATGGCGCTGGACGAATCCAGCGGTTATGTCGCTCCCAGCAACCTGGCTGATTCCCCCGACGCTCCTCTCTCCATGTTTGATGTTCGACGTGTCCAGCTTCAATTCCCGCTAGCTGCGGACTTCGTCGCGGCGCAAGTCGCTAACAATGTGCTTGTCTTGGCCTTGTCAACTAGCCGAATCCTTCGGATAGACTTGGACGCTCCTGAGGACATAGATGGTACCCTTTCCACAGCAGTCCAGAGAGTGTCACTGAGATACTAACCAGGCTCTCCTAGATATCGACCTCCCCAAGAAATCCTCGGAGACAGGAGTGATTCGGCGGATGTTTTTGGACCCTTCCGCATCGCATTTGATTATTACTACCACCCTTGGCGAGAACTTTTACCTCCACACCCAGTCCCGACAACCGAAACCGTTGACACGGTTGAAAGGTGTTTCGATCGAGAGTATCGCCTGGAACCCATCGGTCCCGACGGCCTCAACAAGGGAGATTCTTCTGGGCACTACAGATGGCACTGTCTATGAGGTCTACATTGAACCGTCCACTGAATTCTACCGCCGCGAAGAGAGACATATCAGCGTGGTCTACAAGGTGCCTGAGTCGTCGCCGGTCACGGGGATCTGGACAGAACTGATACCGATCAAGCCCGAGCTCCGACGGGTACTTATTACAACCCATAGTAGACTGACGTATTTTGTTGGTCGCATGGGAAAGAATGGAAGAGAAGGGGGAAGCTCCGTATACGCTGATCTCTTCCAAAGAGAATCACCTTTGGTACATGAAACTAAGGCCCCTTCTGGTGCCGCGCCGTCAGCGTTGGCCATATCGCCAGCCGCACCCGATTCCCCCAGTGCAGATTCGCATCTTGAAAAGGAGTTTGCATGGCTCAGCGCCCAAGGTATCTATCATGGCCAGCTCCCTTATTCGTCGGAGCATGTCAACCGGCCTTTCGAAAGCTCACACATGCTTCCGCGGTCCATGTTTCCAGCCAGCGAATCTTCCCGGGGAGGGAAGAAACTGATCCAAGACCCCATAGCTGCGTTGACTTTGTCACAATGGCACATTTTCGCGCTTGTCGAAGGCAGGATTATTGCCGTCAACCGCATGAACGAGGAGATTGTTTATGACCAACCTGTGCTCGAGCCTCGACAGAGTACTCTTGGCCTCTTGACGGACTCGATGCAGCACACCTACTGGCTATTTACTAGCCGAGAAATCTTCGAAATAGTTGTGGAGAACGAAGACCGGGACATCTGGAAGATCTTTCTGGAAAAGCAACTGTACGACAAGGCATTTCAATATGCTCGTACTAGCGCTCAAAAAGATGCTGTTTCTACTGCGTCAGGTGACTTTCTTGCCAGCAAGGGCCGCTATCTGGAGGCCGCAAGAATATGGGGCAAGAGTAGCAAGGGTTTCGAAGAGGTCTGCTTGACCCTGATCAACCGCGGCGAACACGATGCTCTGCGGAACTACCTGCTCTCCCAGCTATCTACGTACAAGAAGTCATCGTCCATGCAACGGATCATGGTTGCAAGCTGGCTAGTGGAGGTGTTCATGTCCAAGCTGAATTCCCTCAACGACAATTTAGCCAGCCGGGCGGAGCTGACCGAGGGGACAAGCACTGAGGAAGTGAGGTCCCATATCAATGATGTGCGCTCCGAATTCTATGAGTTTGTCACCAAATACAAGGCCGACTTGGACAAGAAGACCGTGTACGACGTCATCAGCAGTCATGGCCGGGAAGAGGAACTACTCTTCTTTGCTAAGGCGGTCAATGACCACAACTATGTCCTCTCGTACTGGATTCAACGCGAGAAGTGGTCCGAGGCACTCAATGTCCTCCAGCGACAGAGTGATCCCGATGTGTTCTACAAATACAGCAGCGTCCTTATGACCCATGCCGCGACTGGGTTAGTCGATATACTGATGCGACAGACCAATCTTGAACCCGAGCGGCTTATACCCGCCTTGCTGAATTATAACAAGACGGTTCATATTCCCCTTACGCAAAATCAGGCTGTCCGGTACCTCAACTTTATCATCGTCAACCACCCCCACCCCTCTGCTGCAGTGCACAATACTCTTATCTCTATACACGCTTCAAGTGCCTCATCCTCGGAAGCTGGACTTCTGACCTACCTCCAATCGCAACCATCATCCCCACCCCCATACGATGCCGACTTTGCGCTTCGTCTTTGCATCCAACACCAGCGGGTCCAATCCTGCATTCATATCTACAGCGCCATGGGACAGTATCTCCAGGCTGTGGAGCTGGCTCTACAGCATGGGGATATTGATCTAGCCGCCATCATCGCCGACAGGTCCGAGGGGAACGACAAGCTGCGTAAGAAGCTATGGCTCCTGGTTGCCGAGAAGAAGATCCGACAGCCCGGCACTGGCATTAAAGACGCCATTGAATTCTTGCGTCGGTGCGAGCTACTCCGCATTGAGGATTTGATTCCTTTCTTTCCTGATTTCGTCGTGATTGACGATTTTAAGGACGAGATATGCAGCGCCCTGGAGGATTACTCCCGGCATATCGATGCCCTTCGCCAGGAAATGGACAACTCAGCCCAGACGGCGCGGCAAATCCGAAGCGAGATATCGGCCTTGGACATGCGGTATGCCATTGTGGAGCCCGGAGAGAAGTGTTGGCTTTGCTCCTTGCCGGTTCTGAGTCGGCAGTTTTTCGTCTTCCCCTGTCAACATGCTTTCCATAGCGACTGTCTCGGAAAAGAGGTCCTCGAAGGGGCAGGTGGGAAGAAGAAATACATCCGTGACCTACAAGTGCAATTGAACAAGGTGGACATCACTGCTGCTCGAAGGGAGGAAATTGTCAAGGAATTGGACGGATTGATTGCGGAAGCATGGTAACCCCCTCTCTCTCTCTATCTCGATCCTACCTTTAATTTCTATCGGTTGAACTGACATCATCCTATCTAGTATTCTGTGCGGTGATCACGCTATCAAGCAGATCGAGAAGCCATTTATTACAGATTCTGACCGAATAGATGAATGGGCTTTGTAAGATTTGAGATGCGAACGAATATGCTATAATGGGATTTTAGCGATCCCCTATTGCGCGATAACGTTCTTCATTTCTTTTCCATCATATTCACGTCTCCTTTATTTGGAGAGTCACATTGCATTTTCGTTGTCCTGTATGATTATTCAGACTATGTGTCTTGGACGATCGGTAAGGGAGTTTGCTGTTTTCTCTTATATGTAGGCTATATACTGTTGTAGATACAACAATAATTGACATGGGGATTCAAACTCATGCTTGTAGATTCCTTGGCGATTAACTACCTGTCAATTTAACGATGTTATATTAATCGTAATTATATTTTATTATATCTATCAATCTATCTCCTAAATGGAGGACTGACATTAACACAGACAGAGGCATCAAGTAGACGCGTGTGGCAGAGATCATATCATATCATAGCAGACGCAAAAGCTCCAGATCTTTCGCCACCGCCGGACTATAAGGTGCGCAGTCCTCCAGGAACTGCATCATTTCCTGATTCCATCGTTCCCATCCGGTAGGGAGGGTGCTTCGTAAGCGGGGATCTGAAGAGTGAGAAATACAGTAGAAGAGGAGGATCTGGCCGAAGAACCTGCAATTAAGGGGAATTGGTTTAGTCACATTAAGAAGGAGACCGGAGGAGGAGGAGAAGAAGAAGAAGAAGAGGAAACATACTGAGAACAAAAGGCGAACCTGATTGGAATGCAACTCCTCATGGCGCGGAAGATGCCCCCGACTACCGGCCAGTCCATGGCGTTTCGGAGGCCGCTGCGCATTTGCTCCAAGTCCTCCTCTGTGAGGGACGCGGGGGTACGGAGGGCTTTGTAGAGGTATGGACGACCGATGTGGAACTTGGCGATTTTGTAGCGGCCACGGAGCATGGCCTCGGACACTGCGGTGGCAGGAGTCAAGGGACGATGGGGATCGAGGGGGAGGGGTGAGATGGCGGATGGAGAGGACGCCGCGGGGGTATCAGCTGCCGGGGTGTAAGGGAGAGTGTCGGGGAATTGGAGTGCCGGTGGAAGGTTGAGGCGCCATTGGTCCAGCTGGTGATGGAGTTCGGCGTTGATGGCAGGGAAGGGGAATGTTCCCGAGTCGGCTGCACGACAGACACCGTTGTTAGATAAATTTATTGGGCAGAGTTGGTCCCAACATACAGTAAAAGTACAAGGAGTGCCGGATTCGGGTGAGGATGATACGGTGAGCGACCTGCGCAAGGAAATGGTACTGGAAAAAGGCATCATCGATCTCGTCTGTCGAGGATGTTCGAGGAGGCCCAAAGCCGAGTGTTTCGAAACCAATGAATTTGGGAATGGGCACTAGCTCCTCGAGACGCGCTAGTCCGCTGGGAGGAAGGTGTAGCTCCTGCACGAGGATGGTCTCGTTCATGACGCAGTTCCAGTAGACACGCGACTTCATGTCGCCCTCCCATTCGTTGAAATTGACATCGTGACTGGACATGTTAGGTCGATGGAAGAATAGGGGTCGGGGTTGTGGGTTTATTTACTTGGTTAGCATCGACAGGCAGCATGTAGCGGCGCGATGGAGCATAGCCCATGAATCCATGACACGGAGAATTTGGCTGTAGTAGACACTATTCCTTCATGAGCTAGAGAGTTCCCACAGAGGAAGGGCGACATACGAGGACAAAAGATAGAATTGGCAACTTTGGAGGTCATTGTCACACATGAGAAAGCCAATGCGACGACGAGCTTCGTTGAAGAAGCGTAGACCGGGCGGGTCTTCATGGATAACGTCCATCCACTCTGGCGGTTCAAATTGAGCACTTCGAGTGCCAGACAATGGATAATTCCCTTCTCTATGCGCTTGGACGGCCAGACAACCTAGGGCCATGACGTTGAGGACCAGACAGCTCTCTATCGTATAACCAAACCCATTCTCGATCGCGGCCCCCAGGGTCAGTGCGAAATAAAAATTCTTGTCCATGATCGGCGTGAATGGAGCAAAAGTCGCAAAAAATGCATCCGAAAGGCCTTTGACCACCGCCAGCGGAAGTGCCTCCAGCCAGTCGTTGCCGGCCTGGGTAGGAAACGGACAAATGTACATGGGGAGCTGGGGTCGCCTCATTTCCGTATCGATCACATAGTTCTTTCCGAGCTTTTCGTGGGCCTCAAGAAGTCCCTTAGGTAAAACCTTGCGTGCTCCTGGCCACAGGACCACGCCGTGTTGGCTGAAGGAGATTGAGACCTGTCCTGTCGGGTCCGTGGTATTCGTTCGCTCATTGAATTCAAAGTCGTCGGGCTCCGCTGCATCAGGTGTGAGGTCGTGCGCCAGGGGATGGGCCAAAGGAGCTTGCTGGAGGACTCGCCGACTACTGCGTTCGGGGGTGCCTATCTCTGCCGCATCATCCAGCGCGTGCAGCATCTGCCCTTGGAGGGACTTTAGATCATGAGAGAGAGTCAATGGGAGGCTCTCTAGCTTGGTTTCGAGTCGATGAAGAGTGCTCATGATTAAGCTGAGCGAATGATCTCGCCTGCGATTCTTCGCGTTAGCATAGAGACTCGTAGACCCGCATATATTTCCATACTTCGAAGATTTGCGCTCATTGTAAACACACTCCAGGCCAAGGGCCTTGCACAGGCCACACTTCGGTCTGGACTCGTCGCATCGGGTCTTCTTGAGTCGGCATGTTTCACATGCCTATAGACATGCAGGCGTTAGCAATTTGGATCGGTGTGATCGATGTCGATGGACCCTTTGAACAGCATGACGTACCACTGTAGCAATGAAATTGCGTGGTTTCTTCGACGACGCTGTGGATTGCTGGTGCTGCTCCTGAACTTGACTGGGGGAGAGGAGATCGTTGATGGGAAGCATGTGAGGGCTATCGATGGACTCCGGTGGCTGAGAGCCACCGTGGGACAATGACTCTCCATAGGAACGCTTGCTCATGGTGCATGATTAATTGACGGGGATAGTCAGGGGGAAAATATTAGAAAAGCTCTTGGTGGACAGCCATTCTGCTGGGATTAATTACTTGGTAGGTTCGTAGTATGCTTCATGGAAGAACCGAAGAATGACTGGATGAAGTGACGGATGATTGATGTGTCATCCACCAGATGCTTTTGATTGGCCGCCCAGATGGTGGGGTTCAACCAGCCAATGGCAGTGCATTCTGGCAGACTCTCCTGCTATTGGCTGGGATCCATAAAAGCTTTGACGCGATGATGTACTTTAATGTACTCATTGATCCTGTCTGGTACCTTAGGTAGTAGCAGAAGTGGTCTACTAATCGCCAATCCCCAATGCTAAAGGAGAAACTCACAGCATGGTAACCATGAACCTTCCGTCTTACGGGTACTGCCTGGATTAGGTGGCTGGCTGATCCAGGGGCCGTGTTTGCGGAATATTGAGTTAATCATGTGTTGGCTGCAAACAAAGTGGAGCACCATCATCAATATATAGGAGATTGGGTATTATTACTATTGACAAGGCAGGGCCTAATGGCTGACGGGAGCTTGCGGTTCCTGATCATTTTCTAGAAGTGACGTTTCCGTCCAGATAGATCGGCCAGGCACTAACCACCTTCGACGACCTGACTCGCATCCTGAGTTCCTGCAGAGATAGCCAAAGATAGGAATACTCAGAGCGTACCTGTACTCCATCTCACTCTAATAGACAATTCCCCCCTCCTCCGAGAGGTTGTACATTCATTCATTCCTTCATTTACAGTGGTACTTCTCCATTCCTGTGTCTTCCGAATGTTTCATCAGTGGAGTCAACGACGTCACTACTATATCATTAATTACTGAGTGCTTGTTTTTTTTTTTTTTTTTTTTTTTCCCTCTTCCCAGTACATCCTGTTCCTAGTGGATACTAAGGAGGGAAAGGTACCTGACAACGTTACAGCCATCCGTACCATTCGGAGAAGTTATCTCCGGCCTTCTTCTGTGGGGGACGTTTTTTCTGCCCCTGTAAGGCGCAACAAAAGAGTATGGCCTTCCCACCACGTGGGGTTGTGGCGCAGGATGACCACATCTTCTGATGATTCTTTAGAGTTACATCGTCATTAATTGATTTTAGCGCCGAATGCCATCATAGGAGACCAAATGACCCTTCCCATGTGGTATGTCTCAGATGGTTATTTGCTGCAGATCTCGCGGCTTCTGTATTTCTTTCCCAATCGGGTGGGTGGTACGGTGGCGGTGCTGTTCTGAGGTACGGTACCGAACGGTAAATATACGGTACCAGACCATCGTATTCGGTACTAGGCGGGCCCGGTGTCTTCCAATCCAAATTGGCCTTTCTCTCATGAGAGTTGCATGGAACCAACGACGAATAACTCCTGTTAGTTCGATAGTAGGGAGAGAGAAGACACCTAGTGCCAGTGGCTCTTTCTCCCCCTCCTTTTTCACCACTGCCTTGTTATAAACATCATCCCTCATCTCCTCCGTCGAGTCTGGTGTGCCATTGCCATCCATACAGTCTTGGTCGCCACACACATTCTGTCCCCGGCTACTCGCTCGCTCATCTGTAGGCGTGACGGCGCAAAATTGGGTACCCGCCAGGCGCCTGTTCTTCTGTGTGTCCGGCCGCCATTTCCGCTACAATCTCATCCTCCCTCACGTCCCCTTGGGGCTTTCGGTTTGCCAATCGTCCTCGAGGTTAGTTGCTGGACTTTTAGACGAGCGCTCTTGTGAATCGTCCACCTCATTGTGTTAGTCCACACCGTTCCCTGTTCCCATCGGCGTCAGTTCTTTATTTCGCTTGGTGTTGTTGCATGCGCCATATGACGACGCACATCAGGCATTGATCGACCCATTAACCGTCTTATTCCATACATAGAAGGGGTTCGGATCAGCTTACCGTGCCTTGGCTTTCACCGACTATTCGGTCGATCGCGAGTCCACCAGTTCCTGCATCAACCCTTCGATTCCGGCCTCTCCGTCGCTCTTCTCATCTCGACTACTACGGACTGGATCCGGGAGACGTAATTCTTCCCCCTCCTTTCACGATCACTTTGCACTGGAGACTATATGGCCGGTGTACAGTTACAGCAACCAAGAATGACCGATTATCGCCTTCATCAACCTCAGCCTCCTCCTGCGCGGAAGCCGGTCCCTGGAATGCGTACCAGCAGTGCGTTCCAGTCCTACGATGGACACCACCAACAACTTTCCCCTCACCCTTCAGCTGCCTCCCTTGCCCACAGTCGTAGTCGGACATCTTCCTCGCACGTGCTACCATATGTGTCTCACCAGCAGCCATATTCCGGTGGGCCATCCCCCCATCATTCCATGACCACCCCCCCCAATTATGCTCCCTCGAGGCGGTTATCCAGTGCGACTACATCCACAAGCTCGACCGGCAACGCTGCGGGCTCTCACCCCGCGACTTCGGATATCCGCCGAAGCACCTCCTCCCGTTCCGCCAATGCGCAGTTGGGCTACGTCGCCCTGATGCGAAGGCAGAAGGCAACCGTCTGGTGTGACCGGGCACAGCCGGAAGACCCTCGAATCCGGGCCCAGAAACTTGCCGATAAAAAGAGGGCATACCTCGAAGTTCACGGCGCTGGGGCCGGCCGCAGTAGCACCCTTGCAAGTGGGAAGAACAAGTATGGTGCGAAAGGAGCCACGGACTTCTCGCCATCAACACTGGTTGGAGCTACAGTTCCCGTTCGACTCAGTGCCAACGAGGTGGGTGATGCCGACGAGGATGCTCGCAGTGACAATGGATTCCCCTACCGCCGCACTGGGAGCGGTCGTAGTTCTTTGGGAAGCAATCATCGATACCCCAGTGGCTACCAGCGGACACCACCCCAGGGGACGATGGGAGGCAACTCGACTCCACCCAACGAGAAGACGGATCTGCCTGGCGTATCAGAGCATCCTCCTGCGGAGACCAACGAGGAAGAGAAGGACGCCGCTTCCGGTAGAGACGACGCCGCTACCACCCACAGCCGAACCAGCGAACAAGAAGACAATTTTGGCAGCGTGGGAGACATGGGAGCACCCAGCGCAGCCACCACTGCCGCCGAAAAGGCTAAGAGGGCGGACGAGTTGAGACGGCGAGGCAGTGTGGACGATCGAACGACATCAATGACTAATGTCCGACTGTTCGTCGCGAATCCTGATTTGAGTGATTAGACCGCTAGCTATACGTCTCTCTTTCTCTCTGTCTTTTCCCCGCCACACACGTTATTGTTGGTTGGACTTGACTGTCAAATCAGAATACCCAGTCCACTATTCTATGCATATTGGGGCTTTCCTTGTGCCATGTCGGTTACTTTTTTACTTTCTTTCCTTCTTTCTTCGCACTTCTTTTGCTCCTTATTGACTTCTTTTGTTCCTGACGTCGTTTTATCCGGATATCTGTTTCCGTTTACAAACAATGCCCGAGTTCGGTGTCTGGATCCTGGACTGTTGGTATATTGGATGTTTGACGGTATGGCACTTTTTATCATCCTATTCCCCTTGCCGCATGTTGTTGGCGCCTGTGCTTCTGACGATGCATTGGGTTATGTATCACTCATGTTCGTATGCACTGCGCTTGGTGTCTTGATGGATTTATGAACAGCTAGTAATAATAATTTGAATTGTACATATATGAGCCAAACTTGGTTCTCCGTGGTCCCATTTCATTTGCATCCATGATATTATGGCCAATCTCTTGATCTGGGAACCTAAGACGCGAAAGTGAAGGCATATTGTAGATCTGAATTTCTTTATCAGCACTTATAGATGACACAAGATGTAAATAATATCTGTCCCTTTCTACTCCGCAAATCCATGATTGTTTACTCTGGAGCTAGAGACAGTCCCTATGTAGCAATCACGTGGCTCGAACGCGACCCAGGCGCGAACATAATCCAATTAACGCGTTCCAACCACTTGTTCAAGGATCGGAGGACAAGGCCCACCACTCTTTCTCACGGGCCTACCAATACACATTGTCCTCGACTTATTTGCTTGTGAATTATTCCCATCTATTGGGAATGTGATGGAAGTTACAATGGACACCAGCCCTAGTCTCCCTTCCCTTCCTGCGCAACGGTATCCCCCTTCGTCTCCTTTAAGTTCACGAAAGCACCCGGTCCAGGACATGGACGAACCCCAACCTGCTCATCCGGATGATAAACCGTCGTCTAAACCCAGCGATATGGAAAACCAGGAGAACACCGCCCCTATACCTACTGCCCTGACCACCCAGTCAACAACCGATACAAGCAAGCAGTCCACTACCAGTACACCAGCAGCGAAGAGAAGGAAACTGTCCCCTGCAAGTAAGGAGGCAAGGCAGCAGGAGAAAGAGGAAAGGGAACGCCAGAAGCTAGAAGAGAGAGCCAAGAAGGAGGAAGAAAAACGGATCAAAGAAGAGGAGAAGAAGAAGCGGGAAGTTGAACGAGATGAAGAGCGAAAGCGAAAAGAAGAGAAACGAAAGGCCAAGGAGGAAGAGAAGGCTGTGAAAGAGGAAGAGAAGCGGAAAAGGGAAGCAGCTAAGGAAGAAGACCGGCGGAAAAGGGAGAAAGAGAAGTTGAAAAAGGAAAGGGTACGTCTCTCCATCCGAATACGGAATATTTACCATTTAGCATGGCACGGATTGGGAGTTAAGAATAGAGCTGACACATCGCAGGCACAAATGAAATTGAATTCCTTTTTCGCGAAGCCAGACTCTGCTGTGCAGCCTACCAATCCGAATAAAGAGTTGCCGAAGAAGCCCACTGCCATTGCATATGAACCTTCTCAGACTGCTGAAACCATTTTAAACGACTACCAACGAACATTCCCCGATTTTTTCTTGCAGTCTCATACAACCATTGCCCCTTTGAACCGATTTGGACGTGACTCAGAGGCGCTTAGGTTGATGCGAGAGAAAGTTGATGCCTCCTTGAAATTGGTTTCTGAGGGTTCGGGAGGCCCTCTGGTGTTCCGCCCTTCCGAGCTCTTTCAGATCATGCCGTATAGGCGGAGATACGGCCGTCTGGCAGCGTCCATCCGGGAAATCCAATCACAGATGCGGAATCGGGATGATGAATATGGGGTCTCGGAGGCTGCACAGAATCCGCGAACCTTGCTGGGGAAGGTTAGGATGAAGTCGCTGAAATTTAGCGAGGACGTTCGGCCTCCTTATCAGGGAACCTATACCAAGCGGTTGCCCGGATCTGTTGTACGTAAGATGATGAGGAACCCTTTCCACCGGGGACTACCAGAAACGAACTACGACTACGATTCTGAAGCGGAATGGGAGGAGCCAGAGGAGGGTGAAGAGCTGGACTCGGAAGAAGAGGAGGATGGCAGTGAGGACGGGGAAGATGACATGGAAGGCTTCCTGGACGACGAGGACGACCATCCTGTGGACGGGAAAAGACGCCTTATTGTCGGGGATCTAGAACCTGTCTGTACGGGTATCCGGTGGCAGGAACAAGGGGTGGTGCCGGAGCTGCAAGCGTATCAAATGGAGACGATATCGGACTCCGTGACATTTCCGATTGACCCGTTCTCCACGGCCTACTGGCATAAACCCAAGGCTGCCGATCCGGCGCAGACGGCTGGCCCGGGACGGTCGTTCTTTCGCGCCTTCGTAGGCCAAGCATCTTCAGCGAGTGCGTCAACGCAGGACGGGAGCGCACTGGGGAAGGCCAAGCGGACGTTCCCGGCAGAGCAGCTGAACGAATTTAAGCAGGTGGTCGATGGGAGTGATCTCACGAAGATGGGGTTGATTGAAATCCTGAAAAAACGGTGAGTCCGCCCCGCGCCGAAGGGGACCATTGTTGATTTAGTGCTAATGAATGAAACTATACTAGCTTTCCGAAGGTCTCCAAAGATGTCCTGAAGGACACGTTGAATAGAGTGGCTACCCGGGTGGGACAAAAAGAGGTTGACAAGAAATGGGTTTGCAAATAGACCGTCTCCCTGATCCCGATATGAAACACCGTCCCAACGTATGCTAGGGTAGCTGGGGTGTTTCTGGCGGCGAAGCGGCTATTTGAGAGTGGGCACATGGATCTTGAGGGTGATTTGTTGACTGTCCATATATAGAACTTAAAAAGACAAAGAAAAAGGGATGTGTCTCGTTTCGTCTTTTCCCCTGACTCTTTTTTGTTGTCTCTCTTTATTATTATTATTGTTATTTTCTTTTCTCTTTTCTTTACGTTTCCATCCTTGACTCTTCTAATCCCTTTTGTGTTTGCTATTTCGAAATCATACTGCATTTACCGATGATGGGGAGCGAAGCCGTTAGACTGCATATTGTATGTACATTGAACTCATGACATACTACCATTTTAATACAAGGGGAGTATTGTCCAAGCCTAGATGGCTGACGTTCCGGAGAGGCTCTGGATCATTCAGGGCCTGTTTGATACCCCCAAACAACATGAGAGCTGAATAGCAAATTGGGCCATCTGATCCATGGCTGATGGAGGATGACACTAATCCCGATGGCGTTAGACAGGGTGAACTGGTCAGTGACAGCTAGACACGTGCCAGTGGGACCCTGATCCAGTCTGAGGATTCCCTCAACGGGACTAGCGCCTCTCCACTCCCCCGATCGAGCTTCTCCTTCTGCTTCTGCTGCTTCTTTTTCTGTCCTGGTGGAAAGACACTCTCGGAGGATTCGAATTTCTTCCGGGAGGATTCACTCACGCTCATTAACCTGACCAGACAGAGCAGCCTCTGCGAGCCATCGTCTGCGAGCGGCGAAAACAAGAAAACCGTCCAACTGTAAGGAGGGGGGACGGCCAACAAATCATGGGGCGCGGAGGGGCAATCCTGCATGCAGTGCCAGCACATCATCTCTGGTCAGTGCGGTGGTACCTCCTGCGTATGTAACAGGTACCTTCCCTGCGCGCATAGTCTCCCCCTTGGAGTGGCCACTGGCTGACACCAGTTGGTAGGTGGTACCTACTGTGGAGGTACTCTAGCGGACAGACCTGAGCTGACCTGGGTCTTGTCACCAAGTGCGCTGGACGAGTCCAAATCATTCTCTCTCTCTCTCTCGATCTGCGCGGGAGAACGAGAGCGACGGATGATTGCTGGATTACTGCAGGATGACCAAGAGAGTAATTCATACTCCGTATTATGATTCTTTTCCCACTCCCTCATATTCACCCCCCTTTTAACGATTTATTCCGGATTAGAATGGTCCTCCGAGGGGGAGAGAAGGTCACCCTTGAGTATGTACTTGTAGTTCGGAGAGTAGGCGAGAAGTCCGTAGTGGAATCGTACTGTATATCCAGATAGCCAGACATCCAGACATCCATCCGAGCATGGAGGGATGAACGAATCTGGGTAGGATCCAAGCAGGATGATCGAGTGGTCACACACATTTTACCCTCGCCTCACTGCGTCCACCAACTCTGCATGCGTCCGATTCGAGTCACCGCGTTTTGGTGCTGGTTTGGTGATACTATCGCCTCTCTCGTATACTTTGGGTCTTCTTGATAATTTTTTTTTTTTTTTTTTTTTTATATTATTATTATTACTCCATGGTTTGTCTTAGTTTTAGTATTTAATTTTATGGAATTAATTTTATTCTTTCTCTCCCGATCGAATTCGTCGGAAAAAAGCCCTGCGAATGAGTTCATCCTAGGGCAGAGATCCCTTCGATTTGTTGGCATCAATCACTCCTAGTCGCATCATTGTCAACGGCAGTTTTCTCTTCTTTCTCTTCTTCCTTTTTTTCTCTCCCCCTCCCCTGCATGTCATCCTTTCTTTAATCTTCGTTTCTCCATCTCGCCAGTTGTCTCTCGACCAAACCTATCCACTCGATCGGACCGTCTCCTCTCCACCATCTGCGGCCCTTGATTTAGTGCCATCCCACGGCTCTAATTATTATTATTACAACAAGAATAGGAAATTTAGTAATTTTATTCTTATTTCTGGACATCGGAATCCATTGACTCTTTCCTCTTATTTGGACCCCTCCTCTCCCTCTTCACCTTCCTGCATTCTTCGACCCCACCTTTTCCTGTATTTTCCTCCTCGTTACCTCATCCTGGAGCTGTCGATCGGGTCAGGCGTCTTCCTGGATCTACTTCAACAGGACTCTGCACCCCATGAGAACCGTCATTCTTCCTCCCAGTCACCTCTGAGGGGAGAACCATGCGATAGAGAGTTGGTTTCCGACGCCAGGGGCATCTTGCGACCTCGACTATCCTCTTGGCTGGCCGGCCGGGAGACTGCCCATGGCAACATCATGTTCGATGCCCAATCTGATCGTATTTCGTCGACCTTGACTTACGTGACCAGTATGTCTTTATTTATTTATTTTCTCCCTCCCGAACTTTTTTTTTTTTTTTTTTTTTTTTTTTCTTTTTTTTTTTTTTTTTTTTTTTTTCCCCCCCCCAACTTTTTTTTTTTTTTTTTTTTTTTTTTTGGCCATGTTTTTATTATGGTACCTGGGTGTTTCAAATGTGACTTGTCTCGATGATCTCCATCCCCTATTCTTGACTCATAAATATTCAATTCTTCCATGCGACCACGGGGGCTTCCTTCTGGGCTTTTTCTCTCTCTTCACGACAGATCTACATCTTTAGTAGCTTTCCCCCATCTGCTTTGCTGACGGTTTGCCCCTCGGGGGTTTCTCGCGCATTCTAGACTGGTTCCCCTCGATACAAGCTACGGCTGCTGCACAATGTGATACTGTATCTCAACCACATGCTGCGACGGTCAGCATGTCTTCAGTATCGTCTCTCTCTCCCCCCGAGCCAAAGGGTCAGACTACAGGTGAGTCTGGTAACTCGGGCCGCTCGAGTTCGCAATTTATAGCAACCCCCTTGGGTTCTGATGATGGACATTCGGCGAACCCCCCACTATCCCGGTCCGCGGAGGATGCCCCCAAGGTGTCTTTTGAGGATCTGGCCATCCGTTATCGCCAGAATCAGCATAAACAAGCCCGCCGGAAGAGGCTGGAGCACCGTCTCCATGCCACCAAGGTCTCTATGGGCATTTCCGCGCGCCTGGTCCGCGTAGGAAGTGCGGTGCAACGCGGCCTGGTTGACCGGCTGAAACACGACGACAAGGTAAATTTCATTGCTCTTTACCATACCATGATTGATCTCCAAGAATCCTGTGATTCCGCATTTCGCCGCCACTTTCACCGGCAGGACCTGTTGGAAGATTGGCCATCCGCCCCCGAGGCTGCCGGAGACCGCGCTCCGGACTTTTACCTGCAGCTGAGTCCCCAGTCTAGGGCTGATCTAATTGAGATATTGCAACTGGTCCGCACCGATGCCCAGTTCATCTTTGAGCGTCTGTGCAGCTTGACACCCGGTCAGCTGGGCGCTCTGGTCTCCTCCGCTGCCCCATCCTGGGAATCTAGTGATCTCTCATTCTCTTCAGCCTCTCGGTCCCGGAATATGTCTATCCCTAAGCGCAGTCCCACTCCCTTCGTTACGTTCAGGGACCATGTGTTGGCTTTTGAGAGAACGGATGCTCTGTCTACTTTGCTCTTTAACGTTTTTGCGGCGCCACTGGATTCGGATGCCCCCGAAGCCCGATTGCGGTTGGATGTATGGTCCTCTGTCTGCGCCAAGCTGATCACCGACGGTGGCAGTAGGTTTTATCCTCTCATCGGCCACATCTTGGCCGCCTGGGCCATGGGCAGTGACTGGAAGGCGAAGCCCAAATTTGAGCTGTATCTGATGGACATCCTCCAAACGGGTGCCTTCCTGCTGGAACATGTAGACACCCCATCCGGCCTAGGGTTTGACGTGGAGCCTCCGGACCCATTGAGAACGGATGTGGCCGAGGAGTTCTTTGCATCCGCCGTTGATGCCCTATTCCACTTGCTAGATGATCCGGATGGAGGGCTTCCCCGTACGGTAATGGAACTCAGCAGTGCTATCTTGCAAAAGTTGGATCACCAGGAGAGTCGTGACCGTTACCTGGAGTTTCTGTTCGCCCAGTGGTTTTTCTCCAAATATCTATATGGCGCACTAACCTACCCTGAGGTTTGTTTCGGTCCCTTGATTTGGTCTGGTGGCCATGGATCTAACAAGTCGCTTCAGGCACATGGACTTTTACTTGATTTTCATATCAGGAAGGATGCGCGAGAAAAACTCCTGGGACAAGTCGGAGTGCAGGCCTATTCACAAGTGTTTGCCGTCCTGCGGTCGATGTGCGTATATTATTCGTTTCATCCGATCTCTCGGGAAATTTTGTTTTTGCTGACGTGGAAACCACCGTTAATGGCAGGAACCACTTTTCTATGGCCCGACCTACAGTGAGACAGCATGTCGAGCACATGCTAAACCGATTCACCATCACGCCTTCTGACCAAAGCACATCTCGCCAGAATCCCCCATTCCTTGGATCTATCAATGGACAAGAGTCACCAGCCGTCTTTCTGATGCTGTCTTCGTCTGACATTCTATCCCTGCTGAATGCACTCTTCCCTACGCCTGTGTGCAATTCTCCAGCCCCATCTCTTGGTATTCCTGGATCGTTGGCCTTCCCATCCTCCCTTCGGGAGAAGCAGATGTCATCTCCAAGCGAGCCTCCGGTCGAGCCCGGCTTTTACCGACCCATTGTTGATAGCCACCTTGGACAGTATTCAAAGGGTAGGCCCCTCTTCCAAACAGAATTGGATTTTCTGTCACACCCAGAGAACTGCATCAGCCGCAATGCTGACCGAATCCGTTTTGAACTGTCCGATGTCGGCGAACCCGATGGCCGTGCTAACCTGGAGCCCCCTGCTGCTGAAGAATGGACCGTGTTTTCAATTGCACAGGGCGGAAGGCGGCTGGTCTGGGGTCTCTTCTCTGATAGGCAATCGAGCGGCTCGGACACGCCATCTACTGACGAGGTCCAGTCAACTACCCTGGGAATGGAGGACAACTTCGAAGCGTTGCAAACTGCCATTGTGAAATTGATCCAAGAGAACCCTTCCAGTGATCATGTCGAGGTTGGCATGCAGACTCCGCATGTAACCGGTCTATCCCTGAAGCAGAGATTCGACCGTGCTATGGCATGTTGCCACCATGATTCCGATTTTATTGGTGCTCATTATTGGTGGAATGCTGCGCGGCAGCTCCTCCGTAGCGTCACAAACACCCCAATCCGACTTGCCGACGACGCATGGATTTTAGGACCGATGTATACCTCCAGTCTTCGCTCTCTCCAGGCCTCGCGCTCTGTCATTGATCGATGCGAAAATGACTTCGTCGCCCTTGATCGCCATATGCTGCGGCTACAGCGAACGGTGAAGGATATGATGACTACTGTGACGAAGCTCCGGGACAAGATGTGGTACATGACTGACGTGAAGAATTCCATGCGGTATGAGGATGCCAAGCACGTCGCACTAGCGCTGAAGACCATGGTCTATTCTGCCCGTCTCTACAAACAGGCGCCAAATGTGGCTCAATCACGAGGGAGTACTAGATCCTCCCTGGGAGGGTCCCTCCTGCAAAAGCCAGAGCTACAGGTCATGAACATTATGAAGGCCCCAAGCAGCCAAGGCGGACCCAACAAGCTATCTGATGAACAGGTCGATCTGATTCGAAAGTGGCTGTCTCACAATAACATTGACAATTTCTGTAAAGGCGAGGAACGCATTCACCGGTTTTGCTACGAAGTCAAGTCAAGTATCAACCGACTCGTTGGAGAGACAATGGCAGAGACTCCGGTCCTTTGGGCCAGTGAGTTGTTCCACAAGGAGAGAGCCAAATACGAAGGCTCCAGCAACCGCGGTTTCCTTGGATTGTCTTCCACGCTGCGGCCGTTCAGCGCTGCCAACGAAGACTCGGGGTATTCGCAGGTACATGGTAACCATCTGCGCCCCTCGGACTCCCTTTCTAGATACTCGCAAGATCTTCCTTCAGTACACCGTAAGGCTTCATTCCAAAGTTTGATGTCGGACAAGTGGAGAGTACCTCGAGACCCTTCCATAGCGGATGTTTCCTCAATAGGGGACTCGCCAGGAAGGGCCGCCTCGGTCTCCACCGGCGACTCTTGCAGTACATTTTGGTCGACGCCGCACCAGCCGGCGTATTATGCCCCAAGCATCTCTAGTATATACTCTCGACCCCCCTCGATTCTAGGTGACACTGCGGGTCAACAGCCTCGCCGGAATGACCATAAGACTAATGGGAAAGCCACCTTCCTCGATGAGCTGCGACAGACATTGACAAGCCTACTCTTGAGCGATTTGGGCTCACCAGTATGGAGCTGCGGGAGCGAAACGGATGCGTGGTTTGGCAATGCTCTGGATCAGCGAAGAATTCAGGTGCAGATGAGGAAACGGGCCCAGATCCAGCGATTCTACACCGACTATGACGAGCGGCAGTTCCGCCAAACCATCCGTCGTACGCCGTCAAGCAGCCGACGAAGCAAATCAGTTGAGCCTCCAGACCAAGAACGGCACGAAACTGCTCCGCTCTCTGCGTCACCCTCCGAAGCCACCGCTCTAGATGCTAACGATCCGTCCCCGTTCTCGTATCGGATGGTCTTCGGTCAATTAATCGAAGTCTTTTCCCGCCATGGAAATCCCTTCGTCAAATTGAAGGCACTGCGTGACTTACGGGCATTAGTCATTGCATCACTGAACTCTGGTAGCGATGATAAGCCCCCTTTCCCGCAAGTCGAAGAGACCACCACATGCCATCAAGGAAGGGCCCCTGGTTCAGGAAAGAGAGCTGCGCGCCATAGCTTCTCCGAGTCGAGTGCTAGTGGCCGGCTCGGGAGGGACATCCTTCACACCCCTGCTTCACCTGCTGCCGAATCAGTCATCTTTGGCTCCCGACCTTCCGATTATTCGACCCCAACAGAGAAACAAATCGTGGAGTCCCTACGGGATTTGCTTCTTGAAGTGAAACCGAAGACCCTGTTCAGAGATTTGCAATTCATTTCGGCATTTGTGCCCGGGGAACTATTAAACAAAACCGATGCGGGGACGGCGTTTCTGCAGTTTGGACTGGCGGCGTTGAGCTTGAAAGATGAAATCTGCAACAGCATGGTTGAAATCGCCGACAACATTGTGTCGCAGGAGCTCAGTCGACGCCATCCTCCTCCCGGATATGATATGAACCCTCGACCGGGCCATGCGATCGAGGACGCGGCGGGGATGTGGATCATCACCGCCAAAGAAGGGAATCCAGTTGCCCAGCGGGAGCTTGCGATTCTGTATCTGACCCATCCGGAACTCCTGCCTCGCGTGACGCTTCCGCTGACCTTGCTGCGGGACACGTTCAAGGCAGAAATGATGTATCGCCGTGACAAGAACTCTAAGTCGGACCCGCAAAGCTTGTGTCTGGCGCTGCACTGGATGCAGCTGTCGGCCAATGGAGGGGACGAACTTGCGCGAAACCGGCTTCGCGAACGAGAGGAATTTGACTCCATTGCCTGAACTTGCCCTCGTGCAGGTACATGTGATTGTATTGGAAAGACTTCTTTTTTCTTCTCTTTTCCCTTGCTCCCCCTTTCATTTTCTTTGGGTCTACGTATTTCGTTCCCACAACGACTTGATACTACTGACAACCTGCTTTTTTCTACTTGAATATCCCTCTCCAGCTCTCTCGTTCGGGCATATTTAATCCGACTAATCTTTGTGTAGAGGTTACAGTTCGTTGTTATCTTCGGACAATTCAGCAGATCATCTGTCTCCTTGGGCTGAATTTGTTGCGCTCTTACGTGGCTTTCTTGATTTCGTTCACTGTCTTGCCCTTTTTTTTTTTTTTTTTTATTTATTTTTTAGGCCTTTCTGTTCTTTCTTTTTTTGCTGACTTTAACCATATTCCCCTATACACGTATTTCTGCGGGTGGCATTTTGATTGTGTTTTCTTTTGACCTGGGATTCGGGCGTATCACTATTGGCCTTGGGCTGAACTGTAGACGATCGGACCGGCGGACATCTGTTCGGATTGGGTTTACTCTTCCATATACGGTATTGCATTGCATTGAATGAAACATGACATTCCTTAGCTGTCTTCGTAGATCACAAGAGAGATAGAGGATAGACGTCATGGGTACCCACGTGCCCGTCGAGGTGAAACCACAGACGAACCTCTTTTTTCCCCTAAAATCCAGTCGATTTTGAGCTCGCCACTGGATTAGCCCCCTTTAGACTCATTCAAGGGGTTTCTCAAACGACCGCCACTTTGTTTCCAGTTGGAGCCTTCAATTCCAGTTGGAACCTTGAAATCATCCCTTCCCCCCTCCGTCCCACCGCACTCATTGGTACGCCAGTCAGGAGGCTGAGACCCATTTGTCTCCCCCCGCCAAATCCATCATCCAGCAGTCAACTGTCGCGAATGTTTCATTTGAGTTTCTTGAACACTCAATCAATCTGAATAGAGACGCTGCTTGGTTTCTGTTGATCAGGGGCTTTTTCCCTTCTTTTTTACCTCCATTCCCCTCCCCCCTTCTCAATATTAACTCCTACTACTACTCTACGGTCTCTTGTCTCGAATCATGACGATGGCACAGAATATGGATGAAATGCACAAAAGGCCCAAGGGTAAGGGACTAGGTCCCCACTGGATGGTGTACTCTGGACTAACCCGCTTCCTCCAACTAACAGGCATCCTCAAAAACCCGAGCTCTCACAATGTTCCTCAAGTGTCGCACACCAGTGATACTATTCCACCCCCTCCTTCATCGACCGACCCCGTGGACACCAAGGAACTCACCCTCCAGAACACCCTCCAGAACGCAGGACGTCGTCGGTCATCCTCCACCACCCGTCCGGGGACTTCGTCTCGACGCCAGTCCCTCGTCAGCATTAAAAACGATGAGAACTCCCCGCGCCTGAAATGGGACGAGGCGAACCTGTACCTTACGGAGCAGGAGAAGACGGCGAAGATGAAGATTGACGAGCCCAAGACACCCTTTGCCCCGCACTACGATCCGGCCGAAGACGAGGAAGAAATGAAGCTCGTGGAAGCGCAAGAGAGGCTGATTGATGCGCAAGGAGTGGTCGTGGATGAACTGGACGAGTCGAGAAAGCCCCCCAGGAAAGCCGTCGCGGAGGACGACATCCCGGAGTTGGAACTGGGGGTTCCGGAGGAATCTATCGCGGATGTTGGTCGGGTCGAAAGAGGCGATCGCATCGTGCGTGATCGCAGTCTCAGCAACGAGTCGCACCGGAGTGACAAGCATGTGGTTGTTGGTGCCGACGAGACGAATGGAGAGGCCGCTTCAGGTGCCGACGGGTTGATGACCACGGAAGAAGCCAAGGAGAAACACCGTCAGTTCGAGCAGCAGCGGAAACGACACTACGAGATGCGAAATATCAAGGAGCTCCTGGCGTAAGTGGACGGTTGTTTCCTCCCTCCCTTCCTCCCTCCCTCCTTTCCTTCCTTCCTTTCTTTCTTACTTACTTACTTGATCTTATGGCACATTCTGACCTCCGTGCGTTCGTTCTTAGACACCCCGAGAACCTGGATGAAATGGATGAAGATGAAGACAACAACGAGGACGAGGACGATCGTTCGCCTCCGGCGCCTCCTCTGATGCCCCAGATTCCCGAGCGATTCTTGAATGGGAAGAAATAGCGATACGGTGCATTGTTTCCGCTAGTAGATTCTGCATTTCCTGTATATTCCCCAGCGATAGCCCTTTTTTACCCTATCTCTTTTTTCTTTCCTGAGATTGTTTCATATTACCGACTGCATGACAGACACATACACGAGGCAGCTATGATATGGTAGTGTGGAAGACTCCCCTTCCCCTTTTTTTCTCTCTCGGCTAGTACAGTAGATACTCCATCTCGACCAGAAATAAAGATGATTCCCCTGAATCCCGGGCTGGACTGCCTACCTGCATGAATGCCAAGGGGAGTACAGAGTATATAAGGAAAAGACGTGTTGCCTAGGAAGCCAGTGGATTATATGACTGCCTACGTGGTCTTGTGCACAGTCGAGTCACCGTCAGGGGCACAGCTCCACCAACGTGAATACACCCACATAGATGCATACATACTGGGCATATTACTCCGTTCTCAAAGAGGAGCTCTGTATTTCTGCATGGACCTTCGAGTCGATTGAGACCCAAGCAACTGAGGATCCCTTTCCTCCTCGTCTCTTCTCTTCTCTTCTCTTCTCTTCCCTGTCATCATCTCAGGGGAGACGAGACCAGAATGGTAAGGATTATCTGTGGCCATGAAACATGCAGCATGCAGACGAGATCAATCAATGCAATGACGTGGTTACTGGAGAGACCGAAATAGAATCAAAGGGTGTTGTGTGTCCGGAATATGTACCTATATATGGAGTGCTTTGTATATTCATCCCCGGAGAGGTCGAGTTGAATGGATGGATGTAATTGATTGATTGAGGAAATGTCTAAAAATAATCCCCCTCGGATGCTAATAATGAGGCCAAGATTTAAGGCAGAGTACCTCGAATAATAATAATAGTTCGAATGTAATAATAAAAGGAATAAAAATAGTAATAACAATAGCAACAAGCATAAGAAGAATAGAGACCCCCCGTGACTGCCTGCCATGTGATTCCCGCTCCTTTTGCTTTCACTGCCTCATTTTTCCCTTTCCCTCTTTTCTATTCTTCCCCCGATCTGGCGTCCCTCGTTTCTCTTCTATCTCCCACCTTTCCATCCATTCATCCTTCTCGTCCATCCTCTTCGATCACACCCCATCCGTCCACATTCATCATGTCGGATAAGCAGGAGAACCCCATTGAAAAGGTTGCTGAATCAACCACGGCTGCTCCCGCCCCCGTTCCAGAGGCTCACCCGGACCAGAACCAGGAGGAGTCAGCTCAGAAAGAGACCACCCCTCTTGCTGCCACCACAGAGCCTCCTGCGGTGGAGGCTGCTGCCCCAGAGACCTCGGAACCCGGTCCCGCCAGCACGGAGGAGCAGAAGGATGAAAAGCCCGCGGCGAACAAACCGGCTTATCTTGCCAACAATCCCTCTCTGGGCCAGTTCTTCGATCGGCTGCCCTCCATACTGTCCACCACGAGCCATGGTGAGATGTGGGGGGTCCCGCTCAAGGATGCCAATGACGTGCCTACTGTCAATGTGCTGATCAAGTTCCTGCGTGCCAACGAGGGCAATGTCAAGCTGGCAGAGGAGCAGCTGACCAAGGCCCTGCAGTGGCGCAAACAGACGAACCCCACGGCGTTGGCCGATTCGGGTCGGTTCAGCGCCAGCAAATTCGCAGGATTGGGATACTTGACGACATACACCGAGGCCGATGGCAAGGAGACCGTGGTGACCTGGAACATCTACGGTGCTGTCAAGAGTATCGACGATACCTTTGGGAATATGGATGAGTGAGTCTCACGGTAGACCTGTCGACAGAGTCGCTTGCTAACCACCCCTCTTCCCAGGTTCGTTCAATGGCGTGTTGCGCTCATGGAGCTCGCGGTCCAGGAGCTCAAAATGGCCCAGGCTACGTCGGTCATTGAGTATGACGGAGAAGATCCATACCAGATGGTCCAGGTCCATGACTACCTGAATCTCAGCTTTCTACGACTGAACCCCAATCTTCGGGCTGCCACCAAGAAGACCATCGATGTGTTTTCCACAGCCTATCCCGAGCTGCTGCGAGAGAAGTTCTTTGTGAACGTGCCGGCCATCATGGGCTGGATGTTCGCCGCCATGAAGGTCTTCTTGAGCAAGAACACCACCCGCAAGTTCCATCCCATCTCCAATGGAGCCAACCTGGCCCGTGAATTCTCTCCCGCCGTGAAGGACAAACTCCCCAAGGCATATGGTGGAAGTGGCCCCGCTTTGCTGGCGTCTGCTCGAACAGTGGCGGTGGAAGAGAACCCTCCGGCTCCTGCGACCCCTGATGCGGGGAAAGAAGCAGCCGATGAAACCCCCAAGAAAGCACCAGCTCCGAACGCTAAGCCCGCCAAGGCAGGCGAAGAGACTACGGAGAAGCCGACCAAGGCGGATACTGCCGTCACCACCCAGGAGGCGCCTGCTGCGGCGGCTGAGGCCAAATAGAGGCCATGAACCTGGTCCCCAGGTACGCTGGCAACAGGAGAAGGGAGGGAGATTATTGATGGTAATGGCAGGGACATGCTGGCTTGATACCCGGAGGACTGCGTAGATTGATTGATCTGTTGTTTGCTTGTCTGATACCTCCAAATGCCGTGTTTTGATACACCCGGGTTATAGACCCGTTGGTTTAGCATAGTAATTTTTAATGAATATCCACCCTGCGGTTTTTTTTATTTTATTTTTTTATTATCAATATTATCTGTCGTTTTAGTCAGTATATTATTCTTTTGTACTTCGTGGTTGGTGACATTTACCAGACTACGGGGAACCAACCATCCCGAGAGCGCAGCTCCGCTCACTTTGCCTTCTCTCGTTCACTTTATTGCGTTCCAACGACCAATCTCTTCCACGACGTGACGTCCGAGCGCCCATCCAGCATGCGCTTCGCTCCGATCGAACCGCTCCGTCCCATTCAATAAAAGAAGCTTCGTCGACTACAGTCTTACCCTCCCTTTGATCGATTCTTTGAGACTTCCTTCTACCTCACCTCCAACGCCGAGCTACCATGTCCGTCTGGAATCCAGATAATATCCGCGACGTCGCCGAGTCCGCGGGCATTGTGAACCTGAACAACGATGTCACCGAGAATCTGGCCCGCGACGTCGAATACCGCATCGCTCAGGTCCTCGAAGAGGCGCTGAAGTTCATGCGCCATAGTCGACGCACGCTACTTACGACGCAGGATGTGGCCCAGGCCCTGCATGTTCTCGATGTCGAGCCGCTTTATGGTTACGAGTCTACGAGGCCGTTACGGTTTGGGGAGGCATCCCTTGGACCCGGACAGCCACTGTTTTACGTGGAGGACGAGGAGGTGGATTTTGAGAAGTTAATCAATGCACCGCTGCCAAAGGTTCCTCGGGAGATTTCATTTACCGGTATTTATTCTCTGCCTTTACTACCCCCCGGTTTCCCCGTATGCGACTGGCTACATGGTGCTAATGGGTCGTCTCGACAGCACACTGGTTGGCCGTTGAAGGTGTGCAACCGTCGATTCCTCAGAATCCTACCGCCGCCGACTCGAGAAATCTGGAATTGATGTCCAAAGGCCCCAATGCCAACTCCACCCTGGCAGCCATGAGTGGCAGCGGTAATGTGGCCGTCAAACCGCTGGTCAAGCATGTGCTGTCCAAAGAGCTCCAGCTCTATTTCGAGAAGGTTTGCAATGCGTTTTTGGACGAGTCGAGTGAGGAATACCGCACCTCGGGCTACTCCAGTCTGCGTGAAGATCCGGGTCTGCACCAACTGGTGCCGTACTTTGTCCAATTCATTTCCGAGAAGGTCACCCATGGCCTGAAGGACATTTTTGTCTTGACGCAAGTGATGCACATGGCCGAGGCGCTGGTGCAAAACAAATCGCTTTACGTTGACCCCTATGTGAGCCGCCTCGTTTTTTTTCCTTCTCCCTTTGGGTCTGTGAAACTGACGGGCGCAGGTCGCATCCCTGGTGCCTCCTATCCTAACCTGCCTAATTGGCCGCCAACTCGGTGGGAACGCCGACTTGTCCGAACAGTTTGCCCTGCGGGATCTGGCGGCGTCCCTTCTCGGCCTCATTGCCCGAAAATACTCCCATTCCTCCCATACCCTCAAGCCACGGCTGGCGCGGTCGTGCCTGAAAACATTCCTGGACCCATCGAAGCCGTTTGGAGCCCACTATGGAGCGATCATTGGGCTCCACGCGGTCGGGGGCGCAGAGGCAGTGCGGGTTTTGATATTGCCAAACGTCTCGACGTATGGTAACTTGCTGAAGGACGGCCTGACGGATGACAGTGCGCGACGACCGGAGGCAGAACGGGTCCTAGGGGTTCTTCTCAGCGTTCTGGCGACCTTGCGGGAAGGACGCATGGCTCTTTCCAACGGAGACAGTGGCATGGTTACGGAGGAGGTCCGGCAGCGACTCACCAGCGCAGTGGGAGAATTCATGGCCGGTAAGATTAGTGAGATGGGCGAGGTACAGCTGGCGCATGCCGTCCTGGAATCGTAGATTCCTTGTTTCTCCGAGTTCTCCATGGCGATGGGACAGCTTCTTTTCGTTTCTTTTCTTCCCTACTTCATTACTCTTTCAGGTATCGTGAGTTTAAGGCGTTGAATCGGCATATTTTCTCTACAGTGAAGGATATCGGTGTCAATAGATTTTTTTTTATTATTATTTATTTTTCACTTTGGCTACTTCACTTCCGGTAACACGGATGGGGAATGAACCTGTGACACGAAGTCCAGCTATCATCGTAGAGAAATCCAGTGACTGCTACAAGCCACTCAGACTCCCCTCCCAGGCGATATCGATCGAATATAAACCAACCATGAATCCATCCATCGAACAGCCTCGCCCATCCCTTTGCCATCGGCTGACCGCCCTCCGCATTCGGGTGACGGCCGGCAGAAAAACCCGCTGTGTCGCACGACCTCATCGTCGCCTCTTCTTTCCTTTCTCCTCGCTCGTTTTCTCTCGTGCGAAGAGAAATCATCCTTCTACTGTTTATATCGTGGTGCGTCTTTTTACCTGAACCTCATCCCTCAATTACTTCGCCTCCATCGTCTCGTTTCCTGCGTGAATCCCAATCGTCGTCTCGTTTCTGACCCATCACAGGTCTCCCTACCCAACTCGTTGGCGCCCCGCGAACTTTTTTTCCGGGCCCACACACATTATTTAGCCCATAAATACTTCACGATCCCAAGAACTGTCAACTGTTGCCTCACGCCAACCCTTTTTTTTTCCCTTTTTTTTTTTTGTTTTTTGCTACTCTTGTTTTTGTTTTTCCCCCTTGTTTGTACTGGTGAACCCCGCTTCTTAAACCCCCTCTCTTCGTCCAATCGAAGCGAGATTCGGGAGCCTCGAGCAATTAATATTCACTGAATTCTCTTTGTTTTCTTCTCGCTCTTCCTGCAGATGTGCAACCCTGTAGCTTCTTGCTACATCGCGCTTCTCTAAGCCCGATTTGCATCGCACCTTCAATGAACCCGAAGGATCTACTGCGGTATCTGTCTAAGCCTGCAAAGTAGGTGATGGCGTACTCTAATGTCAGGATTGCAATTGGACTTTCTATGCTAATTGACCACTGGTTCCAGGCCTCGATAACACGCATTCTTGCTCTCGATTCTACGTTTCCTTTTTTTGTTTTTTTGGTCATCGTCTTTTCTTGTTCCCTTTGGAAAAGCAGATATCCTCGTCTGCTAGACCCGATACTTTGATCGGTATCGGTATCTTCCAGTACGAGGTTACAACATATAGCCACAATTCCTTTTTCTAGAGGCATTTTCCTCCTCTCCCTCTCTTTTCGACCTCCCTAGCAGCCTTTAAGGCTTTTGATTGAACCATACATTCTTGGCTGTGTGCCACTTCCAAAATCGAATAAGGGCCTTCTCTCTCAGGCGGACATTTCCCCCCTTTGTTCGTCTGGGTAGCAGATAGTGCTCCCTAGGCTTTCCTGTCTACGGTCCACAAATTCAAGCCAACATATTGCTGCTGCAAGTCCGATTCTCGTCTTTCATTCTACCAATCTGTCCAAGATGGTGTACATTGGGATTCCAAAGAACTATACGGCGTCGCCGTCTTCTTTTATGGGAACTCCGTCCCTTACGATTAACTACTCCGCAACCCAGGATCTCGATTCCACCAATGCCTTTGAGGGTATGTCACTGCGTTTCTGGTTCTCATGGTTTATACTATTTCTTCGTACTAACCGTTAATCCTAGGCCCTGAGAAACTCCTGGAGGTCTGGTTTGCGCCATCTGCGGAGTCCTTGGGACCGGCCAAGCCTGCCGGTCTGAAGGCGGTACCGGAGGAGATCTGGAAAGACATGTTGGATCTGGTCAATTGCCAGGTGCTGTCGATCGTATCGTCGGAAGATGTGGACGCTTACCTCCTATCGGAATCCAGCATGTTCGTCTGGCCCCATAAGCTGATTCTCAAGACATGTGGGACCACTACGTTGTTGTCGGGACTGCCTCGCATCCTTGAGATTGCGGCGTTGTTTGGTGGCTTTCCCAAATCCACTGCGCCGGCGGCGCGGGGGATCAATGTTGCATCTGCCCCGTATCGGGTGTTCTACAGCCGGAAGAACTTCCTCTTCCCAGACCGCCAGCGTGGCCCGCATCGTAGCTGGAGAGACGAAGTGCGCGCCATGGACAAGCTTTTCCAGAACGGGAGTGCATACATGATCGGCAAGATGAATGGCGAGCACTGGTACTTGTACCTGACCGAGCCCCACACCTTGCTCACACCTCCTGCAAGTCCCCAAGCAGAGTCGGAGGACGGGGTGACCGAGACCAAAATCTTGCAGATCCCCGAGCATATGGTCGCGAACGTGGACAATGGCAACGACGAGACCCTGGAGGTGTTGATGATGGACCTGGACAAAGAGAACGCGAAGCAGTTCTATCTCGAACATGCAACGGCCGTGGCGGAGAAACGCTACAGTAACTTCGAGAAGGACCGGAACGAGCATGTCGACGTGTTCAGCAACCATTCGGACCTGGATGACTTGGGTTCCGACGAAGGCCGTGTACTCCCTACCGAACTGACCACCGAGGGTCATGCACTGGGTACGGTGGTTTCCGAGTCCTCGGGCCTTGCGAACGTCTATCCCAAGGAGAAATATCCCGAGTCGCGCATCGACGCTTACTTGTTCACCCCGTGCGGTTTCTCTGCCAACGGGGTGATTCCCTCTCCTGATCAGGGTACCGGCACCCACTACTTCACGGTGCATGTGACACCTGAACCCGAATGCTCCTACGCCTCGTTCGAGACCAACGTGCCGCACTCCCAGAACGGGCAGACCACGGCTGGGATTGTACAGCAGGTCGTTGATATCTTCAAACCTGGTCGCTTCACCATGACTATGTTCGAGACCAAGCGATCGATGGACGAATGGGACGGCCACAAGGAGGCGGCCTATGCGGAACGACAGGCTGCTCGCCGCATGACCAAAATGGAGTATATGAAGGGATACCGTCGGGTGGATCGGATCGTTCATGATCTGGATGGATATGACCTGGTGTTCCGCTACTACGAACGGCTTGACTGGAAAGGGGGGGCCCCTCGGCTCGGCGAAGAGCGCGTTTGAGTGGACATCTATACATGCCGTCATGCGATTAGTCAGTTTTTCTTAATTGTGTCGCTGGATGGGAATGCAATAGCCGTGAACGTAGTCTGGTTTATTTTATTTTATTTTATTTTTTCGGGGTTTGTGTTCATTTGTTTTGTCCCTTCGTTTTGCGTGGATTCCGATTCTGCCGGACAGACGCCAACTAATTTGCTCCTTTCTCGCGTCACCGGTCGAGCCTTATTATGTACTTTTGTTTCCTACCATTCTTTTGGATGAACAATGCAGCTACAAGGCGAACAAATGTTACTCGAGTGGGTTGATTTACAATCATTCATTAGTCTTCCTCTTCGTTTGCCCTTCTTTCTACCTTGAATATTAATAATATTGTTTGATTGGAAAGTCCGGACGTGGTAAAATAACAACCCCAAGAGGGAGTATTTAGAAGGAGTAGAGGATTCGAAATACATTCGTTGACTGGGCGTAAGTTTGATAGAAGGGCGGATTTAATCGATCACCGCCAAGAGCGGCCACGGGACTTGCCGCATAGGAGCGGAATTCCAATCCTTCAATCAGTCCAACATTCATTCATCAGCACCACCACCTCATCTCAGCGGCTCACCATTTACCAGATCCCAGCATGTCAAGAGTGACTGAATGAAATTTCTGCGGCATTTCTTACAGTAGCAAACATCGGTGATTTGGCCCGACTACGATTCTACAGATGACCCGATAGAACGACCTGCGATCACCAACGGAGCTCTCTTGCCCAGTCAGGGATAACATATCGAATCCTCAAAACGTGGATTCGGAAACGAAATCCACTAGAGCCAATTCATCGTCGTTATATTCATCAGCATTATCATCATGTCCTCACCACCGCCCCCGTCCGGTAACCCGCTCAAACGCCCCTCCCTCTCTTCATCCGCTTCCCAACCATTGATCGTCAGCTCCAAACGCCCACGCATGCACCCTCTCCGACAGACCTCCTTCCCAACCAGCATCGATGCAGACTCGCGTGCCTTCAGCGCGGCCAGTGATGCCGGGAGCGTCACGGGCAGCTTCACCGGTAGTCTGGGGGGTGCCAGTGCCGACGGGGTGTTCGCGTCGAAAAGCAAGAAACGTGGTCGCAAGAGCAAGGCGGAAAAGGAGCGTGAGAGAGAAGATGCCATGAGTGCGCGCGGAGGCGCCGAGAGGTTCGGGTCGCTGGATGCGGACGGACACTCTGTACGAGGAAGTGGTGCAGGGGGAGGTACTGGAGGTGCAGGGGGGGATGACGTCGATGACGATGAGGATTTTGACGACGAGGGTGAGCTGTTACGGAGGGAGGAAGGGACTACCGATACGGAGGCGGAGAAGAAGAATCTAGCGTACGTATTTTTTTTTTTTTTTTTTTTGGTGCCTATGTCATTCTATTCCATTCCATTCCATTTCTTTTGTTGGTTTGTTGCTGTTTGTCACTGGCTTACCCCTTTTTCTCATTTGTCATTGTTACACCAACAGGTTACTGGTGGATGCATTCAATCCATTACAATCCGAACGGTATGATCTGTTCAAACGAGCCAAGCTGAGGAAGGAGACGCTACGACGGATCGTCAATCACGCCCTATCGCAATCGGTCCCGGCCAGTGTGGTCACGACGATCAATGGATTTACCAAGGTTTTCGCAGGCGAAATCATCGAGAAGGCTCGGACGGTCCAGGCTGAGTGGGCAGATGCCCATGACCAGGCAGCCCTGGCAGCTTTTGAGGCTGAGGAAGCGACCTCCTCCTCCTCGTCGTCCTCCTTCAGCACCGTGAGCAGTACTCCAGATACTACCGGGCCAGCGCCTGTCAAATACGAACTTCCTTCAGAGACTTGCGGGGCATCACGACCCCCGATGATGAAGACGGAGGCGGAAGAGGGATCACAACCACGACGAGAATTCAAGCTTCCCCCCAACCCGCATCGAGGCCAATTGCTCCCTGCACACCTGCGAGAGGCGCTACGGCGGTATAAGCGTGATGGTGAAGGAGGAGGGGTAGGGTTCTCTGGTCTCAGTATGGGCAATCTAGAAGTTCGAGGGTCAGTGACGTGGAGCGCCGGTAGTGTCGGAGGCCGACGAATATTCCGATAAAGGCAAAGAGATGGGTCTTGCCAAGATGGACGGTGTTGATTTAGTGTATGGAGTATGGGCAGTTTTGATTGAATGTGTCCCCCTTGAGATGGATCGGGGGGGGCAAACCGGATACTCTGAGGGGGCTGACAGCCGAAACGGGAAAGAGAGTTTGTATCAGCGGATGAAACATCCATTACATACCTTACATTTATTACGTACAAGGTATGTACAAAACAGTGTTTGTATCCAGCATTTTATGCAGCACAATAGGGATTTGTGATTGCCATGTGATATGCAAATTTGTCCTGTAGATCTTTCAATTCTTTCTGACCATGCTGCAAATTCAGCTTCAACTCCGCTGGATTTCTTCAAGTTCATCCTCTTCAGTTTAATCAGAATCTCCTCATCCTTATCACGATCCATCTCCCGCCACCAATGAAGTGTACAACGGATTCTCCGTGCCCCTAGAGCCAAAAAAATACCCACCGGTGTTTGCCAAGAGACCTTGGCGGCAGCCCAGGGGAGAGTTCAGGGGTCCATTTGAAGCCATCCATGATCCGACTGCTTCCCGACCCTGGTCAACCAATAGGGCTAATAAGGCTGATGAACCTGTTTATCCACGGGCCATGACCGCTACTAGCCATCCTGTCTGGCCCGGTTTTCCCTCGTATGTACGAAGCTCATAGAACGTACGTGGTCTCTGGTCGCCCTGATTCGGTCCTCATGGTGTTATCATTCAGGTTCAATTTCGAAAGGGCAATCCTCGTTGTGACGGTGGACGCTTCGTCATAGGGAAAGAGATCGTCCTGCTTTGCGTGTCCTGACCCGGAGATTGTACGGAGTAACCGCTTCCCTCCTCCGCTCTATCTCTATCTCCCTTTCTCTACATTTTCCCCTGTGCATCCAGTATTGCGTTTCAGATGTATTTGATGCATAACCCACATCACCCTCCCCTTCTCTCCTCGTCCTTCCAATGGAAGATCTCGAATGAGACCAGGGACTAGTACTTAGGAGGACCCCATACTCATAGCGGCTATCTCTTGGCACCAATCCTTCTTGATTTCTCCTTGGTCGTTGATTGTCACAGTCTGGGTTCGTTTATTGCTCTGGAGCTTGGATGCTTGGCGCATGCTACTGTCGTTGATCCGTATTTGTATTCTATTCCCAGTCTTGTCGAGATGTGCCTTACGCTGATCTATTTTTGTGTTCCTTAAATATTAACGGGAGCCCTTTTTGGTTATCTCCGCTCTCTTCTCTCACTTTCTCCTCTCTCCTTCTTCTCTCCTCCTCATCCACTGGTCGCTTTCTTCCACCAAGTCTTCTTTCTTGTTATTTCCTTTCTTGCATTTTATTTGTTGGGTGTCCCTTGAGCCTGGATGGCTCTCTTGTTCTTCATATTGTCACTCCCTTAATTTTACCCTCGCTTTCTTTCTCTTTCCCCCTCTCTGTCCGCTCTTTTTTTCCTTTTTTTTTTTTTTTTAACGTTCCGCCCCCCTAATCTTCGGCTTTTCGAAGATTAGTCGCCTCCCGTCATGCAGTCCATACAACCCTCCCATCTGTATCAACAGATTGTAGATAATTTACCATGGAAATCCGGGGATCCCTCGGTCAAAGGTGATCCAAGGAAAAGTGTTAAGTGGATCGATGTAAGCTCCTAAGAGGTGAGGAGACATTCGGGGTCTCCCGGCTAACATCCTCTTCCTCAGGGTCTACGAGGTATTGCGTCCTTCCTTGTCGTCCTCACTCATTTGGCCCGAGGCTGGGACTTCGATCTGTTTGCCCCCCGGGACGATCGCGATGCGACGCCGCGAGTTCTCCAATGGCCCATTCTTCGAATTCCTTGGCAGGGTCGAATAGGTGTCACCATCTTCGCCTTCTTGACCGGATATGTTTGTGCCCTGAAGCCCATCAAGCAGTCTCGCACCGGAGACGTGATGGGCGCCTTCACCTCCGTCGCCAAAAGTGCCTTCCGTCGTCCTCCTCGTCTGATCTTCCCGGCTACGATTGCGTTGGTCATCTCATGGGTCATGGCTCAATGCGGGGCATTCGTCACCGCCAACCGGTCCGACTGCTGGTGGTGTCGTTACGCAGCAGTCGACCTGGAGGACTCCTTCTGGCGTGAGGTCGTTCGGCTATTCGAGAATTTCCTCAGCACCTGGACCACGGGATTCCAGGCATATGATGACCACCAGTGGGCCCTGCTCCCTCTACTTAAGGCCTCCATGTTGGTCTACATTTTGCTCTGTGCGACGATGTATGTCAAATTTCGCTACCGTATCGGCATATATATTGCCATGATCCTGTATTTCCACCAGGACGCCGCTAAGGACACGGGTGAGTGCCGAAAAAAAAAATTAAAAAAAAAAAATTAAGGTGCGGTAGTGATTTGCGACCAAGGACTAACGGAACGGCAGAGACGTTTCAAATTCAAGCCATTTACGGCATGTTCCTGAGCGATCTCTCCTACGAAACATCCTTCAAAGAGTTCGTCGAGCGACACAAATGGCCTCGGAGGATCGTGGCCGCCTTTTGTGGCATTGCCGGCCTCTTGATCGCCTCCTACCCCGGGTCGCATCCCGAATGGTCCGCCTGGTCCCGGTACATGTACCTGATGGCGCAGTACATCTTCCCGCCCAACACCAATGTCGGCAAACGTTACACGGCCATCGGGATCGATATGATTATCATGTCCATCTATCTCTCGCCCTCGACTAAGGAATTCCTCGCCAACCGTCTGCTCCTCTGGCTTGGCAAACAGAGCTTTGCGGTGTACCTGATCCACGGCACTCTGCTCCGTACAGTCCTTTGCTGGATGCTGTACGGCATTTCGGGCCAACCGTGGGAAGACATCGTGGACGACAACGGGAACCCGATCTACGACCAGGACGGCGATATCATCCAACCCCCGTATATCCCGCTCCGTCCCCCCTGGGTCGTGGCTATCAGTATTCCCGTTTGGATTGCGCTGGTGTACTTCTGTGCGACACTGTGGACCGGTTACGTGGACCCGTTCTGTGCGCGGATGACCCTGAAGCTAGAGAAGAAGATGTTCGAAGAGGATGAAAAACCCTCGCCGGCGCTTCCGTTGACCTCAATCTCTCTGCCTACGACTTAAAAACAAACACAGCAAAGAAGGGCATGACGATGGTGATCGCGAGAGGCCCCGAGGCAACGATGATGATGAATGAATGGCCGGTCCATTATTCTGGTATGTTCCACCTATATCAGTTGCAAAAAGAACAAAGCATACATAACTATATTCATGTGCATAACCACCACGCCTGCATTGACATATATACATTGGTGTCTAGATCATTTCGTTTTTTTTATTTATTCATGTATCTATTAGCAAGGGATAATACATTTCATGTCTTCTATTTATTTATTTTTGTCCATCTGTATACACAGTCGGTGTCTACTATTTCTACAGCGGAAAATGCATTATAAATCAAGGATTTCTGAAACATCCGGCTCGTTGAAACTTAACTTAAAACCACTGATGCTCCACTCGCACGATGGCCTAGATCAGACACTAGATTCTTGAGTCTTGATGACACCTTATTCAATCATATATCTCATACGTCCCATACATATATACTAGAATATCTCTTACCGATGGATTCAAAAGAGTTGCCTTGTTAGCTAGTTAGCTAGCTGCTAGCAAATAACAGGTAGATACATTAGTGCGTCCACCGAGACCTAGACCGTAGATTTCACGAACAAAACAACCCAAATTAGAAGAAAAGTTCGAAGGGAAAGAAAGGAAGAAAGAAAAACCACTTCAAATGATCCTTCATTCTCAAAGCCCCCACTTACAATATTTTCATGGTCTCCCTCTCCGATACATTGAATGAAGATCAGACAGAAGCCGACCGTCTAGAACGGACTGAACCTGTACAGCCCCACAAGGTAGTAATAGAGGATGATGCCCACTAGGCAAATAGCATAGATCACCTACAAATCCTTCCTGGTTAGTTGATTTAAAAGAGTCGTGGCGGTGCAGGCGGTGCAGGCGGTGCACTTGGCGTGTATAGTAATGTATAGTCTCACTACTTCATAGGTAGTCGAGGTCTAGATGGATGAACGGATGGATGGATGACGCACCAGCGCAAAGAGAACCAAGTTAGTCAGAACCCCCTCACAGTAACACATCTTTTATCTATTCAACATGAATGGCAATGTGGCTCAGTGAGGGTGAGGCGGGGATACGGTTTCGGGCTCTGCGACGAGAGACTTCGAATCGTCCCAGACCGCGACGGAGGAGTTCGACCGCGAATAGGATGATAATGACTTTGAATAGGACCCAGAGGTAAGGATAGGGCATCTGCATGTGCATCCTTTAGTTAATCTGCTTGGATGGTCTGTGAGGTTGGTTTTTGTTTCATTCATTCATTCATTCATTTTCTTGGGTAGATAGGACATGATGGGTGGCTACTTAAGAGACTCTAGAGTCAGTTACGTACCAGTTGTTATTGACTTCTGTAGTTTCTCTCTATCTTGTTGAATTCTTATCGTATTCTTTCTTTTGTAAGTTGGGTCTTTGTTGGATGGGAATACTACTCACTGCAGAAGAGAATATGCACCTGTTTGATAATGTAAAAAGGAACTTTAGTTTATGGAAGCTGTAGCTGAAGAAGTGAGAGAAGTAATAGACTGATCTTTCAGTGTGCATTTGTTTTCACTGGATCCTGTTCAGTGGATATGACGACTCAGCGACGACTCAGCGATTGATCAGCTTCTCATGCTATCTCCTTCATGCATCACGCAAATCATTCTTCCCTTGTCTATGCAGTTTGCTGTCGGATACCATCATCTTTCAATCTTCCTCCTCGTATTCTGACTTCGAATGAGGTCCGATTCATGCCACGGGGAGTCTGCCTACGTAGGGGCCTGTTCAAGAAGACACCCAGTCGGCGGGGAGTAGTTGAGCTGTAAACAACCAGTCAACACGAAGCAGAAGTTGAACTGTTTTACCTTACCTGAAGGACCTGGCCAAACTCCAGCTTCAGATTGACACCTCCAAGGCCCGGATGAGCCAGACGGACTTCCCCGGATGCTGCTATAACTATAATATTCTGGTGTGAACGGTGACAAAGACTCGAGTGAAGTCAGGGTGAGAAAAGACGCTCTATTCCAATGGACTCTAAATAGTAGTATGAACCACGACTAAAAGGAAATCCCCCGGCTGTTAAAAAATATAGAAAATAAAAGAAAATAAAAAGAAAACATAGAAAAAGAAAAGAAAACATGGATAAACGGTACAGTATCCATATTGTACAGCGAAATGCCACCCCCCTGTCCCACCACTGGTATAGGTCATGCTCACCGTTGATTGGTAGATGCCTTCTTTTGGGCATCCCGGAACGCCAAACGGGCCCTCTCCCTTTCAGCCTCCAGGGCTTTTGCATGGGCTTCCCGACGTGCGTGGTTCCTTTCCTCCCGCTTCCACTCATCTTCCTCCCGTCTCCGCTGCTCGTAGTCGCTCGCCAGTTTGCGATCCTTCTCGCTGAGCCGGGGGCCCTGGATAGGAGACCCGTCGGCATTAGTGGCCGGCGCCTTGCCGCGGGCTTGGTTCAACTTCTCAGTCACTTCGGTCACAACCTCCTTTTGGAACTTAACGGCAGACTGGGCGGTGCGGTCGATCCAGCTCGGTGCCACGGCCTTTGGTGCCTGGTTCGTGGCCTTCGCGGGGGCCTCCGAACTATCCGCCAGCAGGCGGATTGTCTTGCGCTGCTGCGCTGCTGCTTGTTCTGGGCTCAGGACCCGCTGGGGAAGGGCAATGCCGGCGAAATTTCGGAACGAGTGAGAGCCGAGTACGTAGGCCTGCGTTAGACCCACGAAACCCGTGGCGACGAAGTAGAGCTGGAGTGCGCTCGGGAAGAAGGACATGAAGGTGAAGGAGATAGCTGGGAATCCGAAAAGTACCATCTTTCCAAATGAAGAATCTCGAAACTGGTTCGTCCCGGTTTCTCCTCCTTTCTGTGAAAATCAGCATTAGCAACCACCCAACGGTACGGAGGGAATAGGAGCGTACCCGCAGAGACAGGTACAGGAACAGTGCCGAGCATGCCGGAAGAACAAAGTACGGGTCCGCAATGGTCAGATCCTTTAACCAACCAACCGATTCCATGGCCAATCCTGGTACTGGCAACGAAGTCATACCCTTAACAACCCGGTAGCAACCAAATCCAAAGGGGATCTGAAGCATTGGAAGGAAGGCTTTGTAGGGTTTGACACCGTGAGCCTTTTGTAACGCGCTCAGTTCTGCTCTCGTCTGCACGAGCTCTTCACGTTTGCCTTCCTGCATGAGGCGGCCCATCTTAGCTCGGAGTGGGTCGAGAAGGGGTTTGATATTGTTTAGTCGAGTCGCAGTATCCGCCGCCCCAAGCATCGGCTTCAACAGCGCCAGCCGGATGAGTATGCCGGTTCCGATAATACTGGCCCACCATGGCAGGCCTCCCCAGATGTGGAAATGTTCGATGATGAATTCCACGAGGGACGATGGTCCCCAGCCGTAGTCGAGGCCCAACTCTTTGAGATATCCAATATTCTCGGGTATTGCATTGATGTCAGTGACCGACAGATCAGGAATCCCGGAGGCGTTTGCCGGAGGAGCCGCATCGGCGGCCTGGCCGGCAAGCAACGTGGTAGACGAAGTCGAGTTGAATCGAGCGTTGGCGATAGTACTGAGGGTAGGTGAGGCGGGCTTCCAGGAACGACTCCCCATTACAGACTGATTCGGTCGCCCATAGCGAACCGGAAACCCAGATATCGGAGGCCGGAAGGAGGACATCTATCGGATCACGTCAGTCAGCCAACGGCTCCTTTCGACATACATGCTTGACTGGGAGATGCAGTTTCGAGCAGAACGAGTTCGGAGAGACGAACCGAGCGGCTAGAGCGCGAGGAGGCAGTCAATCGCTGCCGGGAAATAGCGGGCATAATGCCACGTCCCTGGAGACCGGACCCGCCCAGCATTTTTGGAAACAGTCACGGCGGAAGAATGGGACTGGGGACTGGAGAAACGAGGAGGAGGAAATCGCAGTGATGAGGCTTCGGCGCCAAGAGTGTGTTTTTCTGCCGGGCGGTTATCGGCATCCATCACCTGATTTTCTCCGACACGAGGAGAGAGGAATATATTTAAGATATATTTTTAAGGGTAAGAGATATTAGTAAACATGATGGATTCTTCGAATGTGCAGCCGTTGTGGCTGCAGCGGAATTGCGTTTCGCCAGACGCCGTTACAATCAATCAGGCCTACTACTGATGCCTGAGGATCTATGTACATAGGAAATCCCCACATATGCGCATCCTATGCCGGTAGAAACAGCGAACGAGTGGAAAGGGGGGAAGAAGAAAAGGAAAGAAAAAGGAGGAGGAGAACTTCCAATACGACGATCGAAACCTGTACCGCAAAATGTAGCTCGCTCAAAGCATCTATACTGTCGATTGTCCAACTGGATCTATTCCAGGGCGGTGGTATTCCGCAGGAAATCCTTTCTTGACGAGGGGATTTCTCGAACTTCCACTCCAGACCCCAACGGTCTCGATCGTCGGTAAGTAGGGAAGATCTAAACCCGGCGGATTGATTAGCCTAGTCCAGGATTGAAGACAGCCCGAAGAGCGATGCGAATCATTGGACCTGAGGGGAACAAGGTCACATACCTTAGTGTTGGACCACCCTAGTCTAAAAGCCGCTTCATGTGCGAACAACTCCCCAAATCCCAACATCAACCCGTTTACAAAGGGAAGAAACAGGTTGATCGCTGCCCCTCGCAAGAGACTCCAGAAAGTCGGAGGCTTGTAAAGTATCAAGGGCGAGCTCGACGTCGAAGAAGACAGCTCATTATTGGCAGAGTAATTCTCCGAATCGGAAGGGACTGTCAATCCGGACTCATAGAGCTCGACCCTCGAGGAGGTGTGGTCGTCTGAACTCATGATGCGCGGTGTGTGGGGGGGAAGGATTTGGATTAATAGAGGAAGGAAGCCGCTGAAATCGGGCTCAACGGAGGGAATTAACGGAGAGTCAAGGGAGGCAGTTGAGACCTAGACTGGTTCCTGGCGGACAAATAGAGTGTTGGTCCACCGGATGGGTGATCTGGGTGAAGAGAGACACTGGTCGAAAGGTTCATGAAGTCGATCTACACCAGACCTGCAGCGGTGGTTATGTAAGCAGATGGATGGTCCCTGGTTACCCAAAATAAGGCACCCTGGATTACGGTTCATTGACTAAGTGAAGATGGCGATGATAACCTCGGAGCCTTACGGAGGAATCCTCGTCACTCCCTGGACTCCTGGAGTGTCCTCCAGATAGAGAAGGGACTCAGATGAGCACTAGACGCCTAGCTGGTTCCTGAGGCAGCCACGGAAGAGGGGATCTTCCGGATGACCAATCAGGCAACGGTGACGTACCGTCGTCGTTTGTCCTTCAGCTCCAAAGCCCACCTCGCAGCTTCTTCTCCCTCTGTTCAGATCATTCCTGCGATCACAGCTCCACCAGCCAGGGTCTCGTCGGGAGAATATCAGATACCCCGTCTAGCAGCATCATCACCCGCTGTCCCCCCCATAGCTGTAGTTTGGACGGTCATCATGGAGCACAACCCCACCGATAACGATGAGATCGTCTCACAGTTCTGTGCTATGACCAGTACGCGTCCCGGGGATGTAAGTAATCTACCGTCTGAGTGATAGTGGGATTCTCTACTAACCACACGTGGCTTCTCCTAGGCACAAGAGTATCTAGCTGCCAATGGATGGGACCTTGAGGCAGCTGTCACCGAATTCTTTACCGAACAAGACGAAGGGCAAGACGTGGATCCCGCCAGTGGCCGATCTGTCGGAGGAGCTGAACCGGCACCATCAGGAGGTCGGCCGTTAAGCGACGGTTCCTCACAGCCTCCTTCACAGTCGTCCCAACCGCCTTCCTCCACCCGGAACCCCGCTCCCAAAAAGCGCTTTGCGACGCTCGGTGATTATGCATCAGGAGGCGGGGGGGCTGGGAGCGGCGATGTGGACTCGTCCGAGGACGATGATACAGTGAACCAAGACTTCTTTGCTGGGGGAGAAAAGTCGGGGTTGGCTGTGCAGAACCCTGACGACGTGAAGAAGAAAATCATTGAGAAAGCTAAGCGGTACAGTTCATCGACATGGGGGTGGTCTCGATCAGACAGCTAATGCTATCTAACTTTTAGAGCTCAACTGCCAGCATCCGACGATCCCAAACCCAGACCGTCTTACTTTACTGGTACAGCCCGCACCTTGGGCGGCGACGATACCCCTAGCCGGGTCATTGATGCGCCCGGTGGATCCATGCCGCAACAGCCGCAACGAGTTCAGCGAACGCTTCACTTTTGGGCTGACGGGTTCTCAGTCGACGATGGTGATCTCTTTAATTCTGACGACCCTCGAAACGCCGAGATTCTTGAGGGTATTCGACGGGGCCGCGCTCCGCTTTCCATCATGAATGTCCAGCCTGGCCAGGAAGTTGATGTGGAGATCAAGCAGCATGAGGAGAAATATGTGAAGCCAAAGCGCAAGTATAAACCTTTCGCAGGTCTCGGACAACGACTGGGAAGTCCCACCCCTGGGGTGCAGGGCCCAACCCCTTCGGCTGCCCCTGCCACTAGCGAACCCGATCCCGAGCCTCCAAAGCCGACAGTGGATGAATCGCAGCCGACGTTGACGCTACAGGTTCGACTGGGAGACGGCGCACGGCTTGTATCCCGATTCAACACCACGCACACCATAGGCGATGTCTACCAGTTCGTCTCTGCGGCTAGTCCAGCCAACCAGGGCCGCCCCTGGGTGCTGATGACTACGTTTCCTAGCAAGGAGCTTACGGACAAGGAGGCGGTCCTTGGGGATCTAGCAGAATTCAAGCGGGGTGGAGTGGTAGTACAGAAGTGGCAATAGAGGTTGGCTGTGAATTTCGTTCCGGGCATTCTCCTGGCAATGATAGAGGAATTATACGTGGAAGACAGGATGCTACCAAAGGATCTATGTAGCTAGCTATGACCGAACAAATAAATGTTAAAATCTAGCTGGTTTTGCTTCCGTTTCCAGCAGCCTGATTGATAAGCGACGGAATGACGCAGAAAAGCAACATCGACCTTTGCGACGATCTGAACTCGTCTCTGCAGACTCTCCACCGCTGCAGGAAAATGCCTCTAGACGGAGTCAAAAATATTGTTTTAGTAAGTGATCCTTATTTTCTCCTGAGTATACGTCTATAAAGTTGAGGAGAGAGAAAAGAAAAGAAAAAAAAAAAAAAAAAAAAAGTTGCCCCTCGTCTGGCTCTTATCGATAACAACGAATCGCCTCGAAAAGAGTCACGATCAAAGGTATCAGATCAAGCAGTCAGACAGGCAGCTCGCGTCGTTTTTTTGCTGTAAACAGACCATAAACTGATCCCAACCGTGTCCATCAGGTCCTCTCTGGCAAAGGTGGAGTTGGCAAATCCTCCGTTACCTTACAGCTCGCCCTTGCCCTCTCCCTGCACGGTAAATCCGTCGGCATCCTCGACATTGATCTGACCGGTCCCTCAATTCCCCGCTTAGTTGGTCTGGAAGATGCCAAAATCACCCAGGCTCCTGGCGGTTGGGTGCCTGTGACGGTCCATGAGGCCGAGAACCATCACCCATCGTCAGCGTCATCCTCCTCTCCCGCTGACGGAACCGAACTTCCATCCTCACGGGGCTCCTTGCGATGCATGTCACTGGGATTCCTGTTGCGCGATCGTGGCGATGCCGTCATCTGGCGCGGGCCTAAGAAAACAGCAATGATTCGACAGTTCCTGTCGGACGTACACTGGGGTGAAACCGACTACCTCCTGGTGGATACGCCGCCAGGTACGAGCGACGAACACATTGCATTGGCAGAACAGCTCCTGACGCTTTCGACGACGGGTGCATCGGTAGCGACATCCTCGTTGTCGTCACGGATGCCCCGGTTGGCAGGAGCGGTGCTAGTCACGACGCCGCAGGCGATCGCGACATCTGATGTTCGAAAAGAAGCGAATTTCTGTGTCAAGACGCGCATTCCCATCCTCGGGGTCATCGAGAATATGTCCGGGTATACGTGTCCGTGCTGTGGGGAGGTCACGAATCTGTTTTCCAGTGGGGGAGGTCAGGTCATGGCACAGGAAATGGGGATCAAATTCCTGGGTATTGTGCCGGTGGACGTCAAGTTTGGGGAGTTGGTGGAGGGAGGGACGCTGGTAGGGGACAGTGATGAAAACGACGAGGAGCAAGAAGACGAGGAAGAGAATGGAATGGATCAGACTCTGGTGGATGATCGGCCGCTGGTGGAAAGGTACCGCGATTGTTGGTCGTATTCACGGTTCGAGGAGTTTGCTAAAGAATTACTATCTGATATCGAGGGGCGCCGAGGATAGAGAAATGTGGGATGCATCGGTTAACTCTTTTTTTCTCCTTGGAGTGTCGCTTCGGTGATATGATCTTTTTTTCCGTCTGGAGATGTGATATCACGGATGGGATCTAGATACTCAAATCAACCCACTGTACGTAAGGCAAAGATATTGATATTTGCAAGACTAGGGTGACATTGTCAAGCACACCTAAGAAGTACTAGTTCAACTACTATTGTCATTCTATACATTCATAAGAACATCATATCATCGCCCGTGTCAACTATCCCAAAGGTCATTATCGTAACGGCATAAATCATCATCATATCACAGGTCTTACGGCCTGGATCATCCAATCGAGTGTACATCGGACAACACTTGCTCCCTCGGCCGTTCCAGCATCGCTCGCAATCTCATCTCGGCTGTGAGGTTGGACTCACCCGAATCTGTCCCATGGCCGGCGAAATGCATGAGCCAACCAAAGAGGGCTCGCACATCGACAATTGTTGATGGCTGGTGTGCCCCCCCGGGTGAATTTCTACGGTCTCCCAGGATATCAGCCCCGGGGCGGCCATCCGCTTGGGCGTCGAGGAGAATCTCCGATACTAGCGCCGGTGTTAAGATACCCTGGGTTCGATCGGATCCGAGCTCCCTTCCCAGCAGTGCTCGGCCATAGGATCGGCGCTGGGATGTAGATTCTCCACTGGTAGCGCTTGGTCTCAGAGCAGCGTTGGGATCTGATATCGGGTTAAATCGCGCAGATCGTAGAGTGGTAGACTCGCCTGGCATGGACGAAACGTCGCCCGCAGGCAACGTGGCTCGCTGGAATCCCCTATATGGAGGAGCCGTGGTCATGGGCGGTCTTGCATGCTCGAAATATCCATAGTGGGAGAATGAAATGTGATCGCGCCCATCCGTCACGCTGTTCTCGTCGTCGTAAATGACCACATTGTCAGACGCTTGCCTTTCATGGTCCGAGCTGGTCTCCTCGACGGTCAACAGCCCACCCGGGGGAGCACGAATTTCCCCGAGCGGTGCAATATGGCTGCCATACTCGTTGGCCAAACTGAGTTTGCTGCGTCCGCAGATCTCTCCGATCGAATCCAGCGTGGTGCGAATGTTAGGTTCGATGGCGCGCAGAATCCCATCGATACTGAACTCCTCGTCGGAGGGAAACATAGGCACCCGTCGCTGAGGACGAGAGCCCCGAACGAAGGGAAAAGACCGTCGAAGAGACATGGTGGGCGCGGGCGAGGAATCCTCAGGGCCGCCAGAATAGGCCCTCACCAGCACAGGTTGCGAGGCCAGCGTGGAGGGTCGGATACCTGGATGAAAGGCCTGTCGGTTCTTCCAAGACTGCACCGCGGATTTCGGAGTCCCATTTGATTGCCGTAGAGCTGTAGTTCGATATGCCCGAGTCGACTCGTCCAGCGTGGACTCATCCCGACTCAGGTGGTGAGCCTGATGGTCACTCTGGCGGACAAATACGGGAGCAGCAGCAGAAGACGAGGATGAAGACGAGCGGAAGGGATGGACAGACAACGGTTCTGATCGAAAGGCCATCTTTCAATGGGCACACGATTCGAGACCGGGTGGTTGCTCAGCGAGTGACGTAGGTGAAGGCGTGGACAGCTGGCTAGCGTTGCACCTGTTGTCTAAGCCGGGAAGCACCAAGTTGGCGGGTAGTCATCTCCTTCTATCACGGACACAACATCTCTCTCCCTCACACATTCACACCCTCTTTCCCACTCCATCCATCAAGTCATTCACGGCTCCAATTCGTTGGCTTCCCCTCACGGACACCATGAACCGGTTTCGCGTATGCATCTCTTCTCCCCCCACTCTGTCTTGATTGGTCTCCACTCGTGAGAACTGACCAACCTCCGCAGTTTGGTGACTCCGACGAATCGGCCTCCGATCTTGACGACGACACAGCTGGACTCCCCTTCCCTGAACCGTTGTCTCGTGCTTCATTTCTCGCCCCGGACTTTGACCCTGCACAGTACCTATCCTCCCTGACCAATCGACACCAGAGTCTCGAAGACCTCCGGCAAGAATTCCGCGACTTGGACCAATTGCTCAGTCGAGAATTGCTGGATTTGGTCAACGAGAACTATCAGGATTTCTTGTCGCTGGGAGTTGCCTTGCAAGGAGGAGAGGAGAAGGTGGAACAAGTGCGGGTTGGCCTGTTGGCTTTCCAACGAGACGCTCAAATGATTCGGGATAAGGTCGAGGCTCGTCGTCAGGAGGTGGCACGGTTGATCGACGAGAAGAGGCGACTGAAAGGGAACGCCAATATTGCCCGAGCGTTGCTGGATTTTGCCGACCGTGTCGAAGAGCTGGAGAAGAGACTGATGATCGGCGGTCCTCCTCCCACAGACGAGGATTCGGACGTGCTCGAGAGTGAGGGCGACGAGACTGATGACGATGACGATGACGATGATAATAATGACAAAGATAACAGCAATGTCCAGCGATCGAACGGTGCATCGGCAACCCCGCTGGTCTCACTCAAAAGACTCGAGCATCATATCCAGAAATATGTCTACCTGACGAGACTATCGTCGCGAATCGGCGAGGAGCATCCATTTCTACGCGGACAGCAACCGCGGCTGTCGAAGATCAGGTCTGCGGTGCTCCTGGACCTCAAAACCGCCCTCGAGCAAGCCAGTCACGCAGGGGAGAAACGGGACACCAAAACGCTGGTCATATTGCGTCTCTACAAATTGATGGGTGAGGACACCAGTGCCGTGGCAGCGCTGAAGAATTTGAAATCTTAAAAAGTGTCTATCAGGGCGAGATGCCCTGGCTGGTTTGCATAGCGTTGGCGTTGGGGGACGATTGTTCATCGGTTTTAGAGCAAAAAGACTATTTATGAAGCAATACCATTATACACCGTGTCCTGCCTAATAAAACATATTCTGTACACCGGGAACTGGACGCCATTGTTACAGACCGCTCAAAGATGCGGCATCGAAGTCATCGGGTTTGAATTCGCCCGTCAGGCTGAAGCCAGGGCCATTGGTCGAACTTAGCACCTAGAATGGGTCAGTCCCAGGGACTATTCATGTCAAACGGGTTCTCGAGATAACACTCACCACCTCGTAAATCTCCTTGTTTATGCGATCGTTGAGGCCCGCTGCATCCTTCTTGACTTGCTCGATCGTGGCGCGCAGGTTGTCTCGCAATTGCTCGGGCGTGAATGCCAGCTGTCCGATGGGGAGTCGAATAACGGCATCACGCTCTCTGTATACCGTACCACCACGTAGCATCTCCACCCGGGCAGCCACATCTTCGACTACCGTACCAGTCTTAGCGCTAGGCATCAAACCCCTAGGACCGAGAATGCGACCCAGTCCAGCCTTGTTCAACGCATCCAAACTATCCGGGTGGGAAATACAACGGTCAAATTCAATCCGGCCCGCTTTTATAGCATCGAATACCTCCTGCTCACCCACGAGGACAGCTCCGGCGGCGCGAGCCTCTTTCTCGTGTCTCGATCCCGGGGGGCATATCACACAAATTCGGGACTCGGTCTGCACGGAATGGGGGAACCGGAGCATGTTGCGAATCACCGGGCCGTCCTTCTGCGTCCTCAACCGGATGTGAACCTCATATTTGGAGACGGTGGGCTCACGGCCAACTTCGAATGCGCGAATATATCTACAGGTCGATTTCCATTAGTTATAGTCCTGGGTGATGAACTGGAGAGGGAGGAGGGAAAGTCCTACCTCATAGCCTCACAAAGCGAGTACTGTTGCATGTCCTTCAGATCCCGCTGCTTAAACACCTTGGGACCCTTTTTCCCCTTCTTCGCACTCTTGTCCTTGGCCTTTTTAGCCTGCGCTTGGGGGTTGTTCTTTGCTCCCCGAATTTGCTGGTGAAAGCTGGAGAAAACGGGGGCCATTGAGCCCTGCCGGAGAGGAGAACGACATGATGACAGGAGACTCCGTGCCGCAGTGGGCAGGAGCGAACTGTAGGAGGCCATGGTTGAACCCAACAGGGTGCGAGTGCTGATGGCGTCGGTGAAGGTGAATGTTTTCTGCCCAAACCTCTCGTCGTCCTGCCGGAGAAACGTGAGCCCGGCGGAATCCCATTTAGGAATGAACACTGCCCCTCCACAATTATTTGCTCTCTTCCCCTCCATATTCAATCCAACTTCACTTCCTTCATTTTAGTTTCCCTACTCCAGAGGTGAACGAAATCATGTCGGACATGAAGCTGACTCTAGCTGCCCGGGCCAACCAGGCCTCGTTGCTCCCGGTTCTTCTCGTCGCAACCTCCGTCAATGAGGCCCGCCCAAACCCAGTGATCTCGATTACCTACGAGGAGACGGCCATCCTTGAGCAGGGCGACAAGGCTGTGGTTCAGTTTACTGGCGTCAGTGGTAAACCAGCTTATGGCACGGAGAATGCTATTCAGGAATTGCGGGCCAATTTACCGTTCCTCAATGCGAAGGATGAGAAATTGGTAAGAAACGACCTAGTCCGCAATGACGACAAGGAAAGAAAAAAAAAAAAAAAAAAAAGGCAAACCCAGACAAAAAGCTAATAGCATACGTGTGTAGGAGAATGAATGGCTCTCGCAGATTGAATCCTTCACCACTCTTGACTTTAAGGCCATTGACCCCCAGCTTCAGCGCCTAAACACCCACCTCCTCCTGCGGTCCTTTGTGGTCGGGCACTCGCTTTCTACTGCTGACATTGCCCTCTGGGGTGCTCTTCGTGGAAACCGGGTTGCAATTTCCGCCATCAGGAAGGGAGCTCTTGTCAACCTAACCCGTTGGTTCAGCTTCCTCGAGTCCCTGTGCCCCTGGGTCACCTCGGCCCTGGAGACCCTGAATGCCTCGGCAAAGGAGAAGAAGACATCCAAGGCCAAGGAGACAGGTGCGAACTATGACATTGCCCTCCTTAACACTGAGAAAGGAGTGGTGACTCGGTTTCCCCCCGAGCCCTCTGGCTACCTCCACATCGGCCACGCGAAGGCAGCCCTACTCAACGATTACTTTGCCCACGAGAAATACAACGGTACTCTACTAGTTCGGTTTGACGATACCAATCCCTCCAACGAGAAGCTGGAGTTCTCCGAGTCTATTCTGGAGGACCTTTCCCTGATGGGCATCAAGCCCGACAGGATCAGTCATACCAGTGACTACTTTGAGGAACTGTACCAGTACGGTATTCAGATCATCAAAGACGGTAACGCTTATGCCGATGACACCGACAAGGAGACCATGGCGGCCCAGAGAATGGATGGGGAGCCCAGCAAGCGCCGCGATGCTTCCGTCGAGGAGAACCTTGCTCGTTTTGAGGAGATGAAGAAAGGGACGGCTGAGGGCCAGGGATGGTGCATCCGTGCGAAGATCTCCGTTGACAACCCTAACAAGGCCATGCGGGATCCCGTCATCTACCGCTGCAACCCTGCGCCGCACATCCGTACCGGCAGTCAGTGGAAGATCTACCCGACGTATGATTTCTGCTGCCCTATCATCGACTCCGTGGAGGGAGTGACCCATGCGCTCAGGACGATCGAGTACCGTGACCGGAACCCTCAATACCAGTGGTTCCTGGACACCCTCAAGCTCCGCCATGTTCAGATCTGGGATTTTGCCCGCATGAATTTCATCCGCACCTTGCTATCGAAGAGGAAGCTCACCAAGCTGGTTGACCAGGGTGCAGTGTCCGGCTGGGATTCGCCATTGTTCCCCACCATTCGTGGTATCCGTCGGCGAGGAATGACGATCCCTGCCTTGAGAGAGTTTATCCTCCGGCAGGGTCCCAGCAAGAACATCGTCAACCTCGACTGGACGCTCTTCTGGGCCACCAACAAGAAGCACGTTGACCCCGTCGCCCCCCGCCACACGGCGGTCCTCAAGAAGGACATGGTCAAGGCGATTGTCAAGGGAGCTCCCAATCCCGCCTATGTCGAGGACAAACCTAAGCATAACAAGAACCCCGCCGTTGGTACCAAAAAGGTGGCCTTCAGCGGCTCTCTTGTCTTCGACCAGGAGGACGCCAGCAGCTTCAAGGAGGACGAAGAAATTACGCTCATGAACTGGGGCAATGCCATTGTCCGCAAGATCGTGACCGACGCATCGGGGGTGGTCAAGGAGTTGGAACTGGAGCTCCACCTGGAGGGAGACTTCAAGAAGACGGAGAAGAAGGTCACCTGGTTGTCTACGGAGGGCCAGGAGCTGATCCCTGTGGAGTTGGTCGACTTTGACTTCCTCCTCAAGAAGGATACGATCGAGGAGAACGATGCTCTTGAGGATGTGGTGAACTATCATGCCGAGACCCGCGAGGATGCCGTGGCCGATTGCAACGTTGCCGAACTGAAGGTGGGGGATATCATCCAGTTCGAACGCAAGGGATACTACCGCCTCGACCAGCCTTATGCTCCCGGCAAGCCGGCTGTGCTGTTCAACATCCCCACCGGCAAAGCGGGAAAATAGAGCTTCCGTCTTGACGGATATATATAGACGGACAGACTATATGATTTAATGCGCCTATTAACGATCATAAACAATTGTTGCATTAAATCTATCAGTTCTGTCCTTCTCTCCAGTCCGTAGATCTTAAGATAGAATTCATAGATCTAAAAAGGGTCCTTCCGAGACTGTATGCCCTGGAGATTCTAGAAACCCTCTAGTAGCTGCTCCGCTGCGGTAATTGTCTTTCTCTTTTTCTTTTTTTTTTTTAATTTTTTATGTGTTTTGTTCCCAAGGAGTGGAGATGACCGGATGATTAGCTCCACCGTTTGAGATTCCGTCGCATTCCTTGAACTTTATACAATTGTACTTATATAGTGATGACGGCATCAGGACGATTACGTCGAGACTTTGTCCAGTGTTGCATGCGAGAGAATCCAAGAATCTCGTTGATGACTCAGCCACGAGACTGGTAACTAGTTAATCCCGATCTGAAAGGGCTCTCTTCTCGACTTCTCAACTTCTTGACTTCTCTTCTTCTCTTCTTTACTTTTCCACTTCTTCACTTCTTCTTAGTCCTTCGTGCTTTCACTTCTCTTCATCTCAGCCATCACCTCTTTGCACTGCATCCAAGAGAAGATACGTATAGTAGCAAAGCTTAGAGCCTCCACTTCCCCACCGATCCACTCATTAAACTTGGTCTTCTGTCTATCCATCGATTCCGTGGTTCTGACCGGACTTGCCGGTTGTCACCTCTTGGCTTGAACCCTGGAAATCATCATCGCGTCATGCGGTCCCTCCCGAGTCAATTCACCCGCATCTCTCAGGCTAAGTTTGTAATACGCCAGGGCCCATGAGGTACGTAGGAATGTTTCCCTGGCATACTCGGTCCGTCATGGTGTGGAGGAACGGTTCCTTCGGATAGGTGCCAGATGTCTCATACGTCAAGACCATCGAGGAGCCATCGAACGAACGAGTCACGTCCCTCGACTGCATACAACGAGGTGACTCTGGGCTCAGTTTCCCTGGTCTGGCTCCGAAATCCAGCTTAGTACTACACTGGTATCTATCACCAGGGAGCCACTCGGAACCTTCTTGGACTCGACTACGTCAGCATGACATTCTTTTCGTAGAGAGACCGCGGCCCATGTGCGTTGGGGGATGGTCGTAATCTCTGCACATCTCTGGACCAAAAACCTTTCCGTCTTCTCCTTGCTTCTACTCCCAAACCCGAAGGGAAGATGCTTCTTTCGTGCAGGGTATTCTGTCGTTTTGCTTGGGACTCTTTCTCTCAATTTCAATCTTTGATTCACTCACTTTTGTTTTTGGGTCCGGTTGGACACCGTACTTAGACGGCTGTAAAAGAGAGCACGAGGCCCCCGTCCGCTGAAACCCCCTGCTGTCCGAGGCAATCAATCGAGGACGAACATGGCTCAGGCTCAGGCTCAGCCTGAGCAAGGTGGTTCGTCGGGTGACGCCGAGCGGGCTATGCACAGTCGCGTCTCTGTTTCCGAGGGACGCTCCTCTAGACGTATCTCCCGCGTGTCCTACAAGGAAGACTGGGCCAACCTTGATGAGTACGGCAAGCTTGTCAAGTACGTCTCCACTTTTCGGGAGGGGAGAGGCGACGAAGGCGCTGGGGAAGAAGAGGTGAGGCGGGTCTGGTATGCTCCCTGGAAAAAGCGCAAGGTGGTTGTCAGGCGCGTCGACCAGGATCTGCGGCTGCTACCAGATGACTGGCTCCTCACCGACATTCGTCAGGGCCTGCCCAGTGGTGAAGTCCCGGTCAGGCGTCGACGGGTAGGGTGGAACGAGCTGGTGTCGGAAAAAGAGAATCCAATCGCCAAAGTCATTTCCTACTTCCGAGGCCCAATTCTCTATGGTGAGTGGGATTCTGTGTCTCCTGACCGGGTCAGTGGAGCAATTGCAGCATATCTAACTTGACCGCAGTGATGGAGCTGGCTGTCCTTCTTGCTGCCGGATTGGACGACTGGATCGATTTTGGTGTGATCATCGGTATTTTAGGCCTCAATGCTTCCGTTGGTTGGTACCAGGAGAAACAAGCGGCCGACGTGGTAGCCAGCCTGAAAGGTGACATTGCAATGAGAGCCACGGTCATTCGTGATGGCCAAGAAAAGGAGATCCTGGCCCGCGAGCTCGTCCCTGGCGATGTGGTATGTCGACGCAAGTTTTATTTCGACCCCCCCAAGTTGGTGTGCCGAGGATGCTGACCATATGTCCACAGATTATTATTGCAGAAGGTCAGATTGTTCCAGCTGATTCGCGGGTAGTCTGTGATTTCAAAGACCCCAACGGGTTTGAGGAGTTCAAAACCATCCGGGATCAAGGCGACCTCAGCAGCACCTCGGAGTCTGATCTTGACGACAATGAGCCTGCAGAGGGCCAAGAAAAGGAAGAAAAGCAGGAAAAGAAAGAGCAAAAGCAGAGGAAGCGAGGGTATCCTATCTTGGCTTGTGACCACTCGTCTATTACTGGAGAGTCGCTTGCGGTTGATCGTTTTATGGGCGAGATGATCTACTATACCACGGGTTGCAAGCGCGGTAAGGCCTTCGCCATTGTCCAGGCTAGCGCAAAGTCCTCTTTCGTGGGTAAAACGGCCAGTATGGTCCAGTCGGCCCAAGGCGCTGGCCATTTCGAAATTGTCATGGACAACATTGGCATGTCTCTTTTGATCCTCGTCATGGCGTGGATCTTGGCGGCCTGGATTGGTGGCTTCTTCCGCCATCTGCCAATTGCCGAGCCTCGTCAGCAGACCCTTCTTCATTACACCCTTGCCTTGCTCATTGTCGGTGTGCCCGTTGGTCTTCCAGTGGTGACCACCACCACGATGGCCGTGGGAGCCGCATACCTCGCGAAGAAGAAGGCAATCGTGCAGAAGTTGACCGCGATTGAGTCCCTGGCGGTATGTGGTCCCCATATCAGTTCCTCAGGACACAGGAAGCATTAGAGGACGAGAGCTAATACGCAACAACAGGGCGTGGATATCCTTTGTTCTGACAAGACTGGTACACTGACGGCCAATAAGTTGAGCATTCGAAGCCCATATGCTGCCGAAGGCGTTGACATTGATTGGATGTTTGCCGTGGCTGTCCTGGCGTCATCACACAATATAGATTCACTGGACCCGATTGACAAAGTGACAATCCTTTCCCTCAGGCAGTATCCCAAAGCCAGGGAGATCCTTCGCAGGGGCTGGCAGACGGAAAAATTCCAACCCTTCGACCCGGTCTCCAAGCGCATTGTAACGGTTGCCACTTGCGATGGGATTAGATACACCTGTACTAAGGGCGCCCCCAAGGCAGTCCTCCAACTGGCAAAGTGTTCTAAAGAGACGGCCGACCACTACAAGGCAAAGACCCAGGAGTTTGCGCATCGCGGCTTCCGCTCCCTCGGAGTGGCAGTGCAAAAGGAGGGAGAAGACTGGACACTCCTTGGTATCCTTCCCATGTTTGACCCTCCCCGAGACGACACGGCGCAGACGATCCATGAAGCGCAGAACTTGGGCATTAGTGTCAAGATGCTTACCGGTGACGCCCTCGCGATTGCCAAGGAGACCTGCAAGATGCTTGCTCTTGGGACCAAAGTGTACAACTCCGACAAACTGATTCACGGAGGACTGAGTGGTGCCATGGCTGGTGACTTGGTGGAGAAAGCCGATGGATTTGCGGAGGTGTTCCCGGAACACAAATACCAAGTGGTACAGATGCTCCAAGAACGAGGCCATCTGACGGCAATGACCGGAGACGGTGTTAACGACGCGCCATCGTTGAAGAAGGCTGATTGTGGCATCGCGGTTGAGGGCGCCTCCGAGGCTGCACAGTCGGCGTCGGACATTGTCTTCTTGGAACCCGGGCTTTCGACCATCATTGACTCGATTAAGATGGCTCGGCAGATTTTCCACCGCATGAAAGCATACATCCAGTATCGGATTGCCCTTTGCTTGCACTTAGAGATCTACCTGGTCACGTCGATGATCATCATCAATGAAAGTATTCGAGTCGAGCTGATTGTTTTCCTTGCCCTGTTTGCCGATCTGGCGACTGTTGCGGTGGCATATGATAATGCGTCGTTTGAACTGCGACCCGTACAATGGCAGATTCCCAAGATTTGGTTCATTTCGGTGCTACTGGGTGTTCTGTTGGCCTTGGGAACGTGGGTGGTTCGTGGCAGCATGTTCCTTCCCTCCGGTGGCATCATCCAGAACTGGGGTTCGATCCAGGAAGTCATCTTCCTCGAGGTTGCCCTCACGGAGAACTGGCTCATCTTCGTCACTCGAGGTGCCGAAACCTGGCCGTCCATCCACTTGGTCACGGCCATTCTCGGCGTGGATGTCCTGGCGACGATCTTCTGCCTGTTCGGCTGGTTCACGAATCAAACCATGCCCACCAATCCCAAAGACAAGTTTGTGGAGACCACGAACGGGTGGACGGATATCGTCACCGTGGTCCGGGTTTGGGGCTATTCATTGGGGGTGGAGATTGTCATCGCCCTGGTGTACTTCATGCTGAACAAGTTCAAGTGGCTGGATGATCTTGGTCGAGCCAAGCAAGATAAAGATGCGCTCAAGTTCGAGAACCTGCTGGGCCACCTGGCGCGGTTGACCGTCGAATACGAGAAGCCTGGTGAGCCGCCAGGTCGGTTCTTTTTGGCAACTAGCAAGGAAGAGGAGGAAGTCGACTAACTCCATTGCGCCGCGGACCCCGCCACGGTCCGGTACTTCGTCGCTGTTGCTTGGAATACTGGACATAGGGCAATGGTGAGATGATTTCAGTCACAGGGAAATGGCGAGAAAAGTTGAGAAACATGTAATACGTGGAGGGAAACTTCTTGTTAATCATCTAATAGTTTTTTCTTTTCATTTCTTTTCTTTTTTCCTCGTATTATTTACTGTTGGATCTTGAGTTGTTAAATTATGGATATACCTGCACGATGATTGACTCCACCGTAGGAGTAGCTATGGGATATTGTAGCTAAGACGGACTATCTATTTATTGTCTCTGCGGTATTTATGCATAATTAAATAACCAAATATATATAATGTCCGATCCGACTCGACAGATATATATTATCACCGTCCACGAGCGCGGTGCCAGAGCATCTCCAATTCCGATCCCATCAGCCTCTCGGCCTCCTTCTCCATGGCGCGTCTGGACAGTGTGCGTTTCGAGATAGAAGCAGTGGAGTCCTCATTGGCCATTTCCACTATATAGAGGTTAGCCTCAGCTATATACCTTAGAAGGAGGGGATCATTACCATGAGCATTGACAGCGGCTCTCTTGCCGCTGAACATGGCATGAGGCACGTTAGTGCTACCATCACCATTGCAGTCCCCTACGGCGAAGACGCCAGACATGCTGGTGCGCATAGCCGAGTTGGAATCGATACTCTTGCCCTTCATAGCAAGACCCAGACTGGACGGGATGGAGGAGCGCTGCGCGGTCGGATAATTGGTAATGAAGGCGTTCCGGTCAACGGAGGAGCCATTGGTGAAATGCACACGGAAAATATCGAACTCGCGACCTTCGTCGTCGTGATTGTCTTCGCCGTCCTGGATCCGTTCGAAGGAGGAAATGGTTGCGTTCTCCAGTTGGACGTTGTACATCTCCAGCCGTTTCTTCCAGTCCGGGTATTTCGCAGCCAGTTCGGCCTCCGCCTCGGGAGTGTGTGTGCCATTCAAGAAGGCAATGATGTCCTGGTTCAACGTGTAGACCTCCAGCGCGCTGGCGACGACCTCTGCTAGTGGGCCGAGGACGCCGAATGGTTGGTCGCGGTGTTCGTATCCGTCGCACCACGGACACCAGTACACGCCCTTACCCCAGGCTTCCTGGAGCCCCGGGGTATCGGGTATGATGTCGACCAGACCGGTGGCCAGGACGAGCTTGCGGGCCGAGTAGACTTCGCCGTCGGCGTCGGTGGCATTGAAGTAGGTGGTGTTAGCAGAGGAGTCGATGACGGGGGAGATGGCAGTGATCTTCTTGTCGACGAACGTGGCCGTGCCGTATTTCGAAATCTGTTCGCGAACCAGGCTGCGGAACTCGCTCGGGACGGTCCCGTCGTTGCCAATCACGTCGTGCATCTTCCTGGTTGGGAGATTGCGGTATTCGCCCGAGTCAAAGAGCACCGTCTTGCGTTTGACGCGCGACAGTCCACTTAGGGCGCTCAGTCCAGACGGACCGCCGCCGATAACCATGACTTCATAGTCGGTTTGGGCCACCGACGCCGCCAGCGCCAGGGTCAGGAAAGAGATGAGGGTGTACAGCAGCTTGAGAGTCATACTGCCTATCTTTGCGCCTTCAGTATACAAGGGTGGAGGGAATTGAAGCGATGCTGTAGATTAAAACGGCCGACATTCTCACTCCTTTATATATGTAGAATCGTTGAGGTGGCATCATTAGCATCTCTGCAGGCCAAGACACACGAAGCCCTAGTGACTGTCTCGCAAAGGGCTGGGAGTTGGGACAACCAGTCGGCGATTCGATCGTTGGCCCGTACGGATCCATTGTGTGCAGTCCCTCACTTATTTTGCACTCTTGGATATAGATGTTTGGATGCCAGCTTAAAGACCCTCAAAAGATCGACAGGAGCGAAAAATCAATAGTGCGTCTAGCGTGCAGAACAAGTGGGTCGATGTCTTGCACGAGTCGCAAGGACGAGTCGAGACGCTGCACTAGGATTTCCTGGGTATAGTGGAAATGGGAACAATGGCATTATTGGTGACAAGATTATGACAGTGATAGTAATGAGAATTGTAATGGTGGAAAAAGCGAATGTGGAGGATGAGGATGTGGAGGAGGCACGCATAGCCCTAAGTCCAGATGCCTGAAATCCTCGGCATAAAAGCAAATCATCCTCAAACTCTCGCGAATCCCGCACCCATCTATATACACTTGACAGGTCGAAGAGGAAAAAAAAAAAAAAAAAGAAACAATATACACAAGAACCCAATTCTCACACTCTACCGTCGACCCGGCCGGTAGCGATACGGACGAGTAATACCCGACCGGTAGCGGTAGGAACGAGTGATGGCCGACTTGGCCGTTCCCAGAGTCTGGCGGAGGCCATGCAGAAAGCCCGGATTGCCATATGCCTGAGTGACATCCCACAGCATGACGCCGCCAAAGCTTGAGAACTTCTTACTGTACTCAACCACCGGAGTCAGCTGGTCGATCGGCATGTAGCCGGTACTAGCGGCCCCCGTGTTGGCGGGCGCCCCGAGGAATACCCGGGCATTCTTGTTCTGAGACACGTTCTTGGCCCAGTTGTCCCAGTCCGCGAAGTTGAAGTTGTTCTGCACGTCTTTCCCGGGTGCGAACGCGTCCACGCCGCAGTAGTTGTTGTAAAACTGCACGAACACCGCGTCCACCGACACCGGCCCATTGAGGATGTCCTTGTCCGCCTGGTCCGGGTAGGGGCATTGCGGTGCCGCCGTCAGGAAGTACTGTCGAGAGTGGTCGGCATCCGACAGCTCGCGAAGCCGGTTCGCGAAGGGGGCCATGTTGAACACGTTGGCCTCAAAGTCGAAGTCGTATCCGTCCAGGACGGCATTGCCGAAGGGCCGATGGACGGCTTGCTGCCGCCGAACAGTTGGGCCACGCGTGGTGTTGAGATGCACGGTCGTATTCGTATGCCGCATGTCCGACTGAGGAGGCCCAAAGGTCTTCCAGATCAGGTCCGCTCCCTCCCTTGCGGCGGACTCGGATTGGAATCCTCCCTCGCTATATGTGGCACCACCTATGGAGAGGAGGATCGTCTTGCCCTTCTTCTGGCATGTCGTGATGTCGGACCTGCGGGAGGGTCAGCCTTTCTGGGATTTTATTTCCATCGACCTGTCGGTCCAAGGAGGAGCGTTGCATACCCGACGTCCGGGCAGTTCAGGAGATTGGTCCCTTCAAACCTGGTGCAGCCGTTGCCAATATTGGCGAGATCCACTTCCGGGGCACCGCCCTGGCCGTTGACCCTCATCAAGAAGGCCATTACAATCACCTAGATTAGTGTGAGCGTCGGTGGTCATGGAAAGCCATCTCCAAACCCTGAAGGTCTTACATCAATGTTGGAGTCTGGTCGAACTCGTTAGCATAAAGGATCTGTCCACGCATATTGGATGACGAGCACTCACCATCACAGTAGTGACTCAGTGGCTGCTGCGCGAGATCTCCATTTCCACTGAAGGAGTTTTGGCCTAGAAACCACCTGTCAGTCGATCCATTGATCTCTGGAATACTCAATCCTATACGCACCCCAATAAACAACGACATTTGAAGTAGAGGTAAGGTCGAGTCCGGCATAGACTTCTCCCAGAGAAGCCAGCCCCATCGTCAAGGCAAGGAGATTCTTAAGGAAAGACATGATTCTATCAAGGAGTGTGGATGGAAATGAAACCAAGAAAGATCAGATCAGGGTGGGAGAGGACCTGAAGAGATGTCGGGCGTCGTCTGCTTTATCGGACGGAAATGACTGTCGACCGCTTCACACACACACAAAAAGAACAAGCCTCCGACCTGGACAAAGAGAGAGAGTCCTTTTATGTCAGCCATATCTATCTTTGTTATGGTCATTCAATCAACAGACCCTGTCAGATGGGGGGTAGCCTCGTCATCCTAGAGTCCTATCCCAACATTCCAGATCATCGGCCGTAGCTGTCTCTAGCACAAAGCTGCCTCTCCGCCGAGAAAGTGTCCGATGTACATTCTTGTCTCGTTGTCAGGGGACCGGACAGTTAGTGGAATGTTGATCCTGTTTGCTTATGAAGTGGTTCAACTTAGTATCCCCCATTCGAAGGACGGTGGTAGAACCATCGAGGGTCATTCAATAGGCAATCCATGGATGTAGTAGCTACCACTGGCGAGATAGTTGTACGATGCCATACGAAGGGTATATGTGCGAGTCCATGTGCAGGAAAAAGCAAGGAGATGGCCAGACTGTTGGGAATTGGGATGGATGGATGACTTCTGGTGGTGACACCGAATGACCCGGTTACGGGAATGTGACCGTTGTCCCAGTGATGAAGGCATGCAGACCCTACAGAGCATGAATTTAATTGATCCTATGTTCGAGGGACCGGGATTATCTCGGTGTTTATTCTCTGACCTCTCGAGAGCTAGCTAGATCGATCACCGATGAATCCCAATGACTCTGTCAATCGCCTCGTCGGAACTCATGTTGCTATCAATCACCCCAGCGACCTTGAGCACATCGACGACGCTTTCAACCATCTTCCGATCCACTCCCCTCGTCCCATGAACAAACCTGACGTCCTTCAGCCATTCTTTCGCGTCATCCTCCGTGTACGTGCATCCCAGCTCCCCTGTTCCCAGTAATCTCACTACCTGCGAGGGATCGGCCTCGAAGTCCCGGATCCCATGATCGAAGAGCCGGAACAAATGCCTCAGTTTGTCGTCCTGTTCGGGGTTCGGGAAGACGGCGGTGGAGGCCACAATCATCCACGATGGCCATGGGGTGTAGATCTCATCGAACTTCTTAAGCGGTGGACGAGGGTTCTCCGCCGTCGCGTGGAAGTATGGCTTCGTGGTGAACTGCTCCCACATGAAGAACTCCGCCGAGGGCTCGGGGGCATCCGCGCCGGTGACCCCGTTGCGCAGGGCCTGGAACGGACCCAAGGGCACGGGAGTCAAGGTGTCAGGTTGCCAGCCCTGTTTCTGCGCCAGCACGAACGACATGATATGGGAGCCACTGAATCCCTGATTAATACCCATTCTCTCTAGCCATGGGGGTGTCTCTCTCATCCGGGAATACTGTACCTGCCTGGTCGACTGATACCGACTCGCTTGTCTTTCAAGTCAGCCACGGACTGGATGTCCTCTCTCTCTCGACCCGTAACAATAGCCCACCGTAAGGGCGTATCAACCCATTGACCGACCATCTTGTAACCCCCAGATGCAGCATCCTTCTGCGCCTGCGCTTTCCCCGCCAGACCAGCCACCCATCCCTCTGTTAGTCCGATGGCAAGGTCGATCTCCCCCTCGCGGAGAGAGGTAATCATGTGTCCCGTGCCGGAGGGGAAGGGGACCAGCGCGATCGTGAATGGCACCGTAAGCAGCGCTGCAGAGCGTAGAGACAAGTGGAGTGGGGACAGGTAATGTTCTACAAGGCGTACCGTTAGTCCAATTCTTTGTCTTGGGATTGCGAGGTCTTTAAATATATTATGTTTTATATAGACGTCATCCGTCAAGTCCAAGTGTGGGTGACCCTACCAGGAACATAGCCGATTCGGATGGTTTCCCCGAGAGGCTCCATGGCGATGTAGAGGAGCAAAGTACAGGAATAGAGTCCTGAGATTTCAGAAGTTAATATATATCCGTTGGAATTCGATCCTGATGGAGCTGGCTTGGGACTGCGGAGAGAAGATGGAGAGGGTCAGGAATGAGAAGCTGTGGTGGGGTCACGCGGGGGGGAGGGTTGGTTCCCTTCTAGCGTCCTGACAACGGGCATTGGGTTTATATACAATGAACGAAGGGAAGATATATAACTAGATCCATATATTATAAGGTCATCATATTAATTCTATCGAACTGGCTCTAAGATCTTCGCCGTCCTCGTCCTCTAGCACTGTCACGACTATTTACGGTGTATCAGCGTCCCTTCGTTCAAGTCATCCGGAGATCCTTCTCTCCGAGCTCCATCGAGCTGCCTGCAGTCTGGAAGGAGGATCGGGCATACATCCAAAATTGCACCCCGAGGTAGCAGTCACACACGCACTGGAACATGGCGCACAGGCGGAACGCCCACGGAATCACCTCCTGGCTAAAGAAGAAATAGCCCAGCTTCATCATGTCTCCGAGAATCCACGCCGCAAGCACCGAAAGCCGGAATCCTTTGCAGGCTCGCGCCCGATGGTTCGCCACAATTTGCGGCAAGGGCAGTGTGGCCTCCACGGCCAGGCCAGTATATCCAAGCGAGCTGATGTACAACTCCGACCGGGAGATGGGGGCCAGAAATAACTGGATAAAGGATAATGCCCCAAGGAAATACGCCAAAAACAACCAGTATCTATCGCCGTCAGTGACCCTTACTCAAAAGAGGGGAGAGGAAGGGAAACGTACGGCTTTGCACTTTTCCACTGCCAGAAACCGTACGGCCTCGAGAACCCGTCACTATTTTCGCTGCTGAAAGGTACATGCTCGACCCCATCCCTCGCGCCCGGGGATGGCCGGTTATCCAGTGCGACTTTCAGCAATACCATCTGCACCCCGATCATGATGATGGCTTGCACCAACAGTGCAAGCGAGTAGTAGTCGCCAAACCAGTAGAAGACCCTAGGCCGCAATTGTCAATCTCGGATAGCACGTGAGAATTGTTCCAGGAGTGTCTCACTTCAAGATCGATGCGATCAACATTATCAGCGGGATGTCTAGGGAGAAGCCGGCCGAACTCCTACTCCGGTGGATGCTGAGGATTTGATCGGTATATGAGGTCAAAGGAGAGGTGATGAGACTGATTGATTCCGATCCGACGTCCCCTCGGTCAGCATTCACTCTCCGTTTCAACATCCAGGGATCACACGTACAAGACCGGCGCTCCATACTCTAGAGCCAACGACACGAGATACATTGTGCGATCGATGGTTCCCTCGGAATCATTCGTGGTTCTTTTTCTTTTCCTTTTTTATTTTTTTTTTATAAATTTTGTTCTGATTGTTTTTCGAGGGATGAGAAAGAAAATCGATTCAGTGGACCCTACAAAGTAGAATTCTCCCGGACGAGGCGATGCAGGTGAGGCGGAGTCAGGGGCGGACTTTCAATCAATAGTAAACAACGCGATCCATGCGAAAGATAGGAGGAGGAAAGAGAGAAAAAAAAAAAAAAAAAAAAAAAAAAACCGACAATCGTCCGGATACGAATAAAAATAAGAATGGACGATGGACCGAGCCAAGCAGCGACCGATCAGAGCTAAAAGCGATGAACCACCGGCAAGCAGTGTCCATTTCCAACGAATGCGTCTGTTGTCCCTCCTGGCGCTGACTCAGCGGATCCGTCATTTCCGCTTTTCCATTTTCTCTTTTCTTATTGACGGACGATCAGCCTATGGTCTATGTAGTCTACCAAAGAAAAGGTACTCTCGCTACAAGACTCTTGCGGTACCCATGGATGCCTAGCATTCAGTATAAGTCGGAGTATGTATGGAGACCTTCCCCCCAATGTCTCTGTCTTTTAGAATTCAATTCGCCACGTCTTACCGATGCCCACGTTGGGCTTCTTCACCACAGCGTACGCAGCCTTTCCAGTGCTCTGCGTGTGATATTCTACCGATGCAGTGAACGCCGCTTTAGTACCCTCCTCGATGACGGTTGCGCTGGTCTTTTCCTGCCACTCCCGCGGGGGATCGATCACCACCACTCTTTCCACCCGAACATCCGACATGGTCTTCAGGTACTCAGCCGTCTTAGCTCCTTTGGTCCCCAGATCTTCAGAGGACAGCGTGGAGTCCTGGAACCGGAAGCGGCGATGGATGTAGGCCCCGCGCTCGAATTCGAAGGTCTCTCCGTCATCCACGTATAGAGTTCCATCTGCCTCCCCATTCTTGTCCAAGACAACAACCAGGGTGTACGGATCCCATCGCATCAGCCCACTGCTGCGGCGAGGTCGATCCTTGCGGGGAATGATGTGACCACCTTGCATCAACAAGGGCACCTTCTCGATGGGAGCTGGCACTGTGTGTCGCTTGCCAGCCCCCTGGTAGACGGTGTAATCGTAGTAGTCGTAGTATTTCTCGTCGTCCGCGATGTAGACGTCCACCGACTGCGTCCCCTCCGAAACGACAGGCTTCGTGAGAAGACCGGTGGAGCCGAAATAGAGCTGGTCGTCGATGGCAAAGCCCGCCTCATCCGACGGGTGGACGTAGTACTGGGGTCTCACGATGGGTGTTCCGTTCACCGATGCTTCGTGGAAGGCGGTGTACCAGGCCGGGAGAAGGTTGTATCTCAAACGGATGGCCTGGGCGATGATGGACCGGTAGGGTTCCGCGATCAAATACGGCTCGCGTCGGCGAGTGTCTATGTGCGCATGGGCGCGGAAGAATGGATACCAGATACCCGTTTGATACCACCGCGTGAGGAGCTCCTTGCTGGGGTTCTGAAAGAACCCGCCAACGTCGGCACCGGCAAAGGGGAACCCAGAGATGCCATTGTTCAGAACCATGGGGAGGGAGATGGCCAGATGCTCCCAAGTGGCCTGGTTATCTCCCGTCCACATGGCAGACATGCGCTGAGCGCCCGCGTAGTACGAGCGCGTGAGTATAAACGGTCGACGGACTTCCCCTTTCTTGCGCTCCAGCAGCGCACCGTAGGTGGCATTCACAAACGTGATGCCGTTGACATTATGGACATCACGGTGTTCCCAGTCCCCATGGTGCAGGTTGTCCTTGGGCATGGTGGTCTCAGGCCCGTTGAACACCGACGGTTCGTTCATGTCGTTCCAGATGAACACATTGGGCAAGGTGCCTTTGAACTTGTCGTATTTGAACAGGCCCTTCCACCATTTGAGGGCCTCGGGGTTGAAGCAATCGACCCAGTGAGATGAACCGGGCCAACACCAGCCGTCGTAGATCTCACCATCCTTGTTCAGGACGGCGAGGTTCTTACTCTTCATCTCCTCTGAAATCGTATACTGGTCCTTGTTCTTAATATGAGGATCAATGATGACCACGAGCTTGCGTTCGGAGTCATCCAGCTGCTGCTCCATGCCGATCGGGTTCGGGAAGGTGAGCGGGTCCCAGGTGAAGTACTTGCGGTCGTCGGTGTATTCGATATCCAGCCAAATGACATCATACGGGATCTGGTACTTGTCAAAGTTGCGGTCGACCTCCATGACGTCTTCATCGGTGACATAGTTCCAGCGGCATTGATGGTACGCGATCGCGAATTGCTGGGGCAGTTGGGTATAGCCCGTCAGTTCCCCGTAGGTCTTGGTGATATCCTGCGGCGTGGGTCCTAGGAAAACAAACAGGTCGATTCTCCCCGATTCGGAGAACCAGTGGCTCTGTGTATCGGTCTTAGATCCGGTGCCCAAAGAAAGAGGGTTGACCGAGGGGATGGACTTGACAATGTCCACCCAAGTCTCGGCGGCGTTGAGCCAGAAAACACCCACGGTCGAGTCCTTTCGGTGCGCTTGCATGAAGGGGATGGCGCCATACAAGGTCATGGGGCTGTTCAGCTCGTATTCAAAAACATCGGAGTTGTACATCCGGTATGGTTCCTCGTGGTTCCCAGAGCCACCTCTATTGATTTATCACTATTAGCCAGGCATCGTCATCAACATGAAGAACAGAGGATCGTTACCTGGTTTCCCGTAATGAGAGCGAATCGGCGTGTTCGGGGATTCCAAACACATGGCTATATCCGGGGAACGAGATGTCGAGGCCGACACTCTCAGGTCCCTTGGGCTTGGAATCGGTGTTGCCACCAAAGGTCTCCTCCCACCAAGTGCTTTCATCTTCCTGGGATTTCTGTTCATCACCGGCAGGGGCATCTGCTTTCGGTCGCCAATGCTCCAGGTTTAGGTATCCCTTGCGGTTCAGTTGGACCTGGGTCTGTCCGTCCCGTTGGAAGTCTACATTAAACGGCGCATGATGGATGATGGCCTGGAACGCATTGTCCGGGCCGTACAAGACCTTGGTCATACCGACCTCGGTTTCTGGGCTCAGAGTGGCGGACTTGCTCAATTCGAGACCTCCGACCAAGACCCATTTCTCTGCCTCATCATACCGCTGCTTTCGCGCTCGACTATCGTGGCGGAACTCAATCTCCCCCTTCAAACGTTTTTCTTCATCGACGACGACTCGGGCGGCGCCCGAGTCTAGAAATGAGACCACGAGAGGCAGTCGGACCTTTTGGTCCGGTGAGATGGATTTGAGGATCGTTCCCTGCAATTGGCCGTCCTTGAAGTGAATCGAGGCCGCATCGAGTTCGTATGGGGAGGTCCATGACGACCCCTTGGCAGAGGCATCGTCCGCGAACGCCCGGTTTCGTTTACAGAAGCCGGACTGGGAACATTTCTTGAAATTTTCGTGTTTCACGGAGACTGGATGGAATCAAGCGTGGTCAGCATGAGCAGACAGAAGATGGTCGTCGTACACCATCCTCACCTCCGGGGATGACGAGGCACCCTAACAGCAGAAGCACCGAGTTCAACAGAGTCCACAAGGACAAAGGCCGGCTCCCAGCCATGGTTCAGTTTCAGCTCACGGTCCACCTCCGACGATACAACAATGGCGAGTGCCGAGTTGCATCTACCAGAGCTGGCTCAGATATTGGATTGGATGGATGGGAATGACACAATGGATGAGGATGGCAGTCGGTCGATCGATCATTCCAGGCTGGCCAAATGGAGTTGGAGATGGCGGAGAGCTCCGTTTGGGGTTAGGCCGGCACCAGGCAGCAAGGCAGAAGGGCACTCAGGCCACAAGGCAGTCAGGCCACAAGGCCACCAGGCAGCCAACTGCCCCTCCGCCCCATATATTTTTCTCTATCTCGCCAACTCCCACGAAGATTCGGTTTCTCTCTTCCTCTCGTCCCCAACACAGTTTTGATTGACCTTCAATTCATTCACCCTATTCTCTCGTCCATCACCATGTCTACCGAGCAGACGTAAGTAGCACAATTTTTCCCCAATGGGCCTATTTCCTTTTTTTTCCCCTTCTTTTCGACCGAGTTCTTACTGCTGGTGTTACCCCTCCTGCCGCCGAACCCCGCTAACCAAGAACTCCCAGTTTCATTGCCATCAAGCCCGACGGTGTCCAGGTATGATCGATTGGACTGGAGTGGCTTTTTTGAAGAAGGAACTGACCGTTTCTCACCAGCGTGGACTCGTTGGCCCTATCGTCTCCCGCTTTGAGAACCGTGGGTTCGTACTATCCTCATCGCCTACCAATATAATAATAGTCCCTCGACTGACGAATCGTGATTAGCTTCAAGCTTGTTGCCCTGAAGCTCTGCTCTCCCTCCAAGGAGCACCTCGAGAAGCACTATGCTGACCTCTCCTCGAAGCCTTTCTTCCCCGGCCTTGTTTCCTGTAAGTTGGGCGTCGTTTCGACCGGAGGGACCGTCGGCAACCAGACTAACTTCTGCCTCTAGACATGCTGAGCGGCCCCATCGTCGCCATGGTCTGGGAGGGCCGCAACGTCGTTAAGACTGGCCGTAGTAAGTTCTCCCCAGCCCCGTAGTTCCGCCTCGTGTTACTGACCCTGGGACTACAGCCATCCTCGGTGCCACCAACCCTCTTGACTCCGCCCCCGGTACCATCCGTGGTGACTTCGCCATTGTAAGTTCCTCCAAGGCAGACTGCCGCTGGAATCCATCCCTTTGAGCTGATTGGCTGACCTTCCGCGCAGGACGTCGGCCGTAACGTCTGCCACGGCTCCGACAGCGTCGAGAGCGCCCAGAAGGAGATTGCCCTCTGGTTCAAGAAGGAGGAGCTCCAGAACTACAAGCAGAGCCAGTTCGAGTGGATCTACGAGAAGGCCTAATTTTCTCCGCGTGGTTCGGCGGAACTGCATCCGAGGTAGTAGATGAATAGATGTTGGTATCCGTCCACATGTCATAAGAAATCTAGCAAACAAAAAGAAATCCATTATGTACAGAGAGATTGGTCCACGGCCTCTTACTGGCGCCTTAGTAGGGTGCGTAACCCGCGGCCCACGGGGACCAAAACAACTCGGGCAAACCAGGGCGTCACCCCAACGCTGGCGGCCAGTCGCAGGGGAAGAAGAGCCTTGGTGATCGCATAGGCCGTCGCAAACTCCCACACCAGACGCACGCCTTTTCTAGACGGGAGGGAGTCCCCGTAGTGTCTTTGTTCTTCTTCTTGTCCTTTTCCTTGCTCTTGTTCTTCATCTCCTTCCTCCACCACCCAGCCCTTTTTCCGTAGCCACCGACCAAAACGCTGAGTGCCGTCCTCGAAGGCCTTACTGGACGTCAGATCCGGCAACCAGTCACCGTAGTGGAAGGCCGCAACCAATGCAAATAACGGGACGATGGCTGTGATTTCATGCAGGATGAGAAAAGAGGTGATATGCGTTCCAGGAGCCCCAAGGAGCGGCGTTGTGTAAGAGCGTAGGAACGGAGGGAGGCGATCGTTGAAGCGATGTAGGCGAGACGGAGAGTCTTTTGGGGTCGAAAAGCACCGGGAGGAGGATTTCCATGGATTGAAGGCACGAAGACGAAGAGGACGAGGATATCGCGACATTGTTTGACTGATGAAGAGAGAGAAAGAAGAGAGAGAGAAATTGAGGGGCGGAACGGACGATCGGCGAGTCCCGCATTTCTGCTTCCACTTCTCATCACTTCAGTTTCTTCTCTTCTTGTCTTCTTCTCTTATTCTCTTCTTCTCTTCTTCACTCCTTCATCTCTCCCACTTTTTTCTTTCTTTTTTTGTTTTCTCTTCTTCTTTCTTTTTCTTTACCCTCGGCATCATGGAGAAGATCACCGATAAGATCGCGGCTTTACCGCCCGATGCCAACTACTTTTCGTTGGAGTTCTTCCCTCCCAAGACGCAGATGGTGCGTTCATCCACCCCTACATATATATATCTCTCTATAAATATATCCAGATAGATAGATATTAATGTAACCTAGGGTTTCGCCAACCTGCAAGCCCGTCTGGAGCGCATGGCCCAGGCACTGCGACCGCTGTTCGTCACCGTCACCTGGGGAGCTGGAGGAAGTACCGCCAAGAGATCGCTGGAGTTGGCTGAGATCTGTCAGCGCCAGTTGCAACTGACGACCTGTCTCCATCTAACCTGCACCAATATGAGTCGTGCCTTGGTTGATCATGCCCTTGAGGAGGCCAAGGTTCTGGGTATACGCAACATCCTAGCTCTGCGCGGGGATCCCCCCCGCAGTGAAGAGTACAACATGCACGGTGAGGATGACAGCAACAAGGACTTCACCTTCGCCGTCGACCTGGTGCGATACATTCGCCAGCAGCATGGCGACTACTTCTGCATCGGTGTCGCCGCCTACCCTGAGGGTCACCCCGCGGATTCCTTCCAGGACGTCCAGGACCCCGAGCGAGACCTGCCCTACCTGGTCGAAAAGACCCAGGCGGGCGCCGACTTTATCATGACGCAGCTGACCTACAACCTGGACGCCTATACGAAATTCGAGAAACGCCTTCGATCCCACGAGTCGGGTGCCTTCCAGACCATCCCCATTCTGCCGGGCTTGATGCCCATCCACAGCTACAAGATCCTCACCCGCGTCACCAAGCTCAGCCATGTCCAAATCCCGCCCCCGATGCTGGATCAACTCGACCGCGTCCGATACGATGATGACGCCGTCAAGCGCATGGGCGTTGACATCGTCTCCGACCTTGTGGGCGGCATCCGGGACATCTCCTACCCGGGGCCACGCGGATTCCACTTCTACACACTGAACCTGGAGAAGACGGTCTCCTTCATCCTAGAGCGCTGCGACCTCATCCCCCCGTTATCGGAGGACGACGACGACGAGGCGGCGCTCGTCGACGGTGGCCATCTGTCCGCGGTCGACTCGTCCACCTACGTGGCACCGAACGGGATGCCCAACCAGTCTCTGACCCGGCGACGAGCCGAGTCCATCAACTCCTTGCCGCATAACCGCGTCATCGTTGACAAGGTGCAGGCCGCCGAGTCATCCTCCAAGGACTCTGTCTCGCACGAAGCCCCCGCCACCAGTGCCGGCATGCCGGCCCTGCCACCCGACCGCACGACCACCCTGCAGATCTCCGAAGGACTGGGCGCCCTGGGCCGCGAGGCGACCTGGGACGACTTCCCCAACGGCCGATGGGGTGATGCACGCTCACCCGCCTTCGGCGAGATCGACGGCTACGGGCCCTCGCTGCACGTCCCACCCCCGGTCGGCCATCGCATCTGGGGCTTCCCCGTGTCGCGCGAGGATGTCAGTACGCTATTCCGCCGCCATCTTCAAGGCGAACTGCACATCGTCCCGTGGTCTGAGGGCGGCACCGAGGAAGGAGCCAGCGGCCTGAGCGCGGAAACCGACATCATCCGGCCCGAGCTCCTCCAGCTCATCGACCGCCACGGCTGGTGGACGCTGGCCTCGCAGCCCGCGGTCAATGGCGTCCGCAGCGACGACCGCGTTTTCGGCTGGGGTCCGCCCGGCGAGGGTTTCGTCTTCCAGAAACCGTTTGTCGAGTTCTTCTGCCCGTCCTCCGACTACCGTTCGGTACTGAAGCCGCTCCTCACGCACCACGGGCATGAGAAGCTAGCCTGGTTCGCGACCAATGTGCACGGCGACTTCGAGACCTCGATGCCCGGGCCCACCTCGGACGCTGATCCGCTGGAGATGAACCCGGCCAACGTCAACGCGGTCACTTGGGGCGTCTTCCGCGGCAAGGAGATCGTCTCCCCGACCATCATCGAGGAGGTCAGCTTCCGCGCCTGGGGCGACGAGGCCTTCCGTATCTGGGATGAGTGGCGTCGCATCTATCCGCGCGGCTCTGCCTCGGAGCGCTTCCTCGACCAGACCAAGAACGATGTCTGGCTGGTGTGCGTCGTGGGTCAGGAATTTGGTGCGGGCACGGAGATCGGCTCGCAGGAGGAAGAGGACGAGACGAAGTGGATGTGGAGGGTTCTAGCGAATAGCAAGTAGACCTTTTTTCTCCTCCTCCCCCTCGTCCTCCTTAATTTTTTTTTTTTTTTTTGAACGCCCTTCATAATTATTGAATTGACGACCATTTCTCGTTCCTTTAATTATTGTTACCTATTATGATCATGACGGCCTTCGCTATGGCGTTGAGATGGCATTTAAATTCTTGAAAAAGAAACAGGTGACCTACTATGAATCTCGATTGTTGATAGTCTATTGAAATGCCCTATATAACACCGCCCCCCAATACCAATGCTATATATATATATATATATGTGTGTGTGTGTGAGTGCAAGATCCTCAAGACCGTTGTTTCTCTGCAAATCCGTGCGCTTCCAGGCCATCGGCATCCGTATCGGGTGTGGCCAAAGACGATTGCGATTCGGCGAATTTCTCCAACGCATCATCCAGTCGACCGAACGCGCGAGGGTTCCGGCGTGGTTGGTTGGCGCTCGAGGGTGTGACCTGATGGCCGCGTAGTCTAATGTAGGGCGATTTTGTCCCTTGGTTAGTCGATTGGACAGAGGAGCAGAGCAGAGCATTGTAGATTAGAGAATGGGGATGATGGTACGCACCTGGGGCCTTGGCCAGTCTGTGCGGGAAGCTGCGAGGTGTAGAACCGCTGGAATGTCTGGACATCAGTGTCGAAGGTGCCACACTGGATACTTTCTCTGATCCGAGAGAAGAAAGTGTCCATGGTGTGGAGGTTATGGATCTGGAGGAGGGTCCACGCCAGCATTTCCTTGGCCGTTAGGAGATGGTGGATATAGGCGCGGTGGTGCTTCCGGCACGAATAGCACTGGCAGCCTTCAACTAACGGTTTCGTGTCGGATGTGTATGTCGACGACCAGAGGTCGAATCCGAGCGGTCGAGCTTCTTCGGCGATAGATCCGGATGAAGCGTGAGAGGGGAAGATAAAATCTAGTCCGATTCCGGCATCTGAACAGGTGCCCACAAAAGGCACGGTGACCAGGTCCGCACCTAGCGACACCTCCCGCAGAATGTCATGCGGCGTTGCCGGTTCGCTGAAAAGCAGTCGTGGGAGACCGCCCAAGGATTCCGGTAAGATTGACAGTGATGCCGACTCGTACAATGCCAGACCGGAGACGTACGGACGTAGATCACGTTCCAGTTCGTCCAGATACAGCATCTGCTGGGTGTTTTCTAGCGGCAGTACCGGCGCGAAGTAAGCGGCCTTAGAGCGGCATTCCTCCGGAACCGCTTGTCCATATAGCTGGTCGGTGGCATGCATCGTGAACGCATGGGTCCGATCGACCATCTTCCCGCGCCTCTTAAAACCGGGTTGCTGGCCCGGAACCAAATCGGCTAGGCCAACGACGATATCCGGTCGGAGCTTCTGCACGGCTTCAGTATATTGGTTGGCTTCTAGCTGTCGGAATCCGAAAGACGTCATGACCGCGATCGAGTTGGCCGTGTTTGTCGGAGGGGTGGCAATCGGAGGCACGCGACGTGGTCCCAGAATCAATACGAGCTCGTCCGGGAAGCAGGTGAACTTGCGCAAGGCCGACTCATGAGGCCCCGTGGGGGTCTGGTAAATTGGGAACGAATTTTTATTCTGCTGTTGCATGACTGATCTGAGCCCAGATGGGCAGCCACAGTCAGTGCCTGGATTCGAGTCTCACGCGAAATCGGAAAGCAGAAACCTACAATCCTCCAATCCAAAATACAAGCTCCCAATGGCAGTCTGACTGCGCATCATATCATGCGCCACATGTGGCACCGCTCCTCGCGACGTCAGAGGAGTGTAGTTCGGCGTGGGAATGGCCTTCCTGCCCGCGACGGCAAGGGAGCCCAGTCGCGGGGTTAGGATGGAGGCTGCGGTCGGATGCAGAAGACTGAAATTGACCATCTCATCGGAAAGCCGCGAGGGAGTCTCGAGGTCCATGATGGGAGGGGAAGTGGGTGGTGCCGATGACGAGTACGTAGAAGTGAAACAAATCGACCGATCGATCGATGAATCTCACGCGGCGGAGAAAAAAGAAGCAGAGGGAAGGATAGATGCCTGAGAAATCGGTCAACGTCGGCCGCCGCGTCTCGACCGCATCGCCCCCACAGCATCTTTTGAGATATTTATTCTTCTTGTTCTTCCACGACCCCATACATAATCCACTCCGGTTTGCTCATCAGACATTGTTTTCTCGGGCGGGATCGATAGTGTCTGAATAGATTGAATCTCCAGTCGATCGCCATGGCAGAACACGGTCCACGCGGGGCGCTGATTGTCGTCGAAGGACTCGACCGAGCTGGAAAATCAAGTCAGTGTGAGGCACTGCGCGACTCCCTCAAGGAATCGGGGCATTCGGTTAAATATATTCGGTTTCCAGGTAGATGCTACTGTGCCACCTTCGATCGCGGATACAAAGAACTCCATCCTGACCAACCTGCTTCCCAGACCGAACCACGCCGATTGGAAAGTTGATCGATAGTTATCTACAAAGCCAGTCGCAGCTGGACGACCATTCGATCCATCTTCTCTTTTCTGCCAATCGCTGGGAGATAGCGAGGTCCATCGAGGAAGACGTTGCCAACGGGATCACTGTGCTTGTGGATCGCTACTCGTACTCCGGGGCTGTATACTCCGCCGCGAAAGAGAACCCGAATCTGTCCCTGGACTGGGCGTGGCTGCCCGAAATAGGGCTGCCGCGACCCGACATCTGTCTCTTCCTTCGGATCTCCCCTGATGAGGCTGCCAAGCGCGGTGGGTTCGGGATAGAGCGATACGAGAACGAATCCATGCAGAAACGTGTACGGGAGCTATTTGGAACCCTGTTCGACCGGCAGCTGAGTGGTGACATCCACTTCGTTGACGCGGGGAGGCCATTTGAAGAGGTGTCGCGCGACATACAGATGGCCGTAACAGAGCGCATCTCCCGTTTGGACGCCATCGGACCGTTACGGAAACTGGAGCGATTGCAGCTTAGTTCCTGATGTGATGGTCACGATGATCGGGACTCTAAGAGTTGCTTTTCATCACAGAATATCCCCGTCATCGTCACTATCGTCAATGACAATCTCGACCCTTGTGGGTACTGTTGGCTGGGATTGCGATAGAACATCTCGCTCGGAATCCGTTTCAAGTTGTGGTGATTCGGTCCAATTCTCATCGAGAGAAGAGTCGTCCTGGAAATTATCACCTGAGTCATCATTTGCTCCTCTCCTTGGGGGATATGCAAGCCCAAAACCTCTCGATAGTTCGTCGTTAACATTTTCCATGTCCTTGAGGCCCCTCGCTCTGGGCACAGTGTCAGTTCCCTGCTTGCGCCTCTTTTTCTTTTGAATGGTGGCCTGCCACTCTTTCCCTCCGTTTCTCCGGAGAGACACCTCTTGCATCATCAGTGACCACGGAACGGTACGATAGCAGCTAGGACAAGCTCCAGACAGTGGGACAAGTCGATCCAGATCCTTGGTAGAATCTAGGAATTTAGTTGATAGACATAATAGATGACTGATACAGTTACACTTTGTCTCTGGGCAGACAACCACCAATTCATCCTTCGGGGTGAGCCGTGCTCGGCATACCTGGCAGTGAAGGTCTTCTGGATCATCAAGGAGAAACGCCGCTTTTTCGGCATACTCTTGTATGGGACCATAGTCGACCTGGATGCGGTCAATACTGCCGACCCTATGCTCATCCGAGCCATCCTGGATGGTCCCATCTGATATAACCGCGATGTGCTCCGGGAGGAAGCCATCTGCGCGGTCACACCAGGTTCGCCACGTCCTTTGAACCTCTGCGGAGAAGAATCGTATTTTGAGAGGCCAAGTAGAGAAGTAAGTCGACTGTAGCAAGGCATGCAAGGTGCCTAGATGGGCCGTCATCGACCTCTTAAGACGATGCGTGCGACGAAGTTTCCAGCCGGCTGTTGAATCGGCCTTCGAGTTGGTCGTCCGCTTGTCTTGATCGTCGTCCGACTCGGCATGACGAGACTTTCTCTGGCTCTGCCATGCCTTTCTATTGACGTTATCGACGTTAGAGATCCGAATCATACACGTCGTGCTTAAATAAATAAATAAAAATCACATACTCGAACTGTAACGCAGCAATCCGACTCGTGAATCCCTCCACGATAGCTACCATCTCCCAGGGCCTCTTATTGGTAGTCTTGTGGGCACCCCCTTTGGTATCCCCATTATGCTGCGCAAGGCGTCTGGCAGGATGAGGCGTAGAGCCAATATAGATGGATGTTTTCGAGACAGTCGACCGAAGAAGATAGCAGCAGTAGAATGCCGGGACCGGTTTGACGTGATCATCAGCCATACTAAATAAATAAAGAAATAAACAAGAAGTAAACAGAACCCTGTTCGAGCTTAATTGACTGGATGCGCGTCACGAGTGAGAAAGTCTTTGATAGATCTCCAGCCAAGCTTTTTGTTCTATGTTACACACGTAGCCCCTCTGAGAAATAGGGATGTAACCGATTTAAGCTTGCATGGCGCTGTTGATCGACTGCCGTTCTTTCTGCTCGTCGAGATCCAAGCGGGTTCAGCCGTCACTGCCTGAGGCTGCCACTTAGATAGTGGGGAATGGTATCCACATGTCTATCTCTATCGATCTGCAGTCAACGTCCAGGTGGTCGAGCTCTGTACGAGTGACAAGAGAAGGGGCTAAAGAGAGGATTTAAAGCTATATAGTATTTTGTACTGTTCTTGAATCTACATCGGTTGAAATATGTATGTGAATATACCGTATAAAACATATACTGTGTATATGTGTACAGTCAATTAACTTAATCAGCGAAGAAACAGTACCCAGCCTGGACAGTGCCTAGCGAGACAGCCTTGTACAAAGAATGAAGGGAAGCTATGGAGTACATGGAGGTAGAGGCCGACAAAAAACCGAAAAACAAGCGAGGTTATTTTAGACTGCACTGCCAAAATAGTCAACTCGTAATTAATCCAACACAAATGCTGCTATGCCGATTCTAGTAATTGGCCGTTCCTGGAAATATCACCTGTGTCTGACGGAGTAAGCATTCTTGGTAGGGTAATTATTCTGCTTTGTACGCTTGTGACTGTGAGATAGTTAATTCAGGTCTGTGTATTTAAGCCTTAGCATTGATCTTGCATGCTTCGACGTAGCATGGCACGGTCTATCGACACAGCCAGACGCAAAGATACGTCCAGGGAGAAAGAGGGTATTGAATCTCAGTGGAGTTTTAGACTTCTAGGTGCAGTAAAAATTAGGTATTGGATGGAGGCAACATTGTAGCATAGACAATCTTAGTGAATATCTTTCCTTACCATATGGTAGGGATAGAATAAATTGGAGGTATATTTAGGGCTCTCACATTCCAGTGAGATGAACCAAGACCACTGCAATCCGGAAACATTCGTCCTGTAAATTACCTGTTCATGTGATCTGAAATCTTAGTACCCAGGTTACCTGGTTAGGTAGGAGTGTAGAAGATACGCAAGTCGATCTGGGCAGGATCAAGAGAAACAAAGACATTTACTACTGTGTACATATCCTACTATCTGCCCGCTAGACTGTTTAGGCTTTACCCTGCATAGCGACCAGCGTGCCGGACCAGTGAGAATTACCTCTGGTATCATTCCACTGGCATACTTTCCCGGTTCAAAACCGTCCCAGAAGCCCCAGACAAGCTCTATAATACGTGATCCCTATTGGGGGGTTTCCGAATCATTTCTAGGTTGTTGGTCTGATCTGGTCCGTGGTTGACGTGTCACATAAAAATGTGTATCTTACCCCATCATATGGCGGCTAGACTTCCTGCCGAGGCATGGGATTTTTTTATTCTGAAGAACATCCACGGCGCGGGAGAATCTACTTGGCAAGGTGGGCTGACGAGAGATACATATTGCATGCACCTAGATAGTACGAAGTAATGGTGTTATCAGTTCATCTCGAGCTTCGGTTACACCTTCTGCGCAGAGTAATGTCGGGACTGGCTCTAGACATGCAGGAGAGAAAGTGCCCTGGGCCTGCCACCAACTGGATGTAGTTGAAACTAGGTAGAGGGACAACCCGGTCCCTTCGTATCCGGTAATACCAAATACCTATTAAGGTGCTGTACATACATACCGGTACAATGGACAATTGAGTTGGTCATGGTCAGTGGACGAATGCAATATCTGAAATGGAGATAGGACGAATAATAACAGGAAAAGGGGCAAAATCAAAAGAGCGTTTCTTTTGGCCCTTATCTCTCTCGAGGCTATAAACTATTAGTTGCACCAGACTGTGGTAATTTATACGAGCTAGCGGTACGGCGTAGGTAGCAGAGTACCTTAACCTACTGCCAGGGGATGTCAACACACCCCAGCTCTTGGCCAGATCTGACTCGTTACATCACCGTTTGCAGCCGAAAACTTAGATCCAAAGAGCGAGTGGATACCAGAAGTATCGTACCGTACGGTACTCTGGAGGTTAGATTACGGTTCCAGGGTTTCGCTACCAATGCTCCGTAAGCTGCTAGAAGATGCAAATCATGGATCGAGTCTGTTCTCTCTTCCTCTCTCTTTTTCTTTTTTTTTTTCTGGTCTTTCCCCCCCTCCCCCCTTCCTTGATTCCTTGGCTCCTCAATTTCAATTCCCTCTTTTTTTCTTTTTTTTTTTTCTTTTTTTTTTTTTTTTTTTTTTTTTTTTTGGTGAAACTCCTTGGGATAAATCCCTCCTTCTAAGTATCTGCTCCACTTCAGATTCATCGACTTCAACCCTTGAATTTATACACGGCCACTTCTCCCCAGTAAGTAGATATAGCTCTCTTGCCAGGGTGATGGAATGCCCATTGCCTTGTACCATATACCGCTACTGTACAACCACACTACCTAGTTATACACACATCTTACCTAACCCACCCAACTTTCGCTGGAGTTGACCCAACCGTCCGATCTCCATCCAACGAACGACGAACGAGCTACTACAGTCAATCCCTCCAATCGTTCTCTCTGGCTAACTCGTTAGTATCCTTTTCATAGCTCCCACCTAAAAATCCCGTCTCGACCTAACTACAACCTCGACCTGCGTTTTGTACTGATTCGACCGATTTCCTGGTGACCTACTACTACTATACTTTTTCCGAGATTCTCCACACGAACTAACCCTCCCCCGGTTCATCTCGGTCTTCCCTTGAATATCTCTCCCTCCGCCATCTATCTTCCCCCCCCTTCGGAATCCCTCCCACTTCTCCTTCTCTGTCCATCATCGGTCCGGTGGATGGTCTTCTATTCATTTTCCCACTCGTATACCATTTTTGCTCTCCCTGTGGCTTGTGTAGTTATCCCATGTGCTTTTCGCATCGGATGATTGCCCCCTTCCGCCCACGATAAAAAAAGGCGCAAATCTTCTCTTCGCTCTCAGTTAGACCATCCTCCCTCCCCCCATTCGAGATGGTGGCTCCGGCCTCAACGGGAGGGATCTCGACAGGCATACAGCCTTCGGCGAGCCGTCAACCCATCCGATCGTCCAGCACTCATCCATCGCATTCTCACAATGTGCCCTTGAGCGCTCGACGCTCCGAACCTCTCAACCTGTCGACAGTGGAGCGACGAGGACAGCCCAATGCCCCTCGAGAACCGTCCAAAAGGGTCCGTCCACATGGCTTACAAGAGGCCCCTACGTTTCGTCCAACGAAGGAGGAGTTCGAGGATCCTGAGGCATACATTCGGAAGATAGCACCCGAAGGCAAGAAATATGGGATTTGCAGGATTATTCCACCTGAAGGCTGGGAACCTCCATTTGCGATCGACACTGAGGTATGATAAATGTCTTTCCAGTCTCGTCCTGTTTTCTTTTCTTTTCTTTTCTTTTCTTTTCTTTTCTTTTCTTTTCTCTTTTTTGGCCCCTTGTTCCTAGTGGCTCTACCTACGAGACTGTTTTGCCTATCGTACAATGATATCAAGTGTTTGTCGCAAAAAGTCATGGCTGACATGTTTCCTCAGCGCTTCCACTTCAAAACCCGTCGACAGGAGCTTAACTCGGTTGAAGGAGGTATGCCCCCGCGTTCAGCCACGTTTGCTGCCGGTGGAGCTCCGCAGCCCAGTTCTGACCCGAACCCAGGAACCCGTGCCAACTTGAACTACCTCGACCAGTTAGCCAAATATCACAAACAACATGGTACCAACCTCAACCGATTTCCCAGTGTCGATAAGCGGCCTCTGGATCTATACAAACTCAAAAAGGCCGTAGAAGTTCGGGGTGGGTTCGACCAAGTTTGCAAGATGAAAAAATGGGCGGAAATTGGTCGTGACCTTGGTTATAGTGGAAAGATCATGTCCTCCCTTTCCACCTCACTTAAAAACTCGTATCAGAGGTGGCTTCAGCCGTACGAGGAATATCTACGGTTGGCGAAGCCTGGCGTGCAACAACAGCTGGAGTTGGAGCACGGTGGTCCCTACACACCATCCCCCAATCATTCGCCTATGGCCAAAAAGCCTATCCCTCCGGAAAACCACACCCCTTCGGCAACGCCACTGACCACTCCCGCCGTTGCCCCCGCGGCTCCTCAAAGCGCTCCGAGGGAGCTCGAGGCAACTCCGGATAAGCCGACGCCTCCGGTCGAGCCGACACCGCCTCGACCGGTGGCCTCCGGATTCACGCCCGTCAATGCAGGCTCTGGCTTCACTGCCGTGAATCAATCCCCGTCCTTTGTGGCGGTGAATAGCGGTCCTACTGTAAAACGAGAAGCAGAAAACGGCTCTCTTACTCCTAAGAGTGTTGCCGAGCATCCTCCCACGTCAACTCCTGTTTCTAATGGCCATGGCCATCCAATGAAGAGGGCAATCAGCCATGAAAGTGGTTCTCAAACTGACAACTGTGATGATCCAAATGGTCGACGAAGTAAACGACTCCGAAAGGGTACGTCAAAGCTGTTGCAAAAGCCAAAAAAAAAAAGGAGCTTTTTTTTGTTTTATATTTTCTAATCGTTCTCCGTAGATGCACCTCTGCCAACTGTTGCTGGGTCACATATGAGTCTTCTTCGCCCCACTCCACCACGAGCGCGCAAGAGTGATAGTCGAAAGACCGGTGATGTACGTCTGTCTCTATTTGTCGATCCTTCCCCAGAATGCTAACTAGATTTAGAAGTGCGAAAACTGTGGAAAGTTGGAAGACCGTCCTGCCATTCTCGTGTGTGATAGCTGTGAGCACGGCTATCATAAATACTGTCTCGACCCTCCTTTGACTACTATTCCCGAGTATGATTGGCATTGTCCTAAGTGCCTCGTAGGCACGGGCGAGTTTGGGTTCGAAGAAGGAGGAGTTTACTCGCTCAAGCAATTCCAAGAGAAGGCAAATAATTTCAGGAAGAATTATTTCGCATCCAAAATGCCTTTTGACCCGGTTCTTAACACTCATCGGCGGGAATCCGAAGATGACGTGGAGCGCGAGTTCTGGAGGTTAGTTGAAAGCTTGACGGAAACCGTCGAGGTGGAGTATGGCGCCGACATTCACTCGACTACTCATGGTAGTGGATTTCCTACCCAAGAAAGGAGACCGGTCGACCCATATTCACACGACCCCTGGAACTTGAACATTCTTCCATTCTACGGTGATTCGTTGTTCCGTCATATCAAGTCTGATATTTCCGGCATGACGGTCCCCTGGGTTTACGTCGGCATGTGTTTCTCAACGTTCTGCTGGCACAACGAAGACCATTATGCCTACTCGGCCAACTACCAACACTTTGGCGCCACCAAGACATGGTATGGGATCCCTGGGGCGGACGCGGAGGCCTTCGAGGAGGCGATGCGCCAAGCAGTCCCCGAGCTATTCGAGGGCCAGCCTGACCTCCTCTTTCAGCTTGTCACGTTGATGCCGCCAGACCAGCTCCGGAAGGCTGGTGTCAATGTTTATGCACTTGACCAACGTGCTGGACAGTTTGTCATCACTTTCCCTCAGGCGTATCATGCGGGGTTCAACCACGGTTTCAATTTCAATGAAGCTGTGAATTTTGCGCCCGCCGACTGGGAACCCTGCGGAGCAATGGGTGTCGAGCGTCTACAAGCTTTCCGACGCCACCCGTGTTTCTCACACGATGAACTGCTGCTCACAGCAGCGGCTCACGACACATCCATTAAAACCGCCAAATGGCTAGCCCCTGCTCTCCAGCGGACCTGCGCACGGGAGCTGGCCGAACGCGCTTCGCTAGCAGCCCGACACCGAGAAGTAGCTCCTCATAATTGCTCCTTCGGAAACCAAGATCCCGCGGCGACCGGCGATTGCCGGCTCAAATTCGCGGTGGAAGAGGAAGACCTTCCCGAGGATGACTACCAGTGCCACTTCTGCAAGGCCTTTACCTATCTGACGCAATTCCGCTGCCATAAGACCGGGAAGACCGTTTGCCTGACCCATGTGGATACGTATGATTGCTGTGGAGAACCGCTAACCCAAAGACTACTTGGTCCCGACCACACATTGCGTTATCGGTTTAGCGATGATGGATTGAAAGCATTGGTGCAAAAGGTTCAAGAGCGTGCCAGAATCCCTGAAGCTTGGGCCGAGAAACGTGACAAGACTTTGGAAGAAGATCCTAGGCCGCAGTTGAAGGTCCTTCATAGTCTACTCAATGAAGGTGAGAAAATCCCATACCACTTGCCTGGTCTCCAAGATCTTGCGGCCTTCGTTCAACGCTGCGATAAATGGGTTGAAGAAGCAACCAATTATATCACCCGGAAGCAGCAGAACCGGAGGAAGAACGAGAAGGCCTGGCGCAAAAGTACCTCGAAGGCCGCGCAGGCGGAAGAACGTGATCGTGAAGTCCGCAGAGTAGAGAACATCTACGCCCTTCTTGCAGAGGCTGATAAACTGTCGTTCAACTGTCCACAGATGGCGGCTCTGGAAGAGAAGACCCGCGAGATCGAGAAATTCCGCCAGGACGTTAACGTTGCCCTCTTGAATCCCCATATTCGATCGGTCCAGGAAGTGGAAGAGTTGGTAGAGTCCTCGCACAATTTCAACGTCACCATCCCCGAGGTAGAAGGACTGGAACACATTCTCCGGCAAATGAAGTGGAATGACGAAGCACGCCGCAAGCGTGAACAGTATTTGACCCTCAAGGAATGCAAGGAGCTCATTCTGGCCGGTGAGCAACTGGGATTATCGGAAACCAATGACCATCTACTCTATTTCAAGGATCTTTGTCGGCACGGTGAGGCCTGGGAAGCTAAAGCCAAAGAATTGATGTCTGTAGAAGCTGTTCATTATCAGCAACTTGAAGCCTTGTCGGCGCAGGCGTCCCGCTTCCCTGTCTCGCCCGATACGCTCGCGGCAGTCGATGCCATATTAACCAAGCAGCGTGAAGCACAGAAAAAGATCCAATCCCTGTACGAAAGGAGCAGGGATCCCGATTTCCGAAACCGTCCCAAGTATAAAGAGGTCCGCGAACTGATGGAATCCCTGGAAGAACTGAATAGTCGGCCCACCGGCGCCATTGACCTGGAGCGAGAGCAGAAACGCCATGAGGACTGGATGAGGAAGGGCAAGAAATTGTTTGGAAAGGCTAACGCCCCACTGCACATCTTGAAATCCCACATGGAGTACGTTGAGAAGCGAAATTCCTACTGTTTTGATCTGGAAGATCGATGTCGGCCTCCCGTGGAACCCGCGTCTCGCGATAACAGCCCGGATGGTCTGTTGGAGAACAACCCGACTCCCAGCATGTGGGGCGGTGGGAAATCACGGAAGCGGGATGTCTTCTGCATTTGCCGACATTCCGAGGCGGGCATGATGATCGAGTGTGAGATATGCCATGAATGGTAGGTTCCTTTCTTTTCTTTCGCTGTGTGGTCTGTCCCCCAGAGATGGAGAACCGGCTGACCCTTCGATTCTCTAGGTACCACGGCAAATGCCTCAAGATTGCCCGAGGCAAAGTCAAGGAATTCGACAAGTACACTTGTCCTATCTGTGATTGGCGCCAGAAGATCCCTCGAGATGCTGCTCGCCCAAAGCTGGAAGACCTCCAGGAATGGCAGGCAGAAATGGCCGGCCTACCATTTCAGCCCGATGAAGAAGAGATCTTGGAAAACATCCTCAACCAAGCGACTACTTTTCGTGATTTCCTACAAAGTTTCACCAACGCTGCCTGTACCACCACCGAAGAAGTTCCGACCTTGATATTTTATCTGCGGAAGATCGAAGGCGCCGAGGTTCTGTTGGCGTATGAGACGAATTTCTTCCGACAAGAGATCCATAAATGGGCTCCCGTGGCCCCTGAGCCTCCGCCGATCCTGGAGCAGTCGCTTTCCACTCGTAAGCCGCGTCCAACCAAGCAACAGAAGATCATGGCGCAATTGGGAGTCGAGCGCCCAGAAGACCTTCCACCTCATCTGCGTACGAAACAGCCTCATCCCACCAAGCGCAAGTCTAGTGAATCACAATCGGGCAGGCCCTCATTTCTTCAGCCTCAAACTCCTGGCGAAGGTCCTAACCCGGAACCAGGTCACTCTGGACCTACTTTAACCACGATGGCCGAGACACAAACCTCTCCCTACCCTTTCTCTGCAAACTACTCCCTCCCTGGAGGCGATTCTACCCCCGCATTCGCTCCAGATTCCTCGGCATTTCTGCCCCATGCTGCGGTGCATTCTCCCTCATTCCCCGCTCGTTCTCCCTCGCCACATCACCGGGTGCTGGATACGTCCCTCTTCAGTTCTCCCCAATTCAACCGGGATCAAAATGACCAGACTCCCGGGGTGAACGTCGATAACCAAGACCCGTTCGACAGCAGCCCGAGACAAAACTTTGACGATGTGTTTGCGGACTTGACGAATGCTGACCCGGATCCGGAGGTGGAACCAGAAACCGAGCAAGAAATCGAGCCTATGGAGAACACGCATGCTAATGAGGCGCTAGAGGTTCTCGACGCGAGCAATGAGGGCCATACGGAATCCATGGATGACGAACCACAGGATGACAAACCTGCCAAAGCTTCGACTGAATCAGAGGTTGCTCCCAGTGCAGAAGAGGTTTGAGACTACTAATATACAACGGGAATGGACCATTCCAGTATCCACTTTCTTTACGCTGATTTAAAACAACCTGGACTTCTTATGAGGATTCAAATGCAACGATAACCTTTTATTTATTTATTTACTTATCTATTTTATTTTTCTTAACAAGTCGAGTCGAATCCGTGGTGGCCAATTAATCTTGCATTTCGGCCGGTATTCTGGCGTTTTCGAGTCACTCGGTGGCTTTCTCGTGTTTTGTTCTGTATGAGTTAATGGAGTTCATGTTATTGAATGTCCTTGGTCGTTGATATGCTTTCTGTTTGTGTACCTTGTTATGCACTTTGTTGTGTTTCTATTTCTTTTTTCCTTTTCCTTTTTCTCTGCTTTTTTTACAATTAAACGACCCCAGGGCCTTGGTACTGATGAGTTCGGTGTATCAGAGGGGTTGGAAGTTAGGGAGGTTCATATCTGTCTCTTCTTTCTACTTTTTCTGCTCTTGTTCAGCTTTTCCTTTTTTTTTCTCTTTTGATCTTTGTCTTTCGCAAGCTGTGTGTAATACTATTCGAAGTGCGTCTTCTGTATGCCTAATAAATAGACTCCTCTGGCTGATAGCTTTACTGTGGACATCTGATACTTGATACTGTAGGGGGCCAAGAGATCTATAACATAAATTATAGCGTCTCCAATTCGACATGCGGTAATGAATGATCTGCACCACTCTCTGCACCCACAAAGACCCCAGCGTATTTAAATGGTGGCACGGTTGTCCGCTGGATGTTGGAGGCGCGATATCATGTATGTCTTGCGTTGCCTATCTATCCAGATATTGAGGATGGTAGTGTTGGAGAAGAGAAGGTGGAACTACCACATTGGCGGTATCAATAGCATATAAGGAAGCCAAGTTACTTTTCATTCCACTACCTCCTAATCCCCCTACCATGAAAAAGGACCTACTGATCCAGATGGCGGCCTACGAAGGTAATTTCGACCGATATGCATGGCTAATGCGCCCAGGCTATATATAAGACAAGGAATTGCACTGCGTGGTCCGCGGGATATACCATAATACCATGTTCGCGCGCTGGTGGGCCGAACAGCTCAAGGTCAACCGAGATCGCATCAGGCTTCGTGGAAATAGCCAGGAAGCAATCTGGATAATAAGTCAGGCTATTAATACTCGTCGCGTGATAATTAATAATATTTTAGGCTTAAATAACAAATCCTATCTACCATACATAATTTGGTGGCCTCTAAAGCCCATATAGTATACACTCCCGAAACTCTAGCTAAGCAATGCCCCAAAATAAAATGTCAGATCGCCATTGCATGTGTTTTCTGTGATTACAAAAGCCTGTACCGCAGCCTGCAGGTCGTACCACACTACCACATCTGGCTGGCCGCAAAACAAAGCCCCAACCCATTCTATCGCAGGACCTGGAAACGCGTGCAATTGAGCAGGGCTTTAATGTTACAGAAAAGATATATTCCTGGACAGGAGAGTCTTCAGACTGGTTGGCAAAAGACTTAGAGCCTACTAACAATGCAATATACTCGCCCCTTACTCTATTTTTTATATTAAATAGCGGCCAAAGAGTAGGTACATATTTTAACTATTTAATAGATTCAGGTATTATCGAGCGCTACGTGTTTTAACGGCCAGATCTCTTGCACAAATTGGAGGTTCTTTGCGATGGGTACTGCCCGGGATACTTAGACTGTTGAGAGGAGGAAGAGCTTCTGGAGGAGGCGTCTGGGAGGACCGAACCAGGGATATAGCAAAATTGTAACCCACCAAGTCTCGGTGTGTTAATATCCGTCTTGTGATAGTTAACAATAAGTGTATTTCTTAAGATAATGTGATTCACAGCTCTGTAGAGATAAAATTATACAGCACGTAGACAATACAAGAGCATTCGTATTAGAGGGGCATATCTAACTAACCCCAATCTACCCATACAGACAACTGGCAGGAGAATACTCTGCAGGTGCAGTCTTGCATTACAAAAGGGTAAGAATAATAGCATGGGCTATTTATTCTGTACCCTGAGGATCGGCCACAATTTCCCTTGCTGACGCTCTTATAGGTCGCTTAAACTATAATAATCTACCTGTAATTTGCCCCCGCTGTATTGCGTCCCCCTCTTATAATACCATTCAGAAGCAATACACTCCTAAGGTAGCACGAGATCAACAGATACATCCCAGTCCACAGTTTCTGTGCTGTGGATGTTGCGAGAGATTGTGTTTAATTATCTTGCCTAATACAATAATTAATGATATCGGGACCTTTAGGCAGCTTTAGTGTAGGTATTGCATATTACCACATCAAAAGTATCTTTACACCCAAGAATTTCGAAATATCGGCCGCTTTTCGGAAGCTCACAACTCCTCCAATTTAATAAATATAACTCCACAGTCTAAATGACAAATAGAACAGTCAATACTTAGAGTACCAGCCATTCGCTTTTCGAACTGCCTCAAGTCTTCGCCCAAGAAGAGCTAATAGATACATGGAATTCACTCCAATCTAGCAGAGATTTGCCCTGTACGTAGATAGAGTAATAGAAAGTCTTTTAAAAGCTGGTTATTTAAAGGCGCCATACATGCTCTATAGGATTTAAACCAGGTGAGTGTGGCGGCCAATCTAGGACCCAAATCCCATAACTTTTAAACCACTCCTGTGTTACCAAAGCAATATGAATCTTAACATTATCTTGCTGAAATATAGTTCCAGGTTCGTAATTTGGAATAAGGCCTTCTTCAAGTGTATCTATACAGGATTGGGCTGAATATCCACCTTGAAGTGAGTTTTTATCTTTCTCTATAATCCCCAATTTTAAGCGGCCACCAATCCAAATTCCACACCAAATAGACTTTGAACACTGCACTCATCGGAAAAAATAAAGGAATTAAAAACCCTTAAATCACACCACGGCTGTGCAAATTCTAGCCGTTTTTTAGCATCTTCTTTCCTTAAGGGATACTCTTACTTTTCCACTTTTTAAGATAGCAGGCGTTCATTGCACGGCGTACGGTTGAGACAGACGCTGTAATAGGGCAGCTAGCGACAAGCTCTCTCCAACTTAAGGAAGGAAACCGACGCACGACTAATAGATGTAACGGATAGTGGATTGCTGAATCTTTTACGACGACTGCTGCGAGGGCAATGGCTATAATGTGCCTCTGTACGCACGCCTGGGGGCTCTGCAATATTGCTATACTAGCTACTAGGATGCCTACCTGAATGCACAGGCATGCTTTGATGACCATGAACCCCAGCCAAAAGTACGTCTAGATCGTCTTCCTCGTCTGGTCCCATTGTTCATTGATTGCCATTTTTTTACTTCCAGAACGGAATAGCAAGCTTCCATGGGTCAAATCTGGTCGTTGTGATCTGGGCGAAGAGAGATGGTTTGAACCGTGCTGGAACCGACGTTTACTGCTCGAGGAAATTTCATGAAAAATATCAGCCGGTTCCTTATACATCCCCCGAGCAAAGATTCGATGATCATGAGCCGAAGCTCCGAACAACAGCCACGCCTGAGCACCAGCCTGACCAACTTGGAGTAGATGTCCCACCTTGCCAGCCTCGACCGGTTTGTACCACCTACCAAGTATGCCGTTGCTACCACTGAGACAGACCTTGTTGGATGATAAAGATCCTACTATACTTTTAGGCCTCCCCTGCCCCTCTGCCTTAACCTGGGACTACCATAAGAGAGGAAGTCTTGCCTGCGTTATCAACTAATTCGGGGTGAGTGCGAAATGGATTCTTTCGGCATTCAACATGCTAGTCAGTTAATCTAGAATAATATACTGAATCAATATATCGGTTCGAATATCTAAGAAAGAATTGTAGACGGATAGAAATAAAAGAAAATAAATAAAGAGCAATAGGGAAGCTGACAAAAAAGATAGAAGGGTTGGTTCTACAATACGAATGGTCAATCACGACATGCGGGGTGGCGAGACTAAAAACAGGGGAATTTCCACCTTTGCGAATTCCTCCACAACCACCCTATACAACAATAACAATGACAGTATCAACGCAGATCCGTCGAATTGCCGTCGTCGGTGCTGGTCCATCTGGTCTGGCGGCGGTGAAGTACGAACCTTGAGTCCCTCGTAAAGTTACGTCCGCTGACCGGATTCAGGTACCTCCTCGCAGAGAAATGTTTCGACAAAATCGATGTGTTTGAGCAGCGGAGTTCGGCCGGTGGAGTCTGGAGCTATTCCCCTGGAGCATTAAAACAGGGTCTATCGCTGCCAGTGCCGCAACTCAATCCGAACGAACCGCTCGAGGAACCTATCTGGAGCTCTGCAGGAGAGCCGGTTTTTGTCTCTCCTATTTATAGCACCCTGGATACCAACCTTCCAAAGGAACTAATGGCTTACAGCGACAAGCCATTCCCGGCTGATTGCCAGGTTTTGCCCAGGCATACAGTCGTGAAGAAGTACCTGGATGAGTATGCAGAGAACGTGAAAGAGTTTGTTCGGTTCGAAACCCAAGTTGTGGACGTGAGACGCAGTGGACCAGGAGCGAATCGCTGGGTTCTGAGAGCCAAGAACTTGCGCACGGGAGTCGACAGCACGAATGCTTACGATGCTGTCGTCGTCGCCAGCGGACATTTCAATGTCCCCTACACCCCTGATATCCCTGGGATCAAGGATTGGAATAAGACCTATCCGGGAGTCATTTCTCACTCCAAGCTATTTGACTCGCCGGAAGCTTTTCGGGACAAGAAAACGATTGTCGTTGGAAGCTCCGCATCGGGGATTGACATCGGTAGCCAGATCAGCGCAGTGAGCAAAGGCAAACTGCTGGCTTCTCAGAGGTCCGAGTCCTTCCTGGCGCCTTCGACTGCCACAGACAAGGAGTATTTCCCCGAAATCGTAGAGTTCCTACCGCCAACTCAATCTACAAGGGCCGTACGGTTTGCCGATGGTCGGGTCGAAGCAGAGATCGATGCAATCGTCTTCTGCACCGGCTACCTTTACTCGTTCCCTTTCCTATCGTCCCTGGATCCTCCGATCATTACCGATGGTCGCAGAACATTAAACACCTATCAACATCTCTTCTATATACACGATCCCACGTTGGTGCTCCCTGTCTTGCCACAGAGAGTCGTACCATTTCCGCTGTCGGAGAACCAGGCCGCTGTTTTCGCCCGGGTCTGGTCCGGACGGCTCACTCTGCCATCTCTATCCGAAATGAAAGAGTGGGAGGATTCGACCGTGGCGAAAAAGGGTAATGGGACAACATTCCATCTGTTACCGTTCCCGCAGGATGCGGAGTACATGAACTTCCTCTATGAATGGGCCGCGCAGGCTGTAGCCCATCCTGGAGTGGGGGATATTGGAAACGGGAAACGAGGCAACTATTGGGGAGAAAAGGAGAAGTGGATGCGACAGTATTTCCCCGAGATTCGAAGGGCGTTTCTCCAAATGGGCAAGGCCAAAAAAAACATCCACAGCGTCAAACAACTTGGAAGGGATTTTGAAACTAGATGATCGCATGGGGTGATTCTAGAGTAGATAGACTTTGATAGAGGGATAGACCAGATACTCCGTGCTCAGGTAGAATACATACACTATTCAGAAAGAACAGCGTCATCGATTGTGGAGGCCATGGGTCATCACGTGCCCGGCGATCATCCGCCCCTCGACCGGGATTCATTCATTCATTCTCTCTTTCATACTTCTCGACTCTCTTGACCTCTTGCGAGTCCACCTTTGGTACGCCAATCAACATATCACACGAATTATTCCCCATTTACGACTCTTCTTCTTTTCTTTCCTTCTGACATACCGCTTTGTATTGTTTGGACCCTACATCATGGACTGCACTTCGCCGATGCCATCCGGCGCATAATGTGGCGCAAGCGCAAGGCCCCCTCTCCTGTGTCTACGCATACTACAGACCAACATAGGAAAAAGAAGCGGAAACAAAAGTACTTCGTTATCTCCAGTGACAACGAGAGCAAGGACAGCCACGAAAGTTCCGACTTGGCGGAGGACGAGTGGCCCATCAACTGTATACTTGACGAGACAGAGTCCCAGTATTTGATAGATTGGGAAGGACCTTGGTCACCAACTTGGGTGAGTCGGGCACTGCATGCACACAGATTATCTCACTTGGCTCTGTAGACCGGCGCTTGACCTTGGATTTCAATTGACAGCGAAGCCCATGGTTAGGAACCGAAAGAGCACGCCAACGAAATTGCCGTTCGGACTTGGGAAGACAAGAAGCAGCAACGTCCGCAAAACGTAAATCGACTGTCTGAATCCACAAAGAGTGAGTCGTCAGCACCGCGCGCTCAGGGTCGCAACGGGGAAGCCTGTCACCCGCCCGAGCCACACTCTAGTCGCGAGCGATCTCCGTTATTTGTCCCGGTTGATACCATATCAGAAACCCCTCAGGCTCAGGAAACCAGCGGAGCTATAGACCACCCAGAGCCGAGCCCGTCACAGTTACCAGGGCCTCAAGTTTCTAGATCCGAGCGCAGCGGTGCAACCATCTTCAAACTTAAGCAGCCGACACCGGCTACGCCTGGAGTCACAGATCCCTTTGAATACGCAGAAAGTCCTATTCCAGCAGAGTATCTACTTTCTGGAGAATTTTTGCATAGCACAGATATTTCTAGAGAGGCCTCCCTAACTCCCAATAGGGAAGACCCGAGGCCTGACGGGCTTCTAGCATCCGACACAACTGGCACTTACATGCCCCCCAAATCGGCTGGATTGTCCGCCAATAAAGACCTGCTTGCTGTATCAGTCGGTAGTCGGACCAAGGCAGAAATAGCCGAGACCCCACCTCACCCACCAAGTGTTCCTGAGAGCCAAAGGTTGCGGAGCCACCCCGAATCCAACAGCGCGGACCCCCAGGGTTCTGCTAAATCATTTGGCTACCAGCCTGTTTATAGCACCCTCGTCCCTCGGGTACGCCTTCCTGGCGACTTCCCAAGTGGTTCGGCCTATTCCCCAATTCTGTCGAAATCAGTTCCGGGGTCAATCACCACACGTTCGGTTAGGAGTGGAATACGGAGCCAAGAATCCATACACATACCGCAAGCCCGTGCAGCTTCGGTAATTACCTTCAAAGATATGGACGATCAAAAGAAAGAGGTCCGGTCCTTATCCGAGACCATGGAGAAATATAGCCACTATGAGGGAGCAACGCCAAGGGAAAAGTTGCGAAGTGCATACGCCCAACTCACCGCCAGAGCCAGTGCCGGGCCCTCTCAAAATGTCGATGTGAGTGCCACTCCTTCGTCTGCAGGGGACATCGAGCCTTCAGCACCCCCTCCTGTGCCGGAAGCAACGGCGCCTCTTAGTGTTAGAGTCGATAAAGAGCCGGGCAGCCACACACGAACGGAAGCCGCTCCAGCGATTCCGGAACCAGTCACAGGACCAACTGGACTGGAACCTACTCAACACCCTACTGTTCAAACGATTCAACCCAGTGCACTTACGGTAAGTAACGCCGAGCAAGTGCTTCCGGGTTCAGTCTGTCTTGGCCCGTGTGAATTCGCTGTACCACTTCCTATGGATTCTAGAGTTAAGGATGACTATGAACGTGTTGTGGCCAGTGAATCACACAGTATCCGGGAATTCCTTAGGATCTCGGATCCTCGCGAAGAGAGCGCTGAGAATGAGGTGAGCTAAACCATTGATTTCATGGCTTTTAGTTTACAGGAGCCTAACTATCGACCAGCTTGAGCGCCTTGAACCGAAAATCCGCGATGTTCTCAAACATCTAAGCAACGTTGCGACCCACCCCGATCTAAACATCAATGATCATATCAAAGACTCGAGATCAGATTTGGCGAAAGAAGCTGCGTGGGCCGAGTATTCAAGTGCAAAATTTCTCTTTCTCGCCTACGTCGTGGAGATTGCGAGCAGCCGCGATATACACATTGTGATTCTGGTAGATGAAGAGAAAACCCAAGACGTCGTCGAACGCTATCTGAAAGGCAAGGGTCTTGTATACACACGGCCACGGGAAGAAATGGGAATTGGTACGAACCAGGAAGTTTCCATGACCAGAGACTGTTTGAGCTTCGGAATTCAGTCATCGCGCAACGACGGAGTAATGGAAACATACAAAAGACCCTCTGCTATCGTTGCACTAGACTCATCTTTCAATGCAAAGAACCCATCGGTCGAACATATGCGCACCACTTACGCTCGAAACGGAAGTTTACTACCCGTGATCCGGCTCATTGTTGCCAGTTCAAGCGAGCATGTCGAACTCTGCTTCCCCAACCTTGCCGAGATTCAACAGCTGCGTTTGGTCGTTTACTATACTATGCAGCTTCGTGATCTGGTGGGTGATCTTCAGGACGACGCTCTTGGTGTGCGTGAAGATGTAGAGGAAATTTTGTCCTCTCTACTGTCGGATAATTTTGAATACCACTGGCCATTGCCTCTGATTGAGCCACTGCATATAGTGAGCTCCAAGGAGCTTGGTTCTTTACGGATTGGAGGCCTTAACGAGGCGAATGCCGGTAGCGCTCCACCCCTGCGGGCCTTGAGTCAAAAACGTGGAATTGTGAGTCGTGATATCCAAGTGCTAATTTCTATCCCCGTATGGGTGACATGTCTAACACACGGGTAGGAAGTGGAAGGGACCAACGAACAGGTTTCCAAAAGATTTAGGCCGGGTGTGTCACAAGACGCTAGCCAGTTCACTGATGGGTCGAACGTGCAAAGTCAAACGTTGGATCGCGATCTGCAAACGTTGGAGAAACACCTGATTCAAATGAGAGCTTCACATGCCGCCGAACGCGAGAGTCTGCGGGAGTCCTTGGCTGCTGCGGAGTCTCGCCTACTAGAAAGGGAGAAAGTCCTCGAGTCGCTCCAGCATCGCTACGAAAGTCGGACCAAAAATCTCCACCAAATCCGACAGGAACGGGATCGCTTAGTTGAATCCAATACAGCTTCTGAGCAACGAATCCAGAGGCAGAAGGAAGAGATCGGCAAATTGAAGGATGAGCGCACCCAGCTCCGACATGACCTGGAAAGCGCTAGAGAGCGGCTGAAAACCGGAGGAGGAACTGCAGCGGAGCTGGAGTCATCGCAGGAGGAAATTCGGCGCTTGACCAAGGAAAATGCAGCCTTACAACGCAAGGCGGAATACGAAAGCAAGCAGACGGAGTATACTCGCGAGCAATATCAGACTGCATCCACCGCGGCCGCCCAATCCGGCAACGAAAGCCGTCAACTCCGAGAAGAGAACGAGACGTTGAAGCGAAAGGTGGCTGCCGACGTGAGCCGCCTCAAAGAACTCAATATGAAGAACGAGGAAAGCCGGCACCTGGCACGGATCGCCGAACTTGAAACTACGTTGTCGAACCGCGACGACCTCTTGCGCAGGAAAGAAGAAGAGCTGCGGGAGATTCGCAAGAACCGTCCATCGACACGGTCCACCAGCACGCAGCCTCGAAGTCCCAAGTGGACTGCCGGAAATAGTCGGCCTACGAGCCCTGGGATCAATAACAACGGCTCGACCTTTGCCGGACGGGGCAGCGCACTGAGATTTAGCTCGGAGATGTCGCTTTAATGAGGATGGAGCTTAGGCGCCGGCTCTTTTCGAGGGTTTTGGTTGGGGTTATTGGGGCAGTACCGTACATAGGAGATTGTGATGATTGCATTATCCGGGCGTTTTGCTTCTGTGTCCATGTGTCCTTTTGGGCCTGGCTTGTTCCCACGCTATCTTGAGCGATTTACAGTGAACGACTGGGGGTTTTTTAGACCACAGTAATTTTATTTTCTTTTCTTTCTACAAACGGGTTTTCCGGATCATTAGATCAGAGATCACAGAGAGAAGAACCTCTATTCTGTAATTACCAATTTGTTGGCTAGCAGGGGCTACATAAGGCAGTTTGTTACTGCCCCCAGAAGACCCCCAAATCCCCTGGTCTCCATCATGTGTTCACTCACTGTTCCAGTTATTTTCATTCTCCTTGCTTCCCACCGACGGCACATTGCGATTGGCGTCAGCTCGTGGGTCTCTCCAGCAAGGGAGGAATGTTGCTATGGTAAATTGTCTTCGTTCCCTCGGTGGACTCAAAGAACCGGAGCACCAAAAAAAAAAAAAAAAAAAGAACAATAAAGATTATATTTTCTGACTCGTCCAGACAGAATCCGGGGTAAACTCCGACCGTGCGTTGGATGGAACCCGTGCATAGGAAAGTGGGTTAGGAGAATTGATGGGATATGCCGTGTTTCTGCGAGGGATGGAGTCGAAATAACAGGCGAGCGGAGTACTCGTACTCCAACGATTGAACCGCAATCGATGAATAAAGTGATTCCAAGTGCTGGAAATGAAACCTGATTGGAAACCCACGTAGAGGCTGTCCATGGATGGCAGTGGGTATCGGCATGGACAACCATGGTTGACACATAGTTACCTACTCACGAAGTCAGATATGGATCCGATACAAATCTCTGGTTCATTCTGAGAGATACGTAGAGAAACTGAAGAAAATAAAGAAGAAGAAAGAAGAAGAAAGAAGAAGAAAGAAGAGATAAGAAAGAAGAAAGCGGTTTTAAAAAGAAAGAAGGAGAGTAAGAATGAGAAAATGATGTCTGAGAAAGATCACGGGAATAAGCTTATCGATAGCATCCTGCGCTAGTCCCAAACTGGAACCCACGTAAACACCACAACAGAATCGGGCCTCACCGTCCTCTTTCTCTCTCTCTCTCTTTCTCTTTCCTCGCGTCGCTGCTTCTATCATCTTATCCCTCTCGTTTCATTCCTTTCTCTCCATTTCTTTCTCTCCATTTCCTTCTTCTCCTCCTTATCTATCCTCCCTTCTATCATATCTGTCTCTATCATGTCCCTCTGGCAGGCCGTTCCCTGCCACGGCTCTTAATCCCCCCAATTACGCCTTCAACTCCGCTCCCAGGAAGCTAGGCAAGCTCGCTCGTGCTCATCATTCTCCCTCTAACCAGACCTCGTGCCCTCCTGTTGAACTATTCTTCCGCCCTCTCGGGTCACATTGGTCAGGCACAATCAAGTGCGCCTCGTCGCCCTCTTCCACCGCGATGGCCCCGGGCGCACCTCAACTGCCCACCCGGTTCCCTTGCTGGTGTCGAGCCGTGTACTCCTGGGGTGGAGAAACCAATCGGGACCTGGGATTTGTGGAAGGCGACCTCATCGAATGTCTCAACGCCGGAGATGGACAGTGGTGGATGGGTCGTCTGCGTCGGGATCGTCGCATGATGGGTCTGTTCCCATCCAACTTCGTCGAAGTCCTGGGGGAGAACTTCGTCCCCGTCAGTAGCTCAGCCAGCCCCATGGTTGCCGCAGCCCAGTCTCCGATCATGAATCCCACCTCGGCTCCCAAAAAGCAGAAGACCGTGTTCAGAAGACCTTTTCAAGCCCACAAGGAGGCCATGGCCCCCTCCGGCGAACTATCTCGAAGTGGCACGTCGGCATCGCCAACAACGACAACGCCAACAAGCTCGATACCCCAGACTCCACCCCGCGACGGGAGCCTTTCACGGAAAGTCAAGCCACTACGCAATGCTGCGACAACGGTGAAACATCGAAGCTCCGTGGCTAGACCGTCATCGCAGTCGGGGCCTTCGACACACCAGTCCCCAAGGACCGCCCAACCTCGGCCAGAGCCCAGGTCGTCGGCCACGCCAACGGCACCGATCCTCGCCCAGCCCTATCCCTCATCCCGCGCAGTATCCCCTCGTCCACCGCAGGAAGCGGAGCTCTCGTTACCTTCCCTTCCACCGGGGTCGAGCTCGATGCACTCCCGACCCCCGTCGCGCGCAGTGTCTCCGCGACCCCCGAACGAATTGGATTACCTTCCACCATCGGTGCCCATGCAACAGAATGATCCCTATTCCCATGCCTCATCTCGCGAAATCTCCCCTCTACAGCTCCAGGAACGCGAAGAATCACCACCCCCACCCCCTCCGCCCCCGCACCGTGTCGCAGTCAACCGCCAGCCGACGATAGAGACGGGTGTACCGGCCCGATTTGATATGAATGACCGCTATGTGACCATGTCCAGTAGGACCCCGTCTCCGGCGGTGCACTCTCGTGGACATACCCCCTCCCCGCTCCGAGACGCCATGGAAGGGGTAATGACTTCGCTGGAAGACATGGGATTGCCGCGGCAGACCCACTCCGCATCCCCGCAGCCCATGGTGGGAAACCCGTGGTCGCCAGATGCCTACGAGAGCTTAAGGGGAAACCACCAGCCTTCGCACACAATAGGTCGTTCGTTAACGTCGTTAGGATTCGATGGGGATAAGGACTACGATCGTCCGGGGGTGCCTCCTCACCGAGGCAGTGTCTACGCCACGGACCACTTCCTAGATGGCCCGCCCCAGCTGAACAATTACGTGCAGAAGATGGAAAGTCGGCTGCGCCAGATGCAGGCGCAAAACCGGAGAGGCTCTGAGGATATACAACTACCGGAGGACGACGACGAGGAGGAGGAGGATGACGAGGAGCCCCCTCCGCCACCTCCAAAGAATGTTCCCTATCATGGGCGCCACAATTCTGTCCCGGTGCAGTACTCGTCATATTCCGTGGGGCGGCAATCCGGGCCAGACCTGAGGGGCGATATCCTCAATCGGAGTTACACGAACAAGTCGAGCACGACCAACTCCAGCGGCGTACAGAGCATCAGTACCAACCTGACCGCGAGCACTGAGAGAACCAACCAAAGCTTCATGAGTGGTGCATCGGCGGGCGGTTTCAGCGCCACCAGCGCCGGCAGCTACGCTCGCAGGAATGTAGGCGCAAATGGGCGGCCCAATACTGCTGTCGACACCTTTCGCGGCCGGGGGTTCAGCGACGCACCGCGCATGGCACGACCCGAGACCCCCCTGACTGGGATCTCTTACCACTCCAGCCACAACACCTCGCGGCAGGGAGCGTCGTCGGCGATCCCTTGGACGTCGCCTGACACTGTGACGGAAGAGTCGGCAGGCGTGTTCGGCGGCCTGTCCACCCCCAAAGCCAAGAAACATGGCTTCTTCAAGAAAATCCTCGAATCGGCGAAGACCGGCGCGGCCAATGCCCGGAGCAGCATTGCGGTGGGCCAGAGTGGCGGATCCTATTCTCCCACTAAGGGTCGAGCGATATCCCCCATCCGCGCGTCGCCCTCTCAGCGCGACACAGCGCGGGAGATGGGCCTGGGGGGTGCAATCGACTGGGTGCAGGTGCGACGTGACGTGAACCGCGCCAGCTCTCCCAGTCGGAACGAGCGAGTCGAACGGGCCGAGCGATGTCAGATGATGGACCATCCGGTGATCTACGCGGTGGAGGAATTGTACGAGAGCGCCGAAGGCGACGAGAGCATCGACGGGCTGCCAATCAGTGAGCCGACGGATTTTGCCGCTGCCAATCTGAGCCTCGTAGACAAGAGCGCGCGCTTTGTCAACAGTCTTCCGCCGATGACCAACCCGATGAGTCTCGCCCAAGGCTACGTGTGTCGGCCGTACAAGAGCGACGTGCAGCGGCTCCGCGCCCTCTTCACCTGGGTCAGTGAGAAGATCGCCTGGGATGAGCCGGTGGAGGGGGTCGGCCTCGATCTGAGAAGGGTGCTGCAGACCAAGCGAGGAAGCCCCCAGGAGGTCGCCTATCTTGTCCGCGAGATGTGTGCTGCCGTGGGCCTGCATGCCGAGGCCATCAAAGGATTTCTGAAGGCGCCCGGCGACCTGTTCGAGCTGGATAGTCTCGCCCGAGCGAACCACTGGTGGAACGCCGTACTGGTGGATGGCGAATGGCGCATCATGGACTGTTCCCTGGCCAGCCCGACCAACCCACGGCGAAGTCAGTTCGTCACCTCCGTGTCGTCGTGCGCGGCCGAAAGCTGGTATTTCCTGGCCCGCCCTCTTGAGATCTGTTATACGCATGTACCGCTGGTCCCCGAGGAGCAGCATATATGCCCGCCCATCTCGCCCGACGTGCTCCTGGCGCTTCCGCCCGCCTGTCCCCAGTATTTCAAGATGAGCCTCCACTTTCCCGACTACGACACCAGCCTGGTTCGCATTGATGGCTTGGAGGTCATGCAGGTTCGTCTGCTCGTCCCCCCGGACGTGGAATGTGCCGCCGAAGTTGAAGCGCCCACGTTTGCCCGTGATGCCGATGGCGACTTCTTTGAGAGTGGGGAGGTGGTGCGCAAGCGGGCCTTGGCTCAGCCTGACTGGATCAAGGGCCAGAAGCGAGTCACCATCAAGGCCGTGCTGCCGGGCGACGAGGGACAGGGGGTGGTGAAGATTTACGCCGGTCCGAGAGGCCTAATGCATTCCAGTCGCGATATTCCCCATCCCCTGGCACTGGCTCTGCCCATCGTCCACACCGGCGACAATCCCCCGTATGAGTTCGTGCTGCGGCATCCGACACCCCATGCCCAGCGGCACGACCTGTACATCATGCAGCCCCAGTGCTCCCGGTTGGCGGTCAACAACACCTTTGTCTTCGCCGTTCGCCAGCATCCGTCGTCTCCGCCGGTCACCTCTCAGGGCCCGGACACCGGACTGGGGGGACGCATCTCCCCGTCCATTCTGTCACGACCTGCCAGCGCCCTCAGCATGGTTTCCAGTTCTGCGGGTGGCTCCTCCGTGTCCACCGTCTCGAATGAGTTCTCGGCCTCGACGTCAGCGATTTCATCAACACGATCCAGCTCCGGGCGAGAGAAGCCGGCCAAGCTGGCGATCCAGTCGCCCTCGGGCAAGATCCTACGACTGAGCCGGAAGGCCGACCACATGGTGAGTACCACTAGCAGTGCCGACTCCGCCACAGATGATACGGCCAGCGGCAGTGTGTGGGAGACGGTGATCAAGATCGGTGAACGTGGCGTGTGGAGAGGCTTAGTCCTGGCAGATCGTGTTGCGCGCTGGTGTGTATTTTGTGAATGGGAATGCTACTGATATTTCATGTTGAATCTGATGCCCTGGACGACATTTGGATCTTGTGTACACTGCCCATCTTTTTTGTTTCTTTGTTCCACCTTTTGTTCTTTTCTCTCCTTGCACTGCATGAGCTTTGTTCCGGGAAACCGAAAGCATCGTCGAGCATATGGGATTGGCTTGTGTTTCATCATTCATTGCATTCTTCCTTGCCTACTGATTGCATTGCATTGCTGAGCTGGGGTTGGGGTCTTGCATGGTCGCATCAAGATGATATATCGCGTTTCATCATTTTCTTTACTGGCCGGACTTTAGGGGAGAGCAGCATGGACGGACACAATATACTACTACATGTGTGGAGTTACAGGGATTCTTCCTTTTTATGGGACTGGTGTACGATGTTGTGAATCTATAATGTTGTTTTCTTTCATCTCTTGGCCACTGGGTTCCTTTTTCTTTTCTTTTCTTTGTCTTTCGGCCGGTGCACGGATTAGAACCGGGAAGTTGGAAGGCTGCCATCGAATTTTCTTTCTTGCGCGTATGTATTCGTAAGGGCATGAATAGAGAAGTGTTCATGAGCTCCCGCGTCACAGTTTCTCTGCTGGAGAAGCAACTGCCTGACGAACCAGCGGAGCAACCTGCTTTCGACTCTTTGTCACGTCCCCCTGTACCCAGATGCGCCTCCAGGGGAACTGATCACTGTCGAGAACGCTCCGAATCGCCGGTGCCTGGTCATCCGCATCGGCGCTGTCCAGCGCCGTCCACTCCTGCAGATCCAGCTGCGAGGCGGAGCGTGTTGCCAAATCCTTCAGTGCATCTACGGCCGGTCCCTCTTGCAGGGCACAAACAAGTAACTCTCGAACGAATGCACCATTCCGCATCGGCGAGCTGAATGCAGTCATGACGACGACAATATCCAACTCACGCCGTGCAGAAAACCCACACAGAGCATCCAGAAAGGCCTGCGGATTGCCTGCTTTTTGAACAATCCAGGAGACGGGCTTGACCATCGAGCAGAACCCGATGTTGAGGGGCTTCTCGGCACGACTCGGAGGCGACTCGGTCCACTGTTTGTAGTCACGATCGAGCATCTCGTCGACGGTGAGTAGATCAAGACTGTTTGATTTGGTTTCGTGGATCTGCCTGTAATACGCATCTCTGTCCCAAGCGGACGGCGCGGAATCGAGGATACGGCGCAGGAATTCCCACGCTTCAGTATCGATCACAGTCACTTTATCCTTGGCATTCATATTCACCGTGTCAATCAGTAGAGGAGCGAGCGCTAGTCGGGCAACCGGCTCTTCCTCTGGAAACCGATCCTCTGTATCTGAGGGTGTCCATAATCCCATCGTGTTCAGAGTATTCACAACAAGAGACGAACATGACCCTGCTTTTTCAATCACCAAGGGTTTGATATCAGGACCTAGGAATCCCTCGTCGACATGGTGATCAATACATCCTACCACGGTAAACTCAACCATCGGCAAGCCGTCCAGACTACCTTTTCCTTTTTGGCCGTCTGATGAAGGGATCGGTAACGCGTTCCAGTCGACCAGGACCGCATCCGCCGCGTAGCGGCGGTGGGGACCCGGATCGCAGTCTATCCCGCGTTGCTTCAGGTGCTCTGCAAAGTCCGCGACGGTGAGGATGTGGTTCTGGAGTAAGCTACCTGCGGGTTCAGATGTTGGGTCTCCAGAATTCGTGGAGATCCAGAACGCTTTGACAAACTCAGGCCGGAGACGACAGAGCTCCGGACCTGAGGGCACTTGGGGAATGTTAATGAGAGGGATGTGACATCGCGATGAGCGATTGGCGAAATACGAGTAGACCAAGGCGCAAATCATGGAATCGAGGTCGGCGGAGGGGTTACCGATGACGTACACGGGGGCCTCTGCGTGGGGCAAGGCGCCTGCAATAAATCGCAGATGGGTCTTGCGGGCGGCCCAGAGCATGGATAGGAGGCTGTGAACTGGTTGGCCCGCCATTGTGCCAGGATGTACATACGTGCCTGTTTGCTGGATGGATATTGTTCGGTTGATGTGATGGTAGGTTGATTTCCGATAAGTGATAATGGTGGCAGAATGTCACCGCCCACGTCACCGCTTTATCTACGCAATTTACCTCCCTTGAGATTTACTAAAACTTGTAGTTTACTATTGGAGATTGGGTGCTTGTTAAGATTGCATGCGACCCAGAAGACTTATCGAAGGAGTCATTTACTATAATCAAATTCGCTGTGACAAATTTTGGCTTATTGGGGAGCATAACGTAGCAATTTACAAGTGACTAGATAGGAAACGGCGTTTTCTATTCCGCACCATGATATAAAGCTAATCAAGGTTTATAGATTTGTATCAAATCTACCAGTTCACTCCGAATATGCATTGTATTATCCTACTGAAACAGAAAGTTATTCCAATACCTCCCATTCTATTTAAGAAATGATGCCAAGCATGCAGTCTAGAGCCGCGCAGACACTCGCGGAACTACCTTACTGGGTCTAGCAACTATGGTCTCTTAGACAGGCTAAATTAAACTAAGTATAGTCAACCAAACCCAAATTAGAATTTAGGCTAAGGCTTGTATATAGTTATTGAACGCACTCGGTATACTATACCTAATTTATTTCAATTTCCATATTTTCTGTAGGGCCTCCCCCTCAGGTAGTTCACCGAGAAGTGGGACCATTAAATTATATCTTTATCTGAGGCCTGAGTGCTAAAGCAGGAAGAGAAAAGACCGCGATGCGTTTGGATCCACAGTCCGGGTTAAAATATAGCTCGTGACTAGGTTGCCCACAAATTTACTACATTGCTCCATACAGATTAAGGATAACTAACCAGATAACCTCTAACTGGGCACTCTCGACCAGGCCCAGACCAACAGTCTCAGGACCTGGATCTGTATAACTACTAGTACTCTGGAAGACACCTGTCGCCAGATACAGTGAGTGAGAACTACTACTTAATAACTAATATGGACCCCTTCTTACTGGCGACAGACACAAAAGGTGAAAGTAGTACACTTAGAGCCATGCCTTGTACCGTCGGAAATCTTGGCCGGTTCCCTAAAAGCATTTGGAGAGGATTTTGTCCACTTGGTGAAGAGTCGACCTTGTCAAGCTGTGTCAAAGATGGCGATTACTGGAGCACGTGTGGGCATTGAAAATATTTTTGACACCCCCGACGCCCACTCTCTGCTTAAGAAGCTGGAAGCAGATATAACTCAGGTTTTAGAATCCCCCTGGTCGTACATGAGGCATGGGAGCTCCTCAATCTACGGCTGGAAGATTTGCCCATCATGGGACGTGCAGCCCAAGGATTTGGAGCAGCATCATCTCGATACTTTCGTGCCTTCCTTACTGAGGAAAAGATTCTAACATGCGTGAAGGACGGCATTGAAAATCGAACTGAAGACCTTTTCTTCGTTATCTTGGGAGACGCGGTTAACATGGTCAAGCATCCCACGATTCTTGATCTACTCCTGTCATCGCCAGATATGTGGGTGTTGTCCACTGCAACAGGACTACCCAAGAGGCAGCCAAAGGCAGAACGTGCAACAAAACTTGCAGAAGTAAAGATATCAAAAATAATGGAAAATGCACGAGACGCCAACGATGCTGTAGAAAATGCGACCGATGCGGGGAAAGTCGCCAGAGGCACAAAATTTGAAGACTAAGCTGCTCAAGCTGCACGGAGGGCTCGGTATGCTGCCGATGCCGCCCATGAGGCCGTTCTCGATGCCGAAGGGGAGGAATCAATCAAAGCTCTTGATGGCATTTAAACTGTTAATATTGCACATGTTCATGCAGAGGGAAGGATGATCGTGGAGGGCTCCCAGTTCTGGGCCACCGCCGAGGCTGAACTTGAGGGCGCATTAGCGGATACATGGGGTGAAAGTGACATGGCCGAGAGTAATGCAAACTGCAAACGTGGACTAGGAAAGAGTTTGAAAAACCTGCGCAGACTTGAATACAATGTTTGAACACAATGTCTTTTGACATCTTCCCTTGGTTGAAGCCCTGGAAATATGCTGAGGTATGGTGCAGTCGACAAGGGGGGGGGATGCCCTCTTTCACAGTACCTTCAATAGCCGGAAGGGGGTTTTGATAGCAACCGTACACTATAAGAAATATATCTCCAAGGTTACCGGCCGCAAAGGCCTCGCAATTGGCCGTGCCACCGCCAAGTCGTGGACTCGGGCCCAAGTGAGCAAGAAGACGATCACAGCAATGGTAGACCGGTTTGGACGGCAGATTTCACAAGCCTTTGCAGGGGAGGCTGGGAATATCCTGCTCTAACGAGAAACCCACCAACGTCGTACAAGTGGGCGCTTTTATGGCCAACCCCAAAGCCTCCAAAATCGGAGAATGCACAATATCAGTGACGTGAGAATGGATGAAGGCGTGGGATTTATATTTCAAGATCCAAAGAGAATCCGCGAGTCGAATATAGCCTGGTTCATGAAGTTGTAGGAAGGTGTCGGTGTTGTAATTCCGGGGAAGATTGATTAGTACTATTATTAGTATGCAGATGATCTGTCTGTCGGCTTCTAGAACGGGGACAACGTAAAATATTCCATTAAATTTGTAGGGTCATCCGTAAGAGAGCTCTTTCTAGAGGCTTTTGATAAGAATTGAGTTGATATATTACCACGGTTCTGCTGTTACACCGTTGCTCCCACGGTTTCTGGGTGAATGTGGGGAGGATTGTGCTACTGATACGATACGATACTGGACCCCGTGATACCCGCCGAAAAGTCGCCGGGCCAAACAAGCTTTCTTTCCTTCTGTCGTGCGCATCTTTAAAGTCATCCAGCTCTGCCCGTCCACCCTCGGTGTTTACGACGTAGGGCGCAGTGTCGCAAGGGACCCAGAAAAAAAATGCAGAGCCTGTAATCGAGAAAAGGTGGAAATCGTGTACCGATTAATGGCCGCAGCGATGGACGACGACGAGCAGCCTCAGATCACTGAACCCTTGCGTTCAGCTCGCATCCCCATCGCACAGCTCTCCCCAACGGCCAAACATCTGTCAGAGGCCTCCATTCACGCAATAGTTACTCTTTTATGGCCTTATTCATCCTCCAGCAAGTCACTTGGCCTGCTATTATCCGAGCCCGATGTCCGTTTACGTCCCTCTAACGGACAAGTGAAAGTCCTCTTTCATGGACGCGTCGCCGAGGACGTAGCAAAGTCGAGGATCGGGATTGGCGACGAGGTGTATCTTAAATTACTGGGGTCGAGGTTTGTGACTAGTGAAGCAGCGACTCAGACGCCGGGTAAATATTTGCCGTGGGACGTACATTTTGACGATTGCGTATTTTTCGAGGTGATTCTCCTAGCAAACTGAGGTCTCAAATCAATTGGACAATCCACTGATAGATAATGGCTTAGATCTTACAATCCTCGAAACACGTGTTGACCGTGAAAGTTAACCCTCCTTCATCACCACCGCATAGCACCGACGTTGCAACAGCCGCTCCGGCTACACCATCGACCAATGGCAATATTCAACTTGAGCGACCTGATACTGCAGGGGGCTTAGGGTCATGGCAATCCCCAGCATTTGTGGGGAGGTCGCGCACTTCATTTGGGGGTCTAGTTGATTCCGCGTTCGACCCCTTTGCCGAGGACGATGGATTTGTACCGGGTAAAGGGAGAAAAAGACCACGTTTTAGTATGAGAAGCAGTGACTGGCGTTTAATTGACGAGCCCGAAAGCCCGGGCGACAAGGACGTACCGTTCGATTGGTCACATATATTTGATGAGGATGAAGATGAGGAGGCGGAGATGGAGCAAACGTCGGTCTCCGAGAACCCTTCGGAGGTGTCGAGCGATGCTTTGGGCCAAAAGAGCTCTTTGGATACAGCTAAAGCTATTGAAGTGGATAATTCCACAGCACAGGTATCCCCAGAGCTGACAAATGTTCCAGAGAAAATAGAGGATAGTGGCCAATTTCTCCAACCCTTTACTGTTCGACGACCCGGAATTTTTGGCCAGGACATTAAACAGCATACCAACCCTCATCATTCCCATCTTCCGACGGATACACCGCGTCTGCATCCTATTCCATCCCCTGGGCTCCCCATCCCTTCTCCACTAGTAACGACATCGACTGGTCAACAAGGTTATTTCACGGACACGCCGCAGTTTGAATCCAAGGCGGTCACTACGTCATTGACACAGAAGGTCGGAAGGTTGGGACATGAGAGTTCCGATGCACTGCTTAGCATTTCGGAAACGAAGGAAGATGAACACACCGACTCAATTTTGGGGACAGACAGTCAAACAACATGGTTAGCGGAATCGAGGTCAGGCTTGCCTGACACTATCATCGACCATGTATTGTCCGCTCCATCTCCTTCCGCATCTACCGCCGCAATGACCAATATGCAACTTGATGAAGTTGCAAGAATCACAGTTACGTGCGTTCAGGAAGATCAACAGCCCATATACATTTCCAGCAATCTTCCAGCAGAAGCAGAACATCCCGGGCTTGGTGGGTTTTTAGAAATGCCTAAGATGGAAAAAACAGAAGACCACGGTGCCGAATCCATTCAAAGTGGCCTTCGGGCACGAGAAGCTTTAGAAAGACATGAAAGGGCGCACATGGTAACCGAAGTACACGGGCAAAACCAGTTGGAAATAAGTGCGCGGGATGGAGATCGTGCTGAACCGGAGTCCATTTCTGGAGATTCTAGCACTGCTGACAGCTCCGACATTATTGAATATGACTTTTATGGGCGTGGAGAGAGCTTACCAGATGGGAAAACAGGTATCCCAGCACAGGTTTATGATTATAATTCTCAGCCGGAAGAAAGCGAGGGCGAGGTCTCGAGTGAAGAGAGATATGAAAGGGAGGAATCAGAAGGGGAAGAAGATGTAGAGAGCTTTGCTGAGAATGAATACTATGGAGGGGATCGCGAGTCGGAAATTGAGTCCGATTCGATGAGTGTCGGCTCTCCTACTCAGCCCCAACTCGCCCCCAAAACTTCGGAACCCGAAGTCATTGTCTTAGATAGTGAGAGTGAGGATGAAGCGCCTCCTAGCTCTCATGCACGCGATGTTGGAGTACGAGTAGGACCCCCTACCAACGAACGAGAGTCAATGTCGTCTCCGTCGTTAGGAAGCGAAGGCTTCACTTCTGACGAAAGCTCGATGGTCTCAGAGGATGAAAAACGGCCCGAAGCGGAATTCCATCCTGAGTTGCAGATAATGCAGGATGAACCGAAAGCAGCCGAGAGAAGAGAACGGCGGCTGTCAAAAAATTACTCTGAAGAGTGGTCAGAAGAAGAAGACTCTGAAGAGGAGCGTTCAGAGGACGATCGAGTTAGTGATGAGGATATGAAGGGCAAAATGATACCAGTTGACCATTTCGACAATGAGCTGTCAGAACATGAACAAGGAGAACATGAAGTTGGTGAGTTCGAAGGGGTAGGATCTGAACGGATAGAGAATGAAGCTGTCCAATTTGAACAGGCAATATGTGAGCCAAGAAAAGAACAATCGGTGGAAATTCGAGAGCTGGACTACGAGAATGCTCGAGATGACCAAATCCAGGGCAGGCAAGCGAAAGAAGATGAAAGTCCAAATGAAGCATTCTTTCCTGCATCAGACATCCACTATGCCGGTGGCTCTGATGTTGATGAGCTTCCAGAAAAGGATGCTGCATCTCTACCAGTTCTGCCCCAGGATTCTTTGGATCGTGCCTTGCATGTCTTACAAAGTAGTGAAGGCCCTCATGCTGACTCCGGAGTTTCCTTGCATCACGCGGATCTGGCGATTGATCCTGAGCTATACAACTCAAGCTCTGCTCAGGCAATGGCCACAACTAGCATTTCCCCAGATAATGGTCAAGACGGCCGACCGTCAGAAACTAGAGAAGTGTTAGCCCATGTCTCCGAACCTGGGCAGAGAGGTTATTGTGGCTTGATTCTTGATGGCGCTGCATCTCCAATACACGTTTCTTCTATAGACGCAGTTGCATGGCTACCCACCCCGGAGCTGACTCAAGAACGAAGCGCTTTGCAAGGTGAAGGCGAAATGTTGCCTATAGAACACGCAGAAACTTTTACATCTGCAGAAATAGATAAGGAGGAAACAGCTGCTGTCCAGGACTTTGGCCCTCGATCAGCCTCCAGTGTTGCATCAGAGGAAGAGTCAGTTAGAGTGGAGGTGTCATTTTCGACCCTCAAAGAGCACTCTAGCTCTGAGGAATCCAAAGCCTTGCAGGGAAAAATTGCCCTTGGTGATGACGATGGAGGCACTTTGGACAGTGATCGCCTAGTTGGTATAGACCGCCATCATCCAGGCTTACGCAGCAAGCTCTCATACTTTGCTCCCCTTGCTACACTTGTTGATCATTACAACGCTACAATTGATAGTATTTCCGTTGCATCGGAAGTACGTCCTATCACCCGGGCCTCTTCAGGAAAGAAGGATTACATATTAACCCTCCGACTGACCGATCCGTCAATGGCTGGTACTACCTATTGTGCCCAAATATTCCGACCTTTCAAAGCAGCACTTCCTACTGTAGACGAAGGCGATTCTATTCTTTTACGGAATTTCAAGGTCAATAGTTTCAACCACGCGATGATACTCGTTAGCCAGAATACCAGCGCCTGGGTGGTTTTCAGTGGTTCCAAGAGCAAGGGCCAAGTTGATGGACCGCCGGTAGAATACGGGGATGAAGAGCAAGCCTATGCTACAAACCTGCGACAATGGTATCAAGAAGACGGCGTAGCAATGGTAGCAGACGCTGAACTGCAAGCATCTATCGAGAGAGCTAGCCGAGAAGGCACGCCCGCCAGTAGTGTGGCACTTAGCGACTCGGGGAGTTTTGACTCGACACAACGTGATGGTGAACGTGGCGAGCCATCAATGTCAAGCCTGAGCTCACGGCGGAACAGGAAGTCCCACCGCCGGATCACGATTCATCAGTTGAGAGACGGAAGGAGATATACCGAGGTCGGCTCGCCGTCTGGTAGAGAAAGCATACATGAGCTTAGGGATGGGACTGTGTATGCAAATCACTAAGTTCGATTGACGGCCGGAATTTATACCCGATTTACTCAGATGTGATTTTATACATCTACTTGCCGCTTTCAATCTTGTAGAATGCTGACTAGCTCAGCAAGAAGCTGCTGCAATGACGTGCTTCTTTCGTTCTATGAATAGATAGATACCTCTGTCTGTAGTACTCAGATATTTCAATCACTAACCACATCATGCCACAGTCTATGGAACGGACCATCTACGAAGAAGTCTATACATAAGGGGAAATAGCCGGATCGAGCAGGCAGACTCCCAAAACACACATGCAAAGACGGTTGGAATCTTTACATTTTCGAATTATTATCCCCCGCGAACAGATCTATATTGGTAGCTGCTCTGATCAACTGATTGGCAATGGCGGTTGGTGGTGGTAATCGCAGCCCGCCTTCTTTATAGTCAGGGCCAGCTTTCTCTCCCAAAGAACTGGTCCCCACCCTTAAAGCCTCTTCGACTTCTTGAACATCGAACCATTTGGCATCCTCCAACTCGGGATCATGTTCTAGGCTGATCTTTTCATGCGCGGGATCGCTGACCTGCGCGATTGCCCCGATCATCAGGTTGGCAGGATATGGCCAAGGTTGCGAGGAATGGATGATAACACGCGAAAGCGTCACGCCCGCCTCTTCCCATACTTCTCTCCGAACAGCGTCTTCGACCGACTCCGCTGGCTCGACGAACCCAGCCAACGTCGAATACCAGTTCGGCGGGAAACGTTTAGAGCGACCAAGCAGGATGCGCTTGGCATCAGTAGAAATAACAGCCACGATGATGGTCGGGTCGGTACGCGGGAAGGACAGATTTGAGAGGGTAGTGCGTGTGTTGCACGCAGGTCGCTCGGCTGGCTTTCCTTCAGCGATACGCGCAGCATCTATGGGAGGGCATGCTCGTTTCGTGCCCGAATTCACAGAGACCGTGGGGTGGCCGCAGGTACCACAGAAAGTGTTCCGAGTGTTCCAGTCTATCAGCGCACGAGCCTGAGCATAGATGGCGGCTTTGAGAATGTCAGCAAAGCCCCTGATACTTCAACACGCTGAGCTAGGGACAATAAAGAAGAGAATTACCTTCATCCGCCGAGAAGGTCATAGCCACCCTCGCCTGGAGAAAGCTCAATTCCTTGGCCTCAAGGGCACTAAGCACATCTTTGGCATTGGCTTGTTGCTCTTCACTGCCCTTCGGGGTGACATCTAGCGCGAAATAAGGTGCTCCGGTGTAGATTTTCCAGGAAAGACCGCCCTGCTTACAACTCTCATCCAAACCCAGAAATACTAACTGCGGGCTGGTTCTCCGCGAGTCATATTCCTTGATGATTTCCTCCTCGGATTTATCGTAAATCGTTACCGGCACCAGCTTCTGCACCTCCTCGTATTGCACACAGTACAATTCAGCCGGTGACTTCGTAAGGGGAGCCAGATCCTTCAGGATTACGAAGCGTGTAGAAGGGTGCTTCAGGGCGGCCGACAGAAAGGGATGGTCGGCGCGCAGGAAAGAGAGGCGGTTCAAAGGAGAGCCTTCAGCAGGGTCAGTCGATTCTAAACATCATCAGATACCTGACAGGGAGTGGTTCAAATTACTAGAGAAGTAATTCACCGTCTCTCGTCCAAACTGTCGGGACAGCATTGACTCAGCTTGCGTATGTGCAGGCGTGGGCAGTTGCGGTTGATTACTCATCATGCAAAGGAGAAGGAGGGTGTCCGGCGGGATTCGAAAGAAATGAGAAAAATATACGGATACTCTATACTGAAGAGGAGAGAGTTGATTCTATTCCTCGGCTCGCTTCGTCGCCCTCCCCGATAAGGATGGATTAATCAGCCGCCTTTCTCGCCGAGGTCGATCGCGTAATCCGGATACCGGAATTAAGAATCGGCAGGAAGCAAGTGTCTACCCCTACGGTAATACCGTGACAAACGCGGGGCAGGACATGGAACTCCCCACACACGTGACCGCCCTGCTTCAATGTCAATGCCTTATCCTTCAGGCTTCAATACCCCTGGAATTGTATTGGGTGGCATCGAATTTCTAATCAGTATGTATCTTCCATCTGGGTATATTCCCGGTGCTTCGTGGGGCATAAGGAACATGGCAGATCCCTCGTTTCCATGCCTACAAGAAAATGGAAGATAATGTTGAGATTTCCTACTATGAGACTATATTGGCTTCACTAGAAGCCTGGGCTCTTCAGTTGGTCGAATAGTTTTGTCTTAACAGGTAGTGTTAAATACTCCGTACTGGGAGTCGAAAGGATGGGCCGCCGGGAAGGAGCAGAAGAAGAGTGTGGAAGCTGTAGCTGCTCTTTGTTATCACTGTATGAAATTTGACGGGGCTAGTTAGATTTATTATGTCTGGGTTCTAGTTCAGATGTTTGGAATATGAGATACAGAAAATAGTGACAACAGTGGTAGAACGGTATGAGTCATTGCAAACTGAAATAACATCGGACACAATAAGATACATGGAATATTTCAGTCGGACGGGCAACACAAGCCCAGATAATAAGGAACAGCTCGTAGGTTGAGCATCGTGTTATATTGAACAGTGACAGTAGAACAGACGAATGATATGGAGCATGAACATGAATCAACGCTAAAGCTTCAGAGACGGAAATCCAACGGAGAGATAAACTTGACCCAGTTGATATAAGACAAAGAGAGAACGCAGGCGGAAAGGATGATCAGAGGTAGGTCAATAAATCTGTTTTTGGTGTAATTTTAATTTCCCTTCCAAAACCAGCCACTCTTATTCTGATCGGGTGCAGGTTCATTTTCTTGATCGGCAGGAACGCGGTTGTGTTGCGAAGGATTGACAACCTCGACAGATTCGTTGCTTTCTTCATAGCCGTCGGAAAAGCGCTTCGTTTTGATGGTTTTCGTTTGAATCGAGCCGTCGGCAAGTCGAACACGCTGTGTTGTGGACTTTTTAGATATAACGTAAGGTTGTTGCTCTGCTGTTGATGTCTCAACTATGGCAGACTGATTACTCGTGGATTGCTCTGTTGCTGGAGCAGTATCTGGAACAGGATTCGTCTGTCCGCCAGAGACCAGCTCCAACCAATTGTCCGTATCTTCATGGCGGCTCTCTATTTGTGACGGAGTATGGTTGTCCTTCGCTCCCTGTCTGTCTTCAAGCAATAGACGAAGAAGAGGGCTGTCACGGGCTCTAAAGAATTCGCGTCCACGAGCTTCGATGTCGTTAAGGAAGCGGTCGTAAATGTCCAGCTCTGTCACCGATTCGGGTTCCTTGAAATCCCAGCTGAACTCGGCCTTCACGTTGTTATCCAAATCCTCATTCTCCAGTTGTTTGTGGTCATCCTCTTTGGAGCTAGAGCCACCGAACATAATAGTAGACCAACTGCGACCATCCGTGCCAGGAACGTACGCCCACCGGTCTCCCAAGCTACCCCGTTTCACCAAGCCCTGCAGCCACTCCTTTCCGGATTCCTGTTTGCTAATATCTGTTGGGCTGCGATCAAGCACGGGCTTTCCATTCTCGAGTCGTAGAAGATCCTCAAACGCCTCTCTCCACTGCGGTTCTGACTGATCACTGTCAGAAGAGGGTTTCAAGGACGACATGAGCGATGAAAACAATCCTCTATCTCGGTGAGACCGATATTGTGCCTGACGCTCTAGGTGCAGAGGCGAGTAAGGGCTGAACATGAGATAGGTGACGGGCCAAGCGTGGGGCTCGTCCCGTATCACGCTGGAGAACATGGGACGCTGGTAGGGGTGAAAGAAGCGGGAGAAGCGATCATCAAACCAGAATTTGTCAAAGAAAGAGTCGACGAAGGAATCGATATCAGAGACCTCATGTCGCCTAAACCGATGGGTACGCCAATGGTTCTCCGACCGGCAAGGGGGATTATTGGCCGCATCGTTCGCGGCACCAGAGCCGGAGGGCTGTTCGCCATTTCCGGTAGCATCATCGTTCTGCCTTTGGCGGTAGTTGGAGTCTCGCGCATAACAGGGATCATCTGTAAAAACAGACCACTGGCCAGAGGATGGGGGGTTTACCATGGACGGTAGGCCCACGACGGACTGCAGCATAGACGCGACCTGCTCGTCGGCGAATCTACGGAAAGCGTCGAACGGGTTGTCGTCATCGGGCCAGACGCGAGCGGTGTTGTTGTGATGGTGCTGGTTCTGGTCGTCGTCGCCTGCCATGGTGTGATCAAGAGCGACAAAATGCTTGCAGGAAAGAAGAAGTATAGCCTTGGCGTGGCGGCGATAAATGAAGCTGTTGGGGATCTCGCCCCACTTGGGTAATCGCCACGTGAGCCTTGGCTTTGAGCCTTTTTGAGGATGGAGTGCAGACACTGCATACACATCATATTCTTCCATGACCTTCCAATTTATCTACGTTAAATACAGGCCAAAAGACCATGTCCATCCTTCCTTCTCGGCAAGATCGCCATGCTTCGTGGTCTTAGCAATTTCTCCTCACAGGCGATGCTGTCGGTCCCTGAATCCCGCCCATGCTTCAGCAAAACCCGTTGAGCGGACCCACAGTGGCTGCTGGTCCGATGTCGAATCCATAACTAGAAGATAGAAGACCCAAATGATCAGTTCCGTCGACATACGTAAGTATGTGAGCATTTCAATCGGGCTCAGCTTACCCATGTTGCCGATCTTAAGCCACATATCACCCGTAATCATGTGCCCTTTCTCTTTCGCCTGAGCTTCGAAGCTACGGCACGCATTTTCCCCATGGGCTAAGGCTCTCGCCAGTTTCGGCAGATGTCCATCATCCCCAGGGTGCACATTGCAATGCTCAAAAATGGTCCTCCAGGTTCTTGAAGCAGGATATGTCGTTACTTCATCCATCAGAAGGTCAGGAGCTCCACGAGATACATAGAGCAAGAGGTCCATGCGTCCCTTCCATTCCAGGAGGCGTAGTCTGGTTTGGATGCTCAAGAACGGAAGGGTTATAATTTTGGAGAAGAAGATGGACGAGTTTAGACAGTGTATGAAGAAGAAATCAAACTTAATCTCCTTTGAGGGCCGTTGAGCAGTGCTAGTATAATACGCTGCATGATTGTTAATGCTCATCCGTATTCAAGTACAATGCATGCTCCGATTCCTCCTTACCGACGGTGTCGATCATCTCCACTAGTTTTTCTTCCAACTGATCGCTCGAAACCGTGAACTCTGCGGCATATCGGATCATTTCCTCTGGGGCTCGTTGGAGAACTCCATCCCTCATTTTATTAGCATCGTTGAAATGGGCGGAGCTGGCCAACTTTTTATTCGCACGCATTTCCTCCAGGATTTGGACCATGGTTTTCTTTCCTGGTTTGCCAATACCCCCGGCGGCCTTTTCGGCTGGCCAGAGGAACATTGGACTCATCCAGTCCTCATGAATCGCTGTTTGGGCAAGCGCTTCTGCTATAATTGCGGGTTGATCGAACTCGATCCCAAATCCCAGGTGGATCAAGGGATGAAGGAGACCTAAGTAGATTAAGATTGATATCACAAAGGTGGATGCGAAGTTGTGTGATATACCTCCAAATAGCCGGCTCAGCAAGTTTTCCGCGAGCTCATCTCCAGAGAACAAGTACTCGTTGATAACGTTTTCCACTCCTTTCCTTTCCATTTCCTGCTGGAAGTAAGCCAGAAAATTGGGGTAGTTCTTATGTCTCCCGAGGCATTTCTGAAACTCTGCCTTATCATACAGCGACTGTATTACCGTTTGATCGGCTGGTAAGGCGGGCCTTTGATAGCTCTTGTCTTTGTTATAGGCAGCTTTTATTTCCTCGGGAGACGCTCCCAGGGCGAAAATAGTCAGGACATGATGGACGATATGGTCTACAGAGGTTCTATAGTCAATGTTTCCCAGGATAATGGACAATGGTCAACTCAGATATAGAAAAGTATCACCTACTGTGAAATCCCATATCATTGAAATATACATGATGCTTCTCCAGATCTTCCTGTAGCACCTCGTTCGCCGTCCGTGCAGAATCCTCCCTTATTCCAGACGAGAATACGCCCGAATCCGACGGTGATAGTAGGATCTTCCTTGCGGTAGCCATTTTGCGTGGTCGACCAGCTCCAGGATGGTACACAGAATCTTTAAATGGATATCCGGACGCCGAAGGTCGCGTACTGAACGTAACGGACGAATGAATTTGAGGGAGGATGCCCCAGGCAGTCGAAAGGAGACCGGTATACTTCACATGTAAACCCTTTAAGCCCCAAGAATCGATACGTCTTGATAGAATCGATCTCGATCCAAAGAAACCAGTGATACTATTGCGACAAATGCTCACAAACGCAGAACCCCCACGAGTCCGAAGCATGAAAAGATGAGGTTTTAGCACCACACCCTCCCAGGTGTACAGCACCTATCTGCAGAGTACTACTTATTTATGATCCCATCAATTCCTCTGCGGGGGTAAATGGCAACACATGTGCGACGCGACTGGAGTGGATTCGACTTGACTCCGCTCGACTCGGACTTCGGTGCTTCGCGAACTCCGTGGACGAGAATGATATGTATGGTCAGCGCATCTTTCTACGTTTCATTTCGAAGTCTGGACCTGCAAATGAGGTTTGTCTGTTAGTAATTCTGAAGAACAGCTCGACCGGAGCTAGCGTCAAGACCCTCCTGCTTACATATCGAGCTTATTTTGGGGAATCGGGACATCGAGAACAGCTATGGTCGGTATTCAAATGGCACAATTAATGGTATTAGATGCAAAGAACATTAGTAACACGGAGTTCGAGACCGTTGAATTGATGCAAGTCGGACGATGTATATTTTCGACTTATTTACTATCTCGGTCCATCCCAACCAGCTACAATAAGTGGCCAAAATAAGGGAAACATATCTCTGTTACCAATTTATGAATATCAACACAGCCATATGCATCAAGACCCCGACTGCTGGAAAGCCAATAGATCCTGTCTATGTTTCAATTTGTTGGATGTTGAAATTCAAGGGTATGTATGTTTCATTATATTCTTTTTAAAACCAAAGCCCAAGGTAGACTGAACTCCCAAGTCCAATCGTTCTGTCAACGGATAAAGTCCTGCATCTCCTTCTTCCGTTTTAAGCGCTCCCGCTCCAGTTTTCGGAACAGTGGATGGTGGCCCGTCTTGTCCTTCAACTGTTTGTTCCTGCTCTTGTTGTACTCGATATACGCCATATCCTCGCCACCGGCCAATCCACTCAGGGTGGCCGCGCTGCGTTTTACAGCTCCTTTACCCTTGCCTCTGGCGCCTCCGCTTCGCTCCGAGAATAGATCATCGGTGACGTTCTCCACTTCGGCCGACGTCTCATTCTGCAGCATGACTTCTTGCAATAGCTCCCGGCGCTCTCCCGGCGTTGCATATGCGAGACCTTTCAAGTTCTCTATGCCCTGCAGGTGGGTGATCACCTTGAATGCGTAACCCTGGTCGACGAGGAACGCTTGCCGTTTGGAGGAGTAGAACATTTCGTCTGTATCCTTCGACACAAGCGAGTAAAAGAATGCATTGAAGCCCTCGTCATTTCGGCGCTTCGCCCGTAGAATACGGCCGAGTCGTTGCGCTTCTTGACGACGAGAGCCATAGTGAGACGAGATTTGGATTAGACAGGTGGCCTCAGGCAAGTCGAGAGAAGTATCTCCGATCTTGGACAGGAAGATGGTGTTGACTTGTTCGTTGTGTTGGAAGTTCTCCAGAATGCGCATGCGCTCGTTCTGCGGAGTTCCTCCGTAGATATAGGCCTTATTTAGCTTCAGCGCATACCGTTCAAGGGCATAAACATTGTCCGAGAACACAATGACTTTGTCCCCTCGTTTCTCGTGGTAATCGATAAGGAACTGACAGGCTTGGAACTTGCGTGGGTTCATGATGTAAAGAAGGGCAGCCTTCCGGGATTTCTCCCTCATGTATTCAGAATAGAATTCCGTCGTCATTGGACACCATACCTCGGCGCACTGGACCTTAGCAATGTGCCCTTGTTCGGCCAGCTCCATCCAGTTGGCCTCGTACAACTTGGGGCCAATCAGGAAGTTCAAATCCTTGATCTTGTCATCTTCACGAAGCAATGTCGCAGTCAAACCGAGCTTGCTCTGCGTTGCGATGGCAGAAGTGACCTTTCGGAACATGGATGCTGGCACCACGTGGACCTCGTCAAGAATCATGAGACCCCATTCCCGTGATTGGATCCAATCCATCATCTTCTGTGCGTCGTGAGATCGGGCCCTGGTCTGTGAAACCATGGAGTACGTAGATACAATAATACCAGTCGACCGGCGGAATTTCTCTTTATTGTCTGACGTGAAAATCGCAATGTCACCAGGGTCGATGTTCGACCATCGCAGAAACTCGTTCCTCCATTGCACTACGGACATGGAGCTGGTGCAAAGGATGATAGTTCCTTTTTTGATCGTGCATGCAGCGGTGATACCGACCAAAGTCTTCCCCGCACCACAGGGAAGGACAATAATGCCACTTTTGGCACGTCCGTTGCCGAACATTTTACTCAAGCTTTTCTCCTGGTAGCTTCGGATCCGGGCATTCGGTTTCAAATCGATATCTAATGTGGGATTGATGTCGTCGTTTCGGAAGTCATACTCCTCCAATGCCGGGCAACCCATGGCCTGACAGCGTGCTTTAACCGCCTCCACTGCTTCGTTGGGAATCTCAAAACTGTGGACCTGGGCCTGCTCATCATCGTCGTCATCATCGCGGATAGCTAAGAGGAGATCGTCCTCCTGGTGGCCTTCCCCTCTGGCATCGTCCGCCACCTTCTGATCGGATGTCTGCCTCACTCCTGCCGCATCCTTCGTACCAGGAATGACAAGACCGCTCATTTTCGGGGCTGCTTGCTGGATGATTCCCTCGCTCCCTTGTAGCCTCTGAGGCCCGATGACCTCGTCCTGGAGAAGCATCTGAAGCATGGCTGGATCCGTGCTCTCGACGAAAAAGCGATTGTGTTTCAGAACGACCTTAATTTTCCCGTAAGACTTTGTAAAGTCGATGATGAAGGATTTGATCGTATCCGGAAGCGGCGTTTTCGTCAACCGATCAAGGAAGTTGATGATATCCTGAGGCAGGAGACCGACGGATACAGCTGCATATAAGCTATTTCCGGTGAGCCGATATTCGTGTAGATGGGTCGGACGCGATAGCGGCTCGGCAATAGTGGTCAAAAAGTCCTGCGCTTGAGGGGCTAGTGGAGAGAAACTCTCCAAGGTGATGGTGCCTTTCAAAGGGTCGATCCATAGGGGCCGGTTCGCGTGGTCCGGTTTCAAGGATAGCGACGAGAAGTCCTTATAACCAAAATTCGGGTCCTGCCTCTGTATTGAAGTGTCCTTTTTATTGCTAAATGACTCAAGGGAGAATTTGTCCACGACCTCTTTAGGAAAGGAGTGTCAGCAGCAGCTTTGGTACCCTTTCCCAAATTATTAGTCTACAATACCTTTCAGGCTGTTGGCCTTCGCATCCTGTTCGTAGTCCGAGTACTCGTCACTACTACCAACATCCTGAACCTCAGGCACCGGAGTTGCCCGCTTCGAAGCTCTACTTGACCGACCGCCTAGCTGAAGGTCAGCCTGCTATCCACCAAACCCAGGTACAGAAAAGCCATACTGTCGGTGGCCTTGCGTTTAGGGGGGCGGCATAATAACAAAGCGTTCCCTCTGTGTTTATATCGAGACTGAAGTCTATCCTCTATTATACTGTGGCACCGTCGACGACGGGCAAAGAGCGAGTGCAACGACCCCGATAGAAGGCTACCAGCGCCTCAGTAGAGCGTGACTCGAGAGTAATTTGTAGTTTTGTGTGACGCCGTCCAGGCCTCGCGAAGCTTGCATGGGTAAGAGCAAGGCAGGACAGAGGCGAAGAGCAACGTAGGGAAAGAAACAACGAGGGGAGGGAAAGGTGCAACGAGTTAGAGATGAATGAGACGTGAGAGATCGACAAGGAATGGCGAACAGCCTGAGGCAGCCACGGGTGGCGCGGAGCACAACGATACTCTATGATTGGTCAGCCTGCAAGAGGAGCCGCTTTTAACGTTGACGTAGTTTGGATGTGGAATTTGTCCAGTGTTGCTATTTCTCCCTGACTTGAGTATTGCTGAACATTCCTAGCCAGAATGAATACGGTATGTATCGAAGCTTCTCATCCGTTTGGGTATGGTATGCGACATGTATTGCTAACGTCTTTCACCTGTCTCGCTTAGATTCGGTCCACCTGGTGAGTTGGGCAAACCGCTTTGCTTCACTGTTTCCGGCCGATATAAGATATGGATTGCTGACTATAAGTCATCATGTGCCAACAGGGTAGGCTGGGGTGCTTTGTGCGTTGGTAGGGAATACAAAATCAAGATGTGTTTGAGGCAGCAAAGCAACTAACGGAGATAACAGCTGGTGGCGGAGCCTACTACTTTGCTAAGAAGTCTATCAACGCCGACCGTGCTACGCGATTTGAAGCGGAAATGAAACGCAAGTCGCAGATGGCCGCTCTGGAAGCCCAGCATCGACGTCAATCCGGATTGAACGAACCCTCTCCCACTCCCTCCGATTCTCCGAGCCAGAAACGGGCCAACTTTTCGCAGTTCCAAAGTGGTACCGATGATGTCGCCTCCCCAAGCGCAGAGGCCAGCCGTGATCCCGCCCCAACTCGTCACGAGCCCGATTCCGAAGCAGAACGTGTGTCGCAAAAAGGGAAATATGAAGCTGCTCAGCCATTCCGACCTCCTCGAGGCAATCGATTGAGTTAAGCTAAATCCTTCGCAAATCTTTTCATGGGTCGGGTGGCATTACAATGCAAAAATTGATTGATTGGTGTCATATGCATGCTTGCCTGCTTACTTGCTGCTGCTGTGATATGATTCTGTACATATGTTCAATACTCTTTTGGTGTTGGTCTGCTCCTTGGATTCCTACGGCTTGGCTGTGGAGGTACTTACTAGAACGGGCTGTGTATACGTACTTGCAAATGGCATAGAAAAATATATGTTATCATGAATTGTCTTTCATTATTTCTTGTTCACATGACGGATTCAATCACAATTGTCACAGCGGACGCTGAATACGGTTTCTCCAAAACAATCGTTCCCGGGGGCCAGCCCAAATCAAAGGGGAAAATAAATAACAGAAAGTGCGTCAACGTCTGCAAACTCCGTCCAAAGCAACATGTATCATCTCATTTGGTCCAATCTGCTACTGGGCGCTTGCGCCAGCATGCCACGGTCGGGTTGGAACCTCTCACAGGAGGGTGACATCAGAACATAGGTATTAAAATAAGTGAGTAAAGATATATTATGGAATCCGGGGAGCTTCTAAGTCGCCATATTTGGGTATTGGGTCCGATCGTAGCAGGTTTTTAAAAAAGACCTAGCGTGCATGGAAACAAAGCGGGGGATGAGGTCTATAGAAGAGCGTCAACCAGTTAGCCAATGAGGTCCATACTTGGGATGCAGGAGATAACTGACTTGTTATGATTAGGATAACCCATACTCTTCTCGCGGGAGCTTTCGAGAGCCGGTGGTACAAAGGGAAGCACTACCGCGGAGACGAGACAGGAACTGGTAACAAATCGGGACGTACGTGTATCTGGACGAGGACGACGCACGGAGAAGCGACGGATTGTGGGACGGACGAGCTGAATGGCGACAGACATGGCCGTAGGGAAACTAGCCCGAGAACGAGGCGGTAATGATGCGCTATGGATTGACAAAGAGGGGTCGAGCTGATGTGATATTACTTCGGTGCAGAGAGATCGGGATGAATGGACTCGGTGACGGGGAACGGGATTCACGCGTGAGACTTTAATTGGAACTTGGACGGAAGTGTGCCGTCCTTATACCAGGAAGAATGCAGAAGTGGAAGATATTGATCGTTTGTAGTCTACAAGCTTGTGGTTGATATCTGACTATTTGTATAGCATCACCAGTGGAGTTCAATGAGTTGTGGGCGAAGGCCTGCGGGGGTTTTCTGTGGCCCACCATTCGATGACGGCATCAATAAAGGCGTAGTTATGGCATACAGGAACCAGACATCATCCGAGTCGTACCTTGTTCATCCAATGACCATGTCAATTGATGCATTCTGGGCTGTGTTGCAGCAGGAGATCGACGTAGGGTACGGAGTGCGATAGGAGGGACCGAGTGTACGATCCCCACATCCGGCGGCCTTCTAGGCTACAACTACATCGGCAACGTTACGGAAGTGAACCATATGATGGGTGCATGGGCGATTGAGGGACTGGGAGTCCAAGTGCCGGGGTGGTCATATGGACTCACGCCATCGGCGTGATCACGATTTCCGGGTACGCGGAGAGAACTGTGGGGCTAAAGTCGTCAAGAAGTATCGTTGGGGTTGGTCGAGGACTTAGCATGTTCTTATGGCGGGTGCACATCATCTGAGAGAAGTTAAGTATATAGATAACTATATAGAGAATGGAACTACGAAAGAGCGAGTCCAAGGGAAACAGAAATGAGGGTAAGAGAGGGTAAGTAGAAGGAGCATTCTATACTGAGGGGAAAGGAGTGGAGACAATGACACTCTTTAAATATCGGGGATTTCTTGATAAAGAATTGAAGAAGGGCAATCATACGTCCTTCAGTAGAAATTTAATGTTCTTAAGGAGTATTTATTAACATATTATGATCATCCTTATTATTATTTTAGTATTAAAGGAAGACTATTGAAAACGATCCTTGGGGCCAAAAGCGAAGGATTCCACGAGCATTGGCATCTGGTCAGCACTGCCTGCCTACTCGGGCAATTTCCTCGCCCAATCGAGTAAGCCCTTAGAGCATGCCCCTTTCTGGCCCAGTAGTGGCCTGAGGCCCCCCGGATCAGATGAGGTCGTAATGACTAAACAGCCCATCCCAGTTAGTTATTAGTTAACTACTCCGCCAGCGTTGATCATTCGGACTCAGAGCCTGTCCCGTGTTTAACCTAATAATAACTCGAATCAGACTAGCCGACTACTCTGATCAGTGTACGGAGCAGTCACTGTCCTCTGTTTCTCTATCAGTTGTTGATCGGCCCTGGAAGTGAGCACTAAGATACTAAATACAGTAAGGCCAACCCCTGTCAGACGGCCACTCACAAAGAGGAGGGTTTTTAGGGGCAATTCGCTTATTCGGTAATTATTCAATCCACCAGGTCGGTGAAGAACGGACTCCGAGGCCTGACAATGGTGCATGGCGGAGACAGCCCCCGCATGTCAACAATATAGCTACTATTATGTGTATCTGTTCATGTACGGAGTAGAGCCATATGACGTCCCTTCTGATGGAATTCAGGATATGCAGGCGGTGTTGTAGAGGCACCTACAGCTGTTGCACTTGCACGTACGGTGATTTCCATCTTCAGTGCAGAATGTTGGCCCCCGGAGTTTGGGTTTGGACCCCTGGCCCCCAAGAGCCGCTATCTTGGCGGCGCCTAATTTAGTCGATGTCAACCAAACTCAACCTATCGTTGACTACCAGTCTACCACCTGCTCGCGCGGCAAATGACCTACCGGAGTGCTTTGTGTGCAGAACTGACGGCAGTCTTGTATAACCCTACGCTACGGGCTATGCTTTCCTGCCATCTGTTCTCCATATTCCAGGACCTTCTGGGGGTGGTTCCTGCATTAGGGCGTTTCAGGAATAACAGTACCGTGGGCAGTTTGAGCTTGTTCTAAAGCGATTTCCCAGCTAACTCGGACTAGAGTCATGATGCAAGCACGGCTGATGATGACTTTCCCCAGAGAGGGTGGTTTACCCTGTTAGGAGTCCACTGCGCCTGTTAAGAGTATATTCCACCATTCTCTAACTGGCTGGTCCATATTACCATGTGGGCTTAATTTCCTTTATGAACCTCATCTTACCTTAAACCTCATGGAGTACTGAGATGCAACTACATACTCCGTATATGCGCTAGGCGAAACGTTGAGCTCTAGACCCTCTTTTCTGGGGCCAAATTAATCCACACTACCTAGGAGATGTGCAGTAAGCACAGGGCAAAACAAACAAAAATAAAAATAAAAATAAAAAAGAGAGAGAGGACTATCTGAAACAGCAACCGGGACAAAATGATGCCAATTCAGAAGGGGCCGATATTTTTGATAGGGCACATTGGGTTACAACCGTCTCCATGGAATCAATGCCCCATTTCTGATGGCTAAAGCATTGAAGCAGGTGCTACCTAGGAGGTTGGAAAACGCAAGCTTGACTCTAGAAAATGACCACACGCAACGGCCTTGAAGGAACAGCCAGTGCGAGAGAAGTCTCGCAAATGGCCATTTCAAAATGAGCCTCATCGCTCTTAGCTGCAGTGGACCAGTACCCGCAGGAATACGACAAATCCCGTCTCTTAGTCCTTGGATCATCTCAGCCCCCTGAGCGATGCAGGCTTAGATCTTAGGGTTCGACGTTCCTGGACTAAACGGCACCAGGAACATCCTGTTGGCTAAGGGACCCGTTTGGATGTCGGGGGCGAGAATCGATCTGGAAGGCTTACGAGGCTATGGCCCTACGAGATTTATGTTAAAAGGGTCCAAAAGGCCCAAGAAAGGATCGCTCGATCACACAACACAGGAGGCTCACCTCTATCCGCTCCTTTCAAGCCTATTACTCTTCCTGGTTGAAGAATTGGCTTTATTCCATTCAAGATGGTGAACTTCTTTCAGCCATGGCTGACTTCCGGCCTTTTACTTTCTTTAATCGCTCAGCCTGTCCTCGGCCACCCCAAGATGATCGAACTGCAGGAGATTGAACACATAGACGGCTCCTTTCTCCAGAAACGCGAGGCAATGCCATATGCAGGCTTCGATCGCATGACATCGGACTCGCTCTACTGGGGTGGTATGTAATCTTGCTCCGTGTATAATCGTGCTAACTTTCATCTCGTCCGTCCAGCTGATAATGTCTATGTATAGCCTCCCAAGATGGCAAATCATCTCTTGCAAAGTTTACTGTTAAATCCGATTCTGAGGAATTGAACATTATTAACATCGAGAAATTTCGGGACAAGCTCCGCACTGTGAACTGTACCCAGACTAGCCTTGCGGTTGACTACATTGACCCGGCCTCTTTCGATCGTGCTCAGCAAGCATGGAACTGGATTAACCAGAGCAAGAACCATAGTCTGGTCGTTATTGCCGGTCGTGGCCATTGCGGTTGGAACAAGCAGAGAATGCCTTTCCACGTTTCAGAAATCCATTTTGATAAAAATACTCAAACCGCTAAACTAATTGGCAAGGCATCTGAGTGGACTGAAGTTTTCCAAAGCTACGACCTCACCATCGGTCAAACGTCTGACCACGGAAAGCGTGGCTTTGGTGACATTAGCTACGACAAGGACTTCAACATTGACTTCTCCCATGACCTTACTTTCAGCAAAGAAATCCCTATCCCTAGCACGGACTTCCACATCGACTTAGGCTGTGACTCGTGTGGAACCAAAGGCTCCTTTGACATTGGCCTCCATATCGCAGTCCACTGGGCTTCGCTTAAGACAGCCTCTGTAACCCTCAAGCCTTCCGGTGTGAGCCTTGACATAAAGCCATCCATCGGAATCGGCGGTAACTTCTCAAAAGAGATTGGCGATGAATTCGAATTGGCTACAGTCCCACTCGCTGGAATCTCGATCAAGAGCATTGTTGAGATCGGACCCCAGCTTAAGTTAAGCGCAGGGTACGGTCTCAGTGATGTTTCTGGAGAAGCAACTGTTTCTGCGGGTGTGTCGGTCGGGTTTGATGATTCGGCGTCGCTTGAGCTCGATATCACGGATGCGAAAGTGAAACAGGACGGATGGACTCCGAAAGTGAAGCCCCTTCCCTTAACGGTTGATGCCGAAATCAGTGCTACCGCGGAGGTGTACGCCAAGGCTGCTGCTGAGCTCGCTCTCAAGGTTTTCAGTAAGAATTTAAATTAACTACCTGGAGAATGCATACGCTGACCGTACCCAGAATATGGATGGGAGGCCGGCATTGAGCTCAAGCCCAATGTTCAAGCCACTCTCAAGCTCTCTGAATGTAAGTAGTAGCCTCACCGGTGCCCTTTAATAGCCATGTCACTAACCGACTTGTGTACAGCAACCAATGGCGTATGTTCCGATGATAGTGATAAACATATCTTTGGGGTGGCTTTCTCTCCTTCGGCCAGTGTGAGCCTGGATGCATATGTCCAGAAGGCCGATGATCCCCAGAACCCATTAGTGCAAACAACTATCGCAGTAAGTTTACACCCTTTGCCAAGTTTATGCTGAGAAGATCGGTTCATCTTATTTATTTTAATTAACAGCAAATTGATGCACCCCTTGATGAGAAGTGCTTCCCCTTCGGACCGAAGGCTGCAGACCAGTCTACCACTTCCGCTGCTGGTTCAAAGACTTCCTCTGCTTCTTCGACCGCGGTGCCTTCTTCCTCGGCTACCCCCTCTTCGAAATCCCCTCGCCCCCCCAGTTCGACTGGATCTGCCACTCCTAGCTGGACCCCCACTCCCAGTCCTTCAGCTCCTGCTCCTAACCTTCACCTGCGTGACCACCGTCGGCACCGTCGCCACGGGTGGCAGCACTAGAGAATAAGTAACTTGGACCTGGATGGCCTCAATCCTAATGAAATCGGATGTGCATCTGTATCACTATGTGTCTTCCAACTAGTGCCTTTCATTTTCCTTTTATTTAATTCGTACTCTCGTTGAACTATCTTGACTCAATTTACTCCGATTTATTTTCTGTATATAGCGTGTACGATAGTGTTTTAGTTCCATGTTCAATTCTAGACAAAGGACGCACACCACCTGGTCTCCAGATCCATGTAGTAGTGTCACAGGAATACGTAGTATTAACTAGTATGGAACAAAGAGTGGCCAGTCTCCATGCAGGTCACGTGTGGCGGCCTTGTATCCGCTTTGCATCGTCGCTCAGGAAGTATCCCAACCACCACACCTCGCTGCGCTCTGGTACGCTTAGCAATGGCTTCCCATCAGCTTGCCATTGCAAAGGCCTCTTTCTCGGCTGGGCTTCTGCGCCCCGATCCCTCGTCCGTTCCGCGCGATGAGATCACCGCCTTCCATTCTGCACTCGACAGGGCGCTGTCTCATTGCTCCTCAGCAAACATTCAGGTTTGATGATCCGTCGAGTCCTTGGTTATCGAAATCTGTGAAATACTAAATCGTTATGTCCGGAATGCATTAGGCCTGCAAATCATGGCTTCTCCATTACGTCACATCCTCGTCCAATCGAGTCGGGGTCTGGGCCAAATACTTAGCCGCCTTGTCCAGCTCGTTCATGGCGGAAGAGGGAGCAGCGCCTTCTTCCACCAAGTCGGGGGCGCGCCCTGCTGCATTGGCCAAGAGAAAGCGACTGCATATCTTGTACCTGCTAAACGACGTGTTCCATCACACCAAATACCATATGGATTCGACCGCCGCATTTTCCACAGTGAGCGGTTCACTGCAGCCGTACATGGTGGAACTTCTGAGCTATGCCGCCTCTTACGACCTCCAGAAGCATCCAAAACACCATAGACGGCTGGATGACCTTCTGGATATCTGGGAAGAACACGAGTACTATGGCAGTGACTACGTTAACAAGCTCCGGGAGGTGGCCAAGAACTCGGCGTCGTCGGGTCCCGTCAAGAAGTCGATTGATGTCGAGACGAGCAACACGGGCCTGGCAAGTAAACCCTCGGGGAAGGAGGTTCCATTTGTAATGCCAGCGACCCATGGGGATCCCTCGACTCCTTTTTATGACCTCCCCGCTGGCAACATAATCCCTCATATAATCCCAAATTCAACGGTTCCTCTCCGTTCGGATACCATAAAGCCGCTGCAGTTTCTGGCCGGTCCAGCTGATGAGAAGTTGGTGACGGCAGTCAAGGTATTTCTGAAAGACGTTGACCGCGCTTTTGAATCGGGCCAACTCGAACCGGGAGAGGGTGAAACGATTGATATTGACGAGCTGGGAGAAGTGGTCATTAGAGATAGTGATACCGGCGACGTGCTCGACGGCGAAACCTATTATGGATGGTCTCGCGCATTCTGCCAACGCATGAAAAAGAGAAATACAACCTCCAGATCCCGAAGCCGGAGCCTGACACCGCGCAAAAGGAGACGGTATAGCGGTAGCGCTTCAAGTGAGGACAGCCGATGGAGTCGGTCCCGATCACGAAGTCAGACTCCACGCAAAGGACTAGGACGAAACTACGACTCTCGATCCCGATCCCGATCTCGATCCCGGTCCAGGCCATATTCTCCACGGAGGGCTTCCCCTCCGCGATCTGTCGCTCCAGGCCATCCGGTCCATCCGTATGGCCATCCAGCCCTACCGGGACATGCACCCCCCCCTCCCCCCCAGCCGCACCCCATGCATTTTGCACCTGGAGGCGGTCCTCAGGCTGGACCTGCTTTTCCTCCCGGGATGCCACCGCCTGGGGTTCATCCACCTCCGCCACCACCGAATTACCAGGGCCCTTGGCCACCCCCTCCGCCACCGATGCCAAATTACGGGCCTGGGCCGGGGATGAACACGTCGCATTTCCCTCCTCCGTATGTGGTGCAAGCTGGACAGTTCCCGTCGATGCACCGGGGGCCGGGGACGGGAACGGGAACGGGCCAGCAAATGCCTCCGGGATCGTATCACTTCCCCCCACCCCATTCAGGGGGACAACACTACGGGTACCCACCGGGACGATGGCGATAGCAAGCTCTAGATGTAGCATAATGTATGTACGAGATGAGAATGAAATACCATCATTGATTGGATCCATTTACAACGAAAGGGAAATCCATCAATTCATTCAACTGTATAAACCTGAAAGGTACAGAATGGATGCTAAATAAAATAAATTAATTATAACCGGGAAGGAAAGAACCCTCAACTCGCCACACAGTCTCCTCCCCACTGGAATATATGTTGTGAACGGTCACCGAGACGTGGGTTAAGAATCATATTGCACCGCCGGAGCTTATGTTACGGTGTGGGTCTGTGTAGATTTGAGGTAGGAGTAGCGGCGACGGCGCTACTATACTGTTGTTGTCGGCTGTTGTTGTGATCCAGGGCTTTCTTCTTCGAGGTGATGGCCTCGTCCCAGGTTTTGCAAGTTTTGAATATTGCAGATTCGGTCTATTTATGTAAGTCAGAATGTATACTACGTAGACACATGAAGCCTAATATCAAGAGAGAGAAGGGGAAAAAAAGGCACTCACGTCCTCCATCCCAGTACAGCACACCACATCATCCGTGCAAGACTCATTCGGGCTGTTTGGATCCATTGATCGACCTATTACATTTTTCATGGTCAGTTCATGTAACAGAACAGAGACGGCGCATGAACTAAATGGTGCTATTCTCAAGGAAGAGAGAGAGAGACGTACACTGTAGACTAAGTATCGAGGAAACTTTTACTTCACTTAATATAGGCACCAGCTCACCCAGCTCCTTAGTGATGTCGCCTGCCATCTCAGTGATAGAGGCACAGCATTGCTTGGTCGGGTGGGTGAGTGGACAAGTACTCATATCACTTGTTTCAGTAGCAGAAGCAGCGATAAGGGAGGCAAGAACAGGGTCGACGCTTGTAGAGTTGGCCTTAATGTTGTAGTTGCTGGACGTCGGAGAGGCAGAGCGAGAAGTGAAGGGGAATGCGATTGCAGCGGTGGTGAGAAGCCCAAGGGTGAGGATTTGATTTGGAAGAAGCATCTTTCTTTTTTCCTTCCTAGGCCCTGATGCGACGAGGTAGTGCTGAAGTGTATCGAGGTAGGCGTTCGCTAATACGACGATTGATGGATAGATGGATGATATAGTAGGAAGCCAATCCAGGAAGGGAGATCGCGTCCTTGATCCCTTCCCTCAGGCCTGCTCCCAATGAACTGGTGAGGCTGGGGCCAGGGATTAAAGCATGAACATTAAACACGACTACAACACGCGTTTTATAACAAGCTGGCGGTCTTGCGGAATGTAAATAAGGTTGTGGAATGTGGTTGAGTGCAACATTTGTTTCAGTCGGGCTGTCGGCGCATGGGAAAAGCACCTAAGCCCTGCAGCAACCCGAGTCTTCTTGTGGAGGTGCCGTCCATCTATCCCTTCATCAGGACTGTCCCATCCTGTGCTGGAGGACAAGTATGCAAGGGAGAGAAACAGTGCTCGGGACTCGTTGGTTTATAGTCATCCCATTCTACCCAGTAATGTTAATGTAGAAACGCCTGTGTTCAATGCAGACATCGGCTAATCGTACGTCAAACATGCCATGTGTTTTGTCCCAAAAGCCGGCGACAAGACCAAACCAAATCATCAATCAAAGAAAAAGGCCATTACCCTCGCTAGCCATGCAAGGGGGTATGTCTTGCATAGACATAGAGTGGCCAACACGTATATACTGGTATAAATGGTGACCAGTGCACTGGTTCCGCTTCATGACTGCCAAAACTAGTATAATGAATAGCTGCAATCCAAGGTCCAGCAAAATTGTCCAAAAGGGAAGAAGATTGGCCAAGGTGAAGGGCCAGTCTTTGCAGACAGAAAAAGGGCAGGTGGAAAGAGAAAAGCTCCGATGCGCAAAGGAAAGGAAATCTACCTTCGATTGACATTGGCTGCTTATGACCGGAAAGGATGACCGGTTGAGTGTTTCCATCAGTTCTAGGATCTAAACGGTCCATTCCCAAAGGTGAAACCAAATGTCAAAGGCCACAATGCGTAAGGCTCAATAAAGAGAGAGAAACGAAAACGAAAACGAAAAAGTAAAAGAGGAAGGAAAAGGCAAAGAAAAAGAAACAGGGGAAGAGTGTATAAGTCAACCATCGCCGGTGGATGGAGGAAACTTTGCCATGACTCAAAGTTGAGCCTGTCAACTTCATCATCAATTGTAAATCAAACGGCTCTCGAAAGCTCAAACGCCTGGAGACAAGGAAGTGTTATATCTCTAGTAGCTATCACTTGAAATTGCCAACACCTTGCTGGAAGGAATCATATTGTCAAGAATAGCAGCTGGACTTGAATATGCAAAATGCCTACCTGTGAACAGCTCTTGGAAACAAAGTTGAGGATTTGAAAACAACTTCCCCATTTTCCGAACCCGTCTAGCGGTGCTGACCTCTAAAACGATGGCTTATAATTGCTTGCCCTTGGTGGAATGATGTTTCTCGCGACCATTGCTAGGAGAGCTACGGCTTGAGCCACTTGCGGAGCTTCTCGTCTGGTTTTGAAGAGCTAGCACGCCACTGGTAGAATCACTACTATCACTACTTCTGCTTCTTCGACTTGTAGATGAGCATTTGTGGCTGTCCGTGCGGACGAAACCAGTCATCCGGCATTGTGTATATTGTAGCATAACCCGACTGTAATCTTCTAAAGACTGGGAGGGCCGAATATGTTTTTGGCCAAGGCGCACAGCGCCTTCGCCATTTGTTGGGAGAACGGGATGGGTGCTGTTAGTCTGTTCATCGGAGACTGCAGACATGGTTGGGGTATCCTGCAGTATACTCGTCAGTTGCAAATTCCCCACCTCATAATCTTGGCTGTATGGCCGTCTTCATTGAAGATCCATGGAGTGATCATCCATAGAATTGTCGCTTCATCTGCACAGGGGCAGTTCCATATTATCCCAAGGGGAACAAAGGCAAGTGGACTAATTTTAGCATAGGCATGTCGTCGCCTGGTCGATCTCCATTCGCAGAGGCGGAACCCCTTTCAACACAAAGGAAAATGAATCTGTACACTCACCTTTTCACAGGTGTAGTATATCTCAGAGAGGGATAAATTGGGAGGGCAAGTCAAAAGTCACTAGGGAGGGAATGGGGTATGACAGCAGCAGGTGGATGTTCTAGGCAGAAGGGGAATAATAGGAGGGTCCTAAGAAAGGCAAAAGCATATCTAGCACGATTAAATGGGCTTAACTAACAATAAAGAAAGGACTGCAAATAGACTTCAGTGCAAGGATCCCTAATTTAAAACGAGATCCATGGTGGACACCTGTCCAGGTCTGACCACACCAATTGCCTCTTTGGAGACAGGTGAGTCAGACACAAAGTGTACTAGACCGCCATGACACAAGCAGCACCTCCAACCTCAGCATGTCATCATGTTGCCTGCGGCCTCAAAAAGGGATATGACATCATTGGGTCTCAAAGGGAAGGGAGACGAGCTCCTGCTACCTCCTGGAACATTCAAAAGGCCTTACTCCCCTTGCCCCAAGATGAACGACTTCCCCTTGACGGTGAATCTCCTGGTGGCACAATCCATCAGCGAACGAACTGGAATACCATGCCCCACACGCCCATGGTTCGGCGATTTTCCACGAGGCCACCTCGTACGACTGGACATAATGAGGTCATTGCCACGGCAATTGCAGGTGCATAGCAATCCGTTCCTGCTGATCATCCCTTGGTCAGGGGGTGTTCTCGTCTATACGAGAGGGAAGTCAAGCTGGACGGACAGTGGGGAGGACCTTCACGAGAACTGTGCGTATCTGGGTATCCGTCAGTGGAGAAATCTAGGCCTGCAGCTTTGCCGAAGTCACCATCGCAAAACGAAACGCTGCCTATGATGGAAGCGGAGTCATGAACAGGTCGAACGCTAAGCTAAAATGATTAGACCACCATTAATGGCATGGATTCTTAAATCATAGCTTCTAACTGGCCTGACTAATGTGGGGATAAAGACAACAAAAACCGGGAAAATAACGTCAGTCCCACCAGTTATGGCCAACACCGCCAGTTGGGAATGACCCGCAATATAGAATGGATATGATGACAATGACAATAATGATGATGACGATATTGACGATGATGGAAGCATGGCAAATGTGTGCAGGAAGAAACGAACCATGGGTGGGAGTGCCTGCCAGGCCGACCAGCTGACGTCAGACGTGGACTTTGTTTTCTTCTCGTTGTTGACACCTCTTTTTTTGCCAGATCCCTTCTACCGTTCACATATAATCCATCAGACTCATCCAGAAGAGTCAGGCGTATAGGGAATTCTTTTCCGAACAACTATCGACTTAGCCCTGCGAATACGATTGAGCATTATACCATACTAGATTCCACCGTCAAAAGCACCCCCAATAGGCAAAGGCAGCTATTACTCTGATCAGCAGTTGATAATTTGCTACCTGTGGAGATCGACCCTACCGTAAGGTTGTATGAGAAGGAGCAGTTTCGACAGTCGGCCCTAGATTGGGAAAGAAGAGAAGGAGAGCGGCAAAAAAAGAAAGTAAAAGAAATGAAATGAAATGAAAATGCTGATCGATGGTACGGAGTAGTGAGGCCGAATCCGAGAGATATGACCGTGGTGGCAAAGGAGTGTCTCGATCAAACTAGTGGTCTGCATGCATCATACATTTGCCCTAGTAGGTCCCAGTTAGCATACAGCTTGATAAGGAAACGAGCGATGCTGAACGAGGAAAAATATCATCATATGTGGAGTTCAATTATCCATCTTGAACAGTTCTGCATTCTGTCAGATGTACCACTACACCACAAAAGTAGCGCTATTTCGATTTGTACGTGGTACTGGTATATCTGCCTCTTCTGACATATTCCCATCGGTCCGACCACGTGTATCAGCGCAGAGTGAAGGTTATTCTGGTGGACCTTCGCAGGGAAAACATTCAATCAAATTATTGTGAGCATGCATCTTTTGGAGTAAGCTCCGCTATATCGTATGCGTATTAGCTGAAGCCACTAGTACTCCGTACTCATTCTGAGCATTCGAAGAACACTGTTTATTCTATCGGATCCGTGTATACAGCATGCATGTCTCCATAAAGGGAGCGACGTGCAATATTTGGCAACTCGGTCTCTTACCTGTCGTACCTAGAAACGGGAGCAGGGAGAACAACAAACATACCGACGCAGCCGTCCAACATATGAGAAATGATACCACTGCCTCTTGGTTCGAAGGCACAACTTGAACTCTGAAGTCATAATAAAAGACCGAAAATTTTGATCCGGCAGAGCTTTTCTCACAACGTAGTCATCATAATATGCATCTTCACGTCATTTCATTCGAAAAACTAACAGTTATCTGACAGAAATGGTACATCATCCGTGGACGAGAGTTGCAGTGCTTCCTCCAGTCTCTCCTATCCATGTTCGGCCGTGGCTTCCATCATCGAACGTCAGGCTTCTTTTGCAGGCATTGGCAAGATCATACCGAAGGGTTTCCGGCTTCTAATGCTATCGTTTCATTGTCCATACCGTATTTTCAATCTTAAAATTATAACAGACATTTGCACGATCATCCTCTTACCTATCACCTACACGATACTAATATGTCACTTGTTTCGAGCACTTCCAGCCAAATTGTGGGCAATAGCCTTCACGTAAGTGTACGTACGTACGGGTAAGACGGCTCCACGGTCTCCATAGTACAACCGATTGAAAGAAGGGCGACGGACACTTTGTTAACGAGGAAATTCATTCATATAATCATTTGGGTGGGCGATCGGGATAAAAGGAACTCGTCAAAGTGGTCTCAATTAACCTGCTTCAATAAGATGAAACACTCTAAAACTTATAATGGGATGTAGATAGATACAACAGTAGACGCTACAATTCAAAGGGGAGATAGATCAAAATTCACGCTCACTCATCACACGTAACCTGGGAATAGATTAGAAGCCGATAACACCCGGGAGATTAGTGGGGAGTACGTACCTTTCCTTGCACCCTGGAAGAAGAATCGTACAACAAAGACTTGCAAGCCGGCCATCGACACCATCATTAACCCTTCAATTACACTGAAGTTGAAAATCCGACGCTCAGTGCTACGAACAGTGCTGAAGTTGCGGTTCTCGCGGGTCCGGAAGTATTTCTGATTGCGAGAAATAGTTGAGAGCTGAGCGGAGAGCTTGAAGATGGACTCTTCAAGTGCAGACGCCTGTTCCGGGCTGGCTCCCTGCCTCGAAGGGAGTTGCGCTCGTTCCTCGTTCTCAATCTGTCATGGTGGAACATTAATCATGAGCCCCCTCCCCAGTATTATGCTATAGAGACAAAGGTCTGACATACCGCAATCTCAAAATCTACCATTTTCTCCGCAAAAGTCGACATTTCATTGTTGAAACAGAATCGGTATTCCCCGATACTTTGAGCCGTAAAAACAAAGTCGCCCTGTCGCTCCTTGGTTCCATCTAGAATCACCTTATCACCTGGGCCGACAACGGAGTAATCCACATCGAAAGAACCGCCGGATTGAACCTGTTGGGAAGTTACAGTCAGCCCACGTATCAAGTAAGTCTACCACGCGAATATATGTACATATATTCTTCACAGGATACACTCACGGCAAAATAGAAGGCAACCTTAGTGTTCAGCTCGCTAATATAGGTATAAAAGCAAGCCTTCTCGTTGGCCCCGAGTCTGTATGTCAGAGCCGTGGCGGTCGCAGACGATACTAAAGTGGCCAGAAGACCTATAACCAGAGCTGCAAAACGCATTGTTATCAATGGTGGAGAGCCAGCAGGTCAATGCAGGGAACGCTCGAGGGGGGACGACTGGAATTAGACGCGACTTGGAAGCCAAAGTTCTGGACAGCTGTGTGTTCCGCTGTTTGCCATGTTTGCATAGAGCGACAAAGCTAGGGAAGGCAAAATGTAATTTCAAAAATTGAAATTTCATGAAATCTGGCCTCCTGAAATGAAATCAAAATCTGTGAAATTGAAATTGAAATTAAGCTAATCCAAAATAGGCAATATTAAAGGTCATGTGCTTTGTTACCAGAAGCTCCGATCCTCTGCTGTTGAGTAGGTTGTTGATAATGGTCCGCCACCCCATGAGACCAATAGCAGAAACAAGTGCCGGGTTTGTTGCAGTTGAAGCTGAATTTAATGCAGAACTTAATACTGCAATAAGTGCTGGATTCGACGCTGGTTCTGGTGCTGGATTTGGTACTGGGTTCGGCACAGGGTCCGGTGGAATATCCTCCTCAGAGTCTGAAGTATCAAGCACCTCTAATAGATAGTCCTGCACCTGCTTACGCTGCAGTATTCTTTCTATCTCCTGATCTTCCTCCTCAAGAAGCATCTCTTGGGTAACGGTAGGTGGCGAGTCTGCACGAAATTGTCGTTTGTTAATCTGTATATAAAGTAGCTTCTCAACTCGGTGAGATTCAAGCCGATTCCGGATCTTTGTATGCTGCAGATTCATCTGTGAAAATGCTCTCTCAGCTGCAGCAGAATTAGCAACAGTATTACACAGACGGCGAGCAAAAGGAGCAAGAGTAGGAGCAAATTCTGCCTAAATTAATATAGGTAAGTATCTTGCTTAATAGCATATAGCTTTAACTTACTGCCTCAAGCCAAAAGAGAGCTGGTGTTCTTGCTTCCCAACAAGAGGAATTATAAAAAGCACCTGTTCTTTGCCGGAATGCCAGAAATTCATGCCATGCAGTAGATCTTCCATCTTCGCTTTGAAGTGGTCGTAAAGCACCTTCAATTGGCGTCGTGCGCTCTCATCAAGTTTGCCAGGAACTCTTGCTGGATCAAGATGATACGCTACCCAGTGAAGTGGCTCTAGTTGACGTAGCATTCGAGTCTGCCAACCAGTGCCATCTAGATAAGAATAAAAATCATCTTTAAAGGATGTCTGAGCAGCAAGCGTCCGCAGAGTCTCATGGAGGGTTAACCACCGCTGCGTTACCTCCATGATTGATGAATTTTGGGCCTCAGATTCCTTCTGAGCAATATGCAGAGGCTTAAGGATTTTTATTAACTCCTTTAGCTCCCACCAAAAGGCATGAGATTTAGTTGTTCTAATCACCTCTTTCCCTTTTATGGTAGAAGCAGCAGGAGTAATAAGAGCCCACTCACAAACTGCTTCCTGGCAATCATAAAGAGAAGTAAGCATGCCATATTGAGTACCCCATCGGGTAATAACTGCTGCAATTAAAGCCTTTCGATGGCCCCATTTCTCAATCTGCTTTGCTTGCAGCCTTGCATATTCAAGAGGAGATTGGTGAAAGAACACCACAACTTCAAGAGCTGATTTAAAACCCCTTTTACTTTAGGGATCTTAGAAGCATTAGGATCAAGAATATCCTTCATAATCAGCTGTAGACCATGAGAGTCACAGGGAATCATAAAGGCATGCTTAAGCTCTGGTTTCTCTGACAAAATTTGCCATACTGCCTTCATAACACAGCAGGTATCCGTTGAAATGGAATTAATCCTCTTCCAGTCAACAACTTTATCAAGCTCCAAGAGAATATTATGGAGCCTTTCCAAAATCCATTCACTAATTGTAGCAGCATCAAGCGTCTTATCTTCCATGTCATGTAGATGAAGAAACCATGATTTTGTGGGTGTTGTAATAGTCATAGCAATAACCCGTTGAGAACGTATATTTGTTGTCTCATCTACAGAGATATTTAGAAACTGACTTCTCTGTAGCTCCTTCCGAACTTTCCCTTGTATCTCGATATATGATTCCTCCAGTAAGTCATCAGCGATTCGATGGCGGGATGGGATTTGGTATACGGGATTTAGAGCATGAATAAGATCTTGCATCTCTTGTTGCTCGAAAAGGCTAAAGGGCCTGCCTCCTGTAAAACACACCTGAGCTAGTAAGCGATCAATACTTCTACTTGGTTTAGAGGTAGGGAAGCTTAATGGTTTCTGTCTCTTTCCAGGAGTATTCTCGGGGTCCATAAGAGCCTGCGCGCTGCTACATTTCTTCACGTGCTCGCACTGGCGTGTAGTGTTTTTCGCTCGAACTTTGAAGCACCCAAGGCATTTTACTTGCGGGACCTAGCCAAAATTAATAAAGCGTACGTGTGGACGTGGGTGTACAGTCACCTTTGTGCTGCCCCTTACTACTTCAAAGCACTTCTGAAGCTCGATCTCGGTGTAATGGATCTTGTCAGGAGAATCTTCAGCCATGCTGATGTTGATAATATTACTAGTTTAAAATCCTCCCCGTCAATATATATATATTGGTAATGGTTGCTACCAGTGACACTAGGCATTTTAGATAAGATAAAGAATTGGGCAGAATCTGGGCTGGATAGGCTCTTATTGGCTGCAATACTCTCACCGCATATAATGACTAATCAAAATAAGCCCCTTGAAATGTAATTGAAATCGATAAAAAAGTTGAAATTTCAAGATTTCGTAATGAGCTCGCCGGTATTGTCATTACACCAACACTAGACAAAGCAAACAAACCACCAAGCAATATGTACAGGACAAATTCCATGCCATTGAACTTCTACAGCACCATTCCATGATCTGCTCAAAGTAAGCACTGCAATTAGGAAAGAAGGGCAGTTACCCAGCTTGCGTACTTTGCCTTCCTCTACCTGGGACAGGATTTCTCTACGTATACCAAGTAAATGGAAGCTGAGATTCAACCCTTGACACTATTACTGAATACCATCTACCCTATAGGAAACGTTACACAATTCAACAGAGAATACAATGAACAAGCATTGGCCCAGGTTTATATCGTTCTTCATAAACAAGAAAGCTGCCGGTGCGGGAACGCACTATAACCCTATCCATTTCCTCCACATCAGTAGTTCCATAATATCAAATACGCATAAATGCAGGATTCAGAAAAGCCCCGCCTCTATCGGATGAAAAACGACTCGCTGCGGTTCCAAAAGCTCCGATTCTTATTTACATGGTCGAGACCAAGAAGATCATCAGAATCACCGATAATATCGGAAAGGATATCATCTGCGAGGATCATCGTGTTAGCTCGAATTTACACGTATGCTGTCAAGCGTAAAACGCAGGTACGCTTACCATCTTCAAGGTATCGTAGGTTGGAGTACAATGAACGGGGAACGACGGCAAACTTAATCTTCTCGAATTGTTTGCCCTTGATACCGGTCCGCTTAGAAAGCCGTTCTTTCGTTTCCTTGAAAACCTCGCCCTAGGAAGAATTAGACGAAGTGCGCCCAAACGATATATCCAATGGTCAACTTACTGGCCTCACCACAAACTTGAAAGGTACACCGTGTGGCCTGTTGGGCTCGCGGTCAAAATTGTATGCGTTAATCGTCCGCTCGCCCTCTCCCATACTGAGCTCATCTTCCGGTGTGCGTTCAGCGTAGAGAGAAACAAATTCATTGATACCGGCTATTTTTGACTCGCCTTGGAATTCTCTGTAGATCTTGCCGCCATGTGTCTCATAAATGCGCGCTTCGCGAATAGTTTCCTCGTCAAGACCTGCCTTTTTCTGCAACCCAGCCAGGATATCGGCGATGGTGCCGTCACGAGGCACTAAAACCTCAACAACTTGCTGTTCAATTGATGAGTATGCTTAATCTCTTTAAAACAAAAAAAAAAAAAAAAAGGGCGAGGGAACCTATAATCCAACGTACCTCTTTTGTAATTCCCTCCGAAAGCCATGTTACTTTCAGGCATGTCTTGGACTCATAGTCGCTCAGGCTAGTCTCCAGTACCTCATAATACAATGCATCTTGGCGATGCACGTTGTATCCATAGCCAGTGATTTGCCCACTGAGGATTTGGTACAAGGTTTGATTGGCTTGGTTAGTATTCCGTTTGATAAATTGTTTGGGCTTGCCGGTACTGGCCAGGACTGGAGCAAAGCGCAAGTGCGTGGATTCCACGCCCAAATGCTCGCCAACCTTCTTTGAGAACTGGTCATATGTCATCTTGCGGCTTAGGGTCAACACAAATTCCTCACCACCGTCAACAGCCTTTACCGGTGCAAAACTAATATTGATCCGGTTCAGCAGGTAATCATAATACTGTCGTGCATCCTGGTATAGCGCAGACGGAGGCAACTCCGACTCCTTAATTGACCTCTGGAAGGTGATGATATCACCATCTTGAATTTCAGATTGCTGGAAAGTCTGCTTGGGTTTCATAGCATCGATCATATTATGCTTGATTTCCTCGAACAGCAGAAATTCGGTGCCCACAGGCCAATCCATCTTTTCTAGGATGATAGGCGCCAGCTCGGCCACTTTCTGCGACTTGCGCACGTAAGCCGCACCGACACCGGTCAACACTTGCGACGCAGCATCAAAACACTTCAGAAATACAAGCACGGAGTTGCTGCTATCCGGCCAAGAGATCACGCCATCGGGACCAGGTTGACCTACTTCCATCCAAACTTTGAACGGGTTTCCTTTGGTGCCGAATCTGCTATAGGCTTCCTCGACCGTCATTTCCGGGTCCTTGATTACCTGATCCGGACGAGTCGTCTTGTTTTGGCGGTTTACCATTACCCAGAACCGAATTCGGCTGGCATCAAGGCCTTTCTCAGTTGCAAGCTGCTCGGCAAACTCACCAACCTTCTGGGCCCGGAGGATCCGGTGCTGTTCCGGCAGTGCTGGGTCATCGCTGGGTAGATCGCCGCTTGTCAGGTCAAATCCGTGGTGAGACCGGAAAGTCTCCTCAGTCAAGACTCCGACGTTGATATATAAATGGGCTTCTTCTTTTTCTTTCCTTCGACGTGCCAGGTCGGCCCGCTCCTCAATCAATCGCGTTTCTAGAAGGGTTTGTCAGCAATTGGGCAAGTGCAGGTGGAGTTTCAGACGGCTCACCTATGTGAGAAGGAATATCTTCCTTCATTATGGGGAACAGTACATCATCTAATTTTGCCTTCCGGATGTACACCAACATGTAAGCATTCATCGAGCGCTTGGTCGATAAGCCACGGGTATAAGGCTGTCGAACGCCAGGGGCACCATTTAACTCGTATTCACCACCGTAGTTCTCCTCGAGCACTTCCTTGTCTGTAGCTCGGGTAACTCTATCGTCATCAAAGCGGTACCAGAATCCATCCTTGGTGGGTTTCAAGAAGGCATAGTAGTGTCCAGCATTCAAATCGCCGCTGTGCACCAGGACGCCATGCAACTGGTAGGTCCAAGATTCCGATTTGTTGGCATCTTTGGAAAGGTAAGGAGCAGCGTCGAATTCCATCGGGAAGGCATGGCGATCATTAATTTTCATCATCGCATCGCGGTTGATGTCGTACTCAAATCGCTTTAGGTGAAGATGTAAAACGGGAGGAAAGCTCTCAAAAATTACGCCCTTCTTGGCATCTTGTAGCCCATACGGCTGACCGGCATCATACTTGTTCTCGCCTTCCAGAGTTTCCACTTGGATGTAGTCTTTGAAGCTATCATCAAGGGTCTTGTTGCCTCTCACATTCAGCTGGATGTCCCAAAAATCTTCCACTCGAGATGACTCATAGTCAACGTTTATGCAGGAGATGTAAGTTTTTGTTTTTCCAACAAACAGTTCGGGGAGTGCATTCTCTGCTGGCGTGCCTTTCATTCTCTCTTCCAGCCTTTCCATTAGCTTTCGGGAAAGCTCCTGGACATCTTGCTGCTCAAAGATTTGCCTTGACTCCCAACCAAAGGATGCGGTAAGTTCTGTGGTTGAAACGGAGTATTCACTTGTTTGAAGGTTGTAGAAAAGCCGCTGGAGCGTCCATGCACTGTTATCTCTCGAGGCTTCCGTCTCCGTCGGAATTTGATAAACCGCCTTTTGAAAGGGGGTATGTGTGTCAATATATTAGAATACTGAGACGAGAGGAAGTAGCATACCTTGCGGAAAGAGTTGGTAAAGTATAGTGACTGAAGAAGAGAGTTAAGGTAGCAAGTGGCCCCCTGGTTCTTCAGCCCAACCATTCCAGTCTCCTTTTTCGAATCGTAGCTGGAGGCAATCAGTGATGTATTCTATATAAAAAATAATTGGCGCGCACATACTTCTGGAAGCTGTGCCACAATACGCCCGTAGGGTCCTTGACAACACGGACATATGCAGTTACGTTTGCCTCTTCGTTCTGTACTAACGGATCCCCGCTGCCTTCCCACGGGGTGCTGAAGAGTCTCCGCAGTTCACAAAACCTGGTGAATCCCCAATCGCCCTCGTCTGCATTGAACCGATGAGTGGCAACTGAACTCCAGATCAGCAAGAACAAGCCTATTCCGTTTCCACAAGGCCAAACATACAGTGAGAAACTTTGATAGAAGGATCATTGACATTCCACAAAACCAAGGCAAACTGAACGCAAGCATACCAGTTCTCAGGCGGATCCTTCTCCCAGGCATGCTCCAAGTAAAACGACGCATGTTCAACATGGTTTCCGTACGGGAAGAAAAGAATGCGCCTAAGGGTCACTTTGTCAACATCTACGCCGCCACATTGTCGTGGTAGTGAAAGGACCGCAAACCCACCAGGGGAACCCTCCACATTGAAATATCGGGCCATGCTCCTTCTTCTTCAATTTCCGCCAATCTTGAATGTGCCACGTATGATACGCCTCGTCTTCGGTCTCTAAGTCGGGGTCTTTAGGGAGAACTCGTGCCATCATCGCCGCATCTGTACCAGAGATCGAGTTAGAACGGTTTCCGGGGATCAGATGGGAAGGTACCGAGCATCAGGGCCGGGCAAGTAAGGCAACCCGACCCCACCGCGGGGGTTCGGGGGGGATTGGATACGCAGGATTCAGACGGGTATGAATGTTCTTACAATCATCTGCGCGAGGTTCTGGCTCCTGTTCCTCCGACCCGGAGCGAGAGACGACAACATCATCGGTCCTGTCATTGTGGTACTGCTCATATTCGTCAACGAGCATCTCATTATCCGCGACCTGAAAATCAGAGACCACAGTGTCAGTAGTGCTTATTTCTTCCGACATTCCAGCGACTGCATCTTTGCTTCCCTCGAATCCATGGGGGACAAAATTAGATATGGAGGAGGAAAAACTAACGTTGTCCATCTAGGATAGGATAGTGCGCTCACGCACTCAGATCCCGGAGTACTCTCTTTGGTAGGGCTTTTTTTCTTTTCTTTTTTTTTTTTTTTTTTCTCTCTCGCGTTACGCGGTCGGAAAGTGAAGGAACAGTATATAGAAGAGAGAGCAAAGTGGGAATTAAAGTAGGGAATGAGGTAAAATTGGACCGGGTCAGCGACACAATCCGAGGTTGAGATGAGAGTTAAGGAAGTGTTCTGTAGGTTCCAGTTTGAAGGGAGTTTGAAGCTAGTGGCGGAGTTCCCAGAACCCAATAATAATGGCGGGACGAATATTATTAAGTCCTGACTGAACGGTCCTAAATGTGGAACGTGGGATCGAAGGGGAAAAGAACTCCATAAAATCCGTAAAATTCATAGAAACTTCAGCAATAAAATCAGCTGTCCCTTGCAGCTACCTGGAGTCTGTCTGTGTGTCGAGATGGTGGCTTGAAGGAGATCCATTAATAAGTTTCCGACCTGGAGGATAAGTGACGGCATCACTCACTGCCTACTTTAGTTCGCAACCATAACTTGACAGTTAGACATTGCTCTATATAAACCCATTGAATTTCTCCGATCAGACGTCTGGTAGTTATTGCAGTATAACTTCTATGGGGAACCCCGCCCCCCAGATGATGGTCCTAGGCTTACAGTTCGGTACGATGAAACGGATTTATTTGGCGCTTCTCACAAGTATCTACCACCACCAGAATACAGTCAGACACTGGCTTGCTTGTCTAACTTACAACAGCTTCCGAGAATAATTCAAAGGATACGAGGAACTGATCATCTAACAGAGCATCCCCATTATCATTCAGGATCTCCAACAGATACCTACCTCCATACCTACACTACGGTATTCCTTCGATGTCACATGCCAGACCGACTTGCACACCGCCGGCGGATTGTCGCCTATAGAAGGCCAGCCATCTGGACAGAATCGGATATCCCATCCCATTCCATCCCATCTTATCTTCTCTCTATCCATCAAACCACTCTGACAATGTCATGCCATTCTTAGATGACCACTTGGACCCTTGTTAATAATTCTTTCTGGTAAACCATGTATGGAATGGCTATCTCCAGATCTAACAATATTGGGTAAATATCCGTGACTCAACAGCCAAGTCTTGCAATTCATGACGCATTTCCTGTCTGTAATTGAAACACAAAAGCAATATGTTGCGGTCCCCGAATCCAGCCCGATGTTGGCGCGCTCTCCCCCAGCGTCATATCCCAAAACTACGGCCTGTTTCGTTGCAGGCCCATCATTCTCACAGCCCACCACCCTGGCGGCCGGTTTCCGCTTTAGATGAGTATGGTCTCTTCTTTCGAATAAGAGATATCTTATTGACATGCCCACTGCTAATGCGATTCCTTTTTTTCCTCGCTCCAAAGATGGGTCGAGCGTGAAATTCGGCCGATTAGTTTAAGACAGTTGACTTTCTTTGGACGAACTTTGACGGAACCCCGACTTCTAAGCTCTGCCAACTATGTGCGGACGGAGCTTCCAACTAGGTTAGCATGGCTCCCAGTTGATTCAAACGAACCTTTCTGACATCCAATTCTGTTTTTTAATCATCTAGATTAGCCCACCGGCTACGGGACATCCAGAAACTACCGTATGTAGTGGTCGCCAATCGTCACCTCTCCCTTGTGTATGAACTTTACTACAAAGCGTTTGAGCGCTTCCGGAGAATCCCGGAGATAAAGACGCTTGAGGACAATGACAAGTTCTGTGACATTCTACGGAAAACTCTCAAAGAACACCTTGTCGTCATCCCCAAATTAGCCATGGGGGTTTTGGAGTGCCGAGATCTTTTACCACCCGACGTGATGGATCAATTTATGAATACTCTCCTTCGAGCGGTATGCGCTACATTGTGCTTATTATTCATTGTGATCACCCCTTGGTTCTGACTCCCGGTTTCCCAGCGAATCTCCCGCCGCGTCATTGCCGAGCAACACTTGGCCCTAACGGAAACGTTCAACTCTCCGTGGCACTTCCCTAGCGCGCAGGACCGAGGTGACTCGAACGCGGACTTTGTTGGAGAAGTGTTTCTCAAATGCAATGCGAAGGAGGTTGTCGAGCGATGTGGGAAACTCACACAGGATACAATGCGACAGGCCTCCGGCTCGGACAAGATCCCCGAGATTAACGTGCAGGGACATTTAGATGCTACCTTTCCCTATATGCTGAGCCATCTGGAGTACATTATTGGTGAACTCCTACGTAACTCGATCCAGGCCGTCAGTGAGAAATACAACGGATCACCCGAAAGGCCGCCGCCTATCGAGGTACTCATCTGCGAAGCACCTCAGCATGTCATCATGCGGGTGTCTGACCAGGGCGGGGGGATCCCTCGCGAAGTCCTCCCGTATCTGTGGTCCTTCACTAAAGGCCCCCACAGCAACGCCCGGCTCCAGAACCTGGGCCAGGTACCTGCAATGGCGGCGACTATGCAGGAGTTGTCGGTACCGAAGGAAACAAAACGGGTAGACAAAGACACATTCCGCGAGGGCTCGCTTGATACGCTTACCTCGCGACCTCCGAACCTTCGCCTTGGGATGGGGCTGCCGATGAGCCGGGTGTATGCAGAATATTGGGCCGGCAGCCTCGAGTTGCATAGCCTAGAAGGATATGGCGTGGACGCATTTCTCCAAATCTCGAAGCTTGGCAATAAGAATGAGCAAGTCACCACAAGAGCGTCGATCGATGCAGTTTGATTACCGACAGTATATAGGAAGATCATAAGATTCTCTATCTAGATGATTTATCTCCCTAAATCCCCCGGTCGCTTTTTCTGCTAAACCCAAAGCAGGGCTGCATGGACTGACGTTATCCGACGCGGGCTTTCCTGCCCTACGGAAGCCTTCTTGCCTTGAGCAGCCCTACAAAAGGATCGTGCCTTTCTATCAGCTGGCTTTGCCTGTAGCTCTTTCCCGTGTCATCGATCCTGCCATCTCCCTTCTATACATTTGCCATGAAGCGTCGCAATCCCTCCCCAAAAAGGAGGACAATGTCCCAGTCTGTGACTTTATCCTTCTCTTTGTGACTCTTATCCTCAGCTCCCTTGTTACACTGTTAGTAACGAGTCCTGATCCAAAATGAGTCAATTCCTACATTTTTTGATTCTCCTCTCTCTACCTTGTGAGTATTGTCCATCCCTACACACGTCGATAGGACCGTCTCGGCCGCTTGAACGGCTTCGAAATCAATGCCTAACCCAACCCGGCACCAGGCCCTCCTATCAGCGTGTACATCATGTGGGGATGTGATGTTGATCTCTGTCTTAATATCGTGCTGACACTTTGTTTGTAAGTCTAAGACCTCGTTGCATGAAATCCAGCGCATTCAGCATCTCCAATCTTGTGCAGCCATGCTGATCGGCATTTGGTTCAGGTACCTGCCGGGAGTTATCCATGCCCTCTACCTGTTATATACATATTACAACCGTCCGCCCCAGCCTAATGCAATACTCGATTAAAATGGAAACGTGCCTCAACCGGGTCTTTGGGATCCTGGAATGACGTGGGAATTGCAGGGTTAGTATACGTGTATTGAAGACGGGTATGAGTAGTGGTGATAAATACTTAATGACGTTGTCAATTCCTTGGAGATTGTCTAGACACACCTTTGGAGATGTCGCGCGTGGCTTAATTATTAATAAATAATTCTAACTGGCTATCATGGCAGTGTCTCATAGTAGTTATGACCATGGCTAGTCCTTTTTGTCTAATTCTTTTTTTATTATTCATTTTTTAATAGTCAAGAACATCCTACACCCAGCCCGATATAGATCTACGTTTTCCCCACCCCCTTAGATATACTGTCTAACCCTGCGCCTTCTCTTTCTCGGCATTTACTTTACTCCCCTTCAACGCAGGAAAATCGAAAGACTTACTCCGTCCGGCGTTCCCCGCCGTGTGTGGTATCGCACCCGATGCAGGACTCCACCACAGCGCTCCCACCCAGGGCTGCACATTCCACCCCACCGCCAGAGTCACATTCTCTCTCTCCGCCATCCTCCCCGTAATATCTCCAATCTGGTACTTGGCGCGCTGGCCACGCAGATGCAGCACTCCGGGCGTCGCAGCGGCCTCTTTGGCCTTCTTGGAGGTCGAGGTGGAGCGTTTCTGCGCCCGGCCGCGGTTCGCAGGGGAGGACGACGACGACGGAAAAAATCGGGCCTGCAGGGCGGAAAGCGAGTATGGTGATTCCGGAGCCTGGATGATGGTGTCCCAGATTATAGACTCGGAGGGAAGGAGACGGCTCGTGGAAGGGGTATCGGAGGATGAGTAGGAGGCGTAGACGTAGACGAAGAGTTGTTTTGTGTTCCAGTTGAAGAGGGAGGAGAGGTCTATATAATTAGTAATTAATGATTAGACTAGATATTTATTGTTTGTTGTAGGGTAGAAGGGTGGAATGGTTACCAGCGTCCAGGTCGAATCGCATCTGAGAGTATTCCTCTTTCTTGGTAGAATAGTAATGCGGTCGTCCTTTGACTCTATAATTAGGTTTATCAGTTATTTTGCCAATGTTCCTGGGGGACTGTAAACAAGAGACTGGAGCATACACTTTGACATCCTTCAAAGCCACCTCCGCCCTGGCATCATGGGCAGGATACAACAAGACCGACAGGGCAGCAGCGCCGGCCACAAACAGAGCGACGGTGGTGAAAAAGCCGAAGACGGCCTGCGCTCGGTTTAGAGAGGAGTGCATCCTGATCGGACAGATGGAATGGATGTCTGGATGCAACGGGGAGATGCGAGGCGGAGGATAACCATAGGATGATGATGGTGATAATGAAGAGGACAGACATGACGCCACAGTCTGGCGTAGTTGTGGCGCAGCTTATCGATAAGAACGATCGTATCAGCGATTGATTGTCTTCTCTTTCTCTCTACTCTTCGTACATAGTACTTACTAGTTCTATTATCCTGTCTTGACATCTCACTCTAAGGGTACATCCAACTGCATGTTGGTGTCCTTCCCATCCTAGATTCGATTATTGTTATCTATTCATTCCAGCTTAGTTGTTGCTCCACCAATCCATACACCAGAAGTATACCATATCGCGTCCGATACGTTTATCTAGGTAGAGAGATAGATATCTACGGTCAACGAAATGGGCGACCATGTTCTGTTCTTCTACGGTATTTTAATTTCGTTATTGAACGATTGATTCTGTTATCCTTTGTCTATAATCTTCTATCTCATATACACATACGCATACACATACACATACTCCCACGTCTGTCCACTTATCCGTCCCCTCATGTTACCCCACCTATACCCCAACACGTCCGTCATTCACTGGGAATATAATATCAGAGATAAATCCCGCGATAAACCTCAAAATATATAAACACCGACATATCCATGAATAATTTAAAGGAAGAAAAACTATCTAACAACACCAGGAACCCTAATGGCCCCCCAAATACTCCACCGCGTCATCCATGGCAGCCCGAACCCCGAACCCTGGCAAAAGGCCCTATTGACATTCAAACCCGCCATCTTGCACGGATTCCGACGACACCGGGTGCGCGGTGCCGATTACCCGGGCATCGTACCGAATAAAGACGGGGCGTCCGTGCTAGGCACGGTGGTCTTCGGACTCGCAGACGGGGATGTCCATCGACTGGATATCTTTGAGGGACCGGACTACGTCAAGGAGAAGGTGACGGTGAGGGTGCTGCGGGAGTCGTTGAGTGTGGATGGACATGGTCTGTCTGATCAGCTGCAGGACGGCGATGGGAAGCATCTGAGGGATGTGTTGGATGCGGCGGGGGCGGAGTTTGCGGATGAGGGAGAGGAGGTGCCAGCTGCGACGTATGTTTTTATTGCCGGGGAGGATAAGTTGGAGGAGGCGGAGTGGGATTTCGAGGCTTTCAAGAGGGATAAAATGGCGTGGTGGGTAGGGGCTGATGAGAGTGAGTGGTAGGGTCTAACTCAGTGTTTTTGTTTGCCTAGGATTCTGTTATAATATAGTAGAATTTTCTATATGGGGGTTCACCTACAGTGAGGGCTTAATATGCTGGAAGGTCTTGGTCTGGAGGAAGAGTGATTCTAATGCATGGTATATATGTACACGTCGTACGTCTTCCTTTGATCCCACATTGCAAGACATGCGAACAAAATAAATCCGGCACGGTAGTGTTCCGAAGCGACAATCTTTTATTGAAATCCATATGCAATGTTTGGTGTCTCATGTCCTCCCATGATAGTTAGAATGGATCCGTGTATCCCGTAATACTCGAAACGCCTGGTCAGAACTCCTAATTTGGCGGGCCTCTGGAATACGGAAAGAAAATAACAAATAAAAAGTAAAAAATAGCGGTTGACAGTAAGTGTTAACGAAATGCGTCGTCGCCTAGAGAGTAATGGAACCATAAATCATGACTCCCCATCCTTTTTTGGTTTGTGTTTAGTCACTCGTGGGCTTCCTTTGCCAGAGCCTCGTTCACCGGTGGATGGCGGAGGCGTCCCAGTAACCTGTACCTTGAAACGCTGCGGTTTCGCGGAGGACTCAACGCCGGAGTATTCCTCTACGCTGCCATCTTCTTCAACACGGACTATGTCCTGATCCTCTGGTCTCACCGCTTGTATGCCGCTTGAGCGTGAGGCAGCCTCTTTTTTACGGTCTGCTTTCTGTGATGGTGAATCGGGAAGTTGGATATCCTCTTGGCTATGAGGAACCTCAATGGCTTCGCCTCTGCCTGGATGCGCTGTCGCTTCTCCGGTGTCAGGCTCCAGGGCCCTGCTTAAAGAGTGCTTGGCATCTACCGATGATTGCTGATCTCTGGTTCGTGGATCCTTTGTAAGTTGGTCGATGCTGCTCGTTGTTAGAGCCCTCAGCTGTTTTGCAGCTGATCTGCCGTTACTAGAACGATAACTATTTGATGTCGCCTGTATCGTAGTCGGGCCCCTACTGGTTTGTAGCATTCGAGCGTTCGAACACCTGTCCTTGTTTTCAGCTGTGTCTGGAGCGGACGGACCAAGAAGAAAAGATATAGGCTGCTTGTCCGCCATAACATGCTGTGTGCTTGCTTTATCGGGGTTCAGTCGGTCTTGTTCATCGTAAAGCTCGTCAAGGAAATTACGCAGGCGGAACCGAAGTAGACCTGATCTCAACGGAGGCCAATCTTCATCTGTGCTCATTTCCTTCCGGAGAAGCTTTCGGACGAAAGAATCTGGGTCCTGGACGAATTTCTCTACATACGCCAGAAGATATAGTCCGCAGTCGGAGTAATTGGGCTGCAAGGGGATTCCACGAGCAGTCATGCCCTTGATCATGGATTTGTCAATCTCAATTCCCCTCTTGGACTTGGCCTCTGCGTAAAGGTAATCGCGAAGGATGCTAATGGTGGGCGAACGAGCCAGGTCCAGAGAATCAAACGTAATAATGATTGGCTGGCGGACATCATGTCTGACCCCTGGTGGTTTTCTCTTCTGTTTCTTTGGCTTTCGAGGGGAACCTGTTACCCCTAAGTGGGCGTCCTTAGAGTCAGCCTGCTCTGATGCCTTTGTGCTGATTGCAGGGCTAGAAGCTTTCGCCGGAGAAGAACTAGAACGGGGTCCTTCAGACAACTGGCCACATATATAAGGCGTCTTCGAGCCAAGTTCCCTTCGAATGTCTTTATCTGACAGACTCATTGATGCCAAAGATTGTCTAGTTAGTTCCTCTTTGGCAGGCTCTGTATCTCGGCCCACTTCTTCCGTGACATTGGCGCTACCCTCGCCGGGCTCAGGTGTTTCTGGAACTTCCCGAACCTCGCTATCCGGTCGAGAAGATGGCTCCTCGCCTCCGGCCGGCGCTGTATGTGTTGTAGTCTCTTTGGAAACACCAGGCAAGTTGGGCAGGTTACATATTATGGCGACGTACCAGTGTGCATTTTCGTTGATAGGCACCACAATGTAATCGTGGCGGAAGATATCGACGTTTCTAGTCCATTTCTGCACGCCATCATAATTCACGCTCTTCTTTCCCCTGGACCAATTTGTTAGGGTGGCGAAGAAGTACGAGTTGAAGAAATAGACCCTTTTCGCCGTTTCTTTATTGTTTCGCTCCAGATGATCTTCAAGGAAGCGTATGTAGAATCCTATCAGGTTATCATTCAAAAACTCATTGTCGCGGAGACGTTCCCGATCTTGAACGTCCACCTCGGCTTTCTTTTTCCCAAAGCGCGGGTACACGAGCGGTCTATATATCATCAGTACATAAAAGCAGAAGAAACGTGAGGAAGAAAGCATACGTATGCCACTTTTCAGTATTCACGTCAGATTTCGGTTGCGGGCCATGGTCTTCGTCTCCATCATCACTACATGATGGGTCAGCCAAAACATCCTTCGCCGAAGCGGTGAGGATGGCCTAGATAGAAGCTTACCAGACTACAGTGGTTGGGGGTGCGCGGCGCGACATCGACCTCGTTTCCCGAATCGGAGATGACCAAAGTGACTTATACTTCTTAACTTGGATTTCAACGGTCTCGTGTTGAGCATTAGAAGGATTACAGGTCGCTCTGGGCAAGGTGGCGGGAGCGGTATCCAAATGCGTCTGTTTTTGTCCGGCAGTATTGCCATCGTGGCCCTGCAGCGCATCCGACAGCTTCACCCTCTTGGAGGCCTCGGGCTTCGTCATTTTCTCTGGTGATCGCTGGCCTGTTCCATGGTCCGGGAGGTGTTTGGATCCGTGGGCCTTTTGATCCAGTATTCTCTTGTTTTTGCGGGTGAATGCTTTGTCCATGTATTTCCTTCTTCAGGTCAGCCAGCCCGTAATAAGCAGGAATTCTTAAGAGGATTGGAAAAATATACGGGGTATAGACCTACTCTTCTCTGGAAAAAACCCTGGCTCCCTGGTCTTGTAACAAAGCGCATAAATCTCCCTTTGCCTCCGACGATGACAACTCCATGTCCAACTGCAACTGATCGTCGGGCTCATTCGTTCGCGATAAACTCAACCGAATCTTTCGGCTGGGCTCTTCGCCTTGCTCGACCTTCGTGACCCTCCTCAGTTGGATTGGGGACATATCTTTTGGAAATCCAAGTAGCGTGATTGTACCTTGTGTGGGATTGATGTTCAAGTCAACGGTCTCACCCTCTGATGGTCGTCGCTCAATAGCCCCTATTCGAACGTAGGTCGCCTTGAACACCTGATCCACAGAGCGGCTTTTCTTTGGCTTTGGATTTTTCCGTAGTTTCCCCTTGCTTCGAGAGAATCCACTTGTAAAGGTTGTCGGTCGGATATCGGACGGAGACGGTTGAAGACGACACGGTGGCCGCTGCTCTTCCATATCTGATTCGTCACTGGTTTTTTTCTTACCGCCTCTTCTCACAAATATAGGCACTGGCTTCACAGTTGCTTCTCCTTGTAGCTCATCAGGGCTCTCTCGTGAGTCGGATCTGTGATCCTGCTCGTCCGCCGCAATGAATGGGTTCTGAAGGGGCGGGCCTTCTGGCACTCTATTTCCACTGGACCCATTTGGACCGTATATCTCGACACTCGCCATTATCTCGTGCATTGGTGTTTCAGGTGATTTCTCAACGTCAATAGACTTGGCAACAGGCTTGAATATCCCTGACCGCCTTTCTCTTGCAGCATTTTCAGTGAACTGTTCATCCTGATCTTCATCCCCAGACCAGAGATTGTGTCTTTTTGTTGGCGACACTTGGTGCCTAGGGACCTTAAAAATTCGCTCCACTTCGCGGTACTCGTTATTTCTTCGCTTTTTCGGCCTTTTAGTCTTACCTGAAGGCTGACTTGACACTGAAGACCGACGTGCCGAATTTCCCGCGATAGACGACGTTTCTGGCACTGGCGGTTCCAGTAGATCATCATCCGAGATACTGATGGCTCTCCCCGATGGCTTATCTTGGCTATCACAACGTCGCCGCTTGGACGGCCTCTCCGACGTATCGTAATCTGTAGTATTTTCCAGGCGAGGAAGGGTAACACCAAAGCCCGGCTGCTTGTTACTCATACGACCCTGTTTTCCCTGGGCGCGAACAGGGCCGCTGTCTCGAGCTCTCCCTGTCAGAGTATTTACAGGTCTGAGCGATACATGAAACTGTAATTCGTAAGCGTAAGAATAAGCAAGTCGAACATATCTATGTGGCCGCAGAATACTACTACCTGTGGTTTCTTGCTCTTATACGTGTATCCCGGTGTTATCGGTACCCCACCGGGGCTACGCCTAAAGGCCACCACATGTGAGTTTCACGACTTCCTCATGCCATTGTGGATCAAACAAATAATTCGACGACGTACCGTGCAGTGGAAGGAGGAAATAGTCTCTGCTCATCAGAGAAAGAGGTGCCATCGTGCTCCTTGGTACCCATGGGCCTCTCGTCGCCACGCCTAGCACCAAAATGCATCATCAGTTTTGTCCGTACGGTGTCCACGTTGTTCGGGTGATATTTACAAACGACTCATTCCTAATCCGGGTCGTGGAATGGTCTGGCGTGCTAATGAACGTACAACTCGAGATCTCTGGACTGGGTGGAATATTTCGGCATAGCTAGAAACGGACTTGAGTTGGCAAAAAGCAAAGAATTAGCCTATACGCAAGACAGGTGTGGCGGGAAAGACCCAAGTGTATGTGATAAAACTACGGGATTGCTTGCAGTCCCGCGTATGGTGTCCGTCCGACGAGGGGAACAAGAAAGAGGAAACAAAGCAAAATCACAGCCCGCATGGAATCAGCAAAAGAATAGGGCCTTACGTCGGACGGATGAATCGAAGATCCTAGAGGCAAAAAGGTAGTATTCCTTCCCACTGGTGACTGATCAGAGCTTGCATCTGACGGAGGAGAATTGGCTGCAGATTGCGCTGGATGACAAGATTGACCAGGAGTCCAGCCCGGCAATAGCTTTGATACTCTCTCAAGAAATGACATGTATGTGGGTCATGGCGTGACCACAACAATCCAGTGGGTCTTCATTGCCCAGCACCAGCAAAATAAAGAAAAGAAAAGAGGGAAAACCTGGTGAGAGTGTGAATAGACCAAGCATTGAAGAGACCCAAAAGTATGATGATGTTCAAAAAGGCGGTGGGGGGAGGTTTTCTGCCCCCCATCATGCCGAAAGCCGTAGGTGTGGAACTCTGTCATAAGCGCACATCATCCCCAGGCAAACAGACGTACTACGTTCCCTTACAACAAAGGGAGGCCAAAAAAAAAAAAAAAAGAAAAATCCAACAGTCAGATCCAAGAGTTCTGGTTAATAGAATACAGTCTTGCCACATCCTTTCCAGTGCTCCTTGTTTTGCTTTAGAACGTGCACGGCATCTCGCATGAAAACATCAAACAAGAAAATGAGAATCACGATAAACCCATGTCCAAAGCAGACGCAATATTCGCCCCAATGCCCCGATTCCAAGTCATCCCAATCATTTTTGGTGGCTTTTCTTTTACTATACAGGACCATGAACAAGCCTCGGATAATGCATATCAATCAAGACGCCGCTCCCTTTCCTTTATCTCCCGTAGAATCATCATTGCTAGTAGGTCTCCGCCGGTCTCCTCCCGAGTGATGGTGCTGGTTATTATTGTTGTTGTTGTTATGGTAATGATGATGATGATGGTGGTGGTGGTGGTGGTGACCGGCGTTTCCAGCGGCCTTCTCCTGACGAGCTTGATCAATGGCAGAGCGTTGAGCAATGCTGTCATCATGGCTCTTCCATACGATATTGGTGTCGACCGGGAAGCCCAGCAAACGTTTGATGGTTTCCCTGCAAGGTGTGTTAGTTACCTAGAGGGGAAATATTCATGGTTTTCATGGGCATCCATGTAGCTAGCCCCAAAAAAGAAAAGAGCCCATACCTAATTTTAATGTTTCGCCCTCCATCGATCCGGGTCCAGACACTCAAAACATCCTCTCCACCCCGCACACTGAGAACAGCACCACAAACCTCGTCGCTGGCCTCCGCAAACTGATCGCCAACCATCGCCAGGAGAAGATCCTCCCAGTACCGATCCGCCACCCCCTTCTTCAATCGAACCACCCATTTCCCACCCGTCTTGTTGGCCTCATCCTCCCATACAGGACGGATTCCCTTTTTGAAAATATGGTAGTCGGAGATGGTGGGGAGGAGAGAGGGTCGCTTCAAGTGCGCATATATCGACCAGAAACTCTCGACCGAGGATATCGACGCAAGGGGAATGGTGGATTTTTCGTAATCGGAGTATTTAGGTGTGGGAGGACGGTACCAAACGACCCAGGTAGACTTGAGGGTATGTTCCTTCGAACCAGACAGCGACATCGGTCCCTTCGTCCTGATGCCCTCTACCGATTCCAGCTCCGAGGACGGGTCTCGTTTCTCTCCGGGAGTTTTGACGTCGGAACCTCCGCCGGGGGTCTTGGGGGCACCAAATGAGGCAAAGGCGCCGGAGCCGAGGCCGAATGCAGAAGAGGCGTTTGTTGACGGAGAAGAGACGCCACCTGATAGAGGAGATAAGGCGTTAAAAGGATTCGATCGACCGTGGGAACTATCTGGACCAAAACGTTTCGACGTGCGGGGAATCTCAACCCTGGCGCCACCTTCTTTGCCGTCCGTCCCCGCCATAGATAAAGACAGCTTCGAGGTGCTACACGAAGGGTTAGGAATCAGTCAGTCTGCGTGAAGGGAAAAAAAAAGATAAAATAAATAGGCCGAGGTATAAGGAGGAAAGAACAATAGAGGACATACTTGGATCGGCGAGTCCACAAGTTTGCGTTATCCATGGAGGCAGGTACCGAGACAGCTCAGAAAGCGAGCGGTCATCAGGCAGGAAAGGGTAAAGCGGTAAGTTGTTGGGAGTTCTGCAAAGAGAGAAACGAGGCGTATGATATACAAGTGTGGGGATGTTGGAAGAAAAAAAAGAGAGAAAAATTGAGGGCAAAAAGACACCAAAGCAAAAAACAAAAAAAAGTAAAGAAAGATGAGCGCAAAAAGAGTAATTAAACACGCAAGTTAAAAGAATGAAAGAGAGTGAAAGAAGCAAATGACAGAAGAATCTAAACTATGCCAAGGTCGAAAAAATCCAGGTAGCAATCGTGATCGTGATCGTGAACGTTAGCAGGAAAGAGACGTGGGGGATAGTAAGTAGTAGGTAATAGTAAAGAGGACAATGGATGGGATGGAATCGAATGGGATAGGATTAGGTTAGAAGAACCGAACGATCGGACAGGAGAGGATAGAAGAATTGGGTACTGATGGGAGGATAGGAAATGTAGAAAGGAGGACAATGTAAGTACTAAGAGGTATCAAGGAACAACTTTTAAGGTACGTCGTGCAACGGGAAATGTTCCTTCTGTTCTTCTTTTCTGGCAAATTAATGCCCTTACGAAATCCGACCCGCCCAGTCCGCTCCGTCGTTTTTCCATCCCGTCCTCTCTCTTATATTTTATTTTCCCTCCTCCGTTTCTTTTCTTCTTTTTCTTTTTCCACAAAACCCAAGACCACCAACTCAAATCATCGCTGGCTGCAACCGGTTCTTTTTGGATCTTTTCACTGCACTGGTGATTCCGATGAGTGTGTCGAGAATAATCTTTTTAGAAACCCGCTTCTAAAACCATCATCACGAGGGCTTCCCAGCTCCATGATGCGGTGATGACCTGTATGTCGGGACATTCCTTTTGAATATATTCATAGGATTCTTCCTTCGATTTTAGGATTATTTTGTTTCGACGATGGGAGAGGGTCCCTTGCGCCCCGTCGTCCCGGTGTCCTCATCTAAAACCGGCCAGTCTATATAAATTCACGGTGCGTCCGTTCTCATTTTCTCTCGCAAGATCCATGTGGTGATCCATCCATACCCATTATCATGAAGAGAAAGACGTTCTCTGGTAAGCCGAGGTGCTCAACCGCTACTACACTGCCGTTATCGGTTTCATGCTGGTTGAGTGTGAGGTTCGAAAGGCAAAGTCTGAATTCTGTCGCCATCTAGAGATGAAGTCTACGGCTACTTGTGCTATGTGTGCAATATAATATGCTGACTGGACGGATGATAGATTGTAATCCCTAAGATTTCTCCCTAGTCATCGTTCAGGTCGACATGTCGCGTTCACTCGTACCTCTTGTTGCCTCGCAGTTACGGACCGACCAGTAGAAGCCCATAAGTCACCGTGGGGGCTACACGACGCAGCGAGATGTTGCGCCCATAAGAACAGCAAAGAATGCATGTCGCTATGGCGATGTATCTTTGAATGGGAAGAAATAAACTCTATTCACTACAGTAAAAATGGTTAAATGCAACCTCCTTAAATTACAATACTCCACTAAATGCAAGCCATTATAGCGGCCAATTTGACTTCATAAAAAATTGTACGGAACTCCATTATCTACAAGATGCAATCGACCTTCATTTCTCCCATAGATTGCACTTAAGGACGTAAAAATCCACTTTAAAATACGTGGGCCCACTTGATTGACCAATTATATTAGTTTAATATAATACATTATATATAGTTACATAAGTTACTAGTTAAATTATAACTGAAGTTAGTTGGTTATAACGTATTCGGTAAGCGAGCCGGCCATGAAAGCGAGTCGGCCACCTCGTATTGCATATAATATAGGGCTTTTTCATGTCGAGAGGGCCTTAAATATATGATATACACTATTATTATACTAAATATACATATAGTGGACTGGAAAGCCTATATTTTTTCTGGTTCTTTATATTACAATACATTCAATTGTATTTATCATATTTTCGTATTATAGAGTGGGAAAAAATAATAAAATTACAAGTAAAATATGTATACAGTGTAAAACGATATTTATTCAGAGGGACCTTAGGACTTTATGTGTACTCATAATATGCGTGGAGTTATTAAGAATCGAAAAGTCATATTTTATATGCAACAAGGTGGCCGGCTTGCTTACCGAATACGTTATATATAAGCAGAATATAGGCCTAACTATCCCCATATATTCTGACAAATGCAATAATCTAAATGCATCTGAAGAGGCAGTCCAAAATGATTGCATTTAACCGGGGTTTATTGTAGTTACACTGATCTTGCATGGTGTCATAATAAATAATATAATATGTCCACTGCCAAAATAATCGCCGACGAAACACCCCTCCATACGCCCCGTTGGAACCTTCGTTGTAAATGCATGCAAGTCGTAGTACACCCATCATGCTCAAAGGATGCATGAATTCCTACGACAGGTCAAGCAATCGTCCCTAAATTCATTCGTTCAGTCGAACTGCGGAGCCGGCATTATAATGCTCCATCGCCACCATTAGATAGTTCATACATTTCCGAGAAAGCAGGAGGGGAACAAGAAAAAGAATGTTGCCCCGTAAGAAAATTAAAAAGGAGTCAAGAAGTGATTCCGAAACCGAGTCTAGAACTCTAGTACTCAACCGGCTCCTCGGTTGCATCTTGTTTGATACGCTTGATGTCTCGTTCACTCTGAGAACCTGAAGGGGCCGCTTTTCGTTTCTCTTTATCCTTCTGATACTCCGCACGACGCGCCTCTCGGTCCCTCTCCTTACGGAGGGCTTTTGATTCGAATTCGTGCCAGTCCCCTTCGATGTTTTCCAGTCTAGGTCCCGATTAGACAATGTCAAGCGAAAGAAAACGAACACAAACACTTACTCGATGGCCTGCTGGGGCTTTGGCTCCTCGGAGATAAAGTACGGGTGTTTCAAGACTTCCTCCGCCGTTGGCCGCTTCGCAGGGTCATATCGGAAAACCTGAGAAACCATGTCCAGAGCTGCCGGGGACAGGACTGAGCTATACACATCCTCGAAGGCTCGCTTTTTTCGCTCGGTTGGCCGCATCAGTTCAAACCATGGCATTTCGACAACATCTGGCCACTCCGCCCGCGTAGGTGTCCCCAAAGAATTGTAGAGCTTGTCCAACTGGCTGATCTCTCCCCCTTCGCCAGGGAATACAGCTTTCTTGGTGAACATTTCCACATATACACAGGCTGCACTCCAAACATCAACCGCTGGTCCGTATCTAGTTTCACCCAGAAGGAGTTCCGGCGGCCGATACCATATGGTGATAACCCGATTAGTATAATCAAGCTGGCGACTTTTGGAGAAAAATCTCGCCAAGCCGAAGTCGGCATATTTGAGCTGCCCTCGATTGCTTACGAGGATGTTTGCAGCCTTGATATCACGGTGTAGGATGCCTCGATGGTGAAGGTAATTTAGCCCTTCAAACATCTGCCTTGCTAGATCTTTCTTGTGGCTCGCCGTAAGCGTAAATGTCGGGTGGTTGATGAGACCAGTAAGGTCGTGCGAAAGATATTCGAACACCATGAAGCATTCGTTCTTCTCAACCATCACTTCCAGCAAGCTGACCACATTGTGGTTACGGAGGTGTTGGAGCAGTTTGATTTCTCGTACTGCAGTGACTGGGAACCCATCTTTTTCACCTTCCATCCGTATCTTCTTTAAGGCCACTTTATTTTGGGTGTAGACATGGATCGCCTTGAATACCTTCCCATAAGTGCCAGCACCAATCACCGACTCGTTCCCAGGCTTCCGGTAATATACAGAATCCGATTTGGCAAACTCATCAGACAGAGTGGGACGTGGTTTCATCCGAGTCACGATCTTGGTTTGCTTCTTAGGTTCTGGAGAGAGTTCACGGTGACGTTCAGGACGGAAATCACGTCGACGGTCGCCCCTCCTTCTCTCATTGCGGTTGTCGAACCGACGGTCCTCTCTCCGGTTCTCTCGCCCATCCCGGGGCTCGCGGAAGCCACGAGAATCCCGGAAATCTCTCCGGTCAGGCCTTCCCCTATCCCGGTCTCGTTCGCGATGACGCTCCCGGTCTCGGTCACGACGATCAAATCTTAGATCCGGCTTGAATTTCGGCGCTGGGCCAGTAGGCATTCTGCTGCGAGGGGGCTCGGCGGCCCTGGAGGGTGGCTCACGTGCCAACATTCTCTGCGCCAAATCAGGGACTGGTTTAGGGGCCGGAGCCGGAGTAGTCTTCGCTTTGAATGCGAAACTGATCTTGCCTCCTTTATTCGGTGTTGAAGTGTCGGGTTTTTGCGTATTCAATGGTTGCTGCTGATGACCTCCAGTCTCGGGGAAAGATTTAGAACCTTCATTATCTGCGTGAGGGTCATTCACGGGATGTTCGAAAACGTTGCTACCCTCCTCCACAGCCCTTGCCGCCTCATCGTCCGGCGGAGGGGGAGGTGGAGGACTCGGTGACGCTGGACCATGCGTGGAATGAGGACTATGGGAGGATCCTCGGACTCGGGGGTATGCTCCACCTCGTGAAAAGCTGGTGAAACGACCGCGACCACGTGGCGAAGGGCCATTGCTGTGATTCAAAAGACCAGAATTAGAGAACCGGCGACCACCGTGATAATTGCCACGGTATCCTGAATGACCTCCACGATAAGGCGGGCCAGAGTGGGAGGGTGCATTGTATGGGTTAGGATTTTGATAATACTGGCCCTGTTGGCCATTTTGAGAATACCTATGCGGAGAGGAATGGCTATATTTTCGCCTATGATTAGCCTAGTCCCGAAATGTCCTGAAAAAGAGGGGACGTACCCTGATTGCTCAAGATATGCACGTTGTTGTCCACTCCATCCACCCCGACCGGCAGAAAATGGAGATGTAGGCTGCGGAGAGCTGTGAAATGAATTAGTCGGCGTCGCACGCTGCGGTGACGCCGAGTATTCTCTTGTATCAACGTGTGCCCGGGTGGAACGAGGATGCGGACCACCTTGTGCATCAGATGGCCGCCTGCCGTGCGGCTGAAATGTTTCACGCACTGTATCTCCAATCGCAGAGGTAGTAGCATTGTCCGCATCAAAACTTGGGCTTAGTCGAGGTGGCGAAGGAGATCGGAACGACTCGTCTGTCATAGAACGAACCGGTCTAGAAGTATCCATCGTCATCGAGTCACGGCGAGAAGCAAAAGATAGCCTTGAATCGCCGGACCGAGTAGAATGGCGAGACACAGATCGATAACGAGACCCTTCCTCAAAATCTTCTTCGGGCTGAGGGCTGTGAAACCGCCGACGAGGGTAGTTATAAGACTTGCCACCACGGACGGGGGACTTAGATCGTCTAGGACGAGGCGAAGGTTGTCGTCGTCCACCTTCCGGTTTACGCCGGTCTCTACCCCGTCGTGGAGATCTTCGCCCGGACCTCCCACGACCAGGGAAGCGGCCACCACGCTTCTTATACGGGAAGCCTCGGTCAAAATCGCCCCCTGGATAGCGATGTCGCGGTTGGTTAGGGTGGCTAGGGCGATGAGGATAACCGCTGGGAGAAGGACTTCGAGTTCTCTTGCGTTTTGAAGGAGGTGCAGATGGTGACCCGTCTCTTGGGTAATCTCTCTCGATTGGTCTCGCAGTCTCCCAAGGACGGGAGGGGTTCGGGCCTGAAAACTCAGCCTGGTTCTGACGGTGCTTGGTCTCCGAGTGAGAGAGACCAGGGAAGCCACGAGCAGAAGCGGCACTAGGAGAAAATTCACGGGGTGGGGGACGCTCTTCGACGTCGTGAGAGAAAGGACGCGGTGGTGGCGACCGAAACGGGGGACCGGGTCTCCCGTCCTTGTGTCGACGACGACGGTCCTTGTCACGATAGCCTGACCTTCCCCTGTCACGATGTGATCCTCGAGGTCTGTGCCGTTCCCGATCTCTCTCGTCTCTAGTGTCACCGGTGGTTCTCCACTGGTCTCTCAACACCGGACTCCTACGGGACCCAGCCATGTAAATTGATTCAACCGCATCTGGTTCTGGAACAAATAAAGAAAAATGACCCTGGGATCAGGAAAGCTGGTGAGCTAGAAAGCGAAGGATTCGCATGAAAAGATGATTAATCGTCGGGATTCTGGTTGTGGAGCCCTCTATCCTCCGTCTAGTCGTCGGGCGTGTATCGCCGCGTTCTCAGAAGTCTTTCTGGCGGGAGGGCGAATGGGTGGAGCGGAAGACCGGTTTTTCCGAGCTGGGACGGATTCTAGATGGGGGAATGCAAGAGCGTTAAAAAACTTCGAGGGGGAGAAGGAAAAAGAACACAGAAGAGTGAGCGAAAAGGGGGAGACGCACCTTCGTCGTTGTGGGTGGAGGTTCTTTTTTTTTTGCCCTGTTTGTCCCTCCCTTATTCTGTGTCTGGTCGTCGTGGACTTTTTTTTTTTTTTTTTTTCTCTCTTTAAAGCATACGAAAACCCAATTTACCCGCAGGTGGTGAACGGGAACTACCTACTTGGTGACGGGGGAGAAGGACCAAGTAAAAAAAAAAAAAAAAACACAGTCCAGCAGTAGCGGGAGCCTTGGACTTTGAAACAGGCCAACCCAAATTTCCCACGGGTACAGTACCATAACAATTTGGGGGTAGTTAATCGACCAAGGACATTTTGTTTTGACCCTTCTGCACTGGCCGTGCGGCTCTTCTACGAACGGGAGACGGAGGGCTCAATGGGAGAACAGAGAGGTGGTTGTGGATGACACCACTGTTTTCACTCCCAAATGCAATGCATCCCCCTCTCTGTATGTATCTTCAACCTCGGCCAGCATCCACAAAATAACACGATCTTTCCTTTCGGGTTCAAGATGTTGGCCGCCTTGACTTCATCGCTTTATGCCTTGAAAAAGCTTCGGACCAGACAGGCCGACTCTCTTTGGATCTGGCCTTTTAAAATCCTCTCACTCATTCTTCCCTTTTTTCTATCTCATGAGAGATGCTTTCGTGTAAAGCAGCTGACTGGGGCGCCTTTCTGTCTGTTCAAGTATTTTCCCCCACCTCCTGGGCCCCTTGCCTCCATCCGAGGCATATGTGTTGCTCAATGCTGGAGATCTTGCAAAACAAAAGAACTCAAAAGACCTAATCTACGGGAAGTAAAAGCAGTCGGAACTGGGATCGTTGACAACAATGAGTATCACAATGCGCCACCTTTAACTGTACCGATCCCACCACGAGAAGCGCTGTGGTGAATGCAATCGGTTGGCTCGATTAGCGGTCAAGTCTAAACTGCCAGGAGATGGTCGGGATATCCGGCTGTAGTGTATATGAATGTATACTAAGGCCAATAAACCTTGAGGTCAGTGTACAACCCTGTCCCCGAGTATATCGAGGGTTTTATATACTCGCATGGGACGCCGACGGGTTCCGATATTGCTTGTTCCATTGTCTCCAGCTACTGGAAGACACAACTGTCTCACCAGTGTGATATTGGTAAGGACTGCGCACAAAAACGGCTGTGTTTACTTGGTTGTAAAAAGGGACACCCACAAATTCGCGGCCAAAGCCAGTAGTGACACTCCCCATAGCGGAAAGAGTGGCATTTATGACAGCCTCGACAGAAAGAAGCACAACATGAATCTACCAATATCAAGCCATACACTGTTGTCTGGTAGTAGCTTTATACCACCCTGGGACTCTTCATAGTCATCCATCACCTAAAAAGTCTCCAGAATGTATGGTCCTGCAGGGGACATACCTGGGAAACGGCAATTTCAGAAGTTACCAAATTGGGTCGTACTCAGTATTCAACCTTCAAAACAAAGCGGTCGAACCGGTATGTCGGCGTTTATGACTGCAGAGTAAAATCAAACTTATATAAACAGCATGTTGGTTTAACATATGTCCGGAATCATTATGTACCACAGTCGGTGGGATTTTATAGCTGAAAGGTGGCTCATGACGTGTGTCCAGGTAGATGGTGGTGGGGATGAGGTTTAGGAGAAGGGGGGATCCAACTCAGCAGCCTGTCACGGCGTTGCTGTTGACACTAGACAGACAAAAACTGGGTATCACTAGCCAAACTTTAGGGGCGTATTTGAACAATGAAAGACGTCTTGGTGCGAGTCAAGGTTTGGCGCTTCCCCCAAGTATGGGAACTCGTTGGCATACGGAGTATTGAGGGATAAGTGTTGAGGTCAAGGTTGCCGCCGCCTCAAAGAGGAAGTCTATACACGTGATTACAGTCAGCAAATGATGCCTTAGGCATAAATAAACGATTATCTCCAAGCTGTTCTTAACAACATGCAACATTTACTGTTGCATACATTGTTTTCTAGTCATCTCGCTGCTCTCTGTCTACAGGCAATTTGTGTGTAGTATGGTAAATCCATAATTATGATCATCGCCACCTTCGCCACCGCTACCTCTACCATAACTGGCAAAACACGATAGTAGTCCCTCGCGAGTCATTCCCATTCCGGACATATCAAGCTCCCAAACGATCCAGGTTCACCGCATTCAGCCACTCAGACTCTGTTCCTTCGGTCTCATCTCTGAGTGCTTCGTCCCACGCCATAGTGTCCTTGTTTGTGTATTCCTCCACCTCATCTAATAGGAAGACATCCTTGTATATCTGTCGAACATCAATCTTTCTGCGCTTCATCTCTTTCAAAAGAAGATGATCAGGTCGGTACAGTTTCATCCGTTTCCCATGCCGACCATATCCCTCGTAATGGAGCAGCCCAACCTCTTCAGGAGGGACTCCATAGACATACCTGCCGACCTCATGGGGCCTAGGTTTGTAGCGCCAGCGCACAAATGACTGGAGGGTCTCATGCTCAGTCTCCAAGGCGGCACCACTCAGTACATCCCAGACGAACTCCAAGCTAGGATGAGCCATCATGAGACGCCGTAGTCCGCCACCGATACGGTTTTCGTCTCGATCTTGCATCAATATGTCGAGTTGAATCATGAAAAACGCCGCCAAGAAGAGATTAAGACCATCCCACAACCTTGGGTTCTGGACCGTCCATGTCCGACGCTTGTTATCTGGTATGTCCATGAGGAACCACAACCTTCTCAGCGCGGACGCACTTTGTTTGGGTAGTCCATGCCCTATGCGTTCCATCCATTGGATAATGGATTCGATGATTGTTTCGCGGTGTATAATCATGAACAGCCACTGAAAAGAAGGAATAAGTACATATCTCATCTTATTCTCTTCCTTTGGCCCAATAACCAGCGAACGTTTCAGGCTCCTGACGCACTGCTTTGGGTAGCAACGAAATGGAAACGCAAGTGCAGCTTCAGGGGCATTCTGCGCTGCTTGGCAGAGGATTATTCTTCTCATATGTGACTTGATAAAATAGTGCAGTGGCCTGGACGCGGTGTACAAATTCATGAGATCGAGGGGGCCCAGATAGTCGATAAGCATGAAAGACAGTTCCAGACGATCCGAGAAAGCTTTGAGGATATCAAAACCATTGTGCGAAGGGTTCTGGTTCGGGTTTTCTTCTTGACACCGAGTCTCATTGCCAGGAGGAGCTTCTTGTGATGGTGGGTTGCCAGGCGTAGTATGCGGCAAACCATTCAGGGATTGCTGGAAATGAGCCCGTACTCGATGAAGTTGACTGAAAACGCCCCGTTCTTCACGGCTGGAGACTTTGTTGCGGCTGACCTGTGCATCGTTGACTACACGCTGACGGCGAGGTCTGACAAGGCGCCTAGCTTGCTGATTTCTGTTTCGAGCATCAGACGGCCTATTAGGCTCGACAGGGAGTATAGGGGCTTGCTGTGCTGCAGTTCCAGTATCAGGTCTATCGCTCGTGTCTGGCATCTGTCTGGGAGCATTTTCTTGCATAGGACGGGTCCGTTCATGCAAGACTGGGAATGGATGAATCACGCCGTTGAACCTCGCAGGTGGTATGTATGGAGCTGCGATCCCATTGTTCGTTATCTGCACCACAGGTGGGATGCTTGCATTGCTGACGACACCAGGCACTCGTCTCTGAGGCTGACCAGCTCTGTGTCCTCTCATGGGAATCATGTCTTGAGGAGCAATGCCCGCCAGAAACTGTTGTCGAATAAGATATGCCTGCAAAGCCTGGTCGGGTGTCATTGTGTTTGGCTTGCGCCCAACCTCGGCAGGTGGTATGGGCTGTGGTGGATGAATATCTTGTGCTGTGATGACATTGACAGCGGGATAAGTCTGTGCTCGTTGTTCTTTTCCTGGATTTCCAAGATACACACGGCCAGATTGAGAGACAAGCCCTTCCTGTCTGATGGCACGTGTACCGCTGTTGGAGTTCACCCCATGTACTATAGGTGCCCGAGATAGAAGAAGCAAGGCCTCTGCAGCTTCATAATCCATGGGACTGTACCTGTTCATCTTGATTTGGTTCACTATGTGTGTTGCGCTCTTTTTGTTTGCTTTTTAGAACACATCAAGCAGCTGTGCAAGACTACTATAACATTAGCTTCTCTGTAGATACAGGTCGAGACAATGCAACACATGGCTTGAATATTTACCTTTAAGTTTCTTGAAGGTTTTACATCTATGATTTGTAGAGCCAGTGGGAAGAATGAAGGAGGCTTTAGGAGAAGGGGAGAAGAGAGGTAAGAAGGAATGTCTAGAGACAACAGTACCAAAGCTCTCCAGAGGAATATGCCGCAAAGTTAGCGGTTGTTGGAGAAACACGATTTCATAAAAAAGTGCTCTGCAGTGAGTGAACACTATAAACAAGACAGGGCTCAAACCATTGGTGCAGTAGGACAATACGCTACAATGCTTTCCACTTATTACAGAAGTGGCGTAGGAGAATTCAGAATATACCATTGATATCGTATACCATTAGACGGTGAATATATGAAGTTGCGTAATAGTATGGATACTGCGTTGATTTCTCACTCTATTCACTTCATGTATGGGGTGAGCATCATGAGAATGGATTGGAGAACCAAACGTTATTTGCCGCAATATTTCTTTATTTCTTTAATATCGTAATTGCTGGGAAATGTCTTGATATAAACAAAACATAGCACTTAATTATAAACAAAATTGAACCAGAGGTCTTAATTCCAAAGTATGTATTAAAAGTGTTGAATCAGCCTCGACATCTTTGTTGAGCAAAACGTCCACAGCTTCCCAAGGTCTTCTCCAGTATCCAGTATCCATGCCAATCGCAACTCCCTTTATGAATAGATGGGGGACCGTGAAATCCCCATGCCAGCATAAGAAAGTATAAGAGATGTATGCAGACACCCATTGAGGGTGGCGAACTAAATGTATCATGAGTAAATCGTTCAAAAACAAAGTACCCCAGACCTTCAACAAAGCAAAATGCCAAACCTAAAACCTGTTGAAAGGTAAACCACCATAACTCCTTTAAACTCACGAGAACCACCCACTGTTAAAATGGTGGATATCAAATATTTATAGTATTTATCACAGGAGTGCTGAGTGGGAAGTACGGCTATTTCCGATGTAGGAGTGTCAAGAACTCTTCACGGGTCTTCGCACTCGAACGCATGCAGCCAAGCATGCAGCTGGTGGTGGTGGTGCTGCTAGTCTTCTGTACACCACGCATCACCATGCACAGATGCGAAGACTCCATCACAACGCCGACACCAAGCGGCTTCAGTACTTCAGAAATGGCTAACGCAACCTGTTTTGTAAGTCGCTCTTGTACCTGAAGTCTTCGGGAGAACATTTCCGCCAAACGGGCCAGCTTGGAAAGACCAAGCACCCGACGGTCGGGGATGTAACCGATATGCATCTGTCCCAGAGGTAAGTTGATAAATGGCCACGCAAAGTTCAACCTAAAGCTACCCTTACCTTTCCGGTAAATGGAACCATATGATGTTCACACAGTGAGAACACTTCAATATCCTTGACAATGACCAACTCATCATGATCTTCATGGAATACTGCGCCGTTCATAAGGTCCCGCACATTCTCTTCGTAACCTTTGGTGAAGAAGAGCATCGCCTTGGCATATCTTTCTGGTGTCTCGCGCAACCCTTCTCTCTCAGGGTCCTCCCCAATGCACTCCAATATTGTCTTTACGGCTCCCGCGAGCTTCTGAATCCGTTCTTCTGTCTGTTTGGGAGACGACTCCAATCGCGCCCTCGTGCCGGGACCTTTTCGAATAGAAGAGCATTAGGCGGGGCTAATATTATCAGGGTTGCGCGGACCAGGACCACATGCTACTTACAAGGCCAGCTCAGCCCGTCGAAGTCGATCGGAGGATACTGAGTGTAGGGGCTCGCCGGACGGCTCACCGTTGCGGGTGGAGTTAAAGGACCACCTTCGTCTCTCGGATCACGGGGAGGATCATTCAATGTAGGTCTATAATTCCAACATCAGCACATCGCGCCATAATGATCACTACCCATAGGGTATCCTACTTCACAACAAGTGGTTTGTGAGTCAGTTCGTCCGAGTCATTCGCTGACTCATATGTAGGATGGGACATGGTCCTCTCTGTCGATTCGAACTCCACTGGGACCCGAGGGGAGAAAGATGAGACGATGGAAGAATTCAGACTCTCGCGCTCACGAGCATCCCTGGAGCGATTGGAGGGGTGGAGGGGAGATCCGCCGTTCAGAAGACGGGATGGAATCGCTGACTTCGGCTTCGGGGCCGGAGGGGGAGAAGATCCATTGCCCATGGTGGGGAGGAGGGGGGGCATGAATAGTATGGAGGAGGGATTTTTGAGACAAATCACTGTTGATGTTGCTAGCTAGTGAGTAAGAATGCAGATTGTCTAGTCAGGAAATCAATCTCACAACTTTTGAGACATGGTCATGAACATCAATGCAGTCATCATCATCCAAAAAAAAGTCTCCGGGCAGTTGCCTCTGTAATTAATACGAGCCCGTCTTCCGTGCAAACGTAGAATCCGCACGCCTGATTGGCCTCTTCACACACCGCTTCTTACTCTACTCATCACCGCCTCCGCAGGACCAATGACCGTCGTCAATCTGCCATGTCTATGAAGCGGGGAAGTTTAATGCCTCAGGCTGTCAATTCATCATTCATGGGTTACTCGCTGTCCTTTCATCTTGGACTACAGGATCCCATGGGTATGTTTGGTTGTGGGGGAGCAGTGGAGCGTGGCCGTAGATGGGGATATCTACTCCATTGTTTACCTCGATCCTCTTTCTTTCCTCCCTAAGCTTAGTATTCTCGTTGCAGGCACCGAATAGAGTTGATTCTGCATCATTTTCTATCTCTATTTCGTAGGTCATCACTCGTGGTAGGATAATCAGTATTGTGAATATACTCTTAGCAACTCGGAATATTCCCTTTTGTTTCATGATGGCGAATCATCGCATCCCCATCGTGAGGATCGCCTTAATGAGGTCGTGAACTCCTTGGTATCCTGCTTCTACGATACAACCCTGTGAAGTATTACCAGATCTGATAGCCCTGCGAAACGGAGACATCCTGTAGGATGGCTTTGGATCGTCAAGAGAGATCCAGCGCTTCCTGCGATCGACCATTGCATTCATTACCAACTCGCTCCATGCTTTATCTGTGGGGGTAAAAGAAAAGTCAAAGCTCCATTCCGCTCGAATATCCCCGTCGTGGTCCTCGGCCAAGACATCTACCTCCATTACTGGAGAATAAATATTACAACTTTGATAGACCCGCCATAGAAAATTTTGTATGCCAAGCGCTCTATCTAAGCTTTTATGGCATCACAATCGTGATTGGGCAATGGACCTAATTTACGGAGTGTCCAGCTTTACCCCGAATTCTTTCATCATTATCAAAATACTTTAGGTTAGGTAACCATACGATTTCCCATCACTACTATCACCAAGCCAGTTGTTGAGCCAGCCGCGCGATATTGTCTGGAAACTGCAGCTGTCTGGCTGGCGGACAGATTCCAGGAGCGGCGATTACGTTCAATACTGGTTGAAAATTCTCCATGCTAACTGTTCCATCAGTGAAGTTCCAGGAGTATGGGATGTGTGAGCCTTTTTTTGCAGTTGATTGTTATGATTAAGGGCGCGTTGAGTGAAATGGATAGAAACTATAAAAGTCAGGGCAACTATTTAACTGCATATGTCCCCTGGTGCCACACTCTGCTTGCAGCCCATCTAATGCTCACCCGGCGATCCATGTCTCCTTGTCGATCTGTTATTATCTCATTTGGCGTACTCGGGGTATGGCTTGATCGTCTTAGGGCCTTGCCAATATTACATGGCCAATAGTCCGTAATTAGCTTTAAAAACTAAGGGATTGTCATGGATTCGATGGGAGAGATAGCCTCGGAACTGGACTACCATCCCGGAGTAGGGAGCCTTGCTTTATTACCCCTCAACTTACTGTGTACATTTATAGGAGTCCAGTCATTCTAGGTTCACGTTGGTATAGAAATACTAGTATATATATGCCCCGTTCCAGTGAGCTATGTAATCACTGCAAGCCATACTTCTTGAATCCATAAACAATCAGCACATGGATTTATTATTAAATGACGTTAAAACTTGTTTTAACTTTACTGTCAGAAGATTGATCATGTTCATGGAGAAGGATGCGAAAAGTACGGGCTTGGTGCTTGTCATTCAGGACATTAGTCCACTAATAGTCAACTGTAATATTTAAGCTAACCTACAATCGACGCAACACAGTGCTTATCAATTGAATTAAACTGACCCGGTCATACCATTCAGTGTTAAGTGACGTTAGGTAACTTTGGTCTTGCCGGGATGGTTATGCCAACACACCTGCGAATGTGCTTTCGCTGCCATGACATCTCACAGCTTCTGGTCAAGTATGTACCTCGTACCACCTGCTACAGTAGTAGTATCTAGCATTGAGCGAGTTTGATACACGCATAGTAGGAAAGTATCATTGCAAACCAAATTAACTTCAACATGTCATGAATAGCACGAAATTGAATCATTGGCAAGGATACGGAGCAGCAGAATTTGACTTCAGAAGTGAGAACCGGCCAATCGCATCTCCGATACATGACTCACAGTTAATTTGTATCATAGGTGACACGATCATCAGGCCGACCATCTTAATGCTAGAGGCGATCTCCCAATCGACTTTGTGAGACGAAGTCTACAGAGAGGATGACCACCAATTTAAACTAAGAATATATCGCCAAGTGCACAGGACATGAAGACGCCCTGTTGGTGATGTCCGGGACCATGGGGAACCAAGTAGACATCCGGAGTCACTTGGCAGAACCTCCCTATTCATTCTTCTGCGACGGCCAGGCGCATATTTTCCGATAGAAGCTGGGGGAATACCTGGACCGGGCCACCTTTTTTGGAATCAAGCCCAAGAACGGCGTGTTCCTTCACTGGAAGATATCCAAGAACATGCAATCTACGGGTAGCGTCAATAGCTGTCCGACTAAGTTGATGAGCCTGGAAAACATTCGGTCATCCTGTATGGGCTTGATATGCCTCTTCGAGAAACCCAGCGTATTGTGGAATGGGCGCATGCCTGTGAATAAAAAGTCCATCTCGATGGGGCAAGACTGTGATATAGTTGTTTTAGGTGCTGGGACCCTGTTAGAGTTCGATCGTGTGAGTCTTTGCCTCTTAAAAGGCCTGGGTGCTCCCGTAGGTGGGCTCTCACGCATTAATTGGCAAGACTCGGTGGTTCCGTAATTCCATCGGCGGTGGGATTCGACAAGGTGAGATTATTTCAGCTCCGGCCAGAGTTGCTGTTGAAGAAGTGTTTAGACCGGGGCCAAACGGAGGCGGAAAGCTCAATGATGCACATACCAGTAGATATGTGGACTGATTGGGGAGGAAAGCTGCCATATCCAACCCAGACTAACACGGTATGGCTTGGTATCAATGCAGCCGGTCTTCAGCCCAACTTGGCTGCTACTGGAAAGCGGAAAAGATTCAGATTACCGGAAAGCAGGATAGAGACTCACTATCGTAAGTTCTTCTATGTGTGTCTTTGATCTAATAGAAGTGAGGGAAGCACCTGTGAAATGAATTAATGTGCTGATGAGCGACAGTGTCTGACGAGTCACTACGTCGCGTTGGAGAGGTATTCGACGTCGCCCTCAACCGGAGGCCTTCAGAGCTATGAAATTGTCCACTGGAAACCATTTTGCATAGATAGGGATATATATTGCTACATAGCAACTGCATATTCACTTTATCGTGTACAGACAACCCATAGAGAAAGCCGGACTACAACGTGGAGTCGTATAACGTGTTCCTGATATCTTCATCCTGTCTGCAGCTAGTATTGTGATACATTAACATAGGAGATAAACAGGCGACAGGTATCAAAAAACCTTTAAACACATAATAAACTAAATCAAGGCTCCAACTCCTCAGTGGGCACATCGTCCAGATCCTTGCCAACAATTGCATCCGCAACCTTCCAGACCTGTAGCAAATTGTCCTCGGCGGCAGAGCAAAGAACCCATGGGTCATTGAGATTCCAGCTAAAGTCGGAGATACGGTTGGTGTGGCCACCGTGCATAAAGAGTCTGCAGATCATTGTTAGGGAAAAAAAAAAAAAAAAAAAAAAAAAAAGAAGTTCAACGCAGATATACACTTACAGTTCAGGCGGGCCATCCTGCGCATCCTCAGGGGTTTGTTCCTCGCCCGCTCGGCTCAGATCCCAGAACATGATCTTCCGGTCATAGCTTGCACTGGCCAGAACGGCTTCCTCAAACGGATGCCAAGAGAGCGAAGTGACAGAGTCGCTGTGACATTCAAGGGTGTGTAGCTTCGTCTTCAGATTACGCAGATCCCAGAGACCGATCGATTTGTCGGCCGACCCCGTAGCAAGAACGGTTTCCGCGGCAGGATTGAAAGCGATGGCATTAATGGCATCGCGGTGCTGGCCTTCCGCAGATGCGGCCGCACGGCTTGTCTCTGCCTCTCGGATATCAAGGATTTGAAGTGTGATATCGTCGGATACCGTTCCGATGAGCGAAGAGTGGAGAGGATGGTACTGGACATCATTGACAATGGAGGAATGGTGAGTGTATGTACGAGTTGGCTTGAGTGCCTTATTTCCCTTTGTGTATGTTGTCAAGTCCCTGAAGCAGGGTTAGTCGCTTGTGATAATAAAGGCGAGTGTCTTTTATTTTTCTTGTGGGTATGAGTCCTACCAAAGTCGGACAGTTTTATCCTCACTGCCTGTGACGAGATGACCGGTAACATGGGGACTCCAGCTGAGACCGAATCCTTCTTTTGTGTGACCTAGAAGCTCCATCTGGGGGTTGACAGTGCCAGTAGGCAGACTCGGATGCTTCGAGCGATCCCAGATCATGACCCTTCCGTCCGTGCACATGGTGGCAATCACATTGGGGTTTTGGGGTTGATATCGGGCCTTGTTGACCTCACCCTTATGGTCAATCTTCTGGACAATATTGAACTTAATTTCCATGGGTGACTTCTTGGAACTACCACCATAACCGCCAATCTCTCCGCGCTCCTCATCGTAGTCGTCTGTATTTGGTGTGGTAGGATTAGGAAGTTGTACATGAGCAACCTGCAGGTAATTTTGCGCATCACTTGATGTGTGTGTTCCAATCAGTAAGCGATGGGTCGAGTATGGTTTGTCGGGAACCCTGGGTCATGTTAGATTTCAAAGCGTATCTAGAGAGGAAGCGCATACTCCTGCTTGTCAGGCAACCATTGCGTTGTGAGAGTGGGCCATTCCAAAGCAGTGCTGAGAATCATGTCATATAGGAAAGGCGCATTCTTTTTCCACGTTTTATATTCTGATTTGGAATCAGTTTTTAGCCTCCAGGCCAGAATTCGAGTAGACGAAATCAAGACAAAGTAGTACCTTCATTGATTATCTTCTCCTCAGTGCGCTCTTCCTCCTGCTCTTCTTGCTCCTCAATAAATCCTAAGGCAAGGCCAAGTCAGAACAGATCGGGCATACAATGGGACAGAAGATCGCACCATCGTCGTAGGACTCCATGATAGATGTTCTGGGATGTTTATCTAGGGAGAGGAAGAAAGGTAAATCAATTGGCAAACAAAACGTGAAGAGAATAAACCTAAGGTAATCTGTCAGGAGAGGGTCTGGAGAAGGGTTGAGAGAAAGGCGCCAACGTCCAGCTGAGGGTGGCAGGACTTTGAGCTGCGGTTGGAGCTCTCACAGCAACGCGACTTCGCTGTCGGAAGCGCGTTAATGACCGCCCAGATTGGGCTAATCCCCTTTCGGACGAACAAGCTTGGCACCGTTACTGTCCGCGCCGGCTGAGTCAGAATCATCTAACTTGCTCAAGTGACTGTTCCGAGCTACCAGCCCACTGTTTCCTATTCGTAGTTGGACCAAGTAACTACCTAATCTACCTGTCTCTTTTCTTCCCCCATCCTTCCTTCAACGGATCCAACGGGCGTTCTCGCCTCCTTTTTATGTTTTCTATTCTTAGTTGGATCATTCTCTTTCTTCCGCGTTTCGTTTAGGGTTGTACTTCTCGGAGCATTTGCTGTGGTTCCTTCTGGTCTTCGGCCACAATTTGCTTAAGTTCGTTATAGGATTCTGACGACTTCGACGACGACGATCGCAACGACGGACGATATATCTGCTCTTTGGAATTGTCTGAATAGTACGGTAATAACTAACTTTTGTTGTTTTGAATCATCATGGGTGTTCCTAAATTCTTCCGCTGGCTGAGCGAGCGGTACCCTTCCATCTCGATGCTGATCGCTGAGAGCCGGATACCGGAATTCGACAACCTGTACCTTGATATGAACGGTATTATCCACAATTGCACGCATAAAGACAGTGATTCTCCCACGTTTCGCATGACAGAAGATAAGATGTTCATTGCGATATTCAACTACATCGAACATCTGTATGGAAAAATTAAGCCGAAAAAGCTTTTCTTCATGGCTGTGGACGGTGTCGCTCCTCGAGCCAAAATGAATCAGCAGCGCTCAAGGCGATTCCGAACCGCTCTAGATGCCGAGGTAGCGAAGGAGAAAGCCATCAGCCAGGGGATTGAGATGCCTAAGGAGGACCCGTTCGATAGTAATTGTATCACACCGGGTACGGAATTCATGGCGAAATTGACGGAACAATTGAAGTATTTCATCAACAAGAAAATATCCGAGGATAAGGATTGGCAAGGGGTTGAGATCGTGCTTTCGGGTCACGAGGTCCCAGGTGAAGGGGAGCATAAAATCATGGAATATATCCGGCACTCGAAAGCACAGCCGGGGTATGATCCAAATATTCGGCACTGTCTGTATGGTCTCGATGCGGACCTGATCATGTTGGGTCTTCTCAGTCATGACCCTCATTTTTGCCTCCTCCGTGAGGAGGTCACTTTCGGGCGTCAGGTCCAAAAAAAGCCCAAGGAGCTTGAACACCAAAATTTCTATCTGTTGCATTTGTCTATGGTCCGAGAATATTTGGAATTGGAGTTTCAAGAACTGGAACAAGAGGGAATTTTGAACTTTCCGTTTGATATGGAACGGGTTATTGATGACTTTATTTTGATGGCTTTCTTCGTGGGAAACGATTTTCTTCCTAATCTACCCAATTTACATATTAATGAAGGTGCACTGGCATTGATGTTCAAGATTTATAAGGACATCTTGCCCAAGATGGGTGGTTACATCAACGAACAAGGTGTTATCAACATGGAACGGCTCGGAGTATTGTTGGACGGCTTGAGCGATGTGGAATTTCGCTTCTTTGAGGCTGAGTACTCAGACGCACAGTGGATTCGAGCCAAAAAGAATGGTGTTGAGGATAGCTCAGAGTCTCAGGAAACGGCCAAGAGCCTCACAATTACGCCGGCACAAAAGGTTCTATTCAAGGAGGTCAAGAAGTACGTTTTGAATCGACCCGAAAAGGTGGCAGACACGAAACCGCTTGACCTTCCCCCAACCTTGCCAGCCCGTGACCGAAAGTTCGTTGAACAGCTCGCAGACGATCTGCGACTCCCCTGGACTACCGTTTCCGACGAGCATGGCGAACGATTTATAAGGGTGCAACTCCCTGGTAAAGATGATGACGATAGCGAGGAAGAGGATGAGGAAGCTTCAATGGCAGTTCGGCGTATCATTCGGAAATATGATAACGCCAAAGTGCAGGAGATATCCCCCGAGGAAGCACAAAGGGCAGCAGAGAAAAAGTACGAAGAGAAATTTCAGGAATGGAAAGACAAATATTACATGAGTAAATTCGAGTGGGGGCTGGATAACCACGAAGAAATGAGGAAATTGACGGAGAACTATGTGCAAGGCCTCCAGTGGGTTTTATACTACTACTATCGAGGGATTGCGTCTTGGCCATGGTTTTTCGGATATCATTATGCTCCAATGATCTCCGGTGAGTATCGAAAACGATCGTACATGAATTATTATACTGATTTACTCTAAGACGTGAAGAAGGGGTTGAAGGCAGACACGAATTTCCGGCTTGGTCGACCGTTCAAGCCTTACGAGCAGCTTATGGGGGTTTTGCCTGATCGCAGCAAGAAAACTGTGCCACGTGCATATTGGGACCTGATGACGTCTCCAGAGTCGCCTATCATTGACTTCTACCCCCGTGATTTTGAGTTGGACATGAATGGGAAAAAGATGGAGTGGGAAGCTGTAGTTAAGATCCCATTTATTGACCAAGACCGTCTGTTGGATGCCCTTAAAACGAGAGAACATTTGCTAGCCCCCGAGGAGAAGGCACGGAATGGTTTTGGCGCAAGTCTCACGTTTACTTACGCGCCTGATGTGCAGTTTCTTTACCCATCGTCGCTTCCCGGTATCTTTCCAGACATTCCGAACTGCCATTGTGTTGAAAACATTTTTGATCTGCCTACCATGGATGGCCTGGAGCCGTATATCGGGTTGGTTGACGGAGTGCAGCTCGGAGCATCGGCTTTGGCGGGCTTCCCTAGTTTAAAAACCTTGCCCCATGTTGGCCAATTGGGCTTCCATGGAGTGTGTGTGTTCCAACAGGAAAGTCGCAATGAAAGCATGGTCATCACGATTCTTGATCCTGGGAGCCGGTCAAGCAGCGAGATGGCCAAGAAGAAGCTTGGGAAACGGGTTTATGTGGGCTATCCATTTTTGCAAGAAGCATACGTTGTACGCGTCTCGGATGAGCTGTTCGATTATGTCTTACCTGAGGGTGAAGAGCATGCTGTGTCTATCCCTCATACTGACGTCCAGATCAACCAATGGAAGAAAAAAGCCGACAAGATTGAAGGAACCTATAGCAGAAGACTTGGCACGATCATCGGCCCCGTTGAGTCAATGGTACACGTACAACTACTTAAAGGATTGATCAAGACGGACGAGGGCTCTACGATAAAGGAGTTTGTGGATATTCCGGGCCAGGAGACTGATTATGCGCTTCAACTTGTGGTAGATGACGTTATCAATCCTGACGAACGCTTCATTGAGCGGGAAGCCCTGCCTATTGAGCAGGAATTCCCCGAAGGATCCCGAGCATTTTTCCTGGGAGATTTCAACTACGGACGGCCTGTTCATGTTACTGGACATGATGACGGTAAGGTAAACGGGTTGATTGCGTCGGTGAAGGGTCGGGATCCAGAATTTGGACGGGAACGTGCCAAAGATGCCGAGAGACTCTGCCCTTACATGCCTTCATACGCCATTGCCCGCAACCTGCGCCTGAATCCCTTGGTATTGGCCAAGATCACCTCCTCTTTCTCCGTTGATGTTGAAAACCAGCGCGTTAACCTCGGCCTCAACCTGAAATTTGAAGCGCGAAAGCAAAAGGTTCTTGGTTATTCACGTCGGGGAGAGTCCGGTTGGGAATTTAGTCCCAAGGCGGTCGAATTACTCCAGCAGTACATGATTAAGTTCCCCGAATTCATTGCGGGCATTCAACGTAACCCCCAAAACGATCGGTATAGGCCAACGGATTTCTATCCCGAGGATACTGCCCTTGCGAAGGTCAAGGAAATTCGGGATTGGCTGAAGGCAATTGAATCCAAAAATTTTGAGAGGGTACCTCTTGAAGCCGAGCAGCTGGATTCAGATATTGTAAAGTTGATCGAACAGGATGCAGACCAACTCAGCTACAAGCAGCCTCCAATGCTGCCGAAGAAGATCCGGGGTGTTCCCAGAGGCGCTCTTCTCCGGCCTGCCGATGTTGAGCATAGATTAGGAAGCCAGACGTTCAAGCTGGGTGACCGCGTGGTTTATGCCCAGGATTCCGGCAAGGTTCCCATTGCTACGCGAGGAACGGTAGTTGGCCTCACCCGAACCCCACTGGCCATTCTACTTGATGTTGTATTTGACGTTTCTTTCATGAGTGGTACAACGCTAGGTGACCGCTGCTCTCCATTCCGGGGCCAGACGGTCCCTGCATCCTCGGTTCTCAATATCTCGCATCGACAGCTTCTTGCTAATACCCGCGCGGCTACTAACCAGCAGCAAAATCAACCATCACCCCCGACGGCTGCTGGGTATGCGGGCCCGTCCAGGCCCGGTGGGCTGGGACAGCTGAAAGAAGCGCCAACGCCTCCACCACTGAGCCACTCATACCGTGGAGCAGTATCGGGCTTAGGTAATGGCCGCAGCAGTGGATATTCTCGTGCCCGTGGTGGACGCGGCACGCAAACCACCTTACCTTTCCGGCCGCACGCAAATGGCGGGGAGCAGCAACAGGCCAACGGCTCGTTCCGCGGAGGCAGAGGTAGAGGTGGATCCAAGGGTAGCAGTGGCAGCCGCGGGGGCATGAACCGCACTCGAGGAGGCTACACCGCGATGGATCCTGATCCGGAAGCCGGCGTGGTGAAACACAACCCGAACTTCCGGCCCCAGAACTATTCGCAGGTGCCACCCCCCCAGAACCTGGACCGACGCGGTGGACGAGGCCGTGGTAGAGGGTCAGAACGAGGGTCAGGATCCCGAGGACGTGGGAGAGGAGCTGCTGTCGTGAGACAGGACTCGACGACATAGTTGGCGATAAGCGGTGTACAGGGACTGTCGTATACAACCGTTGGAGAGTACTGGGGTGTATATACATACTTGTACCATTTCGCATACTGTCTGGACTATGATCGGACTTGCTCCCAACCTTCAAATGTGAAGTCGGATAAATATCCGTTGGCCATGTATAAGACGCATTATAGTAGAACTTCCCCGCATCAGGAGTCCGAGTTTCGGACGGAAGGCATTTGCGTAAATCGGGTGCCAAAGATTGTCAATGATGATATCCTGACCTTCAATACCCAAACCATTAGTCAATGGGATGGATTTCGACAGTACGGTGAGGAAGCCAACGCTCAAGCTCAGGCTCAGCTTGACTTGCGAGAGATGAGACTGAAAATCCTACAGGGGGAACCAGACCCATCGATGCTATTTCAACGGACGTATATTGGACGATTTGCCGGTCCCCTGTGGTTGGGATAGACTCTAAGATCTCCTCCTACTGCATCCCAGCACGATAACCCCATCAAGAACAGAGAGGGTACCATCAAAGCCAGACTTACCAATCCCATCCAAACGTATACATGAACAGCGTGGGTTAAACGCGGCGGGACCATCGGGCGCGGGATTCTCATCGACTACGCCTCATGGGCCGACAAGAACTCGATCCCACTGACACCATTCACGACGAGCATGATCCCACTATCATCCGCGAAGCAGATCATCGAAGAAACCAGACTGAAAACATGACCCGGCGACATCTTATTCATCCATACGGGCTTCACTGTTGCGTCCATGACCGGCTCTCATCGGAAGAAGATACCTCGCTGGTGCAGCGAGCGACCCCTATTTCTGCGGAGTCGAGAACGACGAGCCCACGATGTGATGGCTGTGGGAGAACCAGTTCTCCGCGATTGCGAGTTATGCGCCGAGTTTCGAGCCGGCGCCGGTCCCCCGGGGGGCAGTTTACCCTGCATCAGTGGTGTTTAGCTGCGGTGGGGATGCCAATTGGGGAGTATTTTGATTTGGAGAGGTTGGTGGATTACTGGAGGGAGAAGGGGAGGCGGTCGTCTTTCTTGTCGAGTGCCTCTCAAAGTGGGTTGTCGTTGTTTGAGGATTTGGATAAATGGGCTGATATTGGCGTGTAGGCTCCTGGGGGAGTTGTGAGTCCACCGAATGCAGTGGAGATTTTTTGATGGCTTTTTCCAGGGAAGAAGAGAAGGAGATGCTTTTACGTTACGCGTCAAGGATGTCAGATACAGACTCGATTAATTGTATCTGTCAGCTAGTGACTACAGCAGAGTCTGAATGCCCATATTGTACATGATCAAAAGCAACAACATTTAAACCATCCTTTCCAACTCCCGCAACTGTTAAATAATTTTTTCCAAACTCCCACCACTGTTAGATCATTTTCTGTTAAATCATTCTCTCGAAAAAACTCCCACCAAAACAAGTCAAACGCTTTTCCAAATTCCTACTCCAAGCTCAGATCTTTACACCCCTTTCCTTGATGTGGACCTTCGTCATCATGTTGGGCATGATGTGGTCGCCGTTGAGGATATTCTTGGGCCTCTTCTTCAGGTCCTTTTCAAATTTAAAGTCATATTCCATGATGAACCTGCTGAGGATGGCCTTGATGGTGCTCACTGCGTAGAAACGTCCGGGACAAGCCTGACGACCATATCCGAAGTGCATGTTGGTACGATCGATGGTGACCAGGTAGTTCCTGCTATTTGGATCTCTGCACCAGCGGAACGCATCGAAGATCATTGCGTCGGGGATGATATCCTCATCGCGTGACATGGGACCGGATGGGAAGCAGATGTGAGAGCCCTTGGGCAGGACGAAACTATCAGAAAGAACCAGCTTCTCACCCCTCACGATGCGCTGGGCAGTCACTAGGATCTGTTGTCAATTAAAAAAAAAAAAGACGAGGTGGTGATGAGAAGGGGGTGGTGCGCTTGGAACGTTACCTTCAGAAGTAGGGTTCAAGCGATGAGACTCACGCAAGAAACTATCTAGTCGACGCTGAGCTAAGAATGAAGCTTGAGTGGCATTCTCCCAGCCATCCTTGAGGGTCTCTTGAATCTCTTCACGCAGCGGTTCGAGGAGCTCCGGCCTGAGAATGAGGTCGTAAATGGCGTGAGTGGTGAGCATGGTGCTGGTATGAACCGCAGCCAGAGCGACAATGGTCATCAGCCCATGCGTCAGCGTCTCCGGTTTCTTGTCATACTCGTTGTCAGCCGAGTCCATCATCCACTGCATGAAGTCATCAGGCTTCTTGTAGTTTGGGTCGGTGCGTTCTTTGTGACGACGCTCGTTGATCATCGGTAGAAAGAACTCATCGCAAGCATAGGCCAGCTGTTTCGGCAGCTTCCAGACGCTAGGAAGGAACTTCGCCATCAGAGGACGCAAGAACTTGGGGAAGGGACGCAGCAAGAAGATGGTAACCCCGATGTTGTTGGTGTAGCGGATGACCAGGTTCAGCCACCTCTCGTCTCGGCATAGGGTGTCACCCACGATGATGCGGGATGTGGTACGGCTCATAATGCTCAGGATCATTTCATACAGGCTGACAGAAACCCAGCGATCTATGTCCAGTCAGATAGGATTTGTTGTTCAGGTGGCTAGTTCTTTGTACCTTTGCATTCAGGAATCACAGTTGGGAAGGCGTACTGCAGCTCATTAATGGTCCGTGGAACAATCCGATCTAGAATCATCACAAGTTAGCATCCATATTCACGGTGGTAATGTAAAGCTAGTCATCCACATCAACCCATAGAGGAGCTTACTCAGAGCAGGAGTCAGCTTCTTTGTAACAGTGTATGCAGGCAGCTCACTGTCTAGGAGAATGTTGACATACTCGCCAAGGACATTCTAAAGGAATGGTTAGAAGAACATGCTTATAGTCACAGCGAAAATCGCAAGGAAGGCTAGGTCAAGCATACCTTGTGCTGAGCATGAAGAAGGCTGATTCTGCTGGACGGCAAGTTCTTGAACTCTTCCATATAACGAGGTGGCAGGATGATCAGGTTACCATCGGGCTTCAGGATTTGAAACGGCATGCCAGCGAACTACAGAAGAAGTCAACATGAAGTCCTGTGCAGAGCATGTGAGGGGAACTGACCTTCTCATAGCCATACTGAATCATACCCGGAGCATCAATGAAGTACAGCAGGCGATTGAAGAAGTTGGGCAGATAATGGTTGAACTTGATGGTTGGCGCCTTGCAACGGGTCACAGTGTACCGCAGTGTGGTGTACAATACCAGCACGATGGTAAGATAAAGAGGCCAAATGGCTGGCTGTAGAGGCCAATTGGGTAAGTGCACAAGCCAATCCATTGTAGATACAAAGGAATACAGGCACTTGAGTTGATAGAGAGTTTGAGGACTTGGTTGCAGCTGTGCAGAGGGATGAAAGGTAGAGGATGATGATGATGAGGGTGAGAAGAAGAGAAGGAGAGAAAGTAGCTACATACTGCTACGGAAGAGGAAGGCTAACTCCCCAGGATTTATGCACGCTCTCGGCTTCTTCCTGTATCCGAAATCACAAAGCCACCTCTTCACCGGAGGCATACGCGGGAAGTTCCTCTCGCTTGAGCCAGATAGTGGAGATGGTGGCGTACTTTAGGGCTTCTGCCGATGTCTTCACTGCTGGAACATAGATAAATAATGGTTGCTTGTAGCCAGGTAAGAAGGAGAAGGAAAACTATTGGACAGTAAACGGTGGACATGGATCAATGTGCAATGGAATTTCCGTCGAAACAGACTTTTGTAACCCCTTTTATCTTTCCAGGTATATTTCCATAAATAAACGCCAGTCGTAAATGCAACGAACAATGATTGGACAATGACAAACAAGATGGATATTAATATGGTAAACAAGGTGCAGCAATCAAATCATTCCAAGCCAATCCATTCGGTTTCTTCCTCTTCCGCGGTTACTCCGTTGGCAGCAGGGCTCACGTCATCGTTTACATTGGCCATAAGGCTTGCCCCAGAGCTGTTCATCTTCTCAGCCAGCGCCGGTGTCGTCAGGAGATAATTAAGGTCGTAGAAATTCTTCTCTGCCAGCCGCTTCAAGTTCTCACGGATGTCGTCGAGGGCCCGCTGGACAGCACGGAGTTCCGTTGCAAAGGTGCCCGAGTTGTCTTTGAAATAGCGGCCGTGGCTACTCAGGAGTGCTTCGATCCAGAGGAGATTGAATTCAAGATGGGGGGTGTCCTCGGCAGCGTGGGCTATAAAGCGAAGCAAACGAGGCAGGTAGACCGTGGGGACGGCGCGGACGAGAAGGGCAATATCCGACGGAGGGACCCCTTCATGAACGGCGTGGATGAGTTTGGCCTCGTTGAGACGGAAGGCCATGATCAACGCCTTGAGAAAAGTGTTGTCATCGTCTACTGTACCTGCCGCGTGTGCCTTCTTGGCACCTTCCAGAGTGGCCAAGATGGTAGAGGGGGTGATGTCAATGTCCAGATCATACGGGTCGAAGAGGAATTCTGTGTCCAAGCTGTAGATGAGAAGGCCTTCCGTGGATGCTGCACAGAATGCGCGACCAGTAGGAGAGAAGTCGACCGACGTCACACGCACTTCGGGCCGAGTGGTTCGGGTCCCGGCATCACCACGTTTTGCGCCAGGGAGACTGCGGTCGACGCGAGCTTCATGATCCGATGCTTCGCCAGTTTCATCAATGATACCCCGTGGGCCGGCTTCGGTCAAATCGCGGCTGTTGAGGATCTCCTGAGTGCCATCAAGCGACGTATTGACGGAGACTGTATATTTCTTCACCATTGAGCCGGTGGTCACGTCATACAAACAGATGAACTTGCTGTTGCCTGCGGCCAAAATGCAGCTACCATCGGCACTGTAGGTTATGCAGTTGAAGAACTTGGTTCCGGCAGCGTTTGCGGCAGTCTGGCGGTCGGTCACTTTGCGCCCTCCGGATATGTCTCGACGTCCATCCACGCCGCCTTCTTGGACAGCATCAGACACCGACCAGAAGGTCAGTTGACCGTCCAATGTCGAGGCAGCAACTTGCTTTCCATCTGGTCGGAATGCCACGCTCAGGATATCAGACATAAGCTGCAAGGGCTCGCTGGTCTGGGTCCTTCCAAAAATGCTCCAAAGACGAACAGTGTGGTCCCAACTGCCACTGACCAAATGGTTGCCATCGGAAGCGAAGTCAAGGGAAGACACAGGCCCTTCATGACCTGACAGTTGATCAAGCAATTGCCCTGTCTGTACCGACCACACATGGATGTCAAATGAGTCAGGAGAACCGGCGCAGATCACCTCACCACTAGGGTCGACAGCGAGTGACGAAAAAGATAGTCGGGATGGCGCAGTGAACGTTCGGAAATTGCGATACCGAATAAGGTCCCACGCCCTTATAGATCCGTCCAGCGATGCGGTGAACAAAACGCTCCCCTTCTTGGCAAATTGACACGCGGTGACACCGCTGGTGTGCTCCGTAAATGTCACTATACAGAAGCCTGACTTGACGTCCCATACCTTAACCTTGCCATCGTCGGCGGTGGTGACAATTTTCTGGCCATCGGGAGAGTAAACAAGAGAGTTCATTGAGTCTAGGTGACCCTGTTGTTTCAGAATGTAAGACTCCGATTGCCACTCCCACACCAGTAACTGTCCATGCTTGGAAGAGCCAAAGGCGAGCCACTCGCCCGATTTGTTTACGGTCACATAGTCAATGTTGCTCTGCGACACACTGAACACAGGTCAGATCTGTACACTGAGCCCAAACTCTGTGCCACGAATAGACATACCTAAGGAGATGGATCATGTTGAATTCTGGCAAGTCGTAGAGACCAAACAGGCCATTCGAGAAGCCCACAATCAATAGATTTGTCGGCGCATGGAAGGCGGCGCAGTTTACTTTCGCGTCATTCTGCATGAAGAAGTCTTTTTTAACAATCCTCCAACGAGCTTCCGAAATATCCTCCATCGTATCCGCGTCCTTTTTCGCGACGTATTCCCACCTGAAGAGGGCCCCATCCTGGCTGACGGTGTAAATCTGGACGAAAGTCAGCAGGGAATGCTGCCCGGGCCGGCAGAGAAGAGCTTACCGCTTCTTGGTCCGCAGTAAAATATGCCGCCTTCACACCTTGTCGGTGGCCTGCTAACGTGGTAGGCTCAAATCCTTCCTCCGGGTCTGTACTCCATACCCGGGCCGTCAAATCCTTGGAAGCCGTAAGTAAGAAGCGCGAGTCGCTAGACCACTCAATATGTTGGATGGTATCGAAGTGTCCGGCGAGATCCCGATGTAGGACAAACGGTGCAAATTCAATCTCTCCATTATTATCGGCCCCTGGCGCAGATGGGGTATGCCACAGCTGTAACCGCCTCTCCACCGCTACCGCGAAATGTCGGCCGGACGGAGAGAACTTGAGGGCGGAGACGCGACCTTTGAAGGAGAAGTGGTGGATGACAATTCTGCGATGCAAGTGGGTCAAGATGGCCCGGCCATTTTCATCAATGGACAGCAGAAGATTTCCTCGTGGGGAGAGATCCAGACGGTCAATATTGGTGCGATGCGCAAACGGCAGAGTATGGGACGTGTTGCTTTGCGCCCGAGTCACATTAGTGCCCCGTCCTCCAACTCCGGAGTATCATGATATACGTACTTGGCCAGGTCAAAAACTGAGACCTGATTGCCTACTGGCGACAGCAAAGTAGTGCCATCAGGAGTGAAGACTAAATTTCCTTTGCGATAGACCGTCCCCAAGAGGTTGGAGAACTAGGAAAAACCGTCAGGAGCTGCTCTTGGGCCATAAATACACCTGGAGAGGATATTGTGCATAATCCCCGGGATCGAAATCACCACTGACCTTGAAATTCGTCTTCATTGTCGCTCACTCGTCAATCGCCTGGATGTCGACATCAAAAAATTATTTCCATGCGGCTTCCCAAAACGATAAGAAATACAGGTTAATCCGAACGCCGGGGAACTAAGCCATATCGGGACTAGCGATGCCCCCGGGGAAGTCACGTTCTCCTGTTTGCTTGTGTTTGCTTCTCCAACAATTCAGGGGCAGCAACTGCCAACTCGATCCATCTATTCGTTGCTGTTGAACTGCTTCCTTTGCTCCCTGTTTGGCACCAATTGATTCTCGCCCCCGGCCCAGTATTGTCCTTTTTCATTCGTTTTATTCTTCGACTTGGTTGTACTTTTTTTGGCCCTGATTGATTTCGTGATTCATTGGCTTTGTTGTTGACCAACCATACCTCCTTATCATCACTATGGCCTCGACCACGGAAACTGCCTCCCCCATTGGGATTGCCAATGTAAGTAATGCAGTTGATTGTTTGTTGCACCTGTCAGTGTAAGGAAATGGACCCGGATTGCTGATCACCTGTGCCAATAGCTCCCAAACCAGCGGTATGTCGTGATGGGACTCATGAAAGACAAGTCCTGACTAAGGCTATCTAGACACAAGATCGTTGCCAAGCGGGGTGCAGCCTTCACTATCATGGTTGGTAGACTCTGATTTCCGAGGAAAAACGCTGTGGAGATGCTCAGTATGAATCTAGGTAGCCGGAGAGTCGGGATTGGGAAAGACCACGTTCATCAACACCTTATTTTCAACCACCATCAAGAACTACGCCGACCACAAGCGCCGTCATCAGAAACAAGTCGACCGCACAGTCGAAATCGAAATTACCAAGGCAGAGCTGGAGGAGAAGTTCTTTAAAGGTTTATGACGGATTCCACCCGGTTCCCCCGAATGATCGCTAACGCTAGAGTGCGTCCTATCTAGTTCGTTTAACTGTGATTGATACCCCCGGTTTCGGAGACTATGTCAACAACCGTGACTCTTGGCAACCCATCATCGAGTTCCTCGACGATCAGCACGAGTCATACATGTTGCAGGAGCAGCAGCCCCGCCGCACGGACAAGATCGATATGCGCGTGCACGCTTGTTTGTACTTCATCAGACCCACCGGACACACCTTGAAGCCTCTTGATATCGAGGTTATGAAGCGTCTGAGCTCCCGTGTCAACTTGATTCCCGTTATCGCCAAGGCCGATACCCTCAGCCCCTCCGATCTGGCTCGTTACAAGCAGAGGGTAAGAGGAGACCAAGCGCCTTCTCTAGCACTGTTGATGACCCAAACTGACTTTTTCTGCTTTCTACGTTAGGTTCAAGCCGTGATCGAAGCCCAAGGGATTAAGATTTACACTCCCCCCATTGAAGAGGATGATGAGCATGCCGCCGCCCACGCCCGCAGTTTGATGGCTGCAATGCCGTTCGCCGTGATTGGATCCGAGAAGGATGTGAAGACTAGCGACAACCGGGTCGTTAAGGGCCGTCAATATGCCTGGGGTGTTGCTGAAGTTGAGAACGAGGACCACTGCGACTTCAAGAAGCTGCGGTCGATCCTGATCCGCACCCATATGCTGGATCTCATCCATACGACCGAGGAGCAGCACTACGAGGCCTACCGCGCGCAGCAGATGGAGACCCGGAAATTCGGCGAGGCTCGGCCCCGCAAACTGGACAACCCTAAGTTCAAGGAGGAAGAAGAATCTCTGCGGAAGCGATTCACCGAGCAAGTCAAGGTGGAGGAGCAGCGGTTCCGTCACTGGGAGCAGAAGCTCATCTCCGAGCGTGATCGGCTCAACAAGGATCTGGAGGCCACCCATGCTGCGTATGTGAACCCGTTTTGGACCCGGCCGTCTACCTGCCATGCATTTGCTAACGGGAGAATAGGATCAAATCACTCGAGCAAGAGATCGAGGGTCTGCAAGGCTCCTCGACCCGGAGCCATGGACGTCGTTAAAGTGTATCTTAGGACCTCCGGGAAGTGGCTTTTTTTTCAGGGACCTTGGGGCAAGCAGAAACAATGCGCATTTACCTGGTTTAATATTATTAGCACTTGACTACCCCTCCTCCGTTTCTTGTCTTTTCTACTTTCGGCTTTGTACTCTCAGGGAAACCATCATGGGGGGCGAATGCCCTGTCTCGTATTCGTCTGGTCCCTCTCTGTTCTTTCGATTTGCTTGCTGGAAGCTAGCGATGGTCTGTCTACAACCTTGATAATAACCAATTTGTACTCCGTAGCATGTCAATACAGATTTAATTCACCTTGCAATCTTTTGTGTGTCTATCGTTGGCGGTGAGGCGAGTCAGTATGTCGGCGGTGAGACTCAGCTCCGCTTCGGTTCCAATCCAACCCTTAGTGACGCCCACCTCTTCTCGCTCATCTTCGAGGACGACTTGTTCATGGTATCGGAGCCCTTGGATAGAGTGGAGGCCAATGACCGCAAACAAATCTTTCACCACTGAATTAGCTCATACCCTTAAGACACACAATGGTAAGAATTCCCGCGGGAAATCCCCAGCCTGCGCGCTCGCTGATGCTGACGTCTCTCAGGACCTGTGAACGCGGTGACGTTCTCTAGCTATCCTGGAACATATATCCTCACAGGTTCCTCAGATCGAGCCGTGCACCTCTCTCGTGCGATTCCCAACAGTTCGAATGCCTCGTCGGCCGTCGAGACGACTTCCCCAATTCAGAAATACGAGGCCCATGGATACTCAGTGTTGGATGTCGCCGTCACAGCAGACAATGCCCGGTTCGCCAGTGTAGGCGGAGATCGACTTGTTTTCCTCTGGGACGTTGAGCAAGGAGGGACCGTGAGGCGATGGAGTGGACATAACGCGCGGGTTGAAGCAGTGCAGTTCGCGGGGGATGGTGATTCAGTGGTAGTTTCTGGTGAGTGGTTCAGATTAAGGATTTTTCCATGTTCCCCGCCAGCTGGGCAAGATATAGTAGGATGAAAGGTAATGTTAATATCTTTCCTTGGAATTTGTCTACAGGCAGTGCAGATACCACCATAAACGTGTGGGATACACGGTCCAACTCGCACAAACCTATCCAGACTCTCGCCGAGGCCGGCGACACGGTCTCGTCCTTGCATGTTCACATGGGGACCTATTCGATTGCAAGCGGTAGCTATGATGGGCGTGCGCGCGTGTATGATGTCCGCATGGGCCGGACCACGGTCGACATGCTGGCACATCCCGTCACGAGCATCCGATGCTCGGCGGATGGCAACGTCCTTCTCGTTTCCACATTGGACGGTCGGATCCGGATGCTGGACCGCAGCGATGGGAAATTATTGAAGGCATTCGGGAACGATGATTCGTTGAAACAATCATCCGCTGGGATCCAGCCCAAACCGCTATATCGCAACAGTGAACTTCGGATTCGGTCTGTATTTGCGCAGGGAGACGCAGTGGTTCTCAGCGGTAGTGAATCGGAGAAGGAAGATCGGGGTGCTGAAGCTTCTGTGTTTGCGTGGGATGTGCTCAGTGGCGAGGTCCTGGCGACTGTTCCCGCTGGCAAAGGCGTCAAGGTTGTCAGTTGTGTGGCGTGGAATGAGAAGGGAAGATGCTGGGCAGGTGGATGTTCCGACGGTAGGTCTCCGATTTCCTTAAAACTCCCAGCTTATATTAACCAAATTGGATAAACATGTAGGGTCTGTCAAGATTTATCGCTGATCACCCAGAGTATTGGAGCTTTGGAGTGCATCAGCCAAGCTTCTCTCGAACAATCCCAGATAATCACGACCCTAATACCGAACGGCATCGATCGTGGGCCGCCGAGATCATGTCAGCGATGGTACTCGCTTCCGCTAGGCGTGTTTATCTAAATGATTGAATCGTCGTCAAATAAAGCCGGCAATTCGGATGAGCGATCGATAGCGACTTTGCCTTTGCTGGTAGATAAGCATGCTACTGTACAGAAGGAACACAATTACCAGTAGTCCAACATGCACTTCGATATTGGATGGAATGGCTATGAAAGATCTCAAGCGGATGGCCACTATTAATACTTGGAGTGTGGACTTAGAATATATAGCCGCAAGGCGATTTACAGTGAATTTTTGCTATGTTTATTTCCTTGAACTTGGTTCATACCATGCATATGATATCGACAATAGGGCTGAGACATGTAGAATAACATGAACTCGTCGGCCTGGATTACAGTAATTCTTACAGTACCTACTATCACCCAAAATCAATACATTTCAAACCCTCCACTCTCCGAAATAACCAGCAGCGTAATCCATCGACTCTCCTCACTAACCACCCAAGCCACAATGGGCGTAATATCATCAACACCAGCCAGACGATCCCAACAGGCGTCAAACCCTTCATAGCACCAACTGCAAGGGAATATTCTCCGCCACCTTCGTGTTCACCGTCCCAGGATTGACCGCATTAGCCGTATATCATATTCCCAACTCCGTCGCCCAACTCCTGGTCCACACCTCCAACGCCGCCTTTGACGAACAATAAAGAGACAACTCAGGCAACGCACCCCGCGAGTGATGGAGCATATACTCACGATTCGACTCGGGGTGCGGAGATAGGGATAAACAGACTGAGCCATCAGTAGCGGGGTGCGCACGTTCAGACCAAATACGTAGGCGAAATCAGACACGGTGATCTCGTGAAACGGCTTGAAGAAGTTCGTCCCGGCGTTGCTGATTACGATGTCTATATGGGTGGTTTGGAATCCAGTCAGGGTTTTTGGGATGATTGTTGCCGGGGAGACATCGCGTAGATCAGGTTGGATCCTGATTGCAGTAATAGAGTTGTGGGAGGACGTGTGGAGTTGTTAGATAAGTTGGTTTACTTGTTCTGTGCTCGAGGAAGATGTATATGTGATTGTGACCTGTATGGTGTTAATTTTTTCTGTTCATCCCACCCACCCTGGCGCCTCGTTGAGCAAGATCCAAAGCAATTCCAGCTCCAATGCCGCGAGATGACCACGCCACGATGGCGATGTTCCCCATCAGAGTCTGTGTTTGGATGATTCCACGTTGGAGGCGAGGGATTCAATACAAGATAGGACAGGGTAGGATCGTTATGATGGACAAGTGAGCAAATCAGACGAAACCGACGTTTTAACTACATCTCTCTTCGATGAGTGTTTAGTTATCTCCAGCAGCAAGGATTCCACCCCTCCTAACTCCGTTCAATTCTCATTATCGATGACTTTAAAATCCGAGGAAATTGACTACGTAATTCCACTTGTCGCTCATTGTACACAGCCCAACCACGCCCCCAATTGATTCGCTTAAAAAAGGAAATAAAAGCTTTTCGGTCATATCATATCCCAAACTCCAATCCCCGGAGGGCCAGAAGATAGTCGTTCATATTATCATTAAAAGAAGAGAATCACGCAATCAGGGAGAGCTGAAATGTAGCCTACATTCCAAGCTCGCTCGTCTCCGGCTCATGACTCTCTGCTTCGAGAGCATGCACGGCACGATGCAGTTCATGCTCCCCGACAATGATGGTTCCCGCCCGGGCAGTGCTCAGAAAGCTGATCTCGACGGCGTCCATGGAAGGCCCCAGATCCGGCTGCAGATGGTGCGTAGCAGGATATCCGTTCCCAGGAGCTTTACGTCCGAAGCTCGGGCCGGGGGGTTGCACGGGCCCTCCCGACCCGAGACTAGAAGAGAAGATGTTTTTGAAGGATCCTTCAAAGGAAGAGCTGCCGTGGTAGGACGAGGACAGAATCGTCGACGCATCCGTGAGGTCGTCTCGACGGGTCGCATCCGCCAGTCGACTGGCAACACCGCACACAATGCCGGTGGCCTCCAATGGGAGGCTGCGCAGGTCCAGCATGATGGGTACCAGGATCTCCTCCTTGGGGCCCAGCAGAAGACTGGTTTCCTCATCCGGATCGACCATCGCTGCCGGATCGCTGGAAAATCGCGGCAGCAGACGCTTTTCCAACAGAAGCGACGCCGCAGGATCCGCCGCGGTCATTGTGAGGGAGAGGAAGCGGGGTTTGTCCACTACCAGCATCACCGTCAGTGCTTCCCGGAGGATGGAAATGGAGCTGACTTCGCTACTGTAGCGGTGGTGGGCGGCACACTGGACCAAACGGAGCGATTTGTCCACACAGGGGACGATGTGATTTCGTCGCAACGAGGAGAAGGTGCGGGTCTGCAGCTCCTCGAGCGACGACGGGGGCGGGGTCGCTGGCGGGGAGCTCATGCTGCTGGATGAACGCGAGGAGCTCGGACTGAGGCTGCTGGCGAATGGGAATTGGTTGTTGTTGCTGTTGATAAACGCCTCGGTCGACATCTCGAACCGGAAGCCCCGACTCTCCAGTGCCTGGATGACCTGCGCCTTGCTGCGGAGAGGAACGATGATGTAGTCGGCAAAGTAGGTGGAGATGAAGAAGATCGAGATCCCCGCCATAGCCAAAGGACTCGTCAGCTCAAGGACCCGCTGGCCCGCTTCGAGACCTTCCCCGTACACCTGCATGGCAATGAAGTCGTCCTGGCTGATTGATGGACGGCTCTGCGTGGCGGAATTGGCTTGCAGGAAGCGTTCGACCAGCGGAGAAAAGTATTGGTTGGCGAGATGTCGGGAACACATGATGGAGCATTCCACCGGCGTGATGGAGAAGTTCAAGAAGGCGGGGTCGCCATCATACGCCTCGGAGCTCTCGTCTATGGGAGGTACATCGTGAAAGAGGAGCTGGAGGATGGGGGTCAGGAAATACGGATACAGATCCAGGGGAATGTGGACCAGGGCCAATCGGTCATCCTGTGCCTGAATCAGCTAAGCTTAGAGATATAGGAAGGGCATACAATCTTACCATGAACTGGACCTGGGCCGAGATGAGAGTAAGTGACTGTTCCATACCAACGTCTAGTATCCAAAGGGTCCGATAGATAGACCAAGAGGATATTTGCGGTCGGAAGAGAATCACCAGGACAAGGCGCAATCCAGTGACTCACCCCCGATATCTGGAATGGAATTGAATGGAGATGAAGGAAGTGAATGGCCGTTTTGCCCGTCTGGTTTGGCGCACGAAATGCCCGAGCGAAGATCGTGGGAGTGTCATTGTTCGGTGGTGAATTACGCCATTGTCGCTGGAGATGGTACAGTCGAGCACGCAAGAATCGATGTTTCAGAGAATATTAAGCAGAGATCAGGAGAAGGAAGACAGAAGACAATGGATCGACAAGGGAGGCACGGGATTATACTTGAATTGTGAAAAGACGATGAATGACTCGAATAATGGATGGATTAATTAATTAATTAATTGAGTAACTAATTTCATGGATTAAATAATGAGTCGGTCCACATCGATCGCCGCGCTAGGCGCTCGAACCGACGGACGCTCAGTGCTCGATAAGCCTTTAGAGAGAGAGATGCACGATCCAGTTTAAGAAGATCAGAGGATGGTTAGTCGAGTCTGATGGTTCTAAAGAGAGAGAGTGATAGGAATGAGAGATGGAATTGGTTCCCGGATGCCTTATCACGGCCATTCTCGGCCTTCTCGGTTGGCTTCGGAGATGGTTCGATCAGTATATTATCATTACTCTTCTTATGTATAATATCATTATCTTATATTACAGAGTATATTTTATTTAATTCCTAATTTATATCGGAATAATATAGGAGTAGATCACAAAATAGTCCTGACATTCCCCTCCAAAGATTGTGGGAAATACGGCCAAATCGACAGCCTAAGTTGGATCAGTAGAATAACTGGAATAATAATAGTAATAGTAACAGTAAAGAAAGGAAAGGAAGAAAAGTACAACCACTGGATATTGCCATCGTGTTCTTAAATTCCTAAATGAGCTGCAGGACCTCTGCTGCGTCTTTGCCACTGGCCTATCGGTACGTCCTCGTCTCACACCAGCCGTTTCCATTCGCGTGCATCAAATCTCTTTCGGGATGTCCTCAAATCGTCCAGAATTTCATCTAGAGCCATCTGCACGTCGCAGTGTCCGTGGTAATGCATCTTCAGCAGGATCGCACTGTCCAGCTGGTTGATGGCCTGACTTCGTGAGCATCTATTTCATCTTGAATCAGACTCCATCCACATAACACCTCCTTTTTCGAGTAGATATCATTGACCCTGGAGTCTCCGTCTTTTATCCCAATATATATATGTATAATTTTGGAGACATACATACTTAAATGTCGCAAATGCAGTCTCTCGCAACATGGTCCATATGGCTTCCTAGTCGTATACCCACTGCGGGATCGTCAGGTCATATGAATATCTATGCGAAAAACCATAAATATATCTCTCTCTGCACTTACTCGATAGCCAGGAGACAGGGCTACACCCCAACCGGTTGCTGTCTATTTTCTACAAAATCATTCCAACTGGGAATCCCGGCTTCGCGGCTTTTTTGCACATCGCAGATAGCCACGACGGACCGGTACAGGGTGTCCGCATAGCGACGCAACGCCTCTTATTAGGTCCCTAATCAGCGACAGTCCCCTCACGGTCAACGGAACTCCGCGAGTTACCTTTCGACTGCCCCCCTTGCAAGGCCTCTCTAATCTCTTCGAAACAATCCGTGTTGTGCTCTGTCTTGAGACTAGCGCGCGGCAAGAGGCAAAGAGAAATAGCCGTTGGATTCCAGGCACCATGGCAAAGTGAAAATGTCCCTTCCGTTCTGGATGGTTCTCTTGTGATCCCATCTCATCTTTCCGCAGTCGATTTCTAGAATCTAGATCTGAGAACCAAATCCTAAGACTTTTCGGCAGCGAAACGGTTACCATCACCCCAGGAAAAACCTGTCGGAATTACCTTGTTAGAATGAGTCCTCATCCCCATCAGAATCCTGGATTGACCCAATTTAGAAACTGCACCAGCGGTCGAAACCGTTCTAAAGGGTTCGCGGCCCAGATTAGGGGGAGATGGCAAAGTACCCGTCTCTAAATATCTGTAGTTTTCGACTATCCCGGTACCATCTATAATTTGTTTCTTGTCTTTAGTTGTGCTCTAGATTTCTTTAAATACTTATCCTATCTTGTGTTTCCTTCCGGAGGGAGACCAACTGTGGGCCGAATTCTTTCGAGAATTTCCTCGCGAAGCTGAGACTCAATCGGGTGTTTTTCTACAGTCCAATCCGGATAGAGCAGCGCTACCAGATCTGGGATATGCAGACGTTGACTCCGGATAGCTCTAAGAGTGAGGCAAAGGCACCTGTTGGTCTATCTGGCGACATGGGTAGACTAAAAAAGTTCCAAGGCGAACTATATATATGGCATAAGGTGGAGACTCGAGAGACTTTATATTAACACCGACAAGCCTAGTATCTGGCATATGAATGCTTACTGTGACACCTATGTTAGTAATTTAGGGAGACCCGGGAACATTTGCAACAGCTGTAGCTCTATATTTCTGTAGATGAATGGGAAACTTTTCTACGGCAATGAGTATACTGCCTCACTCGACCATATCATAATGACGATGACGACGATGACATTGATATGGCTTATTGTCTTCTAGGAGCTGATCTTGGAATGGCCGAGCATTTCCATGGTAAAACAGGATGAAATTCCCAACTATGGCAGGGATTCCAAGGGTATTATTGATTGATTATGTTTATTCTAGCCCAGGTGAATATGTCAATATGGAGTAATAGAAATGCTATTGTTCTGCCTTCAGTTCACCTCTTCTCGATCTCTTGGATTGTCGTGGACGTTATTCTCGATTCATTGCCTTAAGATAATAGGTAGGAATACTCGTAGTGTCCTTATTCACAGCATAACTTTCTCTTCATCTTTGTATCCCAACCATCTATTCCCTTGTCTTTTGCACTCCTCTCTCATATAAAAGGAGCCTTCCGTCTCTTCGTATCGTTCTCTCTCTCTCTCCTCTTTTGTATCTCTCTATTCCTTTCGTTCTTCCGTCCAAACTTTGGCTCTACTTGGGTAACTTCCTATTAGGATTCTTCAATTTTGAAAGAATCGACCAAATCCACCTGAATCTAGCCCCGGGTCTGCGCTCCATTTACTTCCCAATCTCAGAGTCATCATCAGAGCACTCTCTAAAGTCCTCAAATAGCCCATCTGTATCTGGGAATCACCATCCAGGACATCGTTACAACAATGGACATTGAATACACCACCTTCTATCCCTGGGGCAACCATGTACACGGGATCGTCCTCTTAGGTAAAGAAAGAATGGGTTATTGTGGAAAAATCATACGGCAGCTAGCCGTACCTCGTCATCGAAGCGGGACTTTTCGAGTCTACCGTGTCTAGGAGCGTACGTAAAATGGTGGATAGAGTGTTCTGACGGCCCGACCAGGTGAATATCGTTGTCGTCGTACATATATGTCATGCTGCACCGACAAGTGGTTATCTAGAAGTACATTCTAGACAGCGAGATCCCGACTGTGGCACCAAGGGTGATGGAGATTAACATTGACGCTCTGTCAATCCAAGGCCATCTGTGGCGATATGCATTTGGTTCTTGAATTTGATAAAGCGCCTGGTCGGCTCCACAAGAACGCGACATAATTCTTAACGTTGGAGATCTAACCAAGTCGTGCAGCTTGTTGTTTCTTGGTTTTAATATTAAACCAATTATGACAATAAGAACCTTATGACGAGTATTGGTTACCCTATTCACGGCATGAATTCACAAATGCTGGAATTCGCAACGAAAATGGTACAGAAGAATAACCAGGTCGTTTGATGCGAGCATCCTGACCTGTGTCTGTTTAAAACAAGAACGGGCACACATATGGCGCCCACCTCTCGGGCTATCTCCCACAGACGACGTGATGGCACTGAATGACTCTTCTAGAGATACTGCTACATACTATTCTGGATACAACTATTCTAGTTCGTAAAAATATCCTGGGCATTCTTACCCTTATCAAGAATATGCTCAGGGCTCTCGAGGATATTGTTGCCATTGGCAGGAGGGTAAAAATCCAGGTCCTCAATACTAGTAGAGGTGAGTTTCACCTCTTCTATCGAGTTAAATACTAATTCTATATTAGGTTTTAGCAAATATTAAAACTTACATTATTAGTGTTAGCGGCGTGAGTTGGATGATAAACTGAGGCCATCGAGTGCCCTGTAAGAGTAGGAAGAGGCACCATAGAAAATTATGAGACCCCTATAAGGACACTATCAGTATTATTTGGATGCATTATATAGTCTATGTTTATCTAGATTTATAACCTGGCACTGATCACTATCGACACGGATCAATTCTCCTCGATATCAGAATATGATTACACAATTCCGGGGAATCAAAACAAAGCAGCCCCAACAATCTGTCACTCCTAGGGGTAAGAACGAGAACGAGAACTACGAACGCCCCCAATGCATGGATCCAATCCATCCCACGTAGACAAAAAGAATAGAAAAGAATGAAATCCACGAATTACTCGTCGTCCACGCGAGCCCGTTTCGACTCTCGGTCGTCACGCTCCACCTCCTGGATCCCATATCGCTTTTGCCCTGCGCCGCTGGTCACATCAGCGATCATGCTGTCGATTCCAAACGGATCGGCGGTATCTTTTTCGAATTGGACGGGTCCGTCCCGATCCTACAGGAGTATCAGTTAACCCCAAGCTCAGGAATACATATAGCAATAATATAGATATATCTCACCTCGGCATCAGCAGCGCCTCGGAACCCTTCCTTGGCTTTGCCCAAGACTTCGAATCGACCGGACTTCTGGATCTTGCTAATCTCCCCCTCGCCGCCCTCGTCGTCGTCGACGTCCACCTGCGCCTGCGGCCGGTAGATGCTGTTGATGGCGTCCTGCGCTGCAAATAATGGCTTGTCATATGGGTTATCCTCGTTGAATCCCGTGTCCATGCCGCTCGTCTGGTTGAACAGACGGGAATCATACATGGTCTCCGACGACTGCGTCGGCTTGGCTAGTCCCAAGGCCACTTTCTCCGAGATATCCCGGCTCTGTTCCCGCGCCATCATCTGGATCCGCCGCTCCGTGCCCATCCGGGACTGACGCAGTTGGCGTTCGGCGTCCTGGCGACGCTCCCGACGCATCTGCTCTCGTGCCCGCGCGGCACTTTCATCCTCACTGGGCGTCCCCGATCGCGACGAATACGCCGGACTGCGGCTACCGCTGCGGGAGCGAGAGCGAGAACCGGACGCGGCGCGCGAATCCCGTCGGCTGCTTCCAACGCGCTCGGCGCGAGCCTTCTGGGCCAACGCCCGGAGATGTTCCTCCTTCTGTGCCTTCTCCTTCTCGGCCAGCTTCTGCTGCATCTGCGCCCGCAGTCGCACCTCTTCACGGGCATGTCTGTCTGCAGTAAACAGGGCTTCGGCAAACTGGGCAAACTTGTCGTTGATCGTGACGTCCTGTAGACCACGGCCATCCGCCGCCAGACGCTTGTCTAGGGGCACGGTGTAACCCTTAGGATTCTTCCAGTTCGAGACGGGAGGCGGGATCTTCCAGGCTTCCTGGTCCTCGGCCGTGAGCTTACGCGGCGGCGAATGCATGATAGGTGGGGGTGGCGAGGGCGGTCCACGAGGGATTTTCTTATGCTTGAACTTAGGAGGCTCCATAGGATCCTGTTGCCTATCGACAATTTTCATGATGCGATCGTTCTTCCGGGTGGTGTCGCCCATCTGGTTGGCAGGCGTATAGCGCACGAAAGTTGGCTCGGCCCGACGACTACCCTTCACGTTCTTGGGTTTCTGCGCCGCCAGGGCCCCATCCACCAGGCTTGCCAGGGCATTCTTCGTCTTCTCCATTTGGGCCGCGACCTCTTCCTCCGATGGTCGGTCAAGCGAGACCTCGCCCATATCAACCCGTTGTCGGAGGGGAATCAGATCCTTGAAGGAGGCATGTACGACACGATCGTCACTGTGGCCGCGGCGCGCGATGGCATCGTATTTGACTTTACCTTCTGCATCAACCTGCACGGTGAGAGCATTCGAGGTCGACGAGGTACCCTTCCGACCCATGTCCAGCGGATACTGTGCGACCAAGATCTCGGGAAACGCGCCACCATCACCAAAGTCTTCTGCGGCTCGGGGCCGCCAACCGGTTCGATTTCCATAGGGAGGGGGGCCGGTTTTCTGGAGAAATCACATCAATCATCCTATTGCCTTATAGAATCCCAGATAACAAGGAAGGCCTACCCTTATCACAATTTGAGACTCGTCAATCTGGTCGGGGCCAACAACCCGCGGACCATGGGGCTGCGCGTGTTGCGGCAACTCCTCATCTTCGCCGGTGTATTTCGGCTTTGGAAGAGACTTAAATAGCCCCTCCGCAATGGACGTCATTGTCGCGAGTAGAAAAGAGTTGGATGGGGATGGGGAGATGGGAGGAAGAGAGAGCCCGAGAGACGTCGACGCTTGTTCTCTTTTTGGCGTTGCGCACGTGATGCTGCGGTGTGCCGTATATCAGATTACTCAGCATAAGTATGAAGATAACTACAGTATAATGGATGTCTATCGTCAATGTGAAATTGATCTATATAATGCATATAAGAGTACAAGTAAAACAGCAGAATGGAGTATCTATAGTACAAGTCATAATCAAACAAGTCAAAGTAAATGCGAACGCATAGGACAGGCAATGCCCTCTCCATCATTCGCTTCCACGTAATGTTCCTTCCCATGGTATGTATACCAAATCTTCAGTTTCTTGGGCAACAGAGGTGCGGGATCATGGAACCCAAGGATATGGAACTATGACGAGTTAGCGAATAAGGCAATAGAACAGCGGCATTGTTCAACGGACCTTGATCATATTCTTAGGGATGACGAGTTGGCCGTGATCCACCAACGCAGCCACCGGAATGGTGACATCGATGATTTCGTATTCCCTGCTACTGCTGCTGTTGCCCTTGGATATTTTCTTCAAAGGCTGGTGACCATATTCAGCCTTGGTGATAACCAGGCCGCTCTGTCCTGCTTCCTTGGCTTGTCGCCGCTGCACCTGTTCAGTCATGAGACTGATGGCTTGCGAACTCTGTGCCTTTTTCTTGGGAATCAACTTCATCAGCTGTTTCTGTCGCCGGGCTATAACTTGTCGACGGTTCTTCCGCTCCCGTGGTCGAATGAACCCGAATTCCCAGGTACAGTATGCCAGCCATGGCAGAATGACCATCAACGCAGCTATATCGTTGTCAGCCGACTCGAGTGGCATGACAGTGATGGGGAGTTTGATTCTCTGTCCGAGACGGCCCCATGAGACCGTCATGGCCAGACCATGGCCGGATTCCACACCAACACCCAATCCTATACGAGTGAGATCGCCCACTTGACGAGTTCCCTCGATGTTCCAACCAACGGATAAGTCCAGACCGATGGTGCTTTGGATTTCAATTCTTACGGACTTCGGCTCCGTCGCCGGTGGCAAATGATAATGACCCTCGGAACTCCACTCCGAAAGCGCGAGATCAGTGGCGGCCTTCCCAGAGAAGATGTTACGCGCATAGTTAAGTGACAGGCCGCTTCTCATTGGACTAGCACTGAAGCCTACCTGCCATGATTCGGCGGCTCTGTCCTCTGCACGTTGCCTGTCGCGCTCCATCTTATAACCCTCGTCTTCCTGCACCTCCTCGTCATCGTCCAAAGAAGCGGCTTGGAGAGGAGATTTTGGAACTGACAGGAAGCCGAACTGGAACCGGCTCGCCTCGTTTAGTGGAGAAAGAGCCGTTTCCAGATCCATGCCTAGGTCAACAATCGGAGACAGCAATACCTGGAGAAATTCCGGCCAGGGGAGGTTGCCGCTGGACCAATTGCAGAACGTGTGCTTGCCTCTGCCAATCTCCTTCAACACCTGGACTCCGAGCACAGGCGGGCCCTTCACAATCGAGTGATTGAACGTCGTCGTGAGATCGACATGGAAAGGCTTGGTGCCGGAAACAGGCATGACCATCCGGGCCAATCTCGCTTGGATGGATGGGGCTGGCAAAAGCATAGCAGTCAGGGTAACTCCCGAATTGCTGAGAAAAGAAAATGGTCGCCAACTAAAGATTCCCTTGGAGCTTGCAACATCTCCAAAGACCCGGCTTACACTGGCCCCTAGGGTCACTTGTTGTGCGACGGGCAGCGGCGGCCGTGGAATCTGCAACTAGTTAGCATGGACGATTCACTCAATACATACGATAGCCTGTCTCCGTCTTACATCTCGAATTTCTTCAGTACCGTCCTCCATCGTGACCGCAACCCTGTTAACTGCCCGTCTAAATAGGCCTGAAACGCCCGTCTCGATCACAAGATCCAAACTCTCCTGCTGATACGGCAATCTGTCTCCTTTCTGAGAAGACTCTCCCTCCGTGGAGGGACTTTCCGTATGATCGTCTCTCTCATCCTCCTTCTCATCATCACCAAACAAGACCCGTCGGCTCGGAAACGGCGTCTTGAACGAATACTTAAGTTCGAAACTCGACAGTCGCGGTGACGCGAAGTTGAAAAACACGACCTCTTCCTCCTGATCGATCGAAACCATAGAAGACGCATCAACACCCACAGACAACAAGCCCTATTCCACATAGTCAGCCCAGTCCGTCCCATACCCCCAGCTACTAGGACCAATCTCAGCCACTTACTCACCCTACTATTAACCATACTATTAACGACCCTCCTCTCCCTTCTCTTCATCATCTCCAAAAACCATTTTCGGAACTGATCTGGCGTCATGGCTTTAACCCCAACCTGTTGTTTCCGCGCCTCACCAAACTCCCCCATGGAGCCACGAAACCCCCATTCATCACGCACTGCCTCGGCGCCCAACATATCATAGACGACCCGTTTCTTAGGATCGACCAGAGTCTCGTACGCGACTCGGATACGGTCGAAATGCTGCATCGCAGCGTCGCGCCATTCCGCGGGCTGTTTGTCCGGGTGGAAGCTGAGTGTGAGAGATCGGAATGCGGATCGGATCTCCGCGTCGGTGGGCGGAGGCGTGCGGGATAGACCTAGCAGGGCATAGTAATCGGCTTCTGAGGGATAGTTCATGATCATTGAGTATTCTGCTGCTGCATCGTCGTAATCTGGGCGGTGATCATTCGGTGTATGTTGGTTTGCGTTGGGAGCCTCCCCGTGGAGGTGGAGGTTGTTGTCGTCTGGCATCTCGTGCTGCAACGTGTCGTTTCGGCTGTTATAGCACTGTCATCACCGTGGAGAAATAGGGTGGACTGTGAATGGGGAAAATATTGTAATAGTCAGGAAAATATCCGATAGCAAATGTCCATGTTCCTCTTGTTGACCTGTGGGGATGCTTTGAGGTTTTTTTCCCGCCGAGTTAGGTATGACGTCGGAAAAACGGCTTTGGTGCCGCCCGTCCAAAAGCTGACATTCCAAGTGTAGAACAAGTTCAACGGAAGAACAGTCCAATTGAAGCTGTTCTACAGTTTGACAGGACGAAGGAAGTCCTGGAATGATGCTCGGAGTAGGACTTCTTGTACAATGGATAAGCTAGAGTATGAACAGTGGGTTGAAAATTATCCTATTCAGCAAGTGTACATACAATCCATCATTAGGTACGCTCCAGTCCAGTCAATAGAATATAATACATGCCCAGCATATCAACCATATCACGACAGGTTCAAACAGTCCTGATGAATAAGAAAGGGAAAATATCACACAAGGCTCAACACATCCACAAGCATTTGAAACAGTGCCACCGGGTATTTCATTAGTCGAAACATCAGCCACGTCATTTTGGTACATTGCATCACATCACTAAGGTAGAAGAACAAAGAAGAATCGGACGATAAAAGTCCTCAGTTGGCGTCTTTAATCCAGAGGATATTCTCCTCCACAAAGGGGACGTTACCAACTCCCAACGCGCTGAACAGTCGCTCGCGAGGCAGTTCGTCATACAGGAGGTCCTCGTTCGTAGGGGTATCTTGTTTCTGGACACCGCCGCGGACCTGCCTATCCAAGGAGGGACTGGACGCAAGGAAGGCGACTTTGCCCTGCAGTTCGAGTTGCTGGAAAGGATATTCCACCATCGCTTCTAGCCGCGTCTCGATGAGTACCATCAGAGGTACGATGCTGGCCCAGAATCGGCTCAGTTCTCGCATCACTTCGAGACCTCCCCGTATGAGGCTGATACACTCGGGAAGGTCGGTGATCAGTCCACCTACGCTGAGTACATCGACCGCTGAAAGGATTACGTAGCCCAAGAAAGGGTTCAGTATGGCCCCCCGCGAGGTGTTCGGCTCCAAGGCCGACCTCGAGGCTTCGAAGTCTGACGCATAGCGGACTAGAGCAACTGAGGTCCGGAGGATTTCGACGGCATGGTTCCTGGCCGCGTGAACGCATCGATCAACCATTTTATCTGGAAGATTCTGGTAGCGTGCATGCCGGTTCAGCTTCATTAGAGTCGCGTGATATAGTAAATGGATTGATATGAATGAGTCGGATTTCTTTCCTCGAATACTTCGCTCCATGTTCACGGCTGTAAATGCCAGATGGTCGGGCAGCCTGGCAACCCACTCGTCTGACCGCCGGACAATACTGGAGTAGAATTCATCAAAAAGTCTGCCGTATGCCTCGGTGGGTATCAATGACAAGCGAAAGACATGATCGGACACCTCCCCCCAGAGAGACAGTATATCTATTAAGAGCGCCATAGCACTCAACCCCGAGGTCTCGTCTTCTAGAGGCGCTAGGGGTTGGTTCAAAAAGCTTTGAAAATAGGGAACAGTGGTGTATTGTTGGGCTTCGTAGACTTCTTCTCGGCAAGGTAGTCTCAGGTAGGCAGTTTCTGAGGAGATGAAAGTGGTAGATGGGGTATAGAAACACGAGAGGCGCTGATGAATGAGACACAGTCAGTCCAAGGTCACACTGGAATTGAAATAAATAGAGGGAAAGAAGACAACACGCACATCCATCAGAAAAGCAACCCAAAATGTCCGCCGTCGGCATTCTATCAGCGCCTGAGGGTGTAAGCCATATTCACATTCGCGGCTCTGGTCTACAATGACTCCGCCCAACTCGACGTTGTATCGTAATCCGCAGACTGTCCGGACAGCTGCCCCGACAGCATCCCATGACTTCACAAGAGCACCTATGGCATAATACCAAAGACTCATAATAATACGGCTTTGAGCAAGCTGTAAGGTGAGGCTATGCCGGCTATGCTCCACTGCGTACCGAGCTGTGCGGGAAAATCTTTTCAACGCGATAACCCTATCTGGGCGCTCTGAAAACACTGACCCCAGAGTCATCATCGAGTAAAGAAGCATGTGATCATCCAACGACTTCGTGTGGCACGATTTCAGCCAGAGAAGAAACCGTCTTCGGGGAAACATATAATACAATCGGTCGTTCACATATGTGAAGTATGTTTCAATGTAATGGAGCGTGAGTTCAGGATCCATTTCATACGGGTCCACCCGCCAGCCACGGGCAACGGGATCCTGGGGATCCAAATCCTTCAGTCCCGTTAAAATGTCAGAATAATCGGGAGACGAATGAATATCCGCACGCTTTGGCAGATCCTCGGATCCAGCAGAGACCCGGCTTGACCCTTGCCCCCTAGTTTTGAAATATTCATAATCCATAGCACTATCGTGAGTGCTATCCATAGCAGAAGGTGTAAGCATGGAGCCATCTGATATGGGCGACTGAGAACTAGTTCCCTGGAGCGACGTCGAACTTTCAGAAGCCCGTGTAATGGAATAGAGGGAATTCGAGGAGCCCCCAAAGTTGTGATTTCCGGATGAGAAACTATCTCTTCCGTCGTATCTGCCCATCGCGTGCGGGGCCTTCATCGCTGCACGATGACCTCGAGGTCTGGCAAATTGTTAGAAATCCGAATCCAGTAACCGCTCAAGAAGGTTAGGATGTTTCCATTGAACACTTACGCGCTCTCAAACCTGCATTCCCTGCCCGACTTTTGGCACTGGTCGCATTTAGGAAGGTTTGGCTGGCATTTGATTTTCTTCTCGCGGCATGTTAAACAGGCCTGTGCAAGCCGCTTCCTCGGCTTGCCAGCCTTGGTGATTCCCCAGTTTGCATTCACAGGGACTCCATCGATGATTTTGGGGCAACGGGAGCCGTCGGCGTATATATAGCACAGCCCCTCTCCATCTATGTACCTCTCGTCAACCACATGGGAACGAACGTTAGCCGTTTGGCCTTTATTCTCCGTCGGACACCCAGAATCAGTCGACTCTGGTAGGACGAGGTCTTCTGGCTCCCTCTCGAGGTTTCTGAAGCCATGCGGATGAAACAGCCCCTGGGGAATCGAGGGGACCTGTGAGTTGGTTTGGTTTGGCAGATTCACCGATGTCTCACGCCCGAGATTATGAGGTGACAAACGAGCCAGTGAGGGTAATGGACCAGGATGTTGCTGATGGTTTGGATCTGGATGAGCCGGAGGATCGAGATTTCCATTGCGCGGTGTGGTAAGGGCGGAGCTGGAACCGTACCGGCGATATTGCGAAGCCTCTGTTGTGCTGCTCGGAGATGTATAGTTCCCATAAGTGCCAGATTTATACGGTGATGATGGTCGGCTCTCCTTGGCTCCAGGGGTCAACAACTGGCTCACCGACGGCAGCTGTTCCTTTATGGTATGCTGGTTAGTGGCTTGTGAGCGGTTTGACAGGGGCCTTCCGAGGTCGCCCCTCTCTCCTTGGCTCCGCTGGTGCAAAAAAGGGTCTGTTCCAAACTGTAGAGGCGCTGAAGCACGAGGTGGTGGAAGCTGGTATGGATGTGTTCCAGGAACTGGTAGGTTAGCCGGACAATCAGGCTCTCGCGCCGAAGGACCATCAGTAACAGGTAACATACGGCCGAAAGGTCCCACATAGTAGGCCGACATGGTTAACGCCGTAGTATGGTCAAAAAAGGGTAGATCTCGTGAATAGCGCCTAACGTCCTAGAACCAACGACATAATAGGGAGGTGGCGAGTCTCTAGATGCGGGGGATTCTGGGTGTCCACCAGAAAGCAGAATGGGGTCCCAATCTCAACTGTGACGAGATGAAGGCAATCTGATACGAAGAATAAGAAATCTTAGCAAAAATAAGCAGATGCTTGATAAACAAATCTGACAGGATATGCCAAATTGCATATGCAGACACGCACCTCCGTTTCCTTGGTACGCTTTGTTCGGTCCTTGGTTGACAGCAATAGCGAGTAGAATATAATCGACGAGATAAAATAAATCGAATAATGTATGAGGGCTCTTCAGAAGAATCAAGGGTCAGACTTCAGGGTTTCAATACCAACACCTGGCTGCTTCTCAATCTAAGCAGCGAGCCGGACAGCCCAGTGTGGCGATGCAGACTCACACACAAAGTACGAAGTGAGGAGTGGGACGAGTTCGCAGGATAATAATAGAAAAGGCCTTGCAACAAATAACCGAGTCCGCACCAAGCGGGCTCCTTAGGCTGTTCCCATATACTCACGGATAGAATTCAACGGGAAGACAAAGGACAGGCACATCTAATAGACCACAATCATGGTGCAAACGAGCCCGAAACGCTGTCTTTTCGGAACGAGCACTCCATTCCAGGGTTGCTGCAGGATCCCAGCTGATCGTCCCGAGCACCCAACAATGGCCCAGCGGGGACGGTGCTGCGACTCTCAAGGCAGACCCGGTAACGTAGTAGGGTGATGTTCTTAACCCCAGTTCCGTAAGCCAGTGGGATAGCACCTCCTGGACAAAGGGGATATGGAAATAGCGTCGTTCTACCTGCAGATAGTGGCCTAGCCAGAAAGGCCGTGGAACGAACGTGACGAGGAAGGAGAACGAAAGTAAGGCCGTTTGTTGACGACACAGTCTGCGTATTCTGGGTAGGACAATGGGCGAATGAAAGACAGCAGAGTAAGCTGTGATCTTTTTTTCTTTGTTCTTTTGATCTCTTCCCCTTTTTTCCTCTTCTTCCTTAGTTTCTTTTTTAATTCTTTCTTTCTTCCAGTTTCAAAAAAAAAAAAAAAAAAAAAAGAAAAGAAAAGAAAAGAAAAAAATATTCAAGGGAGAAAAAGGGAGGAAAATATAAAGATAAAAAACAAGAAAATCAAGGTCCCTCTTTATTACAGAGTTTTGACAATGCAGAAGGCGATGAACTGAACTCTCAAGAACCACAGATACACACCCTAGTAGCTTTTATGGTTGGATGACTATGGCCACTAAATCCAGAAAGAATGGACTCTGGGAATGATAGCGGATCCGCGGCAAACCCAGATGGAACGAGGCAAAGAAAAATGATCGATGATTTGCTACTAGAGGTTGTGGGTGTTTTGCCAGTTAAATGCCCTGGACACTGAGGATGTAGTATCTGCACTCTTGTCCACGCCCCCCCCCCTGTACGCTGTAGATGGACTAGAAAGAGGGGCAAGCCGGTGAAAAAAGAGAGGATGGCGGAGTGGAACGAAAGCAGTAAGAGAAAATAATAAACTTGGCTGGGGGGGGATGGGATTGGATTGAACGAGGGAATGGAAGAAGAGAGAGCCGAACCCAACCTCGATTGAAACGAAGGAAAAAGAAGACGCGGAAAGAGGAGCGAGGAAGAAGAAGGAAAAGGGACAGCGTGGGAAAAGAGGAAAGACGAAAAGAAAGAAGAGAGAGAGGACGAGAAGAGGGGGAAAACAACACTGTGCTTGATTGATTGATTCTTTACGATACGAACAACAACAGCTACAGCTACTACAGTAACTAGGTAGATAGACTAGACTAGTATGGATCCCTTGGGAAGGATGATCATAGAGGTGTTTTTAAAAATAATAATAATATAATATAATAATAGTATTATCTATTATTATCAGGACCCGAATCACAATAATAAGCTGATAGTTGGGGTCAGGCTTAGTGCTTCTTCTCCTCTGGTTCTGTCAATCCACCCGGACTCGATCCGTCCTAGTAGTAACGGTTCCGACGGGGAGTGGATATGGATGTGGATTGTTGAACCGGACCAACTTCTGGTCTCAACATCGCCCACCGGCGGATGGATCCTCTGGCGATAGTCCCGTGGAAAGAATGGATTGGACTGATGCTACCCTGTACGGACTACGGAGTACGTACCTATGGATGGTGGTGGTGTATGGATGGGTGTACGACCTAAATACAGAGCGGTTGAATGATGTGAGAAATGACACGAGTGACAGATACGCCACGCGGTCAGTGCTCGGTTATTCTCGAAGTTCGATATTTGACAAGCAATGATCAACAACATTCAGGTTCCTTCCCATTACCCGGGGTGAAATCGTCACAATTCATCATGCAATATGTAATAATAATGGTGGCTTCCTCTATAGTCTCTCCGTCTCCATCAGAGCTGAGCCTTTTCTTGCCAAAAAAAAAAAAAAAAATTTTTGGTCCTTCTGGGTCCTCGTTCGTATATTTTCTGCCAATTGACTGGCTTTTTTTCCTTAGAACTAATTTAATTAACTTTCAACGTGTGCCCCGCAGGGATATCCTTTTTGGTTCTTCGGAAAGATCCTGACCATCGAAAATAATAATAATAGTAATAATCACCCAGACTTAGGTCCCTACTTAGGTAATGAGCATAATAAATGAAATAAAATAATCTAAGACACGGCATCAAGGCGACAATCCAAGGGAACAGGATATCCTCGGGACGGCAGTTAAAAATAACCTTGTTTCAATGCATGTCTTCTTCTACTCCTCCTTTCCCTCTCATCTTTAATGGATGTGTACAGAGTAGAGTAGTGGTTTGGTCTTCCCCCGAATTAATGGGAAAACCCTTTTTTTATGACTATTTTTTTTGGCTCTCTTATTCTCGTTTCGGCCCCAAATGAAAAAAGGAAGTCATGATTCAATGATCACATAATACATTACTATTAATATTGAGGAACGGCCGCTAATAAACATCCGAGAGGCAAAGAAGAAAATATGTAAAAAAAAAAAAAATTTAAAAAAAAAAATTAAAAAAAAGCTCAATTTCTTCGAGCATCAAACCTAAACAAGGGATTCGTTCGGCCGACGGTATACGTCGATTTGCTCCAAATTCCTAGAAATGTCCCGGTAAAGGGGGAAAGATGGACCACAATTATCTTCCATCACGCGCCCATATCCCAGGACTTATCACTACCTACTTACTAGGTATGTAGTAGTTACAGTTTTGAACTATAGACGATGAATCTCCAGAGATCCACCATGGTAGTATTGGCTGGGGAAAAGGAATCCTATGGAGTAGGACCCTCGAGCTTGTCCGACTGTCCGTACCATAGTACTGTACGGAGTAGCTATGTAATAGCTACTGCTAGCGACACCATTTAACTTCTACCTAGGCTAGAATTGCAAACTCGTGGTGGCGACGAGGACAGCTTCACGGGTTCTTCCCCCGTTCGAGGATCGGGGGACTTGCTATTCGCGGGGGTTCCCTGCACTAGGAAAGTGGGCACCCGACAAACAGGTTAACCAAAAAAAAAAAAAAGAGAGAGAAAAAGAAACAAAGAAAAGAAAATAATTCCTCAGTGAATAATATACACGGAGCGATGGAACTTGGAAAACAGAGAATCAAAAAAAAAAAAAAAAAAAAAAAAAAGAAAGAGGCACCTAGTACTGAAAGCAAAAAATCAAGATGAAAGGGAAGAAGAGGGTTCTGTTGGCTGCGAGAGCACCATCAGTGATCACACAAACGGATGATTCAGTGCCAAGCATTGCACTCCTTTTTGGGTCCTTTTGTTAACAGTTAACGGGCACCCCGGTCCAGTGGACGCCCGGTTGTCGTCACTCAGACTCGGATTTGTCTCAAGTCAATGGCGATCCGATCTGCAAGCCGTCAAATTCTCATCGTCATGTTCGGGATTTCCTTGTTTTTGTCTTCGCAGCCTGGTGGGTTTGTTTAGTTCCTCGTTTTTGTCAAGTCAACAGAACAGCACAGTACAGTACATACCTTTAGTGACGGCTAGCCAGAATCTATGGGGAATGATCATATGATGCCATCCACTTTGCGACCAGCCCAGTAAATGTACTTAGTACCAGTATCGTAGGTACTTCCAAAACGCAACAATCAGAGCAAATTTAAAGGGGAAGCGATAACAGGAGGGAGAAAAAGTTGAACTAAAAAAAAAAAAAAAAAAAGGCCCATGGATCTCTATCTACCGATTCACACAAATGAAAGCAAATCATAGCAAATTGGGCAGGATGGAGACATTGGCACGATTAACTCAAAACCTCCATGACTTAAAAGCATTCTCCCGAACAAATACCGAGATGGAAAGGGATTGCACAGGGCCACGGCATTGATTAATATCGATTAATATATGGCTTATAGCAGTCCGCTCGAATACGGGTGTGTCTGCCGTCCAGGGTGACCTGGTCAGGTACGCCATACCTGGTCAATATTGTCCGATCGAATATCATCAGGTAATCTCCCGCTGCGGCTTGAAGGGGGGATCCGGCCGAACTTACAGGAGTTGTCGACTGTAGGTAGTTACTCCGTACTATGCCTAGTAGGTCACTAGGTAATGTTTAGAAACTCCCTAGCTACTTCAGTGCATAGTTGTCTGTATGTACTCTATCCATGCAACTTTAGCTAAGGAGGCTAGCTTGCTAGCTACATCCACCGTCCAAGCCATACATTCTCTGATTGCAGGTACCTAGTACGGAGTACCTAGCTAGAACACCTCGGACCAAAGGTTACTTTTGACACGGGGTAGTAGGGAGTAGTAGCAGTAGGAGGAGTAGTACTGCGTCCAGACTCCAGCACAACACCGGTAACAGCAACCTGGTCGGTTTGTATGTAGTTGGTTGTCTTTCTTTCTTTCTCTATTTTTATTTTTATTTTTTTTTTTTTCTAACCCCTCTCATGGGAAAAATACAATAAATCCACAAGTAATTAATTCAATTAAATACTAAGAGAAAAAAAAACAAAAATCTCCAGTCGGGTTCGTAGCGATAGGATCCGTTAGTGCCGGGCAGACTGAGACATGGTTCTTTAGTATCTCCTGCCGACGCCCAAGAGAAAGGGATTGTTCTGATTAGTTTTCATTATGCTTGGCTTTGCTCCGGGAAGGATGACATGGCCCAGTCTAGCAGTGACAGGTGAATAGCCTATCAAAGCGACTAGATCCCTGTCCTCGGTCGCCAGGACCAGTAGTCAATTACCAGATGTAAAGAGTCAAGGCCAAGAGTCCAGAGGATCGAACATGGTCCAAGTCCTATAACCAACTAAGCACTCTGGTGCTAGTTAACCATCTAGGTACCGATGTCGATCCACTGGCGCTGGCAATCCGAACCGTGGCTCCTGATAGATGGAGATGTTCGGAAATGCCCACTAAGATCACAAGGATTGTTGATTGTTATTACTACTCTGTACTAGGTATTTAATATTATTTAGTATTTATTATTTCGGTTTTTGACTTATTTTTTAAGGTAAAGCTTAAGTGGGGATTTATGCAGTTGAGTGGGAATTCATCCATCCATCCTACTACTACGTACCAGGTAGGTTCCCCCTCCTATGAACAATACTTCCGACTTACGCCATTGGATCATCTCCCGACATTACTTCCTGTCCATAATGGCCAGAATCACAATGGGGTTGTATTCATCTTCGGTTATCAGCGCATAGATTGATACCGTCGTGTGTGATGCAATGCGATGCGATGCGACGCAAAGCATCCAGAAAGCAACCAAGTAGTAGAATAATAAACGATACTAGTAAACATCCGGGCGGGAGATGGGATGACGATGACGGGACGAGAGTGAGCCGAGACGGCAGACAGACAGATACTCTGTACCTACTAGGGACGGACATCTAGGGACTTCTGGGCAAAGTTAATCGAGAATGGAGCCCATATACTAGTTCGTTAAGCCCTGCTTACCGTTGGAGCTAAGACACTAACCGAGTGAAATTGAGTTTGTTGGACCACAGGTTGAATAATAGTAATACCACGCTGCGATACCTCTGTACAGAGTATGGAGTATGGAGTATGGACAGGGAAGATACATAGAGAAAAAGACAGAGAGATCTTATGCTCTATTAATTCATGCATGTCTGTATTCATCCTACCGAGATCCCGCGTCCATCCTCCGAAGCACCAGATGTCTAGCGAATTGCCTTGTGATTTTCATATGATTAACCAGTAACTAAGTAGTGCATGATACGACTCGGAAAGAAGTGGATACCCACGTTCGCGCTGATCTTGTCCTTCTAGACATGAAGTACGACTTTTAGTCACGGACTTGGCAATACTGGACTGGCATGGCATTTGGATGTGAGGACTGATTGCCGTGGTTCAAATGCCGATGGAAATATTCTGAGACTCTGAACTGGAATCAAATAAACTAAATAAGGAATAAAATAATAATAAATAATAAATATCCACAAGAGGGGGAAGAGAAAGAAAAAGAAAAAACAAAAGATAAAAAAAAAATACTTACGCAATAAATATATTAAACCAAGACACCAATTTATCCCGGAGCCAACGGAGACGAATACAGGACCAGTCAATAAGTACGGAGTACGGAGTATAGAGTAAGACCCTTTTTTTTCTTTTCTTTTTTTCTTTTTTCTCTCCCCCTGACGGAGTACACTAGGGAAATACAAATATATCCCTGTCCCATTCTAACTTCTATCCAACTTGCAGCACATTAAGTACCCCGTTACTCTACCCACCGTCATCTGTGCGAGTGGCAGTGACCCTCTCCCTGGTCAAGCCATCGGGGTTGGTGAAGTTAGTCCAGTCGGTTAATTGGCTTCGGTCCATGACTCCGACTTTAGTGATAATGACTACTACACTAGCTGGTGAATCGGGGCGAGCCGCCTCGCCACCTGTTTGTCACTGTCTAGGTAGATGATCCTCCGTGTTTCTGACTGGGGGCGAAACTGAAAAAGTAAGAAATACAATTGGATATGTACGGAGTAGATGAAGTTGTTATATATATATTTTTTTTATAAGGTAGATATGTATGTACAACAGATGGTCTTCAATTTATGAATAGCTGTAGTCTTGGTTTGGAAAACTGGATATTGTCTGGGGAATAGCATGGAAGTACGATTAGCCTTGCATCCATTGAAGAACTTCTACAAATAGGAAATGTCTGTGTTCTCTCATACACCGCCAGGTTAGAGGAATAGTACACTGGCCCACTTGTCGACATTGGTAGATAGCGACTGAGGAGTATAATTGGAGCCAGAATTCCGATATCCCTAATCTAGCTATCTAACATGCAACGAACCTCTACCTGTATAACTTTATTTCTCGGTCTATCCTCTACTTATTCAAGTACAGTAGTGTAACAAGGCATAATCCTGGTGAACCCACGGTACACCAGCAAATCAATAGCATACTACAGGAAAATACAATTTACAGACATGGCCAGTATCATTACTGAATGTCGTTAATTATTATCATGGGTATTGCAAACCGATTCATTTGCTGTGCTATCTTTTAACCGAAGTGAAAACTCGTATCAAACACAATCCGTAGACCACCTTTTAGTCCTCATGCAGAGTGTTAAGGAAACCCTTGGAGGCGCTCTCGGGCTTGCCGTGCTCAACGGGCTTCTGGCCGAGCTTCTCCTTGGAGAAAGCAGCAGCGTAGGGGTTGAGGCGGAGCATGACCTGCTTGTTGCGGAGAGGGTTCTTCTTCTGGACGTTGGTGCGCTTGGTGTGGGCCGCACCCTTGGGAGCACGCAGAACGGACTGGATTTCAGAAGAGTTGATCAGGCGAGTCAGATCAGCGTTGGAGACAAGGTTCTGGGGCAGCAGGTAGTCCTTCTTGAGAGCGGCAGGGGTAGTGGTAGTCCCGTAGACCTGGTCAAGGGCTTGGAAGGCAGCGGAGGACCACACGATGAAGCGACCAAGGTGACCACCAGGGGCGAGCTGGAGGAGGTTGAGGTTGAAGACGGACGAGGTCTCAACACCGGGAATGTTGCGGAAAGCACGGACGAGGTCCTTGCCGTCAACCTCAGGGTTGTAGACAACGAGAGGACCGCGGCGCTGGCGGAAGCGGCGGTTCCTGAGCTTACCCTTACCGGCACGCATCTTCTTGGACTGCTGAACCTTAACGAGGTCGGCACCAGCACCGACAGCCTTCAGGAGAGCGATAGCGGCCTTGGTCTTTGTGATAGCATCGTTCTCGAAGGTCTTGGAGTCAACGACCAGAGGGACCTCAGGGACGTTGGCAACGCGGTGACCGCGAGCGAAAAGAAGAGCAGGGACAGAAGAAGCAGCCAAAGCAGAGGCAGTAGCAAAACGTCTGGATTGAAAGCATGTTAGTTCCGTATTTCTCAACTCCAACATTCCACGTATCACAGAAATCATCATACCTCTGACCAACGTTGACCTTCTGGTGCCACTTCCTCCACACCTTGGTAGGAGCGAACATACGACCGGAACGGCACTGGTTACCAAACGCGGCCTGGCCAGCACGGTGAGTACCACCACCGGAGACACGGGGAATACGAGCGACAGCACGACCTGAGGGGGGGGGGAATCAGCAAACCAATCCGTAGTCCTCAAGTTAGATATTCAGTGTCCAATTCCCACATACCGGTACCCCAGGACTCAGCGGAGGTCTGTTCACCAGCCTTCTCGCTCACGGCATAAGGCTGTCTCTTGTTCTTCGCCATACCGGTGTGAACCTGCCTGTAGTAAAAACCGTCAGCCATCATGCCCATTCTTCCATTCCTGCCTCCCTGTGCCTCGTCTCCCTTTGAAAAATCATTTAAACATACTGGACGATATCAGGACGGATGGGCGAGTTGAAAACAGCCGGCAGGGGGTAGGTAGCCCCGCTGGGCTTGCCATCAGCCGTGGCGATAGTGACGGTAGGACGAGACGCCATTTTTGTCGACGGTGAGATGGTCGTTGTCGTCGCTCGAGGTTGAGATCGAGTATCTCACGATGTGCTGTGGAAATTTTCGCTTAGTCTGCCGCGAATAGTGGGTCTGTTCATTTGCAGCCCTAAGCCCTGATTACCTGTTTGGGGACAGCTAGCCCCCATTATCTTGGCAGATACCTCATACCCTAGGCGGTGAGACCCTGCTATACACGAAGCAGTCATGTTTGGATGTTTCTTTTTCTTCCTTTCTTTCTTTTTGGCCCCTCTCTAGCGCTTATGGCTTTGCAGATTCTTCTATTTTTTAGACTTGATCCGAATATATACGGAACATTACTGAGTAGCTCATCTTTGACAATAATTTCCCAGAATAAGCCAGTCACCATTGACCATTATATTTCCACATTGAAATATGACGTTCTTGTCAATGCACTAGATACACACCATGGGGTATATTTCAAGGTCAATTCCATAGGAGCAATTGGTTATGGCCATCAAATGATAGAGTTTATGAGAATACTCCGCATGTCTGAATCTACTAGAATTTAAAAAGAGACTACAACAGTAGTTATGCGTCTGGGAGATGACAAAAGCTGCCTTTACAATTGAATGCTCACAAATTCTGGCATATCAGCTTGGACTTTGTTGCCAGCATATTCCCACGAAGGTATCCTTGTACTCACTTTGAATTTAATACTATGACACCACGGAGGGCGGGCTACTTCCAGAATTATTCAAGGAAACTGGGTCAATTGTCCTATCAAAAGGCCTAAAGCTTCAATTGCATGCTGAACATCTTCAAGGTAAACAAAATTCACTCCTTTCTTCATCTCTTTAAATGTACATGGAGAAAAAAGGAATTGAGCCAATGGGGTCCTTCATAAGTAGTCAATCCACCTATGAAACAGGAAACGAAGAGAAGACAAATAATCTAGCGCAGAACGTGTGAGCCTCACCCGTCCAGCGGATGCAAGGTCATTTACGCGTGATGAGCAACGTGGCGCTTGTGGCGGCGCATTTCCTGGAGCATGCGAGGCTTCAAGGCAGCGACGGAGAGATCAGAACCCTGGCCAGGAGTGCACTTGGTGCCCATAGCCATGGCCTGGGCGGCAGTCCACTGGCCACTAGCACAGCGCTGGAAGCTAGAGCCGTCAATGCAGTTCCACTGGCCCTCGGTGGAGCAAGCGCCAGATTGGGCGCCAGCGCCGGAGCCGGAGCCAGAGCCATTGCCGGAGCCAGAGCCATTGCCGGAGCCAGAGCCATTGCCGGAGCCAGAGCCATTGCCGGAGCCAGAGCCCTCATTCGGGGGGTTGGTGGGAGCAGGGTGAGTGGGCTCAGGGACGAAGACACCACCAGGGGCGCTAGAAGAAGGAGCCTGAGGGCCAGAGTCGTTCGAGCCATTCGAGCCATTCGAGCCGTTCGAGCCAGAGCCAGAGCCAGAGCCAGAGCCAGAGCCAGAGCCCGAGCCAGAGCCAGAGCCAGAGCCAGAGCCAGAGCCAGAGCCAGAGCCAGAGCCAGAGCCAGAGCCAGAGCCAGAGCCCGAGCCCGAGCCCGAGCCAGAGCCAGAGCCAGAGCCAGAGCCAGAGCCACCGGAGGAGCCACCGGAGCCTGCGGCATTGCCATCACCACCGAAAGAAGGAGAGCCAGTGCAGGCCTTGCTGCCCTCAGGGGCGAGGTTCGAAGGGTTACCGGCGTACTCGACTTCCTTACCAGGGTTCGGGAAGCGAATGTCGACGCCTTCCTTGGTCGTGCATCCGTTGACATTGGCGACGAACATTGGGGGGAAGTCGCCATCGCGCTTAGCTGGAGAGCGCTTAGCTCCGCCCTTGACAGTGACGGGAGCGCAGTTCATGTACATCTCGCGGTTTCCAATGCGGTTGAACCAGGTCCAGGCAAGCGTGTATTTGCCGGGCTCGATACCTTCGGGAATGGTATACTTGAACTCGGTGGCACCGGAGCCATCAGGGTTGGCCGGCAAGTTGCCATTGACGTTGGCGGGGCATCCACCCTCGATGGACTTGATGACCATCCACTTCGAGTCCTTGGTGGGCTCCATGTCCTTGGTCAGACTGACCTGGCAAGAACCGCCACCGTGGACTGCGCTGCCCTTGAAGGTGAGGGGGTTCTCCTGACCGATGGTGAGCTCATTCATCTTGGTGACATCGTAGACACCAGGTCGCTGCTTGCATGGGAAGTCACTGCCGTCCGCCTCCAGAGGAGAGTTGTTGAGAGAGTCCCGACCATATGGAACGGGCGAGCTCATGAGCATGTGGGCCTCGACGGCGGAGATACCCAAGAGCGTGGCAACGAAAGCCTTGGAGAACATTTTGTCGCGAGTTTGTATAACTGAACCGTTCGAAATTTGATTGCAAATTCTGATCGTACCAGACGAGTCAGAACGTGGGCGAGACGTTGGAAAGTTGAGCAAAGAGCCTTGTTTCGTTGCAAGTTAGCATGGAGAACCACGACGATGTGAAGTTGAAGAGGAAGGGGCTCCAGAGATTTATGACAATGGAGTATCCCCTTTGAAAGGGAAACGGAGACAATCAAGAGAAAGCGAACAATAAGTCCGTTCCATTCGAATAAAGCGAGAACAAGAGGGGGGTACAATGGAGCCTGAATACCTTTTGTGTAAACGTGGCGAAAGAAGAACAAGTCTTGGACTTCAAGAGCTTTGTTTCTATTGAGAGATTTGTCTGTGAAACTGACAAAGGCTGATTATCTCGAGAAGGAATGACGTAGTCTGCCACAGGCTAACCACAAGAACTATTCACAAAGGAATGTAGAACGAAACAGGAACTGGCCCGTTGTGAGTGTAAAGGACTGAAGCGCTCTGCGTTGATGGGGGTGGAAGAAAAAAAAGAAGCTTAGCATCGAGATGTAAGGGGCATTATATAGCTGGGAAATGATACCACCTGCCTCCTACTACTACAGTAAGTACAGCAGAGTGTACTACCAGATCAGATCCATTCGATTGCCGATGATGAAGGGGGGGAGAAAGTGGGGTGGAAGGCAGTGAATCGGTCAATCATCAGCCACTGCGCAAAGCTGACAGATGGGGCCTCAATGGATACATTTGGACGGACATGAAACAGCCCCTCGGTGGGGACTCGAGATTCTGCGATGAGATTGGCGTGGACAGACTTCCAACTGCTAAAGATGAACAGAAGTAAAGTTCCAACGGTGGTGAAGGACAAAGCCTGAGTGGCGGATGAGTGCCGCCAGTGAAGATCTGTACGAGATGGAGGGGGGAAGGGCGCTCGTACCTGACTTGGATGGTACAGGGATTTCTTCCATATTTTATTACCAACAGAGGCACAGCACAGCATTGATGCATGAAGGGAAATGCCTAATACGGCCGGCCTACTACGAGTACGAAGTACAGTAACAAGGTATGATGGCCTACCTACCAACATAATACAAAAGACCCAGCCATTTCCAACGACCCCGACCTCAACGTCGACGGGGTCGAAAACAGGTGAACGTGTCGCACCATTTGGCCATGCATCTATTATTTGAGTGGCTGCGGCTCTCCTCATTGGTGTGGGCCACGGGCAACTTGGCGCTGGACCCCTGCCCCGCTGCAAATCCGCGACCAATCAGCTCGCTTTGGTGGCACCCAGTGTAATTTTCATGAAATTATACTGTTGTAGAAGACTCACTCTTGAGTTACATCGGGTAGATCTCATCTCATGATAACTGCCCTCTCTGGCCGTGATTCATTTAAAGCCATATTCGAATTTACATAACGATTTGCTGTCTTGGGAAAATTGGCGGTTCGCCGGGTCTATCCTCTAGAAATTCCCAATCTCATTTGCCCACTTAATCTACGAAGCATGACATGTCTACTCGTGTTAACTAGTAGTAATGGATGTATCGCTACTGGCCCGTACGGTATTATGGCGATCGAGGGATTCGTCTCCTGGAATCCAAACCAGCACCAAGTGGGAAAAGATCCTTCAAGGCATTCCATCGTCATCTTCATGCAACAGACCCCAAAGCTTAGATCAAAGATGAGGCTTACACATGGCCTACCATTAAAAAAAAAAAATATGGAACATTGTGTCCAGAATCATACATATACACACCGGAGCTGACCGTTCGGCTCGTGGCCGAACTCCGCCCACCACCATTCTGGATAGGTAACTAATCTCCAATCGACACAGAACACGAATGAAACCTCGTAATTTTATTCAAATTGCACGAGGCATTACTATGACTACAAGAATTGACCAGAGTCCTCCTGCGGTCTTTCACTCTATAGTGAATCGGTCCAGATGGGTACAGCGACAATGCGATTACCTGATCGAAAGGTCCTTGCGGAGCTGTTCATAGATTCATAGGGTGTGGGATGGATCCTCTGCATTTAGTTTAATTCGATAGAGTTAGTACACAGGAGGTTCTCGCCATCAAGGGTTCAGCTTTGTCTTGCTACGTTGGTTGAAATTCTCCGAGTTGAGTGGCCACTGCATGGCGCTTTCGATTTGTACTGTTGGAGTAGTGTGGCGGGCGAGCCCTATTATCGAAGACACTGCAAGACATCTTGCGTTTACAGGGCTTGCAGAGTACATGGTGCAGAAGGAAAAAAAGAAAAAAAAAAAAAGTACCGCAGCGGTCTTAAAACAATATTCGCCCCAAACCAACAAGAAGAATAGTAGGTGGCCTTGCAGACGAGGTTGGGCGGCAAGGGGTTAGACCTATGATATTCGCTCGTCGGGGAATTTGGCCAACTCAAGGATTTTCAGGTCTCAAGTGGGTGATCACCAAGTCTTACTGATGAATGAATTAAAAAAAAAAAAAAACCAGAAATTAGAGGGATCGATATCCGAATCAGGCAGACCCGGTCCCAACCATGGAACCCAATCATCTCCGCATCCGACCGACCCATCAGAATGAAAACTTCGGCACCAAGACTGGAGAAAGAACCAAGTGACAGCTGCTGAAGTTTTATTACTATGGATACATCAACATCTGTCAGACCGACCACATCACCCTGAATTTCCACTCCCATATCGCTTAGAGGGATACTCGAACATCAATCGTACGAGAACGTATCCAGCTACTACTGCTTAGTACTAGTAGACTCTAACTAGTGAACATCTTAAGATCTCCCGTTGTAGAGTTGTTTCAGATAAATTCGGTGGCCCGCATTGCACAACACATTGCCAAGTACAGGTTTCAACGTACTACAACTAACCATTTTTCCCCTGTTCCTGGAGAGCTTCTTGGATCGACTGCGGTAGTGATTTGGGATCAGCGGTTGTTCTGGAGCTCTAATTCGAACTGAAAGAGCGACCAGTATATACAGTGTACATAGTATACATGTACATACTTCGCAGGTACCCAGTAGATATACTCAACGTATACTCTGTAGTAGTCGGAGTATGCCCGAACCGAACAGGGCTGGCTTGGCTTGACCCAGCGTAACCGCTTACTAGTTACAGCAACTGAATTGGGTCTCGCATTGCGTCCGCAGCCACATGGGATGGATAGTATGTACATGGCCGAGAGCGGGATCGGGACGGCTACACAATACCTACAATCTTACAATGGTGAGGCACATTGCACTACGCGGAGTAACCTATCCTACATGAGAGACATACTCGGTCCCCCCATCCATCTCATCTATCCGAGCTAAGCTTCCTTCCACTGATATACCCCATAGGAACAAATATACGAGCTCAGCCCCCCAGGGTAGATGAGTGAGAGAGTGAAGGTTAATATAACGGGGCCGAAACACAACAGTCTGTCAGTGTCAGCTTACTCCGTAAAATCTAGTAGCTCTATCTGGTTTAGCCCCTCCTCCCACTGCGCCAACTAGTTGATACTTCTAATACACTTGAAACCTCGTCTCCAGTCAGAGTCCTATGCCGCATGCGAGCCGTGTGACTGGACCTACTCCAAGTAGATATCCCATCCTATCCTTTCTAACAGTGGTGACAGAATGTTGGTTTGTTCTGAGGCGTGCCTGGTGCGCCAAGCTGGTACCTGGGAATCCTCAAACCCTTTTTCTTGTCTTTCTTCAGATGTAGCATTTAATCCGGAGTAGTGGTTCACGGCGCGCACAGCCAGGGTCAGGTAATTTCGGACGAACTTCTAGATGATTCGGTTGGGGAAGCTATCGAAATTAGCCATAGAATGCAATTCATAATATCATTACATATAGTTTGTCCATGTGCCAAGGACCCTGACCCTGATTGACCTGGTGGAGTATCGTTCCCCAAGCCAAATAGTATCCATCAACGCCGTGGATCTTAATTCAGTCGCAATATTAATCTGTGGCGCTTTAATTCTACGTCTAATATGGCACCGGAACCATCTCTCCGGAAGAGACGAGTCGAATATCGCCAGCACGAGCACACCAGTTCCGCACTGGTTGCCTAACTCATCTGGACGTGAAGATTAATGTATCCACCCATATCCTCTTCCCCTGTATAAGGACAAGTTGCTGTTGGGGGCCGTCTGTTCAATTTTGCAGTGTAGCATTCTGCCAAGAAGTCCAGGTCCAGATCCAAGGCCCTCACGAATCGGATATGACGGCAAAGTATTCGACGTTCATCCAGTCTGGTACTCCGTAGATTGTGTGTGGTCGGTCCAGGGGCGAGAGAGAGCGAGAGGCAATTGGGAGGAGGTCTGTATGCATTGCAGCGGAGACACGCTCATGGCCCACATGTAAATGACAGTTGCATTTTCATTTCTTTCCCTTCTTCTTCCCCTTTTCACTGCCTCCGGCGGACTCCTTCACAAATCCACCTTTGATCAGGGCATCCCGACCAACAGCATTGATGATGCGAAACCGGTCCGGCCCAAGGAGGACTCCGCCATACCATCGAGTAACCACCACGACCACATCCCACACATCCATCAATTGCATTAAATGAAGCAGACGACCTCCGGCGGCCGTCTCTCCATCATCATCGCAGTCCTGGACGATCATCTCTGTGGTTTCTCCCTTTCCCCCGCTGGCCGGCTTCTGCTGTCTGATGCGCCATGCGCTGATATTATGGGTTGCCGCTGCAACCTTCTTATCTGTTGCGAGAAGATGATCCAGAAAGGCCTGTGCCTGCTCCAGACTAGAGACACACGCTGCTCGTCCCACAAACACCGACTTCTTCTCAGTCGCCACGTCGGACAATGTCCAGTCTGGCGGAGACTCCAACCCAAAGGTCTCCCGCAGAGATAGAGCGGCGATATCTTCAGACTTGAGACCAGAGGGAGACAACGACTCGTTTCCTTTTCCTTCCACTCTGTCATCGTTACTACTCTCGTTGTGATTGCTTCCCCCGATATTCAGCTCCTGAAATACTTCCACCGCCTCGTTGATGACTTCAAACAGACAAACCGCACCAGGCTGGTAGCTTCTCCCGACAATCTCCTCCAACACATCCATGGCCACTTTACCCTCGCCGCGCGACGCTGTAGACACCGTCCCGAGGATCTTGGGAGGCGTATCCGGGTACGAGGGGTCGAATCCAAGGAGAAAAGACAGATGCAGATGGTTGGGAATTTGCAGTTTCACCGTCGTAGATAGGCAGGTTGAGTTCGGAGAAGTGGCACTGCCTAAATCTAGTGTAGAATTGACGGTCGACATAGATGACGCTGAAGTGCCCGTAGCGGTTACCACGACAGTGTCGGGTTCGTAGATTGCATTGATGGCTTCGATTTCTTCAGCCAGGTCATTGTTCTGAATGGATAAGAGAGAGGACATTGTTGTGCACTGGGATGCGTTGCGCAGTCCACGACTGCGGGGTTTGATTTGATTTAGCTTGTCGAAATGAGAAATGAGAACTTGTGGTTTTCCGCAGAGGGCTCTGTCGCTTCCGCTTAGTGGGCGGTGATTACTGTACAGGGTCTGACTTGGATTCACTGTAGGGACAGATTCTCTGCAGTTCCTTCTTAAATACGTCCATAGTCGATATATTTGTGGGGTATAATAATTGAGCAGTAAGAAGCTGGTAATTCTAAATAGTTACAGTGTTTGATCTTCGTTGTCTTATTGTCTGTATTCTGTTTCTTCCGCGCTTCGTCTAGGTAGCATTGCCAGCGCAATATTTTGATACCAAAGAAAATTCTATTAGATTTATATGTATTGTCTATTAAGTGCTTGACTACCGTAGATTTGGTTTTAACAAGTTGAACTTGTAGTTCAACAACAGCCGTATACCGCAAATATATATCTGCGGAAGGGTGAGTAGCATTAATCCGATTTAATATTGAGACATGATATTATAAAAAACACAATAAATATGGATAATCTAAACGATCATTTCATTATCAGCAACCCGTACCCAACATGTTGCCCATATCCGGTGTATGCAAGGATTGAAGCATTCCAGATACATCACCATCCACGTCTATACCGTCCAGGTCCTTTTTCTGCCAGAATGCCCGAAAGCCACCAGTCAGTCTCTCCGCGATGTCCTGTACCTCGTCACCTGGCACTGCTGCAAAGCACAGTCTATAATAACAATATGACCGTTCTGTAGCCCCCTTCGAGAAAGCAAACATGCTTCCGGGTGCCAGCAGACACAGGTGTGGACTCTGCGTCAAAAACACCCAGAACGCACGGGATAATTTCTCGACTGGATACTTGTGATATAAGGCATGCGTCTCGAAGCATGCCTTGATCCACACAAACATGCCGCCTTCTGGCCAGACAAAATCGTACATCTGTACCCTGTCCACCACCTCCCAGCTACTGTCTTCGGTGGACTGAGTTACGTCATCAGAGTCGATGATATATTTGCCATCTTCAAGAGTACTGCACATGTCCTGCATGCGTCGTTCATACTCTCCTCGCAGCCCCTCCAGCCACCGCACCCAGCCATCCATCCGCCAGCTCTGGTCGCTCTGCTTGTTTTTCGCAGCAGCATGATCACCTACTTGCTGTCCCATAATCAGCTCGGCCACCATTGCCTGAACGAATCCAGATGGCTGCTGCGTCGACGTTTCGGTGATCCGACTGATTCGTTCAATCACCGCGGGCTGGGCAGTAATCCAGCCCAAGCGACACCCGGGCGCAATAGTTTTGGAGAAAGTGTCTAGGCGTACGACACGCCCATCCGTGTCGATGGAGAGATACGAGGGTACGAGAGAATCCAGGAACTTGTACCCGGATGACCGGCCATTGGCATTGTAATTGCGGGTCGACGTCGAAGACGAAGTGGTGGCGACGCTTCGGTATTTCGCAGCGAGACGCGCCGCAGATGGGTACTGCAGATTCCAGTAAGGGTCATCCTCGATAATGATTATGTCGTACTCCTTGCAGAGGGCGTAGATCTCTTTCCTGCGTTCGACAGATAGAATGCCGCCCGTAGGGTTCTGACCGATCCTGTCACCAAGAAACACGCATAACCGTCAGCCATCATCCAACGAACTACAGTGAGAAGGAAAATGTCTGAACCCCTCTGATCTGCCTCCATACTCCTACATAATCAGTCAAATTCTGCCGGCTAAAACAAGACTGTTTTGATATGTAGGTAGGGTAGGTATGGTAGGCGGTAGGAGGGTGGAGCGGGCGGTCAGGTCGGGGTGTTCAAACATTTTTCGTACCACTGTAACCTTTACCATGGTCTGTACTTACGTTATGGTGTATAGTAGATGCGGACGACGGCCTTTCCGTTGATTCCAATTCTCCAACACATCCGCCAATCCCCCTTTACCGTGCGCTAGCATGCCCTGGGCATCCATCGCGACCGGGGCCACATTCAGCCCCCGAGGCTTGACAGTGGAAACGGCATTCATGTATACGAACTCCTCGCAGAGGATGCCCTCACGATGATGGACCCAGTCTCGGTCTGGATCCCAGATGTTGGTGAATGCTTCAATGGCCTTAGAGAAGCCATCGGTTGCCCCGCAGGTCAACAGGGTGTCGGGGCCATTAGTGTACGGCACATTGGAATGCAAATGATTACGGGTAAACTCTCGGACAAACGTCGCCAAGGGAGGAAGGCCATCTACGATGCCGTATTGCAAAGCCGTGTTGACATCGATTTTCTGCAGCGGATTGGCTGCTGGACTCTCTCTCGGTACGGTCACCCGGGATGAGCGTGCATCATCGGAATCTTTGCCGGAGGGTGCGAAGCGTTGTGGATGAGCGACAGCTGCTTCGAGTGTATCGTAGGGGAAGTATGACGAATTCGGGAGACCTGGAGATGATCCACGGGAAGAATATCAACAACAATGGTCGATCAATACGGGGCTCATGAACGATCCAGTGACAGATCAAGACTTTAACGTACCGCCGGCTATGTTCGCAATCCCTGGAATCAGAAAGTACTTGTATAGGTCTTTGATGTTGCTCAATTCTCTCTTCTTGGTGGAGTAGGAGAAGTGATGGGATAGGTCCAGAGGAGGAGCCATTTTGGATGATGATATTAATCAACTGGGACTGTATGGAGCCAAGATCCTTGATGGTGGATAAGTGACAGGTAGAGGTGATATAGTGGTGATGGCTGTACACATTCGAGACTCCTATAGTTAAGAAGACTCCGTTGTCTGACCTGATCATTGTTGCTTGATAAGCACATCACCCCCGGTTGGCGCTCCATCGGCCTTGGTTGTATTCGTGTTTGACGGGCCCACCAAGCGAAAGACGGGATTTCCCTCTAGAATTGCGGATTCGACGTCTTATCCGACAAATCCGAGAGCGTTAGTCTAGTAAGGATTTCGATTGTTATCAAGGCCGGAGAGTTATGACAATCCAGTCAGATGGGAAACGGGGGAGACCGACAGTCTCCGCTCGTTGTTCCCCCATAATTCATCCCTTTTTCTCTTCTTCCTCTACTGCTACTTTAAAAAACAAAAAAAAAAAAAAAAAAAAAAGGAAATCATCAAAAGAATTATTCCCCAAATAGGATGACCCCAACATGTGACAGTCCAATGACCCCACAGGAACGCTGACATAATACCCCACCGCCACCGTCTCCGCCACTATCACCGCCACTTCCCGATCTGGCGATCTTAGCGCCTCTTCCTGTCCTCTTCTCTGCTTCTCATCTTCCTCCTCTTTCTCTCGTTCTCTTGTTTGCCACCCAATCTACATCCTTCCTGCGTATCATTTGTTTTATTCTTATTGTCCTAAATCTTCCTTTTTGGCCGCCTCGCAGCCTGTCCATCAGGGACTGTCCTTCCACTGGCTGTGAAGGGCACCTGGAATTCTCCCTTCATTTCCTTTCCTCTTGCGGTCTAGAACTCCACCGTTCGTCCCCGCCGCTTCCGCTCGCTGCCTAGTTGTGGTACTATTGAAGTGGTCTCTATTGTCTCCCACTTCTTCCGTCGTTGGTTCGATCTTCCCAATCATCTGTGACGCGTCTCCAGCATGCTTGGTGAAGGTCCTGAGGATGGTTCTCGCATATACATCCCGCCGTTTCAAGACGACGACGACGATCATCCCGACGGTTCAGATATCCTGTGTCCCGAGGATGAAGAGACTGGCGTCACTTATCTCCCCGTCTGGCTACGGGAATCTTCCAAATCCTTTCGCTGGAGCTGGGTGCCTCTACCGCTTCGGAAGGCCGGTCGGGCAACTGCAAATTGGGTGAAAGGCCCCAAACCGCCGCACGAGCTACTGTTGAAACCCTTGTTCCCTCGCTTCCAAGCGCTTCCGGTCCGGTACCTAGAACAACTCTCCCCGAAAGGAAAGCACAAGATTGCCTTGCTTTCCCTGCTGTATTTTGTTTGGTTCCTGCCTTGGATAATTGTTTTGCTGCATGCCCGTTCAGCTGGCTATATAGAAGGTTATGGACGTCCGCAGACCCTTTCGTGTTCTACAAGACTTTGGTAAGCCTCAGTGTTCAGTCCGATCGATTTACCTTCACTTGACTGATGGGTTCCATTTGTAGGGACTTTGGAAATGGGTGTGGACTCAATGGAAACGATTGCCGCCCGTTTTCAGCTTCGACGATTCCCTTCCGCTGTCCGGCGAACTGCCGAGATGCTAAGCTGTTGGAGCCCCACACGGTTGGTAACCTCACGTACAGTTACCAGGGCCTTGTGGTTGGAGGACCGCAGTCGGAGTTGGATGATTCCGCCATCTATCGGGCAGACAGCTTTGTATGCCAGGCTGCCATACATTCGGGGGCTATCACGAATACCGTCGGAGGTTGCGGCGTTCTGCAATTAGAAGGTGCAACGCATTCATTTGCCGCATCGAAGCGTAACGGCATCCAGTCGGTCGAGTTCCCGGCAACATTCCCTAAGTCGTTCAGTTTTGTTTCAATGTCATCATCGCAGGAGACTTGCCCTAATGACCCCCGGTGGCCGCTGTTCGGCATTACCGTTGGTTCACTTGCCGTCTTGTGGCTTTTCTGCACCTCCCCACCGGTTTTGTTCTTCAGCGCATTCTTTATGACCTTTTGTCAGGTGGGATTGGTATCTGACCCGCCAGCGTACCCTCACTTCGCCGATGTCGTTTCCAGCCTACTTTCCCGGCTGCTGCCTGCGTCATTTATGGCCTACGTTTTATTCAAATACTGCGCACGGCCGTTGCTAAGCCCACTTTCTGCTCCGGAGTACCAGCTGACAAGAGCCTTCCTCTATCTGCCCCCGCTGTTTGTCGGCGCTTTGAACAACTACACCTTTGCTCGGTTGATCCCACTTGAACGCCTCACTCCTCATGATATTCAGAAACAGCCCGGGGCTAAAGTAGCGCTGGCGCTAGTGATTCCGACAGTGCTCTGTATCATTCTTAGCCAGGCCTGGCAGATCCGCCAAGGTGGATTGATGCCACACTATTTGAAGATATATTGCACAATGGGCCTGATCCTTTTGATTCTGCTTCCACTACCTGGCCTCCGTCTGCGGATCCATCACTATATTCTTGCGATCCTTCTTATGCCCGGAACCGCCTTGCCGACACGGCCATCGTTGATCTACCAAGGTTTGCTTCTAGGTCTCTTTATTAACGGCGTGGCTCGATGGGGATTTGCTTCGATCATCGAGACTCCCGCCGCCCTGGGCGAGCAAGCTCCGTACGGCTGGTGGGGAGGAACGTACCCCGACGTCACGAACTCGTCCGTGCAGATTTCTCTGCCCGACAGGGGTTCTGGCGAAGCCTACCATGGCAATGGCAACATCACCTTCTCGCTTTGGGAGCGGCAACGCATGTCCGATCTCGGTGTGGATGGAGTCTCCGTCCTGGTCAATGACGTAGAACGCTGGCGTGGATACTTAGACGAGGACGAGCTCGGTGAATTTACTTGGCATCGACATGGCCACAGTGGCCTAGAACTACGGCACCGTCCCACAATCGAGAGCGACGATCTATCCAACATGATAGAGTCCGAGGATAACGGCGGCGACGAGGACAATAAGCCCGAAGACCTCTTTTTCCGCTTTGCCTTCATGAAGGGAGCCGAGGCAGGTATGTACAGCGGTGCTGGGGTATGGCTGCAAGAGGGCGAGTGGATTTCGCCGCTTTCTCCGAAGAAATAGAGACGCTAATTATCTTTACTATTACTCCTTTTTGATGTTTTGGTTCTTTTTGCCTTATACTAAGCTTAGATCAAGACAGGATAAGGCCAGCACTGCATTACAATACACTACTTTTGTGATGGGTGTTTGTTATAGACGTGTTGTTGTGGTTTCTACGGTATGGAGGGCGTTATGGGAATATTCTTTGAATTATGAAACCACGATCATTCTCATATCTTCTATAGACATGCTTGCTTATTTATTGAAAGGAAATTACCGTAAAGCTAAATTTAAACATACCCCAAACAAGACCCTTGGATCTCCATTTCTACAAATCCGAAATGATCTTGAAAGATGGCAACTGTTAGCTATTTGTTAGTCATTCTAGACAGATATACCACAGGAATGGTACCGAGACAACAGAATAAGCAGCAATAGAGTATACTATGGTTATTGATATTTTAGGAAGGGGACAAGTGATGTCAAGTCAGATGATATGGAGCAAACTAAGGTGCGAACTTAGGTAATTCTACTCCTGGATTTTGCAGTCAAATGCGTGAAATATAGCAAGTTGGCCGTTTATATCATACAAAATGGACTACATTCAATGCAAGACTATAGTTATAATAAAATACGTAAGTACGACCGACTGGATCTCTCCAGCAGAATTCAATGGCTATGTGTAACAAGATGATATCATAGGCTTCACTTGTTCCTTCAAGGACAAGCAGACAAAGAGTAGCATGTACATCCAAGTGAGGAAAAAATTGACAGTTGAAGGCAGATGGGGAGGGTAAAAAATAAAACATATGCTGTCACCAATTGAATCTGGGAGCGAAGCTTCTGCGGGGCCCCAGGAACCCTGAAGGGAAAAGGGAGAAAAAGATGTTTGGAAGATGAAAAGTATTTATGCGGAGCTTATGTCAATGCATATATTCTCAAATAGCCATCAGTAGAATGGTCTCAATTGCCATCTTGAATCAATGGCCGTGATGACCATGGCGATGAGGCTTGTGCATACGAGCATGTCCGTCACGCTTCGCAGGGGGGTCTGTTGGTGTGGAAACAACAGTGGAGACCACTTGATCGACCGTGGTTGTCTTGGTGGAAATTGTCTCAGGTGTGCCAGACTCCGTCCTAAGTGGATTACCCTGCCCATCCACGTAAATAATGATATCTTGCTCGACGTAGACGATAGCTTGAGTAACAGTAGCATGGACGTAGGATGTGATCGGGGTAGGTGCTTTGGTCGGTGCCTGGGTCGGCTTGGGAGGGTCTTGGGCGGTGCTGGGGGCACCGCCGTCGGCATAAAGAACAGGGCTGGCATAAGCAGGTCCATGTTGGACAGCAAGCTTGTTAGGAAGACTGCCTGGGACCTTGAAAACATTCTCATCCTTCAATGCGTTGGGAAGATCAAAGGTACATTTCCTTTGCTCGCTCTCACTCTGTACATTGAAGACGTCGCAATCCGTCACCTGTCCAGATGGGTTGGTGCACCGTTCCACAGCCTGTTCGAGAATACCAGATTCCCAGCCATGAATAAAGTCGGCGTGATAACCGTATCCAGTCGGGTCGCCATTGGAGATGACAAACGAGCCTTTCTTGTCCTTGAAGGCATTGGTATTCCAGATGGTTTCGTAGAAAAGGGAAACAACGCGGGTTTCGTATCCTTCCGGGCATGTTCCGTCCATAACCAGCGACGGATAGGCCACATGCGATTTATGGTCCGCGGAGTCGGTGTCTTTACCATTCCAGCACGAGGGGAACATTATTTCGATGCGAATACCATCGGGACAATGCTGATCGAGATAGTCTTTGGCTGGCAAATAATGACGACCAAGCGAAGGCTCCGGATCCGCGTTGTAGTTCAGACAGTTAAACCCAAGGGCCTTTTGGCGTAGTGCGTCCTGGGAAGCCTGATTGCCTGTCCACTCGGACTTGGGGGGGTCAGGAACCGGCCAGGGGAAGTTACGCATGTATTGGTCACCGGCAATCATCCGGAAGTTTTCAGGGAAGGCAGTCACATTCTCTCCGTAGAGGAGGTAGTAACTAGAGAAGTCGTGATTTTAGCATACGGATCTCAACAAAAGTGAGAATCGGATAATGAACATACGCAAGCATGCCCCCCACTTGTTCGACCAGTTCGGTATCGCCGTTCTCATACATGAAGTACAGCGCGGGAGTCCAGTATGCCGATTTGTCCTGGGTGACTGCGCATGACGTGCAGCTCGAGTCCTTTAGGCTCATCTCATCGACAGACATAGAAAAAGCTATTGAAATAGGTTCAGAACATATTTTCAGCAACATATTCCAGGAAGTGTAACGAACTGTTGGGTCCATGAATTGCATGCACGTGGTATGATGGCTTTCCTGGGTCCATTAATGGATCCATTCGGGCTATACCACTTCGTCCACGACAAGGAAGGCGCCAGAATGCATCGGCCACGCCAGAGAAGGCTGCCAAGCATGCCACCAACCCAACATCAAGCCGCATCTTTCGAGGCATGATGATGCGGTCCGGTGACAATCGCAAATGAGTGACGAGGGTAGGGTCCAAAAGAAGTGGTATTGACCTTCCGTCACAGCGACGCAGATCGTCGACTACAGAACTAGCGTAAGAGATAAGTAGGAATCGAATAAACACCACAATTGGAATGAAAGAACAGAATAGAAGGGAAGGAAATTAATGAATGGGGTGGACGATGCTACTACAAAGTAGCATGTAGGTGTGTGGTGGTGGGCGTGGATATCAACAAATAAGAATGACAAGCAAGATAAGTCGCGCCAAGGTAAGGTTCCATAGACAATGGAGACAGGCATTCAGGAGAACAATCTCTGAGATCATGCATAACTCATGTCCGTGGCTGATTTCTGAACGTAAGGGGAAGAATCCCCTTGCATTACCACTTTGGCAGTGGCACCAGATTTCACACGAGGGCAGTCCGGGCAAGCTTGGGGAAGCAGAGCATACGGCTGATGGAAATCTCGAAGAAAATGAAATAAACCATGCGAACATACCTTTTCAAAGAGTCCTGGATTGTTGCAATGATGGCAGCCAATCAAATTGGATCACTTTGCGCCGATGGAATGTATCTGGAGAATCTGATCAGGAATCCAGGGACTTTCAGACTATTCCACAGTTAACCAAACCACTCCTTCACAGGGTTTGCATCGCAGGACTGGGGTGAGAAAGAAGGTGTGTTCATACCCTCAAGCATACAACACGAAGTGTCAAATGAGAGATGATAAACGAGGGACTAAAACGAATGGTAGGCAGGGTCAAATAACAGAAAAGAGCGACAATACAAGAATGAAAAGGATACAATGCCAGAAGAAAAGAGCGGAAGGACGTCAACGTCGCGTAGTGAAAGGTGTGGAATGGATAAGGAGAGAAGAGATATCCAAGTGTAAGCGAACTAGCGATAATAAGAAAGAGGAGATCCAACGTGCTTCCAAGATGGCAGTAGCCGCCAAAGAATGACCCGACCACCTCTGCCAACAAATGTGTCAAAATAATTATTTCTCCTTTTTCCCGTATACCCTGTTATTATTCTTCCTGTGTCGTCGAATGGCCTTGCGGCATGACTGCAAAACTAACGAAACGGATCAGAGCCGACTCTGTAATTCGTTTATCACCCGACTTTTGCCCTCTTGCCTGCTGTCGAATCTGACCCCGCCTAGGTTTAATTTTACAAGGTACGTCAAGAGTATAATATTCTCTTTGTCGTCATACTGTCTGTCGATGGAGTGGGTTGGCAGGCGCCATTAAATTTACGCGCGGGGCTGTGGGTTGCGATTACCTTGGCCCTATCAGATGGCTCGAATAAGCCGTGTAAAATTATAGGATAATTAACAGGAAACACGACCAGGTTTTTGTGAAGATCTCGTGTGACAGTGAAGGAGCTACCAGTGAATGTCCTCATTTCCGAACGCAAGCCAAGGGAGGCTGCGCCCTCGGGAAGCTCTCTCAGGGCCTCCACATTGTCTCCATTCTTTAATGTTGTTGATCCCTAGGGGTAGGCTAAGGGCAGCAGTTCGTTAGGAGTAGCCAGCACGAACATTTGGGGTATCATCCCATGAATCAACTGAATTCGATGCGATGTGATAGGGTGAATGTATGGAAAGAGTTCAGCAAACCATTGTACCACGGCCTGCTATCTCGAGTAGGAGGGAGCGATGACGTTTGGAATGGCTATTAAAGGGGAAAATATCAAACATCAGATGGAACTTGTGCCTGACTACTTCAGTAGTTTCTCACACTAACAAAGTCTGTCGGTTTTAGCGCCGTTGCAAGGTCAGAATGGATTGCAGCTGAAACAGTGACGTACAGAGTACATAATGCACCATGCAGATGAGGTTAGCCTTTATGCCATGTAAACCTATAGGAGGCCGCAGTAGGGTAATAATACGGACACCAAGAGACATTAATCTTATATATTTATCTTATTTGCTGCTAATAATGATTAGAGAAAGAGTACTCCAAGAGTAGGCACCGCTTTCTTTGGTTCCAACCGAACATTGTGGGTTTTTTTGGGGGGGCAGAATCAACTAGTGTGACTGTCGTTTCAGAATTGCCGACCGAACTGTGGACCAACAGTAACACCACTTTACTCGACACGATCATGACCCGTCTCCTAGCTATCGGGGAGAAACAGTAGGGTTCAATATTGTGGTAGATTCAAAACTCAAAGACGGATCTTTTACTGTAGCAAGCCAAGAACTGTATCTGGAGATGTCGGATGAAACAGCCGTGTTGTTGATGATCATGATGATGTTTGGGGGATTTGCAGATGAAATTAAAGCTGGGCACATGAGGTTGGTGGCCTAGGGCGATAACGTTGGAGAGAATTTATTTGCACTTGGGGCATTTGCATTCTACGTTGGTTTCTTTCTTTCCCACTTGTGCTGGAGGTATGCTCGATGATTATATTATAAACGATTTCTCTCCATCTTCCAGGCATCCAGTTCTCAAATCCTTTTCGATACAGTCAGATTGGGGGTTGTGGCCCCATATAACTAGTTTTGTCTGCTGCGCTTACTAGATAAGTAATTGCAAAATCAGCCTGTTTCGGCCTATGTGGCATGTGCATATCGTGAAGAAATTATCTTGTTTAGTCTATCTAGGGCTTGAGGTAAGGGCACTCATTATAGCTTCTCGTGAAAGTTACTATATATATCTGTAAGCTGATGAACGGCCTCCTTAAGATCTCAACGGATCGATGGTGATGAAAAAGGGAGAATCAAAGGCATTCAAGTAGGGGCCTGTCCTATTCCACCTAAGATATGGCTATAAAAATGCCATGGTGAATCTGAAACTGCAGAATTGAGCATGTCGATTCAGAATATGCTGTGCTTCGAATGCAAAACCAGTCAGTGCCTCTAGCTGTCTTTAATATGGTATGTATGTACAATCCCTTAGGATCTTTCTTATAATTGTAGGATTCTTCTTAACTGAAGAAGAGGAAGAAAGAATAGATACGCTTGAATTGATGCATTCATGACAATAAAAAAGGGGGATTTTAATATGCATGTCTCTCTCTACTACAGTCATCGTTTCACCCTTGGCTATTGAACAACGGCCTTGATGTACCAATTAGCATCCTTATATATTAGCAGATTAATTTGAAACCAAATTTAAGCAATAGGTCCGCTTTTTCCACTGCTGGTCCGAGTGATGTTAAACTATTAATAGTCGGCGCGTGTTTCTACTTTGGAAAAGGCAGATTAGTAAAGGACCGAGCTAAGCTTTACCTTGGCCCAGTATGTATATTTATAGTTGCTCTGCATGATCTGGCATCGAAGCCAGATTCGTTTGGACTGTGGATAGAAAATGAAAATGGAATGCTGAGGCATCTCGTACCTATAGGCATCTCTTTCTACTCACTCTCACTGTTTGATGGAAGATAATAAACCACTACCCATGTACAATCTATGCACAGCCAGAAAGTAAGAATACACGACGTTTCTCGACCGACTGTGAACGACTGTACGAGAATTCGATGTCGCCGCGCATTGCTATCGCGACTAGTTTGGTAGTTTTGGCATCCGCTTCATCAAATCCTTGCGTAAATCTCAATGATCAGTTGACATAGTACATCATTACCCACGCTGGGGGCTGCAGTATCTTATCAGTACAAGAACTGCTCAGTGTCTGACCTAGAAAGGGGACGGGGATACAAAGTATTGACTTTCTCTGGATATATCACATGGTGACATTAAGTATTGAATCAACATACCGTTAGCTGGATTATAAATGATAGAACCGGTTGTATAGCTCGTTCTGGCTTGGCTGATTGTATGAACAAGAATTCGACGTCATAATATATAACTCAAGATGGAGGACCAAACCAGAGTCCATCGAAGAATAGAATCGGATTGATATAAATTAAAACAATAGATTATGGGACTTATATTATGACTAAGTTCATATGTATATTTTTAGAATGCTGTTTCACTAGGATAGAATCATCCTAGTCATAATGGAAAACTTCCGGAACAATCGAATTCCATTTAAATGATAATCTCTATCCTATCATGATATTATTTACACTACTTTCTGAGTTTGTCACACTCGACTAAAATACTGCTGGTAATTGGTGTGGTTTAATATCTAACATTTACAAGTCAGGCATCACGTACGGAAACAAAGAAGGGACACATCACAATAGTGGATTTATAAAGTGGAGGGGCATATATTTATTCTTTAACAAGGAGATATACCTGTTAAAACTAAAATCATGGTAATAATAGGGTGCGATATCTTGCTTCATGCAGTTCACGAACCAATTATTTCTTATCCTTTCTTATTACCAGAAACTCCTAATATCATATAATAGCCAATTTTGGAGTTGAAACTTCAGGTCTACTGATTAGCATACTTATATAGCTCGCCCGCATCGCAACAAGTTGACCGGAAGATATAAGCAAAATACTCAACAGCGTATTCTCTACATTCTATGATACAAAGGATAGATGTACGATGTCAGTCAATAGCGACAAGTGACTCAGGTGGCGCTCATCATCTCGTTTACGAGCGCTTCCCAAAAAGGGCAATCCGGTCCCTATAAGCTCTTAACTTATCAAATTATCGAGACCCTTGAGGATCCAAACTAATTACTGTATTTGGTATAAATGAACGTCATCTTACTAGTCGATGGATTTGTGCCACCATTTCCTCTTGACGCTGGCGCTAATCCTGGGTGGGAAACGAATTCCAAACTTTTCGGCTCCCGGGTAGTATATTAGATCCGATCAGATAGTATTAATTAAACGAACTACATATACGTACGGATACTCCGGAGTGTGTAGTACTAACGTGTACTCCGATGGGTAGTCTACCCAACATGGAGTTGTCAACGTTGCTCTATTTAGCAAAAATGCCGCTGGGTTGAACAATAGGAGGCCGGATTTGGGACAAGGATCGCCGAGTTGAGATGGAAAAGTAGTGGAAAAATTAAATAAACTAAACGTCTTCAAAGGGCAATCATTGCTGCTTATGGGCAAGGATGAGCAGGTGGCTAAGCAAACTTAGGGGCGGGAAGATTCCGTGGCTAAAACAATGTCGACTAGTCGCCATTGTGCAGCTTGACAGCAATTACTTTGCGGAGTAACGGAAAGAGAAGGGTAGGTAGGTTACCAATGGAAACAATGGACTCTGCATAAGGAGTGTGTAGAACGAGGAACCGTAAGCGGCGCAAGCTACGGAAATCTGAAGTACGAATTAGAAAATACCTCGATTTCACGAGGAGACTGGTGAGGGCTTCTTAGTCAAACGTCTCTGCTTTGGATGGAGCTTGCGAATCAGGGCCTCACGTTGAAATGAGCTCCACTGGAGCTGGTCGTAGATGTTACTAAACCAAAAGGACTAGTGCCTGCACATAACTGGAGTAAGTTTGGAACCTCAACGAATTGGCCAAAGGAATTAACTGTCTTGGACCAGATTGCACCCTTTGATCAAGTATACTGTGTAGTAAGTATCCCTTGTTCTTTCTAACGTCAAAACTGTACTAAAAGGAGAATAGATAGAGGTGGTGGAAAAAAAAGATTGACGAATTGCAGGAAGAGTCGACTACCTTTCAATCGGAGATTCTCTGAAGCGGCCCGATGGGAATGCACAACTGGAAACACTGAGCCGAATAAAAACCAGATATTAGATAGGCACCGACTTTAGACCTACACACACACGTGCGCAATGATGTTTCCGAGATCCGATAGAACAAGGGCAAGCGACAGGAGGAAACGAAGTTGGGAAATGCACTGCTTTTCGGACAGCATAAACGGTGTAATAAAATTTTTCGGCTGAACCAATTCATAGAAGTGGAGAGGCGCCACAGTCTAGAGTATGGATCGGCCAACGATAGTGCGGCTTCAAAGGCCCCAACGCTCCTCACTTTCCACTCCGAGGATCGAATAGTAACTCATAGCCCACAGAAAAGACTCCAAGAAGACCACGTTTGGCTGCCTAGCGTCCGGAGGCAAGCGACAGGGACCCTCCTATGACGATATCCAAGAAAGTGGAGGCGAATTAGAGGCACCATTCTCGTTCTGCGGCGCATAACTTTGTCTAGAGTAGTTTAGTTTCTCCGCAGCAAGTAGGATGGGAATATGGGGAATCTTTCGCAGTTCAGGGAATGATGTATCAAATTGACGGTGGAGACATTGGAGGACATTGATTCGTACCTGAACGAGACAGTGAGGGGAAAAAAGAAAAAAAAAAAAAAAAAGAGGGCATGAGAGAAACATATAGAGCTCCCATAAATACTCACGCTTTTCCCATTGTGGTGACAAAACGTCTCATATCCATCTCAGCTTTTCTTCCGCCATTTCTCTCCCTTTCCCTTTTCTCAATCTACACCACTCGACTTCCTCCGCGAGCCCTGTGGTGGAGATATATCATTTTTTTTTGCGTTGATTGTCTCTTAAGGCTACCTGCCTTCACTGAACGCCGCCCGATTTTGTTGATAGCTTGAGAAACAAGCAAAGAAAATACAGATTGAGTTCTGTAGTACTGAATTGCCTTGGCCGTATCCTCGTATCGCCGTATCGAAAGGTTCCGAACTCGTGCGCCTGCAACAACTGTCTCGATCACATCAGCACCCCTTCGCGACTTTGCGGAATTACGACGTCGAACCGACAGAAAGTGTATCAACAGCAGCCAGTTTGTCCAACAGCAGTAATCTCGAATTCGATTCCAGAAAACGCCGAGGATTCGCGAGCCCTTATGCAATAATCGATTCATTTAGGCTGTCGACTCAAGACTTCCCACGCGATTGCTTTGCAACACGGAGGCCCGGCCTGGTTATCTATTGATTGATATCTGTGCTGCCCTTTGCGCCATCACCCAAATCTAACCGGCCCAGTTTCACTTGCCCGGCACAATGAGCGACATCGATTTAGAGAAGAAGATAAACATGAAGCAGACTAACAGCTCGAGTTCATCTAGATCTGAAGATGCAGACGCAGTCAAGCTCGCTGAGATGGGATACACCCAGGATCTGCAGCGCAATTTCTCTATATTATCTCTTATAGGTATTGCGTTTTGTATGTCCAACTCGTGGTTCGGTATTTCGGCATCCTTGATCACGGGTATCAACTCAGGAGGCACCGTTCTCATTATCTATGGATTGCTCTGGATCAGTTTCATCTCCTGTTGTGTGGGGTCATCGCTATCAGAATTAGCGAGTTCCATGCCCAATGCAGGTGGACAATATTTCTGGGCCAACGAGCTTGCACCCAAGAAATTTGCCCGGTTTGCCTCCTACTTGACCGGCTGGTTTGGATATGCCGGCGCGGTTTTTGCCTGTGCTAGCGTGGCTCTCAGTCTAGGACAGGCCGGTGTTGGAATGTGGCAGCTTGGTCATCCTGAATTGTATGCCTTTAGAAGCCCTAATCTTGTGATGGTTGTATCTCCCTGTGTGCGGGATGCTGACTGAAAAATAGTGTTCCTAAACCCTGGCATGCTGTTGTCGCATATGAGCTCATCAATTTCTTCTGTTACCTCTTTAACTGCTGGGGTAAAACCTTGCCAGCAGTCGCCAAGGTAACTTTGTATATCTCATTGGTCTCTTATTTCGTGATCTTGGTTACAGTACCCGCCTGCGCCAAATCCCACGCTAGTGCGTCTTATGTTTTTGGCCATTTTGTCAACTCCACCGGGTGGAAGTCAGATGGTATGGCTTTCATCGTCGGCTTCATCAACCCGAATTGGATCTTTGCCTGTTTGGATTCCGCAACTCACCTTGCCGAAGAGGTGCCGCAACCTGAGAAAAACATTCCGATTGCAATCATGGCCACAGTTGGCATTGGATTTGTCACTGCTTGGACCTACTGTGTCTCGATGTTTTTCAGCCTACAAGATCTGAGCAGGCTTTTGGACACGGCTACTGGAGTTCCTATCTTGGAGCTCTACTACCAGGCCTTGAACAACAAGGCTGGCGCTATCGTCTTGGAAACCCTGTTACTGATGACTGGAATGGGATGCTTGATCGCATGTCATACCTGGCAATCCCGTCTGTGCTGGGCGTTCGCCCGGGACAAGGGAATGCCTGGGCACCAATGGCTGTCTCGCGTTAATCATACGCTGGACGTGCCGTTGAATTCTCACAACGCTAGCAGCTTACTCGTTGGCGTTCTTGGACTGCTTTATCTTGGATCTTCGACTGCATTCAACAGCATGGTGACAGCCTGTATCACTCTACTGTACATCTCGTACTCGATTCCAGTTCTCTGTCTCCTGTATCGCGGTCGAAACAATATTAAGCACGGTCCCTTCTGGTTGGGCATATGGGGTCTTTTTGCCAACGTTGTCACCTTGTGCTGGACGCTCTTCTGCCTGGTCATGTACTCCTTCCCTTCAACCATGCCGGTGCACGCAGGAAGTAAGTTTCAAGAACTATATCATCGTGGCCACCGCATACCTGATACTGACTTTTGTTGGCAGATATGAACTACGTCTCGGCAGTGTATGGTGTCGTGGTTTTCATCATCCTCGTCGACTGGTTCGCTCGGGGTCGGCGGTCGTATAAAGGCAGTGTCAGCTGTGTGGATGGTGGTGTTTCTGATTAGCCTAGGATACTGAGTATCCTGATATTTTTTCCTCTACTCTTACGTTTTTTTTCCCCTTTTTCTTTTCCTCTGAAGTTGAAAGCACATTCAAGCAGTCATGACTCATGGACAAGCGAAGCGTGGCTATGTGGGAGGCTGGCATCACTCCCAACCAGATATTGTCTGAAAATAGAATTGTACATAGTGAAGAAGATACCCTGCAGGACATAGGAAGGGAGAAAATAGAAATCAATAAAAATTGAATAATTTACCAGCCTCTCTCCAATTCGTGAGTAGCTTGTTTGCCTTCAAAATATACGAATACTGGTTCTTTATTGGACCTGCAAGTCTTGGAGACCTCGAAGATAGATGCCCATAGGTTATAGGATCCTGTTTTCTACAAGGACCGCAGAACAGGCAGGACAAACAAAGTAGGCAAGACAGAATAGGCAGTCACAATTAATGGAGGCCATCAAGGTAAACTGCTATAGATAGCGACAGTGCAAAGCAAAGGCAAAAGATGGTCGCTTTCGGGTGTGCTTATGAGAATGAATAACATTCAAAGTGATCTGGGATACTTAATAGCAAAGAGAGACGCACCCTCACAAGAGACGTGAGAGTGCGATGGGATTGCATTCCATGTGACCGTCCGGCTATGCCTATTCTGGCTATTTCATCGAATCCATCAGAAGTTACGATTCAGACTCCCCAGTGGACTCCCCTGTGACTCTCTCGCGAGGCTGAAGATAGAAGAACGCGAGAAATGTATCCTCAGATGATATCGAACATTATTCTTGATGGCCTCAGACCAATGAATTTCAACAAGATGATACCGAATAATGTCGCATGGGAGGGACATGAATCCATGATAATGTCGAAATTTCCGTCAGCTCTTCTCTGTACTCCGGAGTAAGCAACTCATCAATCTCACATTCACATTCCAACCAGTTGCGTGTTTGACTGTGGGGTACGGGTCGAATTACTTAAGGTTGGCGGGAGTTATCCACCTCGCACCAATTTCCTTTAAGCGTTGAGAGCGGCGGAAAATCTCGCACTACCAAGAGTCTCACCGGTCCACCACCGAACCAGACTCTGTCTGTACGTAATAGAGCTGATCGGGAATGCGCTTATTCTCCAATCTGTTGGGGTAGCTACGGATGAAGAGAATACTTAAGCAGAAACGAGTGATATGTGCCGATTTGCCGCAGTGTCTCTAAACCTTATTAACCTCGCCCCTGAGTAAATCGTTGTTACTTTGGATCGCGCGGCAGGCTCGTTCGTTGCGGATTGTTGGCTAATTGTTTCACATTCATCCCACTGGGGCGAATTTCGCAGTCGTGTCTTTGGAGAGTCCCTCTTCTTGTTTCGACGAGATTGACTTTTAGACCGACTCTTTGACCAAGTCTCCAGAAGCTTTGTTGCGTTTATTGTCATCTCGGCCGCCACCCAACAACCGGTTGGAGGGTAGAAAGGTAGTCCTAAAGAGGCCCTATTGCTCTCAAAATGGTAGCCGTGGGTGAACCTATCCCAGAGCTGGCTGAGCCGCAGCTGGACAGCTCTGTCCCGGAATCCAGGGTTCTGATCATAATGACTGGAGGAACCATTTGCATGCGACAATCATCATCGGGCTTCGTACCGGCTAGGGGATTCCAAGAACACTGTTTGGCTCGAGTACCTACTTTCAACGATGGCTCCCGCCCAACGACGATGGACGTTGTCGTAGATGCAGCGGGACAAATCAAAGAACACCCAAGCTTACGGACCCCACAGACTGCGTACGGTCGACGGGTTAGGTACACGGTCTTTGAATTTGATGAGCTTCTGGACAGCAGCTCTATCGATGCTAAAGGCTGGGCTGAGATTGCAGAAACAGTGAAGCTAAATTACACATTGTTCGATGGATTCGTTGTACTCCACGGCACGGACAGTTTGGCATATACCTGCTCAGCGCTCAGCTTCATGCTACAAAGCCTTGGAAAGCCAGTGATTCTTACAGGATCACAAGCTCCGATGCTAGAGTTGCAGAATGACGCCACAGATAATCTTCTCGGGTCGTTGGTTGTAGCTAGCCACTTCATGATCCCGGAAGTCTGCTTATATTTTAACAACCGACTCTTCCGTGGCAACCGAGCGATTAAAGTATCGGCTAGTGACTTTGCTGCGTTTGATTCCCCGAATTGCCCACCTCTAGCGGTGACAACCTCCATGCGCACCAACGTGAACTGGGAGCTTGTGAACCGGCCAAATAACATCCAGCATTTCAACATCCAAACCAATCTGGATACCAGTCATGTCGCATGTCTCCGCATATTTCCCGGTATCAAACCGGAGATGGTTGACGCAGTGTTGAGGTTAGAAGGACTCCGTGGCTTGGTGCTGGAAACATTTGGCGCTGGAAATGCTCCCCACGGACAGGACAATGCCATGACCAAGGTATTTGCCGACGCAATCCAGCGAGGAATTGTCATCGTCAATGTTACCCAATGTAAGATTTTTGTTCCATGAGCGATGGTCGCTAGATATTTCTAACACCCAAATAGGTTTAACCGGCAGCGTTAGCCCGGTCTATGCCACGGGCAGGAGTCTGTCGCAGGCCGGGGTCGTCGCAGGACTTGATATGACAACAGAAGCTGCGCTGACCAAGTTGGCATACCTCCTTGCTCTCCCGGATTCGACGCCCGAGACCGTAGCAAAACATATGTCCAAGTCGCTTCGCGGAGAGCTAAACGAAGTACAGCAACCGGTGTTCCGCCATCCCGACGGCGCTCTTCCGGAGCGGGTACAAGCACTCACCGTTCTGGGATATGCCATTGCAAAAGGGGACTTGGAGCGCGTGCAGGATATCATGAAGGTGGAGCATCATTGGATACTGAATGATGCCGACTATTCCGGCAACACTCCGATCGTATGTCCCTTTCTTTCCCTCACAGTTGACTTCCCCCAGAACCACACCCGCTAATTGCATGACTCCCAGCACCTTGCCGCATCTTCTCCATCACTCCCCATTCTCCGTTGCCTGCTACTGGAAGGTGGCTCGGTGCACATTCGAAACCGCAGCGGCCGCACACCGTTATTCCTCGCCGCTAATGCCAATTTATCGGAGCACGTTATGCTGCTGCGGAAGTCAGGGGCCCATTTGCATTCCGATGAGCGGGCCGCGGCGACGTTGCTTGCGCGACGCAGGCCAGGAATCTGGGGCTTGGCTGGGATTGGACCGAGGGAGATCAGCGACAGGGAGATGGAAGAAGCGGGAGAGACTCCAGCACAACGGGCGATGGCGGGGTCGGCTCCATGAGGGAGTGCCCGTTACTCTGCCACCAGATTATATGCACGAGAGAAGCTTAGGGGAAACCAACGATGTACAAAACCATAGATATGAGAGTGAACTCAACGATCGCGAGTCACCTGGAATTGACAACCCTAGGTATTTCATAAATTATATCTGGAGACTCAAATAACCTGCGTCCGCGGAGATGCATTGCGATGTACGAGATGCGCGTGAATCAACTCAGCGATGCCGCCAATCGCAAGGGAGAAGAGAATTGCGCTTTGCAGTCCAAATTATCCAAACTGACTCAAGGGCCTACTAGCATTATAGGTACCTAATATCTTACCTTACACAGTATAAATATAAGGTAACCCTGCAGTTATCTTGATACTCTTGCTGATTAGACCTTCTGATGACCTAACGACGAGAACCCATCTGGTCATCTGATATAGTTGAGCGTAGCAGCTAGGGCCGATCCTTATCTTCTCCACCGTAACCGGTATACACTTAATGAACCTCGACGATACGATACTACCTCGTTATCACGTCACCCTTGCTACCTACCCATCTCGTCCCTAAGTCTGACTGAGTACACTTCGATCCAACCGGCCGGTCTTGGCCGGGGAAATAGCCGGGGGGAAAATCGCCGGCCGAGATTGGTGGAAAAGGGTCTGGGCGGCCGCTTTCCGTCGGAGGTGGCGACAACGTGGGCTTTACGGGCCATGTTGCTGGATGATAGAAGGGGATTGTGGTCCACAGGTAGATTTTTATGGATTGTATCTATTTGGGAATCCTACTGCATAGATACTCTCCTTGGTATTTACAATGTGTTGTAAATGTGTCCCGTTGAACAATAGAGTAGTACCTAAGTTGCACAGTTGCACAGTTGCACAACGAGAATAGTTACATAAGCGAAAGTAGCACCCGAACCGTTGCGCCACTTGTGTATTTTCAGAGCTCAAGACACGATACTCCAGAAAAGAATGGTTACAGGTCACTGCTATTTCAACTGAATCAAGAATGACATTCGAGTTTATCGATCCAGGTCAGCAAAATCCAAGGTACACCTATCTTGCAAGTTTACAAAGTATAGCCTGTAAGGTTCATGAGCCTGTAATACGGAATGGTACACCCCGCCTTATGCACCCAAATGGGGGAGACAATTCAATTTCCCCATAGAAATCAAAGCAACCATCGTGATTCATTCATTCATTCCTATCCGGTCTGGATGCGGTCCGGTGACGTCGGCGCAGTAGCGACTGAACCCAATTGCTTGAAATTTGAATGGACATAAGCGCCAGAGCCACTGGGGATTTTGTTCAACCATCGGATCCAGATCAACAAGATACGTGGATGGCTTCCATGCCTCAAGTGCATCCCGAGTTACGTAAAGGAAAGACGGTCAATGGCCAGAGACGAACCCATCGGCGACGGAGAATGGATGCTTCTAGGAACCACTTAACCTGGCCTGCAGAAGAGGAGGGATTTTTGACTGGGGTGATCGATTAATCAATTAATCCATGGTCTCGACCCGAGCTGTGTGCGTTGGGGTTATTGCTTCCAATCATACTTCTTCCGGGTTGATGCTCTTGATCAGGGCAGAGAGGAAGGAAAGGAAACGAACAGACTGGATGCACGGGACAGGTCTAATGCAGCCCATCGAATCTCAAATCTATATCCAGTTCCTTTTCTGGATGGGGAACCGACAGGAAAGTTTCCCTCTATTGTTGTTCCTGGACGACATCGGGATAGTCCGTCGATTTCTATGACTGATTCCCATTACTCGATCTTAACTCTCGTCGGATCGGACTGCCTGGAACCTTTTTTTATCGCACACACACACAAAAAAAAAAAAAAAAAAAAAAAAAAAGAACACACTGATCACGATGATTGTATTCCTACTGTTGAACAACCCCGGATGATCCTAATCTATCCCGGTCAGCTAGTTGCAGGGTGTTTCTTGTTTGCTGGTTTCGCATCCGTTGGTGACGATCAGGCTTTCTTTATCGCCCATCTATAGGTACCTTCTGGGTGGATTTAGCTTCCATAAGATACTACATTATGGACAGGAGTGGAGAGTTTCATTGCGATGTGTCTATTCCACAGGAGGATATTTGGTTCGATTGTGGGTTGCGAATCTCTCGGAACCAGCCTTGAGTCTCGTCCCCGTTCTTTTTTTTTTTTTTTTTTTTTTCCCTGCAATAGGCAAGAATTCTGATTTATTGTTTGGAGTATCGATACAAAGACGAGACATAATACATTATTATTTTATAATTTTTTCATTAGCTGTAAAGTCAGACGACAATCAGCACCAGCTGGGGTTTTCATCCACTCTTATTGGGGAAGTCCTCCCTGGACGTTCTGATTGATTTTTCTTTAAATTTTAATTTTTTTCTGGCCTGTTCTCAAGTCTGGTTCTGATGTCCTTATGACCCCCTAGGAAGGTCATTTATTATTCATACCGAGTATTAATCCGTTGGTCCCATTGCGATACCTTCATTAATATACCTTGCGAGCAAACCAGCAAAAACCTACGAGCCGTCAGATCCCCTTCCTTTCCTTATTCTTCCTTCCTCATCGTCCTCGATCTTCTTGCACCATCGATTTCTTCGATTGCGGCATAATCGAATCATCGTGTGGTTCCCATTACATATTAAATCCTTATACTTGCTCCGCCGACCCCACCACCGATCTTCTCTCCTCCGGGTATCTCCATCCTCTCGCTCTCTCTCTTTCTCCCTCTCCTCTCGCTCTCCCAACAACCAGTCCAGACAGTCTCTCTGCCCCTCGCCTTTCTTACCAGACCAGATTTACTTCAGATTCCACCGCATCCGTCTTCCACCATTGGCCTTCTCAATCCAGTTGCTCGACCGCTGGTCGCTCTCCTTTTCTACCCCGCAGTCCCTCTTCTGCACCGGAGGCTCTTCTTCCCTTCCCGCATCCAAAAATTTCCCTTCCACCCACACCACCCCGGATGACACAACAAAGGAAGACGATTGCGGTCGTCAATGCTACGGGCCGTCAGGCCGCCTCGCTCATTCGCGTCGCCTCCGCGGTGGGACATAGTGTGCGAGCCCAGGTCCATTCTCTCAAAGGCATCATCGCGCAGGAGCTCGAAAGCCTACCCAATGTCAAGCTGTTCCAGGGCCCTCTACTCGACAATGTTCCGCTGATGGACGCCCTTTTCGAGGGCGCCACTCTTGCTTTCATCAATACCACCTCGCAGTCTGGCGACGAGGTCGCCATTGGTCGTGCGCTCGCCGATGCCGCAAAAAGAGCCGGAACCATTCAACATTACATCTACAGCAGTATGCCCGATCACTCCGTCCATGGACCCTGGCCTCCGGTACCTCTATGGGCTCCTAAATTCACGGTGGAGAACTACGTTCGACAGTTGGGGCTACCGGCAACTTTTGTCTACGCTGGAATCTACAACAACAACTTCACAAGTCTACCCTACCCTCTTTTCCAGATGGAGCTTATGCCAGATGGGAGTTTTGAATGGCATGCGCCGTTTGATCCAGATATTCCATTGCCGTGGTTAGACGCAGAGCATGACGTTGGCCCGACTTTGTTGCAGATTTTCAAAGATGGGATCAAAAAGTGGCATGGTCACCGGTATGTTCTATTTTTTTGTTTTAAAAGAAAAGCTCAGGATTCCGCTCGCCTCCCCTCGTTAGACTGGTTTCTTTTTGGAATGCGACGCTGATAGAGAAGGTAGAATTGCCCTCACGTTTGAAACCCTCTCGCCGAACCAGGTCTGCGCAGCATTCTCGCGCGCATTAAATCGCCCTTGTCACTACGTTCGCGTGCCCAAGGTCGAAGTCAAAGTGAATATCCCAACCGGATACCGGGAGCAGTTGGAGGCCGTGGAGGAAGTCTTTGGCAGGTGCAACGCGCCTTACTTTCCTCAGCCCGAATTTTCCCGTCCTGCAGCAGGATCCCCTAAAGGACTGGGCCCGGCCAATGGCAAGGGAGCGGGCGCGGGAATGATGCAAGGTCCCGGAGGGGTGATATCGCTCCGAGTCACCGACGAAGCTCGGCACCTATGGCAGGGGTGGAGAGATATGGAGGAATATGCGCGTGAGGTCTTTCCAGTGGAGGAAGAAGCCAACGGGTTGGACTGGATGCTGTAACGGCCGATTTGGCATCGGACAGACGTTGTACTTTCCGTCGTGGCCCCTTATCAGTTGGTTGATTTGATGTGGGTTACAGCTGGCCTTTCACCATCTCTACGCCTTTCTTTTCTTTTCTTTTCTTTTTTTTCCCTTCCACCGACTCCACTTTTCTCACTCCTTTCTTTTACTTCGATCTCTTCAAACCATTTTCTCTCTTTCCTTTGTCTATGCATAACTGGCGAATCGGCCTGGGATTTATCATTGGGGAAAACAAAAAAGAACTATTTTATCAGAATGGGAAAAGAAAAAAAGCCGAATGCTCACTCCCATGACACCACAAAAGTCTAATGGTATTCTATTATTGAGTGATGGGAAAGGTATGGGTTGGGTGAAACGCACGTCACGAATTGCAGCATGATAATCATGGTGGCCCATCGCCACAAAAGTTGCTGATTTTTAATTTTTTTTATTTTTTTATTTTTTTTTTTTTGATGATATCTATTTGTTCTTTGACCTCTATTCCCCTCGGGTGTTATCACTCACACTGGCGGCTGTTTCGAATGATTTCTTTTTATATTTCTTTGGAATCGATCTGATTGATTGATTGATTGAACGATCTATAGAATAGAATACTGTTTTCTATTCCACATCACATCTACATATTTTTTTTGTTTGAAAAGACAAAAGACAATAATACTCCTATACCCCTAGAACCAGTTACCCAAGCAGTCAAAATAAACTACCCCCGCCATCCAAAGTAAAATAATCCCACCATTGACTGATCCTCCCTCAGTAACCGCCTCCCCACAGTCGCTGATCACGACTTTGCTTGGGTTTGCATGGATAACCCGGTTGTCTTAGGTTGGAAAAAGCAATGACATATTTAAGTGTCTCTAGGATTGGATTGATTGTGTGGGGGTTAGATACTACACTCCTTGTAATTCAGTTTCACTGTATACATACATTCAGTGTATCTCTATAGAGTTTAGTTTGGAAATATCTTGTATCTCTAACTATACCTACCATCATTTAAGTGTGATAAATTCACTTCTATAGATCCAAAACTAATCCCAAGAAATGTACGCAAATGGATGACCCGTCGACTCGCCCAGTCCTCCGTACCCGTCCGCTGATTGGCAGCCACAGCCCATCCCTTAGTCAGGAACACCTGATTTAAAAGCGGCCTCCGCCGAGGTCGAAACGGGACAGTTGTTGCGATTGTCCGACTCATGGGGGAAAAATTTGGGAAGTTAAATTCTAGTCACTCCCTCTCCCTCTCTGTCCATTTTCTCCTTCAGTGTTTTTTTACCTTACTTTGCCCTTACGCGCAACGAATCTCGTGTTTTCATCGCGTTTTCATCGCGTTTTTAATTCGGGGACACCATACCCTTTGTATTCTGTTATAGCTTTTGTTTTTGTCTCTAGGCAAATCTATAGTTTCACGTCTTTTCTTCCCAATCGCAACTATGCCTGATCAGGGAAATCAATCTCTCGAGCAACTCGCCGTGCCGGAGATTCCTAAGGAACTGGCGAAACAGTTTGATGTCTTGGAGCAGAAGTTCATTCGCGCAGAGGTCGATCAAAGTAAGTTACTGTTTCATCTCTAATGTACAATTGCACGGGACCGTGGCCCTGTTAGCACCCTCCGCGCCTTGGTTTTGCGGTGCTAATTTAAATAGTTCGTAGTGGAATCGTTCGGTTCCGTCCTCTCCTCAAAGAGCGTGACGACGCCATCGCAAAATCCCCCCTAAAGGACAACTTCTGGATCCGCGTTATTGCCAATTCCCCCCCTGAAATCGATGAATACATCCTAGAATCTGACGCTGAAGTTCTGGGCACCTCGCTCAAGAACCTCTCCGTTGAACGATTCGAGGTTGATCAAAACGGCCATGGTGAACCGCGCAGCTTTCGTCTGACTTTTGAATTTCACTCCAATGAAAACCAACACTTCGAGAATGAGAAGCTTGTGAAGGAGTTCTATTGGCGCAAGCAGATCACGCGTACCGCCAAGGGCAAGAAGAGATCCTGGGAAGGTCTCGTTTCAGAGCCGGTGCGCATCAACTGGAAGGCCGGAAAGGACCTGACCAAGGGTTTGCTGGATGCAGCCTGCGACCTTGCTGAGGCTGAGAAAAAGAAGAAGGGCGACCGTAAAGAACTGCCGGAGTTGCAAAAACTCCAAGAAAAAATCCAGGAGGCCGCCGACGCTAACGACAAGGATGTGGATGAGGATGACTTTTCCTTGGGTGCCATGAGCCCTGCAGGAACAAGCTTCTTCTCCTTCTTCGGATATCGCGGGCGGACCGTGTCTGCGGAAGAATCCCAAGCTGCCACTAAGGAAGACGATGAGCGATATGAGAAGCTGCTCAAGGGCGAGACCGTCGATGATGAAGATGAAGATGACGACGATGACGACGATGAGGATGAGGATACTGATGAAGATATCGAAATTTTCCCAGATGGTGACGGGCTCGCCATCGCCTTGGCAGAGGACCTGTATACTCACGCATTCAAGTACTTCGGTAAGTAAGCCGACAAATGATTCGGATCCAACCCACTGACACGCCACAGGTCAGTCTATTGAGGACGTTGCTGGTAGTGATATCATGGATGGCGATGTCGACATAGAGTCGGAGAGTGACGAAGAGGGCGAGGACCAAAGGCCTCGCAAGAAGGCCAAGGTTTAAATCGTTGGACAGTTTCTTTATCAACCAACCAACCTAAGTCCATCTTTCTACATCGATGTAATTTATTGTCCCATTTCTCACAACGCAATGACCAGAATCAACAGGAGGACCAGCACAAATATGAGCACAGCGATGCAAAAGGAGGACATCGTATCTGCTATCAGTCAGTTTGGAGGTCTCGCGGGAAAATTACTACCCCTGTATCTTGATGTATTCTTGAAGATCACCCAAAAAAAAAAAAAAAAAAAAAAAAAAAAATTGCTTACCCTCGTTTTTCCTCACAATATATTTGATTTTCGACATCCCACTCTGTAACTTGCCGCCCACTCGGTCAGCCAACGTATCGACTTCCCCAATCATAACTGCTTGTTCTTCCAGTTCTCTTCCCATGTCATTGGCCTGCTGTCGTAAATTGCCCACGGTACGGAACACTCCATCTAGCTGTTCGTCTTGTTCATGCATGAGCTCCATCTGCCGTTGCTGCTCCATGGCAGCGTAGTAGTCTTCTCTGTCCTCAGAAGGAGAGAGAGCAGTGTCGAATTCCGCAGGGTTGGGAAGCCCAGATACTGAATTCACGGTCTCACTTGCTGCAGAGTTCGTGACCGCCCTCTGTAGCTCTTGTCTCATTTTCTCTATCTCAGCCCCGACATCATCCACTAGTTTTCGTCGGCGCTGGACCTCTTCCAGCTCCAGACCATAGCGATATGGATCTTGCTCGATTGCTCGAACGCTTTCGACTAGATCGTCAAGGTCCGCACTGAGGTCTGTCAACGTGGTCTCAAGTTCTGTTCGGGATTGCTGAAGCTCAGGGTTTGATGGAGACTTGGCCAGGGAGCGAATGCGAAGATATGATGAGAAAAGAGGTCTTGTTGTTTGCAGCGTGGAGAGAACGTCTCTGGATAAACAGCGAATATGTCACAAGTTGGCCAAAAGGGCTCAGGATGAATGGTACTCACGCTTGAACCTGGAGGAAAGGATCTGAATGGTCCATTGCGCTAATACAGATGATAAAATATATATGTATATAAACCTGGCGCCCACAAGATCGGAGATGACTGCCTGAGAGTTCTAAAGCACAGAGGATTGGGGCTGGCCGGCTGATGAGGAGGTGGATGAATCTAGATGGCCGTAGCGGTAAGATAGGCGGTGAGCAGCGTCATCCAGGTGGCAGGCTATTTCGACTGTAGTTATCGTCTATCTAGCGGTTAAGAATGTCCGTTTATTCATAATTGGTCTTTAACTACTTTCTTAATCTAATCGACTCGGGTCTTGTAGATATGACCACCTTATCTGTCAAATAATTATGTCGAAATACCCCATAGCAAAGGCCCGATGAAGACCAACGTGTCTCTTACTCCACATCTTTTTCAGGTACCGTTCTGCAGCACGGTTGAAGACTCGCCCGCGAGCATCAATCAATGCTGGTTTCACGCTCCAACTCCTGATACGGCGCTTGCAGTCACACCCCTGGCATCCTAAACCCGGAACATCATTCCAGGCCCTCCAGTAATCATCAAGTGATTCTGAGAAATAGCATTGCTTACTACTGCAATTCGTTGTCTTCGCTTCGAAGGTGCAGCAGTCGTCTTGGGGACCCAGGAAAAGCTTTGCCAGAGACCGTGGCGACTGTTTCAAAAGAAACCATGAGATTACACTATTTTCATTATTTGCGTCTCGGTGCCAGTCCTTTGGACCGTGTCGAAGAAGCATTCGTTCCATTAGCTCCCGCAACATTCGATATGTAGCATGGAAATCAATCTCTGTCTGTGTATCAAGGTAGCTTCTGAATCTTAGCCGTCCCCTACCAATGTCGGCCTCTCTATAGCCATACTTCAGGACACTTTGGACATGATGGGCGTGCTTTTCGAAAGATATCGCATCTCGCTTGCGTGGCGAAAATAGATGGTATTCGTCAAGCATATTAGTCAACACCAACAGTCGTCCGGTGATCACTGGTGCTAAAGACTTCCGCCGTTTCAACTTCGTCGTATCATATGCAATATCTGACATGTGAAAAAGCACATAAAGTCCGCGCTCCAACCGTTGGGCGAGTTGAATTTCTGCATCAATGTTTATTACCGGTGTCTCGTTATCCGAGAATGAACCCCACACAGAGGGAACAATATAGCGGGCGAGCTTCTGTGCGATATCTTGACGGTCAAGAAATCTCCGAAGTGTGGACATTGTCATGGCATTTTGTTCACCCGTCCACGGATCCAGAGTGAGAATGGGATCAAATGCAAGGATCCCACGAGAACGCATGAACCATCCACAAATATGTGGCTCGAGGATTTTTATCACCTCATAGGTAGCCTTGTTTAGGAGACAGAGGTTCAAGACTGTACCAATTTCACAATTAATTATGATTTGAAAGAGCACATCGTCAATGAGACCTAAAGGCAGGGCCCTCAGCTGCTTAGCAGCCGTTTGTAGCTGTTGGTTGAAGTGCGGTCAGCACGCACACTCGATTATTGTCCATAGGAGTCCTAATGAGATCAATTGCCACCAGGTATATAAACGCACCATGATTCTTCAAATACTCAGGGGAAGATCTCTGGTATTAGCGGAGGATGCACTATGGCATTGTCTATTTAATACCCCTCAGAGTGTGTTAGGTGTTTGCATATCTTTAACTGCAAGGGGAGAGACTTGGAGCTTATAAAATACTCAGGCGCAGACGGTGTGACGCGTTGATATGTAATCGACTGAACGCTTGGGTACAATGTTGTATGCGGAACGGGCTGAGCGTGCAGCATGCAGTATGCACATACTTACGTAGCGCCTTACTGATGGCGAACTGACAGGTCACCTGGGGTCATTATAAATACGTGGTATCCTCTCAGGCAGGGTGGGCGTTTCTTCTTCAAAAGCCGGCCACGCCTAGTAAATAGTGTGAAGAATCCGGGTTAGGATATCCCTGTGTTGCCAACGCAGCCTCGATCACATTCTATTTAAAGTTGTAGCGAAACCGAAATGGTCAAGATGTCAGTACAGTGACTAGTTCAGAACCCTCAGATGTGACCGCATATTTTCCTTAGTCCTTAGAAGCTATAATTAAGGAACCAGCGATTTCCTACGGAATCTTAATAGACTGCTTCCACTGATGGTTAAGCCAGATTCAGCCATCACTTTGTTGAAAACACTAGCTGAGATGGCCACCAATTTAAGGGATGGCTACTGCACCAATGGAATACTAAGAGGCGCCATAACCTCCGTCGATGGCGAATACACCAGTGTTCTCTGTTAACGATCGACCTCCACACTTTCCCCGTAAAAAGACTGATGAAGTCAGTGGATCGCGTCGGGGCTAGACCTGATACGGATTTCCTCTCCAAAAAAAAAAAAAAAAAAAGGTAGATAATTGCAAACCCCACGATACAAGACTGACTTCTCGCATTGTCTCCCTCTTTTTTATTCGTTTGTTCTTTAGCGGCCTCATTTAAATCACTTCCATGTTATTCGGTACATAGCATATTTCGCGCAGTTCCCACTTTTCGCCGTCGTATCGAATCATGCCACGACTAAATCCCCTTCCACTCTCTGAAGAGTGGACGGATCCCGATGCCTATGTCGACGCCCTCCTTACGTTCGCTACCTCATCTGACATGTTTCGTCACCTCTGTGGGGGAGTGCATATACTAGACTTTCTGACGCGCGAGCCGGATCTATACACATCGCTTTTGCCGGAAGAATGGAGGGCATTCTTCGACAAGCATGATGTCCAGGATATTATACATTTAGTTTTACGGGAGGACATCGCGTCACTACTAAAAAAGTGTCGCGAAGGGGATCAGGATGGAGGCAAGGAATGGAGAGGGGCTGCGTTTCCTCCGGCCGATTTTTTGGAATACATTTATCAAATTCGAAGACTCAGCCTCAAGAGGGATTTTAATCCTCCCCAACCTGGAAAGCCAACTATACCGAGACGGATTGCTGTGGGTATGAATGTGAAGAAGTATCATGAAGTGGCGCATTTCTCAAGATACGTGGATTCCTTATGCACCATTGTAGACGAGCAGCGGGGCGACAACCTGACACATATTGTGGATTTTGGGTCAGGCCAGAGCTATCTTGGACGAACGCTTGCTAGCCCGCCTTACAACAGACACATTGTTGCCATCGAGCGGAAACACCAGTTTATCAAGGGCGCGAAGGGTATGGATATCCATGCCCAATTGACAGAGAAGAAAGAGATAAGGATGTATAACGCCAAAAAGAAATGCAAAGATTGTGAAGAACCTCAGAGTACTGGAACAGCGAAATTGGATACCAACGAGGCAGGAGAAGTGATAAACATGTCTGGAAATGACTTTGCGTGGACCGCCGAGGATGACCAGGATGTTGCCATAGTCAATGTCTTCCGGGATATCAGTCTTACACCTGATGAAATTGGAGCCGCTCCTTTCCGTAACGGCCCCAAGGTCGTGAAGGAAAAGGTAGTAGATGACATTCAGCCGAGAGGTATAATGGATTATATTGAACACGAAATCAAGGATGGATATTTGGAACCAATTATTAAAGACGTGATTGAATCCGCATCATCTAAGACTCAGGAGGACTCTACTACTGCAGTCGACAAGAGTGACGATAATGAGCCGCCAGAGGCAAGGGTAATGGTCATTTCCTTACATTCGTGTGGAAATCTTCTCCATCACGGCGTGCGGTCATTGGTTTTGAATCCGTCAGTCAAAGCTATCGCTATGATCGGCTGCTGTTACAATTTGGTGACGGAGAGGCTCGGCCCTGCTACTTATAAACTTCCTATTCTCCGCTCCACGCACCCCCGTCTCACCCGCGATGCCGTCGCATATGATCCGCACGGCTTTCCCATGTCCAAACGACTGGAAGACTTTGAACATGACAGCGGGACAGGTGTGAAATTAAACATCACTGCGAGATCGATGTCTCTACAGGCCCCCTACAATTGGGGCAGAGATGACAGTGAGAATTTCTTTACCCGCCATTTTTATCGGACTCTGCTCCAGCGCATCTTGGTAGATCGTAACGTCCTGGAGAAGCCCGCGACGCCAAAAGATCTATATGGACCAGACGAGCTTGGTTCCGAAAAGGCGGGAAATCATCTGGTTGTTGGCTCTCTGCGAAAAGCGGCTTTTACCTCATTTTCAGCATACTTTCACGCTGCAGTAGCGAGGCTAGGTCGAGACGCACATTTTGGCGAACGAGTTAAGGCCAGAATGGCCGATATTACCGAGGATGATTTGATTCGCTACGTGGATGAATATTGGCACGCAAAGAAAAAACTCAGTGTGCTGTGGACTCTGATGGCTTTTAGCTCCGCCTTAGTCGAAGCTATTATTGTTGTCGATCGCTGGCAGTTCTTGCGCGAGTACGGTTGCGTCCAAGACTGCTGGGTCGAGCCTGTGTTCGAGTACGGCGAAAGTCCAAGAAACTTGGCTGTTATCGGGGTCAAGAAATGAGTACGACAGATGCGCACTAGCAAACATCTAAGCCTGCCAGCCGTCCGGTCTACCTAGGCAGAACTCTTATGGGCTCGGGCTTATGCTCATAGATCTAAGTCTTTTCAGGCTTTGGCATAAATCGAGGATGTTCGAATTCATTCCATGCTTCCACCAACGTGGGCTGTGTAGTGGATCTCGATGAGAGTTCCATTGGCCTTGGTTTAATGACATGACTCTGATGAAGATATGGTAATAGAGATAATCAGTAGATTTATAGGCTAATCGATGAGATCCGATTTGGGCAAGTCACTGATGATCATGTGCTCACCCACTGAAGATATGAGTTGCCTAGACGTAGTCTTCCGAATATATAGTGATCGTGTAGGAACTTCACTGAACCAGAATTTTCGACTTTGTCTGTCTTCCCACCCTTTCTGGCTTCTTTTTCTTATTTTTTACTTTTAACCTTAATATGAGTTCATTTTCTGTGGTCTTTGCTCCCCACTATGCCTAATTCGGTGAGTCTGGTAGTTGTTATGTCATGGACGGAAATGTGGGCAAATAAATTCGACTGCCTGATGGCTTCTCGGAAACCGCGGGGTCCGCCGTGGCTTCATTTCCTCCCCCATCGCCGTTAGCTCAGGAACTTTGCTCATTAAGCCTTACTCGACACTTGACCTTCTAGTCACCCCCCCGTGAGAGAACCCGGTCCAAAATGGAGGCCGAGGGGCCCGAGAGTGACAGCAAGGAGTCCCTGGGCAAGCGCGCGGTGAGACCTCTTTACGCAATTGTCGGCTTGATTACTTCCATTGCATGCTAATGATTGATAGTGTGACAATTGCCGACTTAGAAAGGTATTTCATTGGCAATTATTTGTCGTCAACCGCGCTAGAGTTGCTTCTAATTGTGAACCACTTCGGGTAGATACGATGTGACAAACAGTCACCATGTTCGAATTGTCGCAGTTCGCAGATTACCTGTCGCTCCACCGGGGCAGGTCAGAAGCCCCGAGAGCCCCGTAGAAGAGTCTTGATCTCCAGTCAATAGTACGTGAACACACAATTGCGGTGATTTTCCGTGGCTTGCAAGCATTCTGATTTCCTCAGTGAAAGGAAAATCGACCTTGTTGAGGAACGCCTCGGTAGTATAGAGCGTGTTCTCCGCGAATTGAAGGCCAGCATTAGTGGATCCAATACGTCCGCCGTTGAACAGCTGCATTACCAAACAACGCCGTTGTCGGGGCAGGTGACTCCCTCTACCTCTGAATTGAGGTCCACTACCACTGCCGCGTTGGAGCAGCATGAGTGTGATCCTACATTTGAAGGAAACTCTTCCCTTGCTGCCCATTCTGCCTATGCAAGTGAATTCCTAGAGTCTGCAGTCTCACGTAGCGCCCTTGCAATGTCTACACCAAAGATCAACGCAGCGCTTTCGACGCTGAAACAGATAGTCAACATGCAGGACCCTCAGTCCCATCCGTCCCCTCGTGAAGTTCGGCTTCCTAATCAGAGGGCTATGCCTTCCTCTGGGTTGCGGGACCTGGCTATGCCTCCTATTCAAGTTGTCTTGCCGCTATTGCGCAAACTGAAAGGTAGGAAGTGTCTGTCTTTGATTTTTTATTATTTATTATTTTTTTTTTGCTTCTCTATTTTTAATGACCTAGTGTCAGCTCATTAACGCGTTAACAGATGAACCTCCCTCTATCTTTCAAGGCTTCTGTCCCTTTGTTCCACCTGACCGACTCATTGAGAAATGCCGAGAAGTGTACTTTGCCACAGACGAATACTCCGATGCCACCTTTATCATCGTCAATGGAGGCCTGTTTTATGCCTTCGGTGAGTGTAGCGTTTTGGAAAAAGACCCGGAAACACGGGAAAGCTACCGGAGATATGTCAAACTCTGCCACGCCAACCTTGAAACAGCGCTAGCAAACCTGAGCCTTTTGATGCCTGCAAGGATGGAGTCCATTGAAGCACTTACACTAGGTGTGAGTTTTCCGTCATACTAGGTGCGACTAGAAACACACTGACAGAGTAGTCTATCCATTCCATCGAAATCTCAAAGCCCTCATTTGGTCTGACATTGACCTCAGCCGCAGCTCGCTTGTGTCAAACCCTGGGCTACCATCGAGCGTCATCAATGGAACACGACAGCAAAAGCGTGAGAGAAAACAAACTTCGATTGTTTTGGTCGGTCTATGTTATTGATAAGGCGCTATCGTTGCGCCTTGGACGAGCATCAACTATCCAGGACTACGATATATCCTTGCCATGGACGGTGGATACATTGGAACTTTCCCATCCATTCTCAAACATTTATACATTATGGATTAGATTGGCGGCGATCCAGGGTAAGGTGTACGAGAAGCTATATAGTCCTGCAGCTCTTAGTCAACCTGAAAGTGAAAGGATAGCCTATGCTCGGCAATTGGCTTCTGATATGCAATGGAATGTCATGGAGCCATTTAAGGTACGCACTGCTTAGAAGCAAGTCGATATCCCAGGCCTTGCTAACCAAGGAGGAAAAAAAAGCAAATAACTGCGAAATTATCTAAAATGACGATTGTCGAAGAGATCTACCTCCGATCCGACGAAGTGAGCCGCCTATCTGTGTTGACTCTAATATACAGAGCCATTCCACCGCCAGCCGATTCTCCTAGCACTTTTGTCGATGAATGCGTTGAAACAGCCCGAGCAGCTTTGCAAGCAAATCATGATTCCATGGCCATGCTTATGGAGGCTGATGAGTATATGATGAGTTCATACTTGCATTGGTACGCCGCGTCAATATCTACTCAAACACGCAGATGGCCACATTGGGCTAATAAAGTGCAGGACAATTCTATACGCTCCATTCGTTCCTTTTATAGTGATATTTTGCCATACAATTGAAGTTTCCTCCCAGGAAGATCTTAAACGACTTGAAGATTTTGTCGCTTCTCTTGAGCCAAATTGTGCACTCTCGGAAGCGATTGCAAAGATGCATCGTCTTTGCAACGTTCTCAGCAATGTCGCCAGGCTATATCTAGAAGCAAAATCACAAGCGCAAATCCAACATGACCAAAATTCAGCCTCCGTGGGACAGGAGTTTGACACGTATCTCACTGCGCTTGGGTTAGCGCCAGCGCCGATTGATGTGGGATATGTACGGTGGGCAGCTGCCCCTGTTGCACCTGGCCCTACTCCTGCTGTTCCAGGCGCTGTCGGACAAATGCCCGTAGAAATGGCCGAGGCAGAAGACCAAAGGCCCCCAGTGAATATGCCCCAGACGACGTTGGGAAACTGGTTTTCGGGAAACCAGCATATGATGGGGTTATTGGAGGAAGACTGGTCTCTGTTTGATCTAAGTATTTTGCCTCAGTCTTAACTGTGAGTTTCCCACGGGCTCCTATGTTCCTCTCCGCTAAGATTGTGTAATTTTGCAGACCGGACAATTCCTTAGGTAGGGCTTTAGGTAGGGCTTTGAATACAGCGCTCATGGTACTTAGTTCTGCTTTTGATATGCGTGTTATTTGAGGAAGTGGAAGAGCTAGATACATTTTCCACCATCAATCAGCATCTCCGCTCCATTTATAAATCTTCCTTCATCACTGGCGAGGTACAGACAGATATTAGCGACATCATCCGGGTCAGTCAGCCGACCGAGCGGTACATTCCCGATGAATTTCTCCCTATTCTCGGGCGTATCCGGCATGCCTGTAAACATGGGAAAGAGGGCTGTTCCCGACAGCAGAGGAGAAACGGTGTTGACACGGATATTGTGCGGGCCATATTCGGCCGCAAGACCTTTCGTGGCCTGTCCAGATCAGTCTGGTCCTCGGGACGGAGAGAAAAAATAATGAATTACGGTCGTACATTTGACACTGCCCCTTTAGAGGCATTATACCAGACCAAACCGGGACGGGGTCTCGAAGCACCGGTGGAAGAGATGTTAATCATGGAGCCACCTTGACCTTGCTGGATCAACCGTGGCATGAAGACATTGGTTCCCAGAAAGATGCCCTTAACATTCACGTTAAAAACCTTCTCCCACTCCGCCTCCGTAACTTCCACCGTCGGCTATTCGACATTCGATGTCAGCAAGCATGGCCTACGATAGTTCAAATTACCTACCTTATTCCGATACGTTGTTCCCGCATTATTGACCAGCACATCCAGTCTTCCGAACTTGGAAAACGCCAATTCAACCACTGTCATCCAATCGTCAGCCTTGGTGACGTCCATCTGCTGGAAGATTAGATTGGCCGGATTCTGCGCGGCAACCTTCTGTCCCCCTTCGACGTTAATATCCGCCAAGATCACCTTGGCTCCCTCCTCGCCGAAGCGACGAGAAATAGCAGCTCCGAAGCCCGAACCGCCGCCTGAGATGACCTAGATTAGCGGGTGAAGAAGACACGGGAATGGATGACCCTGCACGCACCGGTGACGATGACGACTTTTCCCTGGAGTCGGGAACCTGTAACCACGGTGTTGGCCATTTTGATACGGCAGATGTTTTATGTAATTTTAGGCTTCGAAATTAAAAGCTAGGAGAAACGAGACGTCTTATATGCATCGCGTAGGTATCTAGTCACCCGAGGCCTGGCCTGGCAGAAGAGGGGTTGAATTGCGGAGAAGCGGCGTGAAAGCCGATCGGAGGGTATCAGGACAGCCATCTGACGTGTCTGAGTCTGAAAATACAAAATATGAGGATACCTACCTTAAGATGCGTTTTTATATCCACCTAGACTCCGGTGTATATACATAAGTTGCTGTGTCCTTGTCACCACAATGAGAGCAAACCACAATGAAAATGAGGTCAATCGTAGGACAGAGAAGGGGCCTGCACTCTGTACCACCACATCGGCCATTGAGCGAGTCCTGATCTGCACACAAACAACTGGGGCTGTCAATCGTTGACACATCGCCCCCCAATTCGGAAAAGGACGGCAAGGATTGGTCTTATATTAAATATGGATGTACTCCATCCTCCACGCCATCTATCATCTGTCATTCATTCTATTATCTGGCATATACTGCCATCTACATACTGAGCCAGGAAATTCCAGAAGAAAATGCATACCATCCTAACAAGCCTATTTATATTACTCTCCCTCGCTCTCACCATCTTAGCAACAGATATCGACGCAAACGATCTCCCTTCTCAATGTCAGGATGTATGCCGTCCTGTAGTAAGTCTGACAGCTTCGTGCGACGCAAAAACCTCCGACGATAATGTCGAGTCGGATTGTGTCTGCAAGGGACGCGATATGAACTCGATCCTTCCTCGTTGTGAGGCTTGTATTGCGCAAAATAGTAAGGATGGCCATGATAATGGTAGTTTCCCCCCTCTGTTTCTCTCTTTCTCATTGCTTCCTTTTCGATATATCTACTACTGTCTGGCCTTTAAGTGCTAGATATGGGATGGTAACATGTGCAGATGCGAATGATCTGGTTAAATTCTGCTCATTTTCAACGACCACGTATCATGTCTCTGCTACTGGTTCGAGCGGCGGTACTACGTCCACGGGGGCTAGTACCCATGCGTCGATGACGGGGAATACCCAGGGTCCTTCTTCTGTGACTGGGAGTCCAACGACATCTTCGGCTTCAACCTCGGGTTCGACTTCGTCGTCGTCGTCGTCGGCAGCGGGTCCTGTGGTAGATTCTCCTGGTGGGTTTATGAATATCCTGGTACTGGGGGTTCTGGGATTAGGGCTGTAAATGGTCTTTTTTATTATATTATCCGTGTACATGTGGAATGCCCCCTCTTTTCCCTCTCTTTTGCTTCCTTTAATTTTTGAAGTGATTCCATTAGTGGCATAAGGAGATAGCGGATGCAATTCGATCCTGCTGGGTATAATACAATCACGGATTCATATCAGTAAACTCAACCACGAAGGGAGAGTACAAGGCATATGCCCAACCTCCCTGGCAAGTATTTGTAATGCATGCTTACTCAACGTGTAGTCACTGAAGTGGACAAATCCACCGTCTTCAGAATGCCTGATTCCATGCGGTGCGCGCTCAGTTGGTCCCTGTCACCAAGCACCGTCGTCTCGACGTGAGGCTGTCCCTGCACATTTTGCATCAGAATATCCTGGTCAGACTCTGTCTCCATCACACCAATCGATGCTCGATTTCGGTCCGCACGGCTACTGCGATTGTAGCTCTGGTTTCTCCCTTTGCTCACCTCCTGTCCGGTGGTGGCACGGTTGGACGAGTATTCCGAGTAGGCACGAGTGATAATAGCTGAAAGGGCTGGAAGGCAAGCGCAGACGATACCGATGGCAATTTCGGCATTACTAATGTATAGACCATATCAATTAGAGAAAATACTCCCATAAACCTGGAGCATCTAAACTTACCCAAGCATATTTATTCTCATGAAGGCCAGGGTTGCGTCCTTCGATTGCCCTGTGAGGACTATAAGAACCAGACGAATAATACTGGACGCACAGGCTAATCCCCCTGCACCGAGAACTCCCATAACACGCATTTTCTTCTTCATGGGCAATTGTAGACGTAGTGTCAGGGGTAACGGGACTAGGAGGATAATCATATCGCTTCCCACGCTGACCACCGCATCGGCGAGGATAATGGACCTTTGATCCAAGCACGTCCCAGGTATAGATTGGTCCCAGAACTTCGAGATCGGATTGCAGATTCGGACTTTCACGATCACCGCGGGAATATAGTAGGCAAGCATGAGCCCCAGAAAGACGTATATGAAGATAACGGACTTGCGGAATGGACTAAACACCCGGGTCATGATCCAGAGGAGGGACACTTTAGTCAGGTATGCAGTTGGCCCATACATGACCATGGTAACATAGACAGTCTGGACAGCGTGAGCAATCTCCATCATGGAGGCTGAGGGTGATGTTTACCTTTGAGAACGAAATGCGATCTTCGAGAGGCACATCATCCAAATGTAGGCCTCCACCGAAGTGGCCCACTGGGAAGGGTCAGCTATGTCAAACAACGGGAAGGGTAAGCAAACATACTAATGAGGGCAATAACTGAATAGGAAACTCCAAGGAACTGCAGACATCAATAAGCTACTTAGCTAATTCACGAGTAGGGAGAGACGGAGATATCTAACATAGGCACAAAAGCATGTCCCTATATACTAGTCAGCATCTATAACCATTGATCCTCTGGTAGACACACAATCTTCTTTCCCAAACCCATTAAGGATAAACACCCGGGTGTATGCACGCAAAGCAAAAAAAACAGTCATCGCGACTATACATAGCGATTGAGTCGCGGTATTCCATTTCTGCACAGTTGTATCCACGGGCTGGTCATTCGGCTTGGCCGCCTGTCGTCCAAGTAATTGTACGGCAGTCATGATGAACTGTTATCCCATAAAACCAGCGTTTCATGTACATAAGGATCTGCCGGGTTTAGGAGAGGAACGTGCGTGACATGACGATATATTATACTAAATTCGCTCAAGGTTCATGCAAACTCAGCGTCCCCATGTTTACCAGGCACATCTCCATCTCAGTCGGTTTAGATGGTACCCCTGAAGATTAATACGACCAACTAGCTGGATCGAGACGCTAAAAAAATTTTAAAAATAAAAATAAAAGCCAAGACTCGATAATCCCTGCTCAGAAGCGGCAATGGGAAGAGCAAAAGACCCATCAGCAGACCGTGCCCTTTTGTTTTCGGACATGTTATTGGCACGAACAAACGACTTTACGGAATATTACCCGCCATCGGCGAAAACTGTTCTCGTGGAAGACAACCGGAAATGGCAACCATCCATGATTGATCGGCGCCCTTGTTTGAGACCTCCAGCTCAGATTTTCTATTGCCCATTTGTATTGGGCCGCAGTGATGACTAAAATCCTTCGGCAAGCTTTAGCGTTCACTAGTAGACATGGGAAGGAAGCCGTTCAACCTTCTTTCGTAGCAACACCTATGCCTTCAGTCCTCGCACTATTCCACACGAGGGTGATGCCTTCCGAGACATTACCGAGAGGGAGAGCTAATGCGTGGTCGGGAGAGTGGGGGAGAGACGAAGGATTGGCTTGATTGACTGATTGACGTTGGATTATTCCCTCAGAACCAGACGTCTGACGGCGGAGGTTACTTCCCGGACCCATCGGCCATAAATTCAGACTACGAGTGGCTAGGATATTCAACGAGTTTTAACTTCGATCGCACCACCCGTCCGGTCCAGAGACCTGGACAATCCTGGTGCTCGGTTAGAATTGATAGAGTGATTGCAGATGGAAGCTATCAAAATAATTTGGTATCAAGCTCAGACATATTATGATAATCATCGATGGTTTGCGGTAGCCTGGGGTGGTCCTAAGGTTCAGGCTTCGCGTATTGAACTTTGAAACAATTGCCCTGTGGAGTCGGATTACTCGGACTCGACTGAAATCATGCCAGAAGAAAAATAGGAGCAAGAAAAGTCCATCCCCCCTCCCCCCTCCCCCCAAAAAAGAATAAAAGCAGAAGTGAACAACAGGCTTATTTCATAATCCAGACACCAGCACATTTGGAAGGGCAAGCTAAATGCATATGGATACAAATGCCAATGTTCTGCAGGATCTGTAGATACGGAGAGCTTCCGCTGCCCAGGAATTAAGCAATATTGGTATTGATAATAATATTATGTACCCATTTTGATTTGCACGTAACTGGTTACTTGTTTCAGGCATAGTGACGCCGATCAATCCTGAGGCCGATGGACGATGTAACTTCATCCCTATTGAGAAGAGATTTCGTCCTTCCCCTGCGTCTTGACCGATGTCCATGAATGAATAAAGTTAAGTATAAGGCGTAGGGGAGCGGGGAGACAATTGGAATTCCGTAGCAAAATAAACCTTCGGATTGTTTTACTGTGATTTCATTTTATTGCCTGATGTAAATGTTTCGGTTACCGAACGCTGAGTCGCTATTAAGTAATTACTAGCTTACCTAAAAAATTGCCATAATGTTCGGCGGCGACGAGACTCCTCCAGGCATGTTTAAAGGCACAGATGCAACGAAGAAGCTCCATCGCTGAAGTTCTTGGCAGGTGCATGCTAGTGCTTCTAGATCGAATAGCTCGCCTGTTATTGGGTACCAAGGTTAACCACATCAATCATTTCCATAGTGTGGATGTATGTACTATCCAGGCTCAACGGCTTAACTTACCAATTGGCATGCCCCATCCAGCAAGTACATACTCGTGCAGAAATATATCCGACTGGGGCGGATACACCTATCAGATGTTATGTCAGTCCTCGGACGATCAATGCCCCGCGTCTGTCTCTATGGTCGTGCGCACCTCCCAACTTATCGCATCGCTGGCGATCGCCGCAAATCCGGAATCCCAAAGCCATCGGAGCATATCTGTGGTCGCCTCGACTCCAGCGTGTTCGGGACTTGGGTTCTCTGAGTACTGTTGCTTGTGGTGGTCTGTCATCACCGAGTCCCACTCCTTAGTCACCCCAACGCGGACAAAAAGGATGTCGCCTTTTTGAAACGTGATATCAGATTCCTTGGCAATCTCCAATATCTCGGAGAGTCGTACTTGATGAGTCGAGAACGTGCTGTATTTTATTCCCTTTCTTTCCGCCCACGTTGCGTAGTCAATCAGGACTCCGCGCCCTAGTGATACGAGAACTTTAACTTTTGAAAGCCGAAGAAAGGATGGTGGTCAACAACAGAGGCACGTACCTGCAATTCCTTCTCGCGCCCAGTGCTGTAGGCCAATCCGATGGTTGCCACGATCATTGATTTCTTCAGCTGTGGTGCCCCCGTAGAAAACACGCTGCTCCTGACCAGGAACAGTCTGCGAGAAATGTCGCAATCCATCCCACTGGCTACTTTGTTCTAGAAACACATCAACATCTAGACGGCTAGGCCATTAATACATAGTATGGATCCGGGACCTACGCGGATTCATAGTATATATATCATCAAACGCTATCCCTCCCAATAGTGGGACGATCTTGTGTTGACAGGGCTGACGATTCAGATTTGGAAAATCCAGTTTTGTCAAGTCCCAACCCATCGTTACCCGTCGACCAGTTTTGATTTCGCTTGCGGCCGCTCTAGCCACGACCTCAGGGGTCAAGATGGCTAGCTTTCCAAGTCCTTCTTCGTGGCTACCGGGCTCCCCAACCCATACTTGCTTGGGATTGGGAAGCTTGTCAAAAGGAACATCATAAGGCGACGTGCTCGTCATGATTCTAGTGATCGTTGATGTTAGTCAAAGAATGGACACAGAACTGTACCCTCAACAGCCAAATGCGCCACTCAATGGAATAGTAGAAATAGGTCTCGTACGCAGCCTACGTATTTGGCTGTAGGCCACTCCGGCTTTAAATCGGCTACTAAATTATGAACGAATTTGGTGCTTGAGTACGTATCGTAGGATCCACCTCGAGTTTTTGGAGGCGGACGGGAGAGGACCCAGTCCGTGACCATCAGTGGTAAAGTTTTTCAGAACAGCTTCTGCGGGGTGGGCACGCACTAGGGCCTATTTAGGCATAGGTAATTTCGTCAAGGTACATCGTTTGGATAGGGCATGCATACCAAGCGCAATGATCCATAGACCTGGCAAATGAGAATGCTCAAACACAGGCACTGGTGAGGCACTTAGTAATGATGGTCAAATAGTCTTACCAATTCTCATTCCTTCGGCCTCCATTATATGGCTAAAAGCTATAGGCGTGGAAAATGGAGACACAGAGACTTTGTTTGAACTCGGACAGGCTCCCTCTTGAATTGTGGAACCATATGTTATTTCGGAGTACGGAGTGCTGCGTTAATATTTGATGAAGAACGTGGATGGGTGGATGGATCCCATCAGGCCATGGATGATAACAGGAGGAATCCAGACTATTGTGGATAATTACTCCGTAATACTAGTTTGGTTGGGAAAGTCACGCCTCCTGACAAGGGGCTGCCACTTCCAAAATGGGTTTAGGGGGATGCTTCTGACAACACCCTTCTCCTAAACAACAAGTATCTGCTAATTAGTGTGCCTACTACCGCGCTCTACAAGCAGCCCTGCGCTACTGCCGCACCAGTCGAGGTACTAGCTGCTGAAGCTGAACTTCGGTGCAATTGCTCTTTTATTGCCCAGTGGGGCTAGCCAAGCCCACCGATACATGACAACACGATAACCGATGAATATCAATGGCCACAACCTACAGTAGTACTCTGACACATGCAGCTGGTGGGGGGAAGGAAATTCCCTGCCAGATTACTACTATTACATATTAGGAATGATGCAAAAGAGGGATTTGAAAATCTACTCTGGAGTAGGCGAGGAGCTCTTGCCATAGTGTGCGACACCTTTAACTTCGAAGTTTACTCGGAGCTTCTGGTTGTATATTTGATCTTCTTACACCAGCAACCCCTCTGATCTGATCTCTCTTTTATTCTCTGGCGTGTATGAGAATATACAAACAGCATCAATAGCGCGGGGTTTGATGAATCGACTGCCCCGTTGAAACTTACAAGGGTGTGAATTAGACCTGTCTATTTCTTTATAATTTTCTTTTGTTCATAGAATATTCCTTCCCCCAATTAGAGATCACGCAAGACTGGAGAAAGCAGCAATCGTTACACTATGGGGACGTTTGGGTCACAGACCAGCAGCTACAACCGGTTGGTGACAATATTTGTTGCCATTGGATCTTTGGTTAGTATTGTGAACCTTGGTTGAACCCCCCTGAATAGAGGCATGCAGTCGAAGTAACATTGTTTGGCACCTACATAGACATATGGTTATTGCTCTTCGATTATATCGAGCACGATCGGTCAGCCAGGGTGGTATTCCTATTTCAATCTCCCCGCAGAAGGTGAACCAGGATATGCCTCAACCACAACCCCCACCATTTCCACTGCCAATGGAGTTTTCAGCGCTGGAGGAGCTGTGGGCACGCTATTCATAATGTGGTCGTGTGATTTCTTTGGAAGGAAAGTAAACATCCAACTGGGTGCTTTCTTTTCCATGTTTGGTGGTGCCCTCCAAGGGGGCGCCAACTCTATCGAGTACGTGCTCTGATACTTTCCATTTCCGGGTACAGAGACCATCTAACCGTTGTTCAGAATGTTCCAAGCTGGACGCTTTGTGTGCGGTCTTGGGATCGGTATTCTAGTTACCGTTTGCCCCATGTACCTCTCCGAAATGTCAAGTGCCTTCCGTAGGGGCTGGCTTGTCGGTCACCATGCCATCTTTTTGGTCTTCGGCTACATGCTTGCTGGGTGGGTAGGCTATGCCTGCTATTTTGCCGAAGAAAAGTTGGGCAGCTTTGGCTGGAGATTTCCTTTGTGCTTGCAGTGCTTGCCTCCACTAGTGTTGCTCCTCGGGTCACCATGGCTCCCTCGATCACCTCGTTGGCTAATCTCCAAGGGCAAACATGAGGAGGCCAAAGAGATCTTGGTGAAACTTCGCAAATCCTTGGACGACCCTGAGGATCTGGTTGCCAAAGAGGAGTATTTTCAGACTGCGGAACAAATCCGCCTTGAGGCAGAGAGACTTTCGGCATATGGAAATGTATGGAGTGCAGTCGTGAAGAAGAAATCTTATAGAAAGCGAATGGCCATCGGCTTCCTCACTCAGTGGGGGGCAGAGTTTGGTGGTCCATTGATCATTGTGAGTTTACAACCCTCTGTGAACGCTGGAGCTTACAACTGCATAGAACAACTATGCCGTACTTTTGTACACCAATCTTGGGATGACCGGTAGCATGCCATTGCTCCTGAGTGCCATTTGGTTGACCACAGCTGGTAACGATTGAACAACGTAACGCTAACTACATGGCTTATCACTGACTGCGGAGCAGGTGTCATCTACAACCCCCTAGGCGCCTGGCTTCATGATAAAGTCAATTCGCGCCGAGGCATGTACATCACTGGTTTTGTTGGGATCATCATTACTACTTCGTGTTTGTCCGCCATGACTGCTGAGTATGCGGGAACCCGTAACAGAGTTGGCAATGGATTTGGGATTTTGTTTATATATCTCTACCTCGCGTTTCAAGGGTCTGTTTTAGAAATCCCTTTTGGCTCACATGCACTCTAACTTATATCTGTTACACAGCACCTTCTGCGACACAACTATGTACTTGTACGTTTCAGAGATCTTCCCCACTGAAATCCGTCCTATTGGCATGGGATTTTCGCTATTTGGGCAATTTGCTTGTGAGTGTATCCGGATATTTACCTCCATTATACATTGACCAACCGAATAAAGCCACACTTATTCTACTCCAAACTGCCCCTATGGGCTTCAACAACATCGGATGGAAGTACTACCTGGTCATCATTTGCTGGTCGGCTGCTTTTATCCCTGGTAGAGATCCCCACTATTTCTCTTGTCGACTGTTCTGACGCTTTCCGGCAGTGATTTACTTCTTTTTCCCTGAGACGGCCCGGTTGACATTGGAGGAGATTGCAAAGAATTTCGGTGAGGAAGTAGCGGTTCATCTCACCGATGCCACCGACGAGGAGAAAGCCCAGGTCGAGCGTGACATTGCAGCGAGGCTGGACACTTCCGAGCCCATCAATTCTGCCCGGGATGCTGAGAGCACCGGGACTACCTCGGGTTTACCCGTGCAGGAGACTCAGTGCGAGGCCACAAAAGGCAACTGAGCGGGTAAACGCCATATGATTGGCATACCAAATAGCCCACTCTTAGACCCAGGGCTACACCAACATGGAGAGGTGAGCTATTCTTGAATGCAGATCGGGATGCCCATTCTGTGCTGTATTCTAGCTGCAAGACTCTAGGCCACTGTCCTGTCCATTTCTGAGAGCCAGCCAGCCAACCATTGGCCTGCAAAGATAGTCAATCATTTAAGGCCTAGTACTGTGAGAAACCATCACCAGGCCGATTATTTCAGTTGTATCTCGGTTGTTTTTCGGTGACCATTAATCAAGCAGACCTTCTTTTATGGATTTGGTCTAAATAATATAGATAGTGCATTGTGGTAGTTAGAGGCCTGTACGCAATTGATAATCCTATTAGTCAAAAGACTCTTAATATGATATATCCAAGTCCTGATCATATGAAGAACTGCGCTAGGTAGCGACAGCCAGTAAGAAAACCAACATTTCTTTCCATGAAACTACTACCTTAGTTCGTAATGTAAGGCACGATACAACCAAGAACTATATACTTTGTGTTAACTATCTCTTATGTGAGATTTAAGACTTTTATAAAATAAATATGAGCCAGAATGGTTAGTCTGGTTAGTAGAGAGTGCCTTGCAGAAGGGTCTGGTAAAACTCTATTATATTAACTAAATTAAACAGCTAATAAGTCTCAAACACTCCACTTATGGGCTCAACGGTTATCTTAGTGTTATTTTTTAATTTTTATTTTTTTAAAAAAATTATTTGATGGAAAGGTTACATTCACCTGCTTAATTATTACTACGGGCATATCAAATTATGCAATTAGTTACTAAATTTTCTTTTTACATTAGTCATAACGCTCAACTCGAAGCTACACTCAGCTACAGAATACGTGATGAGTGACCATGAAGTCTCCATAATTCTTGCACTTGTCAACTCCACCCCCGACTTCGAATGGGCTCCATATGATGCTAGGCTTCTTGTTTTATGGCTGTCCGCTAGAGCGGACTTAAGTATATTTTGGACCCAATATCCCCACTAACCACGCGACAAAATCTGCACATGTTAGATTATTCTTAGTATTCGTCAGGTCTTATGACCTCACTTTGTCTCACTCTGGGTGGACCCTATGGCCTCGGCAATTGTTCTTTAGCCTTAGTGCGTCGACCTGATCACCAAGAGCTTCTATAGCTTTGTCGTTGCAATATTTTTTTTTTCCCCCCTCTCTTACGGAGTCCTACGGAGTATACACCGATAATTAAACCTCTGCCCATCACTTCTGTCCTTTCGCCTGAATACTCGGTATGGAGGAGTTCGTGCCGACACCCAACAATACTTAGCATCTCCCTTCGTCTTTACTCGTAGCTTTCGCTGGCCTATTGCCCTCTGAAGGGTCCCTTGAATACTAATTCAAGCTCATTCTGAAACCTGATCATTCTGCCCCGATACCGTTCCAGAATACCAGCCATCAAACATGACTTCGTTCGTTGCGCAGAGCGGGAACCGGTTCCTGAACAGGGCAGTACCAGGGCCAGGTGGTCCACAGCGTTCATTCGTTCATCCATCCGTTTGTCTCAGGTCCATTGAAGCTATCCTAGAATGACTTATCTCGAGCAAACCTCAATGACTTATCAGTCTAGTCGACATCTAGGCCCAGGAGCCCATCTTACCTGCACTGTCCAGCATAAACATGTATGTCTCTGCGGGCACTCCAATGTACAGTGTGGTCTGTTCTGTTCTGAGAGTGGCTCTGAGAGTGGCTTCCTTGAACCATTTCTGGCCTTTTGGTGGTGTACTATGGAGAATACTTGCTGTGGAGCGCTTGGCTCGAATATACAAATGGGACCACTGGGGTGATGGAGAGAATGTGTGCACGATGATCGTCCTGAAGACGAAAGGGTATGGGAGCCTGGAGTTTGGAAGTTTTCTTAGATCTCTCCCTCCTATCTCCGTCTCCCCCCGTCGCTTCCCCTGACTCTCTGGTAAGACATGCAGGAAACAGGGGATGAATATTATAGACTACACAGCAGCAGCGGAGCCAGGGGTGACTTTTTAGGACCCCTTGGAGTGGACCTGGCAGACCTAACAATTGGCATGGATGCATGAATCTGGCCAAGCTAGCAGCCAACATGAACCCAGGTATGAATATCCAATATGGGGCTAAGGCAGGGATGATCATCCATTTGATTGGCGGTAGCGGTACCTCATTTTACTTTGAGTTTATGGTTATTATGACTGACTTCCGCATAGCCCCTCACCCAACAACTTGTTGGACTAGTGTAGGCAACATACATAGGAAACCCTTGGCGGTGCAAAGGGTCAGCGCTTGCTCGACCGTTTAACACTGGCTCTCCACCATCAGCTAGTACTGACACGGGCTGTTTCAATCCTGAAAATAAGCAACGGGCCGCCTAGATCGGTATATCTCCGAGGACTACGAAGTAACTCAAGTAATGTTCGGGTACAGGTGCCTGTTGACAATCTGACATGCCATGTGAAAATCCTGGGTATGGTGGAGGCTTAGCCGTCCCCAGAATTTGGCATTTCCAAAAAGTCCCCGTGAGCTGCCCGTTGCCTCTTTTGCGACAAATAGAAAAGAAAAGAAAAAGAGAGGGGTGAAGGGAGGAAAAGCCACAAGGAGAAAATTTGCTTTATCATCGAAGTAAGCCTCAGCCACTGATATGGATGGAGACTATGGTGCATGATGAAGCTCTTGGTCACCCACCAGATTCAGTTTAAGAAACTAAGGACCTTCAGCCTGGTTTGATTGAGTCTTGGTAGATGAGTGATCATATTCTACCGTGGGACTTCAGCCTCCTAACCATGGGCTTCGGTGAGAGAAGATCTCCAAACTTCATCCAATCAGTTGTGAATTTAAGCGAAAGGATGCCAACGTCAAGCAAGAATCCGTAGACGGAGGTTCATTCGGAGTCGGACAAACGCCAAGTCCGTTGGTCTGTTGTGACGATTTGAATTGGCAATCTTAGCATTAAGGGAACGTGGCGTATCGGGACGGGATCCATCAGCCCACCTAGGAGGGGACAACTAGTATGTGGTATTTACTAGGATCTCAACTTGAACTAGAGGGACGACCGTTTGATCGCTGGAACGAACTGCCAGTTTTCCCCTTAGTTACCTTCTAGAAGACATTGGTAAGCAATGTCAATCGTAGAGGGTTAGGGACCTGTTTCATCATCCGTTTATTATGTCAAAAAGCCATGCGAAGAGATCCGGGAACGTGGTGTCAAATCTGCTGCAGCGGACTCGAATCGGAGGGCACTTGGAAGACACATGGGGACAACTGCTTCGAGTAAAGTGTTCTACACCGACCCCCCAAGGACTTGGCGAATTTAGATAGCAGGCGTTTAGTCCATCTGAGTCCATCTGTCGGCGTGAATCCTTCGAGGCATCAACCAACGCCCCGGTTGTCCCCTGATCAAAATTATCATCACTAGCAGCCCCAGGGGGATCCCAGCCTCTAGCTCGTACGACCATCGAATCACGAGTGCTTCAGCATCATCACCCCACCAGTGGGAAATCGAAGCAGTGGACCTTGTGGGGAATCCGCGCAAAATCGGGCTAGTGATTCTCGTGCGAAAGGCAGAGTAAGGCCAAGGCAGTTTCCATTGGCAAGGATGGATGAGGTATTTTCCAGCATATGAAAGGTTAACCTGCAACTAGACCAGTTAGTGAAGTTGCACTGCGCAGCAGCTGGGAACGGCATGATCAACCACTAGGGTCGATCAACATCTGGCTGGGATGTGGATTGTGGACTGCACCAGTGGAACTTGGAAGTGTATTGCTGGTAGACTCCTACGACAGTCTTTTCCTACCTCGGAACCAAAGAACACGCGACCCCTCTAGAGTTCCAGCCAAACTCTACGAACGAGTCGGGGATAGGTGGATGGATGATCTGCGGAAAAGTCAGGGAAGGAAAACCAGTGGTAAGCAGGAATTTTTTTTTTTTTTTTCTTTTTCCAAACCCAAGTACCGGAGCAAGAGGAAGCGAGAGAGAAGGAAAGAGAGGGAAAAAAAAAAAAAATAAATTCTTGCCCCACCAGGTCCAGTGATTCTCTTCCCCTTCTTTCGGTTCCTCCCCATTGGGAATCCCCAGTCACGCTTCCTTCGTGCTGACGGCGAATCCATCTCCATTCCATACCAACTGGATCTTATCGTTCCATTTCATTTGATTTTCTTTCCTTTTCTTTCATTCCATTTCATTTCCCATCCCATGCCTCCGTAAATCTTTATATACCTCCCTGGAATCTCGCGTTGTCGCACTCCCCTCTACTGTCGAAGAACTTCATGTCTCGACCCCACACTCGCCTCTCTGATCTATTCGCCTCTCCCTGCCCATGGAGATTCATACGGTAATTTGTGCTCCAGTGAAGCAACCCTCTTCCACTCCTCAGCCCCAGGCTGCATCTGCTCCTCCGTCTGAAAAACGGAAGCGAGTGCGCAGATGGCATCACCGAGGTTTCACTGGTTGCTCCACGTGTCGCCGCCGCCATGTTCGCTGTGATGAAGCCTCGCCTTCGTGCAGGAATTGTTCTCGGCTCGGCCTCGAATGCGACGGGACGCAAGGTCGGATGACCTTCAAGGTCTACGGTCCTCCACAAGCACAGGATTCATCCTCTTCGGCTGGGTCAAGAAAGCGTGAAAAGAAGTTGATCACTGGCACGCCACCTGCGCCCGTAATAGACGGGAAGATGATCAAGCGGGAAGTCGATGACGACGATGAACTTGTGGAATCGGTGGTAGTGTCCCCTACCACGCTGTCCGATATAAAACCTGTCAAATATCGTTTTCAGGCCCCGATTTCTCCAGCGGAATTTATGTCGTCGACGTTAGACCTCGACAGCCGTTATTATACGCACTTCATTGACCGGGTGGCAACTCTGTTGCTCATCTACGATAACTCTATCAACATCAACCCTTATCGTCGGCATTTCCCCGAACTTGCCCGATCATCCCCTTCGATGGCTAGCGCCATGCAAGCCTTGGGTGCATTGCACCTCGCAAATACATCGAGAGGCCAACAGCGGATTACCCACTTTCAACAAGCCATGGCAAAGTATGGCGACGTGGTAAAATCCTTTAGGACCAGATACAACCGACCTAGTCAAAATATGCAGTTAACCGATTTTGCTACTTGTCTACTGCTGGGCCTCTTTGAGGTAAGTTGTTTTGGTCTCGTCTCGGACCGTCCGAGGGACATGTGCTGATACTGTCAGATGATGGATTCTCAACATCATAACTGGTCTGTTCATCTCAAAGGGGCGCGCGAAATATATCGCCTCCTGTTCGTTCCGAATGATGACCCCGCCAAGGAAGCTCAACGCATCGCTGAAACAAACCATCCGCTGCGACCGTTTCTCGTTTCCCTCCTTTCCTACCTAGATGTCGCAGGCTCTTGTGCCTCCACCGAAGGGACAATAGTTGAAGGCAGCTATTGGAGAACCCATGGCGGTGGTTGGGAATACAATTTGGGTACGCCAAGTCTCTCGTCCGAGACTCTTGCCGAGAACCAGCTGCTGGCTGAACTACGACAGTGCTGGTCCGTTATGATGGAGATCCAGGTCGCTATTAGTACTTTCGGAAACGCAAAGAAACAAGGTTGGATGTCGTATGAACAGCAAGATATGACATCTCGCGACTTGATGAACCGGCTAGCGGAGTGGCGACTCGGCGCCCCCCAATGCATTCAGCTGCTAGGCGACTTGGGTGATGACAGCCTACGACAATATCCTTATCCGGAGGTCGTAGAGTATAGCGGATGCGTTCAGGCGTATGAGAAGGCAACGACTATCTTCCTGCATAAAGTGTCGGCGGCTGAGCGTCCTGACCGGCAGCCCCAGAGAGCTGTGATGGACATGCTGGCATCTCGCGTTCTGGATTTGATCAGAAAGCTCGCCAAAGACGTTGGTCAGCTGGCGGTTCTGTGGCCCCTTTTCACGGCTGGGCGTGAATCCCGAGATGAACAGGAGCAGAAATGGGTACGGCAAACGATGCTCGATCTCCAACGATTTGGATTCAAGGTATGATGCCATATTATCCAGTGGTATGAGGGGCCAGTTAACTAACTCGATCCTAGAACGTTGACAAAGCCCTTGAGGAATTGGAAAAAGCCTGGTTCAAGCAACGGGCTTTTCCTGAAGGATGGGTTGATACGATGGACGAGGTCCGGACCTCGATTCTTCTTCCCTGATACACCCAACATACATACCCTGAATTAACAAGGGCGGTCATTTCTTCGTACCTTGATGCCCTATCATCGTCCTTTACTGAACATACTGAACATTCTTTTGGATTTTGTCGATATATTATTAGCGAAGGGTCAAAATTGCCCATTCATTTCTTATGAATCTTAAGACGGGAGTTCAGGGACAGAGAAACAAGCCTGAAAAGGGCAGGACCCTATACATACACCTTGACTGTGCAAATATTAATTACTGGGATCACTCGCATTGGCAGCTTTGGCACTGGGTATTTGCTATTTGGCTTGGCTTGGCTTGCTTTTTTTTTTTTTGTTTATTTATTTGAAGGCTGTTCATCGGAAGGATGAACATGGCAATGGATATACATACACAGGTCACCATGCGTCAGGTTTCCTGAAAAGCAAATATACAGATAGATGATAGACATTTACAGCTTATTCGCTCAGACGCCAGCCTACTAACTAGATATATGTAAAAGGATAAAATGATCTAAATTCCTTTCGAGTCTAAGCTTTCCAAACTTTTAGTATATAACATGTCTAATATACACCACCCGCACCCTCATGTCCGATATATACGCCCTCCTCCTGAATTAGATAGTTCCCCTCGGGACCCAGGGAACTTACAATTCCCCTCTCTCTATCCTGTTCTAGATCTAACCGTAGTAACGTGCCTATCACCCTGCCCATCATGCTCTTGTTCTTCTCTTGCAGGTGAATGAGAAGTAAGTGGTCGTCTTCCCACTTCCTCAACCGTCTCCATCACTCCCTTGCTTTCGATGAAATGCGAGATCCTGTTTCGAGGTAACCAGGCGTCCTCGGGCATGACCATGTATGAAATGAGAGCGAAGATGGTCACGCCGGCCATGATGATGGGGGCATCTATTATTATTATTATTATTATAGTCAGCGTGGATATTCAAGAACTAGGATAAAAAAGTTTGGGAGAAAAAGAAGAGGAGGATGAGGTTGATAATAGTTACGAATGTGAGAATCTTACAGTTTAAATTCGCCCCCGTAACTGGAAACACATACGGAGAAAACAGCACGGCGACGACCCATCCATTCCAGAATACTCCGATGAATTGGAACGGCTTGCTCAGGCGACCGAGACTCCATGCCGGTTTGGGGAACCGTTTCGGCGTGCATATCAGTCGGGCGAGACAGATTAATCCGTACGCTGCTGCGCTAGGGACTCCCGCTGCTGAGACTAGTGAGGTGAATGCCACGTCAGATGGCAGAAGAGTACATGTGATGAGAGAAGCGACGGTCCAGACGACGATGACGGCGTTGCGTGGCTGGCCGAGATGGACGTGCGATACCCACCCGGAGAATGGGAGGACGCCGTCCCGGGCGACGGCGAAAACGAGACGAGATGCGGCGACAATGGCGACGGCGGTGTTCTTGAACTTCGTGTTAGGTTGGCAGTTTTAGGTTTAGGGGGTGGATAGGGAGAACTGGACGTACGAGCCAGAGAGCAACGACGCAGATAATGTTCATGAAGATGTGGCCGCCTTTGCCGAGGACGACAGCGTAAAGAGGGACGAAGGGTTGAGGAGATCCAAAGGAGAAGAGTGTTTCAGGATTTGGCTGTAGCGTTTAGGTTAGCCAGGAGGTTAGGTAGAGGATGGGTAGAGACGGACAGCGCAGAAGAGGAAGAGAATGATGGTTGCTAGGCCACCGATTCCACTGGCGATGGTACTCCAGAAGATTCCGCGGGCGGCGGTGATAGAAGCTTTTTTGGTCTCTTCAGCGACGTGACCAGAAGCATCGAATCCGATCAAGATGCCAGCTGTGGCGAGGTATGATAGACACCAGTTCCATGCGGGGGGTGCGCCGGTGCCGTTGTACGTGGACATGAAGGCTTCTTCAGCGGTGCGGAAACCCCAGGTGTTGTGGGCGCCGATGGGTAACCAGATGACGTTCAGGAAGAAGTCCAGAAGGACGACGAAGGATGAGAAGTAGAACACCCATCTAAAGTACTTGGCTGGTGGGCAGTGAGTGGTGTGGACATAAACTGCTAGATGATATTCAACATACGAGGCATGAAGTTCAGAAGTGCTGCCAATGCCAGCAAGACTTCCGTGCAGATCCATTGTACAGCACGGAATTTCACATCGGACGTATCGGTTGGGAAGTCGACGTTGAACACGGTCAGTTCCTGCTTCGTGGTTAGCGAGTTGGTCAAGAGATGAGTATGATGAACTGGTCGCTCACCGACAGCATGTAGTTTACAGCCGCCTGGGTGTTACTGGCACAGAAGGTGGTCCATGCCGTTGTGCTCCACCAGGCGACGATAAACCCGAGCAGCCGTCCAAATCGAGGACCACCGGCTTCGGCAGCCCAGAGATAGATCGAGCCTGCTGACGGCGAAGCCGAACACACTTCCGCTATCACGGCCGCTGAAATAAACGTAAAGACCATCGTGACGAGGTAACTCGTCCTGATACATGTTAGGATATCCTGGATCATCATGCAATGGGTTGTCTAGCCGGCACATACCAATACGCCAAGTTGCCACCAGCTGCTATACCGGTACTGAATGTGACGCGGACACCGCCAACGAAGTACAGAGCGGCTGAGAATAGACGGGTCAGAAATCCGGACACCAGATATTAGGTGGATCATAGTTGCCTTACCAAAGGTGGTCGCAAAGTTCTCAAATAATGAATACGTCCGATGAAGGACCTAGGATCATCCATAAGCTTTAGAATCAAGTATATATGAATCAAACTTACGGGCTTGTAGCCCATGGTCCTCTAAATACAGTCAGCGTGCACTTCATAAGCATTGGCCGGGCAGGTCGATCTTGACATAATACACACCAATAAAGCAGCATCGTCTTGCGACTCCGTTTGGCTTCTGGTTTCTTCTCCATCGATTGGCGGGACATCGCGCTCGACGATCAGATCCGAATGCTGCTGGGACATGGGAGCCATGGCAGCAATACGGTTGACAGGGAACGGACGCTTTGACCAGGGGGTATAGAAGATCGCAAAGCGGGGGAAACTCGAGCAACGGGAGATCTAAAACATTTATTGATAATGATAACTAGATCTTGAAGATGGAGTTTTTGGGGGGGATGACATGCCAACCCCACTGGAAAATAGCAGCAAAAAAAAAAAAAAAAAAAAAAGGATAGCGTGATAGAGCTATGCCGAAAAGGGCGATGTCCCTTCTACCAGCAATGGCAGAGCATTCACTGCAGCGAGTAAACAGGAGGATGGATCTACACTAGTTCATTAGTACGAATTCGAATCCTGTTGGGAGGAGAGACTAACCGGAGATGTCTGCTCCGCAAGATTCTCATTCAACTGCAAAAAAAATAATAAAAAAAAAGTGGGAATCAACTCATTTCTACGTGGGTCTGATGGAGAGCGTACCTTAAATTGCAGGCCGTCGCCAGGCACTCAGGCAGTTGCTGAGTCATCGGTTAAGAAGATAAACAAGACAAATATTCCGGAGTTTGAACTTGTATAGAATGGAAAGTCTCATCATCTATATTCCTGATTAGCTTTATACTCTTATTTAGAAATTAGCTGTCTGTTAAAACTAAAAGGTATTGGTGACAGCTACCAGTGAGAATGCTTTACTAATCTGATTAAGGCTAGTTACATATAATACCATGCATTCCCGGTCCAATTGTATACCCAGTACTATATCCAGAGCATGGACTGGCACGGGCTTTGTTGTAACTCTTAATTTTGCATACTGGTGTTTGTGATGTGATATACAGAAATAGGTCAAATAAACAAAGTCCTAATACGTTAACTTTACTATACTGGGAGGGTTACTCAACAAATGACATTACATCCCCAATGATCCGTGATGCAACGTGATACCTTCTAGAAAGTCATCTGACTGCGGGAGGGATTCCCAACCCCCGTCATCGCCGCGTCGATTGGGAATCCACCGATGATGGATGTTGAGATGATGCGATGACGCTGCCAAGATCCGATGCATCTGACATCTTCATGCATCGATGCATGTCCACCCCCGCATTTCCCCTCATTTCCCAGTCTTGGTCACATCGCTGGCGGCACCGTTCCATCAACCGATCTAAATAATTGATCGCGATTGACTCGTGAGGATCCTCAGCCCCCTTGCTGGCGTCGGCATGATTCTTGCCGCTCCCCTCTCATTAGCTCCGCGCAGGGACAAGGAACAAGGAACCCATCCGTACCTGCCCCAGCACCTTACCTCAGTGTCTACCCAAACTCCGAGTCCGGCGATTAATTCCTTCCCCCTCTTTAAACATCGGACATTGCCATCTAAGTCCTCCTTCACTCCCTCCTCGGTCGTCCTCCTTTCTAATTCCCTCTTGTCCGTGACAATCCGGGTCTGACATGGTCGGATGCGAATGCTTATCCCTTCGATCTCTGGGCTATCGAGGGTCTATTGGGATGAAAACTCTGTGAAAGACCCATCAGCGCCGTGTCCATTGGTTGTCGTAGATACCAAGCATGAGTGTCCCTCGTTCACTGCGGTCGGCGCTGGGTCCGTGTCGTGCGGTACCTAGTGCCTACCCAGGAAGATCGCTTCTTTCGATTAAACGTCCAGGTAAGGAGCGATTCTAGCGTGTCAATCAAGTGAGAGCTCTCCCCAGAATGTGTTGACTCTGAAACTGTCCCATCAGTGGTCCAACCCCGACACCTGCCTTTCCTGATATGCAGCCACGAAGCGTTATCCCTTCCAAGCTGGGCCAAAGCCGCCAAACGAAACGCGAGCAGCTCCTCCTCTCCGTCGCCTGTTCCCGTTGTGCCGTATTCTTCCTTGACCGTGGGAGTGCCTCGCGAGACGTATCCGAATGAGCGGCGCGTCGCGCTTACACCTCAGAATGTCGCGTTGCTGCGTAAGAAAGGCATCTCGCGTATCTTGGTGGAGCGTGGTGCTGGGGAGGCGGCCCAGCTGCTCGATCAAGCCTACGAACAGGCCGGAGCGACGCTAGTTGATCGATCCGCCATATGGTCCGAGAGTAATATCGTCTTGAAAGTCCGCAGTCCTCAGCAGGAAGGTCCTATCAACGAGATTGAGGCGCTCCGACAAGGAAGCACGGTGATCTCATTTCTGTATCCTGCTCAGAATAGACAGCTCGTGGAGAGCATTGCCTCGCGTGGTGTCACTGCGTTTGCTATGGATATGGTCCCACGGATCTCTCGGGCACAGACATTCGATGCATTAAGGCATGTTTCACTGCACCCATTATGAAATCATGTCGTACTGATAAACTTGATTCAATCTAGCTCCATGGCCAACATTGCCGGATACAAGGCTGTGTTGGAGGCCTCGAACCAGTTCGGTCGTTTCTTGACGGGTCAAGTAACTGCTGCTGGGTAAGCCATTGTGCTTGGTTGATTTGTAGAATCGTGCTAATTAGACTTGTTATCCAGCAAGGTTGTACTCCTTTCGGAGCAAGATATTATGGGACTAATAGCGACAACCAGATACCCCCTAGTAAAGTCTTGGTTATCGGAGCCGGTGTGGCCGGGCTGAGTGCCATTGTTTCAGTAAGTTCCTTTCAGTTTCTGTCGTGTCATAATCTGTCTGTGCCAACTCTTCAACTTCTAGGCACGTCGTTTGGGAGCTATCGTTCGTGGGTTTGATACCCGTCCCGCTGTCCGTGAACAAGTCCAGTCTTTGGGCGCGGAGTTCATTGAAGTAGACATACAGGAAGATGGCTCGGGACAAGGTGGATATGCCAAGGAAATGTCCAAGGAGTTTATTGAAGCCGAGATGAAGCTATTCATGGAACAATGCCGCGAAGTGGACATTATCATCACAACCGCTCTCATTCCGGGAAAGCCAGCACCAAAGCTTATCACCAAAGAGGTAAGACATTTCTAGTGAATGGACGTGGACTGTCACTCATATCATTCAAGATGATTGCGGCTATGAAGCCGGGATCTGTCATTGTCGATCTTGCAGCAGAGGCTGGCGGCAATTGCGAGGCAACCGTTCCCGGGCAATTAACAAGCTACAAGGATGTAACCGTTATTGGTATGCCAGCCCTATGGAATTATCATGTCTTGCCTGGAACTGACTGGATACAGGGTACACCGATTTCCCGTCGCGGCTGCCAACTCAATCATCTACGCTGTACTCCAACAACGTCACAAAGTACCTGCTGTCTATGGCGCCACAGGAAAAGTCCTTCGGCATTGACTTGAACGATGAAGTGGTTCGCGGTTCGATCGTTACTCTTAATGGTGAAATTCTACCCCCAGCACCACGCCCAGCGCCCTCACCCACGCCGAAAGTAGAAGCGGCAGCAACGCCTGCAAAGGAGAAAGCACAGCTAGCCCTGACTCCGTGGCAAAAGGCCACGCGTGATGTGACGACCGTGACTGCTGGTTTGGGCACCGCTCTTGCCCTAGGAAAGGCGACAGGTCCTATTTTTATGAGCAACATGATGACGTTTGGACTCGCTGGACTTGTTGGTTATCGTGCTGTATGGGGCGTTGCGCCGTCTCTCCACTCTCCCTTGATGAGCGTCACCAATGCAATTTCAGGTGGGTATCCCCCCCTACCTTTTTTCTGGCAGATGACTTAATGCTGATGGATGATATCCACCTTCAGGTATGGTCGGCATTGGTGGGTTTTTCATCATGGGCGGTGGATATATCCCCAGCACAATTCCAGAGTACCTCGGAGCAGCTTCCGTGCTTTTAGCATTTATGAATGTCTCAGGAGGGTTCGTTGTAACAAAGCGCATGCTGGACATGTTCAAACGTGGGTATGCCTGTCCCTATCACTTTATACCTGCTTACTAGAACCAGGCCCAACCGATCCACCTGAGTACCCATGGCTCTATGCTATACCGGGTCTTCTTTTCGGTGGGGGATTCCTCGCCGCTGCCAGTACTGGAATGGCTGGACTGGTGCAAGCTGGATATCTCGTAAGCAGTTTGCTGTGCATGGGTATGTGGCACTATCAACAACTTGGCTTTTAATGCTGATATGACTGCTAGCCTCAATTTCGGGCCTTGCGTCGCAGCAGACAGCGCGCCGAGGGAACATCCTTGGTATCTTAGGTGTAGTATCAGGAATTTTAGCTTCCCTCGCAGCTGTAGGGTTTTCGCATGAAGTGTTGACTCAGTTCGGCGCCGTTGCTGGCGTGGGCGCTGTTGCTGGTATGTCTCAAATTAATCGCACATCTGTCCACTTTTATTCAACATTTTCTCATTATTGATTCGCAGGAGCACTGATTGGGCGTCGTATTACACCAACGGGGCTCCCTCAAACCGTTGCTGCCCTTCATTCTGTAGTCGGTTTGGCAGCTGTCCTCACAAGTATCGGAAGCGTCCTTACAGATATAGCGCACATTTCCACACTGCACATGGTGACTGCCTACTTGGGTGTGCTTATAGGTGTGTTAAGCAGGCAGACAAAAACATAGGATGCTAACTATAGTAGGTGGGGTTACTTTCACGGGCTCAATTGTCGCTTTCATGAAACTGGCAGGACGTATGTCGTCCAAGCCTCTGATCCTGCCAGGTCGACATTTGGTCAATTCCACTTTACTCGGGACTAACATAGCCACCATGAGCGCCTTCGTTTCCATGGCTCCGGCAAACCCAGTTATCGCGGCCACATGTCTGGGTGCGAACACCGCACTCAGCTTTTTAAAGGGCTACACGACCACCGCTGCCATTGGTGGGGCCGATATGCGTATGTCTCTCCGAGTTTTCCAGATCGAGTGCTAACAGTCAATAGCCGTTGTCATCACAGTCCTCAACGCATATTCGGGATTTGCCTTGGTCGCTGAGGGTCTTATGCTCAACAATCCGCTGCTTACAAGCGTAGGGTCTCTAATCGGAGTCAGCGGTTCGATTTTGTCGTATATCATGGTGAGAAATACGTTTTGGGATCTTAGAAATGGTACTAACGCTGGATAAGTGCGTCGCCATGAATCGTTCCCTCACCAACGTGCTGTTTGGCGGTATCGCAGCTCCTCAGCAAGCGAAGAAGATTGAAGGACAAGTCACGCAGACCACTGTTGATGACACAGTCGAGGCTTTATCCAACGCGGAAAACGTCATTATTGTACGCCAATCTTGACCGCGTTGATATACCCGCTAACAGGCACCAGATTGTTGGATACGGCATGGCTGTGGCCAAGGCACAGTATGCACTCGCCGAGATAACCCATATGCTACGAGCCAAAGGCATCAATGTACGTTTTGCGATCCATCCGGTCGCTGGAAGAATGCCTGGACAGTGCAACGTGCTTCTTGCGGAGGCTTCGGTCCCTTACGATAGTAAGTCCTCCTCTTGGTCCGACTGAGCCAGGGCTAACCCCAGAAGTCGTTCTGGAAATGGATGAAATCAACGACGACTTTTCTGACACAGATGTGACGCTCGTGATTGGCGCAAATGATACCGTCAACCCCAGCGCATTGGAGCCCGATTCCCCCATTTCCGGTATGCCGGTGTTGCAAGCGTGGAAGAGCAAGGAAGTGATCGTCATGAAGCGTGGCATGTCCAGTGGATACGGTGAGATTGATCGAATAGCAGTAAAGAGAGCATACTGACGGCAACGCAGCGGATGTGCCTAATCCAATGTTTTACATGCCTGGCACCCGGATGCTGTTTGGCGATGCGAAGACTTCCTGCGATGGTAAGTTCTCTTGCCTTTTGGAGGCCCATTCTGATTGTTTGCAGCTATCAAAGCCAGCCTTGAGGCACGTAAATAGATACGGTCAAATTCTGTTTGCTTTATGAGTTCTTAACTGTTAGCATCATGTTATCGGGATAGGAATCCATCGATTGATGGATTGAGTAGATCCGGAGATAGAGATCGATAATCCTGGACAATCCTGAATCAAGAACTTTACTGTGGCTATGGCTTATGACGCCTCATATATGGCAGTAGCAGTTAATCCTACATGAGATATCCGATGTCTTCTTGGTTAAGGGTAGCTGAGAAACAAACAGAAGCACTCCTACCTCCAAGCGAGAAACAAGCCCCGCAATCACGAGACACGATGGATTCCATTACTCACCCTGTCCGTCAGACAAGTAAGTAGGTACACGCGCATCCATGACTCAAGCACCCACCTGTCGTCTATTATCTATGATTGAGAGGTTTATGACGATTCGGGTCGGTTTAGTTCGGTCATTCCAAACTTGGTTCTCCATGATTGATCTCTACATGTAACGTACACAGAACACAGTACAATAGGTAACATCCGTTTTATCCGTAGGATTATGCTATACAGTATATACATACCTAGGTAGAAAATGCCGTGTCTAGCAGGTAGACTTTCCACCTGACCTAATCCCGACATATTATAATAAATTTTACAATATATTATAGTTCGCAATATAATAATATAATATTATACTATACATTTATTTAATCTAAGTGCCGTGTCATCCCGTCCCCACGCAGGATAATGGATTAGGATAAACTATGGCTATTTGATTCGATTAGATAATTAATTCATTGATTTAATATACTCGTTCATCCAGGGTAGATTAATAGTATATTAATTCATTAGATTAGGTCTGACATTCTTGTTCTAGTATTACCAGAATAAGGTAGAGTAGGTAGGATATACGTAGTGTTTTAGAAGCAAAGATAAGAAATATAAAACAAATCACAAAGACAAATCTTAAATATCATCAGAACACAACTGGAAGCATTTGTTTTTATTTTTTGAAAAGAACGGATGGAACTGAGGCTCAAAAATGAAAAACCCACAAACTACCTAGTAACTTGGTAGACCCAACGGAGCACAACCCATCGTCGGTGCTGATAGGTGTTTGTTTCAGCTGGGGACGATCATCCATATTTACGGTCGTTGGGTGCTGTTTCATGTCTGATTATCATTTCCCAGATCAATCGGTCGAAGGTTCGAACGGAAGTTCGAAGGCTCGAGGAATGAATGGAATGGAAATTTATTCCTTCCTTCTTTTTTCCAGTTATTGTAAGTATCCACTTATGTCACTGGGTTGGGTAGCTCGAGGTTTATCATGTCATCCGCGTGGTTGATTGACTAATTCCACGGGTCGTGGTTGATCAATTAATATGCACAATCCCTCTATTACAGAGTCAAAAAAGCGTGTGTCATAGTATGATTTGATTTGAAGTGTATGGAAGAATCCAGTTCGTCCACGCAGGTAATACTCAATTCCAAAACAGTGGTCAACACGTAGTCTATCTATAGTACATGAAACGAAGTCCCGCTTCCCACCGGCGGGTGGGGACAGGAGAATTAGCAATGAGTAAAACAGGAAGAATAGCATCAATTCGCCCGATCCTAATCCGAACGCCAAGTCGCTGAGATATCAATACCCACAAATAAAATAAAAAGAAAAGATCAGGTGGTGCAACTGGGCTGACCATGTCGTAAAAGCATTGAATTAATGAGATACAAAATAGAAATTAGGCATTAGGCTGTTTAACAGAGATAGACTTTCTCTTGCTCCTCAACATGAACCCCATGAAACTTTTCGTGGTCTGTTCGGGGTCGGTCTTTGGCTCCTTGAACCGCCGTAGACTTTTCTTCCGTCGGAGTCTGTTCAACTTTTCGTCCGTCTCTTCCAGGTCATTCGGATCCAAGCTGTGCACGCTGTCGACTTCGGAGCGAAGACTGCTGGAGGAATAGACACTCGAGGCTGTCGAGCTTTTCATCAGAGAATTCCGAATGGGCAATGGCGTATGATTGCTTTTGTTGCCGGGCACGCTGGACACGCTGTACACGGAGTTGGACCGGTGTCGAGCGAAGGTCGGAGAGTTGTAGTACGACGCGGGGCTGGGAGTGCGAGAAGGAGGCCGGCTGTTCAGGGGCGAGACTGAGAAATCAGAACTGGCCGCGGAAGGAGAACAGGAAATGGGCAGGCCGTAAGAGTCGTCGCCGGGATACATCGAGTTATTTCGTCCATGGAAAAATGGTACGTGGGCGCTGCGAATACTCTGGATCGACGGTGGGCGTCGAAGAGAATCCGTGGGAGCGCGAGACCGTGTGAAAGGGTTCAAAGACGCCTTCTCGGAAACGGCGGTCTTCGGCCGTGAGGATGACATCGAGTGAGTGCAGTGCGACTTGGGAGGAGCGGACTCGGGCATCCCCGTGAACTGCCGGTTCGACTCGGTCGAGGGGCCACCCAGATCCGTCGTGTTCAGGCGTAGACCACTCTTCCTCGACCGTGCATTGTCACAGACAGCGCTTCCCAGGAACGGTTGTGATGATGCGGCGGGTTTTAGGTTGTAAAAGCCTAGCTGGTCCCGCGACGACTTGCTAGTGGCCCGATGGGCAGTGGAAGCCGGCATGGACTTTTCCGATACAGGAGACGAATGCTCCGTGACTGGGCTAATTAGGACTATATTAGGTTTAGTCATTGGTCCGACATATGTGACCCGTTCTGCTACGAGCAGGTCAGTGCCGTCGTCCGAGTAGATGGACGATGCAGAAGATCGCCTCGTCGACGACGGCGCAGGGGAGTCGGGCGGCATGTAGACGTTGGGTTGGAGGAAGGAGGGGGAGTGCAATGGCGAGGTTGAATCCGGTGATGGCAGCTCAATGATCACGCTCTCATCACGATCAAAGATGTACGAGTCTGCCACATAGGTGGTGCTACTGCTTCGCTTGACGGTGTCCATCGAGACAGGTCGGGATGATGGCAATGGTGACAGGAGACAGGGTAATGCAGCCTTCTCCATAACAGACTCGGAGGGATCAGCATTCGACAGCTCGTCCGCACTGGCGTCGGAGTCGAATGTGCCGTGCTCCTGGCAGGTTTCCACAGGCGAAAGGGCGTTTTCTTGGCCACTCAACTCGGGCTCCGAGATGTCCTCCTCTTCGGACTCGTATCGTCGCGGGAGAGGTTGTTGTTTGATGTAGGGAAGATGGAGAGAACCAGCGGGTTCATACATGACTTTCCAGCACTGCCCGTGAAGGGTCAGGAGGGAGAGAAAAAGGTTTAAGGTAAAAGCCGAAGAGAAATCGAAATTATTAAAAATTAGAAAATTAAGGCAGATAGGTCTTAATGAGGCAACGGGGAGGAATCCAACTGGAACGAGGTAGTAAGCTGGTGGTACAGCCCCCAGAAGAATCGGGACATATGCAAGATGACACAGGAAAGAGGGGGCGAAAGGATAGGAAGACAGGACGATGTAAAGGCAACCAACAGAGGAGACGATAGGTAAGAATCAAATATGGTAGGAAGAGGAAGAGGAGGAGAATATATCCCAGCAGTTAGTTCTCCTGGCCCACACGGGCTGGCATGCTCGAAAGGAGTGGATCCAGGTCTCTGAAGGAGGGAATTGACAAATGAATAATGAACGAATGAATGAATGCATCCATCAAGCCATCGATCATCATCGCTCAACACTGGAGAAGGACGGACCACTTGAAATGATCCACCGGGACCTTGGTTCAATGATTGTTGTCAGAGACTAAAAGCATCAGGGAGATCCGTGTTGCTGCACGTGCGGTGCCTGACTTTTTTTTTTATTTATTTTTTTTTATCTTTTTTTTATCTTTTTTTTTTCTCTTACAGTGTCTTCCTTGCCTAGAATTACATCGGTGCTTCAGGATTTCAAACCCTTGCATCATATTTATTTATTTATTATTACTGATCATTCGTACTCTGTAAATATTCCTTTCCTGACATCTCGGATCGATCCAACCGAAGCGTTAAGTTCGTGGACAAAATGGATGTATCAACTGGAGCTGTCAAGGAGGTCAATGCATTCTACCTCCTGAAGGACGGAGTATCCAGGTAGAAAGTACACAGTACGAAGTACAGAATACAGTGTACAGAATACGGGACGGAACAGACCAGAAGGCAACGAGTATGCAGCTAGACGGGCATCGCCGCACCATCCAGATTGCGCCTTGCTTGCGATAATCACGCCCTGCCAAGAGTTTCGGGGCCATGTGGTCAGATAAGCCTTGATCAGGACACTGGACGCAGTATGGTCTCTGGCACGAATAGACAAAAGGAGGGCGAATTTTCATCCATCAGAGAGACTCTGGCACTGTCAACCGCAATGGTTACTTGAAGTAGCATCAGTTCTTGAAAATTCGCGTGGAGATGATCATCGCGAGATGAGACTGAGACTGATACAGGCTACGAACGGAGCGTTGAGCGCAGACTCCACCGCCTGAGTTTGCTGTGGATCCGATCATCCTTTCTTTTATTTTTATTTTTTTGGCCTCCCTCAAATTCATTCTTCAGTGATTGTCTTTATCTCTATATATTTATTTCTCCTATTCCAGAAATTGTAGCCGTGATCACAAAGAAACGAATCCTTCCAACAGATGGATCCCCTTGACAAGTCTCTGCGATCGCAAGTGTGTAAGAAACCAGAAGTGCCAAGTCTGCCACCGCTGCTCCAGCATGGTGGAGTATGTATACCTCAAACACACCATACCTCTAGGGGTGCGAACTATCCTCTAAAATTCACTCAGAGTTGTAACAGAAGGCAAGTGGAAAAAGCAAGAAAAAAAAAAAAAGGAAAAAAAAGATCATATCCCTTTTCGTCGCACCAAATTCGGTCCAAAGACTGGGAAACTTCCCGATCCACGAATTAGACCCAAACTCTCCCCTACAGTACCAGACTCTCGCCCTTGCAGCAGCCCCCAAAATCCCAATAGGGGTCACATACCACGCCTCTCGACTGGTACCTGGATTACGGAGTGGTTCTCTGGACGGTCCAGTGTCTATCCTCTCTTGGTTGAACCGACTTGGTCGTTTGGTTGAATGGTTCTTGTGACGATCGGATCCCCCACACTCGGGTGAAATAGCCGAGAACGGTTTCACTCGGTGTTCTTAGCTTCTTGGAAGCTGTTCGAACCGATCTTCATTTATTTATTTATGTATTTCTGCACTGCTATCTCGCTGGAGAGTTCAGTTCTTGTTCTTCGGACATACGTATTAGGAACGGGAATTATGGGAGGTTGGCAGTGCGACCCTCCATATGGAGGAGCACTTACGGAGTACTCCATAGTTACATACGTAATTCTTGCATGAACAACATCCTTTGGATGCAATCCCGGAAGAAAAGCAAAATCTCAAGAGGTCGGTTCGCCCGTTAAACTGCAGGAACGCACCGGTTGCATTATGAAACAACCGCAATTGCATCTAGGGGATTCATCGCGACTCAGTTCCTATTTTTGGAGACCAATACTCGACTCGACTCGGCGATCTTAACAGATACGGTATGCATAAATGGGATCATAGACATGTGGCTGGAAGAATATGTATTGAAGATGCATACGGATACTAGGCTTCCCCAAGTCCGGAGTACTTGAACAGTACATATGTATGCAGCTCAAGCCATGCCTATACAGAACTCTATAAGTCCTCCTTGCCGTCTACGCGCGTCCAACCATGTGTATGCTCTTATCCAGCCCGCAAGATTCTACACTCTGCATGAAAGTATTGAGCGGGATGCTACTCTAACTTCAAATCTGGATATATTGATTGAGCTGACCCGTCTGGGCATGTATCATCTGCAACGCGTCCCGCCCAACCACCAGTCCATGTTCTTCCCCAGGCGGGAAACCATGGCTTGGGGCAACGGATCATCGAGTATGGAGTAAGGTGTGCAGAGTGTAGGTAGTCTGGATGCTATCTAATTATTTACTCCGTAGATGCCAGACTTACCAGCCAGCCTCCCAGCCCATCTCTCCCTCTCTAGTCTTTTGGCCCCTTGCTACGACTCAGTATCCTTGCAATACCCCGACGATGACGATGGCTATGACGAGGACGAGGCATGCCGTTCATTTAAATTTTCGATGAAGTTTCGATCAGGAACGCGATCATCCATACGTGGTAAGCCAACGGCTAAGCCTACCGGCCAAGCCATGATAGACAGGAGTCAACCTTGAACTAACACGGTAGTCAATTCTTGCAAGGCGGGAATTAATATTGAGATATGATACGCGGTATCATATGCGATCGTGAGGAAATCGATAAGATAGTTTGGAATGGTATGCGTTTATCGCTTATCGTAAATAACTTCAATACTTGGCATACAATGTCCTATCGATCGGGTACTCGTACTACATACTCCGTTCTGACGTACATATTTCTGGCTGTACGTACGGAGTACAGTATGTATGTATGTACATGACTGAGAAAACACCAGTTGCAAATCAAATCAAACTTTGCACCCCGGCAATATCACCCCATTATTACGGAGTACAGCGGGATCTGTCCTGGCTATGCAGGCACAGACGGATGACAGGGTGACAGGTCCACAAAATCAGGGGGAGCCAAGAATGTCCATACTTACCTGGGCAGATGGGGTATGGAAATTGGGGAAAGGTGGATAGAAACCCCCTCCCTGGTCTGGTCTGAAAGGTGAAGAATGAAGTGCATTATTAAGTTAAATTAAATTAGGTCTACATTAGTTTTATATTGCATTGCATGGCTGGCCATCCGACAAGGATAAATACCCGGATTTCCTATTTAAATCGCTGCCGAATGTGATGGATTAAGGTAGGATTCTCATACCCTGTACGGAGTACTCCGTACTGATGAAAGAATCCAGGACTGTCACTCTGTAGATTCCAGTATATACACTAGACAGATAGATATTTGATATTATGTATTCTTCGAACCCTACATACTCTGAGGATGACACGGTCAACGCGAGTAATGAAAGATGGTCCTGTGCTCCTGCGACAGGGAGAAGGAACATTTGACCAGCATCTTTTCCATGACAGCGATCGTCATGGACCGGAATCAGCCAGCACCTAAGATCCCTTCCCCTCTTCTGCCGGTATACTACATATTCTACGTATCCACTAGTCCTACAGAGAACCTGCAGAGAACAGCAGGTACGGAGTATGTACGGGTGATTCCAGTTCAAACTGACTTTAATCAAACAATGAGACCAAATAATACTAAACAAAAATAAAATAAAATAAAATAGTATAATATTCCACACTGTACAGAATATGGGTACTCCCTCCGAGTCAAGTGAACCGTCACCACTTAGGAAATCACTAATGTACCTTGGAAACAATAGCCTGCGCAGACCGAGATGATCTTCAGCGGTGGAGCAATAGGAAAGACGTCTGGAGGAGGGGTAAACGTCACACTATCATATATCATATCATCATGTTATAAGTTCCGCTTTGATTTGATTCGATTTTCATCCGACCCTGTTTTTGATCAATAGTTATATTATATTATTATATTATACGGAACACACGGAAGTATATTTTATTAATGATACTAGTTATATCATGGCCTTCCTTAAAAACAGGGGATGACCATCCTATCCAGCATTGCATTTCCATCCTATAATCCATAAGATTGGATAGGATCAGTCCAGAGCTACTCCGCACTTAACTACCGGTCGGAGGAGCTTTAAATTGCGATAGTCATGTATTTGTCTTCCTTCTAGGAAGGTAAGGTACGTCTCCGCTATGGAGATTAGTTCAGAAAACTTGTACATCATGCCATGCCACTTGCTAGCTATTGATTGCTATTATGGGGTGTTCCATACTAAGCATAGACCATAACTATGGTCTTTACCTTTAATGTGTATTTCTTCCCTCGGGCTATGTGTAAACATTCCCTTTATGTCATGTCATGTACGGAATACAATAACTACAATGCCAGATTCTTGCATCTATCTTTTGGATTCACATGTTCACTGCTATGTGTAGAAGCAAAGATCAGGTATCTCTGGTAGCTTTGATCACCTAGTACGTGTCTGTCTACAGTAGATTTCGAATCTGAATTCTCTCCATAACTACCCCTTCGAGATGGAAAGCAAATGGCTATTTACAGAAATTCTACAGTACATTGAGTCCTCTAATATACCGAGTAAATGCATGACTGCCGGTTCATATCATCACTACCTGAAGGCGCTCTTGAGCGCGAAATTAAATATCATAGTTAATTGCACAGTAATCTATATACAAAGTAAAGTTCATGAACAAGCCATGATTACATTACGTGGCATCTATGAATATCTAACTAAAACAATGGCAATGGATAAGAAGGTAAAGCAGCCCTGGAGCCAGCAGAACCAACCCAAAACAGAAAGAAAGAAAAAAAAAAAAAAAAATCTTAGAATACAGACCGGATAAGCCGGGAACCCCCGTGCCATATGCCAGGAAGAACAAAACCTGCACTCATGCAAACTGAAACCGGCAATATATGCCCCAGCGCTGTACCATAACATGCCCTAAAATCGGTCGCCAAAGCAACACGACCAATATCATGATGGTCATTTATTAAACAACGATAAAATGCTGAACCCCAAAATAAATGATTCGAATAAAAACATGGATCTCCGCGTCGCCTCTATCCGCACTGAATAAGCGGTATCCCAACATCAATCGTCAACAGTGTTTGACAATGTTGACCTCAACTTTCCCGCGGTCTACTACCGAATGTTAGGACCAACCGGTATGCCTGATCTATGCACAAGTCATTTTACCCAAAGCGTATGGGCCAAAAATTTAAGCCTTCCGTGAGCGAGTGACTGGGCCGTTGGACCGGCCAGTGGAGGTAGCACTGCCGTTCGAATTGGCATGGCCATTTGTGGCGGCTCCGTTGGTAGCGACTCCGTTGGTAGCGGCTCCATTGCCATTCTTGCTCTGTGGAGGCACCTGGAACTTCGCCATATCGATCACGGCCTGTCTACCAGTGTTGCTGCGGGGACGACCACCCTTGGCGGCTTTCTTGTAGGTAGCGATGTAGAAGGAGATGAACAGGAAGAGATAAGATGTGATGATGCCAATACCAGCGAAGGCAGCAAACTCCTCTCCGGCACACTTGCCCATATTAGGGACCCAGGGGAAGTAGGTAGAAGAGAAGTAGGTGTACGATGCAAAGTAGATGAATCCTAGCACTGCATTAGCGTCCGGGTGCTCCAGAGCAAGACGACCTGCGCTACTCACCGACATCAATGACGAACTGGATGATCTGGAGACGGGTGATCCATTCCTTCCACCAAATGCGAATACCACGAGCACTTTGGAAGTAGTACCAGTACATGACAACGTGAACGAGAAGGTTGATGGTGATAGGCACCCATTGCACAGCAGTCAGACCAATTAGTTGAGTATAGCACAGAAGAGCCGTGGCACCGTGGTGGTAGGTATGAAGGAAGGTCAAGGGCTTCTTCTTGAGAAACAAGAAGATAGTATCGATAAACTCCACGTATTTGGTCAGGTAGTTGAGCTACTCCTTCGTTAGCGTGTCCTCAATTTACCAATACTGGGGAATTCGCGCACATACATAGTACAAGACAATGAGAGGCTGGGTCCAACCACCATCGTGGTCACAGATGGAAAAGAAAATGCCATGGTTATAAATTGTTGGCAGCAGCTGCTCCACAAAGAGAGCCAGCAACGTTGCGCTGATCGCGGTCAGGTAGAAATTGTGGATCATGAACAATGTGTTGAGTTTCAAAGCGGAAAAGTTCTTCATAACGAAGCGACCTCCGAAAATGACAACGTAGTAGGTGACAAGCATTGCTGCTGTATCCTGGAATTTAGATAACGGGGTCTGACCCTCCACGAAGCGGAATTCGCTGGCGGGATAACCCACGACGTATTCGAAAGTCTTGTCAAAGATTGGCCATAGCTGAATGCCGAACGGCCGATCGATAGTCGGAAGTGGCACGTTCTGGAAAAATTCGAGCGCCATGGCGAATTGTGCAAATCAAACGATTGATTTCAAGCGAGAGATTATCCAAAATAACACTGCGTTTGCGGAGTTGTTTGAGCAGAACCTCGACCGAGGCAAGTGCTTTTTTATTCTTTTCCCCCCTTCCCTTTCCTACGGGGGGCGCTATTACCAAAGTCCGGCAGAAAGAAGCCGGGAAGACCAAGACAGTTCAAGGAACGACAGGAAGTGAAAAAACGAAACGAAAAAAGAGAAGAGGAAGAAGGAGAGGAAAGGGAAAAACGAGGAGAAAAAAGTCCACTGGGAAAGAGAACTGAAGGACGTGGAGAGAGTGTGTTTTAAGGAGAGTCGATCCGTTTTTGGTTCGTCCGGCACGTCCGCAGTGGCCCCGATCCGGAATAGTGCCTCGGCCAGCGTAAAAGGGGCGTTCCTCTTGATTTCTAGGGCCGGATAATCATGTGCTTTCTAGGCATTGAGATTTTTGTATCTTCTCAAGCACTTATGGATCCCCAATGCCTTTTCGCAAGGAAAAGAGAAGAGTTCAAAAATTGGGTATGATCTGTGGACATGTGCCTTTCAGCCCGACCTCGAGAGATCTCCATGTGGTTCTAATCAATCACAACAATTTGTTGATGCACCCACCAGGATCCTGATTGAAATTTGCCTTTCACATGCACCGAACATAAGACGATCTACGGAGTAAAAGTACTATTATCCTGGCCTACTATGGAGGTTTAATTTAAATTGCTTTTCAATGTGTCAAAAATCTGTCAACTACTTCCAATTACTACTAGGCAATCGAATTTTTTGGATATCGCTGATACATGGGCGATCACTAATCATGACTCCAGGCTTATTTGGAGAGAATAATCCTCCGATTTATATCGGCCCATTCCGAGAATCCGTAGGGACTCTTCTGGTCTAGTGGACTCGTGGAGGCTGTCAGATCTGACAGCTTGTGTCACAAGCACGATAATTGTCATAGGGCTTTCACCCTGTTATCTAAGATACAAGACTTGTTCCACACGGCCTTAACGTACTGAGTATACCGAGTGTTTCTGAGGATTTCGGGTGGAGTAATAAACTCATTTCCAATTCTGTATGGATTTTATGCATACCTATCTCAATTAAGGATCATAAGACCCAAGAACAATGCTTATGGTGATATATATATCCTGTAGGTAGTAGGGCTAGGGTTGCAACCAGGACCAAAAAATGATCTGCCACAGTTTTGGTCCCGTTTCTATAACTAAGCAGCTCCGATAGACCATGCAGTTTTTTTATAAAGATCATTCACCGCAATGCGGGGAATACTTGCTCCCCTGGTGTGCTCCGTAGTTGTACTATGCTGTTCATCTTGGATTGCAAAGACTGTCAGTCATAAGTTCTTTTAACATGACAAAAGAGGTTTACGTATACAGGTATAGCTTAGCTTGTGGCATCGTGTCTGCTCTAATCCAGTAGGCTAATATAGTTAATACAGTAAAACCCCTATATAAGCAGCACCCGATTTAAGCAAAACTCCGGTATAAGCAAATGAACACGGTGTCTAATTTGATTTTCCATATTAATATGCTTAACCCCCCGATACAAGATCTTTGCTTAATTTTTCGCCCTTTCCTATATAAATTTGCCTATATCGAAGTCACAAAATTGCTTATTCAGATATCACACTTTGCTTTAAAGATGGCTAAGAGGACGCGTCGCGCTATTTCAAATAGCCAGAAGGCTGCCCTACGCGCTCAACATCATTTAAAGCCTTATCTTTCTCTGGCATCTCTTTCTAAGTGGTTTGAAGAGACATATAAACAGCCAATTGACCGCTCCTCGATTAGCCGAATCCTCTCCTCTCGATTTGCCTTCCTTGACGACATTCAAGCGCATCAATCTGAAGATAAACGACGCCGTACAGAATCCTGGCCAGAGCTAGAAAAGGCACTCTACAACTGGATACGGAGGGCTGAGGGACAAATAACAATATCTCAGGAGATTATTCGGCAAAAGCAAGGGATTTCTGGCCGGAGGTCTATCCAGAAAGGGAGATGCCGCAGTTTAGCAACGGCTGGCTTCGACGCTTTCAATCACGCAGAAATATTAAGTGGAGGAGTCAGCATGGTGAAGCTGGAAGTGTATCTGAAGATGCAGCTACTGAAATGGTTATAATCCGTCACGCTCTTAGTATATATGCGCCTCAGGATATCTTTAACTGCGATGAGTCAGGTCTATACTGGAGGATGATCCCGGACCGGAGTTTATCTACACGTTTGCTTCCTGGCCGCAAGAAAGAAAAGGCTCGAATAACTGCGCATTTCTGTTGTAATTCAGACGCTTCAGAACTCCTTCCTATCTGGTTTATTGGGACAGCTAAACGTCCCAGAGCCTTTACTGCAGCTGGTATTAATATTGAGAACCTTAACTGCACTTGGCGCTCAAATAAGAAGGCATGGATGACTGGTGATATCTTTAAAGAATGGCTGCTCTGGTTTGATAGAAGAATGCAAGGCCGAAAAGTTGCTCTTTTAATGGACAATTTTTCTGCACATGAAGCTGCATATAAAGAAGTAAACCCGCAGCTAAAGAATACACTGGTTATATGGCTTCCATCCTGCTCAACGTCACGGTATCAGCCTCTTGATCAAGGGATTATACGCACATGGAAGGCATATTGGAAAAAACAGTGGGTTTTATATATGATGGCTGAGTACGACCGTGGTTTTGACCCGCTATCTACTATGACAATCTTACAAGCAATTCGATGGGCAATTTCTGCCTGGGAATTTGATTTGTCTAGAGATACAGTCAGAAACTGTTTTCAAAAGGCCCTTTCAATTGAATATGTCAATGAGCTTAATGATGAGCAACTTATTGACGATATAAAGCAAGGACTTCAACGCCTAAAACTCTCAAATAGTATCCAGGACATTATGGATATTAATCAGTTTTGAATCCCACAGAGGAGCAGGTTGATGATAGTCTTATAGATATTGACTCCGCAGTTCTGTCTGAAATTGCACCGCCTCCAGCTTCAGATAGTGATGAGGAGGAAGATCTACAGCCTCTACCAATAATTACACCTACAGACGCTTTAGAGGGCTTATATAAACTACGACTCTATCAGGAACAGCAGGTTGATGGAGATAAGGCCCTTATTCGGCTTCTTACACACCAAGAAAGGCTCCTTCTGGAGAGAAGAGCTCAAGCTCAGCGTCAGACAGATATCCGGTCATTCTTTGCCTGACCACCCACCTCCACCTTATTAAGCTGCGGGGCCCCTGGGTTGCCAAAAACATGCAGAATATAGGTTATATCTTATAGAATGATTATAATAATTAATATATGCGTTCTTTAATTCAGTATGGTGCAGTAGATTTATATAAAGCTATATAAATATATATATTTATTACCTTGTTCGGTATAAGCAAAAATCCGGTATAAGCAAACTTTTTAGCCGGTCCGAATTCTTTGCTTATATAGGGGTTTTACTGTAGTAACAACAGTTAATATGACATCCCACCCGGTTGTCTGTGCTTTGACGTGACCCATAGAAGACAAAAAAAGGTGTCCTGAGGCACCAAGGCAGGGTGCCGATAGAGTGGCCAATGGGATCGGCTAGACTACATGAGTACAATGCTCCGACCAATCATGACCGGTAAATAGAAATCATGCTGGGGGACTGGCAGCATTCCGCCTCAGGCACCACATTCTCGGGCGGGAACGGGAGCCGCGAGAGGGCGTCGATGACGGTTTGACGCAGCCTGAGGCATCCACAACCTCACACCACCCGCAAAATCCTAGCGGCCGGTTCGTCCTCTTGAATTCGACTTCGTCAACACCTCGCCCGTTCCACACCCACGCCCATTTGTCCACCCCCTCCCGCAGCTCACTCCCTCTCGCCATGTCGTCGATTTCTCTGTTCCGTGTCGCAACTCGCGCAGTCCGCCCTTCCGGCTTCATCAGAACCCCCCAATTGCCCCGGTGCCGTGTGCAGGCTCCGATTGCTGTCGCTATCAACCGTCCCAATTTCAGCACCACCACCAAGCGTCTTTCAGGTCAACACGAGGACGAGACATATGAGGAATTCTCTGCTAGGTATGCCATATCTGTCATTGAGCCATTGGTGTCTTGTGCGAGCTGGGAGTTCGTCGATCCCGGTTGTAGGCACCATCCTGTCTTACCTGGTCGATCGAGGGTGACTCTTGATGCTGATTCCCGCCTGCTTCTGATTTCCCACTCTTCTAATTGATAAATAGATTTGAGAAGGAATTCGATAGCGTGCAGGATGTTTTCGAGCTCCAGGTAAGCCGAATGCTTTTCTTTCACACCGGAATCCCGACCGTCCGTTCGTCCACTGCCGGATCAACACTTGATAATCAGCCCACCTACCATTGGCGGATTTCACGTGGCAGATTGTGATACATGTTGAAATATATTATAAAATTAATGGATGATACTAATGGCGTACTTTTTTCTCCATATAGCGGAATCTGAACAATTGCTTCGCCTACGATCTCGTTCCTTCTGTTGAGGTCCTCTCCGCCGCCTTGAAGGCTGCCCGCCGCGTCAACGACTTCCCCACTGCTGTCCGTGTTTTCGAAGGTGCGATTATCTCTTCAGCCTCATGACCCCCCCTCTATAACCGTAATTTATCCCGTCAAAACAAGTACTCACGCTCATTGTCCTCCCAACAGGTATCAAGGCCAAGGTTGAGACCCAGGAACAGTACAAACAATACCTCGAGAGCCTTGAGGGTCTGCGCCAGGAACTCGGCGTTGCCCTTCGTGAGGAGCTCTATCCCGAGGAGGCATAAATGGGCTTCCCCATATCCCCCTTGCGACTCGGATTGATCGTCCGGTTTATTTGTCTGTCGTTGAGATAGGAAAGCTGTATACATACTCTAGAATGCAGTTGGAAGAGGTCCCTAGTGTCTCGGTGGTTTTAATTATTCCATCTTCGACCGGAACCTTACCGATGGGAGGTTGAATGGAGGTGGACACGTGCTTTTCTATACCAGTGCTTCTATAAATTTTGTGAGCATTTATTTGTACTCTGTATTATTGGAGATAGTGAAAAACTTAGGTTGTTTCTTCTTTCCCTTTGCAGCATTTGAACGTGCTTTTTTGGTCGTCTAGCGATATATACACGGCATCTCGTTTTCAGATTTCGGGATTTGATCGAACCCCGGGATGACCCGGTGACGGGGTTTTCAGAAAAGAGATAGATGCGACAACTTTGTTCAATTTGTCTATTTGCGCCTCTCAGACATGATCAGATTGGGGGTACAGGGAAATAAAATGTATAGGTACAATCAAAGGCCGGCCCAGCCATCCCCTTAATAACACGTCATAGCTAACTATAAATAAGAAATATTAACCGCACAATGAGAAAGATAACTGGTCAAAGAATCTCCCTAAAACGCCCACCACAAAACTGGTACTCTTCAGAACTCATTGCCATCAATGCCGAGTGTACAATAATAGAAAGGAACTAGTTAGACATGATGACTGTATGCCAGAGCTGGTTTCATCATCATGTAAAAAAAACAGACGTGGCCGTCCTTTCGAGGGGGACCGATCCAAGACAGAAGCTTGAAATCATTATGCGTATCCACCCTGAGAAATAGAACCTCGTCGCTGCAGTTGGCAGGCAATGATGGTCTTATCTAGTCTCTCCCACATAATAGTGAGATCCTGGCCCGCTATCACTCAAAATGTGGTGGGGATATTATTTTGTACAATATTTTTAATGCGTTCCGACATATTTGAAGTAATTGGGCCGACAATCCTCCTTGGCCAGCCAGGGCTCACCAGCGTAGAATTGACCAGGGGTACAGCCGGAGCACTTGGGCGAATTGGGGCAGTTGAAATAGGGAACATGACGGTATCCAATATCGCGGAACCTAGGAGAGAGAATACCAGATTAGCGTTTGGAAAGCATAGCGAATGTGTACATCAGCCAACATACCAGTGGACCTTAGATTTGTCAGCGAATAGGCCAAGCGCAATCGAGTGCACAGGAGCATCGCCCCATCTTTCGTAGTAGAAGCCACCGTCATGGTCCAAATAATCGAAGTAAGCAGAATACTTTTCGCCTCTGAAGAACTCCATGTCTCCGATTTCGAAATTGGACCAAAAATGGCAGGTAGAATATCCATTGGCGGCCTTCGTATGCTCGGGCCGCAGTTTGTCATCTACAAGCCAATCCATCATGTTGTTATCTGAGAGATAGGTCGGATTCGCAGCAAGGAACTCCTTCGTCTTTGGCCACAGTGTAGGGATACTCTCGGGAGCGTCGAAGAGGTTGATGGTGAAACCATATGTGATATTGCGGTCCTCAACGAACCGGAATACGTCATAGTCAATGTTGCAGAAAAACTGGACCTTGGGCTCGACACGCCAGTAGTAGCGATACTTCTCGAGAATCGGGTGCCTATAGAACATTCCACTGTTCCACCGACACATGTTATGATAGGATACCTTGTCACTGTATTGGATGCCCTTCTCCTTCAGAATTTCCGCCGACTCTTTAAATAGGTCTTTGTTAATCCACTTGGGCATATCCCAATGCTCTTTAGGAACTTGCTCTGTACATTACGTTAGACAACCAATCCTAGCCAAGAGAACTTCGAGTGTTCCTACCATAATGGCACTTGGCTTTGGTCTCCGCTTGCGTCCGTCTCTTGAATTCTTGGGTAAAGGGCTTGTCATTGAAGAAAATCCAGGGATAGTTGAACTTGCTGTTCCATGTTCGCTCTAGATCACGTATAGTCGGTATGAGGTCGTCTAGCTCTTCATTTCGGACAAGGGAGATGAGCGCCGCGTTGGTTCGGGCAGAATTAGGACTATCGGGAGCGTAATCGTTGTCTTCAGCTCGCCATAACTTGCCCTCGGGTTCCCCGGTTGCTGAAAATAAGGGAAGTACTCAGTCAATACATATAACGAACAGCTCCTAAAATGTGGTAGGAAAGAAAGCCACTGTGGAGGACGTACGTTCCAAGAGAGGATCTGCTTTTATGCCCTCATAAGGCTGAGACCCCTTATTGATCATGATGGCGGAAGGTCCCTTGTTCATCTCGAAGATGAGGAAGAGGACTATGATGATGCATGCTGCACCCAGCATGCGAATGGGTCTTGCGACTGCCATCTTGACTGCCAGAACCAGACAGAAGGGACGGTGGACCTTGGATGGAGTGACTGGGCTTGACAGGAGACGATCGAACTGGCCGGAGGTATCGCCACGCATGATTGTTGCAATGGAGAGGCCGCCTTTCCCGGAGCAGCCTAGTGTGGACGGCAGTAAACCAGCAAACAAATCGAGAAGCGTAGTGCCGCGTCAAGCTTCGGTTAGTACTTTTCCCCCTGTTTACTCCATATTCTGGACCTCAAGGACCATGGGGTCTGTTCCGATTGCTGTCGACTTGGCTTCCACAAAGTTCTAATTATGGCCGTCACTGCTACGGTCAGTGCGCTAACGGAGGAACTGATTGCGACCGTTGCGAAGCTTGATAAAAAGGCATTTAATTTAGCCCATTTTCTGCTTCCCATGGGAAGTGAAATCTAACTAATAGCTTCTTGCAGGATACACCACGATTTAAAAGCTTGAAACGTCGAACGGAGGAGACATTCAGATCCAGTGCACATGCGCGTACTGACCAGTTTTTCGTCGCAAACCAACTGGAAGGACTGCAGGAGAAATTCCAGGTCCTTAGTAAAGATGAGCTGGCAGACGCTCTTCGGTCTCGCTTAATAGAGCTGAATCAACATCGGTGCTCATGGTTCCCGGAAATTCTCTCTTTGCTGCTGCAGCTTGCGGATCGACCTGCTCAACTGTCGAAGCTTGGCCGGATCGAGCAGCGCAAGCAGGTGCAGACGAAGCCCATCACCTGGACAGACTTGGATGCTTCTGGGTCTGCGTATTGCGATGAAGACATTTGGGAGAGTGTAGACTTTGGCGCTGAATCTTCTGATGATGACCTTGAGTCTGTATCCAGCGACGGCTACCTTCTTCAGCCTCCACGGCGAACATCTCTTGCTCCAGAAGAAGACTACGTTATGCCCGACGATGTGTTTTCTTCTTTGGAAGACGAAAATTTGATCGTGTCGATTAAAAATGCCCAATTTTGGAGAGACGAGAATAACAACGTTGGTCAGCATGAAAAGTTTTCTTCTCGAGTCATCACTGAGCTCCAGGTCGTAAGGGAGGCAATATTTATGCTACAAGGGCTACCTACATCGCTATTCTGGCGACTCGATGATGGTGTCGAGGTAGACCAAAGATACACACTTGCGCAATTATCAAGTGCAACGTTGCTATCCCTGCTGCGAACATTGAGCTCCATCGGATCAAAGTTAGATGGTCTGAGACGATTTACGAAGGCCCCCCAAACCATCCCACATATGCAAGCATTCGTTCTGGGCATCGAGGATTGTCTATCTGAGTTTGACAAGTTTTTGTCAGACGTGCAGTCACAGTATCTTTCGCGAAATGCGACTGTTGCCATTAGCATTCTACAACTGTCTGAAGAAGCTCGCAGAGAGTCGAGGCTACCGCTCCTATTGGCAGATCTTGTTTCTAAGATTAACCCTGATGACAATCCCGTGCGATGTTTAGATTTGCTTTACGACTTCATTTGTATGGCACAATCCACTGGTGCAGATGGCGACTTCGAGTTTCTAGCTAGATTGTTTTTCTCGTGCTTCGAGACGTACGCACGACCGATCCGCCTTTGGATGGAGACCGGAAGGTTGGAAAACTCAACTGGCGGTGCTTTTTTTATTCTCGACAGAGGCAATGATAATGATCTTCGAACACTTTGGCATGAATGGTATAGCTTGGATGACATGCCACGGCTTTGGCAGGCCCCCAAATTTATTCAACCACTTGCCCGCAAGATATTCATCACAGGAAAAAGTATGGTTTTCTTGCGGCATTTGAATGTGTCCGTGGACTGGCCGAACCCGCGAAAGACTTCATTGCCATTTGGGGATCTATTTCCCCGGGACTCGGAGTCTGCTTTTTGCCTCCCCTTCTCTGCTTTGCTCGAGTCTGCGTTTGGAAAGATGGTGGAGGGGCACCACACCTTTACCTCCACTCTGCTGCGACAGGAGCTTAATCAACAATGTGGCTTATCGGTCTCACTTGAAGCTCTGGAACATATCTATCTCTGCAAAAACATGAGTGTTGCGATGCCTATAGACAATAAGGTGTTTGAGCTTATTGACCAGGGCAGAGGGGCGTGGAACGACCGGTTCTTGCTTACTGAACTGGCACAAAGTGCGTTCAGCATTTTGCCGGTCGTTGATCCTTCCAGATTGATCGTTCGATCAAACCAAGAACATAAACTGAACGGCAACTGTCGATCAGTTAAGATGTTACAGGCAATCTCATTTGATTATATTCTGCCTTGGCCTGTTGCAAATATTATCACTAAGGATGCCATCGTATGTTACCGACGGATTTCTACTTTGTTGATGCAGATCCGCAGAGCAAAATACGCAATTCAAAAACAACGCTTGCGGCATTTCGGCGAATCAGATGGAATATCCGATGGCAAAGCCAACGCATTGGGTTACGCCATCCGGCATAACATGCTGTGGTTCTTGAATACTCTTTATAGCCATCTAACTGGGTTTGTTATCTCGACGGCAATTGATTCTCTGAGGAGAGCACTCGACGAATCTAGCGATGTTGATGCCATGATTGCCGCCCACCGCTCACACATGGCTTCTTTGGAAGACCAGTGTCTCCTGTCCAAGAATCTACACCCCCTCCACCAAGCTACTATTACGTTGCTAGACCTGTGTGTCAGCTTCGCTGATCTCCATGATACACGGCAGAGAGGGCCACAAGCTGAGCAGAGACGATTCTCAAGATATCATGACAACAAATCCCACAGCGATGATGAAGATGACGATGACGAAAATGATGATGATTATGACGATGAAAACGAAAACGACCCTGGTCTTGGTAGAGATTCAGTGGCTACCTCTCTCCATGGACCCCAATATACGCAACGGTTAGATGACATTAAGAATCAATTCGCCCGGATTATTGCATTTATGGCGGCTGGGCTGAGGGGGATAGGACGTGTCAATGGCCAGGTTAGCTGGGAGATGCTAGCAGAGAAGCTAGAATGGAGAAAGGAGCGTCTTGCTTATATGGCTCCTGGCGGTCTGACTTATAGTTCTGAACTAGATGATGACCATGCTATCATGTGTTAATTGTGAAATTTAGAATCTTAATATTACCCCACAGGGAATTGAAAGTCGTTTTCAAAGGGAAAAGAAGCATCCTTCTAGCACTGCTGTCTGGTGGCGCACTGCGAACCGCATCACTTCCATGTAGTGCGTAAGAATGCAGACATTTCCAAGCTCAGTTTCAAGTACCCGCTTTGACGTTACTACATATCAGGGCTTCTTGCAACATGATGCTATGCAATGTCAGGCAAACCTGTGTGACTCAGCGCCAGACAATTGCAAGCTCTGCTTTTGCCCGCATTCTACCCGCATCGTTATCCTTAGACCTGTGCGTTGACTTCACTGCGGACATCATCACCTCCCCACTGCAATCATCCATCTCTAGATCAACAGAAGAAATAATTTCAGAAAACCGCCGATTGCTGTACTAGCAGGTTTGGAACTCTCGAGCCAGACCAGTTGGTCGAAGAGGAGGAGCTGCTTGATTACAAGGCTGATTGATACTGTCCAATGTGGATGGGCGAATTGCTCCAGAACTGCTACCAAGCAGTTGGGATTCAAAGACAGATATACTTTCTAGTGGCCTGCGAGCCTTCCTAAGCGTCTCTAGTAGGTGGACAAACAGAAAGGATGTACGGAGTAATGTATCCCCTAATAGACGCTGACCCACGTTGATTTAATTTACGACCTAGGTTCAGCTACCTTCAAGTCAATCCAAGCTGAAAGAGTTCAACTTACCTCTTCAATAGAACGTTGGACCGAGTAGACAAATATGACACATCAACGCTGCTGTTGGTCGAACACACAGATAAAGGACCAATACATGCAACTTATTTCGCATCGTCTCCTACGAAATAGCTTGACAAACCCATACCCACCAGATGATATACGATCGTGTGCGACAAGAGCGAGGGCTCAGATGATAAACTGTTCATGTATGGGGACTTCTACATTCATGAAATGCCGAAACCATGGCCATGCCATGCAGCCACCGTAATGGTTAATCTGAGTTCTGTCCTCATGGAGATCAAAATAATCCGATCGATGAATGCAACCTGGTAAAGTTTCGGCCAATTCTGCGTCTTTCTTGGCTTCATGCACGATATTCACACCGCCAGAAAGATATATCACAAACAGAAATTGGCATCAATTTTAGGAATAGAAACCTGGACAAGGATCCAGTGATGTGGATTTTAACGAAACTTCTGGAATACAGGAGCGATGCTGGGTGATGACGGAGACAGTTATGTGCGGTGTTTCGATCAGAGATCGTGGTTTTTCCACGCAGAAGACCGCAACCTGGAGCTTTAATTCTTTCTTCTTCTTCTTTTGAACAATAAGGGGCGTTTTGCCTAATAAATAGCTAGATTGTTGCCCGATTTTTTGTCGATGAGGATATAAAGTTCAGAATTTAGGCCTTCCGCAGTTCTCAACGGTCATCTCATTCTCGTCATAACTAATACCCACCCTTTTCAACAACTCTGTACCAGAGTCCATCCCACCTGCAATTCCCTGATGGCAGTGAGAGATTCTTTATTATGCCTCTATCTTGATCTAAAAGACTGTATAGAATCCTCCGTGATAAGGAGGGCCTAAGGAGAGTTATTTATATAGAGATGGCCAGATTTGGATTTGAAGTTAACTGGGTAGCACAGGAAATTGAGATTTACCATACATTGACATAGTGCAATTCTACGTTGGCTCCAAGACTCTAGGGATATGTCATCGAGGAGACGGAACAACGGGCTACAGGATTTATTATTTGAAGAACTGCTTGGATTTCATCCTAGCATAGCAGATCTTGCGATGTGCGAATTGGGATTGCTGCAACTTCATGATCTGGATATTATACCCATGATGGGGATATCAACAGGAAAAATATCTTCTTCACCGAAAGCGGGCAAAATTCATTTACATCGAACATTCTTGTATCTGCTCCGAAGGGAATGAAGAAGCTCAGAATGAAAAAAAGGGCGAAGGAAGAGATTCGAAGCCTTGTGGAGAAATTGTCCGATGAGGCATAAAATTGAATCATCATCTGTATAAGGATAGTTATGGAGCACGGGAGGCAGTGGCACGCTATAGGTACCCGAATAGTCGCGCTATCTGGGAAATTCACCGACACAAGAATCATCTGTATGTGCATCTTCTAGATGTCGGACATACCCGGAGGCCATGGCGCGCGACACTGGAGTAGACAGATAAGCTTCGCGCATATTTAATCCCCGTGAGCGGTGTATGGATTAATCCTGCAGGCAAAATGCTTCCAGGAGGTGGCCGAGCTGTTAGATCCAACCATCAACGCCCGACACAAAAGGAGGATGGCTAGCTGAAAACAGTGAACGAGCGCGTCCCCCCGCACTGGCAGGATCAAGGATAGATCGACGCCGCCTCATTTTGGCACAAAGACAACAGTAAGAAGTTTCATGCATGACCTGAGTCAATATGTTTTGGAGGCCACGCAGAATACAGTATAAGGATAGGAGAGTTATACTGCCCAGCGTCTGGTTATCTCGTACTTCCATGTCCCTCGGCTTATGGTTACAGCCTTCCTTGGACTTTTAAATGGAGGATAAGAGTTGTTGGATGACGTTGAGTCTAGTGTGAGGGGCCTTGTGGTAGATCATCAGGGTAGAATGGTTGCGGTGGAGAGTGCTGTTGATGGCGACACGCAAGAACCACAAGGGTCTTGTCATGGTGGTAGTAGTCGTCTAGTCCATCCTTTAAGTTTCTACTCTCAGTGACTGAGAGATGGAACAGGCATTGTGGGATTCGTATGTGATGTCGATTCGTTAGGTATTCAAACTAATAATGCGATTTCAATAGTCATGATCTCTGAAAATATATCGCTGGGGATCTTGTCACTTCCTTCCTTCATGGCAACCTCAGGATATATCCCATGAGTACAGCTTGGTGTTCTGTGTTATGGAGGCCAGATGCTAATATTCCTCGAAGGGGTTGTATTCTTATATTTGGGATTGGGATGCTTAAATCTTACACTGGATACATGTTGGGGTAAGTCAAACTGAGGTATCCCTATGTCCACAGCATGGCCAACGTAGGCGAGGTGATGTTTGGTGCACTGGGCCTCGAAATCGATGGCGCAGCTCAGATTATTTTCTTCCTCTTTGTCATGGGGTCCCATATATTGACTTTTTCGATCATGATGAATACTCTTACTGACCACGGCGCCTGCACGATTGTCTTCTGCCTTGTGGGGGCAATACTCACTTTTCTTCTGAGTCTACCGAGAACCCTGCATAACGTATCGTATCTTGCCATCTTTTGTAGGTCACCTCTCGTTCTTACTTGAGACATCCTGATATTTCTTTGTTCTTTCTTCTAAAGCGGCAATATCCATCTTAACTGCAGTCATGGTCACCATTATAGTAGTGGGATTGATTCCCCCGACAAGGGGGCTCGGGCACGGTAGTGACATCCCTCCTCCCAGCTTTTTCAGCCACTCTGAATATCATCATCGCATTCGGAGAACAAGTCGCCTTCTTCAGTATCCAATCCGAACTTGCCGATCCTGGGAAATACCCGAAAGCGCTGTATACGCTGGAGACGGTCGACCCGATCCTGTATCTCATTGCTGTTGTGGTGTACCGATTCGCCGTACCGCCGTGAAAGGCCCTGCGTTCCTTAGCGCGAGCCCAATCATCAGCAAAATCGCATTTGGGCTCAGTATTGACACCATCGTGATTGCCGGCGTCGTTGCCGGACGTTGGGGCGAAGAGTGCCTACACGTCTCTTCCGAGGCACGGCTCGCATGAACGAGAAAAGTCTCGTCTCCTACGGTACTTGAGTCTTTATCGTGTTTGTCCTATGGGCTGTCGCATGGATCATCGCAGAACTTATCCCGGTGTTCAATGACATACTCGGTCTAGTGGCCGCTGCATTTGCGAACAGGTTCTCGTTTGGTCTGGAAGGGATTTTCTGGTTTCATATGAATAAAGGGAGCTATTCAGCACGCCTCGGAAGATTTTTTTGTCTGCTCCTTTGACTGATGTCTCGTCTCTGCAGTGTGTAATGGGGCTCAGGGCCACTGGGACCAGTGTCAAGAAAAGCGCACACAATGCTCATGGTAGCTTCGCATGTGCGAATAATGCCGCATGATATAGGGGGTAGTAGGAGAAGCAATAACAGTAGGCACATTCAATGTACATTGATGATGCCATGAGCTTATAGGAAACTCATCTTTTAGAAGCCTGTCTACAAGGAGAGTGAACTATATCAAATACCGAGGAACTTCGACATCATTTCAGAGCCCAGATAAATATTAGCCCATTCCTACTAAATAGAGCAAGCCACTCCATCCTAGTCAACCCTGAATTGCATCTTCACCGAACACTGAACCTCACATTTGTCAGGAACGAAGCTCAGCGCCTGGTAATCATCCCCCGAATGTGCCCCAAACGCCGCAGCTCGAGGAGCACATTGGATCCCATACAGCGAGGACGAGAACGACTCGGTATCATCGATCAGCACCGGTACAACATTCTCCTTATCTAAAGCACTCGCATAATCCTTCGCTTTGGCCATCGCATCCCCAACAGCCTGCTTCCTGCACTCCCGACCCACCTCCTGTCTCGCCTTATCCGTCAACTTCCACCGGACAGACTCAACGGACACCAATGCGTCGCTCGCGACCTCCGTCGCAAACTGATTCAGCTGGTCAAAATTGCGGAATTTGATCTCGAAATCCGTCTGCGCCGTGTACACCCTCTCCTTGTGCTCGTTTCGGGCGCTGTCCCAGGGTCGGTAGCTGCCTGTCCGGAGGGAACTCATACTCCAGAAGGCGATGGCCGCATCGGGTGTCGTCCGCTCGTCTGAGTCGGCGGTTTGGGGGGAGATGTGGCGTAGGAGAGATTGGATTTGGTTAGAGGTTTTGGTCACGTTCTGAGAGATTTCGGACTGGTTTTCTCCGTCGCTGGCTACGTGGAGTGCGACGATGGCGCGTTCGGCTTCGCGATAGATGGTGGATGTGCCGACGGTGTGGATTGTTAGAGACATGGTGAAGCAAGTGAAGCTTGGGGTAATCGATCAAAAATATAACTATCAAAAATCGAGAAGCGAAAGTGGTGTGTTGAGGGAATGCCTCGTGAAATATGGCAAACTTTGAGTTGGAAATGGTGGAGCCATGGTGATCATGGTGGATATCCCTAGTGGAAACCGGGCGTCATTGTTTTACTTGTAGCTCAGAATATTTCCTTATTTGCCACCTTCCCTGGATAATAGGCCCATCTATTTCCATTATCCAGTTGATTGGAGAATTCGACCCTTTCGGTCTTGCGATCGGAAACAGTTTACAGCCTGAACCCAGAGGCCTCAGGGCAGCCAACTCGGGATCTTTCATTTCCATCCTCCGTTTCTATCTCCATTATCTCCAGGTCGTTATATTCAGTCAGCTCCTACATGTCTAACCTTCACTCAGTTGAATCAGCCAGAACTCCATCCGATCGAACTATCCTCTGGGATAAACAGCGACTCTGTCGATCTGCAGCCTGGTCGAGCGGGGCAGTGTCGCATAAACGGTTCGGGCTAACTTCTCCGGACAAGACCATCCCTCCTTGCTAAAAACGGTACTCTGCATGTCAGATGTAGTGGTCTAAGCACCATAGGCTCTTGAATATGACTGCGTTAATGTCGAGACCAGCGGCCGTCGTTTGTTCTTGATTGGCGCATATCCTGCCGTTCAACCTCTCATGACGCTCAGCCTCTTCAAGTCGTCATGATGCATTGCGATTAGCCTTACTGAAGGGTTTGATAGGCTTTCACTTCTCGAACAACGATGATAATAAAAAGGCCATAATCTTAGGTCCGACAGCCTTGGGTGTGGTCTTCAGCTCCCATTGTGTGGAAGAATTTATTTGGACCATCACTGACAACTTGGTAATGCCACGTAAATTAGCGCTAGTCGTCTCCAGCATATGTTGAACGAAGCAGCGAACGTTTTTCTTAAATGTTGAATGAGGAAGGGAGGTCTCTGGGGAGCACGACGGAGAGGAACCGCGTATGGTGTGGAGTGTTTCAGCTTGGGCTCTCTGCGCGATTAAGCGGTTTGAAGAGATTATCCACGCAGCCCCCAGAAAGAACAATATTTTTTCACGTCTGTAATCGGCTTGCGTAGAAGGAGATTTATGAAATATGATCAAATTTAAAAAAAAGGCCCCCTGTTAATTATTGTGCGACGTTCTCAAAGAAAGAGCGCTCTAGCCTGGTCATGTATTAATTTAGGCGATATTTTAGCCAATTCATTATGAAACTTTATGTACACAACATTATCTTCATGCCTCCGGCTTTAGTTTGTAGACTTGAATTCTTGCACAAGAACATTGTTTGAGGAAGCCAAAAATGTGGTGGCAGCCAGATAGCCAAACCTGTTATATCCTCTCAGCTACTAGTGCGAATGGACATTAACTTTTAAGTCGACTGATTCCCATCAAAGGACAAGCATCCTAGAAAGTTGAAGTAAGATGGTCCTCAATAAGTTCGGTTTATTCAAACCTATCAGGCTGATCAGGAAGTACAGTGTGCGATGCTGATACATATCTAAGCCATACATAGTCCATTTCGATTCCTATACCATCGTACCACCACATAGTAGCTTGATAGTGAGATATCTAGTAGATAGAAACCATCTAATCCCATCAAAATCCTTGCATGTCCCCAACATAATATATTAATTACATACGCCTTGTGGGCCTCATGGCACAGGTTGGTCCTCCTTTAACAACCAATAACTTTTCACTTAACAGCTGACTCGAGAAACTCCTTCCAGTGTGCGGAATTTGCATTTTCAATGGCCCTAGACTATTCCTGGCAGTTCTGACGCATGTTCTGAAAGAGAGTTGTGAATATTGGGCGAGCAGCTGCCAGCGCGGTGCAGCTCTTCTGTCACCACTGACTCACATGATTTACCTTGACCTGTTGGGTTTTGAGCTCTGGGGTAAACCCTCTTTTGCGATGGAAATAAAGCATGGGGGAAAGACATGTGATCTTCGGAGATATTCGCTCCCGAAGAAAGGGAAAAGCTGCTTTTGTTTAAGACCGTAAACGGTCAGCCTTATGAATTGGCATCGAGAAAGCAACACATCTGTCAGTGTGCGAGAACTCTCAGTCAGCGCATGGGTTTTCCATTTTCGTTTATCTACCGATTTTTATGTTTTTTTGATTGCATATATTGCGTTTTGCTTTGAAATATTGACCTACATACGGTCTGTATTTATCGTTTATTATTATTAGATAAAAGTAAGAACCCAGACCTCCTTGGTCGTAAAGGACTGTAGTTGTGCACTAATAAGATACATTATATTGTTGACGTCCGATGTTAGGCCATAAGTCTGACGTATATTAAGAACAAAAGACACAAAGAAAAAGCTCTTACGGCTAGACTCCCTGAGATCTCAAATGACAGGCAGTATCTACAGCTGTTCTCTACATTCCCCACTGGATATCGCAGCACTAAAGCAAAAAGCACAAGCAAGAACCCTTCTGATATAATATGCTGCTTTCTCCCCAACATTCTACGAACTGTTCAAAATCTCGATGGCGTCATTTGTCCATTGACTTGGACGCGATCCAGAGCATAGTCTCGCTGTTCGTGTATGCCTGTCCATACTGCTGGAATCCCCATAGAATGGATTCCTATGCTGGCCTGTTGCCATCACTGGGCTTTTGTACACTGGGCTTTGTACAGACGAGTCATCGTGCTGCGATGGCAGCCAACCTGCGCAGGACAAGCGCTGTCGCTCGGAAATATTTACGAAGAGTTTAGCTTTCGAAGCACGGTGGAGGAATCGAGAGAAGAATGATTTAGAGCGTGGGATGACGGATAGAGTCCCCGCTGTTTTGGTATAGACAAAATCAATCCAAATACCAATATGGTATACGACATGGGTATATGTCAGACTATGGAGACAATTTGATCAACGAATTGCCTCACACAATAGAAAAGAAGAGGATAAGCCACAAGGAAGTACAAAAGAAAATATAAAAGAAAGAGAAAGAAATAAGGGATAGAGTATGCGCTAAATCGGAAACCTAAACCCCCCTCGCTCTGTTCGTTCTTGGAACAGACTGGCGACTCGGGGCCCCACCGTTTGAACAATCAAGAAGACATGGTTTATCCACGTACAGTATTTGTTTTCTGACCGCCGCGCCCATTGGTTCAAGCTACATATGCCGCAAATGCAGTACGGTAGAGTTATTTTGAAACCGTAGAGAATTGTTATATAGAAAATAGTGATCCATAGAGGGTACTGTAGATTGAAAATCTGAATTCTTGAATTCTATGTACCTTGTTTGGTAAAGAGCCAGGGGAGAACAAATCACTGTGCGGGTAAGTGAACCGCCTGGCTCACCCTGCTCACCTCCTTAAACGGCAATAGCTGAATGAGACATGTGGGATGTGTTTGTAGTTTTTTCAACGATAGACTTACCTGGGGTGGAAGTTTATGTTGTTAGCTAAACCAGGCTAGAAGAAGCCCGAGCTTCCCCTTTAATAACAATCTTGTAATCCATTCTTTTTAATTTTGTAACCTAACTGGACTCTTAAAAATTACTGCCCTTTTATTAATATATACTACTCTTGCCTGTTCCTTCCGCCGCGCCAATCTCCTCTCCAATTATTACTTGATATATAAGAGCTATAATGGAAGAAATAAAACAGGACCAAACTTCCACCCAGCATGATTCCTTACCTTTATCTGAAACAAGCCCTAGTCCAGGCCGTTCAGAACAAAGTATGATTCAACGGTGTTGTACCAGAATTGCATGCTGGACTATCTTTGTGCATCCGATTAAGTAGGTATTATTATAGAGTCACAGAAACTACTTTACTAATAGTTAATAACTAGATTTATGCTATCTATTCTTGCTCTAAGCATTTCTTACTACTATCTGTGCAATTATTTTTCCCTCAATCAGAAGTGCTGGAATTTGTCTTTCTACTGGTTTTATATTATTTGTTTCCTATTTAATTGTATAGGTTATGCAGTTAAGTATGGTATTTAATACCCAATTGTCAGGCTGAGGCACCACAACTGCCTTATTCATTGTTGATCCCACAACATTTCCCACAGTTCCTGTACGATAGAATTCTTCCTTTCTTTCTTCCTTTTCTACGTTGACACGGTCCTAGCCTAGAAAGAATGAAACGAGATCTATTCAGAACGTAGGGCGACTCATATCCGAAACAACTAACTTAAGGAACTACGTGTAGAGGTGGTGGTCGGGTTGGAGAAGGTGTGGGATCACGTGCCAGCCTAGGGTTAGGGCTAAAAAGTCCGGTAAAGTAAGTCATGACAACCCGTACTTCACCGCCCAACGATCGGAACCACCAAAAACGATCGATTTTGTATACACCGACTTTTCGTTTCGTAGATTTTAAACCATGATAACTCTGTCAATATGGGATCAATTGAATCAGCGTTAGAAGATTTGAAATCGTTGGGGCCAGGAGAAGTTCCTACCTAGCAATCAGCAACGTGCATCAGGTAAGACTCTGAAACGTTGTAGAAGAGGATGATAGACACGATTATTATTAGTACTCTATTAATAGTAATTTCATAATATACAGGCTACATTCTAGTTAGTTAACTATCTGCTTGGATAATATCTAGCTAGAGACTACGTTGTCTACTTGGTTACATGTGGTGCAGGAATCTAAAGCCTAAAATTACTGTACTTAGGAGATACTCACTAGGGAGCTAAATGCAGCCTATGGCCGCAAAAAGCTGAGGAATATATATTTTTTTAAAAAAAAAGAAAAGAAAAGAAAAGAAAAGGAAAGAAAAGAAAAGAAAGGTTTGCCCCCCAGCGGCTGCGAGGTCAGAAATGTTGAATATTCTGCCAAGATATGGCTACTAAACCATGCATCTTTATGAACTCTTTGGTGTTTCTGCTCTGGTAGGACTTTGGTGAGGCCGTCAGCAGACATCTAGAAAATCAAGTACGCATGTGCAGAATTTACAAAGAATGATTACTATATTACAAGAAATATACATGCAATTTATGTATTTAATAGTGTCGGCCCTTCGGATAATTATCTCACGCCAATCAACTGTCGGTCCTAACTGCTATCCCATGCATCACGCGTCTCATCACGCCTTGGCATATCTCTTCCTAGGACGAAAATATTGTGCTACATTTGCTCGCCAAGCAAGACAGCTTGGTTCCACCATTTGTTTCTGTGTCTAATCCCGTGGAACCCTGTCCACTTTAACGTCGCAAACAAGTCCAAGCACAGCGACATGCCGCTAATGATTGCAGCAGAATGCGGCTATAACCTAATGGTCCCACTGCTACTAGAGAGGGGTGTGAACACCCGGCCCCACCAGGAAACAGCACAAAGGCTGTCGAACATGGACACGAAGAAATGGTCCGGCTGCTTTTAGCGCAGCCTGATGCGGATGTAAATTACGAGTGAAATCTTGCGGGGACACCATTTACAAGCTATTAAAATGCATTATTTATCGATTGCGAGGCTACTGGTGATACGTGACGACTTATGCCTGAACCACGGGATGAGCAGCATGACCGCAGCAATTGAACTCGCCTCCTGCGACAAGGGTTTCTACTAGCTGGTTCAGATAGTTATCGCAAGAAACGGTGTGGATATCGCAGGTGAGACCGGTAAAAACGAGACTCCACTTATCCTAGCTGCCTTGCTAGGATATATGGATATTGTCAGGCTGCTGCTGGCGCAGGAGAACATCCACGCGAGTGTCCCGGACATCCTTGGCCGTACGCCACTTGAATGTGTGGTATGCTCATGATCCGATCTAGAGCTTGTACAGTTGCTTTTAGCGCGAGATGATGTTGATCGCGACGCGGCAAATGTGGAGGGCCGTTCCCCCTTGCATTTTGTGTACACAAATTTTGAGCTCATAACCTGTTGTGACTTCAGGGGAAAAGGGGACATTGGCAGGTGAGGTTATATCAGATAAATTCACGTTGCACCATGCAGTACTATACATGGTGGATTAGCCATGATGGGACCGACATCTACAGCAAAAAATAGACGTCTGGGCTATCACCATGTCCGACTTCGTGAGATGGGAGAGGCTCATACAACCTCCCATTCTACGCTCTATCTAAGCAGGTAACAGAACCCTTCCGCTGGCGCGGACTGCTCTGAGTTTGAAGTCGACAAGTCCTACTGTGTTGAGTACGGAGAGCTCACGGCGACTGCGGCTTCCGGCACCACACCAACCGCACTGCTCTCCTACCACCGGAGGTGCTCCAGGACCCAGCCGGGTCAGATTGCTAATTGCAACCACTGGGACTTAGTGAACATTGGGGATACTTGTGATGTCTTCACTGCAAAATACCGTGGCCTGACGCTGGCAAAGCTGCTCGAGTGAAACCCGTCTGTTGGAAAGCAGTCCAGCTCTGGGCCGAGACCTAGGGGGTGAATATAACTCAAAGTTGCGTTTGGGGAAAAGCTGGATAGTTATATTTACCATCTTTTTATGGGTGTAGCAGTCACGTACTTCACATGACGCACTGTAAAGTGCTGGAGCCTGTTTGACCTCTCAGGCTAATTGACACCGTTAACCCGTTGACCTGCTGTCCCTATTGTCCCTATTGTCCCTATTACCTCTGCTGTCCTTACTGTCCCTTTTCCTCTTTCCTTCCTTCCTTCTTTAATAATTCCTTTTTCTACATAGCCTATCCTATAGGTTCTACGCATTCAGCCCTTAACATTTTTATTATAATTACTATCCATCTCTTCCTCTAACTGCTGTCTTTCCCTCCACTTGCATAATAACTGAATCTTTAAGTTTTCGATCTCTAATTGCTTTTGTAGCTCAGCTTCTTCATCCCGTAGCCCGCCTGAACAATTATTATAGTTAGTATATACTTGGAAAACACTTATAAGTATACAAATATGCTTACTATTCTGACTTCTTGTTTCATGGGGTGGAGTTCTTGATATTTCTCTTCCTGTAGTTGAAAAAGCGGCATTATCTTTATCAACCTGTAAGCTGGGTTCTGAATTATTTACTGTCAACTTAGATACCGCTATTCCGCTTCAACGCTAGATTATTCAGGCGCCTGCTCAGTCATTCATTATTGGCCATAATGTTACCATATTTTATCATTCCACTTTACCCCTATTTCTGATGTATTTAAAGTCTTGAATATTTGCTTAGATCAGAAGAATCAGACCTTCATCAGTTAAGCGGCACGGTCAATATTTACTTGAAGCCTCTTCCGCCGTTTTGCTAGTTTTAATTAGTAAGTGCTACAAAAGTACTAGATAAGTACTTCAAGAGATATACCTGTCCGATGCATATAATCAAGATATGTTGTATCAAGATTACGTGACTAATTTTCATAACGAATTCCATGCTCTTTAAAGCTTTTATACTGCTCAATATCCTGTTTATTAAGTAGCCATGACAATATCAAGCCTTTGCCGTATACATTAGACTTATGATGAGTCTGCTCAACTGTAAGGGATCAACCGCAGATGATATTGGTCGATATTAGAAAGAAAACTAAGGACGAAGAGAGAAAGGAGAGGGTCCTTCGTGGGGTCGTATCCGTCCACATTTGTGGGGTTCCCGCGATCGAGGTCAGGTCCCTGACGCCAAAAATTAACTCTTGTTGGTATTCCTGTACATAAATTTGCTCCGTGGGGACCTGCATTGAGGTAGGTGCTTGTAATTTTAATTTTACGTCTATTTTCGTTTCTATATTTGTTCCCCGCATCGCAGTCATTGACATCTGTTATTAATTTACATAGACATTATAAGTATTATCTTGTAAACAAACTAAAAATCATCACATCCTTCAGTCAACCGCCATTAATTCACTAACTGGTCTTTCCTCCCGGTGTCGATAATTCTCAGCCGACAGCTCCGACACCACGGTTTCTGTATTGGACAGCCGCGCGGGATTGTGCGGAGGATCTTTATACTCAAATGTAGGCAGTGGAGCAAGTCCATCAATGGGTCTGTTAACTGTAGATACCTCGCCTTCCTCATATTTGCGAGATTTCCGTCGTCGATACAGCAGAAACGCCCCGATACATGCAGCCACGAGTAACACACCCAGCGAGACACCGACACCAATCCCTATCTTGGCCGATTGGGATAGCCCGGACCTGGTCGCAGGGAAGGATGTCGTTTCTGTGGGTGAAGTGGTCATAGAAGGAGAGGTTGTGGTACTAGAGGTGGTGAATGTTGTTGTTGCCGTTGCCGTTGCCGTTGCCGTTGCGGAGGTTGAGGTTGATGAGTGTGATGGACGGGCGAAATTAAATTCAACTGGTGGTCCATCGTCCGTGAATCTTTTTCTCACTCCAATGGAAACACTGGTAACATTGTTGCCAAATGATTCGCCATTGGACGAGAATGGCTGGAGGACGAAGAAGCAAGGTTGGACGTAGTTTCCTTGAGTTGCTACCCAGACATAACTATGTGTGTTTTTAACCTTATCTAGCAGCCAATGTCTATATTAGCATATCCATTGCCCCAAATAATATAGGTAGGATAGCCATTATCCCACCCTGTAGAACTTCATCATGCGGCCCACATGACTCGAATAGGGAAATGAACGGAGCGACAACCGTCCAGGTCACATTGACTTTATCGTCGACAATATATGTATTTTCTGCTCTGGTTGGGAAGGTAAAACTCATACTATTGTGGGATGCAAGGTAAGGAACTCTGATACTAAATACAGAGGGTGATCGGGGTACAGGATTATCATACCCGCGGTGGTTCCATAAGAGGGAGTAACCGAGGGGAAAAGAGACTGCGCATTCCGTTGTCTTCCCCTGGGGTATTTATAATCCGATGGACCCTGGTCTCAATGGCGCAGTCGTGAAACGCAGACGAGGCTAAGCGGTGTCATCCATGTCTAGGGCATAGGCTAGCAAATATACTAGACTAGAAACTGGAATATATACTCCTAGCTCGTAGCTATGTCTGTATTCCTATCAGAGCCTTCAGAAGCAGGAATTAAGAACAGGGTAGTCAGGTGCTGAAGGGAAATTGAGAAAGTGGAAGCCAACTGCGATATATGTAATTACTTCAAAAAAAAAGAGAAAAAAAGCATATCAAGAGATTGATTTTTCCAATATACTCTCAGACCACATATGTGGGGCAGAAACCTCAACAGCTAATCATAAGCAAAGTGGGTGGCAGTGTTTCTCGGCAAATTTACCTGGCACAGTTAGTGCTAGTAGTAACAAATAAAGAATAAAAAGCACTAGCACTGGACTACTCTGTAATGTGTAGATTAGTACTGCAGATCATAGCACATGTGTGATAGATACTATGCTCCTTTAAGTAGTAGCTCACTTTTTGTGGTCAATAAATCCACCCACTAAAAAGGTCGCAGGTCAATATCACAAGTATTTAGATAGGGGGGTCTCATCCTCATCTACCTCATAAGCTTCTTCAATTCCTGGCTGAGAAGCAATGCTCTTGTGTCTTTTCCCAAGAGTTCAATTACTGTGATAGTTTTGGTCGTGTTGAAGAGACCTATTTAGTGGCTTTGGGATCAGGGTTTTAGCTGGATTGCTGGACTTGCTCTTACTTGGCTGGTATGCATAATATAGACGAGAGGAAGGATAAATAATACAATTAATTTCAAGATTCACTGTACGCACCCACATCTCATAGACAATAATTATATGCTCTTTATGCGATGAGAAATACGCCAAACTAGTTAAACACCGTCTATTGCTAGGGAGATTTATGCTCAGCGCCGCGGACTCCAATACAGATGCATCCATATAATACACTCGGTTCCCTCACGGGGTAACCTTTTGACTCCACAACCCAGTCCCCAGATCATCCACAACCAGGCTCAGCGACAAGCCTGCCTCGGCACACGCAGCACGCAGCGCCTCCTCCTGTTCCTTGCGAAACTCAGTGTGATTCTGGTCCCAGAGACGCATGGTGATCTGTTTCAGCTCCGGGGTGTGCTTGCGCCAATCGACAAGGAAGCGGTGTAACAGGCTGATTTCTTCATCTTCATCCCATTCAAAATCATACAGACTCCGTAGGTCATCCCGCAGGCACAGTTCGCGGAGAGATTTTGGCAGGAGTGGGCCGAGCTGGGCGGGGTTATCGCTGTCAAGGTACCAGCCTAGAAGAACACACAGCGGCATCTCCACGGTCTGCAGATTGGAGAAATTGTGCAGAATCCGGTGAAATGATTCCTTGATATGATCATCGGCGCCATCCCAGTTGCGATCGCCCAAATTCGAAGGGTAATATTCTACCCCGAGGGAGAGATTCTGCACGGTCGGACTTACAGAGACCATTGCCTGTGCTAGCATCGGGGCGTTGCCTACCACTAGCTCATTTCTATAAGAATAGGCCATTCCCAGGTGCAGATTTTTGAGGTTTGCTGTCCGCGACAGCAGGAAATTCACATCCTCATCGGAGATCGTGGCGCGAGGCAGAATCAGCGTCTCCAGATTACTAAGATCCAGATCAGGTTTCTTCTCCCGCAGTTCGTCGAGATCTCGCAACCAGAGGTTCAGCGAGCGCAGAGCTGGGAGACAGAACCAGCCCGCAAACTGGCCGGGGTTGTACGGAGGATAACTGTCCGGGTATTCATCGTTGTACATATCCTCTGACTCGGAGATTGGGACATTTCCACCATAGTCCACGACCTCAAGATTCTTAAAAGTGGAGAGGACCCCATTCGGAAAGAGAAGGGCCTGTGTCATTATCATGCCTGGAAACCCATCCCACCAGACCAAGGAGTAGTCTAGACGGAGCGATTTCAAGTTGGGCAACTGGGAGAGAAGGATACCCGCAAAGCAGTAGATATTACCACCGTAGATGGGCAGATGCCAGTCCTCGGCGTCGGCGAATTGGGCGCGACGCACAATATCCATGGACTGGTCCAGCACGTCGCGGAAGGATTCCGACTCGGTTTCCCAGTCGATCTCTGGCTGGGTGTCTTCCCATTCTTCGGCGTCGGGTGCAGATACCAGACTGACATGGTGGACATAGGATGCCAGCTCGGGGTCTTTGAAGATCAGCCGAAGCAACTGCAGGAGTTTTTTCAGCGGCCGGGTGGTCCAGTCCAGAGAGATGTTGCGGAGGACGAAAGGCATGGCCGATGCGCTGAGATCCTTGCAGGTGGAGGAGACCGCCAGGGCATCACTCAGAGAGAGCTGGCCCAGAATCGCCACCAAGCAATCGTGGGACAGTTGGGACAATGGTCTGGGAGTAGATGAGCGGCGCGCGGAGAGAGTGGGCGGGGATAATCTCACCCTTCTTTTTGGGATAGGGAGTGCTTCGCGTCCATGGTGCAGGATTGCGAGCAGAATGGTTTTCGAGAAGAACGGCTGAAACGGGTAATTGTGAAGCTGTCAACCCGGTCCTGCGGGTTATAAGCGTGGGCTATGGAGGACGGAAGAGGAGAGAGAATGTGAGTAATAAAATAAGGGTTGGGGCGGAGAAGTGGAGCGGTCCAAGGTCGGAGTGGAAAATACCCCCGGCCAACGGGAAGGACGGATGACATTTGATCAGAAACGGGGAGGAATTAGAGAACTTGAATGGATGGACTTGGCATCTGGAAGAGAAGAGAAGAAGAAGAATAAGAAGAAGAAGAAGAAAAGTAGGGACAAGAAGGTTCAAATTTGGGACAAGTATATGGGGCCGAAACAGTGAAAGTGTCCGGGCCAAAAGATGAAAATTACCGCCATTCAGCAAGATTTGGCATAGGACATATGTGGATGGTGGATGTCCTGGCCCAATGAACTACCGTAAATAAATAGTAATTAAGATGTTTTTCGAATATTGTCGTAGGAGAATATAAATTTGGACTAGCTTCCAATACCGCGGTCGGTGTCTGGTGCTAAGATAGATAGACACTAGGGAATTCAAGCCTAACAGCTACTAAACATAAAATGGACGCTGAAGAGGAAAATAATCGCAAACTCTGCTTGAGAGAATCCTGTTACTCGATGATCTATCCTGACTAACAGACATCGGAACAATTACACGAACATCGAAAGTATTTTACAAGGTTGTGTTGATGGCTTGTCAGTTGTCCACCCACATCTAACACCTCTAGAGCTCATCGTAGTTGTCTGCTTGATTTCTTGCCCTTGTCATTCAGCTTTGAAGTGGTCTTAGTCTTGGGAGTATTGTCCTAAGAAATCTGCGTCTTCTTAGGCTTCTTAGGCTTCTTATTGGGCTTCTTATTAGGCTTCTGCTTAGGATCCTGGTGTTCAGGGCCCTTCTGTTCAGGATCCTTGTGTTCAGGGCCCTTCTGTTCGGGACCCTTGTGTTCAGGGCCCTTCTGTTCAGGATCCTTGTGTTCAGGGCCCTTCTGTTCGGGACCCCTGTGTTCAGGATTGGACTGGGTGTTTCTGGTTCTCTTCTGGGGAGTAGGGAAAGTTGGAGCTTTTACAATGTCAAAGTCACCCTCCTTGAGAAGGGCTGGTTCTGTGCCCTTGGGGATGACCTCGAATTTCATCCCTTTTGTTCCAGTAAAAGCCAAACAACCCCAGCCCTCTCCGCATCCTTTGTCGGCTTTCTCGGGGTCCGTAGAATCACATGGAGGCTTGATACCATCGTTACCGTTATCTTTGACCTTCCCCGTTTTCTCGATATCCTCTGACCATGCGACCACGGTAGGTCGCACATCCAAGGTTGTCAAGGACGGCTGCTCGTCGATCAAGTAATATTCGAGGGATGCCATGATCTCTCCACAGGCTCCATCGTTCTTGTGTTGGATGAGAGTGTTGCCAGTTTTTGGCTTCGTGTCACCAGGAGGTTTACCCTTTCGCCTGCCTCCCACCGCGCTGTTCCATTGACCACCACCTCTCGATGTGACACCCTTCTTCCTACTCACGGTCCATTCATCTTTTCCAGCACCCTGTTTGTCCAGGGCCCTCGTGGTTTTCAATATTGTTTTGATGCTTTCCTGTCTGCACTGGTCGAGGGCGTTCATGACATCTGGCGCATTCTCCTCTAGGACAGTGGTAAATTTTCCGTAGTGTGTTTCTCCTATTTTCTCATTGGGTTTTTCCTCCCTGGGTCCTTCTCGGCCTTCGTAGATGTAGTTACCGCCCTTGAGGCTGGACGCGAGATAGACCTCATCCCCCACCTTGAGGGCAGTCATGACCTTTGGGAATTTGACCCTATCTTCCTTTGACGCCTTGTTGTACATCTCCCACCAGCCAGCTTGGGCGAGGCCTACAATATGGCTCTTCTCCACGGACTTGGAGTCTTTCAATTTGAGACGGGACACATAGCCAGTGTATTCCTTGTTGTCTCTGGGACTATGTCCTTCATCAAATTTCATCTTGTCGACACCAACAGAAACCCCGAATTTCGGAGGGGAATCATAATATTTTGTTGCTCTTCTCTCAAGACTCAGGGGGGAAGCCGCAACGAGGCCCAAAAAAAGGTAGAACAAAAGATAACATATTTTGGGAATCATGTTGGGATCAACCCAGCATGGGATTCGGATTCAAATACTAAAGAAAAAAGGTAAAAGATTTCACAAGGAAAGACTTGTATGAGAAAAACGAGAGTAAAAGAATGACTGATAATTAAAAAGAATGACTGTTGTGATGATGATGGACTGAGGAGATGCAACAACAAGGTATTTATACCATGGGCCACCAATACAGATGTCCTCTAAACATCGCTGTATAGGAGAGAGGCGAGACGCTATACAGATACAGAATGCTAAGTCCGCCAGGGAGTCCCTTAGTCGGATGTTCTTTTTGGGGGCCATTCGCAGGTTAGCTTGGTCTTCTCTATAGGAAGGAATAAGCGTACAGTGCCTCTACCATCCAGCATCGGCCACACGGAGCGGATTTGGAGTCCGACTTGGACCTGGAATGGCGTCGGCCCACTTGGTGGCGCCTGGCACGGTTTCTGGAGGATCAGGGTCCTACTTTTCCGGGAGGTTCGACACGAGCACAGACCACGGGGAATACAAGCCATGTCAACACTCCATCCGACGCGCGGGATCTGGGATATATTGGTCGGCTGCGAGACTTTCCGTATTAACTCCGTATCAGTGGAACTCTTCTCTGCGCTAGCCCCTTCCGAACATGTGGATATCTTTATCTGGAGTTAGATCGGCAAGTCTGCAGAGGTGTGGAAAGAGCACTGCGATAGATGTTTCCAGGCGATGTGAAATAATTACATACTATAGGACCGGGTTATTGTCCTTTATGCCTCGGCAATAAGAGGCTTCTCCCTTCGCAGCGCATGAATAGCTGGAAACGAGCAATGAAGTGAGAGCTCATGTCAACAAAGGTATACAGAAGATGGGCGGAAACTACATTGTTCATACCCGATGTGCTAAAATAAGGTTGACTCTGAGAATCAACTTTATTATCACTTAAGTGATACACATGATCTGCATAAAGCCATCTGGAATAAAGCGGAAGATTCCGTTGATTTCTTAAAACGGAAGTTTCGGTTCAAGTCGATTTATCTGTTACTACTAAAAGGAAGCGACGACAGCGGCGGATTGGGCAGCAGGACAAAAAAAGAAAGCGAGTTGGCCGTGGAGATTTTCAAATTGTCCAGTGGGAGTCTCCAAACTCTGCTGTTGACCCCAAAACGCGCCGTTGGCTAACACAACGGATTTGAATATCAAAATTTGGAGTCATCATGCTCCGAAGGCTTCGTCTTACCCTCCAGCAGAGGAATCAGCTCTAGACTACATAACAGTGCCAAATTCGAGGCCAGCGACGACAGCGGGCTTTTCAACTCCTCTCACCAGGATGCCTTAAAATTTTGTGCCTCGGACGTGTCTACCTTTTATGATTTCCCTACAAGTGCTGGGCCAGGGCCTTCGGCTCTCAACACCAACCTAGACCTTTTACCAATTGATCCGGAGATACGGCAAGGAGATAATATCCCCTCAATTGGATTAAGTGGACAAGAATCGGACCCTAGGGACGTGACGGAACCCAACGAGCCCGAATGCTGTGGGTATTCTTCACAGATTAAAAGTCTTACCTATGCTTGAGACCCTCCATGTCTACAATTCTTCGGGAAATTGAAGATATAAAATCCCAGTGCAGACGAGTAAACGGACATAGACCGGGTCAGTATCATGCTAGGAATTATCAACGGAGGCCCGAGAGCAAATATCTCGAACTTCATTAGCAACTTATGCGCTAGAGTCCTTGCTCAACCCAGGGTCATTGAGCAGCGAGAAAAGTCACACCGGAGAGCCGACCGGCCCAGTTACTGGAGCTAGAAAAAGGGCTACCCAGTTTCAACAAGTTCATGCAGCATCTTACAAGACCACCTGAATGACAGGATCCTATTCGGAGGCGGAAGACAAGTTTCTCAGAAGCTTGATGAAGAAAAAGCTAAGCCTGCAGGAAGTGACGAAGTTCCAGGAGTTCTTCCCCGGCAGATCGAAGTTGTTACTTCAAAGACGTGTTTGATTTATTGGGGGTTCTGAAGTGATTGCATTCAGAATGTTCTGCCCAACCTCTCTATGAGAGATATTGGGTATATATATTTCACATATGTCCCAATCTGGACTCATTTATTCTGACAAGACGTTGGCCCCTCCTACAGCCATCCGCACGGCGGTCTACCCGCTCAAGGTTAAATAGGTGTAAGGCACACTTTTAGGTTTAGATTACTTGCTATGGTAATATAAATTTGTATTCTTTAGAGTCCCTTCAAAGTTTCTCTAGTCTTGAAGGTTGTCAGACAGATGGTCCTATTCGGGCTGGAACATGGTTTCTCAGCTGGCCGAGCGTCTATCTCGCCAGTGTGACCAGTATGTTTTGGGGCACGCTCCTTCTTTGGTCTTTGTGGTATCAGGGCCTGTTGGAGGACCAATCCTCATCTGTGTGAGATTATGTTCCTAACATGCTGTGTCTTGTAGGAAGTTGAAACAAAGTGCGGTAGAAAAGACCCATGGTTGTCCATCCAGGATCCGTTGGACATGTGTCATATCGACGAAAGTGGCTTCTAATGACATCAATTACTAATGACATCAATCACTTATAATTTTGTCAATGTGCATTTATTGGCATAATAATTAATTCAGGACATGTGCAGGTTTTGTGATCATGGACTTGCATATTATGGACTTGACAATTGCTGCAACCAGCGGTTCTGCCAGCCTTTGCAACGGAGAGAATAGGTAAACTACCAACAAAACAGAGTGTTGCTCATAGTTAGCTAATGTTGTAGGTTCCTTGTTAGTTATCAGCTTCTCTCAACATGGCAAAACCAACTCGAGTACTTTCTCTATCATTTTTGCAAAGCTGCCGCACCGCAGATTCTAAGTGAATGTCGTTGGTCATGCCCTGAAGCTGCAGAGCTACCCAAGCTTACTGAGAAGATTACTGAATATTTCTGCTTTCACCGTAAACACACCTTTAGAAACTGTGGCATCTCTGAGCAGGAGCGAGAATCCTTCTGTACCAAATTGCAAGAAATTCGTCAGATTCGAAATTTTGCCGTACATCGAGTAGCACCGAACACCAGCACAATCAGGAAATATGCAAAAGTTGCTCTCGATGTTTTGAGACTCGTGCAAAGGTTAGGAGGCGAAGAATTCCGAAACTTATTCAACGACCCTGTGAGCATACACCCATCTCGCTTTGTTGGGATGAAAGTACAAAAATAACGAACCTGACTACAGTTGAATCAAGTTATTCAAACATTTTGGGAAATAGACAACAATAAGTGGACTAGTATATCATTTGGGGATCATCCAGTGGCCGAAACGATACGAAATCATGCAGAGAGTCTTTCAAGAAGGGAACAAAAAGAAAGCAACTTGAAGCGGGGCATTGAAGATCAGAAGCTGGCTGCGCAAAGAAGAGCCAATAATGTTGCAAGGATGGCCGAAGACTTTGAGGTATCAAAGAAGGCAAGTGATATGCGTTGGCATCAAGATCAACATGCAAAGGAGGAAGCTAGGTTAAAAAAGGCTCAGAGAGCCGAAAGGGCCAGAAAGCAAGAGGAGGATGCAAAAGTGAGAAGGGCTGAGAGAGCCGAAAGAGCCCACAAGCAAGAGGCGGCTGCTAAAGCGAGGAGGGCAACTGCAACAGAAAGTATAGTTCTTGGACAAAAGTCTACGTAATTTCCCTCAACACGAAAATATGTATAATAGTCAGAACATCATATTCCCATGCAATGCAGCCAGACATTAATGTTTTTACAAGATATTTAAATATGCAATAGTTAAATCATGTAAAAATGGTAAAATATTATATTTTTAATATTAACAGTTGTTTGTAGTAAAATTAAACTTTTGTTTCTTAATATCCTTAATAACTCCCTTGGCCGGTAATGTCTTTTTAATCTACTAGGGTTGTATTAGTAGGCGTATACCTTGTAAATAGGGAAATACCTACAGAATATATCTCCACCTAATCTTCTTAAATAATTTTACTTATCGTAGCTTCCTCAAAGCCGCCAAAGAATCTTTTAGCAAGTATCAGAGTGCACCTAGCTGTCACACTTTTGTTCATACTAAGTCTTCCCTGGTCCGTAGCGGAGCCTATATATACCAGCGGATGAAATCTTTAATGCTGTTGTGGAATTCAGGGGAAGTGATGCGCAGGGAGCTATTCTATCAGCTACAGGCCAACTAGCCTATTTAGGAAGTAGATGTCATTCAGTGGAAACACCAGGAATCACAGTATCTCTACCAACTGAGTCTCTTACATTCCTATCTGGGTGCTCAACTACTCTAAAGGATTCAGGGGTTGAATCGATCGTCAGATACTCCGCACCGCCAAGTCGGGCGGATTATAGTGTTTCCGTAACAAATGCAATAATATCCAGAGCAGGGCAGTTAGCTTTAGGCTCGAAGTCGGCTGGCTTATATTTCTCTTGTATAGTATGATCATCATCATTGTATATTTTTGTTTTTTCCTATGTTGACCTCACATCTCCAAAAACACAAGCAGGACCTTCTATGTGGATCGACGGGCGCATGCCAGAGCTGCGTGTATTAAAACGCCTCGGGGAACAATCAAATGTTTCGGTCGCCGCGGGTTCTGTTGCAAACAGGTCCAACACTGATAAAAAAAAAAAAAAAAATAAAAATAAAAATCCAACCAGCTCATCTTATGCGTTGATGCCCAGTATTTGGTGTTGGGTCCCTGCACAGCCATGGTCCCTGTGTTGTATAGCGTGCCCCTGGTATTCCCACAGCTCCTTAGGAGCTGCGGTGCATGACCTCTCCAGTCTCTACTTTCTTGGTGCTCTCATGGGCAGGTTCCATGTCGAGTTATTTACTCTTGGACTTAGACTCCAAGAACCTCAGCGCGGGCACCTCTGCGTGGTGCTGGGGACTAGTACTCAAACATCCTCCAGTGCTTGAGGAAGCTAAGGTCTGCCATAAATACCACTGATAATACTATACATTCCTGAATGATTTCGTGCTATTTACTCTTTGATAGCCTATCCACTTTTGTAGGCGTAATGTACAGTAGTAATGCTTACTGCGTGCTAGCGGCTTTTCTATACCCTTTTAACCTCGCATCTTTATTATCAGCGCAGTGGCGGAATTACATACAGTACTGGTTATTGTCCATAGGAGTGCCGAAATCCTTATTCACGATTCCTGTACACAGGCAAACAAAGGAGTGGGTATCACTTGTATTTTGCTGGCTGACCAGTGCATCACCCAGCTCACGCCAAGCACAATTGGCTTCTTCTCTCTGTCTTGTTTTCCAAGAAATTTCAGTTATGTAACAAGTAATCTGCTTATTCAAAGTATAGTCGGAGTATTTGGTGGATACCTACAGAGTCAAATAGTGTGCACAAACAACCACCCCTCCAAACAGGATATGTTGAAACCCACTATGCAATGACCTTCACATGTTTGGCCATCTACTGCCGCCATAAAAGCCCGAATTTTCTGGGAATCTTTCCTTACTTTTGCCCTGGATCTTCCTAGCTGCGTTTCACTTTGTCTAATAATACTCACATGCCTTGCGCGAAGCCCTTTTGTTGAGACAACGAATGTGGTTTGGCTGTACATAGATATTTATACCGGACAGGGATAGTTGGCATTTAGCACCCCTCCTAGAATCTAGAAACTCATCACAGTTTCATGTTCCTCGAGGATCCTTTTCATGCAGTTCGGTAATGATAGACCTTTCCAGATCTTCCAGTGATATCTCTGGTAGTTCCTTCAAATCGCCCTTCTCCTTCAACAGCTCGATTATCTTTTGCTTGATCCATTGACGCGCCTTCGCTACCTGGAGCTCCCAAAGGCCCTTGGAAGCGGCGTGCTGGTCTGTGATATAGACAACAGCAAGTATATTCAGGTGAAGATGCCTGAAGCCTGGGCTCCTTTGGACGGACAGATTATTGTCAAACATGTCGTCCAGGAACCGCTCCAGCGCCAAGGTGCCGTATTTCCTGCTCAATTCATGTCTAAAGCTGCCGAGATGGAATTTTCCACTCGCTTCTTGTGTGAGGAGAATTTTATCAAGGGAAAGAAGCTCTTCCGCTTGTATGCTAGATGGCATAGTAATGCTTCTCGGCGGCTTGGTTACTCGGGAGTTTTCATTGACATAAGGGGAGCTATTTCTGGGCCGCTTAAAAGCCCATACAAGGCCCTTCATTCTTTCTCGAATACTTTTACATAGCCGCTGCTCGAGCTCAGTATCTTCTCTCGAGCGTATTGAGTTGGGCAAAGCGTTAGAATCTACAGACATCATAGTAACTGATCCCGAGCACATTGAGTTGGACAAAGTGGGAGGAAGTGCAGGAGGCGCAAGATCCACAACTGCAGGCAGCTCAGTACCTGATTCCGAGCTCATTGAGCTGGGCAAATCGAAAAAAGGTGCAGGTCTAGGACGTGGCCGGGTCAAATGAGCAATTTCGATAGTATCCGCTTTCTGGATCGATATCTCGTGGTGCTTGATACTCGTACGATCTATGGCAACATAGCTCGTCCACTTGCTCGTGATGGACCATTTCTGTCCAAGGTGTTGTGCCTGTTGTTCCAAGACCTTGTTAAATGCGGCCGGATTGGTGGACTCTAGAGATGAATTTAGAGTATGCAGCCAACTTTTCCCTGTCTCATAGTCGTTCATCAAAGCCTTTGCCGCAAGATGATGGATGGCTGTTTGGTCGGTCGCCTTCTGCAGCGGCAACTGCGTGGTGAGCTTTTCTCCCTTGTCAGTAGTCGCAGAGACTGTGACTGTCGCGGGCAGCGACTCGAGCCCCCTCTCCAATATGAAGTAGAGGGAAAAATATGAGAAGGTATTCAGCATGGGGATATGGTACGGAGCCTGGATCATTGTCGGGTAGTGCAAGGTATATCCAGAAACCTGCCTCTCAGAAGTCCTTGTCGTAAGTCCCTGGTCGAGGTGCACTTCGCACTGAAGACGAGACGGTGTCAGCGCCGCCTTCAGCATCTGTATCACACTTTCTTGCCATGAGCCCATTGAGGATTCGGGCACCACTTCTGCATAGCCGCCCCCCTGTTGCCCAATGCCCTCAACTAAACGATGGGAGACGCGATCTCCAATGCCGATCGAGAAGAATCTAATATTCGACTCCCGGTTTAACACGGTTCTTCTGACTAGCTGGATCACATTGTCCACGTCCCAAACTTCCCCATCTGTCAAAAGAATCACACTGGTAGCCACATCGCTCCTTTTATTATAGTGGCCTAGCACACTTTCCAATGCTGAATAGATCTCGGTGCCCCCAAAATTCGCTTCAAATGATCCAACATATTGCGATGCGATGGACAGGTTCTCTTGGCTGTATTTCTCAGAGGCAGGCCACAGCCATGAAAAGCGGGAGCCGAACGAGGCAATGTTATAGAAGCATTTTTGAGGGAGGCTCCTTAGGAAAACATTCATTACACTGATCAGAGAATGCATCTTTGAACTCATCGATCCTGATCTATCTGCCATGAAGATAATCTCACCATCGAAGCCCTCTGTATTAGCACCTTGCAGGAACAAGTCTCCGGGGTGTATCGTGACGGCAACTGTGGTAAGGCTGGGTTGGTCAGGTTGTGCTGCCGCGAGAGCTTGCGACTTGGTCGATTCTCGAGAGCTGGACAGGATGTATAGGACAAAATCCTGGTCAAGGACTGCCGATCTGCCTGCCAGTGTGGCTCGTCCTTTCGAAAGATCCAATGTCTCTGATGTGGCTCCAACGGCGAAGTTTGTAAAATTATGATGAGCAACTGACCCAATCTCAACGGAAATTGGGTGCGATCGCGACTCCATTTTGCGGATGATTGCCGGCATTGATGCTTGGACGTTGACGCGCAGGCCTTCTGTGAGTAAGGGCTGGTTGGCACTGTACCATTCCGGAGCGACTCCATATCGCGGCGCGATAGATGTTGGGATTGTGAGGACCAGTCCTCCAGTGCTGTTGTCCACCTTCAGGAGGTTGGCATAGGTGATCTCGATCTTTACTGTCGTCTGTCCCGGAACATTTCCTACGTTTGTCTCGAAGACTTCCGGGGCCAATTCTTCGACTAATACGGCCACCTTGTGCTGGGAGACAGCATGATGAAAGTCGGCCCGTGCCGCTTCTTTAGTTTTCACCGCACCTTCGAGAAGCCTGTCACTGCCAACCCGGCAGCGAAAGGACGTGACGACAGATCCATCATAAATGGGGAAGATATATTTCGCATTCTGCGCGACGCACGAGGACGTGTTACTGAATTGCTGGGTGACCCTTGTGGTGCATAATCTTCCATGCAATTCCACATCAACCGAGACGCTCAGCAGTGGTAGGGGAGTTTCGGGAGTATGAGACAAAGACGGAGTGTGGGTTGGGCCAGGAGCATGATCGCTCGGGGGAGAAACATAACGACAGTCGGCTCTGGGCACACTTTGGTCCTCTAAGGGGTTGGGGTGGTTACTGTTCGGCACCGAGTCTATGACTCTCAGCTGCTGGAAAAAGAGCCCGGATTGGAGCCGATCAAGTACATCCATCGTGATGAGGTTGATGTTCAGAGAAGAATACGATGTCCCGAGGAAGACCAAAAGGAAGGATCTGTCCATTTATAGTACCCGTCATCCTCGATGCCCAATGCTAGTCTACCTGTCAGCCTTGCACTGCCTCGAAGTATGATCGCATGCAGGGATCACCGGAGCGGAGACTTGGAGTCACACCTTGAGGAGGGTTGCGGGGATCAATCATCCAGAATCCCCTCACCGGTCATAATAGACAGTGTCTTAGAGCCATCTACCCTGACTGTATCTACTGTTTTCTCTCCAAATAACGTCCCAACGTCATGGTGTTCCAAATATCGATCGGGGATGTTTTGGCGTTATCCAAACTCGCCTGGAGTATCTCACAGGCATTCACATCGGGTAGGAAGTCAGCGCCGGCGGAGTTTCAGGAAGTGCAGAATCAACTCAGCTCACTCTGCCATGCACTGGACTCTTTGAAGTCACTGTCTCTGAGGCACTCCACCTCGGCGGATGCGGGCTCAGGTAGCAACAGTATTACACCCATCCTGCAGAACTGCCACTTCACGCTTGAACATCTCGAAATGCTCGTAAGCAAGTACATGGTCATCGGGGATCAAGAGGGTACAAGTGAATCACAGAGGAAGAGATGGCGCGAGGAGATCCGGAAGAACTGGAAAAAGGTGCGCTGGACGAGGGAGGGAGGCGATCTGGCGAGACTACAGCATAATCTGGGAGTCCATATTAACAGCTTAAATCTTGCGATTGCAGTATTGAATAGGTACGATAAGATTTCCCCTCCGCGGATGTGTAATTTGATAGCTAAAACAGATTGTACTCCCCAGTGAAATAAATCAGAACATAGGCCATCAAGTAGAAGACGTTCATGGAATGCTTAGGGAAATCTATACCTGGTTCACGAGAAATTTGAAAGGCCGGGTGACGAGCTTCCATAAACCTTCTTCAGAACCCCAGGACGGTTCACCAGAGTTGACTTTTTCGTTGCACCGGGGGAACCCCGAGTCCTACGACGCTGCACCTATATGCGACAATGCTTCCTTCAATGCCGAATGGCTCGAGCATTTAAATAAGCCGGTCTTCCAGTGTAACTGTCGACATCAACGAACAGTGTACGGAGACGCCCATGATGAAGAGTTGGCAGAGTACTTCGGTATGTCTTCTGTTCATCATGTTTTTCTCCATATAGGTCTAATATGCCCGCTTAGTATCTCCTGTGAGCCTTATTGTCCGCTTAAATGGGCTCTCCCAATCATGGAAGATATGGCTTTCTTCCGGCAGAACATCCAGACTCACCTCCTTAATAATGTCGAATATACCCTCACCGAGTATGCGAGGCTTCGTATCCCAACTCTAACCGAGAACAGAACTGACATGTAGAAGAACTAGTTGCATTCGAGAACGTGATATCCGACCTTGCAATCACCGCTGCTAGACCGGCTATTCATCAGGGAATGAGCTCAATAATGGTGTTTCCGTCCATCAACCCATACATGGAACTACCAGTGATCTCAGTTCTGAATATGCTTTGGTATGTCAAGACAAACCCCTGGTTAACTCTCGTTCTAACACTCAGCCGCAGCGATACTCGCCGGTTATATAATAGCATAACAAACGTGAAATTAACAGCCAATGGACATAGATACTCGACTGGCCCTATTGAGACAGTACAGCTGGTCCACTATCGGAATCTGACTAGTGAAGGGGCGTGGCTGTTTAGTGAAACTGCAGATGTTATATTGAATACCCATTCAGAAGCGCAGAACTTTGACATAACAGATGATGGGATATCGGAATTCACCCTTACGGGTGAGTTGGTTTCTCCTTTTTAGGCCGACAAGAGCTTATACCTCCACAGTGGACAATCAGACAGATGTCGCTGGCGGTGAAAATGCATCACACGTCCTTATTTCCGGCACGGACTGCCTCTCCAGAACCAAAGCCGGCCGGGAGAATACGGTAAAAGGGGTCTACGTGGAGATTGAGCTGCGAGATGAGGACTGTAAGGATGATCTCCAGTTGTGGAGTCGTTTCTAATGTGTATAGCCGCAACTTATCTCATTTGGCAGCTGCGGCATCTGCAGGCGGGGTTACTCCTATTCAAAATCCAACAGATCCAGCGAAATGAGAAGCTCGTATTCGAGTTGTATGTTTTACGAAGGCTAGCTTTTACATCCTTTACTGAACATTGGCTCCCTGCAGAGGCCTCGGGCTTTTAATGGTTTACGACTACCACATACCAGATGCCACTTTGAAGCTTGCTATGAACTTGAAGACAAAGGATTATCGTCTCCTCTTTTCAAACGCATCGAGATCCATATGCCTGAGCATTGAGAGTATGTGTCTACTCCATCGTGTTGACTTACGCATCCCCCCTGATGTACGGAGCAGTGTCGTCAAAATCATTGCAGCAAACGGCCAAGGCAAGCGAGTTATATCCCTCCTTCGACAATCCTTGTTGGGTTGCGGAAACCAACCTGGATGGGGTACGTATATATCAACAACGCCGCAGGGCAAGTTTGATATGTGCGGATGCACATAGTATGTTATTGTTAGCTATTTACTTGACAGCTATTTCGTCATATACTGATAAGGGTATAGCCCAACAACTGCTCGCGTTGATGCTCCAGTCGGTGGTGAGGGGTGAGTCTGCTTAAATAAAGCTATAACTGTCAATTGCTAACTACCACGCGTGAGACCATGGGTGCCCATACCCAACAATCGAAGGCCGTTAAAATCACAGTTAATATAAAATTCTTTACGGGGCCCTGGCTATTTGGGAGCGAAAACTAATAGGGGAGATCTGCAAAGACTTCAAGCCTTAAGTGGTATTTGCTATAAACCCGATCGGAGATGCCTCCATTACCTCGAAGCACTGCGTTAGACCTTGTTTCTGTTGTAGATGGCAGTATATTAACATGTGCAGTGTATAACAGGAAAGACAGCAATAATAGAGATATAAGAACGGCGCACTATGGCACTGAAAAGGCATCGTGAAGCCAATCCAGGAATAATATAGTATTTTATTAAGTTAATAAAATGAAGAGGAAATATGAAAGTTAACTATAGATATAAATAAATGAAAAAGAAATCATAAACAAGGTAATGTCACTAGTATCCGGTCTGCAGAGGTACGTATCTCTGCTCTGTCCGGACAGGCCATGTAATTATTTCCCCAAGTTGCCTTTATAGTGGCTTCACTTCCGAACTATGGGACTTTACTCTTTAGGAATATCCATCCTATGAAATAGCGGCCATTAATGAATAGTAGCAACCCTTCCAATAGCTTCTGCAGAATCAGACGGAAAAGAGTTGAAACAGAGCTTAGTCTGCGACGCAAGAGCGTTGATGCACGACTCAAAAACACACGTGTTCTGTGGAGCGAGTCGGACACTCTCCCGGACCAAGATGCCGTCGTATTTCCGAGTCATCATTAGATGATTATCGAGAGTGGAGAGAAGCTCTTAATCAGCCCGGCCAGACAAAGGTCAAAGCCATATCCTGATTTGGATAGGAAAGGCTGTAGAAGCAGGAGACAGCAGTCTGCTGCCTGCTGAATAGGCGCGACCATACCACTAGGTGTACTTTCTACCTATCAAAACTATCTAGCCTGACCACCTCAGCAGCGCATGGGAACAACTAATACGGGACTAGTTCAGAAATTATCGCTAGTGAGAGCTCTAAAATCGAGCCAGTTATCGTTCGCTTGATCCTCAATGCAGCTGTGGCTGACTGATTCTCTCGCTGCTTTCAGCCCCTTGTGCTACAAGACGGTGCGGGGCTAGAGTCTTCAACAGGTATGTACGGGTTATAACCAATGCCAGAGGACCATATGCTAGATGGTGGTACCCCCTGCATTGAGCCATCCATTATGAAACGTCAAGCCGAAGGTCTCGCCGACTCTGATCAGGAGGACAAGGCGATATCCCCCTGTACCTACTCCGTAGGTCTGGCTCGATTCCTATTGCAATCTCGAAGATTTACAGAACAAATCCTTTAATAAGGACGTGGCGCCGTGCATGCGGCCGGGGAAGCCGCTTGATTTTGTCGACCTTAGCTGCCGTGGAGTCTGATGAGGGCGTGTGGCATCGTGTCATGGAGTATGACTGCAACAATGCGATACTCGAGTGCCAAGCGTCTTTGTTGGTATGTCCGTGGGCATTGAAGGAAAAGAGGAGGGAGAAGGACTACGCAAGTGGTATGATAAGTGAGCTTGGCTGAAATACGTGGGATTTAAAATGGGGTTTATACGTGATAGAGTAGAAGGTATGACGGGAATAAGCATCACCCAATGGATTCAGAATCGATGTTATGCACTGTCAGGATAGTGTTGGAGGGCAGAATGCGACCATAAGAATCCTGTGAATGGACTAGGTCAGTGCTCATCATGAAAATTCAAGGACTCTGCATCTTTGTATGTGGAGCTACAGCCTTCTCATGTGTCCTTGACGGCTGATATGAAATTCTTCTTGTCAATCGATAACATAAAGGAACCTGTACTGGCAACGCTTAACCCTGGTCCCGCTCCGGCACTGAAAAGATTCGCGGAATATACCATTTCAGCATCCCATATTTGATGCCTCAACAGTCGAAGCTCTGCAAAACGACGAAGATCCAAGGGCAGAGAGGAATGTGGTTTGTGGGAGTATGGACGGGCCATGCTTTCCACGAGGATGGCTTTACAGAAAGGATTAAAATCGAGAAGCATATTCGCAGCCGACATGAAACGCAGATGGATCCCCATACAGAGTTTCGACTTAAAGACTGGAAGCTGAAGGTCCATCATTCAAATCCATAACTCTGAAGACTCTACGAACCCTCTTCATACTTTTTCATCGATTACTCCATTATCATATCGATTGATCCGAACACCTATGTAGCGTATAACAGCCACCCATCTAATCAAAAAGAGACAGTCCACCTGAAGAAAGAAATGTCAAAACGGCTCACCAGAAACTGCACCATCCAATCCAGTGCTGGCATATGTTTTCTATGCTTGTCGCCTGAGCGAGAAGTTCGTCAACCTGATCGCTAACATTGAGTTCTTGATTGGGCTTAAAGTCTCGTCCGGTCAGTTTCTCTTTCACTCGAGCTAGAACTTGCAGAGCCCTAGCATTCTGCGTTTCGCGTGTTTCGTTTTGTGCACCTTGTGACGCATCAAGAATAACACCCTCTAGATTTGACGGCCAGTGATGGTGCGTGGAACTGCTGGGTTGAATGCGGTGCTCTGGATTAGCATCGTCCACGATAGAATGCCGGCGGTTAACGGTTGAGAATGACGGCCGAGCCTGTGATTCGCGAGCCCCGAGACGCCAATTGATCAGGGGGTCATGAATGAACTGAATGGGTTGTTATTAGCATTATGCAAATCCAGTAAGAGAATCCGAAAACTTCTAGGGAGATGAAAACTCACAGCTTCAAGCACAGCCATCAATGAGTCTTTGTTCTCCCGAATTACACGCATAACAGCCTCACATGTAATGCGATAGCTCCCCTCGATATTGCTGACTTCCATTGCAAATGTCAACATACGAGTCAATCGGAATGGGACTCGCTCCGGGTATTTCTCGCGATGCATGGCAACCTCAAAGCAATCTCCAAAGTCAATGTGTACAATCATCCCCGTGACGCGATCAAGAAGTAGATTTGACGGATGCCTATCGCCAAGGCCAAGGATATATCCGACCATAGACATAACGCCCAGAGAACGAGTGTAATTAGTTCTCCGTTCTAGCCACGCTTCGGAACTTTTGCTCTTTAGCCAAAGGACCCGGTACAGATCTTTGCCTGTTGTGTTGTCCATTGCATACCCGAAGACCTCGACTTTTTGCATTAATGTTAGATTGTCATAATCGGGCGCCATCTGGAGCATAATGCGGTGCTCGATGTTTAGTAGAATCCGACGGCTTTCGCGATATTCCTTGATAAGTGCGTGCAATGTATCGTTATTTGAGACCCACCCCAATAACCCGGAGTTCTGGGATAGGGGGATGGCTGGGAATCGTTGCACAGACAGATGCCGCTTGAAGCATTCGCTGTCGTTGTCTAAGAGCGTGTTCACGAGACCAAACAATTGCATCACTCGTTCGTCTTGTCGAATATCTTCGTGTCCCTTGAGAAGGTACATGTAGGATTTGCCGTCGCTGCCCTTGAGCGTCATTCTCCGCGGTCGCTTCTTTGTTTGCAGAACGTGTAGTACAGGGTCGAAGCTTAATATTCGGATCACAGGCCGGCCAGGGTGGTACGTTCCCGGGACAGCCAGATCAAGGTCGAGGGTATCCTTCAGTTTCGGGGACACGTACTGTAAATCAAGTGTCGACAGCTGAGGCTGAGGCAACTGACGGGCGATCTTGCGGAAAACGATGTAATATAAATCCCAGGCCTGATTCAGGTCCCCGATCTCTTTGGTTTCGCGATACAGAAGACAATACTGTTTGGCTTCAGCCAGGTCGCGTCCGAAAGCTTGCGCAAACGAAACTTCCCGCAATGTTTCGGCACCCCGGTCCAGAAGATCATGAAGAGGCGCCAGAGTCGAGAACATGCCTTCCACGCTATGTTCACCAAAGTATAATCGTGAGGCTTCTTCTAATCCTTCGTGCCAAAGCTCGTGCCATAACACGGCCACACGAATCAGCTCACTGCTAACGATGTCGGCTTGCTCGACTAGCTTTGCACTGTGTTGCCTCATGCTCTCCATGATATGAATTGCCGACTGAGACCGTCGCGCAACATTGGATTTTATGGCAACCGTCAAGGGGTAAACAAGTGCTTGTGGGTGGGCTTTGCCGACTTCGGCAAGGAGACGATGTAATGCATTGCGCACTCGCAGATTCGGCTGGTTAATGCGTGCAATCAATTGAGGTGTCACCGCCAGCCAGGTATCGATGCTGACGGAAGAAAAGCCCTCCGTAATAACGCTATTAACGTCTTGTTCGGCCCCGTAGGTAAACCATAAAGTGAGCAACCGCAGTGTGTCTTGAAGAGATGAGGTAGAGGATAAGGAGATTGATCGGAAGAAGCCACGAACGGCTGGAATAACATGCTCGTTCACAATGTGCCTGGGAATCATGGAGCCATCTCGGCTCTGTTGAGCAGCCAGTGCTGTGACGGTTTCAAAGTTAGCAAATGCCCATGCATGCCATGCTTTGTATGAGTCGCGATTGTACTGAGTTGCAGCCGAATACGCAGTAAGTACTTCACGCACATGCTCGGGTTTCCAATCGCCTCGCTGGAAGGCTGTTTGCCATTCGCCTTGTTTGAGGTAGCTCTTGGCGAGTAGTTTCCTCACTTTTGTTGCATCCCCGAGTCGTGATCGTAGGTGATAGATATCTGGATTATTTGAATCCTGAAAGACATTAACGCCATTGGTTCCGTTGTGATCGGCATGCTGTGCTAGAAGAGCATTATATCTTATAAAATCATCCTCTAGAGCAGCAGTGAACTCTTTCAGAGACCGTAAAGCCTCTGCTTGATGCCCTTGAGCCCATGTAAACTTGAACCGGGCGTACTTGACTTCAGGTGGCGCTACAGTTTCAACGCCATCGGGACCTTGTATCGCCGTTTCGAGAGATGCTAAGGTACGTTCGGCGATCCCCATCCGATTTGATTTGCGGCAAAGATTGGCAAATTTAATCAACATGTCCTGATTCTCTTGTGCTGACATGACTAGCTGTCTCACATTTAGCATTCTCTGCCAGGCTTCGACATTCTGCTGACAGCCAAGAAGCCTCTTGTTCCACGTCTCACGCATTGCCTGCTGCTTTTCGGGATCGCCAACGTTCTGCTTGAACGTGATGATCTCCTCAAGTTCGGTAAGCATTTGTACGCGAACCACAACATTGTAAGCTCGATTGTAAGACTCTCCTAGAAGTGCGGAGAGTTCCGTGTCCACTCTGCTGCGTGCCTTTTCGATAAACATCGCAGCCTCTTCGAACTGATTCCGATAAATCGCCAGGATGGCACCAAAGAAGGATCGGTCGGGCGATTGCTCTTTCATGACACCAAGGTACAAGTCCATTATCTCCCACTGGCCTTGGCCCCAAGCGGCCGCTGCGGCTAGCGGTGCAATGGCTCTCCTATGTTCCACCGATACCTGGTTCCACTTTTCTTGCGCCAGGTCAGACAGGATCTTCCACTCCCCGAGAGCATGTAAGCAGCGCATTTTGCCCATTGTAATACTGAACGAGTCTGGATCCTGGGTCTCGCGCCGTTTGTAAGCTGCAAGTGCTTCCTCCCAGCGTTGAAGCTTCTCAAACCAAGTCTCCTTCAACTCGACATCCCGATAAGCTTGAGCCTTGCGTAAAATGCCGATGGCTGCATCTGACTGTTGTAGTTGATTATTGATCGTAATTAGGGCATCCACTGCACCCGAATTCTGGTCCTGTTCAAACTCGAGTTCATTGTAATGCAACGCTTTTGCAAACGCATGGCACTTGCCTGCATACCGACCTAACATTCGAATATCGATAGGCAGCGCCTTGTCATCGTGTTCCATGTATTCTGCGAGATTCAAGAGTATCTGCAGGATCTCAGGTGGAATATTTGGGGAGGTAAGCACCTTCTCGATTGAACGCACGAGTTCCTCCTGATACTGGTCGTATAGCTCGGTCCAGCAAGAGGCAAATGCAGCATTGAACAAGTCCTTCGCTAACGGCTGATAAATGCCGGCCAAGGTAGCACAGGCTCTCAGAGCCGGAGATGGTGATTCCTTGAGAAGCTCAACGCTGAATCGTCGTATCCACTCTTCCCAGTCTTCGCGCGTTGACTTCTGAGAGGCATCCCATGCGTTCTTCAAATGTTGCTGATTGACTTGCATTTTCTTTTGGCCGATCTCTGCATAGCTTGTATCATCTGTTGAGATGCGGTGAATCGCTTCGGGGTTCAAGTCCTGTGGTAGAGGTTCACCTTTCTGTACCTTTGTCACGAGGGTCTGGAACGTCGCATGGCTTATTTGCTGCTGTTTCAGGATCTAGAATAAACAATTAACTAGGCCAAGTTTCAAGGAAATAAGCATATTCACCTTGCTGACGAGTTGAATGTAATTTCTGAAATCTTGCCCTAGTTGAAATATAAGGGCACAGATACAGTCCAAGGCTGCTTGTCGCAGTGTCTTGTTATTACCAGCCACAACTCGTGCCAAGGCATGAATCATAAGGGATGCAAAATCAGACACGTTGGCTTCCCGCGACAGCTTTGCCAGTGTCTCGATAGCGGATTTTCTAACGCTCGAAGGGTTCTGTGATTTGTCGAAAAGTCGCACAATCGCGGGAACAGCCAGGTGCATATATTCCTCTCCGTTTGAGCCAAATACGAGAAACGTATGCAGGATTCTTTCTGAAGGCTGGCGTCGCGGAGAAGTGTCCTTTTCTAGGGTGTCTAACATTAAGGGGATCAGTGCAGCCAGATACTTCTTAAAGTCGCCTTCGAGGGCTTTACAGATAGCCTCTATCAATGCCAAAACGGGTATTTGGACTTGATAGTTTACATCCCAGTAGTCGCGGATCGTCTCGATGATTGAAGGAAGGAAGCCACGAATATGCTGGCGAACAATGTTGACCAGGATCGCAAGCTGGTTGAAGTATGACTCGAGACGGCTGACGGGTGAGCTCCTGATGACTGACAGAAAAGCGGGAATAATTTGCCCGAGGAAGGAGACGCATTTCAAGCCAAGGGTCTTGAAAATAGTGACTATGGCATCAATAACTGCGGATTGGTATTGAGCCAGAGAGACCTCTTGCAATATGTTCTGCAACAGCGTGTTAATAACCACTGTGGGGTAGTATTCCTCACTAGAGGGAGTTAAGCCTTGCATGATAAGCGCAACGTCGGAGACCGGCTGCACCTCATTGATGTAGTGAACATCAGGCGAAGTCTCACTTATTTGCTACGTACTGTTAGGGGCACCATATCAATTGGGGAGGGGTGGGGAGATTGTTTACCTGGTATTTGTATGGATCAAGGGCTCCAAGGATGCCTAGTAGTTTGACTGTCTCCTTGCGCAGTGAACCCCTTTGCTCCGTTTTGATGATGCTGATTAGGACGGCTAATAAATGCGGATACTCCATGTATGGCTCGATGACATAGCCCGAGTTACTCGCCAGTTGGCCAAGGGTTCGCAAAGCCGACTCTCTCTTAACATGAGAGGACAGATCTTGTAGAGAGATAAGTATTATGGGCATGAGCTGTGGTAAGTATTGCTTTATTTCAGCGCCACCGACCTTTGAAAGCTCCCCAATAGCCTTCAAAGCCGTGGATGCAACACTTGCACTGGAATCAGTAGTTTTCGGCAGCAGGAGAGTAACCATCGGATCGACGTATGACCGGATGAGCTTGGTTGCATTGCCCACAAAGAGACTAATAAGCTGGGCGCTTTCTTCCTTCTGACGAGTAGTGCTAGCGAATCTCAGACCAGTTAGTAGGTTCACCAAGAATTTCCTTAGCGGAGGAAAAACATATGCAGGATTCACACTAGAAAGGCGACCAATAATACTAATGGCAGCCTCCCTAACAGCGAAGACCTCGTCATTGACGGCGAAGAAAAGGCATCTAATATTCTCCGGTTTCGCTAGATGGCGGTCAAATTTGCGATGTAACGACCACAGAACAGTGTGCCGGATCTCAGAGTCTGGATCACCGATACCCACCGTTAGTAGCCTGTCCATAATCTCGCCAACGACTTGGATGGAGTGGGTGCTTGTTTGATTTATGATAGGGTCGTGGACAAGAAGCTGACAGCAAGTTAAAGCCGATGCCTTCCGAATTTCGGGGTTGTCACTTTCGACATATCTGATGGCGACGTCCTGAACGAACTCATTCAATATGTGGCCTGAGAAATCGAAGCTACCCAGCGTGTGCAATGCTAGAGTTACTTCGAAGTCTGAGTGGAGCTCCTGGGGAGCGGAATCCTTAGCCGATGAGTGTAGCGGCGGAAATCTCTTCTCTGGGCAACCCAAGGGACGGAAGGGTGTGCCGCATAGAATTATACTGAGAATATTAAGCAATTTCTCCTGTATGACCGGTTTCATTGGGGGTATATAGTGTGCCATATTAACGAGAGCCTGAGTCAAAGGCTCACTTAATCCACAAGCAAAGATTGGATCCAAGAGAGCTTCCATGTATTTATTCAAAGTCTGTCCAACTGCCACAGAGAGCATGCTGATACATTCGAACATCGGCCCCTCGTTGACACCTACACGATTTTTCCTATTTTCAATAAGATGACTAAACTGAATTGGTAGTAACGGATTCACTCTACTTACGCTTTGGTCGCAAGACCCTCACGGATGTAAACCATAATAGAGTCAAGGTATTGTCCGATGTCGACGCCCACTGCGGTCGCAATCTTTCCGATGGCAATGAAGGCTGCATCGCGCTCCTTTTCCCTCTTGAGTTGGGCCTGAAGGTACACCATAAATCTGTGAAGGTAATTGTTCGTAAAATCCATTGGTGCATAGGAGGCCAGAATCGGAATTGTCAGGACAACTTGAGTGCGGATTTTTACATCTCGGTGGTCTTTCAGGCGAAGCACGATTTCGCAAGCGTTCCTGTAGTGTTCATTCATAAACATTGCCCCCTTCAGGAGGAGCTCTTTTAAGACTAGAAGGGAGCTGTGGGTCCAGACAATACTACTGGACTTGAGGCCTTGCAAGGACTCTTCATACATCCGAGAGAACCATTGCTGCTTAACACCGACGTCACGAGCGGCGATAATTTGGAAACATTCACCGACAGCTTCAGCAGTGGTTTCGCGGATCAGAAATTTCGGATCGCTAAGAGCAACCCAAGCGAGTTCGAGGATCTGGGGAACAAATCCATATAGCACAGCAGGTGACCCTTTAGCTAACTCCCGTATGATCAGAACCGCCGCGAACCGTCTGCTCTCCTGCCTCTCCGACTGCAGCCACTCAAGAGCGGAATGAATCTCACTCTCAACTATTTCAGCCGTCAGAGCACCGCCCGGTTTCGCCAGTCGGCCCAGGGATTGAGCGGCACAGACCAAGACTGCGTTGTCATTGCTTCGCAGCGCACTTCGCAGATAGCTGGCAAATCGAGTTGTCTTCTGTGCAGCATCGACACCGTTCAAGTCAATCAGGCGGTCGAGGGCGAGCAGCCCGCCGATTTTCTCGCTACCATCGCTGCCAGTCACTACCAGCTGCCCAATGCGGTGGCTGACAGTGTTGTAGAATTCCAAGAATTTCTCCGGAGCCCAATCTAGAATTCTAGTCGTCAGTGCGATATGTTTGCGAAGAGTTTTGCGAGTAACATACCACGTGAAACAGTAATGACATTATCATATAACTCGTAGGAAGCCCTAACACGCTTCTCTTTGTTCTCCGACCTTAGTTCCGTGAAAAGCCTCTGAACAACGTCCGTCTCCGGGCCTGCTTGCGCCATGCCGGGTACTGCCACGGCGCACACATCTGATTTAAATTCAGCGACCACTCTACGTCTTTCAGAAATTAAACGGTCGAACTGCAAATTGTGTATATGTCGATTATCGTATAGTTTTTCCGTGGACGAGATCGGTCCGACCTAGTGCCGGCTTTTGCTGCCCGGAGCTTTGGTGGGGGAAGCAAACGCGGCAAGGAGCAAAATAAAGTCGGAGAAAAGGTGGACTATAATTATGTATATATAGTCTTCTGGCTCGGCCCGCGCTCCACCTACTTCCCGGCCGCTTCCATGTGACCCAAATAAAACAGGCAACCAGGCTCAGTAGCCCAGCCGGTCGTAACGACCCTTCCTCTTATCGTCTCCATAAGGGTCTACATACAGTAGTTCCATACCAAACGGACCGTCCATGCTCCTATCTGAGTGTCTTGGCCTTTTGCTAACAAAAAACTTTCAAAGCGAAGCGGTACTAGAACCGGATGATCGGCTTCCCAGTGCGCTTCCTAGGCATGAAATCCCATACACGACAGTGACTAGCTTTAACCTTGGGAACCTCCTATAGGAAGAGTACGCATTCTCCTAATTTTAGATTGTCTTCAATCAGCGCAGAGTCCTTGTTTTGTTTATGTTGTCTTTTTCTTTTTTCCAGTAGCCACAAGGTAGGGATAACCACTTGGACTTTTGGCTGTTATTGATCGATTTGCATTTGCATGTTGGGGATCTTATAGACCAACTTGAGCTTGGTAGTTCACGTTCAGAGGGAATTTACGAGTTTAAGCCTTGTCTGGAGGGCACTGGTGCTAAACTTACGCGCCAGGAACCCCCGAGTATGGTTGGTTGGTTGTGGAAAGGTGTGGTGGCGTCAAAAGTTTTACTCCCTCACTAGCAGCGACTAGCTGGCTACCACAGCGCTGTTGGCAGCGGTTGCACGATAAGTATAATAAAATCTCACCAGATTGTCTCTTGGAGTTCCCTTTCACAAGTAGCCTTCCTGTGACATCATAAGCCACTTAGAGAACATTCTTGGCCTACCGTGGCGGCCACACTTTTCATGGGCTTAATAATCGTGGCAGGCTTGACAGCGGTTGTATTGTGGCTACTCCCTCTTCATGCTGGGAAAACTGCTGACTGTGCCCTCCTAGTGCTTTCTGCTTTGGGTAGTGGCAACGATGTTAGCGCATCTTTCTCAAAGATAGATTGTGTAGCTAAAGGCTGGTACAGCTAGAACTCCCATTACCGGTGCCTATTTTCCAGGTCATACAACTTATAGCTGATAGTCTTACGTTTCCGATTTGAGTTAATGCTCTTTATCCTATTTTTGATTGGCTTCTTCGTCTCTCATGGCGTGGCGCTAAATCATTGCAGGTCGCGTGCAGCGGGGTGGATGGGCGAGGCTGACTCTCGCAGTGCCTGTGGAAGTAACCTCCAAACACCAGTCAGGCCATAGTATCATAGCGTTTAATACTACGGCGGGAAATGACAAAAGCTCCTGGCAGAATTACATATGGCAACTGCAACGATAAATTTCCGCCACCAAGACTACACGGTCGCATGGATCTGTGCCCTCCCTTTGGAGATGGCTGCGGCTGAAGCGATGCTGGATGAGAAACACTCCAACTTGCCAACGAAACCAACAGACGATAACACGTACATCCTGGGTAGGATGTATGACCATAATATTGTCATTGCATGCCTTCGATCGGGCGTTTATGGTACGACGTCAGCTGCAACATTGGCTACACAAATGCAATCCACTTTTCAGTCAATACGGATCTTTTTAATGGCGGGCATCGGAGGGGGAGTCCCAAGCGAAAAGGCTGACATCAGACTGGGTGATATAGTGGTAAGCAACCCAACAAGGGACTTCGGAGGAGTCATACAATATGATTATGGAAAAACAGTGAGTGGTGGCCGCTTTGAACGCACTGGGGTATTGAACAAGCCGCAACCGGTGCTCCTGACAGCGGTCGCCAGGTTGCAGGCAGCGCATATGTTGACGCCAAGCAAAATTCCCGCTCTCCTTTCTGAGATGGTAGCTAGACAGCCCACTATGCGGAAGAGATTCACATATCGTGGTGAAGACCAGGATCTATTGTTTGATTCGGAATATGACCACTGTGCCTCTGAAAATACTTGCAACAACTGCGATACTAGGAGACTGGTAATGCGGCCTACTCGAGCTGGATATGATCCTGTCATCCATTATGGTCTCATTGCATCCGGCAACCAAGTGGTAAAGCATGGTCGCACTAGAGATAAGCTAGCCCGGGAGCTTGGTATCCTCTGCTTTGAAATGGAGGCGGCTGGCTTGATGGACGATTTTCAGTGCCTAGTGATTAGAGGGATCTGTGACTATTCAGACTCACATAAAAACAAACAGTGGCAAGAATACGCAGCAGCATCGGCAGCTGCCTATGCCAAAGAGCTGCTCTCTGTAGTCCACGCAAACCAGGTTGCGGACACACCACTGGCACACTCAGACAGTAAGTTGGCTGTCTAAGTCGTAGACTTAGCCATGTTTTATCTAACATGATATCGTTTCTAGTATCTTATTGCAACGGAAATCTCCTTTGTCGAGAGAAGTATGCTGCAAGTGTGGCAGTGCATCGAAACCGTGAGTGCATTACATGCTCCAGAGGAAACACATCCTGATAGATTATAGATGCTCAAGATTATGAGTTGCTATTCGAGCATATTTCAAGTTATGATCACGAGAGAGTTCATCGAAGACTGTCTCAGAAACGACTCGTTGGCACCACGCAGTGGTTTCTTGATCACCCGGATTTCAACGCCTGGTTCACTGAGAAGAGTATTTCAAGTTTGTGGTGCTCAGGAAAGAGTAAGCCTGGTTTCAATGTACTTTCAATGCGATACTAATGTGCAACTCTTTATCAGTTGGCTCAGGCAAAACAATGATAGCGTTAGTTTACCTGGATAACTTTTTTGAGATTATCACTTAACAACGAGCAGAACTGCAGTGGTAGAGGCTGCATTGTATCGCTATTTGGACAAACGGTCTCCCACTGTCTTCTTCTACTGTGAGAATGAGTGTAGTAGATCCCTGGACGGCTCATATATTCTCTCCAGTTTTATCAGACAACTTTGCGAATTTTTGCACATAACGTCCAGGCCTTATCCGGAAGATATTATAATTGAAATTAGAAAGTTCTTTGGGCCTAAACCGACCCAGCCAGACTTTGAAGACCTGAAATATATCTTTAATCGACTTTTTCTTTATGTGCCGGACACAATTTATATCATTGATGGACTTGACGCTTTGAACCAGAAACATGGAAAATCCCTTTTGGGGTTTATCCAGTCGCTATTCTGTTTCTCCAAGCTCCCACAAGGATCGCGGATCTTGTTGCTTAGCAGGGACCAAGTTCCAGGTTATATAAATATCGCCACTTTTATGCATGAAATTCGTCAGATCTCGACAACTGCCAATGTTATGCGAGACATCGAGGCTTATATCGAAACAAGCATCATTGATAAGACCATGTGCAGAAAACTTACCGATGATACTGTATTGGTAGAAGAGATTAAGCGGAGGCTTTTAACGGAGTCATCGGGGATGTATGACGCCAAGCTTCCTTAATGAGAATTCGATTCAGTGAATTATATGTTGACTTGTATAGGTTTCTATGGGTGCATCTCCAGCTGGAGATTCTCTGGGATACTTGCCGCACGGATGCAGAAATTCGATCAGCCTTAGCTACACTGCCTAAAGGCCTGGAAGAAACATATGGCCGTTGCATTGACAGAATAAACCTCCAGGATAGCTATGCCCTAAAGGTTCTCAAGTGGGTTAGCTTTGCAACTAGATCGCTTCATATTGAGGAACTGAGAGAAGCTGTCGCCTTTGATTTGGGAGATACGGAGTGGATCGCTGAGAAAATGCCGCAGAAAAATATTGTGATTGGCTGCTGTGCGAATCTTGTTGTCATAGATCCTACCGACCATTGTGTGCGCTTCGCACATTCTTCAGTGAAGCAATATCTCGACACATATCAAGGAAGGAAAGTTCAAGCAAAACGAATCCCAGAGTACCCAAACACAGAGCAGGGCGATCTAGAGTGTGGAGAATTCTGTGTTACCTATCTTTCCTTCTCAGACTTCAGCCTTCAACTAAGCAAGCAATCAGCAGAAAGAGCGGCAATCGCAATTCCACAGCCAGCTTTACTTGCACGTCCAGCCCTCAGCCCCAGACTCGCCGAACGCTTCCTTCCACTGTTTCGGAAGCAGAACCGGTGTATTTCAGTACCATTTCGTACGATACGCACAGTCTCAACTCCAGATCGGACACGGTATAAATTTCTTGATTATGCCGTCACAAACTGGGCTTTGCATACAAAACAGTTGCCCCATACATCATTAGTCTGGGACAAGTTCGAGGGGCTTGCCACGTGTTTCAATGAAACTTGGAATTTCCACCCCTGGGTTCCTGGTGGTCGTTCAAAAGACTCCCATCTACACGGTCTCTTTGGATGGGCAGTAAAGGAGCAGCATGAGCGTCTTCTGTCAATTGCACTGGCAGCGGGACCCGCTTTACAACGTGTCTGTGACCTTCCGCTGATTGGGGAAAGTCTTCCCGCGCTTCATGTTGCATCAAAACTTGGATATAGAAGCATTACTAAGATTCTCCTGGATTTCTGCAACGTTAATGTGCCAGATGGAGAGGGGTATACTGCTTTACATCATGCAGCTAATAGGGGACACACTGAAATCTGTCAACTGCTTTTAAGCGCAAAGAGCGTGAAAGTGGATGCCACATCAAAGTCTCTATGCACACCACTCTGGTTGGCTGCTAGCAATGGATATCGGGAGGTTGTATCACTCCTTGTGGAGAAGCAATCGAATATTGAAGCAAAGAACGCTTCTCTTCGCCAGACAGTTCTTTCACAAGCCGCACGAAACGGGCACTATGCAGTAGTGGAGCTTCTGCTCGAGAAAGGGGCAGACCTAGAGACCCAAGATGCAGATGGTCGAACACCTCTATCATGGGCAGTAAAATGCCAACATGAAGCGATAATGAAGCTGTTACTCGAAAAAGGAGCTAATCCAGAATGCAAAGACACTGATGGTCCATCATTGTTACTCTGGGCGTCCAAACATGGGCATGAGCTGATAGTAAGCATACTTTCCTTGAATATTAAAGAGATCAACTTCAAGGATGAGTACAACCGGACACCGCTATCAAAAGCTGCACTGAAAGGACATGAAGCAGTCGTGAAGCTGTTAGTTGAGAAGGGGGCTAGCCTGGAGTCTAAAGATGATTCTGGATGGACACCGCTATCAAGAGCTGCAGTGAAAGGACATGAAGCAGTGGTGAAGCTGTTGGTTGAGAAGGGTGCTGACCTAGAGTCTAAGGACATCATTGGACGGACATCGCTATCATGGGCCGCAGGGAATGGACATGAAGCAGTGGTGAAGCTGTTGACTGAGATGGGTGCTGATCTAGAGTCTAAGGATAATAACCATGGACGGACGCCTCTATCATGGGCTGCAGCGAATGGACATGAAGCAGCGGTGAAACTGTTGGTTGAGAAAGGTTCTGATCTGGAGTCTAGGGACAATCTTGGACGGACGCCGTTATTCTGGGCTGCAGTGAAAGGACACAAGACAGTGGTGAAGCTGTTAGTTGAGAAGGGGGCTAGTCTGGAGTCTAAAGATGATTCTGGATGGACACCGCTATCAAGAGCTGCAGTGACAGGACATGAAGCAGTGGTGAAGCTGTTGGTTGAGAAAGGCGCTGATCTGGAGTCTAAGGATTGTTCTAGACGGACACCGCTATCATGGGCTGCAGGGAATGGTTATGAGGCAGTGGTGAAGCTGTTGGGTGAGAAGGGGGCTGATCTAGAGTCTAAGGACAATAACCATGGACGGACGCCTCTATCATGGGCTGCAGCGAATGGACATGAAGCAGCGGTGAAACTGTTGGTTGAGAAAGGTGCTGATCTGGACTCTAAGGATAATTTTGGACGGACGCCGTTATTCTGGGCTGCAGTGAAAGGACATGAAGCAGTGGTAAAGCTGTTGGTTGAGAAGGGTGCTAATCTGGAGTCTAAGGATAACAACTATAGACGGACACCTCTATTACGGGCTGCAGCGAATGGACATGAAGCAGTGGTGAAGCTGTTGGTTGAGAAGGGCTCTAATCTGGACTCTAAGCAGTATTCTGGGCAGACACCACTATTATGGGCCGCAGCGAACAATCATGAGGCAGTGGTGAAACTGTTGGTTGAGAAGGGTGCTAATCTGGAGTATAAGGACATGCTTGGACGGACACCGCTATTACAGGCCGTGGTGAACAGACATGAAGCAGTGGTGAAGCTGTTAGTTAAGAAGGGTGCTAATTTAGAGTCTAAGGACGTTAACCATGGATGGACATCGCTATCATGGACTGCAGGGAATGGTCATGAGGCAGTGGTGAAGCTGTTGGTTGAGAACGGCGCTAGTCTGGAGACTAAGGATAATTCTGGAAGAACACCGCTATCAAGAGCTGCAGGGAAAGGACATGAAGCAGTGGTGAAGCTATTGGTTGAGAAGGGTGCTGACCTAGAGTCTAAGGACAATTCTGGACAGACATCGCTATCATGGGCCGCAGCGGTCGGACAGGAGCCAGTGGTGAAGCTGTTGGTTGAGAATGGTGCTGATCTGGAGTCTAAGGACAATTTTGGATGGACGCCGCTATCAAGAGCTGCAGTGAATGGTCATGAGGCAGTGGTAAAATTGTTGGTTGAGAAGGGCGCTAGCAGAATCTAAGGTCAATTCTGGATAGACACTGCTATCAAGGGCCACAGTGAATGGATATGAGGCAGCGGTAAAGCTGTTGGCTGAGAAGGGTGCTGATCTAGAGTTTAAGGACATCATCAATGTGCAAGCATCGATACCATGAACCACTCAGAAGAGATAAGGCAGGTGGAACAGGTTCAAAAGGTACCATTGCGCCAGACAGTGGAGGGAGACCTTCCAGGCTATGCCTGTCTGGTATCTGGCAGGTCCAATGGCAAGAGTGTGTTTGGAGTCGGCTTCTGGGAGAACCGATATTGGACAGTATACCTCAGTGTTGGTGGCTGATTTGATAAATGGTGAGTATCTGTGCTATCACTTTATTCGCCAAGCATCGTAAAACTGTGGTGCTTCGCAGGGCTTTGATCCACTGCGAATTGTAAATGACTGAAATACAATGACTACATTAGAAGGGAGGCAGCAACATCCTGGGTGTTGTACATTGGTCTAGAGTCTAAAGGGTGCGAAGTGGCATCTAGATAGAATGTAGTAATTAGTGTCGTTTGGTATACGATTTCGGTTTCTCATACAGGTGTTTGGGTACGTATCTTTCACGGTTACGATCTATTTCATTTCATAACCCCCCCCAAAAAAGGGAAAAAACTGGAAGTACAAAGAAAATGTCACATGTCTTTACGGCGAACCTTGACTGAGTCCAGTTTAGTGCTGGAATTATGCAGTATCATTTATGGTATCTGTCATGACCTCAATTAGATTGGCATTGCTTGTGACGCAGGCGAATCAGATAGATAAAATCATATTGAGCCCTATATCAAGAATACTAAAGATAGAGAGGAAAGGATGAAGGTATTGTCATGGTGAGCGAGGATATGTTGGGCAGCTTCCCAGCCCTGGGCCTGAGGCATACCTGATAAGGTGTCAAATTAGGCTTACAGTTAGATATACGGAGTATGGAGCGGAGTAACTCCGTACTCCGTATTAGTACTTGCGCGGTAGAGGTAAGCCATGAGGTGGCGAGTGAATGTATCAAGTGTGGGGGTATAGATTAGCCGCCCCCGCTGGGGATTAACCACCTGATATCTACAGAGGACTCAAAGACCCAGAAAGAAAGAATTAAACTCTCCACACCCGCAACAATCGTGTCATTAGTTATAGGCAAGACTTGGGCCACGATCCCTCACCTAGGCCTCTGCATGTGACTCAGTTCTAGTTCAAACGCCAGCAGAACGTTTTAAGTCAAAAGGCTCCTATATAACTTACTCATGGCTGAAGAGAGTGAAAGCTGCCTATGAGTAAATTCAAATCTATTTATTGACTTTCGCTCAGGTACGGTCTATTTACCTTCACAGGTTTTGATTTGGCCTCGCCATCCTACAAAAGTCCTCAGTTTTACCTTTCGTGGTCGCCTCTCGTAAATAGTGACTTGGTTCTCCTGACATAAATATATCAGACACGGCCCATTCTTTTTGGGCCATTGCCTCACAAGAACGACTAGTTGTTATTTGAACCATTTACTGAAAATTATCCTCCATGAAATGCGTGTGTTTGCAGATTGCGTAATTTACCAACAGTAAGATCTGACACCCGTCAAACATCTTTTCGCTGTTCTGGCGGAGCGCGAAGTGGATTGCTGGAATATCACTTTTTCTCCCATTAAGAGTTAATGATTAAGGTGAGCTTATAACGTCTTTCCTTGCGATGTATCGTGTTAGCTCACCTACATCCTCAGAACATTAGAATTGAGATCCTGAATTTACAGCAAAGCTAACACGATGCCTCTTTGCTCATTGAAATTATCTTGTTAATTGCAGACCATTTGGTATCGCTAAAAGACCTTTTTAACTTTCTACGAGCTAATCGCAGGCTCTATAATTTCCTTATTAGCGAACTTCACAAGAGAAATGTCAAATCCGACGGTGGATCTGCTCTTGTGTGGTACGCAATTCATGGCGACGAACTTGGAGTTAGACGTATGCTAACCGCCGGCGCTGATGTTAACCTTCGATTACCAAATAAACTACAATCAACCACTCTTCTGGAAGCTGTAATTCATAAACATACCCGTGTTATACAACTTCTTCTGGAAAATGGAGCTTTGCCAGATGCGGTTGACCTTCGCGCCAGACGGCCCTTGGTTTTGGCAACAAGTGAACGTAGCGACGTGACCATCACTGAGCTGCTCCTAGATTATGGTGCTAGGACCAATGCCGTTGCATTTGACAAACGTGCCCCGCTCATGGAGGCTATCCGGTCAAATCAGGAATCTAAGGTATTGTTGCTTTTGAAGCATGGCGCTGACACACATATCTTGGGAAGCCGAAATACACTTCTACACGTTGCGGCTGCGAAGAATGCTGCTCCCGCAATTATAAAGATGCTCATAGATTCTGGTATCCAGGTGGATTCTCAGGACCGTTGGGGGAGGACACTACTACAAGTTGCAGCTTATTATTCCTGCACACGTGCTGTACGCCTACTACTACATTATGGCGCCGATCCAAACTTCAAAAACACCAGCCTATATGGGAAAGGACAGTCTGCCCTTTTCTATGCTACTGAGAAGCCCAGGAATTCCAGGAAAGGCAACAAAACCATTATCCGAACACTCGTAGGGGCCCAGGTAGACGCTACAGACTCTGTGCAAGAGACACCTCTACCCTATGCGGTCTCTCAGGGCGCCATCAAACAAGCGCAGGCACTCCTCGAAAATGGTTCCAGTATTATGGCAAGAGATGCCGAGGGAAGGGCTGTGCTTTATTTAGCTACTTGGCCATATATCGGGAGTCCCGATATGATAAACTGGCTTGTTAAAAGTGGAGCTGATGTGAACTAGGCCGGCGGCAAGCAGAGTAAAACTCCAATTTTCAACACTATCAGATACTCTTATTACCGACAAGGGGTGGAGAGCGTCCAAAATCTTCTGTTACTTGGCGCCGATGTTCACTTCCAAAACATTAATAGGCTAACGCCTCTTTCCCTTGCTGCACGAATGTGCTTCTTCGAACTAACAACTATGCTATTTAAATATGGTGCTTCTGTTAATTTGAGAAACATGCAAGGAAAGTCACCTCTATATTATGTTGCAGAAGACTGCTACAGATCCGGGGCACACAAAGTAATTGCTCTACTTATTCAACACGGAGCCGATGTGAACTCTTAGGATCACTCTAGATTTACGGCATTGCACATACTCGTTGCCAAAGGAGGAAGCTGGGAAGTAGCTGGAGAATTATTAAAGGCTGGGGCTGACCGGTACGCTATGTCGAACGATGGAAGATTTCCACTTAATATAGTTTTTGCTAGGCCTTGGGCGGAGACAAAGCGTCTTTTCATCCGATCTTTTAAATAATAACTACAAGATACATAACGATTACCCATCTTATCTCCACCTTTGGCATATTTTGATCGAACTCCGCCCTTATCCCAGAATTTGGGTGCGCGATGTTGTTAATTGTTCCTGTTGGCCCCCTTCCATGGTTATTCCAGTCATTGTGTTTAATTGTACATAAAAATCTATCCAAAGACACTGTTACTCTAGCTCGTATACATGTTTGGGTGTCTAGTAACAGCAGCCATTAATATAATACATCCTATTAGAATACTTAGATCCACACTACACACTTTCTATAGGTCTGAAATAGGGTGGTAAGTTAGCCCGATGCAATTAATAGTGCCATCTTACCCTTATACGGGTATCCTAGACAAAAATCCGACCTGATTGTTGTCTGTTAGCCTCAGGTATGAACATGAAATGCAGTTGTTCTAGCCTGTTAGTTTTAAATATAGCTACATATTATTCCGGAATATTTCTTTGCGCTGACTAGTACCCTTATCCCACTGGAGAAAAAAGCCTAAACTCTAGTAGGAGACCAGAATATATGTAACCATCAATTTATTGTCTTTGGTCAATCTCAGAATAGATTCTAGAAAGGATATTAGCTTCTGCCGCTGCAAAAGAACACCGTCTCAAATGCAAAGCGCGACCAGCCTCTAACATAACAAAGTTTATTATCTCCCCAATTTCCTGTTTTGTCAAGCTTGATATTGTAAGATATCCTAATCCTTTAAGATAAAAATCTGGAAATTGCATATTCAAGAATTTCCTCGAGATATCCTGGACCACATGTATATCACAGCGCTGACTCTCTGTTAGTTCGGGAATCCTCACGCTGAGACCACACACTCTCTAATAATCGTCTGAAATTTCTCGACAGGAAGCATATAGTGGTGTTTCAAGTATGCTGTCTGCTCCAACGTCTTTATTCCTATTTTCCTTACCCAGATATCTGCCATTTTTCCTCTAATCTATCGCAGAAAATCCGGATCCAAATGATCTGTTTTTTTCCTGGCAATAAAGCATTGAAGGATATTTCCTGGGGAGTGTGTTAAAATAGCTTTTGTAATTTCTTATTTCTGTTTAATAAATTCAGGTTTTAAATTTAGGAATTTAATGGATGATATATTGTGCCCATTACAATAATTCGACTGGTGTTTGCTGAACGTCGCTAAAAGACATCATATCGGCCCCTCGGGTCTGTAAGAATTTAAGCTTATTAATCAGACCATTTTCGGCAGCAATATGCGCAGCAGAAAGCCCATCTTACCCTGTCGCATTAATATCAACAGAACTATTGTTAAGGAGGAAATCAATAGTATTAGATGCATTTTACCTGTAAAAAACAAACACGATTTGAAAATCGCTATTTTTAAAATATGTTCCCGCAAGACATGGTAAATGTTTTGTGAGTAGGAGAAGGATATTAATACTTTTATAATTTTAAGTATCTTTGTAGGTATTTTCTAAAACTGCGATGACCTCACTGTCAAGTAGGAACTAAGTAATATTGGCACAGTTAAAGTCTACTACTTCTTCCATTATTACATCCACGGGTAGGCTCATAGTGTGAAAACCAAAAGTTGTTTGTAAATTTTAAATAATATCTAGCATCCCAGATCGAGCTGCTGCAATAGCAGTCGCTGTCTTGTTAATAGCAGAACCCCCATGTGCCTCGAGGACATATTCTTTTAATCTAACAAAGACATCTACATTGCCATTAATGGTTGCAGCCAAAGGCACTTACCCAACACTTGGACAGAGCATTCATGCCAAGAGGCAGATAAATCTAAACCAAGTTGGGTTTGAAGCAATGCCTTGTTGCTAGGTGATATAGCTCCAAAATCACCATATTGCAACAGAAAACTTTTGGACTCTTTAAACCGACCTTGAAGGCATAGCGCTGCAATGATTGCTTCCAGACCCCTGGGGTGTCTTAAAGGTTTGTCATGAAGATAGTATAAAATAACCTCCGAGTCCGTTAATTATAAAATATAGGGTATTCGGTGTAGCATTCAAGAAAACTATTGCTAAATTCTTTTTTTGGTGGTCTGGAACTACTTGATGTATTTTATTAAGAATAGCAAACGCTCTCCAATCATTCATGCTATCTTTGATAGCAGGTGCCGGCCCCTTCCCATACTTAGTACGGTAAACTGGGAAAGTCAAGGCTCGAACTGTGGCCGCCAGCACCAGACGATCTGCCCCAAATAAGGCACAGAGAGTTGCCTGGCCAACTCTTTTCACTAGTGCTCAATATCACTACTTGACATAGTGCTATGTGAACAGCTTTCCCTCTAATCACTCGATTATTAGGACTTAATTTGCAGTGAAGATGAATCCAACAATTTGTGGGTAAAAGTGGAAATTTTGAGGCCATCTTTAAATTATTGTTTTTATTCTAGTTGGAAGCTGGACTTTAGTTCCTTCGCATACGGGTTTAGTACCTTAATAATCTTTGAGTTAAATAAATTCCTAGTAACCAAACCAGAGAGCACATCTGCAACACACTCTACTTATCCAATTTTTCTTCACCGTTATCTTCATTCTACCTACCGCAAAGACGCCATTTGACTGTCGAATTGGCAAACAAGATCTCCCAAAATGTTATCTACTTCGCGTTTATTGCAAGTGAATACCTCCCCTTTAGGATGCGAACTATTATTTCCTTTCTCGGGAAAGTCGGCCTCCAACCACTTCTTAAAGAGCTCCATCGGTGAGCGTATGGCATCATTTTCTATGTCTGATATCAGTAGTCGTGGTATACCCTCCGCTGAGCTGGTCAATGTATATAGAAAATGGAGTGAGTGCAGCATCGGACTTATCATCACGGGAAATATTATGGTTGACCCTGAGCATCTTGTAACGGCGGGAGACATGGTCATTCCATCAGACGTACCCTTCTCAGGTGTGCGGTTTGATAGGTTCTGCCGGCTCGCCTTAGAGGCAAAACACCAGGGCTCCCTCATTATTGCTCAGCTATGCCATCCCGGTCGTCAGGCTCCACTGCACCTGCAACCCAATCCCATCAGTTCTAGCAATGCCAGGGTGAGGGGTGGTACTTTTAGAAATGATTTTGGTGCGCCTCGCACGGCAACAAAGAAGGATATAAAATCTATTATTTAACGATTTGCTCATGCTGCTGCATACGCAGAAAGGGCGGGATTTGACGGCATTTAACTGCAGACAGCTCACGGCCACTTGCTCCATTAATTCCTATCATCGAGGACTAACCAACGACGGGATGCATATGGTGGAGAGCTTGAAAATCGAATGCGCTTAGTTTTGGAGATACGAGAGGCTATATCTAAGGGAAGAATTTTATCATTGGTATTAAGATAAACGCTGACGACTACTCTGAAAAAGAATTGGAAGAAGCAGAATTCCTCCGCTTGGAGCTTGAAAAGGGCTGTTTCAATTTTGTTGAATTATCTGGTGGCACTTACGAGAATTGGACTATGCACGGTAGGCAAGCTTTAACCAGGAAAAATAAGGCGGTAAGTATTCAGAAGAACAATCGTACAGCGAACTCGACGTGGTATACTCACTTCGTCTCTTAGTTCTTCTTGGAGCGCGCAAAATTGGGTTTCCCAAGGATGGAGCGGACAAGAACCTACATCACCGGAGGGTTTCGGTCTGTCCAAGCCATGGTTCATGCACTAAAGTCGGTGGATGGAGTAGGCATAGCAAGAGCACTGTGTCAAGAGCCTCGCTTATGCTCACATATATTATCTGGAAAAGTGACTTCCGCCGCTCCCATAAAGATCGATAAAAATGATTTTTATTTCACTTCAGTGGCAGCAACTATGCAAATCAAGCAAATTGGGCGAAACATAGAGCCTATTGATCTGAGTTCGGCGCAAAATATAAACAGATTCTACAACGCAATACTCGAGCGACAAAGGAATAGGTCCAGTGCAAGTAAATTGCCAGTCCTTGGAGCACATTGATAGCTAATACCTGCTGTTGCCATAACTATTTTTCGCCGATGCGCAGGACATACAGTAGCAAGAATCCAAGAGCTATAATTGTTGCTCTGAGGGGTTCCTTTAAGATAACCCCACTATTGCGGTAGCCTCTGGCTCTTTAAAAGGTGTGCTCCGTGATTTCTAGTGCTATGAAATATATGCTGGTACATATACAAAACTGCAATTTTATACTTAGCGCTTCCACAGCCGAACGGATGGGTGGCTTTGTTTACCCCAGGGAAATCAAATCATATGCAGGCTACTATAACTATGTATTTTCGCTATTGTATATGGGCCTTTTTCTTATGGGCTAATCTTAAGCCCCTCCTAGGGGCTGCAATGGCAAATTATTTAAAATTGTTCGCCATGAAATCTTTAACAGCCTGTCCAGTGAAGATTGGGATAAGTCTAGCATACATAAAGTAGTTAACCTGCTTATCACTGCCTATAAACAGTTATCTGTCTGTATCTTCTCCATTTATACTGTATTGGCTGTGTCTGGCCATCTATTTGCTCATCCTCACTGCCCGCTCTGGTAGCTTGCTATTCAAGCTTACCATGCCGCAGGCCTCCTCGTCGCGAAATACGGATCTCACATTGCCTGCGAGTCATCCTGTACGAATCCAAAATCTGCCAGCCGAGAGTTCCTAGCATAGACTCCGACCCCAGCGTAGACTCGCGATTGTACGTATTATTTCCCATCTGCTCATTCTTTTCAATACTTTGACAGAGAAAATCCGGACCGATACAGTACGTACTTACACTCTCCCTTGCCTTAGATAAAGGCCACATCTGCGGTTGGCCCCAAGTTCCTAGCGTGTGATGTGTACTGTACTGTAGGCTGGCCGTTGGGAGGGATTCGGGATCCCGAGGGAGGTCTGGTCCCGTCCCATATTCCCATAAGGATCCTGGGGGTGGTCCCGAATCCCGTCTCAAGAAAATGGGAAGGGATTCCCATCCCGTGCCAAGCAATATGGGATGGGATTCCCATTACATGGGATTCGATAATCCCATCCCATGCCAAGAAATATGGGAGGGAAATCCCATCCCTAAATTATAAAAATACTCTTCCCATTTCCCGTCCCATTTCCTAATTAGGTTTAGTATATTTTTAAAGTAGCAGTTTTTAGTAGTAACTATACAGTATATACAGTAATTATTAATTATGTGATTTAGTATGGGAAGTTCCCATCTAATCCCAAGGGAATTTCCCAAATTCCCATTCCCTTCCCATTAGTAAGTGTGATCCCATTTCTTACCCCAATTCCCATCCAGAAAGAAGGGGGAATCCCAGTGGGAATCTCTTGGCATTCCCTTCCCATTCCCATTCCCATAAAATCTTAGAAAATCGTCCCGTTTTTATGGGACGGGAATCCCATCCCGATTTCCCATGGGAATTTCCCTTCCCAACGGTCAGCCTACGTACTGGCAAGAGGACAGTCGCATATAAAAAGAAGTACACCACCCTAAGATCTAGATGTTTGCCAATTATTGTTACGACCGATTTAGAAGATAAAGATTTTCTCTGAGGAGATACTGTAGTCCCCTTATACAGATTTTTGTATTATCAGCTTCACACCCAATAAACAATCGTACCTGTTTAAATTTCTGAGTGGAGCCAAATCTGTTACTAATCAGAATATTCATATTACATTATTGGTTCTCATCAAATGTAGCTAGCCTCACTTAGTTTAGTGTGAAAATTGAGAAAGTTAAATGAACAAGCTGTTTGTGAATCTGATACTGCAAACTTCTATAAATCCTCTCTACCACTATAGTATAAGAGTTTGGCGTTTTTGCCAGGAGATAACAGTTTGTCCAAGAGTTTAAGTTGTCTTGCTTAATCGAGTATTTCCGAAACCAAATATTAGTTGCCCACTTATTGGCCCCAGAGGGTGGCCCCACTTGTCCCCTCAGCCCTCGACTTTTGCCCAGGATCCCGTCAATTGCGAACCTCACGCAATGGCCTCAGGACTAATCACCACTACTCAAACGTCTACGAATGCTTGAGGAAGCTAAGATCCGCCTTACCCCCTGTTTCGGTTCCAATTAAATCAGTTATATTTGTAGACATTTAGGAGCACTGCATCTACAATATCGTCAGGATCACGGCCAAATTTGTATAATTTGTACATTGGGTCTTCTCCCTGGAGGTGCTTTAAGCGTAAGCATTGCCCACTATGTATGTAACCCCAAGAAAAAATATAAAAACAAAAGAAAAATTGGGCAATGGCAAGTCACTTTCGTTGTACTGGCTGGCCATGTCGCGCACGAATATGTGCTCCCTGACCTGTCCCAAGTACACGCGCAAAGACATGGGGAGGGTATTTGGGCAGACGTCCAGGGAGTAAAACAATGCGTAGCAAATAGCCACCCTTCCATAGTCTGAATAGTGCAGCCGAAAACTAAATAATCGGCTCCTTGTTAATAGGCCAAAACAGGAAAAATATAAGCCGTGGTGATCGTTGGCACACTTTTGCACGGTAAAAGGCTCGCCAGAATGCCCGGGCAATGGATGGGAGAGCTTGAACAATAGTATTGTTAATTACTGTACCCCCGAGTGTCTATTAACCAGAAACAAATTTTGCCCGGGGAATTCTTAACTCAGACTATTTCAGATGCATTCTCTTCCAACCTCTATTCTAAACCTATTGCCCACTGCCTGCAAGGAATATCTACGGGGTTTAGGGCTAAAAAGCTGATCTGGTTTGCCCAGCGGTGATTTCTTCTTGCCCGTGAGTAGCTTTTACCCAACCCATCTATTACTCACTTAGGATAATCTCGCTGATGTTTTCTCCAGTTTGAAAAGGAGTATATCTTAAATATCCACTTGTCGGAAACATGGTACATGCCCAATACTCGGTTCAGTGACATATTATCCTGGCAGGGGACACCTACAGCTTCATACTTAAGCCACACCACCCCACCGAAACTGGTTTGTCTATTGTCTGCTAGTTTTGATTTGCGGTCTTCTTACGTAAATCAAGTCTTCGTTTCCCATGTCGAAGGCTGCATCGTCACGAGCGATGACCGTTCTCCAAGGCACTGGTCCACCAGCGACTAGACATGACGTTAATACACCTCGGGCTGTACCGGTCGGTCCACAGCAAACTGCCTGGTTCTCACAAATGTCACCGACGGTGAGTATTGTGGTTAAATTTTTTTCGATTTCTTAGTTTGGAGAATTTAATACCGACTCTGATCTAGTTAACACAGGTCGAATCCTATGCTAATCCGACAAGCACTGGACCTACGAATACAGTTCCAGAAAACCATGGGTATTGCTTCAACACGATTGTTTAGTTGGAAAGGGAAAATTTAGAAATGTTAATGCGCGTACATCAGTTAGAAATAGAGAAATGTTAGCTGCAGGGCAGGCAGCAGCAATTCAGGCAGGAGTTATCGCAAGTGCAGGATTCCTAGATCCCAGTTCTAACGCAAGAGGACCTGCAGGAGCTGAGGCAGGAGATTCTAGGAGCTGTTAACAACTAGCAGCAGCAGGATTGGAATTACATGGATGAGGTTAACGTGTTATATTGTGAGGTTATTAATGTTGCCAGATCCCGAGCAACGGCTCTGGACGCACCAGGATGAGAAACTTGGGGACCTAGGAAATGTGAGAGTCGGAACCCAAGGATTTTTTTGGGGGGGGGATGCAGTATTACTTTAATGATTTTACTGTAGAATAAATGTGAAGACCTCGGCTCGAGCCTGTTACCCGAGATATATAATACTGGTATTCTTTCTGCCCTTGGTTTCTTTTCACAGCGTTGGAATATATAGCACATGGTCCACTGGATATCTGGTAAGCTACCGTTTAAAGCATTTTAACTCTGGTGAAAGGAAATAGACAACGTTATCCTGTTCTTTTAAATCCCCGAAAGCCCTTGTCCACAATGAGAGTGTACGTACATGTTGGCTATATACGTATAAGCAATAATGCTTACTTATTAATTCGTTGTACTAGTGATACTTATAGGTGTATCGCTCCGCGACCATGCCTAAAACCTGCCTTATGGAAATGATGTACCAAGAACAAAATCCTTATATTCTGTCTATATTCAATTATATAAACGAGCTTATAGGGCTGAATATTGTAGTAAATTTATGTAAAAATAAAATAAAATTACTTATTATACAAGTCTAGACATCGGTATCTCGCTTCTAATTAAGTAGATTGTTTTTAGCCAATGTTTAACAAAGCGCACGTATAGTATATAAAATGCTGGGTGTTATTGCTTGCATCTGTAATTTGGGTTTTATCCCACGGAAAAATAGTTCTCTTGTCGAGGCAAATCAGACTTTCAATTAGATGGCCACGCGAAAGCCTCAACATGTTTAACAAATCCTAGATTGCAAGCTTGCTGGACACTATCTAACGTTGTAATGTATCTTGGAACCCTCAGCATATTAACGTTTTGCATTTGTCTTCTTCGTCTCCGAATTTCCATTAACTGCGGACCGCATCCTACTCGCTGCCATTTCCATGTCGACGTTCCATTTTTTCTGCCGTGCCATGCTGGTTTCCAACGCTCTACATTTTTCCTGTTAGCGAAAAGCCCGTCCATGCGGAACGCTTCAAGGTAAAGGGAGAACACTCTGTAATTAAACAAACAAAAATATAGAATAAGAAGAAAACAAGAAAACAAGGACAAAAGACGCATAGGGGGGCGGCGTGCACATACTCAATTCTTTCACTTAGCCTATCAACGCATCAGTATACCGTCTAAGACAATTGATGGCTATAGGAAGGTTGAGGGCAATACTCATGGACTGCTTCCTTCAGGGAGCTTCCTTGATGGCACTTTTCCGGTGCTTCTGTTTGACTACCGTCGACCATCCCATTTATCTCCCACCCAGAGTCATCCTCACCTGCATGTTCCTCTTTGTCAAGAGCGTTGTCGCCTGAACCGAGCTCAGAAAAGCAACCAAATTGTGACCCTTGTGGGAGGTCCGCCGGAGCTGCGTCTAATTTCTGATGTAAATTAAATATGTTTTCTGTCTGTAAATGGCTCCCTGTCAACGTCTTTCGGAGAGTATCCAGTCGGGAATGTGCCCCCACTCCATGGCCACGCGACGGATAAGACTTTTGGGCCATGCCTCTCTGCGAGGAAGCAATATGGTGAAAGAGACAGAAAAGGAAGAGATCGGACATAGGTTGAATCCTATTCGACTTGGAAAGGAATTGTTGGAAGATTCACGAACTTGTTATATAGCAGCTTTTAAATCCGGAATCGGAGTCTGTGGTTTAGCTTTAATAAAACCTACACAACCTTGCGTTCCAATCGCATCTGACGTGCCAGAATAGTTGCCTACTCAAACCTTAGACCGTGACTTTCGGAAGTGCCGTGTCTCGTTGATTATATAGATATATCGTTAGTATAGTCAACGCATGGTGAATAATACTTCATTAATTATATTAGAACCGCTATAAACAGGATATCATTCGTCACCTCCTTAAAAACCGTCTTCTACGATATTTTACCTGCATTATGCTTCTTACAGTACAAGGCATCTATTGACATAAATGTGGCATTTGGACTTAGATTAAAACCTCCTGTTGCTTGACCGTGTTCAATAAAGCTGGCGAAAGACCATTTGTTGGCATGCTCAATTCAAGCCTCCCCTGCTGAATTAATTGTGCAAAAGTTAATCTTTTGTAAAGCTGAAGCAAGCATAAAACTCACGAACAAAATCCCAAGGTACGATAATCCCAACTACTTTTAGCTGAATCATATATAAATATATTAGTAAAATGCAGTCAGCCATAATTCGCATTATGAAGATATAGACAGTGGAAAAGCACTAAAGTAAGAGCGCTGGATCAATGGGTGGGCAAAAATTGGTTTCAGTAGACACGGGGATTATATTTTCGGAGTTTCAACATGCTCATGCACATGCATGTCCGACCATATTTTGCCCACAACTCATAGGCTACATTCGGATGAGAACAAATTACTACCACTGTGCGCAATTTTCATTATATAACCATTTCGTGTTGTACTTTAATTAATTTTTCTTCTTGTGGAGGGCTTTCCTTCTCTTCGCCCGAGGTTAAAATCGAAAAGGCATAGCGAATGATGGTGGGTTCAAACAATCCATTAGTAAAACCGAGAAGTCTCAAATCACCGTTGGATTAACAAGGGTTAGAGTTTGTGTCCTTCGATAACTTTACTATAGCAATCTTTAAGGATTTTAATCACCCGATAACCTACACTAAATTGCAAAACCGCCGCAAGAGTCTTATACTCTCCGATTGTATTTCGAACCCTAATGCCAAGATGAGCTAAACTACATTAGGATATTCCTGATTCATGGATCCGGTATTGTATTGTACATGACTGTCATAATTCTAGCTGTTTTATATTACTTGTACCGGATATACAGCCGCTACAGTTTTTACCCCGCCATGTATTCCTGTCACCCTACCGGGAGATCCTCCCGGATCCTGTCGATCATATGCGCAATGGCACCAATCTAGCACAGTCAACCCTGGAATTTATCCAGGATATGCTAATGAGCAATGAGCTTACAGATTCACAGATTGCTGAAGCTGCTGGCTGCCATCCAAGTACTATTGTAGGATCGCTTAAACTGCGCTTGTTTGGTTGTATCAAGGCGCCTTCAAATAAGGCGGAAGACCGCGAGTCTCACGCCACTTATGATTCAGCTCTTTGTGATCACCTACTTGAAAAACCTCATTTATATCTTGACGAAATGGCAATATTTCTATGGGATAGTTCCAGGAACAAGTCACAACCTGCAGCATTAGCCGTGCCCTTAAATATAATGGTTGGTCGAAAAAGACAGCCAAGCAAAAAGCAAAAAAGCGGAATGCAGATTTGCGTGATAAATATCTTCACTTTATTTCAGATGCGATAAAAGGATAGGATTCAGGAGAACAGGCTGGTCTCCTCTTGGCATAGCACCCTCCCAGGTGACAAAGTTCATCGCGATAGCAGTATAGATACTCCCAGATATACTTAGATGGAATTATTCTCTTCGCATCTTCCAAGGACCGACCGATGCTTTGTCTTTGAAGATTTTATCAGGAGCTTCTTAGCATTGTGGAAAATGCCTGAGCCAAAATCTGTCCTTGTTATGGACAATGCCTCCTTTCACCACTCCGAGAGAATAAAACAATTATGCTCAGAATCAAGGGTTAAATTGGTTTATTTGCCTCCGTACTCACCGGATTTGAACCCGATCGAGGAGTTTTTTGCTGAGCTGAAGGCCTTTGTTCGACGGCATTGGCAATTTTATGAAGACAAACCTGACCAAGGATTTGATTCCTTTCTTGAGTGGTGTAGCTCGAAACTGTGGGCGAAAGGGAGAAAAGTGCAAGAGGGCATTTCCAAAACGCCGGCCTGACTGTTGAAGAGATACACTGCGCGTAGGTGCAGCATTTGAACATGGCAACTCTACAATTACTGCTAGCCGAAGTATTTCGACCTTGGGATGGGACAGTAAAAGCTGGAGTTCAAACTACAGCCCACTGAATCCGTGATATAAATGGCAGAAGAACAGAAGAACGCATACATAATGAAGCACATAAGATTAGAATTAGAATACAGCTAAAGTGTTTAACCATCCGCCGAATCGTAAGCTCATTAAATGTCCTAAATTCGTTGACCCGTCTGTTCTCACGTCAACCTCCTCCATGTCTCGAATAATAGTCTCTATATATTCGCCTGCACCGCTAAGATGTATGATACGTGCGATGGCACGATGGACACCGAGAAGTCGAGAATGAGGAGGATCAATAGTACGGCTCGGGCTAAGGGTCAGTGTGCGAGTAACTGGAAATAACGGATCACGCAGAAAAGGACTTCTTTCCGTCGAATCGATTCTATACTGATACGGTACGCCTGTTGGTTCGAAATATATCTGGAATTCACCGAACAAGCGATGATAGTCAAGAGTCAATGTCACGGCATTAAGTGGGCTATCAATCTTTGGTCCATCAATTAGATGAATAACACCAGGGTCAAACATATCCAATATCCGGAGTACATTCTTCTTTGAGTCACTCTAGGGATCTATGTCAGTAAAGCAAAAAGGAATACGTCCCAAGCCAACGCACCAGCTCCGCATCTCCAGAGGCAACTGTTGTTAGACTGTGCGGCAGAATGTGGGCAACTTCCAGGAATTGAAACCGGTCGTTTGATTCGTTCTTTAGTAGCATTCCATCATCATCCTTGCAATTCTCGCCTTCCTGCTCGAAACGCTTTCTGGCTTCTTTTCTATCGAATTTTCGAGAAACTACACACCGATGTCGATCACGCAAAAGGCAACTTCGTCGTAGAATAGATAGGCGTTGTGGTGTACCGGTAGGTGTAGATGTTTGTATCCGGACAACCGCGGGCGTGGGTTGGGGTGTCTTACAGACAAGCTCTAACTAAAGCGTTACAGTTAGTCAGTCTTTCTAGTGTTAAAATTAAACTGCTGAATACGTGGAAGAAGGAAGTTCTAACAATATACTCTGCAAATTCTTCGATGGCGACCTTGACGTTAGTCTTTTGATCTGAACTCCAACAAGGGAAATTATCGAAGTAGGATAAGCGACTCTGAGATCGGTGCCATCTGGATATTCTGCTTCTGGACATAGATGACCGTAGATGTATGTAAAAAAGAACATTAAAAATGCATCCCTGGATGCAACGTGTTCAAATGTGGCCTGGATAAGCGCCGCAGGTTTGTAACCTTTCTGTGTGGTTTGTTCCAGACCATAATGCTTGACAAGGGTATTGAGGAGGGTTGCTGCCGTCTCGCTTTGTTGATGCTGTAAAAAGAAAGGTTGCGAGAAGTTTAACACCTCCTCCAAAGACGACTGATGTCGATGTTGATGCTGGGGTTGACGTAAAGGCATCATGGACGATAGTGTAAGGTAGACTTGACAGAGACTCCACTAAGTTTGGTACAATTCTGAATGTCACGTGCTCAAAGAGCTTACTAATATATTGTCAGGTTGCTGTCGGGCAGAACACTCCGTTAGGTCGCCCCAATAAATATTATCCGCTTCGTGCTCACTGGTCCAATTCTCCCAGCTCTGCTTATTAGAACCAGCTGGTCTACCGTCTTTTCAGTGATACTTAGAATGATGACGTATTTCTGATGGAGCAGTTTACAGTATCTAATAAACAGTATAAAGCCTAGCCAACAATTCGATGCGCCTATTATTATTTGTTCTGTCCACACCACTTGACCCAGTCAGTGATGTCGCTAACGAACCGGCGCGCGACACCAGTCGTCACACCTTGCTTGATGAAGAAATCTGGGTCTTGATCCCTCAGAATTTGTTTAAGGTCGAGACAGTTTTCCAGTGCCACATCACGTGCCTTTATAATATCGTCCCTGTAGGTCTCTCTGCTCACCCGCGACAGTTGCCAGTTGGTATATTCATCCACTGCTACATCGAGGAGTCCGGAAATATTAATAGACTCGGTGGATATCGTGCTTGAAACAAGCGCCGCTGTGCTCGCTGTTACAGGCGTAACAGATTGGGATAGCTGTGCCCGGAGAACAGTAATATTAATTGGTTGACCCATAGATCCACTTAGTTGATCGTTATTTTTTTATTTCTTTTTTGTCGCTGTGCCTCCTCTGCATATAGATCTTCACGGACATCGTCCGGAAGATTATCGTGGGTCTCTAAAATACCTCCTTCTTCAACATATTGGACAAGTCTCCTCATATAAAGTGTTGTAAGCCTGTAGTGCTTTTTCCCCAAAGGGTCCTGCCAACACCACTGTCCATCATGGCGACATGGTGGCCCAGGGCAACGCATTGTCTTATACACATCTCGCCAAACTAAGGATACCCCAGAAACATGCTCAGCATTAACCCGAATATCTTGTTCTGTGAGCATTCTCTTGGTCACTGATGATTTTCCTCTCTTATCTCCCTTCCGCGAAAGAGGGGGTCTGTGTCCTCAATATAATTTATAGATATATAGAGTCTGAGCTTCTTTCCAAGACGAAACAGATTTCCCCACATTAAAAGCTGCTTTTCTATAGGTTTCCAATCAACGTTAGTGCCGTTATAGCGCTTATTTAAGTCAGATTGCGAACGGTCATTTACAGATACTTTGACCGCAGTATCATCTGATCTCACCCGTTAGTTTGCAGCGTATTTTCCAACGCAGAATATTATCTGCATCTTCCTGTATCTGCTCCCATTTCAAACTGGGAGCTACAACCAGGTCTTGTTCTGTTTCCTTTGACACAGTTCGGTTGTTTAGAGTTACCTTCCACTCAATCATATAATAAATATATGGCTGTTCTCTATGTGGACCCGGATTTCTTTCTTCAGGCTCCTGGAAGAAGCCGGGCTGGTCGGGCTGGGATTAATGCAAGGGGGTATAAGGTTCATCAAGTACATGCTCAGGAGATAGGCAAAATACGGATGGCGTACGTTCAGGGCCGAAGTCGCCAGGGGTGGGGGCATACGATGGAGTTTGAGTCATAAATCAGGCGGGTTGATTTAAGAGTTATATTATTTGTAAAACGGAACCACCCCCCAAGGCAATCATGCCACAGAGGAGTCTAGTATGTAGACATCGGATGTTAGCCGCACATGGTGTCTACCAAGAGTCTAGGGGGAGGGGAAGCTGCAGCTACAGGCCGAGTAAAATAATAAGCAGGGTATGGATATTGCACCACTAAAACAGGTATTCAGAGCACTATCGTATCAAGTAACTGGGACAAAGCTCCAAATTGCCACGTCGACCGTGACAGATTCTGTAGGAGACAGAGAGGTATTTACAATTGCCAGATCCTGAGGCCCTATGGGTTTGGCTAGTTTGCATAAAGAAGCTTCTAATACCATGTTTCCCAATACAAGCACCATACACAACTACTGTAATTTACTGTCATCTAACAGTTTAGTACAATACATGTTATACTTCCGGAAAATAGCTTTTCCTTAAATATTCCTAATATAGTTTAGTCCGCCTTGGCATTAGGGCTTGAAATACAATCGGAGAGTGTAAGCTCTTGCGGCGGTTTTGCAATTTAGTGTAAGGCCCCGCTCCCTTCAATGTTCCGCGCAATGCCTTTTTCTCTATTGAAAATTGATATTGTGCGGTAAACGATGCCGGAAAGGCACCAGAACATCAGGCCGCCTGCATAGAAAACCACCGCTAGCACGTTGGGAATCTCCGCGGGGCTCCGCGGGAAACGATACAGTAGGATATGAAGTAGGAAGAAGAAATACGATAGCCCAAATAGATGGATCAGTATAAGGACACCGCCATCTCTACTGTAGCATACATTGAAGGACGTAATTTTCAGTTGTGGCATACAGTAACAGTGTTGCGCCTGGTGCAAGTATAAGCTATTACCAACAAATATGTACCCTAATCATGGACAAAACGGCTTTTTTATATTTTCGGGAACAGTGAGAGAGAGGTGTAAAGAATCTATTGTGATGACTATTTCATGCCCCTTAAAAAGCTTCCTTGTTCAACTCAGTATGCATCAGCAACAGTGTACAATATGCTGGGGATAGAGGTTGCGCCAAAAGAATTTCCCTCATAGGAAGAGTTGCATAATAGTGCTTTAACCAGCAGATTCCTGAGTCTCAGTATAATACCAGAGTCCGTGGTTCGCCAGGTTGGGCAGATTATCCCATGCTAGAAATAATGGCTTAAGATAATCCCTACTCCGAACTGTGGAGGAAAGTTGTATGGGATTAATTCAATATGTTTTGTAATTTTTTAAAATTCTTTTTACTGTCGAGTATTATCATCAGTGGCCTGAATGACATATTTTGAGGCAACATCAATTAGCCCACTACCCGACTCAGTTTGGTGGCTATGTCCCGATTTCCTAATTTAATGGCGCGGGCAATCGATGAAGGTTTACATATGGGTGAAGCCTATTCCAAAATGACAATAGAACCTAGCTTCCACGCAGACGCCTTCAAATCATCGTCAGGAATTATTAATGTTATAATAATGTCTTCCCATCCCTCTGGCTATAGGCTTTGACAAGAGATGTTTATAATACCTAACAAAAGATGCAGCGTGGCTGACCTACGCCGAGCAATTTCTGACCAACACTCAAAACTGGAGGCCCAAATTATATCACTCATATTGAGAATCTCGGGGAAGAAGCTATGTCGTGAGGTGTCAGGATAGCGGTGACTGGATAGTATATTGAAACTATCGGTGCGATCTAGTGTCGCATGGTGAGTATGTTCTTCTATCTACGAGAGAGAGCGTAGACAAACGCTTCCTCATGTCTACGTGTCCCTTAGCCCCTGAATATGATATATCACATCGCTGCGGGACTAGGATATACGAAGGTGCCTTAGGCATCCTGATTTCCAACAACTCATAAATTTTCAGACCAAGTTTGAATGGGCAAGTATGGTGCTAGCGATGTACATTGAAGAAGAGCGTATCGTCTCAAAGCATTGAGAGCAAAACCCTGTGCTAAACCTGAATCAGTTGAATACTGTCGCATGTGAGGGGCTGAACCCGTAGAACCTATGGGATACGTTAGGTACAAAAAGGAATCGTTGAAGAAGGGAAGAAAGGAAGGAAATGAGCGGTAAACAAACAGTGTGGAAGTCACGTGCCATGGATCGAGGGCCAATGGGGCCAAAAGGTGTCAGGGACAGTAGGGACAGTAGGGACAGTAGGGATAATACCTCCGAGAGGTCAAATGGGCTCCAGCCCTTTACATGCCCCACTAAATGTGTGACCTAGGTAGGCATGTGGGCATCTCCCCCTGCACATAAGTTCGCACACTAAATGCTATGTCTTATAATACTATAATTATCCCGTAGGAACAAAACAAATAAATTAGAAAGATATTACGATCCAGAGATTATTTTTAAGAAAATGCAGAAGGAGAGTTAAAAAGCTAGAAGATATCTTTTTTATAGCTCTCTGGAACCTACAAGAATGGAGACAAAATTCGTAAAAATATTTATTACAAATATTGTTTTTGTGGGCGTGGCTGTGGCTGGCGACTTTTCAAAGACATGCAATTCTTTTATACTCGTAATTGGATCTAAACAACTGGCGAATGTGTTTAACGATGTGTGAGTGCCTGTTGACATGTTTATACCGTTTCCTGTCGGTACGCGATTAGCTGAGTATATCATTTGCCCACGCTTCTGAGTACTCACCGAAACCAGTAACTAAGGGTTCAACGATCAGCTGGGGCAGGTGGAACGCGGTGCACTGCAGCAGAGTTCCAACAACCATAATAAATGAACCAAGGAAGATAGTCTTGCGCAGACCCAGCCAACTGCCAACCCAGATAGTTGGAATAGATCCGGCGAAGCATCCCAAGTTGTAAGTGGCGGCGCCAATACCTAAGACCAAGTGGACTGTGTATTCTTCTCGGTGAGATGGTTGTGGTATTCACCATTAAGCGCAATCGTAGGGAAGTATTTGATGAAGGGATTAAGGGTCAGAAGGCGACCAGTGACACCCTGATTATAACCAAAAAGCAAAAAACCCATACCGGCGATAAGCCCGATAGAGATTTGCAACTTGCTGCCCTGGAGCCCCAAGTACCTGCGAGCCATCTTGGAAGTACTTATACCAGATCCCTTCCAGGGATGAAGATGCTTAGGAGAAAGTACAGGGAAGGAATGGGGTCATGCGGTGAAGAGTGCAAAAAGTCCCTGTGGATATAAGAGAAAAGGAAGGAGAAGGGTAATTAAAGCAGGAAAAGGGAATCAAAAGAAAGAGGGATTAGGGAAGCGATAACAACAGGGAAAAGGACGAGGATTTTAAAAGCAACCAGAAGTGAGCAATTGGACTAAAGTATAATACAATGGATGTATTGATTTCATAATAAATATAGGTTCCAGAGGTAGGAGCAGAAGCATCAGACAGTCTCAAGACATTGGACAGTTGAGTGGTGCTGTACTTTTGCCCGGAACAGCGAACGGGAAGGCAACGGAAATAATTGAGTACTGTTACTGCGATCCAACTGGGGGTATCGCAAACTATCAAAGAGGCTGAGATTGTCCCATGATTGGACTGCCCTTGTAGATTGTTTCACACACACACCACCGCATCCATGTCAATCTGAGTTATGGCGATGTTGGTTGTCGCGCAACACTCCGCAGAAGTAGATCGACGGAGGCTAAATTAGGAGAGGGGAATTACTGCGTGTGGAGTCTAGCCATTAAACACAAGAAACGACGCATTTGCTACATTGGTCCCCGCGCGCGCGGAGGTTCCAGATGCTGTCATGGCATGCGGTTGGGGCCGCATCTACCTAGCCTGATCTGGACAATCCGAAGGAGGCCCGAACAGTCTCATCTTCGGATTATTATTCAGTTTATTATTTGCTCTCAGGCAATTTTAGGTACAGTCAAGACTTGTATAACTCTGCTCCCGGCAATACCGATGTCCTACTCTAAAATAGCCTCTATGTGCGATAGGGCTGGACACGAATAGAGATTTCCTGCATTCGTATTCGGAAATTTCCTATTGTAGATGCGCTCACTTGACTTCAAAGCTGCCAATCGTTTGCAATGCGAACTACGATACTTCCGCGCCAGGAAGAAGTATATTTCCAACCATAGTAAAGGTTAAAACTGAATTTGAATACTTTACGAATAAAGCTATTAGTTAAGCACAAAATCTCGATTTATTCGTATCCGTGTCCACCCCTTATAGAAGACAAGTCCCTATATCCTTCTCAGATAGTCATTGTGGGTATTTCAGGTGAACATGGCCTCCTCTTCAATGCAAGCTTTACTAGTCGGGCATCCTCCTCATCACCTGCCCAGCCCGCGCACCTAACTGGACAGCTTAAATAGGCTCAAAGTTGCAAGACTATTAGCAGACCCCTTTCCCCCGCCCGACAACTTCGCCCCATGAAAGTGCACAGCCTCTCCACAGCACCATTAGGCTGGATCCGAAGTGTTTTGAATTCCCCAGGTGCCTTACAGGTGCCTTACGGATTGCTTATTCAGGACTTCCCGTTGAAGAACCAAGGTAGAGGCAAAACATAAGCAGTGTACAGCTTACAGCACGATATATGCTTTAGAAAATAAACTTTTGGCCCTTTTTTTTTTTTTTTAGCTTCGTAGTAACTATGTGCTAACTATAGAAAAAAAATTGTGTCATACACTTTCCAAGTCGGCTATTAAGTGATGTCATACAGATACAAGATCACGATCACATAGGCAACAGCATTATAAATTGCAATACCATGAGGATATAAGCGTATTGACCGTGGGGATGCCTGCAGGTTCACAAAGCCTTTGTCTCTGAAGCAAAGAGGTGGATTTTATGAAGACTGCTCAGACAGATATGTATGTTTCTGACATGTTGATATACAGCTGTGTGGTTTATCCAGTCTATTAATCAGAGGGTTGATGACGTTGGACTAGTGCTTGACAATATTTTCCAAGACCCATCCATGTCCAAGCGCATAGCTCCTGATGACCATTAAATCCTCTATTTCGAATGAGCCACCCCAGTCTACCGGTTACTGTTGGATCGAGCACTGCCGTATCATAACATTCGTTGGATATTGAAGGGAAATATCTGCAGGGAGTTTGGTGAGCAGTCCAAGGTTAACAGTAAAATCAATAACAAGATCTAAACAATAATACTAGTGCTACGTCGAAAATAGATTTTATTTCCTTGCTGCTTGCCCCATTGGCATTGGCTTCGCTATATCCTGGATAGGTATCGCGCATCATTTTTGTGGCAAATCTCGCAAACATACCATATTTTACGTGCGTAAAAGCACTATCTAATATTAGTAGTGTGAATAGTCATGTAGTGAATGGGGAGAATAGGGGCTCAAAGAAGGTATATACGTGATTATGGTTTGTTTAAATTTGGAAGTGTAATAGGCTCTTGTGTGTACGACTCACATGTCCAGCATCACTTGACGAAAACCATTTTCCGCAACTACTATCCAAAAGACACCTCTCAACCAGTATCCAAACACAAATGGAGGTTAATATGCACCGAAAACAGGCACCAATCAATTAACAGGCAGAAGTAAGCGTTGCCGGCTGTAAAAATTAGATCTCATTCCATATACCTGTTCTAAGCAAGCGGACAAGCTTAATAAAATATTACAATATCTTCCTAGAATAGCACATTTTTATCACATGGATAAGGCTCTATGACAGCACCTTAATTTAATTAGGTGTGCGAGATTGTGAATCCGCGAGCGATTCATGCCTACAGTTTATGCAATTGTTCGAATAGTGCACTGTAGAATTCGCTTCATGTCCTCATAATCAGAGCAGGGGCACAGCTTCTGAGTTTCGTTGGCCGCCAGCAACTCTCCGTGGCTCGTGAATCAGATCACTAACAGTCGACCCAAATTGAAGCGACGGATTGGACAATCTATGTGCTCGTGCAAGGTGGACTATTAGTTAACTAACTTATCCGGATATTGACTAAGGGGGAGCCAAATGTCAAGGATTAGGGACTAATTTCAATAAATTTTCGACCTCATCGCCACCACAGGTATTGACTAGGCTCTCTGACTTCGCTGGGGTACATTGAAACACTGAAACAAGAAATAGAAGGCAGATAGCCCAAGTGGTGGAAGACACATATCACAAAGTACGAGGGGCGAGGGCAAATAATTCCCCACCCTGACCTTGTCTTAGGACAGGGGTAGTTGAGCCTTACGAATACTTGCAGCTCCAAAAGATCAAATCCCACAATCAGCGGTCTAGGGCCACCACTCCTTGACCTTCCAATGATGCACATGCAGTCAGGAGTCGGCGTACACTCACCGAGCCTCGAATGCCAGTTTTAACTAACTGGTTTCTTGACCGACAGCGTGCGATACAAATTCATATTCATATAGAATACAATAACCAAATATGGATTAGCAGGATTTATCAGGTTAACAATTTCTTAAAACTCAACGGCCCCTCAACATCCTCTCCTAATATGGCCGCACAACGAGTAATGGAGTCGAACTTAATCTTTGGTGTTACGCGCCCTTGTTTAGGCATTATTTGGATACCTCAGCCGCGCGATCCTGCATCATGATTTGCATCGCTTCACGTTGATAAGCATTTAAGTGATCTTTCATTTACAAGTTACAAGAGTGTTCGTTGTCCACCGGCGAGGCTGTGCCTCAGTCCAACAAACAAAGAAGCTGCAATATGCTGACCAAACCGGGCTATAAGTAGGGTCTCCAACCCTCCAGTCATACCCAGAACAGCAATTCAGGTTTCTTTGCATAACTAGAATCAACTTCCACCAAAAGTCTTTGGACAAATAGCAACAGCCAAAAATAATGGCTCCCATGCTCTTTGCTGTTCTTACTGCTCTTGCAGCCACCGCTTCTACTGCTGTAGTCGAGCGTCGCGATCGCACTTGCACTGTCGAGTTCTATTTGCGTCGGACTCAGGTAAGCCAAATTCACAGTACTATGTTTGAGCTCTGGCTAACTGAACTTCTGTTTTAAATAGAACCCTCTTGTCGGCGGAGATAATACGCTGACATGTGCTGTCTACCTTGACTACGGTGACAGCCGAAATGATATCCTCGCTTCACAATGCAACCAGATCTGGCACGGAAGCGATCACTGCTACCACTCACAGCTACCATACTCCATCTGGTAACTCCCCTCCTTACCCTGCTATCCACGTCTAGTGGAATTATTACGCTTACTCTGAACGACAGTATCCACGCCTACAGCGAAACTGACGGCTATATGGATTACGGTAGTGAACACAGGGACTTTAACGGGGATGGCTGTAAGCAGGACAAGTCCGCAAGCATTTCTGGGGATAGCCATACCATTACTTGCACTTTCCCATGTACCTAGTGTCGATATAAATTACCTCTATTCGGAAGATTACGCGTTTTTCGCGTTGATATTCAACATATTCGGAAATGCAGTTGGTATAAGGTTATTATACTTTTTATGACACCATATCTCGTCATTTCAATTTCTTACGTACTTGGTCTTGAATATTCGCAGAGTTAGAGAGATCAGATCTTTTATTATGTTGATTCACATAGTCATATTATGAATACGATTGGTTGAATAGAATATGTCGACAGTACCACTGTAAAAAGATGCCATGACACTAATTCAGGAATGATACTGTATTTTATCCTGGCTGACAGAATACGACCTATTTTATGTTGACACCTAGTTAGGCGCTTATCTTTTATGGGCTCGGGACTTTCGTTTGTATGAGAATACAGTACTGGCAAGTTGCTTAACGGTCGAGCAAAGTACTATATTCTGCCAATCAATGCCAGGATGGGGTTACGCGAGCTAATACTAGCAGAGGTGTAGCACTTTCGTATACTGTAGATATGTATACTGTTTACTACTGTACATAGAACATACGATGCTAAGATGCTTAAGTAGGACACCTTATCGAGGAAAGTATAATAAGTTATGGGTAAGATATGATTAGATAACAAGGCAAGTACATGATCGACGCTTTGGATGAGTGCGAACAAGAAAGTGACATTAGAGTTATACTTCAACTTTTACCCCGGATCCAGCAATCTAACTCGATGCAGCTGCGAATATTTCTGACCAGCAGGCCTGAACTTCCCATCCGCCTTGGCTTTAAGAAGTATGATAACCATCAGGATCTAGTCCTCCACGAGCTTCCAAAGCCAGTGATAGAACATGATATACGTCTCTTTCTAAAAGACAGACTTTTAAAAATAAGAGACAACCGATCACTTCATTCGGAGTGGCCTGGAGATGTTGTTATAGAAAAATTGGTTGCAATAGCTGTCCCCTTGTTTATCTTTGCCGCCACAGTGTGTCGCTTTGTTGGAGAAGGAAAGCTATCTCCAGAAAGGCGTCTTGCAAAATTTCTTAAATTAAAAGCAGCCAATCTGCATCCCAGATGGAAAAGATATACCTACCTGTACTACATCAGCTCCTCGTTACTGATAACGATGACGAGTCAAGGAACTTGTGGAGCAGTTTCTAGATGTTATTGGGACTATTATTATTCTTGCTACTCCACTCTCGATCAATGCACTTGGGCAGCTTCTTAATATGCCAAAAAAAGATATCGAAACCTGTTAAGCATGCTACACTCGGTTCTTAGTGTTCCAGAGGAAGAAGATGCCCCAGTCCGCATTTTACATTTTATCATTTCGAGACTTTCATGTAACGAGGAGGACATGCATACAAGTATAACCTCACATTGCCTTCGCATTATGAAAGTCGCCTCAAACAAAATCTATGCGGCCTACCAGTTATGGAATGCAGCGTGCAGATATTACCCGTCAGGCTATTAACCAATACCTCCCGGAAGAAATGCAATACTCCTGTCGCTACTGGGTGACTCATCTGGAACAAAGCAAATTGCTTACTACTACTGAGGTTCTTTCTTTCTTAAAAATCCATTTTCTCCATTGGTTGGAAGCAATGAGTCTAATGGAGTTGATCCCAGAGACTATTAGTATTATAAACACTTTGCAGTCAGCCATAGGGGTAAGTGCCTGGTGACCGCACGGTCCTAGAAATTTTAGGACCTCACTACTTCGGTCCGGTCTTGCGGTCCGACAAACATTAAAACCCCGGTAATATGTATATTTTATGTAGAATCCGTTTGTAATTTTAGTATTTTGCTTTCAGTTTAGATTAATTTTGGAAGATTGAATTATAATTATTTTCGTGTAAATATATAGTATTTCTGCTGACATGGCTCTTCTGATTCTTATTTCCACTAATTATATACAAAATCTTTAAACGCTTTGGACTGCGCCCTGGTAAACGTCTTTAAGTACTACTCTGTTCCTGCAAGTGGCTATTATCAGGTAGAGGAACCTCATCCTGATCAGTATCTTCTAGTTAAATATAATTATTTAATATAGCTTCTACCATTCTCTTCCCAAATGCACGCCACTAAAAGTTGGGTGGCTTTAGCACTTATTATCACTGATTGGAATTCCTCCTCTTTTATTTGCTAGGCATCCTTTTGCTTTTTTCTTGCTTGCTTTTTTTAAGCAGAAATATATTCTTTAGCCAAGGCAAGCTGCTTAGACTCCACATTAAATCTTGTTGTACACACAAACATCATTAACTCCTTGATTGTGTGGTTTTAGCGATCCACAGTGGTAGTGGCAAATATTGCGAGCAGAGTTACATAATTGCTCTAAGCCAGAACCACTAACTGATATTGGGATATCTCGAGCAAGGCTTGCTAGGATAGGGTATTTATTTTAATGTTCCTTCTAGTATACTCGAGAGGTTGCCTGTTTTAAATACCTAATAAGGTTAGCATAAAAAAAGAGTATAAAAAAATAGGAGATAAATAGGTTAGCTTACTACTTCTAATACAGGAATGGGAATAGGGCGGGCAGTTCAGGGCGGGCCTCGCCCTGAGCTGATCTGAATTGCTCTAGGGCGGCCCTAATTGCCCTGGGGCGAGATTTTATAAGGAAGCTGGTGATGCTTGGCATGGATAATATCTCTCACTATAAACAGAATTCTGACCAAAATCTTTCACTATTCCTTATGGCCAATTAATGGCGCCCATCTCAACCCACGACTTCAAGGAGAGCGCCACTCCTATGATATCTGCATTTAAACATGCCCGATTCGGCCGTATAAGCTGCGCAGCGACACCAAAAACCCACCCAGGCTCAGAGCTTATTGCTGGGATACTAAATATATCTGATACAAAGTGTACTAGCCGTGCATACTTATAGCGTTGGCTGCGCTAATATTTAATTGGATCTTGAAAAGGGGCGAAATGCCTCGCTATCTAATAACTAGATATACACAAAAAGGAATCGCTGGGAGGAAGAAAGTAAAGGGAAGAAGCATGCGTTCTTATACAACAAGGGGTTATATAACTGCAATAAGCGGACCAATCATATGCGCCAATTGCAGCGAAGGCGAAGCCAAGTGATATACAGCAGTAGCCTGTGACATTATCCTCCCCTTTAAGAATTCCGAGAAGTTGTGGGCCCGGTGCCCATAATTTTTAGGCGGGCGTGGTGAGGCCCTTTTTGGACTTCCAGATGTCCAGTGCGACTGTCCTCCATGTTGTGAGTGGCCGTCCAGGTAGGCGTTTGATAAGCTGTCTACTTAACCAGATATTCGTGCCTGGTGCTGCGCCCCCAGCGGACAAAAATGAAAGTACAGCGCTTCGTAGACATGCAACTAATCAGACTAGTATTATTATTAATTACTATCATAAGCTCCGCTCGGCATTGCCCGAGAGCTGTAATAACCGAGCATACCTGTGGTGTTAAACCCACCTGAATAAACAGCGGTAAAATAGATGCTAGCTTGGATTAAATATCTTTATTGCCATGACCTGTATGATCTACTTGCCCAACCCGGTTTGATGCGATAGGCCTTAATGAAACCACAACACCAATGCCTGCGGCGTACTTTTCCTGAAAGGCCTACAACAGATAGTGTATGAGGGGAAAGAAAAAAAACTAGCCAGTGACTGGTGAGTGGAAAATATCTCTGCCACCAGGTTGTCTGTACCAAGTATGGTTACAGAATAACCTGATGGTGTAGAGCTGCGTAGCAGCGCCACTCAAGAAGGTAGGCGGTTAGTGGGAACTCGGATTTCATACTTCTTTGGCCTGATGGCATTCGGCCTCGACGGTCAACAGCTTACAGGATCGCGTGCTTTTCAATTTTCCGGTGGGATTGATCCAACTAACTGTGCTTTATCCACAATTGTCCCGGCATTTTGAGTGGGAGGATGTCCCGGATGCTATCGGACAATGTGAAATGGGCTTCTACTGAAGTCCATCCGCAGGATGAAATATGCCACATACGCGATGCCCCAGGATCGAGGAATTTTCGTCGTTGTACGACCTGATGGGTGCATAAGAATATTGGCAAACCTAGAGGATAGACCAAGTAATCCCGTATTTAGAGGGTTTGCTTGGAGAGTATATGACCAGAGAATCCAGATGCCCACCAGGTAGATATCTAAGTAGTCATACCACTGCGGACCCTCTTTTCCTGAAAATCTATTTTTTTCTAGGAATATAGATTTTATAGTTTTAAGATATAGTCTTTATATAGTAAGGAAAATTAGAAAAAGAACGTTTTAATAGTTATCGGCACTAAACACATCCGTCATGATGGAAAAATATATTCTAGAGCGTTCGATCACAGTAAAAGACTGCTTCATGAAGACTTCTCTTTCTAACAAAAACTTTGAAGATGTACAGAAAGAACAAGTCAATATCCATATAGTTAAAAATTAAGAGGCAGATAAAAGACAATACAACCCTATAGAGGAATACTGTTAAAAGGAATATAGTGGAGCGGACGGTAGAACCAATCATCTATTGGATTAAAAGGAAAGTTAAAATCAAGGTATTCTATACAGAGTGTATTCTACATCATTATCACAGGTCCTGCGTCATCCATCATATCACATTCACCCGCCTATTTTCCGATCCAGCAATTTCCTCAACACCGTAACTTCTCCCTCCCATTTAGCGACTTGTAACCGCAGCTCGTTGCGCTCCTGCGTGACCCGATCCAGTCGCGACTCCAGGTCGGACACGTGGTCGAGATGCTTCTGTCTTAGTCGGCGCGATGCCATCTTGTTCCGTCGCCGTTTCTCAAGAAGACGTTCTTCCTCCGAGTCGGCAGGCGAACCGTCACTTGTCCCAGAATCCTCCGTGATGAGTCTCCTCCGTGTTCGTTGCTTTGTTCGGGGAGACTGTGAATGGGAGGTCGGTTCGAGGTGACCAGTAATTACTGTCGGGATATGGAGAGAAGCTGTTTGTTGCGACCCTGGAATGGAGGGGGAGGGACGGAGTGAGCCTGTCGATCCGAGATTATAGGGGGTATTTGTCTCCATCTGGGGGATAAGTTCTCCGGCGGACAGATCGATCTCGGTTAGTGCCATGTCGGGGACGACCAATTGATCCGGACTGAGTGTGCCAGGGTGTGCGAGGGCTTGATGAGGCCTTAAAGTTGGATGGCAGTGATAGTCGGGAGGTACAAAATCGGCATGCACCCAGAGCTCTGGGTATTCGGGGAGAGAGAAAGAACCGGTCTGGGCATCGAGCCATCGAGGCACAGGACTGGCCGAGGGGACGGATACACTGCACGAGGTGCTTTCGGTGGACGAATCGTCGAGATTATTGTAGTAGTCCATGGATGGAGTGAAACGACCCTACTATGGATTGCTCAGATTGCCAATCGAACGTCTTGAGATGCCAGTGGGGCGAGAGGAGAGGGGAGGAGAGATAGATAACTGATAAATGGAGAGACGTAGAAGGCATGGCCATTATATAGGCCCGCAGCCCAACTAACATCTCCAGCCATGTCCAGAAGCAACAAGATACTTTGTCCGATGCGAGATCTGGAGGAAAAAAAAATCCGACGCTAATAGGGGAATCTCCGGCGCTAAAAGAGGGTCTTGAGCGAATCCCACGGACAAACAATCCAGTATCCCCGCTAGATTCTCAGCGTCATGGACCTAAATAGCCATGCAAATCCGACTATTGTGCCGGCGAAGAGACGAAAGCCTCGTCCTAAGCTGTCCTGCGTTCCTTGTCGACAGAAAAAGTCTGTCTTGCCCTTCCCTGGGTGGGTTATCCTCTCTCCACTAACGGGCCTAGGCTGAAGTGCAATCGCCTCCATCCCTGTGATAACTGCATCAAGTACCGTCGGGCTTACTCGTGCCATTACGTCGGTGCTCCGGGGATCTCCAACCGGCAAGGCATCCAGAGTCATCTCCACGATCTTGAGGCTCGTATCCAGCAGCTGTCCGCCGTCGATGCGCCATCCCACCCGCAGCCAGATCCTCAGACTGTGGCTTGGGAAGAACCATCAGAACAGACAGACTTGCCCGGGACCATGCTGAGAGAGCATGACGGGACCATCTATCGGAATCCAAATCATTGGCAGGCATTGTTAAACGAGGTTGCTTTTTTTTTATTTTTTTTTTTTTTATATTTACTTCTCCCTCCGTGCCTGTCCAACTGACGAGTCCAGATCGCAGAGGTGAAGGAATATCTGCAACTGACCACGGACACCTCGCCCGAGGAAGAGAATGAGGAAGTTTCTTTAACTCCAGATCTGTCCGGTCCGGTGCTTCTCTTCGCCAACTGCATCTCCACCACCAAGGATGAACTGCTCGCGGCGTTGCCGGTGCGGTCTGACGCCGACAGACTGGTCTCCGTCTACTTGAACTCCAAGGAATCAACTCTTGGTATGTGCTTTCAGATCCTTAAGTACATGGCAACGAGCTCATCAATCAGTCATTATGCATATTCCGACCTTTGCGCGCGAGGTAGGTTGAACCCTGACCGTTTGTTGGCCTGCAGCTCTCCTACTAATTATTATTTAGTATGCTGGATTTTGGAGGAACCCCAGCGACGTGACCATCAGCTGGCTGGCCTATCTGTTTGGCATCCTCTGTGCCTGTACTGGATTGCATCTCTTCTCCACGTCCGGTCGAGCCGACGGGGATCTGGCAGAGAAGTTTGATGCATACCATCGACGGGCCTCGCAATGCCTTGCCATGTCGGTTTACACCACGCCAGGAAGGTACAAGTTGGAGGCGTTGATCCTCAGTGTGGCCAGCGAGATCCTGCGCAGTACCGATACGCATGTCGGTCCATCGGCACTGCTGGGACTGGCTACCCGCCTGGCGCTACACAGTGGCTATCACCGGGATCCCAAGCACTTCCGGGGGATTTCCGTGTTCGAAGGCGAGATGCGGCGTCGCATCTGGATGTATCTCTCGCTGCTGGACCATTACATCTCGCTGCAGGCCGGCCTGCCCCCCAGCACGAACCAGGTGCAATCAGACACTGACGAGCCACGCAATTTGACCGATGAGGACTTGGATCCAGCGGCGACTGCGCTGCCCCCTGCCCGGCCGTGGACTGAGAAAACCCCTATCCTCTTCCCCGTCGTGCTTAATCGCATTATGTTTGCCGCGGCGGAGATCACCCGCCGCGTCTACTCCGTCAAGGGCATTCCGTACCGGGAAGTGCTGCATCTGGATGCGAACCTGCACGAGCTGCATGCCACCGTCCCTGTGTCGCTGCGATTCCGACCGCTGGAGGAGTGCATCGCCGACCCTCCCACCGCCATCATGGACCGGTATAACGTCGATCTGATGTACCAGAAAGCACGTTGCGACCTGCATCGGCGGTATCTGGCCCACCAACGCTGGAACCCGACGTACGCGTACTCGCGCCGACAATGTCTGGACGCCGCGCGGACGGTGCTGCGGCATCAGTCCGATATCTTCGACGCCAGCGCGCCAGGCAGCCAGCTCGGTTGTACCTCCTTCTTCTTCTCCTCCTGCGTTGTCATGCATTTCCGCGTCGCCGCCATGATCATCTCCCTGGAGATATCCTGCCAGTCGCGATACGACCTATTGCAAGAACTGTCCGCCAGCGAGCGGCAGACCATCCTGGCAGACCGCCAGCAGCTGTGCCAGGAGCTGACACGGTCCTACGCCATTTGGAACCATTTGCGGCCGCAGTCCAAGGAAGCGGCCACAACTGCCGATGCGCTACAGATCATGCTGAAGATTGCCAACACGCACCTGCAGCATGGGGCAACCTTGGGGCAGGACGAACCTTCGGTGCCCTCGACCGGAGCCGATCGTGAGTTATCCTTCTTGATCCTTTAATAAAGAGGGACGACACTAAGCTGACATCTCTAGTCATGCCCGTGCCCATACCCATGCCTCCCAGCCCCACAGATCCAGATACTCCTGATAGGATCCACCAACATGCTCCGGCTGATGTGGACCTCATGAACGCGATATTCTACCCGGGACCGGATGAGTTGGTGCCGCCCAAGGACGTGCAATTAGCCGGACCTACCGACGCGGTCGATTTCTACGATCGGTACTGGGAGAATCTGTTGTTTCTGGGGGGTGATCTGTCCTTTGGGGAGACTAATTTGGAGGGTATTCCGGGGAATTCGGGAGACGTGCTTTAATGGATTTATGATCTGACCTGGTATGGAGATAATGTGATTTGACATATCGGGTACATTCGTTGTATAATTTTGAGTGTTGTTATCGTTCCATTTACTGTAGAATACGTCCCTACAGTGGATATCTGCCAGGTGTATATCATAAAGGACTTGTAAAGAGGTTTATCTAATCTGAGATTGTATAGAATAAAACATTACATCTTAAGAACATTGTTGGTCCCGAAGGTATCTCTAATTATATGTTTGCTCGCCAGATACCGGTACTCCGACAATAAAGTCCAGAGTTGACGTTGTCGCTGGTCATTTTGCTCTGAACCTCTTTTCTCCAAGTCTTCTTTATCTGGATCTGAACCAACTCTGTCCGACTGCATTCCATAGCCAGATTTGATCAATCCGTTAAATTCAAGGAATATAGGCTCCTCTCGCACCTCAATATTTTATCTATGCTGTTGAAGAAATGGTATTCGTACCGATTCCTTCCTAGCGCTTTGGCTACGCACAACGTTGTCAACCTCCGAATCCCCTATCCCAGTTGAGGCATCTAGATGAGACATTGAATATATATCTAGTTGAATATATTATACTCTCCTTTGTAGACTACGTGCGCGTAGCCGGTATAGCTTCTCCTGCCCTATTCCCCATCCCCCCTGTGCACCGTGGACCGTGTCAAGGTTTTCACAACACATGCTACACCCTTCACTGGACACTTTAACTGACATTTTATTCATTCTTTTTATTTTTCTTCCTTTTCTCTCCCGAGGATAGGCAATGGCTATCCGGAGAGAATAAGAGGCAGTATGGCCCATTAGGGTATCTGATGGTCTCATGGGACTGCTTGTTTATGATATTGCCGGTACCTTTCGTGCTTGAATTTGTTTGCCACAAGATAACGGTGACTGATGTGATTGAGTGTCCTTGCTTATTAGTGTACTATAATTTCTTTTTCCCAAGGCGGGGTAATCAAGATCAAATAAGGAACATCATATTCGTGTTGCCATGGAGTGGTGTGAGCTTGTAATAGATCATCTGGCAGCCAGGATGCTCTTGACCAGTATTTGAGGGACTCAGCTACTCATTTTCAGCTGCCTGAAATGCCCCTGAACAGCTTTTTTCAATCATTCCCTGGGTTTAAATATGACCCTCACTTACCGCCGTGCGAATCATAATCGTCCCTCCAAAGACTCTATAGCTAGCGTAAAGGTGATGAGAATTCTGCCCAAGCTTAAGACCAATTCTAAGAAGCTCTTACTCAAGAGTTCAAGCTCTGGTTTGGGATAGAGGACGACACTGGCGCCTGGCATTCCTTTGTCGCGCTGTGAAGATTGAACCTTTACCAAGAACGTGTCATGAATGCGAGAAGCTAAGTATATAACGTCATTTTTATAATATGAAACTGCGTTGACATGAATGCATAGGCTGTGCGAGAAATATACGTAAATATTGTTGAGCTGGTTGATTGGGCTCGCAGAAGGGGAGGTCATGGTGAAGTACGGCTCTTCTACAGCCTAGAGGAGCTGCTGGATTATACTAAAACAGCTCGCAAAATCTTTAGCAACAGCCTGACGGAAAGGGTAATGTAGTCTTAAGGCATTTGCTTTGGTCATATATAAAGGTAATTGATTGAGAATGAAGTTCAAGGGGATGAAACCTTCCTAGCGAAGTTTACTGCAAGTCAGCAGGTTGGACTCTCACCTTATGTAATTGTCTTACGCTAACTTACTAGTTCGTTACCATTCATAATTATTGTCAGATATACGGCTAGTCCCGAAGAGGAAATAGAGTACGATTGGTAAAAAGGTCTTATTTGCATGAATTGAGCTGGTTGGGCTCTTCTTGATTATTCTTCTTGGTTATTCTTGATTGATTATTTTGTTGTGTGCTCCGCTGGGGTTTTACCCCGATCTGGTCACCTGATTCTGGTCGACCAACGGCTATATTATTTGACAATTATTATAATTAATTACTATTGATGCGTATCTAGCGCAATAGTGACAACTTGATGATCACGGCTGGTGTTGGCCTGCATTCTCTTTGTTCGAATGCATTGGATAACATAGTTCTTGTCTTGATGTGGCATCTTGCCTTGTCTATTTTGCGTATTTGTCCCCAAAATAGCACCAATTTTCTTGGTGCTATTCCGCCCGCTACGAAAGGTTTTGAAGCCTTGAGGACTTTCTCCTCTAAGAATGAGAGACTTCGCAAGCATTATACTCTATGGCCCAGCTGAATTTCGAAAATACCCCTCCCCACTTGTTTCCCTCTACCCACAGTATCAACACCTTGGTCGGGATTATCTTCATAGGATTGCCAATTCGCCGAATAAAAACTTTCAACTCAGCGAAGAGCTCCTCAAATGGGTTTAAATCCGGCGAGTAAGGGGCAAATATGCTAGCTGACCTCTGTCTGTGCACGCATTTATTCGATTCTGTCGGAATAGTGGAAAGAGGCATTGTCCATGATAGCGGCAGCCTCAGCCATCTGTGAGCCTGAGAGGTTGTTGCTCACAATCATAGGTCATCTCCCTAGTGGATGGTGGAAGACGGGGCGCCATCTTGATGATCTACATGATCTTCCAGGAGGATTGCGCACAACGGTTACCCTAGCGCTCCCCCACTCGCCCCGGTCGCACGACCCCAGGGCGGCACTGCTCATCTAGAACGAGAAAGGCAATGGTCTCGGCGTCGGTAGTCTTTTGCTCGGTAGGATACCTATGGAATATGAGAAGTAAAAATCATGTTGCGTATCATGAAAGCCCTTGAGGAGAAGTGGAAAAATAAGGGGACTTTCCAGGCCTTGTATCGGCTGATATTTGTGCCTGTGGATTACGACACCAAGATAGCCCCTGCCGGGAGCTTAGGAAAGTTTATCTGTACTCGATGAATATTAACCTTCGGCGGAGGCTTAGGGTAAACTTAAGACACAAAGCCCAACCATGGGCGAGGTTGCAATACCAGTGATATAATACTTACGCCATTTCACCCAGGTAACAAGGAATTAGAAAACTTGAACAAGGACCGGACGAACCGACAGGTGTATTATCTACTCAGGTACAAGCATTCTGTACTCTATATGTAGAACGCATTCTGCTGGCTGTCTCTCTGGGCGTTTATTCTTGTTCTCTGGACTCTCCGATCTGTCGTTGAAATAAAGCGATAGATCTGAGTCACCATTCGAGTTATATGGCGGTGACCTATAATACAACAGTCTGTTGCTCCCCTCCCACACCTTATCGGATCTCGGAACTGACTGCCAGAGGTATAGTGGATCACCGAACTTTGGGCACTTTTCGGCATCGGAACCTTTATTATCCTCATGCGCTTGGTGTTCCGTTGGCGGATGCTCGGCTTGCGCGGACTGGCTGGTGACGACTATACCTGTATCCCGATTCTCGCTTGTCACGTCGTCAACGCGACAGGGGCCTACTTGGTTGCGCAGTACGGAAACAATGCGGACTTCGATCAGGATGAAATTAACATGATGACCGATGAACAAGCCGCGCGTCTTATTGTTGGCTCCAAATGGGAGATTGCCCTGGCTTTTATTTACAGCGCGTTGCTATGGTTCTTGAAAGCCAACATGCTCTTTCTATCTTGGCGCTTGACGAGAAGCTTGACCTGGCATAACCACCTAATTCTCTGGATTGCAGGCATAATTTTCCTGTCCTACCTCGGTGTTGTTCTTACCATTGTCTTTAACTGCTATCCCCCATACCTGTACTGGCAGATCAAGCCGTTGCCACCTATGCGATGTATCCAGGCACCCGTTATATTCGGCGTTGTGTTCGGATTGAATGTAATGTAAATCTTCCCGGCTAATCGTGCTTGGCGATCTAGAGCTGACAGTGCCAATGATTCCAGAACCGATGCAATGGTTAGTGCGCCCTGGTGGACGATAATGGCCCTGACAGGGAACGTAGCTGATTGGATGCTAGATCGTGGCTTTACCAATTCTACTCCTGTGGAACCTTTCCATGCCCAGAAAGAAGTAGGTAGTCCGCATTCATGATTCTAGCAGCTAGTCAGATTGCTGATCCTTGCAGAAAAATAAAGATCTTTCTCTTCCTGGGAACGGGGATTATCGTCATTGCGGCCGCGTACGTTCAGACAAGGACATTTGGCTAGGATGATCACATCTGACTAGAAACTTGACGTACAGGATTATTAGACTGTCTGTGACAGTAGCAAACCCAACTACTCTGAACTATAATCGGTATGTTGAGAGAAACTTATCTGCTCGCAGCTGGCAAGGGAGGAGGTATGAATGACAACATATCAGCTAACCACGGTGATACTTGTATAGTTGGGGAATGCGTGAAGTTGTTGTCGATATCATTGCTATCCATATTCCTATTTTCCGCCAACTATTTCGAGAATCCCGACGCATGCTAGGGACCGCAACAGCGAGATCCAGCGACACCCTCAGTACCCATCCCATTACACGATCAACGGGGACTAATTCCGCTGAAGTCAGTTTGCCCATATATCGAAGTAATAAGTCTACTGGTGCATTGAGCGTCCCTAAGAGGATATATAGACAAGATTGGCATCCCTACGTTCATTGTGACGTGGAAAGTACCTTCGATGCAGGCCACGGGCGAAAGGCAGACAGTGGATAGCTTCTCTACTAACTGGCACTATTTACTTAGCTAATTGAAACTCCTTATGCGATTTTATGTCTGCTCCTATCTTCTGAAGATCTGCTTCTTACACTGTCATGACTACTATTAATATAGATGGAATATATCTATAAAAGGATACATTAGGATATTGAGATCCAGGTCCACAATGTGACTGCGAAGCCTTGGAACTTTTGGGCAGCGTGCCTCGCGACGAACTCAATACCCATCTATATTCACGGATGCCCGAAGCTGATCACCCGCGCCGATCACCCTAGATTTCAAAAATTAGCCCTGCAGATTACGGCAGGAGGTTTGGCGGAGCCACTCCTCCCAAAAAGGATAGTCTGCTCCTAGTAACGTGCCAGGCGTTCCAGCTGGTGCTTCTCAGAGACTGGTCCTTAAGAGGAAGTGTACGGATATGCTGACTGTCTATTCCGCCAGGGGCGTGGGATCTAGTGACGAACCTCCACGGCCTCGTTACGGCATAGCCACGGGTATCCGGGAGATCTGCGAGGCCGAGAACCAAAACTTGGTTAGTGAAGGGCTGTTCTGGTATTCGACATGGTATCTGGAATACTACAAGGGCAACATTTGCAAAACACGGCTACCGGGTAGAGATCTGCGGTGGTAACGTGAAGCAGAAAGTCCTTCCTGTTAGGCGTGGCGCATAATTGCAGTGACAGCCCGGGGCTCGACGAGACTGTCTATGGGGCCTGAGAGAACAGGCAGGCGTGTCAGTGTGCAAAACGACAAAATCAGCTACCTTACTCGCACTAAGGACCTGAAGTTTAACAGTCAGAGTGGTGTGTCCTAGTAGAGAAGACTCGAATTGTCGCCACTATCTCACTCACACTAAGAACCTGCGGCCAGGCAACGGATATGATGTTCTAGCTAACATGCCGGTGGTGTATGCTTAAGGAGCAAACCTTGAGACACCTGGGGTGAGAGGTTTTTTTTGCTCAACATCTGGAGGTCGCTTATTAAAAGGTTAAGCAGACTGAAACCGGGCCAGTGGCCTAACAAGCGGGCCTGTCAAAGCTGCTTTACATCAGTCGCAAGGACTCGTTAAGTCATAGACCACGGGCAATCTTGGCTGTGTAGTTTGTCTCGTGGAAGCTCTGGCTTATCCATAATACGGACCCAACCATACACAGAATAAATATTTGTTGGTCAGCTGAATACGCGTATGAGCTAGTATCACTGATCATATAATAGTATGGGTCTGCATTGAAAAGGTTAAGGTCTCTAACTGTCTGAATCTATCTGGGAGAGCTGGACAAAAGGTGAAAAACAAAGGAACATAGTCGGACAGAGCAGATACTACGTAATGGGTAATATTAGACCACTTGGTCGACACACCCCCCCCAGTATCTACGACGTCAGATGTTGAATAGCTAAATAAACAACTCAATAATTGCAGTTAAATACATGAATGTTGCCTGTTTAGACTAGAATAAGGTCTTAAATATCAACCAAACGTAGCATCTTGATGAATTCTGCCATAACATTGTGTTTATTGGTTTAACTGCCCTGTTAGGCTTTTTTAATTGCACGGTTGATCTGCTGATACTCTACATTTAAAGAGTTCTGCATAATCTTATTAAATTTGGCTTGGACTGTTGGATTTGGCTGCCATCCCGTAAAGGGCTGGGGCCCGTTTACCTTCTTGGGCCTATGGTCACTGTTATCCCTGTTGTCCCTGTTGTCCCTACTGTCCCTACTGTCCCTTTTGGCCCTGTTGGCACCTTTGGCGGATCCTCGATCCGTGTCACGTGACCTCCCACCTTGTTTGTCTACCGCTCATTTTCCTCTTCCTTTCTTCTCCTTTTCACATTTATCGAATCAAGTGCGATCTTGGAGACAATCATGTTCCAGATTCAGCCCAAAATATCAACTTCGGGACTTGACTTTTTCTTAGCCACTCCCAGTACATATTCACGGTCCTGCTCACATCCTGTGGATACCCATCAAAGGTACTTCGTTCGAGAACCGATACACAGGCTCCCTGTCTTTAGAATTTGAAAATGGCCTGCGATAATGTAGCATTTCGGCCTCTGTTAAATCCCTTGAAACACTTTGTGCCAGGCCGCCTTCTCTTAGAACGTTCTGCTCTATTATAAGCTCAGCCCGACATCTTCAGTGCGAAATTTTCTAAACAAGTCACGAGGTCCAGGAGGGAAATCATTCCATTTCAAGCCCCCTGATATAAATTCCATGAACATCAGACCCGCGATTCGGATGGAGTTCTTTTGCGCCAGAGCAGATCCCCAGTCGTGGACGACTAGTAAAATTTTGCTTACTTTTTTCTTTGGAACAACAGCGTCCATAAAAGCAGCTAAGTCTGGAATATGGTCGCGGTGGAAAGAGAGAACTATACTATTTAGGATCTAGATGGGGAAATCCTAAAAGCAGGGATGTTTAAAATTCAGAGTGGCAAGGATCACAAGGTGAGTGAAGAATAGAGAGTAATTTTACTGGGTATTTAAAAGGCCGTTGTGAGTTTAAGGCCTTCTTATATCCATCCCCTGATACAACCCAGATCAACAAGGGCATGCCATACTTAATCTACAATGGAAATTTGATAGCTTCCAGTCTTCCAGCAAGCATCAAACTGATCGCCACCTTTCATCTTCTAGCGATTATCATCACTTATAATAGCCAGGATAACGTAGTTGACTAGCTTACTGGTAACCGATTTTCGGACAGGTAGAAAATTCCGTACACAGAGCACTATTGTTTACAGATTGTGCCTCGACATGCAACATCCAGAAACAAGCCTCCTATCCTCTGCACGACTGATCTCACACCTACTTCTCATTATCCTTATCATTTTCTTTGCTTTCCTCCATTGCCATGTTTTGGTTTTTCGTTTTAGGGCCACTTGCATGGAGCTTGCGGAGCGCGCCTCACCAGTGTGACTCCGTATAGTTTCGCTACTGCCACGCACGCTCGTTCGTCGATATCCCTTCCCCTTCTAGTCTATCTTGGCATAACACTCTTTGCATCTCTTATGCACTTTCTTTCTTAATTGGAGACCGGTTTCATCTGTGCTCAGTCCTTCTTATTGCGGCGCCCTTGTCTAACATTAGCCTTTGAACTTTCTCGTTTGGAGTAACCAAAGTGAACTAGCAACTAGCAATAATCACAGATGATGTACACTTTCTCCCATCTCTGACCCAACCTTTACCCCAAGTCCATCTTCCGCAACAGGCAAGCGAAAATGAGCAGACAGCTGGGCGCAACGGCTACTCCCGCCACTCCATCGAAGCACGCCCGCCTACTTGCACAAATCTAGTCTTACTTTTTCACGACGACGCTCCTTTTCGTGCCCAAAACAATCATGAAGGAGTTGAGTTTACAGAACCTGAGGATAAAGCAGACACTCAGGTAACATGAACGGACAGTTCTGTTCTCGATAGTGTCAATTTTGCTAATTTCGTGAGGTATAATGTTCCAACTGGTGACATGGAGCGCATATTCTATTAACACACAGTGAATGGCGCTCACCAAAACAACCTCGCAAGTAAATAAAATGTGGTAAACCGCCACAGAATTTACGACATAAAGCTTTAGAGAAGGATATAATTTCCCATTAACAACTGTATCTCTTAAGAAATCTTACTCGATCTTCGTAGTACAGACCTGGCAAAAACAAGAGCCCTAGCCTATGACATGATTTCCTGAATACTGATATCCACACCTAGAGTCATTTTCAACCAAGACCGTAATCGAACAGCAGCCATACTATCAATGCCAGCCTCCATGATATGGTTCGTCCTTAGCCAAGAATACATTGCTACCGCAGCCATGCTGTCGACACCTAATTCATCCAAAGACAGCGAGACGTCCAGTTCACTGTTTGCCTTCAACCATGAATGTATCGCAATAGCAGTCATGCTATCAATTCCCAAATTGATCAGGGAATTCTTGATGCTGTTGTTCGAGTCGTTGAAGTGGTCGACTGCTTCACATCGCGTGATGGGCTCGGAGGCGGTAAGGGTACAAGTGTTCGTTTGCATTTTGATTTGTGTTTAAGAGTGGTGGTGGTGATGGTGGGTCGTATGTGGGTAGAGTAAAGTATGTGAACCCGGTTCTGCTATTTAGGAGGGAGGGAATATATGTGTTGTCTGAGTATCCTTTTTTTATCCGTCTTTCCAGCGGATGTTAGAAGAATTAACTTGGTGCTCGTCAGCCTTAATTGGAGGTCGACAGACAGCAATTTATAGAATGAAGTGCGGTGCCCATAATTAGCTTCTTGGGTCTTTCAGTATATATAAATTGTATGACTTCATTGACTTGATGTTGCGCCGTAAACGGCAATCCTATTGCTAACACCGGTAAAAAGACTGTTTAAGAGAATGTGCCTATTATCAACTCTTGATATGAGCCAATGAGCTGGAAAATGTGTATTATGATGAATCATTATTAGTATCCACTGGATTTGGTGTCATGTCTCGGATTTTGTGACGCTTGGTTCATAGTGGGGAGGTAGCAATTCGTCGCTTCAACGCCCCATCAGCACCTTAACTGATGTAACATGGAGAATATTTTCAAGGATTAAGTGAAATAGCGTGAAAATAATCCTGAAAGTAGTCTACTTCTCATGCACCGCACCATGACAGATACAAGTGAAGGTCTTGAACATACGGAAAAGTTAGGAGGTATCCGGCGCAAAACTCAACCGCTTTTCATCGAATGGGTTGGTAAACCATGGGATCCAGTTGTCGAGGGAAGGCCCAAAGCCCACACAAAGCATGCGATAATCAAATAGTCGTCACTACTTGCACCAGGGTTAAATCAGCATTCAGGTAGCCAAAAGTTTATATCGCCAATCGAACTGAGAACTTGTCCTTCCACCATTCCATGTCCAGTTAAGTCCGCCCCGACAGCAGATAAAGCTAAAGCATCCCCTTAATTAAACTCGCCTACACCCGAGCGTCGTTCACAGAGACCGCGGAAAACTTCCTACGCTGATCTATTTGCCCTATCGAAATAGCTAATTACGTCACGATCGAATGCTTGGCTGCTTTGTCATCACCCGCTCCTGTTCTTGCCCACTAAACCTTTTCTGTCTACGTAGCCCCATATCCCAACGTTGAATAGATCACGCCTCAGCATATACTTCTCTTCCATTTCATCGTTTCAGGGCGACAGCGTGTGGCAGCGCGCATCTTCCAGTACACTTACAGAAGAATAATAACCCGAATTTAGTTCAAAGGTGGCCTAGCGTATCTTGGCACCAAATCTTTGGAGAAAAGAAAATAGGTACAGTGGTGACACCAGTTTCCGGAAACTCTGTACTCGGTCGAAGCAAGAAATTGATTTATTAAATTAATAGTATCAATTCAAATATTAAGCGGCTAGCTGCCAGTATTATAGTATATTTTTCATGTACCCAAGCTTTTATATCCATGCAGGAACAAACTAGACAAGAACAATTAGAACTCTCCATACAATTCGCCGAAAGATAGAACGACTCACTCATCACACTATTCATCAATCATACTTTCTGAAGAAAAAAACCCGGAGCTCAGCTCCGTGCCACGTCCGGGAATGACGTCACCGGGATACATTCTGAAATTTCTAATTAGTATGAACTGGAACCTAAAAAACGGGAAAATAAAAAGTAAAAATAGTCCACGGAAAAAGGGGAGAGCATACTGTAGAATGATTCTTCTGGTCCAAAATAACCGATCGCTCTGAATGCGCATAGAGAGAGTTCTTCCGCGACGAGGAGGGAGTTCCCCGAGGAGAAGAGGCTCGTGAAGCGGCTTTTTTCTGAGCGATGGCGCCTCGGAGGGAGAATTTGGGCAGCGAGAGGCCCAGGTAGGGGTCGGCATGGAACATCATTTTGATATATATATATATATATATATAATTATAAAATTATAGAATATGGATTGAGAATGATAGAATTGATAGAAAATTGAGGATTGAATGATTGTTGAGGATTGAATGATTGCTTGATGAGTGACAGGTGTAGTATATATAGTACTGATGACTCCTCGGGATGGGAAGCCGAAATACAGGATTTTACGCCGGAGTGGGGCGTGTGCTCGGGTTGGGTCCCGAATGGTGGCGTGGCGATCTTACTATGACTCGATGGGGTCACGCCATGGTCTAGATTTGAGGGAATAAGAAAATATCTAAGGAAAATGGCTCATCGGGGTTGATTCCGTGATATCTCATATTGAATGGCTATGGATTCTCAATACAGTAGCCTATACAGATTGTTGACTTGAGATAGTATTAAGTTCTATTTCTATCCAAAGAAAGTACATCTCCAACTGCACTCCAGGACCGGCCATCCGATGAAGCAACAAACTCCTTCACCACGCCGTCTTTAATCCCATATGCCCGACCATCGTAGTTAGCTGCCACCGGAGTATTCCTGTCCAGGGAGTCCATTACTTTTGGTTTGTAGTTCTTCCAGTTCGTACCTTTGGCGTCAGATACATAGCAGGTGACTCCATCTTCCTTGGATATGAGGGTTCCCATGAAGCGGTTTCCCTGTTCTATTCCATTGGGATTGAAGGTGAATGCTGCCAAAGAGGCATTTGTCGCACTGAGAGGGGTATTATCTTCAGAGTTCCAGCCATCTGGATATCAATTATTAGCCGAAGACTTCTGGATAGGGATATGGATAGGATAGGATAACATACCGATTTTAGAATCAGGCCATTGACCAAATCTATACTGAGCCATATCTCTATCCTCCTGTTCGTAGAAAAGAACCAAATCCGTATGGTTCACGTCTGTGGTCGTCCACGTCTGGACCAGCCCGAGTCCTGTCCCCTCAGCAGGCTGCGAAAATGCAGGGTTCGTTGTGAAATACGACCCACTCGTCCCATTTGCAATGGTGAGTCGTCCTGACGGATCCTGATACATCACATACAGGCCCCGACAGACGGAACAGTCACTCGGCCATTGCCACAGCGACGCGAGTTGGCTGTCTCGATGGGCCTGCAGGTTCTGAGTCGTGAGCCAGTTCCCCGATGTCCATTTCGGTGCGCTGGAATTGAAACTAATCCATTCTTGGATGAAGTTCTGGTCGTCAAGGAGGTAGACTCGTAGGTCCTGTTCGTTTAGCCAGACTGATACTAACTTACGTAACAGGTGGAATGGACATACAAATGGAAATCGAGAATATGTTACACTCGCTGCAAGGGGGGTATTCGGTCTGGCGGTCGTGATATTCGATAAATAATACCACGATCGACCCGTCGAGTTCCACGCGTACTCCTGGACTTTGTGATCGCTGGATTGGAAGTATAGTCTGTGATGAGCAATTCCTTTTTCATCGTTGTAGGACACCGATGCCAAACTGGATGATATCTTGGACTTTGGACTATCAGTCTGAGTTTTCGGAGGATGGGATAATCCTGGGTCATCATTCCCCGGCTGACTCTGACTCTGATCCTGTTCCCCTCCCTGATTCTGTCCATTCTGTCCTTGAGATCCTGTACTGCTAGGACGGTTCTGTTGAGACCCAACCACACCCCCCACCACTGCACCGAGCACCACGCAGAGACAGAGACCCGCGACGAGGATCCAGAAGATGCGACGATGGAGTCCACATACACGTGCTGGGGCAATTCGCAGAGGCAGTTCCGGACTGCTGGTGATGATGGCTCGAGAGGTGGCTTCTTTGTGGGTGTCGAATTGGATCGGGTTAATTCCGGGTTCCTTGAAGGTGTCGAATTGGTTGGGATCAACTTCTAGCGTGCTGTAGGGTTCGGTAGGATGTTGGATCGTCATGTTGGTGGTGGAGGATCCTGAGTCTTATTATTCCACAAAGGATTTCATGGATTTGCGTCATTGGAATCCATTGACGATGTTGGTTGGGAAAACGTTGGAGGAGCCATTTTGGATAGTAAGGAAGAAGTGAGAAAGCGAGAAAAAAGAGCAAGCGAGAGATGCAGATCACCATTTAGGGCAGTTTCAAGTGTCGTATAGAAGACTTGGCTTGGGGGCCATTTGTAGAACCCTGTCAGGGGCCAAATTGCACTCGCCACTAGTTGTAGAGGAAGTTTAGAGATGCCTGTCTTACGTGGAGTCAATTTTTCTTACTCCATTGAATCAAGTACATATTTCGATACCTAGTATCTCACTATGATCATCAGAAATGGACGTAATATAGACAAAATGACCACTATCCGTATATAAAAGCCGATATAACTAATCCAATCGAATAAAATGCTAACTTTTCTAACCAACCCATCGTCTAGCACTGAAGAACACCCGCCCCCATGGTCCAATATCACCCCACCGACGGGCATTCGCAGGCAGCCAGCTGGCAATGCCGCCCATCACCGTCCGCTCTGGATGAGGCATGATAGCGAGCACGCGACCGTCCGCGTTGCGCACGCCGGCAATACCTTCGGGACTGCCGTTGGGGTTGAAGGGGTAGGTCGTTGTCGGCTTGAGGGCGGCGTTGTCGACAAACTGGACAGGGGCGAGACCTTCGCGGACGAACGACTGAGCCGTCATGTTGGAGGACGGCGAGAACGAGGCACGTCCTTCTCCGTGGGCCACGACAATGGGCAGTGACGAGCCGTCCATGCCGTGTAGAAAGATGCTGGGTCGCGAAGGGTCGGGGTCCGAGACGCGGACCATACAAACACGCCCTTCGTACTGTTCGCTGGCATTGCGCTCGAAGCTGGGCCAGCTCTGGGCACCCGGAATCAACTCCTTGAGACGCGAGAGGAATTGACAACCATTGCAGACCCCGAGAGCGAATGTTTCGGGACGTCCGAAGAAAGACTGGAACTCGTTCCGAGTGTTGTCGTGCAACAGCACCGACTTCGCCCATCCCTGACCGGCGCCGAGAACGTCGCCGTACGAGAAGCCACCGCAGGCGGCAAGACCGACAAAACTGGCAAGCGACACGCGTCCGGAGATGATGTCGGTCATATGCACATCAACGGCGGAAAAGCCAGCCATATTGAAGGCAAAGGCCATCTCGGCTTGGCTATTGACTCCCTGTTCACGGAGGATGGCCACACGGGGCTTGTTGCTGAAGGGGGACATTTGAGTCAGGCTCGTAAGGAACGGAAGGGTCTTTTCCTTCGGGTCGAAGGTAAGGTTCCAGGACAAACCAGGGTCGGCGTCATCAAGGATGTTGGCAAACTCCTGTTCGGCACACATGGCGTTGTCGCGCATCTTCTGCATGTGGTATGACGTCGTCGCCCAGGTTTGCTGGAGGCTGGAGCGGCTGTTACGGTACACCATGGTGTGCCCGTGGTAGATGGCAAGGTTCTGCTTGTGCCGTTCGGAAACCCGTCCGATCTTGTGGATCAGACCAGCAGGGGGGCCGCAGGTAGCGAAGCAAGACCGGAACTGGATCTCGTGTTCCTTGCGGACCTGGAACACTGCTCCCAATTCTTCAGTGAAAAGGGTCTCCACGATGCTCCTTGTGTCCGAGCTCGAGCAAATGTTGTCCAGCATGATCTCGAGGCCGCATCGTCCGGCAAACATCATCTCCGCCAGAGTGGTGAAAAGACCACCATCGGAACGGTCATGGTAAGCCAGAACAATGCCTGCCTCCTGTAGTTGCTGAGTGGCGTCAAAGAAATCCCTAAAGATTTCGACATCACGCACGTCAGGGCACGCGTCGCCAACTTGGTTGAACACCTGAGCAAAAGCGGAGCCACCCAGGGTTTTGCGGCCGAAGGAGAGGTCGACAAACATGAGAACAGTGTCACCGACATCCTCAGGGCGACGAAGTGCAGGGGTCCAGGTCTTTCGGTAGTCCGAAACAGGAGCGAAGGCCGAGATAACGAGAGACATAGGAGCGGTAACTTCCTTGGCCTCCTTGGAGGTCTCGTCGGTCCACTTCATCTTCATGGACATAGAGTCTTTCCCGACCGGAATGCTAATGCCAAGTTTAGGGCACAGGTCCATACCGATCGCTTCCACCGCTTCGTAGATAGCAGCGCCCTCACCGGGATGGCTACTGGCCGACATCCAGTTGGCGGAGAGCTTCACTCGGCTAAGACGGTCAACTAGATCGGCGGCGGCGATGTTCATCAGAGATTCTGCCACAGCCATCCGAGCCGAGGCGGCTGGGGAGATGAGAGCCAGGGTGGGCTTCTCACCCATCGCCATAGCCTCACCGGTCGTGACTCCCTGGAGAAGTGCAGTCGCCGTGACAGCAACGTCAGACACGGGCGTCTGCCACCGGCCCACCATCTGGTCGCGAGCAGTGAGACCGCCCACGGTCCTGTCACCTATGGTGATAAGGAATGACTTGGAGGCGACAGCAGGAAGAGACAGCACTCGCTTCACTGCCTCCTCAATAAGCTCGAGATGATTAGGTGCCATTGAAGGCAGATAGGTGGTCAGACTTGCGTCGACGGCGGGAAGCTTCAGCTTGCGTGAGTCCACGATCCTAGTCATCCTAGGGGGCTTTCCGAACAGCACCGATAGGGGCAGGTCAATTGGCTTCGGGTATTCCTTGGACTCTCTGTCGAGAAGGATGAGCCTCTTGTCTTCTTCCGGCAAGCCCTCTCCACGGCCAACGACGGAGAAGCCACAACGCTCACGGTGGGCGATCGCAGTGAACTTGTTCATTGATTCCTCACCAATAGCCATGACATATCGCTCCTGGGCTTCACAGCACCAAATCTGCATGGGGCTCATGCTTCGATCAGCACTATCGATCTCACGCAGTTCGAACGTGGCCCCCAGGCCGGAATCGTGGATCAACTCAGGAAGTGCGTTGGAAAGACCACCGGCACCAACGTCGTGGATAAATTTGATGGGGTTGTTATCACCCATAGCTACGCAGGCATTAATGACTTCCTGCGCCCTTCTCTGGACTTCGGCATTGCCTCGTTGTACACTAGCAAAGTCCAGGTCCGCGGACCCTTCACCAGATGTGATACTAGAAGCCGCGCCGCCACCAAGTCCGATCAGCATGGCGGGTCCACCCAGAACGACGAGGAAAGAGCCAGGCTTGACGGTTTCTGGCTTTTTGAGAGCGTGTTGAGGCCGGACGGTTCCCACACCACCGGCGATCATGATGGGTTTGTGGTAGCCACGGAATTCGGTCTGGCCATTGCCTATGTCGACCTCTGTCAGCAAGGTACGGAAATAACCCGAGATGCACGGCCGTCCGAATTCGTTGTTGTAGGCAGCACTTCCGATTGGGGCTTCCAGCATGATATCCAGGCTGCTGGCGATGTGGTTCGGCTTGCCGATATCAAGTTCCCAAGGCTGTTTCAAGTCGGGGATCAGCAGATCAGAGACGCAGTAGCCCGAAAGACCTGCCTTAGGCCTTGAGCCTCGCCCCACGGCTCCTTCATCACGAATCTCTCCACCGGAGCCGGTGGCCGCACCGGGGAAGGGGGACACAGCGGTGGGATGGTTGTGAGTCTCCACTTTGGCCAGGAAATGGACCAGTTCCTTCGTGTGATTCCACTCTCCAGTGAAAGAGTCTGGCGACCAGAAAGCAGCTTCACCCCCCTCCAGAACAGCGGCATTGTCACTGTATGCGCTAACAGTATAGTCCGGGTGCCTCTTGTGTGTATTCCGGATCATCGAGAACAGACTGTTTGGCATCTGCTTCCCGTCAATGACCCACGAAGCATTGAACTGCTTATGACGACAATGTTCCGAGTTGACCTGAGCGAACATGAACAGTTCGACATCGGTAGGATCGCGAGCAAGAGGGCCGTTCGGACCATAGGCCTCTGCAAGGTAATCAATCTCAGATTCCTCCAGGGCTAATCCTAGTCGTTTGTTTGCCTCCTGCAGGACTTCCTTGGGGGATTTATCACTGCTGCGGAGAGGTACTGTCTCGAGAGGGAGGGGACTATGCTCGGAGAACATCAAATGCAAATCGGGTTCGTCCTTGCTGATAATCTGCGTCATCCGGTCGTGCAAAGTATCCTGGAATCCCAACTTATATTCGGCAGAGTCTGTGCGTAGGCACGAAATCTTCAAGCCCCGCTCAATGCGCTTCACATACTTGCGCAAACCGCAGACATGGGAGATGCCCGTAGCCTGGGTACTCCAAGGAGAAATGGTGCCGGTCCGAGGAAAGATGTAAAAGACATCAAAGTCTCCATCCTCTGCACTGAAGGATTCGGGAATGTCCGTGATGTCACCATAGTGCAGCAGCTGCTTCAAAACAGCTTGCTGGGGTTCTTCCAATGTTTGAGACGTATGGACATAGTGGACCCATTGGGCCCGAACATCCTGTGCACCGATGCTCGCAGCAACTGCATGGCCGCGCGAATGAGAGAACGCGACTGAGCCCGGAATGGCCAGGTAGGCAGAATTGGCGGTCATCGTAGGGTCGTGGCAAGGAATTCTGCAGGTGGGGTGAATCGAATGAGTCAACTCCTCGAGCGGAGGAAGAGGAGACGGGATACGTCAAATAAGCGATACGAGGTAGAATCAAACTCTCTGTAGAGAGGTGTCTAGCGACACACCTCCAAGATGGGGTTTGACTGGACGTTTAGGAGCACCACGACGGGCGTTGGAACTGCTCGAAAAGCGTCGTGGAAATCTTTCATTCCTCTTCTACGAGGCGTACCCCGCGCTAGTCCACTTCCGGCTTATCACGGCTTATCAGTCACGTGGACTCTGGCATCGGTGAAATGTAATTCCGCTGTAATGCCTCAGGCTTCTTCGTAAAGGAGATCACAATTGTTGCTGTCTTCATAACAGTAGTACCATATCTAGAGGAATGGAAGAGAAATATGACATCTACTAGCACGTACCACTCCAACAGTCTGCACAATCGAAGTCAGCCTAGCCCACCGGAGACATATTGGATACTTTGACTAAGACAACAACCTAGAAGACTTAAATGCATACCAGCGAATCCCATCATTCGAACGACAATCGCCAAATTGTGGGGCATGGATGAATCGTGGATCTGCTGATGTGGCATGCAGACTCCGATTCGCCGAATGTCAGTTGCTCTTTCTTCCAAGTTTTGGGTGGGATTTTATAAATGCGGAGGTATCTTGCCCCTCACCGTTCACTATGCTACATTAGCATTAACACTAATATCTCAACATTAACAACACATCAGCATCATCAACATCATCATCATCATCATCTATTCTGCGAAACCTCGATTTATATGTAGTAAGTAGCCCATGGTTATGAATCGAGGTACTTATCCCTTCTCTCTTATCTAATCTATATCGAAGTTGTTACCTTCTAGTGCCATCATGCTAGACAATTACTATGATCTTGGCTCATATCGTCGTGCGGTGACGACCGACTCCCCAGATGCTCAGCTCTGGTTCAATCGGGGGCTATTGTGGGCCTATTCCTTTAACCATGAGGAGTCGACTCGTTGCTTTGAGAAGGCCACCTCATACGACCCAAATTGCGCCATGGCATTTTGGGGCGTAGCCTACGCCTGCGGTCCAAATTACAACAAATCTTGGGCCCGGTTTGATAAGAAAGATTTAGAAAGTACTGTTACGAAAGCAAATGCTGCACTAGCTCGTGCCCTGAACCTCGCTGAGGAAGCTTCCCCGGTGGAACGGGCGGTGATCAACGCCCTTGTCGCGAGATTCCCGGCTGGCGAGATCCCTAGTGACCTTAGGAAGCTGGATGACGCCTATGTCGATGCTATGCGCCCAGTCTATGCGGCTTATTCTGAAGATCAAGACGTGGCGACCTTGTTCGTTGATGCGCTCATGTGTCGTCGATCCCGGGCGCTCTGGAACGTCGATACAGGTGAGCCCAGCGATTATTGCACAGTCGAAGCCCGTACCGTTCTGGAGTCAGCGTTGGCAAAACCGGATGGCTACGAGCATCCGGCACTCTGTCATCTATACATCCACCTTATGGAAATGTCACCCGTGCCCGAGTTGGCCTTGCTCGCAGCCGACCGATTGCGACAGCTTGTCCCGGAGGCCTCCCATATGCTGCACATGGGGACACACATTGACCTTGCGTGCGGAGACTATCGCCGCGTTATTGCATCAAATAGCGACGCAATGGCAGCTGATGATAAGTATTTTGCACTTGAAGGGGGATCCACCCTCTACACCGCATATCGCGCACACAATATCTACACAAAGGTGTATGGTGCCATCATGTGTGGCCGCTTTAAGGACGCAATTTCCGCTGCGAAACGACTTTGGGAGATCTTAGATGTTAAGACTTTGTCAATTACAAGTCCTCCGATGGCCGACTGGACGGAGAGCCAACTTGGCGTCTTGCCGCATGTGTTGGTCCGATTCGGTCGTTGGGACGATATTCTTCGTCTGGAGCTGCCTACCGACCAGAAGTTATACTGTTCCACAACGGCAATGATGCTATACGCGCGTGGCGTCGCCTTCAGCGTGCTTGGTCGCATTGAAGAGGCAGAGCGTACGATGTCCGAATTCGAAGCTGTACGCGCGAGAGTCCCAATCTCCCGTCTCAATAGCTTGCCCAGCAGAGAGGTCGATGTCCTGAAAGTTGCGGCTGCTATGCTCAAAGGCGAGCTTGAATATCGCAAGGGGAATCTTAAGGTGGCGTTCTCAACGTTACGGGAAGCTGTCCAGTTGGAGGAGGCAATCCCATTTTGCGATCCGCCAGCATGGATGCAGCCCGTTCGCCACGCCCTTGGTGCGCTCTTACTTGAACAGAACCGAATCGAGGAGGCCGAAGAAGTTTACCGAGAAGATCTTGGTCTTAGTGACACTTATCCACGCGTCCGTGCCCATTTCAACAATATTTGGGCCCTCCATGGGTTGTACGAGTGCTTCATACGGTCTGGTAAGCACAAGGAGGCTTTGCTTCTTCGCAGTCAGCGTGACTTTGCACTTGCCTCTGCTGACACAGCTATCACGGCTTCTTGTTACTGTCGATTATCGACTGGGGATAATATCACGGCCTGTTGTTCTACATCTGCAAAGTCCACTTTATGAAGTATGAGCGTGTCAGGTTAGCTCAGACATTGATGTATCATAGACCACTAGTATATTAGATGGATGGAAAATGTCAAGGCAGTACTCCTATTTGAAGCCCAATTGGGTTAAGTAGCTTGTATAATATTTATATGATATCTATGCAGAACAAATTATGCGAATGATGAAAAAGAGCATCAGAGAACTTTCTTGGACTCCCCTGGAGTAAGCCAGCACACCTTGTCACCCACACCTTCTCCGTCCAACACTGGTTTCAGCGCGGGTCCCAGCTGCGTAAAATGACCCCACGATTCAAAGTGCATCGGAATCAAAACATCTGCTTTGAGCTGGCGAAAGAGGTTGGCACCCTGCTTCCCATCCATAGTGATCTGCAACGACCCACTGGGAAGAGGGGCGTGGGCACTTCCAAAATTCATGATCGCCACAACGACATGCCACTTCTCTGGAATCTTGCTCAACTCCTCAATATAGACCGTATCACCAGAGAAATAGATCGCATTAGGGCGTCCATCGGGACTCAGACCAAATTCCTCCGCTTCCAGAATAAACCCCGTACACTCCCCTCCAGGAAGATGCTGGCATGGGGTACCGGTGACTTGAAACTTCTTTCCGCCGAGGACAAGCGGGACTGTTTCCCAGGGCTTAAGACCTCGGACTCCCGGACGAGGTGCAAGGCTTTTAGCTCCGTTGACCGTAGTCAGGACGTGACGGCCATCGAGAAGACGGCGGCCAAGTTCGTCCAGGTTGTCCGGGTGGTCTTCGTGACTCAGCAGAATTGCATCAATAGGCGGGAGATTTTCCAGGCCCATCGCTGGGGTGTCTTTGTTCTTGAGTACAGCGACTCCCACGTCCCATTCTGTGCCGGCAGGCGAGAAGAACGGATCCGTGAGGAATGTTACACTGTCGATACTGAGGATAGCAGTTGCAGTGCCGATATGGGTCATCGTAAGTGAACTTTTAAAGGTCGAAGGGGCCATATTTGATGATTGATATGTTGAGGAATGCTGTAAATATTGAACAGTTCTTTTTGAGCTTGCTCAATGCTTGGACTGGAGGAAATGTGCTCGTGCTGTAGTGCTGCTATCTTGGAATGCTCATTTTCCACACCTTATTTATACCTCTCCAGATTCCATAGATGGATTTGTCCAAACTCAGAATCGGTTTGACTAATGATTATGAATCAATCCATTGACCGAGTTTATCATACTGAAGATACTGTGTGCATGGCTTGTATATAGACGTCATGTGCCATCCTCCAATTCTTGGCGGGATAAGATACCTAAAAAGGTTAGGCAAATCTCAAGAGGGCGCTTGCACAGAAGCTCCACCATGACTCATCAAATGACACTAACTTTTTTCAGGCACAAATTCCGCCAAGAGCGCCGGCTGAGTATGAGGGATTCACTTTTATCATCCTCGCAGCCAACCAACATGGGCTGCTCGCAAATTATGGTGCTCTCATGAATCGTCTATCTAAGTTAATTGTTTTTCGCTGGTTGGCACACCTTGAGGTTCATGGTTGGGGTGTCAATCTCTTCGTTTTCGACCTAGTGCGATGAAAGTCAAGCAAAGCTCTGTGTGCCAAACTTGTAGAACACGAAAGCTAGGGGTAGGGGCTAGATTGTGTCTTATTCGCCTAAGCATAGAACTGATCTCTCGCAGTGTGATGGAAAGCTCCCGGGATGCAGCCAATGTGTTCTTTCTGGCCGGGTCTGCGATGGCTATCGAACGAACTGGACATTTGTGACCCAGTATGGACCAACTCAATACGTTGCTCCCGGCAAGAAGAAAAACCAAAGAGTATGTACTCGAAAGAAGGAGGGGCAGTTGGCTCTGGCGTCTCATCTTTCTGAGGGCCCGTGCCATGGGACAAATCGTGCCCCTGAAGGCAGATTTGGGATAGTCATGCCACTTCCCCGACTCTATCCTGTCCAGTCTAATAATGTTGACATTATTGAATTGGCCATCCAGAGTTTCATACCTGGCAATGAACGAAGTGTCATGTATAGTTTATCAGATCACGAGAAATCCCGAATTTGCGGCTCCTGGATGGAGACGCTACCTGGCCTTCAGAACCAGGCTACTGCTGATTCTGTACTCTCAAGAGCGATTAAAGCGCTGGGCGCCTCGATTGTATGTCAGACAAAGCAGCAGGGCAAGATCAGTTCCAACTGCTCACAGACTTACTATGCCGCTATTCGAGCCGTGAGAAAAAGCTTTACAACCGCCCTTCCTCAGGCCGACCTAATAGCGGCCGTCATGTGTCTCACCTTGGTGGAGGTAAGGCCTCAGCCAGCATTAGGAACTGGAATAGGTCGCTGATCTGGAGCAGGTAATGGTCCCAGAGTCTGCTGTAGCATTGGAAGCCCATGTCAAGGGAGCCGGGCTTTTACTTTTGGCATACGGACCGGAATCATGTCAGTGTGGTGTGCTGCATAAGCTGTTTGTGGGATTTCGCCCACTTTTGGTATGTAATCATGGCACTCCTAATATTTCAACCCACTGACAGAGGCTATCTCTATCAGACAATGGAAGCATTCCGACACCGTCAACCCATATTTTTATCCTCTCAAGCTTGGATCGATGTTCCGTTTTCGATATACAACCCCTCGCCTATGCAAAGCCTTCTCAACGAAGCTGTCATAATCCCGTCACTCTTGCAGCAAATTGACGCCCTCCTAGATACCCCGTGCTTAACGCAGATATCAGAAGTTACTGAAACGATTCGTTCCATCATTGACGTATTGACCAGACTTGAGAAATGGGACATGAATCTACGATATCAAAGCGACAAACCCTGCTACTGGACCCAAGGAACGACACCCAAGACCCAAGATCCTCTACTCTGGTATCCCAATATTACGATGGCCAACGTCTTTACGCATCTATGGACTTTCCGTATTATCTGTCTCTGTGAGCTGATGAGGTTATCCCTATTTTTCCCCGGCATAGCTCTCGAGGAACTATCGCGACTTAGTGGATTGGAAATTTCCAATACTGTTGACCAGATTGCAACACTAGCTACTCAGATCTGTATGAGCATGGAGTACCTGATGCAAGACGAGATGAAGCTGTTCGGGCCCGCGTCCACCTTCTTTCCGTTGCAGGTGGCGCACGAGAAGCTTCGAACATACGGACCAAACTACCAGGGATATGTCACCTATGTTGAAGAGATTGTGCTTCGACTAGTTCAGAAAGGGCTTCGATCTGCATCGATTCTCATATTTGGCCATAATACTTGGAACAACAGAGGGTAAATTGACTGTCATTACGGGCTTTCAATGTTGGTGATATTCAGTCTAATTTAAATGTCTTACAAAAGATCCCAAGACCAGAATACCCTACAGATATAAATCCCAGGCCCTTGTCCTCCAGCTCTTAACAATAAAAGGCACTCCTTCCCGTTCTGGATATATGTCTCGAAGAAACATCTTATCAAGCACAGCGCTATGCTCTGGGCTAATCTTGGCGCTAGGCTTTGATATGCCCCTGCCCAAGAGTAATCACTTCACTCATCTATTACTATATTGACAATTGTCAGGCAGAAGTACTATAATAATGGATTACGCGGGATGTAGGTCTACCAGGACCTGAGGGATGTGTAAACAACGTCATTCATTAATATGCAACCAAAATGCTAGGTGACTCTTGAGCCATGAAAGGCGACTGTACAAAAAGCACTCTAGATCCAGCCTGGTTTACTGCTATGTGTGCAGTAATGGCTATAACTTTGATGTATACCATCTATAGTCCTATTTCAATAACCCAGTCTGTCTGTCACAAAACATGCTTCAGTGGCTTCTGCAACTCCGGCACAGTCGATAGTCCATCAGCATGCACGCGGCTCTTCGCATCATACAGGGGCTCTGCCGAGACGGTGGCCTGGATGCGACGTCCAAAATACTCAATCTCGACAGGCTCACCATCGACCACCGCTCCAGGCAGCCAAGCATAGGCGATGGGCTTGCGTAGAGTGAACCCGAACGCAGCGCTGGTGACGTAACCGACCGGCTGGCCGCGGCGGTAAACGGGCTCCTTGCCCATAACCATAGACCGGCCATCATCGACGGCCAGACAGCGTAGTCGGCACGCGGGAGGTTTTTCGGAGCAACGCATCAGTGCTGCTTTGCCGACGTAGTCGCGTTTGTTCGCCGCGATAGCGAACTCCACCCCTGCTTCAAGGGGGTTGTGCTCGCTCGTCATGTCGACGCCGCTGGTACGGGAGCCCGTCTCCAGCCGTAAAGCGTTGAAGGCGCTGCGGCCCGCGGGGATGAGCCCGTGTGGTTGGCCGGCCTGCCACAGGGCGTCCCATAGATGGGTACCGTACTCGGCGCTCGTCTGGATCTCCCAGCCTAGTTCACCTACATACGACTTGCGCAGCACCATCACGGGGATACCGGCGATGGTGGCCCGCTTGACGCCGAAGTAGGGCAGACCCTTGTTGGAGAAGTCATCGGTGCTGACATCGCGGATCACGTCGCGCGCGCGAGGACCCCAGAGGCCGATGCAGCAGGTGCTGCCGGTGATGTCACGCACCTGCACCCATTGGGTCGGGGTACGCTGGCTATGATAGCGCGCTTCTCGTGAGAGATAGTCCAGATCTATGGCAGTGTTCGCACCCACCTGGAACAAGTCTGTTTCCAGATGGGCGACGAACAAATCGCTGCGGATGCCGCCATGGTCGTCCAGCAGCAAGGCGTAAGTAATGGAGCCGGGTGGTGTTGTGACATCTCCAGTGGTCAAGCGCTGCAGTAGATGCACTGCGCCGGGACCGCCCACCTCAAAGCGGTGGAACGAGGTCATGTCGTACATTGCAACGGCAGTGCGGGTCTTCCACGCCTCGACAGCAGCGATGGGCGAGTAGTATCGCGAAGACCATGCATCGCGCTGGACCGGCCGCCACTGCTCCGGGAGCGACTGCAGTAGTTTTGCGTTGACTTCGTACCAGAAGGGACGCTCCCAGCCGCCGGTTTCTAGGAAGAAAGCGCCCAGCTGGCGCTGTTGCGCATAGAAGGGACTGGTGCGCAGATTGCGGGGCGATTCTCGTGGCTGGAGTGGGTGCAGGATGTCGTAGATCTCGACGAAATTCTGCTGTGAGGTCTCTTCGACGTAGGCCCGGCTCAGCTGCACCTCCTCGAAGCGAGCCAGCTGGCACTCAGTGACATCGATGGTGGAATGGCCTGTCGTGAGCAGCTCCGCCACAGCGCGCGCAACACCCGCCGAGTGCGTCACCCAGACGGCCTCTGCCACGTAGAAGCCTTCCAAGTTGGGCGCAGGTCCAACCAACGGACCGCCATCTGGAGTGAACGAGAAAATGCCGTTGAAGCCGTCGGCGATTTGCGTTTCCCGCAGCGCCGGCAGCAGCAGCTGCGACTGCTCCCAGGCGGGAACAAAGTCCTCACGCGTGAATTCCAAACGAGAGGGCATGTTCAGCTCGTCGACATGTTTCGGAGTGTGACCCAAGGAAGCAGCCACGACAGGCATCGGCCGATGGCCATAGTAACCGATGCCGTAGTGGTCTCCATGCTCACGGTAGTAGAGGTCCTGGTCTTGGTGACGCAGGATGGGCAGGCTGGCGTTTCGACCATTGGGTAGAGCGTTGACGGCACGGCCTGCGAGTGCCGACACGGACGTTGTCTTGACATACTGATGGGCCAGCGGCAGCAAAGGGATCTCTACGCCGGCCATTTTACCGACCTCGACGCCCCAGAAACCAGCGCAGGAGATGACCAAATCGGCGGGGATAGAGCCGTCCGGGGTAATGACGCCAGTGACGCGGCGGCCAGTGCGCTCGATACCGGTGACAGGAGTATGCTCCATATATCGCACACCAGCGACACGAGTGCGCTCAATGAGCAACTGGGTCGCACGAGCCGCGAGAGCTAGTCCGTCACTGGGAACATACAAACCGCCGAGCACCATATCCCGATTAAGATGGGGATACATAGCCAGGCATTCGTCAATGCCGACAAGACGCGATTCAATGCCCCAGGAGGAGGCATAGCCATGTTTGCGATGAAGATCCTGCAGTCTGGCGGACGTAGTAGCTACCTCGAGACTACCCAGAGTGTTGAAGCAGCTTTGGCCGTCGTGGATCAGCGACCGTAACTTCTCGACAGTGTAGCGCGCCAGCTGGGTCATGGTCTTGGAGGCATTTGTCTGGAAGACCAGCCCGGGGGCATGCGAGGTGGAACCGCCAGGAAGATGCAAGGGACCTTGCTCGACGACGGTGATGTCGGAATACCCGCGCGAGACCAGCTCGTCGGCCAGGTTGGCGCCGACGATGCCGGCGCCGATGATGACGAGACGGGGGGACATGGCTCGAGTATCTATGTGATCATTAGGAAGATCTAGGATGTATGGATAGGATGGCATATATAAATAGATGGGATGGATGTTGCGAGGGTGTATGGTGGAAGACTGGATATGGTTGGGCGGTCCACACCTTGCGGAGGGATGAAATTGCCATTCTGGGGAAAAGCGTGCATATCTATTTTTGTAACTCTGATATTTCCACCGATCGTTATAAAAGTCATATGAACCTCTCTTTATTTTAGTGCTTAAACCCTGATCTAAGACATCAGTCTAGATCGTAAATCCGTCTGCCCATATGGATTGACGTCAATATCTCCCCTCACCCAGAACATCCTGCATCTACCACTACGATATAGTTCGATTGCCAGGATAGAAGCCACTAGAATAGTATCAATACGCAGGGAATATATATATTAGGAAAAATTAAAACTAAAACTAAATACATAATTTCATCATATCTAGTTAAAGATATCAGTACTTAATTGCTTTGAAGACAAAAATAGCCCAGTACATGGAGATAAAATCCAAACTCATTATGAATCATTATCAATCTGAAATACCAAACTAACGCTATCTAGATCATTAATAAATTAGAATGCCAATGTCTCTCCCGCAGTCTGACATGCCATGCCTCCACAGCAACCGTCGGTCTCGCGCGCCGCCGTCAGGCACGAATCCCCCGTGGCGGTCTGGCTCTCGCTGGTCAGCTGGGCACAGAAGTCCAGATCCTCCTTGCTGGTCTGCGCCGTGGCCGGCACCGACTGCCGTGCGGGCCAGATCTCGTGCCCCTCCTCCTGTTCGCGGCGGTGGTGCTGCTGGACGATGTCGCGCACCGCCGCTTGGAAGTACAGCGGACCCTTCTCCATGCGAGGGTGCAGCTCGCCGTTGACAAACACCCCCGTGTTCAGGTTCTTCTGGGTGTGCACGCAGAGGTACTTGTCCTCGGACATGATGCGCTTGTACATCTGGTTGATCAGCTGGAAGTCCTCTTCGCTGGAGGAGACGTTGCGGTAGACCTCGTAGCGCATAACGCAGGTGGTGGGACCCGTGGGCACGAAGCGCTGCATAAAGAAGAAATGAGGCGACACGGTCATGGACGCATTGGGGAAGTAGTAAGTGCTGGCAATCTTGAGCCCGCGGGCAATCTGCTCGGGGGTGCTGTGTGCGAAGTGGATGATGCTACCGTCTTTCGTGTCCACTGAGTACGAGCTGATGTCCGCTAGCGATGGGATATCTGGATGGGTGGTGGCACAGTGGTAGCATTCGTTGTAGTTGTCTGCCAGAATCTTCCAGTTGTATTCGCCCTCCATCTCCCAAGTGTGATCGAACTTATAGTCTGCCCAGTTCACATCGGCGAACCGAGACTGGATGTCGATGTCGTGGAAGTCATCCTCCCAGGAGATCTCGGGCTGAGCGTTGCTGTCCAGATTCACCCAAATGAAGCCGTTGCGGTCGATGTGGACATGGATGGGCAGGAGACCGTTCTTGCTCTTGTCAAACCCCTCCAGTTCCTGATACCCGGGGGCCTTGGCCAGCTTGCCGTTGAGTCCGTACGACCAGCCGTGGTATTTGCAGGAGAAGATGCGCGCGGTGCCACCCTCCTCCGTCACCACGGGGAAGGCACGGTGGCGACAGACATTGTGGAAGGCGTGGATCTGGCCCTCGCGGTCACGCACCAGGATGAAGGCGTAACCCGCGATGTCATACTTCAGCCAGTCGCCCGAGTTGGGCAGTCGCAGCTGGTGTGTGGTCAACAGCCACTTCCTGCAGAAGATGGCTCGCCGCTCCAGCTCGTACATCTCCCGCGAGGTGTACCACGAAGCTGGCAGAGCTCGCATTGGGTTGTTCCCCTGGGACGTGGTCTCCGCCGGGACCTTTCCCAAACCGAAGTAGTTCTTGAGCATGGAGGCCATGATGGCACAAGAGATATATAATTCTATAGAGAAGGGAAGAGAGTCTTGATGGTTGATATGTATGGATGGGATTCACGGTACCCTATATAGTCTTCTAGGTTGCCATGGATCGAGAGACTGGATTCCTCAGAACCATCAGGAACAATCAAGGAGTCCCATGATTGATATGGTTTCCCAGAACAGGCAACATTTCCAAGGACGATTGAGGAAACGATGCCCATCTCGCTATTTTTAGTGTATATACACACATACTTCGAGTTATCTCCTGAAATCCGGTTCTGACATGGAGATTTGGATTGAGCAGACGTCGCACTGCTTGCAAGGAATTCTTGTGTCTATCGTCCTTCCTCGTCAGTCAGGAGGCCATGTAGACTATCTATTCTGGGTAATCTCACCCCCTATCTAGACTCCTAGAGATCTCTCCGCCCCACATAGAGACGGTTCTCTAGTGCACAGCAGGTCTGGACTGTTCCATTGTCTCTCCAGGGGTGGATGGGTCGCGCATACCGGAGTGTTTACCTTATCATGGGACACCAGAGTAGCCCTAGCATTGGTTATTCCGATGAACGACACGATAGCAGGATGGATAGGATTACCTGACATGCACATTGATGGATGAAAGAACCACGGACTAGAACGGCGAAGGAGCCGAAAGAATGGAAATGCCAAGAGATGAACCGAGGAAGCCATGCCCCGATTAGGCAGTCCGGTCCCTACTCCCACTTACATCTCTCTTTCTTTCCTTTCTTCCATCTATCTATTCAGTCGTCCATTGATTCATTTCCATCTATCCCTTCATTCCTATGGACGGTATCTCATCCTACACTCGGTCCACTCGATTATGAACTCTCCCGGTGACAATTACGCCATCCACAAAGTCTCTGTAAAACGCGCCCGTCAGGCCTGCGGTCCCTGTCGGTAGGTGCTGTCCAATCCGTCAGTCCATAGTTAGAATGAAATGGCAATCAATGCTGACTCGGGCAGACGCAAGAAAGCGCGCTGTCCCGGGGAGAAGCCGACATGTTCGCTGTGTCAGAGGTTAGGACAACGTTGTACCTACGGGTCAACGGTCAGTACCGGACGCACTGGCGATGAGTCAAGAGAGGTGTGGTCACTACCTCCCTTCGTAGGAACTTAAGACTACTATTTTAAGGTGATGGTGTTGATGACGATCGATGGCAGGTGGATGTGACGGCGCAGCGGTTTCAACGTCTAGAGAAGAGACTGGATAGAATGACTCGCCTTCTACAGTACGTTGGATAATGATTCTACGGCGATGACTCGGGATTAATGATTGGCGTAGGGAGAGCCTGCCTCGAGCCAACGCGACGGGTGGGAATCCAGTACGATCTGGCTGTGAGGGTCTTCCCCCCGACTTTGTTAAATCCCAGGTGGATCTCTATCTCACCTTCTTTCACGACCAGCCTTATTGTGTGTTCTCTCGTGACTGGTTGCAGAGCAGAGCAGACTCTCTGCCTCCGGAGATCGCATTCCCCTTAGTAGCCCTGACGTCTCGTTTATCGCTAGGCGCAAGTGAAGATTTTGGTAGCCATGTCCCACCGCCGAACCCAGCCAGCCAGGCCTGGGAGATCCTGTCTAATCTGCATCGGGACGGCAAAGTAGGCCTTTCTTTTCTGCAGGGCACCTGTCTAATGGCCCAGTTGGACTTCGCCGACGGTCGTGCCCACCGAGCATACGCCTCCTGTGCCTTGGGTCTGCGAACGCTGCAGTCGGCCGGGCTAAACAAGGATCTATATACTGAATCCCTGGAACGTAACGAAGCTGAAGAAAGACGACGCATTACCTGGGCTTTCTTCATGCTAGACCGCACGTACAATGCATCGCGGAACTACTCCTTGTGTCTAGCGGACAAGCACTTCACCCTGCCTTTCCCTTGTCCCAATCCTGACGACTCTCCTCCGGGGTCGTCCCCCGACCGGCTAGAGAAACCGGGTGAGAAAGCCAACGGCAGCATTCTCGCCTGTCTCCTGCGCCTGTACTCCCTATGGGGCAAAGCCACTGAATATGTCTTCGAGCCCGTCGAGAAAGACACCCTTCCTCTGTGGCAGGCCGGATCCGCTTTCGCGGTCTTGGAGTCGGAGTGGTTGCAGTTCGAGACTCATTTCCCTGATGCGCACCGGTATCTCAACGTTGAGGCGCAACTGCACTCTCGCTCCGAGTCCGAGTCCCGAGCCTACCTGTCCTCCTGGCTCTGCGTGCAGTTTCTCTTCCACTCCATCCAGTGTCTTATGCACCATCCCTTCAATATCATGAACAAGCTGAGACAGGTGTCTGGCAACCTATCGTCAACGTTTCTGCAGAAATCCTTCGAGACCTCCCTGCTCCACTCGCGTTGGATCGCTCGCCTGATCAAGGAGATGTGCCAAACGGATACTCGACCGTATGACCCGTTTCTCGCCTATCTCGCGGCCATTGCCGCCACCATCCAGCTCGAGCATACTGTCAGCAACAATCCGCACGTCGCCAGACTGGTGAGTAAAGAATTCCAGATCCTAGTCGACTTCATGACTAAGGTGTCCGCGCACTGGGAAAATATTCGGGTTTTGGTATGTATGTCCTGGCCTTGACCGTTACATGTCTGATGATAAGTGTAGGTGGATCGGGTCAGAGAATTGGCCGCTCGACGTCGAAACTATGGATCTCTCTATTACAATCAGGACGGATATTCTGGAGCGCTACCGAGCATGCCGACGCCGGCCAATATCCCCAAGATGTCCGCCGAAGACGAGGCCCTCATGTGGGATATCCTTGACATTAGTTCGTCAGTCAGCCCGGCCACAATGACGCAACTTGGGGAGTTGATACCCCGGCAAATGGGTGCCGGTGGCTCACATTCTCCCGAGCCGTCACTGGCTCTCGTATCTCAGGGACGAGATCAAAACGGAGACGCAAGAGGGGTGTTGCTTCCGGATCTGTCTGCAGCAGAGATGCCGCTGCTTGATACCGAGGATGTTGTGGTGGAATGGCCATTCCCAAGTCGCAGTGGGAGTGATGGATTCGGGGACGCCATCCCTGACATTCCTGGCTGGATGATGCTGGACGAGATGGCTGAGCATCTGTGAACGGACCGAATTCACCCTGTTTATGTCGTATGAGTTATGATTAGAATGAACGAAATAGAAGAGAACCAAAATATAGAAGAAAATAAAATGTATAGATGTCTTTCGTTGCCACTGGTAAACTCCTTTGCGTAACCTCACATGATCTCATAACAATATCCAATCTATATTCTTCATAGCTTACTCTGCTTCGCCAAGGGCGACGCGGCCTTCAAAGCAGCATTGAAGGACTCTTTTTCACGAGCCGTCAGTTCTCTCCTCTCGGGACCTCCTCGACTGCCATCTCCCTGGAACGCATCCCGACGTCCGCGGAACTCAGAGGGAAATCTCCACTTGTCCAACAAATCGGCGGTGAGACTACGCTCGAAACAGCCGACGATATACTTCCCCATCACGGGGAGGAACTTGAATGCGCTGTGTCATCGTTAGCTGTGTCTGATCTATCCATTCCGGCATTTATTCTGATCATGACTTACTGTCCGCTACCTCCTGTGGCAATAAACAAATTCCGATGTTCTGGATGATAATCCAGGATGAAATCTCCCGTGGGGGTATCATTATACCAGCAGAGACCGACACGTTCGAACCCCCTATCCGCCAGATGCGGGAGGATCTCCTTCAAGCCGGCAAGGAGGCGTTGGACACCATCCTCAGGGATGTAATTTGCTCTAAACGCCGGTGGTATGGTCGGCGGTGCGGAAACACCATCCTCCTTCTTGGCAGAAGTAGCATTCAGGTTGGAGTACGGGTTCGTGTACCCGTAGCTATGACAGGCGACTTTCAAATACCCTGTTGGTTCGTGTACAGGGAAACAGAAGAACCCCGTGGAGAAGTTAAAATAGATAGGCAGATCGCGCAACTGCGCCATCTCCTCCGGCGTCAGGCGCAAGTACCCCACGATCTGAGCGGCTGCGATCATAGAATTCCACGCAGGGACCAAACTAGCCGTCCAGGCACCGGTAGCGACAATGAATCTATCCCCTACGACTCTGGATCCAGAAGCCGTGCGCACCGCCGTGATCAATCCATCCGCGGCTTTTTCAAACTCGACGACCTGGCCGTTCTTCCCCGTCACGAAGGAGACACCTGCCGCAGAGCAACGGGACGCCAATCTCGCAATCGCCAGACCGGCATCGGCCCATCCGGCGGCTTCATTGTAGAAGGCGTAGAAACCCGGCGACGCAAGCGGTCCCGAGAGAGTGGGGAACTGACGTCGGGCGTCTTCCGCGCTGTGAAGTCCATGCCACGTTTGACCCATGGCAGTGAGGACGTCTCTCGTCTTGCGACTGTATTCCTGCGCACGGGGCTGTACGGTCTGGATGCCGTTGCTGGCTTCCTGCGTCACCCACATGCATGGCGTCTGGTGGAACGCTTCGTTGTATTCTGGGGTTTTCCAGAGATCGAAGGCTTCCTTGGCGATGCGTGCATACACTGCGTCTCCGTAGTCGAATCGGATGACTCGTGAGATGTCGACGCTAGATCCGTCCGGGACGGGGGGCACGGCGCGGTCCAGCACCGTCACGGACTGGTAGCCTTCTTCGACGAGTCGAAGGGCGGTGGATAGGCCGAAGACTCCGGCGCCGATGATCACGATGCGCTGGGATTTGTCCATGATGAGAGTTGGTATAATTGAATGTCTGATGAAGGGAAGAGTGTAGTGAACCGCCCTTCCCTTTATCTAGTGCGTTACTGAGTAGAAGCTCCTCCACACGGTCCGTTGCCGGTGGGGTCGTAAGCGGACCGTATCACGGACCGTGTAGGATGGATAGTCGGAACACGGACCGGATTTACTTCCAACAGTGAAATCTGACTATGTGGCTCATCTGAGTTGTTTGGATCTGATCCTGTGTGATACTACCAGTAGGTTAAGACATGATAAGGTACAATACTCATTCGACGACAGAGGGAAATGCTTGGGTCACGTGATAGGAGTGTCCGCCAGAGATCCGGCCAATAGAATCATAGAATGTATTAATGAAGGAGAGGTGATCAGACTATGCATCGGCAAGAGACTGCAGGTCGTGAAGATATATGTAATGAATGTATTAATATGACTATATTATATCCCACTCAACCTCTTGCACAAATTGGCAATGACGTATTCCATGAAGATAGAGAAACACTGCAAACAGTCTAGCCGTGTCCCGGAGTATATTGCCTTTTCTGGCCATCCAGCAATGTCCCCAATCGAGCACAACAGCCCGGTTGGCTGCCGTCCGAAGCATACTGGGAAGTCGTAGGCCCATCCGTATGCTTCTGCTACTGCTTTTCTGTTATCTAATGCTGTATATACAGAGCTGAACTCCCTGGGTAGCATTGTAAGGTGGCTATCTACCTATCCACTAATGGAGTCATCTCCAATCCCTCGGAACTTGCACCCCTGTCACAGTCAGGATGGAACAAGACCCATTAGATCCAAATAATTGTCCACTAAATAATTGAGGATATTGAGAGAAAGTGGTAAAACATCCTTTGATTTTGTGTCCTCCGAACACATCCAGACGGGAGACAGTGATGGACTGTAGGGGATTCTGCCCAGAAGGAAACACATGCTGCACGATAATCCTTATAATATCATCACTTGCCAAGGCAGTAGGAATATTAAAACTAAGATAGAAGTAGTACGAACCCCAGCCTAATGTTTACAGGACCATTTGGGCGACAAACCCATGCCTCGATCAGCCCGCTTACGCGGGAGTTAGAAAAGTCTGACCATTTCAGCGGCCAAACAACGTTGACGTCTACTGATCCATTAAGCCACAGCTGCATATCAAAGAACAGGTGTGGATAGCTTTCACTCCAGCCGCTCTCGATCACGATTGCTGGAATCTGTTGGCTGTCAGGTCGTAGAAGCAAATCGGGCTCCGGGAGTTTTGGTACGGTCCAGAAAACCCAGAGACTCCTATTATAATTGATTAGAAAATGCAAGGCGTTGCAGGAAATAATGGAAAGCACACTAGCTCCAATTTCCCTTTTATGTTTTTATATTTCACAGGTGTCACCAACCCAGAATCTTTCCACTCAGTGCTTTGTCTGATAATCCACTCAAGAAGGGTCGCATGGATCTCGTTACGTATAATTGACTAAGAGTCTCTGTATCGGCATTACATCGTAGACTAGGCCTGGTATTAATGGAACGATGCAAAATATATGTAGAATTCTATGCTCGCTGACAGAGCTTGATTCAATTTCACCTGGTCCCATGAGAGAGTCAAAGATCCTAGGGCTCCGAGTGGCTTGAGTCATGTACCAAGTATTTTGGCATCGTTGTATTGGGCATCTCTTTTTCGTGGATGAACAGATCTTCTGGTTTGCGAAACTGTCCAGCGAATATCAGCTATTCTCTTGGTTGGGTGAGCTGCAGGGCCGTACGGCTCAAGAGTTGCTTCGCAAATTTCGCTCTGTATGAGATATAGTCGAGCAGAGGTGGCTGTAAGATGGAGTCTATTCTTGGTTAGGTAATTAAAGTTACACTGACTAATCACTAAATAGATGTTAATTTTAAGACTCCTTTCACTTTTCCTTTAAGTACACTGTTTACTCATAATTCTTTCTATTTCTCTTGTATTCAATGCATTCACTCCTTGGCCTTCTCCTATGTAGTAGGTATAGTCATGCTGACATAGTTAGCCACCTGTTTAAGAATACTTGGAAGTGTAAGGGGCTAGAGCCCCTCAGCCTACTCGGGCCCTCAGCCCTCGTGTTTCCTTTCTCCTCGCCTGCCACATGATTAGTATATTGATTAGTACACTCTATCATGTGACTTCCCCCCCCTTACTTCGCAATCGTCTCATCGCTGTTTCCTCTTCTCTTTCCTCTTCGACGATTCCTTTTGTATCCACCCTAGTTATTAGGTTATAGAGGTTTAGCCCTTGACAGGAAGCCTGCTTTCTTCTCATCAACCTCATATATCCTAATTATATTTAAATTAAGCTTCTATCACCAAATCAAATAATCTTCATTAAAGCAATTAAATATCGCTGGAACCGAAAGCGACCAGGACGAAATGCCTAATATACCCGGCACTACTACCCTTGGATGAGAGAAGAAAAGGTACAGAATACTGCGTCTAGCTAAGGAAGACAGGAAGGAAATTAGGAGGGGAAGTATAGAGCTGGTGAATATTAAATAATTAAGAGACAGTGAATAATAAGAGATTGGCTACGTAGTTAGGTTTGCCTGTTATATTTCCGGAGATAACGCTACTTCCTTAATTTTCCGAAGTTAGCTGGATTCGGTCTTTTGCTAGTGGGCACGAAGATTCGGAGAAATTCCCAATTAAAGTTGCCCGCCCCCTCCTGTGAGTGAGCCGTGGAAATCCGGCGGGACCTAGTCCCCCACGTTGTCACGATGAGGGAAGACCCCACTGTTTACCAAACACTAACTACTATTACATACTAGCGAGGTAGTCTCGAAGGTTGCAGGTTCAAGCCTAAGTGGGGGCGCTGCAATGTCGAATAACATGCGTTTTTTAATCTGCCTGAAGAAACGGTCCCGCTCCTCCGTACAAAGAAAATTCTTAGGAGTAGAAATCTCCCCTTGCTTCCCCGATGTCGCCCGTTTTCTCTCGCGTTCAGTGCATGCGATACCCCCCCTTTTCTATTGTTCTGGTCAGTACTCTTCTGGTTCTCCAACACCATGAGTCCATCGACACCCAAAACCGTCCTCATCACCGGATGTAGCGCTGGTAGCATCGGCTCTGCTCTGGCTGAAGACTTCCACGAACGTGGTCTCCATGTCTTCGCCACTGCGCGCACCCCCTCCAAGATGTCGCACTTGGAGAAACTGCCAAATGTAACGCTCTTGGAGCTCGACGTCGAGTCGGCCGCCAGTGTTCAAGCCGCTGTAGAAGTCGTAACGGCCCAAACGGGCGGTAAGCTGGATTACCTGGTCAATAATGCCGGTCTGGCGCATATTCGACCGGTGCTGGACTCCGACCTGGAAGAGGCAAAAAGGGTGTTTGACGTCAATTTCTGGGGGGTGGCACGTGTCACGCAGGCGTTTGCCCCGCTGATGATCACCTCGAAAGGCATGATCATCAATATTTGTTCGCTGGCCGCGACGATGCCTCTTCCCTGGTGTGGTAGGCTTCATTCACAGCATTCAGGACATTCCAGAAAAGCCAGCTGACAATCTGCAGCCTTCTATGCCTCTTCAAAAGCAGCCTTGAAATCGTACGGCGAAACCCTTCGCCTAGAAATGACTCCACTGGGCGTCAAGGTCATGACCGTGATGGCTGGCGCCATAGGAACAAACATCTTCGCCAATTATTCCCCTCCACCGCTACCGGAGAACTCGCTGTTCAAGGCCGCTTCCAAGGAGATTCATCTTGTAGAGTCCAGGGGCGTGGTTGAGAATTGCACGCCTGTCTCGTTATTTGCCAAGGGCGTCGTGGATGATGTGCTGGGTGGCTCCAGTGGTTTGACTTGGAGAGGGAAACTGGCATCCATTACGTGGGCTGCCACATCTTTCCTCCCGGCTTGGATTATGGTAGGTTTGCCTAATGTTTTTTGTGGGCTGGTGCTGATGAAAGATATAGGATCTCCTGATTATTTCTTCGAGTGGCTTGCGCCGTATCTCTCGGGCGCCTTAGAGTGGATATCTGCCATCGTTCTTTGAATATGTAATGAGCAATGACTATTACACGGGGAGAAGTATTGATTAGCGTTCTGTATGGAATTTTTGCATCGCTACCTTTTATGCTATATATTTATAATTCCAGTCTTAGAATATCTTGATTTTGTTAGTCCGTATTTGTATGTACCTCAGGAAATGCATAGGGAGTGACTTAATCCCTATTAGTATTTATATTCTTGTGGCTTATTAGTCGCTAAAACTGGCATAAATTTCAACATAGCATACATGCCTCCAGTGGTGCTTAAATTCCATACCAGGTTAATCCAGTCTTTATGTTTTATTTCATAATAAACTATCCCCTCGAAGAACAATCCATCGCCTGGCTTTGCTCAACCGGGATAACCATGTCCCTTGCCGCATCTTCACAGTAATTCGCCATTCTCACATCCTTCATAGACAACCCAGGAGGAACATGTGTTGTCCAGAAAGCATCTACAGTCCCGGCTTTCTGCAACAGATAAGAATACACAGCTTTGACAGCGTTGGTATGACGTCTACTCACCAACGTCAATTCCGGATGGTGATTCACTCGTTTACTTTTGATAGCGATACAGATCCCAAAGTCCTGATCCCGTCAGTCATTCGAACCAAACTGCCTGCTGGCCGTGTCGAACCATGACTTTGGTGAAGGTGTTAAAATGGAAACGCTTCTTAAGGCCGTTTCCTTCCTCGTTGAGAACCCATCCATCTTCAAGTAGTTTCTCTACCTGCGGTAAAACCTCGCTAGTATCGACTCCTTCGGCGAAGGTGATACTTTTGTTCAGATCCATGGTATTTGTATGTGGCTGGGTACAAAAGCCTGATTCAAGGGTAGAGGTTTAGTCGATGTTGTCAGGTCTCTGAGAGCGGTCGGGGGATTTGGCAAATTGAATGGGATGTGGACCAGCTGACCAGCAAGGTTGACTAACATTAACACTGCTAACTAATTACTGCCACTGTCTACAGTATTGCCGATAACGCACTATACGGAAACTTCCATAGAAGAAAGGGCACGCAGCTGAGACAGAACAATCTAGACACAATCCTAAACTAGTCAATAGGGCTTATGGTTGGCGATTGCCGCCCTTTATCACGTGATGTTGATCTGCCATGGCTTAGTCATATATTATCCGCCGAGATGGCTTCAGCTGGTTTCCAGATTTGCAAACCATTAATTGCCCACCGAAACCACTTCTATTCAGCCGTTTCGCCGCCGGAGCCATGTGTGCGGTGTAATTGTCAACGTAAAGGCCGTCGCCCAATTGTCCGAATTGCGCCGCCTGCATTCAAGGAACCCGATTGTTGGCATGAGTGGCCAGGTCATCGTCCCAGCGGGAAAACCTCGGCAGCGACATTGAAGTTGCTCCTGGTATCGATTACCTCCGATTACCTCTCCGTACCAGCCGTCCATGTCGTTCTCGCCGTCCGCATCCGGTGCCGGCATGGCGGCTGCTGGGTCCTCGAGGCCCGTCTCCGACCTACCGCAATCCCAAATCGACGCGATAATCCGAACGAAACGAAAGGCGCGTGAACCGAAGGCCTGTTATCCATGCCATGCGCGAAAGGTCAAGTGCGATCGCAATCTGCCGTGCGACGGCTGCGTCAAACGCGACCATGCCGATCTGTGCTCCTACGAACGTCCGTCGAAGAAACGCATCTCGACGTCTAGCTCGGTGCCTCCTACCGCCGCAACATACGATAGCCCCGTCGGAGGTGCAACGCCTAATACAGCGGATCAAGCTGGGATGGCTGGTCTATCCGAAGGTGGCGTACGCTTGAAGCAAGAGCAAGCTGACACAACCCGTCCCGCACGACTGGGACACGGCGGTCGCATATCAGTGGCGCGTGAGGAGTGGGATAATGTCCGCACGAGACTTAAGGAAATGGAACGTACGATTAGCAATCTTCGTGTTGGGCTTGAAAAGGCGGAGGAAGCACAGGCTTCGACTATGGAAACTAGCAGTGTGCAAAGTGGGGATCCAAGTAACCGGTCCAAAGCCGCATCCCCGGAACGAGAGGGTATCCATGCGGCCAATACCCTCGGCGAAGGGACTGTTCACTTGGGTTCGCGTTCTGTGCTCGCATACATTCTGAACAACAAGTCGGGGTCGGATCAGCTTCAGGCGCTCCTGGAGGGAGGGATCTTACCCAAGTTGGGCCTCGACAATGAGTCCGCGACGTACCCGTTTGTCGATTTGTGGTCGTCGGATATGTCCACCTTTGATATCAGTGCCGTCTGCAGTGCGCTTCCGAGTGATCAACAGTGTAAAGAGTATGTTATTTCTCTTTGGGTGGGCAGAGTACTCCGCGCATAGCGCGCTAGCTAACTGTTCCTCGTCCTTAGGTTCTTCTACTTTTATCGCGACATAGCAGGCGCTATCTACCCTGTTATCGAAGACACGGCACTCTTTGAAATGAACCTTAATCTCATGCTGCAAAATAGAGCTTCAAATGGTGGCGCATACAGGGCCGATGACGCTCAAGCACAGAAGCCGTTTGGCATATCCATCGCGTTTCTAGGCCTGCTGTTTGCTGTTCTGGCATCTGGTTGCCAATCGTCGGATTTAGCGGGTAAGGAAAGAGAACTGACTTCTCAAGTTTATGGTAAGTGCTGTTTTGAGCTTCTGGCATTAGTGTCCTTGCTAACGGGACATAGTATGCTGCTCCTATCAATGTCTTCGAATGACCAACTTCCTGTCGCAACCCACGATAGAAGCCATTCAAACACTTCTCGTTATTGGGAATGTATTATCATACAATATGAACCCCGGCATTTCTTATGTTCTGCTTGGTAGGTGAAGGACCCTATTAACCGCAACAAACTGACTAACATACTTAGGTATGACGCTGCGAATGGGACTAGCACTCGGCCTTCATGTCGAAACCAGCCGTTTCTCACCAGTAGAGAGGTATCGTCGACGGCACGTTTGGTACGCTCATTTTGAGTGAACAGTCCCCATTGTGTACGAGCTTGCTAACGTGGCGTAGGTGGTCTATGGCGTGGCAAGATAGCCATTTTTCTCTTTCCTACGACCGACCATCAACGACGGCTATCTGTCAGCCCGACATAGCGTCTCGTGGAGACTCGAAGCCAGGAGATCTTTGCTACTTCGAAACCCTGTGCCGGATCATCGCCCTTGCCCTGGAGGTTGTCCGCAGCCGGATGCTCAACCCCCACTCGCAGATGAGCTTCAAGACCATCCAGACCTACAAAGAACGGATTCAACAGATCCTGGTGGAAGCCAAATCGTATTTAAGAGACCGGAGCTACTGCGTCTCATCGACAGATCATCTTGAGCGCGTCGTGCTCAAGCTACATTCTTCCTACTTTTCCTCGGAGCTCTGCCGGCCAGCGCTCAAAGCCAACGCTGAGGTCCATGACCCGGCTACATCCAGCATGCGCGCCGATTGCATCAGCAGCCTAATGACCACAGTGGAAGCCTATATCGAGATGCACTCCATCAGCTCTCACGCCTCGCGTTCCTGGATCGCGTTACAGCGCGCCATCAGCTCGATCTTCCTACTAGCCGTCACTGATGATTCCAAGACGAATCCCCGCTTTTGGGCTCTATTACAACAGATCAAGATGATTATCGCCGAGCGCGCCAACACAGAATGCACATACGAGTCTGTTGACGGAGTTCCCACTGCCGCCACCGCAGCTCCACCCGGCACAGCAGGCACCAGTCCCACGAACATCTCCGCCTCTCCGGCGTCTGTCGCCGTCGCCGCCGATATGCAGACCCAATGGGCCAAACCATTGACTAAGACGCTTCGCGCGCTAGAGAAGCTAGAAACAGCATTCAGCTACCAGAAGAATGTCTCCGGATCACCCGCGTACTTGAATCCCAGCTCTGCAGCCATGAGTAGTACTTCTCTGGTGGCTGCCATGACACCACCCATGGGGTCCCTCCCTCCGCCGACGCCGGAGAGCTCGACTAGCGGGGAGTGGTCGATTCCTAACATCCTAGATCGCGCGGCGGAGTATATTCATCCCCCGTTGTGGAGTTAATTTAGATTTCAGTATGAGCGCTAGCATAGCATTGGTATTTTTAATTGATGGGGATTAAGTTTGGTTTTGTTTCTTTGGTGTTGAAGGATTGGTTTTTAACATACTCCTACCTATGTACTTTTGTGATTGCAATTATGATTCAAATTTACTATGGCCACTCGCAATTATGATTAAATTAATCTGTTATTAAACTCATAAGGAGTCAGAAAACTCAACCCAGACCGCCGCCTTTTGATTATATCTCTATCCTCTAAATATACTCTCTCCCTCCATTAGTCTGACCTCTCCGCCACCTAACAAATATCCATACTCGCACCCAGACAGAGAGCTGCGGGTGCATGATCCACTTTAATAGTTGATGCCTAAATTATCAGGGTGTCTTATGATCGTTAGCAGATAAATATAATGGACAACTGGGATTGTAACCCCGAAGGCCAGGGTAAGTAGTGCTATGGATTCGAGAGACTACGGATGGAACGATGGGCCTACAAAGTAGATTATATCCTATATCTACTGGCCTCAAAAGTCTGTTGTAAACACAAGATTCGGTGAAGGTTATTGAATGTTAAACTACTGGTTGAATGAATAACAGTCGTAAATCATCATCGTCGTTGTCGTCGTCGTCGTCATCAGTGTCATCAATATCATCAGTATCATCAGTATCACCCACCTACTCAAGTTCCACTAATTCAAATCCCACAGGGACTATATCTCAGATTCAATCTTGACATGTTCTATAGCTAACTATACAACCGCGCTATCTCACCGGGGGATGTGCTCCACAGACTGCGTCGCGTGTATAGGACAGGGAGGAGGAGGACCACCAGAATTCACGAAACCGACTCCGGAGCCGGGAAATGACTCCTGAGGTTGACATGGACATGTGAAGGTTTGCATAGGACTCATAGCTGTGCCCACCGAGTCCACGGGAGTGGGTAGCTGAGACACGGCCAATGTCAAGGGTATCCCTGTCGAGTGCGGATTCTGTGGAATTAGGATGACAGCCTTGGTTCGAGACGCTTCCCCGCCCAGGGCTTGCACGATCTGCGGCAGTGAGGTCTCTGTTCAATATCAGATGTCAGAGGTGATTGGTGAAAATTGTGGTACCCAACGAGTGTTGACTCACCTGTGGCAACGTAGGAGAATGTAGAGTCATTGGCGTGGCCATCCCATGTTTCCGAGACGAGTGGAGCATTCAGCTCCGCCACGGAGTAATTGTTCAGCGCTGTCGGGGATATTTCCGGATTAGTCAAATTGAATCCCGAATCATAGGGACTATTCATCATGGTCGATGAGGGCGACGAGTTGGGGGATTCGGTCTCCTTGGCAGGATCGAAGATCGACGGCGGCGTCAAGGGTTGAGAACATATGATAGGTATAGGCCCCAGAGAGTTGCTGCAGGTGGGACAGACCCCCGAAGGCGTAGAAAGATAGGATGGATCGGCATGGAGGGTGTTTTCTGAGGCACGAGACGGATTCTTTCCCTCCGCTTCGTAAGAAGAGACATGGTCAATCGGTGGGGGACCAGTTAGGTTCGGATATCCCCAGCCATTTAGACTCGCAGCAGCTCGTAATTCACTGGCAATAACCCGTTCCTGCAACTTCGCAATCCGGTCGCGGATTTTGCGGCCTATGCAATGATAGTGAGCTTCTATCCGTAGCTGCACTCGGACAAGGCATTCTTACGGTGATTCCTCTGAGAAAGTCTGTTTTGCAAACGCCTTCTCTCTATAGGGTCTTGCTTTTGACCCATAGGGTCGTTTTGTTCCTCCTTGATAGTCTGATTTCGCATGTTGAAAGATGCTGGAGGCATTTCACGTGTCTTCGTTTCTTTCTCCCTGTTCAAGCTATCTTGCTGAGTCTGACATATATTTTTACCGTCCAGAGGGGTGCGAGGGATAGCCAAACAGTGGTAATGGGTTTGGATACATTTAATCGGTCGGACTAACAACTCATTCGAGCTTTTATAAGAAGACTAGACCTGGTTGGCTTATCTGATCAAAAAGTAACCGCAGACCCGAACCCTGTCAAAGCATGCCATTTGCTCGTCAGCCTAATGACCACTGGGTGACAAGGTTGCGCAGCAGATGCTACAGCATGCCAGGCAGACCTGGTGCAGAAAGGATGGTCGATTTGCGAACAATATTCCAATACCCACAATCTCGGGCTGTCTCGGATTGCACTGCATTCCTCACCGAAGCGTACCCGTTGCCTTGAGCATTAGAGATGACTCCTTTCCTAATCTGTGATCTCAAAACCCACGCGGCCCTGTACCATGCTGAATACAATTCGGCCCTCGATACACGTTGCACGGCCAAGACAGATGATTGCCGCCTCGAAAGCTACGATCTCCAAACCTAGCAGGTGCCTCGGAGTTGAACAACAATCGCTATGGCTAAGAAAATTGTTAGACACCCATGTATGCACTTCGAAGATCGAGCCATTCACAAATTGGACCATAGAATGGTTTGTTTGGTTGGTGTTCGCGAGCTCCGACCAAAGCGCGGGCCGACAACCAGGCGGCGCATTTCAGCATGCGAGAATCAAAGGCATGACATAGGGTTTTCTACCAGACCGTCGGTGCCATCTAGAACGACCCGAAATGTGAATTTTGTGCATGAGCAATCATAGCATCTAATCTGAATGCCTGACATCCTTGAGCCCCATTTGACCGTGCTATGCATTATTTCAAGTGACCCCTCCACAACACCGGCTGAGCTGGCTGCTCTCTGGCTCTACTTGACTCCGATTGACCCGTTGATATTCCCTTGTAGGAGAACCAAACATGGAACAGGCTGCGTTGCTGTCGAAATGGGACCAGGATGTATCAGGGTGGGCTTCAATAGCATGTCCATAGTAATAGCACCAGCAGAGCCGATGGATCCCAAATGAGGGCTCTACAAGTGCCATTGTCCGCTGATAATTTGTCAGGTTTGTTCCAAAATGATTAGTAGTGGCCCCATTGACTACTAGGTACATGCTGGTCCCATATATCCTAAGCCATCACCAGCCCAACCAATCCCAATATGATGTCTATGGATGCAGACGACTTCTGGCCCAATCATTGCTGGGATTTAGGGATAGCAGAGGTAAAAAAGGATGGCTCTAGCTGTTTGTTTTGCAATTTGCCTGTGGGGGCTGCACCCTAAGCCACACAAACCAACACGTCACTAGGGGAAAGGCGAGATCAGTTAATGGTTGGCTGATCTGTCAGTCGTCAGCAATCCGATGTGGCTGGCTCAAGGTTGAAATGGCAACTGACCAGTGAGCCACTGCCGAGCGAGTGAAGCTGACCTGCATTCCGCCTGGACAGCGAGCTGATGGCGCGATGGACTTGGTGGGACAAGCGCATGAGGTGCTGATAAACCGAGCCAGCTCCTTGTGCGACGCTAAGTATAAGAGGGAGGACGGATGGAGGGATGGAGGGATGAAGCGCAGGGGAGGCGACAAGACGAATGTTTCATCCCGTGACCAGCACGGGATTAATAGACTCAGAGAGAGAGAGAGAAAGGCAAACACTCGAATCACATCACAGATCAGGCAACCAAACTCTTGGGATCTTTCCTGTCCAGTGATCTCATCTCTTGACAATAAACCAAGGGTCAATCCCAGCCCATCATGCAGGCAATTCTTCACAACTTCTCCACCATGTCGGCACGAAGACCTACCAGGTAATATAAAGTAAGAAGCATCATCCCCGCTACTGCAGAGTTTCGTTAACACCATGATCTGCTGCCAACTTAAGCTCTGCCCATACGCGAGTTTATTGCTCTCCAGAACCGCATATCCCCGCGTACTTCAGACAGGCCGGTCTGGCTCTGTCGATCATGGTGGCTGTGTCTCGTTCTTGATATAACCTTGTTTCCCTTACAAATCACCCGATTGACTTGATCCCCGTAGCGGTTGGTGTTATCACGGGGTGCTGAATTCGTTGTTCTAGTCCTCGCACCTTCACTACCGCTGTTCTCAGAGCATCCTGCGAGGCGTGTAGTCAGTTTGAAATAAGCCTGGCCATACTCTGTCCCTCTTTCCTTTTTTTTTTTTTTTTATATATCTAATCCATGAACTTGCCGAAAATCTCAGAACAAGCCCCAATGCCACAGATCAAGCCAAGTTCCAGCAGACGAATCGGAGTTTCTCGCACAGTGATCCATCTGAACGCCATTGCGTTGTCTGTGTCGATCTTGTATGCCTTTTTTTTAGGTGCGAGTATCCCCCCCTAATCTAGAGTGATATTTGTCATGACTTTGCTCTAGGACTAGGTTGTTTGGATGCCAAAATAGCTGCATTCATAGCATGGGTCATAGCCCAGTCCATGAATCTGTAGCCTATTATTTCTCATCTCATGGTTTATTTTAGCTCTGACGTCAATACTTATCCCAGTACTCCAGTACTAGGTATCTACCACCTTTGGGACAACTCAATATGTCAGTATCTCCTACAATCCTTTAGACCAAGGATATTCCATTTACCTGTCTATCCTATTAAACAAACCATTCTCCGAAACGGCATGACATAGTGGATCACTCATATTGTTGCCGTCGGTTTTATCCTCCTGAAACATGATATGAATGGCTGTAGTCACGCCAAACGGACAATTCCCTCTCTGGAGTATGCATAAAATGGCTCTTATGAGGAGCTGGCCTATCTCCTGAAACTGATGATTAATACTATCCCAGCGAATAAATCCCAAAGCTATTCTACAATCCTCAGTGCTATTCCTTAGCACTTTTTACCAAGTTAACCGGATTACACTGTGGCTTATCACTAAGCACTTGGTTTTGGACTGCTTTCTTTTCAAAGTTTTACTGTCGTGTACTAATTTTAAGGATAACTATCTTGATAGATTTTTTAAAAAAATTTACAACGTTGGTATTTGAATAGGTATATATTAAATAAAATATTATAACTTCGTGCCCAGTAGATACTACTGAATAGATAAGAAGTTAAAATACTAACTGTTATATAGAATTAAAGAAAATACCAAAGGTTAATACATTGCTAGATATAGCTTAATATAGGTAACAATCTAATTTCCTATACTCCATACATACCGTGACATTCATGCTGCAGTTACTGCATATCGCATAATAGCACAACACACTGCAACGACCCGTCGAGCTGATCTTAAAGTTTTCTCAGCACTAAAGAGTATACCTATACTCTGTATTCTATAAAAGAGAATCGAATCACAATAGCGTAGGATACGTACCTTTGCCACTTTCCGACTTTTCAAAGCATATAAATAGATAGAAGCACCTATAGATTTTATTGTTTGAGCTAGGAGTTGGTGGTTGTACATCTTAAGTAGTATCAGGTAGGGTTTATATCAAGGATCAATATCAAGTATCATTAACTGATTGTAAACCATTAATACTCCATACATTGACATCCATAGGCACATATTATCTCATATCAAAGTTATCCAGCCCTCGACCGCGGCCCCGTCACGGCAAAGAAATCCAGAGGCTTCACACTATACGCCCCGTTGTAATTTAGCCCGCTGTTGTTCATAGCGTATTTTGAATCTGCCAGTTCGAAGTCCACATCCTTCAGAATGCTGACTAGGGTGCTGAACGACCACTCCCAGGCATACTGCGTTCCGAAACATCGGCGCTTGCCGTTTCCGAAGCCCTTCTTTACGCCGGATGGCAATTGGTCGTATTTCTCACCGAACATGCGCTTGGGCTGGAACGCCTCAGGGTCCTCGAACACAGCCGGATCACGGTTCACGGCGGCCAGGATCGCAATCAAGGGTTGGTCCTTGGGGACTTCGTACTCTCCACCTGCTAGAAGCACTGGACCTTCCGTCGTCGGGAGCGGTTCAATGTTGAAGCCGGGAGCAACGCCAGATAGACGGAACGCTTCGCGTAGGATGGCTTCACAGTAAGGTAGGCGGGCGAGGTGCTCATGTTCGATCTCGCTCGAGGGCCCGCCGACGACGTTGTCGATTTCCTCGCGCGCTTTGGTGATCTCGTCTGGGTTTTTCATCAAATAGTACATTGTGAAGGCGACCAGGTTCGGTGCAGTGGCACTACCGATGAAGATGTTGATGATCTCATCCAGTACCTGACTCTCCGTTAGGGATGTGCCTGTTTGGGGATCCTTGCCATGAAGCAAGGCATAGAGCATATCTTTTTTATCGGTTGGCTGGGAATTACGCGTGGTGACGACGTTGGCGCAGTAGTCACGCATGGTCTTAATATCAGACTCCCATTTACGCCGGTGGAAGAGCCAGGATAGGAATTTGGGCCGGGTCGCCCGTCGCATCGATTCTGTGGTGGCGCTTTCCATGGCTTTGAGCACGGACAGCTCCGGTCCCTCCATGCAGTGAATTCGTTGATCGAAGAAGCAAAGCATGTTGGCTGCATGGTTTAATCGGTCAAGGTCGTTGGTGACGTTAACGCGCTGTCGGGGCCCGGCCGTCCACTTCTTGATCAAATCCTTGGAGGTCTCTTGCATGCCTTTGAAGACATCGGCAACGGCTTCCGGCGAGACGTACGGGGCCATAATGCGATGTGCAATGCCCCAACTGTCCTCCTCGTGATATGCTGTAAACATACTGTCGTGGACCGCATCGCGAATCTGAACAATCGGGCCGGTCACGCATTTTCGGAAGCGTTGTTCGTCACAGATCTCCTCGAGAAGCGCTGCTCCGGTGACGAAGACGATGTCATGTCCTAGAATGGTAACCTTGAAGATAGGACCTGTTCACGAGACATTCCATTAGCGATATTGCGGGATCGCATCATCTAGTTGACTCGACTCACGATAATTGGTCGCCAGCTTGTTAAACGAGCCCCAGGGATTGTTGGAGTCCAGATCGAAGAGATTACCCAGCACGGGCAACCCCTTGGGTCGAGGGATGGGCGACGGCATCGCGGAAAGCAGGAGAAACAGGTCGGATTTCGGGGCAACCGAACCCAAGGCGGAGAAGGGCAGACCTAGGCGAATTTAAATTCCTCCCTCAGGACAAATCAGCCATGCTGGTGCTGTCTCTGGGTTGCATTGAGCCATCCCCATTTGCTCCTGCCCGTGCAACCATGCATCCGCTTTCAGCTGGATGTTGCCGATTCGCACGGTGATCCTTTCGATAGTTGGAACTGAGGGACGGTCCGAGATCCCAAAGCGGGATAGATCATCGCACTGGTCATGGTTCGTCTGGAGAGGAGCGTCCTTGCTTAAGCAGTCTGCCATTCAGAGGGGATTGATGGTCAGCAAGTAAGGGGGCTGGCGGTGAGGACTCCCTAGTTGGGTTGTTTTGATTGATTTGGGACTAGGAACGACGGTGATTCGAGGATGAGCCATGATCCCCACTGCGATGGCGCTGAGACGGCGTAGTGGGGCATCTTCAGTTGGAGTTAACTTGATTTGTACACAGAGGAAAAGAGTAGAGATAGAGGGTGGAGAGTAGACAAGACATTTCAGTCCAGAAGCGGATGAATAACTAACCAACTAACTATTATTTAGTTAACTAGTTAGTTCTCCACATCAAGCACAGAAAAATAGCTTGAAATAATTTAGCACTGAATATTCCTATGGAAGTGTCACGAAAATGTGCTGCTAACTCAGCCAGAGAACTAAATAAACTATCAGGAAGACTAGCCGATGACTGGAACGAACCATAAAATTCCTGTATAGACAAGCCCATTCTCAAGGCTAAAATACTACTACTAAACTCAGACAGTATTCCTCAATACTCTGTATATATAAAAAGCACATCCACGTTGCCAGCAAAATCAAGGAAAATCAGTACACAGTGTACTCCGTACGTGCAATATTATCAAAATATCCCTTTATAATCACATTCTATTCACAGCATACGTAATCCATATATCACAAACCAAAACGAAAGACAATCTGCGCGTTGTCTTAATTCAGCTCCATATGCCAGTGACGATCCTCTGACAGCGGCGAGAAAGGCATTGGATGATAGCATATAGCTTGGTTTAAGTTTAGTTCTAGACTAGTGTGGAATGCATAAACCCTCGGCTTGATTTGATTCTCCATAGAAGAGTGCTGGTTGAATACAGCATAGACTCGGCATAGAAATCAAGCCATATAGTTTGGAAATATCAGGACTTGACTGCTGAGTCTGTCCGACCGGAAGACAGGAGACAAGGGACTAATATGTAAGGCAATGATCAGAACATGTACGGAATACTATGATATGTTCATCAGACAAGTAGCTCGGTGACATGTCACATACGGCTTCGAGTCAGACTGAAGGATCCATGCGATCTATTAAAAAAGGAAAAGAAAAAACATCACTCTCATCAGGCACCTCCAGAAATAAATGCAATGCAGAGTTTGTAACCTGTCCCATGTATTCTCCAACTCCAGTATATGCAAGTATATTAATAGTAATCGTCACGGCATATGCCTTCCGGTCGCTTTAAATTCGAACATCATCGGGCTTTCTAATAAAATGAAGGACTCGTATCGCAGGCCTCGTTCACGCTGGTAGATTTCTGACCACAGGGGCACGGTGCTATTCCATACACTCGCATACCCTTCGAAAAGCGCCCGCCAGTAGCAGGCCTCGGCTGCCTTGGTCAAGTACCGGTCGCGGAAAGTTCGCACACTGTTGTCGGCAATTCGCTGGGCCTGACTCGAATCGTTTAGGAGAGGGCTCATCTTTTCTGACAAGTCGCTGAAGTCTCTCTCCACTTCCACATAGTTCTGGTCCGGACCCTGGGAAACAAGGAGGTAGTGGTGATGCTGGATGTACTGGAGTTTGTGGGCCACTATAACCGAGTTGCAGGCCTGGCGATATTTGAGAGAAGCGGAATACGACCGGCCTGGTGTCATACGGTCAGTACCTTATATCGTTACCCTTGAAGCCAGAGGATACAATCATACCTTCCACATGTGCAATGAACATATAACGGCAGTGATCCTCCATGTGCATGACGTTGGTTCGGTCATGCCAGTCCACCTGCTTGACATCACCCCATGGTTGATCCCGAGTAGCCTCCATCAAGGCGCGACGCAGCTTCGGGGCAAAACTGGGTTTTCCGCGCCAAACCAACTGCTGCTTCTTTTCTGCCCAAGTAACATCGGTCCGCTTGACACGCTCCACCACTTGATCATAGGGTCCGATCGAGTTCTGGAGATTGTACCACGCCCAGTATCCAAAGTCAGGCATCAGCCAGACAGCTTCCTCCGTGGCAGACCGCGCCAACACCCAGACAGGATTCACTGGGTCAGTTACATCTTCCACCTTGTCCTCGACTGAAAAGACGAACTCAATATTCGGCCGGACAGCTCGATTGGGGTCCGCGACCAGCGCACGATGAATCGAACTCAACACAGCTAATATTTTCTGGCGATGATCCTCGCCCTTTGCGCGCGCCGCGACCACATGTAATTCGCCCCGGTGGATGAATGCCCGTGCCATGCCTTGTTCCAGCCGAATAAGATCCAACTCCGCGGAAGAGAGAGCGCCGTGAGACCGCCAATACGCCGCGGCGCGGACGATGTCTTCGAAGAGGCCGGGAAATGCGGCATGGCACTGGTCGCGATCGAGGGATTCGTTGCTCCCATCACGGGCGGGTTGGAATTCCCAAACTGGCGACAACGGGGGCAGCTGTGGAAATCCGGTGGGCTGAGAAGAACATGTCAGGCAGCTGGAGCACTGGAAGGTCGTCGACGTGAGACAGGCACAATGGCCGGCGGGAATGAGCTGGGTCAATAGGGGATGGATGTAGTCTCTGTCAGAATTGACGCCGTACCAAATGGCGACAATAAAAGTGATACTCAGCAAGCCAATGAGGTAGAATATGCAAACAAAGCCACCCTGTCGCAGGCGCCATCGGGAGCAACTGGGAAGCACCATCACAAGCGAAGAGGGGGTAATGGCATTTTAGGTCGGATGGAGGGGAAAGAGGAAGGGTGGGAGAGAGACGAATAGTAATAAGAGTTGGTCCACTCTGAGTCTGATCAGGGGCGCGACGAGTTCGTAGTATTACGCGTCGATCGTCTTGGGAGGGAGATGCAAACCCTTGGAACAGAGCGTCAGTTTTCCAAGTTGGTCAAGGATGGACAAGCTTTGTGGAGCTTCACGCGCGGGTGGCTTTGTTCCAGCGGGCCACGGCCAGTAAAGGCGATTTCGTGGAGCCCTCAACGCACCAAGCTGGGCGAAAGATGGGGCTTAGCCAATCTCATCATGGCGAATCCACCACAAGCGCGATTTCTTTAGGGGCCCTTGGAGAATTAAACTACTGTGTTGTTCTGTCCTACGGAGTACTCAGTACATCCATATCAAATCATGCGTGATCCCTGGACGCTAGGTGCCCGTGGCGTAGGAAACCGAATCCTACTGGTTTCAACGGAACCCTGCTAGTCAAACTAGTGCCGCAAGCGGACAGGCACCGATGCTTGGCTCATACTGCGGCCCTGGAATACAGACTCTCTGTACGGAGTAACTACAGAGTATACACAGAATGTAAGCAGATCAGACACATTCCAGATGGGGGACGGCATGTTTGACTTAGGCAAAGAAATCCAGTTGACGTAACAATACTCCAATCTCCCTCCACCTTCACTGCCAAGGATTAGGGACCCACGAAGATCTCCACCTTCCAAGGCAGGCCAAGATAACAGCATCCCTGCCTCAATTTCTTTCATTTTCCCATTTTGGTAAGTAGCTGTAACATTTAGTTAACTTAAGTAATTTCATTTACCTAACAGCTGAGGTACCTAGTAGTGCTCCGTATGTACCTACTAATTCAGGCATTTGACCTAGGAGGAAAGAAAATATTTGGAGTACAATATCCTCCTGGTATGGGTGGGCCTGGAAGGATGACCCACGCCAGGACTCGTGTCGGCAAACTACAACTACAGACACGACCGACAGGTTCATGGAATTCTCTCCACTGGCTTCTCCGCACAAGAGCCTCCTCAAAGCCTCTATCGGAGTCGTCACAGTTTGATATGCCTGGCCTTGTAAAAGTGAGACATTTTGATGATACATTGCCTCCTCCGACAATACCTCTGGAGAATAGGCCTCAATGGAATCTCTCTCGAACCGCAGTCGGGGACCCACCAATTCATGATCTGTGTACTTTGCAACGGCGAGGCGACAAGTCCATCGATCGCCATCTGGGCTCAGGCCGGATCCTAAGCCAATCCACCGGGTAAACACGAGACACGTCGTTCCGTCATAGGTCTCGACTCTCCAACTTCCACGACGTATTGCGTTTTTCACAGCGCCCTTGGGTTTCGTCGGAGTTGCAATATTGTTTAATCTGAGAGCGGACAATATTGGAAAAGCCCGAAGTATTTGTGCCAGTATGCATGCAGATCCACATGATACTTACTCACGATGGGGGAATAACGCGATATGTGCTGCCGTCTCACCACTGCCAGCTCTTGCGTTCGTAAGCAGACGCTTGGGGGTGTTGAGCAGATCCGAGCGTCGGCAGACAGAAGCGTTTCCCAGAGAACCTATCCGGAGCTTTTCTTCGGACATGGATAGGGAATAGAGTCGTCCCAGGTTCGAGTCTTTAACAGAGATAGGATAGAGAGACATCTATTACAAAGTGCAAGTCCATATAGACTAGAGTATGCGGTCTTTACCAATGCAGACTATATGATGCTACAAGGGCTATTCTAATACACTTTCATCGACGTCAAAGAATGGAACACACTAGTGCATTGCCTACTGTAGGGAGTAGTCTGTAAATTCTTCGGGATCATTTGATTCCCTTGAAACAGATAGAGTCATTACTTCAGAGTATTAATAGAGGTGAGACATGTCGGATCTCGACCCTTAGTCTGTGGGTCTGTGAGAGGATGAACCCTTCATGCCATTTATATTTTAGCTCATGCACTAGGCTGGGCTATAGTAGCAGATTAGACTGTTTCGTGTCCTTTTCAGCCGTATACATCGTATTCCATAAATCATGCATACCCCTATTAATACCCCTTAAATAAATAGTATATTTTTAGAGACAGATCCAGACAAATCTTGGCTACAACCCTTCCTCTTATAACCCATCTCCACTATTCAAGTACTATTTCCTATCAGTTTAGCAGCTAACTACATGTTACAAGCTCCCGCTTCTGCGACAAGTGAGCTGCATGTATGCTCCCACACTGGGAATCAGACTGTCAAAGCCCTCATCCGAGATTCGCACAACACATTTATGGCCTTGTTGACCTCTACTGAGGACATGAGGTTCTTTTAGGCACCTTGAGTCTTAAATTAGAACACCTGTGAGAATACTTACAGTAAACTAGCCTACTTGAAACTGATTGTCGAATTCCTCATTAATGTTGAGGATTCCCTAAGTCTAGGCGACTCGACCAAACGGCTATGCATGGCTTTGGCAGATCTTTCTTAGAGTTACATCTCTGCAATTAACAGCCAATATACACAATGGCAAATAGAAACAACAGATACCTTACCTATATCTACAGTATTACCACACTCAATTCGCAGGCTGACCCACGATAGCAGCTGTCGAAACCAGTATCTTTCCATCCATATGTTTGCTCTTAACAAGCAATAGACAGCACGATCTCGTCCTCATCAGTTCCTGCGGTCGCAAAACCCACGTTCTTTAAACTGGGGATGACCTTCGGCTCTAATGGAATCCGCGGTCTACCGCCTGCATCGGAGATAGTAGCCCACGAGGGAAGACTCTGAGGATCGAAACCAAGCGCGTCATTTTCAATACGACCCCAGGTTAAACACTGGCCTTGCCGACTAACCGCAATTCTGTGGTCTTCCCCGCTTTGGATGGCGGCGATCTGCGGATGATTTCGAATCCCTAAGATCTGAGTTGGATAGGCTACAACTGCATCGTTCTCGCCGGTGTTTGTCGTGATACCTGTTTGGCCGAAGTTATTCGAACCCCATCTATATACGATGCCGTTTTTGTGAGTCGCAAAAGAATGATACAGTCCGGCTCCAATAGCTGTAATACCACGAGGGATCGCGCATTGGTCGGGAAGAAGAAGATGGATCTCGCATGAGCAACTTGCTCGTCGTCGTCCAAGCTGGTACTGCTCATTGTTGCCCCAGCTAAGACACTGCGTGTGGACGTTAGCGTGAGGACGTGCTGCGTGCCTGCTGCAAGTTTGGTGATGTTATTAAGGCCGGGAATTAATATTGGTGTTTTTGGATTTTCTTCTTAGTATCAGGGACGAATCTAATCGACCCACAACTTCTCTTATCATCAGTCATACGCGACACGTCAGGTAGATGAGTTAATTGAGAAACACGGACCCTGAAGCCCCCCAGCCATACACCTGTCCCTTCTTCGTAAGAGGAAATGTAGCACTGTCCGTCGCTACGAGTTGAGTGAAGACCGTCCTGTGAGGGAAGAACGAGGATGCTACAGGTAAAGGAGTCGCTTCTTTTACATTGAGCGTAACCTCGTCATCGTTATCATCATCCTCGCTATCGGAGTTTGATTTCGCTTCATCGACACCGCCATCATCGGTATTCTGAGAGTCGCTGCTCTGAGAACTGCTACTTTGAGAATCACTATTCTGGGAATCGCTCTCCTTCCTGTCTTACTTTGTATCTATTGCGAGGGTTCCCTCGTCATTGACACCCTAGGTCAAAGTCCGATTATCATGTGTAAGAGCGGTTGAATGAACCCCTCCCGTAGCAACCTGGACCGCTCCTACGGTTTCCGCCGACAGTTTAGCGTTCGTGACAGGGAGTGAGATTCCGATTCCCTCGTCGGGTTTCCCAAGCCCAGCTTACCGTAGGAGTTAGTCCCACACACGTAGACATCAAACCGCTGGGTCGGGTCATTGTTTTCAGCTACTGACGATCTCTCTCTCAGTTAAATGATCCCGAAAAATAAATAAATAAATAAAAGGATGATGTCACCAGTGACTGCATTTCTGTTGTTTGAGATCCCTTGCAGCTGTGTCTGACGTTTCCGCGGCCTTTCTTTTTCGTCCCTTGGATGCGCTTGTAGACTTAGGTAGGATTGGCACGCGAAACCTGGTGTTGTTGACCACGATCTGTGGTTTTAGAGCGACTTTTAGGAGGCATCCGGTTAGAATCACCTCGCTCAGAATAAATAATCAAGTTAGTGGTAAATACAAGACAGAGTCAGCATTGCGTTGGATGTGCAGAGAACAAAAAACTGGTCTTTGTATCACATGAGGGGGCAGGCATACTAGAGCTACGAACCCTGAGAATTGTCATGCCACGTCCAACACCAATTTTCCCCACTAATCTAGTTAGGATGTGGGATGGATCATATGTTGCACCTTGTTGGAAAATGTCTAGGAATATCTAGTTCCTCTATGGAAGCAAATGGTGGGGAGAATATACCACATACTGTTGAAGTGGGTTGAGTTGTTCAGCAAGGACCTTTTGTAGCCGGAAGGTATAGTTTGAGAGTGTCACAGAGAGACAGAAGAATAAAATATATCTTCTAAGTCACAGGTTGACTACATGTCTGTATACGAACTTTATAACCGGCATTAATCAGCCCAAGTCGGAACCGAATTTATAAATAGATCGTGAGTTTCAAATATTGATAACTACGATATGCAGTTTGCAGCATCCATCTGACAATGAGCTAATATTGTAGGGTTCAAGTATTCTCTCCTGATTATAACGGAAAGATAAAAATAGAATATATAGTCATACAGAAGTACATACCCATTGCTCCTGGGCCTATACTGGTAATTTGAATAGATTGGCATCTCTGCATAGAGATCTATATGTCGAGTAGAGTATACCCCTACATCTATATAATTTTCATCAGCTGTCAAGGTGCTTCTTTTTGTCCTATATGGAATATAATGTGATACTGATGATCAGCGAAAATGGCTAGTGGTGGATGACTAGCTGTAGAATGTAGAATGCTATGAACAGTGTGAAACACTGCAAGTTATAACTCTCAAATTATCTAATTCAATCAAACCCAATAGTTAATTGAAACAAGGCTGCGTAATATAGGAGCTGGAATGTATATCAAGTCGATCAGATCGGCGCAAGGGATGTCAACATACAAAAGACAACGGAAAACAGGAATAGCCCAATGATCGACTACGAACTATTGCTCTTGTTGCGTACCCATTCGAAAGTTCCTTTCCTGGGATCCTGCCTATAAACCCCCCTGGGCCGAGGGAATCCATCATGTTTTCCATGATTGGATTCCTCACATCTTGCAAATAACTAAACCATGTATGCGAATGAAGGGACCGTCGCAGTGGTGCTGCCGGAGCAAACACGAGATCACCATAAAAGCCAACCGGATGATAGCGATTCCAAGTTGGAAGGTGCAGAGGAAGTTCTGTCCGAGTATCCAGACGGCGGACAGCGCGCATGGTTGGTAGTGCTAGGCGTCTGGTGTGCGCTGTTCCCGACCTTTGGCATCATGAACATCACGGGAATTCTGGAAGAATGGCTAGCGGAAGATCAATTGCAGGGCCATTCCAAGGCTTCCATCTCGTGGATCTTTAGTATCTATAATTTCCTCTTTTGGCTCGGTGGAATTCAAGTAGGTGAGGCATGTTGTTCATATCTGTCCAGATGAAAGGCTGTGTGTATGCACAAACCAGCTAACAAACACGCAAAATAGGACCTCTCTTCGACTCGCACGGGTTGAAATATACGCTTATTCCAGGCTGTATCGGTTTGACAGTATCCATAATGGCCCTGAGCGTCTCAGAAGGTAACTTGGAATCCAGATGAGCGCAAGTCAGATCTCATACTGATGCCATTAAGAGTATTACCAGTTCATACTTAGCTTCAGCATTCTCGGCGGTCTTTCGTCTTCCGCGGTGTTAACCCCGACTCTTGGAACGATCAATCACTGGTTTTTAAAGCGTCGAGGTTTGGCCACTGGGGTTGCTACTACGTCTGGCGGGATCGGAGGCATTGTCTGGTCCGCTATCTTTGGAGCACTCCAAGACAACCTAGGATTCCCATGGATCGTTCGAATCCTGGGGTTTATGTCCATTGGATGTTTTGCAGTTAGTTTGCTGCTCATGGAAACCAGACTCCCTCCTAACAAGTCGGCTGGAGGAACCATCGATATTCGGTCCCTGCGGGAGGTCCGATTCACCATTGCTTCTATAGCAGTGAGCTTTGCTGAAGTCGGCCTGATGATTATGATCACGTATCTCCCTGCGTACGCTGCCTCGCATGGGGTGACTGGCGCTCTGTCCTACAATCTGATGTCCATTTTCAGTGCCACTCTGATTTTCGGTCGAGTGATTCCAGGACTGCTGGCCGATCGCTGGGGACGATACAACGTCATGACTGTCACCGGTGGTGTAAGTATGCTGTTGGTCCTGGCCTTGTGGATGAAGGCGGGAGAGGATACGGCCGCGATTGTGACCTTCGCTGCATTCTATGGTTTCTGGAGTAGCCCGGCCGTGGGCCTGTCGCCAGTCTGTATCGCCCAGATCTCCCGAACTGAGGACTATGGGAAACGGTATGGGACAACGACCGCAATCTTTGGGCTCAGTATTTTAGTAGCCATTCCCGTCGCAGGTGAGATCTTGAAGGCACAGAACCCAGCCTCCGGGCAGGAAACAAACTATACCGGTCTGATCGTCTTTTGCGGCGCATCGTATGCCTTCTCAACGGTCCTCCTTGTTGTGACCAAAGTGATTAGTGTGGGATGGAGTGTAACTCGCGTGTTTTAGACGAGCCGAGCATATCAAGTTATGTTCGAGATGCAGCGATGTCTGAATAGACTAGTAGACAGATAGAAGGTTAAATAGTGGAACAAGGCGTATAACTGGTGCAGATGGAAGCTCTCCAGAAGTACCAACTCCGTTCATTCTAATCAGTAGAACAATAGGCCGTACGATATCGACTATAGCATAAGAACGAAGACGGAATTTCTATCCATTTTGCCTGCAAGAGCAGCCATTCCTCCAGATTCCACCAAGTGGCGGTTCCTCTTGACTACTAGAATCAACAAAAATAATAATGTACGCCGGTCATGCTGTAAACCTTTCCCCATGCACGGTGATAGGACCAAGTGCCAAACCTGGGTATAATTCATCCAAACGCCCAACTGCAATGTACCCAATTCAGATCCTGTATAAGCGCCCAGTTTGCCCTACCATCAATGTCTCGCATTATTCCTTACTGTTCTCGGTCCGCGATGACGTCTTCCTGCTGCCCCCGGGGTCTCACCGAGATCCTCCTCCGGACTCAATCCATGTTGTCGTTGACCAGGTCCCTCTCGCGTGCGGCCCATCGCCTGGCGCAAGAGACCGTCCGCCTCGTCGTCTAGCTCCATCTCTACTTTCTGCTCCAGCGTCTCCGATTCAGCCGCCAAGTCAACTTGGGCCACTTCATCGGTCCATTCCTCCGCAAATGATCCCTCCGCGGGTGCCCGCCGCCTGGTAGACTTGCCCTTTCCCTTGTCGCGCGACACACGTACGGAACTTCGGCTCGACGATCCTCTATCCCCATCGCGCGGTGCAGGTTCAACTCTATGCCCTTCGAGGGCCCAGATCTCTAGGGCGCGGGAGAGGAGCGTCCCGGCAATACCGGCACCACCAGCAGCATCCCCGCCACCACTCGCACCCAACACGCGGACGGCTTCATGAAGCGCCGTTACAGCATCCATAGTACGGCCGAGTTCTAATAAAACAAGACCGCGTGCAGTATGAAGTGATCCAATGAGTCCGCGGTCCTCATATCCGCCAACTCCTGACGCCGCAACGCCCGATGCATGACCGCCGCTGCCTCCCAAAAATGGACTATATCCAAAGCTTGCCCCCGCGGCGCCGATCCGGAGGCATTCATCAAATTCAACTAAAGATTCCGTAAAGCGACCGATTCGACGCAACGCATGGGCAAGGTTCGCTCGGGTAGCCACCCAGGCCCCCGGTTCGCAGTGAAGCGAGGTGGCCAAAGTAAGGGCCTGTCGGAAAAGTACGATGGCCCCTTCTAAATGATTTTGATGATAGAGAACGACGCCCAGTTCATTGAGGACCAGCGGATCTCCACCCAAGCTTGGACCTTCTGCAGATGTAATAGCAGGTAGAGAGACAGAGCCAGACGGCGCACCAGTTGACATTGCGTACGCAGCACACAAATATTCGTGGGCAAGCGACATGTTGTTCAAAGCCAAGTGTTGCATGCCAAGGAAAAGTTGTGGTAGGTGACTTCCCTGGAAGAGGCGGGCTGCGGTACTGTACGCAGCGATTGCTTGATCATGCTCGCCCTCGGCAGCGAAAGTATGGGCGAATCCGATCCATGCTGGTGCCGAGTGCGGATCCAGCAATGATGCTTTGGAGAAGAATCTCCGTGCCTCGGCAATCTTGGAGACCGATAGATAGTAGACGCCGATGGCCAGATAGGTGTATGATTCATCTGGGGCATGGTCGGCCAGCGTATGTGACAGAAGAAACAGCGCGTTTGTAGCGCCTGTTTCATAAAGGCAGGCTAAATGCAAGGGGTAGACCGCAGGCGCATGTCCCAAATGGCTCTGAGCAGATACATGCGGCGCAGTAGCGTTAGCCAACGCAGTGGACGTTTGGGAAGTTGACAAAATGGAGGAGGTCAATTCAAGGGCTTCCGCAAAGCGGCATTGGGTATAGAGGGCTTCAGCACGGGAGAGAAGGATATCGGGATTTTCGGATAGATTATAATGGGTGGATAAAGTCTCCGTTGCATCCGACAGAATTGCCGGCGACGAGTATTTTGATAGTCGGGTGGTGTACAACATCTTCGTAAAATGGGCGGCTTCTTGGGCCACGGACGGATCCGGGCTGGAAATCGAGTCAAAATCAAGAGATTCCAGGAATTCAAGTTCTTCGGCAGGCGACATAAGCGAGTTCTTCATGAGCTGGTCGAAGGCTTCAAAGCACTGGACGTCGATGCGTACAGCGTCCTTATAGCAGTCGCGTGCGCGGTCAAACACATTCTGCTTTGCAAAACAGAGTCCTCGTAAGTAACACATGGCAGCCTCGAATCGAATATTGTTCCCATCCTCCCGTTCTCTCTCCTCGTTACGATCAATGCGCGAAGCCGCGGTCTTGCCATTCCGTAGGGTTACATGGCTTTGACCGTTGATGTGCTGCAATTTGCGACGGCTATTGGTACTGCGGATCAGATGCGTGGGATTATTTTCACCGAGAACCGACAGAGCCTGTTCAAAGTGGTTTTGTTTGATGTAACAATGGGCAGCCAGATAGCGACAGGCGGTACTTCGTGAGATCAAGTCTTTCCGAGACAGAAGAGCCAGGGCTCGTGTGTAGTTATTATTCGAAAAATGAACCTGCGCTAGCCAGAATGCATCGGAGTCACTGTCTACGGAGTTTGAAACTATTAGATACATCCCCAGCATAAGGAATACAAGCCAGCAGATTCGACTCACTGGTCAAGGCAAGCACTTTATCTCCAATGTAGATGGCCGTATCATGCTGGCTTCGATTCAATGCATCCTGGCGCCAGGAGCGCAGAAATTTCTCCATTTCGTGGACAATGAGTATAGTGTTGATCAAGAGAGGTACCAAGGAGATCCAGGAAATATCGGCAACCGCAGTGGGTGTCCTACCGGCATGGGGAGAATCGGAGGGTAGGTGTCAAGCAGGATAAACAAAGAAACCGGCCAGTCTGCAATGCGCTCGCGTAGAGGGAAAACAAAGACACCCGACAAGAGTTCCCGGGATGAAGGAAGTAGCTGTCCACTGTCAGGTTGACCTATGTCGCGCAGGGAGAGAAGACGCTGGATATTAAAGCAGCTTGAGCTGCTTTCCTGGAAAAGGCGTGTCGTGGCCCGTGCACATTGCCCAATCGGGAATCTGACATGGCTAGGCTGACTAATACCACGTGATAACCCAGTATATCGCATCTTGACTCTCAGTGATTAGCCACCGATCCTAGACCATCCAGGTTTTTTGTATCCCACAGCTACTCCGTCATCGATAACCCGTTGCCACCATGTCTGAGCGAAAAGTTCTGTAAGTAATCTCTCGAACGCTTCTGCGCCTCTGCGTCTCACCATGCTAATGCCTCACCTTCCAGCTCCAAATACTACCCACCGGACTTCGATCCGTCGGCGATCACACGAACACCAAAACATCTGCGTCAGACAGGACCCAAAGTCATAACCGTTCGACTGATGGCGCCATTCTCGATGAAGTGCACCCACTGCGGTACGTATCTACTCCGACCTCCCCGCTCGCTGCGGTTGAACATTCTGCTAACATATCAAATACTCGAACAGGCGAGTACATCTACAAGGGGCGAAAATTCAACGCGCGCAAAGAGACAACGGAGGAAAAGTACTTCTCGATCCCCATCTATCGATTCTATATCCGATGTACGCGATGCAGTGGCGAGATCACGTTCGTGACGGACCCCAAGAACATGGACTACAAGGCGGAAAAGGGTGCGAAGCGAAACTTCGAGGTGTGGCGGGATCCGACGGCGGAGGCGTATAATGAAACCGAGCAGGAGACGCTGGATCGGTTAGAGAGAGAAGAGAATGAGGAGCACGAGCGGTTGGAGCAGGATAAAATGGCCGAGTTGGAGGAGAAGATGCAGGATTCAAAACGAGAGATGGCGATCGCAGATGCGTTGGATGAGATTCGGACGAGGAATGCGCGGATAGAGCGGAATGAGGGCCTTGGGGAGGATGTGGCCCTGACGCAGGTTCGGAGCGAGGTGGATGAAGCGCGGTTACAGGCTGAAAAGGAAGATGAGGAGGCCGCGCGAAGAGCGTTTACTACGGAGACTGGGGAGAAGGTCAAAAGACTTGTCGAGGATGGCACTCTAGCGGATTCAAAGACAACAGAAATGCCGCCTCCGCCTTCATTCGCGCGAACCAAGAAGCCGAAAAAGCCACTAGTAAACGGACTGGGTATCAAGAAAAAGCCCAAGCCGTCACTGATTTAATACGTCCGTCAATTGCATCGAGTGAACAGCGTTCGGTTTACGGCGAAGGTTTCGCCTATGTGAATGAGCATTATGACTACTATTCAGACTCAAAGTTAATTGGAAAACTGATTGTGACCAATACATATTAATTATGATACAACAGCAAGAATAGTAGAAGAAACATCGTAAGCATATTCGTCAAAGATTTTAATCCAGAGCGCCACGCTAGAATAAGACCAGAAGAACTCCCATTCGGCTTGTCAAATCCCATGGGATTAAAGTGGAAATAAGCAAAACGACAAGCAGAGAACGAAACATAGTACACAGGCCGGCAAAACAGGATGAGTACTTCTAGAGGTACGCCATCCACAGAGCGTCGCAGGATGCTAGGTGCTGAGGGTTCACAGCCTTGGAGATGAGGTCGATTGTCGTTTGGTTCGCGGGCAGATTGCCCTCAGGGGGGCTGGCAAGACTGACAGCCCGGTTGACAATGACATCACTGTTGTTGTATACCAAGTCGCGAAGCTGAGGGACTGGCAAAGCCCCACGATGCTGTGCTGTGGACCAGAATGTCATTTCATCTCGCACGAAGATGCTAAGTTGCTGTTCGAGTTCATGGCGTGGTTCGGTAAGACACCGCGCAATTGCCATCAGCGCACAAGCGAAGAGCCCTTCCGTGGCAATAGGTCCCAGTAACGTCTGAATGTTTGGAGTGAAACGGAAAGGTACTTGCTCGGGATTGTAAAAGAATGCCTTCGCAGGGTTGATTGTTGGAATCAGCTCCGAACCCCAGATGTCGCCCGTCATCCTGGATATCATGATCTTGTTAGGGTATCGGTTACCCATGTGCATCACGTATGTCATGAACGCAATGGCAGCATATTGATAAGCAAACTGCCGGCGGAACAGCCAAAAGTCCGCAAAATTGGGGTAAGTGTTCTGGAAGTAGTCCAGCACCACCGTATTAGGGACCCATCTTTCCTGGATGGCTGTGAGGATCTCGGAGCGGAGTAGCTGCTGCTGGTCTGGCGTACGCTGGGGAATGTTAGCCTTGGTCATAGATTGAAAATGATGAGCTTCACTCACGTTCTGCTTGGTCTCTGCTAATGATCTCATCTTCTCCATTGTAAACAGAACAGGATCGTCCTTGTTGATCCCTACCCGGCGACAGAAATCCTCATAAATGCCTTGCATGGAGATATAGGAAGGGTCATCACGGACCAAGCGAATATGGGGAGCCAGTGGAATCATGAGCGGAAGATGGAAATATAGGTTGCGCCGTCGACTTTCCTTGCGTTTGCCTAACAACCCATTGAATATACGGAACAGTTGCAAGATTCGTTCCTCGCGTCGGCAGTGACGGGCTGCTGGATGCTGGACAGCAAACGGGTGAACGCTACCATCATGACCACGAATCTTCAGGCGACGGTGGCACACACCAATGCCCCGAACCAGATCAATGTCAGGCAAGAACCTATCAATACGAACAAAGTCTTGATTCTTGTCTTTGTGCAGAAGATACTGACCTGGCACCTCAACCTCGTCAAATTTGAGGAATCTAAATTCACTGAGGTGCGGCGAGTAACTCTCCAAGAACTGGCATTGAGGTCGACGATCGAGTTTCTCTTCGAACTTGTCTCGCCAGCGCCGCAATTTCTGTATGTATTCGTACATAGTCGGCTTCTTCACAACGAAGTCGGCTTCGAAGGATTTGCGGATATGGGCAGGGAGGATGGTCTCAGCGAAGCGTGTAATGTTTGCTTCAGTGGCAGCTGGCAATTTGAAGTCCTGCGCATATGATCCAGGCATACGACCCACATACGCCAGCCCATCATTCAAAAGGGCAACAATCAGACGATATGCATCTTCGTCGGGAGGACACTTGAAGTTCTTATGAATCTGGTCAACCATGGTCTCCATGGACAAGGCAAGTAATGGGAAGGCCGTTTTAAGACCGGACATGATCTCATCTGAGTACTCCCATGGTTTCTTGAGCGCCTCCTTCTCTGGCTCTGTACCAGCATTTTGGTTCTGCTGTGGGGTTCCATTTTGAGCCGGGACTTGAAGATGATTCTGCTGTTGACCTTGGGATTGCTGCATCTGGGTTTGGCCTTGGCTTGGTGCAGAAGCTTGCCCCTGGGATTGTTGCATTTGACCTTGCGCAGGAGATTGCTGAGCCTGCGCACTGCTGTTGATCTGTGGGCTTTGGCCTTGCGACATCCCCTGGGAATGGGACTGGGTTTGATTCGGCCCCTGCTGTAGGCTGCTTGGCTGAATGGTTTGACCCTGTGCAGGAGAGGAAGCATTGGCATTTGCAGGTTGGGCATTTTGTGCTGGCGAGCTGTCAGTGGCTGCAGGTGAAGTTTTAGGCTGCGGCGAAGCATGCTGTTGTTGCTGCTGCCTTGCACGGTTCAGCTTTTCTTGCTTCTGGTCATGCTGCTTTTTGATGTTGAGCATGTCTTCCCTGTTCGTACGAAGCAAGAAGAAAAGAGCTTGGGGGTACAATTTTGCAATTTTCACCAGCACAGCTTTACAAAGGCGAGCTTCACGGTGTGACAAGCTCGTAAGCAGTTGTGGGATAAAGGTGATCCAGTACCAAACCGGAGTTTCACCTTTGAAAGTCTCAAAAGCGCCCGCCACTCGCCCTTCTTCATTATCCAAGCTTAGTAACCAGAGGATGCGGCTAAGCAATTTCCTGGACTTGGCATTCTTGTAGAGACCAGCAGCTTCCAAATAGCAACTGACGGCATTGCTTGCCAATTCATAATCTGACGGGTCAGATTTGAATCGCTGGTCACTGTATTGGCCCCATTCAGACCAAGCCTTCGCGAGTCGTAGGTCATAATAGAGAGCGACGCCAAAAGCTTCATTTGCCTCGTTGACATGGTTCAGTTTGGCAAGGAACATGCCCTTGAGGGTATAAAACTCCGCCTTCTGCTGTGCACCAAAGTAGTTCAGATTAGTGTTGTTGATCACGTCCAGGCCGTTGTTGAGTTCCTTAGGATTTTGATAATGGCACTTAGCCTGTTCTCGCAACTTCAAGAACGCTTCTTGGATCTCAATATTCGGCAGCGTATAGATGCGGCTAAGTTGATTGATGCACACCTCAGGCATCTGATGCTTACGAGCCACATGAGCGAAGCGGTTGATGATCCATGCCGTCTCGTGGTATCCGCGATAGGCATAAGAGTTGCTGGCCACGTTGTTGGTCTGTGGAGGTAGCAGCCCAAGGTATGTCGCATTGATGAGCTGGAATATGTGTTGGCGCCAGGTAACAAGGTCTTGCCAAGCATTAATATCGTCCCAAAGATTTGGGAGACGATCTCGCCAAGTCCCAAGTAGCAATTTCAACTCTGCAGACTTTGTGTCCAAGTTTCGGTCATTGGTCTGTGCTAGACTTCCACAGATGTGGCTTGCATCGTGAAGTTCAACCAAGAGTTGGAAGTGCTGCAGTATCGGGATATGGGCATTTGTTATCCTCTTTGGCAACTGGAGCCATTTTCGAATTGATAGCTGAATTGACTCGTCACAGACGCCATTGAAATCCTGAAGATTGTCTTTCTTGATATGAAATTGGAGGAGTGCCATAAACGCCTGGAAGAAGGTACGCCTTGGAGTGGGAGCGTCGGAGACGGATTTAATGAGAGACTCTAGCTGTTCTCTGTTGCCGTCACCTTGCCAGTTTTCAATGTTTCTCCAAGCCGCCTCCAAAAGAAGGTCATTCAAGTTCTCGTGCTTGGCAAAGTCACTGAGGATTTCCCATTGTTGCAGTTTTTGAGCACATATCAACCAATGGTCCTCCCACAAATAGTATTCGCCCTGAGAGAACGGCATTGCCCCGGAGCGAGCTTTGATCTGCGCATTCTCGTACAGTTGCTGCGACTTGTCCCACATTCCTTGCTGTTCATATGAAATAGCAGCGTTCGTCTCCACAAACTTACAGCGACGACGCCAGGTACCGTAGAAGAAATCATCTTCCTGCAAGCCTGCGTATACCTCAATCAAAGCATCAAGATTGCTCTCGCGGACAGTCGGAGTATCAATAATAGGATTGACGGCTGACTCTTCAAGATACGTCGCAGCAGTGTACCAAGCATCATAAGTACGGCTCAGGTATTTTGTCACATGGGGAGGAATCTTGAAACGTGGCTTAGCCCGTACAACACCCTCGAGTAACGCTTGTACAACATTGGGCCTCTTGTCCAGTTGGCCCCTATGGTATTCTCGAGTAAGCAAAGCGACCATTCCCTTCTCCAAGTCAATACGGTCCTCCCTGGACAGGGTAGACCAGAAGATAGTGAACAAGTTGGTCCAGAGGGTGTATGCAACGCTTGGGTCCGTATGTTGGAGTTGGCAAAGTGGCTCCACCAAGTCACGGGCTTTGACATCACTGATTTCGGACACGAAGCGCTTACGGTCCGATACAAATGCTTCCAACTGAATATCAACCATGACATCAGCCTTCCTCGGATCCTTGTCAGCATTGCTATATAGGAAGGACACCGGATAGAGAGTGAAATCATCCGGGTGAAGTTTCGCCGAGGAATTCATATCAATACACCCTAGGACTAGGTGAGATGCCTGCGCTAACCAGAAAGAATCCGAAAGAGTATCCCAGTTTTGGCAGGTAAGGACATAACTGAGTCGGGAGCTGGCTAGGCGTGTCAGACTTCGATCAAAGATGCTCATGAAGCGATTGCGCATTTCAACGTCCTGGGTCCTAGTCCCAATCAAAAAAGCGTGCTCTAGTCGGACCGTCAACTCAGTGCGTGTAATCTTGGAATCCTCATAAATCCTAATGACGAGGTCCAGGAACTTCTTGAGCATTGTCTGATCGGCTCTTGACTCAAACAGTAGCATCTTGTGCAGAACAGCGGTTTTCTCCTTCAGCGTCGGCCAGGATTCAGTTGAGTGGAATATCCATGTCTCCACCATACCCAATACTTTACTACAAAGTTTGATGTTCTGCGATCGCTCAACCAGCTGCGCTAAGACGCTTAAGAATGGTCGCCTCTGCTCTCCAAGGTGAGACATGCGCACAGAAATCAACTCAATAGTCTTGAAAATCAAGTCAACCCCAATTTCGTACTCTTGCTGGTCTGGAACCCCTTCTGGGAGTTTCGTGCCGTTGGTATATTGTCCCTGATTGTGTGTACAGGCTGCAACATGCTCTTTTGCCAACTTTTGGGAGAATGCCTTCATCACTTGCGGAATATGGGCATCCATTTCCGCCGGCTTGTTCCTGGAAAGCGTCCAGAGAGCGTTCAAGCTGGAAATGTAATTATTGGCCGAAAGCGTCTCTGTCGCAATAGCTGACAGGTACGTCACAAACTCCGAGGGTGAATTTTCAACATCCATTGCATCTTCTTCTTCCGGCTGGTCGTCAGGGAGAGCATTAAGAACACGCCTTACTGGAGGTGGCAGCTTAGGGGAGATTTCCATGTCATTTTCCAGGCCATGAAGACAATCCTGGATCTCCGGATTGTCGCAACGCAATGGTTTCTCGAGGAGCTTCTGGATCAATGGCAAGCGAGCCGTAATCCAGTCATCGGGTTTTGCTGCGAGAAGAACTCGCACAACTTGTAAAGCGTTCACCATACTCGTGATGTGCTTTTCATCTGGTTTCTCTGCCTTTTCACCAGCAAGGATGGGCTCTGTGGCCTTTTGGTAAAGCTCGATATCTAGGTCACCCCAGTACACCGGAGATAACAGGTTTCTCAGCAAATGCACCGCCTTTTTTATCAGTTCCCCAGTAAGAACAGGCGCTTGTGTCTTGTTCGACTGAAGGTCACGGATCCGAGCAGCTGGCACAGAGAATCTCTCAGGAATAATAGTTATGAATGAGATGAGATACTTGATTAGATTTGCCCTAAGATCCGCGGGAACCGTGTACTCGGAACGCTCTCGAGCATGAGGAGGCGCAAGTGCTGGTGAGGGAGATGAAGTAACTTGGGCCTCATCAATCTTCCGCTTCTTCGTGTTTGGCGAGTCAAGGATACCATTTGGTAAAGCAGTCTGGCTATCGACACGTTTTTGCTCCCAGTGCCAGATGAGGTTTATCAGATTCAAGGCAAGCTTCTTACTTTCATTCGACGAGTTGGGAGGCGACGCAATCTTGATCAAGGAGGGCACAATAAGCGGTACAAAATGCTCCCTCGACTCATAAAACAGATCCGGTTGTCGAACAAGGAAATGGAAAATACTCATAACCTGCTGCAGGTTAGCAGTTTCTTCGGCCAAAATGCGCCGAGGCCACTTGGCCCACAATGGGTACCGAGTGTCTGGTGTCTGCGCGCTGCTGCTTGCTGCTAAAATCCTGGTTGGTAATACAGGAGCCAGGACATCGAGAGCTTGCGTAACAAGAGCTTTGCCCTCATTTTGGTGTGCCCTCAAGAGAGCAACGTAAACTTGGACGACAATCTTAAATGGTGTCTCGTAGTGCGCAATGAAATAGCTGATGAGAACGTAAGCGCCGTATTTATTGATGATGTCCTCAAGTCGGATATAATTCCAAGCAAACTTGATAATATCTTTTCGGGAATCCTGGACCGTTTGATGATGGTATTTAATCAGTAGAGCGGACAGCTGGAGAAGCTCCATCCGCGAATGGTCAACACCGGCTTGGTTGGATTCTTCGCTTAAGTCTGCTAATTGAGGTTTCCACAGGCGACTCTGAATAAATTCGGTCATGCTTTTATCCATCAGCTTCGGACTATTAGGAGAGTTGTTCCACGTTGTTTGGACGTCCATTGCAAAGATGGGGTTAACTAGATGATGGAAGGCATATGTTTTCATTTTCTGTGAACACGACCGCTGGCCATATAGGTCAAGGCATCGCATGATGACTGAACGCCGATAGTCGATGGATTCATTTGTGATAATGTGGCGATAAATGAATTTGGGGAATGCCAGTGTGCGCTTCAGCTCATCTGCAGATAAACCATCCATAACCTCAAAAAGGAAGTCCAGGTCTTGCACTGATTCAGAAAGATAGATGGTAAATACGTCGATCAACTGCTCTTCTGCCTGCTCAACCCTCAACCGCTCATTGGCGGGGAGCTTATCAAAGCGAAGCTTTCTGTTCAGATCACGGCCAGACTGTAGAAGCTTCATTCGTAAATCCGCATGTGACACTAACCAACGCTTCGTAGACTCATGTGAACAGACAGAATGTGCAACGTAAATTCCATTTATTGCAGATGTATTCTTGCCGTCCGTTGCATCCTGCCCAAATGCAGCAGCTATAAAACTTTCGGTATCGGCAACAACCGCTGCGCGCAAAGACTCACTTTCCGGATCTGCAAGAACCTGCCCAAAGAAGCGTCCAAATCGTTCATCCTTGAAGCGAGCTTGAAAAAAAGACAAACTCTCTTTCGGGTAACGATTCAAATATTTAACAATAGGCTTTCTGAAGGGGCTGTTGGACGTTCTGCGAAGTTTTTCTTCTAGATCCAGAGCTTTATTCACAAGGTGCTCCATGAACGAAGTTGCAGCCGACGGAAGCAGGTGAAAAATGTTGAAGATTGCTGCCACAATCTTCATATGCGGGTTTTGTTCAACGAGACTAAAGGAAACTTTCTGCAACAGAGCGTCATCTGCAATGACCTTCATATGATCCAGAAGGCGAGCACCAATCTCGACTTTGAAGTAATTCGTAAGCAGGGTTAACAATCGTGCAAGTCCATCGAGACCCGCGACACTCAAACGCTTAGGATCCTGCAGGTTCATGAGAATAGGACGAAGACCATTCTGTAGAAGATCCTTGGGCAACTTATTAGTCTGCGTAAGAACATCCTTCAGACCCGCGTTTGCTGCTTCGATAACATCAGGCGATCGTGAATATAGTGATTTAAAAAAAACGGAAATAATACGAGCACGACTTGTATTCTGGGGAGTGTTGGCAAACTCTGGGAAGCTCATTGCCATTGACAAAAGGCGGAGGCAGGCCACACGCAGGTTGACAATCATTTCGGCATTCTTGAATTCATTTGGCTTAGATGCTAACGATTCGTCATCAGCGTCGGCAAGAGCGAGAGATTCGAGCATAAGTCGGTTCAGTGGATCATTGAATGTCACAATGTTATTGTGCAAACTTAAGCAGAAAGTAATAGCATCAATGAACCCGATTTGCGTGGAGAAGGGCAAAGCTCGCAAAGGCTTATTAAAAATTGATTGAAGCAGGCGGTCTTTGACAGGGAAGATAAGCTCATAGACTTCACAACCAAGAACCTCAGCAATGGTCGAGAAACTCCGACGAGAAGCCTCACGGACATATTTGTTCATATGAGAAAGTTCGTAGACAAAAAATCCGCACAATGAATAGAGACGGCTCTTCTCATTTTTCATGTCATCTTTGGAAACATTTTTGCAACATTTCCGTAGAATCAAATCCAAAGTCTCCTGCGCTCTTATGCGTGTACTGGCTGGAAGGTCGGGCGGAGTATCCTTGATCACGTACATTAATGCTCGGACAAATTCAGCCTGTTTATCAAACAGCCACGAATCACCCAGATCCAACTCAGTCGCAAATTGGTGGATACCAAGGCTACCACCCGCCTTAGTAAACCACTCTTCGCTATGACAGCTATGACAAAAAACACGGCCCAGGTGTTGGAAGAACGGTAGCTTCGACACTCGCTCATGTGTTCCAAATATAATGCTGGCTGCATCCTTCATAACTTGCATTGCTGCCTGGGCACCATGGCGTATATCGGCGTTGTCTGAGGACAAGCATTCGACCAAAGCTTCAGCAAGAACGCGTGAATCAAGGTACACAGGGCCTTCTCCACTCGAGACGTCAAAAGGCTTTCTGCTATGTCTAACCTGAGCAAGTGCCCGTCCAACTTCAACGATGGCGAAATGTTTACAAGTTTCGGCTACAAATGAAGTCGCCGTTTGTTGCAATTCCGGAACTGTGGTAGCAAAGATACAAGCCTTCAGGAGCTTTTTCAGCGAGACTTCCTGTGACAATTTCTTTGGAATAGAGCTAGCTCGGTCAGACTTCTCCAATATATCACCCATAGCTGTGGTTTTGTTGTCGAAGAGATCGTTGGCGTGGAGACGAATAAGTGATGCTAGATCCTCTGGGAGGCTGTCATGTCCAATATAAAGTTTGAGCTGTGAAGAAATCATACGGAATGCCTGCTGTTTGTAGTACGCATCAGAAGCCTTTGCTGCAGGGGTTTTAGGGCTCTCCAACAACTTCCCAATCGCCAGGTCAACACCAATTCCGATAGGGAAAGGGCGCTTCTCACTGGGTCCAATGAGCTTGACATCAAAGCTTGGCGCATCATCGGTAAACTGTTCAAAAGAGAGATCAGGTGGATGGTTTAGGAACTTCCTGTTGCGGCCACCCAGCTTGCCCAATATCCTCATGGTTGTATGCGCATGGAAGTGATTGTACGGGTGGGGGCGGAGATGGTCCCAAAGGGCTGTCATCAGCTCATCCATAATAGGAGCCATTATGGGATCCAAATAGTCGGCAGTGAGGTTGTCCACACAGAGCTCAAGAGTTCGAAGACCCTGCCCTACCAGGTCTGAGTCCGCGCGCAGCGCTACAACGATAGGACGCATAAGATAACTGAGGTGTGGCAAAAGATGGCTGAGGCGGGCAGGAACCGTCAATGTAAGTTCGACGTACAGGTCACGCTCTTGCGGCTTCCGTGCTGCAAGGAGCAGATTATTGAACGTCTCGAGGAGCATTTCAAGCAGAGGTAGGATCTCCTTGTATAATAGCTCAAAACGTCCTCCGCCAATGCTGCGAAAGAGTGAGCGCAAAAGAAGGAAATAATTCATAGGTGCTTCTGCGGTCACCGAAAGCTCAATACACTTGGTGACAATCTTGGTCACATGGGGATGCAAAACCTGTTCATTCTGGACAGAGAAGAGCGTCACAGCCATGAAAGAGAGCTTAAACATTCGAAGTAAAATCTTTGCCCTTGTCATATCAGACGTTCCTACTTCGTGGATCCGGTCCATGAGGTACTGCAACACCATTCCAGAAAAGGCGGGAGAGGTGGCCTCGCTAGCAAGGAAGAATTGAGGCAGATGAAGTAGAGCGCCGTGTTCAAACATAAGCTCATGCAGATATGGTATCTCCAAATGAAAAACCTCGTGGAAAGTTGCAGTGTCGATGCAGTGGAACACAGTTCCAAAACTTTCTAGGAGCTCCTTTTCCTCTCGAGACATGGGTGCCGTATACTGGCTGGCAAGGAACTCGAACGGGGACGAATAGCTCACATCTGGCGGTGACTGGTCGACGCCATAGTACTTGAACACCCGAGCACCTTCATGGAAAAGCTTCTTGATCACCCGCACTTCTTCGGCATTGTACCCATAAGAAACTTCGGACCAGTTTATAGGAACACTATTCGAATCTATTTGAATGTGCTCGGGGTTGCAATTTTTCAGCTGGTGAAAAATCGTTTTGAGGCCGTTAATCAGGTTCTTGAAAAGGAAAATATTATCCGACACTGGATCTCCGCCACGATCACGGGGGTTGGAAGTCTTTATAGGTGATGCCGAAAAGATATCGATCTCATCCCAGTCCGGAGGACTATCTTTGTCCGCAAGGTATTTCTCCGATGAAGGTTCAATGTCCTTCTTATTTGCTTTGTATGCTTTCGAAATCTTCACAGCATTGTCGAACTGGTGGTTCATCGATGCAAACTTATCGCCAATCGCATCAAGTATCATGATCAAGAAGTAACGGGCTTCACATTTATCATCCAGTCTGCATATCCTTTCGGCCATGTTAAGCAGCAACTTAGCACTCATTGTTTGAAAGCTTGTTCCTGGAAAATCATCGTGGAGGTTTTTGGTGTACACCTCAACAGTCCGTCTGATCTGATCGCGAGATAGATGGTCTCGTACATGGTGGATGAGATCCGCAAGCATGCTGTAGGCGAGAGGCCTCATCGTTTCATACACAGTAAGGCCATCACCGATCAAGGTCCGTTCATCGAGAAGTTCGTCAATTTTCTCAAGGAAAATCTTTCGGTAATTGAAGTTGATGATGTGGCGGATTGCAACAAGAAGTTCTTTTCTTGCACTAGATTTCTCCCTTGGGCAATCTTGGAGGAGGCGGACAACGACTGACGGGAGTGTGGGGAGAAAGTCTTGAAGTTGATGTGCGTACATTCTTAGTAGGTATGCGAGGAAACTCATTGTCTTCACTTGTGCTGTGATAAACTCGCCAAAGGCAGCCCGGTTTTTGATTTCCTTGCACACCCCAGTAAATATCATACCTTGTGCAGCAGCCTCTGCGTGCGCTTTCTCCTGAGGCTTGGCCTGGAGCAGCAGTATGCTCTTAATTAGGGGCACAAAAAGCTTGACATTCGCCGAGACTGAATTGCGATGGGTCTGGAAGATAGAGACAACAATAATAGGGCACTCTGCTAAGACCTTGAAGGATTGCATGCCTTTGAGCAGAACGTTGCTTCCTTGCTGATCCGGACCGAGATCAGAAACAGATGTGGCAGGTGAGCTAGGCCTGGGAGACTGAAAGTTCTGAGCGGTTGCACTTGGCGTCGAGGGCATTCCTGAAGGAGTCGCCTGGCTGGGGGTATCGAATGTATCCCGAACGACCTGTTCCATTGTCTGGAACATCTCCTGAATGAGTTCAAGGAATGGTTGTACACGGGCCGCCGTTGCTTTGGCCTGGTTTCGCTCCAGGTCCATGATAGTTTTCATACAGAGAACAGCATTTTCTTCATTTTCAATCCGAACCAGGTCCAGCAACATATCAACCATATCCGCAGCGTACGGTTCCACGTCCGGAGATGCCATGGGTAGTCGGTGAAGTGTCTCGAGAACACAGTTGCGCAGTTTCTAGAATTTCAAAAAGATCAACCTCGATCCCATTAAGTGTGAAATGAAGCTAGACAACCGCAACTGACCTGCTCAAACGAGCTGTTCGCGAAAACAGGTTCGCCTTTCAGGATGGTCTTGAATACCGGCCACAGCTTTGACAGGAAGATAGGATAGCTCGCACCAGAGCATAGCGGCTCAATATTATCTCGTAATTCAAGTGCGACATTAGACCGGAGCTTTATATCTAATTCCAACAACAAATGTTAGCGAGGGCAGCTCCAGAAGACCAGCTGAAAGGCTTTTTGTTATGTCGTTTATGTCTTTTCTGTTTGAGTGCAAAGAGGTAAAGCATACCAAGCTTCTCATCGGCCAGCTTGCTGGCATAGATATCAATATTTCGCTCCATGGCTAAGCTACTCCAGAGCTACGAGTAGGTATAATGGCGACGAGTTACTGCCAGGCCACAGGGCCGGCCAGAAATCGAAAGGCAGCACAGTCTTTTGTGGACGTCGTGTTCACATGCGGGATAGCGACAGAGGAAGGCTATCTCTATTCGCCCAGCGAGGGAAGACGCTTCATCAGACAGAGGAAGCGAAAAAGGACAAATATAAAATCATTGATCTCCGGGTTTACAATTAATGAGAATAGATATAGGTGAAGGGGATAAATGAACGGAGATTGGAGGGTCCCTTGGTGGAGTGGGGAGATTGGGTATATCAAAGTGAAGAGTGAACTGCGCGCAAAATCACGCTTGCGAATCGACAAGAGCAGAAGCAGCAGAGCAAAACGCGGGTGTCGCAGAGACCCCGAAATATACACTAGTCCGTAAAAGGCAATTTCGGGGGTTTTATTCTCCATTCCGACTAGCGCGCGGTTATTAAACGCAATTCGATCATTTAACCTATCATCGGCAGCGCCCCACACCAGGCACAGGGGTAGTACTACAGTGCCACGTGATTCACCCGCTACACGCCAAAGAACAAATTGCGAGAAATCCAGAAAGATTGAATCTGGTTTCAGGCTATGCCGTGAATACTTCATATTTGAAAACTCAAATAAGGTCATCGATTTCAATATCGATTAAGGGAAACGCCATTCGCACCCGTTTTCCAGACCCGAACACAGTTCTAATAGTCCAACTTGAAAAGCCCGCATCGAAAAAAAGGGCATATCACAGCCCATACGCGGAGAGAAAAATATTGCAAGCCATGTACACAAAATGGAAAAGAAGTGGGTAAGGGAAATGAGATAAGGAAGCGACGAAAAGGGGAGAAAATTTGGTAGGAGAAGATGGGAGACATGAACAAGGGATTTGGACCAATGCCAAACCTAAGAATCAAAATCACTTCATCGAAGCTTGTAGTCGCTATGCTATCGTAGTGGAAAGTCTAACGAAAAAAATGCCATAAATCTGACGGTTACCTGATAGAGTTGTTTCGTGTTACAATCGACACGGCAACTCCTGAGCCGACAGACCTTCGTCGGGGTCGGATCTCGCTGCCGCTACCACTTCTTCGCCTCCTAGGACTATCGAGGGAGCCGCGGCGCCTTCTCTGGAGCAAACGGACGATTGACGTTAGAATCACGCTTGCTGTACATCAAAATGGACGATTTCTTAGCAGAGGCAACGACAAGGGAACAGGTGACTCTTCAGCGAGGTGCAGAAGATGTCATGCAAGACAAATAACCACACACACGAGTCAGAAATATATGGGACTTACCGATCCCGCAGTGGCCCTTCGCTCAGTTGTTGTACCTGGCTCATCCAGCTTCAGAGAGTGAAGGCGCTTCTGACTGTCATTGGTGATAGAGTCGATCTCGTCCACTTGGATTGGAATGTCCGCAGACGCCAGTTGTGGAGGCCGGGCAATGCCATTCTGTCGTTCCTTGGCTCGCTCTGCGACCTTTTCCCATCGGCTTTGCCGAGCCTTTTCACGCTGCTCAGCATTATTCTGACGCTCATTGTACTCGTGAGAGCATTCATCGAAAAGCTGAGGATTGATCTCCATGAACATCTTCATTGCATTGTAGACCATGCTGTGGATTGTCCTATGGCATGTTAATCTTTCGTATACAATGAAAGATTAGGGATGATGGAGTTACCTGTTCCAATGACCTTTTGAATTCTCATACAGTGGAGGAAACATAATCGGTAAGATTGTGTCCACATTGTCGCTGACCAAGTTACAGAAGTATTCGTTGTTCCAGAAGTAGAGTGCCCGTTCCGCAACCTACATAGTAAAGGTTAGTGCTAAATGTACAAGATCGCATGCATGTGTTGTTCAACAGACCTGGAAGTGCGGACTGGCAACTGACTTGGCCAGTTGTTGAAACAAGGGCTCTTGGACCTTGGCAAACTCTGCTGGATCCATAACCTCGAAAATATCTTCCACTTCGTTCAGGTACATTACTTCCTTCGTGCTATTGACCTTGGGCCAGTAGCGTAGTAGCCCAAGAACGACCTATCACCAATGTTAGGATTTGACACAGCCACAAGAATAGAAACAGACAGATGAAGGACAGAGATGAATGGAAGTTCAAAACGAGTATGAACTTGGGTTAGTTAGCCGGGACCGTACCTCTTCTGTGAGTGAGGAATCCTTCTCTAGGAATTGGACAATACAATAAGCCAATTGTGGGTGGTACATGCTAAGACTTTTAACCTTATGTAGGGGAAGCAGGACTCTGGTCAAGAAAAGTTTGTGTTCTTCCTTGAGAGGAAGGGCGAATCCGTTGATGATTGACCCCAGAATTTCCAACAATTCCGCAATTCCGTTAAATCGCTCGGTTTCGTATGTGAATTGGAAGAAAACATTGTTGATAGATCGCCGAATATATGACCGCAGGTTCAAGAATTTTCCGTAAATCCGATGTAGCGTTGTTTTGAGGAAATCTCGTTCGCGAGGATCCTCAGAGTCAAACAGTTCCAGCAACTAATGAAGAGTTCAGCCCATAACAGATCTAAATTTACCAGGTAGGAGGCCAGGGTCAACAAACCTGGAGCACGAAATGGTGATCAATATAAGCCTTCGCAATGTTCGTGTTGAAATCTTGGCTTTCGATGAATCGCAAAAAGAACTCATAAACAACTTGGATATGGGGCCAGGCCACTTCCAGAACCGGTTCATCCTCCTCTGGGTCAAAGGCCTCACCCTGAGGCGTTACTGGCGGCGGAATTGGTCGAAATAGGTTTTTGGCAAACATTTCCACCACTCGAGGATACATTGGTTCAGTAATCACTGAGCGATTGTTGGCAACATAATCCAAAAGTTCGTGGAGCGCAAGTCTCTTGATCTCCTTGGACTTCATATCTGCAGTAGGGTCGTTGAAATCAAATATGATATTGCACTGATCGATTTTTTGCATGAAGAGCTCCTGGCGCCGATTTGGGGGTACTTCATGGAACCCGGGAAGTTTTTCCAACTCCCTCTGACGCTGGTCGGAAATATCAAATCGCGACGAATGCTGCCGCTTTGGGGTGCGGATACCCTCGGACATATCCTTAGGGGTTGTCTGAAGGCGGTCGAAGACGTGAGATTTCCTTGGAGGTGCCAGATCACCTGGCATCGTCTCGGCAGCACCGGGCGGAGGAACATGCTGTAAAATGGGATAAAAACGATCAGCGCTAGGACAATGTATGCAAAAGTACCGGTCGCGATGGACCGCGTGACTGACGAGGACAGGAAGGGGGTACTCACCGGTGCACTTGGGCTAATAACCACACTAGGGGCTATTGGCTGGCCTTGTTTTGTTGGGGTTCCTGGCGCTCCGTTATTCACGGGTTGACCAGCGACTCCTGCGCCCTGTGGGATAAAATATTGACCATGGGGATACGCCCCAGCCTGTGAGGCATTATCCGGCGATTTCCCTCTAGCATCATTTACCGAAGTTGTAGATGAGGTCGGAGTGCCGTGGTTTGGAGACGAAGACTGTTGAGCCGGATTGATCCCCAAGGAAGGTTGGCTCTGGGCATCTTTCTTTTTCGACGATTTATTTGCATCTTTCGCTCTCGACAACTGCTCATGCTGATCCAACGGTTAACCGAGAATGGGGATGAAAATGGCCGGCGTGGGCATCGATTCTCGGGCGGGGAAGAGGCTGGGGAACGGGGAAACGAAGACGCAGTCAACGAAATGCGACACTCACCACTCTCTGTCTGAAGCCCTTCATTGTCGCGGCTATTCGAACAGCCACATGTACTCGGTCGAGGGACTGGATGCCAGTGCAGCAAGATGCCGCACACTAGCGGGAGGGGTTGAGTGTTGGGCAGGGCGGAGGCAGATTCAGGAGGGCCACGACGGGGAGTTGTTTATGTCGGTCTGAGAATGACTACATGAGCATTTCCGACCACAGCACAGCAGGGCATAGCGCTCAAATCCGATCAATGTATAGAATGACGAAGTAGATAATTTTCTGAGCTGCAAGACTAGGAGGGGAAATATAAACAAAGCAAAAGAGATCGCACCCAAGATCGGGAGGAACGAGGAGCAGGCGGTAGGACGAAAGATCAAGCCAGCAGATGGGCCATGGTAGCACCAGGGGAGAGGGGAGGGGGCAAAACAAAAAGTGGTCCCAGAGGCGCAAAAGGAACAGGAAACTAAACGGTGATGCACGACTTACCTCGAATGGTTGGGGAGACAAGTTGGGAGGAGATGGAACGCTTGCTTTCAGTCTTACTTAGGCGCGAAACACAGTAGTGGTATAGGATAGGAGCAGCTAGTAAGTCAGTCTACGGTAGGTAGACGATCTTCTTCCGTGTCGCTTAGCGGCTAGTTGGCAACAAGTGGGGGGCAAGTGACCCCAGGAATAGGACGAGGACTGGATGGGATCGCAGCCCTCGAGGGAATCTAAGACAGGCAAAATCGAAAGCGATGAATAGAAAGTATTAGGAGATGGACAGTCTAAGCAATGAACGCAACAAACAGGTCGTTGGAGTGCGGTCAAAGAGCGTTGAGGGAAGGGTCTGGCTTGGTGTGGCTGACGAGGGAGCGCTCAGACGTCGTGGGACTCTGGGGCCCATCCTCACACCAAAGAGGAGACAGCACACACGATCGAGATAATTCCTGAAGTCCAGGCAAATGCTTAATGCGTCCTTTTGTTTTATTTTTTTACAATCAACTCCCCGTTTTCCTCTTTTTTCAACTACCCCCATCTCTCTCAATACCTCCTTTCCCCCTGGGTTGCGAAATGTTCTATTAGACTGGAATGATATCTGTAATTTATATCTACCCCTCATACCTGTAGAAATAAGTTAATTCCAGATAAATATTTCCAGGAAAGGGACCTGATGAGGATATATTCAGTGTCTTGAAAGCAGCTTCGTCCACCTCGCACTCTGTTGGCTTTGGATGTTTTGAGTCATGTGACTGAGTGTTTGGTCACGTAATGATTAATTTTGCTTACTAAGGTTATTTATCACACGTAATCGGACACCGAATGGCAAAGATTTTCACCGCCTCCCCCCAAACTCATTATTCAATTTTCGAAGCCTTTTTTAATCGATATTATTGTTATTATTATCACAATGACATCTATCTCAAAGGATGAAAGAATAAAACCGGCTATCGAAGCATGGAATAATAATTATTTTCAGTCCAGAATGCCTGTGCTAAGGTATTTGATGTCCCTTTGCGGATTTCTATCATCGACTTCAAGAAATAACTGCACACAAAGAAATACTTGCTAATGGCTGAAAATTATCCACTCTTGAAGAGGACACCTTAAAGAAATGGATTATTAGTATGGCTGAGCGTGGTCTGTCTCTAAATATCTCCCAAGTTTAATATCTTGCTGGTCTTTTTATATCTGCACTTCAAAAGTCTTAGTTGTTATCCCTGGCCTCTAGTTATCTCAGATCTAGTTAGTAATAAATGGGTTGGTCAATTTATTTCGCGCTTAAAACAAGATATTTACAATATAGATAAAATTGGCTTCCAAATGGGCGTGGTATCAACAACTAAAGTTATCTGCGGCGCGGAAACACGCAAATCTAATGCTAGATCGATCCAACCAGGTAATAGAGACTAAATTACATTTTGACTATGACTATTTGAGCAAGTGGTTGGGTTCTACCTCAAGATTATCGATTAAGTCTTAGCAAGAATGGCCGGACTAATAATAATCTGGGACTAGAATAGCTACAAGAAGTTTTCAGCAAGCATACAAGATCTCCCACTGTTAGTTAATATCGATTGCTTAATTTAAATAGTTGAATTTGATTAATACTGTATAAAAAAAGTCAATTGTTTTACTTTATATGCCTCCTTTTTTATCTCTCCTTTTTCAGCTGCTCGATGTTAGCTGTTTTGCATGCGATCGTTTGGTTGTCTCTGCGCTAAGAGATAAAACCACTTGACCATATAAAAACGTACAAGACGACTGATCGGCAGATCAGTCGCATCTAGCGCCCTACAGAGTAGCGAAGACCTTAGTCTGAGCTCCTTACTGGGTTTAACCTGTGACACAATACGATTGTTATGCAGTAAATAGCTTTACTAAAAAATAAACTTATTAACATCAGGCAGCTGATAAGCACTAGAAAAAGAAAAGAAGAGCCTAGATAGTTTATTTAAGATAAAGGCAGCCTAACTGCTGATAATGCACTACAAGTAATACAGGAAAAGGGAGGAGACAATTCAAGCACAGGCTTAGGCACCAAGGCTACAGACAACCCCCTACATATAGTAATTGCAATATCCAGGGCCATGATTAAAATTCCCCACTATATAGTACTACACTCATTATTTATAATATATTTCATTTGTATGGATAAAGACTTCAGATATTATTCAAATTGTGGGAGGTGATAGGGGTGGTGAAATCTTTGCCATTCGGTGTCCTTTGTCATTCAGTGTCCGATTATTTAACGCAATTATCTAGCTGGTTAACTAAAGTTATTACTTATTCCACAAGCAAGCGTTCCACACAAGCAAGCTTTCCACCTCTCCTGATCAGTGAAAAGGGGCTATTTAAAATACCAAAAATTATGCATTTCTATAAATAAATTAATTAATACTGCGATTAGGACATTGCAATTGACTATGTCCTACTTTATGACAATCACTGCAGCGTGGTGGCGCTCATACGTGTGGTTTAACTGTAGAAGGGCTTGTTGTACGAGCTCTTAGTTGCTTTTGAGCTGTAGATGCCCAGACTTCTCCAACTGCGCAAGATTCTAAGGTGATTTTAGCATTAAATTAGTTGATCGACTGCCTAAATAACTGCCTGGTAGTGTATGAAGTTCTAGCTGTATATTAAGCTGATTGGACACACTTAGGGCTAAAGGGACCAGGCCAGTTGCTGCAAAGCTGTTTTTAATAGTATCTGGTTTATAAGTCTTTGTGCTTGCAGGAAAGACTTCCAAAAAGTTAGTCTTGTTAATAAGATTAAAACTAAGCCATGTCTTCTTCCTTCCCAACCAGGTGGCTATATACACGCTTTAAAGGTGAGAAACAGTCAATATCACGAGGCTGTAAGAGATGTAACAAATGTGCAGGCATGTAAATAGGAATCATATTATTCCCACTGCATATCTTATCACATTTAGGTATAAGATAGCTACCATAGCTATTTAAAATAAGCAGGCAATATCTTCCAGTTGTACAGATAGCTGTTGCTGGAATAAAGGCTTTTAAAGCCAGCGTAGTATAATTTTATCAGTTGTTTGTCCATCCATTCTTACTACCTTTAATCCTCTAATCGTGTGATAAGGTGCTATTTTAATACCAACCCCCTATATGGACCTTTTCCTTAAAGATAATATAAGGTGGAACAGCCCACACTGCAGAGTTAAGCATTCAATTAAGGTAGCCCATTCTCGAGTACCTGGCTGTACAAAAATGCGATTTCCAACTGTATTAGCTCTTGTAACTACTTTAGTAGTAGCTACTATGCCTAGTGCAAGGCCTGTTTTATTAAAATTATAGACATCTATTTGTACATCTCATGCTGCCCAATAGCAATCTGTACAGGATTGAACTGCTCTTTGATAACCTTAGGTCTGTGTTTGGCACGCTGGCAATTACATCGACGAGAATATTTTGTTTTAAGCTCATTGTATCGTTCACTTATATATCAGTTTACACTAACTCTCCGGATAGGTGCGTAGCACCATGGTTAGCAAGCAGGATATTGGCTACTTTGTTTATATGAGATGGTTGGGGAGATGTTCCGCGTTTATCTAATAATAAGATCTATTATAACAGCAATTCTTCTTTATTTTGAGTTATTTTATAATTTTTGGCACATGTTTTGCTGCACATTGTGTTTCCATTAAGCCTATGATGTAGAATTGATAAAAGATATTAAAACAAGCGCAGCTTCACGAATCGACTTTATCTTTTCGTTTTTATAAGCTAATATTACAAGCTGGGTCCTTTCCTCTTTCTCAGTTGAATTATTTGAATTTCTATGCGCTTGGTGGCATGGTGGGTGGTTGAATTAAGTGAGTATTCTGATGGCAGCCAGTACTCGTGAGGTCGAACGCCCACTTGTGTGGTATATATTACAGCATAATAACTAACACAACGAAGATGGTGACAAATTTGCGCTGCATAAAGTCCTTGGTCCCTACGTTTAACATGCAAAGGTATAAATAATCTATCACCATGAATAACATCGCTTGGCCACGAAAACCTTTAGGCTCTCAATGCGATCCAACTCTGGATTATCAAAAATTCTGCACATTGCCGACATAATCTATGTAAATCACTTCTGCCTGAGGTGGATGCTGCAACCGCCCCAATGCATGGTCTCATTAGTTGCCCCAGAGTACCGAACCTTGCCTAATATCCCAGTTTAAATTGAGAGGCTCAGCACTAACAACCCAAACTCCAAGATACTACGCGCGGGTAAATTACTATTCAGTCCTCGTTATTACATGGCCACCATATGAATCCCTGTCCAAACGAATTCTGTGAAGAGAACATCCATCACTACCTCTGAAGCGTCAGTGAACTCCAGCCGAAGAACAAAGGGCCACGTATCAACTGTTCCCTGGTGTCCGTTGTTACCGAGCTAATTCGCATTCAATCTCTGTCAAATATCACTACTCAATATTGTGGATTAGTCCCAATTGAGCTGTCACAATAAAAATGCTTTTGGCCTTGCTGGAGACGCGATTTCTAAGTTTTCGGTCGTTTGGAACTCCGAGGGCGATATATCTGCCTCAGATTCCGAGAATCAACCTATTAAATCTATAATTTAGCCGACAATAGATATTTTGGCACAATGTGCTCTGTAAATACTTATTTCTGTATAATTATTGACGTCAGTATGACGAATCTCGAATCTACATATTACTAGCCAGACATATGATGATATGGTTATAGTAAAGCACCGCATATAAATAGAGAAGCAGAATGTCCATATACACTCCATTCCTACCCAACTGCCTAACCAATTCCACGACACGCTCTAAACCTTCAAGAAAATAAACAAAAATGACCCTCAAATACCTCATAACCGGCGCAAGCGGTGGCCTAGGCGCACACGACCTTGACTGCTTCGTCGCTAACTGGCCATTGTCTGAATTCGCCACCGCATCTTCCAAAGAATCAAAAAAGGCAGTTCGAAGATCGAGGAATCGCCTTTCGTCATGTGGATTATGAAGATACTGCCACACTAAAGACCGCGATCGAAGGTGTTGACAATTTATTCTTCGTTAGTACGAACGTTTTGGATAATGAGCGGAGGAAAAAGCAGCATGGGAATTTTATAGATCCCGCGAGGAAAGTTGGAGTTAAACATGTATGTTCGTTTTATTATTTTCCCTCTCCTCCGGCACATACTCTAGTCGGAATGGACATGGCTAAGTATTGCTAGGTGTGGTATACATCTCTCGCATTAAGTGGTTTCAAGTCCGATTCCCAGGCTGCAATGCTGCGGACGCATTATGAGACGGAGGATCTCCTGAAAGAGTAAGTTCCATATATTTATTGTTCAACCACCACAGAGAGTACTGATTTCCGTTAGATCGGGATTAACTTACACGTCCATCAGAGAGGGAGCCTACGCATACGCTTCCCTGCCTTCGTTAATTGGCTTCCTGATTCACTGAGCATTTCTCTCCCAACTAATAGCCCCGTTGCTTTTACCTTGCGCTCTGAATTGGGCGAGGCGTCAGCACGACTGATGATTAAAAGCGGACATGAGAATGATATTGTTCTATTGACCTCCGAACAGACTGTTCGTCCTTCGGATGTGGTTGATGCGACTAACGAGACGACTGGACCGAATGTTAAGCTCAACCTTGTCTCATCTGAGGAATTTACTTGTATTGGTTCAGAGAATGACCAGGGAAAAAGACCAAAGACATTTTTGAGATGTCGTTGTCATGGTATGAGGGGATTGAAAGGGGTGATTTGGAGACGACGTACCGTTGATGAGGGAGGTTCTTGATAGAGAGCCAACAAAGGCGAGAGAGCCAATCAGGCAGCTGCTGGCGGCTAATCCGAATTACACATGTCATCAAAATTATGCCAGCTAGTTGGGTCTTGAGGAACTGGGTCTCTCCTTTGCTTGATGTTTAGCATGAAATGTGCTCTGTGTACGTATAGTGGTGTCGCTGGGCATTGGAGTTGATGTACATAGAAAAATACGAGTGATTTCTCCATTCTCATGATTTCATGATGCTGTTGTTCTATAGCAATTTCTTCACAGTTTAGTGATGAAAGAAAAGGTAGGAGTCCTAGGTTATTGTAAAATATTTAGAAAAGTAGAGATCCAATGCCAGATTAATTGTTATGAAAATAATAATAAATGGGCTGAAAGTCTTCAAGGTTATCTAGTCTATAGTTATATTTTGTAAAGTTATTTATCCATCAGTAATGTATTTCTAAGTATATAACCAATCCTCAAGCCCAATTCATACTGCACATTGTGTTCAACTTGTCAAATATTTCAAACGATTTGAGTATCGATACTTTGGTAACATCAAGACACATATTAGAGAATACATCCATTGAATAATTTGAAAATGGAGGAAATGACAAACCACAACTGAAGGGAAAAGTACGTTTAATTATGAAGGAAAAAAAGAATGAAAAAAGACCGCCATCTTGCCCATCACTTGGGATATCTGAGAACAAGCACGCGGAAGATGGTATGGACGGGGTGGGCGCGATTTCAACACACATCATTGGGGGAAAAAGTTCCTGAGATTGCGGCAAACCGCCCGAGAACGGTGACACTGTATCATGGGAAATTGCACCAATTCGTCTTCGGGCTGGAGAGTAATAAGTGGCATAATCCCGCGCTGCTGTTGTCCTCTATGGGCAGGACAGGAGGTAGGAAACACCCGTTGACCATTGCAGGTCCTTCTTGAAGGCCGTCAAAGGCCATAGATCCCTCGAGCTCTGGTAGCACCCAGGATGGCGCGGATGGTTCCGACTGGGTTAATTGATTCATACTATCCTCAAGGTTCTGAGAAGGGGTCTTCATTTCTGCACTGGGATTTCCGATGGTGCGCTGCCAGAATGGACCTGGTAAAGTGGAAGTTTCATGCGGCCGTACGAGGTTGGGATTGAGTGGATTCCAGCGGCTGGGAATTTAGACCCTCAAAAGAGGTCCGAAAGATGTTAGCTACTTCCCTATACTACTGAACGCCCTCGTTCACCCGGAGTATACACACTGTGGGTATAACTGGGTTGCATATAGCCCCAAGAGCTTCAGCTACGCTGTCAATCAAATTCAAGTCGTCTAGCGCTTCCGGAGTCGGGTTGGTGAGAAAGTACGTGAACAGCTCCGTGGACGCTCACTAAAGGATAATGCCTTAATAACCTGATTGAATGGGAAAATAAGTAATACTCCTTTGAGCAATGCTGCCAATGAATGCGTGATCTAACTTGCGAGAAGCGATACGGGCCCTTGGGTGTGTTTCGATTGAAACACACTCTGAATAATGCGAGAGCTGCGCAATTGTTGGCCAGGGCCACGTGCTAACTGCATTCCTCGCTCTAGAACCGATGTATGAGGACTTGTTTAATGTGGAACACGTATTTCAGTTCGATCTGCAAGCCTTCCACGGTCGAAATCTCAGTGGAGCAGGCGTTCGAAAAACGAGACGCGTTATGAGCATACCATTTCCGAGAGAGACAGTCCAGCTTAACAATCTGACTCCGCTGATAAGAGAGACCCTTGCGAAAAGCCCGTAGCGAGTATAGACAGATATAAATTTCTTCCCAGATGGCCATCATGTGGATAAAGTTTCCAGCATTGCTGTATCAAGTCCTGAGCTGCAATAGTCTGGAACAACTGCAAGTCAGAATCATAAAAGTGGAGGTCAAAGAGTCAACCAGCGATGTAGACTTGCTGCTTATCTATGACGAAGACTGCCCAGTACAAATATCGCCGCTCCTCTGTATCCAAGAGGCCGTTGCTTCCCGTTAAATTACACTGCTGTAATCCCATGGATTTTACCGCTTGGGAGGCCATGTGGCAAACGGTATCGAACACCCTGCTCTCATGGTCTTCCCGAGCAACTAGGGCCTGTGGCAGGGTTGGTCTCGAGGGTCATGATAGGGATTTGAGACAAGGACCTACCAGAGTTGCCAGCGCCTGACACGAGACAATACGGGTTGCAGAAATGTACCTAGATGCAGGAAGGCTCGGAAAGAGTTGTCGAGAAAGGCAAGGAATAGCTCGTCACTCATGCCATTACGCATCCCTGGTCCAGGCATGCCACCCGGGATTGTAGGCCTAAGGCTAAGACGATGACGTTGTTGAAGCATAGATTGTATGGATCATCGGCCCTACAAACCCCGTCGGTATAATAGGCATTGATGGCCTCTTTCCACCGGAACTCAGTGAAGATGGGCAGGGTGAAATTAAAGTACTTCAGAAAGACAAGAAGACATATTTTCAGGAGATCGAGGCGGCAAGGACACTTCTTGTCCTTCAATGGAGAGGAATGGCAAATCCGCACCTTGAGAGATAGGGGGTACTGGCCATACTTAGCCCGTAATTCGCATTCAAGAATGCGTGCTCTGGGAGAAGCCCATGACCATCATTCCCTACTCTGTAAGTGGAAACGGGATTGAAATTGCCGCTTGAGGTATACTTTAAGCATTCAAGCAGCTTAGCCAACATCTGTCTCGAATTCTCAAACAAGGATCGCGCCCGATATGCGCTAAAGAAACAGGGCGTCCAGTTCCCTTGTACGACGATCTGGAAACCGCGAGATTGTTCCCACTCCGGACGGTAGAAGGACTTGCATAGAAGATCGACTCCATGTCTTCGAGATCCGAGTTGGTGGGAATCTCCAGCATCCAGACGGCACTCGATCGTGAGGCCTGTAGGGTCGACATATGTTGGACCAGCGTCCTGATGGTTTCATCAATCGAGTCGAGCCAGGAGGCCAGACTGGAGGCATCCTCAACAGTGTATATGGGATCGATCACTACACACCCTGCTTCACCATCACCAACCCATATTTATTCTTGAGCGACAGATACAGCTGCTTGGCATGATTGATCTGCTTCCCCGGTTGGGGAACTCTCACAGGGCGCCAGCCTTCTCACGATTGGGGCACTGGGGGATCGGACTGTCGCATCGCACCTTTCGTGGCTCGAGTTACATAGGAAAACGTCGCAGGGCCGACTCGCCAGTTTTTGAGAGTCTCCCAGGACTTATAACTGTCTAGAATTACTCCATCTTGATTGATAATCCGTGATTCATAGTCACTCATACTAGGACTCGCCAATAAAAGAACATCGATCGACGAGATGCCATTAGGGTTTCGATAACTTCTTAAGGGGTAGCGCAAGCCTTACCGCCGCCCCAGATTCCAGGACCGAATACCTCCCCCGCTATTTCAGACCCGGACTAGTCTCACATGGGGCATTTTCTACTGGAAGACAAGCGCTGCGCATGCTGTAGGCCCTGAAACAATGAAAAGGAGTGGAAGAAGCATGAGCGAGGATGTGATTTATTCATACTTAATTTGAAAGGGATAGCGGACTAAATACTAAATATATTTAACTAACTAGTAAGCGAGAACTAAGCGGGGTAATGATAAAATAGTCAAGAGTCAAGACATGAACCTGTAGAACCTATAGGATAGGCTAGATACTAGAAGGAATCTTTGAAGAAGGAAGGAAAGAGAAGAAAAACAGGTAACAAACTAGGAATAAGGGTCACGTCTTATAGGTCATCGAGGACCAATAGGGCCAACAGGGCCTGTAGGGACAATAGGAACAGTAGGGGCAATAGGAACGAGAGGGCAAACAGGCTCCAGCACTTTGCAATATAAAACTTTGGTCTTGTGTAGTGGCCGTTAAGAAGGAACCCCAGATATAGATAAATACGTTGGGTTGTTAAAGCTCAGTCCTGTTCTGTTCGCTGAAGAATCAAACTAGTGTGGGAATGTCTTCTTGCTCAACATCATCTGATTGTGCATCTTTCGTTGGAATATTAAGTGAAACATGTAGCTGCAGCGCGAGGCCTTTCTTGGGTGCTGACCAATAAGCACTGAGAGTTAGTGTAATGGCAGTGAGGGTAGTGGCAACAATAAAAAAAAGGTGTCGAAGTGGGAGATATAAGCACAGATGGGAAGAGGCTTGAATTTACGCTAATGGGAGAAAGGGAAACGAAAAGTATAAGCAGGCCAGGAGCGTTGCTGTAGGAACTAACGCAAAGTAGCCAAAAAAGCAGTCCCAAAAATGGATTTTTGAGAAACCAATAATAAGCGTGGGTGCCGATAAAAGGCTGGTGATTATCCAGCGTTTTTGCGTGTAGGGCTCGCAGACGAGAGTAGCCTTCTCATTCACTTCATTCTTTTCAGGGCACTGCAAGGTGCCCATTTGCACGCTGAAGCCCTGAAGCAATGAAGTACGTAGTTTATATTTCTGCTGGTGGTATTATCTTCAGGAGACGAAGTGATTCCCCCCTTAGTAGATCCACTGTATACGCTGATCATATACTTAGACTCTAGCAGTAAGTTGAACATTGCAAAAGAAACCAACATCCTGTTTTATTCTACATTGATTTAATGCGCAGTTGTGATTGTGCTAGCTTCAACTGTGGCATGGTATAATAAAGTATCTACCCATAAAGGGGGCGAAGGCAAGCTAAATATACCGTGACATAGTCCGAAGTTCAGCGTTGTTATTTAATAGGATATTCAGGCACTATGCACCAGGAACATGAAAAACCTCAGAAAAAGGGTCCCAGTCTGGATCCTCGTGTCGCTCATATTCCATAATGTTGCCGACCGTCGTGGCATCGTCCTTGCCATATGCGTATTCAATGAAAGCCATAGTGGCATCAATGCCAGCGGAAATTCCAGACGAGGTCCAAATATTGCCATCGACAACCCACCGGGCATGTGGCACCCAATTCACTTGTGGGCGCCACGCCACGATAGTGTTCCATGCCGCTTTATTTGTTGTTGCGTGTTTACTGTCGAGTACGCCAGATTTGGCCGCCAAGCCAGCTCCCGTGCAGACTGTTAACAAGTAGTGGAGCTTGGGGTATGTCTCAGCAATGTACTCGATTGTGCGATTCAACGAGGGGGACCTGGTGCCTATGCCACCAGGAACAATCATGACATCAGGGATAGGAGCGTCGTCAAAAGTATGGGTTGGCAAAATCTTCGGAAAGAAGCTGGAATTGTGAGGGTTCATTGCAGCTAACCCCGGCTCTGTTGTCACTGCATCCATGGTTTCGGAGATAAGGTACAGGTCCAGCTTGTGAAGGCTTGCGAGACGATACAGTGCTTCCAACGGGCCAAAAACATCAAGAGGCTCAAAGTCTCGAAACAATACCATTCCATAACTTCGCGGAGGTGTATTCGGCGGCTTCGGGCCAGGAGTTGGAAAAGTGGTCGTACGTGAGTCACTGGCTGTGCCAAATGAAGACAAACAGAGGCACAAGAGCCCAGCCCTGAGGAACACAGATGTGAATGCCTGCAACATTGTTGTCGGTGTTGGCCTGGAATGGATGCGGAGGAAATTTCAACAAAGTAGCGACAAAAGTCCTTCCTCCGATCTTCAGTTGTTCTTGGTTAGCTTACATAACCGACATTCATCTAAGTTAGTTAACTAGAAGCCTGCTAATTAGTTAATTAGATGGAGAGAGGGTAGGTACAAGTAACGGATAGGAGTAGGGCCAGACTCCACCCATCTGACTGGCCTTGGCACGCTAGTACGTCGATCTTAGCTTTTAGAGTGTCGAACCCAACTACGTTCTGCTAGAGGAAGTTTGAGACAAAGTTTTTTTTCTTTAAGAAAAAACAAAAGAAAAACGGAGAGACAGAGAGAGAGAGAGAGAGAGAGAGAGAGAGCAATCACTCAAAGTAATGTAGGGTCTTTGGAAGCAGCTCGATAATTTTTGTCCAGCAAACCCGATGCTCTAAGCCAGGATTCTGAATCAAGAGACGTCACAAACCATTGTTTTAGTTGCTTTGGGCCGTTTTGCATTTTTTTTACTGACCAATTGACACAAAGAAATGGAAATACACCCTCGACCATTTCAGAGACATCGCCCACACTAAAAATGAGAGTCGGCTTATTTTGCAGGATATCTTGGGTAAGATTTAGGGAGTTACTTCAATCCAAACTAATGTCAATGTTGGTATGTTGCGGCAATTGGGGGCCAGTTTGATTGATCGCCCCAATGAGAGACCATAATGTATCTCTCACATCAAAAGGGCCTCCTCCGGATTGTTGGGAGAGAAAATAAGGCAATAGTCATGGACATAAAATTAGGGTAGTTTAACAAGATACAAGTACAGAGTCAGTCATAAGAGACAATACACCCCTGGTCCTTTATGGGAGATGGAATCACCACCTAAGAAACAAGATACCAGGCCGAGAATAACTTTAGTACCAATATGGTCCGTATCTATGTTTGTGCACGTAAGGAATGCTCTAGGTCTTCAATGAAAATTATAGAAATGTAACTGCCGTTAGAAAATATGCGGTAGTTATGGGGCGTCCCGAGATATGACTAGTCGTCTTGCCCCAAATCTTTATGGCGCCTAGGTCCGGGAGCCTACATCGAGTCAACGCCCACAGCTAGGACGCCGAGCGTCAGTGACCACCGGTCTGCTAACAGTTTTGGCTTGTTCTAGTATTTAGCCACCCCAGCCTCGGTTACGGTCAGCAGGCTTGCTTGACATAACTAGGGCATCCAGTAATTGGCTGGAACTTTCTATTTTCGTCATAATAACGCCCTATACAGTATAACAAATAAACTTCCCAGGCCATGACCAATAGATAGTCACAATTAGGGGGCGGGAAGTGAGTTCCTGTACATAAACGGAAATTCTACCGAAGACGCATAATAACTCTTTAATCGTATTTACAGTCATTGTTGGCACCATTACTTTCATCCCTGGGGGCAATGATACATATAAACTTTGCTGCGGACAAATTGGAGTAAGTGCCTCTGGTAAAGTCATTAAATATTTTTACAATTGTAGCGGAAATCGCTGAGCGGAGTAGACCATTCTGGGCGTTCATCAACTTTGACTCTATTTTAATTATAACATCTTTGCTAGTACTTGTAACATTGGGCACGGTCCTGAGAAAGACTAAAGACAGTACTACAGAGCAGCGGTCTCCACCGCACTACACTCAACTTTACCACAAGGCTTAACTGGAGGATGCGCTTGTCTCAAAGACGGAGACGGATGAACGAAATAATATCCAAACGACACTTTAAATATCACAATGCCTAAGAATGTGACCCTTCTGTCAGAACGGAAGACACAATACACTAGAACTAATCCGTTGAGATGGGAAAGACATGTTGCTGATTTCGAATCATGGAAATGGGTCCTCCGATGTATGCAGACTGGGAAGATATATCTTGATAAAAGATTAAAAACGTCCGCGAATCGGGCAACGCGTACATTGAATATTTCATTCACTTATGGTATTATCTTTATTTTTAGTATCTTAGCAAGTTTACCAAACATTGTTGGAATGCTACGTACGATTTAGATAATCATGCTGCTAATGGTATGATGTACGGTCTGCATATACCACTGAGTCTCTGAAATAGATTACATGCTACTTCACCAAAGGCCATAGTTGAAACCTACTCAACACTAGGTAATAGTAAACTTTATCACCTTTGACGTCGTACTCATTTTTTAGGGTGTATCTACCCAGTTGCGTCCAAAGCAGCTCTCACTTAACTAGGTAGGAGTTTTAAATCGTTTGTCAAGGAATAGACACCGGTCATCAAAATGGTTTGATAACACCAGGCCTCTTCTGGCAATATTAGATATTTCGTAATTCCACCATTGGGCGGCTTTCCCTCGTCATGTGCCCAAATTCTAACAATTTTTTTTGTAATTGGTCTGCATTGAACTGCCACTCGCAGGCGATTACTGAAGGACACTCTGGTTTACTCGTATAGTATGTTTTGTCCTCTACTACAATTTTGTCCCCTATTGTGGGAACGTGTGACGTCGTGATGTACATCGGCAATACGTTGCTGCAGTCTAAAGAAGTTGTTGATATGGGAAAATACCATTCGGCTACAAAATGTATGTACTGTGGGCTTTATAGAAGCTCTAATAAGGTATTATAATTTGGAATTCTTTACTGACTGATGGACGGTTGGCAATATAAGTAATAGGGTTAACATCAAGATAGATTTCAGTGCTCGCTCGGTATAAGTGGACATAGGTAGGAAATTGCTATACAAATGCTAGGTAAGATCAGTAAATCTATTAGAACTAGTGGTCATTGAGTGGTCATTGATCTTCACAGAGTGGAGTTTTCGATCAGGGGAATGTATTGGGATTTCTTATCTGCAGAGCTCAGCCACCTACCTCCTTCAGCGAAACCCTTGACTTCACTACATTTGGCCTAAACTAGGCTCCGGTTTTTATCACTATAGGCAAACAGCTCTTCAATGACGATGCTTTCCGTTCAATCACTCCAAAAGCAATCCAACTTCACTAGATACCTAGTTCCATGCCTCTTCTAGTAGAAGGTAGGCAGCAAACAACCATCTGCAGTGAATTGGAAAGGTATCTATATAAGCGTGGGTTTTCTCCCTCCCACATCTTTCGTTTCTCTCTTCCATCACGCTTGGCTACTATTAGTACCTTGGTACCCTTTGTAGTCCAGTGGAATTTTATTGCCATCGTTCTTCTAATATTAGCTTGTCAATCAAGTCAGACTCTTTATTTCTTTTCCACCTTTCTTCTAATGCCTGAAATTTTCTGTAGCTTTCTTTCCAGTTGATTAATACCCTATGGTTTTACTTCTGACTTAAGCAGCTCTAGAATCTGAGGGTGGCTGATATCTTACTGACAATTAACAAGCTTGTGCTACTGTCTCCTTTACCTGACCTTTCAAATTTTCCTTACAACCAGTTACTTCTACTTCATCTCTTTGCATCCTTATCTCCCTGTATTTCTCGTCGTTTCGTTGACTTGTTGTCTCCCTATCTCTTATCTTCTTGCTGCCATTATGGATTCCGTGGACATTTCTGACTGGGATGGAAAATTGCTGCGTGTCGCCTTACAGCCTAGATTTTCTAACAAAATGTGGACCTCGTCACTGTTTCCCATCTTAGTTAGGTTAACGGGGCTTCAATTCCTCTGCCATAGTGTCCAGCAAGTTACACAATGTACACAACAAGGCAGAATGCATATGGAAATTTGACCGCCACACCCTACGATTCTCTAAACTGCTTCTTCGCATTCAAATTGTCAACTTCATTTCCAGTTATTACATCCCACTTCCTTTTCGTTGACGTCAATGGCGGCGAAGAAAACCATGAACAGAATAGAAGCTAGCCACTGAGGACAGATAGGTATCGTCACCAATCCGTACCATTCTGCGCCGCATGCCATTTCACAAGTCGCGAATTGGTGGTATTTCAGCCTTCTCCAAATGCCCCCTCCTCCCACAGTCAGCGCACATTGAACCCGGGGACAAGATGAAGATTCGGTTCTGGAGGATGAGCAACTGGGCTTAGTCGCTCAATGATTTCTTTTGGGAGCTGTTAAGCTAAATCTGTCCCTAGCCAGTCAGAGTGCATACTATCACTAGGAAGAGATGACTTTTTCGCCTCAGAATCTGCCAAACCGGTTATCCGACCTAGATTCGGCTTTCGACATATATGGCAATCTATGTCGTAAATATGTCAAGACATGATGGCAATAATCGACATTATTCTGCATGGATCAGGCATCCAGCGAGCCTTGCACTTATTGTGCATCTGAGTTGAAAGGCACTTTCCAGATTTGCATTACCCCCCCTCCTGGAGGGGTCCGTCTCCCACATGAAGGCCTGCAGCAGTTGTGTACGGAATAAAGAAGGCATCGATTGCTCCTTATGACAAGACCAAGTGGACGTTTTTCAGACAGGTGACTTAAGCGTTTGACTTGACTCTCACCACGGATTTCAGGATATTGCATTTTTGCAAGGCTAGTCGGTCCGTTCATCCCTAGCACTGATACACCGAAGTACAAGAAGTTTGAGGCATTTCCACAGGTGTCAAGTGTCAAAGTGGAGAAGATCCTGGGAAGGAAATGGCTTCGCTTCGCACGGAAACCAGGATTCTTCACGATGACGCTCAAGGAAGCCTCAGCCGTCATATGTGCACTTTCAATTGTATTCCACTAGACTAAAAGGCAACCAATGTCCCTAATTATCTTGGCAAGTCTCAGTAATAGCGAGAACACTTTTTACTGCCGGTGCGATTTGCATTTGCTCGCATGTCTGACCTACAATTGTTGCTATAGACGAGGCCACCAAGATCATGGAGCCAAAATTATGACCAGTCATTGCTTGGTTATACTAAACGCTTATATTATGCGAATGATCCAGCTACACCCCCATCTCCTTAATTAGGAATTTGGGTCATATAGGGCATAAGTCTAGGGCTATATTATAGGGTGAATTGCAGCCCCCTTATTATGTATCTACCAACATACTTACCAGCACACTTTATGGCTTGCAAGGCCTTTCAAAATGTCAAGCGATTCAGATACTGGAAATGAGCCATCTCATTCAGAGACAGAATTTTTCAATCTACGTTGCTAGAAAGCGTCCAACAGGTATTATTTAGCTCTCCTGAAGGGGCCGCTAAATGACTTCGCCGATGATAAGAACTACGTAGTTGTTAAGCAACGCTCAAAAAATCAAAAGCAGGTTATTTGAAGACCGTGCCGATAAAGTACGATAAGGGAGGGAGATATAAGTGTGCTGATCAGGCTACTCATCGACGGCAAGAAGCAACAAGTTTGACTCTGTCTCCTATTTGTCTTGTTCTTCGGCATCAGACTGACAATATACGGAATCCTGAGGCTAAATAAAAGCACCATAATCATGAAGCTGCAGTATCTTCAACACACTCAGTTCACCATCATTAAGATATAGAATCCCATGCCTCACAGGCGGAGAATCAACTAAAACTGGGGATCCAGCGGCGTCATATTATGGTGCCACTACATAAAGAAGGTGCTGCAATTGTAAAGGATCATGATCTCTACAACTTTAAACGGGGCTGTAGAAGGCACTTTCTAAATGGGCGGACTCGTATACAAGATTTTTTATCTTCGTTTCCTCAGACTGGAGACTGGATAGTCAATTACCAGACCGGTGAAGATAATACAGTAACGGCTGTGATTTTTATTCATTGAAGCTGCATGGATAAATTAAGGCAGTACAGTACAGTGTATTTTATGGATTCAACTACAAAACAAATCGGTATTGAAAGCCCCTTCTTGATATAGTTGGGTGCACAGCAACAAACCGCACATTTTATGTTGGATTTGCATTTATTTCAGATGAAAAGAGGATTCATATACACTTGCTCTACGGCAACTGGAAGCTGTACTAAATATCTTTGATATTGCATATCCAAAGATCATTCTTACTGTTAAGGATAATGGATTAATAAAGGCACTTGAAAATGTCTTTCCTGTTGCAGATAATATTCTTTGTATATGGCCCATTGAAAAGAATATCTTATCTCGACGCAGTCCTATACTACGTCAAGAATTTAACCCGCTTTGAATTCAATAATCCAGCAGAAGCAGTTGGGGATGCCTTCAACCAGAATGTCGAGAAATGAAATCTTTTCTGGGGTTCATTTATAACTGTTGTTAATGCAAATATAGAGACAGAAAAGGATGCGGCGTGGGCTAGTTTTACAGGCGAATACGCTGGCGATATCTGGACAGACGTTATCGGCTATATTAGAGATGAGTGGATGGAAGAGTCAGTTTTCTTAAGTGCTATACTAATAAGTTCCTCCATCCTGGTCAGATTGCTACTTCACGGGCTGAAGCATGCCATTGGAATATTAAAAATAGCTTCATTCCTCTACCAAGAATCTCCTTGGTACTACAGATTCGTAAAAACTGTTCTTCAAGATCAATACCGAACGGTATAGGATAGGATTCACGAGGACAGGAATCGGCGAGGTATCTACCTCCAGATTCCCCTATACAGAAGGGCATTTAATAAGATATCTAGATACGTGCTGGATACTGTATACAAGATGCAGTTACAATATCTACCTGAAGCGCAGCCAGGTAAGCAGCCAATAGACGAATGCGATGTCGTGATATACAGTACAATAGTGCTTCCATGTATTCATATAATCCAGGAAAGTCTTTAACCCATGATGCGTTGATTCTTAGTGACTTTGCAAGTCACTGGCGTCTGTATGGGCACGTGGATATGGCCCCAATAAACACACGTGAGTTGGTCTTGCAACCTGAGTTCGTACGCCGAATGGGCCAGCCAGCAGAATCGTTGAATCGAGCAAGCCAGGTTGAACCAGGAGCCTAAATCAGGCGAGCCAAGATATCTCAACCCGGCGTGACCCTTCTGCGTTTGAAATTGTATTATCACAGACGACATCACGCGGCCGCGGGCGTGGAAGAGGAGCTGGACGAGCTGGACGAGTGCCGCCGGAGATGATGGGGATTATGGAACGGTTCGATTCCGATTCCACTGATTATGCCCATTAAATGCCATACTAGATAAGGAAACAGACACTGATCAGTTTTCATTGCAAAATTTGAGCGTTTCGGAGGTCGAGGGGCCCGGCAGCCAGGTGCACTTCTTCCTCTTCCCGTCCAGCACGCGCATTCGTCTCAACACTGCCCTCTCACGGGCGAAATTTGGCATGTTCATTGTTGGCAGCCACAGTACTATAAAGGAGAGCGAGGTAAACATTGATGCGGTTGGCTCCTCCGAAAAGATTACTGTCTTACAAATGGTGTTGCCATCTACCGGGAAAACGCTAATGATCTCAGCAACATCGTTGATAAATACGATGCTATGACCTTGCCTTAAAGGCCGAATACAGGCGTTATTAACTTTCATGAAGCGGAATGGATGGAAATATTCAATAAAGTGGCTACAGAGATCAAGCCTTCTTTACCGAGATCTTGGCGTAAGATGATTGTCAACAGAGGATGCCGAAGGCTCGGAAACCCAAAGGGGACCAACTGTCTCAAACAGCATGCTATGAAACTGGCCTCAAGTATTTTGTCAACTCGAAGCCACCTTTGCCAGGGAAAATTTAGGAAGAATGTTTCAACAAATTCCACTACAGATAAATCTCTGAAATACTGACGAGTGTTCACACAAAGTATAGAGAGTTATTCTCTAAGTATGGACAACGGCGCCAAACGCAGATATTCTCTTCTCCACTCCTATACTGTCTGAAGAACAATTTTGCCAGAGTATGTCGGGACCAAAGTCGATTATGAGACGCTGGAAATGCCCGAAGAGGAAACTTGGAGTCCATGACAACCCTGCTACAAGTTCACGTAATGCCTACTCACCTCTGTGATTACCACACTGAGTATCTAGTCCATCAGCTAGCTGTTTGAGATGGCACACACGGATTTCTTACTCAAATGAGGTCATGTATCTGAGGACGCGTGTTGGATAGAGTAAGCCCGCCCTTAAACGCTCGACTAGAGGAACTCGGAGTTTTAGAGACGCTCTAGAGAGAGGGCCTGTTTACCATCCAGGATGACCTGTTCCGCTTCATCATCATGACAACCCGGACAGCTACCTCTCACGCGTGCACAAGCCCCTCGCGGTCAAGTATCGCCAGCTCCGCGTAAAGCCATGGGGCCATCGTCACGCCCGGGATGAGCGTCACACCGCATGGTATCGAACGAGCAAGCCGTTCCAGGACCTTGAAACCCTGGTGGAATGCAACGGGCTGGTCATAGTTGCAAGCGTCCGCTAATATCGCGATCTCCGGGCGGACATCGCCATCCAAATACATCAATAAGTATGCCACGATTCCTCATGCCTTTCCGGTTGCCGTGTCGCTACTCGGAGGCTCCAACAGTGATTTCTTCTAAAAAAGAGAAATATGGTCACCGACTCCCCTACTATCAGCCCTCCTACCAATGTTGTGGTGACTCTACTTTCTTAAATGAGGGGTTTTACGAATGGAGAGAGGCTTCCATGGCTGCAAATTCAGAGCCCGTGGTGCTTGGTGTGGCCGAACGGTATTTTTCCTGTTGAAAGAAAGCCTTCTAGCTGCAAACATTGTTTTCACCTCATATAAAGCCCACTGGATCAGGTATATCGATTACCCGGATCGCCTACATGGCACTACCCAACAGTTGGAACCAAACATGTTCCTGTACCACCGATTTTTGATGCATAGATACAAAATTTCTTCATACATAGATTGTGGAAAACATGGCTTCCCGTCCAGCTATACTTAAGCTATATTAGTCTGCACAGTCAATTCTTGGAGAGCTCTCTATAATCCAATATCATTCATTAATATGAAAAGAGAAGCGTGGAATGGGCAAAACATCTCTGTGAGCCATATTGAGAATAGCATAAGATGCTAATTAGAATCCAACATTCAACATTTTGTGCTGCAATTGCGAAGAAGTATGTCGGATCTGAAATATATGAGTGATATCCGAGGGTGGCTCAGATGGATTCAAGAGTCATAATTATTAATTGAATAATGACCGATCACGGGACATGAAAATTAAGTCGATAATCAAAAGGTATACTTGCAATTTCATTTAATTTGAATAGGATAGAAAGATAATAAGAGAAGTTCTTATACATGGTATATTTATAAGATAAAAAGACAACAGGAAGCATAGAGATGAAAGGGTAGATGACGTATGACAAAATGAGAAAGAGCGGCTAAGCTATATTAGGACTAGTATTAGTCACTTGACTCGTGATCATGAAAGCGGCAATGTATCCAGATGGCTTGTCATTTAATCGACTTAACTTGATGTTCTTGTCTAACCGAGATGCTAATATCTGGACTATCAGACCTTAAAGCATACTGCCTTGATTTAACATTTGTGCGGTATATCAATACTATTTGACAGCTTGTGATATAATCCCATTCACTTTACCGGATAATAGCTAGCAAGGTTCCTTTGGACTGTCTCGGTTGTGAAAAGCATCTCACACATTCATAATAACACTTTATTCCTGCAAATCACCATGGAAAAAAGCAGAGGGTCTGAACAGCATGGCCCAAGAACGGCACCTTTCTATTCAATCCCACCTCGGCACCTTGTCAGCGTTGAGCATCCCGCTATTATCAAGAACGTTGACAATGCCATTGCGACCCTTCAGGGTGATGCCGGTATCTCGAAGGTGGGTTCAAAGAAATAACTTAACAAATACAACGCTTCGCTTCTGACGGATAATAGATCTTGAATCCTCCCAAGGCCGACACACCTGCCAATCTTCATCTGCGGCCGGAGGATGCCATGTCAAGGCCTCTCCAGTCAACCAGTACACCATCCAACAACATCTTGTTAAAGGTGACCGTCCCTAAGCGGACAGGTCGTAAGCGTAAAAGGGGAACGGATGAGCCATTTACCGGTCCCCCCGTCACGACCATCCCCCAAGAACCTCAACGGCCGAGTGCAAGGCATCTCCTACGGAGTCTCCGTGATAACGTAGGAAGCTATCAGGTGGAGCCGGTCGGGACGGTTGACCGGACCCATGTGTTTAGAGGTTCGTTCAGACCGTACTTGATCCTTTTGAATATTCGAGCTAAACTTTCATCTAGGCATGCCTGATTTTGTCTTCTCAACAACCGCCAACCAATTCGCCAATCGGTTTCGAGACCAGATCCTGTCCTTTGACTGTATGACACAAATGCTCTTACCATTGAATATTTAATAACTAATCACGTTCCAGATGACAAAATGAAACAATTCGACCTTGACATGTCCAAGGGCGCAATATCAAACGTTGAAGTCTTCCCGCCACCATCTTTCAGCCACGGGGACCTCCCATTTGGATACATGTACGCCTAGTCTAGAATAGGGCCACTTCATTTTCAATCTTCTAACGTCTTGCTATAGATACCGTCAAAACCCCACTGTTCGTCAATCCGTCGATACATCCGGCAACATTACCACGATCAACACGCAACAAGCCGCCAAGGTGCGCACACACCTGGTCGCATACGACGTCGCCGAGGTACCCACCAAGCCTCGCGAGAGCTGTCCCCCCATCAGCTCCCTGGAAGAAAACCTCCAGGAGACCATCAGAGCAGTGGAAGAACTCTTCACTCAGCGACCAGCCTGGACGCGTCGCGGGTTACGCAACTCCCTCAAAACCGGAGACCAGCGCTACCTACTCCGCCACGCCATCCCTTACGTCGGCTACATCTTCCGGTCAGGACCCTGGCGAGACGCCATTGTGAAATTCGGCCATGACCCTCGCACCTCACCTGACTACCGCATCTACCAAACTCTCATGTTCCGGATTCTTCCCCGCGAACCGGAAGTCGCGCGTGACGGCGCGGGCGGTAGACGACACACACTACCTCGACTCAACGAGGCCAGCTACAGCGCATCAGGCACCGACCCCGTGTCCACAGATACCCACCTCTTCACTGGCCAACTACCCCTCGTTGTTGACGGTCGTATGTGGATGTTCTGCGATATAATGGACCCATTACTCCGCAACATACTTTTCCCACCGGACCCTCCACCTGCGGGCTTCCTGCGCGAAACCTGCGAACCCGTCTGCGACGGGTGGTTCGGGGGCGGCACCCTGGCCAAAGTTAAGATCATCATGCGTACGAAGATCCTCTCGTTACTCGGGGGTCGCGTCCCCGATGACGCGGACTTTGCTCGTGTTGTGAACTTCCCGGACCACGCGACACCAGATGACTTGATGAGTGGGTTTATGCTAGATGGGAAGGAGGTGTCGGCGCGGGAGATGCAAATGGCTACGGAGATTCGGGCCTCGCTGAAGGGTACGGCGTCTTGGAGGGGAAAGATGACTGATGGGAAAGCGGGAGAAAGTCTCAGACGGGGACAGGAACCGGATGACGACGGTGAGTATGATCAGTCAACGCAGAGGGATACCGCCGGATCTACAGGCCGTCGCGTCCAGTGGCAGGACGAGGCGAGTGACGAAGAGAGTCAAGGGGAAGAGGAGGCGATTGAACAAGAAGAGATGCTGGAAGCGCAGGTAGCCGAAGCTGCGGAATCAGTCAGCGCAGCACTTGGAGAGGAATACGAAGATCAGGGGTCCGAAGGAGAGGATAGTGATGATAGCCAGACCCGAGATTGACCCAAGATTCAGCATCGAAAGTGCGAATGACGAAAGACTGCGATATTCATCATATCAATTTAATTTGATTGACTAAAACTATATACATCATAAGCCATAACGACACGTGAGACGTTCTCGTTCATTAGTTGATACAGACATGGCATCATTCCATCCAAGGATTCGGAGAACAAGAATAACCAAGGCAACGATGATAAGGTACCTGGGACTGATAGGAACATTCTGGCGTTGGCTGAGAAAGATTGGGAGATCCATCGAAAGACCAAAGGGCTAATGACAAAAGAAAAATACGGCAACAGGCGAAAGGGTGCACAAGGTACAAAACAAAAGACAATAATCGGGTATCGCAATAATCGCAGAGACAGGCCCAAGTGCAAGAACAGATAACGCCACCTGGATTGTATGCGCCACCACCCTCGAGTTTCAACGCCAGTGGATCAGAAGTCAAAGATAAGAGGATCAAGCTGAGACTACTTCTGGTTCCACGAGTGAATCTTTCTCCACCTCGGCGGCTTCTTCTGCGGCACTTTCACTTTCCCAGATATCGACTTCCGCGTCGGTGGTGCGGGCTTCCATGGGCTTTGCAGGTGCTGTAGCTTCCAAGAGAGAGGAAATCGACGACACACTGGAGAGCTTGCTGCGGATGGGATGAGAGCTACCTGTATCTCGCGAAAAAGGAGAAACGGATGGCTTCGCTTCCAAGGGGGGGCAACTTCGTCGTCATCATAAACAATAGCATAGGAAAAGGCGTGGCAATCTTCGCCATAGTAGTCGGCAGTATTGAGCTCACCCAGTGGAGCGCGCGATTCCTCGAGCATAACCGACTTCCGAGCAGCCGCACTCGGGGACTCCTGCTGGAGAGAACGAGGCAAGTTGATGCCTAGATCTGCAGGGGGGGATGTTCTCCTTGCCGCGAGTGGCGGACTCCACCTTGTCTTCATCGTCACTTATGTCTAACACGCCAGTCGAGTGCTGCATCAGGTTGGTCATTTCCTCCTGCTGCGAGTCCACGTAAATGTCGAAGGACCAGGACGCGGGAATTTTAGTGGCGGGGCTTTTAGTCTTCCCATTGGACAAGGCAGTGGCAATAGAAAATGGACGATGGACGCTCTTTTTAGGGGCCGGAGTTGGACGAGTTTTAGCAATTGTCGAGCGGCGAGCGAATGGCTTGCAGGGTCTAGCTTGCGGAGAGCGGCCCGCGGGCTTCGGCACGGGTGCGGACTTGGGCGTGGATGGGGTTTCCTTGAGAGGTGCAGGAGACACGACGGGGGTCAATGCCATGCGCGACGCCTTGATCGGCTTCGATAGGCCCTTGGTGGGCTCGTGGTCTTCATCAGTACCACGCTTGCGCTTTGCCGAGTGCTTACGGCTGGTAGGATCGATGTTCTCGGAGTCGATGTCGAAGAGCGGCTGACGCTTGCCAGACATGATGGCGCCTATTTATCCAACAGATTAGGAATCCGGTACCTTCCCTACTTGTCAGCCCGGGTGGTTATGACGTACCATTCTGTTGATTTTGGACGTTCATCTTGGTCTTCAGCAAGGAGCGCATTCGCGGGGCATCCAAGCTGGCAAAAGGCTGTCGCACCGGCGTAGAGGTCATGGTGAGCGTCGCCATGATGGAAAGGAAGACACGAGATCAACTCGTGTGAATGAATATTTATTATGCCCACTTAGTTAGGCAGAGGGAGGAGATAGGCAGAGAGTGGGTTTGGTTTGTTTTGGTCGCGCGGGAGTGGGGGCAACGATGATTGGCGGTCTGGTGTATACAATAGTATAGTAGTAGGTATAGTACGAGGAGAATATACAGATCACACCTCGAGTGCTGAGGGGATGAAGAGAAAAATGAGACGAGAAGAGGCAGAGGGGATTATAAAAGACGTATAGGAGGCAAGGAAGGCAAGAAGAATGGAGAAAATGGAGGGCAGGAAGTAAGTCACGCAGGACTGAAGAGTGCAGGTATTTGGGAGCGCGTCCAGTTCGTGTTGGCGATGCGAGGATTCGATTCGATTGATTGGGGGATGCAAGGCGCGTCAGCAATATTATTCTTATATTATTCATCTTACATTATTGCTTATCACTATGCTATTATACTATTATTCCCAGAAAAATCAATTATTTGGTTTTGCTTATAGTAACGATGGAGAGAATATTCCATAACCGCCCAATAATTAAGGCAGCCCATCGCGTCCAAACTTACCACCCATACTGTCCACAGGTAAGCCGCCTCTGTAATCATCCCTTCAACGCGTCTCCATCACGACCCTTTCTTGCCTTCTCTATCTTTCCCTTACAGATGATTAGTTCCCTCCATCCGTCCTTCGCTCTCACTCGAACACGTCTTCCATGTTTCACGGTGCTGCACGGCAATGCATCCCTTCCGGAATAAAACAGGAAACGGAAAGGGAAAGATCATAAGTAGTACGGCGTAGTCCGTACAATAAAACCATCGCCACATTGCTGTTCTGGTTTAAGGTAAGGATTGACAGAGTCTAAATCTGCCGATCAATTTATCTATTTTAATTTCTGTAATCTCTCTTCCCAGCCTGTGTTTCATCCATCCTACCCCCCGATATGAAACCGCGAAACCTGCGAGGTTCGACCTCCACGAGGAAGAAGATTGATGATAAGAATAACATAACATCATCACGAATCCGACAAACCATCTCTACCGTACCACTTGGCCAGTCCAGACGTGGCGAACGTGCACTCTACGCGCTCGGTCGCAACGAGGGCTGCTCCCTCGCGGCGCTTCGGGGAATGTGCACATCATTTGATCATGAATCAGGATCTCCGTTCCATTCTTCGCACTGCTGGCCCGTATGATATTTGAAACATGCTGGGTCTTTGCCACCGCGGATCAGCAAGGTTGACGCCTACTCATTTGGCTATCAAATGTCCCCTTCCTATTTTTGTCGGGTTGCATTGGAAGTTAGCTTGCCTGGGTGCGTATTCGAGGTTTCTCGAGTTAGGCGACTTGGTCCCCATGGAGCTGGCTTAAGTCGATCTTAATGTTATCGTCGGTCCCTAGGATGGTGTAGCCTAGGGCTTATACCCTCTCAGGCACCGTCTATGTGTGCGCCTGTATTCTTCTCGATACACTTTGAGCTAGCTTACGGTTTGAGCACTAAAGGACCGACAGAATTGAGTATCTAGAGAGTCTATTTCGTTAACTCAATTTTGATTCCCAAAACGTGAAAAATTTTAGGCTATGCATTCTTGCAATTTTAACAGACTGTCCTACATTACTCCATACAACCCCAACATGGTTCGAGCCAACAGAATGACAATGCTGAGCATGAGTATCATCCTGTTCTCAAATACCATCCCGAGAACCAAAATATCGCGACTAACAGTTCAGGCTACCGTATGTTAGCGAAGATACCCAAGATGAAACGAGTTCTTACTTCACAAGAATAGATTTCGGCTCGGTATACGACTTCAGCCCATAGAGACCGAACTCACGGCCAAAACCCGATTGTTTCGACCCTCCAAATGGCACCTGATAATCCAACATAGAGACGCAGTTGACGCCCACGGTACCACTTTCCAGACGCGAGCTGATTCTCAGCGCCCGATTGATATCCTTGGTGAAGACCGCGGCGTTCAGCCCATACTCAGTGTCATTTGCCATCTGAAGGAAGTCCTCCTCATCCTTGAAAGTGCGCACGCACGCCACAGGACCAAATATCTCATTTTTGTACACAGATGCCTGCGGATCGGGGTTGTAGAGCACCGTGGGTTCGAAAAAGCAGCCCTTTTCACCGTGCCGATGGCCCCCGACCAAGACCTGCGTTTTGCCCGCATCCTCGGTGAAAAACGACTGCACTCGAGCCAACTGTGCCTGGTCCGCCAACGGACCATATTTCGTATCGGCGCTATGGGGATCCCCGATTCCGTCGGCTGCCGCCTTCATGCTCTTCACAAAAGCATCGACGAATTCCTCAGCAATGCTTTCCTGTACATAGATGCGACTCGCAGCGATGCAGACCTGACCTGTGTTTTTCGTGATGGCATCTACCGCCCACTTGACGGCGTTTTCTAGGTTGCAGTCTTCGAAGATGCCTGCCGGGGTTTTTCCGCCCAGTTCAAGCGTCACACGCTTCAAGTTACTCTCTGCGGCTGCTCGTTGGATCTTTTTCCCCGTCAGTCCAGAGCCAGTGAAGCTGATCTTCCGGATTTGGGGATGACGCGCAAGGAGCTCCCCCGTAGCACCTGCGCCGGTCAGAACCTGTACCACACCTGGGGGAAGGATGTCTGCGACGAGAGATGCGAATCGGAGCGCACTCAAGGGGCTTTTCTCGCTAGGTTTGAGGATCATGACATTCCCGGTTGCGAGTGCCGGTGCGGTTTTGACAGCAATCAGAGCCAGTGGGCCATTCCAGGGGAGAATCCCAGCACATACACCGAGAGGCTCGTGCTGAACAATCTTCAGGAATCCGTCGTCGGCGGGAAAGGTATCTCCGGCATGCTTGTCTGTCCAGCCAGCATAGTCTGATCCGCGTTAGCAAGTATTGTGTTGTGATTCATAAACTATTTGGGAGGCATAGGGATATATTTATACATACATTCAAATAGATCGGCTGCTAGTTGCACCTCGGCCAGTCCAGAGTTAACAGGCTTCCCCATAGTAACTCGATCCAACCAGGCGAGCTCCTCTTTATGAGCCAGCATCACTTGGTAGATGCGCATCAGAGCCCGTCCTCGTTCTTTGGCTGTAAGGCCTGCCCAGGATTTGCTGCGAAACGCAGTTTGAGCACTCGCTACTGCACGATTGACATCGTCTTCAGCGGCATATTGGAGCTTATCAGTAACGAGGCTCCCATCGACGGGACTATAGACGGAAACCCGTTCCGACGAGCTTGAATCTGTATACTATTCTTGACTCAGTTTAGATACGTCACGAGTATGGCATGAGACCAACCTCGCCGTTGATGAACAGCTGAGTAGGGATCGGGAAAGCGTTCTCCGTGGTGGTCATTTTGATCGATGGAAAGGATCTGTTGTAGCAGCCCTATCTTTATTGTAGCTGCTGTCCACAGACTTATCATGCCTTCACAAACTATTTATCCCTCAGCTATGACACTGGCTTACTCTGCAATCCTTTTCGCCGATCCGATATCTCCGCGACTCATACCGAACGAGCCAACGACAACTTCTGCCCCGCCCAGCCCCTCACTTCTGGATCCACTGCATCAATGGCCTGATCATGGGGACGATCCCTCTTGGCTGCGTACTTGTTGCATAGATAGTGTCGGAGTTAGGTTGCCTTCGGAGTGGGTCAGAATAGATCTTGCTTGCTTGTTCTGAATCGGATTTCTGAATGTTGTGTTTTGCGAGAGACAAATACTTAGTACCTAGTTAGTTGAGCAAGGATTGATCATATCTGGTAGATTGCTCTGTTGGTAAATAAGTACACAAGTACATAAATACCCCGTGCATGCATGATTGTGATACAGCAATGCATAAAAACTGAGTTCTCCGTAGATGCCTCTATTAATTCGATACGTTTCTACTTGGAAGTAGAATACCCGGGATAATAGTCACCCTGGCTCCCCGTGTTCCACAGGTTCGTATAGCTGTTTAACGTAGATTGGAAAGGCCCAGATCTACTTAAACAGCATAAAGATATCCTCATGCAACAAATTCTCAGTAACCGCCTGCGGGAACACTGTTTGTATCAGAACTGAGGAAGGCCAAGGATTTGGATCTCGGAATCCCGGATGCGTGAATACATACAGCTACCAATCGGTCGGCGTGCAGATGAATAGGCATATCACGTCCTATTTGAGGAGAAGTCCCGTGAGTTAATCAGAAAACACAGCATCAGATAATCGAGCTTAACCTTCCCCTCTCCCTCCTTAAACTAAACACCATTATAATGTCCATGACATCCAGAATATTCACCATCACAGGCGGCGCATCCGGCATTGGTGCCTCAACAGCACGTCTACTCGCCCGACGAGGTGCAAGAGCCATTTGCGTGGGAGATCTCTCGACCCAGAACTTCCCCGATCTCACCGACTCAATCAAGAAAATCAACCCATCGACGGAAGTCCACTGCACCACTCTAGACGTGACTTCTTCGTCAGCCGTCGAGAAATGGATCCAGACTGTCGTTTCGACCTTCGGTGAATTACACGGCGCCGCCAACGTCGCGGGGATAATCCAGCCGGCGGAAATACGAACGACACCGAATATAAATATACTCAAAGAGGCCGACGAAGCCTGGAACCGGGTTCTCCGCGTTAATCTCGACGGCGTGTTTTATTCGACTAGGGCGCAGGTCCGCGCCATGAAGGACTTGCAGCCTGCGGATCGGAGTATTGTTAACGTGGCGAGTGTCGCCTCCATGATGCATCTCCCGCATGGATTTGCGTATGGTGCGTCGAAAGCCGCCTGTGCACATTTCACAGCCAGTGTGGCGAAGGATACGTTCCCGTTGGGGATTAGGATTAATGCGGTTTCGCCGAGTATGTTTCATTATTATTTTGGTTGTTGTTATTGTTGTTGTGGTCTATACTGATCTGCTAGCCGCCACGGCAACACCCATGTTGGGCAAGTTTCTCCCCGATGCAAAGACCGAGGACGACATACGCAAGGTGTGTAAACAGTATGGACTGCCGCTGGTCGAAGCGGAGGATATTGCTCGGACGATTGTGTGGCTTTTGAGTGAGGATTCGCGTCCTGTGTTTGGGGCGAATATCAATGTTGGGGCGGCGATTCCATAGGTATTGGATACTTGATTCTCGATAGGAGGGTAAGAAGAGATATAAATGAACAAGAAATGGAGCTGATTTAAAGGCTATAATTAATCCAAGCTAAAAACCTTATAAGCCTTTTCTTATTGATCACATCGGGGGTATCCTCGATCTTTGCACTGTCCAGGATGTCTATCACCTTGTTAGATGGACTACAAGCAGCCAGGGTGTACTCACATGAACAGACACAAACGGAGGAAACTTCTCGAGCTGATCATGTTTCGAAAGAGGCTCCCACATCGCGTAAGCCGTCCAAGTCCCTTGCAACTTCTATTCATTCAGTTCCGTCTTTCTCGATCTCGTCCACGCTGATTCCCTTCCCTTCTCTGCAGAGTGAATTGCATGCCAGAAATTCCTGCAAATCGTTAACAGAGAAGATGCCATGAATTAGTATAAATAGACTGCCATGACAGTATATATTAGCCCTAACTGAAGCCCAAGACCACCCGAATCACCCATTCATGCAAGATGTATATTACACAATCCATACACAACCCCAGCCATTAATCACCACATAAGTATTATGTATCAAGAATATACTAAAGAATACCTAATACTGGGATTAATAGTATGTCCTTGAACTAAGCCCCCCCAACGTGTGATCACCAGATCTACCCGACCCTTACCGACGTCAATCAACGGCCAAAATGTCTTACAAAGATTACTCACCATAATATAACACCTACATAATAGATACGTGAAGTAGAAAAATTCCATCAACAATCTACCACACTGTGAAATATTTCGCAATTACCTCGCAAATAGACAAAATAAAAATTTAAAATGAAAAAGATAATTCCGATGCGGGGAATCGAACCCCGAGCTGCTGTGTGAGAGACAGCGATGTTAACCATTACACCACATCGGATATTATTATGCTTCTTCCTCAAAGAATGCTCTATAAGCATTATGCCGCAATCTTCCATACACATAATTCTCCTGGCTCGAGTAATAGGGGATCATTTTATATAACAGGTTTGTGGTATTGCATTTTATAAATACTACCCTCGCATGTTGATATTAAGCTATATTTGCTCGTGAGCTTCCACTATTGACAACTAGATCTGCATCATGTACTTGAGATGCATGATCAAATCTAAATACAGAATATATTCACGTCCTAAAATTAATCTCCATCTCATCCTCCTAATCATGTCCTACACAACACACCCTTCCCCAACCAATCTACCTATATATAGGGATGGATCAGCTCCCATTGATCTTAATGAAAGTCCTCGACTCCCCCTCCTCCAACTCCTTTCCAGTCTGCGGATCCTGACTATTCGGTCCCAAGAGACGGAAAAACCAGTACGGATTACCGAAACTCCCCACCTCGGCCTGCTCATACTTAATGCCCCATTCAGTGACGTTATGTGCACCCAGGAAGATCCCGTCCTGGGGTTTTCCATCCACTGTGAGCCGATACGCAAGCACAGGGTTGCTATACTTGTCCTCCAGACCGTACATCAACGGCGCCGAGTATGGGATATTAGCTACTCGAACGCTGCGCCAGTCGTATCCGCTCACGCCGTAGGGAACCCAGGCTTCGATGGAGTTCGAGGCGTCGTTGCATCGGAGGGGGTTTTTGGCGATGTCGTTGCGGTGGGCGATGGTGATCTTTTGATTAATATGTTAGTTTTATCTACCATGGAATGATGGAGGGTGTGAGGGATATGTGAGTTACATAGCCCTGATGAACTCCGTTATCACCCGCAAGAATCCGATACACAGCACTGCTGCCGTATCCCTCAATACTGCAGGGTTCGTTGGACGCCGTGCTATTCACGCATCCATTCACTTCGATGGTCCAGGGACCGGCAATGCCCCTCGAGGCATCGTAACCCGGTAATGCCGCGCAGCCGCCTTCCAAAGGGACGATGCTGACTGACTTGGCAACGGCAGTGCCGAGGAGGGAGAGACCAGCGAAAAGAAGGGCCATCATATATAATTATCTATGTGATAGGAGACTAGACAAGAAAGAATGAAAAGAGAAGAGTAAGGGGAAGGGGATAATTTATAATAGTTGGATTATGGTATTATCCTTCTACATTGGGAAAGGGTTGGCAACCTTGTAGGCTACAGTCGCTTCCAGGCAGTACGGAGTTAAGTGCGTGGTTGAATCCTTTCGAAATGTCCGATTTGGCCCTGACTTTGGGGTCTGGAATCCTCATTTCGGGGTGGTAGTGCTAATTAATGGGCGCATTTTTAGTTCTATGGTAGGCTAAGGATGACTATTTGAAATGTTGTGGGAGTTAGCACTGCTGACGCATTTCAATTAAATATCTTGACCTGGGTGAATTTATTATTTTTATTTTTTATTCCCATTTTATCTTCTTTTCATTCTCACTTTTCATTCTTTCTCTCTTTATTCCTTTTTTCTGGTTTCTACCAAGTCAATCCATATCTAGAGGAATTATAGCTAAGCATTTCTACTGGCCCTAACAACCAGTCCTGTGTTTCAAGCCTGCTCTAATTGACTACTTTACAAAGTTTAACATCTCTCAAACGGACTACGGTATCGACGAAAAACATCCAAAGGCTGAGCTATTCCCAGAATATTCTCCAGTAAGGCGCCATAATCCCAGCCCAACGCCGCAGCAGATATAGCCGTCAAGCCCGCCTGATCCTCACGTCCGGGACGACCGGGACCAGTCATATTCTGTAATGGTTCAGTTAGCCTCGCATGCACGTTCTTATAAATACAGACAGCTATAAGCATGAACTGACTTACCGGCTTCATATTGATATCAAAAAGAGCGAATCGGGATCCCTGGTGGAACCGCCGTACATCGATCCGGATGGGGGCAGTTGCCCTGATAAGCTGGGCTACCCGTTCAAATTGACGCATTACATCGCTGTAGGCTGGGTCTTTCATTTCTTCGTCGGTGATAACTCGAGAGTTGGTGGTTACTGCGACGACGCCGTTATACGGAGCAACCCCCTCCACATGATTGAACCGTATCACTGGTGTCATACTCCAGTGCTGAGGTCGGCTCGAGGAGGGAGACTTCACGGTGATTGTGGCCTCGTTACCAGCGAGGAGCTCCTCTATCATGACCAGTGGAGATTCTACAAGTAGGGCCTCCACATGGGCCTTCAGGTCTGTGGGATTATGGCATACTTTGACGCCGTGACTGCCCCGGCCGCGAACTGGCTTCCCGACGATGGGATATTCATCCATAGAGGACAGTAGCTTGTCAAGGTTGTCTGATGTCGTGACCAACCAGGAACGAGGTATGACAAAGGTACCCAGGCCCTGGAGTTTGTCGTTTAGATAGGCTTTGTCATCACAGTTCTTCACTAGACAGGGAAGTTGGCCTACTATGGATATGCTCCTGGCATAGGAATCCAGTTTTCTTGAAATCTGGAGTGGATGGGATGAAAATAAGACCGTATTGGCCCATATATGAGTGGCTCTTCGCTGGACGGCGGCGGATATGCCTTCTTCGGTATCAGGGAAGCACCAACCTTCGTGGGTAGATTCATGTGGTGAGGCGCTTGGAGTGATGACATTGATGCCTTTTTTTCGTAGGGTGTAAGCGATATCAGCCCCTGAGTCCTGATATCCTGTCTGTAGTGAGCATGTGGATCTTGCAGATTTGCATTGAGATGTAACCAAGATATAGCTTGGGCCCTGGCTCCCTTAAGAATTAGATAACCTGTACTTACCACCCAACTTGCGAGGTTTCCGGGCACCATTGATGTCGGGGGTTTCGATATCCTGGAAAAGCACCGCCATGGTCGGGGAGGCATGAGTGGACAGATGTCTATTCAGTGAACTTCCTGCGATGGAACTCAGAGAACGGGACGAAGCGCGCCTAGAGGTGCGGAGGACAAAACCCGACATGATGCTGAAGATGGTATTCCTGTGATTGATGGAATTGTGGATTGCCTATCCCAGCCAGGTGGAATAAGACAATCAAAATAATGAGGAGAGAAGACGTATGTGAAGGATCGCATTAGCCAAGTGGATCGATAGCCCTAGTCCAACGGAGTCTCGCCGTATCATCATCGACGGACATTGTTGAATGTCTAGTCCATGTGGGGATTAATCTTCTATATCATAGGTTATTAACAGGTGCTATCTGACATTGACTGAGAGCTAGAGAATTGTCAATATCGATTGGTAATCGTGTGAAGGGTCTTATAGCCCTAATCTCGTGTAATCGATTGGACTGGTTTGAATAAGAAATGTTAAAAAAAAAAAAAAAAAATTAACAGACCAGCTTTGGATCAATCTATATGATAGTAGTTGCCTCCAGCAAAATAAAACTGGTAACGGGACCTTGGAATGTGGATATGAGAACCCTATTATGACGACATAGCATGACGATCATGGCCTTGGATATAAAGCCCAATCAATCCATACCACCACACAAAGGATTGAATATAAATCATTGAGGATATGTAGGGGGAAAAATTACTACGTCCCAGCGAAAGCACAAGGAAGCCATCATTGGCTCAGGAAACTGGTACAAAGTATCCAATTCAATCCTTGGTTCACATAACTACTGCGTAAACCTTACCAACGACGACCAGGGGCTCAGCTATCGCAAAGATCACCGCTGAAAACACCCACAAACTTCCCGATATCTTCGAGAAAGAGGTTCGCATGTGGGTATTCGAAGAGGAGATCCAATTCCCCAAGCAGTCGAGACACCATGCGCAACTCTGCGACAACCCTATATACTGACACAAGTCAACGACGTATATGAAAACATCAAATATCTGCCGATTATCAAACGGCCCACGAATGTGATTGCCGATCCGGATTTGAAGACCGTCGTCCAGGACGCGACGCTGCTCGTTTTCAACCTCTCGCATCAGTCTATCGCGAAGACCCTGGATCAAATCAAGGGACATAATCTGCCGTATGCATGGGCCGTCTACTGTATCAAGGGGATCGAGGTCTCGGATGGAATGGTGACGTTGTAGACTGAGTTAATTATGAAGAAACTGGGGGTGTACTGCGGGGTGTTATTTGGCGCGAACATCGCCGGTGAAGTCGTTGCGGAGAGATTCTGCCAAACGACCATCGGATATGATCCTACTCCTCTGGATTTGAAGGATCCCAATGGCACTTCATCCCGAGATAATCATCATCTCGAGCCCATGCCACATGACTATCCGCGTGTGGACTAGAGCTTACTCGAGCGGCTATTTGAACGGCTGTATTTCCTGGTGCATTGTGTTCGTGATGTCGCTGCCGTGGTATTGGGCGCGTTGAAAAAAATCGTGGCTCTCGTTGCGGACTTCTTGGTGGGAAAAGGATAGGGAGAGAATGGGAAGGTGGCGATCATTTGGATCGGGATCCTAGAGAGGGTGCAGTTCGGACGATACTGGTTCCCTATGTCGGTGGATGAGCGAATATTCGCTGAAGAGAGCGCCAGAATGGCCGTTCTGGTGGTCTCATGTAAGCATCTAGTGAATGGGCTATCAGAGAATGCAGGATAGTTAGTGGCCAATCCCATAGAAAAAGATTAGGATAAGGCTGTAGCTCGCTCTGTCCTTCCTCTTCAGCCGACTCATCTAGACCTAACCGTATAATTGCCCTGCACTCACTACCTGCTATGCCCATGGAATTGTCCTTTCAAGCGTGAATGATTCAATCAATAGTCATCATGGTCATCATGACTAGAATGGCCGCATTGAGTATTTAAGGTCGTTCCTTCTCCAGGACTTTTCTTTCAACCTCTCTCATCACTATACTACATATTTGGCTCTCTCTTCAAATAACGAAAAACCAACAAAACATCCTTTTTTATTGGTTTATATATACCTGGCCTGCTCAGGTCTCGCTATATACCATGGCGCTTCCGTAGATGCCAGCGACGACAGGCTCACAGAACTCGACAGGCGCACGTCGAGTCGAGCCAGAGATGCCCCTGGCAAAGGCATCAAAGCTCGCTGCTCCAAGCGAGTAAAAGATAGAAGCCCCTCTTCCCATCCCGCGAAAAGAAGAAAGCGGATGGGCGAGTAAAGCACAGAGAATTATCGACGCGCCAGATACGACGGGTGCACCACGATCACGCCTCGAAAGGAGGCACTCCGCTACGCCAGTGATGTATTCACCGCATAGTTCGCGGCCCTAGAAAAGAACCATCATATTTTCCGGGCCGACGGATCAGAACTGCGGAGTAACGGAGGCACCAGCGCGAGCGTGGTCTACAGCGTCGCCCCCGAGATCGAACGGTATGTAGATCGAGGGTAATTATGAGTGTCACGGATCTAAAAGGGCCCCACAACCTGGAGCTCTTTGCCACCGGCACGGCTTTGCGCACCGCGCTGACCAGAGTCCGAGGAAAAAGTGCCGTGCTCACGCTCTTCCAAGTTGTGAGCGTCTTCTCGGATTCCCAGCGTGCCTTTCGCAGGCTCCAGGACTCCGCTGGTTCTGATGTATCCAGTCGAGATGCCGCGATAGGGATCTCGTCGAAATGGTGATTGCCCTCGCCCACAGCCTAGTCACCCTAGGAATCGAGGTCGAAATTCACTGGATTCCAGGCCATATTGCCCATCCTGCGCATAAACCGGCGGATGCGATGGCCAGAGCGGCTTCGAACCATGGAGCCCTATATGCTGAGGGCTGGGCGGTGAAGACAAGTTTGGATGATACGGAGCAAGTTATGGACTCCTGTTTCTTGAAGCTCAGAGAGGGCAACCCGATTCGAAGGCTTGAGGAGCGATGAATTAGGAAATTAGCATGTAATTCCTGTTTCTTTTTTTCTTTTTTTCTTTTCTTCTTTTTTCCTTCTTTTCTTCTTTCTTTTAAGCGTATTCTGTATTCCTGGCGCGGAAATTGATGACACATTTGTCCTCATGTTCTACGCATGTGCCTTGTGTTTTGTATTATATTGCGGAGAATCGGATCCTACATCGTTGTTCTTCTTTGGATGTCTTCAACATTATCATTTGTATGGTATACCTATGGTTCAGGTCAAAACGCCGTCACGCCGTTCAGCTCGCTGTGTCCGAGTCCAGTCTAATAGTAAATCCTAGGGTCGAATGAGAAATTTAGCGCCCCTGCCACATAACACGACATCCGGCATCATATAATCAAGAAGGGAAGGCAGGTAGAAAGAAAGAAAGAAAGAAGAGAGAACTAAACTCCGTGCCGGTACACTTGGGATCCACCTGAACGGATACGTATGGTATCTCTCCGCTGAAGAACCATAAGGGCCCGGCTCAAAGCTTGTTCGCTGTAGCCTCTTCCATCGACGAATTCACGCCGCAGAGTCGCTAAACTGGTGCTCCATCCGATGGGAAGTCGGCGTTTCATCTCGTCTTCAACTTTGCTGACTTCTTCCATCATCTCCTTGCTGCCTTGACCCTCGCCCTGGGTGACTGCATCCATGGTCGAGGCCAGGAAGAGACGAATGGCCTCGTCAACATGTGTTTCCGTAGCAACGGGCGACAGGCTCAACTTGGCCAGCGACTCGGTTATACGAACAATGGCTTCAAGCTGACGCACCGTAATAGGGATCGATGAACGGTTGTTGGCGTCCAGTTCGGCACGGTGAACTTGCTTTCGGATGGAGACGAAGTGCGAGGATAGTTTCTCGGCGGCTTCCGGAGACAGACGAGGGGCACAGCGACTGGTATTATGTTAATTTTCTTTTTCTTTTTCTTTTCTTCTGTTAAGAAAACGGGTAGTACGTACGTCCGGCAGTAGCTGATATAGCGTTTCATCGTGTTCAAGGGGATTTCCGCCTCTACTTGCTCTTCCACACCTCGTCCACCCATGTGCACGCCCATGACGTGTCGCGCGATGTTTTCATCACGGCTTCGATCGTGCTCGTCGCGAACGATGAAGATCATGTCGAAACGGGACAGGATCGTGGTTTGGAAATCGATGTTCTCGCCAGGAGATTTCAGTTCGTCGTATCGTCCGAATATGGGGTTTGCTGCAGCCAATACGGAAGTTCTCGAGTTGAGAATCGTTGTGATACCGGCCTTGGCAATCGAGATGGTTTGTTGTTCCATAGCTTCGTGAATGGCGACTCGGTCTTCGTCTCGCATCTTGTCGAACTCATCAATACATACCACACCCCCGTCGGCAAGAACCATTGCTCCGCCTTCTAGGTAGAACTCGCGCGTGGCGGCGTCTCGTTGTACCGACGCGGTCAATCCGGCTGCCGATGAACCCTTACCGGACGTGTAGATAGCAATGGGGGATACCTTTTCTGTAAACTTGAGCAGTTGTGACTTCGCGGTACCTGGGTCACCGAGAAGTAGCACGTTGATGTCTCCACGAAGCTTCATCCCGTCTGGGAGGATTTTCTTCGAGCCACCCATGAGCAGACACACAATGGCCTTTTTGATATCCATGTTCCCATAGATGGATGGTGCAACACTGCGAGCGAGAGCTTCGTACAGATCAGGTCGACGACTGATTTCCAAAAATTCTTGCTCTTCTTCTTCCGAGAAGATGGCATTGCCTTTCACAGTCTGATCGAAGTCGGTGCTAATGCCAACCGCCCGCAGATACGGGTTGCGGAGAGCCACCGCGCCGTCTTTCTTGCCACCTTTAGCTTGATAAATGGAGAAGATGCCCATTACCGTGCAACGGGAACCAGGCACGACTCGGTTTGCCAGGTACCGATCTGCGGAAATGAGGACGTGACGTGGTAGCTCACCCACCGGGACCTGGTCAGGGGCTTCCTGAAGTTTCAAAATCTGCTGGTCGACGAACTGACATTTATCGTGGGAGATAACGTAAGGGTCCAGTGGGCATCGTTCGTCGGTGTTCTCACCGGGCAGCTTCTGTCGCCCACAAATTCGAGGTAGTGAAAGACCCGCGAATCCTCCCTCGACTCGAAGATTCTCACTATGATCGCAGTTCTTGCATCGAATGTGGACGGTCGTCGCCTTCGAAGAGATTGTGGATGCGCCAATGATTATACCAGGAATGCGCACAAGGTGAGAGATATTTGTCGCATTCAAGTCACGGATGGAAATATGCGATGCAGAAGAGTGGAGCAGGAGCTGGTGCGGTGGGAGTATAATGTCCCTTTGGGAGGGATAAACGATCCTTTGAGTACATTGCTGAAGAGCTGCCTCGAACTGAGATGACCAATGCATGTTAGAATGAATGCCAATAAACTAGAAGACAATACTCACAAGGGGAATGATATCTGCAGGCTCGGTAGTAAGTTTGTGTGCAAGCTCCTCATTGTAGGAAATTAAGTGGGCAATATCAATGTCGCAGTAATATTGCTTAACAAGGACGTTCTGTCGCAACTGGTCGCTACAAAATTAAAATCAGCACTTGATAAGGCGTCCGACCCGTAGGGTAGACTCGACATACCGATAGACGAATGCATTGTCCAGCTGAAATTCTAGGACGAATTCTCGCAGTCTCGTCTGGATTTGGGTACGAGACTCTTCTGCACCATCTGTGCTGGGAGCAAGCACGCTCAGAGTATAGGGGGTGCGCCTGTCCATGACGAAGACTACAATGCGTTTGAAGGCGAAAGGGTAATGTGTGGGCGTTGGATGTTAGTGCCTCACAAGGAGTCGATCGATCTTCGGCGAAGGACTTTTGCTGGGGAACGCGAACCGGGCGCGTCGCGTAGAGCGATACGCGTTAAGTGGTTTTGGCCTCAGGCAGAAAACTCCCGCAGTCAGAGCCTTAGGCCAGATATCCGGAATATCTAATATCCGAGGCCCCGACTGGCCCTTTTACTCTGTGGCCTTGGGCCCTGGCGCCTTACCAGATCAGTTTGAGCTCTGATGCTCTAAAACGACCAAATCCCCGTATCAATTGGGCATCTGGTGACGTTGCAGATTGTTCCTACTTTGCTGTCCTCGTTCTTGCCCAGACACTGTCTTCCCAGTATAGTGGGGTTGTATTGATCGGTTGCAGCTGCTCCGATTTGCCTTACAGAAAGTTGCTCCATACAGCTTGTCCACCTGTCATGTTTGGATGACGTGTTCCCCAAAATAGTACGGTGGCTGTCCGAGTCGCCAATTTGGTATCAACGAGATGTCTTCTGTGAGCCCACGGAAATCAATTGAAAGTGTAGCCTCGGGAGCCTCTACGCCGTCCTTATCGCAACATTCCTTTAACCCAATTGAATCCCCCCGGATACCCGTTCAGAGATACCCCCTGAGACGAGCATCGACCGCGAGTTCCGTCGCAAGCATTGGAGGGATCCTTGATTCTTCTCCACGTCATGGATCGATAGCGGAGTCAGGACAAAACGGTGCGTTTTGACCAGTCCGCCCCGAGTTCTGAGTTACTGACATGTGAACCCGCGCAGCTATCTCTACCCTCCTCCAGCCTCCGATCGTCCGCACGGGATTGATTCCTCATTCTTCAGTAGCATCGTTCGGATACAAACCCCCTAGCTCCCGCGATATTCCCCCGGTGACGTTGACAAATATTCCTCATGTGGATTCTAAGGTGTTCGCGCCATACCTTTCACAAGTTGGATCATTGTATGATGTATTCCAACAGGCTAAGGAGGGGACGGGCGATCAGGATTCGCAGCTAGCGCGGGCTGGTAAAACTTTTCCAAAGCCAGATGAATACGAGTCTTTACTTTCAAGATCCCGAGAACGGCGACTATCCGGCGTATCGGCCAATTCTCGCGCGACTTCACCGTACGATACCAGAGGTAGGAGACGGTCATTTGCTGGTCGGGGTCGCGGCCAGGCTATCACCCCTCTCTCTACGATTCCTCCGGTGTATTTCGAGGATGATTTCCATCTTGAGAACCCTCGGACATTCGATATCGTTTCGGAAAAGTCTGAAGTTGTCACGCCGCCGAAGACCCCAAGCAAGGACGATAAGCCAGAAAGTGTAACCGTGGCTGAGCCTGTCCGAACAGGTAGAAAGGCACTCGCTACAAACGCGATTCTGCAAGAGAAGCTTTCGTGGTACATGGATACCGTGGAAATCCACCTTATCTCGTCGATCTCCACTGCTTCAAAGTCGTTCTTCACCGCTTTAGGATCGTTACGTGAGCTACATTCAGAAGCGGCTGACTCGGTGAAGCGGATTCAGATTCTGCGAAAAGATCTACAGAAGATAGACCGGGAAATGGCTCTGGGTGGGTTGAAGATTGTTAATTTGCGACGTCGACGAGAGAACGTCAGAATGCTCGCCGATGCGGTGTCACAGCTCAGAGATGTGGTCCAATCAGTCTCGCGCTGTGAAGAGTTAGTTGATAATGGGGAGATTGAGGAAGCTGCAGACAGCCTTGAAGAGGTGGAGAGGCTGATGGCCGGCGACTATGTCCCTGATGGTTCTACCAAGAACGATGAATCACAAGAACCACCCCGGAAAGCTATCGATCTGAGGAGACTCAAGGCCCTTGAAGGGGCATCGGATGATTTGTCGCAATTACGATACCGAATTGGCACAGGTTATGAAACGCGCTTCTTGAATGATCTTCTTGAGGATTTGAGGCAGCATATCGAAAATGTACCACTGGACACAACACTCCAGCGTTGGGGCGCCTCGTTTCAACGACAACGTGGGGCTCAACGCTCCGGTGCTGCTTTCTCTCCAGCATACATGTCATTTGATGAGGAATTGAAGTTGAAATTACGTGTGCATCTCACAGGACTTGCTCGCGCACGCCATACGACTCCAGCGGCTACGTCTTTCAAGACTGCGGTTCTAAGGGAAATGAAGAGTCTTATCCGTAAACACATGCCCAGTTCCAGTGACGATGATAACGAGTCAATGGTTTCAGTTTCCACCCAGAAATCGCAACAGATTAGCCAGCAAGAGAAATCAACAATCCTTGCTCGCAACCTTCGCGCGATGGATGCCGAGGACTCTTACGTCATGGTTGCCCGTGTCTATACTGGTATCAGCGAATCGTTGCGGAGGCTAAGCGTACAAGTGAAGGTCCTCCTTGATATTGCCAGTGGATTGGGTAACCCGCCCTCCCCTGGCATTAAGTCTCCCAAGACTCCTGGTCCGCAGGCCGCAGAGAACCTGGAGGCTCCCAGATCAGACCCACAGCTGGAGGCAACTGTGGTTGCGCAGGACGAAATTCTGCAGGTTCTGGATATGTCCAGCCTTCTAGGGCAGGCTGTTGATATCGCGCAGTCACAGATAAACAAGGTGTTAAAAGTGCGGTCCGAGCAGACCTCTCATCTACCAAAAGAGGACTTTCTTAAGTACTTTACACTCAATCGGCTCTTTGCTGATGAATGCGAGGCGATCTCTGGACGAAGTGGCACTGCTCTAAAGACTTTGGTGGGTAACCAGATCCGAGACTATATTACTCGGTTTGGCGATATCCAACGCCATCGTATTGTCGAGGTAATGGATTCCGACCGATGGGATGCAAAGGACTTTGGTGAATCCGAAAGCACCACTCTGAAGCGAATTCTCGATGCGAGCACCATAGATATTGAACCCTGGGTGGAGATTTCAAAAATTTGGTTGCCTCGGACTGGCAGCAACGACAAGTCAGATGCTACGACTGTCAACGGCTCCGGAAAGGATAAAATCCGGAGTGCTGTCATTGATGAGCAAAAGTACATTCTCTCAGATAGTGCGATAGCGATGATGAAGAGCATCGAAGAATTCCAGTTCCTTATGGCGAACATTCCTAGCATGATCCAGGAAATTGCTCCTGGGCTCCTGGAGACGTTGAAACTGTTCAACTCGCGATCCTCCCAGCTGATTCTGGGTGCCGGAGCCACTAGAAGTGCTGGACTCAAGAATATCACAACGAAGCACCTAGCTCTATCTTCTCAAGCACTCAGTTTTATTATTGCACTAGTGCCGTACGTCCGGGAATTTGTTCGTCGTCACGCCCCGGGCAGCTCTTTGATGGGTGAATTCGATAAGGTTAAGCGACTGTGTCAGGAGCATCAGTCTGGCATCCATGAGAAGTTGGTTGACATAATGAGCTCTCGATCCGCTGTACACGTAAATTCCATGAGGAAGATTGACTGGGACGCTGACACTGGCGGCAACTCTGTCAATCCCTACATGGAGACATTGGCGAAAGAAACTGGCACACTGCATCGTGTGCTGAGCAAGCATTTGCCAGATATGACTGTTTCTATGATCATGGACCCTGTCTTTAGCAGCTATCGAGAACAGTGGACCCAGGCTTTTCAAGAAGTGACCATTAATTCGGACACCGGAAGACAAAGGTAGGATACCCACTCACTTCAGGATTTCAGTTTCATATATACTAAAGCGATTAGATTGCAACGGGATGTAGAATTCTTCCAGTCGAAGCTTAGCAAAATAGCCGGTTTTGGGAATCTAGGTGACTCCCTTCTTGACTTGGTCAAGCAAAAGAACACTGCGGCAGAAGCGCAGGAAACGGCGTCGACTGAAGGCGACTCATCGAAGAGCTCCCCCAAGGCCAGTGAGGATACCAAGGGCTCTCAGGAATAGCCGACGAGTTATAAGCATTTAATGGATTCTCGGCTAGGGCCATAATTTTCCAAGACCCAGCCAGTTATATACATCCTTCCATCTTGGATTATTAATCGCGGTGTTTGCCTCTGACCATATATTGCAAGGATTGTACAGCAATTTAGCGGATTTCAGGTTTCATGACCACCCAGACATATACTGGATTCTCTCGAAACTGTGCCGCATCTAGTTTTAGCGTATATAGAATAACTCTAGACTTTGTCTACTTTTCTCGAAATCATCGTCTACATCTTGTAAACGTACGAAACGTATATGCCATGATTCAGCATGGAATTGGCCATTACATATAATAAGGTAGTCTCGGCATGCAGCAGAAACCTCAAATCATAACATATTATTGTATATTGTACAAGCATTTCTAGAACACCGTTCCAGCCACCAAGTTTAATAGCAATATACCTCAGTTTATAACTCATACCCTATCGGCATTGCGAATACCTTGTTTTCTCGAAGAGCTTTGGGGCTATGGCCTCCCTTTCCACTACCGAACTGAGTCGGACTGGAGCTGCCTCTTCCACTGCACAAGTGATTTGCATTGAGACCTTCATCAGGAAGTTCCACTGTTCTATGAACGCGACCCAGTTCGGCTTTCTGAAAATGGTCTATAAGTTAGTGGACTGTAGTGTCCATGGACGAACAGAATATACATACTGCAGGGTTGATACCGTGGACCTTGGTGTCACCCGCTTGAATAGCGTTGTCACTCAGGGGGATACTGTCGTCGTAGTCTGCTCTGCGAGTCATGATTATGAGTTGAAATATACTCCGTAGAGATTATATTGTGACAATGGTTAGTTTCAGAGGGATTTGAGGTACAGATATCATGCATATCAGAGATCAAGGTACACAAGGAGAGGAAGATCGTGGCTGTTTATCTAGAATGTCGAACTCGTTGATATTTTTTCCGAGTTTAATACTCAAGGGACTCTTTGAAGTTCTTTATATAGCCTATCCATTCCCCTTATGATGGCATTACCCTCGTAAGTTCTTGGTTGTACTCGTGAATGCCCGACAGCATTGTGAAATCATTGTGGGGACCTCGAAAATGATGACTTCGTTCGCCTAGGTAAGGTATTGTTGAGTCTGACTTTATTGTACAGATCATGTCTGAAATTAGGAATTGACTGATAATACAGTGAATGAGAATTCTTATCCAATACAATAACAAAAAGTAAATTGATATCATCGTGTCTGGATTCTGATATGGTTGAGGAATGTGACTCAGGGGTGAAGAAGGCAGCAAGCTCATCGAACAGCTGCACGCAACCAGGTGCCTAATATAGGGAACGATATATCATTGACATCCTAGACCACGATAACTACCATACTTCCTTGGATGGTTTTCTTCCACTCATCTAGAATACAGGAGGAGGAAGTATTCAGAGGTGTGTGAACCCCGCACGTTAAGGCAACAACCTAGGATGCAGATCATTACTTTATCAAGGAAGAAAGGCAAACAGTGCAAACACGACAAACCCCCCCCCCCCCCCCCCCCCCCCCCCCCCCATGTTCTGTGATTCCGCAAAGCTGGTTCGCTGGAATGCTCCTTTTCATGGCTGTGCCGCACAGGTCCTCTGTTTAGGACTGTTTGCATAATTTGATATCCTATCACAAGGAAGGATGCGTTCAACGGTGCATATCAAAATGTTTGGCTTTAATTGGTTTGGACGGATTCTCCCTCCTTTATATGTCACTCACTTGCCAGGTCAAGATGAAGAAAATCTTCCTATGTGAAGACACCATCACTAAACATCCAGAATACAAATAGGATTATTGAAGAACACACGCTTCTTTTTAATTATAACACATGACCATGTCTACCATGAATGCAGTGGTTGTTCACACCCCTGGAAAACCTAATGTCCTCAAGGTCATACAGCGTCCTATTCCGCAGCCAACCCCGGGACAGGTCCGGGATCAAGGTCAAGGCATTCGGACTCAACCGGTCTGAAATGTTCACCCGACAGGGACACTCGCCCGTGTCGCTCGTGCAGTTCCCTCGCATACTCGGCATCGAAGCGGTAGGAGTAATCGATGCTGCTCCTGGTCTCGAGCACCAATTTCCTCTCGGCAGCACGGCAGCGACCGCCATGGGAGGAATGGGCCGCGTCTTTGACGGTGGGTACGCAGAATATACATGCGTACCGGCCAAACAGGTGCAAATCGTGAAGACAAAACTGCCATGGGATGTGCTGGGGGCCTTGCCGGAGATGTTGCAAACGGCATGGGGCTCTGTGATGAAGTCGCTTTCATTGAAGCCCGGGGACAGATTGCTGATACGAGGCGGGACGACGTCTGTCGGACTTGCGGTGGCGGCTATTGCGAAGATGCATGGGGCCTATGTGGCGTCAACGACGCGGAAGAAGGAACGTGAGGCGTTGTTGCGTGAACATGGGGCTGATGAGGTCTGGGTTGATGATGGCGCCATTGCGAGACAGATTGGTGAAAAGTCGGGCGAGTATTTTGATAAAGTGCTTGAGCTTGTGGGCACGGTGACTTTAGCTGATTCGTTGCGATGCGCCAAGAAGGGAGGCACGGTATCGATGACAGGTATTGTGGGTAATGAATGGCATCTAGAGAGAGTTAATCCGATGGAGTTGATTCCGTCGGAGACTAAATTGACAGTATATGGTGGTTCGGATGAGGATTTTATATCTACTCCTTTGAATGAACTGGTCAAAATGGTGGACGAGGGTAAGCTGAAAGTACGGGTTGGTCGAGTATTTAAGATGGAGGAGATCGTGGAGGCACATCAGTGTATGGAGGCGAACGAGGCCGCAGGGAAAATCGTGGTACTTCCGTGAATATTCCGAGATGTACTGAATAGCTGTTCTAGAATCAGTCTATTTCTAGTTGCCTTCCAGATGAAACCATATCCATACGCCTAAACACCAAGGTGAAAACACCAAAACAAGAAACCAAGACAGTGCGAACCATCCCATACTCCTTCACTCTCTTGGGTGTTCAGCTCAAAACCTGGAGGTAGCATGATTACGTCCGAGTCGTGAATCTTGCGCAGCACGCCCTGTCCTTTCAAGAAGCTCAAGAAGCCCCTGGTCAATTTGAGAACAGTTAGATAGGCGCCCCATGATTTGCTCAAGAAGCGCACGATCAGCCTCAGAAAACATAGATAAGTCCCCCATCGTTTTCTCAGCCAACCAGAAGGCTGGGCGAGATTCTACCGGTTGGTTGTACGAAGTTGGGCTCTCAGTACTGGATTCCGCGTCAGTACCAAGGACAAGAGATTCATCACTTTCACAAACGCGGTAGGGGTGTGGATTGGTCACAACTAGACGATAGCCTGTAGCATTTGCTGGATGTGGCCGAAGATAGTCAACGTCCGTAAGGCATGATGATACTCCACTTAGTGAGATGCCATGATAGTCTGGCGACGCAGGACGTGCAAACGGCTTTAAGGCACTGAGCCTGGATTGTGCACTGCGCAATGCCCCCTTTACGCGTTGCAGGAGCTCTTGCGGTTGCTGCAGTTGGTCCTTGGTAGTTAGTTGGATCAGGCCGGTGCGTCGCACCAGTGTGTAGAGAACCATTGCGAGGATCAAGTCCCTGTTGTTTCGAGCATGGAGCTGGGTCTACAGTCCCCTTTATATAGTCCTGAAAATTTCTCCTAATTCGACAATTGGAGGATTCCCCGAGGAATCTAGGACACGAAAACAAAGCCATTGAAACGAGGACAAAAAAAGATAAGCTACCGTGAGTCCTTTTACATGGTTGTGACGAACAAAAGTTGGCATGGGAGTATCTGATGTTTGGCAGTCGTAGGACGTAGCCATGATATCGGAATTTTCCACCTCATAAGTCGATAGAAATTTGCCACCAAGATATTTTTATCTAGTTGTCCAGCCATACTTGGTGTCTGTGAAGAGAAATGAAGAGGTTGATTGATGGATTGATTGATAACTAACTGTCCAGGGATGCTATGACGTAATGATCAGTTTAAATTCCCCATATCCACAGAACAATCAGAGGGACAGGAAAGTCTTTCGTTGCACTTCATTTGGACTCTCTATATCTGAATAAGAGCTCTCAATTTGCTTGACTGGTGGGAAATCCTGGCCACCTGTATTGCTTGAAGATTGACACCATTGCAGGGAAGAGATGCTCAAACACAATCCGTTCATCACGGATGGCCGAAAGGCAGCACAATCTATGCAGGAGTTTCATTTCGACCTCTAGGAAGATTAGCAACTGGTCGGATGATCATGCAATGTATTGGGCGACTGGGGTGGCCATTTGCTAGACAGCTTTGCAGTAGCATTAAGTCCGTGCAACACGCCATTTTCCCCTCTCTCCCTTTTCCTGCCTCGAATTGTTTCTCGTCCTCTTCCTCCCTTTGTCTTTTAATCCTGGGGTCATTGTCGAGTCTGGGGAGGAATCACCCGCTACTCATCCACCTTCCCCTACCATTGTGAGAACCTACAGATTACCTACCTTCTTCTCCGCGTGTACCTGGATACCCAGACAAGCCATTCTCCCGATTTTAGATTTCCCCGCCACCCCAATTCCCCCGCACGCGTACAAAGAAGAGCTGTTGAGTTTGCCTTGATCGCACCCTGTGTTTTTTTGTTGTCATGATTCTGTTCCTTTAGCTTTGACTTTTCAATCTCTGCTCTTACCTCATCTCTGTTATCTCAGTGGCTTGTGAACAGCTCAGGTTCTTGCGTTTCGCTCTCGACAGACTCCATGGCAACGGAATTGGAGGGTGAAGAGCCTCCGAAGAGAGATGTTCGTAACCACATGCTCTTCGAGGTGGCCACAGAAGTCGCCAATCGAGTCGGAGGGATATATTCAGTTCTCAAATCCAAAGCTCCAGTGACAACTGCAGAATATGGAGACAGATATACCTTGATCGGTCCCTTGAATCGGGCTTCTGCGAATGTTGAGGTCGAGGAGCTGACTCCCTCGAATCCTCGCATGGTCGAAACAATTCAGTCCATGAGGGATCGAGGCATTGAATTAATCTACGGTCGCTGGTTGATTGAGGGTGCTCCGCGTGTGCTTCTCCTCGATACAGGGACCGGTTATAAATACCTCGATGAATGGAAGGGTGATCTTTGGAACACCGCGGGTATTCCATCTCCGTCGGCAGACACGGAAACGAATGAAGCCATTGTGTTTGGATACTTGGTCGCATGGTTCTTGGGTGAAGTGCGTACAATCCCATGTTTCTTTCTGTATTTCACTGAAGATAGCTCGATTGCTGACAGGCAAAATTTCAGTTTATCGCCCATGAACGACGCCTTGCTGTGGTTGCTCACTTCCATGAATGGCTTGCAGGGGTCGCCCTCCCTCTGACGAAGAAGCGACATATGGATCTGACAACTATTTTCACCACCCATGCAACCCTTCTGGGCCGGTACCTTTGCGCCGGGTCTGTGGATTTCTACAACAATCTACATCACTTCGATGTAGATGCGGAAGCTGGTAAACGTGGGATTTATCATCGGTACTGCATCGAGCGTGCGGCTGCGCACACGGCAGATGTCTTTACAACTGTCTCCCATATCACTGCTTTCGAGAGTGAACACCTACTCAAGCGCAAACCAGACGGGGTACTCCCCAATGGGCTGAACGTGAAAAAGTTTTCTGCGGTGCATGAGTTCCAGAATCTGCACTCTCAGTCCAAGGAAAAGATCAATGACTTTGTTCGCGGTCACTTCTACGGCCACAACGATTTTGATCTGGGCAACACGCTCTACGTTTTTACCTCAGGCCGTTACGAATTCCGGAATAAGGGGGTGGATATGTTCATCGAAAGTTTAGCTCGTCTAAACCACCGGCTAAAGGCCAACGGGTCGAAGACCACTGTCGTTGCATTTATTATCATGCCTGCGCAAACGTCATCTCTCACTGTGGAAGCCCTCAAGGGACAGGCCGTTGTGAAGTCGTTACGTGACACAATTGGGATGATTGAACAAGGCATTGGGAGACGAATGTATGAGCGCTGTCTAGCGTGGAAGGAGGGAGACAATATGCCAGATGAGAAGGACTTGATGGCTAGCCAAGATCGAGTACTACTGCGCCGCCGACTCTTTGCCATGAAGCGTCACTCTCTACCCCCTATTGTCACGCACAATATGGCCAATGACCATGAAGATCCAATCTTGAACCAAATCCGCCGTGTTCAGCTTTTCAATTACCCATCAGACCGTGTCAAGGTGGTTTTCCACCCGGAGTTCCTTAATTCCTCCAATCCAGTGTTGCCATTGGACTATGAGGATTTCGTTCGTGGCACGCACCTTGGCGTGTTTCCGTCTTACTACGAACCGTGGGGTTACACGCCCGCGGAGTGCACGGTAATGGGGGTTCCTAGTATCACTACCAACCTTTCAGGGTTTGGTTGTTACATGGAGGAGCTAATTGAGAACTCATCCGACTATGGAATATATATTGTGGACCGTCGGATGAAGGGGGTCGATGACTCCGTTAACCAGCTGACTAACTTTATGTTCAACTTCACTTTGAAGAGCCGACGACAACGGATCAACCAACGCAACCGGACCGAGCGTTTGAGCGACCTTCTAGACTGGAAGCGTATGGGATTAGAATATGTTAAGGCTCGACAGTTGGCGTTGCGAAGAGGTAGTGCTCTTCTATGTATCTTTCTATTTGCTCTGCTAACTATCTCCAGCGTACCCGTCATCGTTTGCGAACTCCGAGGATTTCTATAATATCATTGGGGGAACCGAACAGAAGATATCGCGTCCATTTTCTGTCCCTGGTTCACCAAAGGATCGTTCGGGTGTGATAACCCCTGGAGACTTCGCATCTCTCCAGGAGGTAAAGGAAGGCCTGAGTACAGAGGACTATATCGCATGGAGGCTCCCGTGAGTGTTCCAACAATTTATTGTGACCGTCTATCCCATTGGAGCAGAGTCTTGCTAACAGGGTCTGCTCCATGATAGCTCAAACGAGGAGGAAGAGCCCGATGATCATTTCTTCCCACTTACTTTGCGCACGAAGAAATCCTCGGACGGACTCTCATCTCCGCTGGACCGGATATCGTTGAATGGTGATAGCTGATCATGTCTAATTATATGAGGGAGTTGAGATCGTGGTTTCAGCCGTGATCCTTATATGGCTTTCAGTCTTTATATCGCAGTCCTGCACGTGGATGACCACACTGATGCGTCATCCTTGTGATATCCGCGTTGCATTTGTTTTCTTTAAACTTTGCTATTTGAATGTATCCATTGTTGTGCTGATTGATATTTTCTTTCTTGGAAGAGATGCTAGATATATGCCAATATGCAAATCATTTATTTCGTTTGCATACTCATAGCTATCCCATAGGCAAAGTCCCTTGTTAGTGGAACTAGAGTTAGGCTCTAACAGGCTAATAAAACTTGATTGATTGATTGGTCATGCCCAGCTGAAACTCAACCATGCTTTGGATAGACAGCAAGAGAAAATTTCTACCAGTCTAACCTAGTTTATTAATTACTACTTGACGAAGGTATGTATATATGCCACATTTTTATATTATAGCTATAACAAGTTCACAGAACTCTTAAATCTAATATAGTAAGTAATAATAAAAACAACATACAATGAACGTTAAGACCATAAGATCAACATATGGTCTATCACATAAGATGATAACAAAGTATAAGTAGTTATCTATAAATTATCCCAGTTTTCCAACCAGGTCTCCTGCTCCGGATTGAATCCAGAGGAGCCCAGCCTTTGGACCCTGGGTACGTTTCTGTTCTTCCGTTCTTAACTACCAGCGTTTCAAGAAGGTGGGCAAGGGGCAAGACACATTCCAGGAGCCTCGGCAGCCGCTGTAACAGTTGTTGTAACAGTGGCTGTCGCAGCTGTAACGGTTGTTGTCGCAGTGGCGGGTGCCGATGGAGATACCGTAACGGTTGTTGTCGCAGTGGCGGGTGCCGATGGAGATACTGTAACGGTTGATATCGCAGTGGCGGGTGCCGATGGTGATACGGTGACGACCTTGGTGACGATTGATGGCTTGGTGGAGCCGGAGCCGGAGGAACCAGCTGGGGTCTTCGAGTCGGTTTCATCATCGTCGTTGTCGTCACCGGCGTTGTTCTTGGTGTCCACGCTAGCATCGCCGTTGGTCTTGGTGTCCACATCGGCGTTGTTCTTGTTGTCGGTGCTGGGGCTTGAGCCTGAGCCACCGTTATCACCGGTACCGGGGACAGGCTTGCTCTTTTCCGGGTTGGCTCCAGTTAACCAAGCAGTCAGGGTCTGCTTGGTCTCGACGCTGACGTTGACCTGAACATTGGTAGAACCAGAGAGGAAGATGATCAATTCCGTAGCGGCTCCCTTGGGCAAGGAGGCGGGGCTCTCTCCCTTCTGGAACTTGTCCAATGTCTCGCGAACACTAGGAGGGATGTTAGATCCCTTGGGGGTTTCGAGAACGTTGCGGACTTCGCTGGTAGCAGCTGCGTTGGCCTGGGTGTTCACGTTCACATTGACGTTGACGTCTGTCCGCTGGGAAACGTTGGCGTTCAACCAGTAGATGGTTGCCGCTTTCAGCTGACTATCCATGGGGGAACGAGGAGAGTTCACAAAGGCAGTGAGGTCATCCACGGTCTTCGAGGAGAGGGATGAGGAGGTTCCACCCTTGGCGGCGATGGTGAGGGCTTCTCTGACGTTGACGTTCATGGTGACAGTGACGTTGACGTTCACGCGCAGGATGATGTTGATTCTCGCCATGCCGGTGGAGGTGAATCGTCCAGAGGGAGTGACGAGGCGGTTCACCGGGGATGATGCACTGGGGACCGGGGGCACGGCGGCGCTGGAGGAGGCGATAGTTGAGTTTGCCGGGACCTTTGTGCTTGAAGCCACAGGGGTCGTCGATGAATGATGCGAAACCGTCGAGTTAGAGGCGCTGCTGGCAGCTCCTGGGGTGGTCGTTGACTGATGGCTGCTTGAAACACTTGGAGTGGTCGATGAATGAGAAACCGTCGAGATAGAAGCGCTGCTGGCAACTCCTGGGGCGGTCGTTGACTGATGGATGCTGGAAACACTTGGAGTGGTTGAAGAGTGAGAAACCGTCGAGTTAGAAGCGCTGATGGCAGCTCCTGGGGTGGTCGTTGACTGATGGCTGCTGGAAACATTTGGAGTGGTCGATGAATGATGAGAAACCGTCGAGTTAGAAGCGCTGCTGGCAGCTCCTGGAGTGGTCGTTGACAGATGTGAAGTCGTCGAGTTAGGAGAGGCACTGGAAACCTTTGGAGTTTCTGCACGAGGGCTGGCAGTGGTGAAAAGTGTGGTTGTCTGAGCCTGACTGGGTGTCTTCGAACTGGTGGCCACACTTGCGGCCACGAATAAGGCACATATGCCCCAGTTGAGCTTCATCGTGCTTTGGAGTATATATTATTTATAAAGACTTGTTGGATAGGTGGATATACTATGCCATGAATCCGCGAGAGGAGGGAGTATTTATATCTCTCCAACGCTAGGGATCTTGTCGAGCTGCTTTCTTCTCTTCTGAGCTGGGGAAAAATTGACTCTTTTTGAAACCGTGATAAAACATGTCTCGATGCGAGACCCTGACCCCATCCATGCTCCGGACAGTCAATGCGAGCATATTCTCTGCTAAGAGGTATCCTCTATGCGGCGAAACTGAATCATAAAGCAGTGCCTGAAACCAACTTGAGGCGTGGACGAGATCCTCGACTGCGGATCTTCTTGTACAGGGGCCCATGCTCCTGATAGCTCGAGGTCCTCCAATGGTTCATTCTGTAGCAGTGTTCCTTGGCACGGCTCGAAAGTTGGGTCCGCGGACGGTGGTAAAGTCTAATCTGCTGGTGCGTGCTTCAAAATAGGCTCAAGGTTTCAGCTATAGGAGGATAACGAGAATGAAACACGAGTGAATGGATGATACACCTCGGTACCACTGCGCAGTCTGGGAAGGTCTTTGCCTCTAACTACTTGTTCCCTTTTTGGAACATTAATGACTTCATCTGGTACATTCTGCTCGTTAGAAACTGTCCCATGGGGGGCACGACGATCAGGCAAAGGCGATTAAGGTTTGGCAGTCTTAAACCAGCAGTTCTGGTCTGGAACTCGGTAGGTTGCAGCATGCTTAATCGTCGCACTAGGGGTTTAGAACCCGTCTCGGGATTTCGGTATTACCGATCATGTGCTTCTACTGAAGTTTGTAGCTTCACTCCATCCCGAATACCAGTCCTACATACTAGTATCCGACACACCAATGACCTCATGCCATATAGCTCCTTAACTAGTTAATAGATCTAGCCCTTTAAATTTTCCAAGTTTTTATAAAATGACTTAGTCTAGAAGAGCAAACCCAGCCGAGGTAGTAAATTTTGATACCATCCGTGCTTCAACATCCCCACACGATTATAGCCTATATTAAGCCCTGTTTGTAAATATGGGCCTGGCCCTTCAAGTCCCGAGTGAAACGAGGTAAACGTCCGTGCAAGCGAAAAGGCCGGGTTAACTACGTCCGAGAATACACCAGTTATACGAAGAAAAGAAAGCTAGCAATAAATATCTGTTAATTGCTGATAAAGAGTGTAACACATCAGGCTCCTAGCCTCATATCCAAAGCTAACGAAAAAAAGACCACACATTTCAAGACATGTGGGCGGGCGAGAAGTATTCAGCCTTTAAGCCGACGAAGAGACCTCAAGGCGTCTAAAGCCACCCTCAACGGCCACCTGTTGCTGCAGCTCAGCCATGCGTTTCTGGTCGCCGAGAGGGTCACTGGAGTCCCCATCCAGTTTCCAGGAAAGGTACTCATTGGTGTAGTTAGGCACGAAGTTGGCCTCCAAAATACCCAGACGCTTTCCGTAGTTGGTCACCTTGGCCCAGTCCCGAGAGACATTCTTCAGGTCACGACTGAAGTAGGCAAAAGATCGCTCGAAGATCTTGCGGTTGACAAGTGTTCCCATAATGGGTTTCACATCAATGTACTCCTCGTAGGCCTTCGCGGGCTCTGCGAGGACGTATTCGGTGGCACGCTTCACAGCTCGCAGGAACTTCGTTACTTTCTCGGGGTTGGCTGCCAGGAAAGCATCGTTGGCGATGTAAAGAATGGAGCAGAAGCAGCAACAACCCAGTTCGGCGAGCTGATCAATACGGAGCATCTGGACGTCATCGCGGGGTCTGTTCTGAGACACCAGCCATTCGGCCAACTCGACCATCTGCACGTTCTCGAGGCCGATGCCGGCATCGATATCGCCGCGGATTATGGCCTTTGTGACATTCATACCGCAACGAACAGCAGTGTAATCGTCAGCGGTCATGCCGTAGTACTTGGTGAGCTCGTCGATTTGGATCTACGCAATGAATTAAATCAGGGGCATAGTATTGGCCACAACGAAGTCATGCTTACCTTTCCAAACTCCCCAACGTAGCCGATTTTCTTTCCCTTCAGGGAGCGGAAGTCCTCGGTGATTCCGCTGTCCTTAAGGTACACAACACCAGTGAAGGGCTCATCAAGGAGGGAGCCAATCGAGGTCACTGGGAAGTTCCGAGCTTTAGCCTAGACGAAAGTTAGATTTTAGTCAATTGGTGCTAAAGAGGGTACGTACAGCGAGGGTATGGATCATTGCTTTGAATCCCATGTCGACCTTGCCACTGCCGATAATCTCGGTGACATCGGAGGGGTCGTTGGGTTCCAGCAGAGCAACCTTCAAGCCTTCCTCTTTGAAGAAACCCTTGCTCTGAGCAAGATACAAAGGAGCATGGTAGGGCGTCGCGTGCCTTCACAGCCACAGCTTAGTACTTGACCGCATTACACAATGAATCCAACCGAGCCAGGAAAGCAGAAAGCTAAAAAGAAAAAGAAAAGTAACAAAAGAAAAACCAATGGTTAGATTCATACCAGTTGGTGAGGAAAGTAATCTTGTCAGTAGACATCTTGGCACAATTTCAGGTCAGTTGTCTGGTAATAGTTAGCAGCAGAGACAGAGGACCCTCTAATCCCTGGGAGATAGAAGGGAATGGGGAACAATCAATGCCACGCATGTCCTTTCGCTAGTATTATCTAGATCAAGTTATGACAGTATAATCTCAGAACGACTGGGTTCTTGCTCCCACATGCATCGGCACCGTCGGCCCGTCCTGATACACCGTCAAAGGACGAACTGTGACCATATATGGAGCCAGAAAATGGACCCATAACCGGGCTATGGGAGCAGGACCTCCAAGTCGAACACCTGTCATACGCAAGCAGAGACCGTTTTCTACGCTTTGTACGATACCTTGACCGTGAATACCCCTAGCGAAAAGACCCAGGTATTCATCCTGAATGCGCAGCCTCATGTTGAGCCGTACCAGACGAATTGGCAATGAAGGCGATGGATCGAAGTTGATCGAAAGGGCGAAGGAGACTGTAAGGGAGAGTATGGATGAAGGGAGAGAAAAAGAGGGGTTTGGAGGGGCAGAAAGACTGCCAATAAATAGGTTGAGTCACAGGGAACCTCACCAGAACGAGATCGGCCGGCAATTCCCCACCCTCAACATCATCATCTCCTTACACAGTAGTTCTACGAGTCACCGGCACCTTGGGAGGGAACTCCAGCACGAAAATCATCTGGCTGTTTTATTGGAGAGTCTGTTCTAGCCTGCCGGTGCATCGGCCACATCAACATGACTCTCTTGCTGTCTCCCCGCCCCGAGACTTGCGTCCAATCCTGACAGAGTACTGGACATCCCACTGGACCCTTCGGCGCCACTAGGACTTCTCTAGTCCGAAACTATTATTGAGATTCTCTTTTACGTCATTACGCTTTTGCTCCATCATTCTTTGGCCCATCGCTACAGCTAAATGGAAACAAACGTGTCCAGGTGGCATTCCGAAAAGCTCAGACTCATCCAGGAACGAGGGTAGTTGAAGAGAATTAAGTACCATTATAAGTATATCGTACAGTATTAACTAGATCTAGAATAATATTTATAGTGGAAACACATCAATATATACAGAACCAAACTAACCGCTTAACCGTCAAATACGATCAAATTCCTGACCAAGATTCTCATACGAAGCCAGCCGCGGGTTCCCTAGCAGCGAGAATTCAATATCATCGCTCATGTCCCCATCACTCAGATACTCGTCACTAATAAACCCGTCATTTTCAATTGGGATCCAATCCCCACGAGCCCGGCTCTTACGAGTAGCGACAGCTGACAAAACACAACAGCGATAGACAGCCCATGCGCCAGCCGCCAGCACAACAGCCGAGAAGAAGCCGAGAACGAAGAAGACGAAAGAACGCAGGGCTGTCGATCGCGCTTTATTGTCCTTTTTTTCTTCGACACCGTTCATCACAACCGCTTCAGGAGACGCTGGATCCCAGTCGACGTACTGGCTTGCCCCCAGGACGTGGCCGGTTGCGTTGACACCCACGACCCTCACGGATTGTTTCTCTACGTGAAACGGGATGGGGATTATGGTTTCGAAACCACTTTTCGGCACAGCTGCCAGAAACCTGAATCGGTTGCTGGTTGCATCGCCGTCGTCGTCATCTTCGCCGGTGTTGCTTTCGGGATTGATCCCCTGAAGAACCCAGGCTGCCACCTCCGTCGCACCATTCCAGCTGACGGCTGCTTCGTAGGCATACACGGCGATGTCAGGACGAGTACGTGGGCGACCGACCCATGGGTGTTTGAAGACGCGGTAGGAGGTGATATCTCCTCTACCGAAATCGGTCTCGGGACCGAAGTGGACGTGGCAGAGAACATCGCCGTGGATACTGTACTCAGTCCAGGCGGCGTTGTAGCCATATCCAACGAGGACGTTACCGGTGTCGAGCACCTGGAGGGACCCCTGCGACTGGCTGCTGATGGAATGGGGATTACAGTACTCGTGTCGCACGGCGACGGTCATTTTTTCGGTGTTGATGTCAAGGTAGAGCCCGCGACTGGTTAGGGAAGGGGCACCCTCGCCGCGCGAGGCATTGTCGAAGAGAGTAATGGCGGAGCCATTTTCATGAAAGCGAGCGTGATGCTGCCAGGCGATGTTGGTGGCTTTGCCATCCGAAAGGTCTTGGAAGGAATTATGTTTGCCTCCAAGTCTCCAGATGATGGACCCGGATCGACCGTCGATATAGATGAGAGAGTTTGTGTAGCGGGCGGAGATGAGAAAGTTGCCGTTAGCGTCCTTGTCGACGCTATTGATGTGGAAGAAGTCCCAGGGAGAGACTTTCGACTCGCCGGCTCCTTCGCGTCCGCGGTACACCTCGGTGAAATTGAAGTGCTCCGATGCGCGCCATTGAAATAGCAACTCGCCTGTCTCGACGTCGACTTCCTGGAAGGTGCCATCATAGATCCACCCGTCTTCGGGACCGTCCTCGACAGAGCGAAGATCAGCCCGTCGGACCTCGTAGATGGTGAAAACTGCGGTCTCATCGACCGTGATGTGGAATTCATGAAGATCTGCAGGGAGTGCGTTGGCACCCTGGATCTTGTATGCTTCTTCGTAGGATGAGTCCAGCTAGATTTGGAGGTTTAGAGTGAGGTACATTGTGAGTTGTTGAGAGGAAAAATCTTACCATGTAGTATACCCCTTCACCATGGCCCGCAACGGCGTCATTTCCCAACCAGAAGGTCAGATACGACTGGCCTTTGAATTGGTACATGTTCAGATTGTAAGTCTGACCGTAGTTTTTGCTCCAGACCAGGTGTCCATCCTGGTCGATAATCGTTGGTCCTGGAGTTGCGACCCCCAACCCCCGGGGCGCAACAAACGTATACTGTCCATCTTTACATTGGGGACTGGACTCGAGATAGTTCAAGGCGGGACCGACAATCGAAGTCGAACGATACGTCTCCGTAGGCCAGGCCCCAAATTTACCCTCGGCGTACTCACTCGACTGGATAAATGGGCCATGGTCCGCCTGGGCAAAACTGCATACGAACACCAGAATGGCAGCGTATCGATCGCTCAGCATCGTCGTCCAACGCTGACAAGATATACCGTCGGGCACTATTTATAGATGTGGCAGCATCAATGACAAGAAAGAAGAGGGGGAGGCGACACGACTGGCTTGATGGAAAGAGGGACTGGTTCGTGCAGGCTGATTTTCATATCTGTGCATTGAAGTATCCAAAATAGCCAGCGACTATTGCGCCCAGTCCCACTTGTCTAATCTGTCATCGAGTGGAAAATTGTGGAACATTGGCATCGTGGGTCGAAGCCAGAAGGCATCAGCATTTTGTTCCACTACTTAGTACTGACTATGATTCATCGGGCCTAAGACTCTACTCCGGAGAATCCGATTTCTCAAGAAACCGAAAAAACAGGTGCAATTGGTTAGATCGGATAAAAGCTACAACCAGATCAACTACTTTATAATCCACTGGACGATCCTCCGACTATCGACTATGCTCTTGGCACATAGCTGATAGTAGTATAAGCCTATAATTAAGTGATGGATCTACTCTGTACTCCGTACTTTGCACGCAGTAGGGCTCCACAGGCGTGCTTTCCAATCCCCTGACGCCATATTCCACCTGGTCTTCGTTATTCTCCAGCAATCTCCAGAATAGACACATCGACGAGAGTACGATGCATACTGCCTGGGAAAATAAAATATTATGGTGTCTAAAGCATCCCCAGGTTTGCATGGATTTTAATATACTTATCGGGGTGGTGCCTCTAGCCGGAGTATAAGGAATGTGAAGTGCATACCAAGGATGTATCATAAGGATCAGCATATATTAAGGGGGTTTTGGGCTGAAAAGATGACCGGACAATAAACGGCAAAGGGTCCATGAATATGTTCAATTGAATGTCATGTACAACAACAAACCATACACGTACATGTTTATCTCAAGCAATTGGCACTGCAATCTATCGCTATGAGTGGTATGTGACTGGTATTAACCTGCACAAAAGAAACATAGTAAAAGAAATATGAAAAAGTAGAAGGTAAGAAAGGGGTATGTGAGGGATGATTTAGGAAACCGCGAGGTCAAAAAGGAAAATTACGGGGTGGTATTATTTATTTGGAACGCTTATAGATCTTGGCCAGGAAAGCCTCAAAGACTTCCTTTTTCAGGCCCTCCGACTCATCCACAGCGGCGATCTTGTTGCGCAGCCCACTGACTGTTTTCTCCTCGTACTCCTTGTAAACTTTCTCCAGGTCCAGCTCCAAGTAAATCCGCTTGACCTTGGCCTCCAATTCACTGTTCTTCCGACCGTAGGCTTCGTCCAGGGTCTTGCGCTGCTCATCGGTACAGCGTTGGAGGGCCTGGTTCACCAGCCACGAGCACTTATTATCCTGAATATCGGTACCAATCTTGCCGATGAAGGAGGGGTCACCGTAGGCATCGAGGTAGTCATCCTGTACCTGGAAGTACTGGCCCAGGGGAATGAGGATATCATGGGCTTGACGAAGGTTGTCGGGAGTGGCAAGCTGGAGGTAGTGCAGCGCCAGGGCGACAGGGAGATAGAAGCTGTAGTAAGCGGTCTTGTAGGTGACGATGAACATGTACTTCTCGAGGGAGAAGTTGTCGAGGTTAACGTTGTCCTCAGGAGCGGTGATCAAGTCACAGAGTTGACCCAACTCCGTTTGCCAGGTGACCTCCTGGAAGAGCTCCACTAGGTCGATGTAGGCAGGGTGGGAACGGAAGTGCTTGCGCAAAAGCACGAAGATGGATGATTCCAGCATAAAAGCGTCGTTGATGGCGATCAAACCGACTCCCTGGTGGCGATACCAGCACGGTTGACCACGGCGAGTGATCGAACTGTCCATAATGTCATCACTGACGAGGAAAAAAGCCTGCAACAGCTCGGTGAGCCAGCCCAGGATGCTGAGGTGCTTGAACTGTTCTTCGGTCAGGGGCTTGTTCAGAAGAGCGAGACCGGTGTCGGGCACGGAGAGTCCGCGGTTGAGCTTGCCACCGGGGACGTTGACATTGAGGGCCTAGATGGTGTTATGGGTTCCGTTAGCATTACACACGGAGACACTTGGCAGGTGCATTGAAGCAGAGATGCCGTACCTTTTCAAACCACTCCAGGGCATTGTCAGGGAGATTGTATTTCTTCGCGTGCGCAAGGATATCCTGGGCCAATGAAGGGAAGACGGCCTCAAAGGCAGCGCGGTCAGTAGTGGATGCCATGCTGGGAGAACGTCGTAGTGAATGAATGGTACAGCACGATTGGAGACCGGTCTGGCAATGAGGGAGGAGAGAACGAGAGGAGGAGAATAATACTAATAGACGGCCTTCCCAATCGAGCAACTCAGTTGTGCCCCTCTGTTTGCAGCATTTGCTCTGTTTGTTTGTTTGCCGTCCCCCAATCAGGCAATCGGCGCCCTCCATCCATTCTTCGCCATTCGAGCGTCTTGAGCTTGCCTCTCCCAGCACCAAAAGAGTTGTCGAAGGCCGTTATTCATCATGGCGGCTCAATTCACCGAGGATAATATCCAGGACCTCAAGTTCCGCCTGGAAGATGCGGCCATCAAGTGTTCCGAGCGCTGTTTATACCAGTCCGCGAAATGGTACGGATCACACCACTGAGCTTCTTTCCCTTTGAATTTATCAGTTGACCTATGAACTTTTTATTCAATTCAGGGCCGCGGAGATGCTTGATTCCATACTCCCTATTGACCGGTATGACACGGATCCTGAGTCCCCCATGGACATCGCCGATGCGCCTCCGAGTCCGCCGAACCCGTATCTCCGCACCCAGGATCCTATCGAAGCTACACTCGAGGCCCAGGAATCCTACAAGTATCTGTTAGCAAAGTCCTACTTTGACACACGTGAGTACGACCGCTGTGCGGCGGTGTTTCTTCCTCCCACAATTCCAACTGTGCCACTTTCCACTTCGTCGCCGCATAATCCTAAATCGAGGCCGTCCTTAACGCCCCAGAAGGGAAAAAGCAAAGCATCTCCCTATGCAGGCGTCAAGGATCATAACGCAACTCGCAACCCGTACCCTAAGCTCAGCCAAAAGGCCCTATTTCTTGCCTTGTACGCCAAGTATTTGGCTGGGGAAAAACGCAAGGATGAAGAAACAGAAATGGTCCTGGGTCCTGCGGATGGCGGAACCACAGCGAATCGCGAACTGCCCGATTTAGCGCGAGGATTAGAGGGATGGTTGACTGAGCGCCGGGAGAACGGACTAGAAGACAGCAGCCAGGGCTGGCTGGAGTATCTCTATGGCGTTATCCTTCTCAAGGGGCGGAACGAAGAAGAGGCCAAGAAGTGGCTCATGAGGAGTGTTCATTTGAATCCGTTCCACTGGGGAGCTTGGCAGGAGCTAAATGATTTACTTGCCAGTACCGAAGATGTGCGTGTTGCTTTTGGAGAGATCTGGTTGATCGACAGACAAATCGCTAATGCTTCAACAGTTGAAACAAGTGATCGACATTTCACCCCAGAATATCATGACGCTCATATTCCATGTGTATTGCAGCCAGGAACTGTATCAAGCAACGGAGGAAACCTACCGAGCTTTGTCCGACCTGGAAACAATCTTCCCCACCAGCGCCTTTCTGAAGACCCAGAGGGCGCTGCTTTACTACCATTCGAAAGGTACCTTCCCTAACTGATATATAAGATACCCTGTACTCACCAGTCCAGACTTTGAGGAAGCCTCGCGCATATTCACAGACATCTTAGTCACATCACCCCACCGTCTCGACAGTCTCGACCATTATTCCAATATCTTATATGTCATGGGGGCACGTCCCCAGCTCGCTTTCGTCGCACAAGTAGCAACCGCAACGGACAAATTCCGCCCCGAAACGTGCTGCGTGGTAGGGAATTACTACTCCCTCAAATCCGAACATGAAAAGGCCGTCATGTACTTCCGCCGTGCTCTTACTCTCGACCGAAACTTCCTCTCCGCATGGACCCTCATGGGCCACGAATACATTGAGATGAAAAATACTCACGCGGCGATTGAATCCTACCGCCGAGCGGTTGACGTCAACCGCAAAGACTACCGTGCCTGGTACGGACTAGGCCAGGCATACGAAGTACTCGACATGTCTTTCTACGCATTATTCTACTATCAACGTGCCGCCGCCCTACGACCCTACGACCCCAAGATGTGGCAGGCAGTCGGATCCTGCTACGCCAAAATGGGTCGTGTCGAGCAAAGCATCAAGGCGTTGAAACGCGCCCTAGTCGCCGGCTCCTATTATGCAGAGGAGAACACCTCCCAAGTGAGTGGATCCGGTCGCAAGATACTCGACCCGGAGACACTACACCAAATTGCTACACTCTATGAAAGGCTCGGTGAAGAAGATGAAGCTGCCGCTTACATGGAACTCACTTTACAGCAGGAATCAGGCCAGATACCCATGGAAGAAGAGTCTGAATCCTCGGATAATGAACGCGAGAACGAAAATGACGACGAGCAATCTACCGGCGAGGGACATTCGAGTTTCCGTCGTGCTCGACACTTCTCGTCAATGGATAGCCAAAACAATGACGAAGAAGACACATGGCATGGGACAGGCGTCACGGCTACGACGTCCAAGGCCCGATTATGGCTTGCTCGGTGGTCGTTGCGCACCGGGGACCTCGAACGAGCCGATCAACTGGCCGGTGAGTTGTGTCAAGATGGTGTGGAAGTCGAAGAAGCAAAGGCTTTAATGAGAGATGTTCGAGCTAGACGCGAAGGTGGTGAGTGAGGGCTCTAGTTCTAGGTTTGTTTTCAAGCATTTTTCTTGGTATGGGCTAGCGAGGCGTTTCTTGTGGGATGGTCATGGTCTAATGTCTTCTCTATGCCTGCCTTTTTCTTTTTTTCTTTTCTTTTCTTTTCTTTTCTTTTCCTTTTTTGGCCTCAATGCCTTTGAAGGATCTGTTTGATGGCCTCTTTCAAAAAATTACTATAGGGTTATGGTTCCCAGTGTTATAGGGTGATACCAATGGGACTACTTGTCAATCCGGACACTATATGGAAGGCTGTATACTATTAAACTGGAACTATGTAACTGTATAATTCATAAAAACATATAAAATGGTTAACTCGAAGTACACTAGAGATTAGATTCGCTAGACTACTAAGCTAACTATATACCACAATGTAGACAAACCCGAAAACATTAGTATATACAAGAAGGTAAGTGGAGAATCACAAATCCATCCGGTGATGAATTACCGGTTCAACGGACGTGAATTCTCCCAACCAACACAACTGGTTCCTATCAAAAGTGATAGAAATCTCTGGGGTGGTCTTTGGCCCTGGAGCAGCTATGATATTCTGCTTACTGGTATGGGTGCCATTCATTGTCGTACAAGGAACCTCGTCAATCCTTCCAGGTACGCCTCCTGAGCGACTAAGAGAGTCCCATGCAACGCAGGCATAGAAGTATTCTTTCCCAATGTTTGACCAAGTTTCACGAAGACGGAATCTTGTGTCGTCTGCATTGACCCCAAGTCTGAGAAGCTTCGAGTCAAGAACGAAGACTTTTCCGTTCAATGGACAGTTTGGTCGTGCGAATTGAAATTGTTGCGTGATTCTCTTGCTTAGGTCTAGGAGAAATTCTCCTAGGAAGGTTTGGTTATGGTCTATGAATAAAAGACCTAGAGACGTATCTCGCGAGGCAGAAAAAGGATCAGAGTTTGAGATCTGTGTTCTGTAGTATTGAGAACATAATGCATGTAAGAAACTGTCCAAAGTGTAGGTAGGAGAAAGCGTGTTAGCGAGGCTCGTGCATTCTGTCAGTCCATACCGATTGTCGTCGAAATATACTGAAATGGCTTTCAACGGTGACTGACACTTGTTTTGGCGACTGTGAGAGGCATGGGTGGTACGTGACCTGCTATTATTTATTTCGTTCTCAATAGTACTGGACTTGGTTATTGAGGTACATGAAGGCTCAACTTTATCTGATACATTGGAGTTGCCCAAGTGGTTGCTACATTTGGACTGTGGGATTTGTTCGATGGACTGCGGATTCATATCGGGCATAGTTGCAAGTGTAGAATTTTTCCCTTGGCGTCTAATTTGATTGGATGATAGATTCTCATTGCTGGTGAGCAAATGGCCGTCGATATTAGAGATACCGGATGATGGACTTGGTGCAATCGACTCATCAACGTAAATCGGAATATGAGGCGTAGATGAACGCTGATTGTCATGTCGTGGAAATTGTCTAACGATGGCGCCAGAAGCGGCCTCTCTAGGCATCTTAGGGTTGCACACCACGGTAGGATGTTGCTCGTTCAACTTCCATCCACTGGCTATGCCTGCTGTTGACTGGGAAGACGAGCTAGAAGTTGATAGCATGCTCTGTGATCGATCAACTACGTATGTAGACAAACCACTTCCAAGTTTAAGACGCTTAATCCACTCATTTTCTTCCTGTATTAAGTCGTCGGGAACTGATCGGGCATCTTCAGCTAGAAGCTGCAATTCCGTGAATGAAGCTGCTTCCTCAAACGACCTATCCCAGTGGATTTTTATGATTCGCGAAAATCGAAGAGCGTAGTATCTAGCTCCTGACGGTCTTTCGAACCCACTACCTAGCATTTCAACAACAATTGGTGTCCTGTATACGACCTTCATGCTGGGAAAACTAGTGTTTCCGGATTCTATATCAAATCCATGACCTGAATCCGGATCACAAGCACTGTACTCGCCGAATCGATTGAGGATTTGCAAGTTTTTCGCGCTCATACAACTGGGACCTATCACATCAATGACTCGAAACCTGGGTTTCGCCTTGGATTGCAGGAAAGCTTCTTTGTTCACGAGACATCCAACAAAAAATTGTGTCCATAGCAGTTTATTCACTTCTTTTAGTGCCGCGGCATCCCGTGAATTGTATGATCCACCGATTAGAGCCAAGTCCACTGTATCGCCCAAGCCTGGAATATAATCTTTTTTGAACTTAATCCAGCGGCCACAGAAGTCATTTCCTTCATCGGAGAACATGTTGAAATAAGGGTCTTCGCAGCCTTTCAAGACGAGTCCTTCCCATCGCTCCGCGACAGCTTTTGCAAAGGTAGCTTCAAGTCGCGCCTGACTGCCAGAATGAGCAAAATCCAGTACTCGTTGTTCAGAGATATCGGCCCGACCATCGGTTACTTGCACTACATCTTTGAGTAACAGCCGTCTTTCCCGATGGGGCTTTCGCAAGCAAACATCATTATCAAGTAGTAGAATATCAAAGAAGACTATCATCAAATGCTCATAGGGCTGTGGTCTGTAGCAAGTTAGACATTGAAAGTAAAGAGAGGTCAATTCGAGTCACTCACGGAGAATCGTTCTCAGTCCCAATAAAGGTACCTGATCGGGATATGAATTTACGCAACTTGTGAAAACCCATAATCTTTTGGTGCTTATCACTCCACACAAGAAGTTCACCCTCCAGAATGCATCGCTGCTTGAATTTGCATCCAGGTTTGTGTATTCTCAAGGAGTCATGAATGACTTGATGGATCCCCGACTTATCCGCAGTGGAGTCTTTACCACTTTTAGAAAATATTTGTATGGCATTAGGATGATTCGAGAGATCGATGTGCACCTGACAGTATTCACCATCATACTTTCTCTCTATACTCATTCGGCGAGTACCAATCATTTGGCAGCAGTGCTTCATACTTCGAGCTTTGTAGTAGTCTGGCCGTCCAATTTTAACGCCAATCCCTGGATGCAAGTGTTCCATAGCTATTATACCCAAATCCTTGGCCAGCCAAGGTTCAGGGTGAGGGGGGAAATGGCAGATTGGTTTCGAAGCAAGCGTTTTCAAAGCTGCCTCGAATGAGTCTTGGAAACGAAGCAGATGTGGAAGCAGAAAATGAAAGCTTTTTAATGTCAGCTTCGCAGGCACAACGATGGGAAGGTAACTCTTTAGTATCATTCGAGTCAGCCATTTGGCATCTCTGCTGCTCAGTCGTCGGTATATCGGAGAAAGCGCCTCTTCTACATCAACCGCCGCTCGCTGCCTTCGCACTCGAGGACCAGAGAATTTGCACCGGGATGCGATACTGTTAAGCACAGCGTCAATCTCTTCCACAGTGACTTCCAAACCATTGATGATATGGTTTTCAGCCTGTTTCATCACATTCTCCACGCATTGTCCCAGATCTACGCCACCAGAGAGGCGCCATCGTTCAAGTTCCTCTCGGCGAGAGGACCCGAGAAGGAGGCATCGACCAATAACTCTCGCAAGGGATGTGTCTTGTAAATAATAAACTCTGTCTGTCCGCTTCTCCGGGAATATACAGAACAAGACCGCCAATGTGTCCGTGTCTTTGTTGCGCAGTCGCTTCCCATGTTGGGTGAACCATCGGCTCACGACCCGAGCATCTGGATCTGTGTTCTTGGCCTCCGTCGCAGCCTTTGCAATTCTGTTGTTCTCCAGAGAAGAGAGCAAATCGCACACGAACCGGAATTTGAAACCCATATATGAAGAAATCCTAATACTTTTTTTTATAGTTGGAACTTCGGGAAATCCAATGTATTACCTGGAATGGTCCATTCTAATGCCGTTTGGTCCATTCCAGTTTGAAGAATACAGTACTTAGCCAAACACAACTATCCGGGAAAGAGTGAGGAACAGATGATGTGACCGGTTGACGCGAGACAAGAGATTCTCAGTGGATCACGCCCATGGATCGCGAAAACACGTGATCGAACCAGAAAAAGAATGTGACAAGTTTGCCTGTATTGGGTAGTGGAGACATTCTACGCTTGTCTGATGATAGTATTGCGTTATTTGGTACAATAAAGGAGGCGCACGACTGTATAATGCTGACACAGTTCTTTATTCCCAACCAATAGACAACCCAACAAACACAACCCCGTGCAAATAAGGGAAGAACACCGCCAAAACTCCGAGCTTTTAAACCTGAAACACGAGGACAGATGAGTAAAGATGTATGGCAAATTGCAAAGGACAGCAGTGTTCACAGAATACCCTGCTTTTGAAGACTGCGAATTGTTAGCATCGTCTCTATTGGTCAATGGGTATCAAGGGTAAACATACTCCAGATAGATCCTCTCCGGCATCACATTGCCCTCGGCGTCCTCCATCTGCACCACATTGTCTCGGTTATCCCGCTCTTTTTTGCGGTCATGCTCAAGCTTTTCCCATAGTCGTATGGCGTCCTCGATCTGGGTGATTTCGCGAAACAGGTTCGTGTTCGACGTGATCCCAAGGCACTTTAGACCAAAGATATGAAGGGCTTCTGAGAAGTGCTTGTCAAATGCGCGGCGACCCATATATACAAAGTTACCGCAAATCTCACAGGGGTACTCGACTCCCAGGCCGTGCAGTTTGTAGAGCCAATAAGGTATAGGCTTGCCGTCCCAAGCAAGTGGAAGCTTGAGCGGGTTATAGATTCGATCTTCGCCTTCATCATCCGATTGATCGGCTCCACGTGCCTCACCAGGGTTTTCAGACTCAGCAAGCAATGCCTCAAGTTCCATCTGGCGTTCTCGTTCTGTCATGCCCTGCTTTCGCTCCACGTTGATACGAGTAGCTTGTCGTTCAACGGCAAGTGCGTTTGCTAGAGATCGAACGCGATGCTCACGCTCTGCCACCGCACGCTCTTTCAGACGATGAGTGACTGAAGCTGCACCTCCAGCTGGCGTGGCCGGTTTCTCACCGGAATCACCATTAGCCTTCTTGGCCTGAGCAGCCCGGATATGTTTCTTGCCCGTTAAGTGGTTCTTGTAGACGTTTTCATTCTTGAATTCCTTTTCACAGTCGGTGCACCAGATACCTTCTCCAGAGCCCTCTGTTCTTGGCCCTTGAGTATCGTTCTCTGTTTTTTCCTCCGTCCATCCAGGGACTCCGTTCATCGTCCACTGTTGTTCGAACTGCGCATCAAAGCTAGCAAATAACTTGCCCAGATCTTGCAACGGTCGGACCTTCTTGATGAGTTCTTCTAGATAGCCTGCAAGCTCTCCCACATATCGGAAGTACCTATCAGACAACTTGTTGGAGCGCTTGATAGACATCTGTGGTGGCGTAAAAGCATCGAACACGTCGAGGTATTGCACATACGTTAACCTCTTCACACCGGGGAGGTTTAGATATTGGTCATGCAATTTCGTAAGATCTAAGAACTGACCAAAGCCTTCTTCACCGGTAAACATATTATCTATATCCATCCCACCCGCTTCGCTCTCTCCTGGTTGGCGGCGTTTGTAAGCCCGTTCAAGGTTCTCCACGGGCTCATTGGGATACCGGCGGTGGAAGTCCTTGATTTCTTCTAGCTGCTTGTAAAATTCCTCGAACTGGTCTCCAGTGGAAATGGACTGGATTTCCTTTTCGCGTGCACCATCCGCATCTTTGTATATATCGATCAGGCGAATTGACTGTTCCTCGATGCGGTTCAAGAAGTGAGCTACTTCATGGTCCCTTGCCAGGCGATCGCGAATCTAAGCAGTAGACAAGAGTTAGCGATGGGTATAGAGACCAGAAACTCGGCTAACCACTTACGCTACGAGGGTCTTCAACGACACGGTCAGCAATAGCTTGCTCTAGCCGTTCCAGATCCTCGTGGATATATCGCTGCTCTTCAACAACCATGGTGAACGCACTGACAATATCGCAGATGCCCGTAAGCAAATGGCGTAGATCCACAAGTGCTGTAATGTTGTCCGGCAAATCGCCGCTCAAGAGAGCTTTGCCGCGATCTCCCGGTCACGTGCTGCCCGGGCGGTGGGTGACACTCGAAAAGTCGCGACGGAGACAGGTTCTTCGTAGACATTTAGTAGCACCACTACATGCCACTATTATCAACTGAATTGCGATACTCTATCTTTTGAACCACGGTAGATCTGGTGAACTCAATATGGCGGACGGTATCGATCGGCGAGCTGATGGTATAAGTTCCAGCATCCTCGAGAGAGTTCTTGTATACTGACAGCGCAAACTCAGACCGGATGGAGTTCAACACCTCCAAGGAGGTTACGGTGGCTCCTACCTTCGAGGATATGCACTTAAAGGAAAGTCTTCTCCGTGGTATCTATGCATATGGTTACGAGTCTCCTTCCGCTGTCCAGTCGCGTGCGATTGTCCAAATCTGCAAAGGTCGCGACACCATTGCTCAGGCACAATCCGGTACCGGTAAGACTGCTACATTTTCGATTAGTATCCTGCAGGTCATCGACACCGTTGTCCGCGAGAGTCAAGGTATGTGGATTTTTATCATAGCTAGAAAGTGTCCAAGCTTATGATAACCCAGCGCTGGTCCTTTCTCCGACTCGCGAACTTGCGACCCAGATTCAGTCGGTCATCATGGCGCTAGGTGACTACATGAACGTGCAATGTCATGCATGTATCGGTGGAACAAATATTGGAGAAGACATCCGGAAGTTAGATTACGGGCAGCATGTTGTCTCGGGTACCCCAGGTCGGGTGGCGGACATGATTCGTCGGAGGCACCTGCGCACGCGCCACATCAAGATGTTGGTCCTCGATGAAGCCGACGAGCTCCTGAATCGTGGATTCCGTGAGCAGATTTACGATGTCTACCGTTACCTACCTCCTGCTACGCAAGTTGTCGTAGTTTCTGCCACTCTACCGTACGATGTACTAGACATGACGACTAAGTTCATGACCGACCCGGTTCGCGTTCTCGTTAAGCGTGACGAATTGACCCTGGAAGGCATCAAACAGTACTTCATCGCCGTGGAGAAGGAGGACTGGAAATTTGACACCCTGTGTGATCTCTACGACACCCTGACCATCACACAGGCCGTCATCTTCTGCAACACCCGGCGGAAGGTAGACTGGCTTACCGACAAGATGCGCGAAGCCAACTTCACCGTCTCCAGTATGCATGGCGAGATGCCCCAGAAGGAGCGTGACAGCATCATGCAGGACTTCCGCCAGGGTAACTCACGTGTCCTCATCTCCACCGACGTGTGGGCCCGTGGTATCGATGTGCAGCAGGTTTCCCTAGTTATCAACTACGACCTGCCCACGAACCGCGAGAATTACATCCACCGTATTGGCCGAAGTGGTCGTTTCGGAAGAAAGGGTGTCGCCATCAACTTCGTCACTACCGATGACGTGCGCATCCTTCGTGATATTGAATTGTATTATTCTACACAGATCGACGAGATGCCTATGAACGGTACTACATACATCCTTCCTCTCTTCCTCTTCCAGAATCCCACATATTTTAATTAATGCAAACATTGCTAACAACAACACGCAGTTGCCGACCTCCTCTCGTAACCCACTTGATCTACTACCCGCTTTGGTGTTTCCACCCCGTCGACCCCAGTGAAAGCTCACTGGCACGGCATCAAATGGGCTTCATAAATCAGCCTCAAGCGAGACTACAAGTGAGCTCAGTGTGTATCAAGAGTCAGACTAGCGTGGAGGAAAAGGGAACATATCTAAAATGGTGAGTCCTGCCGTTTTCAAGCATTAGCAGACTATATTAGTAACCAAATTACGCCTTGAGCATAGGTTCAAACCAAGTCACTGATCGTATCAAATGCAAATTAAGGCTATTGTGGTAGTAGTCCTAGGTACTGCGCAGCCTTTTTCTTTTCTTTTTTTGTCTTCAAAATGGAGTTCAAATGAGTTGGGGTCATTTAATTGCTGAATGGGGTATACTTGCTATTTTCAATAAATGAGATTTGTTTAAAAAAGATTTCATGTAGGTTAGGTTTCATGGGATTTAGTACATCGGCAAAGTAACTGATGCTAATACCTACGGAGTTACCGGACAAAGTTGGCTCAGGTATATATATGAGATGCATTATTCTGCGCCGAGTCTACTACTTGCAAATAGCATAAAAGACGTATTGTGAGGTCTTAAACATGAGGACAGGAATAGAACAACAGGAAGACCAAATTGACTCCGCCTAACCGTTCCGAACAATGTACCCTGAACCATCCATATCACCCAAAGCCGATATCAAAAGGGAAAGAAAAGGAGAGTAAGGTGGTCGTGGAGTGGCTGTCTGTTGGGGTTTGAAACGTATGATAGTGCCCATGACTCGGTTATGATGGGAATTAAGTTCAATACATGAATGCACAGATATATCAATCTGCGATACCAAAATGGCAGCGCCTGCTACCTGTATCGAAGGATCCCCGACGGAACAGGAAAATGCGTATATGCAAAGGTTCAAGGGATGAAAGAATAAATGCAAAGGAGGTGTCTTTCGACTCCAAAAATCTCCAGGTATATGCCGTGATATGGAGACAGGATCACTGCCCGAAAGCGTGTTGTGCCAAAGATCAAGATTCCCTTTAAGGAAGAGGGGCTTCCTTAGAAACTTGATGTTGATCGCAAAGCACTAGTTCGCGCAAAGCCACTTGCCGATAGCGCTTGGTGCTTGGCCGCCGAAGCATGACGAGGTTGTTCACGCTCTCGGGCCCAGCTGTGTTCTATTAGTCTCGTATGATTAAAAACAATCAAGCTGGGGGAGTATGGCTTACATCCTGACCAAGCAATCATCTCCGGCAGATGCAAACATTCCCGGGTTGGTTGGATTCCAAGATATTGCATTGACACACCCGGAAACGTGTCCTTCTAGGGTCTCCACGATAGTCCCATTTTCTTTGTGCCAAACGTAGACACGTGAGTCTGTTCCGGAATTAGTAAAACGTGTGGGACAAAGCGAAGAAGTGCAACTTGCCTTCGCTTCCACTGACGACAAAGTTTTCAGCAGCTCCACCAAACGTACTCCGGATAACAAAAGAGCCCTGTTTCTGACCTTGAAAGCGCCGAATGACATCAGTGGTATCGATATCGATCAGCTGTATTTGGCCCTCTGAAAGGTTGACGAGCATATGACGGGAGTCTTTGCTGACAGCTACGGACGTGGGTTTGCTTTTCAGGGCGAGGCAATATTCCTCCTCGTGAGTCAGGAAGTTGTAGACATGGATTTTCTCCTCCACATCGGCCGCCAGCAACCGCCGCCCGTCCGGGGTGATAGCGCAATCTTGGACGCGGAAACCTCCTGGCCACGTATATATGGAATGACCACGCAAGCTCCAGTGACATAATTGCGAGCTCAAGTCAAGGGAAGCCGTCACGAAGGACTCGCCGTCTGCAGCCCATGCTGCAGCTGTGACTGGTTGCCGATGGTGGTTGATGGTTAATAGGCAGCAACCCGTCTATGCTGACAGTCAATACTCATTTGTTTTTGTTCTTTTTTTTTTTTTTTTTTTCTAAACAGGGAGGGGGTGGGGACGGCTCGGCTCACCTCAACATTCCAGACGCGAGCCTTCTTGTCTTGAGAGCATGTGATGAGCTTTGTGTCATCCGGACTCCAACTAGCATGGGCTACACCATCATCATGATCTACCAATTTATGCAGCACCGTAAACGTACTTGTATCGTAGATGATGACGCTGTGGTCTCGGCCCGCCGTGACTAGTTTCGTGCCATCGTGAGAAAACTGGCAATACCAGACTTCATCGGAGTGTTGGTTTAACTCGATCCCTATTCGGAGAGGGAAATCATTTCGATCACACATATGATCCGAATATAAGGATGGAGGGGATGCAGTATTATGATATAGACACTGGTTGATTTGGTTTTGCTTGACATGGTCTAATAAGATGGCGAGACGGTTGTCCGGAATCATGACGGATGGGGATATTGATTCTAGTATAGTCATTAGTATTGTATTGTCGACGAGGGTATGATGCTTAAACGATGCTGGATACTCACTTGATAATTCAGATAATAGTCGCTCCCGAGAACAACTCATTTCCCCTTCCCAGCCAGCTTGGTCATGAAGATGCTCTGGAGGGCACATGAGGAGGCTACATCCGCGGTCAATAAGATAATGCTAATGTAGGCCAAACACAATGTGCCAAAACCGAGAAGCTCACCTAGATAGAGCATGGAGACGTCCGATATCATAGTTAAGGGGCGTTAGTTCATGCCGAAGAACCATCAGCGCCGCTGCAAGATCACGGGCTTCTAACAACTCCAAAAATTTTTGCTGCCGCAAATAGAAAAGCATCTCATTTAATTCGGCATCCTCCACCAGTACCAACTTTTCCTTGGCCGGAAGCTGTTCACGGCCATTGTTGAGCATCCGCCCATTCCCATCGGGATAAAACGACTGCACCAGGATTCTCTCCGCCTCAGACCATCTCCCGTCAAGGACCGCGCTTCGAAAGATAGTGACACCAGGACTTTCCAGCTGATACCCGCTTTCCTTACTCAATAGCGAGGCTGATCCATGATAGCCAAGCTCAAACAGACTCTGTATTAGAATCCGGGTGACTTCTTCTCGATCGTGGCCAAAATATGAGGAAGTATTCGAGGGTTTCTGTGATCCGTTCGTTTGTAGTTCGCCATTGGAGGGGGCGTAAGAGGCCTGGCCATTGAGGGCGTGTGAGAGACCTGACTTCTGGGATGGCGACGCAATGGAGCCGTTAGACGCTTGAGAGGGGCCATTTGTACTCGAAATTCCATCGGGCCGCATATTTGCCAGGCGCCTGCGCTTGGGGAATGGCGAATGGCCCTCTGATTGGGTGTGTGGCTGGATTCTGCTTTGCTCCTGAGAACCGGCCTCACTAGCCGTGCGGTCTCCCAAACGGCCTCCTGTCTCCTCAGCAGTGTATCCGGAATTATCTGGAGTGCTACTACGGCGGCGGCGACGACGGGAAGACGAGTTCAAAGTGCTGTTGCCGGCTAGACTGCGATAATGGTGGATGGAAGTGACTGGGAGAGACGGTGGTAGGGTGTCGTCCGGAGCAGCTGGATTTCTCGGGCGGGACGATGGAGGTTCAAAGGGGATAGGAGGGTTAGGGTGGTCGGGAGCGGTGGAGGGTATATAGCCGGGGGAATCGTTTGCCAGATCGAAGACTTGTAGATCTGCCCTTTCACCTGGCTCTGTAGAAGAACCAGGGGAGCAGACCTATATCAGCGGCGGTCACTAATACTCGCCGAAGGCTCAAGGAAAGGAATGTCGAAACTGGTCAGAGGCCTCGCAGTCTGTCAATGGTCGGAATGTCTCGATCTTGAAAAGTGACGTCGGTACGACGGAAGCGTGTATTGGGAATGTGGTGCACTGAGAGGAGGTTTAATAGTTGAAGAAAGAACGCCAGAATGCACGGGCGGAGGTCTTATCGGACTACTACCAAGATGAAATTCGGGGAAGGCACCAACGGATGGAGAAGATGAGGGCAGAGGTTGAGAAGAGTAGAGTAGCTGAGGGATCGTTTGAGCGAACTAAAGAAGACAATAGAGAGGCAGCATTAGGTTGGAGGTTGAGGAATAAGGAAAGGAAAGAATATGTGAGGAAGATCGCGGGAAGTAAAGAAGTGGTGACTTCGTAAGTTTAGTAGTAGGAAGTTGGAAGTCAAAGCGGTTGGACGGTCTTACTGGCCGTGGGGCGAGTCACGTCAAAGGCTTTGGGCATGGACTGGACGGAAGATGGCGCTATTTACAAGGTGCCGTGATGATTCAAAGGTTGGGCGGAGATTTCCTTCCTTTCTATCAGATGTCTCATTGTTATCATGACTATTTTATTCGTATTATTGCCTACATCTACTTCGTCTTCTCCTGCTACAATTGGTAGTTGGTGTCTTGCAGGCACTTGAGCCGTCAAACTCTTATCTACGGAACCCCACAGCATCCAAGCCCACTGAGGTTCTATCAAGACAGTGAGTGAGCTAGGATGGCCTCGCCTTAATTGCAAGTCTCTTGTTTGTCGTCAGCAATGCTTGATATTATTCATCGTAGCAGAGTTCCCTTCGCAGCAAACATGGAAGGGGAAGAAGTAGCCCGTCGGCACTCAACGAAGGCGCAGTCATACAGGCCAAAAATACCGTATGCTGAATACGTCTCGATCATCTGAACAAACGCTCCTTTGATAACCCCCCAGCAGGTGACTTGTTCATTCACGCCAATCTGGACCCAGGGATAACAGATGCAGATACGGTTGCAGAGAACTTGTGGAGATCTGGATAAGTATGAGTTGAAACGGGCATTCAAGGGAGATCACATCACCTGCGCCCTTCTCTTGGGTGCGTCGATGCGACTAGGGTCAATCCACTGGTTTAACCTAGGGGTTTACCCTAGGGACTACCTATTGCCTAGCAGCATCGAGGTGCCTACCTTAGAAAGCCATTTCATACTTCATATAAGTGTGTGCATGCATGTCGAAGAGTGAGAATCTCCCATAATCGTGCTTGAGTGCTGAAACCCACGTCAACAGTGGAGACAACCATCTGGTACCACTTAAGCAGACACAGGTGGACCTTGGACCGGACATTGGACACTCCCTCTTGAAACACGCAAATTCCCCGCAGAAAACTATCATGATTAGTTGCCGTCCATGTATACCCAAAGGAGAGGGCAGGTACATCCATCCATCCCATACGGACCTCAGTACCGGCAGTCTAAATGATCCTCGGGACAGCCCGATAGCCTCAATAGCAGCCAACGGTAAGAATCCTGGAAATCCACCAACTGAAGAATATGAGTGGTCTAGCGGTGGAAATCCATGATCGAGATGACTCTATTAAGCAATGGGTAGGTCCACATGCTCTATAATTCCGGCGGGGGCAGCATTACCCGGGTCATGGGTTGTCTGACCTCATTATGATGCTTCCAGTTTCCCCACATTGCCGCTACCAGCTATATATATAGTGGCAACCTGCCCATCGGTCCGATCATTCAACCAACTGATTCGTTATACGATATCTTCTATATAACCTGTGGAATCCTTCCAAACAAAGCAGACAAAGAATTTACCCTTTTTAAAAATGGGCTGTGACTGTGATAGCGGAAACACCTGCGGCTGCTCTGGCCCTCAGAACTGTACCTGCGGTAGCAACTGTACCTGCAAGGAATGCGGCGTATGTCTCTGCTGTCTTTCAAACACCACTGAGAGCAGGCTAACCTTGGAATATAGAAGTAATCAATGCCCATGCTTCCACGACCGGTTATATTGTTACGTGAAGGGGATGAGGAGCGGGTTGAGTACTGCATCAATATGATACTGGATATTCTTTTGGATGCTTAATGTTGATTGTCTTTCATTGGAGAGTTCTGGGATAACGAAGGAATAATTTCATTCCCTTATTCAGATAGAGGTTTATCCTCATAGTATAGACTGGAATGCCGTCAAGGACTTCGTAATATTAAACCATGAACGGCCACAGTGCATAATCTGCGTACACTAGTGTTCGTAGTAGGGCTACGCCTGAGCAATTTCACCTCACAGTAAATGTCTTTGCAATATCCATCATCTCTGGCTGAGAAACTCTCCCAACCCGACCAGTCTGGAGATCACCGACAGTCTAATCAACAGGCATGAGCATCAAGCTGAACTAGAGGACTAAATCCAAGCTAATAAAATATGTCCATCGAGCGAGAATACATATACTTAAACACAATACCAAGCGTTTCTGACTTTATCGGTACGGATGCCTTCGGCACTTTGCGGGATGACTCCAAAACTCACGCAGGTCATACAACCCGGAGAACCAGAAACTTCCTGAACCACCTCTATCTTTTACATATTAAAAGCGAACTCCCAGTTTGCATCTGACTGTAAATATACGCAGTGTCGTAAACAACATCCAGATGTTTTTAACACTAGATGTCAGCTTGTATCGAAGACTCCGCACAGAAACTTTAGTTCAATGGCTATCACATCAATTGATAACTGCGCACAAAGAAAGCAACCATGCACAAGCAATAGCATCCGACTTGGTACCTCCAATTCTCGATAACCTGCGTCAGGCTGCCCACACTTTCAAGCGATTGCAGCAAAGGCAAATTGTCATCGAGTTGCGACGCGAAGCCGTATATCCTGGTTTACAGTATCGTAGGCTCTAAGTGGGGTTTTACGCAACTAACTTAAGGAAGTCTATTCTTCAACGACTGGGGCAAAATTGTATCTAACGGTGGGAAAATAGAGCCTACACAAAGAACCACTAAAAAAAGGAATTTAAGAGCATGAGATTAAAAACAACGAGCTATCAAATGAATACACTCCCGGAATCGACAGAGATATAGCATATTCATGACGTTTCACATTCCAAGTACTAAACTTTCCGGCGCGAAGATTCGCAAACCAAAAAGTGTTCCAGCACACAGTGTCAATGCAGCAATGAACGCAGCGAGGAGCCCTAATTGTGCTAAAGCCTCGATGCCGTACCCGATAGTCTTGATCTCCTTACGTTTCCCTAGACGTGTTGTGCGCGTGTAAAAAGGGACATACTTGAACTCGAAATAAGATTCTCCTCCCAGCCCTTCTTCTTTGTCTGTGACGATAGTATAGTAGAGTCTCCGGCGGAACTGGTCTGGAATTAATATATGATTTGTTTTAGTGACTGAGATGTAAATGAAAGACGAGACAAACCGCAATAAAGGTTTGATCGAGTTTGGGAAACAGTCGGAGTCCGTAGCATAATCCCATGACGACAAAGCAGTACCCATATACGAGCGCTTGGTAGTAGATACTCGGCCGGGGAAGGTCAAGCTTATCAGACAGCTTATTACCGTTGAGGCGTCTAGCCATAGCCTCCATGAATTCTTTTGAAGCATATATGGGCGCAGTATTCTCCAGACCGAGAATGATATTCTGTGCGAGAATCTTGCCAATGTCTGTGGGGTTGATCTCCGATACAAGAAGAGATTCCATCATGGCTCGACTGGTAGCTCTTGACTGTAAAGAATGAGTAGGCGTTCCCATGTAATGTGCTACTAGTCGCCAGAGCGCGAGATAGTCGTCGATTTCCTGGTCGCGTAGCCAGATCCCCTGTCGAGGAAGCCCGAGCCAGACCACGCTTGACGAGAAGGTGTGAATTGTCCCTATACAATCAAGGTCGTTGATAGGAATGCCGAACTTTTCGACATTATAGTATTCGGGCTTTTGCTTCACCATGCTTAGAATCCTCCTGCGGACCGAGGCGTGAAGCAATCGCACGCGAATTGAGGAGATATGGCCGTCTCCTCCAGGCTTCATGGAATTCAGAGATAGAGAGACCTGAAGGACATGTTGTAGGGTTTCTAGTAATCTTCGTCGTACAACATCAATAGAAAAGCCGCCTGTCCGGGCCAGAGTCTCAACAACGCGAGCAGAGCCCCTGAGCAGTACGAGTTAGTTCTTGTTTATGTACATACAATTATTGCTTGAGATGACTAACATGCCGCCTAGAAGACTTTCGAAGCTAAGCTGTATGATTGTAGTAGTTAGCGATAGGATAGACTAAGGGTCAGATGCTATGTACTCACCACATTCAGTATAGGGAGTCCGTATCGGAAGAACACTTCCTGTCCTCTTTTGATCTGGTCCCAGTCAACCCATTTAGGAACAGTATTGATCTCGGTCCAGAGCTGATCCAACTTTGGGTCATCTTTGGCGTGAATTTTCAACAAAGTGTACAGGTCTCTTTTAGGAGCCTTTGTGGCCGTTTCTGTCTGCGTTTTTTCAAAATGGCGTGCGTTCTTTAGGGGTGAGATCTCGTCCAGCTTCTCCAAACATTCATCGACAAGTTTGTCGTAAGTGAACATCATAGGGCGTAGCTGCTCTGAAGTGTGATGAAGGTCAGTCCATCTAAATGTATAGTCCCAGTAGTGACGAGTGCCGGTGTCGGTCTTGGTCAGATTGGCCATTTTCCGGTGTACAATTCAAAGTGCTCCTAGCATACCACCAAATAAGAGGGCAGAGTGATATGTAGAATGAGAAAGAACTTCGTATACGTTTTGTTATGAAGATTTAAGATACACAACTGGAGATATCCCGCTTTAATTTAGCCACCCTAGGGGCTTTATAGACGCTTATTGTTATTCATCCCTCATGGTGTTAGTGAAGAGCAACCAATGAGACGTAAAACCGACCCATGAATCGAGGTAGCGGCCATTTTGCTTCTATAGAACAGAACAGGGCATGTGAATGGCATCTATACCGGCGCCGGCAACGGTTAGGAGGACTGGGGTGCGGGGAAGACACAAAGATTGGCTGCTCGATGGACTAGTCATCCACGATCATCAGTGCTAATGAGTCAATAGAAGAGGGATATCCCTCAGTTGATCACCCCAGTGTATCAGTTGCAGAATGTGATTGTCCGAGGAAACCTAGTGAGCTATAGGATGGACTGATTAGGGGATCCTGCCATCTCCCTTGTATAGACTATAGAGTCCGATCCCCGAAATCTTTGACGTAATTAGAGAGTGTAATATGCAATATTAGGGCAAGTTGAATTATCCAGCCTTGTAAAAGGATATAGGAATCTCTACTGTTACAAAGTAACATTGGCGACTCTTATGCGCGCATAGACCAAAGGAGTGGAGGTGATTCTTTTCAGGAGAACAAACATCCAGGTACAATTTGTGAGAGGCTTATTACCGTAAACATTTGTCCTTAAAAATAGTGCCCAGACAGAACAGAACGTAGCTTGAAGGACCACCCAGTGTAGGACTGGACTGGACGGGACCACGACTAGCAGAGGGGCTGAGCAATCTCCATCCTATGCAGACAGTCGACAGGTTGATTTGCTGAACGGACTGTTCCCTCAACCCAATCCACAACCCAATCCGCATGTTAGGCTTGGGTGTGCTTCGACTCAAAACTCGCCCCTCCTTACTGGATCTGATAGCCAGTCGCGGTGTGGTGGAAACCGAGCAACAACAGCAACAGCAACCGCCTGACGGATCGAGGTCGTCATCACCGCCCAGACCAGAGAACCTGCCACCGCTCCCCGTCTCGCCCACCTTCCCTAGCACCAGTACCAGCACCAGCTCCTCCGATTCTTCCTCCTTTCTCGATCCCTCCCCCTCCGTTTCAACAGCCTCCATCTACACACCTGTTCCACGCACCATGGCACCATCCGGTAGGGGCGCCGAGGCTGATGATGCCCATCATGGCGCTGTGTTCTCCATCTCCGGCCCCGTCGTCGTGGCCGAGAACATGATCGGTTGTGCTATGTACGAGCTGGTATGTCACCCCCTATTACCCCCCTAAGTACCGTGGATACAATTGTACCGAGACCCATCACTCTATTGTATACTAGTTCTCCCGCTAACGGGTTCTCTCAACTATAGTGTCGAGTGGGTAGCGATCAGCTTGTCGGAGAAGTCATCCGTATTGATGCAGATAAGGCCACCATCCAAGTTTACGAAGAAACTGGTACGCAACCGCATCTCCTCTGCCGACTAATGAAGCCCCCATAACTGATATGCGTACTTCATCCAGCTGGTGTGACAGTCGGCGACCCTGTTATGAGGACGGGTAAACCCCTGTCCGTTGAGCTGGGTCCTGGTTTGATGGAAACAATCTACGATGGTATCCAGCGACCCCTGAAGGCGATCTACGACAAGTCAAAGAGTATCTATATTCCTCGCGGCATTTCGGTGAATGCGCTCGACCGCGAAAAGAAGTGGGACTTCAAGCCCGGTCGGTATAAAGTCGGCGATCACATTACGGGAGGTGACATCTGGGGTACCGTGTTCGAGAACAGCTTGGTGAATGAACACAAGATCCTCCTCCCACCCCGCGCGCGAGGCACCATCACGCGGATTGCCGAGCCCGGTAGCTACACTGTCGAGGAGAAGCTGCTAGAACTTGAGTTTAATGGCAAGAAGTCGGAGCATGGAATGATGCATACCTGGCCCGTCCGTGTGCCCAGACCGGTTAGCGATAAGCAAGCATCCGATGCCCCTTTCATCGTCGGCCAGCGAGTGCTCGACTCTCTTTTCCCCAGTGTGCAGGGTGGTACTGTGTGCATTCCCGGTGCTTTTGGATGCGGCAAAACTGTCATCTCTCAGAGTGTGTCCAAGTTCTCGAACAGTGACATAATTGTCTATGTTGGATGTGGTGAACGTGGTAATGAGATGGCCGAGGTCTTGATGGACTTTCCAGAGGTATGTGTGATAATATGGATGGCGCTCACAACTCTACAGATTGTTGTGCTAACTAAGATATAACTCGCAGCTTTCAATTGAAATCGATGGTCGCAAAGAACCTATCATGAAGCGTACATGCCTGATTGCCAACACCTCCAACATGCCTGTCGCTGCTCGTGAGGCTTCCATCTACACCGGTATTACCATCGCCGAATACTTCCGTGACCAGGGCAAGAACGTGGCTATGATGGCGGATTCCAGCTCCCGCTGGGCCGAGGCTCTGCGTGAAATCTCAGGTCGTCTAGGAGAGATGCCTGCGGACCAAGGTTTCCCTGCATACCTGGGTGCTAAGCTGGCCTCTTTCTATGAGCGTGCTGGCAAGAGTCTCGCCTTAGGAAGCCCCGAAAGAGAAGGCAGTGTCAGTATTGTCGCTGCTGTCAGTCCGCCGGGTGGCGATTTCTCGGACCCTGTCACTACTAGCACGCTCGGTATCGTCCAGGTGTTCTGGGGTCTAGACAAGAAGCTGGCACAGCGCAAGCATTTCCCTTCGATCAACACCGCCATGTCCTACAGCAAATACACCACGATTCTGGACAAATTCTACGAGAAGCACCACCCCGAGTTCCCACGTCTGCGTGAGAGTATCCGAGAACTTCTCACCAAATCCGAGGATTTGGACCAGGTCGTCCAACTGGTCGGCAAGGCGGCTTTGGGTGATTCGGACAAAATCACCCTGGATGTGGCTGCCATGGTGAAGGACGACTTCCTGCAGCAGAACGGATACAGTGACTACGATCAGTTCTGCCCTCTATGGAAGACGGAATACATGATGAAGGCCTTCATGGGCTATCATGATGAAGCCCAAAAGGCCATTGCTCAGGGTCAAAACTGGGCCAAGGTGCGCGACGCCACCGCCGACATCCAGACTGCTCTGCGGAGCATGAAGTTCGAAGTGCCGGAGGATGAAGCCGCAGTCTCGGAGAAGGTATGTTCCCCTCGCATGAGTCCGCCGCAGGAGATTATTTACCAACCAACCGGTTCTAGTACGAGAAAGTCCTTCAAACCATGTCGGAACGCTTCGCCTCGGTATCGGATGAGTGAGTGCGAGAGCGAGGTAAGACGGGAGAGGGTGTGGTTCTGGTCGAGAGCCTGTAGCATAGCAAATTCCCATATATCAGTCTTGTAGCTATTTAAATTTTTGCGTATCCGAATAAACGGAATCATAACCATCGCCATTTTGGTTACTTGGATTCCTTTCTCGTACTCAAGTCAGGCAGCATTATTTGGCCACCTAAAGTGGCCAAATCGCACATGACGCGTCCTCATTCGATGATGAGAGGCGCAGTTTCTGCCTAACGGTCGTGACATCAGTAATTCACACCCTGTATTCCTCATACACAGTTGCAGCCATCATCCCGCACTCAGGGTCGGCGTGACAAAAGCAATAGTGGCATCCTTGTGATCGTTGGTTGACCTAGAGACAGCCTACCCAAGTGCCGAGTTCTGGAACGCAAGCGAAACTCTACACTTGGCCGCTCTTCCGCTTTCTCTCCCCAATCCGCTTCTGCTCCTCCATCAAGTCCTCCTCTGGACAATCGCTGGGCTCATCCTGTCTTTATATATCCATCTATCTTGCTCCTTCTCTCCTTTATTCCCACTAACTTAGTGTGAACAAGCCCTGTGCCTCGTCGCCAGCCATGGCAACTCCGACTGGTTACTCGTGCGCTGCCCCCTTAGACCCCTCGTGCTGAAGCTCCGAGGCCGGCTGACGCCTGACAGGATAAACGTGAATGATCCGAGCCTGATCTCGCTGGTGAACAAGCTGCAAGATGTCTTTTCGACAGTCGGGGTAAGTGCCTGCGCCTCGTTGTTCCCACAGCTTCTCCATCAGTGACTGACACCGCTTTTTGTTGTTTAGGTCCAAAACCCGATCGATCTGCCCCAAATTTCAGTCGTTGGCTCGCAGTCCAGCGGTAAGAGTTCAGTGTTGGAAAACATAGTCGGTCGCGATTTGTGAGTTACTTTGATTCCCGTGCGCATGGGATGCTCTGCGTCGCTTCTGGCTAACAAGGGGTCGGCCTCCTTTGCCTCCAGCCTCCCTCGTGGATCCGGTATCGTTACTCGGAGACCCCTCATCTTGCAGCTGATCAACAAAACCGCCGGGAACGCCAAGGTCAATGGAACCCATGACGAGAAGTTAGAGACGACGGATAAGGAGGCGAATCTGGACGAGTACGGCGAGTTCCTGCATATTCCCGGCCAGAAATTCTACGACTTCAACAAGATTCGAGAGGAGATCGTGCGGGAGACCGAGTCGAAGGTCGGTCGCAATGCTGGAATATCGCCTGCTCCTATCAATTTGCGTATCTACTCCCCCAACGTCCTGACCCTCACATTGGTGGACTTGCCCGGCTTGACTAAGGTGCCGGTCGGGGATCAACCCAAGGATATCGAGAAGCAGATCAGGGAAATGGTCTTGAAGTACATTAGCAAGCCAAATGCGATTATTTTGGCCGTGACCTCGGCCAACCAGGACCTTGCCAACTCGGACGGTTTGAAGCTGGCTCGAGAGGTCGACCCGGAGGGTCAGCGTACGATCGGTGTGTTGACCAAGGTTGATCTGATGGACGAGGGAACCGATGTCGTGGATATTCTTGCGGGCAGGATTATCCCTCTGCGTCTCGGATATGTGCCAGTAGTGAACCGTGGCCAGCGCGATATTGAGAACAAGCGACCCATCGCATACGCCTTGGAGAGTGAGAAGAACTTCTTCGAGAGCCACAAGGCCTATCGGAATAAGGCGTCGTACTGCGGTACCCCGTATCTGGCCCGAAAACTGAATTTGGTGCGCTTGCTCAGTTTGTCAGAGATAGAGGTAATGTGCTGACTGTTTGGCAGATCCTGATGATGCACATAAAGCAAACACTGCCCGACATTAAAGCTCGCATTTCATCCTCTCTTCAAAAATACACATCGGAACTATCGCAGCTCGGTGATTCATTGCTTGGAAACAGCGCCAATATCGTCCTGAATATTATCACGGAATTCAGCAATGAGTATCGCACGGTGTTGGAAGGTAACAACCAGGAACTATCCAGCATGGAGCTGTCCGGCGGTGCTCGTATCAGTTTCGTGTTCCACGAGCTTTATTCGAATGGTATTAAAGCGGTCGATCCGTTCGACAATGTCAAAGATATCGATATCCGAACGATCCTTTACAACTCCTCTGGTTCATCGCCTGCCCTGTTCGTAGGCACCACGGCCTTCGAGTTGATTGTCAAGCAGCAGATTAAGAGACTCGAGGATCCCAGCTTGAAGTGTATCTCGCTGGTGTATGATGAGCTTGTGCGCATTCTGGGTCAGCTGCTGAACAAGCAGCTGTTCCGGAGGTATCCTATGCTGAAGGAGAAGTTCCACGCGGTTGTTATCGGCTTCTTCAAGAAATGCATGGAACCGACAAACAAGATTGTTCACGATCTCATTTCCATGGAGGCTTGCTACGTCAACACTGGTCACCCGGATTTTCTGAACGGCCATCGCGTAAGTATTTATGGACCTTGAAGATATTGACTTGGATGGGCGCTGACCGTAGCAGGCCATGACTATTGTCAATGAGCGTCAAGCTGCCAGCAAGCCTACCCAGGTCGACCCAAAAACCGGAAAACCGCTTCCTCCCCGAGCAAACAGCCCATCATCGGTCGACGTTACTCAGGATAGCAGTAGCGGCTCTGGGTTCTTTGGGAGCTTCTGGGCATCGAAGAACAAGAAGAAGATGGCTGCTATGGAGCCTCCACCACCGACTCTTAAGGCGTCGGCCTCCTTGTCCGAGCGTGAAAGCACCGAAGTTGAGGTTATCAGTAAGTGTCCCTTGAGCAAATGCTGGTGCCTGAAGAAAGTGACTAACGTAAGACAGAGCTTCTTATTACGTCTTACTTTAACATTGTGAAGCGGACTATGATTGATATGGTTCCTAAGGCTATTATGTATACTCTTGTCCAGTATGTATTCACAGTCGCTCTAGGCTTGATTTTCACGATACTGACGCTTTATTTCAGGTTTACGAAAGATGAGATGCAACGCGAACTGTTGGAAAACATGTACCGCAATTCCGAGCTGGATGATTTGTTGAAGGAGAGCGACTATACCATCCGCCGACGAAAGGAATGCCAACAAATGGTGGAGAGCCTGTCTCGTGCCAGCGAGATTGTCAGTCAGGTTCAGTAGCTGCCCGGAGCCTGCATCCTCCCGGTTATGAAGCGGTGTCGACTTATAATCTCTGCTTGTCGATCGTCTTATTTTGGGAGGGAAGAGTCTTTCGTCGGAGGAGTTACGTTTTACATTTATATTTCTTTCTGCCACGAAGTTCAAGAGCTCCGTACGCCACATGTTTTCTTTTCGGATGTCAGGTTGCCAAGATTTCCTATCACGATTTGTATCGCCTAATGATTGCTTGTGGTTTGATGATTAATTGTTTTCCCCTTCGTTTTTAGAACACAGATCCGAACATCAGTAGCAGCACTGCACTCATGTATAGTACCTGATCACTCCATAGATAGCTACCACTATTTATTATTTTGATTTGACCTTGTACCATCCTTAGGATTAGGTACTTGCAATCCTCTTGCACATGCATTGCTGTCATAGCAGAATTAGCACGTGCGGATAGCTCCTTGTCCTTTGTTCCTCTAAGCTGTGATGACAACAACCGCTCATCTGACTCCCCATCCTCTATCTATTTGCCAATATTAGAGATCATCCGATCCTCCCGTGAGATCATGTCGCAGGCAATCTCCAAACTCGAGAAGGAATGGGCACAAGATTGGGCTGCCTAGTACACAGCTCGACAGAGCACCAAAGACCGCGTGGCCCTGCCGGAACTCCAGGTGTCAGAGCTGCGCGACGGGGCCGACAAGTCATTGTCGAAGCAGCTCGAGCGCATGCGCAAGGTGTGCGACGACCGGCACACCTAGTCCGACCAGCTGCTCGTCATCGTGGATGCGGTGAAAGCCACGCTAGACGCCGGCGACAATGCCTCCTCCAGTCGCAGTCTCGACTGCCAACACCAACTAGGTAAAGACGGGATGTATCAAATCTGGGCCTCATGACCGCATCTTCCGTGACAACGAAACCCTCAAGGAAGTCGGCCCGATGGCCACGCTTCCCCTCACGGATACCACATCCTTCTTAATGGCATTTTGAATGGCTGGGACGGCGCCGTGGCCGACCACGAGCTTCCTCATAACTCATCAGCATTGCCGCTCTCTACCAGAGCGGCCATCGCCGGCTCATTGACCAGTTGGTGTTGCTCTACTGCTCCACCTGTCCCTCTTAGTAAGCCGCTCACTGGCTCTGGAATCTCACCCGCTGACGTGCCTGCGCAGTTCCCTTTCGCCCAGCGGGAAAGTTGTCAGAGCCGCCTTGATCAGTCATCGCAGTTAATGGTTTCAGGCCTTCTCACTCGCTCTCCACAAGGCCATACAATTGAAAGTCCTCATAACATATCTATCGACATGATTTCATGGTATCTTCTCATCTCTGCATGCCGCCACGCATCGTAATGCCTGCTTTGCAGGCCCTACTTACGTACGCGTCTTCTCTCGACCCAGACAGAAGATGCGAACCGACATGCTGAGCCCTGCGAGGGATTCGGATTCGCCATGCACGCTTTTCGCAGCCTTTACTTTTAGTCTCCTTTTAACTTCGAAGATGCCTAGATTGCCGGCCCAGATGGATGACTGGCTGTGAGTCTGCGACTCCAGCTACTGTTCTCGGCTGCTTCGGTCTCCTGCTCTTTTGCAGTGGATTCGTTCTTTCTCAGCCAGCAAGCTTCGTAGCATCATCCCAGAATTGAGCCTTGTGATGGGGAGCAAGCTTTGGCCCAGCTCTCTGCGCCTTCACCAATCGAGTCTTGTCTCCCCTGGCGCCATTGATATCCAGCGTCCAGGACTCTGGTGTGTCGGTTTCACAGAGATCCAATGTCTTAAATCACGCAGATAATTCATCATTGGCTTTACCTCCTTGAGTCTGTGGAGAGTGAGCCCAGGGTCTTCAAGGAATCGGACCAACCTGGTGGTGTAACCCCGCTATTCGAAGAGACATACTAGTCGGACTTATTCCTGTCGCAAGATTCTTACTCTTTCCTTCACTCTCAGCAGCCAGATATTACTCTTGGTAATGGACGATGTTGACTAGTGGGCTCTGGGGATGTGGGATGACGATTTTGACCCGTATGCCCGGAGACTCTGCCCCTATTTGAACTCTTTAGAGGCGGAGGAAGTAGGTTATACAGTAGGAGAGGATGGTGTGGATAAAGGTCAGGACGAAGGTGGCTAGGGAGGTACGGTTGGAGAATAGGCGGAGGGGCATGGTGAGCTCGGGGACCAATATCTGTGTAGCTAGGAAGATAATAAGACCTATGAATCCAGTGTTAATGGAGTTAGAGTACGCCATGATGACCAGGGTGTTTGATGCGCCCCAGGGTAGGGCTCAGTGGTATGGCGATTATGGAGGCAATCAGCAAGGCTTTACGGGCTAGGTCGACACAGTATATTACGGGCCGAGTCAGGCTTATATTGGACCTTGAGGAAAAGCACGACCAGCCAGCGCTACGCCTGAAATGGTCAGACTGAGTTAGGAGATCCAGCACCAGGTGAGGCGTTTTGCGTTATGAGACCACCGATAATAGGGCACAGAGACAGCGCCACGACGAACATAGAGAATATAACGCCCGTGAACCATGAGCTTTCGTACAGCAGCACCAAATCGCATACGATGATGTCTACCAGCACGTTAATTCCGCCACCGCCAGTACCCTGTCCCTGCGGCCAGCGATCAGTGCCGTCGTCGTTCTAGTCGCCAGACAACGCAGATCGCACGGCGAATAGCACCACAGCTAGAACATTAGGCTGGAAGGCCGTCATGGTGAGAAAGTAGCCGTTGGCGATCTACATGTAGTACATGTAGGCGGAACTGGAGGCCAGGTCGTGCAGATGGTGGGCATGGAACTCGAGATGACGGAGGCATCGAGGGCGGATAGGATTGATGTGATGGATAGTGCCACGAAGATTACCTATCTTGTAGTTAGTAGAGGATTATATTAGAACCCAAGACTTGGCATTTTGCACCTAGAATCGCCAGTCTTTGGGCGGGTTAGGGCTATCTGGATCCATACTATATAAGATTGGAGGAGAGGATAGAATACTATAGTTACAAGCGGCATTCTCAGTAAAATAAAATAAATAACAGGCTATTGATCTATATAGCAACTTGTGGAACTATTGTTTGTTGTCTCTGACATCTTCGCCGGCAGGGATTCTGACTCTGAACGATATGCAGGGATACAGAATTAATAAATAGCCTAGATAATCCAAGATATCAGCATCACTCCTTTCTCCAAGTTATCTTTAAGAGTAATCACCCTAGTTCGATGGATATGACCAACAGATGTAATGGATCTACCCCAACTCTATATCCACTTGAACCGAATCTACTCCAACTCCCCGCGTTCATATACAACATATCCCCGTCTATCACTGTACAGGAAGCACCCATAACATCAACAATGGCCCCAATTAAACGAGTCGCCGTAATTCAATGGCACATCAAAGTACCTTATATTTTCTATCCATCCATCCATTCCATCCACCTAACTAACCCCCCAGGACCTGGAGATCGAACAAAACCACCACAAAGCATGCCAATACATTCGCGACGCCGCATCCCAAGGAGCTGAAATAGCCGTGTTACCAGAGTCCGTTTCACCACCAGCCATTGCTATATGTACCTTCAACTCATAGATATAGATACCACCTCAATGGCTTCGCACCAACTAGCTCCCAATACACCCAACAAGCCGAGTCCGCTCCCTCGTACCTGAAAGCCTACCAGACTCTCGCCCGGGATCTCAACATTTGTCTTGTCCCTGGCACTATCGTGGAGAAACACGGTGCGAATCTATTCAACACGGCGTACTTCATCTCCAACGACGGACAGATTCTGGGCTCCTACAGAAAGAAAAACATCTGGCATCCCGAACGACCGTTCCTGACTTCCTCTGATGCCGAGTCACATGAGGTTCTCGCCACGCCTATCGGAAAGGTCGGATTGCTGATCTGTTGGGATTTGGCGTTTCCCGAAGCGTTCCGGGAGTTGATAGTTAAGGGAGCGGAGGTGATTATTGTGCCTACATTCTGTATGTCTCTCTTCCCCCCCAAACATAAGATATCGAGTATATATAATAGATAATAACCAGAAAAGGGACCCGACATGACGCCTCCCCCGAATCACTATCTCACAATCCCGAATGTGAAACGCTCCTACTGGAATCAATGCTCACGACGCGCTGCTTCGAAAATACCTGCGGGATTATCTTCGCCAATGCGAGCGGACCCGACGACCAGGACAAGTTCCTGGGGTTATCGCGCGTGGTCCTGCCGATTGTAGGGTCCGTGGGACAGATGGGTTGTGAGGAAGGTGTGTTAGTGGTGGATATGGATTTGGGGTTGGTGCGCATCGCGGAGGAGAATTATAAGATTCGGCAGGATATTAAGAGTGAGGGGTGGCATTATGGGTCTCGGGGTTGATATATCTAGTAAGATAGTATTAGTTTTGACATATTCAGTCTTTAATCTAAAGATCGTTATGGGGTTAGCGATATTTTGGTTAAAGTATACTTTTGGATATTAGGATTGGAGTCATTTAGTCTGTAATACATTTTATTTTGCTCCTGCCAATAAAAGACTTCTATAATACAGCAAAAAGAATAAATTAAAGCATGCTAGCAAGGACTCGTTAAAGTAGCTGTGTATGAGTACTCTGGTTCATATGCCTTATTGAAGTTACCTTATAGATGCTGCTTTTAGTTCTCCATCTGGTTCTAATCACAGCAAGCTATACATTTAACAAAACAGTACGCACAGCTATGCTTCCCCTAGAATTCCTCCATACAGGCACAAGTTGCAGAAAATTTGGAGTATAAATAGACAGTCACACAAGGGTGATAAGTCATCATCACTAATCAGCGGACCTCGGATCAGCTGCCGAGACAACAGTCCATGTGAGTTCCAACACTCCTTGTTCCCATATTTCTTCTTATCCACACGAATCTGAGCGAAATGCCTCCTTTAACAGCCGCAGAAATCCTAGCTCACCCTGCCTACCAAGCAGTGGGATACAACCTGTCTTCCACGTCCTCGGGAACATGTTTGGTGGCGCGCAACCGCCGTGGCGGCCCATTCAACCTGTACTACGAGATCCATGGCACTGGACCCGTGAAGCTAGTGGTAGGTATCTAGACCCCGTAAACCACGACACGTGAAATTGACTATCTTAGTGGATCATGGGGCTCAACGCCTCTCACAAGGACTGGCGACGCCAGACCCGATACTTCGGTCACCAGCACGGCTCCAAGTACTCGTGTCTTGTCTTCGACAACCGCGGCATCGGCCATTCCGACAAGAACATCTCTTTCTACTCTACGTCGGAAATGGCACATGATGCCGTGGAGTTGGTGAACTCCCTTGGCTGGATCGACCTTACCAGTCCCCCGACACGGTCCATCCATGTCATCGGCGCCAGTATGGGCGGCATGATCGCTCAGGAAGTTGGTATGCTTATTCCCGACCGACTGGCGAGTCTATCCCTGTGCTGTACGGCGCCGCGACTGGTTCGCACGGTCCCGTTCCTGGAGAACCTGCGAGAGCGTGCGAACATGTTCATTCCTCGACATATTGATGTGGAGCTTGGCCGGTTGGCGCACTCGACCTTCGCGGATCACTTTCTCGATCAGCCGGACACGGAACATGAGGATCCTCAGTTGAATTTCCCTACGAAACGGGACCGGTTTGCAGCGGGCATTTTGAAGAAGAGAGAGGATACAGAGGGGTTCACGAAGAAGGGGTTCCTGATGCAAATCGTGGCTTGCTATTTCCATCACAAGTCCTCACAACAGTTGAAGTTTCTAGGTGATGCGGTGGGAAGAGAGAGGATTTCCGTGCAGCATGGTACGGAGGATCGAATGCTTACGTTTAGTCATGGTGAGATACTGAAGGAAGAGCTCGGGGAGGGTATTCAGTGGACGGTTTATGAGAGGACGGGCCACATGCTGGGTTGGGAACGAGAAGTCGAAATGAATCAGCTGCTGGAAGAGTTTATCCAGCGGTGGAGTTGAACATAGATGACTAGATATTACAATAGCATACGATGACCCTAGGTATGTATGTACATACCTAGCTACTATGCAAACAGTCACCCGACTCGTGCTGGTCTAATGACCATCCTCTATAGCAGCTGATCTTGATTAGACCAAAAAGCCGTTGGGCCTTAATCATTGTATGTTTCCTGTCTAGCTAGCTCATTCACTATGTCTATCCACATATCCACAATCATGTCCACCAGCGGCAAATACCAACCGCCACGAACCGAGGACCTGCGTGCTCCATGCCCAGCACTCAATACTCTCGCCAACCACGGCCTTATTGCCCGCGACGGCCGCAACATCACCGCTAACGAACTGACCTCTGCCTTACGATACCTCGGCCTCGGCTTCGACGTGATCACCATCCTGGTCAACAGCGCCTTTGCCGTCCACGCCGAAGACCCCAAGAACAGCCCCCCAGGAACATCATGGTCCGGTCTCCGTGACCCCAACCAAGTCAATGACGCCGACATACCCGTCCTCAACCTTGACCAAGTCGGTCGACCTCATGCCATAGAGCACGATGTCTCCTTAACGCGACAGGACCGTGCGTTAGGCGACCATATGCATTTAGATCGGCGCCTATACGACCAACTTCTTCGGTGTCCGCGGGACGCTAGCCCCGTATTTCGGGTTGCAGATTTAGGAATTCTTCGCAACACGCGCTACAATCAGCAAAAGATGGTGAATTCCCAGCTGGAATTCGACACGAAGATGCACTACATTGCATGCGCAGAGGCCGCGGCATTACACTGTGTCTTTGGGAAGGGGATGCGGCGTCGCGTGCCGAGGGAATACATCAAGGCTGTATTTGGGGAAGAGAGATTGCCGATCCAGGAGGGATGGAAACCTCGACGGTGGAGAGTGTTTCTACCGGAGCTTGCGATCATGGTGGTGGGAGTTTCGCGATATGCTTGGCCATTTTAGTTTTCATTAGGAGTATGTAGTAGGGCCTTGGCAGGGTTGTTAGCGGTGTGGACAGAGTTGCCACCGTTCTTTGGGTTCTTTGTCTGTTGATTTGATGTTTGCGCCGAGTTCTAGTTTCTGTAGCTTAATTTGCTGACCATTTTCGAGATAGTGTTTGAATTATATGTGTAATTCTATGAGAGCTTGAATAATCGCTGTGTTGCTGATTATTGTGTGTTGACACCACTTCGGGACAGCCACTTCGCTTGATAATTTCACATGATGTCCCAATATGGACTAGCTTTATTCTGACAGGTGGTCAGACGTAATTAATATAGTAAGACGTATTTACTTTTGCACATGAAGAGTGACCATTTTGATGCCTTACAGCCTGTAATACAGTTATGCTAGGAACTCTTGACCCTTTCCAGATTAGGACATTCTTCAGCTTGATGGGAGCATGACCCCTAAGGTGGATCTGCACCGCCACCATTCTGCAGAAGAAGAATTGAAATTCTACAATAGTTCAGAGAAATAAGGATGACACAATCGGCTATTACAGTCTAGAATTGTCACATATTCTTTTTTAATTGATTTTCCAGGATCGGCACGCATGCTGCAGAAAGACAAAGCACCGCCAAGACGCGACCTTGCCAGGTTCAATTCGGATTCAGGTTTTTTCCTTAAAAACTCGAGTTTAACTTTTCCTCGATGTCTGTGCCAAATTTTATTCTTGCTGCCTCCTATTTCTCAATTGCATTAGAATTCTTGGGTTGAGTTCTTTGGTTCCGCTTCACCCACCGCTTCCTCCTGTCTTAATTCGGCCGTCGTCCGCATTCATCAATCGAGTCATGTTCTCCGTCCTCCTTGCGTCCCTCATGTTAAGATGTCATTTCGCTATGACTAGAAGTTAACCTTCTTCCCTTGCACGATCCCTCATCCGAAGTCTCGGGGGAGTACGACCGACGGTCGTTGACTTCGTGCGTTCGACGCTGTTGTGACCGCTGTCGCATGGCGGGCGATCTTCACCTCGAGCCTCGAGATCTTGCTATCTACTACCCGCTTCCCCTCGCGTCGAAAATCCCCCGATCGCCCCCCCCCCTGTCGGTTACATTCAATAAATATGACAGGGAGCGGTGGCGCAGCCCTCGCTCTGGTCAGGATGTTTTCTGCCTTTCTTCGCTGGGCAGCCAAGACCAAGGCTCGCATTCCCTTCCTCAAGGACATCCATGTAAATTTCATTCTGCTTCACTACACTTATATAATCGCCATTACCTTGCTCACCTCCATCATCGTCTACGCCGGAAGTAACCTTGCTTACATTGATGCCTTGTTTTTCTCCGCTGGAGCTGCCACCCAGAGTGGGCTCAATACGGTGGACTTCAATCTGCTCTACACCTACCAGCAGATCGTCTTATACTTTGTTTCCATGCTCACAACTCCTATTTTCATACACACGGTGCTAGTCTTCGTGAGGCTCTACTGGTTTGAAAAGCGATTCCAGCATGTCGTCCGTGACGCCCGAGCTCTGCGTTACACCCGATCCCGATTGCGCACCATCAGTGAAGATAAGGATCCGGAGCCGTATAGCCGGGAGGCGGGTGTCGGAGGTCGGTCGATCGTGGTGATGCACAATACTGAGGATGGTCCTAGCCAAGGAAACCAGCCGCAGCCCCCCAAGTCATCACAGTCTAGCGACTCCGTTTCCGGATCCCGTGCCGCGAACGATGAAGAGATTACAGAAGACCAGGATGGTAGCCTGAATGGGAGACTGGGTCTGGGCTTGGGCAGCCTTAGATTGCCCACGCAATTGAGCCCGGAACACCATATTGCTTTCCTGGAGAATCAGCGAAGGAACACTGGCGCACTACGCATTCCGAGCCCGAGAGAGTATGATCGTGGCGGCGTCCCTCAGTTTCTGGAAGACCAGGACCAGGACCACGATCAAGACCGACAGATCCGACAGATCGGGCAACGGAACACTGGATCGGATGACCACAGCCCACGGCATTCGGAAGAGGAAGATCAGGTAGGTCCATTGGAGGGCCCGCATATCACCATCAACGAGCCGGACATGGCGCGGACGAGAACGAGGAATTCTACTTCCCTCGATTAGACACACGGCCCACATTTCGGGAAACGAAGGATGGGAACGAACCATCGCCCCTGGCTCGTACATCGACGCGGAGACCGACCTTTACCAGTGTGTATCGATCCTTGACCCACGAAAGGGAGCGCACCACGCTTCCATACCTCAGTTGGAACGCGACAGTTGCCCGTAACTCTAACTTCGTGGATCTGACTGAAGAGCAACGAGATGAGCTTGGGGGTATTGAATATCGTGCACTGAAGACGCTTGCGGTTGTCCTGATCTCTTACTACATGTTTTTTCATCTTCTTGGCATTGTATGCCTAGTCCCTTGGATTGTGACTACACATTGGGGCTCAGTTGTGACGAAAATCGGACAAGGACGACCATGGTGGGCAATATTCATGGCCGGGTCCGCATTCAACGATGTTGGCTTTTCTATCACTCCCGACTCGATGATTTCGTTTCAGGATGCCATCTTTCCCCTACTTTTGATGACTTTCCTGATCATCATCGGTAACACAGGGTTTCCTTGCATGCTACGAACGATCATCTGGGCCATGTCAAAGGTTACACGCAAGGAGACTCCTCTCTGGGAAGAATTGAAATTTCTCCTGGATCACCCCCGCCGCTGCTTTACACTTCTTTTCCCCCGAAATGCTACTTGGTGGCTCTTCGCCACCTTAGTTGCTCTGAACGGCATTGACCTGATTTTCTTCATCATCTTGGATTTAAACGATGATACTGTGACCTCACTATCTACGGGAATTCGCATCCTCGATGGCCTTTTCCAGGCCGCTTGCACGCGGACGGCCGGCTTTTCTGTCGTGTCTTTGTCGGAGATCCATCCCGCTGTGCAAGTATCGTACATGATCATGATGTATATCTCCGTCTTTCCCATCGCCATCTCTCTGCGTCGGACCAACGTGTATGAGGAGCAGAGTCTGGGAATATACTCGTCCCCGGAAGAAGAAGAAGAAGACCATAACCTTACCGCGCCAAGCTACATAGGGACCCACTTAAGGAGGCAACTCAGTTTTGATCTGTGGTACGTCTTCCTGGGATTGTTCATTATCACGATCGTGGAGGGGGGCCGAATCCAGCGCACGGACCAGTACAGCTTCCAGGTATGGTCCGTTCTTTTCGAAGTGGTCTCCGCCTACGGTACTGTTGGGCTGTCCCTTGGATATCCAGGCGTCAATGCATCATTTGTTAGCCAGTTCCAAGTCCTTTCCAAATTGGTCATCATTGCCATGCAGATCCGCGGTCGCCATCGTGGTCTTCCCTATACCCTGGACCGTGCCATCCTACTCCCGTCTGAACATCTCAATCAAAATGAAGTCGCGGACGCCGAGCGACGAATGCGTCGACGTCCGTCCAATTTAAGCCAGAACTCGATGGACGAGCAGTCCCGGACCCAGCAGGAGAGTGGTGCATCCACGGGCCGTGAGACCAAAGACCAGAGCACACAGCCATGGACGAACGGTGACCCTGTTCTGCGGCGTCAATCCACATTACGATCCCAGAGATCTCAGCGATAACTATTTGTTTTGTAAAATATAGAACGCTGGCGTAACAATTGATGTGAAATTATGGCGGACAGCGATCTCGTTTTTTATTTTGTTCTAGACTTATCTCTGTCTTACTAGGTCGATCAGAGGCAAATTGAGCGTTCCCGTTCTTGAAGGGTTAGCAGTACGGCTATCTTTTGTGTACGAACGTTCGACGGATGTCACCTACCGATGGCTGTCCCTTGTATTATATAATCTGAATTGGAATAACTATCCACGCAGCAGGCTGCGTGGATCATCTCAGAGCTATATTGAACGCCTTGGCTGTTCTGTTTCATGCGCTCCCATTAGCCCTTCTTAGCTGTGCTTGTGCTTGTTTCTTGGCCCTTGTCTTTGAGCCATTATGTGCTAGTGGCGCCACTACACTCTTTTAAAAACCATAATCCCGTTGCTGGTTTCTACACCGAGAAAAAGGGAAGCCGTTCCTGCCATTTCAACCTCTTTCGGTAAATCCATGGTCGGAAGAAGCACTATACCAAGGGAGGAACGGCTGGATTAGGACTAGTGGATAGAGGTATGCAAACACAGCATACACATCCTAATTCGGAAGTTATACAGTGTTGGTTGACACAATGGGCGCTTTGGTTGCACCATTTCAATCCTAATTCCCAAGAATCAGTGTATTCCTTCTATTCTACAGTCTGACCAACCGCGTTATACCGTATCAAGCTTATTGTGGGACCATCTCCGACTACGATGTATTCAACTTCTATTTTGATAACTGCTTCTGAATGCAGCCCCGATTGCCTAATCGGGCCATGATCGGTGAGTGTGTCACTTCCTGCATTCTGGATGACGACATCCTAACAGCTTGCTCCCCATCCGGTTTGCATTGCTTATCTCGTCACCTCCATCTTGTATGGTCTTCATCTGATAATCTCGACACATTCTTGTCCCTTGCGCGTATAGGGTCCTATCACTATTGGTCGCTATTTGGTTCTTGTCTGCACCTCTTGCGTACCGAATACTCATTATGACAGACAAGGCGGATCACTTCACCCGCTATGGCGGAGCTACCTCTCAACTCCCCAAGCTGGAAGTAGATGACCTCCAACATGCAGGCCCTCCTCCCCTTCCCTGTGGTGGCTACAACGCACCGCTGCCGCTGGCCGATCGGCCCTGGTACGACCCGCGCGGATGGTCGCTACGGAACAGGCTGATTGCAGTGGTTGTGATTGTCCTGGTAATCATAGCTGTTATTGTGGGAGCGGTCGAAGGCACGAAAGCAAACCGATATCCGGATTACATGCCACTTAATTACCAGCTAGTCGATACGTACTCTGGAACGTCATTTCTCGATCGATTCAATTACTTTTCTGACGAGGACCCGACCTCCGGGTTTGTGCAGTATGTGTTCCGTTGGTATTCTGTGTTACATGGTCCTTTCGTACTTACAGGTAACATGCAGATACGTTGATCAGACGACAGCAAGGAATCTCAATTTGACACATGCCACGGATGTGTCCGCGGTGCTCAAGGTGGATACATCCAACAAATTTGCAGCAAACGGTCGCCAGTCTGTACGACTGGAATCAAAGGCTACCTACGACCGCGGGCTTTTTATTTTCGATATTCTCCATACTCCGTATGGCTGTGGTACGTGGCCAGCGCTGTGGCTGACCGATCCCTACAACTGGCCAGCAAACGGCGAGATCGATGTGATGGAGACCAACAACAAGGCCACGGAGGGAAACGCCGTGACGTTGCATACCAACGGTGGCTGCAACATGAAAGTCAAGCGGAAGCAGACAGGCAGTACAGTGTCCACCACCTGCGATAACAGCACTCACAGCAACGCTGGCTGTGGGGTTCTAGGCGAACCAGAGACTGCTGGCGAGGCATTTAATGAAAATGGTGGAGGAGTAAGCGCATCCCACGATGGCATCATACTTGATTCCGCTAATTCGTAATAGATCTATGTATTGGAGTTGCGACACGCTGGCATCCGAGCCTGGTTTTTCCCCCGCGACTCTCTCCCTGGGGATATCTCCAATTCCAGCAGCAGTCCAGACCCGTCGACATGGGGCACCACGCTGGCCGACTTCCCAAACACCGACTGCGATATTTCTTCCCATTTTAGGAACCAGAGCATCGTTGCAAACATCGATCTGTGTGGGGAGCTTGGTGCCCAGCCGCAGTTCTATACAGAGCAGTATCATTGTCCGGGAAGTTGTAGTGATTTTGTAGCCCACAATCCTGAGAACTTTACGCAGGCTTACTGGGAGTTCAAAAGTTTTAAGGTCTATCAGGCTATGTAGATGGTTGGTGGTGTAGATTGTATAGGATAGAATCCTTATTATTATTCTACTTTATTCATCTTTCTTTGTTTTTTTTCTTTGTTCTTTTTCTTTATTTTGTTCTTTGTCTTCTTTTTTTTTTTTTTTTTTTTTTTCTCCTTCTCTTCATCTGTTATCCTTATTAGTGGTTCAAAGGTATGGTGACTTAGTCCGTTTGCCCGTCTCTGATTATTTACTTAGGTAGTATCCCGTACTCAATGAATCAGTATTGATACGTCCATATTTATAAATTTCAAACTGAGACATGGACATGTAAAACTTATGCAGCCAGTCAGTCATAGGTAAATCAAGAGTGAATAATAAAATACCACTTGAGACCCTACCTATCATAACACCTTAAAATGTATTGCATGTATGCATCGTGTTAGAACAAACACAGTTGATGGCTGGTATGTTTGATCCTGGGTATGTATATTCATTTAGTTATAGGAAATGAATGGAGGATGGTATATATTGATGAAGTTTCCAAAGATTCTCATCATATCATATGCAATCTTCATCTTATATTGATATTATGGGCAGTTAATATATTCTTTCTTTATCTTCTTTTTTTGTATGATTCTTTGACTTTATTTTTATGTTTACATTATACATCCATTCTAAGTTTGATGAAAAATCTCACTCTTATATACAAGAGACACAATGTCTTAAATCATTGGTTAAATATTACATTTTTAACCTCGTTACTCTTGTTCTAGCCAACAGATATAAAAGGTATTGGGGCCTCTGGATAATATATTATGACGCTTTCCGGTAAGCCAGTCATTTCATTTACATGCACATTTACAATGCGGATTAATATGCTAATGTGCCTAGGATTAAAATATCAATATCAATATAATGGCTGTTGATTAACGAGTTCGAAATAGTAAAATATCTATAGGTATGTGGTCCCATAAATGCTGTGAATAGATATATCCATTATACATTCTCACGAGGTCGGTTGTCAGTAGGAAGCAGACTCTAACGATCTGATCCGTTCGAGCGATCCACCACGCCTTGGGAGTTTCTTTGCAGTATATGAAGGGGGTAGAATACGCTTCGTCAATGCTATCCGTTCCTTATATGGTATGGTATATACAGATTGAGCATAAAGAGGGAAATGGAACACTGAAGTTCGCATGTGTGCAGGTTGTTTAGCCATATCACCAAGGCAAGTTACAATGTCTGTGGCTATGATATAAAGGATGTGAAGACTATTTTCTTGTCTACTGTTGACCGGATAAATTGATCATCTGGCAGGAAAGTCAGATAAGATTATGGAATAAGAGGGGATTAGCTTCTATGCTCCCTCTGAAATGGATATTGGAAACTACCAGAACCCCGGCGGATGCTCTGCACAGACTGAATGGCGCTATTATGTTGCTGACCGAGTTCGACGATGAGGATACAGGACACATGCTCAAAACAAAAATGAAGCAAATGCTGGGCAGTGAACATAGCAATTCACTGTTTTTCATGGGGTAGTATGCTGAGCCACGTTGTTCTACCATGGTAAGTGGTTCACAAATACTTTGTCTTGTTGAAACTTATATCAAGATAGTTGCAATGCTTGGCTGCGATGACATGGCTACCAAGTCCGATGCGGCATACGTTGTCCTGAAATACCTACATTTGAGCAGTTTGAGATCGTGAAGAAGTCTTTCACCGAAATCCTGCATTCCCCGATTTCCTCTCTCTCAAAGTGAGGGACAGTGTCTTGCAACACTTGCATTCTTATGCCGGAGGTGCCTCAGTTCCTTAAGAATCACATTAAATTTAGTGGTTTTAATGCATTGCTACGCTATAGAACCAGAGGGTTAACTACACAACTAAGAAAACCGGAATCGGTATCAAAAGAGTACCACAGATCATATCATCCGGCCTCTCTCCATGAATGACCAAATTACTTGCATTTCTGGACAAATGACCCAGTGCTGGGAGATTCAGAAAACATGAGATGTTGAAATTGACCAGATATATTGTTCATTAAATATCTGGGTGCACAATGGCTAGGCTTATCGACTGCCTTGATATATTCCTAATATTTCTTGTGAGAATCCTAAGATGCCATTAAAGCATCATGATCATCACCCTCCTCTCTTTGAACCAGGTTACGTCCCATACCAACCTACTTTAACTCCACAATCGACCGCGAAGCTCAGAATGGTATGTAGTATCACGTATATTAACTTGTATTCTACTAACGCATCTGACAGGCTACATCAACGCAAATATGTCGGTCGTGACTATGCGGCTTGTTTAGTAGGGTCAAGGTCTATAGGGTCTGTTGTGGGGGCAGCTGCGGCCTTAGCTATTGGTACAGATATAGGGTTAACAAAAGAAGCCTGTGACTGTGCCTTAGTTTCAGGGTAAACGGGGTAGCCTGATTAGATTCGGAGTGCTCGGCCTATGGCAGTAGATTGCATACGGGAGGTATACGAGGACTGGCTGGTAGCCTACAGTCCGGAAAGACAGGTAAGCAGAGTTAAGACTGGTTAATAAGGATATAAGGTCGCGGAAGTTGCTCGGGATAACTGGCTGTACTTTAAGGAGGTAATGTCCTCTTCGCTAAGCCCTTGTAGGAGGTAGTCGATCTTACCCTGGTCGCTATAATCACAATCGGCTATATAACGTTTAAATTCGGCGTTTTAAACAGTAAATTCCCGGTACTTCTGCTTTAAGCAATACAACTTGTAGATGGCCTCTGCGGTTAGTAAAAGCGTAATCTCACTGCAGAATCTTAATAGTAGTAGCGAGCTTGGGTAATCCTTCTAGGATTTCTAGGCTGCCTGCCCTAATAAAAGGGTCACCTGCTTCAGAGTATTTCCACCTAATCGACTAATAAATAGTATAGGCGACACGTCTAGGTTTACCGGGTATCAATCGCGATTAACTAGAAACTTGATCTTAAGCGGGCCGAGAAATAAGTCGAGCTTGTCTCTATCTCCACTAAGACTTCTGGATCGTGATATTTGGCGGAAACGCGTGTTTCCTGGCTTCCAGCAGATGACAGGGGATCCGTTGTCGGTTGCTCGTTCGCCCGAGACGTATCGGTGGGCAGATTCTTGGTCTTAAAAGCGGCTGGTATGCTAATCTAGGCCTCAAGAGACTGCACAAGAGTCGTGAGATTTATTATCTAGGCATTAGAAGCAGATTTTTTATGTAGCCACACCACATGTCTACTCTTATTCACAGATCATTAGGCTCCACATTAGCTTGTAAACTGTTAGAACCTGCCTTGCTTCCACTTCACTTCTACAGAGTAATACAAGACAGTATCTAGGTATAGATCACACTGGACCACAGTCTGGAAAAGGTGGTGTTCCACTCGGATGACATGCATCGCGCCGGCAACTGCTGTGGACGCTGTTATCACACATGCCGATATTCCGGTTCAAGAACCGCATGGCGACACAATATCGGCATGACTGCAAGGGAGGGTCATCTGAAGGTGGTGATATTTTTGCTATATCCTTACTACTCGTGCTAGAATCTATCACATACAAGAGGAGAACAGTTTTAATGAAGAACCTCCGAATCCACCCATTCCTGAACCTGGTTACACGCCTCCTCCGGTCTCCGTTTATACTGCAACAAGAACCCCTGCACATCCGCGATGCTCAATTGACCTTCCGGCAGCTTCTCTGTAAACCTAGTCGCCAGATCCTCCAGGTCAAGTTTGTCGTCGTCCTGCACCGCATCGCGAAACATGCTGCAGAACAGCCCGCGCAACTCGATCCTAGACGGCAACTCGAAATGAATATGTAAATCTACCCGACCGGGACGGGTCAACGCGCGGTCCAACTCCTCGGGGACATTTGTAGTCATGATGAGGATGCGGCCTTCGGAGGACGAGACGCCATCGATGGCGTTGAGTAACGCGGAGAGTGACACCGATGGAGACGCAACGTTGGATTTTGCATGTGAAGCGGTATTTGGTGGTGGATCATGGCGATGATTATGATGGTCATGGAGAGGTCGATTGACGAGACCTGCAGCGTCGATATCCTCGAGCAAGACAACACTACGAGGAGGGACTTCCGCGAAGAGACGAACAAAATGCGACTCGGTAACGTGAGGATCCAAAAGACTCAATACATAAATGTCCAGCGCGAAGGTCCCTGCAATAGCGGACGCAAGACTGGTCTTCCCGGTGCCGGGGGGCCCGGAGAAGAGATATCCTCGTCGGTAGGGGATCCCGTGGTTGGCGTACCAGTGACGGGTGCGTGGATGCAGATACTCGGTGATATCGCGCAGGATGGTGTCCTTCGTACTGGGGGCTAGAATCACGGTGGAAATGTCCCGAGAGGGGCGCGAGGTGACGCGACACCAGCGCACGAACTCGCGCGAGTTGGACAGCACCCGATAGATACCAACGCTGCACAGCGACACACGCTGGCTGTGTCGGCGGGTTTCGAGCAGGAAGTCGTTCAGTGAGGACAGCGAGAAGCTGAGGCATTGGAGTTTGACTTGGGGTCGCGATTCGCCTGGTTGGAAGCCGGCGAAATGGAAGGAGGAAGAAGGCGCGGTATGGGTGAAGAGGATCCAGGTGCGGTGGAATCGGAATAGACGCGATCCATTTAAGGGCTTGAAGCGGACGCAAGAGATGTCGTCGTCAGGCTGCGTAGAGTCAGGGTCATGGTTGGTGACGGCCACCACGCACCGGAAGTGACGGTCGTGGAAGACATGGTGCTCCATCCAGCTCAACACCTGGCTGTACAAGGCGTCGTCCTCCCGGATATGCACCGTCGTCAGGCATGTCTGTTCCGCGTATCCGTACAGACGAGTCCAGGTGCTGCGCAGCGAGGTGACCACGGCGACAATCACGAGGCCCAGGTTAACGATCAGCATGGTATCCCCGTTCAGGACGGTGTGGAGTGAGTCGAGCATGGAGGACATGCCTCGCTGGAGGAAGGCAGACATGTTGGTTTGGTAGAGATTGTTGAGGCTATAGAGACTGCTACCTGAGGTGGATATCGTCATTATATGCGGTGGTATTGCTCATTGTAGAAGAAGGCATAGAAAGGTGTCAAAAACATGCAGGCTTCATTATCTAGACAAACTCGCATACAGGGCCTGGCAAAGGTTACATGACGGAACTTTCCACTCTACCTTGGATCTAGACCGTACGACATTCTGAGGTATAAATATGTGGTTCTCGTCCGTCGTCCACAGCACATTCATTCAAACAGCAACAAGACCAAGGACAATAAGAACAACAACAACATATAAGAATAATGTCAAGCACCTCCCAAAGAGTCCGGCAAATTGTCGCCGATGACTTGAACCTTGACCAAGACAGCGTACGTCAGCCTTTATATCTCTAGAAATTGTACTAAACGCCGAGTATCCAGATCGACGATAATGCTGATTTTGTCAATGATTATCGCGCTACCAAGCGTGATATGGATCAGATATGCGAAGATCTGGAGCAGGTACGGTTCTCTCTTGGACGTTGATGCAGGGAGACTGACGGTCTAGGAATTCACTATCAATATCCCCCAGGAGGACGAGCGGTATATTTCCAGTGGTATGTATGGATGTATGGTATGCGTGGTGGTGTTCTGTGCTGATCGAGTAGTGCATTCAACCGTCGGCTATATCGATGATCATCATGGTATGGGCCATTGAGGCATTTGTCAAGTACGTCATATCATAGCGAATGGCCAGACAAGCTTTGCCAGGATACCAATATTCCCAGGTACCGCATGTAGGAGCAAGGGTGGGGATGCTCTAGTAGAATGTAGGCAGATTAGTATCAGAAATCCACTCTTTATGACAATCTCAGTTTTAATGCAAAAGAGGTACTAGGTACCAATAATACATTATTTTCATGGACTTGTTGCATATTTAATCTAATACTGATCTAGATAAAGCAAATAATATAATAACAGTAGTAAGGAACAGGTGTTGTTAAATTCCATTTTGGAGTTTAGGATGGCAATGGCACTATAGGAACAGGAAGTTAATACAGTACATAAAAAGAATGTTGCTGGGCCAGGTCCTTTCAGGCATCCCTTTCGTCTAAATTTCATTAAGCAGAGTCTCGATTGACTTTGATGGGCCATTGTCCATGGAACGAAGGCCGTCGTCTGTAGGGAAGAAATGTGCGCAAATTATGTCAGTCATACGTAGAAATATGGCACCATCTAGATCACCATGACTAACTATACTATAAAAACTCATTGATTTCCATGCCTAATGACAACACAGTGTGTCATCCTCCAGGTTGCAACATATTAAGGACAAACATTCCTTCAGTTCCTGTATATCGCCAAATCCATATCAAGACTGAGCAATGGAGTCAAGTAACATCATGGTTACGAGAAATCTCTTACATACTGGGAAATACTCTGACCTCGTCATACAATGCAACGGCCAGGCGCTTCGCGTACACCGTGCCATTGTTTGCTCCCAGTCTCCTTTTTTTGCTGCTGCTCTCAACAGTAACTTTCGGGTAAGTGCAATTCATCCTTATACAATCCGGTCCCTGACGGTACGTAGGAAGCTGCCGAGGGTAGAATTATTCTTCCAGAAGATGATATGGAGACAATCAAACGAGTAGTATCATATTTATACCTGCAGGATTATGACCAGGAAAGGAACGGCTTGGGCTGTCCTGAGAGCAAAGAAGCTAGGAGCGTTGCCAATTGTAACAGTGGAGCGACTCCCCTAGACAACGCCGGCGAGACGAAATCACCGGAGATGGAGACCAGTCTTGCATCAATATCAACAGCTAGTGAAGCGACCGCATACAATAACCTTCACGTGTATATCGCCGCGGACAAGTTCGGTATCGAGCCTTTGAAAACGCTAGCAAGAGACCGCCTAGCCAACTGGATGAGGCGCAATTGGAACGAAGAAGTATTCGCCCAGGTCGTGAGGGATGTTCTTCAGTCTTCTCCTCCGCATGAAAAGGAGTTCCGTGATATTGTCATCGGTGTGATTATAGACAATATTCAGATTGTCAAGCAAGAGCGAGTGATGGCTCTCGTGGGCGAATTCGGGTTTCTCGGAAGCGCTGTGGTTAAGGAGCTGGTTCAGCATCTACAATTCTCTACGAAGAAGCGCAGGCAGCTGGTTAAGCTCTGTGTAAATACGTTATTTAGGCACAGGCTGATAGACACTGTGAACAGGCTTTTGTTTTGCAAACATTGCAGAGCCGAGTTCAATCTGCGGATAGACGGTGATGCGACAACGTTGCGATGTGGACGTTGTAGGACTCGTCACTAAGAGTTCACTGGCTATGCTTACGGTTTCTGTTTCTTTTTCCTTCTTTTAGTTTGATGTCTATAAAAGTTCTGTGTTTCTATCCACATCTAAGAATTTATTACTTGGTGTCCTCATTTCAGAGACTTGCCGGGCTAATGAGCCTTGCCTTTCCTCGCTCACTTTAATCATTTCTCACTCGAACGTTTCCATGTCTAATAATACATCGAGCCTGTCTTTATGATAGGTATCAAGTAGAACTCTTCCTGACATGCATGTTGTCAATTTAGGTCGACTTTATTGCACTGAGCTTGTTGATTGTAATCTGCAGTTTTCATATCGGTCCCTTCGCGCTATGCGATCATGCCCGATTGAACTGACTGGTGGACTCGAGGACTCTCACAGATGACAAGATCCGAAACAGAAGAGGGCATCCGGTATAACTGTTTTGCGGGCAATTCTAGATTCAGGATAATGTTCCAGACATCGACGACTAGAAAATGGACCCTGCACCGATATATCCCAGAACGCGAAAGCTGTAATGGGCAGGATGCAAACAGTAGTATATACTCGACTTTGAAGGTCAAACGAGTCCTCATCGTTTGTATTCTCCATGCACGTCGTGTAGTAATACAACTTCTTTCCATGCTTCCCCATGCTATCTTCCATATTACGAAGTGGACGAAAGGTCGAGTCGCCGGGAGTGTTAAAATTGGATAATATACGGAGAGTCGCCAATTATTATCATTTTAAAGCGTCATACACACGAGGTAATATTTATACTCGATGGCAATTTCGTTGGCTCTTAAAATCCCAGAGGTGTATGTTCATTTGCCGTTGGACATATGCCACTGAATTTATGAAATCCGTAATTGCGACATTAAAGATCACTTGGCGTTCCATTTTAGCGGCCATTGGTAGAAGAATCTGCGCGTTTTAATGACAGTTATGTACGTTCAACTTCGAACCAGGTTAATTATCTCCTCTTGTGAAGGTATCGGATAAAGGCCAGTTGTGGTTTTCTTTTTGGGCTCGTGTCAGTTGAACACGCCTACCTTCTCCTTGATATCTCGTCGGCGATGTCCCAAACAGTTCTCCAAGCAAGAAAGACGGGATAGCCATAGAGAGTGCGTTCTTTGGCATTCCCTAAGGAGATCCGTATTATCCTTTTGATATAGAGTCGAACATATGGCACTTTCCATAATAACTGGCATAGTAATTTACTTACCTATAAATTATTCCAATATTGCTTTCGTGCTCAGTGGGGTTGGACTTATACCGAGCTACCCAACCATCATGAGGCGGATTAAAGAGATATCAACACGCGGAAAGTTAGAGTCATTAATTTACTTGGTTACAGAGAGGGTTATTTTGCTAAATTAATTCTGCATAGGAACGGATCCATCAACTAGCTTACAGCTCCCCTACCCAGCTTCTTATCTCTTAGGATAGCTTTAACTACAGCTAGAGCGTACGGCATCAAACACTCCGAGACCCTGGTAACATATATCCGCGACGACAGGCAAACTCTATATTGGGAATTTCATCCCTAATAGAGGTTTACATCACTCAATAATGATAAGACTCACGGTCAGTACTATCAATATTAGATTTTTGTAGATCCCCAGAATATATATCGTAAGGCAATTAATTCTATGTATCCACCAGGCAATAGATAATGGCTTCAGTTCCCTACTATAAACGTCTCCCTGGCGGAAAATAAAGGCACTATTAGCGGAACTTATAAGGTTATTAATTCCTCTTTACAGAGTAACTTAGTCTAAATCCGGCTCAGGAGTTTAATAAGCAATTATACACTAGTATATAGGGATCAGAAGACAGTCTCTCTTATATGCACGGTTCCGAAAGAACGACAGGAAGCTGCACTTCCATATAATAGATTTAACTAGTTACTGGCTTCACTGGCGTACTAAATATAATGATATAGTATATAAACTGTTTAGTGGAAAACACCTCACGGAGGGGACAACACTTTGCCATAATGAAACGTTTCTTCCGCATACAAATAGTTGTCGGTGAGGCCTCGAGGGCACGCTGACCACGGTAGTTAATGCAGTTGATTGTTATTACTACCGTCTTAAAGGTTCCTAAGTAACTAGCGAATGATCATAACATAGACATTAGAAGCTACAGGCTTGGCTTGCCAGGGCTCAGTGAGCTAGAGGGCTAGAGGGAGAAACTTAGTGCGTCCCTAGCGAATAGGTCTAGTAGCCCAGGTATCCACAATAGAATAATGCAGACCCTTTAGGCAAAAGACATCAATTGTTTCTTTCTTGTCAGGGCTCGACAAGCTTCCCGCAGCTTAGCAGCTTGGCACAACATAGGGCCAACATAGTTAGCCGAGTATGACTCGAGAGATAATAGTTGATTCCACTATTCCGGCAGCAACGGAGTCCTCACAAATTTTGGACTTCTAGTTCCACTCGATATTGACGCCCATGTTGCATATAGTTATGGCCAATTGGAAAGGGCACAAATGTACTCCGCCTGTTGACAAGGATGTCTGTAGAGGCCGAATAGTACTATCGGTGCCATCGGTCGGGCCTTTAGCTGGATATTTGACACTCCGTCCATGGGCAGAAGTGAATGAGATATGGTTAAATATTTGAATCAATGTAGAGCACCGAAATTAAGCCCATGCTGTTGACATCTAAACGACTGATTTTCACACGTGGTATTGCTTATAAAATTATCCCGCAATTCTTCGGTTAGCGATAGAAACCATTAATAGCCTACCCAAGCTATTGTATCAATATTCGTGACCCCGTGCGTTTTTCTTCCTGCGGATAGGTGTGCCATCTGTCCATTTATCTTCTCTTCCATCCTGATCCAACGCTCATACGCATAGTAAACGTAGCCTGGCGGGGCCAAATGCTCATCAAAATCAGCAACGTACTCGACCCAGTCTTCACTGCTGAAAGTAAATGAAAGCACCTCATAGATGTCGAGGTGAATTAACTAATCAAAGAAAGGGCTAAGTTAACATATCTAGATGGGTGTTCGGCCTCCTCCTCTCGATTGAGGAAGACAGGCATACCAAGCAGATTCACAACTCCAGTCCTACCTTCTTTTACCCACGCCAGCCTCCAGTCCCAGAGGTCCGGAGGGTACAGACTTGCCAAGATCGATTGAAGACAGCATCGATCAATAGACAAGCAGAACCGATAACGTATATCATCTGTCCCGAAGACCTCGTACTTCTTTATAAGCTGCGTATGGAGCTCCCGAATCTTGGCCCTTGATGCGCCTTCCAGCTCTGGATCCTCAATAATCACATTTCGATGCCCCTCCCAGAGCAGCTGCGCCGCGACACTGGGTTTTCCCTCGTGCACCATAAAATGCCACACATATCGATTCAGATGAACAGAGCACGGTTCCATTCTTCCTGGGTGGTATGAGAGTATGTTTTTGGGTAGATGACAAACGCCGGGGCCATTCGTTATAAGTCCAATTTCGATGGGACATAAATTCACACCCAGAATTTTGCCGTACAGGGGCTGCTCTTTCGTCGTCCGCTACCTCTTACCCGTTCGGATGTCGAAGTTGTAGGATCGACGAATCTCATGGTTCGGGCCAGGATTCGTGGTGGAATGTCCAGGATATTTTTGGCTTTCAAGTGGCAGCTTTTCGGCCATGATGTTCGAGTTATATATTGAATGCATTTGGACCTGCCACGTGGGTGGTGGGGGGTATTTTACTGGATCTGTCTAGGAGTGAAGCCTAATTATCAACATTGGAACTGTCATGTAGCCAAGATTTTCGATTATCTGAGTTATCACTGTATCTGGTGTACCATACTACTACCATCTCAACAACTTTAGCTTGACCAAATAATTGAGTAGATCTCAATCTCAGCAATCGTTGTGGAATAGAAACAGGAGTGCTAATAAAGTGTCTTCCTAGTTAAGATCTGCATCTAGCACTAGAAGACATGGTCCATTGTGAGTCTTGCCCCCATCAAACAACCAAATAGTTCTTAACTTTCCTGTGGTGAGAAGAACAAGATGTTTTGTGCTGTCTAGCTTGCCAGTTGCCACAGAAGTTTGCCGATATCCTCCATGCCTGAGGCAGCCAATTTAGGATAGTATATTTATGGCCTGCCAGAACAACTAAAATGCTATAAAAAGGTATGGTAAGTTTACTTTGTACGCATATTTTTCTTTCTACTCGCCTCCTGGAATAGGCATATAATGATATATTACCAAGTTGGGCGCTGTGGAGGGGATGTGCAAAAACTTTGGATGTCACCACATATTTTTCTTCTTGCCTGTGGCAAAGATAGATGGTCTCTGCGACTGTCAAAAAGAATATTCTTCGTGGAGGGAATATAAATAAGCTTATTCCAACGTCATATTGATATTGGACTGCTTAATCGCTACCTAATGGCAATCTGTTTTTCTTGTTGACTACTTTCTCTTTGATAGGGCATCTAACCCTGCCTCTCACCGCTTTCCCTCACTCGGCAGCCACAGCAGAACATCCACTCTTGTGATCACCCACTTATTCAGTGGATGTCGTGATTGGCGTCATCCCTGCTTCAATTGCTCAGTTCTATCTGATCATTTCCCTGCACATAGGTTCCATTGGCTGGTGTTTCAATTCACTGTGTTTCTTCTTGCCCCTCTCCTTCCTCATTCCCTCCACCTACCGTGTTAGATCCGCATTGACCCTGGGCAACTTTAATCTGCCTGCATTTCTAGCGGCATTTCTTCCGGGTCAACCCTCAGTCCTGTATGCCTCCAAGGTCCTCTGCAACTCTCCGCCCGTGGAACGCCAGAGCCTTGCTTTTCTCTGCACCTTATCGCTCCTTTACGCTTTCAGGTGCCTTTGCGGCGATCACCCCTCTCTCCCAGTTCATTTCGCCACGGTTGCTCTCTCCTCGCCCGTGTTGGTCTTCCGGCTCGTGGATTTATCATCACTCTTGCTCCCCGGGGTTTCGTGCCTCCTTTTCCACAAGATCTGCCACCATGGGATCAGTCGAACGAATCACAGAGAACCTAGAGAAGCCGGAACTCGATGACCGGTCTTACCGCATTGTTCGCCTACCAAATAGGTTGGAGGCTCTCCTCGTGCATGACCCTGATACAGATAAAGCCAGCGCGGCATTGAATGTCAACGCTGGCAATTTTTCGGACCCGGATGACTTACCTGGAATTGGCCATGCCTTGGAGCACATGCTATTCATGGGAACAGAGAAGGTGGGTTTGTTCTTTTCATGTGAGATATGCCGTTGACCTCTTCGCAACATTCCGCAGTACCCAAAAGAAAATGCGTATAATCAGTACTTGGCATCGCACTCGGGCTCTTCCAACGCCTATACCGCTGCAACCGAAACAAACTACTTCTTTGAAGTATCTGCAACTTCTGCAGGAACTGATGGCTCGCATGATTACAACTCTACCCCCAACGGATCGTCAAATGGAACGCCTGCAACTACAGAGACGGGTAGTAGTACTGGGCCGTCGCCTCTGTATGGCGCCCTGGATCGTTTTGCACAGTTTTTCGTGTCGCCTCTATTTTTAGAATCAACATTGGACCGCGAACTCCGGGCTGTTGATTCTGAAAATAAGAAAAATCTTCAGAGTGACTTGTGGCGTTTAATGCAACTAAACAAGTCTCTCTCCAATCCTGCACACCCATATCACCACTTTTCTACTGGCAACCTGCAGACACTGAAGGAGGAGCCTCAGAAACGCGGTGTAGATGTCCGCAGTGAGTTTATCAAGTTCTACGAAAAGCACTATTCCGCCAATCGAATGAAATTGGTAGTGCTTGGACGAGAGAGTTTGGATGAACTGGAACAGTGGGTAGGGGAGCTGTTCGCTGGAGTAAAGAACAAGGACCTACCTCAAAACCGCTGGGATGACGTTCAACCCTGGTTACCCGACCACCTATGTAAGCAAATATTTGCCAAGCCAGTCATGGATACCCGGTCTATCGACATTTACTTCCCATTTCTGGACGAAGAGTTTCTGTATGAATCCCAGCCCAGTCGATATATCAGCCATTTGATCGGCCATGAAGGACCCGGCAGCATCTTGGCCTTTGTGAAGGCGAAAGGCTGGGCGAATGGCTTGTCCGCTGGAGTCATGCCTGTTTGCCCCGGCTCTGCCTTCTTCACCATCTCCATTCGATTGACACAGGAAGGGTTACGTCAGTACCGTGAGGTCACTAAAGTGGTGTTTGAATATATCGCTATGCTGAAGGAGCGGGAGCCAGAACAGTGGATCTTTGACGAATCAAAAAACCTAGCTGAGGTCGAATTTCGATTTAAGCAGAAATCTCCTGCCAGTCGATTCACGAGTCGATTAAGCAGCGTGATGCAGAAACAACTTCCCAGAGAGTGGCTTCTCAGTGGTTCTCTGTTCAGGAAATTTGACCCTGATTTAATCAAGAAGGCACTTTCGTATTTCCGCGCTGACAACTTTCGGATGATTGTTGTCGCCCAAGACTACCCTGGGAATTGGGACAGTAAGGAGAAGTGGTACGGAACGGAGTACAAGATTGAAGATATTCCTGGTGACTTTATGTCCGGTATTCAGCAGGCGCTAGACACTACACCGGACAACAGGCTCCCTGACTTGCAGATGCCTCATAAGAACGAGTTCGTCCCCACCAGACTTTCAGTAGAGAAGAAAGAAGTGTTGGAGTGCGCGAGGACCCCGAAACTCATTCGTCACGATGACCACGTCCGTCTCTGGTTTAAGAAGGATGACCGTTTCTGGGTTCCTAAGGCTACAGTTCACATTACACTCCGGAATCCTCTGGTTTGGACCACACCCGCAAACTTGGTGAAATCAAAATTTTACTGTGAGCTTGTCAGAGATGCTCTTGTTGAGTATTCCTACGATGCTGAGCTTGCAGGCTTGGATTATCATCTTTCCGCCAGCATCTTTGGTCTAGATATCTCGGTCGGAGGTTACAATGACAAAATGTCCGTGCTTTTGGAAAAGGTCCTTACAAGCATGCGCGATTTGGTGATTAACCCTGGTCGGTTTCATGTCATCAAAGAGCGCCTTTCTCGGGCATATAAAAATGCCGAGTATCAGCAGCCATTCTATCAGGTCGGCGATTATACCCGCTATCTGACTGCGGAGAAGACATGGATCAACGAACAATACGCAGCTGAGCTGGAACACATCGAGGTCGAGGATATCTCATGCTTCTTTCCCCAGTTGCTACGCCAGAATCACATCGAAATATTGGCCCATGGTAACCTATACAAAGAGGATGCATTGCGCATGACTGACTCCGTAGAGAGTATTCTTCAAAGTCGTCCCCTACCCCAATCCCAGTGGCACGTGAGGCGCAACATGGTCATTCCTCCGGGATCCAACTATATCTATGAGCGGGTGCTGAAGGATCCAGAGAATGTCAACCATTGTATAGAGTATTACCTTTTTGTTGGGGATATCACGGACCAGGCTCTCCGGGCGAAACTTCTCCTATTTGCCCAGATGACGGATGAGCCAGCGTTTGACCAACTTCGGAGCAAAGAGCAGCTGGGGTATGTCGTTTGGAGCGGCGCACGTTATTCTGCGACGACCGTTGGCTATCGTGTTATTATTCAGAGCGAACGCACTGCTCAATATTTGGAGTCACGGATTGATTCCTTCTTGAGGAACTTTGGGCAGGTCCTAGAGGATATGTCGGACGAAGAATTCGAAGGCCACAAACGAAGCATTGTCAACAAAAGACTCGAGAAACTAAAGAACCTCAGCTCCGAGACCACCCGGTTCTGGACTCACATTGGTTCCGAATATTTTGACTTCTTGCAGAACGAGTGTGATGCGGCCGGTGTGAAAGCTCTGGCCAAGTCCGAGCTCATTCAGTTTTATCAGCACTATATTGACCCGGACTCTTCTACGCGAGGCAAGGTCTCAATCCATCTGAACGCTCAATCCGGTGCTCAGGCCAATAGTGCCGAACCCAAGGAGCAGAAGTCGCGGCTGATCTCACTTTTTGGCAAGCAGTTGGAGACTGCAGGATTTGCAGTAGACATGGATCAATTGAACTCTGCATTCGCGAAGCTCGACGTGTCATCCAGCTCCGAAGACCAGATTTTAGACACCCTCAAGACATTCTTGGCGTCTGAAATGAGCTTGTCCGATCAGCAAACGAAACCCATTCTCACGCATGCTGAGCAAAGTTTGGGCTTGCATTCAAAGCAACTTGGGCTTAAACCCACAACCAACGGGGAATCCGCCGGAAGTACGAAGTCTTTGCCAGTGACAAATGGCCTGGACAAGGCCGGGCACCCGATCTATATAACCAACGTTCCCGAATTCAAGGCACGCCTTGCAGTCAGCGCTGGCCCCAGCCCAGTCACAGACCTCAGTGAATATGAGGACTTCGACGCCAAGCTTTGAAACGATGGGGGTTCGTTTTAGATTTGGGTTGGATGGACAGAGTTAGAGAGCAGTTCGCAGTCGACTCTAGGGATTCTAGTGCGACGAGGTCTCAATTAGATCTACTTATTGGTATATGTAGCAGTAAAGATGATTCAACAATCCTATTGTGTGTCTCTGTATGCTTTTCCTGTTGTAGCTGTTTACTTGGTTCTCAGGTCATGGATGCCTTGCTTGGCCGGTTAGTCAGCAAACACGCATCGGAGTACGGGCGAATGTTTTCGCGGGTAGCTTCCGATATGAATAACAAAGCTCCACCAACTTGCCGCATCCGAGTTGCGACCAGGCACAGCAGTATCCGGACTCTCAATTCCCCTCGCTGAATTCGCCAGAGAAACTGTTCAGCTTCATTTATTGGCACCGGACGACTATCAGCTTCCAAGATGTCCACGGCCACAACGACGGCGATGCAAAGCTCACGCCCGTAGGTCGCCCTCCCCTTCAAGATGGCCTTAAGGATTCAAGACCAACAGTTTTCTATTCGAAGACACCTCCCAATTCATATCACTTACTGATGCCTCCATCTCGAACAGTCCAATCGTTCCCAAGGATTTTTCTGCACAGCAACCTCAGACCATCCGCCTCTATCCTCTCTCCAATTACACATTCGGAACCAAAGAAACACAACCGGAGGAGGATCCCTCGGTTTTGGCCCGGTTGAAGCGCCTCGAGGAACACTACGAGCAGTATGGAATGAGGCGGACTTGCGAGGGAGTTCTCGTCTGTCACGAACATAACCATCCTCATGTGTTGATGTTGCAGATTGCCAATGCGTTCTTCAAACTGTATGTGCGAGGGAGCCTACACCTCAATCCGGCCCTTGTCAGGGCGTAGAGAGGAAAAATACATGAGCTAAAGTGAATAACAACAGGCCCGGGGATTACCTTCAACATGACGACGACGAAGTGGACGGATTCAAGAAACGACTGAACGAACGTCTCGCACCCGTGGGATCGCAGTTCTCCGGCGAAGGAGTCAACGAGGATTGGGAGATTGGCGATACTCTTGCGCAATGGTGGCGGCCCAATTTTGAAACCTTTATGTACCCATTTCTCCCGGGTCACGTAACCCGGCCGAAGGAGTGCAAGAAGTTGTATTTCATTCAATTGCCCAAAAAGAGTGAGTTTGTTTGAGCCCCAGTTGAGTTGGAATCTCCTAGGTAGACATGATGTCTGACGTATGGCAGAGGTCCTCTCCGTTCCCAAGAACATGAAACTTCTAGCTGTACCTTTGTTCGAACTGTATGACAACACGGCCCGGTACGGTCCACAGCTCTCTGCCATCCCACATTTACTGTCCCGGTACAATTTTGAATTCGTTGATGAGAATGACAACGTGGTTGCGGCCACCCCGGGTACACCTTTCCCGGAGTCGCGAGTCCCCAGCTCTAAGGTACTGAGTGGTGCAAGTGGGGATGGACAGGACGAAGGGATGGCAGACTACGTGGGGGATGGAACGGAGAACGGAGGGACAGGTGAGCAATGAAAGACGGACATTTCTACATCCTGTGATTGGGAGCCCGTTGGGCAGACCGCAATGCGGTAAATGCGGTTGCTGCCTGGCCGCAGACGCCCCGTGAGTACATTCTAACGGTCTTCGGCGTGGAGTACTTCCCTGTCTAGATGCGTTCGGGATACTTTCTCAAAGCGACACGTGAAATTTCATATATGGCCGGCGTTCTGGGAGCGAGACAAGTATTGTTTTTAGAACTTGCGCAGATAATGACTCAATTCGAATACCATTACGTGGGATGTATGGATCCAGCAGGTTCCAGACTGATCATATGCAGAAGGACCCTGCAGAACACCCTATCCTGTCGTACCTTAGACCAGGAAACTGTCTGCCTACTTGCAGAGGACCTCGGTAGGTGCAACCAGTCCGATACACGGAGGGCGCGTGTGGATACCCCTGTATAAGTTCAGGTGATATACGCTGCCACAATAGTGATCTTTTAGCGTGTCCACTGGCCTAGAGTGGATAGGGATAGATCTTAACAACGGCTTCTAAGGCAGACTCTGAGAGACATGCAGACCTCGATCGTCTTGACGGCAGAGGTGATGCCCCAATCGGTAACGACGACGACGTAAAAATCAACCGCGGATGCGGCAACATCGTGCAATTGATGTGAGGATTCATCTAATCTATAGGACTAGTGCGTTCACTAGATTCCTTCACGGGATCCACTCTGGGGACAACGGGGAATTTCAACGTCCTCCTCGGGTTCCGTATATGTGTTGGATGCCTGACTCCACCTCTCTAGGGTTCAATCGCGGCCGCATATCCTACCGTCGCGATGAGGTTGATATTGATATTGTGGACTGATCAATCATCGAGTAGTGACTAGACAGTCAGTCTAAACTCAACCCGCATCTCCAAGGGGAGGGATATCCTCCTACAGACAGGTGCGTCCGATCCCCAACCCAACCCGCGGAAGCCGCAAGAACTAACGTTCTTGGCAGCACGGGGTCATCGTGAATAACGGCCACTCATGGCCACTGGGGTAATCCTTGGTGTTTTCTGCTGACTCGAGTCTTACTTTTTGTTCCTGGCCCCGATCCTCTTCACCTTCAATGCCCCTCCATTGTTGGCTAGCCATTCGCCCGAAATCCTTGCCACGGGAGAATGTAATCCATCATCACCCATCGGTGTTCCGGGGCCCCCTCTCTGGGGTGGACCAGTGGGATGACTGCGTATACGAGTGGGATATGTGGGATGGAAGTTTGATCGAATAATGCGATGAGAGCCAAATTTTGGTTTTCTTCCCTCGTTTGTTCTCCGATGAGCATGACCAGGATGACCCCGCCCGTATTCAGAACTCGGTGGATGTTTGGCATCTGAAAATGAAGGTCATTTGATACTGAGTCCATCTGCCCAGTGCGATGGATGTATATAAGAGGTCATTTATCCTCATGATGAACGGGGCTTGAAGGTTGTCCAGCAGTACCAGAGAATCGATTGGATCTGCCTTTCATTTCGCCTGTTCCTGTTGAGTATATTTTTTCTTTTTCCTACTGTACTATATACAAAAAGGCAATACTATGCTCTCCCTTGCGCAGTTCCTGGTGTCAGTTACCATTTTAGTAGGGTTGGGTGCTACTGCCCCGACCCAGTTGGCTCCTCGTGGTGAGCACATCCATCCCCAACCCTGACGAGGAATATAGTTAACACCCTCAGATGTCCCCGCCGATACGTTAAGCCAGTTGAGCCTGTTCGCGGAATACTCGGCCGCTGCATACTGCAGCTCCAACATCCACTCCCCGGGAGACAAATTGACCTGTGCAGCGGGTAATTGTCCGGCGGTTGAGAAAGCCAACACAGAAACACTGAGTGAATTCCTCGCGTACGTTGTGACGTTTTAGACCCTTATCCGTCACCTATAGACTAGCACAAACTGACAATCCCCCAGAGACGACCAGTTTGGTGGCGTAGCAGGCTTCCTCGCAGCCGACTCGACCAACAAGCTCCTTGTTTTATCCTTCCGAGGATCCCGAACCATCGAGAACTGGATCGCTAACCTAGACTTCCTCCGGGTGGACGTCGGCAATCTCTGCAAGGGCTGCGAGGCCCACGGGGGGTTCTACAAGGCCTGGCAATCGGTGGCGTCGGACGTCACGAAGCAAGTCAACTCCGCCGTGGAGAAGTACAAGGGGTATAAGTTGGTGTTCACGGGCCATAGTTATGGTGCAGCGTTGGCCAGCTTTGCGGCGACAGAGTTGCGGAATGCTGGACATACGATTGATTTGGTATGTCCTTTTTATTCCCCTTCTTTCTTCATGGGAAGTATGTACTAATGATATGGATTGATAGTATTCATATGGCGGACCTCGACTCGGTAATGAAAACCTGGCCAAATATATCACCGGTCAGGGAACCAACTTCCGCATCACGCATACCAATGATATCGTGCCGCGGCTTCCACCTCACTCGTTTGGATTCACCCACTTCAGTCCAGAGTACTGGATCACCAGCGGGAATTTCAAGCCCGTGACGGCATCGGATATCCAGGTCATTGAGGGCGTGGGATCCACGGATGGAAATTCCGGAGAAGATTTCAAGAGTGTATTAGCGCATTCTTGGTACTTTGGAGGTATCTTTTTCTGTTTGTAGGATGACGGTGGAGTGTATACTGTATATGTATATGTGTAAGTATCTGTATAGTTTGGATAGTGTTACTGCAGGATTAAGCGTTGCATAGCGTGTGGCAGATGGTCTATGGTTTCTATCTAGATGTATATAAAATCTAGAAGATTAATATCAAGACTAGATCCCAAGCATATCCTTTGAAGACTAAGTATATCTCGTCTGTTCAGACTAATTAATAAGATGTAAGAATAGCTCAACCGAAAAACATCCGATACCACAAAGATAAAAATACCTTGTTCTTCTTATCTATCCCATTTCCAGATTTAGCCTTATCTAAATTAGATTATATTACCGTTGTCGAAAATGGTGATGAACTAATACACAGTAGAAGTGAGGATGATTTTGGCATGCGGGGAATCCATGCATCAAAACCCCCTCCCCCCTCCACACCCCCTAGAATCAGTAAATCTTATTTTAATAACTTTTACACCCTTGTAGTCAACTTCCCACTCCATACTCCACATGGCTCCAACCAAAGTAGCCCTTGCTGGTGTAGGTGCTCTCTCATCTTCCATACCCTCACCAACGTACTCAATGCCAATAGGGTACCGGGAACCTTGGCCGCGCGGTTCTGAAAGCTCTCCTGGACGCCGACTTCGAGGTGACCGTCCTCAGTCGATCCAGCCAGAAACCCGTTGATGAACGCGCCACGATAATCGAAGTCGACTACGACTCTCTTGACTCACTAACATCCGCCCTATCAGACCACGACATCGTGGTGAACACGATCGGTCGCGCCCCCACGGAAGTCGGCATACGTCTAATAGATGCGGCGGTAGTCGCGGGGGTCAAACACTTCCTCCCTTCTGAATACGGCACCGATACGACGCACGAGAAGGTGCGAAAAGTTCCCCTCTGCGCGGGTCGTGTAGCCATCCAAGAGCATCTCAAAAAGGTGGCACGGGAATCTTCTCTTTTCTACACGCTTCTCATCCCCGGTGCCTTCCTCGACTATGGCCTCCAGACGGGGTTCATATTGAACCTGGCGGGCCCGGTTGCTGATCTGTATGATGGCGGGGATCGGAAGTTCAGTACCACGACTCTCCCGGGGATTGGGAAGGCGGTGGTCGGTATTATCAGGAACCCTGAGGCGACGAAGAATTCGGCCGTCTTTGTGAGTGAGGCCGATGTCTCTCAGAATCAGATGCTGGAGATCTCAGGGAAAAGGGTCGAGACGAGGGTAGTTCGCACGGCGGATCTAGAGAAGGAGGCATATGCGGAGTTGAAGAAACCGAATCCGAGACCTGCAGTGTTTGCGGTTAATTTCATCCGTCTTATTCTGTTTGGGGAGGGATTTGGTAGCTTGATTGAGTCTGATAGGCTATCCAATGAGTTGCTGGGGTTGAGGTATCTGACTGAAGGGGAATTGCGAGATATGGTCTCCAGATATATTTAGGTATGGCGTGAATGATATTTTTGGAAGAAGAATAGAGTTGCATGGCCTCATTTTTAGTATTTACCTAGATCTACATACTGTGGCCGGTATATTATAATATCTTATCAATGAAATTTCACTGCACTAAAAGGGCGCCGGCCCTAGTTAGGAATGATAAATCTTCTGATATATTGACATAACTTAAAAAGTCGACTGGAATATAAGGGATGGCTATTATCATCTAACTGGCTAGAAAAGCCCCAATCATTCCTCCAAGCAGCTATATCTAGGAGAACTGGTATAGCCTGCGAATGATGTATGCGCTTCTGTTCTACACCAATGAGATTGCTTCCACACTCGATTTGATTAGACCCCAAACTAAAGATGGAAGAATTGGCTATTGGATAGGCCAGTATCTGGTTACGACAACATAACGAGCCCAAGCGAGGATCCTCTAGTCTAAGCTAGTTGGTCTACTGTGAGTAACACTGTAGCCTGGACACTGCGATTGAACAAAAGACGTCTGCCCGTTGTTGGGATCGGGAATTCTACATTCGAGCCTCTCGAGATCAGATTTTGGAATGATAGATTATCGGATTAAGAACAACCCAAATATATGACAAGATCGAGATATAACGGAAGACGTTATTTGAATGCAAACACATCGTAAGCCTTTCTGTGTCATGACTAGTGTTTTCAACTGTCGTCGTTGATTAATATATTAGTGCACTGGGATGTACATAATTCTCCTTGCCAGCTATTTTAGTAGAAAAGAAGTGTGGACTATTCAGTGCTTCGAAAGTTGTAAGTTAACATGAGCCGAATTTGACATCTGGGGTTAGGCGATACCGTATATTTGGGTGCAGCTCTTATATGAGCGGGCATGTATGGTGAAAATGGGGTATCAGAAAGCCTGACTCTTTTTCAACATCAGACGCTCGAGAGATATCGACTGTTCACCAAATGGATGTGCAGCATGTTGGAGAATGCCAAGTTTTAGAATCGCGCACCATCAACAGCCCAATATAGTCTGGAGTTTGGGGCGGCTCCACCCGCGACCGTTTCACCTCGTCTCTCACTACTCCCCCATCCTTCCTCTCTTTTCCTTACCTGCCAGCTGTCGCTCGTCGATTTTGTCCGTCTTTCATCCGTTCTTTCTACAGACTCTCACGAGTCGCTCCAGTCTGGCACAGCGCAGGCGTTTGTCAAGCTTCCCAGCCATTTTCTCCAGCACTCTCTCGCAACGCAACCATGATCTCGGTCTCGTCGATCTGACCCAACCTCCCAACTCAGTCACGCGCCAAATTACAGCCTCCTATAACCAAGCACGTTCACTCTCGTCTAGACTTTCATTGCAACAACCATGCTCTTCTTTGGAAGCGGGCCTCAGAGCCCACGTCGCCGCAGCAGAGAAAAAGCCATCTTAATCACCATCTTGATAGTCTACGCCTTGTATTTTCTGTTCTTCGCCAATACGTCGGGCCGCCGACGGGCCGCGGCGGTTTATGAGGGCGTGGTGTCACAAGGAGGACCAAATCGAGATTCACGCTCGGGGCAGGCTACCCCGTTGCACGAGATGCGGAACTTCGAAAAGGATTTTGTCGTGGCGAGTATGAAGGACGATGATGTCTCGTGGTTGTTTGAATTCTTCCCCGAGTGGCATAAGAGTATCTACGTGGTGAATGATCCCAAAGCCCACTTGACAGTGAAGCTAAACAAGGGGAGGGAGTCAATGGTGTATTTGACGTGAGTGTGTTTTCTTGCCTCCCCCTGATCCATCGTTGATTGTCGCTAATTTCCCCGCCATCAGATACATCATTGATAATTACGATGATCTGCCCGAGTCGATGCTCTTTATTCACTCGAAACGATACCAGTGGCACAACGATGACCCCTACTATGACGGCGTCCCGGTGCTTCGCAACTTCCAGGTCTCATATCTCCAGGAACAAGGCTACGTCAATCTTCGCTGTGCCTGGGTATTAGGCTGCCCGACGGAGATCAAGCCCTACACCGATACGCATCGCGATGCTGTGCACGCCGGGGTGTATTACAAGAACGGGTTCATGGAGCTTTTCCCCGGTGTCGAGGTTCCGGAAGAAGTGGGGGTGTCGTGCTGTGCACAGTTTGGGGTGACGAAGTGGAAGGTCCTCGAGCGACCCAAGAGCGATTATGAGCGATATAGGAAGTGGCTGTCGGAGACGACACTCCCGGATGATCTGAGTGGCCGTATCATGGAGTATTCATGGCACAGTACGTCTACCCTGGCTGGATTTACGGATGACAAAAGCTGACAGGCATAGTGATCTTCGGGAAAGACCCTATCCACTGTCCCTCAGCGGAGGAATGTTACTGCAAGGTGTTTGGATTGTGCGACTTAACCTGTACCGAGGGGAACTGCGCCGGTCGCTATGTTCTCCCTCCGTATTCAAGTCTCCCAGAAGGTTGGCCATATATAGGGTGGCACGGTCAAAAGCAGGATCCAAGCACCGGATTGCCGGAAGGTTGACGATCCTGAGAATACGGTATTTGAATAAGCTCCCTCCTTTGTCTGACGGTCTTTGTTGGATTGGATGAAGTAGACATCACGCTGGAGCAATGTGGATTGTCCGGGCCATGGTTTTTAAGCTCTTACTGCCATGAGCCCACCATATGCATACAGTGATTTGGCTGTCAGGCTGTTGATAGTTGGCAGACAACAGCCTATCACTGCCTTATAACAATATCAGCGCCACGAACTATTCCACCTTGGGTGAAGGTACAGAAGATATGCTCCAAAGTCTGGCATACCCTGCTGGCGAAAGGCGGGCAGCCATGGAGACCATATAGAAGATCTCTGCTTAACTATGAAGACCATTCAACTTTGTTATAATATACTCAAAAGTTTGTAGATTAAAGGTTAGAAAAATTATTTTGCTTAATTCTTACTATGGTAGTAGTAAACACAGGGTGGATGCCGAGGTCCGCCCGCAGTTCTCCCCGCATCTCCGATTTTCCTCCCTTTAATCTCTTCCAACTATTACCACACATCCGCTTAGATCTTTAATACATCACGTCCGAGTTTCTCATTTGCATAGGTTTTCCAGCGCGGGCGCTGACCTCGAGCCCGATAGTCCAGAGCTGAAGACAGAAAGACACACACATAGACACAGACACAGACAAAGATACGACATGCTCATCATCGGACTAACCGGCTCGATCGCAACGGGCAAATCCACCGTCTCCTCTCTTCTCTCCTCCCCACCATACTCCATCCCCATTATTGACGCGGACCTTCTAGCGCGCCAGGTCGTCGAGCCGGGCACGCCCGGCTACAAAGCTATAGTCGAATACTTCGGACCCAGCACGCCGGATCTACTCCTCCCCTTGAAACCAGACACCAACCCTCATCAGCTCCGGCCGCTCAACCGGCCAGCGCTGGGCCGTCGAGTCTTCGGCACTAGCGAGGAGCGCAAGCGCGACCGCATGGTCTTGAACAAGATTGTACATCCAGCCGTACGATGGGAAACCTACAAGGCGCTACTATACTACTACGTACGGGGATACTGGGCCGTTGTTCTGGACGTTCCACTGCTCTTCGAGAGCGGGATGGATATCATTTGCGGCACGGTGGTGGTGGTGGGTGTATCGGATGCGACGGTGCAAGTGGCGAGGCTGTGTGCGCGAGATTCCCATCTGACGCTGGAAGATGCGCAGAACCGCGTTCAGAGTCAGGGAGACGTCCTGGGAAAGGTGCAGAAGGCGGAGTTCCGTGGTGTGGATACCGCGCGCGGCGTCATCGTCTGGAATGATGGCGACAAAGCGGATCTCGAGAGAGAGGTCCAGAAGGCGATGATGGGGATTCGGTCATCGAGTCCCCGCTGGTGGGCTTGGGTGCTTTTGTTGGCGCCGCCGGTGGGAGTCGGTGCCGCTGTTTGGAACATGGCGGTGAATTTTGCGACGCAGAAGAGTTGGGAGAGGAAGGTGAGGGAGGAGAAAGCGAAGTTGTAGTTTGCTTTGGATAGATGTGCATAATGATCTGATATAGATTAATTTAGTACTTCCTGTTGGGATGTTGCTTATATACTTTAGAATTATGAATATTCACCGGAATTGGTAGACCAAGAATATCACCACGTGCAAAGCCAATAATCGCCGCAACCTTGCTTTCTCCCGTCCCTCTCTATCAATCTATCATTGCCAGTCCCCAATCCAGCTCGATCGTCCCCCGATCCAAGGCAATTTATACATGTCTGGTCCTGTCATGGACAGGACCGACTCCTATCCCTGATTCTTTCAGTATCTCTACAACAATCATGTTCTACCCCTGCCTGTACGAATCACGAAACACAGCGATCGAAAAACCACAGAAACCTCGACTGGTGCGTCAAGTCTCTCGGAGAACAGACAATGCGCGTGTTCCTCTCCCGGGGGGACTACAGCCTGGGATGTCTTCTCGAGGAAATAGCAATGTTTCAAGTACCCGTATGCGTGATTTTCTTCTATTCTTCTCTTTTTAAGTATATACTTAGATTCCAGCTAATAGGGTCCAGAATCTATTGATAAGGTGGATATCTGGATTCTCCAGCGCACTAGCCCATATAGTGACTAACAGAAGTAGACAATGCAAAGGCCCAGTGTTACTTCAGCTGTCCCTCCAAAAGGAATCCTGAAACACCCCACCAAACGGTTCCCCTTTGAAGATACCGTTGCCGTCCAACGATCAACCGGTCTCCGCTTCGAAATTGAGAGGCTTTCCCCGGAGTCTAGTCTCTCCAGGTCCGATGTTGTCACGGCCTTTGGCGATGGACGAGATAGTGGGGTTGGAATACAGCATCGGGATTCACTGGCTGCGGCGGACAAAGCCAGTGCAAGAGTCAGTAAAAAGTCTCTGTCCGCTAAAGAGTCCCAGGAGGAACTTCTCGGAGGAAGAGACAGGGTGTAGCGCAGTGACAACGGCCAGAAGTGCTGGCTCTTGGTATAGGAAGCGTCATATGCCTGGCGGTTGCAGTGTCAAGTATCTGTCCATAAACAGCATCGAATGCGCAAAACACCACAACCATAGCAGCCACGGTGAAGCGCGGTCCTCGGACTAATATTAGTGATATGTTAATGCTTCCTTTTCTTCTGAGGCTTAGATCCTCCGATCATCGCCTGACGTCCACCAGATATGCTCGTGAGCTTAGACAGTCTGACCGGCGGGGGATTGACTTTTGATTTGGCCTTTTCGATCATCGAGTCAACATCCCCTTCCCCCTCGTCTCCACCGTTATCAGCGATCTAGAAATCAATTTCTTAGCATGTATGCATCAAATATCATAAATAGATGCAGCACAAACCCATGTTTTCTTCTTCCGCTTGAAATTACCATATGCCTGTCGACCCCCGTAAACCATGTCGTCATCGTCTGCGTCTAGAGAATCCGCCGTAATGACCTGTGGCTGCGGAGCGTACTGTGTATCTGAGCCGAAATCAAGCACCCATTCAGTTTCACCGGCCTCCGCTGCCTGACGGCTCACTACCTCTCTACGTCGGTCCTCCTCCGCGGCAAGGGCGGCGGAAATGGCTTCCAAGTCTGACGATGGTGTAGCAGGGCTATGAGATTGGTGAGGGTCGGTTCGGTGCCGTTTGGGAGTGGGTGGGTTGGAGTCGTCGGTCGATGGTTGTGGGGTGTCATTGACAGCTGCTGAGGCAGCAGCTCGTTGCATGAACTGTGTCTAATTAGTATGTAATTTTATAGAGAAAAGAAAATGAATATATGGTGTATTAGAGAGAGAATAATGAAAAGAGACGCACTTTCATCGTCAATAAACGTGAAGACATCGTTTTTCCTGACTTTGAGTCAGACACAGGGGAGCCTGCCATAATGGCTATTTGAGCTATAGAACCAGCTCTTGTGAATAATCCACCCTAGAGCACACGTCAATGACAATATCCAAGTTCAGAAAACGTAGAAAAGCGGAACAAATTCAAAGCGGCAGAATCAAACCAAATCCAGTAGGTATGCGCAACAGCCGCAGGAGCGCAGCCGATTGGCTCCGCTAGCGGCCGCGCGAGCTCCAACAAACCAAACCAACCAAACCTCACCCTTTGATAATCCCAACTTTCCCTCTTCTCTTCCGCCATCAAACCCCCGACTCCCTCCGCCCATTGCCTCCAATTTCTTGCGACCACGGCTGCCCGACATGTTTGCCTGCGCTCGCAGCCGGATCGCGGCCTCCTCTGCCGCCTGGACCCCGCGGTTTGTCTCCCGGGCCAGCTACTCGACGACTGTGTCTCGTCTCTCGGAGAACAGAATGCAAGCCAACAATCCGAGCCCGCCCACAAAACAGCCCAATGTATCCGCCTCCAATGCGACGCCCGTCGACTCGATGGGATCGTGGGATCTCCCGCTGAAGGAGGACCCCGAGGCTGGCGAGCGTATCCGTGAGGTTCAGGCTCCTAACCGCGCCCGGACCTGGGCGGCCAGTCAACAGCCGCGGGAGAAGGCGATGACTGGGCCTCGTTTCGAGCAGACAATAATGGAATATCAGGTGAGTATTTTATTGCTTTAGAATTGAGGGAGGATGGAAACACTGATTCGAACGGCAGCCCCAACCCATGGCCGCTATCGAACTCATTCACAAGCAGCCCGTTCGCTGGACAAACAAGAGAATCGTCAGCTGTGACGGCGGCGGCGGTCCTCTCGGTCATCCTAAGATCTTCATCAACACCGATAAGCCCGAGATTGCTACCTGCGGTTACTGCGGTCTTCCTTTTGTAGGTTTTACGTCCTCTAGCTATGAGATAAGATTAACTAACGATTGGGTTAGGCTCATGAGCAGCACCGCGCATACCTCGAGTCCCTCCCCGCTACTAGCTACCCTCTTAAACCGACTGGGGATGCCGCCGAAGTGAACGAGACCCAGCGCGTCACCGAGGGAGGATTAGAGCAGCGGTAAAGAAGCATTATGTCTGGCGTTGATGATTAGTCTTGTTTTGAATTGATTCGCACTTAAAGTGCTTGTACAGTTGTTGAATAAAATTCTGATCTGGTAATGGCTGTAGTAGTAATAGTAGTTGTTGATGTATCGTTCAGTGTCACTTCTAGACTACCAATCTTTACAGACATCCTTTGAGTCATGCCTTCTCCCCCTGAATGGTAGCTACCACCTTTCTCGAATGTCGACTCGTCCTGAACTCCAGATACCAAATCCCTTGCCAAGTGCCCGTAGCCAATCTTCCATTGGAGATGGGGATATTCACCGACGCTCCAATCAATGCGGATTTAATATGAGCCTATACCAGTTAACATTCCCCCCTAACATACCATACCATATAAAATAAGAAAGAGGGGGGAAGTAAATACAGGCATATCATCCTCCCCTTCTGCGGAATGCCGATACAGTGACCCCTTCCGGTCGAACGGGGCAATGCGATCCAAGGCATCGCTCATATCTGCGCGTACGTCTTCATCCCAGTTCTCATTCAACGAGAGCGCACAGCTAGTGTGCTGCACGAACAGGTTCAACATGCCCACTTTGTAGTTGCGCAGCTCGGGCAGTTCCGACAGGACGTGGTCGGTGATTAGGTACGAGCCGCGGGAGCGTGAGGGGAGGGTGAAAGTTTTCTGGAACCAGGTCATTTTTTTAGGTTTGTGTAATTTTTTTGTTTTTATTTTTTTCTGGGTTCGGGATGGAAGGAGGAGAGAATTGTGGTGTTGAGGGTAGTAGGATTAGGAGATTGTTGATTTGAGATGTGGGATGGATTGGATTTGGTGGGGAACGACGTCATTGGATTACTGAGTATTCTTTCTTCCTTCGGTTCAGTAGAGTTGATTCATATTGAACGCTGGCAGTTTGATTTGATTATTATTTCTAGTGCTGTCAAGTATGCTGGTCAGTGGGTAGATCTCGAAGATATTGATGAATAAAGCACTCGCTTCCATACGCAGACATCCTATGACATTACTACTGCGGAGTAAACCCTTCTCAACGATACACAACTAAATAGACAGCTAGAAATAACGATCAAAAAGTCCTCCACAAAGCCCAACCCCCAAACCCAAAAAACGCCACCCAGTGTCCCAGCGCTTTCATCTTCAACTGCTCGCCGCCGTACTTCCACACCACGAACCCGTCTCCCAGGCCCACGAAGGCGCAAATAGTCGCTATCGTCGTAACCGCGGTTTCCTGTCCCTGGTACTGCAGGGCGATCAGGGCAATCCCGTAACTCGTCTCGCGGATACCTTTGAGGTGGATCAGCGGCGACACTGCACCTGGACGTGAGGCCTTGCGAGGACTGCTGGTGCCTCCCGAGGACTCATAAGGGAGACCGAAACGTTGGTATTCGTGGGAGGGACGACAGAAGCTGTTGATGCCGAGGGCGAGACAGATGGCTCCGACAAGGTAGGAGGGGAGGGGGTTGAATATGGTCATTTCTTCTTTTTTTTTTTTTTTTTTTTTTTTTTTTTTTTTGTTTGTTTTCTTCTTTGTATTTGTTTTGGGATGACTCACTGGTCTGCGTCAGTGGATTTCGGCATGGATAGCGCTGCTTGCTCACCTGGGTTGGTTGTATACAAAGAATACTAACTACTTGGAGGGTGGATTACAGAGACAAAGAAACAGAAATACTTCTAGACTACTACCACCACAAGAAGGTAATGCTACTACGCATAACCGGAAGAGTTATTCCGCACCGAGACTCCCCTTCCCACATCGTCCAATCGATTACTGTGTTCATCCAATCCTGACCATTTGGGCTTCCCATCCGGCAGGTCTACTACCCGCGTGGTATAGCAAATATGACAGCTGCATGATGCATGAGTCCGGTTCAAGCCAGTAGGTATAGTATACTCAGCGAGAACGGTATCATACTCACTCGACTTCAAATGCATTCCTCCACTTCTCGTAGTCCTCCCCATACTCAATAGAGGAGGGGAAGATCAGACACATATTGCGACCTTCGTCCATAATAGGTGTCTGACAGTACGAACACGACACCTTGGTGGGAGTTTCATACTGATGGGATCGGTTCGCAGCTGAGTAGAAGGTCAAACCGCTGGGACCCTGCGTGAAGGTCATGTCGGATTTATGGAAGATGGCGGCCCATTGGAATGGAGCGCCTGGTGAGTTAGGCTTTTTCTTTTCTTTTTCCTTTTTTATATATGCTCCAAGGGAAGATACCGTGGAGTAATTGACACCCTCGACAGTGGCAGAACTTGACCTTGAGGGGTCGTTCGCGATTCAGTTTATATTGTACTTGACCGCATTGACATTTTCCATGCCATTTGACGGGGCCGAATTCCTCGGGGGGCTGGATGCTGTATGGAGGACGATCGAAGGGGCTGGGCAAGGGCGCTCTTGGGATGTGAGTCATCAAGTGGGTATTCCGGAGGTGAGAGCTGGAACATAGCTGGATTTTAGAGACAAGTGTTCTACTCTACGAGTATCTGTATAGACTCAGACAAATGATTGTTATCTTAGTCAGCGGTCTTGGCAGGATTCCTCCAAAAAGGCATCATAGAAAGCTCAAAGACAGCGTCAAATGATTGAAGAAAGCTCCAGGAATCACCAACGGCGAATGAGAAAGATCGTCACGGTGCAGGAACAAAGAACTGCCATCCATGTCAACAATCCAGATGAGGCAGGCCAGCGGGTGCATGCAGTCACTGTCTGGTCGTCAAATCCCTGGAAAGACAGCGGACATATTACGATAGACACTGCTATTTATACTGCCGAATAACTCCTCACCGTTTGATGGTCTCTGGACATCCTTAGTTGCTTACTACTGGTTAGCTCGTTCTTTATATTTCTTTGGCCCCAACGTTCCTCCCACTTTGCCTTCTTCTTAATCCTCTCCCTCGCTTCCGCCCCCATATCATCATGGGCTTCTTCGGCCGCCTGCGCAGGCGTTCCAAAAGTCTCAGCCGTGCGGGGAGGAAGGGAAAGTCCATCGACGCCGAGAATGCCGTCACTTTCGAGCACAATCGCCGTCACAACAATCCGCTGCCTCCTCTGCCTGTCAACACCACCGGCGCCGACCACACCAAAAAGCTGCCTCCTCTCGTTCTCGCCCGTATTCTCACCCAGGTCTGTCCCCATGCCGCCGATGCCAGCTATGAATCCTCCGAGGAGTCCATGACCGAGGATGGTTGTATGCTCTGTGATATGCGCGACCTGGCCCACTGCGCCTTGGTCTGCAAACGCTGGTTCCTCGAGGCCCGTACCTTGCTGTAAGTCCAAAAAATGGCAGAAGAACTCGCCGGACCCTAACGTCTTGTCTTAATCCAGATACACTCACGTTCGCATCGACCCCGTCCATTACTGCGAACTCGAGTTGGAATTGGCCGCCAAACGAAAACGCCGCTCCTTCTTTGATCGTAACGCCGACCCCATCGATGCTCCCCAGGTGCGTCTCTCGCTGTTTATGCGGTCGGTGCGTCAATCGCAGGGGCTGGGGAATGTGGTGCAGTCCTTACGCATGCCCTACATGACCCGCGAGGCCAACAAGGCCGAGATCGCCCGCACCATCTCCGTCCTGCCCAATCTACGCTATGTGGACCTGCCGGCCGGTATCTACAGTGACGACCCCTCCTGCGTTGCCCTGAAGCAGGAGTTGATGGCCCGCTGTCCGGATCTCCGACGCATGGCCTACCACCACGGGGCCGAGGGGAGCTTCTCTCAGCTGTCCAGGTCGCCGCCCTGGACGAACCTGGAGATTCTGGAATTGTCCGGGCTGCATTTCGAGTCGAGTATCCTGCGGCGTGGTCTGGCCTCGTTCCCGAGACTCCACGACCTGACGCTGGAGGATCTTCCGTGGCTGGACGACGACGCCCTGACCCCCTCCAAGTCCCTGCCCCCATTCCCTGCCGTGCAGCGGCTCACTTTGCGCGATATCCCCAACGTAACGGCAGGCGGGCTTGTCGCCTACCTGTCGATCCCGGCGCATCGCAAGGCCCTGCGCTACCTGACCCTGTCCAACACAGGCGTGCTTCCGTCGACCCTGCATCAGATCCTGTCCTCCGCCCCCCAGCTGCTGGCCATGTCGGTGATCCAGGCGGTGACGCGATCCTTCCCCACCGATCCGGTGCCGCCGATCGCGTCGCGAACACTGGAGTCCCTACACTACGAGGTGTCCTCCGAGCCGGGGCAGTATGGGATGCCTCCCGTAGCGGGGTCGTACTACACGTATCTCGTGTCGTGTCTGATGTCCAAGTCACTGCCGGCGCTGCGGGATCTGTACGTGCGCGACTCCAGCTTCCCCGAGACGCTGCTGCTGGCGCCTCCGCCGCGACTGTTCGGAGGGGGCGAGAGCGGACCGCAACAGCCGGATGGCGTGCTGATGCAGCCACTAAACGTGTACAGCAAGGGACTGGATGAGCTGGAGTGGAACTTCACGCCGTACGAGCCGCCGTCGTCGCACGGCCGACGGGACAGCGTCACGCGGCCGATCAGTCTGCACGACGCGCAGCTGAGTCGTACGTGGGGGGGAGATGCGAGGAAGAGCGTGTTGGTGGGCAACGGCTTTGGCGGGTTCCTGGCTGTGCCGGTGGATGACGAGCGGCCAAAAAGCAGTGGAGGGTGGAAACGCGATAGTCGACAGGATTTGTGGCGGTAGACTTCTGAGTACTTTATACCCTAGTTTGCATTGCGTGTTTAGTTTTAGTTCCTTACGGCATAGCTTGATAGGCCCAATCAACCATAGAAACATACATAAAGATGAAGATGAAGAAGAAGAGTTAACATCTCTGCATAACCACCAACCCAGCAACATCATGTGCCTCCAACTCGACACTATACCCATTCTTAACACAACCCAGATTCTCTCCGGTCCAGATATCCACCACCTCGAACGCGACCTCCTCATGCTGTACCTCCAACAGGGGAATCTCCCTCCACGTCGTCCTGCGCACACTAGTCTGATCCTCCGAATTCAACATCAACACCAACGTACCCCCGACGGTGTCCCCGACGGACGAGGAATTCCCTGCCCAATACTCCGCCGGATGAAGCGGATCAAATGTCCAGTCGGGATTATATCCCCATTTATACGGCGTAGCGGGGGAGCCTACCACTGTGTCCTGGTTGAAGTCAATCAGGTATTTATTCTTGAGGATGGAGAGGTGGTCATTTGATATTTTATCCAACTTCCCTTGGCTGTTAGCTTTATATATACATAGATAGAAAGAAGGGATAGGGGAAAAGGAAGAAGTACAGCGGTTCCAATAATCAAAGGCGACTTCATCGCCGCCCATAATGCGAAATGAGCCCGATTCTCAGCCATTGTTAAATTCCCATTTCCAATCTCCAACATGTCCGGGTCCGGGTGACCCCAGAAATCGACGTCGTTGAGGAGGAAGGTGTTTTCGTTGGCGATTTCAGCGATTCGAGACCATGTTGCTATCCAGCCATCCATTGTTAGCGTCCACCATACATATTTAATACACATATTTGCAAATCAAAGGAAAGAATACACTGAATATCACCCGACATCCTCCACGAATTCCCCGTCTGATTCCCCCACTTCCCCACACCAGCCTGACCCCAGTCACATATTGAGTAGAGGATTGTTCGATTCGCGTGGATCAGTGCATCGCGCATAGCACGATACCGTCGTGCAGTGTTCGATGAAACCCAGTCATATCCATCTGGTGACGGGTTCGAAAGGTTCGGACAGGTGCCGTTGGGAAAGTGATTCCCGTTTGCGCTATCAGGGACGCAGTAGGTATATTCGTCTGTCCAGTTGGATGGGACGCCGCAGTTATCGTATTTTAAATCTATTGATTAACATTAACCATCCATCCTACACTTCCTATAATACAAGAAGGGGAGAAGGGAGGGAGGGAGACAGTCAACTCCCCAATCTGCAAAAGCCTGTGCATCAATCGTCTCGTAGCCTAGACTAGCTGGGTATCCAGCGCAGGTTTGGGTTCCGGCACCTATATTATTATATTATCAGTATACATACATATACGTATACCTTAGGTATAGAGGGAGGGAGAAATACTACTATAAATCCCCACCTTCAATCCCAAGCGATGAATCTCCCCTGCAACACCATCAATCCCATGTGGGAATTTCACCGGATCAGGAATCATTCTCTTCGTGGAGGGGTCTCGTATACCCATCATGGACCAGCAGTCGTCAACTATGCATATGCATGTGCATTAGTATTTATCTTGTGTTAATTTTCCACCACTCATGTATCAGGATACAGCACCGGAGGGAGGAGAGGGGAAGGGTACTGTTAATATATTCGTAGCCTAGATCCTTCAATCCCAAGTCTACCACTTCTCTCGCGGCGGTCAGAATCTTTGTGGAGTCGATATTGCAGCCGAATGCGTTCCAGGAGTTCCAGCCTAGGGCTGGGAGTTTTCCCTATATATTATATTCCAAGATTAGGTTGTATCTTTATCAGATGATGGATGAAGATATACCACGCCATCAGGTCTCTCGAGTCCTTTGGCTGACATAGAAAGGAGGCTGAATGTAAAGATGATTAGACTCATTGTATTGTAGTATTCCACTGAGGTTGACAGGTTGAGTTTGAGAGATGGCTGGGAGGGTTGCATTTATCTATTATTTATGACTATACTGTACATGAACACTAGCCAAAGTCCGTGTCAAAAAAGGAAATCAATAGTCTGCAAGTGTACGAATCTAGCCACGGCGAATCCAGTATATACACCATTAATTAGTATACCCTCTATCCATCATCATACATGTCTATCGTGAATCATTAGTCATACATATACCATCCGCTAGGCTAATTGCCAGTTCCCATGATTAATGCTCGTGCTTGCTGAGCATCGGTTCCAAGTACGCCGATGAGGTACTCGATACTACATCAGTCAGCTTCCATCGCTTTATACACGTAACATAGTCCTACCTTGCTTCCGACGCCAGTCGCCGTTTTTCCTTGTGGAACTCCTGCTGGCAACTCTCCCAGGTCACTGCCCGTTCCTGCTGTCGCACTGTCTTGACCCGCAACTTGAACGTGGCACTGACCGGCCGGTGGTCCGACGCTCGCACCTCATGCCGTCGGTATTCGAGCTGCTTCACCCGACCCAGGCCCCGGTACAGAACCCGGTCACACCATGCCGGGGACCGCTTCTTATCACTCGAGTCGTAGTCGTCCGTCCCCACGTCATACTTGTACGTCGGCGCGAATGTGATCGGTGATTCGTTGAAGGAGCGGAGACGGAATCCCGGGTTCTTGCGTCGCGACGCCAGCAGTTGATCCCGGTCCAACAATTTGGTCAGGTTGTTTTGTCGAATCGCGTCGATGATCACGTTGCGTGGGATCGAATCAATCCGGTAATTGAGGTCGCCGTTAATGATACAAATCTCATGGTCCATGATCATCGACCCATCCCCCCCGCTCACGAAATGATCCGCTCGGGCGGCCAGACTGCTCTCGAGGGGTAACGACTCTGCTTCCAGGATAGCAGCGATGTCATTGTTGCGGTGCGCCGTCTGCGTCTGTCCCGCAGCCAGGTGACAGTTCACAAAGCAAAGGGAACTATCGTCGAGCACGAAGCGAAGAATAAGCGCACCCTACAAAATTTGTCAAATTCAATGACGTTCAATAAGGACAGGAAACCTACCTTGTTTCCATGCAACCCGCCCATGCCTCGCTTCACCTCCGCGGCACTGACATTCTTGATGTGTTGTCTTTCTTTATGTTTCACGAACACACACGTAAATAGACCGATCAAATTCGCACTGTGCAAAAGGACGTACGACTCTTCCAGGGGCATGCAGTCATTGATACAACGAGTCAAATGCTCCATCCAGACACGATACTGGCGGCTCATATGATCCCTTTCTCCGCTCTCTTTTTTCTTGCTTGACATAAGCAGGCTCTCTGCATCGAATTAGCATCTCCGAAAAATCCCTGGGATTAGGGCACGTACTGGCTGTGATTTTCTTGTTTTCAAGATCCACAAGTTCCTGAAAGCCAAACACCAGAATCTCCGGTGGATTCTCGGGATGGATTGCTTCATGTATGAACGTGGACGAGCGTACGGTGCCAGGCGTAGAAGCCCCGGCGTTCCAAGTCACGACCGCGGCGCTGATCTCACGGAAAGTGCAAAACTCCACATCTCTCTGTTGCATCCGCGTTTCTACCCGGTGTTAGTACAGTTCTAGATCAGAGATATAGAGTAATACCTAGCCAGTCATCTTCAAGCATACCATCCCAAAGGCGTACGCAGTTATCAGTTCCGAGAGAAGTCACCTGTAGCCGATTCATGGTCCACACACTGCTAGAGTCAAGCAAGAACCCCGACACCGGGCTATCATGTGCTCGCCAGTCCTTCATCACCACCCACGGGTTCTTCCTTGTGTCGTAGACGTAGATCATACCAGTCTTGTACCCCGCCCAGAGGTAGTCCCCGACAATGCCGAGGCAGTTGATCTTGTAGACACTCACATTGACCACCGCCAGACATGTATAATCGTGAGCTGAGTACACTGTGACCTTACCGTCCGCGTGTCCAAGATACACACGGCCCCCATCCTTGGTGGCATACGCACCAGACGTCACATCTCCGGAATGCTGCGAACCGAGCGGTTTCTTGAGGACTTTGAACGTCACATCGTCCCGTGCGTTTGGGCGATATACATGTACCTCCTTGCCCGTAGCCAGCCACAGCAGATCTCCCACCACGATCGAAAACGTGTGTCCCCGTGTTACTCGGTCATAAGGGTTGTGGTAGCTATACTGCAGGTTGGGCGTCCCTGTCTCGTCCGGAGGCCATAAAAGCAATCTACCCTCGTCGTCCAAGGTCCACATTTCCTTCTTGTGCCGCAGAATCTTGATAACTTCCCGTCGAGATGGGTATGCTCGCGACGTGACCACAGACTGCGTCGCAATGTCGACCTCAATGAGTTCCCCGCTGTTTGTTCCCAGCCAGAGTCGCTGTCCCTCATCCTCCAAGCCCGCGCCAGGCTTAAATGCCAGGGACACGCACTTGACCGTTTCCCCGTGACTAAGGCTCATAATTTGCTCGCCAGTTGTCAGGTCCCAGACCCTTGTAATGTAGCCGGTTGTGCACACATGCTTGCCGCAGACATCCATAAGTCGAGTATCGTATCGGGTAGGAATTTCTTGAGGGCCGGTTTTCAAGAGCGGCGGTCGTCGATTGCTCGTCGAGGTATCGGGGTAATCTACGCGGAACACTGACTGCTCATCCGGAGCTTGCTCTTCTTCGCTTTGGGCCGGGATTGGGCGAGCTGGAACAGCCGGAGTGGGTGGTGGTTTAACCTCTCTGCCGAATGACGGCTGTCGTTGGACACCTCCGGGCGTTTGAACTTCCACAGGTTGATTCTGACGTGATTCTTGTCTGGGGAATGGTGAGGGCTGGGCTGAACTGTCCCCAGGTTGTGGCCGGGACGGAGATCGAGGTCCTCTCCGCGCCACCGACGGGTGCCGAGGTGGTAGACCAGGAGGCTCTTGGGGGCTATCAAGATGCAGCCGCTGGGCCGATGACGGAACGCTTGTGAGCGTGTCTGGCTGCATGGGGACCCTCCGCGGAATTTCCACAATCAACGGTCTTCCCTCCCTAGTCGACTCTGGTCGTCTCAAGGAAAAGGACCGTTCCGATGCACCACGGGAACCAGGCGCCACTGAAGCAGATGGTCTCTCCATATCAAAGGAGCGGCGACTTGGAGGTTCAGGCACTGGTTGTGGAGACCAGTGCGGGGACTGCGGACCCCTGGTAAGGGGCGCCGGTTTCGACGATCCTTTCTGAGGACTATCTGGTGGCGTACTAAAAGGTGACACTCGCTCCTGCGAAGGTGCTCGCCCGGGTCGGGGAGAGAGGGCGCTCCCATCCTGAAACGACAATCCCGCGGGTTTGGCGGGAATCTTAGGCTTGCCCGTGCGGTTCGCGGGCGGAGGCACGGAAGCGCTCTTCGTCTTTCGATCCGACGAACTTTCACGCGAGGCCGTCAATGAACCAGGACTGCCGGGGGAAAGGTGCGCCGTCTTCTGTTCCGATGGAACCGACGACGGAAAAGTGGGCGTGGTCGGACGGGTCAGACGGTTCAAGGGGACGGGCGGGGGAGTCGGCCTGGGAGGTAACGACTCACGCGACCTATTTGGGGGGCTTCGAGAGACGCGAATATCTTCCGGATGGTCTAGTGATGACCCCAGTCCCCTCGGCGGAGACCGCGGCGAGTCTATGGTCAACGTCGGAGCCAGTTGCGGTGACGAGGGGAAGTTCATCGACATGGGCCTGTTATGGCGTAATCCAGGAGATCCACTCGGTCGCGGCGGGGTCCCATTGACGCGGTTCGTCTGCTGGCCATTTTGAAGATCTTCGGATTGGTTCCAAGGGGACCGTGGGCGCGGTAGGTCCAGAGACGTCCGGGAGGAGGAGAAATCATCACTGGGTTCAGGGGTTTTCAGGAATGACGAGGAGTCGCGCGGACCATATGGCAGGGCGGATGGGGATCGGCGATGCGAAAGATTCTCAAAATGGGATAGAAGAGAAGACACCGGTCTCTAGGAAATGAAGGTCAGTCGGCGGGGAGTCGAGCGGGTGGGAAACGCAGGACGTACAATAGGAGCATTATCTGTGCTGTCTTTCTCTGTGCGGGTTCCGTCCATGACCACGACAAATTAAGTGGTAGGAAGACTGATTGAAGCGAAAGACCATAGGAATATGAACTAACTGGGGGGAACGAAGGAAAAGCGATGGCGGAATCCGACCTGTCAGGAAGACAGACAGACCACCTATGGAGTCCGCGGAAGCCCACAAGGGGCAGTCAAGGTGAGTGTGGCGGAGCTTAGGCGGGCGTTAGGAACAGGTGGGCGGATGGAAGAGCCCATCAAGGTAAGGACGGAAAGGAGAGGAATAAGTTGATGGAGAGTAGTACAAAGGACGTGCAGGGGATTCGGAGGAAGAAAGAAAGACAAGAGAGAAAGAAGTGAGGGAGAGAAAGGGGAGATGAGGAACAGGGACGGACTCCTTCTCTCCCCCGTCTGTAGATCTTGCCGATGATATAGAAATAGGGGCAGAGGATCAGAGAATCAGAATCATCGGATTCTACTAATTATTATCAGACAACTTCCTATCCTCCAATCAATCAGATCACCCTCCAGATTAATAAATAACCGATCGATCAATAGTCGAGGCATAATTATTTTTAGCCTCCGCCTTGTCTGAGAAACGCCGCGACGGTCCACCTCTCTACGTGATTCTTCATTCATTCCACTACTATTGTTTCCCTGTCCCCCTCTGCCTTGCCTCTTTTTCTCATCATGTGGTATGTACCAATATTTCCTCGATTCAATCTTAACTAACAACCAACCAACCTGCAGTAAACACATCCTCAACGCGCAAGTCGCCATTCGATCTCCTTGCTGTGAGCCCTCCTACATCTCTATCTTCATCCTCCGACCTCAACCTCTAATCTCGGTCAAATTCAATTCAGGTCGGAAATGGTTTGACTGCGCCGAATGCCACCAGGAACAGGAATCCCATGCCCTCGCTAAGGCTACCGAGATGGTACGCCCGGACAACCTTTGTCTTTCCGCACACGCTACATCCAGGACCGATTTCTAATAGGCGTTTCGCTTCGTATTTAGGTCTTCGCCTGTAAAAAGTGCAAGAAGTGTTTCCGGAAGGATGCAGCAGAGTTTGAAGAGAGGTATGTCTCCTTTTTTGTTAAATAAAAAGTCTTTGAGGCTAGATAGTACTCTAGAGTACTATTCTAAATTTCGTGGCTGATGTTTCGTCTCCAGTGATGAATATTGCCCTCATTGCGATAACCATTTTGTGATCGATGCTGTTACGCCGAAGCCCGCGTTGCAGGTGGAGGGTGAAGATGCTCGGATCGATTCTAGGTATTTCTTTCTTCTTCTTGGAAGTAACGACAGGCTAACCCGGGATTTCTGTAGAATGCTCAAGGATGATCGGGTCCGTGGCCACGAGGAACGCTCGCTCTTTACGCTCCGGGATACGTCGGATCATCTGGGATAATAGACCGCCGACGTTCGATAACGTCGGTTACGATGATATGATATGATGCTGCTCTCTTTCTCTATCTCGCCAGCGTATAGCCTTCCTGGTTAGATTATACTTTCATAGATATCCAACTTCGCATATATGTCGTGCTACGTAGCGGGGTTAAAGAAGATGGTGTTATTTTTCGTTACGGAACCCTTCGATAAACGATTTCCAGGAATTAAACGCAAAAGTATAGTCAAATCCATAGGTGAACATAGTCGTAGTTCTCTAATTACCGACATTCACCCTCCGCCTCTCCGCGCATCTACTCTCGAGACGACTCCCCGCCAGGTCGCGTTAGAATGGCCGCCGTCGTAGTACCAGTCCGACCCGTCTTCTTCTTGGCCGCCTCCTCTTGCTTCTCGGTCTCTATACTCTTCACGTATGACTCGATCTGATCTTCCGGCAGCATCTCGATCGTCTGACCGGGCGACATGATCGCCACCTCGATGTTCTTGGCGCCCGTCTGCACCACCTCCAGCAGCGACTTGATGGTAAGCTGAATCGTCTGCTCACGGTCCATATCCTCCTGGTGATTACGCTCCAGGAATTCGCGGACGGTCTTGCTAGAACGGCCAATAGCATTTGCTTTCCTAGAGAACCCAGAAACCCCACATTAGCCAGGGACGACTTATATTACAAAACAGACAACATACCAAGCAGAATAGATACCCGACGGTTCGGTCTGATATAATCTAGGAGTTTTATCATTGGGATCAAACCCCACTATAAGCGTACTGATACCAAAGGGTCGAACGCCTCCGCTCTGCGTGTATCGCTGCTGCACACCGGCAATGTATTTGGTGATGTATTCGATGGACACGGGGTCCTCCACTGTCAGACGATGCGACTGGGCCTCTAACCGGGCCTTATCGATGAGGATGCGTGCATCGGCATTCAATCCGGCAAAGGCAAGGACGGCATGGTGGTCCACCACGGCGATCTTCGATGGTGTGATGCGGGTATCTTGGAGCTTTAGAGCGGAGCGCTTCTCGCAGCCCAGTACGACAATGTCTTTGCCTTTCACGCCCACAGCACAGGTACCTTTGAGCCAGGAGAGATGGCCGATGAGCTATCTCAAATGATCCGGGAGGGAGGGATTTGACATGGATCTTCCTTACCTCTCTTGACAGCTTCCATGGCATATTCCACTTGGAAGACGTGCCCATCAGGGCTGGGGGAAGATGGTCAGGGTAGGGAATACGTCGGGATGGGCAAATCTTGGGTGCATACCTAAACACTGCGGGATTGTCAGAAACAAGAGACAACGTCACAGGCACGAGGTAGCTTAGCTGTCTTACCTGAAAGAGCTCGGTCGTATCCGGACATAGTGGGCGGTAGGGGGGTCGATTAAGAAAGGGATAAAGTAGAAAGGCACAATTATGAACAGAACCTCAGCAAGGAACCTAGAGAAAGATGCAATGCGTGGTCAACGGGTCGTAGAATGCGGAGAATGAGAGAGGTCCGTCTTGGGATGACAGAAGGTGGACGCGAGTCCTGCGGCTGCCTCCAGAGCTCCCTAGCGCTTGGCGCGCGGCTATCCACTCCACCTCGCCATCTTCTCTAGGAAGGCCATACATCGTGGATATCACCATTGAGGCATAGCACAGCCTAGAGTCAATAAATGGATAATTTGGAGTGGAGTCCAGAAGCTGAGTGTCTCGTAGAACATGTTGGCTCTGGAAATCCCCCTACATTACCACTCACTATACCAGAGTCGGAACCCAATATGGCAAGAATTGCCATAGGTAGTACAAATAATAATAGAAACTAGTCTAACTCTAAGCTCTGTCCTATGCAGAGAAACATTGTTCACACATCGACTTCGCTTGCAAAGACATAGTATCAGGTGAAGCACCAGAGGAACAATACTGGAAGACAGAAGATAAAGGAGGCAATAATAGTAGACATCAAAATATTCATATTGCACTCACAATTCCCAATCCCTCACATATCCCAAATCTGTCGTTGCCGGCGGAAATTTTGCTGGCTCAAAAGGAATCCCCCAACACCCCAACAGAGTCCGTTCCATTGTATCCCATCCGTGATCAATACCATGATTCTCCAATGAATCCTAGTGCCAAAGAGTTCAGAGATGAACTGAATAAACAACAAAACAAAAACAATCTAGTAAAATGCAATGTCATGGCTGGGCCCACCAGCCCTGGCCATATTGCGATCGACGGCAAGAGACAAAGGAAAAATAAACAAAAAAAAAAAAAAAAAAGGGCTCCATCTGAGATGCACAATAATGACATGAAAGTGCAAACCTCGTCCTGACCGAAGGAAACACCGTAATAGTCCATCCCAATCAGGAGGGGAATTGATGTATGAAATCGTCCACTGTCCATCTGTCCGGACGACCTTCTATACCTTCAAAACATCGCTTCCAAAGACGCAATAGTAAAACAGACCGAAAGGGTTCGACGTAAAATAAGGCTGCCAAAGAGGAGACCAGAAACAAAACTGGGGCAAAAAAAGGATCCAATCCGATGAGACGACACGCTACCGGCCTGCTCCTCCCAACCAAATGCACCTGAACTGCAGAATTCCCTATACAAACGCACATTCACGAATATCAATCGTCACATATACCAACAACCCAAACCTTCATATGGACAAATAAGTGTGCGGAGCCTGCCATGAAAACAAATGGTACAGTCCACCCCGGAGTCTATCGATTACACGGCGCAGCGCTTAAGCGGGGGACTTGTTAGCACCCGTTCCGTTGCGGCGAGAGTGGCCGTCGTCCCCAACGGTCAATCCTCCCAGCCCAGTGGAAAGGAAGGCAAACGGGTCATTTGCACCGTCATTCCCGTAGAAGGCGCTATTCGAAGTAGCGTGGTCGGCTCCGGAGAAAGCGGCCTGCGTGGCTGGGTTGGCAAACGAAGCCACCGAGTGAGAGGCATTGCTAGAGCCATAGGCAGCATTCATCTGACTCATGGGGGGATACGCGCCTGGTGCGTTTCCAAGACCGGAGGGCAAGGCATAGTTGCTAGGGGGAGCACCGAACTGCTGGCTGAAGCCACCAAAACCACCTGCAGAAGAAGTGAAGGGCCCTGGTGCGGGTGTGCTGGTCATCGAGTTAGGGCCCATGCCGAAGCTAGATGGAGGATCCATGGAAGATGGGAAAGCAGAGTCGGCAACGACAGCCGCCCCAGACCGAGGAGCACCGCAGCGCAAGCAGTTGATATTCTTGGCGAAGTTATGGTAGCCACATCCCTCAGAGCCACACTTCCAGTCACCGGCGCGGAATGGAACCACACCACCACTGCCGCCCATGCCGCGGGAGTGGCCCATACCATGGCCATGGCCCATGTGCGGGGGCATCATCGATGGGGGGCCATAGCCGTAGGCGCCGTATCCCATCGGGTCGGGGGCAGCCGCCATGGCCGGGAAGGAGCAACGGAAGCAGGCCGTGCGGCGCTGAAAGTTAGAAAATCCACACGAAGGACAAGTCCAGTCACCGGGCCGGGGGCGGTTTTTAGACGGTGGGAATGGAGTCAGGATTTCCGCCGCACGGTCAAGAACACGGCTAGAAGAGGGAGAAACCTCGATAGCCTTCTCGTTCAGAGCGCGACCATTCATACAGAGACTCTCGGCAGCCTGCAAACCAGCACTGTCAGGGTTCAAGTCACACGGATAACAAATTTGAATTCAAAGTTACGAGGGCCGCAAAACAATTACAAAAAAAAAAAAAACATACCTCCTCGTGGGACGAGAAAACAGCAAAGCCAGTGCCTGTTGGCTTGTGCTGGTCCGGCGTGCGAAGAGTCCAAAAGGCAATCGGACGGCCACCAAATTGGGTGAACCAGCTCTCCAATTCTGACTGTGTGGTATCGTGAGGAAGGCCGCTCAAGTGCAGGACCTTGCTCCGTTCCGTCAAGAAGGCACGAACATCCGCTCTGGCGTCCATGGGTCGGGTCATGATCTCGGGGTGTTCGTGCGGTGGCTGAGACTTGCGGATCAGCCCCCGGAGCACGCGAGCCAGAGTGATAGCTTCCTCCATAGCCCGTCGAGGCGAAGCGGGCGCCAGCGCTTGCAGGTGGAATGGAAGGTTGTGTTTGATAGGGGCGGAGGTCTGAACGGGCTCAACTTCGAGGGCAGCACAGATGTTGGAGAGAGAGCTGGGGCCAAAAGGCAGAGACTCTGGATGGTGAGTCTGCCATCTCTGATATTCGGTTCGAAGATCAAATGTCCGAGAGTGTTGGAGGTATGCAGGCAGCACCACCGCCTTGTCTCGGGCCTCCCGGGGCAGCTGCACACGAAGGTCCCACGAATCCAATGTCACAAAGGCAAACTCCAGGTTCTTGAGGTGTTCTTCTGCGAAGGCGTCAAAGCGGGTTATGGCATCGCGGAAAGAACCTGCCGAGCGGACATGCTCCCATGTCAGAGTTGTCAGACTCGCTATTGGAGACCGTCAGCCATTGAACTAGCAGACCGATACATCCGGAGGGGAGGGGGGATGGAACAGGGAAAATGGAGGCATTGGTTGGGTAAGTTCGAGGATTGTCTGGACTTACTGCAGAGAGGCGTAATGGGTGTATTGACAGGCTTGACGAGCACGCTCTCACGGTGCAACTAAACAGAAGAGGCCGAGTCAGCAATGACATCGAAGAGAAAAAAAAAAAAAAATTTGGAATTTTTTTTTTTTTCTTGTTGGTCGAGTCGGAGGGGTGTCTCAAAAAAGGTCGAAGAAAAAGGAGGGGAAGAGGATCGCATTTCCAATCGACAAAACCGTTGAATCAAATATGCCCACCTACCTCCTCGCAGGTTTTGGTATCCAACAAGATCCACCCCAACTCAATCACCTCTGCGGAATCCTTGGTGACGTAGACGCCATGTTCGTCGCAGGTGGTTGCGACGTGGATGACGATGTAGCGATCCAGCTTAGGGGTGGGAGCAGAAACTGTTGCCATCGCTCCGATGTCCTTATTTTCTTGTCCTTGTCTGTTTATCGCTGCTCTTTCACGCCCAACGGAGCGGCAAGGGAGGGAGGGAGGAGGGGAGGAAGAAGAGAGGGAGCAACGGGTCGGAAAAATAGTGCCTCTGAGCAGGACAGACAGACGCTGCCTCACGACCAAAAAATTGACCGCCGTGAATCAAGAAGAAGCACGGGAGGGAGAACGGGGCGAGGAGGAGGGAGAGGAGAAAAGAAGAAGGGGAAAGAAGGAAAGAAAGAATCGCCCAGGCCAGGATGGGAATCAGCAAGAGGAGTTCGTTTTCTGGTGGAGCGTCGAGATTAAAAGAAAAGTTTCGGTTTGAGGGGAAAGGAGGCGGCTTGTTCAAGGTCAGTTCACTGGCAATGGGGCTAGACTTGGGGACAAGCATTGACAATCATGGCGATGGAGGGACTGGAGAGCTGACTTCTTGCTTCACTATTATTATGGAACAGGTTATTGCTTTCGGTCTGTCTTTCTACGATTAATGGCGATGCTGATGAGTCGCTTTCATTAATCCATACTGCTAACAAGAGGAATCTTACATGCCTCTGCTACCTTTAAGATACTAAGTGTATGGGCGCCGTACGGGTTTTTTTACCGGGGACGTTCGACGATTCAGTTGTACCTACGGACGAGAAGGGTTTCAAATAATGTGCAAGACAAAATTGACATGGTCAGGAACACTACTCGAGACCCTTCCTAGTACTGGTTCTGACGGTCTTCCTGGTCTTCATCTGAGGGCAATTACCCGCTCACCAAATTTTTTTCTTTTTTGCCTCAGAGATCCTCGGTAGTTGTTACTATTAGTAAACCATAAGAAATCAGGTCCCAGGAGGGAATAGGAGATGATTCAGTCCCATGTGGAGGTTGACAATACTGTAATGTACAGTACGTACTTCTGTCACTGGAAGTGTGACTGTCAAGTCGGGATTGGGTTTATCACTTCATGCTCCATCTTGCAACTTTCGCCAAGATCACGAGTGTAGGAATTCATCACCTAATTAGTAGTATGTACCTCAGGTAGCATGGATGAGCTCAGAGTCAATTGCAGGATACCAATCAACTTAGTCCATCCAGTCAGGTCAGGTCAGGTCAGGTCCACCGAAGGAAAGAAAGAAGCAGGGGAAGAAAAGTATCAACAACAAAAAAAAGAAAAAAAAAATCAAGAGCCCAGGTTCAGGACGGATGGGATCCATCCATCGGTCTCGCATGGATCCAAAAGGACGTGGCCCTTGCCCAGTTTGCGGGTCCTTATTGGCTGCAGCCCCGTGAATGGGTCAGTTAGTGTATTTTAATCCCACAGGCAGAACGGTTTTACAGGACCAAAAAAAAAAAAAAAAAAAAAAAAGACAGACAGAGAATTAGAATTGTGAGGACGATACGGAGTACCACTTTTGTAAGAAACATTTACATAGAGACTCAAAATCCTTTATTTTCCGACCAAGATACGTCATAGTCTCGATGGATGTGCATATCTGACTGATATCATTGGACTGGATAGTTACTCCTATGGAGTATCAGGCTCTTTGTCGAAGTCCACACTGTTGATGACTACTAATCAGATCAGGCCATGACATTCCCAAGTAGTCCGTGGATGTCAATAAGAAAGAACCAATAGCGAATAAACCCCTCAACTAACATTCACTAGCTTTGTCTCATCCTAGGCTGATGGTGCCCTCTCATCCACTGCCGTCCGTTGTACGGAGTAAAAAGTAATAAAAAGGTATTCCGTAATACAGGACATCTTTAGACAGAACAACACTGCTTAATGTCATATACATCAATCACATAACAAATTAATTACATTGCAATTCCATCCACACATGATATGATAACCCTCGCCAACCTTCCCAGAAAGAACGAGACACGGAACCGTCCCCCAACGCCTATCCTAACATACGGAACAAACTATTCTTCGTCATGAGCTTCCGACTTGACAATAGTGGTCCGGCTGTCTTCATTCTCATCTTCCTCCATAATGCTAGGTTCGATCGACACGCCCCGTCGGTGGGCACCAGGCTCAATGGACGGGCGGACACTGCCAGACCGTACACTGAATGAACGGACGCTCATCATATCACTCGGTCCTTCATCCATCTCCTCCTTTGGCCGAGCACTGGCCTGGCGAGAGCCCTGGGAAATGTTCAAGATCTTCAGCACTGCGTTCTTCACCTTGACGAGAGCGTTCCGGCCCGATGCCTCGGTCGCAATGCCATCCTCGATCGTCTCGTCTAAAAGCTCCTTCACCTCCTGTGCCAGCGTCGCATTTTCTGGAGAGATATCGCCTTGGGAACTCCGGATACTCGAGCGGAATTGATCGTCGCCTTCTGGGTTGCGAGACCCAGACCGTGAAGGGGCCGTGGGCGGGGAGATATAGAGCTTGCTGAGTAAAGAGAAGAGAAGTTTCTTTTCATCTTTAGAGCAACGGTTGCTGCCGGTACTGATCCCGAGAACCCGTTCCAGTATATCCTTCACCAGCGCCAGGTGAACGAACCCGCATGCATTAGAACCTGCAGGGCCACCTCCAAGCATTTTTTCACCACCCAGGCCCACGACTCTCCGTTCGTCGGTCCACTCTGCCACCATACCTAAGACACCGGTCATCAAAGTTTTCAGTTCCCTTTGGCCAATAGTCTCGTCGATATCCCCGTCACTATCCTCTTCTGCTTCGAGCGAATAGTACTCTTCCGCCGAGTTGAGGACGGTACGAATGATTGGAACAGCGATCCTTCGCATATGCTGCGTGTTTTCAACCCGAGAATGGCAATAGACAGGGAAGAAATAGGCCAAAGACTGCCTGAGAGCGGGATTCTCGCGAGTGCGGGGGTGGAAGAAGGAAAGCACGAGCGACTGCAGGAGGGTTTCGATAGATGTCTGGTTGTACTCTTGGATAGCAGGCGGGATATTCGATCCGGAAGGTGTGAAAACATTTGTGAGTAACAGTTTTGAGAGTGCTGTAGCGGCAGCCGACTGTACACTGCCGGGTGAGCTAGCCTTGAGAGCCCTGGCGAAAACCTTGAGCAGGGGTTTCTGGAATGCTGGTGGTGATACAGTCTCGCCATCAGGTTGGGTGACGGGCGTGAGCAAGGACGGGTGTGCTGTCAACATATCACACAAGATGTGCAGACCTGTCACCTGCAGGGCCTCGTGGCCTTTACTAAAGCAATGGATGAAGAGCGTCATGTTTTCTTCGGCCAATGTCTAGAAGATGCGACAAATTTATATTAATGAGGGACGGTCTGCAAAGTGAAAATAAAGCGAACTCACCTTATCAAGCAAACAACAGAGTCCTAAGCATTCTAGTCCTCTCTCTCTAATTGGAGCCTCATGGCTTCGGACCGCAGGAACTACTAGATTGTTGAGCATAGTGACCAGATTCATATTGTCCTGCAGACTGCCCTCTACATTCTGTAGCATGCATAGAGCAATGTGCAGACATTTCATGTTCACCACGATCTCTCGGAGGATTTTCGCCTTGGCCTCCTCTTTGTTAAACGGCTTCTCATCCTCCTCATCGCCCGGGGTTTCGGAACGGTGACGGCTAGACGTGTCGTCACTGATTTCGGACCTGGCCGAAACGAAGCTGTCTTCAGTGGTGATGGTGTCATGCACTTCAGCAATAGCCTCCAAAACAACGCTGCAGAATTCGCTTTCAGCCGCAGCAGCCGGTCCGCACACGAATCGCAGGGTCTCGATGGTGAGTTTCGTGCATTCTTGAGGCAGTTCGGGTACCGCAAGAGACTCACGCAAGAGAGAAAACATCTTTCGACGTCCCACCTCGTCACTGTAATCAAGGGTCATGACCACATGAAGAAGTTGCTCGACCACAAACTCGAGTTCAACGCTGTCGTCGTCATTCGCATCTCCTGTGTCCTTAGCCTCCTTTTTGCGTTGTAGAAGAGCCGACATGTATTTGTGTAGATAGAAGGCAAGGGCTGTCACTTCAGGGATCTTCTCGTCGGCGAGACTATCGTACTTTCCTTCATTCTCCACTCGGCAGAAATCATTGAAGGAACGCAATAAGAACACCGATTCGGCTGTTAAAGTCTCCCAGAACGGTTCATCAAAGACGACAGCTTCTCGGTAATCAGGACGACCTTCCCAAAAGCTTCGCATCGCTTCATGCGCAATTCCCGATTCTATCCCCGAGTTGACCACATCGATTCTTTCCAGCAACTCCAAAAGCGCCGGAATGTTGGGTGGTGAACGTTGGCCAGTGTTTCCTCCTCCAGAATCTTCATTCGCGCCCGCGACGTCTTCAATCCAGCGGTCGTAGAATAATTTCCCGGTAGCCTTTCGAACACTCTCGTCACGGTCACGTAAGCCCCATCGGAGCAGTTTCTCTCTCATGGATAGGGACAAGTGCCTAAAATCGCCCAAAGTGGGTAGAAGGCGGGAGTACAAGGCCCGGCGCGTGGGTGCATCAAGATCGCGAGCGCGTTCCAGGAGGTAGGGGAGGGTTGAGGGTAGAAGAGGTAGATTGAGAAGCAATGTTTTCCGCACGTCAGCACTGGTATCATTTTGCATGATCTCCACGAGCTTCTCTACAAGGGCTGTACTATCGTCGTTGTCATCGTCATCCTCTTCGTTTCCCGCCAAGCGACCCAAGCCCATCACTGCCTGGACCCTTACCGAGGACTCTTTATCTCTGATACGCCTCAGAAGACCTTGTCGGATAGCATGATACAGGTCATCGTCGACCGTATCGAGAGAATTGACAATATGCGCAATGATTTGCGTGGCACGGAACCGTACGGTGCGGTCCTTAGCTGATAAAAGGGGCACAACCAGTGCCACCAGGCTGGTCGTCAACCGGGCAGTAGGGGTTTCGGGGACGTGCTCGTCATCCTCGACGGCGAAAATCTCTGCATCCTTCTCCGAGGCATGGATCAAGAAGTTACCGAGGAAACGTAAGATGCGATCACCGACTGGCTCGGATTTTTTGATTGGCAAGATGCGCAGCATGCAGCGACCAATCTCTATGTTAAACTCTTTTTCAGGAAGCGTCTCCTCTATCGGAATCGAAACTACTTCCTGAACCTTTTTGCCATCCCTCTTGGAGCTCTTCGAAGATATCCCACAACATGACTCCTGCAGCTTCCTGAGTCGCACAATAAGCTTTCGATGGCCGGTTGTCGAGCGCTGGGCATCGGCGAAAATGGAACAGACATCGTGGCGCAAGCTGGGAACGGCTTCTGGTAATGCAGGCTCCTCTGGAATGGCGACAGACGGCGTAGCAGATCCAGCGCGCCCAGAACCGGATGGCTGACTTGACAGTTTGCGGGACGTCCCAGTTGTCGGACGGGCAGAAACCCGGGCAGGCATGGTGACTAGCTAAATGAGGGGTAAATTTCGGTGTCAAGAGTGGCGGTCAGTGGAAAGAGTATTGTGAAATAACAAGAACCATCTCAGCACAGCTTCATTTATTTACCAAAAAGGCCACGAGCAATCAGCCAAGGCTGGTGTGTGTGGCGTGTGCGTAGGTGGAGAGCGATAGTCTTGAGATGCGACGGAGATATCAAGACGATACCCCAGTCACGGGATGACGGATAAACAAACAGCCCAAACGGGAAATACTAAGATAAGGGCTAGGGTCTGGCACGTGTCTGCCACCGGACATCCGTCAGTGTAGGATTTCTCCACGTAGAGTTTCTTGACAGCTACGAAGTAATAGCTAACTAATGGATATATGTTATAACAAAAAAAATATATACCTAAATTACACCCTACAGCGATCATGCTTAGGGAAGTCATGACCAGAGTGGAAGTTCCGCCTTGAATATTAGGTCTATCACGCCATCGCTCACGTGATATTAAAGATGACTAAACCGCTCATCACCGATTGCAATCTGGGGATTGATCCCCCGCAAGTTCTCTTATTCTTCTAAAAATCTTGAGGTTACGGACGGTCTCTAGAGTCCTTGTGATAATCTGCAAGGTCTCACCACAATGTTCTGCCAAAATATCCGGCGATTCGGCACCACAGCACTCCGTGCAGTAGAAGGATCAACCGCCTATAGTGTCCGAGTGTCGCAGGCTCAAGGAGTTGTGAATGGTCTCACCGAAGGTACAGAGTTGGAAGATAAGCCCCGCCACCTGGTGAAACCGGATAATTAGCTAACAGCACAAAGCAATTGGGAATACACCTCTTATTCGTTTGAAGCGCATTTCCGAGCAGACCGGCTGCAATGTCCTCGGTAAAGCCGAGTTTCAGAACCCAGGTGGTAGCGTGAAGGACCGGGCCGCATTGTTCGTCGTCAAGGATGCAGAAGAGAAAGGTTTGCTGAAGCCCGGTGGTACAGTGGTTGAGGGAACGGCCGGCAATACAGGGATTGGATTGGCGCATGTGTGTCGGTCCAAGGGATACAAGCTTGTGATTTACATGCCCAATACTCAGTCGCAGGGGAAGATCGATCTGTTGCGACTTCTGGGTGCTGAGGTGTACCCGGTTCCTGCTGTGGCCTTCGACAACCCGCAGAACTACAACCATCAGGCACGGAGACATGCGGAGTCTCTGGACAACGCAGTGTGGACAAACCAATTCGACAACATAGCCAACCGTCAAGCTCACATTGAGACAACCGGACCTGAGATTTGGGCGCAAACCGGGGGCCAAATCGATGCATTCACCTGTGCGACAGGAACGGGAGGAACTCTAGCGGGAATTACCCGCTACTTGAAGACCGTGAGTGATGGCCGCGTTAAGAGCTTCCTTGCCGATCCCCCCGGCAGTGTCCTCCACAGCTATCTCCAAAGCGGCGGCAATTTAATCGAACGTTCCGGAAGCAGTATCACCGAAGGTATTGGACAGGGTCGGGTCACCGACAATCTGCAGCCGGACATTGATTTGCTGGATGGATCTTTGAACATCAGCGACGAGAAGTCGATCGAGATGGTATATCGCTGCCTCGATGAGGAGGGTATCTATCTAGGAGCTAGCTCGGCGCTAAACGTGGTTGCTGCCAAAGAAGTCGCGGAGAAAATGGGCAAGGGAAATACAGTAGTGACCATACTCTGTGACGGCGCGTACCGGTATGCAGACCGTCTGTTTTCCAACACATGGCTGGAGAGTAAGGGTCTACGGAGCGCTATTCCCAAGCACCTTGAGAAGTACATTGTGCTGCCATAATCTGGCCATGTAAATATTATGTCGATAGGACTGTGCAATAGCGATTTGTGGTACTTTGAGTTAATTAGCCTTATCTAATTATGAAGAGCATTTGAAATCTAAGTTATACACTTCAATATTTGTACCATAAGGGCTTGCCATTTCTATTAGTGCTCAACTTAACGTAAACTAGATAGGCTTTTCTAAATTCTAAAAATGTATGTTGTCATTAAACCTATAAAAGACTATATCCAAAACGGCGTAAAGCTATAGAAACCATTCTCTCAAATGAACATCCAAATCACCCAACCCAGCTAACTGACTCTGTGCATACTACAGTATTTTCATCTATCGAGTCATATACTACACTCTATCCCTATCACCCCCCATCCAGTTCAAAGCGTTGGGCAGTATTTGGCTATAACTCCTTTCGCTCGTTCAAGCCCGCATCCAACTCCCCCCGTCGTTCTGGGACATAAAGCTCCTCCAAACGAACCCTTTGCAAAGCCCGGGACCCATTTGACGCATCTTTCGCTGGCATGTTGTGAAGATTTCCGTTGACGCTATAGGAGAAAATAGACAAGGGCTATGATGAAGGCTACACCTACTATGCCACCAATCACCCCGCCGGCGATCGCGCCCTTATTCGTAGATATCACATTCGCAGGCCGGGATGAAGACGTGGCATACGGATTCCTTGGAGTTCGTTCTGGGAACGAATAGTCTCTTGAGGGCGGGATCTGCCCACGCCTTCGGAGATAGGGAGTTCTTGATATCCTCGGCTGTGAAATCGGGAAGAGAACAGGATGATAATGTAGGCTATGGTGGCAATTAATGGTGATGTTGACGATGCTAATGATGATAATGGTGAAAAATACACAGGGATTTGTCAAAATCTGGCATGATCGCTTCGGACTGGGCATCGTATAGAAAAGCAGGCACCTCGTAACAGCCTGCATCCTGGTCATCAGCCCAGGCAAGACGACCCCCGACTCCGAAGATCTGTCTGCCGTATGCAGCGCAAGCGTATGTCATGCGTTTTCATCCATGGTGGAGGCCCGGTGCCATTTAAACGATGGAATGGATAGATAGGACCTGGAGAATATAAGGCCTGGGGTTAGGCGCAGCTACCATAGTGGGAGGGACTCGACGATTCATATACACGTCAGACAGGGCGGCTTGAGATCGTAGGTCGACGCCTCCAAGCACATATATTGCATAGGAGTTAGTGGATTCGTCGTGATGAGCGGTTGCGCAGAACTAAGTGCGGGCTGGTACCGTCCCGGTATTCGGCTGATTATACCATTTGCCTGCCGAGATGTCGTATACTTGGGCATGATCCCAGGAGTTTCAACTTGTCAATCAGCTCTGTAAGCATGATATGCTCAATCTATCGTCAAAGCCACTTGCCACCTTCAGGGTCGCGTTGATGCACTTCCGAACTGACGTCACGTCCACCGACAACACAATAACTGCCAAGGGGGACTGGGACTGGACCAAAATATCATGATAGACAAAATGGTTCTTTTAGGGGGGTTCCAGTCCTCAAGCTATATTTGGCCCCTAAACTGAAGTGGTGTTTTTGCGCTTAACGGCGTTATTGGAATGGCAAGGGTTTGACCTAATGCATGCACATTGCAATCTTTCACCACTCGCCAATTAGTATCTGTTGTGCAGTAACCAGGTTAATAGTCCCAGAATGCACGAATAGCACAAGGCTCAGGGTGACAGCATATAAGTAAAGAAATTCAGGAGCATAGCCCTAACTTGGTATACACACTAAACCACCACCAACTCCCTTGCCCTTCCATATCCATTATATCCAACCCCTCGCAGATTCCAAGGCGAGTGCAGCCGTTGAACATTCCCACCTTTATCGAACGCGCGACTCAACACCTCCCTCCCTACTCCCCTCTGAACCACAACCTTAGCTCTCCATAGCACCCAACACCACCTAGTATTCCCGGAATTACCACTCTCAATCTCAGCATCCACCCAAGTCCTCCCCCCATCCCCAGACACCTCCACTCTCGTAACAGGCCCATCTCTACCTTTGGGAACTGCATACCCTCTCACCTCCAGCTCTCCAGACCCCAACAATCGCACCGTCTCGTGGTCGTCCGGCACCGCGACGACAGAGTTTATCGGCATATCGCACATCGCTGGGGTAACGGCCCAGAACGGCTCCGCAGAGACAGCATCTACGGCCTCGGGAGGCAGAATCTTATAATCATGTTGCTGATAGAAGTTTGAGGTCTCATGGTCTTGGACTGTGATGTGGTCGAGCCATTTTACCCATCTGGCGCCCGCAATTCCAGGGAGGACGACTCGGACAGGATAGCCATGATTCGGAGATAGGGTGGATCCGTTCATCTATTCCATTTCATGATTACTTCATGATCAATATACAAGAAACAAGGGAGTGGAGGAGAGGGAGAGAACCTCCAAAGCAAGCACAGCATCATTCTCAACATCCCAGCATCTCTCCAACGGTACACTACTCCCGAACCAGCCATCGTCCTGACATGGGACCTGGTAGCACGAGAACGCGACATGGAGACCGAGACCTAGACTGATGTCAGGGTCAGGGTCGAGGACACGATCACTGACCCCAGCTCTACGCAACACATCTCTCACTCGCGGTCCCTTCCATGCGCAGTTCATCACGGCTGCATCGCCCCAATCTATACCCTGGACTTCCTTGAGCATGGTGCGCATCGTGTGTCGTCTGTTCCCGGCACACTCCAATGCACAGGTAACTTCATGTTGAGGGAACTCGGTGCGAAGTTGCTGGATGGATAGCGTGAGAGGGTGAGAGACGAGGCCGTCTACGCGGACGGTGTGGGATTCTGCAGAAAGATGAGGGATGGGACCGTGGTTGCGGTCGTAGGAGATATCAGGGGGTGTGAGGAAACTTTTTTCATCTTAGTCTGTAGGTTCACCTGGTGGTGGTGTTGGATAAACGGGGAAAGAATAGTGTTAGGTCTTGGATGAGTACCTTGAGATGAGCTTCTTGAGCGGAGGCTCGCGGTTGAGCGGGTTATCAGTGGAGTATTCGGTTTGCTGGGCATTGTTGGTATGGATCTGAGGCTTTTTGAATTTGGACTTACTATACAGTTCATTTCGCATGTGTGCGGTTACGCTGGTCTTCGAGTCCATGACTTGTTGAATAGTGGTTATGTCGATGTGTGACGTCATGTTGGATTAAGTATGTTGGCTGTGGCGTCGTTCTATTGAATTTTACCGATAGTTTAGTATGAGAATGTAGCCATATATTAGTCACCTATAGGATAATAAATTCGTACTATTTTATTAGATGTGCAAGTAGGCTCTTACATTCAAATAGACACGTAGAGTAGGGCAACACACTGCAATCCTCGCAAGCTCTCACCATGCAATCAGCCATTATAGAATGGCGATTAAACAACATTAAGCCATAAGCAACACCGGATCAACATCTCAGTTCAGCGAAATCTATACAATATTATACAGATGAGTTGTGAGTCTTGTACAAACCAGTATCAACACATAACCCGCAGTCTATAGCTCGCAGCGAGCAGGAAAAAAGAACCACACAAAATTCAAACAGTTAAACAACGCCTGTGATGCTTCCGCTTCAATCCCAAACGAGCCAACGCCATCTAATGTATTTAAAACAATCTTATAAAGAGACCAAACAGACGAACAGGGCAGCCTACTCCTCCGAAGGCATCCTCATATAAGCATCAATCGCAGCACTGAAGGCCGCGAAACCAAGACACCCAGCCGCGGCCGCTTGGGGACCCGCCTTAGCTCCCAAGATACCTCCGGTGATGCATCCGGCTGAGACACTATTGGTGAGATCGTTCTTGGCGCGAAGTCCCTCGATACAGCACTCCGTGCCGGAGTATAGAGCACCAACAATTCCGAAGTTCCTGGCCGACGACCACGAGCGGGAACCCATGTCTTTGAATCCGCGACGGACCTGTTCGCGCCAGGGAAGGTCGGCGATTGCCTTTCCTTGGGGAGTAAAGGTGGAATCGTAGGACATCTATTATTGTGAGGGGAAGATGAGTGTCAGTTTGCTGATAAGTTCTTCGGCTCTGCTTCTGAAAAGAGACTTACGCTGGCCATGAACAAACCAAATACTCCTCCAAGACCGAAACCCATAGTACCGGAGATGACAGTTTTGACTGGACAGGATTCCATCCCGGCGTACATCTCGGTTATAGTTAGTTATTGAGCGTATGGTTGATTAATGAGGCACTGTGGATTCCTACCATTTTCACCATGGCTTGCTCTTGCTCGTTCATTCCTTGCATGTTATTGCCGGCAGCTCCTGCCATGCCTCCCACGGGGGGTGTCATTCCTGGAAAACTCATGATGGTGCGGGTGACGAGAATTAAAGAAGATAGATATCCAGATCACTGCCGATTCGTATAAAAAAAATATATAATGGGTAAAAAGAGTGACTGCCCTCCACAAGTTTCGAAGAAGGGCAAAAGAAAGTCCCTGACAGAGGTATATGTAGGAGAAAGTGGTTCGCGAGATGCTAGTGCCCCTCGGACTTCTTGCGGAGAAGCGATGGCGACTTGTCGCAAATTTATTTACGGCGCACCAGTCCAGCCAAAAACGCAATTCTGCACGTGATCTCTGTCGAAGAATAAAGTGAGGCCAACTAATTACTATGCACTCCTTAAGTATGTTTTTCTATCTGTTAAATGAAAAGCTGGATAAAAACATATGGTACATGTGCTTCAGACACGGTCCCTTTCCTACAACCAAAAATATTCATAAAGAAAATATGGAAGAAAATACAGATAAAGTGAGATGGAACGAGTGACAAGAATCATAATATGTGTCAGAGAAAAAGACAAAGACACAACGCTTCGTCGTAAAGGGTATTGGGTCAACATTCATAACCCTTCGTTATCCATATTGGTATCATGTTTAAATCTAGCGAATTTGTCCACCAAGAAGAGAACTAAAGGTCGCGCATGTACGTCCGTCCATATCTACCGTAGCAACGTAAGAGAAAACTGAATGGCTCATATAATGGGCGCGATGAGTAAATGAAAAAATTCACGAATCGAGCGACTTTAATTTTCCTTGTCGTCCTTATCCAACGGCAAGCTCGTCTTATCGTTGCGTTCAGGGGATGGAGACAGACTGTGCTCCCATTCTGCCATCAGATTTGATGCTGTGCGGGCCAATTTCGAGGGGGCCATTTTGGCGATGGCGGGCCAGGGGATGCCGTCAGACACACTAGGGTCAGGAACGGATGAGTCGTGCATTGGACCCCAGTCACCAAAGCTGACACCGGTCAGCGTACAACCTGTAAAGAGGGGATGGAAAAAACGAGTCGGTCACAAAGAAAATCCACCCATACCTAGACTTACCTAGCGCTCGTGCGAGGACTACTTGCTTGGGTCATCGGAGACTGGTCGTGTTTCGATTCCAGCGTAGAACGACTTGACGACGGGGTGTGCATTTTCTTCGGCTGTGGCGTGTCCCAGTCATTGTCCCAATTATCGTCAATATCGAAGTTGTTGGACTCTGGTTCGTTCAGTCCGCTTGGGTTGGCGGACGCTCCGCGAGCGTTCGGGGACTTCTGCCCAGGTACATCAATCCCGAATTCACTCCAGAACGACGAGCCTATATCCGCCGATTTGGAGTCTTTACCAGAAGTTTTCACCCCCCTCTCATTGTTCCGTGCTGACACCGACGACGATGACGGAGACCGTGATGGCTTGCTTCCCTGCACGGACAACCGATCTCTGCTTCGAGAGGTCGAGCTCGAATCTCGCTTGCGAGGCGGTGGCATTGCTCTCGACTCGGTTGCGCTGATTCCTTCCTCCCCTACGGTTGCTTGCCTGATATCCTCCAAGAAGGTCCAGAGACCCTCCTTCAGGTCAGACGCCATCTGTTTGCCTGTGCGCATGAGTGCCTCTCGCGAGGGGGGGGGCATACTCTTCCGCCACTGCGGAGGTGCATCCTCAGCCCGTTCCACATTTTCAACGGCCATCGGACTGCGTTCAACGGAAGAGGGCAACGTTGCAGAACGCGGAGAACGGCCCACACGACCGACGCTCTCCTCCGATTCCTGTTGTGTGCTTGACAGGCCAGAGACGGGCGAGAGAAGCGACAGGGCCCGTGTATGCGACCCTTGGAACACCCGACGCCCATTTGCTGAAACAGACATTCCCTTTGCCGCAGCAGCGCGCATGCTCTGACGCCGTCCCACCTCCCGGCTCAATCTTGGGTGGGCTATGGAAGGGCTCTCCGAGCTGCCCACGCTGCTATCCCTCTGATGTCGCGCACTTTCGTCGGCGACGCCTCTATCTGGGGATCTGAGAGGGATCAAGGGCTCGGCATGTTGGCTTATTTCGGTCCGCTTCTTCGTCTTCTCTGACTGTGCCCACTGCTTCTTCAGCGAATCTAGTTCGACTTCCGCCCGATGAAGCTCCTCCCGAAGTTCCAATACCCGTCGTTCTTGCGATGCAATCGCAGTCAGGATACTTGAGCCGTCATCTTGGTCGTCAAACTGCACTGGAGTGCCGACAGGGAGAGCAGCAGGGGACTGGAAGGTGGCGGACCGAGTGAGAGGCGTCATAGATCCCGGGGTGGATGCACTGGGGTCAAAGGGAGTAGGAGTTGGGGGGATATTGATCGGAAAGTTTAGGGTCAGTCGTTTGGTGTGGCGAGCAGCACCATGAGGACGTGGTGGAAGGGACGAGCGTTTTGGTTGACTCTGTTGACTCTGTTGGTCATCTGACTGGTCGAAGTCTAGAAATGAAGGTTGGGACGCTTCCGGCGCAGCTCCCGCCTGGACCGTTCCCGGGAAGTCTCCCATGACGTGTGACTAGTGAGAGAAACTGGGAAGAGAATCTGGTCGGGAGAGCCAAAACTATAGAAATGGAAAGAACGGTATCATGGCATTCAAACAAAGACCGGAGAATCAATTGTCAAGGCACAGAAACAGTCCGTCAGACTGAAGGATGGGTGAAAATCCGAATCAAACACTATGCTACTCAAGTAGAAGACAGCAAAAAAAAAAAGAAAGAAAGAAAGAAAAAAGAATGTAAGAAAACATCAAAACAAAAAACCGGCCACCCAGCAGGGGGAGGAAGGAGAGGAGGGAGAGAGAAAAGCGACTTGGGAGGGAGCAATTAAAAGGTCAGGTCTGGTCGCGGGTCATCACTACTAACGAGTTAGTTACCTAACCTGTTGTGCTTGGAGGCCAGACCTATTTCCGGTGGTGGATGGAGAAGCGTAACATTTCTTTCGCCGATTACGAGGCGGGCCACCTGCCGCCCATCCCTTCCACCTCCAGCATCGTTTCGTTCTTTCAGGGGTAAATTACGCCCGGTCAGGGCTGGGCTGGTGTTTCAGTGTCAAATAATCATCGTCGTTATTATCCTCGCAGTTCCAAGTGGACATGAGGATCCGCAGGGGATCGATATTCAGGTCCTCGCTACAGATATGCGATCATGGTTCTCATCCATCTGGGTATCACCCAGGCGGGAGTTCCCTTGCTGTCTCCCTTTCACTCACATGTGGTTGACAGCAACATCTGAAACCTGGGAAGTCTCCCGAGGGTCCACAGCTGTAATTGGGCCTGCAGCACGGAGCACAGAGTCTCTACTGAGATCAAGATACTTACTCGTCAGTGGCGTTGGTATTGCTATATATCCACCTGCATAATAGTAGGTAACTCACATAAAAGAACCCAATCTCGCTACATACAACTTCCCAATAAGCAGCCACACTGTCCTTGCATCTCACACAGAATATCCATACATCGAGATGGGGCCAAAAAAAAATCTATCTACCTCGGAAAGAAAAGAAAATCCGATAAATAACAAGGAGTAAAAAAGAAAAAAATTAACCAGAATAAAAACGCCATTGTATTCCAAACTCCTCCAGAGTCCAGTCCTCGGCGAAAGAAAAAGAAAAGAAAAGATAAACAAGATTAGCTGCCAGGGATATCACCTTGCTCACCATTTAAACCAAAGAGCACCAGAACGCCATTTGGGCTGCAATAAGCTCTCCATCCCAGGTCCTATGGACCAGCAGCTAACCCCCAGAAACGAGACAGAAATAGGTAAGATAATTAAGTCCTTTAGGGGACCAGTCAATCAAAGGTCGAGTGAATGAACCAAAAAGAAGAAAAATATATATGAAAAAAAAAAAAAAAAAAAAAAAAAAAAAAAAAAAAAAAAAAAAAAAAAAAAAAAAAAAAAAAGGGACGGAAAGGAAATATACACGACCAACACCTGATAATCATTTGTACATGCTAAAAGGAAATAAAGATCTCTAGCTTGGAGGCATAGATGTCCGAAAATGTATGGAGCTAGAGCCCTGGCCAGCGATTGCGAAGTCCTTCGGACCATCGCTGGTACAGCACTTCGGATAATTGCTTGGTGTGCTCCATTCCCGGCACTTGCTGGCCGGGAAGATTCGCTAGCTGCCCCGGCTGCAGGTTTGGTTCGGTCGCTGCTGCCGATTGACGCCGCCGGTGGCTTTTTAGATGTGGGTTATTCTGAGCCAAAACTAGTCGTGGTCTTTGTGGAGATTCCGGTGCTGGTGGAGCTTGTGGGACAAGACTTGACAGCTTGGGGTCCCTGGCGCACAAAGAAAACTTTATCAGCATAAGCTTCATGAGAGATAACAATAAGGACAAGGACTTACGCTTGGAGCCTTTCGTTTGTGGCCCTGAGGATATGATACAGACCCTCAGGATCCACCATTTCCAGGTCACTCCAGGCTTCGGCTAGACGAGAGATGGCCTCTCGCTTTTCCTGGTCTCCGGTTGTCCCCAGAACCTCCTGACAGGCTAATCCCACTGCTTTGCTGTATGCCCGACGTCCCAGCTGGGTTTCCTTGCTGTTCGACTCGGGGCAATGGAGAGCCTTGGGGCTCGCATTTTCATCGGATGCGATCGGGTAATGCGAAATATATGGATTTTCTCCCGACGTCTTGTCCGACACGCGACGGAATTGACGGGCTGCCGATGGGCTGTTACCGAAGCTCAAGTCCACGCCCAGAGGCTGCTTTGCCCCACTGGAGCGTCGTTTTCTGCTGTTCCGTTGTAGCGAAGGGCTGCGGTCGGGTGCGGGAATGCGTCTCACCGCGGTGTTTACGGCGTGCTTTGGGGGAGATGGTGGGCTAGAAATGCGCAGACTGTCCATCATCTCGGACGTCTCATCGTATGGGTAGTTCTCGGGCTCCAGTTTGCTTTCCATCTCATACGGGTCCTCCGGTATCACCATCGTCGGGGCTCTGACTGTGTCGAAGACCCATCCGTCGTCGTCCTCTAAATGCGTGATGGTATTACTAGGCGATGAAGGCAATTAGTAAACGCTGATTGTGAGGCCATATTGGCGCACTTACAGAGACTCCGCATAGTACTTGATATTATGCGTCACACCTCTTCCAGCATCCCAGTCTTGCTTTCGCTGGATTAGCTCCTGCAATGCTTCGGTCTTCCCCGCATTCCGGATAAATTTGTGCCGCAAAAGCTCCTTTGCAGTCGGTCTTCGATCCGGATCCTTGGTCAAACATCGTGTGATGAAGTCTTTGAAAGCGTTGCTATACTGGTCGCCTTCCAGTCGCGGTGCGGGCTCCTTCGGAATCAGAAAAAGCACCTTCATCGGATGGGTGCTAGCATGCGGCGGCTCTCCATTAATCATCTCAATGGCAGAGATTCCTAGTGACCAGATATCCGCCTTGTAGTCGTATCCCGACTGCTGAATTACCTCCGGCGCCATCCAAAAAGGTGTCCCGACGAATGTATTGCGTTGAGATTTAATATTGATCAACTGCGCTGCAACTCCGAAATCCGCCAGTTTCACCTTCCCCGTATGCGACAAAAGCACATTTGCGGCTTTGATGTCGCGATGTATCTTGCCTTCGCTGTGTAAGTACTCCAGACCTTGGAGCAACTGTTGACAAATAATGGCTACATGTGCTTCGTTGAAGATGCCGGGTTTTAGCTATACAGGAGTTAGCGGAAGGGTCTTCGTATTATAGGCAACCCGGTGCCGTTACCAGGTCAAGACAAGAGCCTCCCCCTAAATACTCCATAACAATCCACAATTTGTGTCCTCGAAGAAAGCTCGCTTTGTATTGTGTCACGAATGGGCTTGCACATGTGGCCAGGACGGAAATCTCTTGTTGAATTTCCTGGATATCATCTTCGCTCGATTCGAGATCGATCTAAGATCAAAGAATTAGTTGGCAATTGGTCGCCCAGAATAAGGCTGCGAAAAACAAAAGAAAAGAAAAAATTGACTCATGGATGCATACATGTTTCACTGCAACAATTTCCCCGGTAGACTTTTCAATGGCTTTGTACACAGTTCCAAAGCTTCCACCTAGATGCGCAAAACAAAATCAGCCATTAAAAATCAAAACTAATTGGTTTCATCGCTCAATTCGTACTCCCTAATTCCTCCATCACCTGGTAGTGACTCGCCATATCGGAATCCATGATTCGGTCCGGATTGCTGCCCGAATCGCAGGGCGCAAGAAGGGAGGGGGAAGGGAAAAAAAAAAAAAAAAAAGGAGGGCAACCCGCACAACCAGTGAGCTAGCTATTTCTGTCCGGAATGATCCTATAGCTGAGCAGAACAAGTTGAGTGAGCCCGACCTTGGAAGATGGGATGGAGCGGGAAGAATGATCGCGATGCGCGTCCAGAGGGATGTACTAGATAAATTGAGCGCTCCATCGCATCCAGTAAACTTCATCGCTTTTCCATGGTTCGGCAACAACAGGCGGTCGGGTTCGTAGCGCATGGCAACCGCTGGGCCTAGCCGCCTCAGGCTGTCGTGTGGCTTAAGTAATTTCCCCGCACGGACAATTCTCAGTCAAATATCGGGAATAGTACTTGTTAATAGCAACGTACTTGCCAAGCAAACGCCCAACGCCGCACCCCATCTGAGCACCCTACCTCTGTATCCAATAAAAATATTTTGTCAAGGGTTGAACCCAATGTATTGCTCAGGCATGGCCTTCGCTCCTATATAGGGCGCTAGATGCGACTGATCGGAGATCAGTCGTCTTGTACCTTTTTATATGGTCAAGTGGTTTTATCTCTACTAGCGCAGAGACAACCAAACCATCACATAAATAGCACTTTTTAGTGCTCTAATATCTCAACAGCAAAGCCTCCGGAACATATAAAATCTAGTGTATAATATTACTCTATTTTTGTATGCTAAATAGAGATGTTTTTATAACTAATATTACCTAGAATAATATTAGTTAAAGCAATATTAATTACAGATGTATTTTTTTGTATTTTAAGATACTCTGGTGTTAAAAGCTAGGAAATTTGTGAAAAACTTCAAAAAAGTAAGAATTGTTCTTATATATTATATATCTATGTTCTTATTAACTGGTATGCCTTTATAATTCTAGTTGTCGAGATATAAAAGTATTAGGTAACCTACTAAACAGTGCTGTTATATTAAGGAATACAGAGTATGGCGCTTGGTTGGGGTGCTGTGTTCGCTCGCAAATACGTTACTGGGGCTATAGAATAGTGGGTCGATGGCTGTGACTGGCTTGAAAGCTCTACTGGAGTATCTACTATCGAATAAGACCATCTTATTCTTGTAAGTGCGTTTATGCTCAATGTCAACTGAAACAATGACATTCACAAAATCTAGTATTATAAACGCTTCATACTCCTGCATGTTTTATGTATACACTACGCCTTGCCTCAGATATATTTGTAAGGGTTCATGATACCATTCTAGACACTCGTTAGCAATGTTCGACGTAATGGATAGCGGCATGCAATACTTACCGGGTCGTACAACTTCTTCAATTGCTTCATCAGCTTCACCATTATATCGTTTTGGCTGTATCTAATGAACTCCTTCTTGGCAAGTCCCAGTCCATGCTCTGCACTAATGCTACCGTTACGCTTCTGAATCCATTCATAAACCCAGGGTTCGATAGCCTTCTCGACCTCCTTGTTGTACTGCCGAACAGAAATGTTCAAGTGGAGATTCGAATCGCCCATATGACCATACCCAACAACGGCACGAACAGGGAAGGACTCATCATCACCGACAAATCCAAATTTTGTCAGCCGCTCGCGACAATCTTCAACCAGCTGGTACAATTCCGGAAGAGGGATGGAGACGTCGTACTTGTAGGTACCGCCCAGGTGACTCAGAGCCTCCGTAATACCTTCACGCCAACGCCAGATAGACTGGAACTGGGTCTCATCCTGAGCCAAAACACCATCGGCAACGATCCCCTCGCCCATGATGTGTTCCAGGAACGACTCCAATTTGGCCATGTCGTGCTCGGCATTCGACCCGCTGGTCTCCACCACACAGTAGAATGGGTACTCCTCTTCCAGGGGATACTTGTTACCAGTGGTCTCATGCACCAGCTTCTGAGTGCGACCGTCCATCAATTCGAAGGCAGAGAGAATCTCAGAGAGTTGGCCCTTTGCCTCCTTGAAAGCCTGGCGCACCTTATCATAGCTCTCCAGGCCAAAATAAGCAACATTGACAGCCTTCGGACGAGGCGGGCACAGGATAGAGACTGCCGTGATGATACCAATCGTACCCTCAGCACCAATGAAGAGCTGCTTCAAGTCGTAACCGGTATTGTTCTTCCGCAACGTCGAGAGAGAGTCCACAACTGTCCCGTCCGGCAGCACAGCCTCAAGACCAAGTACAGTACCATGGAGACTTCCATAGCGGAGCAGACGCAACCCTCCGGCATTCGTGGCAACATTTCCTCCAATATGGCATGAGCCTTTGGCGCCCAAATCCAAGGGGAACAAATGGTTACGCTGCGCCAAGTATTGGTCGGCCACCTCGAGGATCACGCCCGCGTCAGCAACCAGGACGCCCGAGGCATCGTCGAAGGAGCGAATTTTGTTCATTCGAGAGGTGTTGATAACAATCTCATCGAAAACAGGCACAGAGCCTCCCACCAACCCGGTATTACCTCCCTGTGGAACGACGGCCAGCTTCCTCTCATTACAGTATTTAAGTACCTTGCTAACCTCTTCCGTGGTCTGTGGCTTTAGGACCAGCGTCGTATGGCCGCGGTACTTGCGCATCCAATCGCCGTTGAAGGGTTCGATATCGTCGGCAGCATCGGTCGATACCCCATCGATAACCGCGGACTGAGCGCCCAGGAGATCCTTGAAAAACGTCACATCGTCAGCAGTAAGTTCGGCGAAATTGGTGTTTCGCTTGAGATCGGGATAAGCGTCGGTGGTGTATTTGACTTCCTTGGTCGCGTTGACGGTGGAGGTAACACTGAAGGCGCGAGCGGCATTCACGGTCGGGACGCCCAGGTTGAAAATCGGTCGTATCGATGCGCGCGGCCTGGGCACTCGAGCCCGTCGGAGGACAGCTGAGAGATTCCTGGCACTTGACATGGTGTATGGCGGCTGGCAGCGAGGAGGAGCAATATCAATAGACGACCAGAAGCAAAAAGCTGATGGTTGACCCACCGGCGGAGAGCCGACTCCGGAGCGAAATCCCGCGGCGGAACATTTCACGACGGTACCGGAGGTGGTCCGCCAGCTACCCTCGTTTTATAAAAGGCACTATAACAGTTCTATTTTCTGTATTATTTAGTTAATAGAAGATATGTTTATATATACATTTTAGATGGTGAATATAATCTCTGAAGATAAGTCAATCAATGTTTTGTATTCTTGGTATCTTATTAGAGATCGATCTTCAATCTGCGTGGAATAGAACTAGATCTTAGTGGAAGTTAGCAAGGTCTTTAATTTCTTATCTTTTTTTTTTTTTTTTTTTTTTTTTTTTTTTTTTTTTTTTTTCTTCCTAGAGCATATAATCACAAGTCTACAGAGAAATGTATAGTCCGAATAGCATACAATGCTAACAACATCTCATAAATCAGCCATCAATGCCACATTCTTGGGTCTATTTGATTTTATACATTGTATCATATGTTTCTGTCCGGTATCCACAAGAAGACAGGAACCCCTGACTATTTCTTATGGTGCACTCACAGCAACACAAAACAAGCAGCTAATCACTGGAATCTCATCGTCCCCTTACAAAGCCCAACTCCCCTTCTATCTTATCTGACCTCTCCACAGGTTCCTCGACGACATTATCCCTCTTATCAAGATGCACATTTTTAAGAAAGAGCATGACAATAAGCATAGGCGAGACAGCACACAAACCACCAATAGCCAGAAATCGTTGAGTTTCCCGATAGCTGCGATCAATAGCCTCTCGGACGGCCGTCCCCTTCGCATATTTCTGAGCTGTAATTATAGACTGGAAGATAGCCGTCGCCTGAGGCTTTAGGTCATCGGGAAGATATTGTTGTAGCTTGGCAGGTAGGTTGTTTCTCCATATTGCCCCCGATATACTGTCGGAAGTCAGTATTGAATCAGGGATAGAAAAGGAAGACAGAAAGTAAAGGAAACAGAAAGATGTCTGTCAATTGTCTATTGATGCAGTGCATACCTAGTACCAATCGCCCCACCTACTCCCATAGAGGCGAACAATACAGCGGTCACGACGGAGATTTCTTGTCTTGACACTACGGCCTGCGCGGACACTTGGGATGCGGTTTGGTAGAATCCGCGTCCGATACCAATCAGGGCTTTGGCTGTGACGAATGATGCCTCGTTTCCCATTCTACCGTCTCCCATGTCGATTAGATAAAGGAGAATGCCCATGCCGAGGACGCAGAGAGGGGCTCCGACTAAGATCCATATTTGAGAACGTTTGGAGTATTTCATGAAAAGGCCAGCGAAGATGCATGATGCTTAGAATGAGACGCGAAGAGCGTTGCTATAGAATGAGAATTAGAGACCAAGCAATCATCACATCAATGGCAGGCGCAGTAAGAACAGGGGGATAAGTTGGATGATATGTACTTACTCGATCCTGGTTGCATGTCCGGGAGAATATCCACCCACGACCTGAAGATAGCTGCTGTAAAACACTGTGAACATGGAATAATGGAGAAAGTCCAACGCTCCTAAGAGACAAGCAGCGGCAACCGTTTTGCTCTTAACCATTTTATAGGGAATAAATGGCTTTTTGGCAAACAAAATATCCCAGAGAACAAATAAAATAAGAAGAACGATACCGGCAACCATCAATGCAATAAATGTAGCATTCTGCCGGCGATCACTGCGATTTGATCCTGTCAAAGAAAGAGGAATCAAAGTTAAAGCCAAACCAGCTAGGAGAAGAAGAGCACCTGGGAGATCAAGCTGAACCATATAAAAACCCGTATGCTTGTCTCCACCACGACTGGGAGGCATCCAGCCCTAGTTCTGTAGTGAGGCATTTCCTACCAAGACCATGTTTGGTTGCACGGTGCTGGTGAAGAAACAAGGAGCAAAGCAGGGGGAGACTAGAAACAGGAAGTACAATAGCCCACATACCCCAGCCCCAGCGCCAGGTTGAGTAGTCCATGACTGACTGCGGTCTTCCCGAGGTATAGTGTTGGGATGGTGGAGATTGAGTCGGGCAACGTTGACCATAAACCACGGTTGATTAGATTGGTGACATCAGCAATGAAAACCTGCTGTGTGAGACCAAATCCGGTTGTACCCATGGAGTGGAAGACTGCAGCAACCTATCGACAACTGATTAGCTTCATCTTGGTTTCTGGTACTTAGAGTGCTGGCGGAATTGTAAGGATATGACTAAAATAGGCTCCACATACAGCATATTGAGATACATTTCTGCACGTTGCATAAAGGACATAACACAGTGTTGTTATGAAGATTGAAAAGGTAACATCTCAGCTCTACCAAATACCTGTCCTTGGATGTTAGCTTTGAGCATGTATATATTGAGATACTTCATCATACTATCACAAGGGTGTGGGGGACATCAGCCTACGTACATCTCCGAGTTTGGCAATAATAGGATACGCAGAAATACTTGCAATATTACTAGCAACTCTAGCAACGCTCATTGAAGAGTGGTTTTTAAAGGCGCTTGTAGTATATGGAATATAGACCTGGCTTGAATAATCTCCAAAATGTGTAACGAGTGTATATAAGAAGAGACTAAAAAGACTTGTTAGCTTTCTACCTTGGTTCAGCTTGATAACAATCAAATCATACCCTGCAAATGTAATCCTCATAGCTTTTTTGGACCATGTCCTTCGAAGTATAGCTACCCGCTCTACTCCTGACTGGGTATTGTCGGGGACAAAGCCATTCTCAAGATCATCTTTCTCTCTTGGGATTTCAGTAATTCGATCCTCCACGCGCTTGGTATTGGACACGGGATCTGGAAGCCGATGTGGCTGCGATTGGGATATATCCTGCTCCATTGCACTACGCTGAAACAGTTCGAGAAACGACAGATAGTGGATTCACGTAGGATTATAGTACATAGAAGTGGCTGGGGACAGTAGATAACATAGCAAAGGAAAGGAAAATGAAAAACCGGCGGCTCGGCTACAATATATACTCTGGCATGTTGCCTTCAACTTATTTTAAAAGCTTACTCCTAACCAATAATTGAAAGAGAATTTTAGATTCCATGGCACCACCATCACTAGCACTAAGCCCTATTGTACAGTTATAGCCTGGGCTCGCAGCATTCCGGAATGGCGGTAGTGATTTTTAGAAAAGAAGTCTCGGCATAAATTCGGACACAGAGTTAGGTACGTATTGATGTCGGGAAAAGAGTGAATGTGGGGATGCCTGGTATCTGATTATCTGATTAGATTAACTTCCCCCGTCTTGCCAATCATTCTCTCTGTAGTGGGTATTAGGGCATGGTTGCTGTTGGATGGAGCGGGCAAATACGAGCACTAAGCTGTTTTTATCTAGTAATGTGCCATAAGATGGTCACAAAATGAATGTGGGTCAAGACAGTGTTGATCCAGCATCCCGGAAACTGCCGGTCCTTGCTCCAGCACTTTGCCCATCGTGATCTATGACTATATTTTCCTGTATCCATATGACGACCTTGCTCGTCTGTGTCTCCTCATGAAGAATAGCTCTTTTTATGGCATCACGTGGGGGCTACTTTAAAGACTCGTGAACTTCCGATTGTCGCCTAGTTGCCTTATAACTTGACGTTGCATTCTGGTTGGAATTCTATTACCATCATAGCTTATCATTCTTTTGCCTAAAGTATCGCCATGTTTGCACACGCTCCTAATACTCGACAGCTGGAGCTGAAAAATCGTCAAGGCGATATTTACCGCATTCAAGTGGCGTGGCCCCTAGCTTGGGACACCCCTAATGGATCCGACCATAGCGCGTCTATCATGTATGTTAACCACGAAGTCAAGAGGATCCGGTATATTTCATGGGCTCATAACAGTTATCTTAGCTATATACTAGATGGAAATGCGCTCTTCTTTACAGCAGCTGAAGCCTCCCGTCGTAGTGCAGTGCTTTCAACAAGTGATCATGCCATCGTTGTAGGGGTTGGGTATCCGATTGAAGATACGCCATACAGCCCGCGAAGATATTATGACTACACACCACCATCAGACACCTATGTAGCACCAAGTGGGATTGACGGCCAGCAGCAAGTTTGGTCCCACAGCGGTGCAACAGAATTTTTAGAAGTCTTAGTCGGAACTGTGCGGCCGGCCCTGCTGTCGGATCTTTTTCCTGGTCTCCGCATTACGAAAGAAATACTTATGGGTCATTCGTTGGGTGGACTGTGCACGCTACATGCGTTGTTTGAGAATAGATCCGAGCTGGAGCGAAGAAAAATGTCAGGCAGTGAAAGCTTTGGCGCAGCAAAGGAGAATGAAAGACAATGCCGATGCTCTAGTAGATCGTCTTCGGAGGACCGGTCGTTTGAGAAAATTGCGGGTAAAGGAATATGAAGGAGAGGATCATGGGACTGTGGCTGGCTGTGGTACAAGTTGGGCGGTTGCAGCTGTCTTGGACCACGGGAGGCTCTTTTCTGACTCGGACGATTAGGGCTTTCAATTGGCTGCCCTGGCGTGATCAATTGGATGACTCTCTCAATTTGGTCTTGACCCGTGAAAACAGAACTACTGACTTAATTAGCTAAGTAACCAGAAAGCACTGGATAGAAGTGATCAGAACAGTTAACCTTTGGTGAGTATTGTGGTAGAGGTGGCAGCAAGAAAAATGAAGGAACTAAGCAACCTGAATGACCTGAATATGTCTTCCTAGTTGTACCTTTATGCTATAAACTGTATTCCCGGCATGGAGACACCCAGTCATCAGCAAATAGCAGATAGGTTTCTGGTCTTTTGAATTTGGATCACTCCATTGTCCTATAATAGCCTAGATACAGCCTCGCTCTTTACACTACTGGCAGCGGAGTCCGGGTTTTGTAATCTTTGAGATCTGATTCGACACTTTCTGTAATAAGAGCTGGCCTACAGCTTCTTGCATCTCCTCTGCTGCCCATGACAATGGAGTTCTGCGTAGACGCTAGATCAGCTCCCACCTCAAGCAAGAGCCTTACTGTTGCCTCTTAGCCGAATTCCGCTCCTAAAGCTAGCGGAGTCCGGCCATTAATTCTCCTTAGGACTTGGATTAATGTTATGATCCAATAAAAGGTTTACCACTACTAACTTGCCGAATTTCTCAAGCAGTTTTGGTAGTCTCTGTTCCTCGTCACTCTGTCGGTTTAAGCTCGACTGGTAAGGTTACAGAAACGAAGTAGACATTACAGAGATTGGGAAAGAAACGAGAGATTCCATGTGTGCAACCTTCTCCTCGATTGTGTCTGAGATGAGTCTGCGCAGAATACGTGCGGGTGAATTATCAATCGCTAGAATAACTCCTTATGTAGTTGACAGGATATAATTGTATTCCAAAGATAAATGTGTCACAAATGTGAGCAGTGCACCACTTCCTCATAAGGACCTGTGAGGATCCTGTGCGCAGATTTTGTTACCACAGGCATCTCTATATGACAATTTGTCGTACTCGCCTAGTGGTCCGTCTAGATCCTTAAACCTTCGTAGCGGCTCCATCGCGTAGTATAAATGAATGTAGATTTGTTTAGGGACTGGAACTGCCCAAAAACCTCGTAGCAGGCAGTTTCGCTCCGGTCACCTTTGGACCGATTGATGATCAGGTCAAGTCGCCCGACACGGGGACAGCTCTCTCCGATCTGCGAGATATCGGAAGAGGCGAGAACCATAGAATTCACCACGTTGAAAATATTGAACATCTCTTCACGAGGGTGAAGTTGCAATTCCTGAAGGTTCTGGTGAACATACACCTACTCTAGACAATCATGAAGAAACATGGACCCTCCCTGCAGGCATAGCACCTTTAACGGCGCAAGATTCTCAAAGAACGTCGTATTTGCCTTCCACGCCACATTTTTCTTATTAATATGTTCCCTTTCCTTTGCTGTAGAAGGCCCTGTGGCCTTCTTCTTATCCTTATTGGCCTTTGTAATGTTATTTTAAAGCTGTATAGTAGCTTGTTTTGCTCCCTCTCCTTTTCTTTACCGGCGTCTCTTTTCCTGTGCTTCTGCACCTGCACACTCATATTAAAATCCCTTATTCTCTTTCATTTCCCAATCAAGCGTTGTTTCTCTTCTTTCTCCTGCTGCTGACATATCTTATACTTCTTTTAGCGGCTTTAGCGAGCCGTGTAGCTTCGTCCTTCTTACCTTGACAATTGCGTGCTTGTTCAATATTCCTAGGGTTATAAAAGACTGCAATACCACCTTCTGGAACCTGAGTTAAAGATATAAATGCTTCCCACACTGCTGCTTTTTCTTCTTATTTTATAGAGTATTTTCTAGGCCTGAACACCATAGTTTGAGAAGAATATTCTCTGTATAAAAATGCATCATCGCATCATTCAGTTTCTGGGCTATTTGGTTGTAAACACCAGGAAAAATTGCTTAAGGAGCTTCTTAATGCGACGCCAGCGTTCTGCCTTTAAAATTAATTGCGAGGACTCGCTTGAAGATGGTCTTTCTTCTTCTTTCCTGGTAAAGCATGCCAAAATAGTCTCCCAGCCTCTACCTTGCAAGTCTGGCCTGGAGCACAGTCTGCTACTACCTGCCAATGCCCTGCCCATCACAAACCCGAACAATCCAGGTGCCGTTTTGGTAGCAATCGTAAGTAGCGGGAGTACAGCCCTTCATTATGGTAACATTGGCGGAGATGGCAGCTGCAAGAAGCATAGTGAAATTGGCGATGTGGCTCATTTTTGCATTCAGATAAAACAAGTCTGGGTTGGTATCAGCTAAGAGCTGTAGGTGTAGGAAACTTCTAGCATTGTATACCTATTGACGGTTCTACCAACTTTATCACATGCTTGTGGTGATTTAAGGGATGATTGAAAGCCTTGTTGAACAAGCTAAGCTGTAGTTACTTGCTGTAGAGAGGCGGCGAACGTCATCCCGATATTTATAGGTTAAGTTAGCCTTAGAACGTGTACGTAAGATACCAGGCCTATCAGTTGCTATTCTGCAATTTTACCTAAGTTTCCTGTACACTCTTCTAATCAACGTCATTATCAACATGTTTTTGGCTGACCAGTTTGGTTATTTGGTCATATGTTCGAACAGACTCTTCAGCCAGGCCCCAAATATCCCCAGCTTAACCAATGCCTATTACCGGCAACTGGGCTGGAAAATAACCAGGCCTTTGTATATTTCTGTTTTTTTACTCAGATCAACCGTCTTCTGGGAATTTTGCCCACTATACTCTTGCTCAGGCGGGAAATTCCCTCCACTGTTACTTTCCTTGATCACTGCTCCCGGCTACCATGTCTGGTTTCCTGTTGTTGAATTTGGCTGATTAACAAAAAGAAAAGGTCGCTCGGCACTTATAATTAACGAGCTGCACAGTGTTAAAAACCCGACTGCTGCATTAATCAAGGCCCTTCTCATCAATGGCGCTGTGGACATAAGTGGGCAGTACATCCCTTCAGAAACAGGACCTACTCCAAATGTCAACTCAGGGTTCGGTCGCGTGGATCTCGGTAATTCGGTCATTATCCCTGGGCAGCACAGCGCAACTGGAGGTTTTGAAGACGTGAAATCTCTCGATGACGGAAATGAATACTCCATCAAGATCAATGTGGGCGAGTGGAGTGAAGGAACCCCATTCAGGTTGAAGGTGACGCTCGTTTACTCCGACCCTCCAGGTCAACGTCTCCAGAATGATTTGAATTTGATTGTCACTAGCGGCGATGGGGTATATGAAAGGCACGGAAATAACAAACAGGTTTTCACTCCTGGCTCCTCGGAGGGATTTGACCGATGTAACAATGTGGAACAAGTTGACTGGCCGGGAATACCTCGAGGCATGGCAGAGATCACGATCCGAGCATATCGAATTACGAAGTCCCCGCAACCATTTGCTTATGCATGGCGGGTACACAATTACCGGTACTGAAAAGGGAACGATGCTGTGGCATGAACAGTAAATAGAGTTTCGGCCACAGTATCCCTTCTCAGGCCACATAAAAAATGCCCAGGCCACATAAACTTTATGTGGCCTGAGGCAAATATTCTGTCAATGTGAGCCGCGTTCTCGCATTAAAGAGGATCTCACCTTCCACGGCAACCAGCTCAATGTCATCAACTCCATCTTCACTGCTGACTGCATCCTGGGCCAAGTACCTTCTAACCCGGCCCAGACTTACGTCCCACCTCGCATCTTCTTCCCTGCCATGATTGTCCTCTGGGGCAGACTCACTATGATCACCACCATGCAAAACGCCCAGGGCATCATAACCATCCCTCCCTCCCCCCCCACCCCCCCGGCATTGCCGAGGCCAGCAAAGGGAGCAACTTCAGAAAGCAACAGTGGAAAAGAGAGCTACAGAGGGCATCAGGAACACCGCCGAGGCCGTTGATAGAGGGGTTCTGGACAAAATCCAGAAATGTCTAACGACAGCCAACCACACAGCCAGAATCGAGGCAGAAGCTAAAACCGCCCTTTTCATCGCCCATAACTTGATGAGCCGATATAATGTCACCCAGGCGGATCTGATTGCCGGTGCCGACAGCGAAAGCAAAGCACAGTACGGAAGAAGAAGCGAGGTGACCGTTACCAACACCAAGGACCTCTCCAAGCGTGTCATGAATGAGAGCTTTGCCCGTAGATTGGCGCATGCGATGTGCACCTTCTAAATTATCTCCGGAACAAAGTGAAGCTTTCTTGGAACTCATCTATAATTAGTCAAGGACTTAATTTCAGGAGCTGTTCCATTAATGTCACGGATCTAGGTGTGCAGGACAATGATGAACCAGGCAAAAAAAGACCTTTCTGGCTCAACCACTGTGCATGGTGATTAAGCGAGAGATATGTATAATTGGCTTTTATATCATGACAACAACGGTGAACCGATATTGTTTCGAGAAATTCCCATTGTTCAGTTTAGATTGTTCGGAAAGTGCAAGTCAGATGTATAGAAGCTCCATGTTAAATTCCCTAACTACCCAGAAACAGCTTCTCCAAGTAGACATACAAACTATCACCAACATCTTCCGCCGTAAGCAGTCAATAGTTGAGTAGACACTTTCCACTAGACATTTAATTCTCTTCGGCCAGCCTTGGTACTGTGACTTGCTAGCCATTAAGATTCCAGATACTATATTTAATTATGAGGATTATGCAAAATAGGGGCTGTGAAATAAACGCTGTAAGTCCGCAGGATTAAAGTCTAAAGACAAGATGGGTATTAGTTGATTATTCTGAGCAAATATGTTTGGGTGCCACTATTTATATAGTTCATTGCAATTCATACGAGTTAGTGGAGTCAACACATAATTGACCTAGGCACGGTCAAGAGAAAGTAGGCATATTTTTGTCACGGGTTAAACCCAGAGTATTACTCGGGCTAGGAAGGATACCCTCGTTACGCACTATATATAGGGCGCTACATGTGTCTGATCAAAAATTCAGTACTGCATTTTGTAATTACCTTTTTATGGTCAAGTGGTTTTAGCTCTACTAGCGCAGAGACAACCAAACCATCACATTATTTACGCTTTAGCTATTTAATTTTTATTATCATAGCACAGAGATTGCGTTGAGGTGCCCGCCGGGGGGGGGAAACAAATTAAAAATAAGGACGGGGATTGATTGTATTGATATGGAAAATATCATCATCAAAAAACATAATTGCGCCAGCTCGGGATCGAACCGAGGATCTTTCCATGTCAAGAATAGCTACTCTGTACGAGTGGAACGCCTTACCGCTTGGCCACTAGCGCTTGTAGGTGTAATTAATATCTCCACCATGAATTGACTTGCTTGAGCTGAAGTTCAGTCAGATAACTGCCTGTCTAGGTGTTTCCCATGTATAACAAGATGGCTTACGCTGCCATTGCGCTCTGCTCTGACAACTTATCGCAGGTTGATAACTGTTAGTTTCTATATTTTTTTCCATCCTCCCACCATTGAGGGGGATAACATAGTCCTAAACCAGCAATTATAGATGGCTGTGCGGACAGAGAGGTGGTGAAATATGAAAAGAAAACAAAGAGCGAGGCTAGCAGCCCGCTCTGAGTAGAGGGGAGACCTTTGATATGTAACCATTTCTTAGGGCCAGTCACTAACTTTTCGATAAGAGGAGGGAGAGCATGTAGTGTTTAATGAGAGCAGCGCCAGGAAACACAGGCTCGGCAGTTACATATGTTGAGAGCATACTAAAATTCTATCAATTGTTCTACGGATTGGTAAAGCTCTAACTATTTCTAGTTGGGCTTCCTATTATCTTCTTTCCAAGCTATATTCTAATATTTATGACGACCAGGTCTTCCACCATTATTCTTTCTACTACCCTAACTCTCCTTCAAGAACATTCTATATTTATCTTTTCTGTCCGAGCAGGTGTCAAGGGCTGAACCGATAGAACCTACAAGATAGGTTATGTACAAGAAGGAATCGTTGAAGAAGAAGGGAAGAAAGGAAGAAAGGAAGAAAGGAAGAGGAAATAAGCGGTAAACAAACAAGGTGATAGTCACGTGACATCGATCGAGGGCCAATGGGCCAAAAGGGACAGTAGGGACAGTAGGGACAGTAGGGACAATAGGGACAATAGGGACAACGGGGACAATAGGGACAACGAGGACAGTAGGGACGACAGGGATAATAGGGACATTGGCCCGAGAGTTCAAACGGGCTCTAGCCCTTTACAGCAGGCTGCGATTTACTGCTGCGATCTTCTGCTTGACTTGTCTGCTGATTACACGCCCTATATATTTAAGTACCTAGACACTTTATAATAATAAGAACCATGACATCCCATCAGTTGTTATTTTCCAAAAGTGGTTAATTCTCTCATCAATACTACTTTACACAGTCTCATTGGTATATTTGATAACGTAAGACACTTTGGCCGAGTGGTTAAGGCGCAAGCCTGCTATATGCTAGCTTGTGGGTTCGCCCGCGTGAGTTCGAGTCTCACAGGTGTCGTTATCTCTTTTACTTTATCTTTTTACTTTAAGCTTATTATTTTAATTTTTTTTTTTTCTCATTTGGTCTAGTCGACTACCTACACTATCTACGCATATTATTGCCGTAGTAGAATGGATTGATAGAATAGCTGAGGGTTTGGTAGTGTATATGGCTATCTTGTACCATGTTGATAATCCACCATTGAAGCTGTTCCTTGAATATCTACTATAGTTATGGTTTCTGTATTTAGTCCGTGGGAAGTATTTCGGATTGGCTGAGGCTTGGTGAAAGTGATCAAGAAGAGGTTAAGAGAATAATTCGTATAGAAAACTATCTTAGATATTTATATCGAGTACATAGAGGATTGATCATTGCTACTGGATACTAAAGAAACACATAGTGTCACGGGCTAGTAGCCGATTCAACCTATATATTAGATTTGGACTAAAAGAACTCGCTGAGAAGCTTCTATCTGCGGCCGCGACGGCCGAACAGGTAATTGTGTGCGCCAGGTAAATGAGATCACGTGATCAGGAGTTCTACACGACCTCGCGAGTGCCTGGTAAACGGGCTCGAGCATTTTGCGGGCCCTGCCCGCTACACATAGAAAAAAAAGCTCTTAACTTGGGACTGGACTGAAAAGAGAGAATTCTGAACTACATTCACTCTTATGGGGCATTTATTCGTATTATATTATCAACTTCTTTCTCACTATATTTTTATTTCGTTGGGCTCGACAGAAGTAACGGGAGCTTTACCAACAAGCTTTCAATGCCATTTCATTCTAAATCATCTTACCAATACGAATAATAATAAGGCCCCAGGTATTTAAGAAAGAAAAATTTAAAAATTTCAATCTAATTAGTATCAAGATGATCATGAACCCGAAGGGCGCAATCTAAATCCCAGAATCTTCGGAAACTGGGTAAAGTTATTGGATGAATACTCGCGCACAGGATTCCTGTAAGACTCATCGAAGTTCATTTCTTCCAATGCATCGAGGACTAATCCAGCCTGGAAGAAGGGAACGAAGAGTTCATGGAGCGGGCGGTGGAAAGAAAACTACTCTTGTCAGATAGTTCAGATGCAATATACGTCTTGCTTCAACGAACCGGTGGTGGTGCCTCTCCGTTTCCCCAAAAAAGAAGTTGTCGCGCCGGTGGAACGCTCATATAGTGCTTCAGTACTATGGAGCGGGTAACTTCACGTTCTCCAGTAACCGGATTTTCATGGACATTTATCTGGCGATCTGCCCCAGAGGTGAAAAAGAGCGGGTGGAGCAACGTTGCCACGAAGCTGGGAATTCATGCTGGATTAGAGTGACTATTGGATCAGTGTTCAAGATAGCACTGACCAGGCGCTGGGCTTCAGCAAACGCTTTAAGGCAATGGCCAGTGGCTTTAGGTCAGGGATATCCATGAGAGCCATGTTCATAGTGATGATGTCAAATCCGTCACACTGGCAGCAATTAGTTGTATTCTGTGAGTATAGGTATCTTCCCTCTCTCTTCCGGAGTGGTAGTGCTACAAGAACGGACCGTTTCTAGAGATCTCGAGATAAATGCATCCCAGCACTGGGGATCCATGACGTCTAAGACTTCAAATGAGATTTTCCGGTCATGGTTGAGCTTCCCCTGCTGATACCAACTCTCTGTTCGTGCTTTGGCCTGTTCGAGCATAGGCCTGGAGCCGTCTGTTGCGATCACTGATGCACCTTCTTGAGCGAGCCATCGAGCTACTAGTCCGTTCCCTGTAGCAAGGTCGAGCGCATAAGCTCCATTTCGTCCTAAGGCCATTCGATCTAAAATCGGCAGCTCCAAGACAGAGAAATATTTATTCCCACTGTCACCCATAAGCCCATCCCAAGACTCCGCGTGAGCCTCCCATGCTGCCAGCGCCTGAGACTTGAGACCAACGGAGTCCATTTGAGGGTTTGTATTTCCTATCAGTGATTTGGGTGCAATGGTAATGATATGCAAAACCGTAGCAAAAGTCAAACGGATAGTAAAATGAAGGCAACGGTAAGAAAGAAGTCGACAAAGATTTTCCCAGTACTTGGGCACGCGTTCTTTTTTTGGATTAGGGAGACTACGGATCGGCGGGCGGGGGCTCTCGTATCTTCGTGGTCTTACATAAACTCATCGTGTCTAAGTTAGTTGTTGTCAGTATCTTCGACCCTATACCGAAGGTTAATAATAACTGGCCTCGGGGTCGCACGTGCGTTTGGTTAATGCTAAACAGTAACATGCCCACAACTACCTAATAGGGCTGAGTGCAGGCTGGCTCTCGGATGGCTGGTCTGCTTCCTCAACGGCGGAGACTGCCGGTAAGGGATGAACAGTCGGTATAACTCTCGTCAGAAGCAGCATGCAGCTAACGAACAATTAGGAAGCCAATCCTAGTGGCCAGAGGGCTCAGAAATTCCGTCTAAAATCGCGTGCTCTGTCGTTATCGGCCATTACAGCGTGATTCGAAATCAACTGCCGGCACTCATTCCAGAGTAAATACTACATACTATCCACAGGCTGTAGTCAGACCTGTAGCCTCGACCAACATGCATGCCTGTAAAAAACCTCCTTCTCATTCGAGGACGCCAAGCTAGAGTTACACAACCTACCGCTGTCGAGAATGATAGCCTCTATGAAGCCTGCACTCTTCATTGGGTCGAGTAGATAAAGCTCACGGTCGCAATCGATGCTTATAATAGCGAATCCACTGCGATGCCACGTTGGTCACTTTCTAGTTATTATCTGTCACCTTATAAAGTACGAGCATAAGCCCAATCTTGTCTATCGAAGGGAACATTCTAGCCTAGTTCCGCCAACGCTTTTTCAATGCTTTCCTCGACACGCTTAGAAAAGACCGATGCTATCTCAAGCACGGTTCCTCTGGAGAATAGGGTGCAGGCTAATTCTTTCGATGAAGTCTCTAGGCCTGGGATACAAAACGTGCACCTTGTCGCTCGCGATGAAAATGGAGAATTTCCTACATATGACCAGAGACTTATACCGGGTTACGATGCCAATCTCATGCGAGCTCGAGCAGCACTAAGTAGTGACGAAGAGAAACAAGTCCTCCGGCGGATAGATTGGCATCTCATCCCATTGCTAGCGGTGATGTATATGGTCAAGACAATTGACTCGAATAATGTGATACACCGTCTCCTATCTTCTAAAAGAAAATTCTTACAAGCAATTGCAGGTCTCCAATGCTCGCGTCATGGACAAAGGAACGCCGCAGAATATTCTGACGGAACTTCGTATTACCTCCAATCAGTACAATCTGGTGATGACGCTGTATTACGTGCGTTACGGCTCCTGATCGACTGTGAGAATATCTGGACTAATGCCATTAAAGATTCCATACATCCTCGCCGAAGCCCCTTCCAACCTTCTGCTGAAAGGGGTGCGACCTTCAGTATGGCAGGCCCGAATCATGGTGAGGTCACCACATCCTGACATTTGGATACATTTTCTAAATCCGGTAGATCTCGTGGGGTATCGTTCTCTGCTGCCATGCCGCTGTTACCAACCGACAGGGCTTATATATCGTTCGCTTTTTCCTCGGTCTCTTTGAGGCCGGTCTGTGGCCAGGGATGCTCCTGCAGCTATGCTACTGGTACCGTCCTGACGAGATGGCGCCTCGGATCGTTCTAGTAACGATACTGGGGAACTTCAGCTCCGTCATCAGCGGGGTCCTTGCTTTTGCCTTCAACGGGGTTCTCGCGGGAGGACTATCCGGTTGGAAATGGTGTTTTACATCCTCATCCGAAGGGATTGTCCGAACATGCTAACAAGTATCAGGCTGATTCTGACAGAAGGAATATTTACAGTTTTGCTTGGAGTTTTTGTCCTTTTCTCTCTCCCCGATTGCAAGTACAATCCCTCCTTTTCAACTCTTTATCTCCTCGACTAACCCGCCTATCAGTCCCAGCAACGGCTACCTGGTTGTCAGAAAAAGAAAAGGCCTTTATTCAGGCTCGACTACCCAACAGCTCTCCCCGAGCCTCCGAGGCGAACTTTGACCTGCACGAGCTCATCACTACTCTAAAGAACAAGAGACTCTGGCTGTTTCTCCTGTGCTGGGCATTTTTCACCATCGGGACTACTGGCCTAGTGTTCTACCAGCCTACGGTGATTGCTAACCTAGGTTTCACGTAAGTCGATCCTGTCTGAAGGCAAAACAACTTCTCACAACCTTATCCAGATCAATCGCCCAGACCCAGCTGCTCACTATTCCATCGGCCGTGTTTAGCGTTATTCTGACAATCGTGTTTGGGATCTTCGCAGACACAGGACGAATTCCCCAACCACTCATCCCACTGGGATTCCTGATTGCTATCGAAGCATGCTACGCCGTACTGTACACATTCCCCAACAACGGTGGAGTCTACGCAGCTACCATCATTGCCAGTGGTTTCTCTGCCGCTTGGTTCGTCCTCCTCCAGCCATCTGAAATCCAAGCAAAGTCTAATGAGATATAGGTATATTATGATGTGGCCATGGCGGGTCCAAACCACACAAGGAGCCACCGGCTCGGCTTTTGCCATTGCTTTTGTCAACAGCTACGGTCAAATTGGGGGTGCAGTGGGATCGCAGCTTTTTAACTCGCGGTATGCACCTCGATATACCACGTCGTTTGGCATTGCAATGGGGTTTGTTGGGATGGCAATTGTTATGAATATCGTTACTTGGTTCTTTACTTGGAGGGTGGACGTGGATACGAGGCGCTTGAAGAGAATCCGTATTGCGGCTGCGAAGAGGAACGAGGCGGTTTTGGACGATGTGGAAATTAGCGAGCGAAAGACGGAGAGATAGATAGGATTAGAGGAATAGGCGATTCAGTACTATACGATCCACCTTGTCCGTTGCATTTCTTATTGGATCTGATATGTTGACAGCCTGGGGCAGCAAGGCCAGACAGTCTCCGCTATTCCCAAACGGGTGGGTATGGAGGGGTGAAATTCAGCGGACTAAAAGTACAGCGTCATGAAGAAACTGCGGGGACCGAGAAGTGTTGCTCAACTCTGCAAAACAAGGCACTTCTACACCGGTGGACTGACGCAGATCGAGTTCTCATCGTCATATCCCGACCACTCCATCCACCTGAAAACATCCCAAGTGGGCAGGACTACGTCATTTCCGGCCCGCCGTCAACCACATTCTTTTTATCGTAAAAGCGACCTCACTACGCCATGACTTCTTCAAAGACACATCCCGAAATCATGTCGATAAACGTTCTTGTCACAGGAGCCACCGGTCTCCTCGGTCGGCAGGTATTCAAGACCTTTAAGCAGTCGGGATGCTTAGTAGTCGGCCAGGGCTTTTCGCGAGCAGTTCCGCCTACGATTCTCAAAGCGGATCTAGAAAAGCCAGAGGAGATTAAAGCCCTCTTAGTCGAAGCCAGGTACGTCTCTGTCTTACCGCTCATCTGGAATACAATCGATGCGACCGACTGTAATTGCTGAAATGCTGATTCTGTCATCTCCATTAGACCGCAGGTTGTGATTCATTGTGCGTTAGATCCCCATTCCCCGGTGGACCTCAATGGACTGACTGACTTGACTGGTGACAGGCGCTGCGAACCGCTCTCCCGATCTCTGTGACAAGGATCCTGAGCAAGCCCGTCGAGTTAACGTTGACGCTACGCGTACTCTGGCCGAAGCGACTGCAGCCACGGGAGCATTGCTCATCTACATCTCCACCGACTACGTGTTCCCGGGCACGGAGGGCCAGGCGCCGTATGAGGCCGATGCCGAGACCAACCCGCCGAATGTGTACGGCCAGCTGAAGAGGGATGGAGAGCTAGCGGTGTTGGAAGCCACAGAGGACAACCACCTGGGGCTGGTTCTGCGGGTGCCGGTGTTGTACGGGACAGCCAAAGACAACTCCGAAAGTGCAGTCAACACCCTTGTCGACGCGGTGTGGAAGGCCCAGGATGCGAACGCCGGGTTGAAGATGGACGATTGGGCCCAGCGGTATCCCACCAACACCGAGGACGTGGCCCGCGTGTGTCGTGACATCGTCATTAAGCATCTCCACGAGCGGTCGCAGAAGCGCGAACTCCCCCGCATCCTCCAGTTCTCGTCGGAGGATCGCATGACCAAGTACGAGATCTGTGAGAAGTTGGCGGAGGTGCTGGGAGTGTCGCTGGTCGGGATGACTCGGAATCAACAAGGAAACGACCCGAATGTCAGCGTACAACGGCCCTACGATACACATTTGTCCACCAGGACCTTGAAGGATCTTGGCATTGATGTGCGCACGATGGATTTCGTCGCCTGGTGGTAAGTTTCGCTGATTGAGATCGCCGATGGGCGCATGGCTAGTCGAGGAACTAACGCAAGGCTGCTGCATTTAGGCGAAGGAATTTGGACGCACACAAGAGATAGAAACACTACGGAGTACCGAGTAGTTATGGAATGAAAAGTCTGCTTCCATTAAGGAACACATACTCCGTAGATTGTAGCTGGCACTCTGTACCCAAGAGTTAATTAGTAACGACAATGCCAAGACAACTGGTCCCTAGAGCGGCAGATTTCCTTGGTTTCGGCGCCACTAAATCCAGCCTAGCATTCTAGTCGCGAATCCAGAGGAACAAAATCCCTTCCCCGGAAATTATGTATGGTGCGACCCATCTCATTCATCCAGGTACGGACTACTTACGGCATAGGATAAGCTGGTAGCGACATAGTGGGTTATTATTAGATCTCGTGGTCTTATTCTAAAGCCCGACTACATCACCAATTTCCGCAGCCGCCCCTTGCATTGACTATGATTGCTTTTCTGTCTCGTCTCACTGGATTGCGATTTCCCTCTTGGTTCTCTTGGTTCCCCCTTTTTCCCGACTATGAAGTGATTAAACACCGGTGAAACCAACTTGCAACCCTTAGGGGGTGGAGAAGGAACCAGAACCAGACTCTGGGCGAGAAGGAAAATATAATAAAAATTTAAAAATAAAAAAAAAAAAATTCTCCTCCCTTGTCCCTTGTTTCTTCTCCCTGCAACCTAAAAAACAAACCCGTGCTAGCCCTCTTCCCTCCACCTTCTTTACTCTTCCTATCCATTAATTGCTCCTTCACCTTCGAAACCTCTCCATCTCGTGAAAGCAAATTCGCCAAGTCAAACTTCTGAAGATCTGGCTCTGATCGACGGTCCGACTGCTAGATCCGACTTCGTGGGGGGGGCTTTTTTCCTTCTAGAATGTCTCTCGTGTTCACGCGACCTTCCTAAACACTGAGTGGGATAGAGAGAGGGGAAGGAAAGAGAAAAAAAAAAGCTCCAACCCCAACCATCCAAGATGGCCATGGAAAAACAGGATGTGACTGGCCAGGGCGCTCCCGTCAAATTTTCCCGTTATCGATCTGTGAGAAAAGCTGCCTCCAAGATGCCCCAGGAGGTGGTTCCTGTGCCGGCGTCGCTGCCGCTTCCGCCGCCCCCCCCTCTGCCTGTGTCGTCTACCTCCGACCCCTCGACACGCGCGACCGCTGGTGGGATGAATCGAAGCATGTCGCGATATCGTCGCCAGAGAGCCCCAACCGCCGCCTCATCGGATGCAACTCAACCTCCCGTCCCGGATCGTGCTGTGGCGTACAGAGCACATGCGCAGGGGAGTCGACCAGGTAGTGTGGATGCTCCGCGCGGGGCTGAATATACGGAAGATCCGAATCGGAGGAATGCGACGAAAGCAAATACGACTATGAGGGAACGAATCGAACCTACGGAAGAGAGTAAGGACGAAGCGCTGCGAGAGAAACACAGGCAGGATGCGATGGATCGCTTGACGGGGGGAGAGAAACCCCGCAAACCGATAATACGCGATAGGGAAGCCAGGTATACGGAGGAGCGACAATATCGCTCCCAGGGGGACAATGTCACCAGCAGACGTCGATCGAGTCAGGAGCCCAAACGGGTTTCCCTCAAAGAATCGGCAAAATTGACATATCCAAAGGATCAGACCGGCTATGAAGGCTCGGAACAAGTTATTGATTCCGGCTTAGGAAATCGTCCGGCTGGGTTTGACGCCCCCGTCTCCGCAGTCAATGCTGGTGAGCGACATGTTGTGGTGCAATACCGAAAGACGTCGATGGATCTGACGGTCACTCCGTCTACCTCGGCTCAGGATCTCCTGTTTACTGCGTCGGAGTGTTTAGCTGGCGAAATTGACCCCCAGAAGTTCATCCTAATGGAGTCGTTCGCCGAGCTCGGGCTGGAGCGGCCGCTGCGCCGATACGAATACGTGCGCGAGGTCATGAACTCTTGGGCCCATGATCGTCAGAATTCGCTGCTTATTGTCCCTGCTGCCAGTCTGGAGGCCCTATCGCTGCTGGATGCCCAATGTGTTCCGTCGGAGCAACCTGTGGAAGTGACGTTGCACATGTACTACTCACAACGTCCGCGCAAGTGGGATAAACGGTTTGTTACACTGCGCTCGGATGGACAGGTGACGGTGTCCAAGAAGGAGCAGGGGCAGGAGCAAGCCAATGCATGTCATATGTCAGATTTTGATATCTACTCGCCCACTCCGGGCTATTTGTCCAACCATGTGAAACCGCCCAAAAAGATCTGCCAAGCTGTCAAGAGCCAGCAAAAATCCAACATGTTTCTGTCCACCGAGAATTTTGTGCACCACTTTGCGACCAATGATAAAGCTATCGCTGACGCCTGGTATCGGGCGGTTCACACCTGGAGAAGCTGGTATTTGGTGAACATGTTGGGCGCCGGCAACGAGGAAAAGGCAGCCGTCGCTGAAGAGATTCCCCCCGCGTCCAAACCCTTCAAGCCCCTGTTGGATATGGACTCTCCGGAAAGCTCAAGTGGTGAGGGGAAAAGATCGTCCAAATCCAAAGAACTATTTTCGCGCAAGAAGAGCACCCGAGAGCACGCACCTCCGCCGTCCTCTTTCCCCAAGTTGCTGGCAGACGAGCCTGATCTAGCGCCGCCGCCCCCTCCACCGCTGGACGATTCACCGTTCAACTCGTCGGGTCTTCTGGGCCGAAGTTACACGCTCCGCCAACGTGCCATGAAAGAGCGGGAGGAGCGAGAGAAGAAAGCCAGAGAAGAACCGTTTGTTGCACAGGGATTGATCAGCAACATGGGACGACGTCCAGCCAACGCATCGACCAGCCGACCGAACAGTCGATCCAACACGATGACCTCGACCCAGGCGCCCGATCCCACCGGTCTCAAGCGATCCCAATCGACACACAAGAACAAACCCTTGGTGGATTTGACGCCGGTCTATCAGGAACCCCCGCAGCATACCCGAAAGGGCAAAGGGGTGGCCGTCGAACCCGGCACGCTCTTGATCGATGCTGCGACAGGTCGCGAAGCCCCAGGAGGCATCGCCGTCCCATCCGCCACCACCTGGCGACGACCGGCGCCCGAACTACCCGCGCCCAATACTGAAATCCGGACGCGCAATCGCTCCAACACGACCCGCAGCAACTCCAATCACTCGCATCACTTCCACACGTCGACCGCCCCTGCATCGCCGATTTCACCAGTGGACGCCCATCCGCGCGTAGAACCATTCATTCCCAATAGTCTTCTGTCTCGCTCTGCGCAGCTCGCCACGATGCAGAACGGAGTGCCGGTGGGCCATGGAGTCGCCACGGGGGACCGCATGGCCACAAAGCCCATGCTGGACATGTCGCCGGAAAATCCCTTCACGCATGGTAGCTTGCTTCGAGGACTGTAACCGCCCCGATTGGAGATCTGAATTATGATAACGAACTGCATTGTAGAGCTTGGAGTTGATGGGGTGTGGAGATATCCTTTTTATCCACCTTATGATTTTTTTTAAAAAAAATTTCCTTCCGATATCTTGAATCCATATAGGATTGGCATTGAATCGTGAATAAACTATGAAACTTGATTTTCAATTTGTCTCCCCTGTACTCCGCAGAGGCTACTGAATTGTAGAAATTGTTGTTATCAGATAAAGGCAGGATGGTGTGTAGATTACTACTTTTCTATCACCTGACCTAAAGAGTTTACCTTTCTACTTTGCTGATCCTTTCTTTTATTGACCGTGCCGCTTAATGTATTACTAGTATTCAACCACCTCGATTAATGAAGGTCTGATTCTTCTAATCTAAGGAAACATTCAAGAATTTAAATACATAAGAAGTAGGGTAAATTGGAATGATAAAATATGACGACATTATGGCGAATAATGAATGTTTGAGCAGACGCTGAACAATCTATGTTGAAACGGAATAGCGGTATCTAAAGGTTGACATCTTTTAACTACCATCTCACTATCTGGTCCTCCAGCTCCAGTGAACACCCAGACAGCTGGTCCAGATTCCATTTATATCGCCCGTGTTGCCAGGGACACTTGACCACGAAGTTTCCGAGGCGGTCGCCATCAGGAGAACTGCCGTGTATCGCCAGTATGGTCGATGAACACGTATGCGTGAGTGCAGAGCCAACTTTGGAGCTGAGGTTGAGCATGCCGCGATAGACGGAGATCTGGGGTTTGTTGGTCTTGGAGAGCAATGTGGACTAAAGAGGTGAGTGAGGAGGGCGGTGTTGGGAGTGGGAAGGTGGTAATGATGACGAGGTCACTGAAGTACTGTGTGGGGATTAGTGGTTGAATTGGCGTTTGAACCGGTGGCTGATATTGTACTGGGTGAAGTAGAGGTTGATATTGGACTGGAGGCTTGAAAAGGTAATTGTTTCCCCGGATATGGAGGTGGTATATTGTTGGGTGGGGGTGTAAGGATTGGAATAGCAGGAGTTCATGTTGAAGTATAGGACCCAAGTTGTAGATTGGAGGGGATTGACCATGGACTGATATGGCTTCCAGTGAGACTACTTATACTAGCACCGTCCAGCTTAATGGAATGCTCATCTGTACCAGTTTGAATTGACACTGCGCTCGGCCTCAAAACTGCAGAATTATTACCCAGAGCGGCTGGCCAAGACTTTAACACTATGCTAGAAGAAGGTGAAAGTGCTGTGGCTCATCCTGCACAACGTGAGGTCAACCTGCTTGGTACGTTACTATATTACGCTGATAGTGCTAGTTGATGATGGCTTATACGATTTAAATGGTAACACCCCTCTATAACATACACCTAAGTGCTGAAACTCTATTCCAACACTGTCAATAAATCTCACCAACATTCCCAACAAATCCCAGCGGCGCCAACTTCAGTCGCAAGGTATCAAGTTTCCGGGCCAACCAGACTGCCATTTCCAACCACCTCACTTCTTTAAAGTCACTCTGGTAGTCTGCGATCATTGCCTCTGCTTGAACGCGCTGGGATGCGTCCGTTGATGCCGCCCAGGCGGCCACCAGACAGAGTGGCATATAGCTCGCTCCGATAGGTCTGTGTCGACATGCCTCGTGTGCAAGGCTCATGAGCTGGTCGAAAAGACATCCCGAATTTTGAAGTATGACCACGTCATCGGGGTCAAATTCGCGAAGCATGCGATTCAATATGATTGCAAATGCCAATAACATGCCATACATAGCCTGATAGCGAGTAAGCAATCTTAGGAGAGTTATTGGCGAGGAACCCACGGCTTCGGCGGCTGCTATTTCACCGGTGGTTTTGTCGACAAGACGACGCAGCTTTGGCAGGTCTACAAGCATCGTTTTGTAGGCAGACTCGATTTCAAAGACGTGAAATTCCGGTTCGCGGACATACGTCGATATATTCGCAAAGTTCTGCAGATGAAGGCTCGGATATGGATGCATCCTTTGAGGTCGGGTGGAAAATATTCTTTCGGCTAGTTTCCCGAGCCATGGTTCCAATTGGATATTCGGGTTGAAAGTGCTCTCGAAAATCTGACATTGTGAGACGGGGTCAGGCAGCTATTCTAGGCTTCATACCGCAATTATCGAGAATGTCAGCAGCATTTCGTTTGTGAAGCTGCCCTGCCAGTTTTGCATTACTGCCATATGTAATAACTGGGCCATTGGTTCCCCGTGGTTGACACATTTATCGTCATTTCTACAGAGCCAGCTCTGTCGCAGTTAGAGTCAGTCTATCGATAAGGATACAAGCGCGAACCTGGCAAACCACAATCAGGTAGATCCCGCAAAGGGCCTCCATCGTCCGCATCTTTACCGGATCCTGCAGGCCGAGTCGAAGAGTCTTCAAGGCATTCACGTATTTATTCAGCGCCTCGGGAGATGGTTGGCTGGTACGCAGCGATGGATATGCATAAGTGAGGGCTGTAACCGACGCATCCAGGACGTCGTTCGTGCCCAACCGTCGGGGTATATCCTTCAAGAACTCCCCGTAGTAAGTAAGCTCATACCTTACATCTGTGATATCCAGGATCGTGACGAGCGCACTAGCCGTGGCCGTCCCTTCGCTGCTGGGTGAATGTGGAACTTTACTAGGGGACAGTGACCCTTGGGAGCGAATTGGCGTACCCCGGATGACCATCTGCTCTTTGAATTTGTAACGCTGCTGGCCGTTGCCTAGGCAGGGGATCTGAAGACGGGTGCATCGAGAACAAGATGGTTGGAGTTGATCGCACTTTGCAGTGAGCGAGACGAGCAGAGAGGGGGGTGGTACAGCCCAACCTTTTTCTTCTGTTTGCGACAGGCTTCGCAGCCTCGACTCGAGGGAACTCCAGGCATAACATCAATCCTCAGGAGAGCTGAATAACATTTTGGGGATGGATACTTCGTATTTGAACAGTGGGAGATGACGCAGCAAGAGGGACAGCCTTGCCTTGGCGCTCTCAGCTGGCTTCCCAACGACTTTCCAAAATGGGATAGCTTCATCCAAGTCAGAGGCTAACGCAAATGTTAATTTAGTTAACTACCAGGAACAATTCTATCTTCCATCCATCCAGCTGCTATTGTCTTTAGAGGTGAACAGGCGACACTGGGAATGGCTTAGTTTCAATATACTGTCACAAATAGCGTATCTCCATCTTTTACTCTGGATTATTCCCGCAGATCTCTGCCCTCCACTGTTTGTCCGGAAAAATGGGTGGCTATGCCCAACCTCTCTGGTCTAATATATGCAACTCAACTAATCTAATGGGTGAGGTGTGAAAGGAATATTGTATTTCTAACTGAAATCTATCAGGAACTCGCCTCTTCGCTTTTTATGTGATGTAGAAGTATCAACCCCAATCAATACTCAACCCTCTCGGCGCGGTCAGTCGGCGAGTAGCTATGTATACCAGCCGTCAGGTTCGACTGGATGGACAAGTACGTGGAAGGAGCCCTTTCTGTACCAATTTGTGGCATCTGTACTACTGGCAGGTACCTCGTCACAGCCTGGCGAGCGAGTTGGAATGGAGTGGCAGCACTTCATACAGACAGGAGTGGACTCCTGCGTCCTCCGACCAAGTTGGTTTTTGGGTATGCCCGTTTAGGCCTTGTGTTTTGGCAGTCTACTAACCTTGAACCTAAAAGAGAACCTTTCGAAAGAGGCCCCCCACTTCCTGATCAAAGACCAGTAAGACCTACACAGCCTGTGTGGCGAGAAAGATTCCATTCGTCAACGCCACAGATATCGTAGCAGTGGCTTACAGCCCTAACGGATGCCAAATCCCATAACTGTGACCACGATCATCTTAGGCCGCGAGCTCCTGACCTATGACGAAATCGCGCAGAAGCTTAGTGTGACTCTCGGACGAAAGATCGAGCAGGATCGCCTTTCGGATGAGGACCGATGTCAGGGACTAGTAAATGCCGGGGTATCTAAATATTATACTCGCTTCCTTACCAACACAGAGGTAGCTTCGTCTACCAGATTTAAAACCCATCTAAATGATGAGGTGGAAAACGTGACTGGTCGTCCGACAAGTTCTGATATCTTTGTGTCGGATTACCGCCCAGTTTGGGTTTAGAACAGGCCATGGAAAGTTTTCAAGTATAATTTAACTGTAACCCTCCTATATATCAATAGTAACCTCATTTTTAGAGCAATTGGAAGACCTTAGCCAGTGAATTTATTTGCTGCTGGCGCGTCATTCCAGTTGCAGATATATTACAACTCCACTATACCAGGAGTAAGCTGGACACTTTGGCCGAGTGGTTAAGGCGCAAGCCTGCTATTATGTTAGCTTGTGGGTTCGCCCGCGTGAGTTCGAGTCTCACAGGTGTCGATATCTGTTTTCTTTTTTTTCTTCACTCCTTTATTATTGCACTATCAATTCAACTTCCCTTTATAATCTTATGCAACGAATTAATCTTTCTTTTCGGGCTGTAAGTGGGTGTTCCGTCGACATAGATTAAACTTGTTCTTTACCATGAATAGAACATCAAGACAAATCATCATGTACGCGCCAAGACAATGGTCCCGACAGCAATGATAAATGGATAATACAGCTAAATATGTAGGCAAATATAACCACATTTTGGAATGGCTAGTGATATGGCGGCAGTCCACGGTCACGCTCCGTCGCCAGGGTTGTTTCTATTACTTCTCCATCTACAATTCCTGCCCTACATATCTATAAATCTCCGAACCACTATTGATGTAGCTATCTGTATATAGTTGCTCTGCCAGTCCATTAAGATTACCATATTCCATATACTCAAACCAGAGTCCATAGCCATAAAATAGTGAGTCATTTTCAGGGGCAACGGTACAATTAGATAGTCACCCGATTCATAAATCCAGTGCCTTATGTGGTTGCCAAAATCAAGAAAAAATGAATGGCCATTGATATTGCGAATTTTCGTCGCGACAATGTAAACTTCATATATAATGTGAAAACCCCTGAGTGGGTACTAAATGCATTTGACACTTTGGCCGAGTGGTTAAGGCGCAAGCCTGCTATATGCTAGCTTGTGGGTTCGCCCGCGTGAGTTCGAGTCTCACAGGTGTCGTCATTCTTTTTATTCCTACCTACTATAGGTAGTTATCTGTTCCTGTATAGAAGGACCTGTGTTTGAACTGTAATGGTTGGCCCTATATCTAACGTTTGTGCAAATTTTGGGGTTGAGTGGTCTACGGGCAAGGACAAGATGTTCTTCAAGCCTAGACTAATAGTCGCCGAGTATTGACTGACATCGATTCGGAAGTTCAATCACACTATGGATTCGCTGCCATTCATTTCCATGGATGACAGGGGTTTGAGACTAGGTCCTTAGGCAATCTCCGATAGCTGTTACTCGAATCTGTTGGCTGATAGCCTAACGCAGGTCGAGATAATCAGCCTCAAGGGTGTACATAACGCTCGTGCAAACTAACAGCAGATTATTTAAACAACCTGATTAGCTGTCTAATTTACAAACATCAAATCATATATCTGGCCAAGTAATTAGGTCAGATAGCAGGTTGCCGAGGAAAGGTAAGGCTAATATCAAAATAACAATAGAATAATAAATAAAAGTGTGCCCCTTGGTCATATGCTCGCAGCTACTTTCAAAAGAAGGAATTCCTATGCATACTTGGAAGTTGATATCATTTATATATGGTAGTAAGTTAAGCAAGCTGTGAGAAATTGCATATATAATTTACTCTGGGTTTCAAACTCATAACCCAACATCTGTTGGCCCTTCTTTGCCTACAACTATTAATATCTTGTCTTACAGTAGCAGGATTTTCAGACTCAGAGCTAAAGCATTTATGCCCGAGATATCTTGCGAAAGGAATAGATTTATTGTAACCACTACTTGGTAATACCTGCGGCTCCATGTGTAAGTCGTGATTGCACTAACAGTACCACCAGCACGATTGTAGGGCGTAGGGTCCAAGATATTAGAATAGAGCAGTACAATGTATCATTAACAGCAACCCTCTGAATGGCCAACGGCTCCTTGACTGGCTTGTTCCCAACCCCAACAGCTTCTAGTTCTTTCCACAGGCTGTGGGCAGTGGGGAATGTGTCTTTAGTCCATATTTTCAATCGTGATAACTAGTGAATTAGAGGGAAATGGTAGAACTCCGGAGTAGGTCAAGGAGGGACTCTTAGACAGCTCAGAAGTTGTGGGCCCGGAGCCCACAAGTTCCCGGTAGGAGAGAAGACAACATTCCCCTTACGCAGGTGTGTTCTGTGGTCTGCAAGAAGGTTGTTAATTGTCTATTACCTCTTCGAACGAGGACTTCAGATAATCGCTATCTATACAAATGTCACGTGCCAATCCCCCGAATTCCTCCACTACACTAGCCAACACTTTAAGTATTGGGAAGGTCCTCCCTTCATAGCTAGATACCATGGTTAAGTTCTGGTGGTGTGTTTTTAAAAATGCTAAATTCACATTTACGGTTCCCAGTTGCCCCAGTGTCTGTCTGTATGAAATATCCTCCATATTTTGCCTTCCCCATACAGGTATCGGGAGGCATTTTCATAGATTCCGTAAAGTCACAGAGTTAAGAAGGACGTTGCTGCTGGCAGTGTCAGCCACGATAATGCGCTGGCTATGGATATATGTGAGAGAGCGAGGAATTAACCAAAACCAAGAGAGTTAAAAAGCTTTAGATGGCTTATTTAGACTCAAGTAAGAACGTAGGTCCCCATTCTCTATTAAAAGAAGCTGAATAGCTGTCTCAGAAAAGCCAAGGAAGGTAACAACACTATCTTACTTTCCTAGGCGCCGATAGATAGGCTTTTCATGCTGGAGAGACTCAATATTTGTCTTTACATCATCACTATTTGTGCTCCATCTAAGAGGTATCTTGACAGCAAACTATCCCTGACGGATAACCAGTCCAGTTCTTCCAATACCGAGGATTTGCTCCTGAGGAAAAGAGCTGATGGAATCGGCATGATGGGAGGACATCGATGTTATTAGCTGCGAGCACCCTCGTAGAAATAGTGGGATCATGTAAGGCAGGAATGTGTAGGAGTACTTAATCTAAATAAAAGTACAAGTACTTTAACCACACTGATGTGGCATGCATGATATATAAGAGGTGGTCGTAACGACGCGTTACTAAGCCCTGGCTACTCCAGACTATAAGAATCATATATTGGCGGGATCATCCTTCTAGTCAGCGATACTGGTTGTTCCTTTCGGCCTCTTAAGTTGAGCCAATTTAGGCTTGACCACAGTGTATCTAAGGTAGGAATATGCTGGACTTATAGCCCCTTTTCACAGGCGGTGGAAAGTCGTCGTCCCTAAATTTGCAGCTCAAAGATTCTGAAGAGTGTCTTTACCAAGAAAGACTTCCGCCCAGATTGAGAATATCGCCTCAAATTGTACCACGTCCTAAAGTCAAGTCTGAAGAAGGGATTTGATATGTCAACAACAAGAAATGTCCGGGACATCCAGAGCTCCTAGCAACATACTACAGTCGCTATCACTCTGCAGGCCTTATCATGCACGTTTTGCGCCATCCTGAAATTCCTGTTAATGTACAAATAAATTTGCCTTTAGAATAGAAAATATCACTCTCAGAGAAGACTGAATACGTTTTAAACTGTTTTGAGGTCATTTCAGTGCCAGTCATGTACTAACTATCCCGCTGCGGATTAGGCAGATAGACTGAAAACTCCTGTGTCCAGAAGCTGTAGACTACCCATTGTATATAAAAGAATTGGTGGGAAAATCTTTTATCATATAAAACATGGGATGGTAGGACACGCTCTTCCTGAGGTGCTATGGCAGGTTGAAAACTATTATATAGAGACTCTCTCAGAGACCAATTAATTAATATCTGCGGCTATAGCCACGAAGAAGTTCAGATATTATAATAATTTTCAGCGCATGACATACAGAGCTTTCTTTGTATAGTTTCAGGGGAGGACGGCTTAATTCAAGACAAGTTCTTTCACCCAAGTGCATAAACTTTTAGTCACAACGCGGGTAGGCTATGTCCGGCAATTTTTCCAGGTCTTTTATCACACGTACTTTGGGCTGTTCATCAATATTTTGGGAGAGATATTTCCCTTTTTAAAAGGGGAGATTACCACGATGCTGTATATCTTACTGCGGTGACGGTGGATACTATCAGTGATGTGGTCGTGTTAACACTGAGCTTGAAACTCGGCCACCAGTAGAAATTTCCATCCAGAATTTAGTATGGATCTCAAATCAGTGTCTGGGAAGACCGAGGGATAATTCTCTGTTTATATTGCTATTGAAGTTCGTAAAATCGTTAAATATATTGTTGTTTTAATAGTATGCATGTGTGTCTTTATCACAACGTACTCTAGAAATAGCATTTAGAGCTTGCTAAACTATAGTTTTTACTAGAGTCCCTGTACTAATTTGAATGGAGTTCGAGTCTCACAGCTGTTGTCATGCTTTTTATTTTCTTAATTGTATTGTCTATCTACGTCTACCGTCAATATGATTGGGAGATAGTGAGAGAGGAGAGAGAGGATGCTTAGGTAAATGTCAACCTTGCAAGAGTTATCACCTCCTTATCAGGCAGTTTTGCTTATTTTGATCTAATCACTAAGATTAATTTTCTTCCGTTGTATGTAGAAGCACGTCCATCTATACCTCTTTGTAGATCTGGCCAATATCATCACGGACGAGTCCTGGTGATGATTCTAGGAGTAGGTCTCCGCAACAACAATAGCCCTCATCTCCTATCCTAGTCATTTAAGGATTAGTCATATCCGGAGAGGCGTGGCATATTTACAAACCTAACTGATATACCGACAGACCGAGGAAGTCGCCTGAAACCCAGTTAAACAGGCAACAGATATTAGCACTCGCACACAGCCATCAATCCCTTATTAGATACCTTACTAACAATTCCCCCATCAGATGGATCTGCCAGGCCGGTGGTACAGCCGGACGTCACAAAGTCCGCAAGGCCGCCAGAGGCAAGTGCCAATATAACTAATTATAATAAATAGTAACAATACATTCCTGGAACAAAAGGATAATTGCCTGGCTGCTATTAATTATATGGAAGACCAACCTGTGAAGATGATACAGGCCGCCCGCGAACCTATCCTGACAATGACCCTAACAGGAACCTAGGTACTTTGGGGGCTATCATCACTACAATAACAACGCGGGGTGTAATGCTCGAGGACGAGGTGGTTAAATAGTCTGCTAGGAGTCGGTACTGTTGTTGTGGATTAAAATGGAAACTCTCCCTCAGGCAGTACGCCCTCCTTTTTCCTCTTTTATAGAAGGAGCTAGAACAGGAAGGTGAGTCCCACGTGCATACCTTCGTCCAATTTTTCAAACTGCCTATCTTCCACGCATATTCATACGCACCTTCAGTATATTATTGATTGTGGTTTAACTAACTGATGGTTGGAATCGAGCTCTTTCTCTGCTATATAATTGAATTGTTGGAGTATCTTGTGAAATGGAAAGGCTGTGGTCTCCCAGATGGTACGTAGGAGCCAGAAGTGAGCCTCGAAAGTGGTAAAAGCACCCTTCAAGAATATAAAACTGTCTCTAAAATATGGAAACAGCCTTCTTTATATTACTGTTTCTTCGTATGTTGGTCTTCTATCTATCTTTGTATTTTCCTTTCTATGTTTTTTTTTTATTTTTTATTTTTTTGTAGTTTTATTGTGTTAATTACAACTGCATACTAATATTTGCTTTCCATTTAAATATATACTACCCTCAAGCCACTCAGTTGCTTCACCCTCTGGTCACCATCTCATATACCTATGTCCTTCTCTTCTTCACCTATCCACATTCATCCTTCTTTTATATCTACCGGAAGAACAACATTGCCCTGGTTTCATAACACTTCCCATTTATTTTCCCACTTGCTTACTTTTTGTTATCTGTGGGGTCGGTAACGAGCTGAATGGTACGCTATGGTGCGAATGGGAGTATCTATATGGGAGGGAAGATGGAACCATGTATATTTCAGAACTAATCGAGGATGCGATTCTAAACACTTCGCACCTGACTAAGTATCTTGGCTAAGGATCTGGCTATCGCGCTTCTTGCGCTCCTACCACTTTTTCACAACCAATTATTAAGAATGGGTAGTAAAACCTTTTTTGTGTTTAAGGAAATAGCTGTTTTAGATTTAGCGGATATCACATGACACTTTGGCCGAGTGGTTAAGGCGCAAGCCTGCTATTTGCTAGCTTGTGGGTTCGCCCGCGTGAGTTCGAGTCTCACAGGTGTCGTCATTTTTCTCTCTTTTTAGTCTCTCTACGTATACAGTCCCTGGCCTATCGTCAAATCAATCTCCGAACACCGCCATGTAGGCACTTACAATAGTCATATAACTAGTGGCCAGTTTGCAAATTGTAGTTCCCCATATATCTATTACAGCGCCCATATTATTTTAGATTTTTAGTGTTTTAATACAGTATAAATAATAAAATACAGTCCAGATTGTAGTTGGTTATCCTTTTTGAGACATCTAGGCTAAGACTGGGAAAGGGGATGCGTCGCTGGTAATCATTAATAGCAGACTGCTGTCTGTGCGTAATTCCATACAGGGTCTCCCATAGCATTCGTAGCAGTGATGGCACAGAGAAAAGCAAACGGTCGTTGGAACGGGCTGACTTGATCTGTGCTGGCCTGGCCTTACCCGTATGTTAAACCATATCGGGAGTTATGTCTTTGGCCAAAGGCTTATAGAGTTATCTCCTTCTTAGATTCCTTAGGCAAAGCCGCAGAAAAGGTTGTTGCAAATAGACTCTCCTATCTCGCTGAGCTGCCTCAATCAATCATACATATACCATGACCAAATGGGACGTAGAAAGAGAAAGTCTGCAATTGATACAGTGCTATCAGTGGTACATGATATAGAGCTAGCAAAACATAGAAAGAAAGTTTTGATGCCTTTTTTTCTATATGTAAAAGGGGCTTCTAACCATGTCTCTCTGAATCGGCTACTTAGAATTTGCCTAAAATAAGGCCTTCCATATAGTTTGATTAGATGGATTAAATCATTCATGTTAGATAAGAATCAAAAACACAAGTAATTGACTTCAAAAATTATTTATTCTACTGATGCCCGCTAATGAGACGTGACGGAGGAGAGGGGAAACACACCCACTACATCGGCCATACGGCAATCTGGATCGTCTCCATCGACAGCGAAGAGGGCTGCACGGGTGACCACTGCCTCACGGGCCACAATGAGGTATCATGAACACAGAGTGCTCGATGATTGCTGACCTGGGCACGACGGACACAGGCACGGGCACCTTCTACTTCTGGTACAGCGGCAGCTCTTCTCATATGATGAGAGCTCGCTGACCTATCCTTTGTCCTGGCAGCTTACCGGCACAGACGCAGGCGCGATCTGCACCGCGTTTAACAATAATAGCTGCGATAATAGTGACGGCGAAGAGCAGGCGTACATGGCTTACAAGGGCTGCATTAACTATAGCAAGAACTTTGACACGGAGACCTGGGTTGCTTTGAAATATGGTATTTAGATGTATGTTTAGGAAATGTGGTAGGGACGGAGAGAGGAAGAAATTGCAGCTGATGAGGAGAGCTGATGATGCGTTGGTGGAGTGGATTATTCTGTCTGGATTGGTGGCGAGCATTTGGACTAGGGGGATGATGGAGGCTGGGGTTGAGCTTGTGTCTGTTTTGGGGGATTTAATTTTATACACAAAATGCTTGGAGATGATGATACCTTGGCTACTTAAAGGCAGCTGAAGCTGCTTCAAATCGTATGATCAATGTACATTAGTTAAATCGCCAATGCTAGGCATATCTAAACCACCGACTCACCACCAGCTTAAACGCATGAATCACCAAGGTTGCACACCATCCCTTGTAATAACCTTCCCAACATCATCATGCCGTTGACCTTCTAGCACACCTCGAATAAAAGGACCCGCAATCTCCGGATCACCAGCCCCATCTCCAGGATTTCTGGATCCCTGCTTATACCAGTTCCCAGAAGCCCGGGAGAAATAGCCCATACTTTCACTCCGTCTTCCCTCAACATGCGGTACCATTCCCTCATCAGCATGTTCAGCCCGCACTTGGCGCTGCGGTATGCCGCAAAACTAATCCCTGACTTGGGCCAGCCATTCGGTGGATTATGGTTTGCAGTTAGCGCAGTGTTATCGAGTGTGGACGTCCCCGACGTTAGAAATAGAAGACGTGGGTCAGGACTCTGGAGCAAGAGTGGCATGAAAGTGGATGTAAGGACTTGTGTGCCAACGGTATTGACATTCCATGACTGGTTCCATGCTTCTTGCACAGTTAAGTTGCCTGCAGCGAGCGATCTATCGAACTGGGCCCCTGCAATGTATATCTTAGTTACAGGAATTCCTTCTTCATTTATCAAGTTAAGACCATTCTGGGACGAACCGGCATTGTTTATCAAAGCATCGAGTTTTCCAAACTTCGACTGTACCTCAGTGAACGCGGATTGGATTGAAGCGTCATTCTCAATGTCGATCTGAATGGAAGAGCTGACTCTTGGATGTTGGAAATTTGTCTTTGATAGTGCTGATGGCTGACTGTGCCTTTTCTAGCGACCTTCCACCAACTAGGATGTTGTATGCTTGCTTGGAGTCGTATAGTGCTCTTACGATCTGGAAGCCTATGCCGCTGTTGGCACCTGTGACCAGGATAAGTTTGGATGCCATAGTTAAAATTTTCTTCAATCTATTGTGCTTTCAATTTTCTAATGTTGGAGAGATTGAAATAGCTATGATCTCTGACCCCACTGAGCGGGAAATAAGGAAGAGTATCGGACTTAACACTTGGACTGCGAATTATCCAGAAACAAAGGAAATGCCAAACAATATGGCTATACGTGGCAAGGATCATGTGATTAAGGAGGGGTCAAAAAGGCCATCAACAAGAGAAAGGACATGATCAGAAGAATAATCAGTAACCATCAGAATAATCATTAAATCATCAATATAATCAAGAACTCAACCAGCTCAAATCGTTCACATATAACCTTTTTACCAATCGTACTCTATTTACTATTCTAGACTAGCCGGATATCTAACAGGAAATAGAACGAAGGTTAGCCTAGCTCCGAGCAGTAGGTGATTTAAATGGCGACCTGGTGTTTGATTTCATATTTTAAAAACTGTACTGTAGTAAACGTATGACCGCATTCCACTAGAGAAGGATTTACACCCTCACCAGACATTTTACCATATCCAATTAGTTAGACATCCATATAGCACGCATTGGCATTCCACCGGTAGGCGTTGGACCCCGTCCCACTCAGCGTAGCATAGGAAAAACAGCCATAAATATTCGGCTCTATGGGAGACTGGAGATTATACGCCAATTCAAAATCAGAGACCCGGACTGTCAGTAGCAGTACTAATTTGAGCTTTATAAGTGCTAACCTGCCCCGTACAGTTCCCCCCCTTCCTATCTCTAACGGCCTCCAAGCGTCAGGTGGGACATTCTGTCTTGAGCCAGGCACGAAGCGGTCCGGATCAAATTTGTCTGGATTGGAGAAAATATCTGGTCGACGGTGCATGGTGGTGTGAATAGAACAACCTTCTGTGTTTATGTTAGAATAGGTAAAAAGAACTCTTGGGAATGAGAAACGTACTATATGGTCCCGGATGAAATATCTTTGGCAATATTTCAATATTATCTTATCACTCAAAGGTCAGCGCCTGTCCCTTTTTAAACTATTGTGGGAGATTGCCTTTTTTGCTTGTTTTAGAGTAAAACCCATAGAAAACAGGCGGAGTGTTTCACGACTGTGAGGGTGAGGGCCGGCCAGTTTAATCGTTCGGATTCGTTTTCAGCCACTGCAAGGTAAAATTTCGGTCCGGGTTGAAAATACTGTCATGTTCTTTCTCATGCTCTTCTTGTCCCCGTCTTACAATATCTGCTGATATAAAAGCATGAATCAGTACTTCAATGCAATCATTAACCACCCATAAGTCATATAGAGATGTTTGTTGGGTGTTATGTATTTACAGAGAGAATCGTACTGCCAACAATTGCGGCCAGTAAAGCACCAGCACAGCTTCAACGTACCATGTTAACCATGTAAATCATTCTGCGTAGATGCCCTAGCATCTTTTCGCCCTCCTGATGATGCGCCCTATCCGTTCCCCCACTGGCATCACCGCCACCCGGTCGTTAAGACAGCATGGGCACTAACCCTCGCTGATCAGACAGGACAGTCGGATATCGTCTTCACGCAGGTCGTCAGCGGACTGTCCATACCCATCGCAGGCATCGACAACGTGGTTGGACAGTGTAATCGACTCCTACCGCTCCCTGTCTGGTAAGACAAGAAGAACCAAGCTGTTGCAACGGGTGCAGACCCAGCATGTCGATAGTCTTTTGTTCCAGGGAGTGTATCTCCGTGATATCATCCAACATAGTACTTCCTAGCCGGTAGATACACCCTTTGGAATATTTTTCTGCGTCAGAATGTGGAGTATCCGATTCCGTTTGCCATAGGCGAGTTGCGCCGCCTCGTCCTATTCCTCTGACAGTGGTGTCTATGGTGGAGAACATCGTGTCGTTATTACTTGTTCGAGTGATGTGGTGGATCAGGAATGTCTGGATGGGTTGGGGAAGTCTATGCAGCGGTAAATGTCTCTTTGCAGTGGCTCTGGCGATAGTTTATATCCGTAGCTATAGTAGTAGTATTCTACTATATCTTCTATTTATATGCAGCTTCTCTGCAGAATATAGAGAATAGGAGTTGACAGAAACAATAATCTAATAATACTTCAGTGATTCTGTATCCAAGTCTTAGGCACAATATTTCACTCCAAAGACAACTTCAGCTGCGCCCTCAACAACCACTGTGGGCTCATTGTATCAATCCCCCGCAATCGCTCATCCAACCGCATCACACAACCCGACCGCCCCAGGATAATCCCCTGTAGGATCGTCTCCCTGCTATATCCAACAGCAACGGCGACTTCCTGCGCTGCCTGCGTGCCAATCGTCAATACCATTCCGGCAATATCAATTGCAGGGTTCCCCAGACCAACATCCGCCCAGTCTAGCACCGCCGTGAACTTCCCCGTGTCTTTATTCACGAGCACATGTTCCCCTTTGAGATCATTATGCACGAGCACCGAGTCCGCTTCCTTGATCCCTTGGATCTGATCAATGAATGCTGTCTTCCTCTCGAATAAACTCTCCGCATCCTCTTCTCCAGCATCAATCACACCTTCTAACCCTCCCTCATGGATCATCCTCCTCCACGCGTGCACCGCGTTCCGGTGGAGGGTATTCAACTCCGGCATTTCCACATCAGGAACCTTCACTCCAATGCTAATTATCCCGGAGATGTCAACGTTTTTCAACACCGTTAATAAATCTATAAACTCCTGCTTTGTCTTTTCTTTTATATCTTTGACATCGTCCAGACTAACCCCATGCAGTTTTCTCTCCAATGAAGCAACGTGTACCCCGTCCTCGGAAACCGGAAACGAATATACACATTGCGGGATGAACTCCGCCGGTAGACCTCGGCTTTCGTATCCTGCACGTACGACCTCGCGGATTGCTTTCTCCCGCATCTGCATCTCGGCCCCGTCGTATCCCCGGTCTTTGCGCGGCTTTGTTACCCGCAGGATGTAAGAGGTATGTTCCGCGATGAAATAGATCAGGTGGTCGTCGCCTTCGATGGTTGAGTGTCGTGTTAGGGTTATAGGGGGGGAGAGGGTGGAGGAGACTTTGTTTGCAAGGATTGCTGGGTTTATCTCCATGATTATGTATGTGTCTTGTCTGTAGTTGATTTTGTGGATTTGGGAAGGAAGAATTGAAGAATATAAAGCAGTGGAGGTATAGTCGGGAACCGAATGGGGTTAGTAGGTGTATACCTAAGAATGAGCACCTAGTAACCTACGAATTGCGTGGGTGTATTACCATTGTATTAGTAATAATATTTATTTAGAATAAGAATGTACAGTTAGAAGTATGCTTATATATAGGATAACCAGAAGAGTCTATACATAGGATACTGGCATGGGCTTGGAGGTTGGATTTATATAGAGTAGATCTATGCATACTCAGCCCTTCTTAGACCTAATTTAGTACTAAAGCATACTGTACAGTCACGTGGTCTAATGGTTATGATATCTCGTTCACAAAATGAACGCATCCCGAGATGGTTCCCGGTTCGATCCCGGGCGTGACTATATTTTTTTAAAAACTTATCATCCTCATTATCGATTGACAACATCCTATTTTCCCTCTACTAAAACTCAGAATAGAAAGAACTATGTCAAACGAAGATTTAACTACCTAGCTAGAGAACATATAAAGAAACAATTTGCAACACCTAATATAGCAACTTTCTCAGCTGTCCTTTCAAATAGGTACATGTAACTGAAATAGAATTCTGACTTCTAACCTCATATCCCTATTTACTGATTGTAGTTTTATGTATTCAGCTCTCCAATTCTTGCCGTTCGATTCTCCGTGTCCATTTTCCAGGTTCGCTCTTCGAGTATTGCGCGGTCTGGTGGACCACTTTGCTGGAAATTCTTACTTTTCTTGTTGCTTGACCTGCACCTGCTCTTCGCTCTGCTTATATCGCAGACGTGCTGTTGCTGAGAATAGTTACCAGTTCATGGCTGGTAACATATTCTATTAAACTAATACAGATCTACTAAGATTGTATAATATTTTGGTTCTTATTAAGAGCTACTGCTGCGGCCCCTAAGAGAAAACCCAATATCTACTACTCTCTACCTGGTAGTAGCCTTATTGTTTGTCTCTTCTTAGTCTAGTTGATATTAATTTGGTAAAGGCTAGAGTTTACCATGGGCTAGCAACCTTGGATAAATTATTTCTAGGGCCCGCAGACGCAAAAGATCCATCACCTGCAGAGTTTCTGCGTGTCTTTCCCTGTTCTACTACCCCAGTTTAGTAACATGATAAGACAGGCTATAATATTCTGGGCATTTTAAAGGGCTGGAGCCCGTTTGACCTCTCGGGCCTATTGACCCCATTGGCCCTATTGGCCCTACTGTCCGTACTGTCCCTTTTTTCTCTTTCCTTCTTCAACAATTCCTTTTTGTACATAGCCTATCCTATAGGCTGTTCAGCCATTGTTAGATCCAAGTACAATAATTAATCTGCCGATCCACACAGGGCTCTAAGTAAAGTAATATATAATATAATAACTACACAGGTCTGGAGGGCAAATAAATGAAGAGCCACTAAGATAACTTAAAGGGCAAGGCCTATTGAGTACATAGTACAATTAATAGTAAAATAGTACTAATGAGTCGGTCGCTAAACAGTGACTGGGAAATATGAATTATACTAGGCAAGAAATATAGAGCATTTTTTGGTGAAAGTGGTTTTGTCATTATACATTGAACAAAGCAAGGGGAATAAAGCGTGGAGCATCTCATTATTATCCAAACGATTGTGCCTCCTTTATTACATAACATACTAAATCAACATCCTACATAAAACATCAACAATACGAAAGCTGTAGAAGCTGAAATCAAAGTATCTCGGACTAAAGATAAATGATTATCACTGTTATGGCCTACGAACCAGAGATGCAAATGAAGCCAAATCAACTCTATTCGGTACCTGCAACGAGAATACTAAGCATGGGGAGGGAGGGAAGAGGATCAAGCCAAGCAATGGAGAAGTTATCCTTATATACTACCACGCTCCGCCGCTCCTCCACGACAAAACATAGTAAATAGAACAAAAGTCGAACAACGCAAATCGACTACGCCATCCGACTCCATGCCGGTCATTACAATCACTTCCAGGGGGACTGGCAGCTCTTAATGTAGTTGTTCTAACCGAAAAGGTCACTTAAGCGTCTAGTAGATATCAAATGAAGACCTACGAAGACCGCGGCCGAAATAATCAAGCATTTACAGAGATAATTGGTACCCTCTTTGATATCTTGAGCTCGTAGACTATAAATGGTAAATACGAATCTAGTATCCATCTATCTATTTGCAATGTCCGCGAGCGATTTTAGCAAGGATCCAAAGCCTAGCAATAGACGCTTACGTGGTATGAAACTGCCAGGGACGGATATTCTTCACTGGCGATACATGGCGTCTTACGTGGCGTTACTTAAACCAGCAGAGGGACTTTCTCTTGTCCGTATGATTTCGGAGCTTATTGTGGATAGAAGGGCCAAGAGAAATGTTGCACCGGCGCCGGTGTCGAAGCTAATGTCTTGGTTGCCTGGAGTCCGTATGTTAGAGCGAGGCTGTCTGACAATAAGAAGAAAGATAAAAGTCTTCGGGATAGGTTGAAATAGTATATCCCAAAACCCCTTATTTTAACACTCTGCTTGTTCCTTCTTGGTTATAACTTTGACATAGAATTCCCTATTAGTCTTGCCCAGTGGCCTTTATCTCTAGAACGCCTTATCCTTTACTATTCCAGCGAATCCACAGAAGACGCAGACTTTCCTCCACCCAAGCGCTCTAAACCCGGTGCGTATGCCTTCTGTATAGCATTCCGACAACTGAGCCAGCAGCACAAAATTATATTTCTAGAAGGAGTCATGGTCGGTCCAGAGCTATTCTGGCTGAATCTCACCTTCTTCCTCCTGACCTATGGCAGTTGCCAACCCGTCGGGTCAATGGCTCTTGGAATAAGACCTGCAATACCCAGAATAAGATTTCGACTGTAATCTGGAGCACTTGTACATGAAAGCATCCATGGATGACGCACCACAGGCGAATTCCCTGATGACTATCGCACTGCGCCATCACCAACTCTAATAAACTTTATACAGCTGCTGCGCATGCCGCGCAACACATGCCGAAATTGGAGACAATAACTCTTATTGGGCAGGTCCAGTTGGGAGAATATGGTCTGATAAGGCATCGCATTCTCAAGTGCCAAATAAAGCATGAATTTGACTACGAACGAGAACAGGACCAGGTGAGCTGGATGGGTTCGTCCAAGTTCCCACTTCCCCGGGAGGCTTGGGAGATAACTGCGAATATACATGGTCATCCTGATTTAATCATTGAAGTAATACAATTCGCTTTTATGTTGTCGCTGCGGACTAACGGGCTTATAGAATATTGTTTGACAACATGTCCTTTTTGCCTCAGATACTACCAAACACCGGATGAGGAATGGTCTGGTAATATCTATCTATTTCTACTGTAATATGGGTACTATCCCGGACTACGAGTAATTTCTCTGTTGAGCTGGACGTTCTTGCTACACTATATTCTGCCAGCGTTACCTTTAAATTGAACGAGAGAGCATCTCTGTGGGGAGACAATATGTCGAAGATCAGAGAGTCAGGTGGTGGTAAGGTTGAGTAGGCTGTTAATGCTAGCGTAAGGGACGAGCGACTCAAGTGCAAGATCCAGCTCTTAAGGTGGTAGTACGTAGCCAATCTGGCAGTTTATTTGGCTCAAACCAGGCGGGCTGAAGAAATTATCTATAAAAATAACCATGGGCTGAATAAACTGAACAAGCGGGTTAATAGTCTTAATAATTAGTACCAATTCGCTATTTTCTGGCCCTTAAATGAGGGTAAATTCCTTCCACTCTCTGCCATTACTGTGAGGCTGTACAGATACCAAGACTAATTCCATGCTCATCCATATTCTACATGTTCTCTGGTGATATGCGGAATTTGGTGGCAATCCCCTGAAAAGGCATATAAAACATGCCAATCTATTCTATTCTTGTTCCCTGAATAGGGCTTGATGGTATCCTTTATTTTGTAAGTTCTAAATATATGGATTTCATTTTTAACAGCCTAAAAAGATTCAATCTTTGCAAAGTAGTACGGGGTCAATATTCATGCGAAGGATTCGAAGGGCGATTTCACGCGTTCTTATAATAGTAAAGGAAATCCCTGCTTGTTCTGATATAGAATCGGTCAGCTAGAAAGGGCTCTTGGGAAGGAGTCAATCGCCGGGAAATTAATAAGCTATACTCTATTCTTTAGCACTACCAATACGACCGCGAAGGGTGGTTATAGCCAATCCATATAGCCTTGCTGCAGCTTTCACAAAGCTAATTTTACTACTTTAGGGGCATTAAAAGCAGCTTTGAATTGTTCTCTTATGTGGATCCCATTTTGAATAAGAATTTGTTAGTCGGTGGTTGAGAAAAGATGAAATCTACACAGTGGGCGGAAAAAGGGGGGTGATCGGAATGTAGGCGAGTCATCGTATCTGTTCAATCTGTTTAACAGTGGACAGTGTTGCCAATTCAGGTGGAACATGCATGTAAGGTGTATCTGCCACCAGTTGTTGAACAGCCATGTTAAGATACATCTACAGCAAGTTCTAAGACAAGCTGTTAACTGCCATGTCAAGATGTTCTATAAACGGTCGTTTCTCCTTTAAAATACATCACGAACAATGGGACGTTGTAGATGTATCCTGACTTGTTTGGTGACTGTAAATAACATAGTAATTATGTCCAATGCCTCTATATAGTGTTGCTAGGACTTATCAGCCTACGAAGTAGTTTAGCAAGAGTAGATACAGCTCTCAGAATGGCAATTAAAATTAATTATTCCCATGCGATAGACCGCTACAATCATATAATCCAGTTGACTCGACGCTTGCTAACCAATAACACCCTCATTTCCCATTCCTAGAAGTTATCTTGGAATCTGTCCGCCACTAAACCAACCATTCCAGAGTCGCAAGGCCCAGAGCAAGAACCACGACTACGTTAACGGTATTTCCGCCCGAAAGAGAAGACGCGGAGTTTTCTCCCGTCGACGATGCATTAGCACCGGACGATGTAGCCGAAGGGATATCCGATCCAGTGCTTGCGGATCCGGTCTTAGTCTCGGTCTTGCTAGCCTCCGCCGCGCTCGATGAAGTCTTGCTCGCATCGGTGATTTTGGAGCCATGGACGCTAGAAGAGGAAGCAGTGGAATTCGTTACTGTGCCAGTGCTGATAGCCGAAGACGATGCCGCGTGGGATGCTGTCGACGAATCCGAATCCGAATCCGAATCCGATCCGGCGGGATTCTTAGGGTCGTACTTGACGACTTTAAATCCTTTTATATCGACGGAGGCTTTCTTCGTGAAACTCTGTGTCGCCATGCCGGATGGTCGGCCCGAACAGTCCGACGTCGTGAACATCAGCATGTTGATGCCTTTTTCGCCTTCCCCGCTCATATCGAATACCTGCCCCTTTGCATGATCGACTTTGATGCAGGCGTGTGGGCCCTCGCCGGATGCCACCGATTGGTTACCATCAGCGTCCCTCCAAGTGAATTTCCATGCGTATGCCGATGGGAGGAGCGAAATCGCGTATAGCGATAGCGAAACGGAGAACTTCATTGTGTGAGAACAGAACGAGAGAGAAATACGGAGTAAAAGTCAAACGGTTGCTGATTCCCACAGTCAGAGTGGGAGACCCCCTTATTATGCACACTCGGCTGTCCCTGAATTCCCCATGAATGGGGGCTAAAATGTGAAGCCTCGTATTCAGACCTGCGATATCCAGTTACAGTCGATGCTAAACGCAAAACGGCCCCACAGACGGAGAAATTGGGGATGAGACTGTCCTTGGCGCAGTGATCGCTCTCCTCAGACTGGATCTAGATGGTGGTCGGTGAATTGACAAGTAGCCTCGATTGGCTGTGAGACAAGGCTGAAGCAATAGCATTAAGTAGGGTTAGCTAGTGCTAATTTACTTTTTTGGAGGAGAAACACTTGTCATAGGGAATGTCTTGGAGGGCTCGTAATACAAGGCTGAGTGTAACCCACCTGTCAGAGCTTGCCTTTTTGCCTTTTTGCCTGCCTTGACTGTCATTGTTGTTGCACTTATAGGAGTACGCCGCTGTAGCGCCTTGGGGGTGCTCTCGGGTTGCATTTATACTAACTACAAGAACCTTTAGATACTTAACTGCTTGTAAAGGCTTGCTCTCACGGACCCAAGTAGATTCTCTCCTTAATTTTGTATACTTCAATTACACAGCCTTACTATCTAGGTAGTGGAATAACACTTACGGATGAAAGTGCCGCCTTAGGATGCCCACTATCATCCTCATTATATAGCTAGTATATATAAATTAAGTTACACCCGGTGGGCTTATTCAGCCATCGGCTCTGAGGGTCTTAAGAGAGAAAAGAAGGCTGCAAATAGCCTCATCTATGGTTAACCCAATAAATGCACCATTAGTTTAACAAACCGAATAAACACGCGAGAGAATGAGACCGATAGTATTGAACAAGAGGATACTAACTGAAGTATACAAACTGAAGTATACTATATAGAAGTTTTGCTATGACCATTCGCCCAGGGGAAGGAATGGGTGGCAGAAAAATGTTATACCAGCTACATGACGGTAGCCTCCTAGGGATATGGAGGAATGACAATATCAACTGTATTGACTGCTTTCTAGACTGTCCTCTCTTCTTCATCAATCAATTTCTAAAAGAATGGAGGCGATTCAGGGGGATGACGCTGAGCACTCTCCAGGTGCTTGGAGTAATCGGATACTGAATCCCGAATATTTCTCTATTAACATTAAACCGACATGCAAAGATTAATATAGAATCTAAGCCACTCGACCAAAAGGGCCCGCTAAATCAGTCTGATAGCCAAAACACTCTTTGCTTTTGTTTCAACAAATGACAAAATACGCTAGTACCTAGGTAGATGGCTAGGCTCGGAATAATTTTGTTTCTATAATTTTTTCGCAATGGTAGTTCTCACTCGCTTACCGGTGACGTTAATACTTTAACTGTTTGTTTAAGTCTGTTTAAAACTAGCTCTGTCCTATACACTGATCCAATTGGCCCACAGATTTTAGAGGCCTCTACTACTACTATGTGCCAGTCAGGTGGTGGGCTGGAACGGCCTGGTAGATGTAGTTCTGGTAGTTTGGAAAGCTGCCCTTTAACTGAGCAGGCTGGAATCAATTTTCTATTTTAAATGTTATATTAAGACCCAAGTATAGAAGGTATTAAATCTTAGGTTGTTGCTATTCTTCAAACCGATGATATGCCCAACCGCCATTTGCTAACCTTTTTAATCTCTTTAAGAAGCTGGACTGAGGGTCAATGCAGAATAGACCGCTTGTAGCTCAGCTGTTCCCGCCCAGCCAAAGTGTTTTTGACCAGGGCACAACTAAAAGCAAGATGGATGCAGATCTTGCACCAACGGGTCTGGTGATAAGACCAGAGAATAAGCAGCCAGGTTCTTCGGAGTTATATAGTTTTCCAAGGCTCCACGCGGAATGCCAAGCTTTATAATAAGGAAGAGGATTGGTTGCTAAAGAGACTGATGAGAAAGGTAATTAATATCTAAGGTGTGATAAAGAACTGATATCCTAAAAATCCCTAGCACTCTCAAGAGTCCCAAACGGGGCTCATAACTGTCTGTAATTTGGTCGTATTCTACAACCATATTCATAGTATGACTGTCTAAATCGATATGATGAAAGATCTGATCTCCAATACTACGCATATTTGTCCTACTTATATGTGTGTGGGAGCTTGGTTAAGCTGCCAATAATCGCTACACTGATTAGTTTTGAATATGTTGGATATCAACGCAGAAAGGCGCGTAATCTTCGTAATAGATGTAATTTATACCAACAGCTTTTCCCTCACACAGTGCACCTTAGAATCTAGATGTTTTCAACTTTTTAGTTAATGTTGAATGAAATACACTATCAAAGGCTCTTTCCGATATTCTCTGTTTTATTTGGATTGTTGAGAATCTGGATGCCGAAGGCATCCGCTGGACATCCTAGTCCAACAGTAGATATCTCATTCAGAGGCTAACGAACACGTAGAAATAAGTGCTGATGTACGCTCACTCTTAAGGATAGAACAACTCACACACGATGCGATACTAGATCGCGCGATAGCTTCAATACACTATTTTTCGCCGCTATCCTAGCACCTCACCACATACCCTTCCCTGAGCCAACACACGTGCTTTCAACATGGATGAAACTTTTTCCCCACATCAGAGTATAAGTTTCGAAGTTGTATACACCGTATAATAAAGGGTAAAGCAAGGATAGGAGAACAGGCTTAACTAAAAAAGGTGCCGTTAAACATACTGCACAGTACCACTTCGCAACCCAAATATTTGGACTGTATAGGTAAGGATATTAAAGTACTTCAGACCACTAATGTAAGGGGGATGATGTGCATATTTAAAACCTACCTACCATTATGCATGTAACAAGCAAGTCATGTTCTTACAATCCAAAATAGAACTTACTAAATTCCTTTCTTCTTAACCAGTACACTAACCCGTATTAATATTCTCTCAATTTGAGATATTAGCCTAAGGCACAAGCACCACTGCACTTCAGAAACATTCAGACGAGTCAACAACACACATTATCTCTTCTCGTCAGCGCTCCTTGCATGCCAAGAAGTATACAGTACATGGTTCTCATGCAGACAAAACAACAAGAGCTTTAGCCCCTACCTATTACTTACGCAAAATCTCCTCATCCTTACGACTTCCTTACATTTACCCCTCAAGCATCCTCAGGTTTAGCGAATAATTTAAATTAGTACAAAATGCAGAGTGCTTTGTGCCAAGAATTTCGATAAGGATAGTAGCTAATACTCTTAATCCACGAATATCACACACGACGTTGTTCCAAGTAACTGCCTATTCTACTACCATTAAATCGACATTTCCTCATCAATATCTACGTCCACATTAACAAGCTCACATCATCAATAGTAAAGGAGTACTGCTCTTACTAACCCTAATTCCGACTATGGAAGGCTACAACTCATCCTACCGAGCTGAAAGCTACGAACTTGCCCACACTCGCCACCCCTGGCTTAACAAAGACGCCCCCGTCTACTGGGAAGCCTACAAATTAATGCGGCAATTGCGACGACTCAAGCAATCTAATTCTTGCCGCTACATTGTGGTCGATATCGGCACAGGAACCGGTCGCGTTATCCGACATCTAACAGACCGCCTTACTCAGGAAGCATCCAGTCCGAAGGAAGTCTTATTTCTTGGCCTAGATCCATCTCCATATATGCTGGAACATGCTCAGCGCTCTATCCCGAATACTTTTAAACAAAGTACATTTTACTATCCTGTCTCTGCCCTAGAGATGCATACAATTGATTTCCTTAAGGGCCCTCCAATTGTTGACCTACTTGTCTTCGCCAAAGGGTATATCAGCTCTCTATATATGCCTGGAGAGGTAGAAGAGTTTCTGCGACTTGTTTCTAGTGTTTTGCGTCCGCATACTGGCAGGGTGTACTTGTCGCTTTTTCATATGTCCGAGGAACACAATGCGGAGAAGGCGTCCCATACATATAGAGAGATGACGAACTCTCTGATTACTGAAGAGGCATTAAGTGTTATTTATCCTGGAGTTGTTTATCGACAGACTAAGTCTGATGTGAAGATGGAGGGTGGTTTTCAAGTGGTTACGTCAAGCCTCCAAGTTGTGGAGAGGAGAAGGGATGGACAGGAGAGGGTGATTGAAAAAGATACTGCAGTGGTAAAGTGCCGTATCTGGAAGAAGGGCGAGTTTATTAGGGTAGCGGATATGGCGGGGTTAGATTTCATTGAGGCTAAGGGGACTGATGACGAGACGATTTACGTCTTTAAGACGGTTGGGTAATCAGGGGAAGGGATCTTGGAATAGGAGAGACATGTTAGCCTTAGCTATTTTGTTTTCGAGTGCAATCAATGTTTGTTGCACCTACGCTGGGGATATACGCCCGTAGATATCTTAGTACGCATCATATATGCATCTTTTGGAGCCGCTAGTTTTGTGCAAGACATTCATAATTTAAATTGGAGAATCGCTTGTAAGTCTCAACAAAGGGAGTATAGTGTCTGTAATGCAGAGTCTCTTCTCTGGCAAGAACCCACCTCATGGAATCAGTTAGGCGCTAATCCCAGGGCCGAGAAGACCAATAGAAGTCGTTGATGGCAATACTCCTTACGCAGTTATACTGTACAGCCCAGATATTACTAGCGAAACGTAAAGTAGATTGATTGATTGCTATCATATGAGGTACCCGTGGAGTAACATTAAAAGGGCTTCATAATTATCCCCAGTATGGCCAGCCTCGTATTGGGTACTGATTTCCCGTGAGCCGTTTACCAATAGACGAAATCCTTGTCTTCCACTTCATCGCTGGGCATCTGGCCAGGACGAATAGCATTGTTAGCAGGCCACTCAGGGTGGTCGTCCGAACGACGCCAATAGACGAAATCCTTGTTTTCCACTTCGTCGCTGGGCATCTGGCCAGGACGAATAGCGTTGTTAGCAGGCCACTCAGGGTGGTCGACCGAACGACGCCAATAGACGAAATCCTTGTTTTCCACTTCGTCGCTGGGCATCTGGCCAGGACGAATAGCGTTGTTAGCAGGCCACTCAGGGTGGTCGACCGAACGACGCCAATAGACGAAATCCTTGTTTTCCACTTCGTCGCTGGGCATCTGGCCAGGACGAATAGCGTTATTAGCAGGCCATTCAGGGTGTTCGGCAGCGCCAGTCAAAGGAACTGTATGGTACATAAGCTAGATGCTAATGGATATAACTGATGTGGCGATTACCCACCAGCCATCGCAAAGAGGGGAAGGGTAGCGAGAATAATGGCAGAGAACTTCATTTTAATAGTTAGAGTGGTTCTGGTAAAAAGAATAACACGGGAAGGATAGTAGATGGATAAATTATTTGTATGTTTTGTTGGGCTTCTTCAAGGCTATCGTCAGACTTGTGATGAAGGCAGCGTTGATGCTTGGACTGTACCGGTATTTATAACTTCTCGACAGACTCGGTTCTTGAGAATAACCCGTGACAAGCAGTGCCTCTTGTCCATAATAAACTGCGTATCGGCCTTCCACTCTCTAACTGGACCATAATTGCTTGTGATGTTACCTTCTCGCGGTTGAATTTACCAGGAGTTGGAAGATGCATACATGTCTAAGCATGCATAGCTAACTCCTTAATACAAGATGCTCTCTAGCCAACCAGAATAAACTGGTGTGAAAATCACAGATGTAAGGTGTACTATCCTAGAAGCGGGGTTCATGATTTCCAGCATACAGCAGTACGTCCCTTGCTTGACATATGGGAGGGCGATTACTCGGCATATACTCCATATGTTGGCATTGTTCCGAAAGGAATGTTCTAGGGGTCAGTTGACCCCAGTGTGACTGCTCTGACTTAGAAAGATCCGGCAAGTAACCGGCTTTTCTAACTGAAAATCTTGTGTGGTTCATATCTTCCTCCAGAGGCCAGTTGTTAATAAGGATCTGAAGATAATAACCCACGCAAATATGAATACCTATAGGAATAATTTGAGTTTACTAATCATACGAGCTCTTCATATAAAGAGATAAATGCACATACTGCCCGAAGCGCCTGCGATTAGAGAATTTGAATTCTCTAATCTACAGGCGGTACCTAGCTTCTCCTAATCTGGCAGGTTGACATATGACTCGCTTAACGGCACGCTTGCGACATGTAGTGACTTGTCAAGATGTAAGGGTAAGTTCAAGTTAATGTAAATCAAACCCCGCACTTTATTGCTGACCTGCTATATGGCACCTTTCCATCGCCAATAAAAGAGTGACTATTCAGACTACTCTGTCTACACGAGATATGTCGCGCTGATTCTATTAATAAGAATATATTGTAATTTGTCTTCTTTGTTACATATTTTATAAAATTTTAACACCTATATTTCCCATATTATAGTTATTTTAAACCATCTTATCTTATGGGAAGTTTATATTATATTTCCATAGTATGGTTGGGTTGCGCGGCAACTAATGTAGAAGAATTCTAAGAACTGTAGAAGAACCGTTTCTGATTCAGCCCTTATGAAATTAATTCCTCGGTCAATCGACTGCGCCATCAAATTTTAACCCTTCTCCTGCACCATCTGTTCGTAAGTTGTTAAGGTCGGTATTTCCTTGCATCCTTTCCCCTACTCTTTGCTCCCTAACTTGCTAGCCTTGTTATTCTTCGGAGTAGGTAAAGATAGATGGGTCCAGACACATTGATGGTCCATATACCTTGCATGTTGCAAGTCATGTGAAGCCACAAACAATGACGGAAAGTATGTTTCGTCATCAAGGATTAACAACTTACTTTATCTGAAGAATTGTCCGTGAACTGCGGCCGCACATTTATCACTTACTACGTCTACTCTCACAGCGAAACGTAAGGACACATGTATCAAACGGCAAGGGGAGCAGAAGCAGATACAATCAGGCGTGTTATGCTGTAAGTCAGAAGATGTAGCCTAGCTGTTTCATAGTCTTCGCATGTATCACTGCTATCTCTTCGTAGTACCTCTGTATTACACTTGTTGGTATCAACTTCTATCTCCGCTAGGTATATATATGCAAGGGAAGAAAAGGAGGGGATGGGTCACACATCCTACTCTGTTTACGCCACATTCTGCGCAAAAGTCAGTCACTGATCTTATTACATGGGGCGGTGACGAGTTTCAGATAGTACTGGCTGGGGTTTATTTACTGAGACTCAAAATGAATGTTATTTTATTGTCCTCTGGCATACTGAATTCCACAACACTTCCCAGACAAGCTTTTAGGTCAAATATTCCCATGTGCAATAGATACAACACAATAACTACTGTCAGAATTTCTTAAACTCCATGGCTCCAATTTCAATGACTGATGAGGCTAAATACTCCTTATTACGTTCTGTTGAGTTAACCAGGTTCATTTTGTGGCTGCAAAAGTATCTTATCTAATATTTCTTCGGACAGGAGTTCGAGGAAGAAGCTAGGCTTCATATGCAGAAGCGAAGATATAATCGCCGTATAAAATGGATATTTGCTGTACCAAATGCTCTTTTGGCTGCCATATCGCTTGGCATATTAGTTTATAGCCTTACAAGGCCTGGTCGGCCCTTTACTGCCAATGAGATTTTCAAAGAAGTTAATGCTTACTGTAGGTTCTCTGAAGCATTTGTTTTAGTTTATTACTAACTAATTATGTTCTGTAGCGCCCATTCTTTCACGCTTAGAACTACCATTGCACAATTACACAGTGGATGGCTACCTCTTTGACGTAACTCATTCAATTCTCCGAGCCGAGCCATCTCCTGAATCCAATGCTGAGTGGGATCGGATCTCCCAGCTTGGACCTATGGTAATGACCAGAGAAGAAGTAATTAAAATGCATAAGGATCCTGAAAAGGTGGTCAAACTCCCACTTCACTGGGGTAGGTAAACATATCCATCTACTATGGCTGAGCTTGTCACCAGCTAACCGTCACTGTCATAGGATACGGAGATGACGCATACATCTGGCAAACAGAAATGCAGCATAACATCCACTGCCTTAACTTTATCCGCCAGTATGCCTACTTTGACTACTTTTACCGGCCAAAGTACGAACGATTTGAGGACACACCACTTTTAGACCGCATTCATTTATCACATTGTCTCTACGTACTTGTTCAGGACCTCCGCTGCCAGCCTTCGTTTAATGCACTGACGTTCAATTGGATGGACGGCTGGAATACCCCGGCTACTGACTTTACACCTGAACGACAGTGCATTGACCATGAAGAGTGGCTAAAATGGCAGGCTGAAAATAAGGTTCATACAGAGGGTCAGTACCTTCCTCGACCGACAGACCCGGAGAAGTTTATGCATGGACCTTTGGGTATGGAGCAATTGTGGAAGGAGGAATAGTCCAGAACGATCTTTTTAATTCATTCGGCAATATTCATTTTCTGCTTTTGTATGTTTGAAAACTCGACCTCTGCAACCCTGGAATGGCCCTGCGAATTTGTACTTATTTTGCCTGAACAGAAATAAGTATGTAATAATGAACCAACTATCTGGCCAGCCACAAATATTATAATAATCTTAATCTAGTTTAGATTGGTTTTGCCTTGCTGTAAAATCCGCCCCGCGCCGCTAATTCACTATAAAATATTTGATAATGATAAAGCCTGAAGATAAACTAACGTATAGGTTGCTATTAAGCCTTGCCTTTTAATAAATTGGAATTTTTTACATCATCTCTATAATATTTTGGTTATAGAGATGTTTTAATGGTGAGAAGCAGCTTACATCTAGAAACCTGGCATCAGTGTTATTATATGTTAGTGTTGTATTGCTATGCTGTAAGGGAAGGCTGTCTCTGACAGGATGAGGAGAATGATAAGCAGAGATATAATTTTGTGCTTCTGCAGCTAATATTCCAGAGCACTAGCTGTTCTCCTTGTGATCGAATAGCCCACTCTAAAGACTGGTACTGTATCTCAAGCAGGTGATAGATATAGAATCCAAGGACAGATCATGTTGACAGATAGCCAAATCTACCATGTGCCTATGTTTCATCGAATGTTTCTGTCACAATTGTATTGTAAATAAAATATGAAATGGGACTGTATTAGACAGTAAAATAATCTGGATTAATATTGTTTCTATTCTAGATCAAATACTACCGCCACAGTCCTCGTTGGATCCCGCGTTCTTCTAGAGGTTCTTCCGCAATGGATATCATGTCCGATTCACCGTTCGCTCCCCAGAAAAAGCCAAAACCGATAATCCAGAGTCTGGTATCCGCAGGCCGACAAAGCCTGGTTATTGACCCGGACACAACAGTTGAAGGTGCCTTTGACTCTGCCTTACAGGGCATCACCAACGTGATTTATGTCGGCTCCCCCCGTACCGATCCCCGGCTACAATCCGATAACACAGATCTGCCAGCCCACAGTCCAAGGGACTACGAATTCCTTAGCCGCCACTCTGAAGCAAACCCAATATCAAGCTCGTTGTCATCACTTCGTCTATAGTGGCAAATATGCCATTTATCCCTATCCGTCCGTCACCGTTACTCCTGCCTCGCGGGTCCCGGTATCCGGGCCCCCTAGTGATATGACCGATGTTATGGAGGCTTATATTATGGCCAATGTGGCTGAAGTCCATGAGACAGATGCCTTCGTCGGACACATCGTACTCATTTCTCCATTACGCATGCGCTTCCAGGCTATGTTTTGGGTGTAACGAGCTCGCCCCGACGGCCGACGACGTGCTCAGTAAGTATAGCTCTAACATATGCATGATATCTTCCTTAGTAGGCACTGATATCTCGTTCCCTAGCCATGGGGAATATGTGCATATTGACGATGTCGCTCAGGTCCATCTCAAGGTCCTGCTTCTGGACCTGACTGAGGAGACACCGAAGGTGTTTGGTGTCTGCCCCAATGTCAGTTATGATACGGAGTTTGATTACGTCCAGAAGGCATTCCCTTAAGCTGTGGAGAATGGAACCTTTGTTCAGGGTACAATGCCCACCATGCCTATTAATTTTGACTCCAGCGAGACGAAGACCTTGAGGGTTAAGTTCCGGACGTTCGAGGCGGCTGTGGTTGATCTTGCTGGTCAATATTTGGAGAAGTTGGGTAAGCAGCATGTCTTAGATGGGCGTTACGGTGTTATGAGATAGAATAATGGGAATGGAATGCATTGAATGCTGTTTCGATATTACACAACTTGACTGAGCTACATTCAGAGCTGCGAATCTGAAATCTAGCACCTAGAGGTGCTCTCTGGCTAAGCCACAACGACATCGAGCAGTTGATCAGGAAACATCTTTTATTCCAAATTAGATATTCAGACGTCAACTACCGCCCGGGATCGCAACTCAGCCTTATCTCCATGGGCGAAATTCTTCGGTACACTGCAAACCATGTTAACGCGCCCTGTTATACCCGATACCCAGACACTTACCCATCCGGATACCTATCACCCTGCTGACTCCTTTTAACAGACTCATCGAGTTCATTTTTTCCTCAGCAGTAATACTCACCCGAAGAGCACCGATATTTTCATTCAAATACTTGATATACCTCATCCCCAGAATCGGTATAACGTTATCACTACGGCCCATCAACCACGCCATAGCCAGTTGCACCGGGCGTACTTTGCGTACATCCCTTCCGCGCTGCAACAGACCCGAGTGTTTCCACCAGTTGCAGAAGCGGGAGAAAGTTCTCTTCAGAAATCCTAGGCAAAGACTCCAGGAAGGCACCGTGCGCCAGATGTTTATGGGAATTTATAGTGTCCCGTTAGCAGGCGACGGCCAATTGGGCTGTATGCAATCACAGCAACCCCTAGTTCCTGGAATATTTGAAGAATTGGTCTTGGGGTGTTCGATATCCAGAACAATAGTACTGTATTCAATCTGCAGAGCGGAGATGGACTGCGTGCGCTTGCCAGACTGCTTCCGATGTTACCTCGCTGTGGCCTAGGTGGCGTATTTTTCCTTCACTGTGGGTTGATTAACATTAACATACCAATTAAAGGATAGTGGGCAGAAATATTTCTTCAACTCCATGGCTTCAATGACTTTCTCGATGGGCGTCTTCTCATCCACACAATGACAATAGTAGAGATTAATTGTTTCAATACCCAGTCGCTTAAGACTCTTCTGACATGCACTCTTGACATATTCAGGGCTGGAGTCGAGACTTGTAGAGCCATCCGCTCCCATCTGGATTCCAGACATTCGTTCCTAAAAGTATAACTTTCGACTTGGTAGGGTTCTTCCGGATCCACTTTTTAACAAGTTCCTTGCCGTCGAAGTATTAATCTGCCGTGTCCCAGAAATATTTCCTGACCTTATGGGCATGCTCGAGTAAAGCACTGTTCTCCTCGGAGCCTTTGGACCCATGGTTACCGACGATGCATAGGCCAGGCCAAGTCCTGTGACTTGCGGACCATTTTTACTGAGAGATCTAGTGGAGAGGCATTCAGGCCGCCTACTTGAGGGCTCATATCAAGGACTGTGACTAGCCGGCCGTTTTGATCGAAAAGTTTAGTTGAGACGGACATTTGTACGGTGCACGCAACAAGATTTTGGTCCCCTTTACGGAGTAGAATTGAATGAATTGTTTGATTCTGAGATGATATAGGAAGAAGCAGACTTCTTAACCTTAGTCCAGGAAAAGCGGAGATACCAGCGGGTATAGACTATAGGGTATAAATTCTATCTAAGTTTTCTCCTAGAGAAATTCCAGTCAAGTAACCTGGCTAGGACTTAGTTGGCAGACCTAGGGTAGGGTTAACTATACAAATACCAAGATAGATAGAGAATAATAGACTCCGGGTCTAATGTCTAATATACCCAAGAAGGCATTAGCATTATAGCTCGAGCTACTAATAAAAGAGTTCCCTATGTAGTATGTACTAGATTAGGTTTAGGTAGCTATAATAATAGAAAGGTAATATACCATAGTCTAGTTCTAGGCCAAACACAGAATACACATTGTACATAGCTACTAAATAGGTAGGTAGTCGGTTCTCAAAGAGTTAGGCCCCTGTATAATTATTTTTAGCATTTCCTTTATATATGAGTACCCTTGGGAAGGGCACCTTAGTCTCATCGATTTCGTCATAAACTGAGCACAATGGAGGGAAATGAAATTGTGATGTTGACTTCGGGTATAGTATGTGTATAAATTAACCTCAGCCCAGCCCTGAAGCTGATATGTAGTGACTTGTAGTATGACCCCACATCGGACGCTCATCCGATGATCGGCCTATCGCTCCGAAGCATTTAACCAGATACCTCCATCTCAACCATCTTATAACACAACTACTAAAACACATAATCACGAACATAGTTACCATGGACATTGCTCAATCCCTCGAATCCTCTTCGGGCCAACCCATCCGCTGCATCGACATGCACACCACCGGCGAACCCACCCGCATCATCTACTCCGGCTTCCCTGCCCTGAGCGGCACCCTGCTCGAACAACGCGACCAAGCCAAGCAGCAATACGACCACATCCGTAAACGTCTAATGCTGGAACCCCGCGGCCACGACGGGATGTACGGCGCCATCATCCGTCCAACGACGGAGCTCGTCTCCTCCGGCGTCGCGGACATCGGCGTCCTCTTTATTCACAATGATGGCTTCTCAACCATGTGCGGCCACGCCACGCTTGCTCTGGGTCGATTCCTCATCGATACGCATGATCTGCAAGTGTTTCCTTGTAGGAATCGTCTCCAGTTTCATAAAGAGTCGAGATCCATTGCGTTGACTATCCATGCTCCTTGTGGTTTGGTCCGTGTTTCTGTTCCTGTTTCTCCGGATGGAAGGAAATCAGACCCTACGCGTCCGGTTTCTTTTCTTTCCACTCCTGCGTTTGCGTCTGCTCTTCGTCTCGACATTGATATCCCAGAGTCTATCCGGGATGTGTTTCCCAAAAAGAAGAAATCCATCACACTAGATGTAAGCTATGGCGGGGCTTTCTACGCCCTGATTGACGTGAGGGAGTTAGGCTTCCCCGGTTTGAAATCCATCTCACTGGATGAAGTCACTCGCTGTATTCAGTCCTTGAAACCATATCTCATGTCAAGATCGGAGATCCGCGCCGCGGTCCAACATCCGGATGATTCGCGGTTGTCGTTCCTGTATGCGATTATGCTGGTGGATTCTGATTCTGATTCCAACTCCAATTTGAATACCAGTTTTTCCGAGTCGGATTCTACCAGGGTCAATCCCGATAATATCCTAGGATCCGAAACCGGCCTCTGCTACTTTGCAGGCGCGCAAATCGATCGCTCCCCGACGGGATCATGTGTCTCTGCTAGGATGGCTTTGGCATATGCCAAGCGTAAACGAGGAATCGGTCAGCGCTGGGCGTATAACTCCTTGGTTTCAAATGCTTTTGGGGATGGGGTGTTTACCGCGGAGATCGTCGACGAAGTCAAGATTAACAGGGAGGATGGGGGTGTGACTCCCGGCGTGGTGGTCAAGGTCGAAGGAAAGGCGTACTATACCGGGTCGGTGACTTTGGTGCTAGAGGAGGAGGATGGCATCTCGAGTGAAGGGTTTACCATGGTTGGTGTTGCGAACTTTTAACTAGAATTGTATTTCTATATATGCCTGGCTAGTTCTGGATATAATATAGTATACTAATAATCAAGTAGATGTTCTTGTTCATTGAAGTAAACGACTAACTAACTGTTCAAATCACATTACACGCAGTATTATGATTACTCCAGATTATAAACATCTCCAATCCATTCATTCATGCAAACATGTATTCATCTGAAATCCATACCATAATTCATCAATCCTAACACCCGTTCGCACAAAGCGTCAGCGTCTCATCCGAATTCGCCTGACAATCCTTAACCTGACTCCCACCGGGTGAAACACCATTTGCCCAACAGATCGACCGACAACTACCATCTGACGGCTTTACAGACGCCGTGGTACCTGCGAACGGGTCCCCGAAGACATCAGACAGGTCATACCACACCCTGTTCCCATCCAGGGTGTACGCGAAGTTCATCTGGGGACTACCGTCGTAGAGACCGTTTTCTCCCGTGGTGATCTTCAACGATATGCCTCCCGAGGCTGGATCGCGGCGGAAGACTTCGCTGTAGCTTTCGCCCGGCTTGATGGTTTGTTTGGGGCCCACGGATCCGCCGACGGACCAGAGATATACGGGGTCTTTGCAGTTGTTTTTGACGATGGCTTTGCCCGTGGCGCTGGCCAGGGGGGCCAGGGCGGCGAGAGTAACCAGAAAGTTGGAGAGATGCATTTTATTTGGATATTGTTTATTTGGATAGTAGGATTGATTGATTGATTGATTGAGATGATTGAGATGGGGACTTACAGCAGGATATGACCTTGTTTATATAGTTTTCCTCCAGCCAAAGACCTCCTTGTCATCCTTGGAATAGGATCAATCCATCTCGTAATGGTGGGCTAATCCCCAATGCTGGCTCAGTTCCAACCATGGTATACTGCTCCAAGTGCCTACATCCAAGATACCTCCAAGGACCAGCGGTGACGGCTCGAGGTGATGTGGGTGAAGTGAGACAGTTACATTCAGGCAGTATTGCTAGCATACCAATCACCAATCGGTTACGCTCGCCCTCGAGACAAGAGCAATATAAATTGTAAGTTATTGACCGTCTCGGGTACTGAGCTTATGCTGGCAGCTTGTGGTTGGCAATGTCTCAGTGATGTCCCAGATACCTACGCTAAGGTACTCGGTACTCTCCTGGTGGTCGGTTCTCTCGTATTGTCGTCGGGCGCTATTGATAGTATATGAAGTCATTCTAAGCCCTTTGGCTTTTCGTGAACCGTGGAAGAAATGGATAGATCATCTGATGGGCCGAGGATTTTTCAGGGAACGCGGGGAATTAGCTGACCCAGCATTGTCCTGTCTGTGGATGTTGAAGATGCAATGCAACGCCACGACCAGCGACGGAGAATTTAACCACGCTAAATAAATAATCCCACACTAAAAATAAAATAAAAAGCACCATCTGAATTGAACTTTCTAGGTACTCTTTCTACTCGTCCAGTAATGTAACTCCAACCCGACACCAATCAGAAAATAAAAAAACTATCCAAAAACATGTGTTAGTTCAGACCAGGAGCATTGACAATATCGCCTTCTATTCGTCCACCTCTTCGCGCTCTCGTCCATCGGCGCGTTCTTGGATCCACTCGAATACTTCATTCTTATGATGCATCAACATCTCACTCAGTCCTACTTTGGGCGACTCAATAAGATGCCCGTAACGTTTGGACGGCTTACGCCGAGTATCGCCATTCCAAACTCCATGCGTGTGTGAAACAAATACGAGCGAATTCTAACCATATAGCGTTAGTACATTCCAACTCAGTCAGAGACATCCTCCCAGAGTACTGCCTCAACAGGGCTCGGCCCATTCTTACATCTTTGTACCATCTTGACAGCCAAACCTGGGTATGTGAGGCGATTGCCCGAACTGGGTTTTCGGCGACAAAAGAGACAACACCATTGACCCGTTTATACAAATTATCTAGAAAGAAAGTTAGATCTCCGTATTATTTTGTCCCTCTGTACTTTTTCCCCCTTTAATCTTTGTCAATCAATACTATACCTACCTCGATTGATAAGGAGATTGGCAACCCCGAAGAAAGCATTGCCAATTCCCATTAAAAAGATCTCGGTAGTCTCATTGGGTCTAAGCCAATGGTTAGTTCGCTGTTCTCATTCACACATCTCTGACTTACTCGATATAGTTATCCCACAAGTACCCCGCTAGTTCCTCGGTGGCAGTGGGTCGGTTCTCATCTTCCTCTTCATACTTGACTGATGACTTGTCATTTAATCAGTATACTGTCAGATACGAGGGCCCAAATCAACACTAACCGAATTGTTTGTCACGTGTTTTGGTATGTTAACATCAATCACAGCGTATCCTTTGCCGATTGCCCAGCCGATATAGTCCTTCATAACATCAGCCTTGCTCACGTTAGCGCATAATACAGAAGCCAGTTGGACTAGCCACTTACAAGCCAACAGTTATGAGCCTCCAGTTTATTGGTAACTGGGTGAGGCAGGCCCATAATTTTAGGTCTGTCCAAATTAGCAACGACCCGTTCCCCGCTTTTATATATATATTTGGAGGACTTACGGATCATGGAAGATCACCAGAAGCGGCGTGCGCTGGTAATAGTTCGGACTATTAATCGGTCAGTCGTAAGGCGACTTTTTCAGGTCTATCAAATATACCTGGCCAAGACTTGATTCTCAAATGATTTGGATATGGCATTCCGGTATATGTAGAGGGAAGTGAGTTTGTAGTTGTCATAGAGTTGTTTGGCCTGGTAGGACCGAATAACATCTACAGCTGTTAGTATCTTGTTCCGATATCACTGCCCCCACATACCATGGAGTCTATCCGTCCAGTTTCCTTGGTTCTGTGCGGCCTTGGGAAACATGCACTTCCAATAATAAGACTGGATCATAATTACCCGTCTCACCGTGGAAGTTGCAAGCTCCGAAGGCGACGTTGAGTGAAGCCGATCAGGTGGATCTCCCATGAGTGTTTTTGTGACTGCAAGAGCGGACTTCGAAATTGACCGAAAGTTATATCCACCCTAAACCAGCATCAGTTTGAGTACAGTAACAGGGTGATGCTATACCACACCTCTAGGCACACGGCAACCTTGCCATTCGCAAGAGTCATAAGCATGTGCGTCATGTGAGCATAACAAGAAGGTGTAACAAAGCATCCCCCAAGCTCATCGCCCACGGCGGCATCAAACCCAGAGGCAACTAAATATATTAGCTTTCTGCAATCGTCATTTGGCCGAGCTGATCAGGGAGCTTTGCCTACTTATTACTAAATCGGGATTAAATTCCTGTGCGATCGGCATTACAACCTGTTGAAACGCATACATATAGTCCCCATCACCCATTCCTTGGCTTGGCCAGGGGATGTTAACGTTTCTGCATGTGAAATTAGCAATATAACATCAAATCTTACGGTTCGTCGAAAGAAATTACCTTCCAAGGCCAGCACCACTTCCACAATGGTCCCAATCGCCTTCGTCGCCTCCTGGGTAGAACTTTCCATCCTGGTAAACATGGAGTGAGATGTACAAAATATTCGGGTCGTCGTAAAATGCTTTCTGGATACCGTTCCCTATAAACTATGAGCAGGTTTTTCGATTAAAACGCTAGAGTTCGTTTTTACCATGATGGACATCCCTTTGCTAGTTAGTACTAATACTCCATTACGTGCATTGCAAGTAGACTTACCAATCAAGAATCATGATTTTCCTGCAATCCTCTCCAAGCTCCCTCTGACAAACGCGAGCTGCAACAGAGACATTGTTGAATAAACAGAATCCCATTGTTTTGTCGTGCTCGGCATGATGGCCTGGAGGGCGAATAACAGCAATAGCATTTTTCACTTTCCGAGTAGCGACAGCCAAGCATGTCTCAATTGCTCCCCCGACAGATAGGAGCGAAGATGCAAAGGTCAGTTTATTGAAATAGATTGAGTCACGAGTATGCTCCAAAGCAATAAGCTCATCATCAGACATATCTATTGGAAGAATTAGGAACCATCGCTTCGTTGGGCACTGCAATTTTTCATTGACGTACCTTTCGTACTCTCCACGAATGCAAAATGATCCGGCGTGTGAACAAGGGAAACCTCTTCCTCTGTAGCATTACGAGCATTGATTCGGCTCAGAGGCTTTGCTACAAGAGGCCTAGACGACTCTGGGTCATCAACGAGCCCTGCTCGACATAACTCTTTGTAGATGTAGTAGATTCTTCTTGGGTCTTCCGGGTGAACGTCAGCAGTCGGCCGCACTTCGCAGTGATAGCGCATTTGAACATCATAGCATAACCCTGACGGGAGTGAAGCAACAGGAAGACCCGTGCGAACGGAGAACTCTTCGTCAGACCAATCGGAATTATCTTCGACAAGGCTATCTTGTTTTTCCTGGTCCTCTGTAGTTGCATCCCCAGAGTCTACCGATTTCGGCAAACTTTTAGGTGGTGAAGCTCCCTGATTGTCCGACGCAGCAACAGGTTCTGGGGCAGGTAAATTGCTCGGTTGAATGGGTAGCGGCACTCTCACGGATTGCTCCAGAAGCGGAGGTACAAGCCATGGGTCAGATCCGTCATTCAGCTGTGCGGGGAGTGGTTCCTCGTTAGAAGCGTGTAGATGTGAGGCAACCTGAGTTGAGTTATGGGAACCCGCCTCTCCCATAACCGTATCCTCGTCCCCTTCCATAGCCATTGAGAAGCGATTCAAAAAAATATTCGAAATTCTCCGTGGTCCACAGAATCAGCTAGCTCTAACACTTCATGGCCGAGCCCCAAAATCGGGGGTAGCACTCTCAGCTTCCAGAGACTCTACTATCTCTCGACGGAACTAGCTGATAGATGAAAAAGTGGAAAATGAGAAACGGCGATAAAATATACCACAGGGAAAAGACCGGTGATAAGGACAAAAAGGAGTTTGTAGTTTCTTAGCAAGATATAATCTCTAGAAGGGAATTAGATACTAGGGAGCCCCGAAGCCCAGAGGCTCGGCAACGCAGACAGACCAAGCGTTCTAGGAGTTGTGGTCCATGTAGCTCTAAAAAAGCGTGGTTTAGGTAGCTTTTAGCACGTGACTAGTGCTGGTCAGAGACGCCTATTGGCCCACCCAGAGTGAAATTTGAGTGGCTGGGATACAGGATCTGAGGGGAATTGGCGTGGTGGATGGAGGCAATCAGCACTTGAGGGTTTGGAGATGGTCAACGGCCATACATTCAATGTTTTTTGATCAAGACAGCTCGTAGCTCACTGGATGCGCTTGCGGCGCTCCCGAGACTTTGCCGCGCTTCACGGCAGCCTATCAGTTAAGCGTATTTGCCGGCTTAGGACAAAACACCGGCGTTTGGGCGGCAAAAAAAGTTACTATAAAACACCTACACATTCACTCAAAGCTCATTGCAACTTGAGGCTACAGAGGCGTAATTTTTAACACAGACAATATTGCATCAACTATCAACGTTGTGTCATTTCATTACATAGTACGTTATCATATGCATTTTATGCAAAGTGTCCAGGTGTCCACTTTTTTTACCCTGTCAACAGGGCAGAGTATTTTCCCAGGCCAGCAATATTGTGCGATACCCTGGATAATCCGGTGACAGAAGCAGCGAATCAGCTAACAGCCAGGCAATGTGGTAGGTTAAAGGAGACTTTTGATCTCCACGCTCCGTCCTGATTCCTACTGGCCATCGACCTTGGAGATGTAGGCTAAAAAGAGAAAACCCGTCAGTAATGATACAGATTATGACATCTCTGAAGACTGTTCGACTTACAGATGAGGTCAACGACACGGCGGGAGTAACCCCACTCGTTGTCATACCAAGAGACGAGCTTGATGAAGTGGTCGTTGAGGGCGATACCAGCCTTGGCATCAAAGATGGAGGAGTGGTCATCTCCGTTCAGGTCAGAGGAGACAACGTCATCCTCAGTGTAGCCGAGAATGCCTACATACAAACAAATCAGCATAAGAAAGCCTGGGTACCAGGGAATGGTTATACACACCCTTGAGCTCGCCCTCGGAAGCATCCTTGATGGCCTTCTTGATGTCATCATAGGAGACAGACTTCTCAACGCGGCAGGTAAGGTCGACAACGGAGACATTGGACGTGGGCACACGCATGGCCATACCAGTCAGCTTGCCGTTGAGGGCTGGAATGACCTTGCCGACAGCCTTGGCGGCACCGGTGGAGCTGGGGATGATGTTCTGAGCAGCAGTACGGCCACCTCTCCCCAGTCCTTAGCGGAGGGAGCATCGACGACCTTCTGGGTAGCGGTGTAGGAGTGGACAGTGGTCATGAGACCCTCAATGATACCGAACTTGTCATTGATAACCTTGGCAAGGGGCGCAAGACAGTTGGTAGTGCAAGAGGCGTTGGAGAGGACGTTGACGTCCGACTTATAGGTCTCGTTGTTGACACCCATGACGAACATGGGAGCATCAGCAGAGGGGGGCAGAGATGACAACCTTCTTGGCACCACCCTTCAAGTGGAGAGAGGCCTTCTCGGTGGTGGTGAAGACACCAGTAGACTCGACGATGTAGGCAGCGCCGCTGGCACCCCAAGGGATGGCAGCGGGGTCCTTCTCAGCGAAGAAGCGGACCTTCTTGCCGTTCACAATGAGGCCCTCATCATAAACCTCAACAGTACCCTTGAACTGACCGTGGGTACTGTCATACTTGAGCATGTAGGCCTGTTGTCATTCACATTGTCTCTGGTCAGCTCCTATCTTCGGTTCAATGCCTACAATAAAGGTAAACTGGAAGACATACAGCATAGTGGGTCTCAATGAAGGGGTCATTGACGGCAACAACCTCGACATCATCGCGAGAGACACTGCCAAAGCATTAGATTAGAGTTCAAAAGACAGAAATAAACAATTGTACGTACGCATTACGGAAGACCTGTGCCCCATGTTAGTGTAAGTCGAGAATGGAAAGGCGAGAGTGAGAGCGGTAGGCTCATGACAACTTACAATGCGACCGATACGACCGAAGCCGTTGATTCCAACCTGAGATTGAGATGTTCAGTATATACCAGGATACCCCTGACGTCGAATTGACCAATCCATACCTTGGTGACCATTGTTGCGGTAGTGTCTGTCGGAGGGCGGGGTAGCTGTTAGTTCAAGCTGGACGATGAGAAGGGAGGGACAAAGAACGCAGGGATATGGATCTGGATCAGGGGATGAAAGAATGGGGGAGGCCTTACTTAAGTACGGTAGAGTTTCGGAGGGGAAAGTTATGGGTGTATACGAACAGTGTGGAAGAGGAGAGAAAAGTCAGCGGCGGGGAGGGGGAGGTAGAAAAAGGGTTGCGGCGCTGACTGACGCAACGACCAGATCATCCTCTCTTTACCAGTGCCCAGTCAAAAGCGCACACCGGGCGGACAGACGGGGCAAAAGCTACAGGAGCTCTGCAAATGCTACGAGAACGGATCGAGGCCAGCTTGGTTTCCCGGCTTGCGCCGCTCCCCAGCTCCCCAGCAGCCTTTTCCGGTTTCATACACCGGGCAAAGCAGGAGACTCACGATATTTGGGAGCCGTCTGGGCCAATGAGCGTGCTGCGCTGTCACCATCTCGAGAATCTTTTGCCAGCGATTCGGAATCAATGGGGTGACTCTACCTAGGTTATTACGCTCGAGGTTCCGTTAATACGGCTATTCCTCTGTCTATATTATCGTCCCAGAGCCGGATAGAGAAAGATGAGGCCTAGAAGGTCCTCAATCCCTGATGATGTAATGGAATCAACCGTCGGCCACAACATCCCACCTTTGATTGAGCGATGAGTGTCACCGAGCGAGCAGAGGGGTAATTCCCGGCTTTTCCGCTTTTGGCCCGGAAAATCAGCCCGGAACAATAATGGTCCTTAGCCCCTCCTGCGAATCTCTCTATCCTCCAGAAATCTTCACCGGCAGCCAGATAAGACATCACGCGCTCGTTTATGTTTTTTTCTGGGGCATTTTAATAGTGGTCCAATTATTGTTCCTCTGCAAGCATGTCATATGGCTGCAGGGTATTATTGGTTGCATGTTCCATCCTGATTCATGATGCAGGGGCAACAGAGCCCATACATATGTCAATGCGCTGTACAGTTAAGCAATAGAATGCTTTAGACATCTCCTAAATTGTAACATTTTGTTTTGTCTACACAGTATCAACTTGACTACCCCGGGAACCTTGTACGTAGGTCTGGACTAGTATACTACCCATTAAGGGGCATGGTAGAAGGATACGGCTGAGCCACCCAGGGTTATGGCTATGAATCATTTATCTTACAAATATTTCAGGCGTTCTCGGTGAGATATCCTTAGGTTCTTTTAGTTTCTGCAGAAATTGGGTTTGACAGACCCATCATTGCTGGGCAACTTAATTTAGCGGACTCGTGGATTTGCCCCTTCACACCAGCTCATTTGTAATCTCCGTTCAAGAGTCAGACCAGTATGTTACGAGATTCTGATGTCAAGAGCCGCATGCAACGCTTGAGCCATACCATTTGGGACACCCAATATTCTGCCATATTATAGAGCTATAAATTTTTCGTAGCAAGATCATACTATCACGTATTATAGCAAATATTGACATGATCTAAATGGATAAAAATCTAACCGTCCTCGTCAAAGAAACCAGGGAGCAACCAAACTCCCGCTTGAATCTGTGCCCACTTCATTCACATGATGTCTAGCACATACAGGTACAAGCATCACCCCCGGGCCCAACACGCCATCCCTAACATCCTAAGATTACTCTTCCTTGACACCGCCTCTCCAGTTCTTCTCCGCGTTCTCAACGGAGGCCTTGTCGCTCTTGACTTGACCCTGGTTCATGAAGCTGTTGGCAGCCTTGAAGGGACGTTGGAGGTCACCGGTAGCAGGCTTGCCAAAAACGTGGATCTTGACCAGGTTTGATTCAAAAGCACTTTTAAGTGGAATGATCGACTGGATCAGAAGAGGGTTGGTGTACTTGAAGTACAGGTGCATCACTCCCATCATACCTACACCCATCAGTTGTCCCTTAAACAGCTGGCGTAACTGTTGCTTATCGTATTCCATGTTGGTAGTCGTCACAGGGCGAGGTTCTTCGTTGCTTCCCATAGGCGCAGGCTCAACGTACTTGAGAGTAGTCAAGTCTGTATCATAAATTAGCTGACTGTTTCGTATTATGCTAAAAGCTAAACATACCCTTTTTGCTATTTATTTTGGACTGCGTGTAAAGATAGATCGCCAAGATGATGACATTAGACAGGACATACATCCCACGGACAAGAAGGAGAACATCGGGATCCTCAAATGGCACCTTCTTAGCCAGCTGCATCATCACCACAATGATGACCAGATTGGTCCTGTACAATTAGTGCACTGTCAGTCGCGCTAGAAATCCACTGGCTTCAAAATTCCGACATAGCAACTTACACTTGAGGAGACACCATCTTGACGGCTGTGCTGATTAGCCTAGTGAGACGAGGAGGAAGGAGCGCGTGGTGATGCGAAATTGATAATTGAAGGGCACGCGTGAGCACAGAATCTTCCCTAAACCTTCGGAACTGGGGCCACGGGGAAGTCGGACAACTGTCCAAAAGGCGCCATATCACGTGAGGAAAACCTTCGTTCATCCTTAGTAACAATGGAGGCCTCAGGCGGCAAGTTTGTTTTATTTGTGGCAGTCTTTCTGCTTAGGTAATAAGCGTAACAACAATCACTGCGAACTTCTTGCCAACACCACCAGCGTTCCAGATGCCTTCAATGAGCATTCCACTATACTGCTGCCTTATACAATTACAAGCCTATGTGGCAGGTATTCCTCATTGTAGAATGCCCCTGAATATTATAATTCCTCTTTTCATGCATGGCATGCTCCGGTGTCAAATTACCGTTGGGTGACTCTTTTCAGCTCGGACATATGCTCTTCTTCTTGAGCCTCACAGACTGTTGCTAGTCTCCAAGTATTTGCTGAAGGTATTCGTCTGCCTGCAGGTCTGTTCTTAGAAAATGTGGAGTTGGCATCTATCCACTGCCTGGCCAACTGACCAATATACTGGCCTTGGAGACATCTCCATGGTTGGCGACTTTGAACGTTCGAATATTCCCAATCAGGACTAGCGTTGTTCCACGCTCAACGCCCTCTTTAGCGACTAGGATGGCTTTGACATTTCTAACTCCTTCATCCATCAACAACGCGCGTGTCGCTCGTATATTGAATCGCTTCAACGTCCACCACCGTGCTCCATCGCCTCAAATTATTCCGTGACGCGACAGTTCATTTTCTGGGACTCTAAAACTCGACTTTATTCAATATGCCTGGCGGAAAGGGAAAGTCTATCGGTGGAAAGGGCGGTTCTAAGGACTCTGCGGGGAAAACCCAGAAGTCTCACAGCGCAAAGGCAGGACTTCAGGTCAGTTTCTGCATTTCTATTTTATTTTATTTCTTAGTGGCTGTTGGCTAGTTGCTCCTCGTCAAGTCGAGTCGCCTTGACGTATCGGGAGAACGAGATTTTATTTTATTTTATTTTTTTTTTTGATCGCCTTTTTGGTCGTCCCCTTTACTCTTGTTTTGGTCTCGCTTCTCAATGAGACACGGCAATATCTTATTTTACTGGAAAATTTCGAGTTTCGTGAAGAGTTTATTCCCTCCGTCTACTCTAGCCCGGAAAGACCGGACTGTTTTCTGGACATCCCAGCTCCGCATCTCATATAACCTTTTTGAGTCGCGCACTGTTTCTTTAACACTCGTATTTAACTCGATATTGATGTTTTCTTCACATATACAGTTTCCTTGCGGGCGTGTTAAGCGTTTCTTGAAGAACAACACACAAAATAAGATGCGCGTTGGGGCCAAAGGTAAATCTCCATCTTGCTACTTACGCTGCATAGCCAAAGCATGGCTCACTTATGGGTTTTTACTAACGGGGGAGCTATCTAACAGCCGCTGTTTATGTCACTGCAGTCCTCGAATATCTGACTGCCGAAGTCCTCGAGCTTGCCGGAAATGCCGCCAAGGACCTGAAGGTGAAACGTATTACCCCTCGCCACCTACAACTCGCAATCCGTGGAGACGAAGAGTTGGATACTCTTATCCGCGCCACCATTGCCTTTGGTGGTGTTCTGCCTCGCATCAACCGCGCTCTGCTGCTCAAGGTGGAACAGAAGAAGAAAAGCAAGCCCGAGGTTTAATTTTACGGCTGATACCCCTCGAATATGGCGTTTAAAATGATAACGACTAAAAAAGAGCTCTGGGATATGTCCGCTGCAGCGATCGATCTTTTCACATCTGACTGTCACGAGCGGGCAGAAATATTGAATCTTGGAGAGAAAGAACTGAGCTGAAATTGAATGAATTGACAATTCGCACGTCACATGGCTTCCCGTGGGCATATTTCCAGCCCTTGCTTTTTTTTCACTCACTGACGCTGCAAATTCGAAATGCTCTTCGCTTCTATCTACTATTTGATTAGTTTTGTTTTGTTTTTTCTCCTCCTTTCATATGTGCTCCATTCCTATCGTTTTTTCTCGAAATATCAGGGCGCTGTAATGGGAAAAGGGGATATCTCGGTAGTGCGGTTCTATGTTAGTTTGTTTATTATTCCGTTCGATTCACTCCCTGCTGCTTGCTTATTCAGAAGTTATCGGTGTTAAGTGCTTCGTGCTTCCGTCTCAGGTCTTTATTCTTTGTAATTTTGATGTTGTACCAGTAGGTTCCCTTACTTTTACTTGCGAAAGAAAAAAAAAAGATTGCCCAATTTGGACTTGTATTCAATCGCGAATCTTTCGTAATTGACTTGAATACCTTATTTACGGAGCACTGGGAAATCTATACATATAAATACATAAATTTACTTTATTGATATAATCATCACTAATTTAATCTATCCATGCTGTTGCGATCAAAATTGAATACTACACTTCCCATCCATATATAGAAATACAGATAGCAATAAGTAGATATAAAACATACATTTATTCATCTCGAGAAATGGACAGCTGATAGACGAAAGGCTAAGGGGCCTCGACAGAATCAAAAAAAAAAAAAAAAAAAAAAAGAGGGTGGAAGGGCTGGAAGAGTAAATGCCAACAAAGATCCGGTTACACCTCCGAGCCCAGCCTCGAGTGGAATGTAGCAGGGTAAACATACCTGCCAAGAATGGGAAAAGGTAAAAGGGAAACGGACACATCCACGAAAGTATGGGATACATAAACGCAGACATCATCCCCTTCTTAATTTACCACTCCCCCTTTGTCCACGCAATGCAAATCGTGCCGAATCAAAATGTATGCCCTCGAAGAAGCAATGCAGAACGCCAGAGAAACCGGGAGCAACAACCAAGTGCATGTCGTCGATACCATTTCACTAGGCACTATCTCGAATTTCTCTGGACACAATTAGGAAGAGTAGAGCGTATAAAGTGACCATATTGGAACACACAAGCATTAAACAATCACCCCATATACAAATCAGCCAAACTATAACAAGAGAAGAATTCGGAAAAGAAAAAAAAAAAAAAAGATATAGCCCAGTACACCGATCATTTCCTTGGGCCTGTTTTTTCGGGGTTTTTAAAATCGTGCCTCGTGGTCTTCCTCAAGTTAAATGATTTTAGATTTGCCTTCCGCCGACAGACGCAATTCGAAAAAATAAAAATATAAAAAAGTATAGATAAAAATAATGTTTCTGCATGCAAGGCGCCCGCGTCTCAAAAAATCTCAAGAGCTTTCTTTTGTCATATTTTCCGAGAAACAAAGAGAAACATATAGTCCGTTCAAACAGCGTGCCTGTTGGGCTGCCCCAAAATAACGTCTAAACTTGGCTAGATCAGAGAAATTTTCTTTTGTGGTTCTCTTGGTTGAGTGTCATCTCGTCATCCCTCATCGAATCGTAAGCCAATAATCGCAGAACAGGATCAGGCCTCGTGATATAAGAGTCGTATGCGTCTTGCGGCAAAGCAATCTAACAAGTTTCGTCGTCTTCGTCTCCCATCAAGGTGATTTATGTTTTCGTCTTACTCCACAATAATCTCTACACCGGAGTTGGTGCGCAACTCATCACTCCCACGCGATTGGTGTCCGTTCGGGCGTCGAAACCCCGAGCCTTTCTCGGGCAAGGGGCCTCTAGGCTGTCTAATTGGCATGCGCTCCTGTAACTGACCGTCAAATCCAACTCCGATGGATCGGTTGCTACTGATGGGCCCAGCACTGGAAGGTTGACTTTCCGGCTGTTCCCAGGAGAACATACTTCGCAATCTCCTCGGGCTCGTGTTAGGCCCACCTATTCCGGTCCCCAAAGAAAGGCTGCTAAGGCTGTTCACTAATAAATTGTCATCCCGCTGCAGGCCCAGAGAGGAACCTGACGGAGCGGGCGTAAGGGTCGGAGTATTGGAAGCGCCGCTAGTCGCACCATCGTAATGCTGTAGGCGTGCACCATTCGATTGCAGCGCGGCCGGGAAGCTGGCCGAGGAAGGGACCGGCGATGGGGTATAGGAGCGCAGATCCGCAAACGACTTGGCCGCCCGTAAGTTTTGCGTGTTTCCAAAGTTCCCGGGGGAGTCTAGAACACCGAGGAACCCCGACGCCTGGCCACGAAGAGTGTTGTAAGGGGCAGGGCCTTCGTTGCGCGCCTCGCTGAAATCAATCGTTGCGGCGCGGTTAAGTCCCCGACGGCTCGAATCCGCAGGCTGCACCGCGGCAGGGATGGAAGACAGGGGAGGGCTCACATTAGCGCCAGGACCAACCTTGAACACCTGCACCTGTCGCTGATCACCAGAGCCACGTGAAGCATGTCCCAAGCCCATGTTGTGAGCAAGGGTGTGAACCGTGCGCCGTTGAACTGGGGAAAGGTTGGCAGCAAAGACCAACGAATCGCGGCTAGGATCTTCCTTGAACAACAGAAGCTGCGAGTAGTATGAGAGAGTCGTGCTATCATTCAAATCGACGTCTAAATTGAATCACCATCGTCAGTCCTGTAGGGGTAGCGACACAAAGACGACCACAACTTACCCAACTTCTGGCCACGCTGAGAAACAGGCGAAGGAGATGTTGCCGGCAGGTGAGAGGTGAGCGAAGACATGGAGCTCTGAGTCTGAAGCTGAGAGGTTGCTGCTATAGGTCGATGTTGCTCCTCCAGCTGGCCCCGGCGTTCGCGCTTTTCGCGTTCAATACGCTCGCGCTCTTGGAGCGGAAGCATTTTCTTGTATTCAACCCTCAACTTCCGGCCCTGAAGTTCAAAGTGGTTAAGAACCTCGATTACGGTCGCGGTTTCCTCCGCAGAAGTAAAATTGGCGAATGCCAACCCCCGAAATACGCCATTGTCAAAATGATAATTGAACGCGTACGGCAAGGGCAGATTCAACTCAGTCATTAACTGAACCAGCTGTTCCTTTTTCACGGCAAAGGGGATATTTTTGATGACGATCGCGGTCGGAATCAACTCATCGTCTGTCTCCGAAGGGCCTGTGGTTTCCGGGCGCATAGCATTGCCTTGAAGCGGACCGGGTCCGAGGTTCGAAAAGGGGCTGGGCATCGCAGGCGGTTGATCGAGCCACGTCTATTCTAAGTATCAGCATTTAGGCAGGGAGAGATGCTAGCAAGCACTACGACCCAATACGTACCGTTGGGATACCCGCTCGCCCGGTGCGGGAAGTGGCCTTCAAGCTGGCAGAGGCTGACCGGATTCCTCCGAGGGACTGAGCGTTGGCAAAGCCATTTGGATTCCAGGTCTGCGATCCGGACAAGTCGTAGGCATAAGAATTGTTATGCAAGGACGGATTCAAGCGATCCAGGCGGCCCGCCTCATAGCGAGCCATGGGATCCTCATACAAGTTGACAGGCATTGGGCCATACGCATCGAACTGTCGCGATGGTTGGCGATGTAGAGGTTGCTGGTGACGTTGGGAGCCAGGAGAGCGCGCAGAGGAATTATCGTGATACATATCCTGTGCTTGTTGATAACTCATGGCGGCTAAGTGCAGACAACCAACCCGAAGAATGTGGACACTGAACTCCACACAACAATCCCGTTGAATATCCCGATACCCTGCACGAGTCTACTCAAACATAGGAGCGACCGGACAGGTGTGGATACCGGTGCAAGGTAACCTGCAGAACTGCGAACGACGCGAGGTCAAAGGGTGGACCGAGTTTGTGCGGGATTCCGACTCTGGGGAGTTTGGAAAAATAAGATCAGATCGTCTCTCAGCACCGACGGAGAAGGCGGTCGATGAGTTTTTGGGGTGATGGACAAGGGCGGGAAGAAAAAAAAAAAAAAAAAAAAGACAATATGTAGCAGTTAGAGACAGAAGGAAAAACAAAACCAAATCGCTCAGAACTGCTAATCAATTGTCTCGTGATTGTTGGGTCATCAATGGCAAGCGTATGTCCTCTCCAGTGTTAAAATTTAAGGAGCCTTTTTGGTTTTTTTTTTTTTTCTTCTCGTTTTTCCCCCTTGATCTCCGTCCTTCCGATGGAACACAAATACGGATTCGAGAGAAATAGACGGAAAGAGAGGTGGGGGAGAGAAGGATAATCGGGAAAAAAAGAAAGAAGAAAAAGGTATGAAAAGAAGAGAAGAAAAGGAGAAAGGCCACTACCCGGGATCAAGAACCAACAAGGCTTGATAGGGCCGTGTCGAATGACCAGGTTGTGGTGGTGAGGGGAGAAGGGAAAGGAAGGGGAAGAGAACGAGGAGTCGGAGAAGGTGAGCAGGCAGAACGAGAAGAGAAAGTAAAGTAAGGAAAAGGCAAGGAAGAAGCCGGTCGTGGAAATGGCAGCAGTGATTGGGGGAAAGGGAAAAAAGCACGCCAAACGGCACGCAGAAAAGCCGGACCACCGCGACCGCTTAGTTGCTGCTGCTCTGCTGCCCTTCCGCGGATCCGCCGAGGTCGAATTGGATAGATCGCTGGATGGATTGATTTCTGTTGCAGTTGGAGATATATTCCTGAAAAATAGGATAAAAAAGAAATAAAAACATAAACAAATAAAAAAATAAACAAGGAGAATACGAACGGTCCAACTGAATAGGCGAGCTGGTTATTTCAAAAATCGAAATAGAAAGTTCGAGGGGGCAGTAGATAATAGTACTCCGTAGATACGGGAAAAAGGGAGAGACAACGACAGACACTAGAGCAGGAGGGATTTCCGTAATCCGTGCAAATTTGGGGACGGGACGACGGACGGGGAAGGTCGAAAAAGGTACCCAGTGTAAAAAAGCAATGTTACTGGCCGTTCAGGCCTTTTTTTTTTTTTTTTTTTTTTTAATAAACCTTGCCCTTGTCTCTCTGGTTGCTTTTGTGGTTTGGTTTTGGTTTGCAGGAAATTTGATAGAGTCGTAGCTAGAGCAGACAGCTTTCGTCCAAAGAGCTATTATATAGTCACCATGCGGTGGATTCCTTTCTCCTGCTTCCTTTTTCCTTCTAGTCTCCTTCCCCCCTCTTGTTCCTCTGCAATCTTATTTTCCTTCCCTTTCCTCTTCAGTCAAGGCGGAGTCAAAGAGCTTAGAAAGGTTGCGAAGTGGGAACAGTCGTAATGCAACGCCAAAAGGGGGGCTGGATTTTTATTGGCAGATGCACCTTGGTAGTAGTAATCTCTCAGTACTAATAGATACTGAGCGTACTGAGGCTATAGGTACCGACAGGTAGAAACCTCGTAGCTAAGCAGCATGTAGTAGGATCTGTGTCTCTGTATGTAAAACTACACACTAAAGGTAAAGGACTGGAAGGAGAATAAAGCAGTATCAACAGCAAAAGCAATCTCAACCTCAACAGGAGAGACTGCTCCTATCCATGATACATGAACAGTAGGTATAGAGTACTCTGTCTATACCTACTGTGGAGGTACTCCTGTAAGTCCTTGGCGCCCTTCCTCTCTTCCCCTGGATATCCATTCTCACCTTGCTACCCTGGATATCGAGGTACCAAGAAACAACAATATTACAATCAGTACTCTCCATTCACGTTCTACAAACAACTTCGTGCATGGGAATTTCTGTTGCATACATCCGATATTGATATTAAGTTCCTTTGATAGCAATAACTATTGTTATTAGATACCACCAGGAGCTCCATACTTTCTTCTCTTACCTAGGTTTCTAGTACATCAGAGTAGTTCCAGGTTGTTTATCCGTACTGCAGGATTCCCACATCACTATACTATACATACGACTATCCTGTTGTAGCACATATTGTCCAGTGTTTCAAACTCTCATGGACATGTCTCTGTCCCTTACAAAGCAACAAGGCCCGCCTGGGCTGGACTATTTCCCCCTTCTTCTCGTTTCGCAACACAGGGAACCTGCCTTTTCATTGCCTAAAATGTTCTTATTCCGTAGTCTTATTGGGCTGGATCCTATAGGGCAGGCCGGGCTTGAATGTTCATCCGTTTCTTGTTCTTTTCGGGGCTTTTCCGGGCCATCAGAATGTACTTTTCACATTCGATTCCTCCCTAACGCAGGACTAGTCGTATTCACGGCTTACTTGGGAGATTCCGAGAGGCTTCTGCTTTACGGTTCCTATCCCGGAGAGCACAAACGTGTCCCTAGAATGTGGACTGGGATCCGTCCCGGGTGGGTAAGGAATCCTATTAAATTCAGCACTTTAAGCGACTGGAAAGGTACGGTCGAGTCAGTGTTAGTGTCTGGTTTCTATATTAAGTGCTCCGAGCCTGCTACTTTCCTTGACTACCTTGAGCCACGGTCATATTCTGGTCTTTATCCTTGTCACCTAGGAGAACGAGGCATCTAACGATTCTTTGGCAGCCAACGGCGAAGATGTCAGTCCTATAGTCAGTTCACCCGGTGGCTCGTGTAATGCGACAGGCCGAAGGACACGGAACCTATCCCTCGGGAATGAATAGGGGAGGCCCCTGATGGACGTTGCGATTATTATTCCTTAACCCATTTCTCAACCAGTTCCCAACCCTACTACATTATTATTAGCAACAAACTTCATCAATAAGGGTGCTTGTTAACTAATATTATTATAGTCCGTTATTCTTAGTATCACTTTTATTGTATTTATCATGCTATTTATTTGACACGCAAGTTTCTAGAACTCCGTTCCTTTGCTCCGTCGACTAGTCAATCGTACTCCGTACTACAGCGGACTTGGGAGACCCCCCTTTTTTTTTTTTAATTTTTTCTTTCCCCCCTTCCAACGACTGTACAGAGTGTGTAATTGTACAGTACGAGTGATCCATCACTTGCGACAAATCATGGACAGTACACACTTCATTTACCTTCCGAAATTATACTGCTCAAAGGGTGAACTCTCCTGAGATCCGCGAGAAATCTTCAACTCCTAGCTCACTATGGGGACGGCCAAGTATTAGCGGTTTGGGATTCGCACTCAAACTAGACCCCACTAGTCGTCAGAACCTATTATAGAGATGTCATATTTCGCTCCTGAGAAAAGGTGGTTCCTCGATTCAATCTATTCATGCCGGCCTTTCGCATCAAAGGTGTATCAGCTGCACCTGTCACCTGTCAGTCGTCTCGACACGACAGGATTCATGTCGGGTAATATTTACATCCATTATCAACAAAATTAATTTTCGGTACTTCGACCATCCCCAAGGCATCCACTTCCACGCATTGCTGCGTAAACCCGCACGCTGCTGCTCCCAGCTGTTCCCGTGGCGTGGCCGGGGGGGACTCGGGCGATCCCAGCACGAACTAATCTTCCAAGCGTTTCTATAGAACATTCTTAGTCCATTCCCACGACAGTTAGCTTTATTAATTCAGTCTCGATAGTAAATTGAATGAGACCCGAAAAGACGCCACGAGCTAAGTCTGCTCCATGGAACATAGCCATTCAGTTGGAAGCGCTCGATAAATTACTAGGAGGCGAAAAATCGGAAGTGAAGGAGGGGGGAAGGAAAGAAGTGTGGCCCAATGAGAGCTTCAGGAGTGACCTTCATGGTTTGCCGAGTCTGAGTAGTCTCATCTGCCTACAGAATGCTGCAGCCCACTTTATTCGAAATGACAAATCTGAGAAAGAATTATAGGTCATTAGTTATTACTTGGTTAGTCGCTATACTCAACAAGGAGAGCGATTTAAGTGATCCTCGCAAGCTCAAATACAACTATGAATTCAACGATTGCTGATCGAGAATGGGATTCAATAGGGGATAAAGACCGGTCTGATAGTTCGCGTGTATCCAAAAATAAAAATTAAAAAAAAAAAAAAGCAACAAGCATTTCACACCAAAATGGACATCAACCGGTAGTTGGGAAATGACAACCAACAAAAGCATTTACTCATACTGTTATACTCCCTACGGAGTTCTAAGTTAATATATAAGGAGTACGACATTCATCTGCTTCTTAATTCTTTGTATAATTATATAAAATGCATTATAGGTACCTTCAACGGAGCGGTAATTTCCCGGCTCGAGGTCAGCTCGATGCTGTTGGTATCTGTAATATGCAGCATGCATTGTATGCATGCAGCCAAAGCCACAGAACCCACCAAGGGAAGGGCACAAGTACCCATGCACTTATGGTGTTATTGGCTACGGGGACGAGGTCCGTAAGCCACAAGAATCAAAACAAATAAATTCAGTAGACCTGCTAACCTAGGTAGGTAGTTATTGCTGATACCTACGTATCAGTCTCCAGGCCAATATACTCTCCTACTGATAATGCCACCATAATGTCGAATTAATATAGTGTATTTTAACCCAAGTAGTAAAAGACCTGTGAACAATTTGTGCGAACACGAAATCCGTTTGATTGACTTGACCCTGGAATACGCAAGGGACCTCCTGAAATCAGATTATTTCCCCCGGTTAGGGACTTCCCCCACCCCTTCCCTTTTTGCGCGCTACTGCAGTGCGATCCGTCTAGACCTGCTGACTGTGTTGATGCTGTTGTGCTCCGTCCGATCATATGTAAGGAGGGGAGTTTGGGTTGAGGTCGAGTCTCTACTACGTAACTTAACTGTCATTTGTCCCTTGGCAATTGAACCGCTTGAATCCGAGCCCGTGTAGGGGTTTTATGCAGTGTCAAATGTTCTGAATATAGACTGAAACATAACATAGGTTTTGTTTAAATTTTACCTTCTCTTAGGTGATGGATAGCTTGGTTGATGATTATCTAACGTAAATAACTGACAACTGCAATCCATGGAAACCCAAAACTCAGTCCCGATCTGACATACTCCGTAATTATACTCTATATAGCTGTCTATAATTTGTGTCCTTGACACTCCAGCATATTCAGTGGCACACGATCTTTCAGGACCAAAAATGGGGAGCCTATATACCCTTTTGCTGAACCGGGACACACTGCTATGAGAAGCCTGGAAAACTTCAACCAGTGTCGCCTGAGTTAGGTGCAAGAAACCAGAAATATATCATTCAAATAGTATTCATCAAGCCCTGGAGCGGATAAACGCTATATTGGAATATCTGCTTACAGTCGGTGTTTAATTAACAGAGATCATTACTGCAGCATACAATGCAGTATCATCACTGATTTTCTGAACGGATTTAATGCTATTGCTGCGCAAGGACGTGTATCCTATCGATAATGTCTTCGAATGTCTCCAACATTCCAATCGCATCCCAAATCGCAACATTCTTAGGAGTGGCGAAGGAATGGCCTTTCAACTTAGTTGTCGTACTCGGTAATCCCATATACATATACGAATACATTCGAGCCGGTGTACCTAAACACTTCTACATCGCCTAAATAGAGAATATAAAACAATCTCATTATCTGAGCATGGGTATAAACGAGTGACATAACGTAAATACAAATACCACCTCTTCTTTTCATGAACAATGCAGGTTTCCTTCAGGACGAATTCTCCCACCCCCTATTCTGGACAGTTGTGTTCCTCTGTATGAGGCTTGCAATCTTCCAAAGCTATGAATCCTCACAGCCAAGCAAGGAAGCCCAAGCCCACTATAGCAGCCAAGGAAACCACCTTAGGAGCCGAAGAAGCCGGGGCTACATTGTTAGATGCCTGCGCGTTACTGGAAGAGCTAGTGCTGCTGGCCGCGTCTGTACCGTTGGCGCCGTTGGAAGAACCTCCGGAAGCGCCAGAGCCGCCAGAACTGCCAGAGCCCCCGGAACCAGAACCTCCAGAACCTCCACGCCCAGAAGAACCGGTAGACGTCGCATTGGTGCTGGTAGCAGTGCCGGTGGCGGAGCCGGAGACAGAGGCCCTGCTCAAGGCGGAAGTAGCGGCAGCTGTATTGTAAGACGTGGTGGAGAGAGAGCAGAATCGAAGAATATCATATGCGTCTGTCCGAAATGTCAGTCAGAAAAGATAGTTTGAGGTCTTAGTTTTTGAGATTACCATTGTGATGGGGGTCACGGTCATGGATGTCGTCACGGTCATCATCGTCGTCATCGTCGTCGTCGTCATAAAGATCATGCTCACGGTTATAGTTTTGGTCATTTTGGTTGTTTCTATCCCCACGGTACTGCGCAATGCAAGCCTCGCAGATAGGGATCAGAGTGGGTGCCTGCTTCCAGTCACAGATGCACTGCATTTCGGCGCGGTCGTCGTGATTGATGGCATCGCATCTATAAGCAGTGCCCACCACGGGACCACACACATCCCAGCAGCGATTGGGGACATCGTCACGTTCCAGTTCAGCCGCGAAAGCGACATTGCTTGCAAGCATGAGGCCCGAAAAAGCGAACAATAGCTGCGAGTGCATTTTGGGTCAAAGGTAATAAGGTTGAGTTAACAGTAAGATAAGCAAATGAGTTGAGGTAGAGAAGAGAGAACAGGATTCTGCTTTGCTTCGATATGATTGAATTGATGATGAAGATAGAAGCATCCAGAGAAAATTTCTAATCGATTTATACCTCTGAGAGTCCGTCGTGTCCGAGTGATTCTATATTTGTGCCGATGTACTCCTGTCCAATGGGAAACACAATTTCCGCTCGTATGTGTCAGAACATGTTCACTATCCGGTGTCAAGCGAGGACAAGAGTGATCTGCTTCGGCTAGTAGCTGCGAGGAAGCTCTAAGCCTCCCAAGGACATTTCGCCAAGCACGGGAAGCCTATTGAACCTTGATCGGAATAGAGCCAAAACCAATCCTAATGGAGGGAACGACGTTGCCTAGGTATGCCAAAAGGAAAACATTTTCGTAATGATTGTCGAGCCACGCTTATCGCTACCAAGTTTGTATGCGGGGAATGCTTTTTGTTCCCCTTTAGATTCACCGCCACAATGCACACCGGATTGGTGATGGCTCCATGTCTGTAGGGTGGATCCAGACAACTTGCCCGGGAATTGATCTGTTTCACTATCATAGACATCTGGTAGTGATATGTTCTTCAAATGGCCTATGTCTTCACTCTCCAGTTGATGATGTCACTCTTTCAATAAGCGTCGAATCCCTTGCCTTGATCGACCACAAAGAGAGGGAATTAAATCCATCATTCTGCTACATGAACAAGGAGAAGTAAAATACAGAGCAAAAGAAATCATGCATTTGATGGAGGTTTCCCTGTCAGTTTCGTTGATCCTAGATCATCCACTTCCATCACGATGCAACTAGGCCGCTTGTCAATTTCTACGTTCCGAGACTTTGCACAGCCTCCCCGCTATATATAGGATCACAAAGGGCAGATTATTTGGACAGGAAAATCGCAACAACCAGTGAAATATAAAAGAAATATGCTGCCTGCACGTTTTATGGTAGACCTAGATGATCCATTGCAGGGTTGAGCTTTCTTCAGGCTCAGAACAGCCAAAACGGGTAAGGAATGCATCCCAAAGAGGTGCGACTAGCAGGCAGACTATGTCTTAATCAAGCATTCCTTGCCGGAGATCTGATAAAGCCCCTCAACTAAAGCAGGCTTTATATTAGTCATTGGGTCATGCTTAACCTGTTCCCTGGATTGTGTCTCTTAGGTCATCATGAGGTCAGCGGTACTGCTGAATATTGATTGGCTGGTGGTCATCTGCAGAACCCCTCCAAATCAGCGAACATCTAAAAATACTTCATGCATATACTGTCAATGTAAATTTCAGTCCTATCATCATCTTTCTGGGAACTACGAGAAAGATTGTACCTGATGGCGCGAGGTGCCATGGCCAAGATGTCTTGGGAGAAGTATATCCTGCAGCCTGTTCAAGGTGCACCTCCCGTGGTGCTCCCGACATTGATTTACGGAACAGCCTGGAAGAAGGATCAAACTGCCGATTTAGTGCACCAGGCTCTGAGGGCTGGGTTCCGCGCGGTGGACACCGCTGCCCAACCAAAGCACTATCGTGAAGACCTGGTGGGAGAAGGTATACGTAAGGCCATCCGCGATGGAACAGTTCGACGAGAAGATCTCCATGTAAGTGGTTACCTAAATCTAGAACAACAAATTTGTACAACTTCGATGTTCGGCCGCTGAGCAAATCACGCGCAGATCCAAACCAAGTATACGTCTGTTCAGGGACAAAGTCCTAACAATATGCCATACGATGCAAATGCATCGGTGACGGAACAAGTCCATGCCTCTATCAGGTCTTCTCTCCAACACCTTCGCCCGTCTGAGGAACCTGACAGCTTCGATGATGCATATATCGACATGTTGATTCTCCATTCCCCTTTACCCACAATGGAGCAGACCGTAGAGGCTTGGTCAGCGTTCGAGACCTATGTGCCGCATCGCATCCGCAATTTAGGCATATCTAATTGCACCTTGCCTGTCCTCCGTGAGCTGTCTTCGCTGGTCACAGTGAAGCCGGCCGTTGTCCAGAACCGCTTCTACGTGGGCACGCAATTTGATGTGCCACTGCGCTCCTTTTGCCGGACTCACCAGATCATCTATCAGAGCTTCTGGACGCTGTCAGCAAATCCAGAATTGGTCCAGTCTGAGATTGTTCAGCTACTAGCAGAGCGCACGGGCATCAATCCAGCTGCAGCATTATATTGTCTCGTGTTGGGCCTTGGAAAGACCGTAGTGCTGAACGGAACTACTAACAGAGCTCATATGGAAGCAGATCTAGCGGCACTGAAAAAAGCCCAGCATTTTGCCGAAGGAAAACCAGATGCATGGCAGAGGCTACTCGAGAACTTCCAAGAACTTACTGGGGACCAGGTTGAGGTCTGAGTATTGGCCTGTACACGCGTGGGTTGTGTCAGGCCTACTCCTTCCGAACAGTCGCTGAGCATAGTATAAACATTCAAAAAGTCCAGAGATACCGAAGGGCATATCGGAAGGAACTCCAAGGGAGTCAGTCCCTTTGTGATAGGCAAGAATGAACTTTCAGTAGAGATGGGAAACGATTGGCGATTGTCGTCGGCGGGTAAATCAAGCCAAGAGGAAATATCCATATGACAGAAGTATCCAGTCCAACGTCCATAGTACATATTTCATGAATCATGCAGATTGGCCTGCTACCAATGCAAATGTGCGTAAACCAGCTAAGCTGGTCGGAGGATATTGGAGATACTTATCGCTTAAGAATGGAGCACGTGCCTCATATTCGTGCTGACTCATTCCATTGCAGCCAATCAGCGGACGAGGAAGAACATTTGACTTCATCCCCGGCCTGCCAAGCATCGACAAGGCCAGCAAGATTTGCCAGCCTGCAGGCATTTTTCTGTCTTATCTTCATCCATCGACCGCCAGTCTTTCTGGGCCATCCCTATCGGCCACGCTTTCTTGCGCCGCTATTCTCTTTTCGCTTGTCCTGTAGCGAAACTATCGGCCCCTTTTGACTTTCCTGGATCTGTTTTTCGTCCACTAGCGGCCGTTTTTGGCAAAGTGCTGGCATCCATATCTCACGAGCCTCGACGAGTAATTGACTATCGCGTCGACGCCGCTCGTTTCACCTGGTCGGGCGTCTATCTCAATTGCAAAACTCATCTTAGGCGCTTCTTGTCCGGCCTCTCTCTTCGCGTTCTTTTTTTTAAAAACTTTGCAGACTGTGCTTGAGCGTCGTTTGTCGCGTCTCGGTCACCACCAACATCAGCAGCGCATCCTTCCCTCCACCGATCCGCAGTCCTTGAAACCCTCGGAGCGACCTTCCGTCGAAGTACAAATTGCAATAATCCCCACGATTTCCTCTCGTTCCGATATACAGATAGCCTGTTCCTCCTCCGTCTTTCTCTTCCCCGCCATACACCCGCTTTTAGCCTGGGTTTGTGATCCGCGGTCAACATCAAACCTTCTCTTCGGTTACATTAGGGAATATCCACAGTCAAACATATACCTATTCTGCTCTCGAAGTACCGAAGATTGTCTCGTCCTCGGCGATGAGTCCTCAGGGCGTGAACCGCAAAAGACCGGCTCCCGGCACTTCTCCAGTTGTTCAGCCGCAACTAGGCTCAGTGAATTATCCTCCCAACTCTGGTTCCCAGCTCTCAAACGACCAATTTCTACAATGGGGTCAAAACCCTTCCCCCACCATCGCCAACCCCTCTTTTACCGACGCGAATTCTTACAATCCCACCTACTCAAGCCAAAATGCCCCCTCCTCCACAGTCACTGCATCAAACCAGCTTGCGCGAAGGCAAACACCAAACCAGCTGGTCAGCAGGAATCGTGGACATGAACAGACGCTGACATCGTTGCCAGAATCTGGTGCCAATACTGGAGAATCTGGGGGGTGGGGGGAGAGCTTAGATGAGCTTTACCAGCGGGCACTGGTGGCGAAAAAGGATGCGCAGGCTAAAAGGAAACAAATTCCACCATTTGTGCAGAAACTGAGCAGGTAAGATCAAATTGTGCCACTGGATGTAACGGATAATTGACAGCGATTAGTTTTCTGGACGAATCTAAGAACACGGACTTGATTCGATGGTCTGACGACGGGAATTCTTTTATTGTAATTGACGAAGATGAGTTCGCGAAGACATTGATTCCGGAGCTGTTCAAACATAACAACTATGCCTCCTTTGTTCGTCAGCTGAACATGTACGGTTTTCATAAGAAGGTGGGACTTTCGGACAACTCGATGCGCGCCAGTGAGCGAAAAAACAAGAGCCCTAGCGAATACGCGAATCCTTACTTCAAACGTGGGCACCCTGATCTTTTGTGGCTGATCCAGAAGCCCAAGAACGCCACAGGGCAGGGGCCCAAGTCAGGAAAAACCAATGTACGCGTGAAGACCGAGGAGCCCGATGATTATGACAATGATGACTATGAAGATAGCACAGGGGTATCACGGGATGATCGCGCCCGCAATCGTCAACTGTCCCTGGTTACAAGTAGTGTAATGCCGAAAGACCAGCTGGCCGGGGTTTATCGAGAGCTTCAGACCATTCGCCAACAACAGCAGGTAATCTCCAACACAATCAGTAAGCTACGGAGAGAGCACGAGCAACTATACGCGCAGGCAGCCAATTTTCAGGAACAACACACTCGGCATGAAAATTCCATCAATGCCATCCTAACCTTCCTGGCAACAGTCTACAATCGCAGTCTCCAAGGACAGGAAGGACCGCAAAATATCGCCAACACATTTGCCGGGGCTATCTCCCAAGACCAAGGCAATGTGGTCGATATGGCAGATAATTATTCGCTAAGCACCCTAGGTGCTCCTAACGTGGGAAGCCCTGGGGGGCAGCGGTCCATGAAAAAACAGCCATTGCTTTTGAAAGCACCTCCAGCCACAGCCACAGGGTCACAGAGTCGGGCAGCAACCCTTTCACCTTCCGTTGGTACATATGACCGCCCACAACCGCGAGGTCATGTTCGCCAGTCAAGTGCATCCCAACACGGCCATGTCGAGGAAGTCTTCGATAACAGCCCTCGGCAGGAGGAGCCACAACCGCATCAGACTCAGCAGTACCCCCAGCGAGATATCATGTCTGTTATCCAAAATTCGAACGCGCAGAACGGGGTTCCGACGACGAGTTTCTCCGATTTTCCCAACGTGTTATCGTCGCTTGAAACTTCCGGTGGCAATGTCCCTCTTACTCCGAATCAACGTGCAGATATGCTCCGTCTTATGGCCAACGAATCTAACACAGACAACTCTCACAATATACCTATAGCAAACAACGCTCTTATCACACCAACGCCACCTCCGATGCTGCACAATTATTCGAATCGCCTTGCCAATACCCGTGCAGAGATTGACAACTTAGTGAAGATGCAAGCGGAACAAGACCGATCAGTCCAGAATTTAACCAATCTGCTACAGCCACTCAGCCCCACGGGAACTATTCCTGGAATTGGTGCTGACGGAAGTGTCCCTCCACCTCAACTGGATCTTGATCAGATGTTCAGTAATGATTACTTCACCGATGTTGCAGACCTTGAGCAAAACAAGCACAACTACTCGATGCCCGCCCCGGCAGAGCCAGCCACCACAACTGCTGTTGATGATAGTGCCATCGAAGATGCCAATGACCTGTTTGACTTTGATCATATTCCCGGTGACGGCGAATTGTTCGATGGAAGCAACCAGCACCAACAGAACGCCGGCTTTTTCAGTGGCTTGGATTGCAGCGGTTACGACAGCAATGTGGGTGTCGGAGGAGATACTCAGCTGCCAGTTAACGATGATTCCGGCAGGATCGTTGAGACATTCACTGATAGTGAGGCGACCAGTCCCGCTAATACTGTGGACGAACCGGTCCCGTACCCAGGGCCCATCGGAAGCGGCGATTCACAAGGAGGCAAGGGAAATGGTGCTAACGCAAAGCGGCGCAAGAAGGCTTGAATTATTCTTCCGTCATAGCATATTACTAACGAAGCTGCGAATCACCAGAGGCAAGACCGTATTGCCATTTAAAAGTATGATGAAGCGACTTACACCTGCTATTGGAGCCAAAAATAATAAACTTTGATACCATTTATAAATCTCCTCTGTTCCGGCCCATGTCATTCTCTACACGATAAAGCATGAGGCTTTCCTGACTGATCACAGCAAATGGCTAGTCCAAGGATGTGTACAAGGGAGTCTCCTTGATTTCTCTTCCTATCTTTTATCCCCCGTGGACAAAATTTATGATTCAGCTTTATAGCTACGACCGAATTTTGCATGTCTATTGACGTACATCTTTACTGCTGGAAATAAAAAAATTCCCTTGGCACGTTCGTTCTATGTTCTTCTCGATTTCTTGGATTTTACCCTGGGAGTTAACTAGTTGCCTGTCTAGTATATGGGGTATTGCTCTGTTAAATTTGTAGTTTGTGAATAGATTTACATCGTTATATGATGGATCTGTCTGAGGCCAATATAAACCATCCATCGTAGTATTCTCATCCCATATATTTAATTATTTCTTTGTACGGCCTCGATCCCATTCCAAATCACCCACACGCTCACGTTTGCGTTCCCGCTCTCGATCCCTCTCAAGTCCTTTCTTTCGACCTACAAACTCCTTCTCGCGCTCCCGGGGATCAATCACCATTAGAGAGTCCGCATCATCCGGGTGTTCGCGTTTCCAGTTTAGGTCTTTTCCGAGCATGTCCTTGCCGAAACGGAGTTCGTGTGTCAACCATCCTTTGTCATCATCTGTCTGTCCTGCTTCCTCGGTCTCGTTGGTATCCCATGTTTTGCAGGACTGGCAGTGGGCAATGAAGTGTAGGTCGCACAGTTGGGCTTCTTCGTCTTCAACTTGTTGCGTATCGACAGTATTGTCGGGTTGGTGGGCCGATCTTTCTGTAGTGGGGGCTTCTCGAGCGGAGGGCAGCGAGTCGGCACCTTCGAGCTTGGCTTTGAATGCATTGAACAGTTTTAGTGTTTCGGTTTCTGCTGAGCCACTGAAAGCTGTCATGCCGTTGGCTGTGCCTCTTCTGCGTCCTCGGATAGCTGTCTCAGGGATCATAGCTTCCAAGGCAGATTTCTTCCGTCCTGTATCGGCTGGGCCGGCATGGACGTTGCGACGCATGGAGGCCTTCAGATCCTCGATTTCGGCGTTCGTTCGGGACAGGTTTGATGGCCTTTCTGCGGGAGATTTGGATCTTGGTCTGGATGGAGAACGTTCTGGAGATTCAGGGTCTGGTAGAGGTAGTTGAGATGCCCGGTCTGGTGTCTTTGGGCGATCTTTACGCACTCGTTCGAGGGAAGGGGAACGGGGTCGTTTTCGAGCCTGCGCTGACATCTGCTCCTGTTTCGTAGACCGAGCTTGTTTGGAGCGCTCATCGGGTCCTGGGAGACCTGTGTCCGTGACGAGTGAAGAATTGTATTTGGGTTTTGCAGACCGCACGGGCATATCCACGTCGCCTTCGTCGTCTCCGAAACTCAGTAGCATTTTACCTCCCTTGGCAGCCTTCTTTTTCTTTCTGGGCACTGGTTTCTCGTCTGTCTTTGTCGGTGCTGTCGCCGTGATCTGTCGTGTCTTGATCTTGCCTTCCAGGGGCCCCAATTCACCCACTTCACAAGATGTCACTTTCACCGGGTACACTGGCCGATCGGTACCTTCGATCCGCTCGGCCTCCGCAATTTTCACTACATTGTATATACTGTCGCCTTCGATTCGGCCGAACAAAGTACACTGTCCGTTCAATTCGCGCTCAGTATTGGCCAGCGTGATGAAAAACTGGCTCCCGTATGTCCCATCATCGCCCTTCGCCATCCCCACCAGCCCGCGCCGATTGAATCGCAACCGGCTGTGTAGCTCATCCCGTAGTACCACTTTCTCGTTGGGATCGCGTGCGTCCGGGTCATATTCGAATTCCGGCTCCTCGTAGATTGACGTACCACCTGACCCTGTGCCTGTTGGGTCGCCGCCTTGGATAAGGAAGCCGGGCTCGATGCGATGAAAGATTGTACCAGTGTAGTAGTTATCCTTGCAATGTTGGAGGAAGTTTCTACAAGTTTGCGGGGTCTGGTTCGCCCAGAGAGCGATGTGGAGAGGACCAAAGGTGGTGTTTAGAGTCGCGGATGCGGTGGCTGCTGGCTCGGTGGTATAATGTGACGACATTTCGGATGCGTTGCAGAAGATTGTCGCGTGAATATATGAATAAGGTTGGTTGGTTTAAGGCTTGACGCGGTCAATTGTAGGAGGGAGGTTCACGAAGCTGAAGGGAAGGGTCAAGTTTCTCATTCCTAGCAGTTCTGCGTTAAGGTGGATGGGTTGAGCAAGATATTTGAGATCGGTTCCAAAAAATTTGAAGTCCCTAGGTAGCATTCATGGCTACAATAACGGGCTGGTAAGGGTGAAATGGCTGGAGAGGGGGATGGGAAGAAGGTGAGTTGAGCGGGAGTGAAGCTTTTCGGGGAAACTTTTTGCTGGGGTCACGTCATGTTCGCATGCCCTACTGTAGTTATATCCATTTGCATTACCTTAACAAACTCCATCATACGGTAAAATCTACATTCCTTTCATAGTATGCCTAGTATTATGTTATATTTAAATACATTCCAGCTCCTTTATTTGCATAATGTATTATTCTGCCTTCGACCATACATTTGGCAGCCTGTGAAGAACGATATGTTACCACTTTACAAACCGTACACATCATAATAGCATTGATCCATATCTGGACAACTATATAGTAATTTAGATACAATTAACCGAGTACTGTTAAACAGGAGACTTACTAAACAGGATCCTGCCCGAATATTATATGCCACATGTACTCCATTACACGTCCGGTAATGTCGTCCGATAGGCTTGTCTCCATAATCCATCGGTGATATTGAATGTAACTACTTCGTGGACGCTTCAGCACCTGATCTCTTGATACCGCAAACTGGGCACAACAGGGCGTCGCGACAACTTCTGGAACATCGGTATTGTTGAAGAGAGCTTTCCAAGCATCGGCAAACGCGATCTCAGATAACCGTGACTCGTCTCTGGGCTGGCGAAATGGGCGGATTTCATCAGGACAGCCAGGGTTGGGGTTGCAACGAAGGTTTACGTAACCCTTTTGCTGGACAAAATCAATCTGTAGCAATTTGATGGTTTCCACATTGCTGTGATCTGCAAACTCGGTGTGCCACGCTCTGGGCCAGCCGTCGCGATGGCTATGAAGAAACACAATGGTCGAAGGGAGGTTATGATAGTGATCAATGATATATTGTAGATACACATTGCTCTCCCTGCCCTTGTTTTTGGCCACCCGGAGTGGTGCTGTAGGATTATCCACTGTGTATATGGCACGTCGCCATCTGAAAGTTGACGGTGAAGTTAATTCAATGTCTTCGCTACTAACGTAGTCGGTAAGAGAAAGGGCGCATACTCAGGTAACTCATTACTGACCCAGTCTGTTTTCTCATGCTTCATCTTTCCCACTACAATAAGACGATCAGTCAACATGACATCTTTGCTACCCACGTCGTCGACTGCTGTTTGCAATGAACCAACTCCTTCTTCCCGCGATGGTACAAGATCGGATATCGAAGGACGTTTTAGTCTCGCTGAAGATGATTTTGGGTGTGTGGGCGTTGTTTTAAAGCGAGTTAGACTGGTCCTATTAAAGACCAGATACCCCGGCCATCGAGACTGGATGGTTCTTAATTCGCTAACGACCCACAACACAGTGAGAAGGAGACAGGCAGCTGCACTAAGACGTTCAATTGCTCGCATTCTCAAAAGGGTACAGGATAGATTTGAATTGTAAGTTTCGCAGAAAAGGTGCAGGTTATCGTACTATGTTGAGACAAAATTCTCCCGGCTTTCATGACAATCAATACGCGCCCGGGTTCTTTGTGTCTTAATGTGCCCAGGGTCAATAGGAATGAGTAAGCGATCGACGTCACCCTGGCTTCCACCTGTTTATTGGATGAAATAGTTCCTGTTGGATCCTGTAAGCCGAGGGAAATTTGTGAAAGTAGTTGTACCTGCCTGATGCCTGAGCTGTTGACATATCCGGAAGAATGGTGATGTAATATTGATAACTGCACAAAGTCAACCCTGGACCGCCTCTTCAGGTTGCGGATCCCAAGTCTATCCATGGTTCGTCGGCAATCATATCTTACAGATGTCTGCAGGCTCGACTGCCATTGGCATGATTCTGTTGTTGTTGTTGGTCCAAACAGATCAGATCTCGTGACAGCTGTCAGGGCTGTCTTGGCGTCCAACACGAAAGCCTCTTGCCTTTTGAAGACATGTTCACACTTGATTGCTTAACTTTTCACCTAAAAGCAGTCACATTTGGCCAGCCCTACACATTCCGTGAACTGATATTTGGCGAGCATTCCACTTCTGAATGCAGACTAATGGCGACTAGAGTATTCAAGGCGTCAAGACGCTCCAGTTATCAGTGGGGTTAATGCTATTGATGAACACGTTCCAAGCTAACAAAACCCGTCTACCCCTTCTATTCCGCTGTATGCCCTCTTTATCAACGCCATGCACTTGCGAAAGCAGCTCAGCTGTGTCCTTAATAAAGTCACAACTCTTGCTTAATCCCCAACGTGGATGGTTATATGTGGAAATGCATGTCGGACTCCCGCGTACGTCTTCATGGTTACCTGATTCCCTGCCTCACGAAGCAACTCCCCATAATATATTCCTTCATCGCGCTTCACATCAAACTCAGCGGTGACAATGTGCGCGCTGGCGCAAGTCTCCAGCACGGCGAAAGTACAGGTGTCATGTGCCAGTCCGAAAGAATGCGAGGTCGGATTATCGGGTCCGCACCAATATAGTAGCTCAGGAACCATGATTCACGTGCAAGAGGTGACCATGAAAGGTCCGAACAGAAAATTGCACTCGGGTATGCACAGTTGTCGTCAGAGGCTCTGCTCAATCACCGTTGACACATCGCATATCGGTCGCGGGAACTACCATCAACTGCAGTTTGAGAGCCAAGGGGGAGAACAGTCACGGCGAAGTGAGCAAGGACGGCGGTGTAGCGGCCTCCTGAAGAGAGGCCGCCAGCGGAAATTGAAGACGGGTCAAGATTGAGGAGTTCAGCATTGGCGTGTGCCCATCTCACGGCAGCCCAGCAGTCATGGAGTGCCACGGGGAATGGAAATTCTGGAGTCAGACGATACTCTACATCGATTACAATAATTGATGACTCGTTGCAGATGCTTCGACACCAAGCTGCTTCGGACCCAAGGCCTCCAAAAACCCAGCCGTCGCCGTGGAAGTTCAAGTGCACTGGAAACGAACCACGTCCGGCTGGTGTATACACACGACATGTTATAGATTCATCTGGATCTGAAACTGGAACCTTGTAGCCTTGAACATTATGAAAGTGCAGGACTTTGTAGAGAGAATAAAAGCATGTGAGAAGTTTTCCTGATCGGAATGGTCTGACTTACCTGTCCAAGTAGGATAGATGAAGCTGTATTTTTCTGGGCATTGCCAGAAATTTTCGATGGTTATTAAATGAGCACCAGTAATGCTTTTTCCATGCTTTGTCCACATCTCTTGCCATTATGGATCCAGTCCATTGAGGTATTTCTCTGGTATGGATGGCCCTCGTGTGGTGATAATGGGAGATGATTCCACCTCTTCGATTCGCCTGACTGTTGCCATGATGTGAGGAATCAATTTCTTGGGACAGCAGTAGTTATGAAATGGGGAATGAAAAGGCCCTCAGAACACAATTATTATCTTTGCACTGCGTATCTCCGTTTCCCCGTCATGATAGCATATGAATTCTGAGAGATGCTACGGATTCCTAATCGGGACTAACGGTGGGCCGGCTTCGGCGTCGTTCTTGATTGGCGGCATTTCTGCTTTACCACCACCTGTTGATGGACATGAACTAAATTGGCGGTATACAGGGGGTAAAACCCCATATCTCGTACCCTACACCGTGCCTTATCAGCTATGTGCGAGTCAGAGATAACAGTAATGGAGCGACTTACTAGGGACCGAATCTATAAACCAACCGTATACCAGGAATTACAGGCCATCTTGCGGGTTTGAGCCAACTATTTTTGAAGGTGCTAAGATGCCCGAACAAGCTGACGGCCAGAGAGCACTAGCTGTCTCCTTGGAGGCTGGAAGATTTTCCGTTCTCGTGGAGCAAGTATATAAGCCTAGTCTGCGTCGTGTACTTGACCGTATGCCCTGGGTTGCCCTGCTCATCATCATAGTCGAATTAGGAGAGAGATTCACTTTGGGCTAAGCGGGGCCGCTACAGGTCTCCATTAAGTAGGCTATCTCACTCAATATTTACCGCGTGGACCCGGCTTCTAACATTGGCTTGATAGAAATACTTATGCCCCAGGTGCAGAGCTCCCAGGAGCTCTCGGCAAAGGTCAGGCCATTGCAACCGCTCTGGGGAACCTCTTCAAATTCTGGGCATCTTTGACCGTTCTAGGCGCGGTAATAGCTGGTAGGGGAGCGATCAGGTTCTGTTGTGAAACTTGCTAATTCTCCGTCCCGCAGACCAGTCTATTGGTAAATTCAAAGCAATTAGCATTTACATCATCGGGCCGGTCCTCCTCGTAGCTACTGCTACGCCTGCGGCAATCAAAGGGGCTCAGCATTTGGTGGACTGGTCGCTTCGATGGTCATTATTGGGCTAGGGGCAGGCGGAATCAAAGCAAATGTCACTCCATTCTGTGCTGAACAGTATCGAAAGGCCAACCGCTATATCAAGACCTTGAAGTCCGGCGAACAAGTTGTTGTCGACCGGAGCTCACTATTGAACGGATGTTCATGTGGTAATGCTCCATTTGCCCGAACAAGACAACCGTTGTATCACGGACACTGACTAAACTTAGGTTTTACTGGGCTGTCAATATTGGCGCTCTGTCACCCCTTATAGCGGCAAATGTGTAGGTCAAAATTTCGTTTTGGCTAGCATTTCTTATTCATTTGATGTTCGTTTAACGTATACACTAGATTTACTGGTGCATGGCTCACAGCGTCTTACAGAGTATTTTTCTGGCTGCCATTGTCTTCATAAGCAGCAGCAAATTATTCTTCAAGATTCAACCGCAAGGATCCCCGATTGTCGAAGCAGCCAGGACTGCATATGTGGCAGTCAATGAAAAGAGATTCGAAAATTCAAAGTCTAGTTTTCTCAGGCAGCGCGGTCGGATGGACAAATATCCTACTATGGCATGCAACAGATACACCGATCAGAGTGTCCAGGTGGTTAAGACAGGTATCACAGCCTGCAAGGTAAAGTGGCTCACATTCCCAGGGTGAAATCTCCTGACGAATATCTCTAATCAAATGCGATATACTAGTTATTCCTTCTCTTTCCATTTTACTTTATTTGCTGGGTCCAAATCTGGAACAATCTCATTTCGCAAGCAGGTCAGATAGCCCTGCTTGGGATTCCAAATGATCTTCTGCAGAACTTGGATCCAATTGCCTTGATAATTTTCACCCCTGCACTAGATCGTAAGACACTACTCTCACCGAATTCCATTGCGCAGAAAGAGGAAGCAAAGGGCTAACTGCTTCAACAAAACAGCTGTCGTCTACCCACTGCTGGGCCACCTCAAGATTGACTTTCGACCAGAACTGAAAATCACTACCGGGTTTCTAATGGCATCCATGTCCATGGTGTATGGCAGTGTTCTCCAACACTATATCTTTATTTCCCTCCTCAGAGCTTCCATGTCTGGATTCAAGCGCCATCCTATGTCTTGGTTGCATTTTCTGAGGCTTTTGTCGTGGTTACCGGTTTAGAGATCGCCTTTACATAGGCACCGGAAAGGTATGTAAAGTTTCCAACACACTCTTACGCTGTACCAGGCAAAAGGTTGATTACTAATGGAACTACTCTACAGTCTTCGCTCACTGGTTCAGCTCTTTTCTGGCTTATAATCGGGATAGCTGCGGCTATCTGTATTGGACTCGCTCCGGTTTCGCAAGACCCATACCTAGTTTGGATGTACGGATCCCTGGCAATTGTGGGATTTGTGGCAGGCATTCTGTTTTACTTCCTCTTTGGAAGGGTTCTTAGCAAGCCCGTTCCCGTACTGGAATCTGTGGAAACTCCGACAAATATAAGAGGGGATGAAGAGGCGTCACTTGGCATTGGGAAGACAGCTGTGGTATCGGGCAAAGATGTATGACGTATGACGTCACACCGGCTGTTATCTCAGGTCAATTTTTGGTTTTTAATAAATTACTTGTGCTTGAAGTCTAATTATATCGGTAGAAAGACCTATTCAAATTTTTTTTTTTTAAAAAAATAAATAAATAAAAGGACTTCATCATGAGAGACCCATTAGTATCCCATAGGTATCAAACGTCACTAGGCTTAATCTGCTAGTTACTATTTCCGTCGGTGGGGTATTACAAGCGAATGGAATGCCGCCAATCGGACAAAGGACCGTCATAACGTTAGTCGTATATGTCATAGAACCTTCTTTTTCCATCTTTATAGCTTCATCGACTGCATACTGCGTCGATCACTTTGTAATCCAGTACCACTATATCGGGCACCTTTTGTATCAATTCCAAAATGGCACGCGACGACATTGTTATACTCGGGTAAGAGAATATCCCAATTTCAAAACACTACCCGCAGAAGACTGGTTCTTATAGATGGACATGTAGCGCGGGTATCATCGGTTTAAGCGTCGCACTGGAGTTATCCAAACGGGGCTACGGGCAGCATATTACAGTGGTCGCAGAACATCTTCCCGGGGATAAAGACATTAAATATACATCACCTTGGTATATCGGCGTCACTCTCGAATCAGTCCCATTCCGTGTTATATTCTGACAGTCTTAGGGCCGGGGCAAATTTTTCTGGAATCTCCGGTAGCAATGCAAACGCGCTACGCTGGGATCGATTGGGCTATTCCACTATGATGGAATTGGTCGACAGAGGAGCAGAGGAAGCCAAGTACCTGTCCAAAACGGAATCTATTGAGTACTGGGATGAAATGCCCTCGGTTGATAAGATTCGGAGCATGACTGAGTACCTGCGAGATGTAAGATTGATCAAAGCGTCTTTGAATGGTTTTCCAGCCATCAAACATTCAGGATTTACTAATAATTGCATTTCAGCTTGTGCAAATCCCTAAATCCGAGCTTCCTAAAGGAGTGTCCTTTGGCATCAAATTCACCACTATAACACTCAACGCCCCAGCCCATTGCCAACACCTGCAATCACTTCTATCTCAGCCCAAGTATGGCAGCGTACTGTTTGTGCGTAGAAATGTCGCCCGTCTAAAAGATGCATTCCTGTCTGCGAATACGCGCATTGTCTTCAACTGTATCGGAAACACGGCGGTTTCTTTCCCCGACGTTATGGACTCCAAATGTTACCCCACGCGCGGTCAGATCGTGCTCGTCAAGGCACCCGCAGTGAAGAGGAATATGATGCGGCACGGAAGGAACTATGAGACGTACATAATCCCGCGACCTCTTTCAGATAGCACGGTGATCCTGGGTGGGTATATGCAAAAAGGAAACTGGGATAGCCAGGCCAAGCCGCACGAGACAGAGTCAATCCTGAAGCGAACTGGGGACCTGCTCCCTGTGCTGAAAAATGCAGAAACTAAGGTCCTTGGGGTTGCGGTGGGTTTACGGCCGTCGCGAGAAGGTGGAGCGCGAGTGGAACTGGAAGCTATACCGCAGGATGGGAAGGTTGTAGTACATAATTATGGAGCCGGAGGTACAGGTTTCCAGGCAGGCCTCGGAATGGCGAAGGATGCTGTTGATTTGGCTGCTGAGGAATTGGGAAAGATCAAGGATAGGAGTCGCCTATAAACAGGGGTCGGCCTATAAATAGCAGGGGGGGTTATGTATTAGCGGCTAATAGTTGCTCTTTTCCTAGTAACTTGCTATTTTTTTTTTTTTTTTTTTTTTTTTTTTTTTTTTTGGTCATTTAAATACATTGGACACTACACCTGGATTCCTGATCATACAGACAAGGAGAAAAAGATAAAAGGTGATTGTACAGTTACCTGTCTAAACAGTGATCAGCGACAAGAGACTTCCGATTAACCATGTTAACTGCCCGTCCAATCATGCAAGAACTCAGAGCATGGCAGACTAACCTCCCGTCTTGTTATTGACGGAAAATCCAAGCACAGAAAGACATCCTCTGCCGACTCAGCATCTTTACAGATTGCATTCAAAGCTGTACAAATCCTTCTCCATGCACTACTACGCCCGTTCAACATTATGGCAGGCCATGAGACAGAAACCACAGAAGAGTGGAAAGACGCAAGATTCCACGTCCACAAAACCACGTCAATAGACGCCGACGCTGCTCTGGGTATAGTATCATCGTTTAGATCGGTACATTACCAAGTTTTTTGGGCACCTTGTACACTTTTCTATCCACTTGTGGAGAGAAGCCCTAGCTTATAGTGATACCTAGGGTCTAAAACTTCCTTTGCATTGATCACGAACTTTTTTGTTTCTCCTTGCGGTTACTGCGTGGCGGGGAGACTCGACAGATGAGTAAGACGCAGAGAGACTCTTGACTGGGCGCGGACGATCTTTCGCCTGCATACTAAGAGTGTCGATATGATTGGTTTGCTCTTCTACGTATTGATGCTGTGTTTTGGATTGGATGGGAGAGAGTTCTAGGGTTTCGGTGAGTGTATGATATGTGGCAAGTAGGATGGGGGGCTCAAGGTTAGGTTAGTTTGTCTGATTTTCTTGACTGTATATATGGGAATCGGAGGCTACGTCCAATGGCTCTTCCATAGTAACCCAAAATATAACTTCAAACGTCAGCTAAAGACTGACTACATCAGTTGCTAGTAACATCTCATTGACTATCGTTGACTCATAGGTTTTTTTGGTCGTAATTAACATGGCTTATCCGCTGATTCATACTGTCAATTCTCCAACTTTGTCGGGATACACAATCCCTAATTTTTACTCTCACCATTTAGACAATCTTGTTCTCTGCCACCGAGGGAGCCGGAACATTGGCTCCAGTCCCCCGTTTCTTCGCAATTCTAAACCCTCCCACCGCCAGGATAAGTGCCTCCAGACCCAAAATCACTGCCAACGTCACCATAGCACCGATAACACCAGCCACCGGCCTGGACACACCACCGACGTCCTTGGACGAAGCTCCCACGGCGCCTGAGCCCGAGTCTGAGCCACGCGACGATCCGGACGAACACGTGTGGTCGGAGTTACCACAGGCCTTGCACCATTCGTCGTTGGACGTGATGGCAATCTTCTTGGTCTTTTCTACGAAATCCGACCAGGGGATGACGGTGCTCGATTGATTGTAGAGAGGGTATTCTTTAGGGGCATCGGAGCCGGTGATTGTGCCGTTGTGGAATACGAAACGTACGCCGATTTCGGAGGTGGATGGGAAGTCGTCCGAAGTCGAGTTGGTCACAAGTTCCCAGGCCATGGAGGACGCGTAGTCGGGAATACCGGTGAAGTCGACATTAACGGTGGGGAGTTGGGCCAGACCGAAGTACGAGAGGAAGGTTCCGTAGGAACCGAATTGGATGTTCAGTTTCGTCTTTGCCTTTGTGGTGATGGTCTTGTTGAGAGCTTGGAGCATTTCACCGGCGAGTTGGGAGCCTGCGATGGCGCGGATAGGATCGGAGGTGTTGTAGGCCAGGTTGTATTGCTCGACGTTAGCTAGGCGGAAGAGTTGATATAATTGCTCGTCAGTGGGGGTGTTGCTGGTGTTGTGGATCTTGGCGACGTTGAGATAGTCGAAGATCGTGTAGGCGTGTCTGAAGCTTATATCGGATTCGGGGAAGGCTCCGTCCAGCATGGGTGAGAGAGACTTGTAGAAATCTTCGGTGGACTTGTATAGATCATTGTACAGCGATGAGCTGTAGTAATTGTTGCTGCTGACTTTGGCGTTCGTGCAGCCGGTGGCATCCTGCAGCCAGGTGTTGTCCTCACTCTTGGTCCCCGATGAGACAAGTGACAGAGGGATCAACTGGTACCCGTGCAGGGGTGCTTTGACAGTGGTTCCATTGCCCAATGTTTGGTTGGCTGCCGAGCCAACAGGAGGATAGACACCCTGCAGGAAACCAAGCGCAGAGCTCTGAAGCACGTTGTCGGAAGGTGTCGCGGCGTCTATCTGGCTGAGTTTGACGACTTCGTCGCTTATTCCCTCGATATGTAAGGAGGAGCTGGCGTCGATGTACCGATCATGGTAATAACTGCCAGTCTGATAAACCTCACTGTATCCCAAGTCGGTGAGCTGCGTGTGACCGAGCACTTTGGGAGTACGGTCTCCATGACGAGCGAAAATAAAGGCCCCAAGAACCTTTTCTGCGACAGCAAATTGACCAAGGTGCATGGCCATTAGGGCCAGCACCGATATCTGCATGGAAGGCCGCATGGTGGGATGTGAGGGTGTTGGAGGGGTAGAGACAGAGAGTCAACAGCTAACTACGCTAAAGGAGGGGAGAGGGGTTGGGAGAGTTTATATTCCATCATACAAGGAGAGGGAAGTAGTGTTATCACTATGACTCTTAACTCACGGCGGATTCCGCGGATAGTGGACTCCAACTAGCGGCATGTCCAGCCAAACAGCAACTGTACTGTGTATAGTTGCTATTATTTCCGCGGCAGACCTTCTGACAGCAAAAGCTTGCTGTATATGCATTAAGAATCCTAGGAACGGAGTCTGCGTATTAATCCAGCCCTCCGACTGGAGGATTGATGGGAATATGCGGGGCCAAATTAACGAGAATTGAGCGACGATTAGTCCGAGGAGGAAAGGATGCGCAGGATGCGAGAAATCATTAGCTAATTGCGCCCTATCAGATATACATAGTGGAGGTGCCATATCACGCCGATCTTGGCTCCGAATTGGTCTTTACAACCGTCGGAGAAATCCGCTGGAAAGAACGGCCACTTCCTGCATGGACTCATCGGGTTTATGGACAACAGCGATGTGGTGTTCAGCCCTGTGCACAAGTGTGATATATACCTTACTATAGAGTCCTACAGTAAGTAAATAAGAACATATTAGATCAGATCCGATGATATAGCCAAGAAATTCGTTCCCTTTCTAGAACATTGTTCTGCCAAAAATGAATAATAATGATGATGATAAAATCCAACCCAGTCGCATTTCTCAACCTTTTATTAAGCCCAGGTCACTCGCCTGCATCAAACCCCGCAGTGCGCCACTTCTATGCCACAGTACGAAGCAGACCTTTCCCCACGGCAATATAAACCAACGCGGTGACAACAATTGGACATGTATCTCAGCTAAATCTACCTGATAGAGACTGGCTCCATTTTATTGCGCCAAAAAAGCCATAACTGGTTCGGAGTAAGCCAAAGGCTCCGATTGGTCATCCCAACTGAGAATTCGATTGCTCGAAGTTGCTGATATCTTGCACACAACTCAGAACAAAGCTCAGAACAAAACATCAGTTGATACAGTAACAGAGAATTAGCTACAATGCGGCTGCGACAGATTCTACTTCACATAGAAATAAAATTAGCCAAAAACTATTCCGTTGCGGGGAATCGAACCCCGATCTCCTGTGTGAAAGACAGGTATGATAGCCGTTACACTACAACGGAGAAGAAACCACTCAGGCATTGCTGATGGACGCTGAAGAATTCGCCAAATTTTCAGCACCATGACTTCACATATTTAAAGAGTACAACTCAGAACCATTGAACAATCCATCCGAAGTCCCACCAAGGGCACCATAGAACGGGGTGGATATTTTCTCGTAGTTAGTGGTTCTCTACTCTAGAGGAAGGATATATTATAGTACCGCATTGATTAAAACCAAATGGGTATTGTTGATAAGATGAGTTTTTGGTATGATTCGAGTTATGACCGGGAATGGGGTGTCATTGAAGGAAGAGCAGATCACTGCAGGTAAAACTTTGGACTGTTTCGAATAGCAATACAGCTTAGTACTTTTCTCATCTACTCCGTTGTAGTGTAACGGCTATCATACCTGTCTTTCACACAGGAGATCGGGGTTCGATTCCCCGCAACGGAATTTCTTTTTCTATTAATTACGTTTTACTTTTTATATTTCCTCCCTTTTTCCTTTCTATGGAAGGGCTGGGGGAATATATATATAAATTAAAATTCTGGGCTTTTTGTTGTTTTTTCTCACGTCTTCCGTTTGCCCTCCTCTCAGATATTGACCGACGAAGTACTTTAATATCAGGGGTTGGTGAAATGCATGTTTGCCATCAAATCAATATTAGAGGTTCGTACAAGAGACGAGTTTGCTCAAGTTGCCCTAGATATCACATCTCCTTCTCTACCATTAACTCGCAGCCGTTCCGCACCACTCCAACCAAGCCACCTGTCTGCATGGTTTCTGAACCGCCACTGGCAAGTCGCCATTCGATCTCGGCAAGACCCTCAAGCCATGTAATTCTCGTTTGCGCAGGAACTTCCAGTCGCTGGAGCTGTTCAGATAAAGCTGCGAGGATATCGGCTAAAGCAAGCCCTTTGTTAGACTTTAGGGTGTTAACTGTGCTAAGGCATGAGGTAACATCACTGGTGGCAAGAAGAGTAGTCATGATTTCTTGGATATCGGATGGATGAGGGGCGGCGATGCAGTCGTAAATCGTGGTGTTCGTTATCATCTCTGATTCCTGACGCGGCTGTTCTTTAGGTGCATTCTTCATGGGAAGTGGTATACCTAAACACAATATTAGCATATTGAATCGTGCGCAAGATTATGTGGAGCCTGCTTACTGCTTGCATGGCAAGCCTGGAGGACATTCAAAGCGCGACGCATGTCGCCCTTGCTCAATGTAACCAGGCTATCCACTGCTTCTGGCTGAATATTTATTTGTTCTTTTTCAATAACGAGGCCCACCAACGCCTTGATATCCTCTTCCTTCAACGGGCTAAAGCGAAACCTAGTGCATCGGGATAAAAGAGCGGGCGAGAGCTTGTGTGTATAGTTTGCAATGATACAGAACCGAGTGTTGGCGGTGTACTTTTCCATGATCCGCCGCAGTGCCATTTGTGCAGTCGATGTCATGGCGTCGGCTTCATCAAGTATAATAAGTTTGTACGACGCGAGCGATGAGCCACCGGTCGTTGACTTAGGTGCCATGGAGAATATCTGTTTCGTACCTGTACAGGGCTGGTGAGTGCTTTATTCTTTGACGAAAGGTCTGTTTCGGAGACAAACTGGCAAAAGTTTTGATCTGTTCTCTGACTACATCGATACCTCTATCGTCGCTAGCATTGAGTTCAAGCACCATCTGACGCATATTCTTCTCCCCATATATCCCTCTTGCAAGCGCGAGAATTGTAGATGTTTTACCGGTACCGGGAGGTCCATAAAGAAGAAGATGGGGTAATCTCTGGTGCAAATCAGTAACAATTGACTCTTAAAAAAGAGCTGCATCATGCAGCTGAAAGCACGTACATTTGCATCAACAAATTTGTTGATTGTAGCTAGGATATCCCGATGCCCGGAGACATCGTCGAGCGACACAGGACGGTACTTTTCAACCCTGGAATGGAGTCAGCTAATTTAAAAACAAGAAGAGAGGGGCCTGGCTTGAAAACCCACCAGGGTAGATTATCTTGGGCTTCTACTGGCAAGTCCGCTGCAAGCCTCTTAGCTTTCCCACCGGTGTTGTCCGAACTGAACTGGACCGCGCCGTTGGAAGATGGGGCATCGACGTCCATTTCATCTTCGAAATCAGACATTTTCTTTATTATTTTCACACTAAAGCAAAAGAAATAGCGACTGCAGTCTGTGTGAAATTTCAATTAACAGAATATGAGCAGCACGCAGTATGATAATGGAAAGATGGAAATCAGACGCGTCGAAAACCACCCGCGCGTAAAGAGGTTCGGCGCCGGAAAATCCCAGCAGCTCAGCCCTATGGGTGATGACATGCAACTCCCGCCGCCTGGCAGCACTGCCATCCGCGACCCCCTGCGCTGGCTTCACCCAACAATCCCGTTAGACAGGTTCTAAGAGGATTGATTGATCTCATCAAAAACTACCAGAATGCCTGTACGTGGTCTCTGGCCGCTATATCGATGCCATTATTGTGTCTGACCCTGGTCTAGGCCTACCACTCCATCTTCCTAGAGGATCGGGATGTCCCCGTAATAGGTACCGCTAGAAACATCTCCCCCTGTCTAATCCATGAGAAAACAGTTCACTATAGGATAGAACTAGCGAAGTACGTCTGCTGACTTACTCTATCCTTATTCAACAGGCAACTTTCCTGTCCTCCCCCTCCGAACCCGCACGCGCGGCCCCGCATACACACTCCCCCCGCTACCGCCCAATGTCTCCGATGCCGATGTTCCCCCCGATAGCGACTCCTACGACTGTGTCGATGAGATCCTGTCTCTATTTCGTGCCAATGTCCTGTTCCGAAACTTTGAGATCAATGGACCGGCCGACCGTATGCTCATCTATGGAACCTTGTTTATAAGCGAATGTTTGGGGAAGGTCCGGCCGGGGATGACGTCTCTTGAGGCTAGCAAGGTATTATTTCTGGCCCTGGTCGATACCTTTTCACGAGAAAATTTCTGACTGTTTTCTTTGCCAGGCCTTGAACAATGTCGCTCTGGAACAATTTGCAATTCCCGGTGATGCGTCATTCCCCCTTAACCAAGCCTTCGAGCCGCCTCGAGATCGCCAGGATGCTGAAGGTCTCAGAGCGTATGTTCTCATATGTTTTTATCTTTATCCTCGTACAAACAAATCTAACATGCTTTGGGTTTAGATATCTTTCTCAAGTCCGGCAGGAGATTGCGATTCGGCTACACACTAGACTATACCCTGACGGAGATGGCCCTTCAAAGGTACGCCCATCCTCTTATATCATCGAAGCAGATTTAGTCTAACCCATTATTTAGTGGTGGCTTAGCTTTGCGAAGAGAAAGTTCATGGGAAAGAGTTTCTAAATTGGGACTTTTCTTTTTTTGTTTGGTCAGCATGCAGTTTAGTGTACAGTTCAGCTTATGAAAGAAACCTCCAAGCCCCTTTACATCTTGCTTACAAAGTGATATGACTTGCTTCAAGATGTGATATATTCGTAAATGAGGTTACTTTTTTTCTGTTTTTAATTCATATAGATGTGGGTGCTAAAAGCGTCATCTGGTTTCGAGTAATGATGATTCTATCACCTAACAAGACTGCGTTCTACGTGTCTGTTATATTTTCCCGCTGCATTTCAACTCGCGCCTTTTAGCAGTAAACTACAGCTTTTAACATCCCACCATTGCGTATGCTTCACATTATTCTTCTCCTGCCAAGCCGTCATATACTATTGTTATCTGCTCAACGTCCAATATCAACACTGTATCCCCCGCAAGCCACATGCACCCTGAGATATTACACTTTAACAGGACCAACGTCAATATTACAAACTCGGTACTCACCCTCGTCCTCTTCCCCGGCGAAAGAAATCATATCCCACAATAACATCGCAGGCATCCACATACGTCGTCACCGGAACCGAAGTATATATAAGACTCCACTAAACTCATCAGCAAAGGCACCTCTACTCAGAAGACAGACTCCTTACAGACGTCACACGCCCCTGCACAAAATCTCTCTCAACTAAGCCTGCGAAGGTCTCGCCTCCTTGGACGAGCATACTTGCGAGAACAATGGATAATTAGACAGGATGTATCCTCTCCACTGCGCAGAACGCCCATCGTCACTGAAGGATGCCATTGTGTTATCAACCAGTCCGGTCTCGGTCATGTTGGCGCAGTTGAAGACAGAGGTGGCTAGGGCCCCGTCATATGCCTCACCCGCGCAGACTAGTTTCTGCGACGGCGAGAGATATATGTACCCCGATGAGACGTAGGAGATGATTTCATTCCTCTCTGGGTCACTATCAATGATCTCACCGGAACTCTGGGAAGGGAAATATACCATCTGTGCTGGATGAAGCTCGCTTTGAATTCTGTCTTCACTAAAGGAGGGTTCAGTTGTTGGAATCCCGCGGAGAATTCCACCATCGTGGAGGGAAAGGTGTTGTATATCTTTACTGTCGGTCTGGCAGACACGGCAGTAAAGGAAAGAGGCAGGAGAAAATAGATGATTGGTGTCATGGTTAATCCAGGAAGGTAGGCGCAACGGATATAGTATCAGGGAAAGATGAAATGCATGATGTTCATGGGTATCGTCTGGAAGTTTCACCCTATTTATACATTGACAAGCTCAAGAGTGCTGGCAGCTATAAGACACATCCGTGCCATAGTCCCACGAAGATTCACCAATGCCGTGCTTAATGCAGGTGCCTGAAGGCGTAGTGGGCTGGCGCTCGATTATTATCTGTTTCGGAAATGGAGCCAAAATCGGGTCAGACATTATAGTTCTCGCAACTCTTTACAATCTTTCGTTATAGGCACTTGCATACTGTGGTACTCCCAATATTCCCGCAGATCCCTTCCGATTCGCTTTGAAACCATAAATCCATTCTTCCAGATGTGGTCAAGCATGCCCAGGATCCTTGCTCGCTGCGTCCCGTCCTTTACTCGGGCTACAGCTACTCGGAGGGGAAAGGATAACAGCACCCCTGGTATGTCCGATGCGGTCAGAATCTGATCGGCTTGTTCTAATATATCGTCCACATGGAAGTCCATGTCGCACTGCGATAGACGTAGTGCCCGTTTATGGTTCCAGTATGCATAGTAGTTTAATTGTTGGAGATAAAGATGAGCAGTGCATGATAGAAGGCAAAGGCCAAGTGGAGAAACTCAGTTTTGACCACCTTATCCAGTTGGAGGCTGGCCTGATTGTGCCAGTCATAGATGGAACATTGTATCTCAACTCCTTCTGCCCCTAGGGCATTTTCAGCGTTTCGAATCTTTCTGGATCCACCATGCCTTGAACAAGATCAAAGAGCCTGGATGACATGAGTAGACAATCACACGAAATTCTTCCGAGGTCATACCGAGCACTAAATGCAGAGGTCCGGATTGGGCATGATTTCCAAGCCATCCCAGCCCGTTGTTGCGAAGGATGTATACCGTCGCAAGATCAGCCAGTCAGGTTGGGACAGGGTTGTAGTCACACCATACGAAAGTGTTCTACTGGCCTCGGGTATAGGAAAGAGCTCAAAGAATATCCGCCGCAGAGTGAACAATTTCCGCCGTCCCTCAAGCTGGAGAAGCCTGGAAGACCCGGATAACATATGCTTTGCCCAGCCTTCACCAGATGGATCGACCATAAGCTATAGAGACTATCAGCAAAATGACCTAGGTTACGAGAAGAAAGGATGTACCTCGAACAGGCCTAGGAAGAAGATACCCCAGAGCACGCCTTCTCTATGAGTAACATCACCGTCTGTTAATGCCGTTTGCAATGCGCGGAGAGAGCTGGAGTAGGAGCTCAACGCAATAAAATGAGGGGTCTCTTGGTCCCTGTAAATGCTAGCTGAGGCATGGCGCGCGGCATCCAAAGCGCCGATGGCAATGATAGCAGATTTGAGTAGCGGTGATGTATGCAGCGGGGGTAGAACCTTAGTAGCTAGAATGCATCAGATGAATTGATTGCGGCGGATAAATACTACAAAATGGTCAAGAAAGTGAGTTTCTATGCTATTTTTCGTCTGCCGAAAAGAGGTTCTTCTTGGTTGACAGTTTCGATAGGTGGCATCACGAGTGTAGTATATGAAGGTTGCCGCTGGCTTCCTTTTGCCCTGCTCCTGACAGCTCTGGCAGGTTCGTATGCAATAATTGCAGGTGATGCACCAACACACTACACTAATCAGCCCCATTGACACTATACGTGAGTATTTGTTACCTACTCAGGTCTTTCGGGTCGCACACGCTTGACGTCGGGGTCATTCTCCTCGTTGGTCAAGAGGGCCGAGTGCACGTTTCGGTGGCATTGTGGACTCTTCAGAAAAGGAAATATTGGATCGCCCATAAATTATTTCTGGATCTGAGCGAAGACTAGATTAAATGTGTGTAGGTGTTATTGAATTTATCATATCAATGCAGTATTCTCTTGCCTACGTAATGATAGGGCTAATCCTAAGTGGGAAGAAATCGAGCACAGCGGAAATGGTGGACAAAGCCGACGAGTCTAATGTTCTTTGTCGTCTTCTAGATAAAAAATGTAGAATAAACATTGTATTTACTATCTGGCGGGGAGACAGAATATCTGTATATTAAAAAGGCATAAAATGTATTATGAATGAGGCTAACTAGATCATTTCGTATCAATATCCATACCACTGCCACTGTCCGCCGTGGTTGTAGGCGTGTCCTTCACTGTAGTCTTTCTCTTTTTCCGACTAGCGGCACCAGCAGCCTGGATGGACTCTTGAGTGGGAATTACCCGGATGGCATGGAATATATAGCCCTCAGCACCGCCACGTCCGGACATTAGCGGATGCGTGCGACCTGGAAGGACCTGCCACGGACGTACTCGGGATGTCTCAATAGTCGGTGCGAGTAGAAGTGTAGGATCAATGTAGAATTCTTCGGAGAGTTCTGGGAAGTCGGTATTTTGAAAATCTGCACTGCTGGAACGTTGCTGTCTCCTCTCTTTCAGCTCTTGCTTTTTATTGAGGAATGCAGTTTTCCTTGCGGTGGAGTACAAATCCATAAGCTCGGTTAAGGGTTCAATTGTTGGGGAGTAGACTGCGACCGGGGCAGACCCAGCCAACAGAGGAACGGCATGTTTTAACAAACTATCAGGATCTGACAGGCTTGCGATAATGAGTCCGTCAAAACCACCGGCTCGGGTTTCATCAACAACCCTCCGAACTCGCATCCATCTACTTCGCTTCCGATGGTATGCATTCCGCTTGTTGGGTTTGAGGGTGGCCAACTCTGCGTCTGCAATAACCGGGGGTTCTTGGGAATAAATAATATCTGCATTAGGATCAAGTAATTGCATCCAAGAGACGGTTTTCAGATGCGCATAGAGAGGATGGGATGGACTGGCATTATCCTGGTCATATCCAAAATATTTCAAAAGGGAGAGATTGGCCTGCATGTTTGAATGGATAAGAGTAATGGAGTTTCCTCGTGCAGACATATGGCCTCGGCGAGCTAGACGTTGCGCAGAAATATCCTTAGATTTGTTCCCTTCGCCATTTTGAAGCCCATCTACTTCTTCCGGCTTGTGGGAAGTCGGCTCGTTGGCCGACGTTTGCTCCCCTTCATCCTCCCCATCATGAGGATAGAGAATACCCATCCTCTCAGCCATTGCGGCAACAACCAAGCCACCAGTGTCATCAATGACGAGGTAGCGCCCATTTGGCTTTGAAGCGATAGCCTTATCTAGGGAAGCGTCTCCGCCGTGGTGTACATTTCCCCAGCACCCCAGAAGGCCTAACAATTCGTCGCGGAGCTCCAAGGATTTTGACGCATCCTTTTCATGTAGCATATAATTCGTAAGAAGGCTGACGTCTAGGGGAAGGGCCGTGAATCGTTTCATGTACTTCTTTCTTTTGCGTAACGTATATTTGGCAAGCGAGAATGCGGTTTTCTGATCTAAAGCAGAATGCGATTCCAGGAGCTTCGCAATGATCTCTCTGCCTGATCCGGAGGACTCTTTTTTCAACGCCTCTATTTCTTCCAGTGTCATTCTTTGTGCCGACCCATCGTCCACGGTTTCACGATTGGTGCGCATAGGGGGGTTGTCGGTGTTCATTTCCGCTTCATCACCCTCGCCATCCCCCTCTCCTTCTGTTATTAAGGATTCTGCGTGTAGTTCGGCGGCCGGGATGATGCGCAAACTGCTGCCATTGCTTTCTCCCGGGGTGGACAGGATCTCGAAGGTCAGGTAAAACGGCCGTCCGATGATTTGGTTGGCAGGAAAACTCCCATATTTCCCCAAAAAGATTAACCTAGTCAAAAGATTAGAGAAAAGAGGAGGACAAAAGGGATAATTTCGAGTAAGATGCAAGGGTACATACGTATTAGGTTCAACTTTAACGATTTTTGTCGCATCGGACGGCAGTCGCAAAGCAACATGCTGGAAAGGTCGGATATATGAGTGCATTCTGATGTAGGAAGGAACGGCCAAAATAAAACGTCAAATCAAAATTTAAACTATCCCATTACCAACAAATCCATAGAACAGAGTTTGGGCAAAGGGCTTGGTGTAGCACAATGAGCCTTGTGATGTTATCCATCATTTTTTTGCGATAGCATGGACCCACAGTTGGTCTGTCTTGCATTATATAAGCCACTATATCGGGCAAATTATTGCTCCGGGTAAGCTATACCTAATTTGGAATAACTGGTACATCAAGGCAGAGATGTTTAGTTGTGGCTGGGCGAAAGAAATACCGCGGGACTGACAATACGGTACGAGAGGTACTCTCCTGGCAAGGCGGGCGGGTTACCAGGTAAATTGAATATTTCAGGGCACGTCACTCCCCACGGAACCATGGAAAGGAATGGCTGGAGTGTGGCTGGTCACCTGGAATTCGCCATCTGCTCCATACTGGTATCCACTACTCCGTACTTCTCTTCCTACGTAATTATGTTGACTGGCTGACAGACGCAACTTCTTAGAATTTGGGTGCCTGTTGTTGTTCTTGTCCTTCTCTTGATCTCTCTTTCTTTGCCTTCAGATGCCAGCCTGGCTCCGCCTTCCTTGTCTTTTTAACCTTTCCAGCCCAGAGTGTATGGGGCAAAGGCATGGCCTTCTGTCTTCTACGCTTGCATCTAACTACTAAGTAGTGTATACTGGCATAGCCGAATCTCACCTACTATTGTAGGGTACTTATCGTCTCCGAGCGGCCGTTTACGTATGCACTCGATATACTTCCGGACTACGCCTCGATCAGTCGTGTCTCACTGGCTTACTTGCCGTTCATTAGCCTGCAAACGTTGGCCAGGATCTATTTCTCTATATCCTTTCATTTTCTTATTGGTCTTTTACCCTGTCTAATCGTTGCAGCCTGAGGCTGATACCCCCAGGCTTGGCCCCAAGACCTTATCTGCCTTCCATGGTCTTGCGAAAACGAGCTCCTCCGCACCTCTATAACCTTAGCCAAGGGAATGCTTGTTTTGAACCTCGCACCTCAGCATCGCAGACCTCCCCGACTGCCAAATCTACGTTGTCTCCGTCCCCTAAACGTTTAACTCGTCCCCGTCGAGCTCAAAGCACCCCTCAGCCGCATCGGCTCCCCTCACAGGAATCGGTCTATTCTCCGGACCTCAACACCTCACCAGCGTTTGACCTTATGCCCTTAGAACAGGCACTAAAGTCCCCGGTTCGGTCGTCAACCGGCGAAGCCCAAAACCCATGGGCTGATGACCAACTAGGGAGCCAATGGCAGAGCGGTCTGGAGCATAATACCGCAGGGCAGCCACCTGTTACTGGCAATGACTCGAAAGAGGGAGGGGCCGTCAGCGGTGGGAGGGAGCTGGCCTCTAGTGAATGGCAGCTGAACTCAGGACTCAACGATGCCTCTGAGTGGGAGCGCTCACGAAACTCTCCTATTCCGTTGCGCTCGAATAACCCATTTCTTAAAGTTCGACAGCCTGAAAATAATCCGTGGGAAGACAGAAATTCTCGTACAGTGTCCGAAGACACAGCCTCTTTATCACAGGACGACGCAAGTGCTCGACTCGGCAAAGGTATTTCATGATCCTCATTCTGCGATTACGAGATTTAACGCTGACATCACTACAGATGAAGGTTATATTCCTATGACAGCTCGTCTTTCTCTTTTTGACCAGCCGGTATCAGAATCCCCGTGGATTGAAGAACAATCTAATAATCTTGAACCTCCATCAACTGTACATCAAAGTCAACATCCGTCTCCCCAGTCCTATCAATACCCAGACAATGAACACGATGATAGGAACGTGTCCCCTATTCCCTTCCCAGAATCACAGGCTGTTGTCCATAGCAACCAACCCGCCTACACACCGCAGCCTTCACAACAACAGCATGATTCTGGGAAATTGTCGCCAGATAATGAGATAGCCACTCCAGCGACTATTTCTACCGCGACTAGCGGTTCATCCCATGTGCTCATTGACTTTAACGAGAGCCTTCAGCCAAACACGGGAACGGACCAAAACAAGGCAGCCTCACCTATCTACGAGCCTACCGTGAATGGGAGACAGGAGTCCCAAGAGTCCCAAGTATCCTCACAAATAGCACTGGAGAGTGCCCCACCTCTTCCAGATCGTGCAAACGTCTCTCGTTCTGATCATGGTGTTACGTCTGAAGAGACTCCCGTTATCTCAACCTCTGAAGCTGAAGGAAATCGACAGCAGGAGAAAAAATTAGAAACCTATTCGATAAGACACGTCAATTGGACTGACGTAACCGGGAAACTGCGGGATTCTCCAGTTCTATCCCAGAATAAAAATGGACCATGCCCATTACTCGCACTCGTCAATGCACTCGTGCTACGTGCAAACCCAGATACTCAGTCGCCTATCGTTAGAGCACTGCAGACAAGAGAGCAGATCTCCTTGGGGCTGTTGATTGAGGCATTGTTTGATGAATTGACCACGTGCCTGGGCCCTGATGATGAACTTCCGGATATTGAGGCCCTCAGTCGGTTTTTGACCATGTTACATACTGGCATGAATGTCAATCCGCGGCTAATACTGGTATGAGAACTATTCATTCTTTGTATCTTTACTATCGATACTAACCACCGAGTAGGAGTCAAATGATGCAGTTGGAACGTTTCGTCAGACAGACGATATCAGACTATATAGCACATTTGGCGTGCCCTTGGTACATGGTTGGGTTGCAGCCCTATCAACGGATGTTCACATGGCATTAATGCGGATCGCGCAATATCATGAAGACGTCCAGTTACTTCATTTTCGTAAAGAGGAACTCGAGGATCGCATTTTTCACGGAGGCTCTCTTGAAGCAGAGGAAGAGCAGGAAATGAAAGACATTCAATTGATCCAACATTTTACTGACGTAGAAAATGCAACCCAACTCAGCATGTTTGGGCTGGATTGCCTGACAGAGAAGCTGCCACCTGGATCATTATCCATATTATTCCGGAATGATCATTTCTCTACCCTTTATAAACACCCACAGTCCAAGAAGCTATTTGCACTGGTCACAGATGCGGGTTACTCCGGCCATGCGGAAATTGTATGGGAGAGTCTTGTTGATGTCAATGGATCTAGTGCCGGATTTTTTGCCGGCGACTTTCGACCGGTTGGTCATACTTCCTCGCCTGGGGCCTCTGATCCGTCCGGCCCCCGAATGTCCAGCAATACGCGGACCCCTTCAGCCCCAAGTGAACAGCACAGTTCAACACTCTCTGCCCAAGAACAAGCAGATGCGGACTATGCTTATGCACTGTCCCTTCAGTACCAAGAAGAAGAACAGCGAGAAAGTACGGGGGATAGCAGGATGCAGAATCCGCTGCGGGCTACAGATCCACGCCATAGCCGCCAGGGCTCATCCGGCTTCACAAATGGAAGCATCAGCCCGCATACATCCTATTCAGGCAATCGGTCTTCTCGTCAGAGTCAACATGTTAGACAAGCCCAGCATCAGTCTAATTCTCAAATGGCGAATGATGGGCAGGATGATGCCCCTCCGCCTTCGTACGAACAGGCGGCTAGCAGTCCAATCTATCCGTCTCCACGAAGGAGTCCCAATCCCATGAATAACACTTCCTATGCCGGCCAATACCCCGGAAGTCGAGGAGGACGACGACCCCCGGGAACTTCCATCCCGGGAGGGCCTCCAGAACGCACTAAGGATCGAAATAAAGAGTGTGTAGTCATGTGAAATTTCACTCGGGGTAAATACATCAAGATTAAAATTTTCGGCTGCTGAATGGACGGACTTACAACGATGGAACGACATGTATGACTTTATGTATAATAATGATTCTTTAGCGCGCAGCAAATTATGGCAGTTCATTTCACATTTTCTGTAAGTCGAGTGCATGTTTCAATCGTGACATGGTACATGTTCTTTTGAGAGCAGAGTCCCACCATCGCATATTTAGTTCGACGACCTTGATTTCTTAATTGTCCACGGCTAATAGAAGAGATATAGAGCTGATATGTGAATGGTGGTTTGGACGGGCTCTGGCTCTTTAAATAATTCATGCCTTAGCAGGAGTTTAGCCAATGGGCTTTAACTAATAATTTGCAGGTTATGTCCTCAGACGTGAAGCTATATCCCACTGGTTTATTGCAGGGTGCCTGCTGGTCTAATATCTGCGTTCCTTTTTTTCATTGGAGGGAATATCTTCAATCTAAGATCCCCAATTTTTGTGGCTTAGCTCAATCCAGGAGCTGTACATAGTATATGAATTTCGCCTCATTTAAATTATGACGTGCTCGTACAGGGGATAATGGAAATATATTGGACATACTCGAGAGCAAAAAAATTATAGACTCCATTTTATCGTCACTGGCTACTACACCTTCCATGGGAAGAAAATAAAGAGCAAACTAGACATTACTCCGTATACCAGACATCGTAATCCATATACACGTAGCCCATGAAATCATAACAAACAGTAGCACGCCTTAATATAAAATCTTACGTTCCCACAACGGAAGATCCGGGTCATATTTATCCCAGACGATCTTATTTTTCTCATCCAGGTGTGCCCTGTCATCCGTTATGGGGATAATAGGATCCGTCTCTTGGATCTCCTCTTGACTAACCCCCCATTTGTCACGGGGGATCCACAGTATTGGTATCTTGGCCGTGATGCATGGCTCGTAGTAGGCATTGAATTGCTGCTCCTCGGAATACTTGATCTCAACATGGTTGCGTCGTACCTTGCGTCGGAGCGCAGCGTAGTCGCGATAGAGATTGGGATGGAACCATTTCCAGACTGCTTCCCAGCCTGTGGTGCGGGGGTGGTTGAGGACTTGGGCTTCTTCTTTTGCTTGCTGGGCTTCTTCTTCAATGTCGAGAGTGCGCGGGAGAAAAGAGTTAAGCGGCGCTATTGCCTCGTTGAGGGACATATGTGCTAGGATGGTGAGGATTGTGAAAATAACCATTATGATAAGTGGTCCAATAGCGCTGCGGATTGCAAATAATCCGATCATGCAAATGTTGGCTAGGTAGAGGCCCGTGAGAAGATGCTGGAGGGCTCGTGGGTATACAAGGCCTTTGGTGTCTATTCTGAGGTCGTAGACAAAGAGAAAATTGTATCGATAAGCTTGGTAGACTAGGTAGAGACCAATAAAGGCAAATCCTAGGATCAGAGGCGCGATGCAGGAGTATGTTAAGGCTAAGGATCGGTGTTAGTCGGAGATATAATGCCAGATGAAAATTAGGACAGGGGACTCAGCTTACCTATTACACCCATGTTGGTGAAGACAGGGAACACATTACCCCAGCTTATACCACTGAGGGCAGACCAACGTTGGTAGAGATGTCGTGGTGAGCGGTCGAAAAAGGTGGTCATGAATTTGAAAATTAAGGCTCCCATAACTTGCACCACTGCCATAGAGCTCAAGGTTAAACCTTGCAGAAGAAAGTACGAGATATAGAAATTTGTCGCTTTCGGCAAGTTCTCAGCCAAGAGGTCCTTAGCTGACAATGGATCCTTGATTATCTGAGCTGTCGCTGCTGACGCAGCCGAAGTCAAAGTCGTTACCAGGAACACCTGGACCACTTGAAAGCAGAAGTGAGCAGATTGGGTGAAAAGCTCCACGTGTGAAGCAGAGGGAACTCCGGCACATCGAGCACAGACTATGGGGGATTGATTAGAATGGTCAACACGCTCATCGATGTGGCATAGGGTTCATACATCGACAAATAATAGGGACCAATGACATCAGAAGGACCAGGGCGGCTGATGGCAGCAGCCCTGAAATTACGCCCCTGATCGTGACAGGGAGTTTGTCGATAAAACTCAGGAAAGGAAGCATTTTGGTAAGATAGGTGATATTAGATATGATACCGACAAGAGCGGACGGGATTGACCAAAAAATAACAAGAGCCGCAATGCCGCCTTTGATCAGGAATTTGCGTACGATGCGCTGCCACCAGCTGAGATTCAGCGAAGACCAGACCACTTCCTTAGGAGAGATTCCGGTGGACCGGGGAGTCATATGAAGTGGCTGATGGTGGGACAGCGTCTGAAGTGCAATTTGAGCGTCGGATTGCGTGTTGAACTCGATGAAAACTGCAGATAGAAGCTTCATCTCGCCATCTTTATGCTTCTGTTGCAGACGCTTCACTTCCTGTGACACATCGATGAGCTGTTCTCGCAACCAGCGGATTGTGTCGACTTTTTTCCCGAACCATTTGGGGCGGTGGGTTGGCCGCCGAACACATTGATAATTTGCGTTCTCTTCGCAGGTATAGCAGGCGTCAGGCGAATCAGTGCTCTTTTTAGTTATCTTCAGACGTGCGGAGTTTGCACGTCGTATAAATCTTGTTTCGGCACTCTCCAATTTGTAGGACAGCTCCTCCCTTTTCTGGACCTTTTTCTCCAGCTCCTTGCAGTCAGATGTGATCCAAATACGGCGGATAGAATCTCCAAAGACCTGACGCAGCTTCTTCTCGTTCTTATACTCATCTGGGACCGACATGAAGAGTACAGTTCTGGACGATATACGATTAACGTACGCAGGCGAGTTGAGATATGCCTGGCGCAAATTGGCATAGAAAATGCTCTCTCGTGTCACCACATAAAACACAAAGGCTTTCTGAAGTTAGCATATTTACGCAGAGTATGGCTGTGGATAAGTTACTAAAAAAGATACATGCTACGACAGCATGGGCATAATAGCGACTCCCGTTCTTGACGTTGCTAAAACTCAGCGCATCAAGCTGGGTGTTCCCTGCACCACCGGTCGCATGTATAGGAAGCAGGATGGGCCATGTGATCAGGCATCCTGTAAAGCAGGTAGCGCAGAGCACCCTTAGGAACCGCAGGAAGAGATAGCCATCCATGGAGGAATGGTGGAGGACGTGAGCATCGGAAATTTTAAGAAAATGCCCAAACCAGTTGATAAATCCGGACGGCAACTGAGGGCTTCGTTCGCTGCAGCGTGTTTGAGTAAATGTACCATGTAAGCTAGATAGATGATCCTTACTGCTTGTGCCAACATGGCAAGTGAGTTCTAGGCGCGTACCAGCGGAGCTGTGTTCGTCGACAGATTAAGAACAACCCGAACCAGAACACTGCGATAATCAGTGCCGGGACAAGAGTACTAATAAAGGCCGAAAGGGACGTAGATTCATCTACTCCTAGATTTCCCATAGCATCTGAGGTCGTTGAGGATGCATTGCCTCGGGAAGACCCAATGTTGGGGTCATTATTGGGGTTCTAGTGGAAATTGAATCAGTGCTGTTCATCTGTAGAAGGGCATGTACATACGAGGACATCCATCTGCTTAACCACAAGGCTAAAGAATGGGAAATTGGCTATAGCGAGCCAGGAAAACCAGGGTTTGAGCCTGTGTTTTCGATGATAGGTAATTATGGCTCAAGCCTACAACAAAAAGCTGTAGCAAACACGGGGATTACCGCTACTTTATCTCTAGGACGGATCATCCCAAGCGACAGAAAACGGTCATGGCATGTAGCTCGGCCTGCTTAGCAGGTTGGACCTGTCACTTGAGGGGGAGGCATTTGGTTGAAGCATGCAACTAGCGTAAGATGACAGTAGCGCTATTCGTGGGCGGCTGGTGGCCCGGTGAGTTCGACTTATAATTGGAATGTCCCAGTCACACGTTCAGACTTGTGCTGGACAGTTTCGCGTTCTGTCCAGGGCCCGCCTGTCAACCAGGGGTCGAACCCTCCAAGGGGAACCAATTTCCGCTGGAAAGCCTAGAATACGCATGGGATTAGCGTTTGGAGAGGCACCATCCGGGTTAGTTGGTCACTAGTGTGGCCCGTTGACTTGGCTGGGTCGATGGATCTACCCAATAGGATTATGAACCCCGCCGATCAATACGGCATCACAATTTCTCGCTGCCGAGAAAGAATGCTTGCTGAGGATCCCAACCATTGCTGTCAGCACAGCACCGCTTGTTCTATATCAGTATCTTACACTGTGTACGTGTTCGACTCTAAAGCTAATCCCAGATAGTGTGCTTTCTCCTACAGGACAACATCCTTGTCTAAAATCTTGGATAGGATGCCGGTGCGTGAGGAAACTGGCACTGAGTCTCGCATATGAGCTCGCGTATCTTAATAGCGTTATCTGTATACGAATGATAGTTAGTGGAAGGGAGCTCTAACTACCGAGTATAGGGAGTACAATACATGATATGTGGATGTCCTCCGCTATGCCAAGGGGAAGCAACGAAGCCAGTTAAGCAGTGACTCTTCTATGCAAAGTACTCAGAGTAGATAGCTATGAAGAATAACACATAATACTAATGCAAGGGATGGCCCCTCTTTTTTTTTTTTTTTTTTTTTTTTTTTGTGTGGCCTCGGTGCCGCAGCGTGGATCGTGCTTGAAAGAAGTTGTAGCCCTGTGACCGGCTGGATCGCCTTGGCTAAGGACCTGCTCTGCCTTAGTAGTTAGCTCGTACACGAATAATGTTTTTGGGATTAGACTAGGTTGAACAGGATATGATCTCTGTGTTGTTTTGCTGTACTCTAGTATACAGATAATAAATGGGTTTTCGGAGACGCTTTATTGTGCTCCATAAACGAAGTTGTCACTACATACAACACAAATCTGTGGTCAACCGAGCGTTTAGTTGGTGTTAGCTCGCCTGTATCCTGGTTTGGCTTCTTTCGTAGCACGGGCTAGACCAAGTTTGATCCACAGGGATTTTGACGGAAGTAAGCCGGGTGGAGAGATGCTATATTAGCTATAACTAGTTAAACAATTTTCTTTTGAAATTACCTAAGAGAGTGAGCACTGATTCTAATTACCCTCACACAGGACCCAATGCACTTGGGTAGTCAACAATGGATGAAAGTGCTCAAAAGTGGCGGGAAGATGCTCGGGAAGAACCTCCAAGTTCCTGCATTCCCGGATGGTTGCCTTTTTGTCTGAGTGCCTTGAGCTTATCCAATGCAGCGCACACCGTCTCCAGGACATCGATATCGTTTCGAAAGTTCCTCTCCGGCTTTTACATAGCTGTGAAGGGAATAGAGACAAGAGCAATGTCCTACTCAATATGCATTGTTAGATCTCTGCATGAACTAGCAGCCACGTCACTATCCAAGCTTGATCTAGCCTTTTTAAAACTTATCCAATATCTATCATCACCCCTGCTGTGTAGCTGCCATGTGAAAGTGAAACAGGCCAAGACCTGCATGGAAGTCCATCCAAAAGTAAAGCGGGAGATGTGTCTCCATAGGCCTTGATGTTTTTCAATTGAAACGATCTTTCAAAGTCGAATTAATTCTCTTCTGTTGGACTTCAATCATAGGCACCAGAGCTCGTGTATCACTCGATCCAGGAGGCCAGCCAGGTAGCATAGCAAGTTGTAAATGTTTAGTCTTCATTGAGAAGCCATTGGGCGGTCAGTAGAGGCAGAATTGTGGCAGCATGGGGAGGCGACTGTCAGCTTACTGTCTCCCACCGCATTGTCTATTCTTTCAATCGCCATGGCTCGGCCTAACAGCAAATCGAAGGGTAATGCTGAATATCCGTCCAATGACACTAACCCACCATCGTCATTGCCATCATATGATTCGAAACAGCCCTTTCCTCCTCTTTCGCCCGACGATCTCGCTGCAACAACCGCTTCCAACAATACGCAAGACAACAGCTATCTGGAGGATGACCAAGACATAATGTCGCCCCTACAGGCAGACACCGAGGCGGAAGATGAAGATGTTGATTTCCACACACAGTACTCGTTGGATAACCAATTCTTTTCCGACACGTCTACGGATTCGGAATCCCCAGAAGATGGCATCGCAATGCATCATCCGTTTCGACAGTCAACCAGTTCCCTCCACGGCCCCAATGCGTTTGCCCCTCCTTTCTATAACCGACCTCCAACGCCTCTACCGCCGTCCCCTTCCTTGACCTCTCTTCTGCGTCCCCCCTTTTCCACCACGACGTCCAGACCCACCACTCCCGACAGCTCGGACGTGGAAACACCAAACGACACTGAAGCTGCTGTTGCGAACTCGGCGCGACGTGCGACAACCGTGCCTCGAGCAAGTCCAAAGGTACCAACGTATGAATATTACGGTTTTGTTTTGTACCTTGCCTCGTCACTGGCTTTCTGTGAGTAGACGGACCATTTCTCGCTTCCGCAGCACTCTGGAGTTGCTTCTAACGCTATCTTTCAGTGATGTATATCCTCTGGTCCTATCTCCCCTCCCCATTCTTACTCCAATTGGGAATTCGTCACTATCCCAATCGTTGGTGGTCTTTAGCGTTTCCCTCGTGGCTGGTTATGTCCATAATCTATATTTACGTTGCTCTGGCGTCGTACAACACTGGCTATCTGACGCTGCCCATGAATAGTGTCGAGAATATCGTTGATGGTGTGGCCAACGTAGCCGTCATTGATGGTAAAGGGAGGCGACGACCGGGTGGCGCTGCGAAGATGAGGCCTGGCGCAACATCTTTCCAAATTATGGGACCGCAGAACCGGAAGGTGAACTGGAGAGAGATTTGGAGCGAAGGCACCGATGCTGTCTTGGACGTTCCTGTTGGAGGAGTGTGTGAAGTTCTATATGGCCCGGATCGGGATGACGATGAAATCTACGACGAAGGAGTTGGCTCTTCAAGCGACCATCTTGAACAGGAAGGCCATAGCTAAATTGCAGGTCTACCCAGTGTTCAGTTGACAGTGGCACAATCTTACGATCTATTTCCCTTATTAATGGGATTGGAAATGCCGTAGCCCCTATGTTGTTATTGGAAGGTCGATAGGCTGGAAACTGGGAGATCAGGGAATCTAGTTCCTCACATCGTTGTCTCCTGCGTCAGATACTCGCCTTGGTTTCGACATTTGGATGTGCTGTGCTGTCGAGTATTTGGGCTATTGTTAGCTGGATGAATGGCATAATATGAATGAAGTGCCTGAGGCCTCTTCAAATGACGGCATGCGAAAGATAACATGAAAAATACCCTGTTGACATTAATCTAGTTAATGCAGCGGGCGGTGTCGTATTGATGCCCCTCTCAATTCAGGGTACATATGCGGCTTCCATCGTACTACGCCCTCAAATATTCGATTAGAGAAACATTGAAGGAGGTGCACTACAGGACGTGGGATGTGGCCCTCAGATCAAAACATGCGCCATGGGCACTCAGACCAGCCGACTGTGCGTCACCGTATTACGTTTTTCTGAAATGAGCTCTATGTTAGGACGCTGAAAATGCAGGGGCTCGGAGTCCCATCCTCTTACCCAGTGTCGAGTATTTTCGTCAGCCATGATCCTAATAGTCAGCAACTTTACTTGCTGCTTTGGCGAGTCTGATGTTATTGTTTCGGGCGTATCTATAGGTCATTGCGTATTATTAATATATGAATTTGGCCTCGTTGAGATATTGTTCGACCTGGTTTGCATGTCCTTGTCAGGAACATGCAGAAAGGCATGGTGTGACAGTGTTCTTCACCATGTCGATCACCATGGCGTATTCAACTGTTGTCCAAGTCATTATCTACAATGCCGGCCAATGCTATAAACGCCCACTTGAATGTGCCGAAGCAGACGGCCATACGCCCGACAGAATACATGTGTTGATCCAGCTGCCCAGGTTCATGGTCGTGGCGCTGGCTGAGGTGTACTGTTGGTCTACCGGATTGGAATATTCCTACAACCATTCACCCAAAAGCATGAAACTTGTCCTGCAAGCGGTCTACATTGGACCCCTAGAGCTAGGGTATGCACTCGGTATGGCCTCGCCTCTTGCTATGGAGGTGGTCCTATGGGAGTGGTGGCTGAAATGTTGTTCATAACTGTTTGTGTTTTTCAATCTGCATTCTGTCACTAGAAATACAGTCATTAATATAAGAGAAATATTTCTATTCTATGTACGTAACTATGTACTCTGTAGCTACATGTGGTTCTATATATTACACGCCACCATTGCCCAACAACGCATCCTCCTCAGATGGGATCATCTCATCCCATTTTACCCTGTCCGTGCTTCGATGTCGGTAAAGGATATAATGCTGCACCATGCATGTCACATCAAACAACATGGTAATATTTCCCAGGGCAAATTTTGTCCAGTTCCCTGTAGTTGTTTGTATCCAATTGGCCTGGTGGCCCATATCTAGGAACAATTGTACAATAGACAAGAGACCACCTGTAAAATCGAGCAAGATGGCGTAAATGCTGAACCCCTCGGTTGACTGTCGACAGTAATTGTAGATGACTTGTGGAGTGTACTTCACGACTGTAAGAAAGAGCTTTATATTTCCCACGGTATACACCTTTGGAAACCGTTAGATCTAGAATTGCTTGGTTTTTCAGGCATAGCGATAATTACCACATCAAGCCATTCCCACCGCTCAGAAAATCCGATCAGAACACCTCCAATGCTGGTAAAAATAACTATGATGCATACGCAGAATATCCCCTCCACACTCTTACTGAGTTGTGTCTTGGAACCATGAAAGTCCCATAAATGCGGCCATTGCGTTTGACTGTATATAATCAAACATATCGCTGCTCCATGACCGGCATAAGCTAAGTCGTTCAATTGCACCGGGGGAATTGGGGTGCTAGGTGATCTGTCGGCATATTGAGAACGGACGACGGGTGAGAATAAAAGCACAACGTTGAATACAGTATAAGCAATCAAGCCCAAAGCATTCAGGAATGTGAAATCTATTGAAAGACCCGAGCTAGATTTAAGGCGGAAGTTGACGATGATTTGGGGATAGAAGGAAATTGACCAAAGAAGCACGTAGATCCAGCCCACAATGCTCGAGATGGCGACAGGAAACATATCCAATGTATATAGAATCATATTTTAATACAAGAAATGTGATTAGGATACAAAAGAAAGAAGAAGAAGAAAGACTACCTTGTAGTCAAATTGGGATACGGAGTTCGGAGTGGGCGCGCAATCTGTCGGGGACGATTTAATGTAGGGCAAGTTTTCGGCATTCGGGGTTGGTTGCGCAACATCGCAATTCCACTTCCTTTTTTGCGCTATAATCCTGTCATTCTTGGCTCCTTTTCCTTTATAGGACACGCACCTAGGATAAGAAGAACATCCGTAGTATCGAAATGCAAACCGATACCTGTCTGCATCGAGGACACAGGGCTGATTTCAGCTTCGGCATTAAAGGCGGGAAACAAGCAGGATTTCGGCTGTACCGTAGCTTGACGAAAAATCATTAATATAACTTTGTCCTTGTCATCCTTTTCTCCCAGGTCTCTATAGTCCTTCCCTATCTATTTGAATGTTTTGGGTGATTCGAAGACTGTCGTCTTGCATCTGTGTACCATCACAACGCACTAACAGCTTACGAATGCGAACGGAAAAACAGTTGGCGTGACAGTGGATCACAATTCGACTCTCCGTTGGTATAGATCTCATTGAAGATATCAGGGATGATTTCCATCAGCATTGTGCAGCATTGGACGACGATTACTACACCCAAGCGGCTATCCTACACTAAAAAGAGCAGGAGATTATTCGACCCCTGTATAAAGCATTGGAATCTAGTATAGGGAACTATGTGGATGATTGGTATCCTCCTTGATTGGCTTTGTTGTTCCGGTGAATATTGCTTTTTTTTTTTTTTTTTTTAACCAACAGGTCCCTCACACTTATTACTATTTTCCTTTCAGAAGATATCTTGGTGTCGTATCTCATCACTCTTGGCCTATCATCGTCAAGTCAGCCACAACTCTCGACCATTATCATCACGTGCTGTGGCGTCAGGTTCCTGTATCATATCGATAACGCCCGAAATGAGCCGGTTCTCCTCTTCAACCACCGCCCTTTGCATACTACCTTGGGGTATAGCAGGCGAATACACTATGGCAACAGACAGGCCATCCACACCACCACATCAGCCCAAGGCTGCGAAACCTGGGGAGCTCCCTCGAGCGCCGCTTACGCCAGATCAGTTGCGGCGGATCGTACGTGCTGTGTCTGGAAATGTTCTATATCTTCTCAGCTGACATCGGTAAACATATATAGGAAATCAACCGTATGAAAGCGAAGGCGATCCGTGAGCAACGTGAAGCAGAGCAGGCTCGGACTTTAGCAACGACTTCCAATACTTACAACACCACGCAGACTGCCAAAGGGGTAAAGCGGTCGTATTCAAATCTGACGGCGTCTGAGACGCCTGCTACGCTACGAGATGGTCGTGCGAATGCTGCTTCGACAAACCGTCCCCTTGACGCTATTAGACCCGCTCGAAATTTTGCCAAGTATGTCGAGTACGACTTCAGTAAGATGACTGATACAAAAGGAGGATTCTTGACTGAAGAGGATGATCCACATAATAAAGCACTACACGTGCGTGATGGGAAGATGGAGCAGAAACCGGCAAATATGACCCAGAAGGAGTGGGAAAAACAGCAGTTACTTGACTCTTTTCGGCGAGAACGCACAGGCCCCTTTGAACCAGGACTCAGTGTATTGGACGACAAAGCAAAGCAGAAAACATGTCGCGAATGCGGAAATCTAGAGATAGATTGGAAGTGGGAGGAGACACTCCGATGTTGTGTGTGCCATGCTTGCAAGGAAAAACACCCGGAGAAATACAGCCTGCTTACCAAGACAGAAGCCAAGGAAGATTATCTCTTGACAGATCGTGAGTTATATCTTGGCCTCTGGGCACCAGAATCAAAGGAACTGACACCTTTCTCTGCAGCTGAACTGCGGGACGAAGAGCTTTTGCCGCACTTGGAACGTCCCAACCCACATAAATCAACGTGGAACAACATGATGCTTTATCTACGCTACCAAGTCGAAGAATATGCATTCTCATCGAAGAAGTGGGGTTCTGCTGAGGCACTAGATGCTGAGTTTGAGCGACGGGAGAATGAGAAGAAACGCCGACGTGAGGCTAAATTCAAGACCAAGTTGCAAGATTTGAAAAAGCGTACGCGTGTCGATGCCTACCGTCGTAACCGGCAAGGTGCAGCTGGAGGTAGCTTTGGCGACGATCTGGGGAATAATAGAAAACATGTACATCAATGGGGTCGATCCGTCGAAAACGCCGAGACAGGGATAGGGGTCAAGAAGTGCATTGACTGTGGGATGGAAGTGGAGGAGCTGGAGTTCTAACGAACACTAGAGAGTATGTACTTTTAGATTAATGAGTTCATGAAGCCATGAGACACAGAGTAAAATAGTTGCATTGGTCAGGGCGATCAGCGGCAAGCGGGACTTAGGGTAATATATTAATCACAAAGGGATATTAATTAAAACTAGTCACAGGTTTTCAACAGGCTAATCTGCTGTAGTTTGTAGTCCCTGTGCCAAAGGAGCATTGTAGACACATAACGTCAATTCCCAGCAGTTGTGACGCTGCGGCCCTGCGACAGAGGCAGCACTGGAGACAACCCTTCAACCTAGGAAAATGCCTACGGCTGTGTTAAAAGCTGTTCCGTAATTTCCCAGAATGTAAGGAACTAACTCTATTTGAACCTCTGGGCGCCATTTTATTGCAAACCCATACCAGCGTCCCATGAGGCTGGCAGAAACAAACCCCCTAGCGCTAAAGGCGGTTAAGACCGCGTGGGCGCCTACGGGAACCAACGAAAGCGTAACCGCAGTGGTGGCTTTCCCCGACCTCAGCGAGGAGAAACGCGCACCAGTCTTCAACCCGATTTCTCTTGGCTCGAAGCATCTCCGACCGTCTCCTTTTCATTCCTTCGAGCAAACCTCCCTCTCCTAAACCACTTCATTGATTTTTCTATCGGTGTTGACACGGCTTGGGACGTTTGTTTCCTGCCGTTGTCGCCCGTGTGTGCCGATTGTCGGCTTACATTAAACAGAGTTTACCGCTGCGGACACGAGTCCACCAAGCGGTCCACGTCCACATCCATCGGAGTGTGCTCAAGAGCTTTGTTATTCCGGATTCCGCTTCTTGGGTCCTTCCGCTCATTGAGTTCGTATGGCCTGGCAGTCTCCCTCGATCATGACTGGGGGTGGGGGGTTTGTCGGACCCGGGGGGGATGGGTCAGCCAACGGACAACCTCAGGGGACGGAGTATACTTTGCAAGGTGGGACTATGTGCAATGGCATGAGACAATTTCTTCGCGATGTACGACGTTAACCTCGCTCTTGTAATTATAGGTGTGATGCGCTTCCTGCAGACCGAATGGCATCGGCACGAACGAGACCGCAATGCGTGGGAAATCGAGCGCGCGGAGATGAAGTCTCGCATTGGCAGATTGGAGGGCGATGTCCGAACAAGCAAACGTTTACACGAGTCATTAGGGAAACACGTTAGGCTGCTGGAGGCTGCGCTGAAGAAGGAGCGCGAGAAGGTCAAAAAGCTCAGCAATAATGAGAAGGTAGATGATAATAGGGACCCAAAGGAAATAGCTCAGGAGAGTTTGAGCGCCCTAAAATGTACGTCTGGATTGCACTGAACGCCTGGCCTGGATGCTGACTGTGTTCCTAGCTCAACGTTCCAAGTCCCACGTGGACCCCGGCGATGCCGATGCCAACGCTGACAACCAACACGAATTCCAGCAAGAAAACGAGCGAGATAAGTCGCGCCTCTACTTGACGAAATGCTCACAGGAAATTACGTATCATATCATTCCTCCGTCTCATCCACCCCCCGACCTAAGTGAACCGGACCTTTCGAACCCTGTCTATGGAAATCAGCAGTTGTCGCAGCACAGCCTAGAGGAAGCATATCTTCAGCAGCAAAGGCAGAAACAACAACAACAGCAGCAGCAGCAGCAGCAGCAGCAGCAGCAGTCAAACCATATGATGGCACGTGAGGTTTCTCTCCAGAACCATCAGCCTGTTGTGACGCATTATTCCGAGTCTCGGCCGCCAAACCAATTTGGTCTACCGGCCCCTGCTAGAGAAGCGCTGGAGAGGAGGCCCCTGGAACCACAGCAGACCCCGGTAACTGCGATCGATAACCGGAGACAAGTTATTGATTCGACAATGGTGGATGAGCGTGCTGGCGCGGAGAAGCAAATGTATGATGGGTATGATTCCCAGATAGGAGTTAAGGACGATACAAAACCGCAGCATAGCAAAGACAACACGGAGGATCAAGATGGCTGGAACTTCGATGAACCATCAGGCCAGGAGCCACTCACTGAACCGATGCCACCCCATCGTCCAGATGTGGACGCTTTCCCCAATGCAAACTTTGTCCGCCCTAAGTCACCATCAAGGCCTGGCTCATTGTCCCACCGGCGAAAGAGTTCGGGCACCAGGCGCAAGAGTGATGGGGCCATTGATCTTGACTCAGGCGCTGCTCCCAAGCAAGACACCTCATTCAAAGTTAGATTCGCTCTCCGTGGACACCTCGATGTCGTTCGCTCTGTGATATTTACCGGTGGTGGCAGCCCTTCTGAGCCCGAAATTTGCACATGTAGCGACGATGGAACTATTAAAAGGTGGATTATCCCGGCCACCTATGGCAGTTTTGGCCCTCACGGGCCCAGCTCCGGCAATGACTTAGATATTACAAGTTACTTTACCCACCGCGGACACGTTGGTGCTGTGACAGCACTAGCGGCTTGTTCGCCATCCCAAAACTTTTCAAACGGTGGCCGTGCTTTAGGTGATGGCTGGGTGTTCTCGGGTGGGCAAGATGCTAGCGTGCGTGTCTGGGAACGAGGCCGCGTTGACCCTAAGGCAACCCTAGATGGCCATACAGATGCTGTATGGGGCTTGTGTGTTCTTCCTGGAACTACGGGATCTGTATATGGAGACTCATGTAGCCTTTATGGGGGCCCTGACCGCGTCTTGTTGGCATCAGGTTCTGCAGACGGTCATATCTTAATCTGGGCAGTTAGTGCCCCTCCTCAGCTCTCGTCTCCGCAGGCAGGGTCTCGGCGAGCTGGAGGCAGTCGGCGGGCTAATTCGATCTCTTCTGGATCCAACTTCCCGTCGTCGCCACAGCCTAGTATGGCAACGGCAACACCATTCCATTATAGTCTTATTCATAAAATTGTCCGACAGAGTTCCCCATCGCCAACATGTATCAGCCCATTGTCGCTTGCGGGCGTGAACTTCGTCGTGTCATTTTCTGATGCCTCGGTCCTTGTATATGACACAAGAACTGGAGAGGAGATGTTGGAATGGCGAGTCTGGAGACCTACGACGGTACGCCTTCTACTGGTGTTAACTGCGTTGTGGCATCCACTATCGGATTCGATGGCTCTGCGGGCCTTGATCCCAATCGAGCATTGGTAGAGGAAGAGGTGGTACATGGAGCCACTGGTTCAAGTGGCGGGGAGGGAGTGATTATAAGTGGGTACGAAGACAAGTATATTCGTTTCTTCGATGCAAACAGTGGTAAGTACACTTATTTCCTAAACTGGTGACTATATTGATTAACATGGTCATTTATTCTAGGCCAATGCACCTACACGATGTTGGCTCATCCATCTGCTATTGCATCTCTTTCGCTGTCGCCAGATGGGCGTGAACTGGTGTCCGCGGGGCACGATACTAGCCTCCGGTTCTGGAATCTCGAGAAACGAAGCTGTACACAAGAAATCACAAGTCACCGTGTGATGCGTGGTGAGGGAGTTTGCTCTGTTGTCTGGAGCCGCGATGGCCGCTGGGTCGTTAGCGGTGGCGGCGATGGAGCAGTCAAGGTCTTCTCCAGATGACGAGGGATTTTGCTGTTGATGTATGATTTTGCTTTTCTTATAAATTTCTTTGGACGCATGAAATGGATGAGCGATTGGCCAATTCTTGAGCATTTGCAACGGTGTCAAGTTACCTGGCATATGTTCCTTTCTACTCGTGTGGTTATAGGTTCTTTTCTTTTCTTCTTACGTGATTGATAATCACCTGTTCCTTCGCGTGACGACAATTTTCTACTATTTACCCATTTTCCCTCTTTTCTATCGTCCTTTCTTCCTACTGTTTGCTGCCGCTGAGAAGTCCCGTGTGGAACGACCGAATATTACGAGTGTTTTTGCGTTTTCCGTTTGTGGCCGTCGAATCAACTTTCCCTGCATATTCCAAACCATCTCGATTCTAATTGCTATATGTTGACCTCTTTACTGTTTCTATAGGCCCATGGCATCATATCATCAAACTGTTTCCCTGCCATTGTATAACGAGGCTACGCCGGGGTTTCTCATCAGACTCAACTTTCACGCTCCTGGGTTTCCTCTGTCTTCATGCTTTTCAGTCTGCTATCACAAGCGATATTTGTACAGATATAGAGTACTGTACCAATGCAGAGAGATGAGCTAAGGATGAGCAACATTGACTTGTATGCCGTTAAACGAACATAAGAGACATGTTATGCCATAAAATGATAAAGGTATCATAAATAAAACTACCAACACTATACATGACGATGGTAAATCAACGACTCGCAGCCCACGCCCCTTTGAACAACGCCCTCAACCTTTTAGCTTCCTCGACGTCCTTTAGTCTTTGTTGAAGGTACCCCTCCAAATCATCCCAGAAAGCATCTGTCTCCAGCAAAACCTCCCCGCTGGGCCCAAGTGCACGCTTCGAAGTAGAAGAAGCCTTGGCCGTCTCCGTCCCGGTTTCGACCACCTTCGCACCTCCCATAATCATAACACCAAACTCCACCTCTTTCCCACCAGCCAGCATTGCCGGTTCATCCGACAGGATCTCTGCGATGGACTTCCCCGTAACAGGCTTCCGCTTATACAGGATCTTGATTTTATCTAGAGCAACTTCCTTATCCTGCGCATCGGCAACCCGCTCCCGCACGGCATCTTTCAGGTCATTAACGGAGGTTGTGGACAGGGGCGCACTAGGAAGGGTAAATTCAAGGGGTGGGTTGCGCGCCGACTTCAGGCGAACGGTTATCGATTTCGATGATCCTGGGGCAATGGTGGGCTTGACTTTCTTGGGCATCTCGGGATGAGGAGATTGGAGGCGCGGGAGAAGATACTTGGATATGGGATTTATTAGGACAAGCCAGATGCAGAGATCAGGGATCTTATTTCCAATTCTCACTTACAGGACCTCGTACGCTGGCCTCAGGGTCGAGCACATAGTCTTCTGGGAGCTTGATTGGACGGGAATCCAGCGAAGAGAGGAAGGATTTGATGAAGGCTAACTCGGCCATTTCCGTTGTACGTTATTTCCAAAATAGATGATTCACTATATGAGAGGATATATGGCGTAGAAAATGCGTGTTGGGAGAATAGGCGTATGTGTTTGTGTTGGTGTTGTGGTGCACTAAGCTGGTATTGTGCAATACCTAATTGGGGTGGCTTTCGAGGCCGAAACAAACGGCTATGCCTCAGGCAGAATTTCTCACACCGCCTTGCAGGAATAATTGTCTGCCGCTGTTGACCGCCTATAGCGGAGCAGTTAAAAAAAAAAAACGAAAAAAAAAGACTAGTTGGATATCCGCAGCCAACAGAAAAACCACTGGCCTTATACCCTACTCTTCACTACTGGTCACAATGGGCAAGGGTCGTCGTATGAAGAAGCAGGGCCCTCCGGCCCCGCTGGATGAGTCGAAGATTTCTATGCTTAAGAAGCGCAAGGCAGGCGAGCCCGAATCCACGACCGAGTCTGGCAAGAAGCGGAGAAGAAATGAGGTGGAAGAGGAGAAGCCGGCGAAGAAAAAGAATACCCAGAAGAAGGTTGACAAGGTGGTCAACGGAAAGGGGGTTAAAAGTACCGATGCGACCGACGGAAAGAATATGAAGAAACCGGCGCCGAAGAAGATGGATTTTATGGAGTCGGATGACGAAGATATGTCGGACATCGAGGACGAGATGGCCGAAGATGAATTCGATGACCTAGACGGTGTCAGTGATGGATCAGTGGGCGGCCAGAACGATGAGGACAACTCAGTCATGGACTCCGATGAAGAGGATCACCCACAACAGACAATGTTTTCTGACGACGAGGACCTTTCTGATGCGGAAGAGAAGCTGACGGCGGCTAACATCGAGGGATTGTCTCGAAAGCTGGATGAGGAAAAGCAAGCCGAAGCAGAGGAGGCGGAGAGAGAATTGCAAGAAGCAGCTATGCAGACCAACATTGCTGGTGACCAGGTGGATGTCTTTGGAGACGCCGAAGCTACTGCTGGCCATGGTTTGGCTCCGGATCTGCAACTGCTCCGCACAAGAATCACGGATACCATTCGAATCCTGGGTGATCTGAAAACATTGGGCCGGCCGGGCAAGTCGCGTGCCGACTACCTCCAGCTACTCCTAGCCGATATTTCTACCTACTACGGATACACCCCTTTCCTAGCCGAGAAGCTTTTCAATCTCTTTACTCCCATGGAAGCGTTCGCCTTCTTCGAAGCCAACGAAACCCCTCGTCCTGTTGTCATCCGTACCAACACATTGCGCACAAACCGTCGGTCTCTGGCTCAGGCACTGATCAATCGTGGTGTCGTTCTGGAACCTGTTGGTAAGTGGTCCAAGGTCGGCCTTCAAGTGTTCGAGTCGGCCGTACCATTGGGTGCTACACCCGAGTACCTAGCAGGTCACTATATCCTGCAGGCCGCATCTTCATTCCTCCCCGTTATGGCACTGGCCCCGCAACCCAACGAGCGAATCCTCGATATGGCTTCTGCCCCCGGTGGAAAAACCACATACATTTCAGCGTTGATGCGCAATACTGGCTGTATAATTGCAAACGATGCCAGCAAGCCTCGTGCCAAGGGTCTAATCGGTAACATCCACCGCCTTGGATGCAAGAATACCATTGTCACACACCTCGATGCCCGCGATGCATTCCCCAAGGCAATCGGAGGCTTCGACCGTGTTTTACTAGATGCACCTTGCACCGGTACCGGTGTCATCTCCAAGGACCCTAGTGTGAAGACCTCGAAGAACGAACGTGACTTCCTTGCTATTCCGCACATGCAACGCCAGCTCCTCCTAGCTGCCATTGACTCGGTCGACCATTCCTCCAAAACAGGCGGCTATCTCGTCTACTCCACCTGTAGCGTCACTGTTGAGGAAAACGAAGCCGTCGTGCAGTACGTTTTACGCAAGCGTCCCAATGTCAAGATCGTCGACACTGGTCTCGGTAGTTTCGGCAGTCCTGGTTTCTCAAAATACATGGGCAAGCACTTTGACTCTAAGATGCCCCTGACTCGTCGTTACTTTCCTCATCGTGAGAACGTGGACGGCTTCTTCGTCTGCAAATTGAAGAAGACTGGTCCCAGCCCTGCGGAGAATCCCGCCGCCAATGGTGGTGCTTCCACCGAATCGAAGCCCTCCGGCGCACTTTCCGCCACATCAGATGAGGAGATTGTCGACAAAACCCCGATTGCCGATGAAGACGACACAGTCGTGGATGCGGAGGGTGGCGCCTTCGGACCATTCGAAGAAGACGAGGACGAAGGCCGAATTGCACGGGCGGAACGGAACCGTCTTCGTCGCAAGGGTCTTAATCCCAAGGCTGTATTGAATAAGCCAAAGAAATCTAAGACCGAGCCAACAGATGAAGAGTCCACGACTACAGCCCCATCCCCGAAGCAAGACCAGAACAAGAAAGCCAAGAGGACCGACGAGCCATCCATAGAGAAAGAAGAGCAGAACTCTACTGAAAAGGCGGCGAATAAATCTTCGGACAAGAAGTTGGCTAAGCCACAGGAATCAACTAAAAAGAATAAGAAGGAAAGCCATAGTCCTGGAAAGGGCAAAAAACCGACCAAATAGACAGACATTTGGTTGCCTATATATTCTTTTATCTCTTATAATTTCCAACTCAACTGTCCTGTGCCTTCTTGTGGATGGCTTCTTGAAATAAAAAGCATTACTATTTCCTCTGATGTTTTTGGAATGGGCGGCGCATGATTATCATTATTTGATCTCACTGATCTATGTTAACAGTACATAGCTGTTGAATTCAATAGATACCATTTTTAAGTTCAATGATTTATTAACTACTGTCAAATAATATGGTGACCAGAATCATGTGACTGGGTCGGTAAAACCCCGGCGGAGCACACAACAAAATAATCAATCAAGAATAACCAAGAAGAATAATCAAGACGAGTCCAACCAGCTCAATTCATTCAAATAAGACCTTTTTACCAATCGTACTTTATTTCCTCTACGGGACTAGCCGTATATCTGACAACTACTTGATTTTTTTTAGTAAGCATATGGCCGGGTCAGCTGTATAAGTACATATTATAATTGGAAACATGTATCCAAGACATAGGTAGTTACCGCTTTCGAGGTTGAATAACAATAATGAGGCTATGTTCTGATCTAAAGTATATAATTCTTAACTCCAATTGGGGGAATAAAAATAAACATCTCATAACGTCCGGGGTATGCTATAATTCTTCAATGCAAATGAAAACCAAACCAATTGCCAAGTAAGTACCCTAGGCGCCATCTTCCAGCCCAGGCCGTAAACTATGTCCTGTATATCTTGACCACACTGATAATATTCTTTCGACAAATTGGGCAGATGTCAACCTGACGAGCACAGGTCACGCAGGCGCATACATGCCCACAGTCGTAAAACAGGGCATCCTGTTCCTCGCTGTAACAGATCTGGCATAGATCCATCTCTTCATCCGCCACCTCCCAATAACTGATACCTTTTCCGTGGCGTTTTCCATCTTTATAGCCACCAATGTATTTGTTGCCTGTCTTCCGTTCGACGAACGCACCATGGCCATGGCACAGGTTTTCAGACCAGTCGCCATCGTACGTATCACCGGTGGGATATTCCATAAATCCCTTACCATGACGTTTTCCTAGTATAAAGTCTCCAACGTAGGTTGCAGCTGAATCTGATATATGGGTACCTTTTCCATGATAGTATCCCTTCTTGAATTCACCGCTATAATATTCACTGGTAAATGTTGTATTTATAGTCTTATATCCAGTAAAGGCCTTGATTGGGTGGTTACGAGAAGCCGCCCACAAGTACCGTACTAGTTGGTCTGGATTAGCAAACAGACCTGCTATATTGAGTTCCGCACGCCTGGAGATATCGAGTTAGCAAATATGCCCGGATCCTGCTCAACACAGCAAAAACTTACTTTTCTTTGCTAAGCTTTTCACCGACAATGAAGCAAGTGCCGTCTGGTACAAAGCCCTCGAACGTATCCGCTGACGATATAGTGGTCACCGTGGTGCCATCCACACGCTGCCAAATGAAGAAGTCCTTGTTTGGAGGATATTGGAGATGCTTTCGTATAGCAGATTTGATATTCGCCTTCTTTTGTGAGAAGAGTGAGCCTACACTACGTAGGGCTTGCGCATCCACGTCGAAGACTTGAATAAAATAGTAGACATGGTCTACTGGCAGCGGTATTTCTGGCTCTATTGGGACAGCAGGCGTGCTTTCGGGACTGGTAGGCCCAGATTGAATGTCGACTCTAGCTGTCAGATCGGGAATATCCTCCAGGGCAGGTACAGCATTGGGTGCCTCTTCAGAGTCCATTTCGTGAATATCGCTCGCAATAACGGTCGCAATTACAGCGTCATTGCTAGCTCCTCCAACGATAGTTCCATCAGGATCTCTATTCGTCACCGACCCGGCTACAGCGCCAACGGCATTCTCAGGGAGCTCTTCAGTGGTCACGGGTTGGATTTCACTGCTAGTGGGGTTGCTTGGCCGGGTCTCAGAAGAGCCTGCTTGCACAGCTTCTATCTCGTGCACGAATACCCTGTCATCTGAAGAGTCTGAGTCATCACGCTCCAGAATAGCCTCTTCAGGTTTGTTGCTCTCTGTTATGGTCGCGTCCTGTGGGTCTTTCATTGCAAAGTACTTTGCATCCACTGGCGCAAAAGTTAGCTAAAAGACCGTAAAAATTAGTAGAGTGTGAAACAGACCTTCAGAAACGATTTGCATCCAAAAACGGGCAGTCTGCAAGGGAAGGTCCAGTGTTTTCTTGAGGTCAGAGACCCGCGAGAATGCGAGGGTAGGCCCGAACCGATCAATAGTGTGGCCAATTTGCCAGAGACGCACATACTCCGGACAGATTTCATTTTGGGCGCCTGCAGATACCCAAAGGGCAATCTTTTTACGAAGTTCTATAAGATTTGTCGACCGGGGGACCGTCAGGTACATGACATTGTTGGCTGTCTTCGCTTGTGACATGAGATCGTATGTATCAAACAGACTGTCCAGTTTATCATACTGTGACATCGAGTATACTTCAACCTGGATATCCTCGACCGGTTTTTCGTTTGAAGATGCTGTTAAAGGTAGCGTTCCGGTTTCATAGTATATTTTCACGGAGTCCTGAACGTCCCATGGCCCTTGGGGGCCGGGCAGATAATGCTGTACAACATTGCTGCGAATATACATAACTGCAATGGCCACGTCGTGTCCAGTTTTGTGATCCACTTTCTGGGACGCATCCAGGCCGATATGTGGCCCTAATGCTGTTTTGCGGGTCAAGCATTCAACACGATTGTCACTGCCATCGTCAAATGCTAGCCATTTAGAGCCTGGACCCCCTGGGCGCAGGATACTGAAGAATTTTCCAGAGGTGCGTCGACCACGGTGGACAATATATCCATACAAGACATACTTGCCACATTGTCCGTCCAAAATCCATGGTGCTAGGTCAAGCTCCTCGTCTAGTTCAACCCGATTGTAGAGCAGACGCCATTGCCTGGCGGTCTTGTCGAGCTTTTGCCGACCTAACTCCACATGAAGGATTGGCGGCAGTATCCAGCGACCGGGCTTTGCGCCTAAGTACGAAGCAAGGGCTCCATGCATTGTGGTCGCCTGGTCAGCGGGGATACAAATACGAGAATTGAAGTCCCTGGGGAGAATGTTGACTACATCCTGCCCCTGAGTGTCTGCAGGGAGTGAGTCCAGGCTGGGGCTGTCAAAGAGTGCAGCAAGATCTTTCACCGCATCTGTACCCGCAAGTTCCAGTTCGAGAGTACGTCGCAAGAGCTCCCAAAACTCGCAAACATCACCCGAGTATTCATGCAGATTGCGAAGGATGGATGTGATAGTGTCCGTGTCGACATACTGCAGAGACTTCCCACGGGAACGCAGCTGCCATAGGAACTTTTGCAATGCATCGCATAGTGGCTTCGGCTTTACATCACAGTTGGTGAGGTGTTCAAAAACGTTCACATTCTGGATGATTTTGCAGAAGGGAGCTATATGCAGCCACGTTGCCAGGCCAGCAACCTCGGCGCTGTGATTGATGACCGAGTCGCCTAGCGGACGATATCCAGTTAGACCCAAACTGTCCCAGGTAGGTTCAGAGTCGCTTGCATGCCACCACAGAGACCGAGTGGGGTCATCAACTAGGCGGATGTATGCATCGAAAGCTAATGTGTCATTGCGGAGCAAGGCCTGGCGTTGGCCCCGCTGGCGACGGTGGATCTGATCCCACGGGCCGTGGAAATTAGTCCATCCCCAATCCAGGTTGTGTGGGTTGAATTGATGGCAGGAAGATTGCATCCATCCAGTACGAGGTTCATCCGGATTATATAAGATAACACCAATTTGGGCAGATACTCTCCATGACTCAGAATGGCAGTCTTCTTGCTTCTCTGTTGGTGGATACTGTGACTTGTAATTTTCCATCCACGCTGCTGAGTCCTCGGTCCTCGGAAACTTGATATCTAGAATGGGAGGGCTGTCTTTGAGGTCACTTTCAGCAGGACCATAGAGAACAGCAAATTCAGTCTCCGGTAAAGTCTTATCAGGAGCTGGCATCGTAGGAGAGCATTCAAGATAGACGCTCAAAGAATTAACATTATTGCCGCGTGGAAAGAACTTGATGGTCCACCAATAGCCACCAACGTATGCGGGCGGGGAGCGCATTACTTTAGCGTGGTTTGGTTGATCTTTCGTGCCTCTAATGCCTTTGATCTTCCAGGTTAGACGAGCTTTCTCCGTTGGTCGGTACTCAGGATCATCAAGCTCTGGGTAAAAGTTCTTCTCCCAATAGTCATCTACTACGGTTAGCCAAAGCCGGGGATTTTTCCAATGTCATGAGGTTGTATAACAACAACTCACACTCGTAGGCACTGTAATCACCGTCCGCCGCTGACTCGATCTCCTTCATTTCAGCCTCGTCCGGAACCGATAAGTCTTCCTCGATTTCCGCCCAGTACGCACGTTCCTCTGGTGGCGTATGGGGTGCGGGTGTGGAGACATTGGACGGGTCGTCTACCTGTGACACCTCGGCGTCGGTGTTTTGGGTCGGAGTCTGATGCTCTGATTCTTGAGGAGGGGGGTCGGAATGATCATTGGGTTGGTTGATATCTGTGGGTTGTTCTACAAGCCCATCCTGGGTCACGTCGATGGTGACTGTCGGCTCCTCGGTGATATCTAGAGAGACGGACTCCGTACTGAGGGTGATGGGAGGAGGCAACTGCTCCACGGTGACCGACGTTTCGAGTCGTGCGTCCATGGCAAAGAATTAAGAATGGGAAAAAACGCTTCGACAAAGCCCACACGAAAGGAACAAAATGAGAAGAAATAGTCAGAAAGCTGTATTAGATCGAGAGACTGAGAGCAGTCCGACGAAAGGAAAGAACAACGCGGGATAGCACAACCAGGCGAGGAATGAGAGAGAAATAAAGGTCAAGCATCAAGCTAGACAACTAGTATGTTGCAATATGTTCTTCTTCTCCCCGGGAGAATAGAGATGAATCGAAATGATGGATGAGCACGCGTAGTAGACAAGAGAGCACAGAGAATCTAGAATGCCCGATAAGCCCTGGCTTATCAGAAAATACGGGGCAATCTAAACCCAGGAGGGAATGGAGAGAAAGCGATAAAGGCGACGGGAGAGAGAGAAGAATGAGGGAAACAACAATTGGAAAAAGGAGAGAGAGGATGGAGAGGCTACAGTCCATGGACACACAAGGAAGAGGAAGAAGAAAGGGAGAAAAAAAAAGGAACAGTGCTGGGAGAATGGGACCAAAAAAAAAGAATGACCACTGCTGACTGAAAAGATGAGGCGGCAATGCAGGCAGAGAGAGCGAGCCAGATCACGGGGATCCGCTCACCGCTGGTTACTGGAGAAAATCCTCGCGATTGGGTTACGCAGCTACAAACAATTCATCTATCGTCTTGTCTGATCCATTGGGGGGTTGCCACCTCGGCCCCTGATGGGGTGGAGATACATACAATATGCACAAGTGATCGGGTTTCCTGGGATTTGATCCATTCGGAACATTGTTTCTTGTCGATGAGTAAATCAAATTATTAGCAACTCTTACCCATAGCCTTTCAGCCACTAATGAATAACTAGCTGCTTAAATGGTAGTCGGTACTAGTAATAGGTACTCTGGAATGGGCAGTTATTGAAATAGTCAGCCTTGCCAACTGCCCGAAGCATATCGTTCCATCCGGAGTTACAGGATGGCAATGACCTTGGGCCAAATTTTGGCCTTATAGCCTGTCACTCCTGTTAGCTGTCTCTTTTCTTTCCTTTCTTTTTCTCTACTCCCCTCATCGGCTACTTAAATATTCCCTCCATCACTTTATATATTAAACTTGTCAACCTATCTCGTTTCCTTGTTCCTTTTCTTTGTTCCTTTTCTTTTCCTTTTCCTTTTCTTTCTTTCTTTCTTTTCTTTCTTTCTTTCTTTCTTTCTTTTTTTTTTTTTTTTTAAAAAAAAAAAGTCATTAGCCTCCGTTTCTTCTCCATCCGAGTACTGGCAACCGGGAAGTCCCGGGTTAAGGAACCTGATCTAATTAGGTACCTTAGTTCTCTAGGCCCGTTCGGGTCGCGGTGATCGACCTGTGGAACATGCCCATTAACTCCACTTCCACTTCGCTGCTGATTTGCCTTTCCTTGTCTTCTCCCCCCCAGGACCTTTTTGCCTCCTCAAAATCACCCAGTACGATCGACCCGGATACCCGGGACGTAAAACTCACTCTCTCTTCCTCCAATAGACAGACTACTAAATAAGTGGACCTATGCAAAAGCCACCCGCTCTACGGGTGAGCACCCTACGGAGTATGTCTATCATCCGATTTGCCACCCTTCTAGAATCCCGTTTGCCCCCGGAACCAAAAAAAGAAGGCTTGTATCTGACGGAGGCTTGTCTCTTAAAGTTGCTGGGGTGGGTATATTGGGGACAAGGACTATTCAGAAGGGCCTATACAAGGCGTTCCCGGGAAGTATCGGACGAGGAGATCGCCACATAGGCACGTGCAGGGTTCCATCCTGACTCTCGAACGCGCTATCCCTTGCTCTCGTCCTCTGGCTCAGTGACGAGACGTCTCGCCTGGTTATGAGGCGGGCTGGTCGACCCGAGCAAATGAGGCTGCAACCATAAGTGGGAAGACGACGGTGGCCTCCGCATATACCTTCACTGACTTGGCATCCGCCTTGATTTTGCCCCAGCTTACGGCTTCATCAGGCCGGGCTCCCGCATCGCTTCCATCAAATTCCTGAGCCGTGTTCACATAGACAGCGTATTCCGCTCCATTCCGCATTAGACATGCATTGGCAATGTGATGCTTGACCACACCACCCCCAAGAATTATCATCCCTGCACAGGCTGCCCTAACGGCCATCGTGTTGATACGACGCACATCATCCACAATGTCGATTCGTAGTCGCTGTGGGGACGATCGGTAGGTGTGAAAGTATAGCATGTCTCCCAGGGAGCCATCCGTGAGAGCAGGGCAAAAGATCGGAATGTTGTTGCGAGCGGCCCAGTAGAGTACGGAGTCCTCATTATCAATTTCACGACCCAAGCGTTCGATTACTCGACTCGGAGTCCAGTGTAACTCGTCCTCTTCATCTCCCGTTTCCAATGCCTTCTTTTTGGCTGCCTCTTGTTCCTCCAGCATTTTATCCAAGATCGGGACTAGCCAGTCTTCAAAGGCACAGTAATTACTGTTCGGTACCAGAAGATTTCCGATCCGGTTTAGTCCTTTGGCACGGAGACCAGCCCCGGGCGCCGTGAAAGAGCCCATGTAAGTCGGGGCCAGGCATTTAATCAGATCCTCCTCTACACCCCCAGCCGTCGTAACAATAGCGGAAACGTGACGATTGCGGACAAGATAGCGGATAGTGTCTCGTAAACCGGACGAAATGAGGTTGGACGTGTACCCGAGGAAAATGGTGGTTTTCTCGCCAGTTTCAGGGTGGGAGTACGCTCGCTATTCAGTTTAGCAATGATTAATGAGGATACGGGACGAGCTCCATACCATTTCCTTGATGATGCTAGCGGCCTCAGCGACTGCACTCCCTTGAAACCCCATATACCTCATATTGTCGACCATTTCGGCAACAGTCACATTGCGGTCTTTAAATTGCTCGAAATCCACCCCTCGGACCAGGTGCGTCCCCTCGGGGACGGGTTCTGAGGCCATCAAGACAGCATTCGTGGCGGAAGGAGGGGCAGCCTCCGAAGCAATTTGCGGTAGGGACATGGCAATGAGAAACAAAAAAATAAGATAAATAGAAAAAAAGAGGAGGCTGTGAAGTAGGAAATAGAGATTATTTTGATTAAGTTAGTTGTAAATGAGAAAAGGTGGCTGTTTGGACAATGCACTTGTGCTTTTTCTTTTCTTTTCTTTTTTTTTTTTTTTCTTGAAAAATACCGGGGTGAGTTGATTGGATGAGGGGAATAAAAACCCTTGGATGGGAGTTGATTCCTGAGGGTGTAACGCTACTACTTAATAGGATAAGTGCTCTTGACATTTCTGTGACTAAGCATATAAGGCAAGATGACCCGTTAGTGTACCTTTGAATATGCCTGAGGCATGCAAGATCATTGGCCACACCAGCCTCAGGCAAGCACTGTTGGCGAAGTTATTTTTGAGTTCCCCTAGAACAATCCCTGTTAGTGCTAGCCCTCTCTGGCCATCCAAGGACGTAGCAGCGTTACGCTCTACCCCATTTCATTTCTTCCCTTCTTACCAACCCTTTCTTTCTCATCCGTCTCCATAAGTCTCTTCATATTTTTCCCCCTCTTCTTTTCACTACCTTGAGATCGTTGTTTTCCTGTTATACAAATCTGTCCTTTTTTTTTTTTTTTTTTCCTCGGAACAAGTATTCTTGATTGACTCGAGGACGACCCCCGGCTCTGATTTCCGAGCCTTCTCAGTCTGAAGCATTTCGAGTTCGAGTCCCTAGTTAATATCCGCAGACTTCAGCTGGCAGGTCCACGGGTCTTGATTTTGTTGCCTAATTTCGCTCCTTGCAGCTTTCCCTCTGTCCGACTGCGTGACACGTTCAGTTGTTCAACAGGTACGGAGATTTTTATTTTTTTATTATTTTCTCCCCTGGAAGTACTTATTATTCTGGATTTTTTCCTTCTTTTTCTCTCTTTGTTCTTTCTGGTAGAACAGGAGGATGATTCGTCAGTTGCAAAAGGCAAAAAGTCGTTTCATGATGGCCAACAAATCACTTCACAAGCGGCTCAAAAGTCAACTATTTTGGTACTTTAGCAGTTACAAGATACTATGCTATGGCCATTAATTGTTTATTGCGCCCGTTCCTTCCCCCCTCTTCTGCTGATCCTCGCGCCCTCGCATATGAAACAGCCCACGCTGAGTGGCTGTCGCCAAGCAATTCTTCACCAATCAATCCAATTTTGGATCTGTCGCGATCTGGGCCGCGTGCTTAGATAATCCCCTTCCCTTGGCCTGTGCTTTTCCATGCTTTCAAGATCACGTGTTCCTCACACCCTTCGCAGCCTCGCGCTCTCAGCAATTTGGTTCCCTTTGGGGCGTCGGCTTCCACTGTGACTTTTTTTAAATTTTTATTTATTTATTTGTTTGTTTTTCTTCCACAGTCTATTTCATGTTCATCAGAATTGCTATTTTTGGATATTTTGATCTGCTGTCCTACCATTGAACTAACCTGTTGCAGACTCTCTGCCAGGTTGCTCGACCCCACGCCCTTTAGCATGATCTGGTGATGTCTTCGCGATATCCCCCATCGTCTGGGTTCAATTCCCGTGACCGTTCTCCGCAGCGCTTTGGTGATCGTCGGCCTCCTGCTGGACCTCGTGGCTCTGATGATGTAGGATTGCCTCCCCTGGGTAGGGAGCCGCCTCGGGGCCCCAAGGCTTTGATCGACCACCCTCGAGGCGCTCCCTTTGGGGGTCGAGGCCGAGGATATCCGGGTCGCGGCGACTTTCGAGATCGAGACCGTGATTTGCGAGACCGAGACCGAGACCGAGACCGAGACCGAGACCGTGATTTTAGAGACATCCGTGATGGTCCGCCCCCTTTTCGCCGCGACCTTGATCGGGATTGGGGTCGTCGCGATCGAGATTTTGACCCCAGGGAGCCACGAATCAGCTTCGGTCGCGGCCGCTCCCGCTCCCCTCCCCCGCCTCGTGACTTTCGAGATATGAGAGAACCATTGGGACGGGATCCTGATCTAGTCCGCATGCGACGGGGCTCCAGAGACAGTCTCCTGTCAGTATCATCTGCGGCTCCTGATGTTCCACCCTCTGGGCCGGTTCACCACCCTCGTAGCGGTCCTATCCGGGGTCGGGGTCGAGGAGATTGGGATATTGGACGTGGCCGAGGTCGTGTCCCATATCTGGATGACCGTGATTCTTTCCGGCGTCGGAGTCGCTCTCGAGACGGGAGGTGGGATCGCGAACGTGACCGCGACCGTGACCGTGACCGAGATCGGGATCGCGAGCGTGACCGGGACCGGGACAGGGACCGAGACCGCGAGAGAGAACGTATTCTGGAACGGGACAGGGACCGCGACCGTGATCGGGACATTGATCGACGCGATCGTGAAAGAGACCGCGATTTGGACCGTCGTGATAGATTTGATCGTCGCGAAGAATTGGACCGACGAGTCGAACGTGATGATCGTGATCGGCCGCCAATAGACCACTGGAAGAGAGATCGACCTCCTAGTCGCAATGAGAACCGTATCCCAAGCACTTCGACCGTATCGTCCGTTCCTCCAGTAGCGCCTACCGGGCCTCCAGCCCCCAATCGGGCTCCGGACCTTACAGGCACGGAACAACCCCGCAAGCTATCTGCAACAGAAACTCGCCGCGAGCCCGAACGGACTGAGGCCCCTGCTCCACGCGTGGAGCTCGCCAAAGACTTCCCCCTGGCTGCCAATCAATCTCCTCCTCCAGCGGCCCCGCAGGTTCCAGCTTTTGGCTCAGTTATGGCTCCTATCCCCGACTTGTCCGCCGATAAGACGCTACTTGACCATGCTGCTGCTGCACCAGCGTCACTCTCCAAGACAGAGAAAGAGCAAGATGAAGTTACCTCGCAAGGTCCAATCCAACCTCCGACGGGTCCTAAGGCTAGTCGGGGTCCTTCCCAACAGCCATTGGAACAACGGATCCGACCTGAAGAAATTCTGGATATCTCAAGTAAACACCATGAGCCACCACCACGAACATCGAAACCCCACATCACGGCATTTGCCAATGGCCCGAAAGAGCGGGATGCCTTACCAGCAATTGCACCGCGCGCAATGGCCAGCCAAGAAGCTAGAGAAACGTCTCCGGCATTCGCTGCGGAAAATAGTAAAAGATTGCCGTCTGCTAGCCCTGTAACGTCACCTAATTCGAAGACATCCCCTCGCACACAATCCTCGACCATTCCTACCGGCCCACGAGCACTTCAGCAGCGACCATCAATTTCCCGCGTGCCATCTAAGGGTAACAAACAATGGGTCCGTCCTGGTTATAGTCGTCCTGGGCCAGGCCCTAGCTCTAATGCACTACAGGACCGGGAGCCTATAGATGGAAAGGAACAGACTCTATCCTTCGGTGAAGATTTCAAGCGAGAGCCACGGATGTCAGTCGTCGGAAATTCGCAGGACCTTGAAGCTGGGGAAATTGCACCCGAAATAGATTTGGTACCCTCAAAAACTGTTCCTTCTCCGGCATCACATAAGCAGTTGAAGGCTCATGATGCAAGCCCTAACCGGACCTCTGCAGATGCTATAATGCTGAAGGAAGCCCCTCTGGAAAATAAAACGAATATAGTCATTCCGGATTTCGGTCGATCTAGTGATGAAGATGAGGACGAAAAAATCGTTTTCACGCAGGAGTATCTTGAGGAGCGAAGGCGGATCTTTGAGAAAAACATGAAAGCGCTACAGGCAGACCTTCCTCCGACTCCTTTGGAAGACCCGAGTGTCGTAGCGTTACTAACGCGAATTCAGCTATTGGGGATGATTGCCAACGACATGGTTCCTCAGAAGGCCATGGCTCACTCTGCTCCGTTAGAAAAGCCTAATGTACTAGACAGTGAACAATCCGCTTCTCTCGCGGAATATAAGCCGGAGAAGGAAATTGAAAAGAAAGAGCTCTCTTCGAAGATGATCTTGGATTCACTGCCTGCAGCCGACACTCTGACACTCGACAATCTACCATTTTTGCATTCTGGTCCACCGACACCACTTTCCGACCTTGATTTATGTCAAGAGAATGATGCTTCGCACGAGTCCCTCAAGGATGTTTTCCGTGCCGAATTAATGAAACGACAGAAGGAGATAGCTTGGAAAAACGCTTTGTTGCGGGAGGAGTATTTATCTCACTACAAACTATGGAGACTGAATGTTTTCGAGCTGGATCATGCGAAGGATAAGCAGTCGACCACACCGGCCCCAGCGACGCCGCCTGGCTCATCTGCTGTGGCGACCCCAACTACCGCTGCTGAAGCAAGGAGATTCAAGGGTAATAGTGAGCTTGACTTCCAAAATGCACTTCGCGCATCGGAGATTTCAGCGCAGGAGGAGCTAGAGCGACGTCGTGGAAATAAGGCCACCGCCCAGCCAGATCTTTCTCGGGAGGCGGTTATCCCGGATATGCTCGAACTTCAGGTAGCCAAAGCATCCATCTACAAAGATACTAATAATATTGTCGAGCCTATTCGGGCTAGGGACATCTTTGGGTTTTTACCACCATCCAATGATTTCACTCCTGAGGAGCACGAAATCTTCACCGACGCTTTCATGGCTCATCCCAAGAAGTGGGGAAAGATTGCCGAATCATTGCCTGGTAGAGACTTCAAGCAGTGCATCGTTCATTACTATCTTACTAAAGAGGAAATCAAATACAAGGCGAAGCTTAACAAACGATGGAGTCGCCGCGGCCGTGCCAGAAGATCTGCTCGCCCTAAGTCCAATGCGCTTATGGCTGACTTGGGAGTAGTGAAGCCAGATTATGAAGGCGAGGAAGAGCCTGCTCCAGTCACGGACACTGGCCGACCCAGGCGTGCAGCTGCGCCAACATTTGGAGACTCCTCTGCCGATACGGAGCCTTCCAACTCCAACCGTCGCGGAAACGCGGCTAAAGAGGGAGAGCAAGGAGAGAAGCCAACTAATCGACGAGGCCGTACTGCTGCTGGACCGCGAGGTCGAAGGGGAAAGACCGCTCAACAACAGCAACAACAAACCCCACAGCCTGTACAGCCAGAGCAAACAAACCCAATCGCCACGATAGCATCACTCACCCCTCCTGTGGCGCCTGTCCCGAAGACAGAAGTGCCCGAAGCGTTCATGGATGGGACAAATGAGGCTGGGATTGTACGGACTAGAGAACCGATGGAGCGAGAGCCCCATGAAACACTCCCGCGCGCGAAGTCTGGCCGAGGCCGACAGAAGGAGGGCGTATATGTCTTTGAATCAGCGGAACAAGAAGTGCCGACGACCACTAGACAGCCAGAGGTGGGCTACGGATCATTGCAACCTACCAGCTACTGGTCTGTTCCAGAACAGCGTGATTTCCCGCTCTTGTTGGCACACTTTGGCCGTGATTTCGAGGGTATTTCCAATTTCATGAAGACGAAGACAACAGTTATGGTACGTTGATCAGCTATGTTTAAATTGCGCTTTGTGTATTGTTTTCTTTTCTTTTCTTTTTTTTTTTTTTTTTTTTTTTTTCAACTAAAACTAACATGGAGCTGTAGGTTAAAAACTACTTCCAACGTCGCATTGACTCGGGTCAGAAAGACTTTGAGGATATCGTTGCAGATGCAGAGCAAAAAAAGGCTCGTGCCGAACCTACAGGTCCTTTGCCTATGCCCAATGTTGCATCCAAACGGCGTTATGAGGCCACACCGTCCTCCATAATATTGCCTCGACCCCTAGCACCACATACTGATGCAGCCCCCGAAACCGATGAAGGCCGGCTTGGTTCCAAAGGCAAACACGCTATTTCATCGATGTCAGCACAGCCAGTACCTCTACAAGCTCGCCCACCCGAAAAGGAACGCAGTATTCCTAGATACCCGCCTCTTGCACAAGCAGGCAGCATCTCCATGGGATCTGGGCCTATTTTCGCCGAGGACGCCGCACGAGCCGTTCGCCCGCAAGCTGGCATGTCGTCACGAATCCAAGGTCCACGAGTGGGGTATTTTGCCGATGACAGGCGTGAGGTTCAATCTACTGCAGTGCCGCATACCGCGACTAGACCCCAAGAGACGCCGATGACTCGCCAGACGCCTGTGTCTGCTCCTGAGATAGCGCATATAGAGTCAGTGCATACCCAGGGATATCGAACATCCCATATCGATCCTCATGGGTCACCTCTCATCACAACACATGGTGCGGTGCCTGCATCGCAAGCGACGTACATGCAATCTCAGCCACAGCCTGCACTTGTACCAGTGACATCTCATTCTCGTCATTCCAGCCTCACGAAGCCCCCTAGCTCCCCAGTGCAGTCTCTGCAGAGACAAGAACCGGAAATATCCCCTGTGCGGCACGACCCTGTCAGCCAAAGGCCATATTTTGCCGCCCCAAATCAGCATACGGGTATGGCTCAGCCACCGCCAGTCTTGTCTCCTCCTAAAGATATTTCTCGCCTCGGACCTACTCCCCCGGAACCGGCAGAGGCACCACGACAGGTACCGGCTAAGAGGTCTAACATTGCGAGCCTTCTCAATGATGAACCTGAAGAGCCTCAACCCCGTAAAAGGTTCGCCAGCGACCAGTCCTCGTTAAACACTGCTAGAAATACCACATCACCCTCACGACCTGTTTACACCGGCATGCAGTCCCTTTCTCAGCAGACAGCTGCGACCCGCCAAGAGGAATCGGTTCTGTCGGCAACCCAACAAAACCCTCCGATCTATGCTCAACAAAGCCCGTACCTGCCGCCGTCCCGCACATATTCCGAGTATCAAACCTACTCATCCGTTCCAGGCAGTTCGAATGGGCCTGCAAATAACGACTGGATGGCCCGATTTGACCCAAGGGGTCAACAACAGTCGCAGCAACCGGCCCCTCATCAGCAGGCAAATAGCCGACCACCCACAACGCTCACATCTCAACCTCCATTCTCGCCTTATCCTTCAGGTCAGGCATTGTCTAGCCACTCTCTGCCGAATCTCACTGCGCCTTCACCTGCACCGACGCCGTCCCCGGCCCCTTCTCAACGTCCTTCATATCCGTCGGTCTATGCGCCATCACCAGGACCCCACACGCAGACTGGGGCCACTGGTACTCGTGATCTAGCTACACCAAACCAAATGCTACGTCCGAATATTGGGTCGCCGACTCCCCGTAACAACAGTGCTTCATATGGAACACGGCAGGGCCCCTCGACGCCAATCCAATCGCCTGCCAGTCTGCTTGGTATAACATCCCGACAAGTTTCTGGACCGACATCTTATTCGTCTTCAGCACCGGCAGCACCAGCACCGATGAACATGTCAAGTCAGCAACAACATAGTGGTCACCAAACTTACCAACAGCATGTACAGACGCTGGTTAGTGGAGCGCATCAACAGCAAGCCCATCGGAATGCCCTTGGATTTTCAGGTGGACAGTACGGCCACAATACTCCTCCGCCGCAAGCTCAATCGTCCCGAGTAGCGGGTTTACCCGGACCTCCTCAGCCAATGACCATGAGTCGTTCGTACACACCTCCAGCAATATTGCAACCGAACCCATCGGGCGGATTGAGCTATGCCCCCGGCGGCCCGTCCCCGGCAGTTGGGCCCGTCCTCCCCCTTTCGCGGCCCGGGCCTGGCCAATTAAATGAAGTCGGATCTGGTGCGCATGGAACTCCTGGCCATCATCGAGGTTATAGCCAGGGGTCGAATGCTGGATCTCTCCCTGGACCGATGACACCACAGCACCCCCCTCGATAGATCATACGTGAAAGAGTTATTGTTTCCACTGCATTTTTCTTAACATTGCATATACCTATACCATGTGAGATGTGGGGCGTTATGTATTTTAAAGATGACTCTCATTCGGTTTCCACTCTTTGGCCTCATTATTGTTGCTTTCCTCATCTCCCGCCGGACATTTCCCTCGTTAGTCCTTCTGTTTGTTCGGTGGAAAGGATGCACATCTCTTATGGTTCATGTACAGTAGATGATTCAACAGATGACCATGTTGGTATACAATACACTACACCAGATCAATCTCCCTTTAGTCCTGTAGATGAAATAACGCGTAGAATCCATCTCCCTGCGCAGTTAGCCCAAGGGGCTTGTAGCCTTGTACATCAGTCAGTCAACATGAAAATATATATATATATTCTAAACAACTCCCCGTCATCAGATCCGGCATGTGTCCTGCCATATACAGTATAAGTGTTCCAGGCCAAGAAACTACTCCGTACTGACGCAACAAAAGAGTCTATAGACGTGGGAAGGCATATTACTTTGTATTGTATCCAGAACAACAGTTGCACTATTGATTGGGAGGATATGTGTAGCCCTATCGTCTATAGACCTGGGAAATAATATATCACCAGTCTCGCACTAAATAAACATATCATATCCATCTCCTTTCCTCACGGACACTTATGCAGATATATAAGCCTCAGATCGGAATAGTCAGTTGTATCCCGAATACTAAATGAATCTATATAAAAAAGCATTTTCAGTCCAAGATACGTCAACGTCAGTACACCCACCCATATCTTATATTCGTCCATAAACCAAGACACCATGCCTACATCTGTCCTCATGATAGAAGAATATAAAACAAGTCTGGAACAAGCGAAGCTAACAAGACGACACGAACATGCCTTACCACGTGATGCATTGCAGGGAAAGATCCCGTATTTTCTGATGGGGTTATTGGCCTAGAGGGATCCTTATACGCTGACAGGGGGTTTCATGGACGCGCGGCTCAGGGAGGAGGGTACCGTGAGTATGATAGTGGGGTTCATGGTTATGGTCATAATGATATTACATGTTGTATGTATGGATGTGGCTCTTGTTTTATCTTTCGTTCTGTTATACTTGTTGAATGAGGTTTGCTGGATGACTAACGGATAGAAATTAGTATCAAAATATATCTACCTGTATTGTCTTCTCACTCCTATTTACCATACCAAAGAGTAATCTCCTAACATTTATCATAATCGACGTAACAAGCAACGACAAGAACCCGGATCGTCTTGGCCGAGGTGATGTGTCCGTGACGGCGGAAAGATCACCGCCAAGTTCCGCGAATCTGAGATTAACCAGGAGCGGAAAGACGTTCCGCAACGCCGCGCTCCACGAAATCCCAGCAGCCAATCACGATGATGGACATGGCTGGGTATTCCCGGACTGTGACTGGCCAAGGGAAGTTCATAAAGGCAGCAAAGTGGGGACGAGAGGAGGGGAAGAGAGGAGGCAAATCCACTACAAATCCACTAGCACGTCACTACTCCGCAAGATGGACATGGACAGCACAGATTGTCCAGCAAGAGGCCTGAAACGGCACACAGACGGTCGGAAATTTACCGTGAACAGCGGCCCATTTCACCGCGGGACTGGCCGAATGAAGAGTCATTGATTTGCTTGCCGGGGAGGTGTCGAATCTCTGGAGTAACTATAAAGAGGTGATCATGCACCCAAGGCCAGCACCGCTGTCAGCCCATCCTTGTTTCTTTCCCAACCGTCAGTTAGGAAGCGCCTTTACAGGTTGATATGGCGTTGCATACCTTCGCGATCGCTGCCGTTGCGGTGGTGTACTTCATCATTCGTTATTTCAATCGAACAGACACACCGAAGATTAAAGGAATCCCCGAGATTCCGGGAGTGCCTATCTTTGGCAATTTATTGCAACTGGGGGAGCATCATGCGACGGTGGCGGGTGCCTGGGCGAAGAAGTTTGGTCCGGTGTTCCAGGTACGAATGGGTAATAAGGTATGTACGCGATTTGTTTATTTTCAATTTTTTTTTTTTAATTACCCCGGCTCGTTTTCCCTCTAATGCGACCGATAACCAGCGCGTTGTATTTGCCAACAGCTTCGACTCGGTCCGACAGCTGTGGATCAAGGACCAGTCCGCCCTCATCTCGCGGCCTACATTCCATACTTTCCACAGCGTGGTGTCATCTTCCCAGGGATTTACCATCGGTACGTCACCATGGGACGAGTCCTGCAAGCGTCGACGCAAGGCGGCTGCCACAGCCCTCAATCGACCGGCGGTCCAATCCTACATGCCGATCATTGATCTGGAGGCCACCTCCAGCATCAAGGAGCTCTTCCAAGACAGTAAGGGGGGGACGGTGGATGTGAACCCCACCAAACACTTTCAGCGATTTGCGTTGAACACCAGTTTGACGTTAAACTACGGCTTCCGGATCGAGGGAAATGTAGACGATCAGCTACTGGGCGAGATCGTCGATGTCGAGCGTGGGGTGTCCAACTTCCGTAGCACAAGTAATAACTGGCAGGACTACATCCCATTGTTGCGAATCATCCCCAAGATGAACCGCGAGGCTGAGGAATTCCGTGTCCGTCGTGACAAGTACCTGACGTATCTGTTGGATATCCTGAAAGACCGCATCTCCAAGGGAACGGACAAACCATGTATCACTGGGAATATCCTGAAGGATCCCGAGGCTAAACTTAACGATGGTAAGCCGTGCCTGTTATCCATAGCTGCGCGAGTAACTAACGATCGGGTCATATAGCCGAGGTGAAATCCATCTGCTTGACGATGGTCTCCGCCGGTCTAGACACCGTCCCGGGCAACTTGATCATGGGTATCGCGTATCTCGCGTCGGAAGAGGGCCAACGGATCCAACAGAAGGCATACGACGAGATCATGAAGGTTTATCCAGATGGAGACGCATGGGAGAGATGTCTAGTGGAGGAGAAGGTACCCTACGTGACTGCGATGGTCAAGGAAACTCTACGGTTCTGGACTGTCATACCGATCTGCTTGCCGCGCGTGAGCACCAAGGAGATTGTATACGACGGGGCTAGAATTCCGGCCGGAACGACCTTTTTCATGGTATGACGTCTACTGGTAGAGATACTACATGGATGGCTCAGTACTGACGTGAGTAGAATGCATGGGCGGCCGACTACGACGAGGACCATTTCAAGATGGCCGACAAATTCCTCCCCGAGCGCTACCTCGATCAGACTGAGGGTTCCGGGACGCCACATTACGGATACGGCGCTGGATCTCGGATGTGCGCGGGATCCCACCTGGCGAATCGCGAGCTCTACACGGCATTTATCCGACTGATCACGGCGTTCAAGATGCGTCCAGCGCAGCAGACGGAGGACCGACCGATCCTGAACGCGATTGACTGCAACGCGATCCCAACGGCGTTGACCACAGAGCCCAAGCCATTCAAGGTGGGCTTCACGGCACGGGATCCGCAGAAGCTGCAACAATGGATTACAGAGAGTGATGAACGAACGAAGGATCTATAGGCTATATTTGAATGGCGCAATGAATCAAGAATGAACTTGTATATATACAGAATGAACTTAAAGTGCATTATTTAGAACTCTTATGAATCTATGATGATTCTATGATGAAATTAGTTAAGTAATGCATTCCTCCCGGGGAGGGGGCGGAACCCTCCCGCCTTAATTCCGCGCTTAAAGGAATATATCCAAGGAATGGATCGATCATCTCCCCACGGGTGTGCCCCGATCACACTTGACAATGTCTCATATCCACCGCTCTGAATCATTACACGAAGTTGACGCGGGGGAGCAACCCACCGCGGAAGATGATCCCAACATGCACGTGCGGAAAAAAAGACGGAAATACATAGCCAAGGCTTGGTAGGTCACCTATCTTCTATCTATTTGTCTATCTATCTGTGATTCCTGCTGAAGAATAAGTAGTAACGGGTGTAAACGGCGCAAGATCAAATGTAACGGCGAGAAACCGTGTCATCGATGCGGGAGACAGCATCTGGAATGTGTGTACGCGGAGGGACCGTGGCCGGACGCAGATGGAGGGAACGGGAATGAGTAAGTCCTATGATACTTATACTTCTAGTATATCCATGTCTAGAGTATTAATTAGCTAATTTAATATAGAGGATTCAACCGCCTACGCGCCCAAATGAAAACAATGCAGGACCAAATAATCGTATTGACAAATACAGTCAGAACATTAACCGAATCATTACCAGATGGCTGCACTACACCAGTTCCAGTTCTACAGAGACCATTCCGCAGTCTCGGTCTCGCAACAACCAAAGAAACATTCCAAGGCCCCACATCATCCGCGTTCAGTTTCGATCTGGCCAAATCCAGTCTCCAAAGTCGAGGCATCGTGGAACGCACCGAGATCGGAGACGCAGACTACGACGTCACTCAGGAACCATCGCCCATTCCGTCTCCATCGTCTCCGCGTCAAACACCGGCGTCATCTTCGCGACGCGGGGACCCCCTATGGGCGATCCGGAAGATGGAGGCATTGCGACTGTGTCGTGTGTATGAAGAGGAGATGGGGATTATGTATCCGATTTTAGATCTGTCGAGGCTTCTGCGGCAGGTGGAAGTGCTGTATGGGCCGTCGTTGGAGGCTCCTTCCGTGGGATCGGAGCTGCGCAGTGAGCTAAACAGGGATGACGTGCATATTCTCCGGTTGGTGTTTGCGTGTGCGTTGACGGCTGAAGCGAGCGGGAGCAGTGACTTGGCACTGGGACTGTTTGATAGTGTGCGCGTAGTGGCGGAAAATAGTGTCTGGGGACCTCCGGAGATTAAGAGGATTATATTTCTGACATTGGTGGTGAGTACTACTTGCAGGACTGATCTTGAGGAAGAGATTGCCATGAAATGCTAATGGGAACAATGGCAGGCGATTTTCTACTTCCAAATGGACGAGGAAACTCTGGCGTGGCGGACAATCGGCATCGTGGAACGCATGAGTCTAGAAAAAGGCTCTACATCGACGAGAGACGCTACGTCAGCCCGGGATCGAAGCGGAAGGACGCGATCGCGTGCTCCGACTGTTCTGGTCGATTCGCATCCTCGACGTGCGCTGGAGCTTTGGCACAGGGATGCCGTTTGCTCTGGAGGACGCGGATATTGATCCATGGCTACCTGAACCAGAGGGCGAGAAGACGTCGTATCTGCGTGTGATGATTCGGTATAGTCGGATTGCAGCCAAAGTGTGGAGATTCATCTCTGCGTTCAACAATACCAACGAGATCAAAAAGGAGGAGATGAATTATCTCGACTGGCAGGTTTTCCAGTGGTCTGGCGATATCCCAGTGGATCTTCGTCTGGATAACTCTGCTGATGAAAAAGAATCGGAATCGGAATCCACGCAGGAACCACGGAGTCTCCGTCGCCTCCGTGCGCTGTTATACCTCCGGTCGAACCAGCTGCGCATGCTCATCCATCGTCCGGTACTTCACTCGGCAGCGCACATCACGCGATACCCATCGGAGGCGCAAACAGTGGTAGACATGGCCAAGGAGACAATCCGATTCATTGCGGAACTGAACGAAACATCGGATATCTACCGACTGCAGCAGGTAGCCTTCAACTGGTTCCTGGTGTCTGCACTCGCCGTGCTGTTCCTCGCCGTGGCGCAGATGCCCAGCCAGTTCAGCGCCAGCTGTCGCGAGGAGTTCTACCGTGCGCTCGAACTCGTCAAGGGATTCTCCACACGGTCGTATATCTCGCGACGACTCTGGACTTCTATCCGGGGTTTGCGAAAGCTGGCTCCCCAGCTGGGTTTGCATCTCCAGCAGGAGGACGTCCCTGACGAGAGGACCGCATGTCTCAATGGCCGCACGTCGACCGAGTCGGTCCCCTGTCCGCAAAGTCAATCACCGCTGGACGGAGCGCAGATGACGCGAGAGCTGATGGAATGGTTCGAAGCGGTCGGAAACCTCGAAGACCAGATCATGGGGATTGGAATGGCGTGGCCGAGTAGAATGGGCGGAGTGGATTACGGGGGGGAGTTATCTAGTCTGATGAAGGAGTGTTTCTAATCCATGTATGTACAATTATCACGCCTGTATATACAAGTTTCAAGAACGACCCAATTTCTGTAGATCCTCTGCTGTATAGTCCGTCACCAGCATATGTCCTGGTTCGTGGGCAAAGACGAGATCTTCGATTTTGTCACCTGCTGATTCGACGGCCATCTGGGGGGTGACACCACAGGCCTATATTATTAGAAGGCAAAAAAAAAAAAAAAGAAAAGAAAAAAAGAAAAAGAAAAAAGAGAGAAAGAAAGAAAAATAGAAAGACAGAAAGAAACTCACCCAGAATACCGGCACCTCTCCATCCTCCAAATCAGGCGGGTCCCCAAAATCTGGACACTGAATATCCTTAATCCCCAGAGCGATGACAGCCTCCCAACCCCAAGCAACAGGCTCCCCATGAGTCGCCAGATAAGGTCTGGTCACGTCACGAACAGCCTGGATCCGATCCTGACGATACGGTCGCATCGACACGATACAGGTAGCACCGGTGAAGATTCCCGCGGGCAACAGCGGGAGATTAGTCCGATACATAGCGACCATGGAATTAGTCTTCTGATGTCTCGGGGGCAGACCGGCTGCAGTGAGAGCCGCCTCAAAGGAGAACGAACATCCGATGAGAAACCCTACGTAGTCGTCACTCCAGACATCCAGCAGGTCGCGACGACTGCCGATGCTTTTCCCGCCGCGGTAGACGCGGTACATGGGGAAGTCGGTGCGGATGTCGAAGTCCCGGGTGGTGATGCATCCGGAGGGTTGGATGCTATGAGGATCCCCCGGATGGGTCATCCCCAGTAGAGGACAGGAGACGGGATTCCGGAGACATAGGTCATGGAAGTCGCGGGCGTGTTGACGAGGGAGAACGAGGAGGTTGGCTTGGATGTATCCGGGAGCGAGGCCGGAGGTGTTGGTGATTTTGTTTTGGCGACCGAGGAGACGAGTTTGATAGGCCATCTCTCTCTCCCTGTATGTATCTTTCTCTATTTATCTGGCTCTATCTGACTCTATCTACCTGTATGTCTGTATGTAGTATGTACATAATATCTCTGTCGGGGCCCACATGCCGATTCCTGGGGACAGCCCCATACCAGACACCGGCAACTGTCGGTTATCGCTTTAGTCCAAGTCTCGTTCCAGTTCCAATCCCTTTCATCCCTTCTCATCCTTCTAGAACCCCACTGTTTCTGTCGGCCCGATGAGATCCACCTGCGGAGATATACCGAGACTGATTGGGAGAGCGAATTTCCATTACTCACGCTTTGGAGATAACATGGGGAAGGTATGGGGTAATAACGGGGTTTAAATCCTCATTTTCCCTCGTATCCTATCCCTGATCCCTACAAACAGGAAAGAAATTCAATGTCGAAAGATATCGACCAGAAACCAGAACCCTCGTTCGACGAGTCCAGTATCCGCGATGTCGACGAGATCGTCCTCGACCCGAAAAAGGAGCAGAAGTTGCTCCTGAAACTGGATATGGCCTTTGTGCCGATTATCATGTTGACCTATCTGTCCTGTTTTCTGGATCGAACCAATATCGGTATTTTGTTTTATTTCTCCATGAAAATATAGAGATATCTGACTTCCGTAGGGAATGTCAAAGTGGCCGGCATGCCCAAAGACATCGGCGCGTCGGAGAACCAATTCTCCATCGCTGTGTCGATTTTCTATGTGACCTACGTGCTACTGGAGGCTCCCTGGGCGGTGTTGATGAAGAAATTGACGCCGCGCAATATCCTGACCGGATTGTGCATTGTCTGGTCCGTCGCTACTGTGTTCACCGGTTTCGTGCAGAACGTGGCCGCGCTCTACGCCACCAGACTCATCCTCGGTGCCTGCGAGGCGGGGCTCTTCCCCTGTCTGAACCTGTATCTGACCATGGTGTATCGACGGGAGGAGCAGGCTAAGCGTGTCTCGTATCTCATGAGTTGTGCCGCCATCTCTGGAGCCGTGGGGGGATTATTGGCTTATGGCTTGTTGCATATGGATGGCATTGGAGGGAAAGCGGGATGGCGGTATTTTCTTTCTTTCTCCTTGTTGTGAAGACCAAAAGCACTAACATATATAGATGGGTATATATCATCGAAGGCCTATTCAGCATCCTCTGCGCTTTTCTCATCTGGTTCGGACTCCCCAATGACCCAGCCAAAGCCTACTTCCTCACCGACGAGGAGAAATGGATGATGCGTGTGCGCAACGAACAACGTCGGAAATACATGGGCAGCGACAAGTTCAGCTGGGAGGAAATGCTTCTGGCTCTGCGAGACCCCAAACTGACATTCAGCGCGGTGACGCAGTTCTGTCAGGACATTCTGCTCTACGGGTTTAGTACCTTCCTGCCGACTATTCTGCAGAGTCTGGGCTACAATTCCCTCATGAGTAACGTGCTCACCGTGCCGGTGTATATGTGGGCCGCTATCGTGTTTATTATCGTGGCATTTTGTGCGGACCGATACTCCAAATTCTCTGCTGTTCGTCCTTCTCTCTTATCCTAGGTTGAAAACAGGATGCTAATAGATATAGTTGATTTTTGCAACTAATATTTTTGGTCTCGTTGGATATATCCTCCTGCTGGCCGTCTCTTCCAACCCGGTCAAATACTTCGCTACCTATCTCATTGGCGTGACCACCTACACGGGCGTGGGTCTCAACGTCGCCTGGCTGAACGTCAACGTCGCGCCGCAGTACCGTCGCGCGCTAGCCATCGGACTCCAGCAAACGGTAGGAAACTGCGCAGGTATCGTCGCCGGCCAGGTATATCGCAAGTCGCCGTATGTTCTGGGCAATGCGTTCAGTTTGGGTTCCTTGGCCGTTGCTCAGGGGGTGATCCTGGCTCATACTCTGTACCTTCGACGGGAGGATCGTCTGAAGGAGGCTATTTTGCAGGGTAAGGAGGATACCCGGAGAGTTAAGACGGGTGATGCCGAGTTGGACTTTAGATATAGGTATTAATTATGCAGCTGCAGTTATATGTCACTTGCACTTGCACATGTTCACGGATAATATACACGTCTTACTATGATCCATCAATTTATATCTAATAACTCAATCATTATATACTTCTACATTCCAAACTCTACCTCGCAAAACGGCTCACCCCTCTTATCCTCTCCCCAAACCAAATAAAATACACCGGCACGATCACAAACCCCGTCGCCAGCGTTGCCAACACCGACCCCGCTACATTATTTCCCAGTGCGTCATACATCTGTCTCGTAAACAAGGGGAAAACACCGACAGCAACGCTCGCAGGAACTGCACCGCAGCTGTTGCACTAGCCGAGTAACTCAGATAATTATCGGCGAGATAGACATACAACACGGTATCGAACTTGTTCAGCGCGTAGTCTACCAACACGAGCGACGCGGTGGGGACCATCCAATGCATCTGAATGAGAGAAGGCACCGTCCACACGAACCACCAAAGTCCGATAGCGAAGACGGGAGCGCCCATGGCTAGACCGGCGAGTTTATCGTCTGGTTTGATGGGGAGGGATTTGCGTCATCGTGCCGCAAAGATCTGGTAGTCGATGAAGCGAGGGAAGATGCTGAACCAGCAGCCGATGCTCCCGGATAGGAACGGCAGACTGCAGACTGTTTCGGAGAAGCCTATGGTGCTGCAGAAGGGCTGGCGAGCCTCGGTGGCAAAGGAGAAGTCGCTCATCAGTGGGGTGGCGATGACTAGAGGTTCGGTGAATAGGAGCTGCGTTGGTCGGAAGAGCGCTGAGCAGATGAATGTGCGAAGGTCTGGCATGTGGTCGTCGTTAGGACTTGGAGATTGGGGTTCCCTGTTATGTGGCGTAGTGAGTTGACTTCATGGGTGAGAAGCGAGGGTTGGGATTCGTGGATGGGTAGGAAGAGAGTTGTGAGTCCCCCTAGCATCGATGCGTAGATGTAGTAGAGCCATCTCCTGGCGGAGTTCACGGTTAGCAAACAGTAGGGTTCACAGGGATAGGATAGAGTTACCAGCTAAGATGCACAGATGCACACGCCCTGATAAGACCCAAATAGAGTCCATATTAGACGAGACCGTCCAGAGGAGAAACGCCCAGGTACAAGCCCAGTCCGAGAAACAGATCCTCGATGCTGCCGCATCCGACGGTGTACGAGATGGCCGAGAGTGCTCCGCCCACTAGACGGCCGACAACAGTGGCGACGAGAGAATGTCCAGTGCCCACAGATGATTTTCATGGATTGATTGGCTAGGATGTTCCTTGTGATATCGAGACTGTCATACGGAGAGATACGTGAACGAGAAACCGGCAGCTGTAGTATACGGTTGTTTTAGACTGACGATGATCAAGGTGTCCGGGACTTATACTATGATCTGCAGATGATTCAAGGCGTATCTTTTATTAGCACGGACTGACGCCCCTATTAAAAGCACACTTTGGCTCGTAGTGCCGATCCGAGTCAAATGGACTGTGATGTATAGTTTGTGTAAATTGTTTACTAAATTTTATGTAGTCAAATATCGATGAATGACTCATCAAGAGGATATAGTTGTAGCAACCACTATCTAGCTGTAAATCTGAAGCTACTCTTCATATCGTGTAAAAGCCAGATCAGGAAATCATAGATGTAAGGCCAAGTCCGATATTCGGATGTCTGTGTCTGGCAAGTCCGGTTCAGGCACCAATACAACCACGTGCCAGTTATATCCAGTAAATTAATACCATTCTGTATCTGATCGATACTCCTTTCTTAATATTAATGTCACCAAAATTAATGTCGGACTTATCGGATCCGGATCACGGGTCACGGATCAGATAAGATCTCGGCCGAGGAGATTCCGCGGAGGATCTATATCATATAAACAGTCTCTTCCCCTATTCATATTCCTAATAGACGAATACTGTAATAAATCATGATATCCAAGATACTTCTCATATGCAAGGCCTTCGGCGCCACATTCCGCCAGATTTACTACGCCATACATCTCGCCGTCTCCCCGCGTCTCCATCGTCTCACCTACCGAACTGTCGCCCATCCTCGCAATGTCGTCGTCGTTGGCGCCTCGTTCGCCGGCTACCACGCCGCCCGATGTCTAGCCAGCTCTTTGCCAACGGGATATCGCGTCGTCGTTGTGGAGAAAAACTCCCATTTTCAGCTGACTTGGGTGTTACCGCGGTTTAGCGTCGTGCGCGGCCACGAGCAGAAAGCGTTTATTCCCTATGGGCATTATCTTTCGTCTGTGCCTGAGGGCTCTTGCAAGTGGGTGCAGGATACAGTGGTGCAGGTGCTTGTGTCTGGGGATGAAGATGAGGATAGACCGAACCAGGTCTGTCTGGAGTCCGGGACTGTGATTGATTTTGAGTATTTAGTTGTGGCAACAGGGTCATCCGCCGCATTACCGTCCCGGGTGGGTGTGACTTCCAAGAAAGAAGGCATGGAGATGTTGGTTCGTCAGCAGGATCGATTGCTGGCTGCATCGAATGTGGTCGTCTTAGGTGGGGGACCAGCGGGGATTGAGCTGGCGGCGGATGCGAAGGAAACGTATCCGGAGAAGAACGTGACTTTGGTGCATTCGCGGTCGAGACTGTTAAATGATCATTTTGGGCCGACACTGGGCCGGCGGGCCAAGGAGGAGTTGGAGCGGTTGGGCGTGAGTATGAGATTGGGGGAGAGGGTGATGGTTAACGAGGAGGAGACGAGCAATGTGCGGCTCCATTCGGGGGAGACGATCCCATGCGACTATTTGGTATGGTTTGTCTGAAGCAGAAGGGAAATGAACGTCACTGACTGATGCGAGCAGGCGAAATGCGTCGGTCAGAGACCCAATTCAGCCCTGATTCAGGCCCTATCCCCCGAGTCAGTCTCAGATTCAGGACATATCAAGGTGCGTCCGACGCTGCAGCTAGCGGATCCGGGGCTAGACCATGTCTACGCGGCGGGCGATGTGATCGACCTTGATGGTATTCGAAATGGACGCTCAGCGTTTGTGCAGGCACAGACAGTAGCGGAGAACATCGTACGGTCAATTCGATCGGAGAAGCAGGCCGAGTATCATTACCGCTGGTGGGAGGGCATGACCAAGCTGACTTTGGGAGTGGTACGTATTCATTCCCAGCAATATCCAGGAGTGAGCTAACAGGTGCAGACAAATACGGTGGCGTATATGACCGACGGAACGGCGGAGATCAGCTTTTCTATGAAAGGGACGGAGGAAATGGACAGCGCCATGGTGTGGAAGCTTCTTGGAGCGAAGCCTTTCGAGTAACTAATATTCACCAGGACGTGCATATTGGATCCATCTTTGCATTTTTTATTTTTATTTTTTTTTCTTTTCTAGACAGCAAGTCATTTATTGCTAATAATCCAATTGTTCTGATTGTCCATTCAATCATCCAGTGATGACAACGTGACATGTCATGAATGGTGACACAACATCTACATCAGCCAGCCCTAATCATGACATTCCATCCCTTGCATAATCCCAACCCATCGCACAACCACTCACGCGTCCTTTATCGCGTTTCCTGCAGCCAACCCTTACAGAGTGCATGACATGGCCGCCATGGCTTTTCTCCAGCGCTTCCTGGCGAGGGAGAACAAGTTCGAAGTCGAGGGCAAGGTCGTCTTCCTATCGTAGATTCGTCTTCATAGCAACTGACAGGGTCTAGTTAGTACTTGTGGCTGGAGGATCGACAGGACTGGGCAAGCAGATGGCCCTGGAGTTAGCTGCGAAGGGTCAGTCTCCCCATCCATTTATCTGCATTCGCTAATACACTGTATGATAGGGGCTAATCTCCTCCTACTGGCCCGGTCAGAGACCACCCTGCGTCATACACAGCGGGAAGTGCAGAAAGCCTGCGCAAAAACAAAGCAGATCGTGGATGCCATCCCGGTAGATCTGACGCAGCCAAAGGAGGTCTGTCCATACCCTACTTCGAAGTCATAACCTAACCTGTCAGATCCATCGCGTTCTCAACCACTATCATCCCCCGGATATCCTCATCTGTACTGCCGGAGGCACGCCCAGTGAAGTCGGGTTTCTCGCTGACATCTCCCCGGGCGCCATCACCTCCTGCATCGACCAAAACTACTACTCGGCTGTCTTCATCGTACAATATTGTCTGAAACTATGGCTGGCGGCTCCTCCTACGCCCTCCCCGCGACATATCCTCCTGACGTCCTCGTTGTCTGCCTTCGTCGGTGTCCCCGGTTACATTGCCTACACGCCCACCAAGGTCGCCATCCGAGCGTTGGCGGATACGCTGCGTCAGGAACTGCTGATGTACAATGACCATGCAGTTAAAGTGCATGTGAGCTTTCCCGGGAACTTCCTGACGGACTCGTTCCTTGAGGAGCAGGGGAATAAGCCGCGTCTGACGAAGACGCTTGAGGGGACGGACGGGTCTCGAATGGAGCTTGAACAGCGCTTGCCGACGGCGAATACCGTCGCGAAGAAGGTCATTCGGGAATTGGAGCATGGGAAGACTTACATTCCGGTCGACTGGAAGGGGGAGTTGCTTCTGAATAATATGCGTGGACCGAGTCCTCGGTTCTGGACACTGTGGGAGCTTCTCTTGGGATTGGTGGCTGTTGCTACGTGGTGGGTGGTGCGTATGGATTTTGATCGCAAGTCGAGGAGGTTTTCGTCAGCCCGGGGAGAGAATGTGTAATGTTGTATTATTTTGGCTTTAATTTTGAATCTATTCAGGGACTTGGAGTAATTCTGGGATGGAATAAGAAAGTGAATCAGGATGACTCATGATGAGGTCTTCAGTACACTGGATCTACAATAGAAATATCTCTGTTCTTCTCTTAAGCCCCGTGAAGTAGTTGAATGATAAATAAATCAGAATGATTATTCGCCCCGAAACTCCCCAAGACATCGCCTCCATCGACGCCCTCACTGAGGCCGCATTCCTCCGCTCCGCCTACTCCAGTCACACTGAGCATCTCATTGTGCGCGCCCTGCGTCAATCCAACCAGCTCACGCTCTCCCTCGTCGCAGAAGACGCCAGGAGAATTATCGGCCATGTCGCCATCTCGCCCGTGACGATCCCCGACTACACCGACTGGTACGGACTCGGTCCGATCTCAGTCCATCCGCAGGCACAACGAAAGGGGGTGGGATCGCTGTTGATGAATCAGGTTCTGGAGGATCTGAGACAGAAAGACGCAGCGGGGTGTGTGGTGTTGGGGAATCCTGCGTATTATACACGGTTTGGGTTTCGAGTCCTTGAAGGATTGAGGATGGAGGGAGCACCGCAGGAGTATTTCATGGGATTGGCATGGAGGGGAGAGATGCCCCGTGGAGTGGTGAGGTTCAGTGAGGCTTTTGATGTGAAGCAGCTAGTACCTAGTTAGTGTAATTACTGGTACTGAATTATTAATCTGATCCTGCATTTGAGATTGTAAATCGATTGCACCATCAAGGTCCAATCAGTCTCCGGCGATTCTGTGTTACTCGAGGAACGCTACCTTGATGTTGGAGGAGAATGACTGCTGACAAATTCGGATAGTGTCGATGGCCTCAAATCTCTCAGCCTCTGAACATTTTCCTCTCCACAGCCACCGCAAAAATGAACATAAATAGCCAGATCATCTCGTGTCTTTTGACACCATCGATCTCTCCAAACCCTCTGGTTCTACAACCATGATCTCAGTCACTCCCTCCTCGCACACCCCCTACTTCACTCCCGCAAACAATGCCGGCGCCGCCTTGAACCCGGACGACCCAAACACGCCCCTGCTCTTCCAGCCTCTACGCATCCGCGACGTGACCTTCAAGAATCGCATCATTGTGTCGCCGATGTGCATGTACTCCGCCGATCCGGACCCCTCCTCATCCACCGTCGGGGCACCCACTGACTACCACATCGCCCACCTGGGCCATCTAGCCCTCAAAGGCGCCGGGCTGGTCTTCGTCGAGGCAAGCGCCGTCCAGCCCAACGGTCGCATTTCACCCTACGACGTCGGTCTCTGGCAGGGTCCCGACTCTCCTCAATTCCACGGTCTCCAACGTGTAGTGCAGTTCGCGCACAGCCAGGGAGCCAAAGTCGCGGCGCAGCTGCACCACGCAGGACGAAAAGCCAGCGTCACGGCTTCCTGGCTCGCCGCACAAGCGGGGAAGCCGTCCCTGAAGGTAGATGAAAGAACACATGGCTGGCCGCAGGACGTGGTTGGACCTTCCGGCGGCGCGGAACATACCTGGGACCGGACGGGGGATGGATTCTGGGTTCCTCGTGCGTTGAGTACGGATGAGATCAAAGATGTGGTTCGTGCGTTTGCTACCAACGCGGCCACAGCGGTAAAGGCGGGTGTTGATGTTATTGAGATCCACGCGGCACATGGATACCTCCTGCATCAGTTCCTCAGTCCGGTGACCAATAAGCGGACGGACGAGTATGGCGGGTCGTTTGAGAATCGTGTCCGGATCCTCCGTGAGGTGGCCATCGCTGTCCGAGAGGCTATTCCTGCTGGTACGCCGTTATTCCTGCGTATCAGCGCGACGGAATGGCTGGAGGAGGAGTCCGTGGCGAAGCGGTCTGGATCCTGGGATTTGGAAAGCTCGGAGCGTCTGGCCTTGTTACTCCCGGAGCTGGGGATTGATCTCCTGGATGTCAGCTCCGGAGGGAACCACCAGGATCAGAAGATTCGGATTCATACGAACTATCATATCGATATGGCGGCACAGCTGCGGAAGGCGATCCGCGCCGCGGGCGCGTCCACCCTCGTGGGAAGTGTGGGATTCATCACGGAGGCAGAACAGGCAAAGCAGATCCTCGAGGGACCGGACCCCAAGGCGGATGTGGTTCTCCTTGGACGACAGTTCCTGCGAGAGCCAGAATGGGTGATGAACACGGCGAAACAGCTGGGGGTGAAAGTGACGACTCCTCTGCAGTTCTTACGGGCGGGTCTGATTTAAACAGTGTAGACCATATAGACTTTTTAATGAGTGTTTATAATGAATGATGATGTTTAGTTTGCATCCGCACGGAGAGCTCCGAATGTACTTCGTATATCTGGAGCAAAGAATTAGTTTCCGACCCACCAATCCTGCAGTAGTGCATGACGTGAGCTGTTCTATTGACTGTTTTATATCTACCCCGCACCTCCCTCTTCTCTCTTCCACTTCTGTAATTCCGTCTCTTACCCATATATCCAAAATGGCCCTCAAACCAGGCGACTCCTTCCCCTCCGACGTGGTCTTCCAGTACATCCCCTGGAGCGAAGAAACCGCCGATGCCAAAGCCTGTGGCATCCCTATCAACTATAACGCGTCGACCGAATGGGCGGACAAGAAGGTGGTTCTGTTCTCTGTGCCGGGTATTCACCCCACTCTCTTTATCTCTACCTTATGAACTAATATGTCTGATCTATGACAGGGGCATTCACCCCGACCTGCTCCGTCAACCATGTGCCAGGATACATCCAGAACCTTCCTCGATTGAGGGAAAAGGGCGTGCAGGTCGTAGCTGTCGTGGCATCGAATGACCCCTTCGTTATGAGTGCCTGGGGCAAGGTCAATGAGGTCAAGGGGGATGATATCGTATGTTCTATCTACTATATATTATATTACAAGGGTAGCTGACAGCACAGTTATTCCTATCTGATCCCGACGCACGCTTCTCCAGCAGTATTGGCTGGGCGAATGGGCCCCGCACGGGTCGGTATGCGATTATCATCGACCATGGAAAGGTCACTTATGCGCAGGTGGAAACGGAGAAGGGAGTGGTTAAGGTATCTGGGGCGGATGCCGTGTTGGCGCATTTGTAGATGATATTTATGTGGATCGAATAGACTGCAATTCTATCACTAATCATATATAGCCTTTTCTGAGGTTGTGGGAGGATATTTGTAAGGACCAGGGGACTTGTTGATGACCGCATTAATGCCGGATTTAAGCTTGATGACACCGCTATAACCGTCTGATGTCATCTATTTCTCCACTTGATTGACGTATATAACTCCATCTCCATCTGCTGGAGAACACTCTCTATCCCATATTCAATAATATATTATATACCTATACTATGGCTCCTAAAGTCCTCGTCGTCCTCACTTCTCAGGATAAAATCCCCTCCACCGGTCATCCCACCGGATGGTACCTGGTATGTCTTTTCCATACTCTATCTCTCCAGGAGTACTAACGATATAGCCGGAATTCGCCCATCCATGGGCTGAACTCCATGAAAAAACGGAATTGGTGATTGCCTCGCCCAGAGGCGGCGAGACTCCTCTTGACCCCAGCTCCGTCAAGATGTTCGAATCCGACCCCGTGTCAGTCAAGTTTCTGAACGAACAGTCCGCTCTGTGGAAGCATACGCATAAATTGGCGGATTTTGTCGACCGGGTGGATGAATTCGATGCTCTTTTTTATGTGGGAGGGCATGGTCGTAAGCTTCCTCGTTTGAATCCCGATTATTATCATTTTCCAGGCTAAAGAAAGGTAGCAATGTTCGACCTCCACTACGATGAAACATCTCTCGCTCTGATCCAATCATTCGCCGCAGCTGGGAAGCCCGTTTCAGCCGTATGCCACGGTCCGACCGTCTTTCTCAGAGCCACGACCGCGACCGGAGAACCGCTGCTCTCGTCGGCCACGGTGACCGGGTTCTCGAATGTGGAAGAGGACCAGACGGGCATGACGTCCTCGATGCCGTACATGCTGGAGGACGAGCTGAACCGCGTGTCGGGCGGGGGATTTGTCAAGGCCGATCAGCCCTGGGGAGAGAAGGTGGTGGTGTCGCGTACGGCCTCGGGGAGTACGTTGATCACCGGTCAGAATCCGGCCAGTGCGACGGGGGTGGGCAGGGAGATTCTGAAGGCTTTGGGTGTATAATCTCTATTATATGGAATATATGGAGTATACGGATGGAATGTCCAATAAGTATGCAAAGGATGATCTCGTAATATATCAATATGGATCACCGCCGGTCTCCGTGTCAATCTGACGATCGGCATTTCTCTTGCTGTTACACGAATCAGCTGCGATGCTGACACGGCGTGGACATTTCTTTTCTCCAATGTGATGGATGCACGATAGCCCGTGTTAGCTTGATCGACATAAGAGGTGTGTGTATTTAAGCCGCGACCTATCCATCTGACATCAGTTCCTCCGTACTCGTGTAGAGACATCCTCATAATGGTCAAAATCCCCATTCTTCTGGCTTTGCCAGTTGTCTCGTCTCTGGTCGCTGCACTGCCCACTCCCCCTGGCATTCCATCAACATCCACGGCGCAGTCCCAACTCGCCAAATTGAAGGTCGCACCGCAGGGTTCCGGAGATGATTATGATCGCGACTTGTTTCCTCATTGGATTAACCAGGGGCAGTATGTCTATCACTCCTATCCTATCTATCATATATTCCCTAGTATATCATTCCTACTATCTATATATCCTGCTTACATGTAATAGTGAGTGCAACACCCGTGAGGTTGTCCTCGCTCGCGACGGCAAAGATGTAAAACAAGACGACAAATGCGCCGCGGTCAGCGGAACTTGGGTCTCGTCGTACGACGGCGAGACTGTCACCGATTCCAGCGAGTTGGATGTTGATCATTTGGTGCCGTTGTCTAATGCGTGGAAGGTACACCGTCCATCCCTCTACCTCTCATCACATATTGCCCAATCCCACAATATACAAGAAATAATCTGATGATGATGAAGTCCGGTGCATCCAAATGGACCACTCCCCAACGTCAAGATTTCGCCAATGATCTAGATAATCCCCAGCTACTGCCTGCATCCGCCAGCTCGAATCGGTCCAAGGGGGATAAAGGACCGGAGGAGTGGAAGCCGTCTCTCAGTGAGTACCTCCCTTAGGAATAGAGGATTATGCTGACAGGATAGAATCGTTTTATTGCACGTATGCGAAGATGTGGGTGAAAGTCAAGTCGGTGTATGAATTGACTATTACGGAGGATGAGAAGAGTGCGTTGGTGGACATGTTGGATACTTGTTAGTATCTATATTTTACACCTTATAGGATAGGTATAGTTAGATTATGGTAATCTATACTACATACATGTAATCTATTCGGATAGACGCTATGTCTTGGCTCTTTGTACGGGAGTGTCAACTTAAGGTGTATATCCCATCCATTCTCGGTGTTTACTGTATGCCAAACACAAATATACAAGACCGGATTGAGCCCAAGATCAACCACTCGGTTCAGGGAGATTTGGATCCGTAATGGGCCCATCATCCCCCGTCGAATCCGGCGGCGTACAACGATTGAACAAAGTCCTGGCCGTGTTATCCAAAGCATGCGTGATCGAATGCATATCGGCGCGACCATTTCCACTCAGCTCCGGAAAATAAATGCACGATCCCGCTACGGCGCCTTTGTATTTCGCTCCGACAGACTGCCATTCGAATCTCGAGCCACCCACGTCCCGTCGACCGCGATTATACCAGACGCTGCCGTCGCCGGTGAACTTGTCCGTATGGATCATGTCGGCCCTTCCGTCGCCATCGACATCTGCCCAGTGTAGGTTCGCTCGATCCTTGCCCTCGGAGAACTTGAACTGATCAATGTATTCCCAGTGATTATCATCGTGTACCCATCCCCATGTACGACCGTCCCTCTCCACGCAAAGATAGTCGTCTCGGCCGTTCCCCGTGATATCCGCGAAACGGACCGACGTGTCGAATATCCCCTGTCCTCGTTGTTCCGGACAGTAAAGATCTGGTGCCGGGTTGGCTTGATATTCCCAGTCAAAGGAACCGGTTTCCTTAATGCGGTTGCGCCAAAGGTGGACGCGATTATCGTTGTCGGGATCCGTCCACACAATATCGCATGCTCCGTCGCCGTCCCAGTCCATCAGATGCAAGTCTCTTCGGTCAACGTCCCGAGCGATCGACATGGCATTCGGGTCAAAGATGGTGGAGCTGGGTCCCCAGAAGCTCTCACCGTTATCGGACACTGTATTCAGGCCTTTATTTGGGTACAGAGTCATCTTGCCCTTGGATAGAATCCACACGTAGTCCATCATACCGTTGCTGTGGCCTAGCATGTTACAGTATCTATTCCCGTCGGCTGAATCAATTAGCTATACTTCGTATCTACTATAGTTCCTTTTATTTACCTTTGATCTTGGTACCGCCCGAGCCGATGTTCTTCCATACGCGAAGATTCACCCTGTTTGCGGCCTTTTCGAGAAATACATAGTCCTGACGTCCCAGGAGTCCGAAATCTTGAGCCTCGCCGTAGATTCTGGCAAAATGGATGCGTCCTCGAAGACCAGAGTGTGCTGAGCCCATACCGTCGTGAGTTGGTCCTGTAGTTTTTCCCTTGTGGTAACCCTGGCGCCAGACGATGTTCAACCCGTCACCGTCTTTGCCTTTGATGCAGCTTCGGGAGTTGGTCCATGTTGTTATCTGTCCGTCATCTCTTACCCAGAGGTAATCATCGCGCCCCTACTTGGTCAGCATGCATAGAGGTAGTGGAGTGGATGCTTACATCGCCATTGATGTCTTCAAAACGAAGCCCTTCGATATCCATGTTGTTTCCTGTGAATTGCTTACCCAAGGGTTGCCAGTACTCGGGGACATCCTCTACATGTTATGTTAGTATCCCTTCGTAGTATGAGAAGAAGACGTACTGATCCAGCCATTGCGCCAGCAGTAGGTATCCCCGTTATTCTGCACAACGCAGTAATCTGCACGACCGTCTCCGTCTACATCGCCAAGTCGAACATTATCCCTTGGATAGCCTTCCGGGTTTTTGATTTTGCCCAGGTAGTGGAAGCTAGGAGGCGACGAGTCGGTTCCGTCTCCCTTGTTGATACTGGCGAACGCCGTCCCATCTGGCGCAATACATACGAAGTCGTCCAGGCCGTCGGCTTCGAGAATCAGTACATGTAGTAGCGCATCGTTTGACAAGACCTACCATTTATATCGATGAAGTTCACACCAGCAGGTTTGCAATTATCTGCAACACTGACATCACCGATACGCTTGAACATCCCCTTCTCATTCCCCGTGTTTTTCCAGGTATGATAGACTACGGCGTCGTCGTTCTTATTCCATCTGAGTAGATCATCGCGCTCACGACGGAACAGACGCGCGAAAAAGAAATGATCACCGTCATCTCCTTGACTATCCAGTGAAAGAAGGGTCCCCTTCTCTTGCGAATCATGATAATAGATACCATCGTCCAGACCGCTGCCTCGTTGCGTCAAACCTCCCGCATCGACCCCATCACCGTAGTCCTTCTCGCACGGTACCGGTGCCATCGGCCCGGGTTCTGCAATCAGTTCTTCATCAGCGGCTTCGTCAATCGCCTGGGACCAGATATACGCCATTTTGCTATACCCCTTATCATTGGGATGGGTATCATCCGGTGGGTTATCCCCTGTTGTGTAGTCCTCGGGATAATGCAACCAGCCGTGCCCCGGGGAGGGAGCCTCGGGATCCATATCAGCGAGGACGATTGAGATGCCCTCCCCGCGCATTGTGGAGACTAGTTCTCTATATTGTCGATTGACAGAGGGCCTGTTGGCCTCAGTGGAGGATACCTGGGAGGGGATTAATGTTGACAGGACGATCAGGGTCTTTTCCATATCTTCTGTATTGACTACGCTTTCGATAAGAGATCGCATGCGTCCACCGGCATTGTCGATGTCGATGTTTCGGGCGCAGTCGTTGGTCCCAGCGTTGATTAGCACCACGTTCGGTCGATAGGGTAGAGAATCTTGAGCGGCAGATTTGACTTGGTCGATTATATCGCCTCCATGTGCTTCTACATTCTGTACATGTTTCTTAATAGTTCGAAAAGCGTAGAGTAGTGTATTGCAGTGTAGGATGTATCACATACATTATCGACCATTGTCCCCTGGGTTTTGGTCCCTACCATGTTCACCTCCCAGCCTTGGTAGCGGAGCTCATCACGCAGGGGCTTGCGGTATCCGTTCCCTGTAGCGGAGTTCTGACCAAAGGTGATTGAGGCTCCGAGAGGGAGGATTCTCAGATTTACCCTGGAAGCTCTTTTGGAGAAGACATGGAGATCATTATGTTCTGGGTTGATGGTAGAATTGCCATTCTCGAGAGGTCCTCTAAGAGGAATGCATGCGCCATACACGGCTAAGAATAGAAAGAACCAATGGAGAATGTTAGCAAGCAGCAGCATCTTGACCAAAGAAGAGAAGAGAGAAGTATGCTATTCACACAGTACGGGTTGTATGGATGTGTATCTAAAATGAGGCCATGATAAAGATTTATTCTACGGAGGCTCGACTCGAACTCAACCCAACCCAGCATTCAGTACACCATATCGTGGCCCAACCTTCCATCTTGGGTTCGGTCGGACCTTCTGACCTAACAAGCGTCAAATTCCGCCGTCTCCGCTGCTGTGTGACCTCTTTGTTTGTCGGGGTTAGATTTGATACCGATGAGAGAGGGTTGGTTACCTCTCACGAGGTACCTCTATAGGCTAGTCAATGGACGAGTAAGCTTTAGGGTCCTATGCGTTTTACAGCTCCTTTCACCGGTGCAGTGTTGTAGCCCAATCAGGCAAGAAGGCATCTGATTTGACATATAATCAGGCTAGGTAGGGAAGGCCGGGTTTAGCGACGTTAGGCACTTGAGTATGATCATTTGTACAGTCTGTCATGCGCTTATTCCCCGGATTTGATCGCGATGAACAGTCAAGATTATGGTTTACTGATCTTGATGGGTAATCTCGTTCCTGTCAGTCGTGTAACGAGTTTATGCAGCTGGTGTGTCGGTGGTTGACATGTTACACTGGACATGTTGGAATATTCTGGACGTACAAGGTAGCCGAGGCTCTAGTGGCTGTATATGATTCGAGTATATATGCCATTGACTATACCTGGAGGTATGACGGATGAGTATCATGATCGGCATATTATTATTTCTTGTAATTACCTTTATATACCAGCAATTCTTACGAAAGTGATGTCGTTTTCATCTATACCTCATTCCCACAACAGCATGATACAATCCTAGTCAAGTGCAGGGGTTAATCTAGATATCTGTCGGAATAGGCACATATACTAGTACTACATCCAAATTGTAACAGCGTTACTTTTGTGGTGTAGATACCAATCTGACAATATCGCAGGTCACAAGCGCAGAACATCCCTGATGTGACCCTGGATAGCCCGGCAGTAGCGCCAGGGAAATTAATATACTAATACCCGGCATGTTGATCATGAGGCTCGTACGGACTTACTCTATACAAAAAAAGTAGGTCAAAGCGATCAATGAAGCGAGGGAGAACGCCGTTGTAAGCCACCATCGAGACAGAGGTCATGCCCTCGGTACCTATATTATGAGCTTTTAAGCCCTCTCGACTGGATCATCTTGGCCATCATACATCATACACCACCCATGTCGCTTGCTACTTCAACTACCGAGAGGGGGATGCAAAGGTTTTTTGCTGCAACCCCGCATCATGAAGCATAATTTACCACATGGCGTGTGGCTTGTGGACTTGGCCTTATTATGCTCACGGGACCCTGTCCTGGCATTGTTCAGGCTGAATCTCGGGTGTAGACTTCCCGACGATATCCGAGCTTACTCTATACTGCTTCTTTTATAGATAAAGATTTTCCCTGAGTAAGTTAGTTAATAGACTTCATTAGTGAACTCTGTAAATTACAGCTCGCCAAGTCGAGGATTCCGCAGTGAATTTTATTCTTAATTACGGTACTCTGTCCTTAGGACCCTGTGAAGATATACTGCTAAAATCATGACCTTGGCAATAGCTTGACATGGGCTAGCTTATGCACGAAAAGGACACAGTTTGCCGGCAAGGTGTATATGGCCCAGTATGTTCCCTCCGCAGACATCAACAGGAAAGTGGTCACGTTTGAAGATTTTCAAACGGTTTCCCTTTCAACTATTAAACAGGAGACATGTCTCACAACCATTTGATGTACATGAGAAAGCCGGCCTCTGTGGTGCACTGAGAACGCAAGAAGTGCCCTGCAAGGTATATAAAGAGAAAGAGTCCTAGATCTCAAAAATAGACTATTAGCTTCCTCTCTCAATATTCTATCAATACATTCCCCTGTCTCATCTTTCAGCTTGCACAATGTCACACCCTGATTAACCGCTCTTCTTACTGGCAAAAGGATCGAGCGACTGTCCCTCTTCGTCTGCTGAAGGATCGAAATATCTTGAGCGCATTGTGGTATGCGGCCTGTATCAGCGCCACCTTGTTCATAGTCACCTTCAGAGGAAGCGTCCCAGCAGGCGCCCAAATCAGCCGAAGCTGCCAAAACTGCCGAGAAAGCAAGACGAGATGCAGATGTAGCAGGCAAAAATTTTGTGAAGGTCGCGAGTGGGACTCTGAAGGGGCAAAGGAGTGCGAATGCGAATCCAGAGGCAGCAAACCTATTGCGATGGGCGGCTCATTTCTACACATCCTATGTGAATACTATTTTTCTGAATAGAAAATACAAAGGTTTTATAGAAGTTTTAGATTGATAATTGACATCTAATTTATCTGATTCTAGAATTAATTCGTATGCGAAGCTCTTCTGTCAGATCGACCTCCATCCGCGACATGGTTTACCTCAATTCCTTTACTGTCATGGGCCAAGTGGAATTGTATCAATGGTCAAGCAGGCTCTATTATACACAAAGGAAGCCTATTAAAACTTAGCCGACTAGCCTATTAGCCGCTTAAGATGATACTATACCAACAGACTTCCTAGTAGAAGCCGTAGTATACAGGCACCTTTCGCAGGGATTTCCTTTTCATTCCATCTCTAAATAGACCCCGAATCTTACTTGCCCGTAGCTCCCCAGGGTGCCCTCTCTATCTCATTCCCTTACCAGCCGTTTCTACCTACAAGCGCTCTTCACGCATCACGTAAAACGGTGGGAAAAGAGCAATTTCCACAAACTGTGGCCCTAAGCGCAGTTTTCTCTCTGGCGAGGATGGAAGACGCGCAACGGTCGAGCTCCTGGGCGCATCCGGGGGTGCTTTACTATACTCCATACCCTTTCTTCGTATAAAACAATAGTCTAACATGCCCCATGTCCCACCAGATAATATCAACGTGATCGATGTCAACATCGCCCAAAATCCCCTGACAAGCTCGATACTTTTACGGCCTTGCTCATCACCGGACCCAATGGATGCAAGCCCTTGTAGACCTTTGGACACGTAATACGTTTGGAGAAAATACCAGCACTGAGATTGCAAAGAGCAGTCCGCTTAAAATAAATATGCAGTATTATGATGGATGCAATCGTCCGCCGGTATCATACACATAAATTTCCCTGTTGCAAAACGTTGGGAAACTAGCCGCATACCTACAGCCCACCCGCCATGCGAATATTATACTAAGGGAAAGAGCTGGTTCCGGTCGATTATGAGTTACATGCAGTGCATTGTAAATGTGCCCAAAGTCATATATCCATTCCAAACCATAAATACTGCTTTTGTGGCAACAGCAAGTCGACTGTATTACCAATCAGCGGATCCCTCAGATCTTGCTGATGCTGTATAAGAGTAGGATATTGAGTATAGGAAAGTCCATCTCTTGCACTGGATCTGAGCCGACTCCATTAGAACAAACTTATGACTTATACATATGAAAGAAGAAAATAAAAGGAACCACTTGGACAATAAGTTATTGTTAAGTGTGAAGGAGTTGGATGGAACAGAGGCGAGCGAGCTAGGGAGTTCCTGTGATAGCAGGCGCCTGTCTCATGGACTTGTATAGTTCTGAGAATAGTAGACAGCTTACTAAAATCGTAGTTCTCTGTCCTGTACCCAGTTATGAAAAACCGTCTCTGCCTCGCCTACGGCATCAAATGCCATCAGCCGTTTAAGATACCTCAAGTTTCCCCAGCCCCACGGGAAGGCCCTTCAGTATCGTCTCAGTTGACGTTCGCAAATGCTTTGTCTCGTGCGTCTTCACCCGGACCGTCCTCCATATGGTACAAAACTTGGTTCTCAATTGACCCTTCAACGTTGACTGTCGTCCTCTTCTTTCGTAGTATTTCATAGAATCCAAACAGGTCTGAGATCTGGGTGCCAGTGGCTTTCTGATTCGGATGAGCCCGTGAGAATTTTCCCAGCAAGATTCCCAAAGTCGCACCGTCCTCTACGGCCATTGCGGCACCTTGAGCTTGATAAGGAGGTGAGGGGTCACAGGTGTCTCCGAGGACAGCCACTGCTCCCTAGTCGGACTGTCAGAGGGATTTCTAGTGTATAATAGGAGCAGGAACCGTGCTTGACGTCGAGTCGCCCTGATCGCCTCCCACCGACTGTCTGTGGTAGGCCGCTTTCAGGGTGGCGCTGCATCTGGAAGTATTGAGCTCCTTCATGAACCAGTGGGCGCTCAACTTCCCCTTGGTGCACTGCCATGCCTTTCGGTCGTTGTCGCCTACCACGGACGCCGTGTGGGCTAACTGTCTCATCATCTTCTATGCCGACGTGCGCTCGGCAACCGGGGATGCAGCTCCCATGCGATCCTCTATAGGTGGGAGGAACTCGTCCTACTAGGAGAGCTCCTGCCCCTTGACCGTCCTTTGATCCGCGCTATTGCCAGGATGCGGGCGCGGATGCGCACGAGATCTTCTCTAAGATCTGGTTATTAGACCGCAGTCACGTCACGGGCACTAATCACGGCGACTTGGCCGCGTCTGGGGCCGGCGTCGGCGGTGGGACTGCCGTGACGATGGATCATCGTCATTCGCCGTCAGCCCTCTTTGTCTCCCTGATTGAATCCTCACATGTGGGGAATATTTCGAGGAGTCGCGCGAGCAGACACCGCTGCTGGAGGTACTGGCAGTAATGAGGCGCGAACATGCCTTTCCGACTGAGGGACTTGAAGCTCGACCGCGGAAAGTCGGCTGGTGATTGTACAGTATTGATTTCTACTTTTGCATAATAGGTTCGGTGCGAAGGAGTCTAGCGCTCTCTTGGCTTGACTGTTTTATGTATTGCATGAAGACTCTAATCTTGTTTATTATTATGCATATATTTTATTTTTATGTGGTTGTTCATATTCGTTTTTTATCTTCTCATTGCTAACTACCTGTTGTCCAACCTCATGGAATATATTTCCGCCCACAATGACCACGGCCACCCGCAGGGAATAACCCCCACAAACTTTCAGGTATTTATGATTCTTCAACCATGGCCACACTGGACGCGGTCGGGACCGTGAAATCGTAATTCACCATTCCCGTGTACGCTATGATCCGACCGAAAGGCCGACCCTGCACCGTCCATCGCGCATTCTGTCTGATCGCCGAGTCGGAGTGGGACAATTCCCTGGGGATACCGCGGAGCATGAGGTGCGATGGGACCAAGTGCGAGATCTTCGAGAGGCGTTGGATGCATGCCGTAGTAGACGGCTACAACGTGTCCTGAATTCTGACGCTTGGTCTACAACGGGTGGTTATTTCGGTGCTATCAGCTACAGAATGATGGGAGTATGGCTTGGAGGTGTTGGGAATATTTTACTTTGTGCGATGCATTGTATTTAGTTTCGTTTATTTTCTGCCCTCATGATGGTCCGAGGGGATGAACTAATTTATTTAGCTTACCATCGACTCTCTAGGTACTACTAGTAGGGCTAACGAACGACTCTTCCAGAGAAGGATATGATCGACCTGGAAATAACTGGAAGGTAACTGAGGAGCCTCTTCGAATTTGGATATCTAGACGAGTGGTTCGGAATCGCTGGCCTTATGTCGTCGCCCGTGGATGCATTGTGGGATGTACCCCAGCCCAACTCTTAGTGGAGACTAGGTGGCTTTTCTTTTGCCAGTGATTCGCCGGACTTTCCCCGGTGCCAATGGATTTGTGGGGATTTATCGGAAGCCAGAGCAAGTATTCCGAGGCGGAATATTGAATGGAGATATTCATATCAGTGACAGTGTGGAAAAATAGGTAGAACGGATTCGTTGAACTTATATATGGTTGTATGTAATAAATACTAGCATATCGTTCTCAATAATAGGATGTACTGTGCCGTCACTGCAGAAACGTAGCCGATGCCACAGAACTCCGACCAATCTCCCACGCTAGTAAACTTTTCCATCGCATGTGGCATTGCTTATCCTGGTTCCCCGTGGAGTCGGTCCGTTTCGTTTCCTCGGACCATGTTCCGACTCTCCCCTCGTCGCGACACGAACGAAACAATCGTGCGTGGCGAGCCCTCCTTCGGTGCAAGGAAATGCCATCATGGAATATAGGACATGTACAGGACATGAAGGCAGAACAGAACGAACGTTCCGCGACAACCCTTGCAGACTAACGAGGGACAACTAGCGGGGAACCTAAGTGGCATCACCAATTCCCATTAGTCACAATGGAGCCAACGGTGCGGGATAATCTTGTAGCGCTGCATATCGGCAGCCACTCCGTGCGACGTCATTGGAAAAAATTTCCTGACCGGCACATATAAAGTTGCCCAATCCGCCCCTGGTAAAACATTTTCATCCAATCCCCCGAATTCTCACCATGATGAACCTCGCGTTGTGTCTGGCTTTGGCCGGCGTGGGCGCCGCTGCTCCCCATGGCTCGTCCACCTCTGCGGCCGCCGCGCCCACAGGCACCAGCTTCGCTTCCGGGTTCGAAATGACCAAGAGTTGGGCCAATCTCAGTCCTTACAAGAACGCTGACGGCTTCGGAGTGCCCAAGGGAGTGCCGCAGGGCTGTGAACTGTCGCAGGTCCATGTCCTGCACCGTCACGCCGAGCGATTCCCCACCAGCAATCCGCTGGACGGCGCCGGAATGAGTGACTTTGCTTCTAAGCTGGTTAACTACACCAAGGCCCATGGAACATCCGTCGCCAAGGGACCGCTGAAGTTCCTGAACAACTGGGAGTACGTGGTGGGCGAGAACACGCTGATGGAGAATGGCGCTGCCACGGAGGACACCTCCGGTGCCAACTTCTGGGTCAAGTACGGGCGTCTGCTGTATCGTGCCGACCGCGATAATGTCGCCGCCTGGAACCAGTCCTTGAACGTGTATGCCAATGGTACAGCCCGGCCTAAGCCGGTCTTTCGCACCACCTCGCAGGGTCGTATCCTGGAGAGTGCGCGCTGGTGGCTCAGTATGTTGGACCTATTGGGGAATGAAAAAAAAAAATATTAGGATGAAATGCTAATTCTGTGTAGGTGGATTCTTCGGCAACAGCAGTGCTCACAACTCCGAAGATCAATATGATCTGGTCATCATCCCAGAAACCACAGGATTCTTCAACAACACTCTTGCGTCATATGTGTCTTGCCTGGGAGACAAGACGGCAGGGTAAGCACCACCTGAATCCAAACAACCAAGCACAATACTAATTAATCTAGTGATGAATCGGCCAAGTCATTCATCGAGCGATACACAGAGACAGCCAAATCGCGATTGTCGCAATACCTTCCATCAGACTACAATCTGACCGCGTACGACGTACTGGCGATGCAGAACCTGTGCGTATACGAGCAGACGAGTCTGGGTGGCTCATCCTTCTGCTCGCTTTTCACAGAGCAAGAATGGAAAGACTTCGCGTACAACGTGGACATCCAATACTACGGCAATTTTGCCTTTGGCTCCCCCACTGGTCGTGCGCAGGGGATTGGCTACGTTCTGGAACTCGCTGCGCGACTGGAAGGAAAGCTGATCCATTCGAGCGATACGAGCATTAACTCGACGTTTGACGATAACACGAAGACGTTCCCGATGGGACAGCCATTCTACATGGACATGTCCCATGACGATATCCTCCTGTCTGTGATCACGGCTCTGGGTCTGGATCATTTCAAGTACGGACCGGAAGGACTTCCAAGCGAAGTAGACCACGCCCTGTCGAACCGTACGTTCGCGTTGAATGACTTGACTCCGTTCGGGGCGCGTTTCATGTCTGAGATTTGGAGCTGCCCGAGCGATGTGTCGTTCCAGAACTTGGACCCTATCCTTTATGTGAACCCGCGGTTGGAGGACAAGGATACGAAGCAGTATATTCGGTTCCTGCTGAATGATGCGCCGTTGCCGTTGAAGGGTCTCAAGGGCTGTGACGGCTCGAAGAATGGGTTCTGCCCTGTCGAGGGATTCCTCGGTGATGTGCAGAAGCTCAAGGATAAAGCTGAGTACCAGTTTGCTTGCTTTGGGGATTATCCTCATGGTAAGCAGGTCGGAGACGGCGTGCCTGAGTCGGATTAATTATATGGATATGGATGGATATGGATGGATGAATGAGTGATGAGAATGGATAGATGATCTGTATTGATACGATGTACTATGAAGTATTGTGCCAGAGCATAAAAGTTGAATCATCAATCATATATAGTAGTTGTTCACTACGCAGCTCGAAGCGTGTACACTCGTCAGCCAGAAGTAAATATAGCATAACCCCCGGGAGGATCCAACAGCTCTTCCAGCCTAATACTCGGCGCTAACCGACCAATATTCACCTCAATCCAGCGTCACATTGACTCCCCCGCAGTACATCGCCTTGACAGGCCCGCCCACCTGATGGAACAGTCGTGGGAGCCTTTCATCTGCCACTGCCAGAGAACGCGGTCGAGGTTCCCATGATGGAGAAAAAACAGAGGATCTACCAAATTTTAGCCATGAGTTGCAATGATCGGAACAACAACACGTACCACCCGGACTCAGCGCCGCGTTTCCCAACGTCCCGTACTCCGCCCATGGCAAAATGTCCGCTGCCGTGGATATTCGGTTCGTCGAAACTGGGGATATTCTCGACTGCCTTGGCGAAACCTGTGTAATCCGACTGGCTGGTGACATGATCGACGAGGCTCTGCTGTGCGAAGTCGTTCATTATCCAGGGAATGAAGTCACGACACAGGCAGTCTGGCTTCGAATTATGCAGAGTGAACAGACTCGGAGCAAGAGCACCACCTCGCACACACCCTCCACCAGTGCGGCCAGTTAGATTGAACTGGTTCTTCTCCGGGGAAGTGGGCTGATATCGTAGTTGCCGTTGCCGCCGCCGAACCCCGACAACTCATCGAAGATCTCGGTCTGAAAGACGGCTCTGGAAGAGCTGTTCGAGGATGCGTCCTACGACCAGTTCCAGTATCTGACCATATTAGCGTGGGCCAAATGGTAAGGGAGGTTGAACGTACGGCTGGGCAGCCCTGTAGCCACACTCCTCTCGCGGGGCCTTTTCGTAGGTGGCGACGGAGTAGCGATGCCAGAGAATAAAGTGACCCTAGCCCAATTGACGATTAGCATGACCGACGGCGGCCAAATTGGGAGACTGGGGACGGAGCTACCCAATGGATTTCAGGGGCCTGATCTGAGTGTACGGCCTGGAAATCTTCGAAGTGATTCTCACTGATTTTGAATCCCTACACTGGGTCCAACTTGGTCAAGCGTTGGACAGCAAGGAGGTACTTGAGCCGTTTGAAGATATCTAGCTGCCTTCTGGAGAATGCATTTGTCAATGACATGGATTTTCCCGGTACTCAAACCACAGAATGATGCCTACCATTCCTTAAGCAGGACAGGGTCGGTACAGGCTGCGGCTGCTCCCCCGGTCAGGCCCAAGGCCGTCGTCGCCCAGAATAGGATCATGGCTACATGCATCATTGCGCTTGAATTGGAGCCAAGCAGAAAACCCTGTTCCAGGGGAGGCCGTCTCATTTAATACCGGCTGGAGAACCACCTAGGAAAAGACTAATGACGTGTCTAACCAACGCCGACTATAGGCCGATAGCTGGCAACGGCAAGTCAGGGGAATTCCAGGGATTGAGCGAGCGACGTTACCTTGCCCGCACCTCGCTATATATCGCTTAAGGACCGGACTTTCACTTTCGCCAATAGCACGTTCTAAGCTCTCGGATCTCTTTATCGGTGACCGTCGCTGCAGGGATCCGGTTACCGATGGCAGAGGAACTCACGATCGCTCATCTTAATATACTTTTATGATACTCCACCCCTTTTTGGCTCGCGGTCCACGCAATGCTGGCGGACATGCTCTGGTCGTTGACATCCTTGCCTCTTAGCAGCATGGGTAAGGTTCAACAGCCTAGAGAGATGTTTTGGATGCCGTCCAGCCGGAGTGTTGTTGGGAATTTGCAAATTAGCGTAGTGTCGGGTTCTGATGCCGTTGGCCAGTAATCGCTAAATATAGAGATCCTCCAGAAAGGACAGACCGAATGGGACCAACGTGTCGGAAGTCTTCATGACTAGGGAACCATTGGACGGATTCAAATTTAAATAATACAAATTTATATTATCATGGCAAGCATTCTAAATCTAAGATTGTACTTTACTCTTATTTGGCCTTGATTGAATTGACCGCAACGGGGATCGCTGAACGAAGGGCCAACGTCTGTGACGTGGATACTTCGATCTGTCGGGAAGAACCTCCTGGAATTTCTCCGTCACTTCCTGCAGGCTCAACTGGTTTGGAGCGATTTCTTAATGCTTCGGCTGCTTCACAAGTGGCGATATATTCTGAATGCGTTGATATCATCAAATCTCTTCATCTCCTCAGATTTTGGGGTCCATTTTGGCCATTTCTGCATAACTCTGATGGCCTCGACAGGGGCAATTTCAAACCATTCAATGTGCTGCTTCAAGCAACCAATGTAATAGATTCTGGGCCGGCGATGATCCAACTCCGCGTGACACACAGTCTCGATACGGAGGCATTTGTGACCTTTTGAGGATTTGATGGATCCGGTAGAGTGGTTTGGAATTCTGTTGCATTCGAACTCCCATCCCTTATGACGCTCATCAAGGGTAAGAGTGGTATACCCTTTTTTGATGAATCCTTTGTTTCCAAGTTCATACAGATATACGTATCTGCTCTTTAGGTCACCCTCCTCCTCATCCAAGAGCCTATTCACTTGTTTTTTAATTTCATCGTATGACGATTCCCAGACGTCAAGTCTATCGTTTCTCTTGATAATTTGAAAGGGCTTACATCACATTCCTTGAGCCAATATTCAGCTGGATCTTTATCTAACTTCAGAGACGATGATCCAGTGTTCCTTGGTGTTAAGATGATTTCCTTTTGAAAGTCATATCTGGGATCATTTCTGTGTAAAAAACTTTGTCTCTCTTGGTGTGCTTCAGTTTTCCCAGGTCTGGAAGTGCTATTTACTGTACTGCCATCAACCAATTTCAAAAATTTAGCCTGATGTGTGCCGCGAATCTCCATGATTTTCGACTTCCGTAACTCCACACGTTCGAGGGGTTGCTCGTGATGATGATCGCAAAGCATATTACATTCACGGACTTTGAGATAATCAGTGTTCTCATCGCCAATCAGATAAATTACTGAGTTAACAACCTCATTAAGCGCTGATACAGTTCTGCACTTACTGTCCCCCGATCCTGGAACAATCTTTCTGCATTTTTGCTTTTCCTCCACACCGGGTAGGGATTTGACCTAGTGCCTTTTTAATCTGCCTTGCTAGCATGTGAAAGACATGGTGCCGTGAACTCCAGTAAGAAACGTAGCTATCCATTCGTCAAGACGAGATTCTATATGTTCCCCATGGTCATGCCACCAACAGTGCACGAGCTTCAGTCCAGCGCGCTGCCCGTCTGCGGTGCCTTGGCTGGAGACAAATTGGCCAGGGCCAGCGTCACTTGTTCGTCAGCCAAGGATGTCTTGATCTTCTTAACAGCGTCTGTCATCCCTCCCACCAACAGCAATGGTCCCATTCGTCCTCTGTTCTCGCTGATTGCTCCTCGTTTACGATCTTGGCCATGGACTTGACCGCCTCTTGTGCGGGTTGCGCAGCGTATCAACAAGCAAATCGCCCACCCCGAACATCAACACGATCACAGCATTGACGTCCACATCCTTCCACGAGACATCTGCCCCGGATGCGGTGTCATAGATGAGAGAGTTCCCAAGGTCAGTGGCAATGCCGACCACGACCGAAAGCCCAATCTGGACCGCCACGCTCGCCCCAGCTGTGGCGGCCGCCAGTATCGTACTGGCTGTACTTGCTTATAACTCCAATAATTTTGCTCGAATTGCTCAAGTTTCTCGAAATGCTTAAACTGTTAGTTAGTACAGAACGTATTATAATACTTATCATACAGCTTTATAGAAAGTTTTACTATAAAGTCTTTTATAAAGGTCTTTGATATAGACCTTAGTATAAAAATTTAGTATTAGTTTAAGTAGTGAGTAGTAAAGATATATAGTGCGTGTAGTATAGGTGCGGGATGTGGCAATTTGAAATTTTTGAAAAACATGACTTTTTTCCACATGCTCGATTCAATCCGCCGTATATTAGCGCAGCTCATTTTCTTCCGTTATTAGCATGATCTGAGACGAAGCAGGGTTGCGTACCTAGCTCCATGCGGAGAATATCAGGCTTACTCTATTGTCACCCCAGTGGTATTTCTCTTGCCTGCCCATTCAGTCAGACGGTCCCAATTCCGGCATGTGTGCGGGATTGTGAAATTAGGCCAGAAAACGCGCTGGGTGTCTTGTCTCCGATACATAGTGATCGGGTGGACGTCACCATGACACATTAGAACTTGGCGGAGGTAGTCGACACAGTGCCCTTAATGTTATCCCCGCGGAGTCAGCTACGATCTGGGGCCAACAACTTGTGGCTCTGAAAACAAGGATATACATAGATGGCGGTAGGCCATTGGACTAATAACGATAGAAATGGAGATTAAACGTACGGACATGTTTCTCATGGGACTCTAGAATATCCAGGTCCGGGACTTGATAAACCTGCTTCCGCAGAAAATTGAGGCAATGAAGCTGATGAAAGACTTCAATCTGGATGTAGTGTTCACCAACCTTACCAGGCGTTTCTTCAGTTGGCCAGGTAAGTCGAGCATTCTCTTCTGGTGTAATTTCATATATTCCCACTAGATGGTATCAGTCACTTGAAGGACGTAAGTGCGCAAATCAGAAAAATTATACCAGAAGAAAGATTATGCCACAACGCATCTAGTGCTGGCGTAGGACGGCCCTCAAAAGGCGTCATGGGAGCACCGTCTTCACCAAACCCGCTAGGTTGTAGAATTACAGTGTGATATTCAATGGCATCAGCCGCACCTTCTGCAGTGCAAGTATATGTTTAGCACTTGTATCAGCATATATGTATATTGTACAATATGACTTACCAAATTCAAGGGGGAGAAGGCAACGCTTTGCCTGAACGAGAGCGCGATGCATTACAAGGTAGGTAATGATATTGCTGCATAAAACGCACACCATGCATACCAAAGGAAGTATGTATGAATATGAATAGAGTTGGGCTTTAGGCTTTTCTTCTACCTCTTCTTCGCATGGCAGGAGAGTGTCGGCCGATGAAGCTCCCAAATTATCTGACTCGCTAGGGGCTGGTGATATGAGCTTGTATGGGAATAGCATGATTATTAGAGCACTGATATCTGATAAGTAGTGGTTATAAGATATCTAGCGCTGCACTCAAGATATTTAGTCTATATCCGCCTGTGCGACTGTTAGAGAGTGAGAGTAGAAGTGCTGGGATGATAACTCACGTCTAGAGCCACACTCAGCGCGGCTTGAGGGGAGGTTTTGAGACTAATAATTGGTAAACGGCATCCGTGATTTCATGTCTTGCCCGAAGCACAATATGAGCGGATCCTGCGGCCCCCAATTTAATGTATGGAGTTATCTCTCCAACAGGAATGTGCTACTTATTGTGGGGATCTACTCCGTATCGTACATGACAGCTAGCCCTGTAACTAAGTTAAGGATGTCCAATGACTAAGCCCACCCCATTTCCCAAGAGTTGCATTCGTGTTTGAGGGTCCAAGCAACGTTTAATGCGAAGTCTTAATTGCGGGGTATTTGACGTTATAAACTAATACATTAATCGTTCATAGCCCTACATAGCTGTTAGCCTAGCGATGGTCGCTGCTACACTAATGCAATCCTACTAGTCAGTCATTCAGTAAACATGACACCCTAATGCTTGGTAACCAATATTTACCTTTATAACATTATTATGCTAATCTTGATTTCTGGCCGGTACAGGTTACTTCCGTCAGGTAATGAAATCTGGCCTATTAATAATTGCCATAGAATTCCCGGTTACATTGCCTCCAGTAGTGCATTTGGCACTTGGTAGAGCCGATTTTAATATCGGGTTTAATGCCATCCACATTGGAGAAGCTCAAATCTGATTTAATTTATCATGATTGTACAAGCTGCAAAATTTCTCTGGCCCTCTAGCATCTCCATTGATTCAACAACGCTGACCATGTTGGCTCAGTGATGAACTGGGATCTCTTGGAGCTCATTGTAGTGTCCGTATGGATGGACATGGACAAACTAATTCCAGGCCTTGTAAAATGGCCTGCTAAGAAGCCAGTCTATACACGTCTGTGAGTGGAGAGACAAGCGAAGCAACCAAATATACTGCTGTAATAAAACTATGTGTTACTTCCTACTAAAAAGGAAGCTGGATAAATGCGGAGAAAAATCCTGTTCTAGTCTTATTCCGCCCCCACGCCCAATTCCATCTCAATAGAATAATAATATGAGGTATTTTCTCTGCAATGACTCTGCTAGTTAAGATTGCGTCTCTACTTTGGAGTTGATTTGAGCGTCCCCGCATAGCGCCACAATGCTTAGTCTGAGACACTATACGACAGTATTATTGCGAGGGAATTTAGGAAAGATAGCCCAGTAGTAGGAAGGATTTACTTTGAATAGCATTTAATAACTAGGCTGTCAGTTGTTATGGAGGATGTCCGTGTAAAGTATAAAACGCCTGGAGTATTCCCTCTGATGTTTAGTTTATGGATCTCGGAGTTCAACTGCTTAATCCAAACGGCACTGAAGATAATATCCCAATCTCTCTTGACCTACAGGTAAAGCCATGAAGGTCTTGCACATTATCAGCGGCCTCAGTGCCATTCTCATGCCCATTGCCCGCGCAGTCCCAATCGCCGGCCCAAGCACCGTAAGTTATTGAAAGAATTGAACGCCCCTCAAAAGATTGGCTCTAACAGTATTGCTTAGGATAATACTCTACAGGAGAGGAGCGTATGCCAACCTGCAGCCGACGGTGGCTGTTATATCAAACGTGATCCTGAACCTGAGCCGGAACCCGGTATTTGTCAAGACGCCCGTGGGGACGAGGGCTGTTACATAAAACGCGACCCTGAACCTGAGCCCAGGCCGGGTATTTGTCAAGATGCCCGTGGGGACGAGGGCTGTTATATCAAACGTGATCCTGAACCTGAGCCGGAGCCCGGTATTTGTCAAGACGCCCGTGGGGACGAGGGCTGCTATATCAAACGTGATCCTGAGCCTCAGCCCAAGCCTGGTATTTGTCAAGATGCCCGTGGGGACGAGGGATGTTACATCTAGGCGTGATGGGATCGCATCTCTCTCAGAGAAGTTTGAGTGCCTGGTACAGATCAGCTTATCGCGTGTGTCCTAGTCGGGGAGAGACAAATATGACACTTATGTCCGCAAATCCTTCTTCCGTCCGTAAAACTTCCTTTCCGTTGAATATTCTGTACGGAATAACATTGTTCTGGTTGATTCTGTGTTTAGTATTAGCTCTTGAGATATATACGCCTGGGTAGAGTGAGTATATGGATTCTTAGGGTTAATAATCAGACATCCTGTACTTATTCGAGGCCACCTCGGTCTATGCAGGATAAACACTCTTGATAATTAAATAAGGTATTCCCAAGACGTAGGCCATTACCCTATTCATAACATCCAAATGTGAAAAGCTGCTTGAACGGTTACTATAAATCAATTAAAGTTATATTAACCTGATGAAGCCTATCTACTGAGCGATTAGTTATGCAGGTGTTTCGCCGATGAAGTAAGAACTAAGGTATCCCAAATGCCATAAATCAACACAATCCACACGTAGAAAAGGACATATGGAAAGCCAGCGTATCGCTAAAAGGACACAACCAAGGCATTGAGGAGCCTCTCCTCCCCTTGAATTATCTGCTCTCGTGTTTCTTACAGTACCCCTCTATACTGCATCATTCTGATTTGATTCCTAATTCCCGCTTTTACAGTCCCGGTTCGACACGCAGCCCCGGCGTTTATATTAGGACCTCCACAGCAATTTTTGCACCTGTTCCATAGTTAATTAGCCTTCTATTCCTGGCCTGGTCGGATCTCCGCGTGACGGAACTGCCCTAGCAAGCCTGTTTTTGAACATTTACTACTTTCACTGCTAAGGTGCGAAAATTTTCCGTATTGAAACATTCAAGCCGCTAAATCGTGAGTCTCCACATGCAAAATCGTATGATTACGCCAGCCCCTTTGGCCTTTGATTAGATTAATGAGACAAGCCAAAGTATGTTCATCAAAATGGGGGCCAAAGAGTGGAAACTACTCCACAACTACGTGGCCTCGTTAAGGCTTGGGATGCTTAGCCATTGATCTACATTTTCTCACCCCGCATACACTCTCACCCCAAAACCGTGCCTATCTAAGAGTCATTCCCCTGCATCCAGTGTCAAAATCTTCTCGGTTAAATGCAGCAAGTTCTCCACGACATGGAATATGGCTACTTAGAGCAATCGGGAAGCGCTGATGAGTCGATTCAACGACAAACTGCCAAGAGCCGACCACAAAGCAGGCTATCGTGCCTATATATCGCGGTGACATCTCTTGTCTTCTTCTTCCTAACCCTCGCCACCATCCGCCCCCTCACACTTATCAAGAAAGACATTCAGTGTCACAACGGCACAAGGCCTGAGAATCAGTCAAATATTTTTGGTGACTGCGGCAGTACTCCCGCCGAAGCTCGGAGCCAAGGTTGCTTGTTTGATGTGATGAGTTTCTCATGGCTACCACCAGCCTGTCACGACCAGGAATTGATGAACCAGTTCCTACGGCGCCACAATTGGACATGGACAAGAGACCGGGGGGGAATGATTTCCGTGTCTGGGGAGGAAGTGCGTGAAGGAGAGATAACAGAGCTATTTGTAACTCATCAGTATCATGTCTTCCATTGCTTGTACCAATGGCGAAAAATGCATCGTGGGATCCAGAAAAGGGTGATTGATACATATATTGCGGACTATGAACATACGGAGCATTGTGAACATATGATCACGATGGATCTTCCACTCAATAGTATTGATACAATTATTCGGATGAAGTTTCCGAAGTGTCGACAATTAGACTAAAAGGGAGAAGAAAAGGAGGAGATGAAAGGAAGAGAATGGCTAGGGATGCTCCCTATTACAAGACATATACAATATGGTGGATAAATTTATATATTTGTCTTCTCACTGCCGCCTACCATAGTCCACCGGACTATAAGGAGCACCGTACTTGCAATAATAATTTATTTGACACAAATTCGACTACAGAGGATAGTAGTGCTCCTATTTCACCCTTACAAAAGGCTAAAATTTTATTAGCTGCAGTATACAGTAGCTTTCTGAAAAAACAAAAAGTGACCGACGCAGGGATCGAACCTGCAATCTCTTGATTCGTAGTCAAGCGCCTTGCCATTGGGCCAGCCGGCCGGATAATTATTAGTGACACTGGTAATGTGCTTAATTAGGGTCTTGTCACCTAACGTATGTCCTGAGTAGTACTTAATGTCAAGGGCTAAACCTCTATAACCTAATAACTAGGGTGGATACAAAAGGAATCGTCGAAGAGGAAAGAGAAGAGGAAACAGCGATGAGACGATTGCGAAGTAAGGGGGGGGAAGTCACATGATAGAGTGTACTAATCAATATACTAATCATGTGGCAGGCGAGGAGAAAGGAAACACGAGGGCTGAGGGCCCGAGTAGGCTGAGGGGCTCTAGCCCCTTACACTTAACGCTCAAAGGGGTCCAAAATTATCAAGAAATGAAGGGTTTCATTCTTCCAATCTAAGCAAATATCTAGCGCTAAATACATAAGAATAGGTAGCTTGGAATAACTAAATATGGCGACATAATGGCGAATATCAGCGAATGACTGAGTGGGCGCTGATTAATCTAGTGTTGAAGAGGAATAGCGGTAACTAATACTCTAAAGGTTGATAAGTCCACGAGGGATTTAGTTATAGGAATGTGTAAATAGAGGCCCTCAGATATTTTGAAAGTTGAGAATATAGCAGAAATTCTCACAGAACCTGTCTACTTAATCAATATTCCAAATTCTCTTGTACGAACAAAATACACTTCTATGCTATATTTGCTACAGCTCTAACCAGTTTCTAAGTGTTCCAGGTCAGTTTAGAATATACATAATTATATCGTTTAGATCCAGTATTGTTTGGTATTAGCATCTTTTTTAATTTTGCAACATGCTTGCCTCTGCCACGCGTACAAAATAATGGACAGTAAATAGACTACTGTATTTCAATCTATGTGGAAGGTTTATTCTGTCTGAATAGGTATAGGAACTATAGCTTACCACTGTCTCAATCTATTAGATTTAAACCATCTTGCCAGCAAATTCCAATGGATTTGATGCATGACCCCTGCACATGTGATACACAAATATTATACAGCATTACATACGCTTAATATTCGACCACCGCGACATGCGATGGCATGGATGGTTCCGTTGAAACGCATACCCTCAGCAAGCTGGGGTTTTAGTCAATTGCGATGGCGTTTAAATCCAACCCATTTCCTTTCGTCCCTCCTCCAACTTCTCACATCTCAGCAACACCATTCACAATGTCAGGGTGAACGTGCAGATAGACAAGGCAGACCCTACCTTGAAAGAGGTCAACGGTCGCTACTCGGACTGGAAGGCGTTTGGTCTTCCCAGCAGTATCTTGAACCTAGCGGTGCTTTATCATTCGAACGAGCTGTTTCCCAAATATACGAGATGCTGCCCTCTAGGAAGGAGAAATATCTTGGTAACAAGAGGAGCATGTTCAGCTATGCTCTCTTCGATGTAGCCCAGCAGATTCCCTACTCCTAGAAAGGGCTGACAAGCTTAATGAACTTGTTGCTCCGGAGGTAAGGGTAGGAGAACCCCAGTATAAACACAGAAACTAGTAGAGATCAACTTAGTGATATTTATTGTACTACGGCATGGAGAGCTTTAGAGCAGCACTCCGGCATGGTCTAGTCTTATGTCTATCTATCTATGGCCTTGGGAGTTCAAGTTGACTCTATCTCCCTATGGCAGCGGGGTTATGAGCCTGGTACTCTAGAGGAGACAGAGTATGTCATAACGCATTTCTTGCTTGTATCAAGGCGGCAGGGATCTTGAATGCAATCAGGTACCCGATTTGGATGATGCGGGAATATCTAGAGGATGGCGCTGGCACTGACTCGGGTTGCTACAATGTCAACGTCAGCATCGCCGCTTTGTGGATCTTGTGTGCTGGACAGTATCTCTTTGATGAGATTGTCCAGTATCCCTGGCCCCTTGATACGCACAACGAAACATGTTTGCGAAATGGCCGGTTTTGGACTGGTCCAATATTGGGGCATAAGCGGTGGAAGTTTTGGCAAAACGCATTTGCCGTAGGGGTCGAAAGAAAGTGAGGTGAATGGTCAGCGCCGCCAGTTCCTGCTGAAGACGACGGATTTTATGGAAGCCATTGAGCATAATTGCTCGTGGTAGTGTACAATTGATCGGTAGATAAAGTAGCCATTTCTGTGCCCTCCTCCATCTATTGAGAGCTCATCTCGTCGCCGTTTAACTTACTCCTTTCGAGACACCTTGATAAAGAAGGGCCGACACCCCCTTATAGGCTTTCTTATACTGTAGTGGAATCTTGGAGGGCGGCAGGGTCTCATGACTCTGAAAACCCCCTTTGGTATAGTATTTGTATATTTTACCTTTAACCCCCTACTAGGGAAGATAACTTAGATGTTTTCACGACTATTTAATTAGCTAGGCTTGTGTTTAGAATATCTCCATTAATCAACCCTTTTCCGTATCTTCCCTAGTAACATGTATATCTAACCTCAACATTTACACTAAATGTTTTAAATGTAACAGGAGCTGTCGGGCTACTTCAAATGGGCCATTGATTTTTGACCTCCCCGAAAGAGTCCCTAACTTACATGGAGCTAGAATAGGGTATAATCTTGTCTGCTACTGCTACTGTACATACCACAAGAGGCAAGAATACAGAGTAGGCAATGGTGGGTTGGTCAACACAAACAGGACTGTTTCAATGCTCCTAGAGTCGCGCTTTCATCCTCTCATCACGCACCACCAGTCTCTTTCCAGGGCTTGGTCTTGTCTCCCTATCTCGAAGAATACGTCTGAGGATCTTGCCACTGGCACTCTTAGGCAACTCGTGGACAAACTCGACCTCGACAATCCATTTATGCCGCACCTTCTTCGCTCGCACATACTCAACCAGCTCTCTACCGATATCCACCAGTCCAACACCATCTCCAACGCGTTGTCTCACTCTCGACCGCAGAACAATGTACGCTTTTGGTCTCTCGCCAGAATAATCATCCGAGATTGCAGCCACAGCCGCATCCTCCACATCTTCATGGCCCAGGAGCAAGTCCTCCAGCTCCGTAGGTGAGACCCCAATGCCATTTACTTTAATCATCTCCTTGATGCGATCGGTGATGGTGAGGAAGCCCTCTTCGTCCATGTATCCGATATCCCCCGTGTGCAACCATCCATCTGCATCGAATGTCTCGCGTGTCGCTTCTTCATTTCCCAGATACCCCATTACAATCTGCGGTCCTCGCGCGAGGATTTCCCCTGGCTTGTTATATCCCAATTCACGGCCCGTTACCGGGTCCATGATCTTGACGTCTGTATTGGCGACAATGCTCCCGACCCGACTCGCATAATTGTACGATTGCAGGTCAGGAGGATGCGTGGTGATGCAACTGCAGGACTCGGTCATTCCGTATTCTTGCTTGAATCCAGTCCATGGGAAGCGTTTCTCTAGCTGCTGGAGGAGCGCTTTGGCAATGGGAGCAGCGCCCGAAAAGAATCGCTTCACGTGCGAGATATCGTATTTCTCTGCAGCTGGGTCCTGAAGCAGACGTATCAATATGGGAGGAACTAGTAGGAGTTCAGTTATTTGGTTCTCGACAACTGCGTTGAGCATAGTGTCCATATTGAAGAACGGAAGCATATAGACTTCTGTGTTCAGGAGGATCGGAAGATGCATCTGATGCACGAGACCGGTAACTATAGGCTATGTTAGGTTGATAATTTATGCCTTTGCGTATGCTATCGGGACGTACTATGGAACAGCGGCAACACAGCTAGCGACTTTTTGCAATCTGGGGAGGCGACCTGCTGGATTTGCATGCACTGCGCAATCACATTGTGATGTGCAATCACAACCTGGAATAGTTAGCTACACGCAGTAAAGAATGCAGGAAAAGCTGGATATACCGTTTTGGGCCGCCCTGTTGTTCCGCTGCTGAAGCTTAAGAAGCCACAGACGTCCCGATTCGACTCTCCTTCAGCCAGTGTAAACGGTGCTACTTGTCCGTCATCGCCGTATTCCTTCCCCACTTCCAGTAGCTCTTGCACCGTTGTGTAGCCGTGTTTCTCTCCTTCGAGCAAAAAAATACACTCTGCAGGTATACCAGCGTTTTTAGCTGCCGGGACTGCAACCTCCATTGAAGACGGAACTGTCATTAAGAATTTTGCCTGGGCTGTTTTCAAAGCATAAGTCATTTCCTCGACATTATAAGCCGGAGACGCTCCAGAAATAACGCCCGCTGATGATGTTAGTTAGATATTGGCGACACATGGTGACTGGGAGACTTGCCGACTCGAACAGTGGCAAGCATAGCAACTGGATAAAAAATTGTGTTGGGACTGAACAAAGCTACTGTCTCGCCCTTTTTCAGACCATACTTCTTGACCAATGCGGTGGATAGGTAAGTTGTGTAGTCTTTCAATTCATCGTAGCGAATTCGCTCCTTGGTCAGCGCATTGATGTACGCACCCAGGTCCTCGGGATGCAATCGTCGCAAAGGCGAGTACTCGGAATCGAGGAAGAATTCCCAAATTGATAGGGATTTTGGAACTGCAAATGTTAGTGTTAGTGCATGTGGAATGGTAGTTTTTCGGGGTGACAGTACTTTCAAGACGTGACCGAGTTGACGAGAATATCATACTGGCGAATAGGGTCAAGAAACACGTAGATTCCAAGTGATGCGAACAACTTCACGGATCGAGAGACGGGGATACAAGCGATATAAATACATTCAGTATACTACTCGCATGCCTGCCTTGCGTTGATTCGCAGCCTCGGCGGTACCGGTAAGGGGGGCGATCAGATCGTCTTCCCCTCATCTTCACTCTGCTTACTCGGACCAGAAGGTTCTCTTTTCCGTCAGTTCTGAGTCGGTGATGTTTAGATCGACATTGTCTGGGGGTCAGGTGCATTTGTCTAGATGATTTACTAGGGTTGGAATGTCACGATGCTTTTCCATCCAGGGGATAACTCGTTTTGTAGCACGGTGAAATAAGTCAAACGGTTCTTGATCACGCGGGGTTGTCATCCTTATTCTACAATGAACTGGATAGGTCGAATGCAGCCCAAGAGGTCTACAATTTGTTCAGGATTGTCAGGATGATCTACTACGTCCTCTAGTTCTTACCGATTACTCGCTATTTTTATTCGAGATCAGAGTGTAGCTAGGATCTAGAACGTAAGAAATATACGGAAACTACTCTATCTAGCCAGTTGTCGCATTTGTCATTTCCCCACAGTTTAATATTAATAACTAACCCTGCAGCCTTTCCCACTCTCCACGGAGAATACTCGGTAAAACTTCCTCCACTGACGGCCCCGTGGGCTTCCATCCCAGAACCTTATGTGCTCGCCGAGCACGACACCGACAATTCAGCCCCCAAGAGACAGCTTCGAATCCCGCAAATTTTGCAGCCGCTTTGGGATCTAATGCCTCGATTTCCACGGCAGACACCAGTCCCTGTCTAATAGCAATCTGTGAGATTTTCTTGGCCACCTCAGCCCAACAATGTTCTCCCCGCTCAGCGAGATAATACGCCTCAGGACCCCACAGGTCAGCACGCCTGGAAAGTGCAGCATCGAAAAATAGAAGATAGAGATCAGTTAGATCGGTGATGTAGACGTTTGTTCCAAGGGACTTTCCCTCGCCGATAATGGGTACCGTCTTTCGCTCTAGGATCCATCTCGACAGGATGTAAAGTTGTCTGCTGCGCTGGGAGCAGGGGCCGCGACCGGGGCCTGGGCGGGTTAGCATTTCACTTAACAGTGGAAATATGGGGGTGTATGTACCGTAGACAGTGGTGGGAGAGATAATTGCGGATTTGACAATGTCTGGGTGACGGGTGCCGGCTTCCAGGACGAGTTTATCTACTTCACGATGGAAAGCATGATTCGGTATGTTGAGAATATCCTGAATGCCCTCGAGATCATTGTATACTTTGTCTCGCAGGATCCCCGCTGTCCTCTCGTCAGTGTCGACGTAGCTGAAGATTCCTGCGCCGCTGGTATGAAGCCAGTAGGCTGGTCTTTGAGGAGTATGTCCCTTGAGGATACCGGCGTATATTGCCCTAGCTGCGGGGAGATTATCTGATGCGTCGGCCGTATCTGTGACCACATTAGAAGGGGTGTCTTTGATAGTAGTCAGGACTTACGGATAATGATATCTGCACTGGCACTCTCGGCTTCTAGGATATCCGTGGCTTCCAGGCCACCATACACAATCTGAACGGACGGATATTGAGCCTTAATTATCTCACCCTTGTCGGCTCCCCGGACGAGAAGTCGATAAGTGAAGTCCGGGTATTTAGGGACCAGCTGTGAAAGGACATCTCCGCCGATGTAACCGGTTGCACCGGTGCTGTGGAAAATTAGATATTGATCCGGTAATCTTTTTCCAAAAACTCACATAAATACTATGCTCATATTAGCTGAAAACTGGGGACTGTACTGCAATTCTATCACGGGATCAGACTATGATAGTACGGGGTTTTATGTTGTTCGGTATAGTTTTGCGGATTTCTAAGCAGCGTGGGATTGCCAAGATTGATCATGTTGAGACAAGCGATATTCCACCGACAGAGACTTATGAACTTGTTAGAAGTCAGTTTCATTGGTTAATTTTCAATGATTCTTAATCAAAAGTGTCGTACAGCGGAATATACATTCCGCGCTTACTAAAAGAAGTTTGGAGATTTAGGTTGCATCACAAGATAGTATGTATATTCCAATAGGCATGGAAAAGTATTTGCCATGACTCTGTTTCAAATTGGTTGAACATCATACCGTCGATGACACAACATTGACAAGACAAGTAAATAATGACTTGAAGAAGGTTTTTTTTTCAGTTAAAGATTTCTGGCCAAGAAGGATATTCACATGTGATGCTAGGATGGTAACAACCTGGTGTAGGTCAGAGATTTACCAGCCTTGTGGAATTTTATTGAAATATTGATACAACCTATGATATGTATACCTCGTACCAAACAGATAAAGAGTATACAATATCGAGTAGTGATACTTTTAGGATTTTATATTTAAATATATCAATTGCAAATCTTTAGCAGACATAATCATATAATTAGAAATATTCAATTGGCTTTCCATCATAACAAAAGCTTTTGGAGTACTACCTCAAAATAACCTGGTTAATGACATTGTAGACTTAACTATACTCCGATACTAGCCATTCACTATGAATAAAATTGTGCCAAAATGTGGCAAGAAATATCCCCCTTTACAAATAAATATATCTATCTACGCCACTTGGCCAAAGTCACCAGAGGCGGATACTAGCATACCCGCTTCGCCTACGCTGTGTTACGCGGATCATCATGAATCAAACAGGGTCCACAGGGCGTCAATTATTAAGTTGGGCAGCAGCGATGCAAGAACATCAACTCCACCCGATCAGGTTGTGGAATATGCTACCAACAATAGTCGCAAAGGGGAGAAACTTCCCGACTTGCTACTTCTAGATGTCGCACTACTACAGAGCATACCCTGATGCCGACAGGGCATCCACATGGTGACGCCATGAATCAGATTCACACCTGCCAATCGGAAGAACGGCATCAGGAACTGGCATCCTTGCTTGTGATCCGGTGGATCGCCATAATTGAGCCGAGATAGCCGTGTCTTATCACTTTCATCGGAGGCAGAGATTTTTTAATCCTACAACGACCCTTTGACAGTCGGTTATGCGCGGTTGTTGTCGGTCAAAGACCTGGGTTTGCTAGCACGTGACTGATACCAAGCCACAATACCGAAGTTAGCCGATCATGAAACCACTTCTGATTGGCTCAGGGCAGAATGACCCGACGCCGCTGTGGCTCGTGCGCTTTGGTATATCAGAAATTCTCCATCGCGGAAAATACTGGAGCTTCCACCATTGTCGAGATCGGGTTCTATTTGGTACTTCGGCCGTGTTCGATGTGGAACCTACACTACATCAGAGTGCGATAGCACCATGACAGAAAAAAAAAAAAAAAAAAAAAAAGGAGGGCCCGATCCCAGTGCCACAGTATGGTTCCCGGTATATTAGGAGTAAGGATCCAGTGCCCAGACAGGTTTTGCTTTCTCTTCTCAGTAGATCTATACAGACAGCAACTCAGGTCACGGTAAGCCGAGCACTGGTCTCATGGACCACTCCGAGAATCATGCCGCCTCGGCCGACCAGGACGACTTATCCAGGTTCCCGGACCTCTCGAAGACCTCTAGTCGTGATTCATCCGATACCGCCGACGATTTAGACTCCTTAGAACTCAACCGCATCAACACATATCGACTTCAACAGAAAACAACGGTTGGATCTACTCGTGGCCCTCTCCCGCGGGATCAATGGCTCCCCATGGGGGCCGGAAAAGAGTATCCGCCATTACTGCCATCGCCAGAGACGTACGTGGTGGAATTCGATGGATCGGATGACCCGTTGCATCCTTCTAACTGGTCTATGTTGAGAAGGTGTGCATTTGGCTTTTACCTCTACAGATGGACAAGTGTCTAACACCTTGTGTACGTAGGACGGCCCTCGTGTGCATTTTGTGTTACGGTACTTTTGTTGGATCCTTTGCCAGCGCAGTCTTTTCAGCCGCCATCGGCGCAGTCAGTGAGGAGTTCCATGTAAGCTCAGAAGTAGCATCTCTCGGCGTTACTCTGTATGTGCTTGGATTTGCTGCAGGGCCAACTATGTGGGCTCCTGCTTCCGAACTTATTGGACGGCGCTGGCCTCTGTCCACTGGTCTTTTCGGATGCGGAATCTTCACTATTGCTTGTGCCACCGCAAAGGATCTGCAGACGCTTATGCTGTGTCGCTTCTTTGCTGGCTTCTTCGCGGCCAGTCCGATTTCCATTGTACCCGCGGTATTTGCGGACTTGTTCAACAATGCGCAGCGTGGAGTAGTCATGTCGATCTTTTGCATGGCGGTGTTTATCGGTCCTTTCGCGGCCCCTTTCACCGGTGGGTTCATTGCTATGAGCTCCCTTGGATGGCGATGGACTATGTATATCTCTGCCATTATGATCTTCTCAGGATTTATCCTTGTTCTTTTCTTTCTGGATGAAACCTATGCCCCGGTGATTCTGGTACGAAAGGCAGCAGTCCTTCGACGTCAAACGCATAACTGGGGAATTCACGCCAGACAGGATGAAGTTGAAGTGGACTTCAAGGAACTTCTACGCAATAATTTTACCCGACCCATATCGATGCTGTTTTCCGAACCCATCCTCCTCCTCATCTCTCTTTATATCTCCTTTATCTACGGTCTCATGTATGCCCTGCTGGGCGCTTACCCGGTTGTCTTCCAGGGGGTATATGGCATGAACATGGGCGTTGGAGGCCTCGCATTCGTGGGTCTGATTCTGGGAGAGTTACTCGGGGGTGTCTATATTCTTTGTCTGCAGGGTCCGTATGCCCGGAAACTGGCTGCAAATGGGGACAGACCGATCCCGGAATGGCGACTCCCCCCTGCTATTGTAGGCGCGGTCGCATTTACAGGAGGGATGTTCTGGTAAGTCTATTCTTTCTCTAAATTCTATGTAGTACGTAAAGCTAACTGTTGGATAGGTTCGGTTGGACCGGTTATACAGCATCAATTCACTGGATGGCCCCGGTTTCATCTGGCGTTCTGACTGGGTTTGGCATCTTCTGTATCTTTTTGCAGTGCTTTAATTATATCATCGACTGCTATCCTGCATTGTAAGTTCTCTTCATCTTTCATTACTATTTGTCGTCTAATAGTATTAGGGCTGCATCCACCATTGCCGCAAACACTATCCTGCGATCCGCGGTGGGATGTGCATTTCCGCTGTTCTCGCGCCAGATGATGGAAAACCTCGGCGTACAATGGGCAGGCACCATGCTTGGATGCATTGCGGCCATTATGATTCCCATTCCGGTTGTGTTCAAGATGTATGGACCTTGGCTGCGGAGGAAGAGCAAGCTGGCTTGGTCACCTGTTTATGATGTTGAGAAAAAGGGTTACGACGTTTGATCATTTCTTTTAGCGGGGATACCATTTGTTTGTTAGCGTGCATATGTTAGATTAATGGATATACGTATTGTATTTGTCTGTCTGTCCTCATGGGTTACTGGTACCCCTGCGCTACAGTCTCTGCTCAAAAATAAGTGGTATATCTTGTTTCATGCCCAATGTCAAAACCGTCACGCTATCCTGTAATGTCCGATGTGCTCTTTTTTGCATAGATTCCTCACTTTCATCCTTGCTTAACCTGGCCAGTGAAACACGATACCGACTAAGAATCACCGACAAAGCAGCCACGAACTCTACCTGCGCAAATCTCTTTCCCACGCATGCGCGGAATCCATCGCTGAAGGGGATGAATGCGCCCCGTAATGGCTTGTGTATGCTGTTGAATTCAATCCCCGGCCCCGAGAGTCCAGATTTGCCGTCATTCTGCGCAAGGAAACTATCTGGGTTTGACTTGTCCCATCGGTGAGGGTTAAATGAGGATACGTCTGGACCCCAGTATTCCTCTGAGTAGTGCAGGGCATTTGCGTTCAGGTTTATGTTGAGCTTTGGTGGGAGGGAGTAGGTTTTTCCCTTGTGCGTGATGGTCGCGGATGACTCGCCGGTCCATTTTGGGATAGATACCACGGGTGGGTATAGACGCATGGTTTCGAGCTGGATTGGTTATTTAGCTATTGAGCTAAGAAACGGGAGTGGGGTGGCATACCATTACACATAACGGGGCGACTAGTCGAGGGAAAATAACTGAGTATTCCCAGTCTTTTGGGTTCGAAGACTGGTCGCCGGTTGCTTCTTTTATACATTCGTATGTCCATTCTTGGATGTCAGGGTGAACGGATAGAAGAACCAGTGCAAATCGCAAAGTCGTTGCTGTTGTTTCATGCCCTGCTACAGTAAAAATGTGCAGGTTACCGCGGATTTCGGCGTCCGTCAGCTTATCTTCTTTTTGCTGAGACATGGTTATGCCATGCAAGAGGTTGTTGGTGTAAACGACATTTTTTCCTACTTTAGTAGTCTTAATCATTGCTTCGAGATATCGTCCCAAGTCCTCGTATATGAGGACATTTTTCCCAAACAACGGCTTAAATGTGTGAGTAATCCACTTTGGAAGCATCATATTCGCCAGAATAACCTGGTTAAGATACGTATTCATGTGCTCCATTACCTGCCGAAAGGTAAAACTGAACCCTGCCGGGGGTGTATCTGTGTCGTTGAAGTGAGCTTCTAACTCGTCGGTGAGGCTAGCTCTAATCGCTGGTCTGAAAGGTAGCGAGACACCATATCCGGCACCACAGATGACATTCAGAGTCAGTTTCAGAATGTCCGTCTTTGCGGCCGTCAGCAAGACCCGTTCACCTGAGGGATCGGTGGCATGTTCCTCCCGCCAGTATTCTATCATTTCCAGGGCCTGTTGCACAGTCACTCGCCACACGAGGTGGTTGCTATTCTCGTTGAATGTGGACGCGGTATGGCGTCGATGATGGACCCATTGCTTATCCTCACACTAGTCTAGTCAGTCAGTCAGTCCTAGATAGGGATTTCGTTATCATACCGTGAGGACATTCGGCCCATACAACTCTAGCAAGTCTATGGTACTATTAGCAAGCTTATATGGCGCAAACCTTCACAACACTTACCATACTGCCACACGGGCTTGGGAAAACTCTGTCGCTGACTGCAGATCTGAGATATCACCTCGGCGTCTCCGACATGGCAGCTAATACTCGTCGGTGTGGCGACCAGATGCACTGATCCCCGCTTCTTGGACAGTCGGTCTTTCACCATCCATCGATAATTCACCGTGCAGTCATTCAACACATCGGCCAGGCCCGCGGGCAGCCAATTCACGATATACGGCACCAGATTTGTACTGAAGACACTGATAAGGGGAATGCTGAACTCGGATATAGGGAACCAGGTGTAGGGTAGACCTGTGGTCTTCACCAGACGAATGTTGTGAATCAGTTGGAAAATTAATGTAATGAAGTAAACGGCCAACAGGCCCAGAATAAGCGTCCAAATCATGATGAATCTCTGCTGTCCAGAATCCTATACCATGCTTTGATTCTGATTTATGCTGCGATTGTGCTATGCTCGGGCCCCTCGGATCCCGGCGCGACTTACATGCTTACGTGGAAACGCGGGGGTGTCAGATTGATCCTAGTTAATAATGCGGGGATGTTACTACTGGCGAATATAATGGGAGACAGCCCTGTTGCCTATCTGGTACAGACTTGCTCGAGTCTTTTTATTATTACTGTATACTATTATTCATTGGGATAATTCAATGGCTCCACTAGTGATTTATTGTGATTGTAGTAGTTCGCCTATCAATTTTCAATAACCTGATGTAAAGTGCAGGTCTGCTGTTTATCAGGGCACCAATTTTCCAGACATCTTAATATATGTATAGAAGGCAGCCCTTTTTAAAACACTGTAACCACCTCCTTCAGCCAGGATGTCTCTTACGAAGCCCATTGTAGATCGCTTTGTGGGATCCTTCTGACATCACCAAGCTCAACCGAGGGAATTCAGCGAGAGGAAGTACGTCGCCAACGAAGTGCGATTCCTCAAACGGTATCTGCATAGCCTCTCGTACCGGGTTGTTTCGGAGGGCATGTTGTCTGACCCTCCTGCATTCCGAGCCAGAGTTAAAGATTACCTTCTCGGTCAAATTTAGTCACTCGCATTTAGCGACTAGGGCCGGCTTGAAAGACCTTAGGAAATTTAGTCAAGATAAGTTATTTGATTTCCTCGGCTCGATGCGCTGCCTATTAATTTTATATAGAAGCTCTTCCACCTAGGAGCGCCAATAATCCATCTGGGCAATGTCAGATGAAGTCTCATTTAAGTGCTGCAGTTAACTCGCTGTTTGAGTTGGATAGGATGATCTCTATTCCAGCCTGCTCTGATGCCTCTTTCTTATGGTGAATAAAGTCGGCTCGCATTCCAGTGGGGAACCGGGATCTTGCTGCGAAAATGGAGTGAGAATCGATTTAGAAATTCAAAATCTCAACAAATGAGGGGCGAAGGTAATAAATACAAACACAATTAAGGACAGAATGTGCAAGGTCTAGTACTCATACCATGAACTTTGGGACGGAGTAAATTCGACAATTGAAATTGCCTATACATACTGTTTTAAGTGTTGAGTATAATTATAAGAAAAACCTGCCAAAGGTAGGTAGCCTTTTGTTCGAGTCGCATAGATATAAGGACCCTCAATATTAAGCACGCATAACACTTGCCCTGGAAAACATTTTAGCTGCAATAGTAGGGTTATCGAATTAAATTATATTTGGATCCTGGATTTGTATAAGATTGTCCTTTATATCCTCAAATTGTGGTTTGAACTATGGCCACAGTGGTCTGCAGGGCATCTCGCATGAGATACTGCATTAGTTTGATGAGGGGTTGTATATAACAGGGCGCTGGCTGTGTCTTCGACTACTAATCACAACACAATTGGGATACTTAGAGTGCCTTTTCTTTGCTAAGCAAAAACTATACGAAAATAAAATTTCATGGTAACGCAAGAGCCAACCAGTAAGTGTGAGAGTTAAGGGAGAGTATAGCAAAATAAATTTTTAGCGAATTTAAACTAGTTAAAACTATTGGATCTGTATTAAAAAAAATGCACACTGACAGCTTATATCTACTGTATGGTCCATGGTTAGATTAAATTCAAGTTACAAATAGAGCTCTATCTAGACTAAATACAACCTGGTATTTTCTACGGTCAGACTAGAGGTAATCTATTCCATCTCCAGTGTCTACTACATGGAGGTGACCTGTACCCGATTCTTTACAAGACCTGGCGGGTTATTTTTTAAAACTTTGTGTGGGTATGATCTACATCAGCTCATGAATGCAGAGTGCCTAAATAGCCCACATATTAGCGGTGATCTATAACCGTATCCTGGGATTGCATAGTTGGCGCACGAGGGCACAGCTGAACATATTCCAAATAGGTTTTATCCACTTCCTGTAGTATGCACTCTGATTAATGCAAAGTATGCCAACTCATAGCACAAACTTAAGAGATCTGGCCCTCTCTCCAATACCAAGTTGGGAAAAGAGAAAAGAAATTATGAAGTCTGTGCTTAACACTCATCCGAACCAGACCCGCCTCAACTATATAGTACGGAGTAGCCACCTTCCTCATCTCAAATAACACAGATTTCCAATCAGACAATATTCATGTATTCATAATCCTTTCAGTGGCTAATCAATCTCTCTCTATCTCGTAAATCTTTACGTTTGACCGCTGACACGATGCCCTTTCCAAAGTCATGTTGCAATCTGGCATGCAATGTAACGCCCTGGCGTTCACCAGGCCCACCATGGTGTTTGTGTTCGGGAACGAGCTAGCCCGGAACGAGAATGCCAGGAGGTGGAATTAGGCAAAATCTTCTGGTTGGCAAGTTCTCTGTGAGACCAGGGAATCTGCAAGCGACTCGAATTCGCAACTAAAGCACGCCCAGATACGGCATTAATTGTACGCGATTCATGTACTTCTCAGGCGCCGCTGACGCCCGCAGCAGCCACTATTCAACAGACGGATCTCACAATGTAGAAGGAGCGTGGAAGTATGTTGAAGGCCGGATTGATATTGGAAATTTCAAATCGCACGTGCTTGTAGTCATCTGTCTGCTACACATACATTCTCACACCATGTGGATATGCAAAGAATTCTCTACTACGGAAACTTAGCGAACTAGCCGAAGAGTTCTCCGTCGCCAATATAAAGCGGAAAACAAGGATAACCCGAAAGCCGAGTACCACGTTGTCTTTCGCAGCTATGTCAATTTGGTCTGGCCAAAGGTCTTCTCATTCACTGGAATGTTCTTTGCGCGGCAGTGTCCTCACAACTTTCCTTGTTGGTTTTGTCGTACGTTGCTTCTTGTTGGCAACCGTCACGTGTTTGGCCCTCCGTGACAAATGAGTCCCTTCACAGCAATGGGCCCTGAGTTGTATAGCGAGCTCCCGTACTCTTGGACACACTCTAAGACCCTCAGCAATGGCCAGCACCTCTGCATGGTGCTGGGGACTACTACTCGAATATCTCTCGGTGCTTGAGGAAGCTAAGATCGGACTTAACTATAACTAATCTTGTATTCCTAAATGATTCTGTGCTATTTTCTCTCCGTTGCGATTTCGATAAACTATTTAATATTGTAGTCGTTAAGTACTAATGAATCTACCATCAGGATAATGGCAGAATTTGTATCATTTGTATATTGGGTCTTGTCCGTGGAGGTGCTGTAAGCCTGTAAGTATTACCCACCACGTAAGTACTCCCAGGGTTGAAAAAATAAAAAATAAAAAAAATAAAGCCGGATAGGGGTCCTTTGTTCTCTTACATATCCTCAGCACATGGGTAAATGAGTAAGTTGCCCGCAAAAGGCATGGTGAGAGTATTCAGGCGGATGTTTAGGGCGTAATACAGTGTGTAGCAAATAGCCACTCCTCCATAGTCTGAACACATTGAAAATCACCAGCCGAGAACTGGATGATCGGCTCCTTGTCAACAGGTGAAAGCAGGGAAAAATAAGAGCCGTAGTGATCGTTGGCACACTATTGCAGGGTAAAAGGCCTATCAGAGGTACCCGGACAATGGACGCAGAGGTTGAACGATAGTGTGATTAATCGAAAGTTATATGGCTACCCCCGCTCCTTTGACATTGAAGCCTTTTTTCCCCAGGAGCAGAATTAGTCGAACACCAAACCCATCATGATAATTGATGTGCAAGGCCACAAAGATGTCTGGCTTGTGCACAATGTATTATATAGGAGATTGATATACCTTCTCTATTCTATTAATGGAACCCTCTTGTTCTACCGATTCCATGGCGGCTGAGCCTCCGTCCCATCATCGCTTTTCAAGTAAATCCTCTGCCCGGGAATCGAATGTGGGGACGGCTGCCAAAGCAGTTGCCGAAATAATAGCAAGGAAGACAGTACTACAGACACGGTTTCTTCATAGCAGTGCTTGCGCAGAGGCAGGACGTATAGTAAAGAGAAATTGATATATTCATACTAACGCCATATAAAAATATAGCTACCACATTGCGAAGAATTCCAGTAGAATCTATATAACGACTAAGGCTCCTTCATATTACTAGGCTTGTACAGTAAGATATAAAACAGAGTTTAGCATTTCCCTAGGTATTAATAATTGTGGCAGTGTTAGTTACAGCAGACCATTTAAAGGGTTTAAGCTGATTATTGGCCTGGAAGTTCTCTTTAACAATGGCTATACAGTATGACGCTTAGGAGATATGTCGCGCCCAAAAAGGTTCAGATATCTGCTAAGCCTTTAAGAATTCTGGATGTTCTTACGGATGATCTAACATCCGATAAGAGTAAATATTATTCTGTTTAATATACTTTGCATTAAAATTTGTACATCTGTCACAGTGATTTAGGATGTGCCGCAAAGCAAATAAAAGATTATTGAATTGGCCAGATAGGTTGAGTAGGTAGGGCAGGTTTGGAAGTATATAACATTAAGATATTTTTCCTATTGGACTCTTATTATTCTTGTCTTAGATGGCATTTGTCTTGTAGAATCATTCCCTTCAGCTAACAACCATACTTCCTTATCCTCCTGCGTAAGGCCGCTGTTGAGCTCGGCTCGTAGTCCACATACATTATATTTAAGAAAACTATAACTACTTATAATATCCACGGATACTTGGATTTAAAAGATATGGATATGATTAATTTGCTAAATTTTACAAATATGATTTATGGTCCTACCAGTCAAAACCCTTTTAACAGGTTGACTGTTTTTCTTTATTTTGTTATTTATTTGTTTGAAAGTGGTTTATCCAATAGTATCCCTATGGTCTTTCAACCGAAAATCGGATCTTTGAAAGCGCTATCGAATAAATACTAGTGAAAGACCCTATTATTGCATGGTAAAGGCCTGTAACAACAGCTTAATTCAACGGAGCAGACTGACTGTCCATTCCCGCACCCTCACAGGAGAAAAAAACTCATATCTGTATCCACAAAACATGTCACAAGGCATGCTATGATGAGCGATATAGCCTCAGGTTGGAATTTTATTTACCTCCCACCCTTTAGCTGCTTCTGCCAGACCCCTTTGGGCCACTGTGTGGTTTTTCCCGCAATTTTTGCTGAAGAGCGTTGAGTTTATACCTCGGACATTGGATATGCCACGCAATATAACCTTGTTTGAAAGATGTCCACAATCTAGCGGCCGATTGGAATTCTTTGCCACTATCTAATTCCTCAGACACATCAGCGTTGACTCCTTCTAGCCCTGCTCTTAGCCCTTTAGAGGTAACTTGTGCAAGAGGCATAAACGCATTGTCTAGGACCTGCGTGCTGCTTAACGCCTGCTCGAAAGCTTCACATAATGTATCTCGAAGTGTCCACTGACCCCCTTCGACCACAAAATTCGAAGTAGATCGTCGCAGACGCCTTGCTTTAGTAGTTAAGCTTATAAAGTTGCAGGTTTCCCCCACAATGGTTTCTTTGGGAAATGACAACAAGTCATTCCAGATATTGAGGAAGGTAATCAAATGGGGAATGGTGGCTACCCAGTGAAGTAGCGGGATTTCGACCTCACGCGAGGGCTTAAAGATAGCAACTGCGTACGCAGCCGCGAATCCAGTCAGTGAGCGGAAATACGGAGCAAACAGGTCGGTACAAGCGCTAGTTGTCTCGCTATAAGGCGTGTTATCGTTAAAGTGTGTCGGCAAATCTTTGGCAAGCCGGTTTTCTAAAGAGTTTGCGGTTATGTAGCTAGTCCATGCTATGGATCCGAGGTTCCCAAGAAATGGCTCATTTTCACCGAAATACTCCGCATATCCACTGATAATATCTGCGTACATTCTGCACCAGCTGGTCTGTTGAGGCATACCTCTCCATATATTCTGACTAAACTTTTCTACTTCTTTGCATGTTTCGGGATCCATAGTTGCATCATCCACAGTAAATGCAGCAGCGCTTGCCGTCGCCATGTGTATCTTGGTCTCATAAGATGAAAGAGGATAAAAGTACTCAGAAACGGAGGCGGACATATCTATAGTATGTCGCAATAAATATTCGTCTCTACCAGTGGCGATTGTCAGAGTGTCTCGAGCCCACTTTCTGATGCCGTCGCGAAGTTCTATGTCTTGAGCCCGGACCCGGTGATGATAGCCGATAGCCTTAAGGAGGAGAACAAGGGCATCCGTGAAACGATCAGCAATTAATATCCGGTGGGGTTCATCTAGTTCATGAATATTGTCAACGTTAAAACAGTCAAAGAGGTCACTGGAAAGCATATGAAATGGGCTCTGAGCCATTATTAAAGTATAGTATTGGTTAAAGGTTGTGACTATAGAGTGAATGGTGATTTAGGATTGGGGATAGGAAATAATAACAGAAGCGGTTCCCAGAATGGACCTAAAAGATCCGATAGCTTTCGCTACTGTAAGATAGGATAATAAAGTCATAGTTTACGTCACGTCATCCTATCTATATCTTTTCCGTTGTATTTCTCAGTAGAGGATATATTTACGAATTATAGATTAGTAAAGAAATGTGAGATGTAGACGTCATACAAAGAAAGTTCATGGTTTCGAAAAGTTCTGGGCACTGAATCCAAATAAGCACAATTAACCAGCACGATGAAAGCACATGTGGCAAATTAGCGACTAAATTGTTATGCAATAAGTTTTATAACTTACTTAGACCCTGGTACAACTCGAGATATTATAGTTACTAAATTTCAGTGATGTCAGGCAAGTCAAAAAACTTTAATTAACTTGTGACAAGCATTTTATATGGGATTAGTAGACTGGCTAGTGATATGTGGCTATATGTAAGTTTATATTTAAACAAGGATTCTTGTAAAGTTAAATGCCAAGTGTGGCATTTCCACGAGTGGCGAAGTGAATAAAATACTCCCTCTCCAAAACGACGAACGTCATGATTTTCCTTCCGAGTGGAGGCCAGAGAAACATGAATTTATTTTACTCCAAGAACCACCCGCAATGCTTTAGAGGCATATATATCTCTAAACTCAAGATCATCGGAACCCTACAAAGACGTAATGCTTATTGTTTCTGTAGTTTCAGTTTTCTAGCTTCTTATATATTACTACCGTCATAAACCGCTTTGCGGCTTTATGCCCCCGAGTTTCCTCTGGAGGCAGGGAAAAAACTCGCCATTAAAAGTTTAAAGAATGATTCTGATTAGCGTTGTTTTGGTCATATGGATCTCCTATGTTCTTGTTCTAGGAATCTACCGACGTACGCGCCTTAAATGTGAAAAGTAACAAGAACATTACTAATTCTGTCTTTAGTTTTCCTGAGCCCTCTTGCTACATTTCCAGGGCCCAAACTAGCAGGTACGTCGTAGTTGAGGTGGATTGACGTAAAAATTAGGACTTTGCACACTATGAGCATGTTACGGCTTTATATTTGTTCTACACATCCACTTTTGGAACATACATGACTCACTATTATTTATTCCTGTTCAGCATACTCTAGTTTTCGTTCTGGTTTGCTTCATCTGACAACATCTAATATACGAAATTTAGCTCTTACGACGTGGTACCAAGGTTACTATGATATCTGGTTACGAGGTCAATATTTTCGAAAAATTGAACAACTTCATGCTCAGTTCGGTATGACCTAACTACTATATTTCTGTGGATGATAAAGCTGAAAACTTGAAGGTCCTATTGTTAGAATAAATCCTCATGAGGTCCATATTAATGATCCTGAATATATCAGCAAGTTATACACAGGCCCAACTGAAAAGCGTGACAGGTATAAATGGGTGGGAAGGTTGATGTCATGTAAGGTTTCACCTTGTTGGCTTCTCTATATACTAATTTGAACTGTAGTTCACCAAGCCGCTGCCGGGACAATACCGCACGAGCTTCACCGCTTGCGAAGAGCTCCTCTTCAATCGTATTTCTCTAGAGCAAGTATTCGTCACTTAGAACCTACTATGAATGACGTCTTAAAGGATCTGCTCAGGTGGTTTGATCGACACCGTGAAACAGAGAAGGTGTTGCAAATCAACAAGCTATATCGTCTCGCCACCAGTGATATTGTCACTGAGTACTGTCTGGGAGAGTCCACAAACTTCTTAAAAATGGATGACTATAATTCTTCGTATCTAGATGCTATTGATACCAGCTTCGAAATGGTACACTGGATGACACACATTGCTTGGTTGGGTCCAGTAGTCGAGATAGTGCCTCTACGATTATTGGCCTTTTTGTTACCCAGATTAGAACCTCTACGAAAGGTATATTTGGTAAGTCTAATTGTGGAAAATATACCGTTCACTCGGGCTAATGCATACTCAGAAATGGGAGCAGCAGGTGGAGAAACTTAGATCTGCTGGAAACTTGCAATCAAGCAAACCTATTGTATTGCACGGATTATTGAACAGTGGTCTCCCACCATCTGAAAAGTCTATATCTAGATTGAGACAAGAGACTCGGGTCCTCGTGCTTGCTGGCCAGGATTCTACTGGTAGGAGGAACACCTTTCTTCGTTTCTCCCAATATAGACGCTTAACTCCTCTCAGCCTCCACATTATCGGCCATCACGTTTCAACTTCTTTCCAACCCCGAGAAGCTTTCGAAGCTGAAAGAAGAGTTGGCTGCAGCAATTCCAGATCCAGAAAGTTTTCCCCCTTGTTCCCAAATCGAGACATTACCGTATCTCACCGCCGTGATCAAGGAGGGTCTTCGGTTGCATCCAGGAGCCGTCCTCCGCATGCAGAGGGTGTCCCCAGAGAAACCCCTAATATATAGAGACACTAAGAGATGTATCACGTGGACTATACCACCAGGAACACCTGTCAGCATGACCTCATTATTGATTCATAAGAACTCCGAGATATTTCCGAATCCAGAAGCATTCCAGCCGGAGAGGTGGCTTGCTAATCAGAGGCTTGATCGGTACATGCTTGCCTTCTCTAAGGGAACGAGAATGTGTTTAGGGTATGTACTGCCCTGTCGAAGATAAGATTCGCTCCGTTAACAAGTTTTAATTTTACATAGGGTAAATCTTGCGTATCAAGAGCTCTACATCTTTCTCGCTGGCATATTTCGAAGATATGACCTTTATAGAGAGAGTGAAAAAAACACTGGACCGACGTTGGCTTTGTACGAAACAGTTAGAGAGACTGATGTTGATGCAGTGGCTGAAATGGTGGTTGCTGCCCCGGCATTGGGAAGTAAGGGTACACAAATCATTGTGCGATAAGGTTTTGTTAATTCTGGTGGTAACGTGTACTGTACTTAAGGTGCAGCAAGTTCAAGGCTTGATGAACATCACCTCCAGTGTTGCACACTCATACAGGTTGGAGCTGGATAAGTGGTTCTTGTCAGTCGCTCTAGTTCGTTCGTCCTTCCTTCGAGCGTTGGACCTCGTCCACCTTAATCTTCAACTTCACACTAATTAATGGATGATAAAGTAATGATCTGCATCTTAGGTGGTTGCCTAACGTGCGGGGGGTTCACACCCCCGAATACTTCAACCCTCTTCCTGTATTCTAGATGAGCACGAGTTAATCCTGGGCTAAGGGCTTACCTCCATGAGCTCACTCCAGGATCTTCAGAGAGCCGAACTTAGGTACTAGATAGTTGCGTTCTACAGCATCCGGTGTACAGGGTCCTAGGCCAACGAGCTAGATACTAAAACTATTTATTAAGCTTAGTATATCCGGGAACATTCAGCACCCCCTGCTTCCGAACGAACCAGGGATTATCCATTAGAGTGGAATATCAATCGATCCACCCACGGTCAATCAAGCAGTTTGGGAGTTTCTGAGTCTAACAAACCACCTTGCTAAAGACCAGGAGTTCAGAAGCTGGTTAGGCAGTTAGTTACTAATTAAGCAGAATCCCCTAAATCTTTTAGGTTGTTCCGGTGCGTCAAGATTATCTCGAGCTTTTTTGAGCCTCTTCGATCGAACAGAGACTTCGTCGGATTAACCTCAGACGCTTTATCAGCCCAGCCAGGCCTGCAAACCTTTAACAGTACGGCAATCAGCTAGATCTAGAGAAATTCTGTCCTCTGCTCGTCTGTCTGCTAGGCGTTTATTTAATAAATTACCCTTGACTATTAAGCACCGCAAGGATAGTTACCGAGAGTGGTAATGATACTGTCTTGGGGACTTATATTAACCAGCTCCTATTCTACCGCGGTATTGTCTATCGTTTAACATGTTTGATTAAACACTTCAAGTTATTAGCCCGGCGGCCTTGCTGAAAACTCTTTATCAAGCACAACTAGCTACTAAAATAGGGGTCCTGTAAACACCCCTTTACCTCCTGTTCCTCCGGTGTATCATGCGCAAGATGCGTTGGCCCAAATCCTTACCTTAATAGCCCAGATAAATAACCAGTTGCAACGACCGGAAAACCGAGATAATAACTAATCCCAACACTGTCAAGGACCGCCCGGTCCGCCCGGCGATCCTGGCTCTCCAGGTGGTCCAGGCGATCGCGGACCTCCTGGCCTCGCGTGAAATGGAACACTTGGTGACCCCTGGAAAACAGAAGCAATGGGCTACTTCTGGCCAGACCTTAAAAACAACGTCGCGTTGAAACAGGTGAATAACCATGTTTACTACAAGGATATCAACATATTTGTGGATATAGTTAAAGACGTAACATATACAGGTAAGGAGATGGTGAAAGCCAATATTTGGTCTCTTAGAAAACGAGGTTGGAAACCGTCACCAGCATTTTTATGTTCGATGATTAGGTTGACTACTTCACTCTCAAATTCGACCTGGTTCGTTACAATAGTCTCGCTGACGCCGGAACGGAATGCCACCATTTCGATACTGTTTGAGAGTGCCCGTCCAATCGGGCGATTGGGGTTCGGCGGGTTCATTGTGGGGGTCCGTATTTATGCTTCCGCTCCTCAGTTGGCTATATTTGCAAGGTATGGGGGTCATTTCCGTTGCGATTTATCTGACATGCCAATACACTAGAAGAATATCCACATTCAACTCTCTCCCCTCATCAAAGAGTCCGAGCTGAGTCACCTCTGACTTGAAGTTGACCTTTCCCCTTTTTGGGAGGCCGCTGTGACTCACGCAGGGGGAAGAACGACTACAAAAACACAGCCGCATCCTAAACTGACCAGATTTTCTCCTTCCTCAGATTTTTCAGCATTCACATTCAGTCCAACAATTTGCCATCAGCGATTGTTCCAGCAGCCATGGAGCGAGTTAGGAAAACCTTCTTCGACCCTTTGGCGACGTCTAAGGCTCGGATTCGAGAGTCCTTAGCGGGACTTCCTGTCGGCTCTGCACACCCTTTCAGCCCGGAGCGCATTCTTCTTTGTCGGACAGAGAGCGGCATTGATGAAATTGATGTCTCTTCCTATCCAGAAGGCTTTTTTTTCAGTGCCGTGGATCTGGGGGAGATGGGCGAGATCCTTTTAAGACGAATGGCTGGCTTCCGGTCTCATCTGAGTACGCCCTAGGTCCTCTCCTATCCTACTTCTAAAGATCTCCGTCAAAGTATAAATAGTAACTATTACAAGGCGTATTTGAGGACTTCCATATCCAGCAAGCACCAGCTTTAACTTTCAAGATCCCAATAGTCTCAGGGCAAATTACGATCTTGGCAGTCTCTGAAAGAACACCCACTTACTATGACTTCTGCTTCGCCGACGCAGACTGTAACGCGTGTTGCTGGCTTGCAAGGAAAACATTTCCCGGCATAACCCATAGTGGCGATATCCTCAATAGGCAAGATCTCCTAGATTATGTCACCGTCAACAAGGACTCTCTCACAGACAAAGAGATCTGCGTCTTCATATCAGGCTACCAGACTACGCAAATCACAAGGTTTCTAGGAACAAACCCTGCACTGCTCGTTGCCAATCATGTAGATAAGGTAACTTCAAAATGAAGCCTTGTTCATTCTTTCTTGTTTGGGGCGGGCACGAATTGACTTATTGTTGGAAGGTTCTCTACATCATCCCTGTACCGTTGGACGCAGCGACAATTAGAGACGCGACTATCTGCTGTCCTTTGGTAATAAAGCGTGATGGAGACTCGTTGATCTGTTCAATACTGCCAACTGCAACCACAGACCGAGACATGATGTGCTCCAGCGACAAGTTGGTGAGCCCTGCCTTCCCGGAGGCGATTAAGCGCGCCGACTTCACTATCTCTTTGCCTCAGCCAACCGTCACACGAGGTAAATATGTTCACTTTCTAACCTGACGGACTTGTAAGCAAGGGTGATGCTTATACAGATGTAGTCGCAGTGGATGACCCAGGTAAAGAAGATACGGGCTTGGATTCAGAAAGTCTGCGCATGATCATCGCCAAAGAGAATGCTGTCCTCACCACAAATTCGGCCACATTGCCTTCATTCCTTGCTTTGGAAAACACACAGATCATAAACTTCGGCACTGGTATTGCGTTTGAGCTACCAAATGAGAAGCTGCCCAGTAAAATTCAGCCATCCGCTGTTGTCCTACCCTGCATTTTTGGTTCTCAGCTTCAAGGCCCAGCGCTGTTGGCCACAGGAACAACCCCCTCAAATGTTCCATTTCTCGACGAAACGGCTCTCCGCGACTACTATGAGCAGCTCAAGAATATTGTGGTAATTGTTGACGACCGAATGACAGATAATGCCCGTAATCTCGCAACTTCCTACAGGATCAATGCACCCTTTATCGTGCAACTCAACCCGGAAAATGAACCCAAGAATACTGACGATGTCCTGTCGTTGTTGAATTCAGCCAACATTAATGCGGTAACAGCACTTGCAGGACCACAGTCCTTGGTTCTGGTTCAAGTCTCTGACAAGTATTACTTCTATAGAGGCCTTGCTAATCGGGCCCACCTTAACACGTCCAGTCTAGTGTTTGGTTCAGATGTAACATCCATACTCGAGTCTGTAGGAATAGACTCCATGATATATCCAGGAGTAAAACGAATAGTTAACCTTGACGATTCAAATACGATCATCCTCCCAACCTCGGGGCAGTTCATCCTGCCTGGCGATCTTCAGAAGCTGATCGAAGAGCTTCCAGTCGAAAAGGTCCATGACATGGAAGAAGATATATCCGCAGTAGTTACACAGCTACAATCGCTTTTGAACCAAAAAGATCTGCTGGAACTCTCCAAAGCCTTGGTGTCTGCATTCTCCGCAAACGTCAGCAACGTGACGGCTCCATTGCGGGACGCCTACATCACGTTCCTGGCACAGGAATACAAAATGGAAGATCCAAAATTGGTCCAAAGGAAGAACGCATTACTTGGAGATTTAAGAAAGAGCACGAAGGAGATGCAAAAGGCTCTTGAGCCGGCGATTTCAAGCTTGGCCAACATGATGTCTTCTCAGACGACTTCGAAGCGAACACACGATCTGAAGCGACTTGTTCGGCAAGCCCAGATTCAGGGAAATGTCGAGGCCGTCAAGTCCATGACTTTCGACACTCTGGCGGGATATCTTGAAACATATGCGGCAGAGATGGGTGTCATGCTATTGAATATTGAGACCGTGCCATATCGCCAGCTGTTGGGTAACTTGAAAAATGCGGCCATTGATGCCAGGTATGCGCAACCAGCTTGTTAAAGCCTTCCCCCATCTGAACGGCTTTTCTTTCATTATTAAAAATTTTCCAAGACAATTTCCTCCGTATAGCGGCGCTGACCTTAATTTGTAGTCAATGTTGCGAGCTTGACTCGAGAGTTCTGTATCTCGAAGGATTTGACGCTGGGATAATCATAGAGCAGTCGCAGGGCAACCATACTGGCCCGCTTCGAAGCCAAGCCGGATCCTCCCAGCCAATTTTGGCGGTGCCTTACCTGAACCAAGGAAAAGGGAACGGATCCATGCTAGCTTGGGTCTGCTGGGATGAATTTGTCAACCTCAAAAGCCCTTACACTGTCAGATGGATGGAGAAATGCAATGAAGCACACATCGCTGCGCTAAGAATCATAATGAGACAGACTATCAGTCAAGCAGTGGCGTCCCGAGAGCACGACATTCAACCTGGCAGCCCCGAGACTGGTCATCTTATGAGCGCATTGTTGATGGCGGCCATGACGAAACTCGCCGCGATGAGGATAAGTGCACCAGTTGTGTTAGACACGGCCGAAGATACTGTCACACGATTGATGCGAGGACTCTTTGGCAATCTGTTGACAATAGCGGGCTCAGGGGTGCGTCCTCTAAGCATGGTCTGGCAGCTATTTGGTCTGAATCCGCAATACGACATTCCAAATAAAGATGCTGAGTGGATTTGGTACGAAACCGTCGTCGCCTTATATCCTTACACAGGCTGGCCTCTGAAGCAGTTCTACGTGAACCTGGAGAAGCTTCTTGACAAGGTCATTGTCCGTGTGGTCACCAAGAACGAAAAACTGGCCGAGATCAAATTAAGCCGTACAGCTGAACTGGTCAGATATTGCAAGCTCCGAAACATTCAGCTCGACCATTCTCGCACAATTATTACCGCTTTTATGCGAATGCTGACAACAGAGAATATGGACATCGCGGCCGTTGCAGCACGTCTGTTAGAGCAGCTTCCACAAAAGTTGGAGAAACAGTCTCGAAGCTACACAAGAATGATCAAGTATCTCGAGCATCTCGCCACGGGAGGTCAACGGTGCGTCCATGACGACCTCGTTACCGCCAACGTTTACACCAGGCGCTCAGCTGCCTTCAGAGAACTTAAGACTGAGGTGTCAGAAGCGTGCGGGCGCAATGATTGGACTAAGATGAAGGAGTCCTGTCAAGCGCTGGTGGACAAACATGCTGAGATTGCTGCTCTCTGGCATGTCTCTCCTGAATTATTGAAGATTCAAAACATAAAGGTGTACAGAGATCTTTTGGAAGCGGACTTTGGAGACGATGTTGAGCAAGAGACAACAGCCAAAAAAACCAGAGGCTAATCAGCCAAGTTCTTAGCGATGCAGAGAGAAGCCGTGTTCCTTGGCAAGTGGGGAAGAAAGGTCAATTCGGTGACAACATTGAGCCCCTCAATGAGGCCTTGCTCCATGAAATTCTGACGGGGGAGAGGCATGGACCTGTCGCAACCATCGATTCGGATGAGAAAGTAGCCGCAACGACAACAGCTATAGTTGAGCAGAACACAGACGAAGAATTCTCCCAATTCAAATCGTCACTACAACCTCATTTCATCGCCACAATGCAGAAGAGCCTGACGGCTGAAGATGTCTGCGGTATTACCAAGATTCCTGTTACCGCAATGCGTGTTTTCATTAAAGCTCTTAATCCTGAGTTTGTATGGGAGGATTTGGGGCAGAACTTCAAGGCGGTAATTCTGGGGTTATTGAAGGAGCGGTCGAATCGGGCGGAGAGCCGTCCTGTTCAGAAATTGTTGGATCTGGAGAGTGGGAATAAGGCGTTGCAGATTGAGGGGTGACATGAGGGAGTTGCTTTAAATGAGGCTAGGAGACATGATAATCGGCGGCTCATAGCACATGGCGATAGAGCCGAGTCCTCGGCTTGTGCCCCCCCAATGGTACGTGAGGTGGGTGTACAGTCAAGCAGGGACCAAAATTCAATGGCTCCATCGCTCCTGGAGGGTGTTGTAAACTGGTCGCAAGATGTCTGATGCTATTGTAAACACCACTTTGCCACTCTTTGTTGATCGCCGTTGCAATCTCGCCTGAGTCCGTTTTGACTGGACAATAGCCTGTAGCACTCCTTCTCTCCGAGCTTCTCGCATTAATATGCCATCCATGTAGGTGTGGATGTAAGTCTCTTCATTGAGACTGTTGCTGTGGGGGTAGCCAGCTTCATTTCCTTTGTGGTTGGCGGCGTGAAAACTCCTCCCAGTTCCGGCACAGCTTGGAGTCGTTTTGAAGCGAGGCACCCTGTTACATATCAGTGTGGGTTTAACAATATAATATTACTTAGGATTAAAGTGGCAATGGCCATATGATCTGGTATCCACCACACAGGTATTCCACTGCACAGACTTCTCGCTCCGTAGCATCTATTATAACCTATGCTTCGGCCTGTTTCAACTAGCACCTGAATCTTGCGTAGATGGATTTCCTAAAGAGGGGCACAACCTCCGCGCAGCTGTTAAAAAGACTACTTTACATTTCGCATACTCTGTCGAGTATATCAGGAGCCCTAATGACACCAGAAGACCCCAACTACTTACTGGCGCCACAAGTAAACATAATTTCGATCCACTCCTGGATCTCGTACCGCTATGTTTTTGGCAGTACTACGTCAGGTGCTCGAAGAGTACCTGTCGCCCTTTGCACCGACATGTATTATACCAGACCACGTTTCCTTTCCCAATCCACATCACCAGCTAATGCGAACATGGCTGACTACTAGGCTCGAGCGCAATTTCTAGAAGCTGGCTCCTGCAGATACAGTTGCCACCATTTGTGATCGATAGCCACCTATGTCCCTGGAGGTTTTACTGGGAGATTGGCAAGAGTGCGTAATGTCATTGGGACCGGACCGGTTACCAGGATGTCGAAATTCCTGACAATTTCCGTTGGATAGGGAAGACGTTCCATGTGTACGATGACGTGGGTCCCGTTTTGTCCTGCCTGTCAGTGGTGATGTGTGGCACGGTCTGAAAGGAGAACAGCAAGGGGTTGGTGGGTTTACATCGTATACCTAGCCACAGGTATTAATTTTCACTATTTTTCTAATATGGCTGGCCTAGGTCTGTAACGTCCAGTTCAGAGGAATTAACTCTGCAGACATGGTCTACGATCAACAGCTGATCATGGACCAATTCGGCTCCTAGACAGCAATACAGTGGTCAGTGTCTTGGAGCAAAAGTTGTGTAGTGTATTTCATTTTGGCCAGTGAATCCAAGCATTCTGAACTAATATCGTCCGTGGTTGCACAACTAATTTCAGTTGTATCTACAGCTCGACCAGGATCAGTCTGGAGTATGCAACCTAATAGAGATGTGGTCCTGGTGTTTAGACTCTACAATAGGAGCTAGACGACGTGGACAAAGGAAGATAGTAGAAAGATACCGGGAGGAATATAGCTCATAATTGACTTCGCTCTATAACTAAAGGCTCTATCATTCAGCATGACATTCCTAAGGCTGATCGATCCTAGTTCATTTTCAAAGAGCCCATCATGGTAAGTGCTAAAAAGCAGACTACCAATTCGGGCCTCACCGCATGCATATGCAAGGGCGGATGTGAGACATGCCCTTACATGGGAGGTAGATACACGAGGTGAAGCGACGCAAATCAGACGGTGCATGGGAGGGTGAAACACTATCTTTCTACACGGCGCGCACATGCAAGGGTGGAGTTTTCCTTCCGGCACTACACTGGCGGGGACCTGCTTGTGCCGTACAGCTTTGCGCACCTGAAAGCTCAGCGGTTCCCGATTTTGAGTCAGACCTGTCTAGCAATTGACCTGTTACCGGTGTCGCCAGTCGTCGCCGACGATAGCCCAGTCTTCGTGGCCCGTGCGAGTTTCATTGACGGTGGCCTCCTGGCCTTCGGCACGTCCCATGCGATCGCAGATGGGACTTCTGTCGGGATCATTCAGAAGATCTAAGCTCACCATACGGGAAACGCAAAGACGGTCATGCCCAGTGTCCTCTCTCAGTTGCCTTTCGATGAGGATCGTGTCCGGCTCTTTCACGGAAAAAATCATTGTACTTTGTGAGCGACGAGCCCTTGGAGAATCTGTGATCGATCCTGGAACCCACCGCTGGGCTTAAAAGTGCTCGAAATGGCCGCGGCGAGACAATTACCCCAGGGTGCTGGCTGGTCCATTGCGCCCACCGTAGTAACGGCATCTGGTACTGCAATATGCATCAACCCAGGACCCTTGCCAATGGATCTATTCAACTCGCGCAATTGGATGGATGCAGCCTAGCGCAATGGCAATGAATGAACTTGTGGACTGCGGGTTCACTATGCCACTCTTCTGAACGAGAGTCAAATATGAACTACGACCCTTCTTGCTTGGGATGGCCGGATTGCGTCTATTGTTGCCCCCGACATGATGGGACTGCGATTGGAAAAAATCAAATGGCTCAAGGAGCCAACTGCATAGGGAGAAGAATTCACCTCTGGGGAGCATAGCCTGCACAATAACACGCGTGGTGTGTTTCGATGATATGGTACCATAAGGGAAATCTGGTATATATGTTTCGAAGTCGGGCTGGCATCTACACTTGGAGGCCTTAAAATTGAGTACAGGTCAGGTACGGCAGTCATTCGCTGTGTGTCATAATAAAGACCTCTACGCCCTCTATGTTAAAGATGGTGGAATCTGGTATTCCTCCGGTGACGACGGCGGAAACTGGTCAGAGAGGAAGAATTGGTTTAGGCGTGGTACAACTGTCCGATGGTGATGGTTTAGTCCACTATTTCAATGGGAATGTAGACAGATATGTCTATCATGCGGTGGATAAGGAAGATGGAGAATGGGAAGACTTGGACAGAATGCCCGTAGATTTGTCCCCCAACTTGTCTATAAGTTGGTTCATGGATCTACTTTGCCTGGAGGTCAAGAGATACCGATGGCTGACTCTGTCTCGCCAAATTCGATGGCAAAACATTGATAGATGCAGTCCGCACTGGTCACTTGGTGGTTGGGACTCCAAGCTTCACCAAAACAGCCAGCAAATTCTATATTTGTACCGACCAGTCATTGACACTAAGGATACAGTATTAAACTCTAGTGACTACATGCCAGCGGGTGGACTGCGCTGGACACGGATGAGGTGAGTATTGTCAGTGCCCCGGCATTCACGGAGTTCCAATAACTATGTTATCGAGTTCTATTAACTAGCCCAGTGAAGTGTGTTCTATATTCACTAATTTATTGGTGAAGGCGTATCCCGGAATAGTCATATCCATAGTGGTGTAATTCTATCCGGCATGGTATTCAGACCTGCTTATATCTATTTAAAACCCCTCCATCTTCCAACCAATCCAGCCGTCCAGCCAGATTCTCCCTCTTCTGTCTCTACACCATCCCCTGTTGAACCCTTGGCTAGTGCTTTAGATTTACCTTCCCACCTAAGACCTTGGCCTTTTTATCCACTAGAATTTTATTGAAACATACTGGGTGACTTACTATCATAAAATGTTCAATCCCAATGCTATCTACCTAACTCTGATAGCAGCTCAACAATGCGTCATCGCCATCGTCTTTCAAAGAGAGTTTGAGTCCGACAGTTTCGTCCAACTTCAGAAATTTTCTGAACGCTAGGCCGCATGGATATCAGGCTCATGGCGCAGACGATGCTACTCCCGTTCCTGCGGACATTCTTCAAGCACATCCTATTAAATGGGCAAGATTCCTGCTACTGCCCCATCCCACATCTCGGCGTTGAAGATTCGATTGAAATTTAAATTCCCTCGATCTGGAGTTGGTGACTAGAAAAGCTCAAAGGAGTCTATGTCACGGCTGTTTTGAAAGAGAATGCCATTTAAAGGTTGTGTCCAAGTCTCTCCTCATTCGAATTTCTTCTTCCAAGTGACATGATTGTCACCATTCGTAAACATGCCGGGCAACATCCTCCTCTAAGTCCCGATTTCCTTTCCTTACATGGTGCCATCACTCAAATCTTACATGCAAGAGGCCGTGAAGAATATATCGAGAAGCTTTCTGCGAGATCTAGGGTGCACTGGTGGATCGGGTTTTGCAAAAGATGAAAGTGCAAATATTGGAGCTACTATCTATTAGAAGCCTATCGCGTCTGTCTTCGGGTGCAAGCCCACGACAATCAGAACAGGATACGGTGCGAAAATTGTATGGCTGAACATACTGCTTCGGAGTATCAGCCATCATAATCGTCTACTGGATCCTCCAAATAGAAACATCCAACGCGGACCCGGTCTCGAGCTCGCTATGCCCCTTCAAATACAATACACCGCGGCGATGCTCCGGATTCTGAGCCAGATTCAGATCCAGCACGTAGAGGCAGGAAGCGTGGCTCTAACCAGATCACATCATCTCCATCTATGCTATGATCAACACGTCAGACGCGTTCCCGGCATATTCAGAGCGGTCGACATCAACATAATGCTCGGTTTTGTACCCAGCGATGTCTGCTTGGCCTGCAGCAAGGGGGCAAGCTGGGCGACCATTGCTCGAATGTCACGCTCCACCAGCAGGTTAGAAACAGCAATCGACACCTTATCGACGCCGAGGTTTGGTTTAACGGATTAAACTGGATGACTGCGACTGCACGCCGATGGGGGCTTGTCGGGCATCTGGTGCACCCTTCAAGATCACCTGCACTGCGTATGGGTATACTATGGTTGGTAAAGGAACTACACCTGGACTCTGGCACGAGGTGTCGCGCGAAGTATATATTTACCGTATACTTTGGCGAGCACAAGGGTCTGCAGTCCCTGTTTTCCTCGGTGCGATTGACCTGGCCAAGACCTCCTTCCTACATAGGCTAGAGAGATCCGCCACATGCTGCTCATGGCTTGGGGAGGTGAACCTATCGGCAATATGAAGCATGTTGAGGATGACGTCTCGAGGTCCAAGGAGGAGATTTGCTCTCTATGGGGGTTGTATCAGAACCCTCGGCCGTACAATATTTTGTGGAACGGCGAACTAAAACGGGCCCTAATTATTGACTTCCATTGTTCTGAATTGGATCCACGACCGGTGGAAAAGCGGCCAGTGAAAAAGCGGCCGAGTTATCGTCGAAGTTTAACCGTGGGACAGAGGCTCCGGGGCCGAAACGACTTCATGCGGTCTACAAATGATGACAATGGGGAACATAGGGATTGAAGCGGGTCGTTGACCGTGCTGGAACGATTGGCACCTAGCAAGTAAGCATGGGACAAGAGTGGAAAATAACATTGTCGCACTTAGAAAATAGTAAAATGACATAACAATGCTTTGTATGCTCGCAGGCACGCCCCTATGAGCAAGACATCATCAATAAACCGGTCAGCTATGCATTTAACGTGCTTGCTGAGTAATTTGTCTTCAATGCAGGATATATTCTGACTGCGAAACGAGTTTTTCCTGGGTCTGGAAGTTCTGCAGTAGCAATTTGGCCTCCGGCTTGGGAAATTTATGAAAGACCTTGTTGTCGAAGACCTACTGGTTCAAACAGAATGCCTGGAGAGTGTTATGACTCGGCAGGAGCTCGAAGAAATGAACCTGGGATGAGGAACTTGGCCGTCTTGTGATTTAAGGTTTCAGTAAGAATAACTTCAAGAAAACGAACCGGTGGCAGTCCCCTTAGAGTGCCAAACTATCTGCATACCTCCTTGGAGATCTCCAAGAAGATCTACCATTAATCCATCCGTAGTCAGCCCCAGTGGTTGGATCCTGTCCTTGCCTGATAGTGCACACCATGCAAGCAAGCGATCGATAAGTATACTTTGAGGTCTTGTACTCTTAAACGGAAGAAGCTCTGTGCATGATTGATCTTCTAGTCTTATGAAAGGTGCTTTAGATAGTAACGTATCATAAATTTTGGACGAAGGTACTTTAAGCCGAGGAGCTCTTGTACTTCCTGACGGCAATCTGATATAGAGGGCCGCTGGAGCTGTCCAGGTTTGCCCAGGATATCCTATAAATATTATAGCCTATTTTATACTTAATCTCATGTTCCACTGTTTTCGCATTTTACTTTCCTACGCACTCTCCTGGATAGAAATCCCAGCTATGCTATTGCCGCAGGCGGCATCATATCAAGTTTTGGACTTGTTAATGCCCTCTATTACCTTGGCCCCTTAAGAACAACGTTTGAGTACTAGTTTAAAGCATCTTATCTACTCATATTTCCTTCATCGTTTTCAGCTTATTAGTCCTTGGACTCACGCTGGAGTCATCCTTTATGTAGTGTACCTAGCTGTGAATCTACTTTGTCTACTTTTAACTCGACTTCTCATGGTGGTAGTCAAGCGGGGGACTTGTCTCTTACTAACATGACGTTCTCTTCCTGGCTTTGTGTATGGTCCTCCTTGCGGATATTCTTTGTGTTTCTATTCGGACGTGCTGTATAATACACCGTTCTGAGGGTTGGATGAGTGTACTTCTTCTCACCATCCATATTGTTGTTGCGATTTTAGTCCATTGAACCCCTTTTCCTGTCAAGAATTTCGATAATATTTATACCATTATTGTTAGTAGTGCTCCCCAGAACGTGAATATGAGCCAACGGGAAGTAGGGCTCATCTTCGGTTGTATTGCTTATGCTCTTCTCGCTCCAGTTCTTTCGCCGCCTGGTATATGAATACTTTCTACGAGCTTACCAAGGGTTGGCAACACTACTATTTTACGCAATATGACTTCATCTATCCGCTTGTTGCCGAGGTTTCGTCTCTACGTCTCTCTCTCTTGGATCACTTGGGCTAAGATTATCTATTCAGATTCTACTTTTCTGCTACTGGAATGCTCTCATAATGTCTTGAGGCCCCCTCACGCATACACCCACTAGGACCACATTGCCGAGAACAAAGAAGAGCGTAAGATAAAGGGGGAGGAGCAGAAGGCCATGGTTCGTATTATGCTGCTGTGCCCGATGAGGGTGGATGCTGGTCAATACATCTATGTGGATGCCGACCGTAAATCTATTTTCGTGGGTCCAGACTCATCCATTCACTGTCACACTGTGGTCCCGAGGAAAACAAAAAACTCTAGACCTCTACATGAAAGCTCGGCATGGGTGACAGCCACCCTACTAGACCGTGCGTAAGCAGCTCCGGGTGATCGGTTTCATTCACAGCATTCGTCACTGGGCTACATAGGCCCAACGAACCTACCAGTCGAACCGCTGATTGCTAGTGACTCTGGCATCGCTGCAGCGTTGCCGTACGTAAAATAGCTTATATATAGCTATAATATGTTGGTAGATCATACATGACGTGTGCATCTAGTCTGGCAACTGCACATCCTCAGTAGGTATGCTCCGTGTACAATATTAGATGTACCGACTTTTCAGATAAGGCTATCCCTTTAGAATCTTCTATTAATAGCTTGCTGAAGGATGATATCTTAATTAGAGGCTATATATATAAACTTCCATCGCTACTTTGAAGACTGAGCAGATAAGCTTGCTAGATCCTCACAATTTCTATCTAGGTTGAATTTGGAGAAGCAGCGAGATTGGGGAACCATGACCGTGCGTTTGTGTATAAAGGCTTAGCTAAGTACCAGGAAATCATACAGGCAGAGATATTAGGTGAATTTATCAAGATATTATCCAGTACCGAAGAACACTGAGGCCACTTGCTTGTAATGTGTGAGTCAATTAGTCCAGGGAATGACATCAGCTGACTTTTAACGTATCAGTGTTAGACAAAAATGCGCGATTGTAGGATATATTGTACAGGGGATTTTGTAAGACAGGGTTACTAGGTCGGAGCTTGAATTTCAACCCAACTAGATATAGGGGCCATCTGTAGGAATAAGGGCTGGAAGAATACCTTAGTGCAATCGAATCAATTGTCGAGCAAATATCTCATCCCCCGTATAACGAGGCTGGACTAATTAGTGGTAGACACGTCTATATAAACAGGTAGGAGGCAGATCTTTACTATATTTAGTATATTAGTCAAACCTGTGTTAATGAGGGTTCCCGATTAGGCTTAATTACCTGTGTAATTACGCCCTTAGATGGGTGACTAAGAGATGGCATGTGACCATATTGAATACAGCAACGCGTCAAATGTTCCCAATTAGGAATCCAGTCATGTCCCTTTCTCACACACCATCGCCTTCAACCATGTCGGGAAAGAAGTCCAAGGCGTCCACGCAGCCACAGGATGCAGGCGCCAATAAGCCGCCGAAGTTAAAAAAGGATCTTCGCAAAGATATGCGTGAGATGTATCAGGCTACACAGCGTATTGATAAGGACGAGCTGATAAGCAAATATTTGGCGCTGTATCCTGGTAAAAAGGACTATATTAACATCGTGGTCAATGGGTATGTGCCTGCTGCGTTCCTTGTCCTTGACGATTTCTAATTCCCCCCTAGCTATACTACGTCTCTGGAGACACGGAAAGGTCCTTCACAACAACCATCGATCGGCGTTAGCCTGCCCGCGAAGAATGGGTCTCCGACGCCTCCTGTCAAGGAACACCCGGAGGAGAAACAGCCTAGACCAGTGACCCAGCAGCAAAAACCATCTTCATGGCAACCAGAGCCTGCTGTTGAACCTTTTAAGCCCAGGATTGATCTCGAGCAGACAAAGCCCAACAATGCGGTTCTACAGGGTATGTCGCCTTTGGAAATCTAGATTAGCAATTAACAACTTCAGAATTCAAGGAGCACCTCGACTTGAATCAGAATGGCCGGCACATCAAATTTCCCATCCGTGGTGGACCGTCGACTGTGCCGCCTTTGGAGAACCAGATGCAATTTATGAGTCTCACTGCACCGGATGACAATTCCGCTAACAGCTCGTCCAACGTCCCGGAGGAGGCAGTTCTGCTATCGCCTTCCGTTGAGCGTGTGGGACATAGTATGCCGTCTCAATTTGCCCTTCTTGGCCAGCTGCGAACGCCGCAGTCGGGAGTTTCAGACCCTCGAGTCATGCTCAACACGAACATCCCCTTCTCGGCGTTTATTTGCGGACTCCAGGGCAGCGGAAAGTCGCACACGACGTCATGTATAATTGGTAAGATTGGCGACTAGGAGTGATGCGGAGCTAACAGATGTCGTAGAAAATTGCTCAATGACGTTTCCTGCGCTAGGGACTCTAAAGAAACCACTGTCCACCTTGGTCCTGCACTACAATGAATACAGCTCTAATCTGAGTTCACAACCTAGCGAAACCGTTTTTCTTTCCTCCGTCATGACACAGTACAGATTGAAGTACAAACCAATTCCAGTCCGGGTGCTAGTTTCGCCATCCAACTTCTACAACCTGCAGAGAATGTATTCCCAGATCCCGAACGTGGAGGTTCGACCGTTTCGCTTACAACCTCACCATCTCAGCATCAGCATGATGCTATCCCTCATGTCTCTGGGGAAGAACGATTCCATGCCTCTATACATGGGACAGTTGACCAAGATCTTGCGGGAAATGGCAATGGAGAACGAAGGAGCGTTCAACTACTCTGATTTCCGCACGCGTCTGAATGGACTGCGTCTCGATCGAGCCCAGACCCCTTTTCTCGAGCAACGATTAGGCTTACTGGACTCGTTCCTCGACCTGCACGGGCAGACGAGCGAGGATTATTTTATCGAGGACGGAGTGACTATCCTTGACTTGTCGTGCCCGTTCATGGACCAGAGTACAACCTGCATTCTTTTCCGGATTGCAATCAACCTGTTCCTGCATGGCCATCCGTCCAGAGGCAAGATGATCGTCGCAGACGAAGCACACAAGGTATGTCCTCCTACAGCTACGCAATCCAGCGATTTAACAAACCAAAACGAATAGTATATGACCGACACCCCCGCTGCAAAAGAACTCACCGAGGCCTTTCTCAACATCATCCGTCAGCAACGCCACCTCGGTGTCCGAACCATAATATCCACGCAAGAACCTACTATCTCACCGCGACTGATCGATCTCTGCTCCATCACCATCATCCACCGCTTCTCCAGTCCTGAATGGTACAAGACCATCAAGAAACACGTCACCATCGAGGATACGCAAGGCGTCTCGGACGAGCGAGAGGGACTGTATCAGATTTCGAGCCTTCGCACTGGCGAGGCCCTGGTGTTTGCACCGTCGGCGTACCTGCTTTATGATAACCAGAGTATGATAAATACGCGACATGCTACTTTCAAGATGATGATGAGAAAAAGGGTTACTTGGGATGGAGGACGGACAATAGCTTGTATTCGCTGATTGTCGGTCTGTCCGTCGGATGAGAATGTGGCCAGTTGATTAGACTGGTTAGTTATGATGCTTGGTGTTTCTACAAGGTACCTTACGGAAATTAGACAAAAGTTGGATGATAGATCGATATGCCGTCTGTTTCAATACAGTGTCTACGATGTACAGGTTAATATTTATGAACAATATGGATCTTAACTGCTATGGATTTTTGACAAATCTTCAAACTATATGGGGATACATAGTAGTGCTCTGTGGTCGGACAAGATGTGAGACGTAGACCGAATTATTCAGGGACATGATCACTATCTTTGACGGGTCTTGGTTTACTTTTTATCCTCATCATCTTCATGATTTACCCTACTCCTTATCTTTTTTTTCTAGTTCAAAATTGATATTAAAGCTGCTGTTGGGTCAAGCTTTATGCAGGGTAGTTACCGCGAAATCCGGACATAAATGATCTAAACATAGGGAGAAACTAATATAATTAATACAGAGGGAATCAATCCCATATATTTGACATGGATATTAAATGCACCTGGATTCCCATTCTTTGAAAGATGCATAGGAGTCACTATGTCACAGCAAACAAAGCTCACTCATATTATCAATTATTCTCATTGGCTGGAACTCGATAGACAATAGAAGCATATTATTGAGGGGAGATGGTATTACTATAGTTATGTAGAACTTTCTATGACGACGCTGCTATCCCGTAAGCTTGCGCTTGTATCCAGCTACCCGCAATAAGTGCGTCCCCGAGCTGTCTTGCGAGTCAAAAGGCAACATTCGTGTTGGGATCGTCCAGACGGGAAATACCTTTGATCCAGCTCCCAATCCGGATAAATTGAGGCAGGAGGACAAATCATCTTGCAGAACAGGCTGGCAATTGAACCGCATGACGAGCGATCAACACCGTGAACAGGGGTCTGGTGAGCGGGGCAGATGCATAGCACAGTGGTGAGGTGGATTACCCCAGACTTTCCCATGCCCTTATTTAGGGGGATGTGATTATCTTGTGTCTCGATGCTGTTCATGCAGCTGACGTGCCCCACAACTGCAGAGAAGATTGCAAGATATCGTCTTGGTCACCAGAACTCCTTGCTAGTGCACTGCCGTCATGGGCAAAACGTTAGGTCTGGTAAGGGCCATTTACATGGTTTCCATCTGCTGCGTGGGATCATTCCTTTTTGCATACGACACTGGCATTATCGGGGGCATCCTCACCTTGGAGTCGTTTCAGAACTCCTTCCACTATGACAAGGCACAGAAGTCGACCATCAACTCCAATTCCAACAGCCTTCTGCAGGCCGGAGGTACGTGGGATCATTAGTTTTGGTGTCTGTAGCTGATCGCATAGCCTTCTTCTCCTGCTTCTTTGTCTGGCCGTTTACTGCGCGATACGGTCGACGGTGGTCGATCGCGCTCGCGTCGCTGATTTTCTGCATCGGCGCCATCATCCAGGTCATCCCGACGCATTCAATCGCTGCGTTCTACGTGGCACGCGTGATCAGTGGTATTGGAGTGGGCATGGCCACGGTGATAGTCCCCATGTTCAGTGCCGAGATGGCACCCAAGGAGATCCGAGGCCAGCTGGGTAGTCTCTTTCAGTTTTTCTTCACCTTGGGGGTTATGACATCCTACTGGATCGATTATGCAGTGAAGAAGCATGTTCCGACCAGCGACCGACAGTGGCAAATTCCCATCGGGCTGCAGCTTGTTCCTGGTGGGATTCTGGGTACTGGTATGCTGTTTCTGAAGGAGAGTGTGCGGTGGCTGGCCAAACAGGGCCGACATGATGAGGCGATGCGGTCGTTGATTTGGATCCGTGGGGGACAAGAAACAGAGGAGATCCACGCAGAGTAAGCTATGGCATCAGCATCAAATGCCAAAAGCCCTGCTAATGCATTCAGGATGGCGGAGATTTTGAATGGAATCGAAGCGGAGAATCAGGCCACCGAAGGAGTGTCGTGGAAGGAGCTACGACAGCCTACTAATCGATATCGCATGTTCATCACCGTCACGATCCAGATTGGAGTCCAATTAACCGGCAATACATCTCTTGCGTACTGTAGGGGTTCCTATTCAATCAATCTTCATACCTAATCGTCTAGCTAATCGCTCATCTAGATGCGCCTCAAATCTTCCAAGCCGTGGGTGCAGGACAGGACAGTCTTCTGATCAGTGGATTCTTCGGCGTTGTTAAAGTCGTCGCATGCTTCATATTTGTCGTTTTCCTAGTTGAAAGAATCGGTCGAAAATGGTCCCTTATTCTGGGTGCCTTTCTGATGGGCGCGTTGATGCTAATCGTCGCTCTTCTCTCCAAGACGTTCCCTCCCGAGCCCAACGCCACCAGCATCTCCAGCCCCGGAATTGCATCCATTGCGATGGTCTACCTTGAGGCTATGGCATATAACATGTCATGGGGACCGATTCCGTGGCTGTATATGAGCGAGATCTTCCCCACTCGTATTCGGGAAATGGGTATTGCAGTGGGCACGGCGACGCAGTGGCTGTTCAACTTTGTCTTTTCGCAGGCAACGCCGCACGCCGTAGATAACATGGGGTGGAGGACATTTCTGATGTTTTGTATTTTTAACTGGGCGCTGGTGGTCTACTCCTGGATCTTCATCAAGGAAACGACCGGCAAATCCTTGGAGGAGATGGAACAGGGTGAGTGTATTTTCCATTTCCCAAGGATATCAAGGTTGCTAATGGACACAGTGTTCCAATCGAAGGTGGTGCTCTTCCACAAGGACGTTCCTCATGAGGAGAACATAGAGACAGCGCATGAGCGAGAATGAGGGGTGCATACTTAGTTGATTTGCTTGGACATATGACACATCAATGAGCAATAAACACTCCCTGAACCCTGCCAGGCCACTACATAGTTTGCATGCCTATTTGACAGGTTTAACAGGCCCCACATATCAACGGCCATTAGTATTCTAATAATTCTCTTATTACGTTGCCCACTACAATAGTTGTCTAGAGGAGTTTCTTATATAGCCGGGTCTTCCCGGTCGTTTCTCAATGCGCCTTTAGTACTCGCTGACTCTGAATGAACTTTTACCAGTATGGCACAGGATTTGCATAAATCAGCAGATAATAGGCAGGGCCCTATTATAGTGGTAAGTCGATAGATAAATCAACTGTCGTCCCTGACACTGCCGACATGGTCCGAACCTGTCGACGCCAAATATGAAGATGATTCACAATCGTACGTCATGAACATACCTTGCCTCTCTTCAAACATCTAATGTCTCCAAGCTACTTGACACGGAGTAGTATCACAAACTACTATGTTGAAAATGGCGGACGATACCATGCATTTCACGCGTGATCTTACTGGTATGAAACGGGTCCAGATGTACACATATACTGACAATGGAGGAGCCCAAATGACGAACAGCAATGGAAAGTATGAACATAGAGTATGTATCTACAGCCTCACAGAACAGCTCAAAATTACTAAGTCCCATTCAGACATTATGTACTCAGCATCCTCCTTGAGAGAAAGCTTTACCTTGCGCCGATCACCGAAACCCCGACAGGGGGTTGTTGGGAGGACTGCGTGAATCAAAGAATTGTGTGGTGAAAATGATTTGGGGCGAAGAGGCGTCCAAGACTTGAAGTTATTAATATGAAATTTAGGTGGCATATTGTAGGAAATGAAATCCTTTGGGGCATATTTTGGTGGAGAGGTGACTGAGATATGGGGACGGGAACGGGGTAAGGGAGAGGGAGGCAAATAGAAAGGAAGTTTGTAGGTAGTGAGGGAAAAAATTACTAGATTACAATACTGTGACCTTTGCAGGTTCGGTTAGCCTCCTTATACTTACTATTAGTAAATCGACTTCATAAGTCCATCTTTCACGTCGGAAGGAACAGTGAGGTGAAATCCTCCTATCTTCAAATCTCTCTAGAGACTGCTGACATGTCCACATCCACATAAAGTGTCGCCTAAACACTGGAATCGAGTGTTTTGTGCCATTCGCATCCCGTTGTTGCCTCCAAGCCTCGCACGTGAAACATTCTGACGAGCAGACATACACTGACATAAAAGAAATACAGCAGTTTCACTATTGGCTGGTAAACAAGACCGGAACCTAGAAGGAAATTGAGACATTCCCACGGTGACAATGTGATCATATCTACCCTCCAGACAAGGCGCATTGCGATAATTGCAGAGTAAGACTTGCACCCGGTCCTGCAGACCAGCAACTTGGATTCGCTGTTCGGTTAGGACTTTCTGCTCCTCAGAGAGAGCTAGTCCTGTCGCTTGACATCCTGTTTGCCGTGCTGCTTCCATGCTCAGATCTCCCCAGCCACAATATCCAGGAGATGATGCGTCGAGGTAATGCGCGCTTTCTTGAGAATGTGATCTACTTTGCAGCGCTGCGCGAACTCAAGGGATTCAGTCAGATCGCCTGACCAATGCGCACAGGAGTATTTCATATCCGGTGACAAGAATCGCGAGAATAGCCGTTGGATGTGTCATAATGCGAGGACATGTTCGATCGAGCGGCCTCGATGTTGTTCTTTGGCCTCCACCATCTTGCGACACGGGGAATGAGTTGAAGAGAAATGCACTGGCGCCTATTGTGCTAGGAATCGGCTATACAACTGCTCTGTTAATGTGCTGCTCACATGGGTCACCTACATCGAAGATTACTCTCAAGTCATCGCAGTCTATTCCCTGGAATATCTATGCTTCCGCAAATCCCTAGTTCAGCCAGGGTGGATGTCATAAATCGGGGGGGCAGCTGGGTTTTCTGCGCAGACCAGGTCAAAACCTGTCAGAATTCTCCTCCAGAAATTGGGCATGGTTGACGTAAATATTGGCTACATCCGACCTTTTCCTGGACGGATCTTCATACTTCTTCGTAGCCATTTTGCGGGAAACGACCCTCACTGGTGCAGAGGTTCTGCAGGGATTGTTGCGTGAACTGTAGCGCGTACCACTGAGTGGATGGCATTCTTGATCCATTCTCAGATTATGAGATGAAGTGAAGAGAATGATAAATTGTTAAACTTATGCAACCTTTGGGGAAGCAATGATTTATGGACAATGTCTTCTAGCCCTGCCCCGGACTCTAGCCGCTCACCGGTGCGTGTATTAAGTACTCCGTACAGCACTGTGAGTCAGTACATGTCGATCACAGCTCATTTCTCTACACGGACTTGCTGAACGAGAAATTGCTTTTTCCAATTATTAAGTATCTGCAACATTCACAGTCATTTTCTCTCTCGAGGACCTGGCATGCCTGATGTGCAGGTCCCGCTTGGCATAGACTCTACGAAGTACCAAGGTTGAACTTGTTAGTCCTGTTTAGTCCTTGATGGCTTTTTCGAATCTTTCCTAGTCGAGTCATATTTGCACTCTCGAGATATTCTCTATTTCTATTAGGTCGGTCGAAATGCGAACGAACTGGGCCTATGTTCCGTGAAACATCCCTGCCTTATTTACCCAGACGTCGTGCTTGGAACCTGACGAGGCAATCGGTTGATGATATGGAAATATATGGACCCGAGCGCCGAGCGACTAGGCACCCTGCAAGGTACTTCCCCTGAAGATCAATAGAAAAAGAGCGTGCGTTCATGAGTGCGCTCATCAGACAGTATTCAGGGCAATATAGATACTACCAAATACAGTCCTTAGTAGGCAACATGCGTGTAGCTGGTATAGTGTTATTCTGCACACTTTCCCCTAAATAATATGGTGATCATATCGAGATTGCTTCAGTTGATGCTAAGATTATGCACGAAACCGAGCAATCAATACCTTGCACGTTCAGCTATTCAAAATGGTGGCCTTGTTCTCAGCTGGAATTATCGACTTCGCGTCCTCGTAGGATCGGAAAGGGTTGGAGTCATCCCCACTCGATCAGAAGATCTGCAGATCAGCCCATGTATTCCATGAAAGTCCAGATGAGCCATAAGGATCAGCGATGAGATGATACGGACCCCAACTGATTCCGACGGGGATCTTCAGGCACTTACGACAGCGGCTGGTCCAGGTTGGCGATCGTCGCCACGATAGGCCCAGTGATCGTGCCGCGTTGGTTCCTTTCGGGCCAAACTAGAGTGAGCGATGTAACGCTGGCCACGATGCTGCTCCATTTGGTCTCCACCATGTTTCAATGAAGCTTCAGGGCAAACAGCTGCAACCATGCTGATTTGCGCGTCGCTCACGATGCCAAGGGGCGTGTGTCAAAGAACAAGAGCGCACAAAGCCTGTCAAGAATACAACCCCTTCAATAAGATCTATCTATAGCACCTCCATTATTACTCCGGTCGGCTTCCCGGTGGACAGTCCTGCGTGGAAGGATGCTGGCAGATTCCTTGGCTGCCACATGTATGTACTTAAGCAGAAGTATCGTCTCAGAAGAGCTCATTTTCCCATTGAGTCTATGGGAGCGATCAATTGATCACCATCATCAGTATGCGACTTCTCAGTTTGGCGTGGCTTCTTCCGGTGGCATTTGCTGCTCCGGATAGGGCGCGGTCCAATATCGCGACCACCGTGAAGAGAGACGGCATCACCTACAATGTCTTCCATCACCGCGCGACCGGCGCAACACTCGAGTTCGTCAAGAACTCGGGCATCTGCGAGACGACTCCTGGGGTGAACCAGTACTCAGGATATCTTTCGGTCGGCGAGAACATGAACATGTGGTTCTGGTAAGGCCACCCCCGCCGTCGTTCCGACACTTCCCTAATCATCACACATCTCATTGCTCTGTCGCAAGGTTCTTCGAGTCTCGCAACGATCCCAAAAATGCCCCCCTGGCGGCCTGGTTCAACGGCGGTCCCGGGTGCTCGTCGATGATCGGACTATTCCAGGAACATGGACCCTGCAAATTCAAGGAGGGCGAGTCGAAGCCGTCGCTGAACCCACACAGCTGGAACAACTTTGCGAACATGATCTACATTGACCAGCCCATCGGGGTTGGGTTCTCCTACGGAACCAACAACGTCACCAGCACCGTGACGGCCGCTCCCTACGTCTGGAAGTTGCTGCAGGCTTTCTATGACAAATTCCCCGAGTATGAGAACCGAGACTTTGGCCTCTTCACCGAGGTAGGTAGCTATAATCCCCATGATTTGGTCTTTTTCATTGACAGCCCCAGTCCTACGGCGGACACTACGGGCCAGAGTTTGCCTCCTACATCCAGGACCAAAACAAGGCGATCGACAACGGATCTCTCAAGGCACAGAAGATCAATTTGGTAGCACTGGGCATCAATAATGGTTGGTTCGACACGAGCATCCAGGAACAGTCCTACATAGACTTCGCCTCCAACAACAGCTATCGCCCGCTGATCTCCGAGAGGCAGCGAGATGGCTACCTGAAGACCCTGAAGGATGCCTGTCTACCCGCGGTCGATAAATGCACCAAGACTGGTACCAACGCCGCCTGCCGCGAAGCCTCGAACACCTGCTACTCAGCCGTCGAGGGTCCCATCCAGGAAGCTGCCGACTTCGATGTATACGACGTACGCCAGCCTCGCAATGACCCCTACCCACCCTCGACCTACAGCGACTACCTTGCTGATGCGGAGGTCAAGAAGGCCATTGGAGCGCGCGCCAAATACCAGGAGTGTGCCAATGGACCGGGCCAGAAATTCTCGGCCACAGGTGACAGTAAGTAGTTGCTGGTATTGCTGGTCATGGAAACCCCGCTAACGGAGTAGATCCTCGATCATTCTTGCCCGCCCTCACGGAAGTGGTCAAGTCTGGCATTTCGGTGTTGGTCTGGGCCGGTGACGCCGACTGGATTTGCAACTGGATGGGCAACTACGACGTGGCCAATGCCGTGGAGTTCGACGGACAGAAGGAATTCCAGGGCAAGTCGTTGGAGCCGTACAAGGTGGACGGCAAGGAGAAAGGCCAGTTCAAGACGGTCGACAACTTGTCTTTCCTGCGTGTGTACGGGGCTGGGCATGAGGTGCCTTATTATCGTGAGTGCAGTCGTCCCTTTTGATTGCCAGCTGCTAATTGATTAGAACCGGAAATCTCGTTCCAGGCATTCAAGCAGACGCTGCAGAAGAAGCCTATTTCTTCTACGTAGGTAGTGGTTGCGATCATCGACAGACAGAGAGATTACCCATAGATTGTAATAAATATCTATACTACTAGACTTACGGTCAATTTATACAACGGCATTATTTTTCTGTACATTCGGTGACTGAGATTATTATATAGAGGAAGTAGTAGATTCTAGATTCCTTTTATGGATTTTCCAGTGTTATCCGCCAGAGCACTAGAGTGGTTAAAAGACTTGGATTATTGTAAGATTGATCACACAATATATGGAAAGAATGGATATGTTGAACTTTACATTCATTGAAAGATACGAGAAACCTTGAACAGCTGGGTAGATATACCAGTACTACGCACAAATTGACACAGCACTACTTTTTGTGGTGTAATAGTGGTATTTCTGAGAAACAACGCTAGGAAAGAACCTCCGCAGCTTCGGCTCATTGCTTTGATCTCCCTTGCAGATGCACATCTAAATCTCCTGGGCACAAAATACACTTCCGGCTCTATTATCGATACCAATTTCCCAAAAGTCATGAACGTCATGATCCAAAGCAGTGTCTAGTGATACCGAACATTTCATATCTCTATTCCATATTGTTATTACCTAATATCCCCAAGCGCATGGAATTGATGGTATTCCAAACATACATATACAGCTTGCATTCAACGATTGTATTGCCGAACCGGGCGGAAGATGCAGCGTGAAATCTAATCCGATCCCGTGGAATGTCAGCCCTCAAAAGTCGTGTAAGTTGTAGCTTTACCTTGTTGTATTCGCATACAGGTCACCTGGGAAATCAATGCACTTTTCTAACTTGGTGATATCTCTGCGTTGGCCTCGATAGAAAGGTTCCGTGTAGAATGTCACCTAATTCAGTCAGTCGTGGGTATTGCTGCTGTGTGTACATGGAAGATGACAGGTTCAGAGTAGAGTAACCACTCACGTAGACTTTGTTGGTTGGATGAGATTCCGGTGGAACTAGAATCGGTGTGCTTGCAGATGTGCTTAATGCCATTGCTGCAACCAGAAATATTTTAAGGTATTGCATTGTTGCTAGTGTAATAGAAAGTGGCTAATAAAAAAGTATAAGACGAAAGTCGGCGCTTCAAGAATTCTGGGTGAGAAACAGTTTGTTCTGTCAAGCAGAGGGGAGGTATTTATAACTTCATACTGAGCTAAGAAGTTCTAAGCATCACAGAAGCTTAAAAGTGCCTTAAGGTTTGGAATAATTAGCATAGGACGTAGCGTTGAGAATGTTGTAAAGTTTTCTGTCATTGAGAATGCTGCACAGCCTCTTACTGAAATGGCAGTACGTAGCAGCTGCCGGCTTCATTGTACTGGCTTATTTTAATATAGAAATACGTAGTCCATTCTCATTTCCAGAAATAACCCCCCGAATCTACTCAAGGCAGTGTAGATTATCAACGGCTACTTTGATCCTACCGCTGTTCCAGAGGTTTGCTAATAGTCAAATATAGAGAGATGAAACTAACTTGTCCCCTCTTGGAGGGTAATGTGCCGTCTTAACTTTCACTATTGATCTTGAGTATATGATGTCTGGCCTGCTTGTCTTATGATTTTGTCAAGTGATACATGTCCACTTCATGAACAGTATTCTTGGACATTACATCGCAACAAAAACTGGGCCAGTGTGGAGAAGCCAAACGGGCCGAACCTTGGAAGTTGGTAGGCCTCCATAGCTACGACCTCTTAACAGGAAAGGAAAATGAAGCATTGATGTGTGAATCGACATTTTATGGCAAAGAGCTACGAGCCAGTCACATGCTATGGACATAATCAAGTATGCGAAGGGATACATTCCTGCAAGAGTTCCAAGAGATCTACTGGCTCTTCGTCGATGATCGTGGTATCCCTTTAACTTTGGATTTCTACAGTCGTAAACTCTATATCCTTCATATCCGACTCTCCTAGGTGGGCACATGAACACTTTTGAGGTCACAAAAAGTTAATAACTTTTTATGAGAAGGGAAGGGTTTCCCACATGACACAGGTTTATGACCCCAGTATGAAGACGCCTGTGGAGATCAGAGACTGCTGCTAAGATTTCATAGTAGCCAGAGATAAACCACTTTATATTTAGATGGTATGGGCATAGCATAAGACATAACCATTAAGCTACAGCACGAAAAGTGCGATAATATGAATGGTGTCAATGTCCAGAGAATTGTACAAGACATGTCAGAATATTCTACCCCTTGTGGCTTAGATAAAATTCCACAATCCTAACCATACAACAGGCATGATACAGATAGTGCATGTTGGTATTTTTACCGGAGTAATAAGTTGCACGAGAGAGAATTCATACATATATCAAGATCACTTCTATAGTCGAGTTTGTTCGTGACCAGAATATTGCCCTACCAGGCCTTTGCACCTTCGTGGTATACTCCATGAATAAGCTTCTATTTCTTGAACCTATTACAGCTAACATCTCCTGTATTAACATCATCAGAGCCCATTATTGCCCGACGAAGAAGATGATTTCGGTAGGGAAGAAAGGCACTGATATCACTTCTAATGGGCAACATCTTTCTCCACTAGCGGTTCTCGGTCATTGTCAATATGTTAAAGGACCTGGAACTTACCACAAAGGCGTCAATGATACCAAAAATATCTCGAGAACCCACACCTTTCATCCTCGCCCTGCGAATACGAGGAGAAAGCCATCAAGCCCAATTATCGACCCACAGCTGATTCATACGCAAATGAGTTCATTGCCGAGGTTCGAGAGACCATCATTGACCATCGGATTGAAAACGACAGCCTCAGTTTATTCTTTGGTGGCGATATGACAACGAGCCACTTGCGGAGTTTTTCCAAACTTACCAAGTAAGTAATACAGAATTCGAGCGGGGCATTGCGTTCAGGCTGGTGTGAACATGGGGTTTACATTCTGTGTGGGCAGAACTGTTGCTTTGGGCATCGCGTAGTGCATTTGTTGCCTGTTTGGCGGAGGTATGCTGAGTTGGTGATTCCCGTATAGGATGTGATGGCATTTCTTCCGATAGGAGTATACGGGGTTATGAGTCGGGGACTGCAGGATATAGAGAATCGCCTGTGATGAATAACTGTTCAGTCAAGCCTGTCATTAATAGGTTATTCTGACCAGTCAAGTTGAATACACTCAGCCACATCTGCATGTCTAAGACATAATCGGCTACCAATACCCAATGAATACGGGGTACCCCGATATGGGGTCGGATCGGTTCTCTTCGCCAATACCCATCCTATAAATACCTCATCCTATCCTCTAAGTTAATATTATCAAAGTAGACATCAATCTCAAAAGTCATACCAATCTAATCTACATCCATCAAAATGAAGCTCGCACTCGCCTTCTCTGTCCTCGCCACCGCTGCTCTGGCTGAATTTGACAAGAACCTCCGTAAGTATATAAACCACACGTACGAACTGCACTAACCCATCCAGCCTGGGGAAAACGCGACTACGCTTGTATCAATGTCTTCCAGGGTATCCCTGACCACTCTACTGTTTCGCCCGGTGCTGAAGTCACCCTGAAATTCAACCGTGCGTCTACCGGCCGATGCGGCGCCTACTTGGACCAGTACCCTGGCACACCGTACAAAGTCGCACTGTATCAGAATCCCATCCGCAATAGGGATGTAGTTACCTGGGATAAGAGGGTCAGCGTCGTCGACGGAGTCAATGAAGCGGATGGCAAGGTCACCATCACTATTCCTAAGAATTTGGCGCAGGATGGGGACTGGTACTTGAGGGTTGATACAACGTTGGAGAAGGCGCCTCAGGTGAGTTCTTTCTTAATTGTATAGTTTGGGCAATGCTGATGAAGTAGATGCCCTCTTTGTTTAATGCTGCAGGACCCTTTACTGTTAAGGAGTAGACTGTCAGTTATGGTATTTGTTGAGGCTGCTTTTGAAATGTTCCGTGGAATGAAGGTTGGTAGTTCACTATTGCAGTATGTACATTCCATGGCAAATGCAGACAGCTATGTCGACCATTCAAACATATATAGTCTCAGAGGTTCTTGGAGTGTCACATTAAATAGCATATAACTATAATATAATTTGATTCATACCGCTACATTAAAAAGTACTTGCAATTGATATTCATAATATATTGACTTCCTACTTACAATTGAAGGGTAGATAATTCGGCGCAGTATGTTTGATACTGCTTAGAGCATTGGCTTGCGTTTCAGAGCAGCTTCGGGGAAACAAGAATACATAAAGAGATACAGGACATGTCGATGTATACGAAAGGGTAGAATTGATCACTCAACAAACTACCACTTAGAACAAAATCTAGGATATAACCATATGAGGAGTGGCTAAAACAAAGCGAAGAGGCATGGTTTACCCGGACAGGGTTTATTCTGCCACAAGGTAGCCCACACAATCCGTCCATTCTCAGGACAAGTCAACATCCGCCATGACCAGAAGTGTAAGTTCACTATTTCCGTCAGATTTTAGCCCAATGTTAATCAAGAATACCAGTTACTCACCCGTTTATAGTTAACCGACAAGAACATCCTCCTTCACATTCTAATCCAAAGCACCGGGCAACAAACTTCCCACCACCAGCACCATCGGCGCATATCTCCAGTGTCCCCACTGCCCATGCCCAAGGGTCCAGCAGATAACGCCATCTACAAGTACTACCCAGCTACCAGCAACCAGAGCCCTTGGCCTTTCGGGTGCCGAAGTACGCGGTGAAGAAGACCGCCAGTCCCATGGAGATATCGCGAACGCCATAGGCGTCCATCAGACTGTCGACAAAGTTTTTGTCGGTGGACAAGGCCGGTGGGTTGAATTCAAAGAAGGAGAGCGCGTTGTTGGACGAATAATAGCGTTGGCTCCAAAGCCCAGGAGGACAGTTCCGATTGCGCTGCCAGCGAGGGCAAGGGATTTGGATTCTGAGAGGGGAGGGCATTGTCAAGTAGACTAAATTTGATTATGGATTTGCATATAATACGCTTGCTTAAGTAGGAGAAAAACAGAAGTTCGATATCACCGGCAGCTATCTTGAAAGCTGATCGATCCGATCGACATGGTTGACTGATGCTCAGAGTTGACTGCCTGAGGAACCTCTAGCTAGGGACTGCCATTGACCAATGGCACGCAGAATTTAAGATTGAACAAGATCTTCAGTGATCCCGATGCCATCTGGATTCCACCTACATTGGATGGTTTTCCTCATGAGATTCTAGTATCGCCACTAGGTCCCAACGTATCCCTAGCTAATGTTTGGGATACGCCGACAGAGCTGTTTCAAAACCGAATCTTAAGTCCGTGTCGTCTTCCGCTGGATGTTGATCTTCAGCCGCAACATGACTAATCCCCGCATAGATCCAGTCCGTACTAGCCACAGTGGCGGCGGAACAACACTCCGCCGATCCGCCGAGAGAACAGCTGGCGTCACGTTGGTTCAATTTATCCTCGTCGTTCCTTCGGTCAGTCGAGTCCAGTCTCCCATCGCCTATCACGTCCCCTATTCTTGCTCTACCTTTCCAATTCCACTACACTCACTACCACCATGTCCGACCAAGTGCAAGAACTCCTCAACATTCCTCGGGATTTCCTTAAGGATGGCATGATGTTCATCAACCGCAGCCAGAAGCGTGAGTGCAATAGCCAAGGATGCAAGTCTCGTCTCTTCTCGTCCAGTCTAACACGCATCAATCCAGCCGACAAGCGCGAATTTATCAAGATCAGCCAGGCTGTCGGCACCGGCTTCCTGGTCATGGGTTTCATCGGTTACATCGTTAAGCTGAGTACGATACCGGCTCCGTGGCAATCCCTGCTGTTGGCTAACACGACGACAGTCCACATTCCCGTTAACAACGTTCTTGTCGGCGGCGCATAAGCATTTGATCGATTCTTCATACCAGCGGTGTGTACGGGATAGGCGAACGGCGGATAGGATTTCGAACCATTTCACACGTGCAAGATACCAGTCTCAGTTCTTGGATCCTTTAATATAGATGCGAAGTGTCGGCTACTCGGAGGATGGACGATTGCTATAAGAGATTAGATTCAGGTGTTTGCCTCGGCTAGATACCAGAATTCTGTTTCCTTCCGGGTCCTGCGCTTCCATTCGACTGTACATAATAATGAAGTCCTGTTTCTTCGTAATGGGAATACTCTTTGCCCCTGATCGACTGTAGTCGGTTGGCGCTACACTGGCCGAGTCAATTCCTGGCTGGTCTGCTTTCGGTTCTATCTTTAGCGGGCCCACCACGTGATAGAATTTGTCTTTTCTCTTTCAGGAAGAAATGCAGTCTATGTTTGGATGCAGCATTCTTCACTGACCTGCCATAGCAGGGCGATTAAATCTACTTTTTCACGCGATTATTACTATCGGCAGCCTTGTGGCAGCTGCCACATTGTTAGGAAGGTACTATATTCGCTGGTTATAGCTAATCTTTACTCGCATATCTGTAGACTGATATTTCCTGCCAGTCACTACACATTGTCCTATTGTCTTCGCCTTGAACCACATACAGAAGTACCTCAGTCACCCATCTCTATATAGCTATGCCCGTCATGTCTATACCGCTACAATCTGTGGCTGAAGCAAAGCAATGGAGCTCTTCACCTCATTATGTGCAAAGCACATTCCCAATACTCTGGCTATCTAAGCTATTCTCCTGTTAGTCTGTAATTCCAGATACTGTCTAGTGCGCTTACCGGTAAGTCTGGAGCCGAAACATCCCCCTCATCTAGATAGTTGAATCGGGTGGATTTCAGGATCATCTCTATCCGCTCTCGTCGAGCCTGCTCATACAGCGCCAGTCGACCTGGTATATCCTCTGTCTGTCTCCCCAACGGCAACAGAACTGCCAGGGACACTGCGTCCTCAATGGCCGTGCCCCCTCCTTGACCCATGTCTAAGTCTGTCAGTAATGGCATACATTTCAATATGACATACTGACCCAGTTGGTTAATAGGCATGTGCCGCATCGCCTAGTAACGCCGATCAACCGTTAATCCACGTCGGGAGTGAATCCATTTCTTACATGTCCCGCACTTTGAGGCCGTCTCCAGCATTCTCTTGTCCTGACTTCTTGTGAAAAGATATAGAATCTACGCACTAATGCTGTTTGTTCCCCATAGCTTGCCATCCTATCTTTTGTTAGATCAATCTGTGCAGGCGAATTAGAAATGCACACCGTCGCCACGTTCGCCTGCATCCGCTGTAGGGAGGAACCCGTAGAGGTTGATGGCCTGATTGTTAGAGCAGGGATACGCCGCAAGAAGTCAATCGGTAGATGCCCATTCGATGAAGACACCCGGGTCACGGACAATCTCTTCCTTGGCCTCAATTTTTATCAACCCATCTATCGAAAGAAGCCAGCGGATGGCGGATTTACCCACAGGCTCGGGGGAGAGGATCCTGGTGCAACATGGTTCCGAAGTATGGACTCTGAAATGTTAGATTCTGATTTGGCATTTCTCGACAGAGGAAATATGTGTATTCCATTCGCTCCCAGGGGAAGATCGCATTTGAAGATTCGTCCGTCCTCTAGCGTTACCAACGGACACGCGCATGTGATATAGATACTTGAAATCGTGTATTGCAAATGGAGAGTTGCAGCTTAGGTGGATGTTTTAGATAGTTATGCAGATCGACTCGATGGGTCAGATACCATTCCTGTCCAGTTAGTTGGTTACTAGGTGTTCATGTCGATGGACTCGCTGCCTGCCATAAGTGGTGGATTCCGGTATAGTTTTGAAACCATCTTAAATTGCCCGTATGATCCAATCATTTCATTTATAGGGGTTACACGTTGGGACTTGGATGTTCATGAATACCTGACGGAGAAGTGTTCCCCCATAGGTCTTCAGGTTGATATCCACTCATTGTAGCAACGCTGTACAGTTTGGAGGCATATGGATCACTGCACCGGTCTCGCGAGCGAACATTGATTTCTCCAGGATCTAACATTGTCAGATTTGAGTCTGGATCCAATAGTATAGTACTGACCACTACATGGTGGCCTTTCCTGCGCAGCGCAATACCCGCTGCGAGCCCGGCAATGCCGGCAGGCTCCGACGATTCCGATGCTCAGAGGAGGTCCCTGGGTCATCACTTTTCGTTGGGTTCTGTTGTACAGATGTGAATGCAGAGTAATGCTGCTAACAAAGTAAAATAACAAAACGAAGCCTACTGTGTGGCTCGATGATTGCGGAGACGAGGAAACACGGATTCTGGTCGCGGACAGCCTTCACCGAATTGATCGATTGATTCCAACTACTAATGAAGAGAGAAATGACAGACTTATGTGGTTCCTAATATGCTTTCATTTCACCGTACTTGTATGTGAAACTATGCATCCGCTGACAGTATTTCTTGTTTCTCCTGGAGTATCTTCAGCTTTGGGGAACAGAATTTAGATTTAGAAGGTAGAATCTTCGCAAATGTCCGTTTGGCTTATATCGTCCCTCTTCGTGTTTCGTCTTATTTGGAACTCATGTACCGACCAGTTTACATAATGTAGAGACAAATTCTCCCGGTTTCCATGGTGTTACACTATTGCAGCTCACTAAGATCCCGGGTTTTTAGTACTCGAATGGTTTTGTGTCTCAATATAAAATAACGTAGCAAATGAGCCCAATGTATCCATAGTCATATCGGTGGTATTTTCAAGTCGCAGAAATAATCAATAGCGTGCGTGTATACCGTTTAAAAATCGCTGGGATTGGTTTTCGTCACCGGCTTCAGCCCTGGCTGGATATATGTTAGATTTTCATGGAGCTAGGGAGTAGGGCCAAAGGTGTACTATTTCAGGCTTCCTACAGAGAACGCCCTCATTCATGGCTGGTCTTCGAGTATCGGGCTGCAAATAGAAGCAGCTGTAAGATCAGAAAAGCCCAGGCGAGGCCCACTAGAGTCGAGGGTTTGCTCACAACCGTTAAAAGTGTCGCAGGGAGATGTATCTTAAGAGGGTTCACGTTGTCCATGTTGTTGGACTTCTATGCAGGAGTCTGTAGAGACAGGTGAGGTGTATGATAGAGAGATACTTGCTCGTTACTTCGTTATGCTATCCACTCTACAAGGACTATCATGTGATCCTCCACATATCTCTTTCTTATCGAATGCACGTTGCTCCTTCCATTCTTCTCACATCCGTAGACATCACTTTCCAATGAGCTTATGATTTCTTTTGATTCTCGCGCATCTACTAGTCTGATAATTGCATCTAGTAACTCCAGTCGCAATATGAAAGTCTCCTACTAAACGTAAAGTATCAAACACGCTACCGTATATTCGATCTAGAACCTCTAAAAGGCCTTTGTGACTCTGGAGTGCAACGTCTCGGAATGATATATCTAGGATCTGCGGATCCATAGCCCTGTTTTGACGCTATCAAACAGGATATTCCATGGACAAATACAGATCTCCATCATAACGCCCCCTGTGCCATGAATTTTACCGTTCGTAGGTTGCCTGTCTCTGGATTATATTGGTAACACGAATGATCCTCATACGGCGCTCGCCACCACAAGCCCGTGCTATCATGTTATCAGGAGTTCTTCGCGAGATTGTAACTTTCCTTAGTTGCATTAGGTTCATGCCATGATCCTGCATCAGATCAAGATGAATACAGCGCTTACATATGGTACAGTATTACGGACAGTACCATACATGACATACGGGATACCGTAGAATACGAAACATTGTATGAAAATATCCATCGACTATTCCAGATGGACTCTAGAATACGCCTTGCTTATCCCTGATTTCATCATGCCTTCCACGTCACCAAAGTCTATACAGTCTCTGTCAGCCTGCGATCATACCCCCAGACTGCAAGAAGCGGGCCAAGCAGGAACACTGCCCCGCCCGTCATGGCAGCGCCGCTGAAGACTTGTAGCCCTAGGTACCCATTCCCAGGACTGCGAGTCTCGATGACACCGGCGATGGGTGCCCCAATCAGCACTCCCAAACTCCCGACAAACCACTGCATGCCCATGCGCGTGCCCAGCATGGCAGGGGTGGGCGACACCACAGGATGGGCCATGACGAGCGGGTTCACAGAGATCAGCACGCCGGAGAAGATGCCAAACAGGACGCAGAAGACGACGAAGGAAGCCAATGTGGTGATGCTAATCCATCCGAACAGTAGCGCTGATGAAGCCACCACACTGACGATGAGGACTTGACCGGCTCCGAGCCGCTTCGTGACCGCGGCCGACCCTAAGCGCCCAACGGCGGAACCGGCGTTCAGCACTGAAAGCAGATAGAAACCCATCTCGGTCGAGGTGTGCAGGACCTGTGATGCGAACACCGGCACGTAAAACAGAGGCACGAAGTAGCCCATGAATATGAGGAAATTGGCAACACCGTATGCGTTGAAACTCCATTCCTTCAACGCGTGCCAGTGGATGAGATGGCGAGGAGACGTCCGTTTCGGCTTGGAGGTGGCCATGAGGATAGGTACAGCGATGCAGGAACATCCAAGCTGGATGAATCCCATCACTCGGACTGTCCATGGGAAACCGATGCGAGGCTGTAACCTAATGAAGATGATGGGGAAAAGCACCCCGCCTAGTTGTGTCAGTTGTCGTGTTTGTCTTCTGTCCAACAGGTCGAGGGAAGAGAATACCTATACTGGCACCGCAGGTGACCATTCCCAAGGCGATTGCTCTCCGCGTAGAGAAGCTCCTCGACACGAGGGATAGGGCTGGCACGTAGATCAGCCCACTGCCAATGCCGCAGCAGAGTCCCTGGGACAGCAAAACCTGGTAGTAGGTACTTGATAGGCTCAGCATCATGAGTCCCAACGTCGTAAGGAAACATCCGGCGGTCATCAGATGGATCAGAAACCCTCGATCGAACAAGGGACCGGCAACCACCCCCGTGGAGATGAGCAAGAAGGCATTGACAGTCCCAACCCATGACAGCTGCGACGCCGAACTGCTACTCAAGGGACCTATCTGATAGTACTGCTGGAAGGCGCCATACGCAGTGCTATATCCCCAGGTTGTGAAAAACAGTAGGAAGGCCGCAAAGACCCCCATCCAAGTTGCTATTCCGCCATTGGAAGGAGGTAGCGGAGTGGTAGGCGATACTTCAGCCATGGCGCCATCCTTGGGGGACGTGGAAGCCATGGTCACAGAAAACCTCCGAGACCGAGGGAGAAAGGCGCAAAACACGACTTATCCTCCGCAGAACGGCCCCCAACCCGTGCATTAAAAGAACTCGCATTCATCCCTGCTGCCAAGGACATTTGTCAGCTTGTCAGATTTACAAGATCGGTTCGAGCATCTTTGTAAGGGCTGCTGGCACTGGGCCGAGAAAGGCCACGTCCCGGTTAGCGCCTGGTGTTGCTCTGAACCAGGATGGGCGCTGTGTCCAAACATATCGCGAAATACATCAGCCTCCACTGCCTCGTAGCTCTCCTTGCGCAAATTCTACTGGTGGAATTGACCGCGCCCATTTCTATTTAGCAGTCATATACGATCACTAGCGTCAAGCCATTCGGCATTAGTCCGGGCGGTTTGCGAATCGCTGACCGAGGTCACACCAGGCCATTCTAACTGGATGGAGCATCACCGCCACACAGATACTGCTTATGCTGGTAGTGCGCCCGTTAAAAGTACCGGTTGGAAATTCTACGATACCATATCTTCTCTCTACCGTGGCCCGGGCGAATTGTCAGTCTATTCACGTTACGCTGCAAGGACACTTGAACTTTACACACACAGATAAAACGGAACCTTGCGAGGATCAATCGACCTCCAGATAAACGGCATCCCCTGCGACAGTCCCTTCTCGTCAAACTCCATGGCGCGGATCTCATCACTTATGGCCAGCATGCGGTCCCGGAATCGCTTCTCAGAGCGCTTTACCGAAGTGTCCGTTTGGGAGAGGAACTGAATTCCCGAAAACATCTGCGGAAGGTTTCCCTTCTGTTCCTCCAGCAGTGGACGATTGAAGCGGACCACTAGGGAGGCTTGTTTTATGGATTCTGTTTCATTATGCAGGTACGGTAGAAGGGATGCAATCCCTTTCTCTTCTGGGAGGGGACGGTTGAAGGACGATGGATGTAATGGGAGAATCGCAGATGCTTCGCCAACAGTTGGACCATTGAGAGCATGGTGGGCGATGCCGGATAGGAAGGCGATGTGCGAGAGGATGGAGGTCAGTGCCTCACTGTCGACCAGCGGCGGTGGGAAGAAGTCAATAACTTCCGCATGCTGGTTAGCTTCCCTGATCCAGCTCTGTAACTCATTGTCCTGGCCCATGAGCTCATCGGAGGGATAGTAATATGCCACGAATTCCCGCACAAAATCCTCTATCGTGTCCACCATTGGGCTTACGGTCGAGTAGAATGGGAATGACGTCAAGGCAGGTCCGTATGTGCAACCGACCAGGCCTCTATCCGCTAGATCACGGTAAAATCCGGCGGCGCGGAAATGGCCGGCGTGAGCCCAGTACGCCTCCGTAGCAAACTTCTTGCCGGAGAAGTTGGGCAACGCAAATGAGCTGTCATAGAGCCCTCCGTCATTGAAGAGGAACTCATCTCCAACGGGGCGTACTGCATATGCCTGATACATCACTAAGCAGGTTAGCCAGAAACTTGGAAATGGAGTAACTGAACTCACCGCGGTCCAGGAACCCTCGCACTGGGTGTCTAGAGCTCATCGTGCGCAGGGCCGCTTGGTGCACCGGCTCAGCCACGTCGTGGGTGGCGGCTAGGTGATAGAGCTGCGAATGGAAGAGGTCGTTCATGCTGAATGCCACCTTGGCAAACAACCAGTCGTTCTCGTCATCTAGCGGAGTGTATGTCAAATCACGGCCCATGTTGGTCTTAATCGCGAGAGGTAGAAATTCCCCCGAGTATGGGTGGATAAAGAAGTACCCTGTACATGCTGCGGCCCAGCGTCCAGGAGTCCTGGGATATCTCGCTTGATAGGAATGGTCACCGACAAACAGCCGGCCGTCTTCGTGGAGATCAGCTAGTGTGTGTCCGGCTGCTAAATGACGTACTACCTGGTCTTCTACGGGGTAGGGTAGAGCATCGTGTTGTGGATGTAGACGGCGCACGACATATGGATTGATGGACAATCTTTCCATCGAGAACAACAAGTCTTGCGTCCAGTTCGTCAGCATGCCCGGAACCACGCCATCTGGGATTGTCGCGCGCCATTGACCATCATAAATGTTTCTGTAACTGGATAGGTCTTGTAGACCACCCGCCTGCGATGTGCGAACGATGAGCCTTACTCTGTGTTATCTAGGAAGGAGAAATACTTGCATACTTTTGCCAAAGCAGTAGCCGCCTTCTTCATCTCGGGATATACTTTCCTGGTCACATATTCTACGTCTCGGAACCATTGTGCTCTGTCGCGAGCCACCATGGCGTCTCCCAGTACTCCTGTTGGAAAGAAAGACGTATTCCCCAGGAGAGGCGGTCCATAGAGATAGCCCTCGCGTGCAAGGCTGATCTCTCTCTGTCGTTCCAAAGGGCTATGGTCAAACATGGGAAGATTGTACTGGGCGAAGCCTTCCCCAGGTAAAGGGACAGAGGTTGACAAGACAACTTGCGAGATGATAGGCAGTGCAATACCTGGCGTACATAGAACGAGTAGACCTATAAGCCGGGTATTATAACTGCGTGATAGCTTCATTGCAAAAGAAGGGTATGCTACCAGATGTGAGAATCCGATTTTATCAGCCCCAGCTAGTTTTATCTGTTGTTCTTCAAACTCTGGTCCTCTGTCTCGTTCGCATACTGTCATGGTCTATGGTGCCTCCCTACGTTCAAATCTTTATATGCCCCCTTCCTAGTTTCCGAGACCTGTAGCCTGATCCTGCTGGAACGGTATGGCTTGGATTAGTGTACGTCTGGTCTGATACATCAGGGCCAAATCTCCAGTCTGTCCGCTCCAATACTGTGGGGTGTAAGCGGGAATAACATTCACAATATTCCCTTAGATCGCATTTGGAAACAGTTCAAGATTAGCCAGCCAGTGACAGGTGTCCCTGGGTCCTATGTCTCCATAGAGCATCCTCGCACAAATGGGTACGGAATCGCGGACAACTTACATGTAATACATGGATACACATTGAGGACGGTATGTATAGTATGCAATGTAGAGGCTCGTCCATGGTTCACGCACAGTGAAATCGTAGTGGTGGTTACTACTTAGGGCAATAATCGCGGAGCTGATCCTATACCTGAGCTAGAAGCATGCCATCCGTTTTCGATTACTATATGAATTCGGACAACATTCATATCATGCTGACCATACAACTGATATTTTTTCTCATTAGAACAAGATGAATCTCGGTCTGTATCTTGGAATTCTCCTAGATGTCATACTCCGATCTAGCGCCTGGATTAATTGGGACTTTGCTGCCAATCGCCACCAGCAGGTGCTTCCACAAGACGATCCGAACAGGGGCTTTGGCATAAACGAGCCGTTCATTCCTACACCTACACATATTCTCCCCGCGAAGAAGCCATTCTATATCGACGAAAAAATCAACTACTATCGACGATACTACAATGGATCCAAGAACGGCGAGTACCGACGGTCGTCCTGTCCGGCCATCAACGCCCTAGCGAACAGAGGGTACATTAACCGCAGCGGGCGCAACATCACATACGCCGAGTTGGCTGATGCCGTACGCCGCGTGTGGAACTTTGGAGACGATAATGTGGACCACCCTGCGCTGTCTACGGAGCATTGACTAACACAAGCAGATCATGCTCGTCCTAGCGCCCACATTCGCCATGCACGGCTGGCCGGAAACGATCAACCTAGACGATTTCAACGTAAGTATACCAATTTCCATGCAACGCTACATACGGTTGATATAAACCTTCAGGACGACCTGATGCAATACGTCGTTAACTGCCCGGCAGCACCTACACGGAATGATCGTGCCGTTGGCGATAACATCAATATTAACATGACATTGTTCGAATCGCTTCTCTCCTTCTCAAAAGACGGACTGACTCTTTCGCTTGAAGATCTTGCCGAACATCACCATTTAAGACATAACCAGAGCAAAGCTGAGAATCCATCCTTTGTCTTCGGTAACCAAGGGGCGATTTGCACCTGGTAAGTTGATCCACTTTTGCTATACCTTCATCTCGCTGATGATACTAGCGCCCAGTATACGAATATGGTTGGTGTGTTGGGTAAATTCGGGAAACATGGTCGGACGACCTTGTCAGTGGAGGATGTGAGGATGTTCTATCTTGATGAGGACATCCCAAAGGGTTATGAACGACGGGAAATAGCGGTAGGTTGTGCACTGGATAACATGGTGCGTTAGTTTCTGATGGTAGCAGCATTATTCGCCTGAGTCGAACGCCATGATTGACCGAATGTCTCATCACGTTGGCTACACCATCCAACGGCCGTTTCCCCCTGGAGATCAGGATCCGGGGCGCGATATCTGTCCCATGCGGGCGAGGTTTCAAGGAAAGAATTGCGAAGATTGAGACCTTTTTTCGGGGAGTGCAGTACTGACATAAGTTATTGGAATGAATTCTTCGAATGTGCGGATATCATTATTAGATTGTACTAAATAGGTGCCGATATAAAAGTATTGGTCTAATAAAACACTGGGAGCCAAAGAATAGTACCTCCGTAAAACAAGCTTTGTATAGCCATTGAAGGTTAACACTATAGACACATATGTTCGAGAAGCTCTTTTTTACTATCCCTTTCGGTAACTGGTATCTATTTGAATCTTCATAAAAAAAAAAAAAAAAAAAAAAAAAATTGAAAAAGATCCGTGCGACTATATTACATACTGATAAATATGATTCTATATAATTACAATTTCGCCCCCGGCTGAATCTGTCCATCCCGACGACTGTAGCTGTAATGCCAGTCCTCCCGAGTCAAGTCCGCCCGCACGTTAATATTCGCCTCTGCATCATCCAGAATGGCCATATCCAAGTCTGCTACCATAATGCCCTCCGTAGACGTCCCCAGACGCGCCATAGGCCCGACATACGGGAGCGTAATCTGCGAGTGACCGAAGTAATGCTGTGAAGGACCCCCAGCATTGGCACATACCATGGCACAGGTGTTCTCACATGCGCGCGCCGCAAGAATATTGTCTACAAAGGCGCATATGCCTGAAGGGTTCCATCGATGGCCTGCATCTGATAAATGGTGTCGTGTGAGGAATATCGGCATAATAATGATTTTTGCACCCTGATAGACAAGCTCGCGACATGCTTCAGGGAAGGCCAGATCCCAACAGAGTAGCAAGCCCACCGGGCCCAGTGGGGTCTGGATCACTCTATGAGGTGCATTTCCCGAAGATCGAATAAGTTTGCTCTCCATGGGACCCCAGAGATTCTTTTTCGTATACGAACCCAGGATCTGGCCGGTGTTGGAGATGAAGTAGGTTACATTCTCCAGCTTCGGTCTGTCGGAGTGAGGTGCCGTGTCTGGGATTGTTTGGACAATTGAACCGGGTACGATACAGATGTTGCATTCCTTCGCGAGGGCTTGATATTTATGCAGATATGTCTCCCAGTCAGTACATAGGGGGACAAATCGAGGGTCGTCCATGGGGCAGTTCGTCAGATGGCATTCTGGTAAGACTGCCAAATTACATTCCTGTGCGGCAGCATCGCGGATGAATTTGACAGCTTTAGCAAAGTTCTCTGCCGGGCGGAGGGGCTGTGGTGGTTAGATGGGAGTTCCTTGACTGCTGACTGGCTGAATTAGGCACGCAGCCGGCTACATACAATGCTTACCTTGACGTAGAGTTGAATAACAGCAATCCTGAAGATGGGAGCCATGGTTATACAACTCCGTACTTGCGTGACGAGGGAGAATAAGAGACATTATAGAGCATCGCATGGCAGGATAAGAAGTCGATCAACACAGATCGAGGTTTCCGGTGCGAATATGTTTGTAGTGGCCACAGATGCACCGCCCATCATAGAGGCAATTTAGAAAGTATTGAATACTTGATAATAAAGTTCGCTCAATCCGGTTCATTCCTCATCCGATGGTACTATGTACAAGGCAGGTACCTAGGGCAGACGGCGTATCGTCCAGCATCGTATCGTATCGTTCTGTCTGCAACGTCGATGACAATACCTGACCCGTACACAATCTCGATGGATTCATCCGCGATCGATCTTGATACAAGTGTGTTCTGAGAAGGATCACGTAGCCAAATGATCATGTAGCTGGTCCATCCAGTCATCCGTACCACAGTCCAGGTTGGAAGATAACTCCAAACCCGTCGGTCTTCGCGCTCAATATTGAAGTCCGATCCGACTGCCATCCTGCGGTACAGATATGCTTGGGATGATTGCAAACAGGACCATTTCCAGTTTAATACGAGTGTGGCGAACTACCAATTGGACTTCATGTTGCTACAGCGTAGAATCCAGTTAACTATTTTCTGGTCCATGACGTAGGATATTCTCATCTGCGTATGGTTCACTGTATCCTCAGTAGAGACCTGTTTCAGGCAATTGACGACGCCTTTTGGTTGCCCGCCCCACACCATCATCATTGAAGTAGGGGTGGATTACTAAGGCGGAATATAATTTATGATTGAAGCCATTTTAAGGAGCACAGCAATGCTCTTGGTGAAGTAAAGTAATTTTCTACGCTTTACATGTCCCGGTGGTGTTATTCAATCTACCATGGCAATAGAGTCTTTCCGTCTGGGCATATCCTTTCTACTCAGACCAGTTTCTTTGGGGCAAAACAAGCCAACCCCCCAAAGACCATCTCCACCGTCAAAGGATCAGATATTCCATATATCTCAGGTCCCAGAATGGATGCAATGGGATCCCTACATTGTGCATGGATATCGGCCTCAGCTGGGCAGTTTCGAAGACTGCTTCTGGTCGTTGTTCTACCTGCATAACGAGTTCATCAACACATGGTCACATCTTCTCCCGGGGTTGTATTTTATGGCTCTACTTGTCATGGCGGAATACTGGATTTCTTACGTTCCTCTCGACGTCGCCTTTTCTGATATCTTGGCCATTCAAATGTACATGGCTGGATCAGCTGGATGTCTCATATTCTCCGTGAGTTTGTCAATCTTTAGTTCAAAGCACAATTTCATGAAATATGTCTAGGCCGCCTTTCATGCTACCAATGCGCGTTCCCAACAAGTTGCAGCTGCTTTTTTAAAGTTAGACTACCTGGGTATCATCATAACAATCTCAACAACTTGCATGTCAGTCACCTATTTTGGACTGTACCACTCGGCATTCCTTCAAGCTGCATATATATCCTTAACTGCGTTCTGTGCTGCAATCGTCTTCTGGGTTATTCTGGATCCTCGGATGGACGGAGTCCATTCCGGACACTTGAGGTATGCATGGTGATATTTATTCTGCCATTGGCACTGACCAGCCCTGTAGGGCTACCGTCTTTACTCTTCTAGCAACAAGTGGGGTTGCTCCAATATTACATGTTGCCGCTTTCGAGGGGGCATACGGTCTGAAGAGGTTTCCGTTGGAAAGCTTGTCTGTGACGCTTACCTCGTATGCAGTTGGCACCGCTGTGTATGTGTCTCGGTTTCCAGAGAAATTCTGGTCTCATCGGTTTGATCTTTTGGTATGTTCTGCTGCATTTTTGGTTTATTTTGTATGTTTATAGATTAGCTGATAACCGAGAACAGGGAGCAAGCCACCAGATCTTCCATGTACTCATTGTATTTGGTCATATTGTCCATCTCTATGGACTCCGGGGTGTCCTCGTTCAGTGTTCTTTGGATACAGTTCCACAGATTAATGCTGCACCTTAGAAACATGCTAGTTGACTGAAGGTGAGTGGTTCAGTGAATGAGAAAAGAATATATCTGCATGAAACGGCCGTATTTGGTATTAAAAAGTTAGGTAGTTAATGTTTTTCTGTATATCACCAAGATTATCCTGCGTAAATCTATATCAGCTTGTGCTAGAAATATAAAATTATATTTAGTTAAGTGATTTTATCTAATCACCTCCCCTTAAGAGTTATATGAGCCGTCCTCATAATTATCTGGTATATATATTTTCCTGATCACTGTTCTCTCCCCACTCATTGCATTACCTACACCTCCTCATTGCTACGAAGCCTGTACTTCCGATTTTATTCCTGCGGGCTGATTCGAATAAATTTACGAGGCTTCCCCATAGGTAGGTCTATTGACTTGTAGATCTGGAGGATCCTAGCATGGCTTTCAATGGAAGAATATCAATGGCAAAATCTTAGTTCTCAATATTCATATCTATATCCCAGATGATAGAACCTTCTACCTTGTTCGGCTGGAGCATCTCTCACTGATCTTCCAGTCTATTTCTTAATATTCAGAACAGGCGAATTTGGTTCTCCTCTCTCGAACAATGCCTTGATATTCTCAAAACACTCCCGTTCCGCTCTTTGAAACGCCACGTCTGTCAACCCTCCAAGATGCGGTTGGATGATGACCTTATCACTGGTCTGAAAGTACGGATTGATTGAGGGTTCATTGTCAAAAGCATCCAGTCCAGCACGAGTAACTTTCCCCGACTCCAGTGCCTCAATCAGACTCTTCTCATCGACGACTGCACCTCGAGCTGTGTTAACCAGGAATGTGCCGTCCTTCATCATACTAAACTCAGCGGTACCGATCAAACCAGTGGTATTCGCGTTCAAGGGACAGTGGATGGAGACGATGTCCGATGCAGCGAGCAGCTCGTGCAACGACGAGCAATATGTTGCTCCATATTTTGCCTCCTCCGTTGCAGGAATTGGATTGCGATTGTGATATATGATTTTGAGATTCAACACGGCAGCTTTTTTGGCCACGTACTAGTACATTGTCAGCATATCATCACCAGAATTACAACTAGTCTCTGAACCCACCTTTCCTATAGCACCGAGCCCAACAATCCCCAGTGTCAATCCCGAGGGATCCCTCCCCGGCACCAATCCCGGTGCAGATCTCCATGATCCGGACCGGGCGCTCTTCTCAGCATTGCTGCTGTTTCTCAACACCGCCAGGATCATAAACAGGGCCATGTCTGCTGTGGCCTCCGCCACAGCGTTCACAGTGTTGCAGAACCAGATCCCCTGCGACGCCATCCACCTTACATCAAACTCGTTGTATCCAGAACTAGCGGAGGCGATGATCTTGCAGTCGGGAGCTAGAGAGGATAGGAGGTCTGCATCGAAGGGTTCATACGGCGGCGTTCCCATGCGGATAATGAATGCATCAATCGGTCCATCTTTCTCGATGCTCGCGGGGAGGAGCCGCTTCGTGCTTTCGCGATCATACGCCTCCAGTACGGAGAAGTCGAAGGATTTGATAAACTCGGCGAGATAGTCGTCGCCGACGTATCTGGGAGTGCCTAGAGAGACCACGCGTGGTTTTCGATCTAATACGCGAGGAGGCATGATGGATGTGTGGATGGGAAGGGCTGTATGACTATTCAAGAGGTTTTGATGCCCTACGTCTACAGAGGAGCTTCCCCGCATTGTCAGGCTTTCGTCTTCGGCTCCTTCCGCGAGTGGCTGCTTGTCTGTTGCCGTGTGGATCACGGTCGGAGATCCACAATTGCGCCGGCCAGCAGTTGAATTCCTTGTGTCAGACGTATATATTTTACTTGTTGGTTCTACTCTGGGTTGTGATGAGGCCGAAAGTTTGGGATAGCTCGGATGTGTGATGGCACCGATTTTGTATGATTCATTCTTGGAAGATAGGTATTCTCGATATGAAAACAGCACTGTCCTGTCACAAAAAACAATACAGACTCTATGTCGTACATTAATTTGCCTAGTATTTACCGGGTACTTTTTTTTGTCCAGTGGAATCAGCTGACAATATAAAAGGAAGCATGGCTTTCGATTGACGCACCCTAAGGCGGTTGTGGCCCTGCTTGGCTGAGTTATTCAATTGGTGGATGCCCTCTGTATTCATGGCCTTGACGATGTCGCCGTATACCCGGCATTGTATTTCATTCTCTCCGTTCTATAATAAACTCATCGGTGAGGATCAGATATCCGTTGATGTGCTGGGTTTATTGCCACTTGTAGCTATGTCTGGATACCTTCTTTTCTCGTTCCTCAAGTTCTGCGGCTTGATGAAAGACACTAAAAAGACTGACAACAGGTGTAGAGTTATGCTGCTAGTTTTTTCAGCGCTTGATGAGACATGCATAGTCCTGGAGGCTTATTTGTGTTAATATTCATCAGTGCCAGTGCCATTTATGACGGGTAGATTTTGTCTGACTACTGTCAAGAGACAGTTAGGAAGTCTGCGCAGCTTCTAGCACGGTTTTATAGAGTTAGCCATACTGATACCTATGTGATAGATTCCTCTTTCCGATTATATCTAGCTTGTAGAAGTGGTATGTCCACCCATCAGAGAAAATACTGGAAGGGTTAATATGGAGCTCGATATCGTACCGCTACGCCCGAGGTACCATTGTTAATGAACAGTTAGAAATTGGGATATTTGCTGGGAAAAGATGGGTACATCTCACCTATATACGCTAGAATCCGAGCCTCCCTCCCAAAGTTACATCTTCACTTTTCAATACTAGGTAGTCTGCCTTCCGCTTGGTAAAAGGCCAATAAAATAATTTGTGCTCCACTTTCTAGTAATTCATATTAAAGTGGCTGGACGTCGCTATGTTTAACAGATTTCGAACCGAAATTCAGTATGCTTTATCTAGGAATGACCTTGACTTGTATGATACAGAGAGTGGATATTACGCTCAAGCATCTGCTCCCCCTTTATTCGATAAATTTGGAATAGGGCATAAGTTAAGGGGAAGGAAGAGGAAAAAATGCTGGCAGTGTGTATAAATGTAAGCTAGCCCTGTAGTACTTACTGAATCATGCCGTCATTTCTCCCTACCCCATTTTTGTGAATGCTTGAGATAATATACAGCAAAACTCCCTATATAATCACTTCACGGTGCCTAGCGAATCCACTAAATTACTGGATGTAGTACTATGGCATACCACTTTATGAAATCCGTTCTCTTCGCGAACTCCTCTTCACAAACAAAATCCACACTAATCACTGTTAGAATCTTGTGCCAAAGCTGAATGCCTCCTATGTAGTGCGGTCAACCTGGTAAGTCATAACTTCAAACAAGATAATCTTGTCTTTCATCGTTATCCGGCCAGCCATCAATGTCACCTGCAGGGGAGTTATCACACAAAGAACATAAAATGCCCATGGAGCCAAAAATCATGGCATCGCATTTAAGCAGGGATTGGAAGGTTTCAATGTCAGTTTGGTGTTCAGCGGCATGTTTACTAGGAATGAGATATTCCATTTGGTCCTCAAATACAAGAGGATTCTTACACGGCAGGAGTTTGCCATTTTCAACACTGTTGTGTAGATGCTCCAAGCAAAGAAACTCTGTAGTCTCACATAGAAAATAGTAGCGAACTTCAAGTGGGAGCATGCCACTTGTGCTGTAATGGCACCTGAGAACTGCTATATATGGGGTAGGTGGTTGGTAAAGTAGCATGCGTCTCCAGCTTGCTTCGTTCCTCAGGTATGCATTTTCTTTGTTCGGGTCCATGATAGGGTACATATCTATCTCATCATGGGAAGGCCGGTTGGGTGACATGCTATGACGCCTTAAAAAGACGTCAGGCCATAGATCTGTCTGGATAAATGGATTCTGGTTGCGTCTCCTGCGTTTCTTCGATGGCTTGAAAAAGAGGGTGGCCTGGAGATCGGAGGACCCTTGAATCACATTGCGCCAGAAATGGCATACTGTCGTCGCAGATATCAATAAGGTGCGTATCTCGGTCTGGAGGAGGATTTCCTCCAGTATCTCTACTATGTAGAAGATTCGATGAGGCTGCTTGTTTGAAGCCATTGCTATGCGTTGACCATGTGACATACCAGAGGTGTGGATATCGACTGACGATGGAGCAGATATAAGAAGAGGATATTAGATATTATCTTGTTAGCTGGAAGTCTCAAAAAAGGATTGATGGTGTTCAGTTTGGTCGACTTGAAGTCGTCATGACGTTGAGATTCTGTCAACAGTCTTATTCCGTTCGTCACTCTTGTATAACATCTAAGATTCGCTCAATGTTACAACATCCCACACAATGAAATTATGTATCTCCGTTTAACTATTTCAAGATGATGCCTCCGGCATCAATGCATGACAGGTCATAGTATAGACCTTTTCTCCGCATGATGCTTCCAAAGTCCTGACCACAGCAACTGCCGTTCCCTCCAAACATCCGCTTAGTATCGGCCGCACGAACGGGTCTCGGCCTCTTCCGCCAAAGGCCGTCCATATTTTGGCCCCATCAATACGAACATTATCTGCGGGGTTGAGTGATTTGTGGAGGCTCGGAAGGTTCCCGAAGAAGGACGGCGGTGATCGGTTGAGCCGGTATGAACAGCATACACTCCACAGCAAATGGCGGTTGGCTGTTTAATTTTCGTTCTAAACATAAGTTTATAAGGCTTCTATCTCATTGTCAATACAAGTGTCAATCATGGCATCATCAACGACCGCACTGAATGCCACAGTGGCCGGCCATCCGAAGGAGAATAGTAGCTCCTTCGAAGACCCCGTCCTCTTACGGACGACATTCGCATTGGCCATGTCCACCATGTATAAGGCGGAAGTACCTTTGTATGGTCACCTGGTGCGAATCGTCCAAAACGTCAACCAAAGCAAAGTACCGTCGATGGAGGAGGCGCAGCGACTGACGCTCGAGCGCCACGGGGCTATTCGGCTAGGCACTTCTCTAGAACTCCAAACCGTCCGTCGGATCTTTGCTCTCATTGGCATGTACCCGGTTGGATATTACGATCTTGCAGTCGCAGGGCTGCCCATGCATGCAACCTGCTTCCGGCCAATCGAACGCGAGTCGCTGCAGCGAAACCCATTTCGGGTGTTTACGACCCTCCTTCGGCCGGAGCTATTGCAGTCGGATGCAGCCAAGGACATTGCCTTGAAGCTTTTAAAGAGTCGATCTATATTTAGTGACCGGTTAATGGAGCTGCTCGATCTGGGTGAAAGACAAGGTAATCGGCTCACCGAAGATCAGGCCGAGGCGTTTATCCCAGCAGCATTACGAACATTTAGCTGGCAAGGGATTGCAGCGGCAAGTCTTCCTCAATATCAGCTGCTCAAATCTGAACACCCCATACTCGCGGATATCGCCTGCTTCCGAAGCGCCCACATCAACCATCTCACGCCGCGAACCCTGGATATTGACGAAGCACAGGCCGCAATGGTGCAAGAGGGCATGGCTGTCAAGAGCCGCATCGAGGGTCCTCCGGCTAGAATATGTCCAATTCTGCTGCGACAAACTAGTTTTCTTGCGTTAGAGGAGAAGATATTGTTTCCATTGACGGACATGCATACCAGTCACAACGTTGACAGTGGTAAAGATGCAGCAAGTGAATTGTCGCAAGGCTCTCACCAGGCGCGGTTTGGGGAGATAGAAGAGCGGGGAGCGGCAGCAACGGTAAAAGGACGTCACTTATATGACATGCTTCTCGACAAAGCCATGCAAATGGCCAATTCTATAGCGGCAGATCCTCCGACGACCGATAAGATAATGAGAGAGGCCTTCGAGGAGTATCCAGATAGCTGGACAGAGCTTCGAAGACAGGGCCTTGTATATTTTGAATACCGGCTGACTGGTAAGAGAATCGACACATTTGATATCAACAAAGAGGATCCGGGAACAGCGGTCCTGGAAAAGCTTATTGCGGGCGGCCTGATTGAGGCAATTCCCATCACATATGAGGACTTCCTACCCTTCTCAGCTGCAGGAATTTTCCAGTCGAATCTCCAGACTCCCTCGTCTAGCGTGCGAGAGACTTCCGCAGGCCGCTCCACTTCCGATCTTCAAGGCTTCGAAAGTGCTTTAGGGGACCATGTCTTTAATCTGGACGAACTATATATTCAGAGGCAGAACGAAAGCCTCACAGCCTGTGCAAGAGCCCTTGGACTTAACGAGCAAGATCTAGTTGAGGAATATAGAGAAGGTTGGTTCTAGGGGAATCATGTACGTATCTTGTAATGTTGGCTAGCTATAATATAACGGCACTTAGTATAGCACTCTAGGTCCCAGTAATGGACCACCCAACAAAACTGTATCTAACGTATCGGAAACTGGCGCCGTAGGTACATAGGGGCATTCTGTACCAAGAAATGTTTATATTCTTGCTCACTGATTACAAAGAAGCTATGTTGCCTTTGGTACACAGATGAGCCACAGGGAGAAAGTCCGACTAAGAAGAAAGGAGGGATATGTTATGTACAGCCATTCCATAATTCTCGCTACTATCTCGCTCAAACAACGTTACCTCCAGCCCCAAGTCGCTTCGGCTAATACAGTGCCTTAAGGACAGTATTTAGCATCTTCGATATGCCAATCAGATGTACAATGAGCCATATCGCCGATCTTTCGCAAAGTGTTGCGGATCCAGTAGAGTCTGCGTCACGTTTGCAAGCTAAGCCAGATGTGTAGCGGGCGATTTCCGCGCCTAATAATACATAATGTCCACCTCAGCTCGCGACTTCCGGACATGAGGTCCGTCCTGCCCTAGGGATCCATAGGGACGAAGTGCATCGAGCAACGTCTTGTCAGATATACCACTAGACCACAAAAAGTAGCGCTGTTATAATTTGCACATAATAATGGTATATCTGCTTTATCTGACACTTGTACGCCTCGGCCATGGAAGAGTATTCGCATCGTGGAAGGTCTTTGCTCTCCCGGACTTCGCACCAACTACAAGAGCTTATAGTAAGACACCATGATGGTCAGTTGCGAAATGACTTTCAAGACGATGGCAGATAGGCGTCCAGAGCAGACCATTCGGTGAGGGTCTTTGAGAACGCATACCATGACTTGGTTCAAATAACTACAGGCGGAACCAAGCACAGCTCTCAGGACATGTTTCTCTTTGCCGTCTCATGGTGCCACTGCAAAAATCAACCAGGTCATCAATCAGGCTGACCACCGCGGACAACTCCATGTACTTTTTCCTGTGAGTTCTTCCCCCATGGCGAGTGATGCTGCTGCAACACCAACATAGATGGCAATATTAATATGACGGTGCAGTCGTGTCGCTACCGTAGAACCTATGGGGAAGTTGCTGTCGGGCATGGTCTCAATATATTCCCGGGACTCGGAATTGGATAGTAGAGGATAAAAAGTTGTCAAATTGCCAATCGATGATCATCCGTGCTAGGTTACACATCCTTAAGAAAGCCACCACGCCTCCCCTCTTCGTTGCGGAGGACAATGGTTTCATCCGACGCGGCTTCGCAATAGTCACCAAGTAGAATGTCATTTCCAGAATCCGCAATGCCATAGAGCAGACCTTCGTCATACAGATCAGCGCCACAAGCCATGGCAAAATAGTGCTTGGCGTCCCCACAGAGCTTGATCCTTTCCTCTGTTGGATAGAGGGCAGGATAGACGTCTAGTGGACTATCGTTTCTCTCATCTAGACTTCGGTCGGGAGCCGTAATCGTGGGCACCTTCACCGTGGCAGGTCATGGGACGGGAGTGAACTTCCGAGTTAAGGGTATCATTTTGTTGGAAGCCTTTTGGAGCTTTGAGATGAATAGGCTGAATGCGTTCCATTAGTTGCCCTTCTGAACGATAACCCTGGATGGCGTCAACCATTGCCTGAACTGCAAGACGCGGACAGCGTTTTTGAACATCTGCTGCATCCGCACCATTGGGGACGGGTAAATCCCCGTGCAGTCATAATCTGTGCGTCGAACATATCGCGCCGAAACAAGGTTGGTCTTGTCGCAGGAAGGAGGGTTCTTACCATCAATACCGGTAAAGGCCACAAGTAACGACTAGAGACATGAAGGAGTAGAAGATATTAGCAATCTGGTGCTATTGTAGATTGCCCTTCTTCGAAAGCCCCATCATGTCGCTAATGGTCATTGTTTCCTACTATATATTTATAAACAGGTCAAACAGAAAAACGTCTGGTTTCAAGTGTGATTCATTCTGTAGCTACGGATGCTGGGATATTTATTATTACAGACAGCTAACATTAAAATAAGACCCTCTGTTTTATTTTTATTTTATTTTTTCTTTTGTCTGGAGCAGCTAATCTTCAAGGCTTGTAAAAGTGGATGTTGAAGCTCAAGATAGTGACGTGAAAATCGTGCATACAAGATGGATGCCCCATTGAGAAAAGACTAACCAATATTGAGGGAATTATACTGGCTATCTAGAGTTCGGTTTTTAACTCGGATAAAATCTCTATCGAGGTTCCAACCAGCAACGATGCGAGGGGCATATCGGACGTACCAGGGCCGCGAGAACAACTAGTTTCACGCGAGAAATGCATGTAGCGGTCGATCGAGATCTGGGGCTGGAAGAGATCAGGGTCTATTCTCAGCTCGAGTTGGATTGAATCACATCACTATCTGACACTTATATACTTGATGTGGGCTGGCTTTTCGGCTTCCTCCCGCGTAAGCCAACGGTGGTCATCCGAATGGATCAGAAATTTCACCCAGAAGGAGCATATCAACTGGACAATGAGCATTTTAGCAACCCTAGCGGTTAACAGAGACCCAAGGAAGCGCCGGAGAAGGCCAATCTAAGAAAACACTGTGAAACAACCATATATCCCAGCATCAACCAATGTCTCAAAAAAGAAAGGACTAAACATTATCATCCAAAGGAGACTGGAGTCATACATCGATGGGGTTCTGCATCTCCACCAATGGACGATCCACGGACTTGTGCGTCTTGATGAATCTGCGGATATACTTGTCGCCCCGTCCTAATAAGCAGTTTATCTCACTAGGATGGACTCCGTTCAGGATCACCATGGGCAGAAACATCAACAGGGCGTCGAAAACGTATAAGAAGACCTCATGTCTCATGAGGTATCCATCATAGCCATCCAGATATTCCACTACACGAATGATCGAGCGAACCAAGATCATCGTGCTGGTTACATATAGGGCAACCATATGTGGGCGCCAGACCCCCGAGACCTCCGACGACGGACATAGAGGGCCCCTAGCCATGCGGATTTCGAAGACGGCGGCGGTGATGACAAACAAAGTGAACATTATGATCTGCACGAAGAGACCGCCGATGATGATGCGTTCACCTGTGTTGGGATCGGTAGAGTCTTTCACCATAATACCGGCGCCTAAGGGATGTTAGAACCAGCTACATTGTTTGAATCAGAGCAACATACCTGATGCTTGCATGAGAAAGGACAGCACGTCACCCGCCACAAAGATCTTGGTCAGCCAGTGCAGCCTCACGATTGAATATTGTTCGGCCTGGAGCATGGCAATGATACGGCCCAGTGTCATGTAGATACTGGCGGCAAAAAACGCTGGGGCGATAAGAATTAGAGCGCTTTGGATAACGTATGGACCTTTGGTGAAATTAGGGAATTCGTTGTGTGACAGCAATCGGCCTGCATATCCGATGGTCTCGACTAACGAGAATCAGATTAAGTTCCGAATTCGTAATGGATTTGGGGACCTACGGATGCCTCCAATCAGGAAAGGGATCATAAACCATGTCCGCGTCTGAATGAGTTGGTGGAAATGAAGAATGGTGCTCAAACCGAAAAGAACGAGAAAGATCACTGCTGCAGGTGCAGATGGCTCGTAATAGTAGAAGGTAAACAGCATCGTGAGTGAAATGAAATGCTGCAGTTCAAAGAATATATTGTCGAAGAATGGATTCCATTCCTCCGCCAACAGGGAGAAGAGCGCTGAAATATAAATGTTTTTTGGACAAGTAACCCCAAGTAAAGCTCCATCGTTATTACCTCCACCGAGTACTGTGCGTGCATATCCATCTCCATAGCTTCAAGTGAGAGGATTGCGATGGTGACGACTCGCTTTCGTATCCTTTACCTAACCTGGTAGTGACCTATGTTAGGAGAGACAAGCATTTGTCTAGCGATTCCAGGCGATAAGATTTCATCTCAGACACAGCAGCACTTGTCCCAGTGATATGACATCTATGTCAGCAAGATGATAGTCCACGCCTATTCATTCCCAGTGTACTTATCCTCCATATGAATCTTGCAGAAGGCGGAGGAGTCTGCGATGAATCAAATCCATTGCAAGCAAAGAATAAAAAACAATTGAAATCAGCCGGACAGGTGTTTTGCTTAATCCAGGCAGACATTTACTAAGTCCATGGCGATAAATAAAATCCTTCGTATGTGTATGGAGAAACAAGGAATCAATTAGGGGTATCGACCATGGTATGCTGCGGGTACTTTCGTACCTCGTACTCTTTTCCCTTTTGGGCAAGATGATTGGAGGTCAGTTTTATTCTTAGCACTCCCATCTTTTCCGCGGCCTTGAAGTGCAGATTCCCGTGGTTGGCTGGTTGTTTCATGTACCCCGACCCGTCACCATATAGTAAGAGTTGCCCTAGGTTTTTGAAAAACGGTGCCTGGTGGTTGTGCCATCCACGGCCACACCCAAGTTCCCGATATCGGGCAATGTAAGGACTCAAACCCACGCCGTTTCTGTCACTTCACCACACCTCAAGCGTTAGGTTCGATAGCGGTACGACACCTAGATCTCACCATCATAGACAAACAATGCCGATGCTTGGTTTTGTCTGTGTGAAAATGTATCATTCAAGATCCACAATCGACCACATTTCAATCCTAGGCGAGGTGTGAGAGTGTTAGGACTTGGAAGGTGGAACCACATTGCTTCTATCTGAGTTGGTTTCCATAGGCGACTTCTTTTGCATTGCAGGACAGAATTGACAAGAGCCGTCATTTTCTAATTCGGTATTCATCATCCCTTTAGAATTATTTTGAGTCCTCTCGCATTATTTTATTACAATAACTTTATTATTTTTAATAGATTTCAAAAATATGGAAGGTAAAGAGGGCACTGGTCTACTCAAGCCCTCTAAGTTCCCTTTCTCTGGTAGAAATATCTCATTCACAAGGGACAACGTAACTTCACGATCATAAGAAGGCTAGGCCAATGCCACCGTACTTTTCACTCCACAAGTCCCCTCAGAATCTGCCAGATTCCCCCTGAGGCGCTGAACATACTTAGTGAAGACCTTTTAGTTCCTCCTGAGAGTATTCATCCTTGCGAAGAAACCCAAGACCAGGGTGTCCACTCTCTCCATCCTGCCTTCCCAGAGGTGTCATGTCCAACCAACCAAATGTATTAATCAAATGCTCCCCACCACGTGCGTACGTTGAATATGTATGGTAGATCTTTCCCACTTCACCGATTTTGCCGTCGCCCCTGTAGAACACACTGCTTCCTGGCTGTTCCCCCTTGGTGAGGAAGTCAGGAAGTTCGTCCTTAGCCTTGTAGTTGTACTCAACTGGGCGGATGGCCTCATCCTGCGTGGTATGCATGTCGTAATTAAAATCACTACCGTAGGACGAAACCCAGGGGAAGGTCCAGCCCATGCGCTTCTTGTACTTCTCAATCTTCTCAATCGGGGCGCGAGACACCGCTACGACACTGGTGGAGCGCGAATGAAGGTGCTCCAGCGGAGGAAATGAGTCACCCATGAGGGTGCAACCAGAACAGCCCGCTTCCCAAGAAGGGTCGAACATAAAATGATAGATAATCAGCTGGCGGCGACCGAAGAAGAGGTCGGAAAGGCCGATATCATGCCTCTGCCCGTCCTTTGGGCAGATAATACTGAAGCTATACGACTTAGTTACTTCCACAATCGGAAGCTGACGTCGCTCAGCAGCAAGGGCGTCAAGGGCACGCGTGGCTTCCTTCTCTTTCTCCAAGAGGGAGAGTCGTGCAGCGCGATATTCGGCCGGAGAGACAACCTAAGTCATATGTAAGAAAGGCGGTTGAGGACGCCAAGGACTGGGAAAGGGATCTATTTTGTACTTGGACTGCACTCATTATTGGAGAAGTTTGGACGATGTTCTGATACCGGACTCAGTTATGTTTAGAAGACCTTTATTTCAGTGGGGGATATGTAATATCTCTGCTTGGGGAATATAACTGAGTAGTTCAAAAGGCAGTCAACGCTTTTATAATTTCCCTTTGATCCTTTGGTATACATGCGTGAGATTTACAAGTGCTGACTTCAAGGATGATCCATGATCCATGATCGATGACATCATGTTCGTAATATTAAATGAATGGCATGAATGAGAACGCGCTAGTGACACCACACCCGGCTCGTATTCAAACTCAAATTAGAAATATGGCGAATCACGACTGGCTGTGATCACTAATCATCTATTTTATGGAGATTGAGTTGATTGTCACCTGCTACAAATAGAAAGTTTGTTTGGTATTTATGCCCACTGCAGATATGTAGCTTAATTAGACTTTAGGCTCCACTAGGCAGCAAAACCTCTATTCCATAGATCGACGGATCTAGACCAATACAGTCACCGCCTGGCATTGTCCTTCGCCATTCCGTCTTTTCGGGTGGACAGAATCAAGTAACATAAATAGCCACTAGATGCCACACTATTGGTATATTACTTTATTTACATATTATAAACAAATACGGGCATCATTTCCTCGCGGGTCTCCTCAAGCCTCTCGCATTCTCTATATTCCATTACAGCTAAAGAACCACAGCCAAGAATTCCCTAATGGCCACCGAAACCACCACTCCGGTTCCGTCACAGCAGAAATGGCAGCCTCCCCCAGTAGGCAGCCCTTGCTGGGTGGAGATTCCCGCACAAGATGTTGATAGATTGAAGGTAAGTTTGATGCCATAGCAAAACTCTTGTGCAGAGCTGCATTTGCACCCTGAATTGGGAAAATGTTTATTCTCGGCTAAACTCACATTACAAAGGAATTTTATGCTACCCTCTTCGAATCATGGGAATGGAGACCAGCCCATGGTGCCTCGACCGAGGATCAAATGCAGATACGGCACTACAGTTTTGCCGAGCCAAAAGGTATGTCCGGAGTATATTGCACCCCCTTTCTCCTCCCAAAAAAAAGATGAAAAGTTTAAGTGCCCGTTCTAGGACTTTCAGGAGGAATCATCAAAGTGCCCGATGGTTGTGCTCCTTCAGAGCAGGCGATGGGAAGTGGTATGACTGTGTACTACATGGTTGAATCTCTTCAGTTGGTCAGTATTCGTGAAACAGTCCATGCTAGACATGAGTATAGAATACAGAGTACTTACCGAATATATTAGACGGAAGAAAGAGTCCACAAATTAGGAGGCAGCACCTGCCTCTCAAAGACGCAAGAAGGGTCTCATGGATGGTATATGAATTTCCGTGATCCTGAAGGTAATCGATTTGGCTGCTATGAAGTGTGCCATGTTTAGGTAGTGGGGTTTCGAAACTAAGTTGGTGCTTTGAACAAGATATTGAGGTCTAACATTGATATGTGAGAAACAATGCGTTAATTCGTTGAGGTGTTTTTACTTGTTTTATCCTCTGGCTGGGTTACGACTTGGCTACCTTCTCCTTCCTACGGATTATTCTCGGTGGTCTTGCATTCTATCTGAACGGAGTGGGCTGCGAGAAGCCTTTCAGTGCTCTCTTACGAACCACGAGGAATCTAGCCTTAGACAACTTAGTCACGCAGTCCACTTGGCCAGTGCAACCATCGGATAGCATTTTAAGTCAAGTACGAGCGCAGCTTGGTGCGTTAACGGCCCGGGGAAGAGACGTGGGATTTGGGCCTGAGGGGACAGTTGGCCAGATACCGAAATCTCCTAAGAGCTGTTGATATTTAATTATCAAAAAAAGTGGCCTCTTTACTTGAGTTAAAGGTGTCTAATATTCCTCACGATCCGCTGCCAGAGATAACGCGGCATTCGGTTACTCATACTCTTGTAAGCTTTGTATTGTATCTCAGAGAAGGAAAAAGTTGTCGTTCTAACGCTCGTGTTGTCACTGAGCCCAAAAATTTCTAATTGAAGTGTCGGCTGAACGGGATTCCTTAATGTATCCAGTCTCAGTGGCGCAGTGTGCAACCTCTTGAGGACAAAACAAAATCTTGATCAGTTGCGAATGCTCTTCGAAAATCTAGAATCTCCATTCTTCCATTCAAAACCTTACTCTTCGTCACTGTCACTCTGGTCTCTGGCCGGTCCCATGGTTTAATGTAGACATCTATTCAACTGCGGTCTCGCGGCCAGTGGATACTTCACAGCGAGCGACGATAGATACCTCTTGGAGCATATCTCTCGCTGATATCCTGTACACAGTACGCGATTTAGGGGACCCGTATGAGACGCGGCCGCATAGCAGATTCTATTTGACGTCTATGACTCTTTGGCCCGCAATCCCCTGGAGCAAGGAGAAGGATTAGCTGTGGGTCTAACTCGTTTATTGGGATGACTCTTCTTAGTACTCTGGTTCCAGCACTAAATATCTCCTCTGGTATCGTTCGTCTTTTGCTTGCGGAAGAGATCAGCAAGCCTGTGATCGATCTATATTTGCTCTGTAAGGCCACCATTTATCAGCTTCTAGTGATCGTTTTCGTGATGACTCGAGTACTCATGATATCCCTAGCACAAGACGACCACCAGGGGCTTTGGTATGAGCTTTCAGAAGCAGCGGTGACAAACTATAGCTGAGGATAGTAAAACCGGGAATGTCGGACAACCAGTTTATCTTTTCTGCTTGGCCCCTATAGTCGCTCAATTCTATCTTTACGCTGGTAGAATAGTAGACCATACGCGGAATACTTGCGACTGCAGAGTTTATGCATATGGAATACTAATTTACACATAGAAATAAATGCGTATGCAGATTATATACACAGAAATAGTACCCAGCCCTCTATGACCAAACCTGTATTATTAAAAGATGTTTTATACTGGATAGATCTATATTCTATGTTCGTTAACCCGACCACCGAGATAACAATTATATCCACCAGGTCAATGAAGTTCTTTTACTTAAGTGAGGTGCTTGTCAGGGGCTGAACCTGTAGAACCTATAGGATAGGCTATATGCCAAAAGGGAATCGTTGGAGGAAAGAGAAAGGTACAGAAGAATCACGTGTTGTGGGCTGGGCCCACAACTAACCAATGTAGTAATCGATGCTCTAATCTACAGTCAAGTATTGCATAATAAATCATCAAGGGCCTATAGGGACTGTAGCTGCTACAGGTCCCGAGAGGTTAAAAGGCTCCAGCCCTTTACATGGCTAATTGTAATAACCTTATTCCTCAGACGGTAGGGGCGGAAAGACTCCGCCCTTTTGGAGATGGTTACTAGAAATTTGATTTGTCAGTAATTGCAATAACTAATAAGGACAATTCCCTATTAGTAATTAGACAGACTCAACGGACCTCTGGTTCTCGGTGAAATACGTAGTCGACTAGTCATGTTGTAGTGATAATTAGTCCTACGTGCACTAATTCCGTACTATTAAGGCGGAATATGCACAATTACACAGTTGATGGGGAACGCATCTCAGCGTTTAGCTTTCGCTTGACCCCCTACACGTTGAGTATATAACTATCCATGTTGGTGGTAATCTTGCTACATTGTGAAGGACGGCAAAGAGATCTCAAATCTTACTTTGTATTAACCAGGCTCAACTTTCAAAATTGCCTAACAATGTCAGTTCCTTCTGTGGCCATTTTTGGACCACATGGTTTTATTGGCAAGGAGATTGTCCCAACGTTTGTGGAGGCACTAAGTAAGAAGGAAATATCATCCTTAAAACTATTAACACGAAATCCCACATCATCTGTATATAATACTGCACGCAGCCGAGGAGCCAGTATTTGTCCTGTTGCTTTTAGTGACAGACCTGCTCTACGCCGTCTACTAGAAGGGGTTGATGTTGTTATCTCATGCATGGGAACGTCTGGTAACTACAAGGAAAACAAAAAGGAGCTGGTTGATGCTTGTGAGTTCCATTCCAGCGGGTGTATTTTATTACTATAAGCTTATGTGTAAATATTTAGGTGCTGAAGCCAAGGTCAAGATTTATTTACCCTCCGAATGGGGTACTGACCATCGTCAAACCCATTACCACCACCCGATGTTTACCAGCAAGCAGGAACACCATTCTTATGCTGAAAAGCTTGGTCTAAAAACCATTGCTCTCTATACAGGTCTAATCATGGAGACCTCGTTTTGCAAATGGCTTGGTAAAAGCAACTCTACAAAGAAATGTCCCTCAAACATGATCTGACTGTCTATAAGGGTTTGACACGAAAGATCGCACGTGGAATATTGTGGAATCAGGAAACAGGCTAGTTGCGATGACATCACAAAAAGATTTAGGTCCTGCCACGCTTCGAACCATACTGCTTGCCTACTCAACACCAGAAAAATGCCCATCTCACATTAGGATCTACTCTGACAATCGATCTATCAGAGACTACCAGGCAATTTTCGAATCGGAGAGTAAAGAGAAATTAAAGCTAAATTGTATTTCCCTCCGGGATGCAGAAACAGACTATGAGCGGATAAAAGCTTCCATTCCTCCTAATAAGCTTGGTAGGTATCTTCCTACAAAATATCATGAAAGGTACTAATATACTAGGGCCTTTAATAAATCTGTTGTTTGCCGACGGGACTTTCGATCACACGTCCAATGAACGGGAGATTATTAACCCAGGACAGCATTATTTTCAATGGAGATCCGTGGATAATTATGCAAAGGAGGTCAATGGGTTGCCGTGGGAGAATGAATCGCCATGGTGAAGGGAGAGCACCTCCCAAAGTTGTGCGATGAATCAGCATATTAGGCCAGACGTCAACCCATAACTGTTGGAATAGTTTTGTATGGTACAACACCTAGATCCACAAATTGAAACACCTCTCTACTTTGATTTACTTGTGATATGAATATAGCTCGGTCCTCGGTAAATAACAACCCGTGCACGGTTCACTTGGTTATATAAGTTGCGTATATCTCCTTAATTCTGTGCGACAACTGAGTCGTCATTCTATTCCAATTTACTCAGTTCCTCTAGTCTGATGCCAAGTCCTCTGACGTACCGTAGATTCCGTACAACTTGTTTTACACTCGTTCGCCTCCCTCCTTGACTTGTTGCGGATGTGTTTACTTCGGAGGTGGTTTACAGGGTTGGAAGCAAGCACACTAAAGCGACTTGTTTATCAATAGCAATTGACAAATTATATCTTGCCTAGTCACCCGTGCCGGGGAAAAACTTTCCATATCGAAGAGTTGTCTGACAACGATATCCGGAACGTATCCATCTATTCAAACCAGGCTATTGGTCTTCTGACAAAATCACGCGGAAGCTAGATAGTTTTGTGGATTCCTGCGGCAAGTCACTTCTGCAAGTTAGTAGATCGGTCACGTATTGGACTCAGAACAACGAGCCCTGTTATCGTGGTAAGAACCTAGCCAGAATGTGAGTCATGGATATTATTAAGCTGTCAGAAAGCTATGGTGGGATTTGGAGTATTCGTTCAGACATGTGGCATGAACACCTAGCCCATTGACCATATAGATTAGCAACCCCAATAGTGGACAGCGACTACCTGCGCTCCCTTATATGCTGGCATAGTTACTCGCTCCTTTTCAAAGTGATGCTACAGAGGAATTGCCATGGATTGAATACTAGCCATAGGAATACCAAAGCTCGAAAATGCAATCAGCCTTTCGGGCTGAGTTGGAGATGCAAAGCATTCAAAGTATGATTAGGTATGGTGCACGTCGGGCGGATATCTGCCTAAAAATATGCTCCTAACTGTAGTTGGCATGGGCATAGGGTATCCTAGCCCCGGAGAAAACAGGTCAATATCACCATAAATGGTAACATGTCCTCCGAGGCTGATGAGAACGAAAGAGCGCCATAAATTGATTTCTTTTATGTATGTGATTTTTATTTCCTTCTCCCTGAAGAAAATACCCTTCAACGAAGAATCTCCCAGTCCTTGTCTTCGCCCTGGCCGTTCACCCATGGCAAACACACGTCCCAGAGCGCCTTAACTTCTCCCTCCCCAACATTGAGTAGGGCCTTCCAGAGCATCTTATCTCCTCTTTCGCACCAAACCAAGAGGGCGACAATCAGAAAATCCGCATACCCGGGGGTTTCACCCTCAAGGAAAGGTCCATTCTTCCCCAGCCTACCTCGCAGCATCTGTGCCAGTGGTGCCATTTCTGCTTTCGCAGCATCGATAATCATCTGTATTTGGTCCGTTTCCTTGGGAAGGACCTCTGAAAGAGGTTTCCCAAACCTTGCCGACCGGGTCTTAATAAAATATTCCCGGCCTCTGGGGTCCAGAAAATCGGCCACGCGGGGCATGATGAGGGCGGAGCACTTCGAAACTACATTGGTGATGAGCTTGTTCACCGCGAGCGCCAGGGCGTAACTGGCATCTCGAGATGGGAATAGTGGTGGGGATGGAAAGGCCTGGTCCAGATGCGTTGCGATGGCAAACGAGTCCATCAAAGCGCCATTAGGATTGGAGATCACAGTCGGCGGGTGACAGATGGTTGGAAGGGTGTATGCCACTCCCTCCTCATGAGGTGGGACATTCAAGTTCGAGAGCAAAGGGGCGATGTCAGGGTAGGAGATGTAGGACTGGGTATAAGGAATGCGCTTGTAGTTCAGGACCATGCGCGTCTTGATTGTGTTCGGGGACCATGGTTTCAAGTCCCCTGCAATTAATGTTAATTAGCTACAGAACTAGAGAGGGATGGAAATAGGCATACGCGGAAGCGTCGACTCAATGTCGAAGAAGTGCACAGGTATGGGGTCTGCCATGGCCGGTGAGAAGACGAGTTAGCTACCATATCCATCACACATTGTGAACAGGCAAAGTTGACGCAGGATGGAGGAGATGTGGCGGTTCTTGTGCACAGGTGAACGTTCCAACGTCATCTGTCAAATAAGTTGGTGGTAATAATGACGTAAACAAGATCATAAAAGAGGAGTAAAACAAACTCCCCTACACCTAGCAGAAGAAGCAACCTAATGATCCATAATAATAATCACAAGAATGATCATATGTTGATCAATATAATCAAGAAACCATCTAAAACAATCATTTTAAGCACCCCTGCTTTGAGAGAATAGTGTCTACTTTCCTATTCGGTATTAGCCGAATATCGAACATCATCCGTTCCGCTTTCACGTGACTGCCAAGACCACCAATGGAACCTTCCGCGGGAACTATGTATATTTCTCAATACAATGTTTCCCACGGCGTTTTGTATTATAGGCAGTTTTTAAGCAGTAAAACTATCAAAAATAAAAATCATTGTTGTGGAATTCAGGGGAAATGGGGCGTAGGGAGCTATTCTATCAACTACAGGCCAACTAGCCTAATTAGGAAGTAGATGTCATTCAGTGGAAACACCAGGAATCGCAGTATCTCAACCAACTGAGCCTACTAAGCGGTTCCCTATATTCTCATTGAGGTGTTCAACTCTTGATTTAAGTGCTCAACTATCTGAAGGATTCAGGGATTGAATCGATCGTCAGATACTCCGCACTGCCAAGTCGGGCGGATTATAGTGTTTCCGTAACAATCATATACTGTATACAGTATATGTAAACCAGTGCTGAAAAAAGACTCGTATCCATGTGTTGTGAAAACCTTGACACGGTCCACGGTGCACAGGGAAAATGGGGAATAGGGCAGGAGAAGCTATACCAGCTACACGCACGTAGCCTACTAAGGAGCGTATATATGCAACTAGATATATATTCAACGCCTCATCTAGATGCCACGCTCTCTTCTTCAACAGGGATAGGGGATTCAGGGGTTGACAACGTTGTGCGTAGCCAAGGCGCTAGGAAGGAATCGGTCCAAATACCATTTCAACACCATGCTTTTTGGAAACAGGTACTCCGTACGTATATCACTATTTCAGTCCAATCATGGATCTAAAAGGACAATGGCTTTCAAGTGCTAACTTGGCTAGACAGGCCCTAGAAGTTCTCACCGAAGCTCCGCTGTTCTCTTGTACAACTTTTCGGTCAACTTCTTGCAGAGGCAGATGATCTGTGCTGACTCCTCAACCACATCGTCTTGTTCATCAGTATTTAATAGGCTGTTCGCCTCCAAATCTCGGAATTTGAACTCTTGCTGGAAGTTGGATTTATCAAAAGAGATCCAGTACTGTGTGGTGGTCCATCTACACCCTACACCCTCCAGAGCACCCTTTCGATCATAACAGGTCGACCCACGAGTACGCCGGACAAATTCACCACAACGCCGCTGTCCATCCCTTTCGATGAAGAGCAGTTCGGAGAACCTATGGCTGCGAGTCTTCTGATGGACTTCAGTGCCCGCAAGGACTATATGCAGGCATTGACGTCGCAACGGCGCGTCGCTCCCACGGGATGGGATTCACCCGCTCTTGCGGAGGTCGTCGGACAGGATATCGGTCTCAACTACGCCAGACATTACTTCCAACACCTCTCTACTTCTTCTACTTTGTAGATATTACCAAGATTATGCGGCGTGCAATGGAGTCCCTCTACAACCCAAGATTTGCATGGTGCTCGTGGCTCACCATCAGCGCCGCGATAATGAACCTGATCCAGGAGATCGATGAGTGGTTGAGCCGACTCCCATACGACATAGCGGGCTTTACTTTCGGTCCTTGTTAGTATCCAGTATAGCTGGAATTACACCCACCATCGTTGGAGCTATACTGCATCTTTTCAACATTGGACCGCTCTGGCGGTAAGGTCGCCGGATCCAGCCAGGTATGTATCACGAACATCACCCCCAGTTGCATGGCAGATGGAGCTGCATGGTTCAGCCCGACAAGTTGGTGCAACTGTGGACCAAGTTTAACTTACCCGACTCTGCCTTGGACCAACACTATGGATGCAAATTGCGCAGACATGTCGCTGCCAGCGTCGACCTACAGCCCATTACTACAAGCGCGGCGCCAACAAACATCCCAGGCCAAGATGGGTTCCCGGGCTGTGCAGCAGTTCCTCAGTGATGGAAAGTCTGCCTACTGCAACTATAGTGGCAACCCCCTCTACCACCCTCAATCCCACCGCAGACGGTCTCTTAAATTGTGCTTACACCATCCAACCCACCAGCTCCTATAACCCGCAGCCTACAACTTCAGCTCTGCCGCCTCCGCCTCCACGTTACACGCCAGGACAGTGTAATGTGCATATTTGGGAAGACCTTGGATGGAAATACGCGATCCCGAGGTCTGCATCGGCGTCAACATTACAGATGCGGACAGCAAACCCATTGGCGTGTTGAACACGAGAACCCCAATCAAATCTCCGCTCGACATGGTTAATACGGCGCAGTCCTTCTACCTAGGCATTCATGTGGAGTTTCCTTATGATATGACTCAGGGGGGGAAGAAGGGAGTAAGCTTATCGAACAGCAGCACGCGACTAGTTGCTAATATAGGGAACAATAGATAACTACCATAATTCCTTGGATGGTTGACTCGCGCGCATCTTTTGAATACTGGAAAAGAGCTAAGTACGGTCTGAGTTGTTAAATCTTCTACATCTGAACAGGAAACATGAGAACAGCTATATCTGTTAACCACTAATAATTTGTACACCTAATCTGACAAAAAGACAAGCTCGACCGGTAAGTATCGATAGTAAAATAAACACTTGATGGCTTGTGAAGAGCTTGTCCTCGTGACATCTGAACATTCGCATCTTCCTCAAATAGTTAAGAGTCATATCATGTTTAGACAGTGCTTTTCGCTTCTTCAAGCAAGGCCAGAAAAACCACATAGTTGATGAACAGCATTCTTCGTTATTTAAATTTGAGGGGCGTGGTGTCATCTTCCTGCACTCCCTTGCGCCCTCTATATAGCCTTTTTCATCGCAGGAAAAGTCTGATTCCGATGACTGGGCTCAGCTGAATACGAAGCCACGGGCGCTGAAGAAAAAATGAAAAATATTGCATGTTATCACAAATAGTCCCTTCTCAGCCATGTTCTAGTGTTGCTTAGGGCCTAATCAATTCTGGTAACAGATGGGCTGATCAAATATTCTTCATGTTGGTAATGTAGATTAGAGATGTTCTCAAAAACGGGAACTCTTGAAGTAATTACCGCAAATAGTCAGCGTTGATGGGGCTTTGGTTCCCCTTAGGATCTCACAGGTCTCTGGTTATTAGGGAAGATTAAGCAACATGCTTTCGTTTGCTGCTTGATATCAATGATGATTGGGATAATGGAAGTTACCCCAGTAGCACTTATCACAAATAGTCCGTGTGCATTCCCTCTTTGAATTTTTTAGACCCTCTCCTACATTGGAAAGGGAGGCGCTATTCAGCCCCGATACAGTACTATGTAGATCTTAATAAGGCAAGCATCAGCTACCGCCACGCAAATGTAAAGATCGGCTTAAAGTTAGAACCTTGTCCTGGAGAGCGAGGGATTCATCAGAATAATGATTTTCACAGCGATGCTGATCTTGTTCCCGGTTCGCTCCTCGAACGTAGCCGTTTGCTGCCGCAACAGCCTGTCTATCAACCTTTTGTCTCCCTCTTCCTTTGGACATTGTTGAGGCAGAATCCAAGCCAATTCACTTATCCCAAAGATATCGCGAAATAGCAAAAAAAAAAAAAAAAAAAAAAAAAAGAGTGATATGGCAGAAATAAAGGAATGAATAGGGAGTGAAAAGCACACGTTGCACGATCTTAGGAGATTTCAAGGTGTTAGAGAGCGAGAGGAAGATGAAAGGACTTTCGTCCTCTATTTGTCCGGGGGGAGCTGTGGGCCAGTTTTTCACAGCCATGACTCAATCTCCTCTAGTCGGTGCATCTTGACTTTCTTAGTGAGGCAGCTAAAGAGCCGGCGTAAACGAAGAGAGGATAGGTAAGTGAACGGGGTGAGTGTGGGTGTTGATAGGTGAGCGAATCACCTCAAATGGGTGAACGAATCACCTCGAAGGGTGACCCAAGCACTCACCCTCTTAAAGCGGCAACGACCGAATGAGGCAGGCAGAGATACTCGTAGTTTTTTCAACGGTAGATTTACCTATCTATATGTCTTGGATTCCGCCTTGATGTTTATCTGCTGCATCGTCTTCAACCTCTTCCGCCCGAGCAAAGTCGTGTCCAGTCGGCTGAGGAAAGAGTGCGAGAACACGGATGATATGGAGATGCTGAACAATACATTCCGCGCAGTTGCATAGCCAATGTACGTGTATCTATGGGGAGAGATGCTTGAATATGTCAGAGCGTAGATTTCATTTCGTCTGCGTCGTCATTCCCACCAGTATCACTATAAATAAACACCGTTCATGATGTCCCACTTCCTAAGATTCCAACTTCCGATTCAGCCGCAGGTCCATCACGACCTTTCCACGCGCATGCCGTCCCTCCACACGATCAAATACAGACTGGAACTGCTCCAACGGCCACACGCTATCGACCAACGGTCGGCATTCACCCGCTTCTACCAGCTTGGTGATCTCCTCCAGATCGGACCTGCGAGGCGTCATGATGAAAAACAAGCCCCTGACCTCCTTCGCCGTCACCTCTGCCGGTTTTACCTCGTTCGGTGACCTACAGATACTGATAACGATGCCCTGATCCCGAACACACCGCCAGGCATCCTCCAGCGACTGTCCGCCGATACAATCAATCACCAAATCGACCTTGTTCTCCTCGTTCTGGCCCCATTCCCGCAGTGACTGCGAGCGATAGTTGACGACGTCCACGGCACCCAGTCCCCGAACGAGGTCCACATTGTTCGGTCCACATGTCCCGATGATCTGCGCTCCGATAATTCGGCCCAGTTGAACCAGCCACATGCCTGTGCTACTGGAAGCAGCCGTCACCAGGATTCGTTTTCCCTTCCAAGCCGAGCTCGAGAACCCGCCGATGCCCGACTGCTCGAAAAGTGCCTGCCAGGCCGTTTCGGCCGATAGCGGTGTGGCGGCACTCTCGGCCCAGCTGAGATTCTGCGGTCGACGCGCCAGTTCGTCCGTTACTACAACGGTGTAGTCGCGTGCGCAACCGGGGCGGTTGAATGTGCTGCGGGCGTATACCTCATCGCCCGGTTGGAAGGGGGAATTTGGGGGGGCCGTCACCACAGTTCCGGCCATGTCGTCACAAGGGACAGGTTCCCTGTCGGGGAGAGAGACATAGGCATACCAGCCTAGCTCGCCTGCACAGGGTGCGGTGCAGTGCACGCGGATCAGATGTTCGTTGGCATCGGGGTTGGCGATGGGGATGGGCCGGTCAACTAGTTCTAGACGAGTGGATGAGAGATCGGGTTGTAGGAGAGTTCTCATATTGATTGTAGTTGTACGTTGCTGTTCTGACACCGGTACAGGGATATAAAGTAGAGCATCGCTGGCTAAATTTATAATGACTCGGACTTAGCGACATTGTCTGGTGTCCGGGCCGAGGGTTTAGCTTACTCACAGTGTGGAGCTGTTTGTGGGAAATGTGGCGTACTTTCTCGTGTTTCTTTTGGTCCGAGATATTTTCCGCGGGTTCTCGGCTCCGATGTTGAAGCGCTGGGGGCTAGAATGCTCTGTGACAATTATTATTACTTTTATTATTTAATCAAGTTTAACGTTCTTACCGAGCTTTTCCGGCTTTCCCGCCCTCACTCGCGCTCTTTGCATAGGTACGAAGTTACAGAATCAAATGTAAATTGTGCCCATATCATGCCTTTAATGTCGTGGACTGCGAGTGTACTCTCTGTGAAAGGTATTTTAGCTCCAAACCTGCCCTTTACGCCTATTGTAGACAGACGTCACTACATGTATCGTGTGAAAGGTGTTGCCGCGTTTTCGTTTCGACTCCGGCCAAAATCGCGCATCTTCGATAGATCCAACTGATCTGAGAGCATGTTGATCACCAGACAGAGGATGACACGCAGCACTAATTGCTGCGCTACAACTGGCGGCGGAATGCATGTGAGATTGAAAACGCTTAAGTCTGAGAAGAATAACGCTGCCGATTATCAGCGACCCTAGAAAGTGGCAAAGATGATGGCAATGGGCGAATAGCCACATCCAATGAAGCTTATTCAGATGTGGGACTGCCATACATGTCATAAGGATAAGGAAGGACCTCGATGAAGAGCAAACTCCGAGCCACCAGCCAATGAAGTATTGTTGACACAACCAGGAGCAGAATACTATATCGGTAGGGAAGACTGAGGTAGTAGGTTGAGCGCTGAAGGCCTTGAGGCCATGAGACGCGTAATAGCTTGCATTGTCTTGTATAGCTGTTGTATTCGGCAGCAAGAAGCATGTTCATCAGCAGGTTATTGCAGAGAAGTATGCAATGGGGACAAATATCTGGGGACAACTGGCGAGTGGGACCTTCCCGGGCACTTGTGGTGTAACCGCAGAGGTTGATTATCGTCGCTGCGGTGAGTTGGCCAAAGCGAGGCTCCAGAGCGCAGGAAATAAGCTTGGTTGACTTTCCGTATTTGCTTAGTCCATGGATTATTGGGGACAGCAGATAACTGGAGATGGAGAGAATAAGAAAGTCTGGGTAAATAAGCACATTTATGGACCTTGGGATATTATAAAAAGATATACACACAGAGTGATTGTTATTATCCACTGAGAAACGGCCACGGGTTGCATCCATCTCTTTTTTTAAGGTAGTGGAGCTGCATGCTCTTTTGAAAAATGGACAGTGGATGTGGATATTTGACAATTTCCTCTCCTCATCATTTAGGGACCGATTCCATTGTTTTGGGGCTCTGTGATACTGGACTTCGATAATATGCTTTTGACTTCTGTTGTGGTATCGGGGTTGGAGAGAAAGGATAATAGGGTATCTTTAACAGTTAGGAATACATCTCTTCCGTTATTGCGAGCCGTCAAAACATACAAATGAGCTTAATATTACAGAAGATGACAGTGATGCAGACTGGAAGACTAAATAATAGCTAGCATTTTTCATTGATCCTCGTCTTAAACAGTACTTGACTGGGAAGGGCAAAACACTATAATTTGCGAGCTGATAGGCACAGTCGTCGCCTGCTTAGTAGCATCTAATAAAATTAAACCAGGTACTGTTCCGCCAAAGGGTTAGATCGTTCTTATATTTTCATAGAAATGTTTGATATCGTTGTTTGCTTCCAGCTTGTGATCAGAGGGGTTGATCCTTTCGTCCGTTTGGGTATCCGATGAAAATACATTACTTATGACAATACTATTATTAAATGCAGGAGCTACCCATGGCATTACAGGGGCTGATATATTATTAGACATTGTCTCTAGAATCTCCCTCTTACATGGTGATTTGTTATGGAGATGTGGGCTAGCTCGCACATCCAGCCAAAAGTAGCCAACGATACTGCGCATAGGTATACAGATTGTTTCCGGAGGTCACCCAGAGCAATGAATCGTTAGCCACTGTTAGGTTATTAGTCACAAAGATTAGGGTCCCTCTACCTGCAATGTAATCGACCGCATAGGTGTTAAGACATTCCGAGTAAAATTGTTAAAGTGGGGCATTTCCAAGTAAAATTAGGATATCTTTATAGCGACGTTCTGTTCAAAACAATCCTATAAGCTGGATTATGACGGGATGATACTGTGAAATTGAAGTTTGCAGATACAAGGATGACACTATATTTAGTTGTACCAAGTGCGGAAAATACCACGGAGTTATAACTACATTCCGTGGTTAGAGCTGGCGCACAATAAGGATACGAATACGATAGTCACAAATATTGAATGAATAGATAGGGATATGATCAACACTGCTACCCAGAGTATGCGCCTTTGCCAGGTGGTAAAATGGAGGTTCTTTAAACTTATAACGCCGACATCAAGCCGCTCTCGCTGAGCGTGAGCGCGATCAATATCCGCGGGTGACGGCGAAACTCAGACATTGCATGCATTAGTTGTAAAGTGTGGCAGATTCAAATGCCTGGCGCTTATATTTCCAATATGCTAGGATAGCAGTCGTAATAGTGAGGATAATGTTCAGAATCAAGGCAACTGTGGTTTTGAAGGCGCAAGGCAGGACACCAGTAACCCATTCCTCTTGTTGTTTTTGATTATTCTTGATTCTCCTCTCTATACTCACTGTCAGTACTCAAGGCAGACAGGAAAAGAATTTCGATATCGGTTTTTTGGATGGGCTGTAAAGTTTATAATATAAGTGACTGGCCATGTAGTTCGTTCTATCACTTACGATAATACTTGACCCTTCCGTTTTCTGTGCATCAAATTGTACCCCATTCGCAACGTCCCAAGACATGGCGATCTCCGCTACCAGTTGGAGCTGCCTCTCTGTGGCTACAGTATTTGCAGGTGAGATACCGTCTTTTTTTCTCTTCTTCATATATGTTCTGTTCTTCTTTTCTTCTTTTCATTTTTATTTGTTTCTTTTTGTATGTCTTGGTTAAGACCCCTGGCTACTCTTCCACTACAGAAATATATACGCAAGTCCCTACAGGATGCATAGTATGAAACAGTTCATAATATGATTGAAATCCTAAATTATACAAACACTGTTCAACTAAGTCCTACAGAGACGCAAATCCCAACTCGTAAGCAAAACCCAGGGACAACCGCGCATGCTGCAACACGTGGTCGAAGTCAACCGTCTCGATCGTATCATCTGCCGAGTGGATATAAGGACTATCATCGCCAAACGCTGACTCAAAGGCAAATGAGCTAGGATAGCCATACTTGGTGGCCGACGCATGGTCGGAGCAGGCATATCCGCACTGCGACTCCACCCAGCCGATTTCGCAGTACTATGCTCCAGGTCAGTGAATAATATCCAACGGTAGGGGATTCGGTCTCTTACCGCATCAATGACCTTCTTGAGGAACGCAGTGAGACCATCGTCGACATTATCGGTCAAGACCCCGATGATGGGATCCTTGCCTTTCTCCGTCGTGCCTTTCGTGTAGCCCGTCATGTCCTGCTGAAGCATCGCCACAACCTGCTTCTTGTCCTGCGAATACTTCCGGAATATGTCCTGGCTGCCGAGGAGGCCTCCCTCCTCTGCGGCGTAGAAGTGGAATTCAATCGAGTTCGGGGCTTCACCGGCGGCTACTTTGGAGTCCTGCAGGAGGACGCGGAGGGTCTCGAGGATGGTGACCACTCCTGATCCATCGTCATCTATATAGGGTTAGACACGGGGACACACCATACGACACACCCCGGGGGTATGGAGTCTTACCAGCACCAGGCGCCCGGCCGGAGGAGGGCGACATTTGATTGATCGAGTCCTGGTGAGCACCCAAAACAACTTTCTTCTCGCTCTTGCCGGGAACGGTGACGATGATGCTGGATTGAGGCCAAGAGTGGCTAAATGGTTGCACAGTGACGCCCTTGGCGCTGCTGCTGTCTATCACGCCCTTGATCTGCTGCTGCAGCCACTCTGACGACTTCTTCCCATTGTCGCTCTTGTAGTAGCGGTTGTGGAAGTCGCTGAACGGCTGCAGGTTCTTCTTGAAGTTGGCCTGGTCCAGCTTGGTGATCAGATCATGCACCGTGTCGTTGTGCTCCACGTTTCCTGGGTAGGTCACGGCCAGGTTCTGCAGCAATGACTTGCTGGTTGGGTGTCCGTGGTCTGCCTCGGCGGTGATATCGAAGAAATGTTTTCCTTCCTGGAGAGGATACCATTGTTAACTCATGAATGCTATCATAACATTAGAACATACAGCCTTGAGAGCCCATTTCTCCGCCTCCGTGACCACTTTGGTGACCCCCGGGGCCAACTCGATAACGTACTGGTCGTCTGAAGCTCGCTCCCCAATGACGAGGGCGGAGGCAGTGGCGGCCAAGGCCACAGCAGAGACGTGGAATCGCATAATGAGGATAAAAGATCAAGACAGCATTGAAATGACCAGTTAGATACAGGACGAACTCAGAGGAAAAATCCCCGCCTTTATAGGACCGGAGTGACCTTCGGCAAGTAATCAATTCAGGTTGCATTGCGTGCGAATCCGTTGTGTCTCCCACCCTATCATGCAACCGGTCTGTGTCACAGCAGTTGGCGCTAGATGACGATCGTTGGGCGGAATTTGAAGAAGTATCGCACAAGCTTGATCCATGCATCTTTACGTGGATGTCGAATGCATCTACCGTAAGCACCGATGCAGCCACCAGTCTACAGTCTCTCTCCCATAATCCGATACCCTTCACGACAAGTGAATCTATTCGACTGCAGAACCTCGACGCAAGAACCCAAACACAACCGCCGATCCCCAGATCGTCCTGGCGGGCCTCCGTAGGAGGTCCGAGATGCCAAGGCGTACTAAAACGAGGCCAAGACAGCAACGAAGACTGGGAGATTGCATTCATTCTTCAGGATTTATTCTGGCGCAGAATGTCCCACCAAGTGCCGACCGCGAGATCCTACGGACTCCGACATGCAGGTGCATCTCACTTCGGGAATTAGCTGCGCCATGCCCCTCCACCCGGCATGGTTGCATTATCTATACTATCGTTATTATCGTCACTATCTATGCCTGTTGTCATCTGATTTCGTGTCCATGCTGGTATTGCCCTCGCTTTATATGTCGCGTGCGACCATCGTCCGTTGCTCCGATGAGTGTGGAACGAACGGGGTATCGGTCGCTCTTGATTGTGCCTCGCGTTGTCCGCGGTAGAACCCGTAGAGCACGGGAGTATTGGCCACGATGGTGGAGGCCAGTTGCTCGACGGAGGCCCAGGTCAATCGCCACGTGCACTCTGGGGGAGACGGATGATGGTGACAGCGACGATGAAGCCCACGGCGAACAGGAGGCCAAGTGCAGTTTCCTACAGACCCTCATCAGCATTTTCCGTGATATGTAAATAGAGAAATGACTTGCTGCATGATCATCTACTTGACCATGATCAGTGCTGGGAGTGACAGCGCAATCAGCATGACACCGGTGACGGCCTCCAGCACGCCCACCACAACCAACTGCATCTGGGCCTGACAACAGGTACCTATTAAATCGAATCAGCAATCCCTTCTAGGAATATATTGGAAGCTTCACACACTCGGATTGGGCAGCACCTGCCAATATTGATTGAAGGGATCACATTCGGTAGAGGTGACCACCACGACAGTACGTAGACGCCAACAAAAATCACCAGATACGTGAATAAAGTCGGACACCGCCAGGGAATGTGCCGAATCAAGTATCAGTAAGTATCGAGCAGAGCGAACTTCTGCAGCCAGAGACTTTATAAGTTAGTCTCATGCCGGAATCCCTGTGAGATTCCATTCAGATAGAGGAACGCATACTAGGAGTTGTAAAGCACCCGATTGGCCAGGATGAGCTTGCTGCCGATCTCACTATGGTAGATCTCCTGCTCAGTGAAGTGATGATGGCTGCGCACCTCCGAGATTATGTTATTGATGCCCTAGATCGTAACAACGAGCACCAGAGCCAACCGAACCATAAATGCTGCCGGCTCGTACGCTGTCTCGGTTTAGAAAATTTTTAATCCCCTTTTTTAATCACCTCCAGATATAAGTTAGCCGTAGCTTTAATTCCTTCAGTCCCTAATGGTTTTATGTTTATATAATTGCAAGTGGGCGGGATCCTTATCTCCTTGCCTACTCCGGAGTAGAGTCATAGGATAAATCTTGGAGGAGATTGGACTGCGGAGAAATGCGGAGCAGAAGAAGAGGTGGGCCGGGGGTTAGAGGGGGTTTAGTAGATTAATAGGATTAATTGCATTACAAGTCCTTCAATACTCTCCACTATAAGGCTGTGGTGCCTTTAAATAGAAGGGGGCCAGGGGTGTGCTAGTGTACACTTCGTGCGGAGAAAATTAAACAGAAGAACGAAGAAAAAATAGATTCCAAGGAGTGAAGGATATCCAATATTAGTGTATGTAGTAACAGTGGGAAAAAATAATTTCAAATGGACTAAAGTCACAGTATACTCTTATACGCCATCTTTAAAGTAACACCTAAAGGCTCCTATAGGCAGCTGAGATAACCGAAGAAATAGTCAGTGATAACACTGCATATATAGATACACCATCTCCTAAAATAATAAGCAATCATACGAAATGGAGTCGTACTCTTAGCTAGAGGAATTGCTGGTGACTTGTTAGGGTTAAAGCCTATTCCCAAAAGCTGCGTACGACGCTGGAGAGTCGTCAGAATAAGCTAGCCCAGATTGGGCCATCATATGAAATATATATACCCATTATCTCTCATAAAGGGGTTGGGCAGAAGATCCTTCTGAATACAATCAATTCAGACTCCCCACTAATCGAACTAGAGTCTTAACGGGAAGCATGAAAATTAGTAAATGAAAACTACAGTGTAATCTACAGGGAATGATAGCATTCAAGCCCATTATCGGCATTCATCCTCGGGCTACTGTAGCTAGCAATAGAGGATTCTTGCCTCGTACAGCCTATGTGAGTATTAAATATCCTACAATCAATTATAAAACATGAAATTCTCAGCTGCCGAATCTTTCTTAGTAGTTATGACTAACCACGAACAAGCCTGTATCTACGAATGAGTCTCTCTTTCCATCCTCTGCTGCCGCCATAGTAACCCAAATCGTCGCAGGACCAAAACTGCCACTGTACCACAGATACCACTCCAGAGCCCCAGTACCGTGAAATACCATCCCCATCCTGTCACACGAATCAGCGGCTCTAGCAGACTAACAGCCGTGGCGGCCATGGCACAGCGCACGACACTTGCAGCAGCAGCAGCTGAACTGGGACTTAGAGGAAAAGAATCAACCAGCAAAGTGTTGTAAATAGTATACATACAGGTCCCCCAGAATCCCTGAACGAGCTGCAATACAAGCAAAATAGCAAAATGCGCCTGTCGTTCCACCGTCCAGCCGCATCCAATTAATGTCACCGTTGAAATGACTAGTAAGATGAAGCTGTCGCGTGTCCGGGCCAGCTCGATGGGGAACTGCGTTAGATCGTCGCCTGAGACTCTATCAATTGTCCAGTTCTGTCGTTGAGCCACGACGCGGTAGTTGTAATCCATTATCCGTCCGTTGAGATACCCCCCACAGATGATGCCGACCCCGCGGGGGAGATACGACAGACCGATCAGCATCTCGCTAAACCCGTAGATATTGTGGTAGATGTCCGGCACGGCGGCTGCCAGTGTATAGTCCACCGCGTAGAAGGAGCCGTGCATCCAGAGACAGAGCAACGCGTCCCGATGGAAGATGATACGCAACGGGGCCAGCAGATGTCGCGGACGGAGAATGCGCAGGCCCGACTTTTGATCAGGGAATTGAGGTTTCTCGTGAAAGTCGTGTCGCTTTCGCAGCATCATCCACCAGCTCAACTGCGACCAGCTTCCGGGGTCCCTCTGAGTGCCATTGCCGACTAGATGGCGTGCTGTCTCAGGAAGAAAGAGACCGACCAAGAGGAAAAGTAGCACGCCGACGATCAGCAAAGCCCAGAAGATCCAGTCGCCCTCTCCGCGCTGAAAAGCCACTAATCCGCCTAGGATTGGCCCAATGCACGTTCCAAGGTTCAAGGCCATGCTGACGCGCCCCATCATCGTGCCGCGCTCGCTGGGGACGCAGATATCAGCCACAATGCCGTAGCTGATGGCAAATGCGGCACTGGCCCCTAGGCTCTGCAGTGCGCGGAACAGCATCAGCACGCTGTACATAGCCTTGTTCAGTGCCATGCCTAGATTTGCCAGAGCGTAGATGGCTAGCGTGACGAGGTATACTTGTCGTCGGCCTATGATATCAGACACGGGTCCGAATAGCGCAGGTGAAAGGGCCTGGAAGATGATGTAGATGGTCAGCGTCAGGTTGACCTCCTGCGCCGAGATGTGGAATTGACGTTTCAGTGTGGGTAATAGCGGGAAATAGACTGTCGCTGTCAGCGGCGAGGTGATTGTGGCGAAGCCCACTAGCAGAGTGATGAGCGCTCTTTGTCTGGCCGTGAAGGTCGTGTATGGCTGGGATGGGCGGGACTCGCTGCTGCAGTGTGCCGTCGTGGACACCTCGATACTCCCTTTTTCATGGTCCAAGGAACTATCTGGCTTTTGGATGGACGCGGACATCGCATATATACTTGTGAAGTGCTGTTCGCTTTGTAATGTGGCTATTGGGATATTAACGCTATAGAAGAGATAAAACTACCCCGCCTGCGGGGTGGTCCGCCATTATATAAGAGGAACTGTTGGTTGCAGCGTCCAACAAAGAACCCTACAATCCCTGACTCAGCCCAGCTTTGTTGGACTGCTTATATATTTGGCTTATTTTAAAGACTAAAGTCATCTATATACCCTTCACAATAGAAAAGATCAAAATAAATACTGACACAAACGATGCTGCCTGACCTCCCACTATCAATGTCTAAGATGCCATGCACACGATTTCATATGTTATGACTTGCCATAATGCCCTACCTATCAGATTACCAGAGCTATTGTCTAAAATGCGGACGCCAATCCACTAACAATCACTGCTACTTCATCTTGTCGAGGGCAGAGTACAGTGCCATTCTCCATCACTTTGCATTGGCGAAAGTCTTCTACATTTGCCCAATCCCGTGGAATAAAGTAATGCCTCTTGACGGCTTTGTGGGTTGAGGAAGATCCAAACGCAGATGTGCAGACCCATAGGTTCTCGTCAAGGAAGACCAGCCGCGATCCAGGTAGGAACCCCAAGGGAATGTCCACTTGGGCAGCCACCTCAGGAGAGACATTGTGAGCAAGTGGGAACGGATTCCGCTCTTGGACACCACATGGATGCAAAGAACTAAGATCGAATATTAGGACACTAACTTCGCCGCTATCCTGACTCAGTAGTTGAAGAACGACATATTTACAATCTGGCGACTCAATCACTCTGTTGAGGAAGAGCGAGGTCTTGTTCCGCAGCTTCGGACTCACAGGAGCGCTACTCCCATACTGCCAGCTGGTAATTTCAGTTAGATCTGACCAGCGGTAGGCCGTGACATCTTTGGTGGAAAAGGCTAGGATTTTGTCAGGCTCTGTTGGGTGGTCGATCCATTTACGAAAGCCAATCTGCGCTATATTTCGGCCGACAATCAATGAGCCGTCGTGGACCGAACAGATATGGACATACCGTTCGGAGACAATAAGTAGAAGAGTGCAATCGCGATTGAATACAAGCACATGTATGCCACTTGCCTCCGTCCCAACTTGTGGTTTAGGTTTCGGATCAATTTTTACTGAGGGCTTGGCACTATTTGCTACGGTCTTACTTGAGATGGACCTGACCTCGACGTCTCCTGCAAGGTCAGCGCAGGCCATGTATTTGGAGTCCTTGCTCCAGGCCAGACAGCTGACGCTCATGAAGTTCGGAAAATGAACAATGTCCTCAATCCTTCCAACATCGGCGTCGAAAAGTGTGACGATTCCTTCCTCATTGCCTGCGCAGTACAAGCTATACCCCCGGCCGGCCGCACTTATGACCGCAATAGACTCGTATGGAGTGGAACGCGCTTCTGACACATGAGAGAATGATGTGGACCGATGATCTTCACTGGATGTGTCGCTGAATGACTCCTCCAATTCAAGGAAACGTAGCAGGCTATTGGACTGCCAGGCATTAAGTGATGAACCCCGAATATCATAGAAGCGTGCATTATCTGGGCCAAAGGCCAGCTCACTGACCAAATCACCGGATGAAAGCTGGTATACAACGCTCAGAAAGTCAAAGTTCCACACTTTAACGGTTCCGTTGCTGCTGCTGGTCACAAATAATCTTCCATCAGGACTGGCTGCAACTTCATCGGCCATGGAAGGGGCTTCATGATAGTCACTCGTCACGGGATGCCATTTGAATACCGTCCCATCTTTGTACAGGCCAATGATATGGCCGGTGATGGGGTTCCAGGTAAAGCGATCGACGGCAAACCAGCCACTAGGCCTGTGGCCAGGTTCCTTTTGTGGACCCATCGGCCGTTTACATCGGGCAATGCATCGCATCTCGTCCATATCCCAGATGGATAGTGGAAATCCACGATAAGAGACACCGACCAGAGACGCAGTCCCATTGAAAGCCACACACCTTGGGGAGCTCACAGTAGTTCCACCAATATCGGATGTTTCGCGCAGAAGCTGCTGGCTGAGAATGCTCCAGCCAGCGGTCACATTTTCTAGATTCAACGAGTACACAAGGCTATTGGTACATGCGACAAAAGCTTGGTTATCCTTCTCGCTAATCGTTATAGCTAATGCTCGGCTCGTGGGCGGACTTTTAGTACTTGCCAATAGGTCTCCGGCAGGTATGGACCACAGCTTGGTTGTCCGCAGGCCATAAGTGAGAATACGGTCACTATGTCGATTGAAAGTGACTGCAGTAACTGCCTCCCCATGCTTAAGGATGCATATCTGCTCAAAGTGGTTTGCATTCCAGACATATGCCGTTCCCGACGTGCACAAAACGGTGACATACTGTGCAGCACAGCATATCTTAATGCCCTGTTCTCCCCGTGGTAGTGTTATACGGAAGAGATTGTCATTCCAATCTTGCTGCATTATCCCCGACACAACAATGCCACCTGGCTGATCTTTGTAGAACTGCCGGTAAATATTTGAGCTGGATGGACAGAACGGTGCCACAAGGTCGTATATGCCTGAAGGACAGGACAGCAATTGCCCACTGAACTTGCCTACAAGTTTCCCAAAGTCCACGGACCATTGTTCTAAATAGTCCAACTCACTCAGCCTATGCAGTAGAGGGTTTTTGGATGCATTCATCCTCCGGTTCTTTTTCACACATGTGAGGATGCTCTGTGCTGATTTGATCAACACGTCTAGCTGGTTGATGGTGGCCAGAATGTGGATCCAGACGAGAACCGAATGGCCTCTGAGGAATTGGCTAAGAAGTGTGATGACCATATCGTTCATCTCACCCATTTGCTGGAGATGATACATCCATGACGTTGCGGCGTAGACAATGAATGCCTCAGTGTGACGAAGTTGATGCTGCGATTGGCGGACTCTGACGCTGAGTCCAGGGGAGGAAAGGGCCGATATGCAGGCTTCAAATAGCTTCCCATGGCTGTCGAAAAGATTGACAGCGACCGTGCTGGTGGCAGTTCTCGTCAGATACTCTCGCGCTGTCTGGTGAATCAGCCTCGCGTGGCCCGACGCGTCCACGGTGACAAACTGCCCGCAGACGCGCTCAACAGTCTTCCGCAAATCCACAAACTTCACATTCATCGCCTGATTCAGCTCATCGAGAGTCAGTGTGTGTCGCGAACACACAACCCACCGGAGAAACTGCTGTGCAAGACTTTTTTCTTCTGCGCGTGAGGATTCCTGAATTGCCTGCTCCATTCGTGCGTACAGTTCGTTCATGTCTTCGGGTATAGTCTGCAGGGCCTCTTGAATGGCCTCCTCAGTATGGCAGTTAAGTATTTCATCAAGTACCAGTCGGACCCAAAGAAAGTTCCCCTGCGCTCTAGACAAGATGGTACGCGACACTTGCTCTTTTAATGCATTTCCACCACCCATTTCACGAACTGATCGGTCCAGGTAGACTTGGATATCGGACGAGTTGCTGATACTATCAAGACTATCGCCGGTTGATGCGGAGATAGTTGTGAGCTTTCTCATTCGACCAACGAAGTCGTTCATACCTCGATCGGAGACAAGTATTCGCATGTCTGGCACCAAATCCTGCAACCTCGAGAGGTATCCAAGGACAGCCTTCGACGACTCAGACTCGTCAATGGCATCAATAACCCAAAATATGGGATGAGAAAATTTTAGGCCAACACAAGGGATCTCAAAAAGCTTCCGGAAAACATCGCCAGAGTTTGACACGGTCAATGGAACGCCTTTCCTGAACATTTCCATGATCATGTTTCTGTAGTCCGGTTCATCATGGCACATTTGTACGGCCATTGATCGCAGGAAGAAACTCACGGAACGTTTGCTCTGGTCCCCTGACCGGAAGAAAAAATACTGTATTGAACGGCAGCTGGAGCGCAGATTATCAATAACGTACGAACACAGTACCGACTTCCCACTAGCCGGGGGAGACCTGAGATGAATGACGGACACGTCGTGTGCCATATCAAGCCAATCATCCATAATTCTGGACTCAAAAATCCACCCACAGGTCCCTTGAAGCCGCCAGGAGCGAAAGAAGAACAGATCTTCTTGGAAGGTTGGAGAAATCGACAGAAGCTTTTCTAACTTTACTAATTCTCCACCGTCTATACTTGCTGCGCTACCGCTCTGCTCAGGCTTCAAGTCAGCAATAAAGGAGGCCAACGTATTTCGGACCGTAGCATAGTTTGAATCCTGTCGACTGGAATACTTGCAAACCTCATGGTGGTCTGCTTTAAGGCCTGCAGAAATCTCTTGTTGGTAACCAAGCGTGGCAGAGTCTTTGTTCACCACCATGAATTGGAATTTTCCAACCTTCGTTGGCCGAGTCTCATAGAATGAAGCGATATTCATCCTGGGCGCAATATGACGAAACTGCTCATTGATATCTTCAACCGCAGGCGAGCCTCTCTGGAGCTCTCCAATGAAATCCCGGGGCGATTGAAAACTGGCTCTGAGTAAATCGTTTAACTTGGCAGCCTGATCAGCGCCACGATGCGGAGTGGCCAAAAAAATCATCCCCCGAATTGATTGCACAATGTCTTCATATTTCTGGTCATTCTGGCCAAGGAGATACGTCGCCTTAGCCACTAACCCTCCCATCGAATGCACAACAAACACAATCGGTACCTTCCCGAGCCCCAGGAACTCTCCCTTAGCATCTTGTCCAAACTTCAGCTCATGTAGTAGGCTTTTGGCAAAGTCCGAGATCCTGTTGATGGTTTTCATTGCTCCTTTACCAAACCCGGCGTCGTATCCAAATGTCAGAATACGGCACCTTCCAATTCCGGGCTCCAGTGGAAGCCAATTTCCTGGCCAGAATAACTCTTCGTCATGGTCCTTGCACCATGTCAATATCCTGTTGCCTCCCAACCCATGTATGAATATAATGTCTACCGCGGCAACAGCTTCAGGCTGGTACGCAACGTGCAGGCCAAACCGCACTTGTGAGTCTAATGGTTGTTGTCTTGATCGAGAGCGCGATCTAAATTGTAGCCAGGAAAAGGACGAGGAGCGGTGTGCCAGTATGGTTGAGCCCGTTTTTTGGCTTGCAGTTTCGGTGTCGTTGACGATGGGTATTCCTTTTCCATCAGCTAGGGGCGGTGGGTTTTCTAAGTAGGAGCGCGATCGTCTGGAACCAAACGGTCGAAACTGAAAATGAGCGTTAGAAAATAGGGTCAGTTGAATGTCTCGTTAACAATAATGTTTAGGATCCTACCATGATCAGTCCTCGTGCCGCTGGAGTATCATCAGCAGGTACATCGGATACGAAAAAAGAACAATATTCGACGTTCGGAAGCCTTGGCTTTTTTTGGCCCTCCAACGACCTCTGCTTTGTAGAGAGTTTCTGGTGGTTCTTGCAAGAATACCCAAAAAAGGGTCATTGGGCTGTCCTCAAACGAAATGCGTTGGCTCCCCCTCACTTGGTGGGCCAACATATATTGCATCGACCTTTAAAAATGAGCCAAACACAGCCACTCAAACTGCCTAGGCCCGAAGACGGGAGGGATTCTATTCCCGCAGCGTCAGTAGATCGCTTGAACGACAATATGATTGACTGAGACGCAACACCATTACGCGCCCGTGATGTAGGATATAATAATAGGACCCAGACACCCTAGGCTACCCCTCCTGAAGCAGAGTACATTTATCCGTCCAGCTACCTCGGGCACGACCAATGTAACTGATCCTCAATTTTAGACGACTAATACTCGATCTAACCCACCATCATGTCGACCGTTGTAAGCACACTCTGGGATACTCCACTTGATCCTCCGCAGACAATAAATACCGATTTCCCGGTTGATGACAGTATTCTGGCTGAGTTCCCTCCTGGCACCCGAATTGTTTCTGCTAATCGGTTCGGTGCCTCGGCCTGGACGGCGACAGCTCGTTTAACCATAGAGTTGCCTGATGGGGGGGCAAAAGCCTTATTTCCTAAAGTGTGCCCTGGGTAGCACCGGCCAGGTTATGATGGAAGGGGAGTTCAATGCGATGTCAGAGCTCTTCAAGGCTTTGCCAACGTTTGTGCCGAAACCCTATGCATGGGGAAAATATGACGGTGGAGATTCAGAGACCTATTTTTTCCTGTCAGAGTTCATTGATATGAGTGACCGAGTACCCGAGCCCAATCAGTTATGTAGGAAACTGGCGCAGTTACACTGGGATAGCGTTTCCCCCACAGGGAAATTTGGGTTCCATGTCACCACTTGCCAAGGCAAAACTCCCCAAAATGTGCAATGGGAGACAAGCTGGGCCGTGTGCTTTTCCAACCTCCTCACCCATGTACTAGGCCTCGACAAAGAAACAAATGGGACCTGGGAGGACCTCTCTATACTTTCGCAGAGAATTCTTGATTTTGTCATTCCCCGGTTGATCGGAGCGCTCGAAAAAGATGGCCGTACCATCAAACCATGCCTGATTCATGCTGACCTGTGGGAAGGGAATACAGGTACATCGTTTGAAACAGGGGGAGATCTATATTTTCGACTCGGCTGCCTTTTACGCACACAATGAAATGGAGATCGGCGATTGGCGTTGTCACTACAACAAGATCCATAACAAAGTCTATACTCGAACCTACCTGCGACATTTTGCCCCTAGTGAACCACGTGAAGAGTGGGATGATAGAAACCGCATGTATTCTATATATTATAACGTCATTTACTCGGTTAATCATAAGAACCAGGGCACTGCTGTGCGACAGAAGTTAGTTTCCTTATTTAATTCAAATTTATGGAACGATGGATTCAACGAGAGTGTTGTACTAATATACTGCCGCAGTGCATACGATGACATGTATTATTTGGTCGATAAATATGCCCCTTTTGAAGATGGAGCCGGTCCCCCACGGCTTACCCAGTCTGAGAGGGCTTCACTCTCAGATGAACGTGACCATACAAGATCTTAGCTAGATCTTCGTTGCTATAAAGATGATTGGGATTTCACCTATTCTGGAGATTGGGGATGGCAGAGATGGAATGTATGAAAGTTATTTTGACCCCCTATATGCTCCGTGCCATGGTATTACAATCATTGCAATTTGATTCTCTATCTATTTTCAAGCTCCATATCCCATTTTCCAGGGTTTTGAATATCAAGCATTTGCATGCTCTGATGCAGAGATGTCATGAGGTTGTGCAGCCTCTGCGGCTTTTACTTGTTATTTTACCCCATTAGGTTTATAGAACAAGTCGACCGTGGTCTCAGGATCTTTATCCGGCGATACAAGCTCCAAACCGTAGGATCGAATCAGTTGCGGAAGGACTTCGTATATCCCGCACAGGAAGAGCTGTAGCAAGACTAGCAAGGACTGTAAATCAGACCTAAGATATCTCACATTCTTTTCCATACAAGTCCTTGACCCTGCCCCAAACTGCACCGGTCTTAGCACAAGAACAGATGATATCGGATCTATGCAGATTGAAAAAGATACCGATCCATATCCTGGGCACCAGGCCTAAACCATCGGTCCGGACGATACTCGAGAGCATCCTCCCCAAAGACAGATCGACCCAAGTGCACAACGGCTGGATTCACACCAATGCGAGCTTTCCCTGTGACCCAATGCTCAGCGACCTCGCAGCACTTGTCTGGCACATTGCGGGGAAGGATAAGGCCGATACTTGGACACATCCTGATGCCTTCTTTCACGCAGTCACTCAAGTAATGTAGTTTGACGGTCTCATCATAGGATATATGGGGGATGCTGAGGTGGCTGTCCACCGTTGCTAGTTCAATTTCCTGCCGAGGAGACTCTTCTATATCGTTCTGTGTTTCTGCGGTAATGGCAATGGGGGTAGTATCACTTCCGGCAAAGCTAGGAGGATCACCATCAAAGGAAGATAATCTATTACATCCTGCTTACAATGCACCATATGCCTCAAGCTTCACATCCCCAGGGTCAAAGTCGATCTGATGACCACGTTCATGGTATATATTCAAAAATTTGGTGAGAATATCCGGGAGCCTCATCCTCTTCTCACCGAAATAACATGAACATATGTAGAGCAGTATTTTCCGTGCGAATCTCGGGGCCGATCTCAGTAGTTGTCTCTATGATTGAGAATAGCAGAATTAAGCCTTGAGCCTTGAATCTTATAGTCAGTTAGACAGAAGGCAGGACAGACTGGAATTTGTTTTCGTCGCACTGAATATCCCTTTATAGCGATAGATGCCTCCAGTGGGAAAAAGGGCATGGCTTCCTGATCAAGTGAAGAAAGTGAAATTGGCTTGGATCGATTTGACTTAAACATAAGACAAGCTGGAGGCTTGGTGCAAAAAATATACGGATCGTTAAGTGTGTGAAATTCAGCTTGTCGGGAATAGCATTAGCAATGATTTATAGTGTTTTTGGGATGATAACTAACCGTTTAGATTAATAATAATGCCTACCGTGGACCCCGTCGCTCTGTTAACTATGCCAGCAGGAGTGCATATATTCGTCAATATTATTGCTAGAATCAGTTGGGTATGGAGAAGGAGCCCAGGCGATGAGGCTTTGGTCCCTTGCTCTGGAAGACCGAGCAGCTCATCCGCCCACAGTCTCAGGTTAGCTGAGCCGGAGTTTCTGGTGCATGTATGGAGAGCAGGGAAGATAGATATTTTTTCGTGTCTAGACCCAGCAAAGTGTTTAATTTGAATTCGGTTTATAACATGTTAAAAAGCGTTTAGCCTAGTAATAACTGTTGCATTAAGCAGGTCAGAAGTTGCAAGTAATGTGATTGTTCTTAAGTTTAGTATTAATATATTATTGCTGGTTAATGTGCCACTTCTTGCTCATTAAGTTTGCCATCTTCCTTGTTCTTTTTCCTTAGGATATTTCCATAACGGCTGGCCCCTGACAGGTGGAAAATAATGGGAATCTCCAATGAGAATCACAATAGATAGACCTCAGAATAAGTCTGGGGATGTTCTTTGTAGTTGTCTTGCAGTTTTACAGTAGGTGTTAATAGTGCTGAGGGTGGAGAAATATTATAATAGTTTACATGACCAGATCTTAGGGATCCGCGCTCCCATTTTTATTCGCCCGGATCGGTTTAAGGACATACCAAGGAATATGCGGTAAGTGTTTCCCCCTATAACATCTACTGCTGCCCCGGTTCGTGCCATAAGGATAATCTTGTCTCTAACCACCGCTGCCCCACCCATTATCGGTGGTCCAGGATTAGTATTAAAAATCCCCTCGAAGCCCCTATACTAGTTATCCGCTGCTTTATTTTCTAGCTAATATCAGCTTGGTTTAAAGCAGAAGACTTAATGATGCACACTATGTTGTAAAGCATTTGTCAGTTACTGCCTTTCGCTCTTAAAACTGTATTTGTTTAATGTCGGCTATTAATAACCAACCCCCAAAACAAACCAAAATTTTATATTTCTTTAAAATGCAGTGGCTTCCTGCCTAAAAGAATTTGCATATCATGCAACTTAGTACCATCTTAAGCAGCTCCGTGGACCGCGTCTTGCCCAGGTTTATTTTTACCTAGATTGCCTGTAGCAGTTCTATTTAACTCCACTAGAGGCTATTCCGCTTCTTGCTGGGCCCACTTGTAGCCAATTTTATCCGCCAACGCTCGTCATGTCAGCTTCTTTCTGGAGACGGGTATGTTTAAGTTAAGCTTAAGGTCTCTCCCTAGTGCTGCTATATTATTAGCCCTATTTTTCTTCCTATCTCTGTTTCTTCGTTACTAATTAATTACCGCTCTACAGATATCTCTCTCCTCCCTTACTCACTTGTCTTGTAGTTTGGCTCCACTCTGGAGTTCCTTCCTTTGTGAAAAGCTCCGTGAAATGGCCCCAACTTGTGTGATGGCCGAATAACTTAATCAAATTGGTGCTATCTTAACAAGAATTTCAAGCTTAAAGAAGGGAAAGAAATGGTGAGAGGGCGGTGTGGCGATGCAAACATTGAAACAAGCTAGATACAAACAATGCAAACAGGCCACGTGGTGCATCCGTCATGTTAGGGACCTACCATATTCGGTATGGTCACGTGGCCTCACTTAGTCACCCATCTAGATAACTTAGACAGCTCGCCTGAGCCCCTTGAATTCAGAGAATTGTGCCTCGCGAACACGTCACAACTTGTCCTCGTCTGGTTCAACGATAGAGTGTTCTTGATCAGGTCGTTCTATAGGGCCAGGAGTAAGGGTTTCCTGTTAACAGTGCTCGCAGCGTTATCTTAGCTTTCTTCCCGAGGGCGATTTTCACGACTTGGTCCAGCACTTGGCCTGTTATAATTTGTCGACAATTATGGTAATATTGATTATTCAGCACCTTTCTCGGTCAAATGGTTGGTGATACAACATCATCAGATCGCGTATATTTCCTATATGAGTTAGTAGTTTACATTCTTCATTTGTTTACTCGCCTTTATAAACGCGAGATGTTTTGATAGTTTAGTGAATCAGAGACCTAATTCAATGAATGATCGATACTTGCGAATACGCGTAATTTTATGGTCGACATAAATTATATCTTCTCCCTGTTCGCCTAATTCATGTTTTTGAAAACGCGGCTTATGATAACCGGTCGAGACTCTTCAGGACTTAGCAATGCTGTCTACTTTCATTTCCATATCAATCACAGTGCCTAAGGGAGATGGCAGCTGTAATATCCGTTGTTATTCCTCTGTCTTTCCTGCTCTGTGAGACTGATATCGCCGCCGCTGTCGGGCCTTCTGTTCCCGCTCAAGACGGCGCTTTCTTTCGGCGAACGCGCTCTTGTTGGTCATTTCCCTGGATCCCATGCCGAGTGGTGTTCAGTCCAATGCGCCAATGGGTCGTATCTTTGAGGCGCCAATTGAAAAAAGGCTTTGGACTTAGCAGAGATTACTATTAGTCAATTGATTTAATACCCAGACAGCTAGTCAGTCAGTCAGTCCACTTTGCAGACTTTGCAATCATCTGTACACCACAGAATTGAATGCAAATCGGGTGACCAAAACGGCAACCTCGGGCCGGTTTCACGCCCTTCTGTCAAGATCTTAGTCATCAACAAGGCATCAGAAAACACGTGATCTGATTTGACTCGCTTTCCTACGAAGCAGAGGATAATAGGCAGGTGCATCAAAAATCCCTCGAGGCTGCTGAATAGCCTTAGGATCCAAAAATTCAAGCGAAACATGGTAAAAAGGCCTGCACAAACGGTGACCTACTCACATGGCACTATTGATCTATTACCACTTCAAAGCAGGAGACCCCATTTCCTAAGTAGCAATATCCGTCGTCCTGGAAGAATTCAACATCAGGATGATTCAAATGTCCATAATCTAGCGCTCGTCAACACCATTCAAATTTTAGTGTATAAACAGACACGTAGAAGCACCGAATTCGGGATCCCGCGGCTGGTGGTAAAAATTTCGGAGGCTCCACTCAGTTCCCCGGAGGAGATTTTTTTCTTGGCTTGGCTGGGGTAGGATGGCATGAACTTCCTGTAAAAATCTGGCCTCTGACTCATTTGTGATATTGGTCAATGCTGGTATAATTGTATTAATTTTTTCTTTTGGTTCATTCGGGCTACAATTCCCCAGAAATCTTAAACCTGGAGAAGGGCCGAACAGAGCCAAGTTTGCTGCCCACCATGAGTAACGAGGAGTCATATACAGTCGATGGGAAAGCGGTGACTGATGAGCCCCTCAAAATGGATGCAGAGAAACAATTATCGGCAAAGGACCTCGAGCCCTTTGGCAATGAAGAGACGGCGGAGGTCAAATATCGGACCATGAAGTGGTGGTGAGTGACTATTCCTCAACTGGGACGTGACGGGGCTAATCATTGGAAACAGGCACTGTGGAATGCGTGAGTGCCTAATTCTAGATATCACACCCTGTAAATCCTAACTTCTAACGAAAATCTCAGTCATGATCGCAGAGAATGTCTCGGTGGGAATTCTTTCTCTACCCTCCGCAGTGGCCACCCTTGGAATGGTTCCGTATGTATCGTCGGCAGGTTCGCCTAAGACAACTTGGCTAACATTTTAATGCAGCGCTGCAATTATGATTCTGTTCATATCTGCCCTTTCATGGTATACGGGCTATGCCATTGGCCAATTTAAACTCCGTCATCCCGAGATTCACAGCATGGGAGATGCTGGCGAGCTCTTGATGGGCAGTTTCGGCCGCGAGTTGCTGGGACTCGGCCAGCTACTGCTGTTAATATTTCTCATGGCGAGCAACATATTGATGTTTAACATCCTGATGAATGTGCTGACAGATCACGGCACCTGCACTTTGGTCTTTGGTGTCGTTGGACTTGTCATCTGTTTCATGGGTGCCTTGCCACGTACGATGGATAAGGTCTACTGGATGTCCGTTGCTTGTGAGTATAGCACTCAAATAGTGCGATTATAACACCGCACTACCTAGGAGAGAATCTGGCTGACCTTTATTTAGCATTTGCGAGTGTTTTCGCTGCGACAGTAGTCACCATGATCACTGCGGGCGTGGAAAGCAAAGGCCATATCCCGATCCAAGTCACCACGATAGTCAACTTCCGCGAGGGCTTTCTGGCAGTGACCAACATCATTTTCGCTTACCGTACGTGAACAACATCAAATTATGATGCTCATCAATCTACCTTTGCTTTCCCTCAAGCTATTGCCGAAATGGACCGAGTTAACTCTAGAACCAATCTTGTAGTCGCCCACGTTGCGTACTTTGGCTTCATGTCCGAGACCGAGGACCCCCGAACCTTCAACAAGTCTCTTGCAATGCTCCAGATTGTTGACACGGTTTTGTACCTGATTAGTGCATTGATCATCTATCGCTACGTGGGACCAAACGTCCAGTCGCCTGCCATCTTATCTCTGAGTCCCGTGATGAGGAAGATCGCTTGGGGACTTGCCATTCCGACGGTGAGTCTATACGTTCATGTCAAAAGCGTCTGCGACCCCCGACCCATGAATCCCTCCTGACAAAATATAGACTATACTTTCCGGAGTCGTCTTGGGCCATGTCGCATGTAAATACATCTACGTGCGCCTTTTCCGCGGGTCCGACAAAATGCATAGCCGTAGCCTTCTATCAATTGGGTCTTGGGTCATGATCTGTCTCGCGGTCTGGATCCTATCGTGGGTTGTGGCGGAATCGATTCCCGTGTTCAATGACCTGCTGAGTCTCATTGTATGTCTTAAGTATATCGCATCCTGACTGAAAACACTGGCTAATGTGAGATTATCTGTAGAGTGCGCTATTTGGAAGTTGGTTCAGCTGTATGATTAATCCTCCCCTACATATCCTGTCTATTATTGAAATTCCCCTTTCTACCCGCAATGAGATTTAAACCAATACTGAATTGTGAGCAGTCGGACTCCCTGCCATCTTTTGGCTCCATATGAACCAGGGCCAATACTTTCGGAATATAAAAAAGATCCTGTTGACGATATGCAATGTTCTGATCTTGGGCATTGCCTGCGCTATTGTAGGTGTCTTGCTTGATATACTTTATGATTTTACTTTCCATGACTGACTTGTTTAGTGCGGACTAGGTCTATGGGTGTCAGGGGTCGCGATTCACAAGGACTCTGGCGCCAAAAGTTGGTCTTGTGCTAATACTCATTAATAGCATACGACTCGAAAAAGGGCGTTTCGTTCTAACAAATCCCAATACTATCAATTCATTTTGTAGATTGATTATCTAGGGGAAATTAAAATTGCCTTTATGCCATAAAAGGTTGACAAATTTGGTCAATCTCAACTGTTATACTCTCCGCTATATAATATATTAAGCAGCCGCACCACCAGCAATAGCGGCAGTATTCAGTGGAGCAACGTAATAATGATGAAAGCCACTCTCGTCGAGGCCAGCCAATTGCGAACGCAATTTTCAGCTCGCGCATATACGCCAATAAAATCCCTGGACCTGATCAGCCAAGGAGACATTTCACATATCCGTCGCACCAGTACTAACAACCATCTCAGGGTACACACCCGGAGGCGAGTGAAGTAGAACCTTAATGAGCATGTTGGCGAAGGCGGCTTGCGCGGCGGAGACCATGAACGCACCACCAACGGTTTGGAAGAAGAGAAGAATAGCCGTCACCTCAGGTAGATCCACCGAAGGAGCGGTTGCCTGCACCGTGATGACAGGGATCTGGGATACGATGCCCCAGCCGACTTCTCCGATGATCTGATACCCGATCCGCTTCCCCTCGCCAGTGCTAATGTCCAATATATAAAGTAGTCATGTTCAGATCGTCCCGATGGCAGTAATAACGACGGTGATTGGGGCTGCGAACCGGTTGTAGAGATGTAAGCGCCGCTGGCGAGCATGCAGATGGTAACGGACAGAATCAGAGGCAAGTTTCGCACACCACTCATTTCCGAACTATCGTTATCGATGCTCTGGAAGTAGATGGGCAGGTAGTAGATAATCAGGAAGCACGCGCCGGAGAAGAACACATACACCAACGACACAAGGTACACTCTATCTCCGGCCAGGCATCGTCCCAATGTTCTCCTGACACCACTACCGCACTACAAAGGCAGCTGAGAGCACAACGAAGACCACCAGAAATCCTACCACCCGAGACGAGTTCCAGGAGTACATTCGTCCTCCGTAGTGCAACGCCAGGACGTAACTGATAACGGCACCCATGACGAGAACCACACCCAAGGGGTCCATATGTATGAGCTTGTTGTCGGTAGCGGACTTGGGCTTCGCAGCACTGGGCGCCTTAAAGAATACCAGGATAATAAACGGCAAAATAACCCCGATGGGCAGGTTGATGTAGAAATACCACCACCAGCTAACCCTGTGAGCAAACGCGTCACTCATCGACGGCCCCACGACAGCTGCAATACCAAAACTAGTGCTGATGATCCCAGGGAACATAGGCCGTCTCTCCGGACTAGCTGAGAGAGCAATAATCGTGTACACCGGAGCCGATGCCCCTGCGCCGACGCCGGCTGTTGCCCCTCCTGCAATGAGTGTCGTGCCTTTGGGAGCGACGCCGCAGATTAGCGTTCCGAGTTCGAAGATGAATATAGGGATGAGGAAGCTGATTTCAGTGGGAAGCATTTGTAGGCTTTGCCCATGCGGAGTGGAACCCGCCGATTGCCATGAAGGCGGCGCTGTACCAGGAGACATCGACAAGGACATGGAATTCGTCTGTGATTTTAGGGATGGCACTGGCAACGATACTCAGATTAAGTGTCATCAGGAAGATACCCAGCACCAGGGAGAGGACGATGAAGACTAGTCGTGCTCCAGAGGCGTATTCATCTGTCGCATCGTCTGGGTTCGGCTTTCCTGCCTTTCGTCGTTATCATGGATGGTGTTCTCGTCGAATTCCTTCTCGTTGGCGATATCTGATACTGTTGACGGAGGTATACAAAGCATGATTTCACTCTTCGACTCAAGGATAAGTGTTGAGGTCATGATCACGACCTTATCTGTCGTCGAGCTCCGAGAAATAATCGAAAGGGAGCTGTTACTTTTCAGCCAAGTCCACGGAAAATTGCGATGCGACCCGGACCATGTGAGGCTTTTGTAAGAAGAGCAATACAGATACAGAAACAAGTAGCGATGAGATTAATCTCAATTCGCAAGCCATAGTGAGGATAGCGCTAATATATACCAACAAAATGCGGCATAAGGACAAACATAGCCAGCATAGACTTACCCGCGGCTTATGGCATCCAACAACGGAATATGAACTGCATACTTTCGTCCTGGAGCTACAGTCGTTATGTAGCTTTATCGGCCAAGAACGGCCCAATTCGGTCTCATTTTTTCAACATCATTGGGGATTAGGGGTGAGCTAAGACGTAAACTCCAGCCTACAGCTGTTAGGGTGTACGCGAGAATGTTAGTTTCTTATTAATTCCCTGTGGCTGATAAAGTTATAGGTGTTTCTGTAAGCCAGGGTCCATCTCTTAACTTCGGATCCGGGAGGGAACCAATATCTCAACAACACCGGAATAACATAATAGATCATCCCGGTATTTTCCATATATTGACTGTGATCCACAACTGATCTTCCAGGTATAAGGTAGTCTCAAATTTTGATCTTTGGTAGTGACCGAAGGTACCTTGTCGTGTCTAACGTAAGCCATTTTGGAGAGTGGGGCGACGGTGACGTCTTGGTTGCTACCTGAATTAGTTTAATTATTTGAATTATTCCCCGACAGTCCGGAACATTTTCAATGTTCACATGCCTTTATATCTCCCCGTTCCTCTCAACAGTCAGTTCCTCAACTTTCCATCATTTCACGTCTAGTCTTGTTGGTATGCATCTTGTTTGAAACAGACCTTGCCTACAGATAATAGAAATCTTCCACCATGACGGCAGTGGTGTTCGGTTGTACAGGAGCAGTGGGCTCTCAGATCCTCGCTACGCTCCTCGCCACAGACGCATTCTCATCCGTCAAGACAGTCTCAAGGAGACTCCCAAATGCCCAGTCTCCCAAGCTCCAAGCCCTCCAGGAAGGCGACACTTCAAAATGGGGCGGCATGATCTCCTCCCTGTCTCCCAAGCCAACATCAGTATTTAACGCAGTTGGTACCACCAGAGCAGCAGCCGGTGGACTCCAGAATCAATGGAAAATTGACCATGATTTGTGCATAGAGAACGCCAAAGCAGCCAAGGAGGCGGGAGTTAAGACGTACGTGTTCATCTCCAGTGGAGGGACGAGAGGGTTTTTCGCTCGCTATGTGCCCTACTCGAAGATGAAGATTGGCGTGGAGGATGCCATCAAGGAGCTCGATTTCGAGCATGCGATTATCCTAAGGCCAGGGTTGATACTCGGACGGGAGACGCCCAAAGCTGCGTTCTTGGAGAACATCGTGGAGAGCCTTAGAATCCTGGGACAGGGTGTCCAGGACAGGATAGGTATGACTAACCTTGTTAAGACTTGAATATTTTTAGATGCTGGGTCCTAACTTAGAATACGCAGGTCAGGATCAAACTACTATTGGTAGAGCAGCTGTAGCAGCTGCTCGTATGGCCGAAGAGGGGAAAGCCCCGTCGAAATATTGGATAGTGGAAATGTCTGATATCGTCAAGTTAGGCAGAGATGAGTGGAATGAGTAACGCGCCATCTGTGATCGGATTTGTTTACTGTCTAATTGAGAGCCACTATATCCTGTGGCAGTGATGCGCAATGTTTGGAAAATGGGAAAGCATGACAGAATCGCACTTATAATTCCATTATTTAGCTCTCATATTTTAATATCATTCACGCTCTTTATTTGAATGAAATCCACAATGCAGATATCGGGTAATTCATTCTAAAATATGATGTAGGATCAAGTAGTATATATAGAATAGAATGACTTGAATGATCCGAGCACAAATTTGGCCTGACGATGTGGTCAGGCAAACATGATTTGCATAGTGCAGAGACTATTCAAAACACTAAATCCGGACTTGGGGCCGAAAACGAACAATTTACCGTTGAGCATAATCCATACACCGATGTTCTACCCCTTCCGACACCGGGAAAATCTCATGATCCACCGGGAAGAGATTGACGAGGATGGGTTCTTCCACAACATGCTTACCGGTTTAGTGTTCTGGGGAGGTGCAGGTATTGGAAAGAAGGATCAAGATGTTTCTACTGGATATGCTTCCACCTGTACGCTGTGGGACATCCGTATGGGAGGCCAGGATGTGTTTTTTGAAGAAGTACTGGACTTTGCTAGGTGGTGAAGATGAGTGGTGGCGCAGTATCAGAGGGATGACACGATGGACATGGAAGTGCCTGGTTAGATGTAGGATTGTCCCGCGTTACTCGTCAATTGTGAACTCTCATTGTTACTTACGGGCTCCATCCTGTCTCCATCCTTGTTGGAGATAGTCTCGTTATGATTTCACATAGCAGTTTCAGCTCTTCTCCCAGCTGGAAGAGGTTATGTCTCATTTCGTAGGGTCCCCGACTCGACGGTATCAAATGTCTCCCTCACATTATTTCTTTCACTCTATAAGTTATAGGTTTAGTTCTACTAATTTTATTTTGATTGGTAATTTTGAATAAGATTACAGTATAATATCTACTTAAACCAACTAATTCTAATTCTATAACCTACGCTAAATTAGATAAACAAACTACCTTATATGGAAAGCAAATAGCCGCTCGTTGCAGTGGCGCTCACTTATTGGTTACATGATTGTTATGTATGGATTACCGGATAAAAGTAATAAAAAGTTAGAAAGATATTGTGTGAAGCACTTAATGAAAGGATACAGGGAGATGAGATAAAGAGATAAAAAGACGACAAGTTGAGTACGTAAAGTTTAGAGATAAAAGAGTGTATCGATTTCTATGTACATCTAAAGCGGCAATACTGTATAAAAATGACAACTCAAGGGTACCACCATAGTCATATCAATCTAACAGTAAGGCGTCACCGTCAGCTCCCACAAAAGGAACACTTCAGAGATATTCCCCTGCATTATCAGCTACCGGTCTGAGAGAGACACCGAGAGCATTTACTCGGTGTAGCGGCAGCCATTGGGGTTGGAGGTGGGCTCGACGCGTCCAGCAATGCCGATGCAGTCCTTATTGTATCCGGGGTTCTCAATACCGACGGATACCCAGATGCTATAAGCACCGTCGATGCTGTTAGGGCAGGCGATCAGGCTCTTGCCGTCGAACTCCAGGTGGCCGTCCTTAATGGCCCAACCCTTGCGCTCGGAATTGCGGGGAGTCTGCTGCGCACCGGTAGTGTAGCCGATCTTGCCCTGGCCTAGAACCGAGTTAGTTTTGCTCTTTCGCGTCTCGTATCCACATCTCTATATAGACCACGTACCCATGCCGGAACGGTCGACGAAGATCTCCTGGGGAGTAGCGGAGGCGTCGTACAGAAACAGGGAGCCGTCCTGGATGTAGAATGTGGCAAACTGTTCGTCGGGACGAGCACAGCTGGCGTTCTGGTTGGGGAGACCGGCGAACAGGCTACTCTTGGCTGCGTTGAAGGCGGCGTTCTGCACCCCACTGCCCGAGTGGATGGCAATGACGCCGAAGGTATTGGCCTGCGAGTCGGCGACTGGGGTGGCCGCGGCAGTGGCCGCGGCCGAGGCAGCAACTACAAAGCGACGGAAGAACATTTTTGAACGTTTGTAGAGAATGGGAGAGAAATGAGAGTGAGTTGATGGTGACCACGGGGAGAACAGCGGCCTTTATAATCAGCCGTGACGATTACATCTACCTGCCATGACCATATTAGTCTGTTCCCGCCGATCCATGACGCGACAACCGACATCATCGCACTGTAAGCTGTGCGGGATCAGCACGGGAGATGCCGTCGTAGAGGCTATTTTGAGAAATCTCCATCTGGCTAAATAAGAAGGTACTGATTGGCCTGGATTCAGCGTCGTGGGCCAGAGGGGCAAGACACGGCTGGTCTCTCGGCGAATCGGGAGATGCCCGGAAGCGCTTGTTTCAGATGTCAATATCGTATCGCCAGCAGACAAGACACTGTCTCATCACTGTTGCCACGCTTGGGTCCATCACATCTTCGTTGAATGGTTGAAGCCGCTCGGAGAATTGTCCCTGTGAAGGGATTGAGCTTAATGCTCCCTTGGCATAGCTGCGACTGGCACATCAAGGATGGACCACCTTCCTGAAGGAACTTAAATCTCCGAGACGTGGAGATGGGTGGTTCTTCAACACACATCGGACCCAGAGTCGCTGCCTCGTCGACGTCAGGTTGGCTGATGCCGACCTCATGCATCGTAGCGGATAGTCCAGAAATAGAACCCATTGAAAAAAATGAATTATACCCTAGTGTACAGTATCCAGAGTTAAAATCGATCTCTCTCATTCAGTATGGGACAATAACTTCCACCTAGCAGTCTACGTCCTACACACGTGGCTGCCGCACACTACGCAGAAAGTAAGCCCTTTAAGGCTTGGGGTGGGTGGGAATGGGACCAAAAAAGAGACAAATATAGTATTGACTCTATCCCCATACCCCCTGGCCAATATTTGCCCATATTTATTTCAACATGAATAATACCGATCGGCCACTAAAAGCACCACAGGATCAATGTGAGTTGTATTTTGGTATTATTGTACGTATCGTGTGTTTCCGACATTTTATCATCCGGCGTCTGAGGACAGCAGATAAACATTCAACTTGAGAAGAGGTTTTTATGTGTCCAGTAGCAAACGATTGTTGTGGAGCGAGGCGAATAGCGCCCTAGAGACGGTGCAAAATCGTCCATACCTATCTTTCCCTACATTTCAATTTGAAGCTCCCCGAATACCTTCTAGGCTAAGAACGTCCACTTGTTGCCTTATAGTTGGTAGCAGGGCATGATCAAACATGTTCTATGTCATTCTTTTTTGCACGTCAACAAGAGTGATCCGCGTAATCATTTTACTTGAATGTGCACAAATGTGGCCCTTTATAAGATGACGCTGCCCGTCCTGGATAATAATCCCATGAATACTATAAATCCACCTCTTGAGGGTCGGGGACAAACGTACACGGGAACCAGATACGTAGTATACAAGTCTCGAAAGACAGATTTTGTCCGGCTGAATGAATGACTCTATTTGCTCATTGAGAGTCATCGCCTTATATAAATTTATGTGGCGGACAGATTCAGTGTCTCTGTCTCCGTTGCGATATGCGTAGATAGGGGACGAAAATCCTGAGGCCTCGTTTTTATTGTTGCTGAACACTCCTGTGGTCCAACTGTAAACGAGCTGGACAATTGCTCGCTTTTATGAAAAATTCCCTCTAAACTTTCCTGTTTCTTATTCTTGTCAGAGAGTATCTAGTAAGACGTACTTGATTAGTGTACATAGAGACAATATTCCATGGTAAGGCCGTACCGACCGATATCCTTTCTTTTGTCAACCACCATCCTGGCAATCCATGCGACCATCTCTAGGGCTCTTTGCCTTGTGCCAAGATTTCAAAGCTTCCTGGATATTGGCATAGTCTCTATAGGCATTTGCCCGAGAAGAATAAATGGCTTGGCTTCGATAATGGCACATATCCACCCTATCCCTTTAGCAGAGACGGCCGTTCTATTTTGTCGCGATTACTGTCTTTCCCAACGAGACCGAGAAGGTCATGCCGGGCAATAAGGTAGTTTGTATCGAGGATATCTTTACCCAGTACAGAAGGTATTTGAGAAGCTGGGGTCAAGAAGAGCATCCTGGATCTGCCTATTAAGACGGATCCGCCTCATGGCTGCTTTGAAAAGCATGTAAATAGCATTGGGCTTAAAAGAGTACCACGGTACCTAATTAGCTAGGTAAGTCTGAAATATTGATAGGAAGAGAGTTGTAGAGTGAGGAAAAAACTAATTCGAATATAAGCCTGTGAATTGAAATCAAGGTCATATAATTCCAGCAGTTTGAAAAGTGAATAGGAAGACAGGTTATTCACTTCGACAGATGGTTGGAAGCTATCAAGAAGGGTAAAGTTAGTAGGAAGAAAGTGAATCCAAGATGATCACCCTGTCATCTCATCAGAGAGTGAACAAGGCAGGTACCTGATTAGGAAGGTGAAAAATGCCAGTGAAGGGCGAAAGGCAGGACACTGGAGTCTTCAGACTTGAAAGATACAAGATCAACAAGATCTACAGCTACAAGTCTGATAGATAAAAAGAATTGCCTTTGCAATATGCATACCATTATATATACTCTTCTCGTAGATAGAAGCACAATTGAGATATATCTTAGTGGCAATGGACCCTGTTGGGGCTCTGTAGTACCCTAATCTTTACTACTAAGTTGAATGAAGCGATCGAAATGTCGCAACTGATTCCTTGTGTTTCGAAGTTGCCACCTGGAGAGGCTAGAGAGACCACAGCCAAATCTCTCATACAGCTTTAATATGAAGAGTTCGGGCGTGCTTACGGGGTATTTGGACTCCTCTAGGGCTCTTTCAGCTCGCTTGCATTTTTCAAAATTGTATTGCTACCTCAATGTGAACACGCCCTGTCGGAGACAACTTCAGCGCCCCCGCGGATAGCCGACAGGTTCACCTGACCTCTGGCCAGAAATGGACTGCTGCTAACCCAACACGGCTAGTATATAATATCACGTGCCCCTCGTATCCGGAAACGGAAATCTGGGCCACATCGCTTTTGATCTTCACTTTGGATGTCAGATAAGAGGACTAGCATCCTAATTTGCAGCTGTTGTTAGGGATCTGCACGGGACTCGTGATTTGTGTGTGTATAATGTTCAATCTTGCATCTGCTACAAGAAGAAAGACATAAAAGTCCTGGAGCTGTGAAAGTTCTAGAGTTGCCCCAGAATTTGGCCCTAGTAGCCTGGGCTTAAATAGAGTTAGCAGTTGCAGATTTCAAAAAACAAAAAACAGTGGCCCACTTGGGGGTTTTCGTGGGGAGGTTTTGCCCCGACGCACTGAGTCAATCAGTGTCAACTTTTGTAATCCCTTGTTCCTTCCTTTTCCATCTATTTCTTATTGTCTTCCTCTCCTTCTCCTTCCCCCCTCCTCCTCTGCCTTCTGTCGATCAATCGCCATGACAACGACGGCCACTGCTATTGAGCTGCAAACCGGCGCCGTCGAAGAACGAGGCACACGATCCCATGTCTACCCCCCGGCCGACGCCGACGAGGTACTGCAGGCCTCGCTGCTGGCCGACGCCCAGGTGCCCGACGGCGGATACGCCTGGGTGGTGATTGCGGGCTGCGCCGTGGTGACCTGGTGGTTCATCGGCACCGCCTACTGCTGGGGAGTGCTGCAGGCGGCGCTTGTGCGCGAGGGAGTAGCCGCCGCGTCGACGCTGGCCTTTGTGGGTTCGTTGGCCCCTGCCTGCATCTCTTTCCTGGGACTGGTGGATGCGCGTCTTATCCGTCACATCGGCACCCGGGCGGCGGCATTGGCGGGGATCTTCCTGATCGGACTGGGCGAGATACTTAGTAGCTGGGCACTGGCTCATATCGGTGCACTCTTCGTCACGGCGGGCGTCACTGTGGGCATCGGTACTAGTTTCTGCTTCATGGTTGTCTCTGTCATCACAGCGCAGTATTTCAAGGCGAAACGTGGAATCGCCAACGGCATCGTCTATGCTGGTGGTGGTCTCGGCGGCGCGGTGATTAGTTTCGTGCTGAATGCGCTCTTGTCGCGCGTGGGCATCGCTTGGACCTTTCGCATCCTCGGCTTTCTCATCTGGGGGACTGGGTTACCGGCAGCGTACTTTATCAAACAACGCGTGCCAATTCCTCCGACGGCTCTAGTGGAATGGTAGGTACATTCCTGACCTACGAGACCATTATCTGACCGATACAGGCGTCTGTTCCGGGATTTGCGCTTCTTACTCCTCTTCGCCGCTGGCGCCATCGCCACGTTCCCCCTGCTGGTGCCGCCGTTCTTCCTGCCTCTCTATACGGATACAATAAACATGCCATCAAGTGCGGGCGCCGGTGTGGTGGCAGCGTTCAACTTTTCCTCGGCGATGGGACGATTGCTCTGCGGATTCTGCAGTGACCGACTGGGCCCGCTGAATACGCTCTTCCTGTCGTTGCTGCTCAGTGCGCTGAGCATGCTGATCCTCTGGCCCGTGTCTACCTCGATCGGACCATTGATTGTATTCGTCATTGTCAACGGCATGTCGAACGGCGGCTTCTTCTCCACGATGCCAACAGTAGTGGGCAACGTGTTCGGCTCGGCACGCGTGGGGGTCGCCATGGGCATGGTGGTGACGGGATGGGCGGGGGGATATCTCATGGTGAGTTCTTATCATATTCGAGATATTAGATAAATGCTAATGGAATAGGGCGCTCCTATTGCTGGATACATCCTTGATGCCTCCGGGGGCCAGGGTGGCGTTGGCAATTTCCGGCCGGCTATTTTCTACGCGGGAGGAATGGCGATGACGGCGGCTTTGTTGGCGCTGTGGATCCGATTAAGGACAGATATGGGGGCATTAAAGAGGCTGTGATGTAGACAACATACTAGACAAAGCATAGAAGGTTAACTAAATAGAATTATTTCCTTTCGCTCAGATTGCGTGGTCCTCCTGGTCCCTCCTGCAGTCCATTTCTCCTGGGCTGATCAGAACGCCAGCGCCAGAACGGACGCATATACGAGGTGCTCTGCTCTCCGTTCTTGACGATATCAGCCGCATGCTATCATTGTCAGCTCTCTCTTTTTTTTTTTTTTCTATCTGGTCGAACCCACCTCGCCCAACACCGGCAAGAATTTGGCACCGTGGCCACTTCCCCCGGTGCAGACAAACACAGACTGCTCGGCGTAGTCCGGACAGTAGTCAATCTACATGGTCAGTCTAGTCCGATACAGGAATCATGGAGCTTACAACAAAGGAATTATCCAGCGAGTCGGTATACCAACAAAGCTTGGTCCAATGGAAGGGAACGTCCGCGAACTCGGGCAGGAAGATGGACACAAATTGACGAATGGCCTGCACCGCCTCGTCCGGCAAAATACGACTCTCATCCACAGGCAACGGCACTGACCATTGTCCGTCCTGACGAAAAGCGTCCTCAGGGGCCGGTACGAAGTGAGTGAACTTGATACCGCGATAGCCTATCTTGACCAATCCCTCCGGGGTGCGCGGCAACACGTAGACGCTGCCTGTGTCTCGACCACGAGCATCACGAGGTTGACTCTTCCAGGTTACCACGGGGAAGTGCTCAGGCGAGTATTTCTCCCACAGCTCGGTCTGGCTGCGGTCGATGCGGAAGGTGGCCAGACTGCCAGCGGACGACTCGAGATGGTAGCTCAATGCTGGCAGAATCTGCGTCGAGAAGGATCCGGCAGCGACGACGACGAGATGGGCGTTATGGATGCGCTCATCGGCAGTGCGCACGCCTGTCGCCTTTGGTTTGCCACCCTGCGTGCTCTCAACTGTCACCAGCGAGTCGATGGCTCCCTGATGAGGTCCCAGGACGAAGTCAACCCCAATCTCCACGGCACGTCGGTACGTGGCAGCACAGGCAGCATTGCAGCGAACTAAACCGGCCAACGAGTCCAGCACTGCCTCGTAGGAGGCATTGGAGGATGGTATAGGCACGTCCAGTAACTTGTGCGCCCATCCGGTTTGCTGTGCCCGCTCACGATCCTGCGCATCTCCCTTGACAAACTGAGTATGGCGCAGACCGTCGCGCTGCAGATTCGCCAACGTCTCTTTCTCCAATGCACCGAGCTGGTCGTCAGGCTGCACGCGCAACATACCGCTGGTCACGAATAGGGCATCTTCGGCTCTTTCTTGCTGGTCAGCGGTCATCCAGGCGTGCCGACTCTCCAGCGCTAGACGCTGATAATGGATCTTGGTGCCGTACGAGGCGCGAAACTATTCCCGTTAGCGTTATTCGAGGCTATCAGGGAGACATACGATCTTGTTGTGGTCCACCGAGGCGGCCTGCACATCCTCAGCATCGGGATCATACTGCGATTGATCATAGGCATGGCGATCAAACACAGTGACCGCGTAGTCTAAACACATCAGCATAGTTTCTCTCGACCTGAAGGGGACTCACCTCGTTGGCGCAGTGCCACAGCCAGCGAGAGGCCGAAGATTCCGGCTACCTTATTAGTCTGACGATATCATCGATTCTGTTCAGATACTCACCTCCAATAATAATCACTCGTCTTTCGGTCATTGTGTGTATAATCCAACCCCAAAAGTGAACAGACAATGCTGATACTTAAGCGGGGAAACGGCCAACAGTCACCCGACAGCGTCTCCAGGGTCCCTGCAGGATGCCGGTTTCCCCCTTGCTGACATATATATAGACGTAACATGGACCCGTGGGCAAGATTCTCCTGATCATTCATCATGGAGAGACGCAAGGATGAGAACGAGCGGGTTGAGCTGGTGGAAGAGCAAGTCGACGACACAGCCACCTTCTATCACTCCCATAAAAATGACGTCAGTCCCTTGACGCCAGCAGCAGAACAAAGACTTTTGCGACGTAACTTCTGGTGGCTGCTGCCTCAGACATGGTGGATTGCGTTCTTGATCCATCTGGATAAGTCGACGTTGTCGTCAGCCAGCACCATGGGTTTGCTGCACGACGTGCCCATGTCGCGCAACCAGTTCAACTCGCTCTTCCTTATCTTCTACGCAGGATATCTGGTCGCTCTGTGGCCGGGGGCTTGGCTGTCACAGCGTGTTGGCCACCATCGCTTCATTGTTGGCTCGTTGCTACTCTGGGCTGTGTTGTTGGGCGTGCATCCTATCGTGCGAACAGCGTCGCAGATGATGGCGGTGCGCTTTCTCCTAGGCTTGGTATGGAGCTTAATTCAATGAATGCATCAGACCAGGATATCAAAGCTGACTGCCCAGACCGAGTCGCAAATAGTCCCCTCGACGGCCATCCTGCACATGGCCTTCTTCCCACCACTGTACAGCGTGCGCGTGCAGCTGCTCTGGTGGGCAGCCGGCAGTCTGGCCAACGTGCTGTTGACCATGGTGGCCTACCAGTTGATCCAGGATGATAACCAAGGCACGCTGGCTGGCTCCCTGGCCTCATGGCAGTGGCTGCATATCATCTGCGCCGTGCTGACTGCCATGCTGTGCGTGCCCTTGCTGTTCCTCCTGCCAGGGTCGCCCGTTACCGCACGCTGGCTGTCCATCGAGGATAAAGTGCATACCATCGCCTTGATCCGTCGATCTCGTGCTGGCATCACCAATTCTGCGTTCCAGTGGTCGCAGGTGCGCGAGTGCTTCTGCGATCTCAAGAGCTGGCTTTTCATGTAAGTTGGATGATGCTATGGAAGAATGGAACTGATGGATGCACATTATAGTTTCCACCTGTTCTTTAATGAACTTCCCAACAATACCTCACAGCAGGTGCCGTTGCTCATTGTCGGATTTGGCTTTACTGCGGCTGAGAGTGCGCTGTTTAACATCGTCAAGCCGCTTTGGGGCTTCGTTATGGTTATGGTGTGCGCTGCCCTACTGCACGGCACAAGGCTGGGCAGTGGATACACCTGTGCCCTGTCCTACATTCCCTGCATTATCGGGGGGTTTATCGAGGTATGTACTCTCCTATCTGCAGTTGCGAGCTTGAATAACATCGACAGCTGTCCGCCCCCTGGACCAACAAGGTGGCCCTCGTCGTGGGCACGCAGATCGCCACTTTCAAGCCCTCGTACATGCTGGGACTCGCCTGGGCCGGAGCCACAACCACTGGACACACGAAGAAGCTCTGTCTGATGACCTCGTGCGTCGTGGCGGGTGCCGTGGCCAATATGATATCCCCGGAGTAAGTTAAGTTTCCTGGAATACTCGACGGCATCGCTAATAATGTCAGGTTCTGGCAATCGAAATACCAGCCGCGCTACGTGCTGCCCTGGTCGTTCATGACGGCGTTTTGGCTGCTGTCGCCCGCCATGTGTCTGACAATTCGCTTCTACCTGCGACGCGAGAATCGTCGGCGGATGGACGGGGGGGTGGAGCAGCCGGTATTTATTCATGGCCAGGAGGTTGTGAAAGAGGATCTGGACCAGACAGATCGTCAGAATCCGCTATTCCTCTACGCTCTGTAGTCCATGAAATAGAGGGTGGGATTAAATGTTGTATGAATAGGGTATAGAAGCAGGCAATTGCCCATTACGGCATTCAGGATTCCAAGAAGGATCTAGTTATGTCTGTATTAGATTATAGACTCGATTAAAAAAATATATATAACTCAACAGTTTCACTTGAGTGGAGCAGATATTACGGAGTATAGTGTCATTGTCATCAACCAACACAGGAATATCAACCTGGACCGCATGGGGGCCGAGCCGTATCGCCATGCAGGATTATTGGATCTGTGACAACGGACCACTTTAGCTTATCTTTGAATCTGTAGGGCGCATTCCAGCACGAACATCGCCGTGATAGGGTCGAACTGCATATCATAGTCACTCGTAGCTCGGTCCACAGTAGATGGGCAACTGGCAGCATATCTCCATCGCAGGAGTAATACGGCTGAGACCATCGATAGGAAGGCTATGGTGTCTATATACAGTTCCTGATGGCTAATTTTGTACACGACAGGATCTGTCCCCATCTCTGTACAATGCGCGATATGATCCGTGGATCTGCTTCGCGATACAGGTGATCTATTGGACCAGGAGGAGTATGAGGCTGAGCACTACTTTGTACGGCAAGGTTAAGGATCTACCGATGGGGCGACGGGTGGGGTCCGAGCATTCCCATGTGGTCTAAAGCTCTGAGATTATCATGAAGCTGTAGGGTGTCGCATCGTGGACTAATGGCTTGACTGAATTGGTTGGAGGTGCTAGCTAGGTATTTGCATGACTGTCACAGTAACCATGAGTTAACTAGTCAACTATGGGCCGGGTGTATTACATACTAGATATTCTTTCGATAGTTAAACAAACAGTAAACAAGTTATAAATCTTATATCCGTTTAGAGGATCCTCGGGGTATTATCCGACATAGTGGGAGGTCTGAATTGATCGTATTCAGAAAGATCTTCTGCCCAACCCCTCTGGAGAGATATCGGGTATATATATTTCACATGATGTCTCGATCTGGACTAGCTAATTCTATCACATATCTATCAGGTGGACATATACAAATATATACGAGACCAGACCGCTCAAGAGAGGCAATTGAATGAAATGAAACAAAGAAATTAATAATATTTATAATATTGTTAATTATAAACAGATAAAGAATATGTGGAATCTCCCGATTGGCGGAATATCCCCGATCGGGCATATAATCCCTGCATTTAGCGATGCATGAAGCCATGTATTTAGTGATAAATATAAGCGATTTTCAAAAGAATTTAAGAATCATCCCCCCTATTGAACTGACGGTATATTTGAACCCAGTATTCATATCATGCCTAAACTGTTTATCACCGGGGGAAGTGGCTACGTCGGCTCAGTCGTGATCGAGCTGGCCCTCGCAGATGGATATACTGTCCATGCCCTGTCTCGCTCCGACGCCAGCGACGAGACGCTGCGAAGACTGGGCGCTCATCCCATCCGTGGTGATTTGACGTCCCTCGCTGTATTGCAGGAACAAAGCGCCGCCGCTGACGCGGTGATCCATCTGGCCACTGCGTTCACGATCGGGGCGGGACCCAACGAAACAGCCCTTCCCACTGACATCGCAGCGATTGATGCCATAGCCGACGGACTCGCGGGAACGCATAAACCCGTCGTGATCACCTCGGGTACGCTGGCGGTAGCCCCAGACCCCACAGGGGCCGAGACGAACGAGACGTCACAGATCCAGGCTAGTCCTCTCAGCGAGCGCGCCCAGGTGGAAACCCATGCTTTGGGCCTGGCACGGCGGGATATCCGGGTGATAGGCGTGCGACTGCCACCGTATACGTACGGCCGCGGGGGCAGCGGCGTGCGCAAGTTCATGGAAATGGCCACCCAGACGGGCAGTGTGTTGGTTATCGAGGGGGGAAAGAACCGTACCACCTCGGTGCATGTCGAGGACGCCGGTCGATTGTTCCTACTGGCTCTGCAGAAGGGTCGCACCGGACTCTATAACGCTAGCGCCAATACCACCGTCACAGTGGGGGAGATCTTCAGGGCGATTGGCACGGTACTGGACGTCCCCGTGCGCGAGATCAGCAGAGACGACGCCCTGGGGGTATTGGGGTCTGGACTGACTTTCTTTCTGGGTGCAGAAAATCGCGCCTCGGGGACAAAGGCCGAAAATGAACTTGATTGGCATGCGAGAGGCCGGGGGATCGTGGAAGAGATCCTTCATGGCTCGTATCGTTGATATTGGATTATGTATAAGTTATTCAGGACAGACGGCAGGAACCGTGAGGATACGAGGTATTGAATATTAAATATGAAATAATATATGAATCATATAAGAAAAATACAAGAACAATACAAGAAAAATATAAGAAAAATATAAGAAAAATATAAGAAAAATATAAGAAAAATATAAGAGATAATGTAAGCATAATTAAAGTCATACATCATAGAATAAAAGAGAGAAAAGAAATAGGACCAAAAAAAAAAAAAAAAAAAAAAAATAAAAAAATAAAAGAAATATAAAACTGGACAAATAGAAAGGGAATAAAAAATATAGCAAAGTAAATCAAATAAATAGGTTACATCGACAAGCTTCCCTCGTGTCAGACGAAGATGAGGTGAGACGATCGTTCGAATGGATCCTTCATGATTCTAATTGTTAACTGTTGAAGACAAGAGAACGCCCAGTTCTTTCAACTCTCAACCATGGATTCAACACCGTCTATTCTGCGTTCTTCGTGTGTATGTATTCATCTTCTTCTTAAATACATGATACGATGTTAATATAATATAATATAGGATAACTGCACCGCCGCCAAGGTCAAATGCAGTCAAGGTCGTCCGGGCTGCGCTCGATGTGCCCGACATGGGGTCACCTGCGCCTACAGCATCTCGCGAAAAGCGACTCGAAATGGCATGACCAGTCGCAAGAATAAACCACGATCCCAGTCTGCTCTGTCTACGGTACCCTCTGTTGAACCCCCGGCCGAGCCCCCGTCCAATATGACCCCCGCACTGCCCGTCGATGCCAGCCAACTACCTCCCACTCCCTCCCTCACTTGGGATCCTCACTTCGCCACCTTCAGCTTCGGGGAGACTCCAGCTATCTTGCCCAATGGGTCGCCACCCGCCGGGTCTCCTCCGATGCCTCCATTCCATGCGGCGAGTGGCGTTCCCTGGAGTCTGTTCGCCAAGGGAACGACGCCGAATTTCCCGCTGTCGCAGCTGATGGAGACGCCGACCCCCGCCATGGAGATGATCACCGATCCGCCCACCGACAGTTCCAACGGGTCCAAGCCCCGCGAGGGCGATAACTGCTGTTCTGAGTCGGTGGATATCATGGTGTTGCTGCAGTTCAAGGCCATCCACGAGATGCGGTCCAATGCCATCGCCCGCGGTCGCTCGGAGGAGACCTCGTCGCTGCCCTTTGATCACATCCTGACCACCTGTCGCTCGGCGTGCCAGCGACTGCTGGAACTCATGCAGTGCGATTGTGCCACGAAAGGTCATATGGCTCTCATGCACAGCTCCATCATCTCCGCGATCCTCTACTGGTTCAACTGCGCCGCCCAGTCCGAGGGTCCCCGTCCCGCCGACTTCCTACACTCCTACAGTCCGCCGGCACGAGCCTGTGTCAGCGCTGCTCCCAGTGTCAGTGGTCCCCCGACAACCATGGGTCTCTACCAACTGGAGGAGGAGGACCGCGTGGCGATCCGACAGACACTGATTCTGGGGAAACTGCGTCGCGTGGCCACAGCCATCGATCGTCTGGAGGAGCTGGGCACCGGGACGGGGTCGCGTAGCCCCAATATCCACAAGGGACTAGCGACCTGGCTGAGGACAGAGATGCAGCAGGTCACCAGTGCCTTGCGAGTGGATGCGCGTGTAGAGGAGTGGTAGTTATGGTATGGAGAGCGTTAGCAGTATCTGTTATGAACTGTCTGTTATATAGATGCGTAACTTTTCTTTTTTTGAAATCAATGACACCATCCAGCAATTATAAGAATCGCGGTCTAATAAACGGTGACCTTTAATAACGAATATTCTCCCGATCTGAGTCGCATATCCCCGATCGGCAATGTCCCTTCGCCGTCTGACCCGGTTCCCGCAGGATGATGCAGGAGAATGCGCTGCAATGCTCCGATCTGCGACGGCTTATTGTTGCGCAGAACTTGAACGTATTAATGATGGCTCTTGTAGTCTTTCATTGATTCCAACACTAAGGTCAATACCAGGGTTTCATAGGTTCACCATGTCCACTCAGCCTCTATCTCCCCAGTCTCTGGACGAACTCGTCCAGCTCTCCAGAGACCTGCAGAATGCCGTCGAGGAGATCGTCCTCCATCCAGAGCAGGCCCACACTAATGGGGTCGCTGACGTGCTGTCCGCACAGCAACGCATCGCCGAATCGGCCAGCAAGATCCAACGTCTGACCACCTCCCCTGGAGAGTTTATCAATCGACAAGCTATCCAGAGTCAACATCTGGCCTGTCTGCGATGGCTCTGTCATTTCAAGGTCGTCTCCCATGTGCCTCTCGACCACTCAGTTTCCTACGAGCATGTCGCTGCCGCTGCTCAGGTGCCCGTAGCCCAACTGCGCAGTATCGCGCGCATGGCCATGACGGCTGGATTTCTTGCAGAAACACAGGCAGGCCAGCTTTCGCACAACAGCCTGTCTGCAGCATTCGTTCAGAACCCCTCACTCGTAGAATGGGCACTTTTCGTCGCCGAAGGCACCGCCTCGACGGCATCGAAGCTCGTCGAGGCGACGGAAAAATTCGGCATCACCAAGGAGAAGACCCAGACGGCGTACAATCTGGCCAAATCCACTGACCTGCCGTTCTTCGATTATCTCAATTCTGACGCACGGCTTGCCGGTCAGTTTGCCGCGTATATGAAGAACATCACCAACACCGAGGCCACCAGCATCAAACACGTCCTGTCGGCTTTTGACTGGCAGGGGTTGGGCAAAGCCACTGTCGTCGATGTATGTCCTATTCTTCATACTTCACGAGATGAAACTGATCGTTTAGATTGGCGGTTCCAGCGGCCACGTCTCGCTGGCTCTGGCAGAGGCATTCCCTTCGCTGTCCTTAACGGTGCAGGATCTGCCCGCTGCCATTGAATCGGCGCCCGTGAATTCCCCTGTCTCCTTCCAGCAGCATGACTTCTTCAAGCCGCAGCCCATTCGCGAAGCGGATGTCTACTTCCTGCGCACCATCATCCATGACTGGCCTTTGGCTGAGGCCACTCAGATTCTTGGCCATATTGCCGCCGCTATGGGACCGAAGAGCAAACTGCTTATTATGGATATCGTGCTGCCCCCGCCGGGCAGTGCGTCGATTTCTGATGAATCTCTGGCGCGTTTACGTGACGTAACCATGTTGGGGACGTTCAACGCGTGCGAGAGGGAGCAAAGTGATTGGGAGGCGTTGATCAATGCCATTGGGGGGTTGAGGATTGTGGATGTCAGGAAACCTGCGAGGAGCTCGTTGTCGATGATTGAGGTGGTCAAGTCTGTGGATTAGTATTCTAGATGTTGATTATATGTAGAATTGCAATGCGGGATGTGTCTTATGTCTATCGATGAATATAAATTAAATTTAACTTAAGAAATCTGATGAAGATAACTTCTGATTACTCCACACAGGAAGAAGAATTTCGATCTATATGCAATTTTTGGTCTATTAACATTGTATATAGTTGACGCTATAAGGACGTCCACAAATTTTCATCTTGGGATCATCTACGCATGATACGGGTACTGTCTAAATCCAGTAAATATGGCAGGAAATCCATTCATCTAGTACAATAACTAATACGTCGCCGGCATCGTGGCAATCTTCCCCCCATCGACCAGCATCACGCTGCCATTCACAAACGAGCCAGCTCGACTGGCTAGATATAGCACCGTGCCGGCCATGTCATCCACCTTACCAGCTCTCTCAGCCGGCTGGTACGAGCGTGCAAATGCTCCTTCTTCGTCGATTGCCTTTTCCTTGTCGATTTTGAACGGCGCAAACAGCGGCTCCGACATGTCGGAAGGAAACACTGTCAAATAAGTATTATATCATATGAGAGGTACATTCCGTGAATGGATGACTTACATCCAGCGGCAATAATATTAAATCGTATACCAAAAGGCACGCAAAAAGTCGAGAAACTCTTCAGCATACTCACCACCCCCGCTTTACTGCTCAAGTAGGCGAATCCAGCGCGCGGGTTACGCAGGAAACTGGCGGTGCTGGCCGTCGCGATGACCTGCGACTTGGTGGGACTACCACGCTGGTTGCCCGCGTCCAGCAAGTTCAGAAAGGCCAGGATTGTGTAGTACGTGGCCGTGCAGTTCATGTTGTACACCTCGCTGAACTCCTCCATCGGCGTCTTCCATGCGTAGTCGACAAACTCGGCCAGCGAGTGTCGCGCGCGCAGCTTGTCCAGCATCGGTCCACTCATACCTGCGTTGGCTATGAGCAGATTAATATATCCCGTCTCCTGTTGGACTCTTGCGGCCGCTGCTTGCAGGGACTCTTTGCTAGTGACGTCGCCCACCAGGGGGATGATACTGATCATGTTTTAGATATGGATATGGTCTGGTATAGATCCAACATACCTCGGATGCAACGCCGCAGCTTCTTTCAGCTTCGACTCTCGACGGCCCATAATGTATACTTTGGAAGCGCCGTTCTCCGCCAGGCCCCGTGCCATCATCAGTCCAATCCCTGCGCCATGGTTAGTCGGTTTTAGTCCATAATATCACCGTGTAACTCACCAGTCCCCCCTCCAGTGATGACGGCCACCATGCCGTCGACATTGAACAGGGTGTCTCTCTGAATGGAAGACATGACGAATGATCTCAGAACATCAAAATTGGTAGACACTCATGTCAGCTCGACATGGATGCTTTTAAACGTGCATGCATCATCTTGGAGCCACCAGACACGCGAGACTCGCATTTAGCCCACGTGCTAGACCCTGTCATCCCCGACTCTAGAATCGTCAGCAAATAGATACTCCGTATGTTTCGTGAAGATTCCCGACGCGAACACGAGAATGCATCCCCAGGGCCAATGACGGATTCATCTCGGGGATTAGCGCGGAAGAACATGTCCGACCTGCGTTTTTAGCGTCGATGCAGCTTATTCCGAACTATTTTCTAAACTGGGATGGCGTGCGACAGACCGGCACCAGGGAGTCGAGATGGTACGATCATTGATGGGTTCTTATAATCAGGAACTAGGGACGGGGATGAAGTGCCATCAAGTAGTTCCATATACAGACTGACCATGGTACAGTTCTTCACGTCCGACGACAAAGAAACATATGCCCCGGAGCGTTTCCAGACGTCATCCAACGGGACTGGAAATGGAAATGGAACGATGAATCTCCCCCCACGTCATGCAGAGACAGGCATCGACGTGCTCATCGTTGGTGCCGGCGTTGGTGGACTCATGACGGCCATGGAATGCTGGAGAAAAGGACACAATGTCGTGAGAATCGTTGAGAGAAACGAGTGTCCCATCTACACAGGCGACTCGTTGAACATCCAGCCCTCCGCCATGTCCATCTTTCGTCACTGGCCCGACATGTGTCGGGAGATCGAGACGGAGCAGTATGATGCCATGATGAGCTACAAGAAACACAGCGGCGAGCACATCTACGGACCCTCTCCCCCGTCCTTTAACGACCCCGAGAACAAAGTCGGTCGCCTTGGCCCCCATGTCGCCTTCATCCAAAACCGCATCAAATTCTACAAGATGTTCCTGCGCCAGATCGCCAAACTCGGTTTCCGCATCGACTATGGCCAGCGAGTCGTCAACTACTTCGAGGACACCGTCACGGGCAAAGGGGGCGTCGTCCTCGAGACTGGAGAGGTCTACCTCGCTGACGTCGTCGTCGCCGCCGACGGACTCAAGTCGTCCTCTTATGGCATCGTCACCGGTGAGAGCGTCCAGCCCCGTCCCAGCGGCATGGCCATATATCGCACGGCGTATCCGGTCGAGTACGCGCTGCAGAACGAGACGGTTCGACAGCGATGGTCGCGCAAAGACGACGACGGGCCGCTCTGGGAGTTCTGGCTTGGGCCTGGTATGCATGTAGCCGTGTTCCTGTCGCATGACACGGCCTCCTGGGCTTTAACGCATCGTGACAGCGGCTCTGCGGAAGAGTCGTGGGAACCCGACGCCCATCCGGACGAGGTGCTGAAGATCATGGAGCAAATCCCCGGTTGGGATCCGGCCATCCCTGCCCTGATGCGCACGGCGCCGCGCGGTGCCATCGTCCACTGGCCCCTACTGTGGCGCGATCTAAGACGCGAATGGGTCTCCCCCGGCGGTCGCGTCATCCAGGTGGGCGACAGTGCGCACTCCTTCCTGCCCTCGTCGGGCAATGGGGCGACGCAGGCACTGGAGGACGCCGTGACACTGGCCACCTGTTTGCAGCTAGCGGGCCAGCGAAATGCACCCCTGGCCGCGAAAATCTTCAACCTGCTGCGGTATGAACGCGTGTCGTGCGCGCAGAAGATGGCCTTCGTCAATGCGCAGATCAAGCATCAGACCGATTGGAAGGCCATCGAGCAGAATCCCAAGCTGATCCGCACGCGGTTCCCCAAATGGGTGTATCAGCACGATCCGGAGGGTTATGCCTACGAGAAATATGGACCTGCGTTTGCCCATCTGGTGGCTGGAGCGCCCTTCCAGAATACGAACTTTCCCCCGGGACATCATTTCCGGCCATGGACGATTGACGAGGTCATGGAGGATATCAAGAATGGGAAGAATGTGGAAGATTTGCTGGATGGGGACTGGAGCTAGGTAGTAGATAGAAAAGTATAACTTTCTGCGTACAGCACCTTGCGAGTTCGGCTACACGCTCTTCGACGCTTTCCTGGCCAAATCTAATAGACTTAGCCCGCATTTATGGCATTTACGGTTGGTATTTGGACGCAAATAGGCCAATTTTGACGTACCTTAGACATTGTTTGAACAAGGGGTCTCATTGTTGCTAACTGCAGCTTTATTCTGTATAAACATTCTAAGCGATGAGTAAATGATGATGATTCGTGATGACATTGGCTTTGTCGAAGTACAGCAGGCTGTGTATTGTCTTCTCATGTTAGAATATTACACGTACACATGCTCTGCATGTTGGAAAGTTGAGACTAAATAATCCTTACAGATCAAAACCTCTGTTGGCCAGCCTTATCACGCAGGCTATGACAACGCCAAGTCAATCAACTTCCTGTAAATTTTGACCTTCTACTAAGCGTGGAGAGGAAAGGAAGAGGATCAAGTTGAGCAATAGAGTATATATCTCCTATTGCTACCACGTTCCACCTCTCCTCCATGACATAGTAGATGGAACAAACGACGGACAACCCAAACCAACCTCGCAAACCGACTCCGCAAACCAACTCCGCGCCGGTCGCCACATTCTACTCGTCCGTCCAGTTATCGAGAGCACGAGAAGTGGATCAGGCATCCGGGTGACTAGGCCCCAATATTTTTCTGCGCAGCTCAGAACATTTTTCCATTAGAGACAACGCATCTTGAAGCTTCCCTTGGAATTTCCAGATATAGGCAAGGTTGAGTATGCTGGTCAGAGTATCAGGATGTTCAGCCCCCAGTACTACCTTCCTTGTCTCTATTACTTGCATCTCCAGTTTCTCGGCTTCATCCCATCGTCCCTGGTACCCATAGGTTAATGCCAGGTTCGCCATGCTGGTCAGAGTATCAGGATATTCAGCTCCCAGTACTATCTTCTTTGTCTCTGTTACTTGCATCTCCAGTTTCTCGGCTTCATCCCATCGTCCTTGGTGCCGGTAGGTTACTGCCAGGTTCCCCATGCTGGTTAAAGTTGAGGGATGTTCAGCCCCCAGTACTATCTTCTCTGTCTCCATTACTTGCACTTCCAGCTTCTCGGCTTCATCCCATCGTTCTTGGTGCTGGTAGGTTGATGCCAGGTTCCCCATGCTGGTCAGAGTTAAGGGATGTTCAGGCCCCAGTACTGTCTTGGATGTCTCTATTACTTGCACAGAAAGCTTCTCAGATTCATGCCATCGTCCCCTATACCCGTAGACCGATGCCAGGTTCACTATGCTAGTCAGAGTTGAGGGATGCTCGGGCCCTAGCACTGTCTTTTTTATCTCTATTACTTGCATCTCCAGCTTCTCGGCTTCATCCCATCGTCCCTGACATCCATAGTTTGATGCCAGGTTTGCTATGCTGGCTAGAGTTAAGGGATGTTTAGCCCCTAGTACTGTCTTCCTTGTCTCCACTACTTGGACGCCCAGCTTCTCAGCTTCATTATATCTGCCATCACTGGCAAGGTAACTTTCGATCTTCTCAACCAAGTCAATATATTGTTCCCGTTGTATTATAAACTCATCTTCAAACACAAGGGACAAAGCGTGAGGAAGGTATTGTCGCCAAAGTCCTCGATTAGTATAGTAATCATCTGGTAAAACTTTACATATCTGATCAGCCACCCTTTGGATCCAGTAAGTAAGCAGTCTATTTTTTCTCAGCCAGTCTCGGATCGCAATATGCACAAGTCTGTGTATGCTAATATATATATCCTGCCCGTTGATAAACAAATATGCATTCAGAAGTCCCAAAGCGTTAATTCCGCGTTTCTTGGATGTTGGCAAAGGAAGAAGCGACTTAGGGATGCTTCGTGGATTGATACAAGCCATAAAAAATAGATAGTCGGCTGCTAATTGATCCTGGCGCTGAATTTGTTTAAACGATATAAACCAGGTGCTGACCACTGGATTCTGAGTATCCTTATAGCGTCCTGCATCTCTGAAGTCTTCACTTAAGAGATCCACCACTTCCGGTTCCTGCTCTTGTAGAAGCTCAAGGTAGTCGGACAGACTTAAGCCATTTTTATTAATATATGCCGATGCCTGCGCAATAGCCAGTGGAAGAAAGGTCAGCTGTTCGAGAAGCGCGGCTGTTGTGGCATGGTCTTTTAGCGAGTCCTTTTCTAATAACGACTTTTCTAAAATGTCTTGTGCAATTTCTTTATTCTCATTCGGAATAGGGATGACATTCGAGGATGTTAGCTCCACCGCAAGTTTCCGGTTCCGGGTGGTAAACAAAGTGCGGCCTTGTCCACTCTCAGGGAGGAAGTCCTCGAGAGCTAGAGCTGCACCACTAATCGATAGCCACATGTCCATATTATCTGCATTATCAAAAATTAGAAGCCACTTCCCCGCACGCTCGGAGCTGAGGTATGTTTTAATCCGTTCTTTAACCTCTGCCGGCTTCACATTATGAAGTCCGAGTTTATCTGCAATATTCAGGAACGTCTGTTCAACCATCTCATAACTAGTACATGGGACCCAGAAAACCGAGCACTCCTTATCCCGGTCTCGTAAGCGGTAAGCTAGCTCCAGAGCCACTTGGGTCTTCCCAACCCCTCCTAACCCTGTAATTGCAAGCTTCCTGGGCCCATCTTGCATCATAATCAAGGCCTCCAGTTTGGTAATTTCATCCTGACGACCAACAAATCGTGGGTTTCTTCCCAGTGGGACTGTCCAGTGACGGACTCTGTTTTTTTCCTTTGCCAAACTCCAATCCATACAGGAAACAGGCACGATCGACAACAGCAATTTTGTATAGGCTGCTGCTGTCAAAGCCGCGTATCCCTGCCACTCTTTCTGTTTATGGGAGTCGCAATAGTCGCATATCCCTCGGATAACTAGAGTTGGAAGTGTATCCATAAGGCCTGCTGCCTCCATCTCAAAGCAGAGTATTCCATACTGTTGAGCTAGACGGTCTCGTGCTTCTGAGTCCTTCATCACCTGGTCTCCAGATGCAATCAACCCATAGTGGATATAAGGTGTCCTGCTATCACGCAGCTGTCGGTAGACCAATTGCTCCTTATCACACTTTTCACAGTTGTTTTCCTTGTCGGCATGGTGATAAGTGGAATGAAAAAGATAGTCTGAGTCCTGTTTTGGGGGTGAAAATCTGGCTTTTATATCAGGATTTTGTTCCAGTACTTTCCACACTATTGTTGAAATAGTATCCTCCCTTCTCGACATTTGGATCGCCTCCAGTTGAGCCATATGCGTTAAAAGGGTCTGTGGTGGTTTGTTTAAGGTGCCGGTTGGTTCGAATTGCCCGCCTTGAACTGCCTTGCCATAATCATACTGTATCACCCCGCTATACTTTCCAACCGGCTTGCTCACCACCACATCGCCTAATCGAATATCACTGCTTGGGCCCGGGACACCCCCTCCAATTCCCACCATCAGTCCAAATCGGATCCGAGGAAATATTGAAACTACGTGAGACACGACGGTCGCAGCGGATACTGTTCCATATATCCCGGTTGGTAGGCAGGCAATGACAACATAATGGCCGTTCAATTCGCCGAGTACGTAGGCGTTCGGATCAGTGGAAGGTCTAGGCAGGGAATTGTGGGTTTTATCTCGCATGAGATTCGCCGCCGCCATCTCTAACGGCAAGGCACATATCCACGCGATTGTGTAATCATCATGTGTAAAAGAAGTCATCGTGGGTTTAACCGGCGAAAAGGACAAAAATAATCAGGACTAGACTGTTCCGGGAGACCACATTCCTAAATGCAGAGGAATTTTCGTCGTAGACGTGAGTATGTAAAGGGGATATTCTTGAGGTTGGGAAAGGAGGAGGGGTAATCAGCTACATGTTCCTGCAAGGCTGCTCACTCTAACGCCTAGTGGCCTACCTGCAAGCATGTAGGCTAAGATAAATATCTATGCCAAGGCGTGCTCTTAAATTTTTAATACACTTCATTATTCAAACTTCGATCCCTCACACTCAGAGAAATCTTGAAGATACGAATGTTAGCGGATCTTCCCTGAAATCAATCGCTCTTCATCTGTCCGATCTGGAATTTATGTACTATTATTCCCCGATCGTTGCACTCGTTCCTGGCAGCCTAGCTCGATGGAGTTCCATAGATTTCCATCCGAGTTCAGTCGTTCAAGGCCTCTCTGCTTAGCAGCGTACCTTTTGCTTCCATTCCCAAGAGGAACCATCTCGTCTCCAACTGTCGGTATGGTATAGCACCAAAAATCTCCCCATAGAAGCGGAAATTTGTTCACGATATGATAAACGATACATCACTGACTACGAGCAAAACGGCTGATGCAGCGAAGTGTACCAGACAAGTTGTGACCAACATTCGCACAAACATGAAGGGATTTGGCTCTGTTAGAGCTTTACCAAAATTTGTAGGCCCGCAACGAAGCACCACAGCGTTGAGGTTAGAAGCTCTCTGTAATTGTCTGCGGGAGCATCCTTTTTCAAGGCAGGGTTTCAATGAAACCTTCTAGAAACTCCAGCGTATTTACAAAACATCTAAGTCCAGCATGTTTGGTATGTGACCGTATGTCTAAGTTCAAAACCAGCCTTAAAATACCAAATTTACAAACGAAACCTAGTAAAGGTTAGAGCGGCGCAGAGAAAGAGTCGAAGAATGTACATAATGTAAAGCCGATCCAGCAAGGCTCTGTACCATCGACAACTAGTGGGAAAGGAGTACACGGGATGATTGAATACGACTAAACCGATGAAATCTGCAATAATAATTGATGCCATGCGATTACTTGGATAGGAAGAAGTCTAACTAGATACTTGATATTAAGCGATTGCACTTTCAGACAGAAAACTGTGATTTCATTGGCTTTATCATAAAGCTTCTACTACTGCGCAGGTAGTCCAAATAGCATGAACTGCAACGGAGGCGGAGAGACACGAAAAAAAGAATTAAAGATATTAAAAAAAAACACGATGGTGACGTAGCTAAATAATCAATTATATTTGTTCTGATGTATCCATCCAACTATGATTATATATATCATTCTGTATATAGTCCCTCACACAGTTCCAACCCTCGTCCTTCCCATGTACATATCCAGCCTAAACCTTGGCCTTCGGATCCTTGTTCTCGAAGAAGCGCGCGATCGTCACACCCACCCCGGACGCAATCACCATCGCCGCCGAAAAGTTCCACACCGCACCAAATCCGTGGTCGCCAAGGATCGCACCGGCGATAGGGGTACCGGCCAACGCGCCCAGGGAGATGATGGAGAAGCCCATGCCCATGCGGGTTCCGATCATAGCATGGTTCTTCGTCAGCGACACAAATACCGTCGGGGGCAGAGAAACGAAGGTGCCGGAGAAAAATCCGAAGATCAGGCAGAAGACCACCACTCCGCCGAGCGTATGCACGGACAACAACGTCCAGATGAGAATGGCCGTGATGGTCACGCAGAACACCAGCATGTTCATAGGCCCCAGATAACCGGCCACGAAGTTGGGCAGGATTCGACCAAACACCGAGCCCGCATTCAGAATGGCCAGCAGGTAGAACGCCAGATCACCCTCCGTAATATTCCGGGTTTCAGCAAAGAATTGGATGTAGAAGAAGGGCTGGAAGACAGCACAGTTAGCCACAGACGTGAAGAGACAAGCATTCATACATACCACGTAGAGACCCATGAATCCAATGAGTAGCGAGACGGCAAAGATCACTAGACGGTTTAGCCTCTATCACGTAAGATCAGACGAAAGAGAAAGAGCGTACCAAACTGGGGCTCCTTAAATGCCTGCCAGTCCCATAGTTCCCGCTTCTTGGGAGGCAAGATACGCACTCTCATGAGGGCGATCGGGATCATCAGAGTAGCTAAGAACAAGAAGCCCAGCACTCGCGTGGCCCACCCGAATCCAATCTAATATAGTCAGTGCGACGTGAGAACCGATAGAAAAGTGGAAATCGTACCTGTTGTAGAAGCCGTTGGAAGGCGATCGGGTAAACTAAACCACCAAGACTGCTACCTGATGCGGCGATACCGACAGCAAGAGGCATTTTCGACGTGAAATAGGTGGGAAGAATGGCAACAGATGGGACAAACAGACAGCCAGCCCCGATACCAATACAGAAGCCCTGCGCCAGTAGTGCCTGCCAGAATTCGTGAACCAGCGAGGTCATCATCTGGCCGAAGACAACAAGGAATGTGCCTACAAAGAGAAGCGGGCGGAAGTAGCCTGCACACTCCATGTCAACCAATGTATTCAAACCGCCTTCAGATCCTCTCTCTTACCTGCATCATAGATGGGGCCCGCCAGAGCGCCCACCAGGAGAAGAAGAAACGCCTGAATCGAGCCAATCCAGGAGATATTCGACGAGGAGGTCTTGAACAGCTGCCCGGATTCATAGTATGTCTGGTAGACGCCAAACGTGTTGATCATTCCCCTAGGTCAAATATTAATACCCACACGAATCGCCGCCTTCAGAGTACCGTACCAGGTATTGAAGGCCAGGAAAAATGAACCCGCGACCTGAAGCCAAGCGCGAAGGCCTCCGTTGGGCCTGGTCGCCCATGGGTTCTCAGCCGGAGGAGGTTGACTTGGACTCTTCTTCTCGTCGAGTTCATCCGCCGCGCTTGGCCGCGAATCCGAAGTGGATGGTTCGTCAGGCATGGTGGCTGAAATTAGATCGATTCCTTCGTATCAGATCGTGCGAAGGATTCCTCATGTCACAGAGGGAGCACCTGGCGGGAGAGGCTTGAGTCTTCGTTTCTCCCTGAAGATACAGAGAAGGACGGGGAACAGCGAGCCATTCTCCTGAAGAGAACTGATAATATCCCTTCCTGCTCGCCCCTCGGCTCTCCGATGGACCGAGCCAGATGGGACTCACAAGGGCCATCACCGACTGTTATGAACATCCCCGACTCTCAATGTCACGTCGGGTATGTTCATCGGCGATGTTCAGCGCATCGACCAGGCGCGCCTCGCCCGACGTCACGTGCATGGCTGACATAATCTGCAGACGAACTTCGTCGCGAATCCTTCGACTTCACATCACCGACACTAGGGGAGAGCTCAGCTCAGCGGCCTTACCAGTGTGGAAAATGGTTTTCTGGCACGGAGTGCACACTCTATCCAAGGGACAGTTGCCAGCATCCTGTTCCAAGTCTTGTGTATGTCATTCTACCAAAAATGGCGCCCTGAGCAAATAACAAGCGAAATCATATAGTCTGGACGTGCATTGAGCTGTTTAATCGACATTAGAAGCCTTAGCGCCATACAACTCGGCGCCTGTGGCGTCTGATGTAAGTCATGATGATTTCTGAGGACGAGAAACCCGTATTCAGATCCACTGGACGGCACAGAGCGAGACCTCTTCCGAATAGTGATATGTCATAACGAGTTCAGCGTTTATACAGAATATACGGGTGGGGGATGGGCTGGGCAGGCCATTGAACGATCTGACAACGTGGCTGTCAGATCTCACCACGTGCAGAGACCTGCAATTCGTTGTAATAAGGCTTGCTTCGCGTGTTTTTTACTTTCCCTACGGCTCCGCCCAGGCGCTAGAACTTGGTATCCTCTTCTCTTCCAGACGAGAATGTATCCGAATACGAGACGGACGGATCACTGTGCCCGAATTAATGACGAGCGCAATTTCGATGTTGTGATCTAGCTTACCCGATGGCATTGAACCGAATCTCACGAAGGAACACTGGCGTCAAGCCCCAAGTGGGCTGGATTATGATCCATTTAAATGCTTACTTGGGCCGTGGGAATCCTGCGTCCAGACGTCTTGTAAAAAGTATAGAAGCACAAAATGAGTGCAAACATGCATATTTATCTCATTGGCGATCAGACCGCCAGCATCTTTGAAGAATTCCAGAATCTTCTCCATGATCGTGAAGACGCCTTTTCACAGAGCTTCCTGAATCAGGTCTACTTTCTCCTCCGGGCCGAAGTGGCTAAAGTTCGCGGGATACATTCGGATTCACTGCCGAGATTTTCGAGCCTTGCCGATTTGCTGTTGATTCGACGCGATGGGAAGCTCCATGCGTCTTTGGACCAGGCCCTCGCGTGTGCCTTTCAGATTGCAACATTCATGAGGTATGCTCACTGCGATTTACAATGTTAATGGAAATCGAACTGACTGTGGCAGTCGATGTGGCAAATCTGGCGGGTTATATCCTCAACCAGGCGACTCCTACGTGGTGGGACTGTGTACGGGAACACTATCCGCGGCAGCAATCTGTGCCTCCAGGACTCTGACGGAATTGATCCCGGCCGGCTTGAAAGCCGTCACTGTAGCTTTCAAGACAGGGCTCCTGGCCCAGAAAATGGCCCAAGTGGTTGAAAAGCCGAGTAAACTGGGTCGAGACAATTCCTGGTCCGCCGTATTTTGCGGCATAGGCCATGCATCTGCCGACGAGAGCATTCGAATATTCTCTGATGAACATGTCAGTGTCTTTTATCATCACTTAACTGTTCACGCTGACCACTCTTACAGGCATTGCCACCATTGTCAATGCCGTTTGTTAGCGCTGTGGCCGAGAATAATGTTACCGTAACCGCTCCACCCTCGGTGATGGTCTCCTTGAAGAATTCAGCATCATTTTCACAGTACCGCAATATCACTTTGCCGTTGCAAGTGCCATACCACAGCCGTCATCTCTTTACGGAGAGCGACATTTTATCCATCCTAGATTCCACAAACATTGATGATTGCTATAACCGGCAACCATTTCTGCCCTTAGTGAGTGGATACACGGGGAAAACCGTTTGGGCCGGAACCTTTCGTTCTCTCTTAGAAGCCTCCCTCCAGGATATTCTCTTGAACCCCATCCGCTGGGATCTTGTTGCACCTCGTGTTGCGAAAATGGCCCTGTCCGTGTCCGAATCGTTTCCTGCGGTTCACCCCATTGCTACTGGCCTTGGCCGCTCTCTCACAAAGGCCATGGAATTCGAAGCGGGTCCGAGCTTTTCGCGCACCCAGGAACCCCGTAGCAAACCTGAAAGTCCGTCGGCTGGAATCAAATCTAGAGTATCTAGCGGGACTGCAGGATCCAAAATTGCGATTGTTGGGATGTCTGGTCGATTCCCTGGCGGTGGGGATAGCAATGAGTTATTTTGGCAGCTCCTTCGAGACGGGGTGGATACGCACAAGGTCGTTCCTGCGCGCAGCTGGAATGTCGAGACGCACACGGACCCAACAATGAAGCGGAAAAACACAGCTGCAACGCCATATGGATGTTGGCTGGACCACCCGGAGCTGTTCGACAATCGATTCTTCTACATTTCCCCCCGGGAAGCGCCGCAGGTCGACCCTGCCCAACGTCTGGCCCTCATGACGGCCTACGAGGCTATCGAGCAAGCGGGAATTGTTCCCGACGGTTCACCCTCCACCCAGAAGGACCGTGTTGGAATATTCTATGGATGTAAGGACCCTTGTCTATTTCCACTGACAACATGCTAATGGCTCATGCTTCTAGGCACATCTCAAGATTGGATGGAAACCAATTCTCCCCAGAATATTGATACCTTCTATATTCCGGGCGGAAACCGAGCCTTCATCCCAGGCCGCATCAACTACTTCTTCAAGTTCAGTGGTCCGAGCCTCTCCATCGACACAGCATGCTCGTCAAGCTTGGCTGCAATCAATGTGGCGTGTCTATCCCTATGGAATGGAGACACCGATTGTGCTATTGCAGGAGGGACCAACGTTCTTACAAACCCGGACCCCACAGCTGGACTGGATCGGGGGCATTTCTTGTCTCGCACTGGGAACTGTAAGACGTTCGACGATGGGGCCGACGGATACTGCCGTGGTGAAGGCGCTGCCACAGTCATCTTGAAGCGTCTGGAGGATGCTCTGGCGGAAAACGACCCCATCCAAGGGGTGATCTGTGGCGCCTTTACAAATCATTCGGCAGAGGCGGAGTCCATCACGCGACCCCATGTTGGTGCCCAGCGCGCGATCTTTCGGAAGGTCATGGATCAGGTACGTCCCAATTGCAGAGGAGCACAGATTTTGCACTAACACGGCATGTTGCAGGCTGGAGTGGATCCTCAAGATGTCTCGTATGTGGAAATGCACGGCACTGGCACCCAGGCAGGTGACGCAGCCGAAATGTCCAGCGTCCTTCATGTGTTCGCTCCCGAAGGCGCCAAACCACGCAAGGACGATCACAAGCTTTACCTTGGATCGGCCAAGGCCAATATTGGCCATGGAGAGGCGGTGTCTGGAGTGTCCAGCTTGGTCAAAGTACTCATGATGCTCAAGAAAAATGAAATCCCTCCACATATCGGCATCAAGACAAAGATCAACCACCGCTTCCCAGCCGACTTGACAGAGCGCGGAGTCCACATCGCCCGTGAGCCCACCGCCTGGAATTGGACAAAAGGTCAACGAAAGGCATTCATCAACAACTTCAGCGCCGCGGGTGGAAATACTGCCATCCTCATCGAGGAAGCACCCCCAGTTCGGACTCTGGAAGGACGCGATCCACGCTCCACGCACGTTGTAGCCGTGTCTGCCCAAACCGCGCCGTCCCTCAAGGCAAATATGGAGGCCCTTAAGGCCCATATTTCTACACTCCCCAATACGGAGAACGTCTTGGCCCAGCTGTCCTACACTACAACCGCGCGAAGGATGCACCACATGTACCGGCATATAGTCTATGGATCAACGCTGAGTGACATCAAAGCACAGTTGCAGTCTGCCATTGACGCGGATGCTGGTTCCAAGAGGGTCGTTGCTACCCCCAGCGTCGTGTTTGCCTTCACAGGCCAGGGGTCCCAATATCCAGGGATGGCCAGGCAATTGATGAATGATGTTGACTCGTTCAGGATGGATATTGCTAAATACGAGCAGGTCGCAATTGCCCAAGGGTTTAGCCCCTTCAAGCACATTCTGACCGCCAGTGACGGGGAGTCTACAGATTACCCGCCAACAGCTGTTCAGCTGGCAATTGTGGCTCTCGAGATGGCGCTGTTTAACCTGTGGCGGTCCTGGGGCGTGTCCCCTACCGCCGTTGTCGGACATAGCTTGGGAGAATATGCTGCTCTCAATGCGGCGGGTGTCCTCTCCGACTCCGATACCATCTATCTGGTTGGAACTCGTGCGCAGCTCCTGGAACGCCACTGCTCCCAGGGCACCCACAGCATGCTTGCCGTAAAGGCCGCTGCTGAAAGTGTCGCACCTCATCTGACAGGTTCGGCTGTTGAAGTTGCGTGCATCAATGGTCCCCAGGACGTGGTCCTCAGCGGCCGGGCCGACATTGTCAATAAGTTCCAGAAACGCCTTGCCGAGCTAGGATTCAAGTCGACATTATTGAAGGTCCCGTTCGCTTTCCATTCATCCCAGGTGGATCCTCTCCTAGCGGACTTTGAGGCTAGCTACGCTGGTGTCCGTTTCTCCGATGCCACCGTTCCGGTTCTCCGTCCTCTTACAGCGGATGTGACCACGGAAGGCAAAGCCTTCTCCGGAGATTACCTTGCGCGTCATTGCCGCCAGAAGGTCGACATGCTTGGGGCCGTACGGACTGCAGAACAACAAAAAGTCGTGGCCGCGTCGAGCGTTCTTATAGAACTTGGTCCTCAACCTGTGGTGTCCGGGATGTTCAAATCCACAGTCCCATCTGTCACTGCATTACCAACACTGAAACGGGGGGGCGATACTTGGTCACTGATTCCACCCGCCATGGCAGCGCTATACAACAACGGCGTGGCTGGCCTGAAATTTGCCGAATACCATCGTCCTTTCCCGGCGTCGCATCGAGTGCTGGAGTTGAACTCCTACTCCTGGTCTTTGCAGCCGTTCTGGATGCAGTATGAGCATGATTGGAGTCTCAAGAAAGGAGATCCGCCGACAGCAGCGAGCGCAGTGCCGCTTCCGCAGAGCAAGCCGTTCCAGCAACTTGAGCAACAGCCAGAACCGCCCAAACCAAAGGCGATGACGCTCAAAACCACGACGGTTCATAAAGTCGTCGAAGAGAAACTCGATGGATCCGGTGGATCGCTGATCACGGAGTCCGACATTGCCAGTGAGGAGCTATCCGGGTTTGTCAAGGGCCATGTCGTCAACGGGGTCCCACTCTGCACTCCATCGGTCTATTGTGACATCGCGCTGACGATCGGGAAGTATCTGCGCGACAAGTACCGGAATGAATGGGCTTCTTCGCTAGTCGAAGTCTCAGACATGGTTGTAGAACGGGCCCTGGTCGCTCAGACCCAAGGTCCACAATACCTTCGCGCAGTCGCCCGGATTGATTGGAGTACCAAGTCCATTACCACTGGATTTCACAGTGCTGATGCGGCGGGAAATCTGCTGGCGAAACATGCTGCGTGCGTCATTCGTTACAGCAAGCCCGAAGTCTCGAAGGACTTGGCGACTGAAGCGAAAGCGTCGCGAGAGCGGATCGATCGTCTCTACGATGGGCTGGCGAAACGTACCACATACCGATTCAGCAAAAATATGGCCTATCGAGCTGTGTCTGCACTAGCTACATTTGATCCGGACCACCAGGCAGTTACCGAAGTGGTCCTGGACAGCGACAACCGAGAGAGCTCGAGCACCGTGAACCTCTCTCTTATCAAGAAAGGCGGTGATTTCCACACCCATCCGGCGTTTATTGACAATATTTCGCAGGGGGGTGGGTTTGTCATGAACTGCAATGATGATGCGGACCTGACGAAGCACATCTATGTGAATCACGGTTGGCGGTCGTACTTGGAGCTGGAACCGCTGGATCCATCCAAGACTTACATGACCCATGTGCAGATGAAGGAGGGCGAAGGGGGCATGTGGGAAGGTAATGTACTGGTCTTCAACGGCGATAAGCTCGCGGCCCGGTTCGGTCGTGTGTTGGTGAGTCCCAGCCGCAGCATTAAACATCCATCTGGAGAGACTGCTAATCCATATCTTCTCAACAGCTTCAAGGCGTCCCACGACGTTTGATGAATATGATACTTTCTCAGGAGTCTGGTTCAAAGGCCCCATCGAAGCAGGCGACGAAGAGTCAGCCCCAGCCGAAGCCCCAGCCCTCACAAACTGCAGCAATACCGAAGCCAGGACCACCAACCAGTGCGCCAGTGCCCGCAGCAGAGTCCCCATTGCTGTCAGTCCGCAAGGCGGACAAGGTAGCTAAGCCATCATCAGGACGGATCGAGAAAGTGATTGCAATATTGAGTGAGGAGAGTGGTGTTCCGTCGAACGAGCTGACCGATGAGACCAACTTTGCTGATATCGGAATTGACTCGCTTCTCATCACCATCGTCTCTGGCCGCCTGATGGAGGAGCTAGATATTGATATCGATTCGAGGGAGTTCTTGGACGAGCTCCTCACCGTCAAGGACCTGAAGAGAAGGTTGTCCGAAGGTGAGCCCGAGGATGAGGCTAGTGAAATAGAGGCAGCAAGTGCTCCCCCAATCGAGGTCAATTATGTTGCACAAGAAGCACGGCCAGAACCAGTCGTCCCACAACCCGCGCTGAGAACAACGCAGGCTCCCCAGGTGGACTTCGAACCAATGCTTAAGATCATATCAGAGGAAAGCGGAGTTCCCTTGGAAGAATTAACGGATGATGTCAATTTCGCCGATGCCGGTATTGACTCTCTTCTCTGCGTCCTGATCACCGGTCGCTGGCAAGAAGAACTTTCCTTGGAGGTGGATTCCACCACTGTGTTCTCCGAGATGGAGACCATAAGAGGGTTGAAGAACTATCTGGCGTCGATACTGGGGGTTCCAGAAGTGCCTGTTGAGCCTCAGATCTCTGCGTTGGGGCATACGGATTCCGGCAGCGCCACCAGTTTGGTTCCCGATGACACCGGCGAATCATCGACGGATGAGGACCGTTCGTGGAAAGGCCTCACGCCAGCCACAACGCACAGCGGCCACTCGACGCCTCCCCCATCCACTGCCGCCGCAGAGAAGCTACGCATAGTGGAAGAATCCCGGCCCCCTCGCCGTGCCATCCCCGACGAACAGGTCCCGAAAGCCTCGTCCTTGCTTTTGCAGGGGCGGCCACGTACAGGAGTGAAGAACCTGTTCCTGTTCCCCGACGGTTCTGGCTCTGCGTCCTCCTACAGCCGAATGGGGAAGCTCCAGGCAAACGTGGCCGTCATTGGGCTGAACTGTCCTTATGTGCGCAACCCTGAGGCGATGACATGTACCCTGGACCAAATGATCCGCCGCTACCTGGATGAAATACGCCGACGTCAGCCGATCGGTCCGTATAGTCTTGGTGGTTGGTCAGCGGGTGGCATTCTGGCGTACCGCGCCGCACAGGAGCTCATACGCGAAGGGGAGACAGTAGACGACCTCGTCCTTCTCGATTCCCCGGAGCCAATCGGTCTGAATAAGCTGCCCCAGCGCTTCATTGATCACCTGGAGTCGTGTGGACTCTGGACGGATGGGAGTGCCGGGAACAAAGAGAATACACAGCTCTCAGCCCGAGTGGCCGCCCACTTTGATGCCATCATGGACCTCCTCTGCGACTACTACGCCGACCCGCTGCCGGAGGGATACACTCCCAAGGTATCGATACTGTGGGCCACGGAATGCCTCCTCGATGGTGTTCGGTTCCCCAAGCTCCCTGCTGGCGACGACGATGTCGAGGACATGAAGTTCCTCACCGAGCCGCGATCCGACTTCTCTGCAGGGCGATGGGCCAATTTCTTCCCAGGCGAGGAAATCTTCATCGAACGGGCGGCTGGGCTGGATCATTTTGGCATGATGGTAAGTAAGACCCTGCCTGTGTCTGGTGGTGGAAGCATAGTTTTCTGACTTGATGTACAGCGGAGTTCGGACGAAGCTGTAGCACGATTCTTGGAGAGGGCGTTCGCATAGGACTGTGTGCCAGAAGGTGTCTCAGCCAACACTATGCAACAGTTAGTTCGGGCAGTTCCGCAAACTACAGGGATCAATATGTGGAACGAAGAGGGGATACGCAACGCAGGCCACAAGACACATCAATATGGCGAGCAGAGGACGGTGCTTTTTCACTTAGTTGTCTTTTATATGGCGATACGCCGACTATTTCTTTGTGTTTTCTATCGCTAACTGTCTTTCCTATGTGTGGGTATTATGTATACAAGGCGTTCAGGGCATAAGGCTCTTGTTTTATCGGCGAGGTGCTATCGTTTCTAGTTAGAAATTTGATTCATTTGTTGTGTTCAAGTGCTGAGAGAGTAGCTAGAAGGAAAAATTCAGGGTGCTATGCATTGATTCTGTAGACCTATTTCATTAATATCGTACTTGATATAGGTTATTTTTATTGGTATTTGATACAGATACACGAGTCAACATCATCCAACACATCTCACATTGCCAGACATGTCAAATTCCGCGGCTCAAACAGGCCTGGGCATGCGTTGCTGTCAGATAGTATGCGCCTGAACCTATTTAGACCAAATCATGTGATTTGAGTAGGGTGTTCGCGAAGCACAATTCTCTTCAATTCAGGGGGCTTGCGCGAGCCGACTAAACTAGTTATCTAGATGGGGTGACTAAGTGAGGCCAGGTGACCATACCGAATATGGTAGGTCCCTAACATAGGGGTCAAAAAATCTGCGAAAAAACCAAAAAACAAGCAGAGCATCAAGAATATAATCAAGAGCCCAACCAGCTCAAATCATTCAAATAAGACCTTTTTACCAATCGTACTCTATTTCCTCTTCGGAACTTGCCGAATATCTGACAGTTGTTTGTGTCAGAATGAACTAGTCTTGGTTAGGACATTATGTGAAATATATATATATATGATACCTCTAATAGAGTTGGGCACAACATCTTTCTGAATACAATCAGTTTAGACATCCTAATCAGAATCCCGTATAATCTAACAGTTTGCTAGCTAGCCTGTCTTTCGCATATAACTCCCCACGGGTGGGGTGGATGTACGACAGGTCCTGCGCGAGTATATGATATCTCCCTGGGACGAGATCTTGGTTTCCTGTGACGAAGAGATTCAACAGATGCTGGTTGACATCCGAGATTCCAAGGTACTAGGAATGAAGCTTTGCGTACTTCACTGTAAGGAAGCGTCTTGTCCTGTGGCGAAAGCATCCTGGTATAGTCAGCACATCAAGCCTAGCTAGAAGCATTTTTCGTGTCATTGTCTTCGAAAGATCGACGCAGCATTGCAAATTCCCCAATTCCAGTATTCCCGCCCTTCATACAAGCAGTCCCTCATCACCAAAAACTAGGGTCAGACCTGGCAGCGGATGCCGAGGCTTTTGGAAAGGACAGGCGGTACGGTTTCCAGCTGCAGCAAGGGAAGTGCTCTTACCTCTTCCGGGGACACAGCAAGAAACTTTGCAATGCAGAACTTGTGCGACTGTTCGATATGTATTCAAACCAGGTCATTTTATAGAGAGACCTCCTCCTGCTTCTTCTCCTCGAGTCCTTCGCCCCCTGGTGTGATGTCTGGCACCAAACTGTGCTTTGCGCTCCAGAATCTCGGCCTCTAAACGGAGAGTGGCCCCAGAGGCCTGGTGTTGGATCGAGAAGGTATGGCTGGGCAAGAACTCTGAAGACGGCTACTCTCTCGTGGGCGTGTTGCTAAGTCAAAAGATGTCAAAGAATATCCTTGGCCAGAAACACAAGCTTACAGACTAGCAGAGTCAATTGATATTGTTGCGCAGGAAACTATGTTCTTCTTTTTTGAGACCGCATTCCCCATCAGTATGCTGGCACGTCTCATGCTGTATAATATTATGGCAAAGCCAGGATATATCGAGCCATTATGGAAAGAGATCGAGGCAGCTTTGGTCTCCTTCGATTGCGAGTGGGTGTTTGAGCTCATGGACAAGCGGCCTCTGGACAAGCGGCCTCGACTTGAAAGCTTTACCCAAGAGACCATGCGTCTTCAAGGTCCCATAGCCTGTGCGTGACATCTGATTGGATTTCTTAGGATGCAGCAGTAAAGTACGTGAAGATAAGGAAGAGAAAACTACCAACTGGAACCAGAAATTCCAGATATGGATAACTTATCTGAATCTCGATGGAAAATAAGGATGCAGATATGGACCGTGAGGAATAAAAAATATGAAACTATGAGGACTAGCAGCAACACCATTCGAGGTTCTATTAGCACTCTGCTAGTACACCACATTCTGCTTAGTTCGGCCAATAAAGATTACAGTAGAACTACAGCCACAAAAGTTTTTTGTATTTAACCTCCGTTCATTCACCTAGGACATTTATTTGCAAGTACCTAAATACAACTCCTTCCAAGCCGCCTAATCATTCTTCCCTCCCAGCATTCTACCTATATATGTCCAGCGGTTGCCAAATCTGCATCTTAGCCACACTTGCTGCAAGAAGCCTGTTCGACTGTCAGTATTGAACCTGTTTCGAATAAAATAGCAGCGTAAAACCTACAGTACCGGTACCAACGCTCGCGATGCAAGCGGCATCGGCAATGGGGTCTGGAGTATCAAATCAGTAAGGGTCCAACAAACATGTCAGCATCGAAAAACGTACTAGCACCTAGCTCTGCCGCAGCAGCCGCACAAGCAGCGCTTTCACCAGCAAGGGAGGAAACACAGGCTTTAGAAAATGTCAATACACTGTAAAAGTACCAGTTGTCGAAAACCACCTACCCAGCCAGTCGCATCCTGCGGCCTTCATGGATTCAGTGTAGGCAGCAGCGCTGCTGTGTAGGTCTTGCAAGTTCTGCGCACCTGAAGCTGGAGCCGCAGAGGCAATGGCCAGAAGAGATGAGATCGCAATGATAAAACGCATTGTGGCTTTGAAGTAGAAAACTTTTGATGATATTTCCCGAATGATGTTGTTGGTGCTTTGTGTGGTGTTCACAGGGAATGAATGAGACCTTTATATAGATCGAATTTACCCTGCGACGGATGAGATTCTACATGCTGGCCAAACCAATCCCGTATTCGCTTAATGTCACCTACGTGTCTTTCAATGTTAATGGCACATAACCGGCTCCATTCTTGACGATTTTGGAGTCTAGCAAATACGAGAGATGTGCAGAGAGACGGGAGATGTCTAGAAATACGAGAGATCAACATTGGTATAAAGTCCACAACCCTCAGCCGGGGCAGACTTTGCCGGCTAATGGAGTCATACTTGAGAAGGATTCCTGGAATACGGAGACTGGAGCTGTTAATATTTTCAAATCACAGCAGCACATCGTGAATGTTGGGCTTACTAACATATCTGGCGGCCCATCTAAACTTGGGAATATCTGGAGGCTAGGATTTGTTTAGGAGAGCGCACTTAACAGCTCGTGTTTTGATCCACACTACATTATATTGAAAAGTGACGGGTACACTGTCGAGCATCTACCAGAGCGCTGCCTGCCATTGGGGTGAGGATTACTTGCTTGTTAGCAGAGCTGCATGTTACCGATATTCTTGCTCTGAACACTCCCTAGACATGCTCATCAGGAAAAATGGACCAAAAGCCTTTATCTAAAGTGGAATGAAAGCGAGATGTAGCAAGACACTTCACACGAATTATCTCCGCTACAGCATGCCAGTTGGCCCAGATGAATCGTAATTCTCGGTAAAACTCCGTTGTGCAGAATTGCTAGTGTGAGAGATTTACATACAGAGACGTTGCTTTGTTAGACTTCAAATAAGATCCCAAAATAGAACATTAGGCTATGAATGCACGATGAGCTTGGTTCGAACAAGAATCTCCTTGGCGACTTAGCGATGGCAGTGGCTTGCGCCTCCCGGGGCCGTGCAGATACGAAGGGCCGACCCACACCAAATACGGGGGATCCCACAACAGCAAAGTGGCAAATGTAATCAGCATCAACTCTTGTCCTGGAGAATTACCCTCATGAGGTTTCAAAAGTACATACGCTTTTTGTATCTTTATACAGGAACTGATCTTCCACACCCTGCTACTCCTACTTCTCCTTTTTCCTCTTGTTCAATTTCATGTTCATTTCAAAACACCATTACTTGGGTGGACCACTCCATACTTCAAGTTGTTAGTCATTAGAGATCATGGATTATTAACACGATGTTAATTACGAGATAATGCGAGACTATTTCCATTACTGGCCTACAAGGGTAGGGTTAGACCTCGCCCTTACCAGTGGTTGACCCTCATTTCTAAGAGTTAGTGGTTCAGAGCTCGTATCTGCAGATCAGCTCTCCTTTAGATGTTAATTACCCACAGCAGGTGGTCCAGGGGGGTATTCACAGCACGAACATATCTTAAATGGAAATAATCTATATTCTGGCTTTAATTTTATATCTTTTTATAAAACATGGTCAGTATTTATGAAAATGCGGATAAGCGTTAGTGAGGGTCTCGCGCAAGGGACTAAGACGTCACCAAACACATGGGACACCTATCGTGGGCATGCATTTAATCTATCCAATAAATCTTCTGTCACGAGAAGGATGCTCAATGAAAGAGAAGCACAGCTTGATATGGGGCAGGACGCTTTTGGACAAAAACCAACCTAGCACCGCATATATAACCTGATACGATGCACTTCATCGACATGCCCTTTGACACTCTATTGTTGGGTGGAACCAACGGGTAAAAAGCACCATTAAAAACCCATCATCTGAGGCGCCTAGTGGAATGCCACAAGAACGTGCCAGGAACAGTACGCGAAGAATTATACATGGAAGTGTCTAAGCCCTCTCTATATCTCCGAGCCTAAGGATGAAGCAATCATGGAATACTGTGAGTGGCAGGTATAAAATATCACTTGTAACACCCTCAAAACTGCTTTCGACAATTTTGTAACGTGATGCTCGAGAATAATCTTGATCTTTGTATACCAGTATACAAGGATCAAGACTCGGAGTTCTTCGTCGACAGGGGCATAAAGATGAGTATTGCTCGATGTTTCGTAGAAGACATTCAGTGCTGGGTCAAGAACATGAAGAAAAAAATGCCTATTTATGAAGTAACATAAAATAACTAGCTTAGTGTTAGCGTTTAGCGTGTTTTCTCGGACGTTCCAGGTGGTTAAAATCGAAAGCTCAGTGTTTATTAATTTTTGACCTCATCGGTTGTTCAATTGCGTAGTCGGAATGATTGTTCACTGATCCTATGCCTTATTTTAACTGGATAAAAAAAAGGCTCAGCGCAGTCAGAATACCAGGTCCCTGTTAGTACATTAAATAGATGTCTATCTATAAAAATGAGTCTACACTGATCAGGAAACAACAGACGGCTATTATCTTTTATTTAAAAGAGTATTCACCCTTATTCAAAAAATAACTGGTCAGCATGTTGTATTCAATTCTATTCATTCCAATGGAATTTAGGGAATTGTTGCAAAGCAATATACTGGTAGGTAACTAGTTAGTAAGTACTAAGAAATTACTAACTTCTTAGGCCTTGGTCAATATCTTTATGTTCACCGACTGATTCCAGTTACAATGAATTACTATATTTTGCCATGTTCACTTTTTCGGACAATTACTGAAGCAGTTGAGAGCAGTGATAAAAGTCCAGATGTATCGGGTCGAATGGTGCGCTTAACTGATTACAAATCAGATGACTATGATCAATTGTGCAAATTTATTGATTGGCTAGTACTTTATATATAATTATAAAGTAGTGACTAACTACTTAGAACATGAAAATGAAAAGTTCCAGGCAAGGGCAGCACATAAAAATACTCCTGTTCTTAAAGCTGGGCTTAATAAAAATTTGTCTAATATCCCAGTGTTTATTTATGATTCTATTCGGTATCGTACCATTTCAGCTGAACAGTCGCATTATAAAGCCAATGTAGCAGGAAGGCGATTAACATTAATAACAGCGACCCAAAAGTAAGTACTTCATAACCGCTTAACAACTAATTAGAATGGGTAGTTACTGAAATATTCTTTTGGTTCTGCAAAACTCGACAAACAAGATATTTTCCAGTAATGTGATGGGACTGGTACAACGCGTACTTTTCCCATCCGTCAACTCCGGGGTTAGGTCGGCTTAACCACTTAAGAAACCACCGATTCTTGGCACTAGTGTTTTGGAAAGAGTGAAAGTATACATAAGTGGTGACAGCATTGTTCGGATCCACTGTATAGAAGACTCTCTTCTGCTCAGATCCAACCCACCCAGGGTCTGGTCGACCCTCACTGGTTCCGACACACCGTAAGCCAATCATACCAGTATAGTATCCCTGCCATGGCGCCGGGTGTCGGCTGTACCTCGCAGTTCATTTCAATGGTTAGGTGCTCGAGTTTGTTCCTTGCGTATGAGCTAGGGCAGCTCGGGAAAGATTTTACCAAGTTCCTCCTATGTTGTAGGGCGGTCCTACTAGCAGGATTCGATAGAGCTGCCAAGGGCCTCGGTTGCTTCGCATTGTTCCCAGTAGATCGACCCACTGTGATCGGTCCACCCTCGAGACAACTAGAAAACTTTCGACCTCTAGTGAACATGGCCTTGTTATCACGCGCAGTATTTGCACATTTCTGTCTTGGTGGCACTCTTGACTAGTTTACCGCACCCTCGTTTTTTCCTCTCCCACTCTCTTTCATTCTTCTCCTGCCCTCTCACCCGCATTCCCCGGCTGCATTTGATAATATCCTCCTCTCCTGCTCTGGTCGTCCGCCTCGCTATCAGCACTACTCCCCTCTCCTTCTATCCTCTTGCCTGCTCGCTTAGCATGCTCAGTTTGAAGGCACATCTTGTCGCACTCAGCGTGGTGGGCACCTGGGGACGACAGGTCGCACGGGCTTGGGCTTCGGAGAGGTCGACGTCGTCTTCCCACGCAACGACACCTTTGAGCTTATGCCGCTTATGCCCATCGGCTTTGCCGTCCAGAACCCTGTAGGTATCGAGCAGGTGTATCCGACTTTGAAGTACATGGTGTCGTCGCTGAATATACCAAGCGAGGATAAGATCCACTGGACGCAGCTCCCCATCAGAAGTTTGCCCGCCAACAAGGCGACGACAACAATCAAGATAGCCTCTTCAATCGACTGAACACTGAATACAAGTGGGAATTTGCTTGCACGATGAGGTGGACGAACTGCTCCACGCTCGGACAATGGTGGCGCCTTTGACGGTGATCACGGGTTCGATGACCAGGATGGCTTCCACAGTAGGACATCTTGGTCCTATCAAAGTTTCATCTTCAGCACTACTAAAGGGGACCATCAGCTCAACCTCGCCGCCATCAGCACCAGCGACGACCGTGGCAAGACCCAGGCCCTTGCCTTCAACATTACCAGACCCTGAAAGCCCCTCCAAGGTCCCTGAAGGGGAACGGGCTCTCGTCGTGTGCCCTTCTCGCGTGTCCGGCACCCAATCCCCGTCCTTGCAAGGTCAGCGTGGCGCCTGAAGCTGCCTCGAGTATTTCATTGACCCTCGCCCGCGCCAAATGATACGCAGCGACCCCAGCTGTCAGCTACCCACCCACACTCCGTGGACCCATGCAGCCTTCTTCGCACCCTATGAGATGAAGGAATCATGGTCTTGTTTAAAAGTGCACCGGACGTTCTGCGTATTCACCCGCGATCCAGATGATCCTGGTCGCCGAATCCAATGTCCGAAGTACGACGTAAAAATCCATCCCTCCACCACAGTGTGCAATCTCAATGCCTGGTCTTTCACCATCTCTCAAACTGGCCCTGATATATATAAGGCACGCCCCTATTCTCGTCGATCCTGAATGACCTTCCCAGCTCGCACCCATTGCAGTTGAGAGTACTGAAAGCCTATCTGGAGCTCGGTTAACATCTCGCTCACACACAACCTTTCCTCCTGCTACCAACCCCTTTCCCTCCCAGCGCCTAGACAGCTCGATAGTGAAGCTTGAGATCGGGCCGTGTCGGCCATACATCTGATAGACGACCACAGCACAGACATGAAAGTGACCGATAACGAAGGGAAGACGGTGCTCCATTAGATTGCATCACGGGCGAAGGATTTTGAATCCGAGGATTTCATGAATCTAATCGGCTGTAGATAGAAGGGGGGGTGAAAATAGATACAAAGGACACCAGTGAGGACACAGTGCAACAGTGGATATCAGTAAAGGCCGAGAACAGATAGGTGGATGACCTGAGCTATGACAATAGATGTGTTTGGCTCGGCATCGGCATCAGAATCGGCATCAGCATCGGCATCAAGTGTGGCTGGGGCGGCCTGGACGACCCTCTAATGGACGAGCAAATTAACGATATCGAGCCTCACCCTAAAGGGTGGTTAGGATCGGCCTGGGAAAGTTTTATTTAAACCTGGCTGTTTGAGGCTCTCAAGTGACATTCCTTTCTCATAAACTGTGTCGACTTGTTCGGCAGCTTGGAGAAGAAAATCAATCAATTCATAATAGCTAGGAGGATATTCATGAAGAGATGACCATTGTGAAACATGTAACTAGTATATGTTAACCCAAAAATCCTCATTCACACCTCGCCATCCATATATGGATATCAAAGATATCTACCAAGACAGACTGCCCCCTATCAACAGTCTAGAACCCGACTGCAGCATCATACCAACCATTAATCTCCTGCACTTTGAAATTAACCTTACCCACACAGTCCCCATATTCATACGGTTTGCCCACTTTCGCAGAGACTCCCTGAGCAGTGGTGGTAGGATTTCCAAAAGCGACATCAGTCCACGGCAACGAGCCACAAGTGTGACTGGGCTGTCCATTCCAGGGATAGTACTCGATAAACCCAACCTGTTTATCCTTGATCCCGCCGGTGCCAGCAGGCAAGCTGTACGTACCAATGTGATACGATTCTTTATTGGAAGCGTCCACGAGCGTCCCAGTCCAGGTAGTGCCCAATGTATTTTTAACAACCAGGTTATATGCGTGGCCATAAGGCGCGGGGATCTCGATGCTGCAGCTAACACCTGAGCCTCCGTCGGCACCGTCATGGCAGTTGCTGTCGGTTGTAGTGGTCCCGTCGATAAAGCTGGAGAATACGGCATGGATAATGCTGCGGCCGTTAGAGTCCGGCCGAGGTTGAAGACCCGTATATCCGACGTCGGACACGCCGTGGAACCCGAACTGCTGGGCGAAATAGTATCCTTCTTCGTGGGGTGCATTCGCAATGTTCATTGGGAAGGAGATGTCTTTTAGGCCGACGGATGGAGCGTTGGTAACGCTCCAGTCAATGCCGACTAGGGCTTGCGCGATGATGGGGAGGGTGGTAAGCAGAGCGATGGTCTTCATAGTGGGAACTGGGGACGCTTTTGTAGATTTGGCAGATGGTTAGTTATACACAGACGACAATCGTGAGCAGGAGCGTATTTAACCCTCCTGAACGTTTACAAAATTGACTAAGAGGAGGGGGGTGTGAACGAGATTAAGCGAATAATAATCCTTCGACGATCAACGTGCGGGGTCAAAAAGTTTAGAGAATGGCCAAAGACAGTTGCTTAGATGAATTTGGGAACTGTACACATAGCTAAATATTTACGGGGTTTCCTCGCACAAGCACGAAATTGATGTAAAATGAACAGTACCCAGTTGACTCAAAGATGGGCAATTACCTGATCGAATACTGGGGCGACCATTATCTGAAGCGGAGATTATAAACACTAACTATAAGCCGACGTCCAGATGAAACGACAGACAGCGGCTTGCGTCGTTTAGTGATTCTGCTCGCAGATGTTCGACTCCACCTTGAGGCCGTGATTTACAGTCGCCAACAGTGTTAGGTCATTTGGAGCTGCCCGACTCCACCAACGAGCCATATGTAGTACCTAGGGGTGAGAAATCAAGGAGACTATAGCAGAGCGGCTTGTGAACTGGTGTTCCAGTTCTGATTTTTTATTCCACGAGGACTAGTGCAGTATTGTCCGGATTTGCAGTCAAAGGGGAGATGGAGTTCTTCAATGTACGCTGAGCGAGGAAGCTAGTGAAGATGTGATACTACTGTTTATTCACTCCAAAGAAATAAAAGGCACCGGCTGTGTAAATGCCGGCATGATCGGGTATGTAATTATTCCCAGGCCGTTGTATCCACAGGGTCGTATGGAGCGATTGGACGCCGTTGTTTCATGATCTCGCTGGAGCCACAAGACCCTTTTTCAGTGAACCATAAAACAAAATCCAGAGTCTTAACCGTGTATTATGTTAGGTGTGGTGCGTCACCTAAACATTACAATGCGCTACTATATAAGGTGCTCAGGAATATCTGATTCTATTGGGATCAGATATTGTGGCCTTTAGTTCAGTGGAACAGTTAAGATCCTGAGCTTGGCCATAACATATTATGTCTCGACATTTGCTGCGCCACGTCTAAGATCTGAGACGCCTCAGATGCCAGACTAGGGTCCGACTTTGTTTTAGATATGTGCTGCCAGGGGCTATTAGGTGTAAATAACAGCTGCACGCTTTGCAGAAGCCCTGGTAAGATTTTCTCATTTTCTGCTTGCATGTATCACGACCTAAACTTAGGGAGCGTTCCAGAGGCTAAACCGCTGCGCCAGGAGCAAATGACTAGTATTCCAGTACGCAGTCCTAGGGTCGCTCTCTCTCATATAGTAGGTTGCCAGCGCTATCACAGCATGCGTGCAGTTGTTAATATATCGATCAATATTTTTATTTGTCAACCTAGAAAATAACTGTATCAGTTTATATTAAGGTCTAGTGTCAGGGGCTGGACCCGTAGGACCTATAATAGGCTTTTGTTATGTGTGGGGTCGGTAATGAGCTGAATGGTGCGCTATGGTACGAATAGGATTATCTATATGGGAGAGAAGATAGGACCACGTATATTGCAGAACTAAACGCTGGCCTTCAGGAGTTCAGGCCGGAGGATGCGAATATAAACACTTCGAAGCTCATTAAGCATCTTAGCTAAGGATCTGGCTATCGCGCTTCTGGGCGCTCCGAACAGCTATATACAAAATGGAACCATTGAAGGAAAGAAAGAGGAAAGGACCAAGAAAAGTCACGTGGTGTGGGTCATCTGTTGGAACATCGGGATATCCCTCTGCTCCGGATGCCGGTCTGCACTGTCTTACGGGCAGGTGTACACGTATACGGGCTCGGGCACTTCGAGGGCCCTGCCCACTACAGCGCGCCTCTATATTGCATATAAAATAGCACTTTTTGACCTTAATATTTTAACAACAACATAGAGTTATGATAAGAATAAAAATATTTCAAAATGCTTATATAATTTAATTAGAATTTTAAAGCTTTTTATTGACTTATAATACAAGATTATTTTTAATACCACCGTATTTATATGTATTTTTCGAAATTTAATGAACTTGAAATCCTACAAGGATCTAGGTTTAATATTTATATATTTGCTAATATTATATATGACAGACTTTACGCCCTCTTGACATGTTGTTATGATATTAGGCTTATAAAAATTGCTATTTTATAGCAATACGGAGGCGCGCAGCTCGGTTGCCGGTCACGTAGTGATTATTCACCACCTTTCTCGGCCAAATGTTGATGATTCAACATCATCGGATCGCTTATATTTCCTATATTAGTTATTTTACATTTTTCGTTTGTTTGCCTCACCTCCTACCCATTGTGTGGTGGTATGCAGATATCCCAATGCACCTGCTCTCTTTACGCCTTACCAGTCAGGCGACCACATGGCTGGTTGAATTCAGCCGAGGCATTTACCAAATCAGTAAATCCACTGCTCTTCAAGAAATGCATGTCCCTGTGCACTCCCGGTGGACCTTGCGGCTCGGCCCTCGACGAGCCGTTTCGTCGAGACCTCAGTTATCGAGATCACTCACACGATGGTCATCGTTCTCTTAGAGGGGAGAAACTTTCAAGCACTGTCTTTGATATTTTGTTGAGACCGAGTATTTGTACAAGTAGCAAGGCAATCTGACCGGGCATCACCAGCGAAGGGATGTTGGTTGAAAGAGGAGTCCTTGTAGCAGCTAACTATATATATTGACTGAAATTGACTCCGCAGTACTAATTTAAGACTATAGGATATCTGTTATATATAAGAACTATTGTAAGAATTAAGAATTAACAACTGTAAGAGTCTTTAATAACAGGCCCCAGCTTCAGGGGCCTAATACATGTACTATATATTTTTGCTGCATGTGTGCGTGACAGATCTACTATACAGGCTCACAGGGTAGATCGGCCTGTCAATTAGGTAAGGAAACCACAATAACTAATCCTAAGAAGGGGTCAAGGTAGGTGTGCGATTATTTCTTGACTTACACTTGAGATTCCCAGTAGAATCCCAAACGGATACGTATAGAGCAAAAGAGGGGTAGACTGGAATACATCACTCTATTGTAATCCATGACAGAAAGACCGTACGGGTCAAGATTCATCAGAATATTTAAAAGTGGCTGAATACCTACGGGATGGTTCCTGGGTGTTACGGAAACACTATAATCCGTCCGACTTGGCGGTGCGGAAGTATCTGACGATCCATTCTACCCCTCAATCCTTTAGTGTGTGGAGCGCCCCAAGATCTAGAGTTGAGCACCTAGATAGGAATGCAGGAGACTCAATTGGTTGAGATACTGTGGTTCCTGGTGTTTCCACCAAAGGACATCTACCTCCTAGTTAGGCTAGTTGGCCCGTAGCTGACGAAATAGCTCCCTGCGCATTACTTAGAACCCACGGACCAAGTGACCGCGGGATAATCCCGCACGAGCGGAACTTTTAGATGCAGAAGTATAGGGGCACGTGCCATTGGCCTGGCCAGGGCTCGTGATCACGTAGTTCTCGATCTTGGCACTTCCATTTTTCACTGCATTGATTTGGTTCTCTGCACATGTTCCCGCCAAGGCTAGAAGATAGCATGTGGGAGCCGGTGCCGGAGGGACTCCGTCGGTGTGCGTGGATTGCTCGGAGCCGTTTGTCGAGTAGCCATCGGTGATGCGGGTTTTTCCGGTCTCAACATCCTTGCCCGTCATCACCCGCCGGAAGATCTCCAGCGCCGCTTCCGGCTGATAGGAGGGAACCATGTGTCCCGACTGGTAGACCCGGCTGAATGAAAAATTCCCATGCTGGCGAACTTGTCCCCAGACGGTGGAGTTGCTGCTAGTGATGTTGGCGTATCCCGCCTCTCTGAACTTGGATGATGATCTATAGCTGACATTAAGGCTGGCGCGTTCGCCCCCCACCCAGTTGCAGGCAAAGTCACGATCCCCGTACACCAGGGCTACCTGCACGCCCGAGTCGAGGAGGTAGCCTATATCTCCGAGATAGCCCTTCCGGTCTCGTCTCGGGTAGTCACCTGTATCGTTGAACGCTTTCCCGACGGTATTCGAGAGGAGAGTAAAGTTCACAGGAACCCCCAGAGCCTGCTGGACCCGGTCTTCGGCCAGATACCCGATGAAATAGTTCGGTGGAAACGGATCCAAATTACAGTGGGAGATATCGTAAAAGCCTCTTTTGCTGGTGAAGATGTACGGCCCCTCCACTTCGGCTTGGCAGAAGTTACTGGTCTTGTTACAGGCCTGATTGACTTCCGTCACATTCCCGTACATGTCTGGATCTTTCTCTTTCGCAAGCCGAAGACAACTCTGTATCTGATCTTGACACCCGCCTGACCTTGAATAGGCGCTCAATGCCGCGTCGTATTGGGAGCGATTGATGGCAGCAATTCCGAAAGTGTTTTTGTCGTAGGCATATTCTGGGTCAGATGTTTCCTGCGTCAGGAGATCTATACATCCATTGATGACCCCCAAGGTATCCAAGTTGATGGGTTTGAAAGTGCCATTGTCGCTGTTAATCTTGCCATTTTGCTTGTGAAAGTAAGCCGCAAACCCGGGACCATAACGTCCCCCATATGACTCAGTCCAAATGCTGACTCTGTCATTGCGGGTCTTGTTCTTGTAGACGTTGAACTCTTGAAGCCACACCTGGGCGAAGTTCCAGAGATGTCGTGCTGCGTTGGTGGTAGTGTTGGCAGTAGCAGTAAGCGTTTGGCTGCCGAAGGTGCCCGGACGAGTAAGCCGATTCAATGATTGCACATCAACTGATTGCGGAGTTATGTTCCCTGAAAGCAGGTCCAGACTCCCGTTGGTCAGCACATCGTAGCTGAAGCCGGTCTGGACAGGTTGGTCGATATATAGCATGTTGGCATATTTCGTCCAGGAATAGCCGTTTGCACTTGTTCTCCTAGAGTCATTACTGACATTACAAGGGCCATTTTCCACGAAGACACCGAACATGGACGATCCTCCCGGCCCCCCTTGCAACCATATTGAAAGTGGCGAAGCCTCTGGTTTCGACTGGGACTCGAAATACCAGAAAAACAAGTTGACGGGAAAGTCTTGAATCGCATCTTTCATTGTATTTGCGGGAAAGTTGATATAGCCAGCATATGATGCAGATTCCGAGTCGCAGAAGTTACCCTACTAATACTTAGATCGGGGGATAAGGGCGATTCCCGGGTTCTTGGAATTTATCCTTACTGGCACACTCTTATAAGTTATATTCACACCCGGGAGGACCTTGGACCTGATCGTCGTCAAGCCAGTTGGTGTTGGCGGATACTGAGCTGCGACCATCCCAGCAAGGAGGAGAAAGCGTACGACGTTAGATACTCGCATTTTCCGTAGCAAAGTATTTAGTCTTTTGGAAGGGTATTTAGTATACTAAAGGCAGAGAATATGCATTTACATGTATCCGACAGCTGACACTAAGATGGAACGAGGTTTTTCTACTTGGAAGGAGCGAGATGGGTATGATTCGAATTTTCGTATGTATGACTTCATCTGGCAAAATGAACCGCTTCTGGTGAGGTGAAACTCTGTTGCTGCAAGACTTTTCCGCATCCGTTGGCTCCGCTGTAGTGCAATGCCGTAATTAATCATCTCCCCTGATTTCTACCAGATATAGCTCCACCAGTTTACGGTAGCAAAATATCTTGGGAGTATTAATGCTTCCCCTAAGCTATTTTCGACTTCCTGTCGATCCCCATAGATCAGTGCTTGAACAAGTCATTGCCTGCAGGGTGATTGTGCCACTTCCAAATACCTTATATCCTCAAAATTTCAGACTTATTGGCTTTCGCACCAAATAACTCTCTGTCTCTAAATGTGAAGTCTTAGCGTCATACCTAGTCGCCCCTTGCCGGTTGTTGCTGGTACTGCCCCCACAAAAAAAAAAAGGGAAGCATGCACTACTTCCTAAACTATGTCTGTAGGTATTTAGTAATCTTGACCATGTAGGTCGGCAGATGCTATATCACACAATACGTATGGTCTTAGATTCCTTGTCAATTAAGGTAATGAGAAGAATCGTTTGTAGCAAATCTAGAAATAAGCGAGAGGTACCAGACTTGGTTTCTCCAGATACCTCTCAATGTTTACGGAACAGGTCCCCTTCCCAATAATTTTTCGATTCATACTGTAATGCTTTGGAATTACTTTCGTTCATAATTCTGATAAAATTGTCACATGATCTGGCACCTTCTCGACCCGGGTATGAGGACCATTAATTTGCTGCTTATATGTCTCCCACACTGGAGTTGCTCCCTCCCAATATCGACGCCTGACAGGAGGTTGTACGTCATCCTCTCATTCGGTTCCAAGACGGCCCAGATGCGTGCATATGAGATTTGTCCAGATCGATAGCAACGCGGAGGGCTCTCATCATTTTATACTCGTAGTCGCGAACCCGGCGAGCGTTCTCCCATTGAAGAGGGAGAACATCACCAATATTCTCTAGCGCCGACCACTTTTTCTCATGGTCCGTTACCTCACAGACGGTGCCAATCAGCACCGCAGCCTTGAGGCTAAAGCTGTTCACGGACTGCGTTAAATCGAGGGCATACTGTACACTTTACTGGCTGTGATGCTGACGGGTATACATTTCTCGCCAGCCATGTCCAGATGGTCTTTGATAGGACCCAATATATGGCTATTGGCATAAATGGCCAGTGGTCGTTTCCCCACATTGAACATTTTCCCGATCAGGTAGAGTGCCGTCGGGAAAGGGTATATCAGCATTTTTGAGATCACCTTTATATAAGCTGAAGCAATCAGAGTCAGCGTATGGACAAGTTTCTGGACGACCTCTACTTCAGAAAAAAAAGTTTCAGTCATTAATGTCCTTCTTGGTCGGCGTGAGATAATCTACTTTCGGCTTTAAAATAATACTACTGATCCCTATGCTAAGACTCTCCGGATCGCGCTGTGATCCTGACGGCCCCAGCGGCCAGGGACAGCCAAAAGGCTAGTTAGTTATTTATTTTTAATCAAGTTAACGTTCTTGCGTGACCTCTTTGACTGATAGATGATTTATTCGTGAGCCGTGGCTCCTGATAAGTTGAGAGATACATCTTCGACAGCCCCTTGTCGTTTCCTCACTCCAGATCGCTTCACTGCGCAAGACTTTCAGGCTTTCACAGCCATCATTGGTTGGTTGCATCGTACGCGCTTTAAAACTTGAATATAATAACAATGATGATGATGATGATGGCGTAGTGTATTAGCTCGTGCTTCCTTCGTGGCTGGAGTAAGCGCTAACGGCTAGGACTAAGTGGAAAACATTGGCGAGATGGAAATTTATCTACACAATAACTGGAAACAGGAAATCGAAAATAACTATGTTCCAGCAACCGGCGAGTCTCAATTTGCGAACACCTGTGATTCGTAGGAACACAATCGCCCCTTTTGGTTTGTGTTCGTCTTCATTAATATCAGTATGATACAATGGTCTGTCGGTAGGCTCCCAAGTTTTAATAATCCTTAGGTACAATCTGAGGCCATTTTCGTACGAGACACTTGGGATATTACTGTCATATATTAAAGCTTATTATTTGTTGTGATTCAGAGGAAGGTTGATTTGTTATTCACGTATTTGTAAACTTGAAGGTTCTTATATAGAAGATAGCGTCAGACTGATTGAAAATCAACGTCGATGCCCTTGTCGCTCAGCTGGATGCCGGAGTTATTGTTGTGGATTGAGGCTCGACAGAATAATGGACAAGCCTCATACCGAGGGCAACGATTCACTTACATAACTTTGTAACCAAATCCGTTCTCTATACCATAGCATATTTGCTTCTCTGGACCGCTACTAATATCTGTCAGGTCCTTCCATTCCTGAGCGAATTAATGGCGATATTGAAGAGACTCAAACAGGCGGAATACAGATAACAGCTCAAACTAATAGGCCCAAAAATGGCCATTGGGAGAATAGACAACAAGAAGTGATCTAAGTTACCTGTTAGCTGCGTGGGTCGGATGGATCCCGAGTTTCTGAGCTTGATATATATGAAATGGAGTGTCAAACCGTAGAATAATCTCCGCCGCTGAATTGTGACCCAGATCTCATTTATAAGTATTTCCACCGCCCCATTCCACTGCCACGGTCCCCGCAGCCGGAACTTTGTATTGAAGTTAGCACCAAGAGCCCATACCAGAGGCAGTTTCCACCAATCCTTAGATGCATGTGTCCACCCTATCTGGACAATCTCCAGGGCACCTGGAGCCGAATCCATGTCTAACGCAAGTTGGTATATATAACTTTCATGATCCACGCCGTAATGGATTCTAGAGCTCTCTGGTGGGTGTAGTTTATAGTGCGGCTCGTCCTCAGGCAGAAGCGGCCTTGGGATACGTAGCGCTAGGTTGAGAACCCAAAGCTGAGCTTGCATCTCTGAGATAGGTGGGATTGCTCCTAAGGAAGGTCTGACAAATCCTATGAATCCTATGGTGGGATCGTCACACTTCCAGATGCTTCGGACATTCGCATCAGCTGGAGTTGGGTATGAACGGCTTGACCGGCTCTTTGGGCCCCCCAGAAATGGAAATTCTTGTGTATAGCCCGTGCAAAAAATGGCAATATCTGGCTTGATTTTTTCATCCTTCATACGTCTATATTCTGGGCGGCCATTGTCTTGAAATTGGATCACCCCATTGTTATCAATGCGCTCTGGCCATGGGGCGAGATCAATCTGTCGGCCAGAGGTGTCTGGAATAGGGGCCTGGACAATCGATGATCGAATCCGTTGAATTATTGACGACATTCCTTCTGTACGATAAGGCGCACTAATATATGGACAAGCTTTATTGGACTTGTTAAAGAAGACTAGACGTGGTTAGATCAAGAACAGAAGTATTCAAGACCTTCGTGGAGAGCTGGAAACGTACTCTTTGAAACGTGATCGCGTTGCGGAGAAATTCCTCCAACCCACTGATCCAAACCTTTTGCAGATCCTGTTGTTATCCAGAGTGCGCACTTGACATATATATCATAGAACACCCACAAGGCGCTGTGGTTCCGTAAGAAAGGATGAACATAAGCTGTGTCAAAAAGGCTAGCCCGACTACAATCCAGCGGCACTGTAAGACGAGCTTTTTGCTTATTACCAAGAATTGGAAGTATTACTGGATCTAGATTCCGCTTTATTGTATATTGTCAGCACAAAGTGGACTATAACTGGAAGCCAAAGGAGTAGATACCTTCGGTGCAAAGTGGAAACCGTCTCTATGACAAGTCACCACTCTTTTGGTCGGTGATGTTACGGCTAGATAACTGATGTCTGCACCGGTCTCACCACTTCCAAGCAGCAGAACGGTCTTGTCAATGGTGAAGTCCCGTCTCCTCTTGAACTCTGAAGAATGCATTACTCGCGGGATTTTCTCGATACCTCTGACTTGGGGGATGTTTGGCACCACATGTAGACCAGAGCAGACTGCAATAGCATCACATTCCCACCTGCCCTCTTCCTGTCTGTCCTTGATGAGATACGTCAGAATATGGCCGCCTCCCTCACGTCGAGTGACCGACAGAACCTTAGTGGACAGGTGGATGTGTGGCCATAGGTCAAAGTAGGTGCAATAGTCGTGCAAGTACTCTAGGTAACGCTCGGCGCTAAGAAAGTCCGGATCATCGTCCCTTGGACGAAAGTCAGAGAAGGTCGTGAGCTGCTTCGAAGAGACTAGCTAATCTATACATTAATGATATAAATCATACCCTGAGACTGATTTGGTTTCAGACCTCTGCATCTTCGTACGTCCGGGAGAAGAACGTTCCGCCGATATTTGAGTCACTCTCAAACAATCTAGCTTCAATACAATCTATACGTAAAGATGCATGCGCAGCCAGAAGATATTTAAGAGTCACTAGGCCTGAAGGGCCTCCCCCAATAACAGCCACACGCATTTTGTACTCCAGGATAATGGCGACGAGAAAGCTCTGTAAAGAAATGCTTAAAGGTATTATCTAGCCAGTCAATCTACAGCAAAAGCTGTATGCAGAATCCCAACGAGCTGGCAATTTCTCTTTGACAACGAAAGTAGGAGATGGGACAAGCGGAAGAAATTTGTATTGCTTGCACGATGAGTGTATAGCTTAAAATATACTTATTTTCAAGCCACGTCCTCAGACATGGTTGTACTTATATTGCAAGGTCATTTGTTATGTAGTGACGCGCCATGTTTCCATTATCCCCCTCACATTCCCCTCTCTTCAACCAACGCGAATTCTCGGTCAATGCGCACTATTACAACAGGTTTCAGGAAAATTCGCTGGTTACCATATGTTGAGTGGAGATGCATAGTACCTATGATACCATTAGGTAAAGCCTAATGCATGCTCCGCTGTATGGTTACATCAGATCGGCTGGTTGAAATTAGTAACGCATTTTGCCTGGCAGCTCACAAGGACAACCGGCAGAGCTTATTTCTGTAGCTGTGACTGATTAAGTAGCTTCATAGCTGCCCTTTTGTCTTTGTGTTTAACTTTATACTCTTGCAGGTGGGCAGATCCAGTCTTCGTAGAATAGGTTTATACTTATCGATAAACTTATAGCTACACCTCTAGTGAGGGAGATATCTGGCAAGAATTTACGATCTTCCTCATCGTTGTATAAGAGCATCGTTTCAGGGGGAAGAGTAAATTGTAAATACTCCCATGTTATATCTAGGTTGCAGTTTCAAGAGATAATGTAGCAGGCGGACCCAATTACACTTGAGTGTGCAGAGCCATGCACTTCCCCACGCCTGTTAAAGTATTCATTCACCTCTGCCATTCTCCTGTTTAGGCATGTACAGTGCCCATTCACAAGTTCCTGTTGTATCTATTTCTGGTTTCAATGTTTCCAAAGCTTGTTCTATTATGTTTAGACTAATATGTGATCAACATAAAAATCTCTTTTATGGAAATAGAACTCATAACCAGGATTGGTGGTGAGAAACAGCATAGTGATACTAGCGTTGTTCTCATGCCTATAGGGCCCCATGAAAAAGCTAATACGTAATGACTTCACTATTCTAGCCTATTAACGGACTTGTACAATTACATTTACGTCATCGTATGGTAGATTATCTGAATGGGGATTTATGCAGAGATACTATACTTATTCTAAGAGGCAGCTGGACATATTTGTCGTGGACGGAAATTACAGATATATTGGGTCGTTTTCTTGTGAGACCACCTTTCAGAAATATATTCGCATTAGTTGCAAAGCCTGCAAACTCTCGCACTAGTACAGTATTATCTTTGCAGAAAAAAAAAAAAAAAAGGTCTCAGGAAAATTGTATACTTACCCTGGGATGCGTTTATCTGCTTATACATCCGTGTCCCTTTAGTATTCAATTCAATTCAAAGTTCTATTAACCTGTTGCAGCCTGTCTATTGAAGCATCTAGCTGTGCAGGTGCTTCGCTAAAGAAGCAAGAACCTGAGGTCCTAAACGCCATACAAAATCCCACATAAGACACTGGCGAACGCTCGCATAAACGCGCACAAAGGAAAAGTCAGCAGATCGCTAAATATAAAAAGACGCAACTAAGCCGAAAAGTAATGTATCCCTCTCCCATCCTACCACGTCGCAGCTGCGTCGTAGCTCTGCGTTATGACCCCTTGTCCCTTGCTTCACCATGCTGCTGTGTTGTCTCCTGTTTCTAATGTTTTGCCGGGTTGACTTCTGCCCCCGGCTTGTCTGGGGCCTCCTACCCATCGTCTTCAGCGTCTAATTCTATGGCCACGAGGCCTATCTGGTCATGATCTTCCAGGTTGTTTCCGGCCGGGGTGTCGAGCTCCATGTGTTGGAATTACCTGAGAACCCCGGTTCGCAGCATAAATTTAGTAACGTAGCGCATCGCTTGTGGGTTAGATATTAAAATGTTATAGTCTGTCTAGTTTAATTAAATCCCGCGTGCGGTGATTTTATTAGACATCCACTTCCACTTTACAGTGCGCAGCGAGCACTGGAGGGGAACATGCTTTAGGGTCTGCGAGCCCTCCCTGCAGCCACACCTGTCGCTTTCGAATGCTTAATTTATACAGGAAGTATACTAGTCTAATCCTCATAGTGTGCATCTGTATAATTATAAAGGTATATATACCTTTAGGAGCCTTTTATAAAGCTTAATAGTCTTCTTGTTTAAAGCCTTCATTAGCTACTGTATTAGCTTCGCACCCCTTTCTCTCTCTCCCACTGCTTCTACCGGTTTTGGATTCGCTGGCGAACCGCGCTTGTGGCGGCGGCGGCGAGCCAGACAATTATGCCTCCGGACCTTCTTCTAACCTCTATGGCTGCCTTTTTCGCGGCCTTATTTACTACCTTGTTGTCTGGCACACCAATATGCGCAGGGATCCTAATTTAAGCTGCCGAGGTGTAATAAATTTGATCGAGGCGAGCATGGGAGTTGAGGTCAGGTCACATATTGCTGCCGAGGCAATTCGTGTTTCTATACATGCAGTCTAGTACCCCCGTCTCTAGGGGCTTCTAGGCATCCACTCACTCCAGATAATACAGAACTATGTCTAAAGTACAACTCCCGGAGGGTCATGTGGAATGCATGCTATGTAGTTTTGGCACTGTTTGTCCTTCTGGGTATGATGACTTAAAATCTGAGCACCTTGTAGTCCTTGCGCGGCAGATCGTCCCGCGCCTTTATTCACGTCTACTTGGCAATCGTTTGACCTCATAGAACACTGTATCTGTTCATTGATCTTTAATTTTGATTCGTAATTGAGTGTAGGCCAAGTAGTTTCCCCGCGGGCGATGGGTGTTTTCGGACCGATTCTACCTGAGAATTTTAATGTGAGCTGTTTGGCTGAGATGATCTGTGAAGGATATGTATGAACTTAATCTGCGGATGACTCGTGGGGAGTTTTATCGGGGTCTACCACTAGCGCCTGGAGAGCGAGACATCCTGACAATTGGAAGTACTGAGAGAGAGAGAAAGAACTCAAGTCAATATTGGGAAACAGAGTATGTCATGTATATACTAAGGGTCTCAGGTATGTGTCTCGGTGTTAGGCAACAGGTGGCTTCAGGCAGCCAAAATCAACAACCAAAAAAAAAAAAAAGCATGACAACCACCAGGGAATGGGCGCCAATTCCGAAGGTGTTCATAGGGGGACTTTCCTTCCATTGAATTGAACCCACCAAGGGGCCCTCTCGGGAGGAAGAAACTTGGGCTTCTTGACTCTCATTTTAGTTTTGATCGTTTTTGCTATCTTCGACGCGGTGCGTTTCTCTAGTTCGAGGTGCCCGTTAATGCAGGACTTGTTTCCCCACGCTGCATCTGCAGCAGCTTCCCACATGGCTGCGACATCAACAACCATCTCTGGCTCATAAAACAGACGACAGTCAGCCCGTTCATAAACAAACTGCGATGGAAGACCATCGTCCAAATGTTCCGGAAGAATATTGTCTCGGACGTTGATAGAGGTGTCTGTTGAGCGATTTGAGGCCAGTAGGTTGAGCTCCCTAAGGGATGTCCAGTTGGCGGACTGTTGCTGCTTAGGTGTCCCAGACGTATATGCTAGGTGTGCCAGGAAATGTATATAGTCAAAGCCAAAATTGTTCGAACCTTTTACGCCTCCAATGGTTTGCATAGGCCCTGTCGATGGACGGCCCCCAATCGCAATACTTTTCACGCTTCCTTGGAGGCGCATAAATTCGGAGAAGATTGTACAGGTTGAGGCACAGAACCCATCATACAGAAGGATAATGTCCTCGGCCTTAAATGGTTGAGTAAAGTTCTGACGGGATCCATACCCAGTAATCTCTAGCCCTATTCCATATGTCTCATTCACTGTGTTCAAGGGGTCTTCGAGGTCAAATCGGAGAATACTTGTGAAGTTATCCCCGTTATACTCATACGGGCCAGTCATATCCTCCACTGAGGTAAAATGTTGGTTTGTGAGATTCAGACTATACCGATAATCTGGAGCTGCTAAATGCATCTGGATCTCATCTTCGGAAGCGGTGTCCGGGTCAAAGTCTGAAGGAAGAACAAGAGCAAACTGCTTTGCCATGGCAGCAAATGCCTTCGTCAACCTAAAGCGTGAGAGGCCATCCTGCACAATACTTGGAAATAATTGCCGGAAAGCATCATAGGCGAGAAGAACATATCCACCACCATTAAGAGAAAGGTCAATGACAAGCTTCGACTTGCCTACAGCTTTTGCTTGCTCCAGGAAGTTTTGGAAAACCCACTGAAATTCAGAGGGATCATAAGGATGAAAGGACAACATGCTTAGCACAGCAACATCCATGTTCCGGGATGAATCAAGGAAGTAACCAGATATAGAGTTGTCGGAGCTAATCACCTCGGGTTCTGGATAGCCAGGGGCTTGCGTGCTTTGAGGGGCAGTGGTTGAGGTGGTATTTGATTTCATGGAGGGTCCCGTGCAAAACTTCTCGTACATTGTTTTGCCATCTGTGATGCCAGTGAAATCACCTATCACGTTGGCTGTGGTCCGGTAACTTCTTGACGTTCCATTTGCAAAATTAACTGTGGTATTGGCTCCTGGATAAATAAACCTAAAGCTGCCACTTCCAGCAAAATAACCTCCATGGCCTCGAGATGTCGCAGCAGCAGGCTTTGAGAAGAACATCAGGTTGTATAATGTATCTGGGTCACCAAAATTTCCCAGCTGAGACCAATTCTCCATGAACTGCACTGCCTCCTGTCCATTAACTAATGTTACTGAGGATGGTTCAAAATCGCCGTCAACCATCGCAACAACATCAGCTAATAATAGTTAGAAACCATCCATCACAGAATTGAGAATAACAATAATATGTAAAGCCGCTCTTACAATATATATATATTTGGGGTTCCTGCTTGCCGTCCAGGCTGACAGAAACAAGGCTAAGGTTTCTGTTAAATGTAAGAGCCTTGCTCAGTAGGTCCGGTATGAACCGGAAATGGCCATCATGCACTGAATTAAATACCCGAAGGAGGTCTGCCAGGAAATCGTATTCACTGTCGTATGCATCCCCCTTAATTTGGCTATATACCTGATCTAATTCCGCCCAGATGTCCACTGCTGGTTCCAAATATTCTGGAAGCGGGTTTTTCAGGTACGAAGTGTCTAAGCCCTGTGTATTAGCTAGAATAAAGTGGCTAGGTGTAAGAACCTACCACTCTGCCATTCTACGTATGGGTAAATTGAGTCCATTAACTGCATAGCCTCTATCTTGCGCAGCGGAACGGATTTCAGGCAAGCCAAAGCGAGCTCACCATCAACAACTGGTGTAGCTACGACACAATTCTGGTTAATGGACAGTCTGCTCTGTAAGTGGTTACGGGGTCAAATCAAGGGCCTACCGGATGGTGAAGCAGCCAATGCTGCAGCAGCACTGCTGCTCACCTGCGCACATGGACTGTCGGTCACAGTGCGGCTCTGATAACCGGCAACAGTTGCACTGGCCCCTAGGCAGCTAATCAAGACAGATGACTGCAGTTGCATGATAATAATTTAGTTAGTGTCTAGCGTACTCCTTAAAAAAAAATTGGCATCCTATTTATACCTCCAACCTACAGTCTACTTTTGGAGAACCGATATGTTCCAGACGGATCGAGTACGAGCCCCTGAGAAAGTATCTATATAGCACGGAACCATGGTTCGGTGATTCTTGGCAACCAAAACCCAGTTTATTGGACTGATCTTACTCTTCAAGGCTTGGTATTTCAACAGGAAAAGGGATCCCCAATGAGCAGCGCCAAATGGGAAGGTGATCGTTGACTTTGATTCTGAAACCATTCCCGAATTTCAGTAACCCTCGCCAATTACCCGCCTATAGGAGAGTATAAGCTACTATCTTCTCATCCAAGCTAGTATAATTGGGCAGGAGATGTCTGTCCCTGTGCGTAGTAGTAACGGCTTAGTGCTAGTTCTAGGATACCTAAGTCCTAACAGGATAGCAACAACGTCTCCAGTGTATCGGGGGAAATCGGAGGGGGCGAGCTTATCTATATAACTATTCAAAAACTTGCTTAAGAAGTATAATTCCTAACTAGTCTCTAGTTCAGCCTTTTTTCTATTTTCCCCTCTTTTTTAAAAAAAAGTCTGATAGACTAGGAGTCTTCGGTAACGGTCTCCGTGTTCAGATAGGAGGTGTCTGCCTGAGGTCCAAGTTGATGAAAGGGTGAAAAGCGGTTACTATATCCGTAGATTGGAGAGGCAATCATAGTCCATGAATAAACCAGAGATCGATCGTGATGGCCAATTATAGATAATACGCGCTGCGTTGATAATAATCAGGTGTGTGTAGAGTTTGTCGCCCGAGGCAAGGAGGACAGCTTTGCTGTTTGTTTGTCCTTCGAGAGAAGTAGTCACTCCAACGGTGCACTAAGACGGCACTCAACCCCCAACGTCCATCCACCCTGAGCGGGAGCTTGGAGTATCTGTAGTAACTATTACTATAAGAATGCCGTGTCAAGACACATTTAGCCGTTCCTCCCTTGTATAGTCCTGTGCAAGCTCACTACGTTCGTACGTTAGATCCATGAATTAGTAGCTAGTATTTGGTGCTCCAAATAGATAAAAAAAATAAAATGCATTTAAAATCAATACTTGTAGACTAATCACCAGTCTTATATATCCAAACTACAGCCAAATCAAGACCAGATATAGACGACCATCACGGAACTCCTACGACTTCATTGGCTGCTCCGTCATGAGCTTCTTCATCAACTCCTTGAAACTTCCATCTGGATTCATCAATTGTGCTTGCGGACTGACGAAACCATCTGCAGGGTGCTGCATACAGCCAAACCAGGCATATTCAGCCACCCAATCCTGCTGGTCCAACCAATTCGTCACATGAACCGTGAAGTCCAACACCTCTTTATAGTTGCGGGAGATGCAAGCAATCTCACTTATGATAACTTTCTGCTTTGGGAACTTCTTGTGCATCGACTGAATGAAGGCAATTGCCTCGCTGCCTTTCGTGCCATAGTAATGGAGGCCCAAATAATCGGGTCCATTGTCCTTCACACGGTGCATAAAGTCAGCGATCCAGGCTTGACCGGCCTCATCATTTGAGCAACTGGGGCTGACGAGCTTTTTGCCCTTGGTCCGACGGAGAGGGACCATCTGTTTATGCCACAGATCAGCAGCGTGCTGCGCGGAGATGCCAGCGCGCTCGGGTTCGTTGAAGTAGTGGATGACGGTTTCGTTGGAATTGAGGATATTTTGCCAGTCTTGACCGGAGAGCTGCGCTTCCAGGCGAACCATTGGTCGGAATGGGGCACGATGCTTGAGTTCGGTTGGATACCAAGTGTTCCAGTTGGATACTGAGTGGAAGGGGCCCTTAAAATCGACCTTGTCTATCATCTGAGGACAGTTCTTGGTGTTTGTCCAGTCCCAGAGGAGACAGCGCTTTCTGATAACCATTCTGACGTTTTGACTGGTATTGTGAGATAGAAATAAGGAAGAGTGTTTTTTGACTATGTATGGTATGGAATAGTTTTTCTGTTAGCTGATAGAGGGAGAAAAAAGAATAGGAATATCTCCGGTTTCTAAATGCCTTAAATATCTATACAGTTAGCGGGCAAATATGTGTTATCATATGAACTATGAACTTGCCATATGTGTTCTATTGTTTCTCGCTCATAGTCTCACCTAAGCCAGCACTGCCCAGAATGGATTGTTTGCCTTTCAAAATCGGTTTTGTTCTTCCTGTACAACTGATAAGGCCTACCATGTTCAGGATACGATCAGCTGGACAATGGTAGGGTTATTTTTTCAGAGAAATAGAGATTATCATCAGCTGAGTAAGACCAATAGTTTGCGCATATTGGATAAGCATAATGAGCCACGACAGCCTTACGAAAATAAACACGCCAATATTTACTTAGGCCACCCAGCTAAGATCCGCGTGATGTCCAGCTATATTGCTAGGAATTTCTTTTATAGATTATCCACGCAATCCAGGCATCACTGCATGGACGCCTTATCAAAAAGTAGGCCAATTGTGTTACATTATTCTTAAGTTGTATGTATCATTCTCCTCTCATTTGTAGGTTATATTCGACTTGCAAATCTCAGCCTTGCGCATAGCAGAGGAGGCCTTAGAAATAAAGGCTCTGCTCAGCTAGCCAGGTACGTCGTACACAGCCCTGCGCCCTTAAAAATAGAACTTTAGCTTCGTTAGGCCAGACAATATCAACAGTGATTACATTGATTTGTAAGTTGCTTCATAGATAGCTACGTAACAAAGGAATCGGATGCAATTAATGAATCATTTTCTTTGTCATCAATGGGTTACTGCGAGAACGCCAACTCGCTCTATAAATACCGCCCTCCAGTGCCTCTCTCCTGGTATCCAGAAAGCCCATTCCCATATCAAGTCAACCAGACTCACGTACAGCATTGAAAATTTAAGACTAGCTCATCAGACCTTATCTTTTTTGACCACAAAACCAGTAAATCAAGATGCACACCATCCAGATTCACAACAAATCCAACCACGACCAGATCTTTGAGGTCCACGGATGGAATAATAACAAGAATATAACCGTGAAGCCTGGTCAAACCTCAAAAATCCCAGCTCCGGATGGTAGCTCTGGAGCAGTTATTGCTCTCCATGACGGCCATGAAGGTGAGCAAGTTGAAATTACAAAGAATGGCTACGGTGGTAAGTTATGTTCAATGTTAAGCTGCAGAGACTGGCACTAAAAGTTTAGGAAATGATTTTCTTGATGTCAGTAACATTGTCGGAGCTGGTGGCAATATCACAGCTATGCAGGTTGGGGACAAGACAACTCTGAAAGGAGACGCCAATTTCATGCAACATATGAATACCGCCTGGAAGAAGGCATCCAAAGACACCCGAGACAGGCTCAAGGGCCATGTGTTTACTGACAGGGAGGGAAACGTTAAACGCATTGGGCCTATCAAAGATTGCCCCGAACTCGAGAAGCTCGTTCGCACTTTCGCTGACGGCAAAACCTATATTGGAGTTGGTGCCTGGAACGGTAGCCCAGGAAATGCCAACGATAACGCCCAAAGCTCTGCCGCACATGGGAACAAGGATATTTTGATCACGTATAGCGACGGAGACGCATCTCCAGGTAAGACAAGACTCTGACCCCACTCGCTCGCTCTAGTACCCACATATAAAGCAGACCATCCAGAGCAGCACAAGGAGAACCGTGCTGCGGGTGTCCAAGCCGCGAACGTGCATCCTGCAACGGTAGCAAATGTAGCGGCAACCCAGTCTCACAAACCGGGCATCGTCCTCACCAACAAATCCAACAAAGAATGCACCTATTTCTTCTACGACAACTACTGGAATGGAAACGGTACCGCCGGAGCCAATTTCGACAAGCCTCTCAAAAACGTCAAACTAGCAGCTGGAGCTCAGACCCATGTTCCATTGCCCACATCATTCAAGGGCCGTGTGCAGCGTGGTAAAGACCTCCCTGCCACCTGGGTGGAGTTCCAGATAAGCGCGTCTAACGATCACGCTGCACATGGCGACATCTCGCTTGAGCAAGGCTGTGATGGTGCCGCAACCATTGCTTCGACTGATGGCAGCAATCGCAAGAATGGATTCACACATGATGTCGTGAAGGATGCACCTGCAGCCGCCTGCTCCAAGAAGCCCGATGGCTCGAGAGCGCTTTCGACGACGATGGGAAATTGGATGTCTGGGCCAAATAAGGCCGCGATCGAGTATCTCAATAAAGTTGTTGGGCAGAAGAAAGCATATATTGTAGGGGGCAGTGGGACAGATGACGTTGCGAGCAAGAACAACTGCCTTGCAGTTGATATGTACTGAGGTACTCGGATGGGAGAAATCTTTGGTAAGTTTTCATAGGTTTAGACGCTGAATTCCTGTACACTGTTTTTGTATGTACTGTGCCAGAACTATGCTATTCTCTATGCTCTCAGGATTATGATTCCTGGATAGTAAAGGTGCGGTAGCATCTTTATAACGCAACTGGAAAACAGCTCTATTGTAAAGCTCGTCTCTATATCGATCTTATATGCTATAAATTTGTAAACCCCTTTTCGCATATGGAGCTCTCTATCTAGTTATTCTAGTAGTGGGAGCTAAATAATCGAGTGTCAAATGCTTCCCTGCGACAAGGCCATCCACCGAGAGGCTTACAGGGGCTATATAGCCTATAGCACACACAATACAGGACGCCCTAAGTTATAATGTACTTTGTGAGTCCTCTTAGTCAATATATAGCTCAAATGTGTTAATAAAATGCAACATATAGATCAATTACGTATATGGAAATATTAGAACCGCATACCAACTCTACAGCTTTACCTTTGCAGACTTATTGCCGTTTGCGAACTTCTGAGGGCTAATTGCAAAGGTCCCATTGGCCACTGAAGCACAGGTAATAATATCGAACGCAAGGGCAAACGACGCGATCAAGCCGGCCAGACGATACTTCGTTCCTGGACCACCACACTGAAGAAACTCTGGTGCTTCCTTCTGTGTGGGATACATTGTGCCTCCTCCCACAAGACCAACAGGAAGCGATGGAAAGAATTAAGTCAGCCGAAGAATTTGAGAGTCAATACTGTATCCTAGTTGGCCATTCATCGCTGCATCTTCCGTACTGTTAATAATCGCCTCGTAAAAAGACTCGTAGCTGCACCCAAGTACCCGTTTACTAACCTCGTTGCTGATACTGCCCCAAACAAGCACTTTCACCCCTCGAGTCGGCAAAATATTCCCCAACGCTAATAATCTTTCAGAAGTCATTTGACTATCGATTAAAATCCGCTGCAGTCGTAGAGCACGAGCTTCTCATGTATTTTCAAAACGGACATAAACAGTTGACCCGACAATACGTGGCAACATACTGTGTAGGCGTACATATTTACCTGTTGGCTCGGCGTAGGCTGTAAATCTGACTTGAAACGTAGGCACCGTACCTGCAAATTGCACTGCAACATCAGTGCTAGTAACCAGAATGATAGGACCCGGGACATGGAGTGATCAAGAATTTTAACAAGGATACCACTTCATAGTCCCAATGCTTTCCAGCCCGAAAACAACTCGCGGCCAGAGTAGCTTCAGTGGTTGTTAAAGGGGCGTAGAATGAGCCACTGGCGCCGTCGCTTAGACTGGCAAGGGGCCGGCAATTCCCAGTGGAACTCTGGGTGGTTGAGATTTGGAGACTGGAATAAATTTCGATCTTCGCGGACGAGACCTCTCCATCCGTTGTTCGTACGCATAGAAAGCGTGACACTATCGCTTCTGGTATTGCTATGTTGAGTTTGAAATTGATCTCATAAGTCCAAAAGAAAAATTTGATGTGTTATTCTTTGACAAAGGAATACGAAATGTCCCATTGCTTTGTATTCAAGGTTCAACGTGAGTTTCGATATATAGTTTAGGTTCAAGAATCATAGTATACATCATTTCAGGAGCTATTCGGACACTTGGACAGCAAAATCCTGTTTACGAGGGAAATAAAGTTTGATAGACATCTTCAATGAGTCACTTCTGTATTCCACAGCTCATATCCAGCCAATAACGTAGCAATAACTAGTCACAGATGGTGTTATACATGTGTGATAGTACTGCTTGAAGTCACACGCGTGCGGGAGGGTATAATACATAGATAGCATTTTACAGAGCCCTTATATATATAATACAGTGATCTACATGCAGCTACATTATTTGCCTGCGACCAAATATATCATGTACATACATTGCAGTACAGCATCCCGTGTTGGAAGTAGAGATAAAAGAAAGTATTTCGTAGGAATTGTATTGCTCGAAAGGGTGATGCATAGAGGATGCAGATGAGGCTTGTGTACGACATCCATTTAGATGGGGGAAAGCAGGCAGCCTCCCTGCTAGAACACGTTTTATCACTTCTAGATTGGCTATTGATACTGACAATGTTCCACAAGCTTCGCTATATACTTCGTATTGATAATCCTTGTAGAATTGCAGGGAATGCATGACACAGACTAACACTGGCTCTAATACTCCCATGTAGCCTGCAGGGACATCTTGTACCAAACAAGGGTGTTTTGGCCTTCTCAACAAATTATCCAGCTGTGAACTCTCTACAGGCATCCAAGCCCCATATAAACTTTGTTCACTTTGTTGATATGCATCAGAAATCATGTTAGATCTTTCCGAACGATGGCCAGTGGTCCGATCAATAATATATGTTGTGTTAGAGACGGACTGAGATATATTCAATATTTTTGAGTTCAACCGAAACCATGTTTTGTGATCCTGCAATTCATGCCGCCCAGTTTGTGATTCTCATCTCCCGTGTTTACGCCAATTACTTAGCTGCTTTCAGAGTTCATCTTCGACCCTGCAACATATGCCGCTTCTCTTGCGATTCATAAAATTCGGCAGTATTGCTCACAAGGAATACATTGTTGCACGTACTGGTGGGCGTATACTCCACTGCCGGAAGGTCCTAGTTAAACGACTGCGTGCAGTTCTCTAGACTCAGCAATGTATGACCAGTCCTCTAAAGGTAAAGGTACTCCGTACATCTGGATCGACTTCTCGTATCCACATTTGACGGCCGAAAATAGCGAATCAGATGGAAGGGTCGGAACCATCCCTGGGGATGTGTACCAGTAGGACGGAAAAGGAGTATCACTCCAGGAGTGGTAGGCATGCAAGATTTGTTGCGTTGCACGATCGGTGATCTGATCGATCCCTTTGCACCAAGGAACATCTGAGCGGAAAGGGGCTTATTTTCGTGACGGGGCTTTGCGAAATTCGACGTGTGTGTGCGCAAGATGTTGCTTTTTATTCGACAAGTCATATGCCCCGTCGATCACCACCGATTCGGGAGCACAGCATCGATCAACAACCCATGCAGAATCTTATTGTAAGAGACCCATTAATTACAGTCTCAATATGATAGACCTCTGCCTAGACGCTAGACACCAACCACGGCATAGTAGTCCTCTGGATCCGACATACAATTCGACATCTATTCCCCGCCCCTGATCTTTGTTGGAGTCAAGGCACTGCACTATTTATTGTGTAAACTTCGTATCGAACTTAAAAGCTATTGTCTCTATCTATAATCATGATAAGGTTGCGAACTACCGCACACTGCGGAGCATAGCAAAGTTAGTATGAAAAAAAAAAAAAAAAAAAAAAAAAAGCACATACCTTCGTATCCAGTTTGGGCTGGGAACAAGTCAGGTACTCCGTGCCTCGTGACGATAAGGTCGCGGTCGCCTACATGCTCGAGCACTAGCAAACAAGGCTCCAGGCGGTAATTATTGATTTTTAGGATTTAAAATCTTATGTGCATTTCTGCGCACAAACTACTACTCGCCAGCGGAGAACCGGACAGACGTTCGTGAAGAAAAACAAAAATCATCAGTAAAGAATTCAGTTGAGCATCTTGGTCGATAAACTTCTATAGTGTGTTCCAGCTTGTACTGAGAAGCGCTGTGGCAAAGGTACGAGGGGTGCTACAGCATTCTCTGCAGGCCAGTGTACAGGTACATCTTGTATTTGTGAACTATCAGACCACGTTTCAGCCATGTAACTTAATGTTCCTGTAATTCCCGTAATAAATCACCATTCGGGCTTAGCGCTGACAGCTGGCGGCGCCACAGTGGCTCCGATTGGATCTGCCGACCGGATCGCTACGGGCCGTGACTCCACCCGCACCATACAGAGAAAGTTGACGCCCCCTCACTTGGGTGATCCGTGCGAGCAGAGAAAAGAGTACCAACCCCGTAAGCACACAGTGTGACAGGACTCGACCTGGACGCAGAGCTCATGGTGTGCTTATCCATACTTTCTCTACCATATGCAATAAGTAAACTGAGAAGAGTCGTAGTTGTGCAGCTCTATATTGTGGACTCTTACAAAAGAAGGACCTATCCTTGCATCCTCCCCGGAGTCCGTCCAGTCCGTCCTGCAATTAGTTCGCCAAGGTGGCCCCTGAAACGCACAGTTCCGGTGGAAATGGCTCAGGGGCTGCCTATGGCAACGCTAGTGAACCTTACCCAGTACAAATGAGAGCAATCCATTGATCTTCCTTGCTGATCCCATTTGTCAGGGAGGAGCAGATACAAGACGCGGTATCTCAAAAACCTCTCCTTTCCTAACCAGGTCGACTTCTGAATCTTCAAAAACCAGGTTACCGGTGTCTTCTGGATGGCGTTTTGGGATCTCCAAGTCCATCAAGAATGGCTTCCACCAACTCCGGAGGAATCTTTGACAGTCTAGCCAAATTCTATGTCTCCATCGCCATCATTTGGACGGTCGCACTCCTCGCCGGCGCCGTCTTTCTCATTATCAATCGTCGCGAGCAATGCGTTCGTATTCGCAACCTGCCCCTCGCTCTGAGCGCCGTCTCCTGTCTCCATGTCTATTGGATTCTGTGCATGGTCGCTTACTCCATGGGTACTGCGTATCCCTGTGCCGTCGAATACTGGGTCATGAGCGTCTATCTACCTCTAGGAATCGCCCTTTTCCAGGCGAACAGCATGCAGCTCCTGAATGTCTTTGGTATCCAGGAGAAGCTGCTTTATGCCGCGCAGCAGTCCTACAAACCCCAGCTCAGTGCCTCGGCAAGACACTCCAGCCGATACTTGTCTTACTGGCGACAGATGAACCTGGTCCAACGGACAGAATTTGGTATCGCGGTGGGAATGGGGGCCCAGGTCAGTACATCTGCATTCACTGCACTCGACATTCATTTACTCATATCTTATCCAGCTAATCCTCTCGCTCTCCGTCTACCTCACATCCCGAAAATTCCATGATTTCGGCACCTTCTCCGAAGCGGTGGGTCCAGAGGAATGTCGACGAGGTCCTGAATGGCAAGACTCCCGGCCGGATGGTAAATGCGGTCAGCTTCCGCTGACAACAATATAGGATCCCCTCTATTCTCTGGCAATTGTCCTGGTCTTGGATATTTGCGCCGTACATTCTGTGGAAGATCCGCCACATCCACGACGTCCACCACTGGCGGCTTCAAATCACTTGCTGCGTCATCGCCGCGTAAGCGCTTCACATTCTCTGGCACCTCCCAAAAATAATTGCTAACAATCCGCAGCTTACCCGGTTCGCCCTTGTGGTTCACAGCCCTGCATTCCTCAACAGAAGCCTGGGCATCTGTCAACAGATACTGGGTACCGCCTCTCTGGTATGAAACCCCTATCATAGAATGTAGACACTCCAACTGACAACAGTCGCAGGTTTGCACCCGGTATTATAACAATGGAGGCTGTGACTATCTTCTTTCCATGCTATGAGGTGGTCTCATCCAGATGGCACAGAGACCGTATTCTTGGGGAAATCGAAGCATGGAACGAAAAGAAGACCAATGCCATGGACGAGTCGCGTTCGGGAACATCGAGATCCAACAGCGAACTCAGCCGCGTGAGTGAGTTGTATTCCCTCAAGGCCTTAGAAAAGTGCTTAGAGGACGACTCAAGTGCGCTGCTCCAATTTGCTGCGTCCAAGGAATTCAGCGGCGAGAATATCGTCTTCCTGAACTACGTGCGCGACTGGAAGGCTTCGTGGGCGAGAACAACCGCATCAAATCCGGAATACGATTGGAACCGTGATCCTCGGCACTACAGACTTCACTTCTTCAAGGTCGCCGTCGAGATCTACACAGTTTGCGTCAATTTGAAGACGGCGGAATTTCCCATCAATATTGAATCTCGGGTCTACTCGAATCTAACGGAAATGTTCGGTGAAGCTGTCCCGGTTTTTGGCCAACTCATGACTAGAGGAGCAGCAACACGCCGGGAGGATGACACTAGCGCTCTGTGTCTGGATGAATATGTTAGGAGCGCTCGGAAGCGCGATAGCTAGATCCTTAGCTAAGATGCTTAGTCAGGTGCGAAGTGTTTATATTCGCACCCGCGGGCCTGAACTCTTGAAGGCCAGCGATTAGTTCTGCAATATACGTGGCTCTATCTTCTCTCCTATATAGACACTCCCTTTCGCACCGTAGCGCCCCATTCAGCTCGTTACCGACCCCCACGCATAACAGTTCTAATCGCTCACCCCAACGGTAACCCGCTGAAAGGAGCACTATGGCACCTCGACGCGTGCAGCGTGCTGGCTCCCAAGTCACCCGAAACACCGAGAATTCTGTCAACCCCGTCTCAGAGAATACCGCATCTATCCAAGCACAACCTGATGCTTCGATGAATCCGGGCCCAGCTGAAGAAACAGTTGAGGAAACAGCTGTGTTGCAAGGCGATAGCCCTCGAAAAGGGGCTACTGGGTCCACAACAACAAACGATTCTTCATCGGATAATGAATTTGCCGAACTCCGGGACCAGATACGCCAACAAAAGCAGGAACTCAAGAGATTACGCATGGAAAATAAAAGGAGGGCATTGCAAGAGCTTATCGATTATGAGAAACGCATCCAAGAAAACCGAAGTGCAACAATTTCGCGGCCAGAATCCAATATAAGCACACCCGACCATGGAATACCACAAGAAACCGCACCCCAGCCTATGCCAGAGCCCACGCACGCATTGAAACCGCCAGCACCCCAGCACATGTCTCGGAATACATGGGAAAGAACATGCAGGAATATCAGACATTTATCGCACGCATGGAAACCCATTTCGAACGAAATCGCTACTACTTTACTAATGATACGACGAAAGTGGTGGAAGGTACGGCACATCTATGCGCAACATTTATCCGCCTATGGAGGCAACACGAGGAGGAAGTCGCCGATAAACCTACCTGGGAGGACTTTCGCAAATTTCTACTACGCCAATTAAACGACCCTGTTAACCTGCGAAGAGATGCGAGCCAACGCTACCATGACGCCAGACAACAGGATCACCAAAACGTGCGGGAATTCGCAGCTTACCTTAACCAATGGGAAGTTCAGCTCCCAGAAGCATACACAGAGAAAATCAACGAAAGGATCACCTCCGGACAAGAGTCAAGCAAGACCTGCGACATGAAGCGCTTAAATACCCCAACGAACCAGAGACATATGAAGGCTATATCGCCCACCTCCAAACAATTGAAGATTCCATACCGGGTCGACGCAAGGAAATATCGCAAGCGAAGAATAGGAGAAGCCAACACAGCTTAGCTATGCGACACCGGACGACGACCCCAGGCAACACGGAAAGACAACAACCTTCCAGTCAACGGGGCCCAGACAAGCCATGGAGAGGCAACAATCGCGCCTTTAGAGGAAACTCTAATAGGTCCCAAGGTCATAAGCGACAGCAGTCGCATAACCCTGATATTGAATGCTATGTCTGCGGAGAAAAGGGACATATTGCGCCTCAATGTCCCAAACGTGCGAGAAGGGACGACAACCAGGCAAAAACTAGGTGGCCCAGTGATGCGAGCAGCTGCGGCTCTGGGCCTAGAGGAAGAAAAAATCCAAAAGATAATGCCATTGAGACTATGGTTGAGCTGCAAGCACAAGGGCGCACTATTCCAACTTGTGCGTTAATCGACTCGGGGTGTCAAGCCCTTCTTATCAGCCGAAGGTTCGCAGATGCGCACCTCCCGGAGCCTGCAATAGGCCCGCGGAGGATAGTGGCCCTAGATGGTCACCGCATCCGTTGCTACGGACGCTACAGGCTGAGGGCAACCACCCAAGATTGCCACGGTGTTCGTAGAACGATTGAAAGAACATTCGATGTGGTTGATATGGACCATTATGATGCGATTCTAGGATACCCTTGGTTGAGAGAGGCGAACCCAAACGTCGACTGGGAACTAGGAACATGGGAATACCGGAAAATACCTCCGGAGAAAGAAGTCGAGATAATCAACGAAGCAGAGGTGAATCGCACTTTAAGAGAGGGAAAACAAGTCTACGCAGCGTACGTATCCACAACCGAAAATAACCAGGTCGAAATCCGTGTGGGTTCTGCGACAATCGGCGAAGGAGTGCGAATACCCGCAATCTACAAGGAGTTCGAAGATGTCTTTTCGGAGGAAAATGCAGGGATTCTACCTGCGCATGCAGACCACGACCATGCAATTGATATACAACCGGGAAAGGAACCCCCATACCGACCAATTTACCCCTTGTCCGAAAGTGAGCTCGCAGTTCTGCGCAGATATATTGAAGCAGCGCTAGAAAAGGGATGGATTCGTCCCTCGAAAAGCCCAGCTGGCGCACCTATTATCTTTGTACCGAAGTCCGACGGAACACTGCGACTCTGTGTGGATTACCGCGGTTTGAACGAGATTACTGTCAAAAATCGTTACCCCTTACCACTTGTTAGCGAGACTATGGATCGCTTGGCTGGCGCTAAGATATATATACCAAACTTGACCTGAGAGACGCGTATCACCGCATCCGAATTAAAAAGGGGGATGAATGGAAAACTGCATTTCGCACAAGATATGGTCACTTCGAATACACTGTCATGCCATTCGGGCTAGCCAACGCCCCAGCTACGTTCCAGTCCTATATTAATCGCGCATTAAGCAACCTACTAGACCATTGCTGTGTTGTTTATCTGGATGACATTCTTATATACTCGCAGAGTGAGGAGGAACATGTTGAGCATGTTACCGCAGTTTTGGAGAGACTGCGACAATTCGGGCTATACGCCAAGCTGAGCAAATGCTCATTTCATGTGAAAAGTGTGGAATACCTGGGATTTATCATCACGCCTTCGGGCATTCAGATGGAGGAAAGCCGTGTGGCTACCATCCAGGCTTGGCCGGAGCCAACAACCGTGCGAGAGATCATGATATTCCTGGGATTTGCAAATTTTTACAGGCGTTTTATTGAGGGTTATTCCCGCATTGCATTGCCGCTGACCCAGCTCACCCGAGGGGAGCAAGGGGAGGAGCAAAAGGCAATGGTTCTTGAACCAGCGCCTTGAGCTGCCTGAGGACGCAAGAGTTGCGTTTAATAAACTAAAAGTGCGTTTTCGAGCGCACCATTGCTATCTCATTATGACCCTAGGAATAGGACCAGGGTAGAGACAGATGCGTCTGGTTTCGCTATAAGTGCGATAATCTCCCAATTACAGGATGATAACGAGTGGCATCCTGTGGCATTTTTCTCACGAAAGATGACCGATTCTGAACGCAGGTATGATACGCATGACCAAGAGTTGTTAGCGATCATTGAAGCATTCAAAGTTTGGCGACATTACCTCGAAGGGCGGGGGAGCCAATAGTGGTGAAGTCTGACCATGCCAACCTAAGCGGTTTCATGCGGCCCACATTGAAGCGGCTTAATGGACGTCAGGCGAGATGGGTCGAGTTGCTGAGCGCGTTCGATTTTCATATTGAGCACCGACCTGGGGTAAAGAACCCTGCAGATGCGCCAAGTAGAAGGCCAGATTATCTGCCGAGCGCAGATGAAGTAAGTGATGCGTCACTGCTTCCCACATTGCGATCAAAGTTGAAATTGGCCATGGGCAAGAGTCATTGGGATGACGCACCCAATGAGTTAAAACCGCATGGGCGGGAATAATGGCGCTGGACACCGAAGGCGGGTCCAAACAATTAAATAAAATGAGCTCTGATGCGCATATCTCCATGGGGAGTATGCATGCCCACGTGGATAAGAACGCACCCGTGGATGAGGACTGTGCTGCCGGCGTTACCAGAATTCTAGACACCTGGGTGCCACGGATCTATGTCCGCAAGGTTATTGGATCCGAATCAGCTTACTCCAGCATTGAGGAGTCCATGGTGGACTATTTGTGCAAATTGCACCAAGAGAATCGCGAGGTACGCGATATTAAGCGAAAAGTTGATCGCAAGCTGGGGACTATGGCAGTCCGGCCTGGGGAATTGGCGAAAATGGCCTACTCAGGTACCAAGGTCGCGTTTATGTACCCAGAATTCCTGCGGTAACACATGAAATTATGAAAGCAAATCATGATGATCCTCAGGAGGACATTTTAGAGGAAAACGCACCTTGGAAGCCGTCGAACGCAAATACTATTGGCATGGTATGCGTGGCGATGTGCTGGATTATGTGAAAACCTGCGATATTTGTCAAAGAATTCAAGTGCATAGACACGCACCTTATGGCAAGCTGGAGCCTTTGCCGGTGCCAGAGCAGCCTGGGGAAGTGCTGACTCTTGATTTTATTACTGGACTACCGCCCAGTTCACCGAGTATATCTGCCAGCCCAGGGGGCACAGAGAGTTATGATGCGATATTAGTGGTTGTGGATGCCCTAACAAAGTTCGCACTTTATATTCCTTTGCAATAAGGATATCTCGGCGCCAGAACTCGCACATTTGGTTTATCAAAAGGTGGTACCCATGTTTGGTAATCCAAAGCGATGGGTGTCGGACAGGGGCTCGCTGTTTACCAGTAGCTACTGGTCGACACTGTGCTATTGCCTAGGATCAAGCGGAAACTGTCTACTGCGTTTCATCCGCAGACAGATGGTCAGACAGAACGCCAAAACCAAACATTGAGTATTACCTGCGAGCCTATGCGAGTTTCTTGCAAGATGATTGGGTTGACTGGCTGCCAATGGCACAAGTTACATATAATGCTGCGATTCATTCATCCACAAAGACAAGCCCACATGAAGCATTGATGGGCTTCGTCCCTAGCCTGAGAATCAATGTCGATCCTGATCCCACTGGCCATGCGCTAGCAGCGTTGGAGCGCGCAACACAGCTCAAGGAAAAGCGATCCTTGGTCAAGGATGCGCTTGAAAAGGCGCAAAAAGCCATGGCAAGGCAATATAATAAGCGTCGGATCGACAGACAATTCAAGATTGGTGACAAGTCATGCTACGGGCGAAGAATGTCTCTACAGTGCGACCTAATGCGAAATTAGACCACCGCCAGCTAGGCCCATTTTCCATTATTGATGCATGGGGAAACCAATCGTACAAGCTTCACTACCACCAAAATATCGCCGTCTGACCCGTTTTCCACGTGTCTTTGTTGGAGCCATACCATGAACGACGGGTCAATGGAGCCGACCCCCGCCAATACCAATTAATGGCGAAGAGGAGTGGGAAGTGATCAAATTCTGGAGGAAAAACGCGACAAGAGTGGTAACATAAGCTATTTGGTGCGATGGAAGGGCTATCCACCTGATGACGATACCTGGGAACCAAGATCGCACGTCGAAGACACTGAAGCCCTGGACATCTGGCTTACTAATACAGCACCTGTTACCCGACGACGTACGCGCTACATGGCTAAAGGAAAATAGCATTCTATTTAACTAAGACAAGATGGCGCAACGGCCCAATAACACCGACCTCCCACCCAAAGAGACAACTCAACCCTTGAAGGACGAAAGGACCGCATCAACAAAACGACCCAGGCGACTGGGAGTCGCAGGAACGGGAGCCATGGGCGAATGCGATGGAGTGCGTTCAGGGACAGGCACAGATGTACTGCTATCCACGCGTGGTATTCGAGGTTTTCGAACCGCACGTCTTGCTCCCTTACCAGCCCAGCCGCCCTCTCCTGCGCAGCAGGGCGACGAGACTGGGGAAGTCCAACAAACGTGCGATGTTCAGTAACCATAGAAACAGCCAAAGGACCAGCGGCAACCTCCGGAGCGACACAAGGGTGTCGCTGGCCAGTACAATAAACACAGTTTAAACGACCTGGCAAGAAAACACACGCTGACGCAGCATCTCGCTCAAACGAACAAGGCAACGGTGGCACCAGGGACTACCCCCTGGGCCAAAGGCAAACCATTCGTATCAACATGGACCGGCGCAGGGGTAGTCTGCACCTGGACGACCGAAGCCGCCGATGGAGACAAAGGGGGCGATGAAACTTTCGCACAAATTAGCAATATTACCTTACATAAACGCACCGGACTTACCAGACACGTCCGGAGAGGGCGATTCGACTCCGTCCGGCTCCGCCGAAGCAGGAGAGGATGGAAATCCCTCCCATTCCGGCGAAACCGAGGGGGCGCAGGTGTGAAAACACATCTCTTCAGAGGATGAACGAGGACGAACCCACGGAGAAGGCGACGGCGTCGTGGGCGGATTCTCCCGATGGAGGCGACGAAGCTTTGCGGCGACCATCTGCGAAAACACCCATATTAGTAAGCTCAAAACATGCGAGAAAGCGCTGGAGGAGCCGTTACCCTTATTAGCTGAGGCAGAAGAGTGCGCACGTACCGCAAGAAGTTTGGTGGTTTGAGAAGAGAAGAGGAGAAGAAAAAGAGAAGAGAGAGAGAGGAAGCAAAAAGCTCAGCGTCAACAACAGAACTAAGCTCAAACGGGCGAAAAACTGCAGTGAATGAAGCAGAACTGTTGCCATGGAGCGACTACCTGCGAAAACACACCTACACTCACCCAAGCTCCAAGACATCGTACCAAACATCGATCAACCGCACAAACCATTATGGGAAGGACTCAAGGGATTGGAATCTATAACACATTACCCATCATAACGCATATATTCATACTACAGTCTTTAAGGCTTCGAGGGCGAAGCCTCTTGGAGGGGAAGATAGTGTTAGGAGCGCTCGGAAGCGCGATAGCTAGATCCTTAGCTAAGATGCTTAGTCAGGTGCGAAGTGTTTATATTCGCACCCGCGGGCCTGAACTCTTGAAGGCCAGCGATTAGTTCTGCAATATACGTGGCTCTATCTTCTCTCCTATATAGACACTCCCTTTCGCACCGTAGCGCCCCATTCAGCTCGTTACCGACCCCCCACGCATAACAGAATATCTTCCCGAGAGCCAGGGAATAAAGCATATTGAGCCCCGTGTTTCGGATTCAATTATCGTTCCTCCGGATTTTAGCATCGGTGCTTTCGACGAGGCCCAGAAGTCGATCCTGAGTCTGGTGTTTACTAATACTTGGCCCAAGTATATTGATTTTTCCTGCGGTTTGTCAATTCATTCGAAGTAAAGATACAGAGGCTCTGACGACAGTTTGTGGTCCTTGGTCTGTAATATGTTACTATTAGAGAAATATGAACATTCATTATTAGCATACAAATTAGTGGGAAATATTTGGCTTTTCTCATCCTGATACAGTCCCTGTACAAAAGTCCCTGTATAGAACGACAGATTGCTTTACAAGCGCATACAAGATTCTACTCTCTCAGGAGTCGAAAATGGGCCCAAAAGCGGGCACTCCGCTTGCCTCGAGTTCAAAGACAACTTTTTTCGTGAGCACTGGATTGCTAATCACGCAGACCGCCTCTGCCTCGAATTCCTGGATCAGCTCCTGAACGACGGGTACCATGTCCACTCGCCCGCTGCTGTTGGTGTCAATCACAAGTGGGTTGGGATCCAGCTGCCGCACTAGGTTGACGACGTCTCGGCCGTACGTCCGATTTGGGTTGCGCGTCTGCCAGACGATGCGCAGGGGGGGGCGGTTCGTCTCGCTTAAAAATGAGAGACAGGGCCCTATCCCGGACCCTGTGGTGACGACAATCACCCGGCGAAAAACTCGCATCACGTGGATGAAGCCGTACATCAGCATTCCACGCTTCCACAGTTGGGTCGGTTGCTGGTTGATGCACCGGGTCGTCCAGTCGCCTGCTTTGGACACCAGGCACGAAAAGCTCTTGCCATCGGGATCGGGGAAGGTGGCAAAGCTATGCCAATCCTGCAGCGGATGTTTCGAGAGTGCAATCACTTTCCCGAAGGCAGTTGACGTGTGGTCGAGGTGGAGCCGGACGGCATGCGGTGATAGATACTCTGGCCAGACTTTCACCCGACGCAGAAGAAGCCAGGGATGGACGATGGTGACGATGATCACCAGCACAAACCAAAATGCCGGCAGTCTGATCAGGTACTGCCCGAGTGTCAAGCCCTGCTCTTGCCGGGCTTGATTGGAGAACACCAACAGGAGGGCCAGGAACAGAGCCACTGCCAACCAGGCACAGAATCGGTGGATGAGCTCGAAATAGTCATGTCTCTTGGTCCGGAATGTAGGGTACGCCACCACAATGATGGCAATGAGGACGGCGAGTAAAACATAGGATAGGACCACCACAGCAAGGGACACCGTCCCAACACCTCGAAAGATCCAATATTCCCGTGATATCAGAGCCACCAGGCCCGTATACCACAAGAAAGCAGCCACACCACATCCACTGTGCATTCCCCCATAGTGGTACGCTTTTGCAGCCATCTTGCGCATCACGAGAGGAGCCGACCGCGGGATGCAACAAATACACAGAAAAATGGCATTTACGATTAACGGATGTCGCGCGAGGCCGCATACTAGCAAATTGATGCCCGCTGCGTTGACAAATGCCAGAAGTTTCTGTTGGCTCTCCACCATGACGAACACGAATGCGACCGCATTGCCGCAATATACCAGCGTAAACAGACGCCGGTAGATGGTGAGGATCAGATATCGTAGTGACGCAAAACACCGTCTTGGGTTCTGTTGAGCCTCGAGGTCCGTATTTGCGGAAAACCTCTTCAAATCATCCGTAGTGCCATTGCTCATATATGTATCGACTGACGTTGCAACACTTGGCTTGCTTGAGTGAGCGGGGGGAGGCATTTGGCTCAAGAAGGATGATCTCTGTCCTACCCATATATCGAGTGCGGCAGGGAAGGGGGAGGGGGGGGGAGGGGGGGGGGGAACCTAATTGTATAGAAAGGAAAATATTATATATGTACATGCATGGACCAGGGAATTGGAGAAAAAAATAAAGGTTTAAATAACATGAACGCTCTCAACGGAGTAATACGGGAGACGCCCGTCATGTCATGCCCGTAGCCAAAATAACCCCTCTCTTGTTCATAATCGTAAGATGCCCGTTATTAGACTGAGGTTTGTGGGCTATCTAACCGGTTCCGGTATCGGGTGCGCAGATGGCAGGGTCCCAGTCGCATGGTTGAGGGTCGAAGGCTAGAAATTTCGTGTACGTGCAGGAGGAGCTGTAGGGAAACCAAGAGGCCACGCAGGCAGTCGAGCCAGGGAACTGGACTAAGCGAATGGCGTTTCCATAAATCCTTCTTCGAAAGACCACGGAGTATGCAATGCAACCAGCTAGGAATTAACTAGTACCCGTCTTCCCCACTAGGTACCGCTCTGGCCGTTAGGGGTCCTGTCACAAAATTGGCTTTTTTTTCCATGTGAACTGGCAACTTTTTTAAAAGCAGCATACCGACCTCTATAAGATTAATCAGATGTGGTTTTATTATGAAAACTTTGCCAATCGACTCAATGCCACTGTGCATTGCCTCGAACCGAGGACCAGTACCTTGAAAAGCACATGCAGCGTTGAGCTGTTGGCTTTCTCAACATCCTAGTCATTGTGCTAATAATATAGTGGCTTAGCACTTGGAACATTTACCTAGGTTGTAACGGTGACAATGAATAATTTTACTCCCGCTTGGTGTCTAGTTCTATTGATTTTCCTTGTTTCCCTGATATTGCGGAGTAAGACGGGATACCTAAAATTGCCTGATGGCAGGAGGCAGCCAAGCTACGTACAAAATCAGCAACATATAATAAGCACTATAAGACTAGAAAAAGCTAACTCGGTAGTTTATAGGAGACATACACTTATAATTCTTATTGACTTAGTCTTAGAATATATTATAGACGTGTGCACTGCCTATGTGTCAATACCTGCTATACACATGCTGTGCCTGATGTCAAGGCATGGTTCTATATTAGATGGCGCACGAAGGGATGTTTTGGATATTTCCCCTCTCTATAGTGCAGCCTTTAGACCTATTATGTATAGAGCTTAAGGGACCCTGGACGCCTCCAGGGGTTGGTTCCTTGTATACCAACGGTCAACGCCTTCTTAGCCCTAGAAGGCCCGATTGTATCCGCCCGCCGAGTGGGCCCGCCAAGCCCAGTGTACCTTGGGAGTGCAGCCTGCCAGAATGAATGAATTGCCTCCAGGATATAAACCCAGCGCCTGGTTATGAACGGGCGAATTCAGGACCTATGCATTGCTACTGGGTACAAGAACCACCTCTATTGAGTCCCCGGACACGAGAATGTCGCCGGACACGAGCTCACAGACAAGGCAGCCAAGGCAGCTGCAGAGGAGAAGAGCACTCCAATAGACGACTGAAATATACTTTACGTCCATGCAGATCCTGCATTATGTCAACTGCGTTGTTTACGGAAGTGTGCCGCCCTAGGAAAGCATCACGCATTCCTCCTTGCCTGGGTCCCGTATTGCCTGATCTCCAATGTAGATGCTTAGCAAACTTTAATACGCGAATAAGCGGTGATAGATGCTGACACACCCATACTGGTCCACAGTGCATCGCTCAATCCCTCTCTCTCCTATTTAGCTAACGCTCTCTACGGTATGAAAAATGCACAGCTAAACTACTTACTTGATGATTCCCGCTTCTTTGTCCCTTGGAAACAAACAACACCGACCTATCGCAGGTCATCCCATCGCGGAAGTCAGGAGGACAAACAAGGGAATAGTGTGTTGTTTGCTAAGCTGTATTTTCAGTTCAATAGACGTTAGTACCACAATTAACATTAGTACCACCATCTTTGGAAAAAATAATCCTTTTCCGCGTTGACTGCCCAGTCTTGATATGCCGGAAAGTTTTTTGACTTTACCTTCAAGCTAAGCAGCCCTACACCGAAAAAAGAAGAAAATGGATGTTGTACGGGAATGGTACAAGTAGAAAGATATTGTATTCTCCTTAAAGCACTTAGATGCTATACACAGTTTTACTATACACCTTAGTTGGTCTCCCATATCTTAAATATGGGGGTAGACTACGTCATGCTGCTTGCATCGTGTAGGCCAGATTAGTCATCGAAAATCTGCTCAATAGTCGGACTGCAATATCTAAATAGTAGAACTTTAACCGTCCAAGGACCAAGAAATGGATACAGCAACGTGGGATTGGTCCTATCACTCATCCAATCTGACATAGTAGAATCTATGGCCATGTCACCAGTACTGCGATAGCCGGGGAAGGTTCGTTTTGATACTCACAATCCACCGGAATTTGATTTATCTCAGATTCTCCTTGCATATCGCGTCTCAGGAGCTCGTGGGTGCTGGTCCAATATAGTTCGTAACCATTATGAACTGTACAGAGTCTAGGAAATTTATCATCCCCTACAAGAAACTATAGACAATGCATAGATGAACTAAAGCGGAACCTCCGGGTTTACTGCTCAGCGTGGATTCTTCGCCCTGATCGGGTGTGAATGGACAAAGCATTATGACCAGTATGGTATCAGCTGTACATATCTAAATCGTATTGAGTGGCAAGCACCTCATCAGTCATCTCAATTTCGAAGATCGTGGAGCGTCATGTTGTTAAAAGAGTATTTGGGGCATTCTGGAGGGGTAGAAAAAATGCTCTTGCCTACTAATATCTGGGTCATGGTGAAGGCTGATATCCTGGGCGATGCAAATAGCAATAACAGCCGTGTTCCAACAGTCGTTCAGCATTTTGTACTTAGCAGGTATTATGCCATGAGTGGAAGAGCTTGGACCAGAGGAAGGTTTCCTTCAGGTAGCATATCAAAGTTGATTAAAGATTTGGCGCGTTCGAAAAAAAGGCATGCACCGTTCACAGCCTAGCTGGTAAATATTGGAACTAAGATAGAACTCAAGGCGGAAACACCGTTCGATAAATAGAAAAGGCCTGTATTCTGCGTCATCGAAGTGCACCTTTGAATTCTCATACTTGGAATGCGTCTCCTAACGCACCCAAATATTCCGATATTTCGTGTCAAAGGGCGAAAAATAAAGGGAAGCACAACGAATGGAGCCATCTCCAGTAGCTCTCAAATCAATGAATCCGCTCCCGTCCATGACGGCACTCAAGTGAAAGATATCCATTCTCGATTTTCTTTCACATGCCAGGGATATCGCTGAGGCAAGAATCTTTTTTAATCAGCTGGTCTTCCCGCTACTTTCAACGGGAGTGTTCATGTTCGGTATGTAGTTTCTGTCTCTGTTCTGATCATTACATGCTGAATGCTCATCTGGTGTATGTCTTCCGGATATGAATGTGCACAGGCATCCTAGAGTTCATTTATTTAGTTTCTCTGGGGCTCAACATAACAAAACCGCTGAATATTAGAATAGCTGATTCTGGTTGAGCAATATTTTCATACCTGTCACTCCACCATTCTAGTTGTTTGTGTCCTCATTCCAAGGGCACTGCACTGCTGGGCACTTGGTACATATACCACGTAAAATTCTTACGTAGATGTACTCAAGAACCTGGAACTGGGCGAAAAATGGCCGGAAGCAGATACTTATCCCTACAGGGGAAATCTCTGCAGCTCGTATTTTGTGGGGAAGATTTACATCTGTTCATTCCTCTGGTGGCACAGGCTGTTCTGAACTCCCGATCTCCATATTACGGAGTACAACTGGCTGTTTGTTATTTGTCAATCCCAGAAATAAGGCTACCAATAGAGTCCGATCCGAATAGAGTCCATCAATCGGATCGGCTGATTCCAGTAGTTCCGCCAGCCATCGTACGGAGTAATTAATAGGATTTCCCAATTGCATGTCTCTATCCAGTGGAATGGAGGGAGTATCATCTGGTCGTTTGCAATTTGATTTTATTTTATTTTTTAGAACACGAAGGATAATGCAAGGGTTCTAAAGGCCATGCATGATCTATTACTAAAATACCCGAGCCGACATAGCCGGCGGATGAATAAATGCCACGGAGACAGCACCACAAATTGTTTACCGCCACGGATGAAAACCCTTGTATGAAGCGAAAGGGCCGTGTAGCACTTTATTAACTTTTCAACATGCTATCTGTAGTAAAGCCATGGAGACACAAGGTTAGAAACCTCAGGAAAGAATGCAGCAGAATACATAGTCGGGTGAATCCGATTCGTTCTGAATTTTAGAAATAATAATAATAATAATAATATAATAATAATAATAATAACAATAATAATACTAAAAATGACATGTCTGAACGATGTCTAAGTGGCTGGACTTGCGGAATCACATCCGGCGCTACTGAAGGATTAGCAGATTTAAGGTTTTATGATATAATAAAGTGTGTTTATAAACTTTAGAAGAGAATAATAGTTGACCTGTACGGATCAGTTAGCGACATAGTCTAGGTTTTCTCAATGGGGAAGTTTAAACTCGTGTGGCCGTTTTCAATTTATTCCCCTTAGTGGCGCCCACGAATTACCCGAGTGAAAACACCTTAAGAGCACTTAATATCTCCTTCCACATTATGTATATGCCGGTCCATCATTACTTAGAACGCCCTGTGAGCACCTGATCTTTCTTGGACCACGACATCGCTAAGACCCAGCGAATTTCAACCCGGGTGGTGCGTACCATGCACGTCGTTATGGAGAAGATCTACGATGCCTTCTTGACCGTCAACATCCTCAGCGGGACCGTATCCACATGCCAGCAACGGCACAATCCGAAGACCCTAACTATGGGGATAATTGGAGCAGCCTCCGAAGTGGTGTTCAATAAGCATGTACGGAGTAAATGGGCCGAAAAATTGGAGAAGGTAAATTTCATAATAGTCACGGTGTTTGGGAATTTTCCGTTATCTTACAACATTATGGCCATTGCAGCGGTGCATCAAGTATGGCATATTATGAGAGATCACAAAATAGTGCTCAATATATGCTGAGATTACCTTTTGTAGGTAAAAGGTTGGCACTGAGTAAGCCAGCCCTCACCTCGAAATCGAGTGTTATTATGGTCGATCTGAAACACCGCCGGAGTCCAAAACGCTTGTTGCGGAGACTAATGACTGCACTCGTTTTCTACAATGCGATGTCAGCGACTGGAGGGATCGGGAAGGAGCGGTGACATTCTCTGAGAAGGGTTTGGAGATGTTCCAGACGTGTCTGTTGCGGATACTGGACCAGACGCCGTATGAAGCCTTCTGTCTAATTCTCTATTAAGAGCTTGGAACAGGCAGAGACCACACTAGATGTCAAGGTGTGGGAGTATGCTTCATCTAAGAGAAATGTCCACCAACAGCCCAGTTAAAGGTCCCCTCATGGCAGGCATCCTGGATAACTACAAGGCAGGACAAGTCAACCTCCACGCACATGGATTTTGTATAAAAGACTTAATCGAGGAAGACACATATCGAGGTGGAACAGCATTTGGTTATAATTCCTCAAAATAAATATCGTGCTTTTTGTCCTGGGTACTAAACTTGCTCAGCTATATTCGGTTACTTAAGATAGGCACAGGCATCACAGAAAAGTGTCCAGACGTTTTTATTTTAGAGTAGTCTAGTGGCCTATATAGGACTTGCGTGATAATCGGTATACCCCTATAGTAGTCTAGTAGAATAGCATTAAGAAAAGTCTCTTTCAAGATACAAAGAATATATAAGCTGCTTTTTCCTCATAATACCAACCAAAATACAACTCAGACATAATATCTCATATTTAGCTTAGTAAATCCCAAAATATATCGATCGACTTTCCATGGTTCTGAATCATCGCACTTGAGCAATGGCTTCAGTCATATCGAGGCGACAATCTTGCTATCCGATTTCAGGAGAATCCCGCCCTCGTACTGTAAGTATCATTCAACGGTCTATAGTTAAAGAATTTGGTTGGAACACACCATGACACCCACCTGCTGGTGACTGGCAGGTCTATATATCCACGGTTGAAGTGTAGCGATATATATTTGGATACAGGTGTGTGTCTGCATCTCACTGGTCACAGTGGATGTGATGCCACCCCAGAGTGTGAAGATTGTTAATTATACTAGCTAGTGGAGATGCCACATTTTACGGGTTAGGTTGAAGCAATATTTTGGAGGTGCTACGGAGTACAACCATCCCTATCGTCCTAATTTGGTGGAGCATGTCCAGAGGTCCTACTGCGGATGATACTCACGTGATATTCATACTGCCTCAGGCAGTAGACTATTTACTGACTGTACATTCACGTGATCGTGTATCTCCATTAGGCTGTTTTAGATGTACTAAACCACATTAGGAAGGTAGTTTTGGGGGCAGCAGACATTTTGGCCTCATGTTGGTGGAAGCAGGTGGAAAGATGAAATATTCTTCTGTGGGGGTCATGCAATTCTCATGTTCTGTCCATCAGCGTTACTCCGTACTCTGGCCTGAGTGTGATTCTGCCTTCGGATTCATCATCACATCTCGTCCACCAAACAGGGACATTCCCCTGGATCGGAGCCCCTGACAAATATTGCTGCAATCTGTTGCTTGACGAGAGACTGGACCAGGTGAGAATTGATATATGAGAAAGATGAATCAATGAATGGATGGGTGGGCGATTCGGGATTGAAATACTCGGGAGCACAGACCGTGGCGAGATCGACCGAAGCACAAATGAAACTAAATGATGGAAAACTGCTCCGAATGCCAGCGATGATCCACTGTCGGAACCCACTGTTCCCCTCTTCTGTACTGCATAGAGAGTGCAATACGAAGTTTCTCTGGAGACTAACCCTGCTCCCATAAGATTACTGGAGCAGGAGCCATTAGTAATTCGGAGATATGATCACTAGCAGCGGTCTTACGGCGATTCCCGTCCCGCGATCCTCCAGGATTAATCAGGCTAACACAGTCTGATAGCCTGCATCACGTCAGCCTCGCCTCAACCGAGCCTCGTTGACCTCTTCATAGCTCGGTACTTTCATCCGTTCCTCCGTTTGAATCCCAGTACCGCCGTTGCCATGTCAATGTCTCATCTGCCAGAGCCAAACCCTCCTCAGGGGTTCGAGGTCAAACGCCGGAAGATTCGCAAAGGGACCAGCAGCTGCTGGGAGTGCAAACGGCGCAAGATCCGATGCACGTTCGGCCCCACGTTGGACAATATCTGCGTGGGCTGCCAACGACGGGGCACTCGGTGTCTGAGCCAGGAGTTCCCTGAAGAAGCTTGTCCGCCTCGCGATCGATTCGGCCGCATCGAGGCCCGGATTGACCAATTGGCCCAGACTGTTAGCGCTGGAAGCAGTACAAATACAAATAGAACTAGTTTGAGTAGTCGAGGAGAGAGACCCCCCACGTTCGGTCTCGCCAGGATTCCCTCGCGGAGTTCCAGAGAGGTGGAATCTGCAGGGGATCTTGCGTCCGCCGAACCCTCGGTGGTAAGGCATCCATCCTGGCAATTTTTATTATCTGTTATTCCTGGTCTGTTAACTTTCCTCAATAGGACGGATTTCCCCTGGAGGAGGGCGGAATTCCGCAGGACAGCAATTTCCCCGATCCTGGTTCTCATTACCCCGACACGGCCAAGCATGCCAAACTTTCCCAGGCGTTGCATGCCGCTCTACCATCACCGGAGGATCTGGAGATCATGTTGAAGGCGGGCGCCCATGTCTCCATCTATTTCCACCAGGTCATGATGGCCCCCTACTCCGACGTGGAGCGCGATGGACTCGATCTGCTGGGCACCGCGTGGCCGGACCCCGACACGCATCCGGTGCTGCTCGCTAAGTACATCTTCCTGCTAGCCATCACTCTCCAGTATGTCGATCCCGAATCCTATGAGCAGATCAACCGGATGTCCGAGCCCCCGCGGGTTATCATGACCAGGCTCGCGAACACGGCCATTGATCGGGTCACGGCACATGACGAACTGCTGGGAACCGTGGAAGGGTTGGAATGTGTCGTCCTGGAGGGGATTTACCAGGCAAACTGTGGGAACCTCCGCCGCGCCTGGATTGCGTTCCGGCGAGCGATGGCTCTCGGTCAGCTTATGGGCATCCACCGAGATGGACACCGGCCGCTGAAAGTCATCGACAGTCGCACGACCAAGGTTACTAACACTTCATTCCTGTGGTATCGCATTGTCAATACCGACCGCTTTCTGTGTTTGATGCTGGGGCTGCCTCAAGGCTCGCTGGACCGAAGTATGTCGGCAGAGTCTGCCCTCGCCCAGGACACGCCGATCGGCCGTCTGGAGAGACTCCATTGCACCATCGCCTCCCTGATTCTGGAGCGTAATGAGAAGGACCCGGGCTCCTACAGCTTCGAGACCACGAAAGAGATCGATCTCAAACTGCAGGAGGCGGCCCAGACGATGCCGAGCGGATGGTGGCTCGGTCCCAACCTGCCGGCCGCCGCTGCCAGTCACGACGAGCAGACAGTATTCTGGGAGATGCTGCGACTTGTCAGTCAGCTCTTCCATTATAACCTGCTCAACCAGCTGCATCTGCCATTTATGCTGCGCTTTACTTCCTCCGAGCGTCGCTATGACTACACCCAAGCGACGTGTGTGAACGCCTCGCGTGAGGTGCTCACGCGTTTTATCTCCTTCCGCAGTTTTAACCGAGTGCCCTATTGCTGCCGTGCAGTCGACTTTTTCGCCCTGCAGGCAGCGCTGACCCTGTTACTGGCGCATCTCGACAGCCACCGCCGCCGGGCCAGCACGGGGGATCTGAGTTCCCTTGCCCACCAGCGCCTGAGCGACCGCGCCATGATGGAGCAAGTCGTCTGGAACATGGACCAGATCAACCAGGTGAGTCGCGATGCTCTCAGTGCAAAAAGTGCCAGTCTGCTGCGCCGTCTACTGGCCATCGAGGCCGAGGCGGCCTCTGGAAGTAGCTATATCACCCAGAACGAGCGAGCCTGCGAAGGACAGCCCCCGTCGCGTGCGCCGGACGAAAGCAATGTCCTGCGCATCCGCATTCCGTATTTTGGCACCATCCGCATTGCGCCCGAGTGCCTGATATCCAAGGAGGTATCGCCGGAAGGAGCCGCGCTGTCGCTGTCCGATATTCCGGCCAGGACCGGCGTTGGTGGTGGTCATGGAGCACCTGCTACGCCAACGCCATCGGACACAATCTCGATGGAGATGCCACAGGTGCCACCGCACGGGAACGAGCAGCAAGTGCAGGCCCAGCTCGATGATCACTCGCGAGGGGGTGAGACCACTGTGCCGTACACGGACCACGATCGGGTGCAACAGCAATATCTGCATCCGGGGCTGACGGCGGGCGTGGATGACTGGGCTTTTCAGGGGGTTGATATGGCCTACTTCACCAGCTTGATGGGAGGATCGATGTTGACAAACTCCTTGGGCAGCACAACCTGATATCTCCAGGTTTTATATAAAGCAGAGATATAGGATGGGCATGGTTACAAATAGAACGCTAGGCGTTGCTCTCTCCAATAGAGAATGGAATATCTTAAAACGCCGTAGCGCCAAACGTCATCGTCCACTTAACCTCAGTATTCAAGGTTATGAATGTGAAAATACAGTCGATCCAGTGAACTGCAAATAGAAAGTCCAACCACAAAAGGCGTACACTTCTCAGCCCATCATGCTGTTCCCCCCGCGTTCTTCAGCGCTTCAGACCCCAGACGCCGCCAGTTACTGAACAAACTGGCCACGAAAGCGATCCCAGCCCCCCCAATGGCAATTGCAAATGCCACCTTGATCCCGGCCATATAGGCCACCAGAATCCCCGGCACTTGGGAGGCGGCAAAGATGGTACGCAGCTCCGTTGCGCCCGTGGCCACCACAGTCGCTGCATCCACGCCCGGCGCCGTGTTGGGCAACTTCGCAATCATCGTGTTCACAAAGGCCGACTGAGCCGCTGAGACGAAGAAGGCGCCGCCGAGCGTCTGGTAGACTATCATCAAGTCAGCTAAGCGTATGAACAACTGAGATGCGTCCTACATAAGATGATTGCAGTCACAGATGCCAGGTCCTGCGGACTCGAGTAGCTTTGGGCCACGATCATAGGGATCTGAAAGCAAGTGCCCCAACCAATGCCACCGAGGATCTGGTAGCCGATCCACTTGCCAGCGGCGCTGCCAATATCGAGTGTATAGAGGAGCCCGGCCCCAACTGTAGCAATCGCAATCGATGGGGGCATGACCGGAGTCGCAATACGAGTGATGGAAATGCCGGTGCCAGAGGCGATGGTGCACACGCTGACGGCCAGGATAAGCGGCAGATTGCGGACGCCCGAACCCGTGGGGCTTGTATTATCAATGCTCTGGAAGTAAATGGGAAGATAGTATATGCCGACGTAGTAGGAACCTGCCGTGAAGAAGGCAAAAACACTGTTCACCCACACGGAGCGCCGACGCATCAATCGCAGCACCATCATGGCTCGCTCGCCCTGCCACCTCTCCCACGCGGCGAAAGCGATTGTGATGACCCCAAAACCAACCAGCATACCCACTACCTCGCTGGAAGACCACGACCGTGATTGTCCACCGTACTGCAATGCTAGCTGGTAGCAGATCACCGCGCCCATAACCATGGCTGTTCCGACGGGATCCATCTGCAGGATTCTCTCCTTGATCGGAGCAGGAACCGGTTTTGCGCTCTTCGGGGTGTGGAAGAAGAACAGGATAATGAATGCGGTGACGCCTCCGATAGGCAGGTTGATGTAGAAACACCATCGCCATGAAACCTTCTGGGTAAAGGCGCCGCCAACGAGGGGACCTACCACGGACGCGATGCCATAGCTGGCCCCAATGATGCCCGTGAACATGGGCCGTCTGGCCGGTTCAGCAGCAAATCCGATGATGATATACGTACCAGAGCCGATACCCGCAGCGCCGAGGCCAGCAATCGCACGGCCGACGATACTGTTCCAGTTAGGTCCATTGTTTCCGCTTGGGTTGGGCCTTGGGAGACTTACAGGGCGGTCGAGTTGGGAGCAACGCCGCAGACCAGGCTGCCTAACTCGAAGACAAAAACGGAGAGCAGAAAGGTCGTCTTCAGGGGAAAGTACTTATACGTCTTCCCCCATGTCGACTGGAATCCTCCCAGTGTCATGAAGAAGGCCGAGCCATACCATGCCACGTCGTCCAGACTATGGAAGGTATCAGTGATTTTGGGAATTGCGGTGGCCACGATGGTCTGGATCTGATCAGTTTGTTGACAAAGAAAGAAAAAGCAGGATGTCTCACCTGGTCAAGCGAAACGAGGAACAAACTGATGACCAACGCCACCATGATCATGGTGAGGGTGATGCCCTGGGGATATTCGTTGGGATCGTCCGTGGCTTCATCATCTGGGAGTACACGATGGGCCGTCGACTCTTCCTTGCTTTCTAGCTCTGGCGTGGATGGAATTTGGATGTGGCCATCGCTGCCATAGACGCCCTTCTGCTCAGGGAACAGACCCAAAGGAGACGTTCCCTTCGTGTCCGCCAATGTAGAGTCGGATGACATTGTGCTCGACAGGCGGCTGTTTCAATTGCAGGCCATTGTCCACCATGAAAGAGCGAAAAAAACATTCTTAAAGCTGATCGATGCAGGGTGTTCATCTGACGAGGGATCTGACGATGAAAGAGAGGATCTCGACCAGGGCAGCATTCGAGACAGGCGAACCTCCGCCGTCGCTCGGCGGAAGACCGGCGCGGCGGGTCAGATGTCTTTCTTTCTATTCTTTTTCTTTTTCTTTATTTGTTTATTTTGTTTCACTCTATTTAATTAGTCTTGTGTTCCCTGTTGGACCCCTTTTCTTGGAATCGGATGACTAACGGAACGATTTATAAACTCCTATGAACAACTATCTATCTCAATATTGCAGTGCACTTCCACTGTTAGGAATTATCTATTTGCAGTATTCTTAAACAGATCAGAGTTCATAACCTGTATATAGTAAAACAGATATTTATTTGAGAACTAAAATACCTTTGGAGTATGCACAGAAGACCAGGCGCACTGTCTTCTACCGATTTATAATAATGGGCAATAGAATTTTAAGAAAATACATTGATCTGTATTATAGATAATTATACTTGTGAAATATAGTATGTAATAGTGTTTATTGTTCTGAGAACTACCAATGATCTGTATATACTAGGGTTCGATAGCATCATTCAATGAGAATATTCTTCCAGCCTTATGCCCGTAATAACCAGACTATCCTGCACTACACATGGCCTGCTTATACTTCATAATACCATGCGCTCGTCTTAATCTTAACTTGAAGATGCCTATTGCTTGACCATCACCCGGACACCTTTGCTACCCCATTTGGGCATCGGCCGGACAAGATCATTAGCAAAGTCGACATCACTGCGGTCCGTTTCGAATAGCTCAAACTGGTGTCGACGAAACACGGTGGCTAGGGCAATGAACAGCTCCATGTAAGCCAGATGCATGCCGATGCAGGCCCTCGACCCTCGGCTGAATGGCACCAGATAGTGCGACAGGGGATGCACGCCGTCCGGCCCCTGGGATCCCCGAGCCAGCGTTCGGGACGGAATTGAAGAGGCTCGGGAAAAACGGCCTCGTTAGAATGCATATGGTAAGCATCCATGCTGACGGGCACTCCGGCCGGGATTTCCATTTCGCCGTATTTCCACACAGCCCGACGGTTTACGCGAGGCAGTCGCTGAACGGCACCGTAACCAAGACGCAATCCTGCTATTGTGTCAGTATTGATTTCTGGGGCGAAACGTCCGAGCTTGTCACCTTCTGAGACTACTGCCGACAGGTACGGCAGCTTCTCCAGCTGATCCGACGGCAGGATCTCTTGGGGATTCGGCATGGCCTCCTGCAGCTCCGTCTTCAGGCGAGCCAGTACCGCGGGCTGATCGAGAATATGGAAACATGCCACAGACAGCGTCCAGGTGACCGTCTCCATCCCGGCACCGTTGACGCTGGTGGCTTCCTCGGTGAGTCGTTTCAGAGTCAGCTCCTCAGGAGGCAAATGCCCAGTCAGGATATCGTGGAAGATAGTCGGAGTGGCCGACTCTTTGGCCGTGTCTTTCTTGGAGGACAGAATTTGCCGGAGTTGCTGGCGAGTTGCCTATATCCAATTCGTCAGTGTGTTCTATTCTCCAGCACACGCCCGGTTTGAGTAGGATTGACTAGGATTGCCTACTGTTCGATAGTCCAAGATCGGTTTGAAGGAGGGTACCAAAGAACCGACCAGCCCATCGGGAAGCCAGTTCATCAGCTCGGGCAGAAACCCGAAATGCGTGTTATAATGAGCAGCAAATGCCAGGTTAGACATAGATGCTGTGAAGGGCGATAGGAAATCCGGCGCCGCTGAAAAGTCGGCGGAACGGCCAAAGGCCAGTTCGGTGATGACATCGGCCGTCATGCTGGACCACATGTTGATAATGTTGAACACACACCCAGAGCCTGCATACTCGGTGGCGAGACGATGGGAGATGCGATCAATGATCTTTTGCAGGTTGCCATTGAGGTTCCGAACGCGCGCCTTGGAGAAGAAGGGGGCGATAGCCGCACGTCGCAGGCGATGATGCTCTGCAGGGACCGTGCTGAAGGTGGCATCGGGGATGTTGAAGCGATATTTATGCTTCTCGATCTTGTCGATGGGCCTGGCCGAAGTGCTGTTGCAGTAGATCTCATTGTAGTAGTTCGGATCGTCCACATGCAGCTCCGTCGGGTTGATGCGCACCACCGGTCCGTATTTCTCGTGCATGCGCTTGATCTCGAAGGTGAACTGCCCGCCTCCATTCTTACTGACGATGTCGTAGTAGACTTCGTACCAGTACGTCAGAGCAGCCAGTTTCGGTCCTGGGAACTTGGCCTGAGGGCAGAGATAGAGCCGATACAACGCCAACCAGAGGCCATACAGCACCAGACCGGACACAACGACCGTGGCAGCTGAGGCAGCATTGATCTGGCTGTGACTGTTCCCCATGATGATTGCGCGCAGTTCCCCGTTCTTCGTGCCGGTTTACTCTGCAAGGCGTTCTTGTATCTGTGTCTGCAGCCTGGGCATTAATATTGCTCTCGCCGTTCCATCTGACTGGATTCCCATCATGCAGGTAAGCGTGAAGAATCTGTGCCAGGTGAAGATGACTTTTTCTGAGATCAGCCATGCATGCTTACCATCATTGCCTTCGGGGCGATCCATTGCTTCCGCCGTTGCGCGGACTAGACAAGCATCGCCGACGCTAGCTACATCCGTTTTATTTTTAGTTCCTCTCCGTTGATTGTGTTAGTAATGATTTCTAAGCGAATCTGACATGCAGGGATATGCTGTAATTTCTTGTGCCTTGGCTCATGATAGTTAGATAAGCCGTTGTTGGTTACAAATTTCTTTTTATTCCACCGGATATAAGAGACCAGCATGACTTCCGAATCAACATCTCACTCACCATTCATCACACCCTCTCGAGTAAACAGATCCTCTCTCTGGACCGTTTCAGATACAGTACTCCGTAGTCGCGCATCTTCTCGCCATGTCTGACTCAACCGTCGTCTTCATCTCCGGTGTTGCCCGAGGTAGGTGTTTGGAACGCTTACATTTTGACATCATCGGTCACCACATGTTGTACGTCAAGCTAATTCTAGGTCTAGGCATCGGGAGGGCCTTGACTGAGGCCTACCTCTCTCGCCCCAACCACACCGTCATCGGCAGTGTGCGGGATCGCTCCGCCCCCAATGCGAAGACGCTGGAGGCTTTCCCTGCCGCGGCTGGCTCGCGATTGCTGCTGGTAAGCATCGAGAGTACCTCCGCTGAGGATGTTACCAAGGCGGTCCGTGACATTGAGGCCGCCGGAGTCACCCATCTGGATATTGTCATCGCCAATGCTGGCATTTGCCCCACACCAACGTCGATAGCCACGGTTGACGTGAAGGATGTGACCGAGGCCTTTACCATTAACACGGTGGGACCTATCATTCTCTATCAAGCGCTGTTGCCGCTGCTCAAGAAGTCTACTGGTTCGCCAAAGTGGCTGTCGGTCTCAACGGGCGCTGCTTCCCTTGAGCGTCTGGAGGTCCACCACGCGTACGGCGTGGCGGCGTATGGGATTTCCAAGGCTGGCATGAACTGGTTCACTCTGTAAGGAATTCCTTAATTTACATAAGGAGCTCCATTTCTAACACGATATAATAGGGCGGCTCACAGCTCGGAGAAGTGGCTGACCGCATTCGCAGTGCATCCTGGGTAAGTTGGATGAGTGGAGCCGTTTAATCATTTTTAGTCGCATGCTGACATGGAACAGGCTGGTCCAGACGGACATGGGCAACATGGGCGCCCGTATGCAGGGAATGGAGCTGGCTCCGAATACACTCGAAGAGAGCACCAGCAAGACCATCGCCATCGTAAGTTTTCCGTGTCCGGTTCTTTACCGGTGCTGACCCCGTCTAGCTGGATAGCGCGACTCGCGAAAAGACGTCTGGCAAGTTCATCAACGTCATTGATGGGACAGAGTTCCCCTGGTAAGAGAGGGGGTTTGGAGTTTTGCCTGTTTATTTCTGGACTTAAGTTATCATATAAAATATTATTAAAATTCGGTTATACGTTGGTGCTATTCAAATCGGTTAGAAAGTGGACGACTGTAAAGCGACGCCCGGATTATGTATTTGGATTCTGTAGTCCAGCATGGTGATACTGATCCTGCTTGAGGAGCGAATTTTCTATCCATGGGGTTTAGGCAGTGGACTGTTACCAGTAATGTATTTCATAAACTTAATACTTTAAAATCGATTGAAAACAGTATTCCTCTTCCATAAAATATGAGGTACCTAGGTCTAATGCTCTAGTCTTCTACTACCACTCTCATTGCGTGTCTTTGAACACGAACATCACTGGATCATCAACACCATGAAGTTGATATTTATTTATCAGACAAGTAGGACAGTAATCCGCCAGACGCTTGCTTTTCAGCACTTCGAAATAGCCTACTATTTAATGCAGTCTCGTTAAAAACGAATTCTATTACTAACCGCAGTAACAAGACAAATTCTTCGTAGTTTATATATAAAAACGCCAATAACCTACGTTCTATAAAGAAAAATATAACATGAAATAAAATGGTGTATTCCCATGCCAGTCTGCCAACTGTCGCACTCCATCAAAGCATATCACTCCCCCATTATATCCCGAAGAAAGGCAATCTGTGCATCCAGAGTCTTGGTAGAGTCCTTCCCACTCAAGACATTCATGTGGCCCTTATCGCGCACCATCAACAACTGTTTAGGCTCGCGCAATACGTCGTAAATTAGCGATTTCTGCAGCTTGACTGGGGAAACCAAGTCATTCTCCGGCGTCACGATCATCGCTGGAGTCGGGGAAACAAACGGCATCAGGCCGAACGGCTGGAACGCGCCAATGTGGTAGTAGCTGCTGAGGGTGGTCTGGGGCACAAAGTTGGGCTCGATCTCGGTGGCACGCGCGATCATCGTATACACATCCTCGACCGCGAAACCGGTCCCAAATCCCGCCGGGCTCTCCCCGTCCTCGGTCAGCATGGGGAGATAGACCGGAGGGTTGCCGGCCAGCCTCGAGGCGCGGTCCTTCATGGCCTTGGCCAGCACCTTGGGCCACTTGCTGAACTCCCAGATGGTCAGTGGCGAGACGGCCACCACGGCTTTGACGCGCTTGTCCAGGGCCGCTGCGCACAGGGCCACCATGCCGCTGAAGGAATACCCCCAGAAGGCAATGCGGGTCGGGTCCACGAGCGGGTGGCTGCGGAGGAAAGTGAGTGCATCATGGTAGTCTTCCACATTCCGGCCGGGATGGATCTCGTTGCGAGGAGTGCCTTCACTGGCGCCAATCGATCGCGGGTCGTAGCTGAGGACCGTGAAGCCAGCGGCGTGAAAATACTCGGCGACCTCTGCGACAATCATCTCCTTGGTCATGTTGAACTGAGAGTTTGCTGTCAGCGGAGGGTCTGTCAGCGGAAGATCGTCTCTACTCACCCCAGGGGTCATGATAATGGCGGGTCCTCGCTGCGTTGCTGGAAAGAGCCAGCCTCGGAGCATGAGCCCATCGACTGTCGTAAATTCGACATCTTCACGGCCGTTGCTGATCATGGTTGCGGATAGGGATTGACGTGCTGGAAGGGAAAATTGAGCGACCAGCATGGAGTGCCATGGCGGGGAAGAGAGCCGGTTTTTGATCCTGCAAGAACAGCGGTGAGGTTTGGAGGTTGTTCCCTTTTGATCTGCATGACGTGGATTGTTCGTCTAGGACGCCGTTCTTATGTCAGGAGTTTCATGTAGGTAATCATGCATATCGAGGATTCGGAGACCGGCCTAACTGCCAATCTTCTGCAGCGTCAACGGAGATTCCCGGGTGGCAGAGTAGCAGCCGAAGGATTTTGACACGGATCACAATCCACCAGTCCGCCGGGAACGCCGGTTCCATCGGAGGAATCGACGCGCATCTGGCTTATTGAGCTGTCGGGACGATGTACGTAAGCCCTAAGACGTCCTGCCGTGGAGATACGAAGATTAGTTGCAGCATCTTCTAGTCCACGATGCAGATTATGCGCTGCAGGTAATCTGCAGATAAGCCGTTCTATGTGTTCCGCAGCATGGACATGGAGGCTCTTCGAGGCATCGTGGAGGTGGAAAGTGACCGCTGGTCAAAAATGAGACGGTGGCCGACAATACTTAACGTCTCTGCAAGCACTCCTGGATGAGAGACTGCAAGTTTGACATCTGTTCAGGCTCTACTCTGAGATTCCGGGTTTCCATCTTTTCTTTTATCTATCACCACAGTAATGGCACCCAGTGCAGTGAGTCCCAAGATGCCGGCGCGGCCGGACGCCAGAGGGCTCTCCCTGGAACATGATCGACTTCTGGAAGCCGTACAGCTACAAAACCGACCAGGTCGCATGCAGATGCCCGTCGCCGTCGTGGGCATGGCCTGTCGTCTCCCCGGGCACAGCAATTCGCCCACCGCGCTTTGGGATATGCTCCTCCGCGGTGGCATTGCCAGAAATGAGCCCCCGGCGTCCCGGTTCAGCCTGGCCGGTCACTACGATAAGACCACCAAACCTCGGACCATGAAGTCCCCCGGGGGAATGTTCATCGAGGACATGGATCCCGAGGTCTTTGACGGCCAGTTCTTCAATATCAGTCGAACTGACTGCATCGCCATGGAGCCTCAACAACGCCAGCTGCTCGAGGTGGCCTACGAGTGTCTCGAAAACGCCGGAGTCCCTCTCGAGGCAGTGAGTAACACCAGCACGGGCGTCGTGGTAGGAACCAACTTCATCGGTGTGTACTTCCTGAGCATTAGAATGGGTATAGACTGCTAACCGGATAGCAGATTATGCGGCCATTCAGAATCGAGACCCCGAGGACAGAGCCGATTCGATTACCAGTGGCCTCGCATCATCGATTTTGAGCAACCGTGTCAGCCATTTCTTGAACGTGACCGGTCCAAGGTGTGTAACGTCCAAGAAAGGAAAAGACAAGAAGGAAAAGAAAAGACTAACGAATGGCCCAGCATGACCATCGACACAGCCTGCTCTGCCAGTCTAGTCGCCGTGGATGTCGCCTGTCGCTATCTGGATAGCTTCCAGGCCAATGCCGTGCTCGTGGGAGGCGCCAATCTCTGGCTGACACCGGAGCACAACGAGGAGATTGGCATGATGCATATGACCCAATCTGCATCGGGGAAATGCCACAGCTTCGACGCCAAAGCGGACGGGTACGTCAAGGCAGAAGGCATCAACGTGGTCTACCTGAAGCGTCTCGACGACGCTCTTCGTGACGGCGATCCCATCCGAGCTGTTATTCGAGGAACGTCCGCCGGAGCATCAGGACGCACACCAGGCATTGCCAACCCAAGCTCTGATGCGCAGGCCTATGCCATCCGCATGGCGTACCAGTCCGCTGGCATCAGCGACTTTCAAGCGACAGGTTACCTCGAGTGCCACGGGACCGGCACCCTCGCCGGCGATCCGGTGGAAGTGCGAGGTGCAGCGTCCGTCTTTGGAGCTGGTCGTGAAGACGGCAAGGAGTTGGTGATTGGGTCCATCAAGAGCAACATCGGCCACTCCGAGGCTGCAGCAGGTCTGTCGGGCCTGATCAAGGCCGTGATGGCAGTGGAAACGGGCACCATTCCTGGGAACCCAACATTTGTGACGCCGAACCCCAATATTGACTGGAAGTCATCTCGTGTCCGGGCCAGCAGGACGTCCTTGAAATGGCCCAGCAACACGGCCGTCCGGCGTGCCAGCGTGAATTCCTTTGGATTCGGTGGCGCCAACGCCCATGCGGTGCTCGAATACCTTCCGGTATCTCGCCATGTTTCCTCCTACAAGAAGGTAACCACCGACTTCTTTGATGATGACGAGGATGACGACGACGAGGATATCTCCAACGCCGCGCGAACGGCAGATCCCAAAATCCTGGCATTTTCGGCCAACGATCAGGCGTCGCTGAAGAACTACGTCAAAGCCCTCAATGCGCACCTGCTGAACCCCATGGTCTCGATTGACCTCAACGACCTGGCCTACACCCTCTCGGAGCGGCGGACGAGACACTACTACCGCGGATTTGCCATTACACGCTCCAGCAAAGCCAAGGTCAGCGAGGAGACACTAGTTCTAGGCAAGCAGGCATCGTCGTTGCCACGTATCGGGTTCGTATTCACGGGCCAGGGTGCGCAGTGGTCGCAGATGGGTCTCGAGCTCGTCAAGGCCTTTCCCCAAGCCAAGAGAGTCCTCCAAGATCTGGATGAGGTTCTACAGGCGCTCCCCGAGCCTCCCAAGTGGTCTCTTCTCCAGGAACTGACGGACGCGCGATCCCCCGAGACGCTCCGCCAGCCAGAATTCTCCCAACCACTGGTCACGGCCCTGCAGCTGGCACTGCTTCAAGTCCTGAACGACTGGGGCGTTCATCCCCAGGCCGTGGTCGGTCATTCCTCCGGAGAAATTGCTGCCGCTGCAGCAGCGGGTCTCATTAGCCCTCAGGATGCCATTAAGACAGCCTACTACCGCGGAACGGCGGCAAAGAAGGTCGGCACTCCCGTGGAGCCTGTCGGTATGCTTGCAGTGGGTGTCGGTCCGGATGTTATTGAGAAGTATATCGAACCGTCCGAGGGCCGCGTGCAGATTGCCTGCTATAACAGCCCCACGAGTCTGACCATGTCGGGCACCGTCGCCGCACTAGAGAAGCTGAGCCTCCGTCTGAAGAAGGATGACCATTTCGCTCGCATGCTTCTGGTTGACCTGGCCTACCACTCGGACCACATGAGCGAGATTGGGGAGGTGTATGAGAAATTGTTGCTGTCGAGCACACGGAGCAGTAAGACAACTATCGGAGGTGAGAACAACGCATCTCAGGCTCGCATGTTCAGCTCCGTCACGGGAAAGCCGATGCCACGCGGCGAAGCCCCCGGTGCGGAATACTGGAAGGCGAACATGGTTTCTCCCGTCCGATTCACCCAAGCGGCGTCAGAACTCCTTCGCGATGCGCAGGATGGCGCCGATTTCCTGATCGAGATCGGTCCTAGCAACGCCCTGGCCGGTCCCATTGCACAGATCAAGAAGTCCCTTGGGGGATCGACAGCAGACGTACCGTACACGTCCGCCTTGAAACGAGGCGCCGACTCGGTGCTCGCCTTGTACAATACCGCCGGCCAGTTGTTTCTCTCCGGGGGTCCGATTGACCTTGCTCGCGTCAATCGGGGGACTCGGTCTGGCGACAAGGTGGCCGACCCCAAGGTGATAGTGGATCTTCCTAACTACGCGTGGAATCACTCCACACGCTACTGGCATGAGTCGCAGGCCAGCAAGGACTGGCGGTTCAAGAAGTTCGTGAACCACGATCTGCTGGGATCCAAGATGCTCGGGACATCGTGGGAAGCCCCCGTCTTCAAGAAAGTCCTGAAGCTTGCGGACGTTCCCTGGCTGCGCGACCATCAGCTGGGCCGTCAGGTTGTGTTCCCCGGTGCCGCCTACGTGACGATGGCGATCGAGGCGATCTACCAAGTCGCCATGGTGACGCAGTGGAATGAGCAGCCCCCAGCTCGATATCGCTTCCGGTTGCGGGATGTGAAGTTCAACCGTGCCTTGGTGCTTGAGGACAATATTGAGACGAGATACACGCTGGCTCTCTCCCCGATACAAGGGGGCTCCACGCGTTCCTGGTACGAATACCGAGTGTCCTCACAGCAAGAAGGCCTTCATACGAGCCACGTCCACAGCAGTGGGCTGGTGTGTGTGGAAACCGATTACCAAGAACCCTCGACGTCGGCGGACGTCGTCAAGGCTCTCGAGCTGGCCACACCTGGACACGTGTGGTACAAAGCCCTAGCGGACTCTGGATACAACTTTGGGCCGTGCTTCCAGAAGCATGAGATGGTGGAGATGGACATGGGTCAGAGAAACAGCCGGTCGGTGGTGAACCTCGAAGCTCCGCCATCTGCGTTTGCTCAATCTCCCTATCCAATGCATCCAGCCGTGATGGATGCGTGTCTGCAAACCGGAACACCCCCCTTGTGGAAGGGCGACCCTTCTGCCGCTGTCGGGGTGCTCGTGCCCAAAGTGATCGATAGTTTGGTCCTCTCAGGGACAGGGGAACTGCCTCCTAAAGGCGTGACGCGCTCGTCCGCCACTTTCCTGGGCGTTGGAGACCGCGAGAACCCTCGCAATTACGCCACAAATGTCTCCCTGTACGATCCACAGGGGGGTGCCCTGCTGTTTGAGATGAAGGGCCTGTCGATGGCCGAGATTGAGACGTCCGAAGAGGAGGGTGCTCGACACTCGTTCACCAGCGTCGCCTGGGAAGCGGATGTGGACATGCTGCTCAGCGCCGGGAAACCGGGCGCCGAGCAATGGCTCGCGGGTGAGAATGGCCTTGCGAAGACCTGCCAGGATGTCATCAACCTTGTTGCTCATAAAACCCCTGGGCTGAGCGTTCTGGAGCTGAACCTCAATCCTGAAGATGCATCCAGCCTCTGGATGCCAGAGACTGACACGCTGGACCCCATGCGGCAAGCATGCTCACAGTATCACCTTGCCCTACGTGAGCCCAAGACCCTCATCAGCGCCCAGAATCACTTTTCGTCCCGAGTTTCTGGCTCTCAGTTCCATTTGCTGGATGTCTCCCAGCCTGGGGCCATAGTCGCCGACGTCAAGTTCGACCTGCTGATCGTCAAGCAGACTGTCGACTCTGCACAAGCTGGCGTTGAGACAGACCTAGTTATCCAGAAAGTTGCCGCGTCCGTTCGGGAAGGAGGGTTCATCATCGCAGTCGGATTTGACGAGACAGTGCTGCATCACGTCGGACAGACTATCGCGTTGCCATCGCCCGGCGAAAGTGCATGCATCTGTCAGCGCTCAGCAGAGGACCATGAACAAGGTAATAAGACAGCACAGCGCCCGGTGATCCAGCTGGTGAGCCTCCTGGAAGAGTTCCCTGATCTGCATGAGACCGACAGAGTTTTGAGTGCCATCGGGGAAAGAGAATGGACTATACAGCGATGCAATGACCCTCTGAAGGAGATAACGTCTAGCGAGGCTGTCATCGTCGTCATCGACGAGCTCTTCTCGTCCGTGATGGACCGTCTGGACGAGAGACAATGGCAGATTCTCAAACACATCACACAGCAGAGATGTCGCTTGCTTTGGGTCACCTCTGGCGCTCATCTAGAGGTCACAGATCCCACCAAGGCAGCGATGACTGGCCTTATGCGCACCATTCGCGCTGAGGAGCAACTGCAGCTCATAACCCTCGACGTCGAGGAGCCCAGCGGAACGGCGACAGCGGCTGCCATTTCATCGTGCCTTGAATGCCTTTGCGGACGCCAGCCCGCTGCAGGCACGGAAGCACAGGACAGCGAATTTGTCGAACGCCGGGGGGTGATACGCATTCCCCGTCTGTTACCTGACGCAACGCTGACCGCGCTCCAGAGCGACGAGATCAGTGCCCGTAAGACCGATACAATGGACTTGCATGGCAGTGACGCGCTCATCAAGCTTCGGTGCGAGCGGTTGGGAAAGATCGACTCTATTCATTTTGCAGAAGCGCAGCCAGAGCCCCTCCCCCTGGAAGACGGATGCCTCGAGATTGAGGTCTACGCAGCAGGCCTGAACTACAAGGACGTTGTTGTCACTATGGGCATCGTTCCCGGCGATGAGACAGCCATGGGCCATGAAGCAGCCGGCATCGTCACTCGAGTCACGCCCGGAGTGGCCGCGGCCGGCTTCAACTTCGAAGTGGGCCAACGAGTGGTGGTCTTTGGCAAGGCCAGTTTTGCCAATCGGGTGCAGACCACTCCGGGACGAGTCCATCGCATTCCGGATTCCATGACGTTCGAGGAGGCAGCGACACTGAGCGTCGTCTATCTGACCAGCAGTCACAGCCTGTTTGATCTGGCCAACCTGACCGCAGGACAACGGGTGCTCATCCACTCGGCCGCCGGTGGTGTGGGCATTGCGGCCATTCAGTTGGCTCAGTATGTGGGAGCAGAGGTAAGGACATTTTATCCAGTCAGTGCAGGAGACACTTCTAACAATAGGATTGATACCTAGATCTTTGTGACCGTCGGGACCGCTGAGAAGAGGGAGTTCATCAAGTCCACCTTTGGTCTGAGCGACACCCACATCTTCAACTCACGCAATACAGACTTTGGCAGCCAGATCATGTCCGCCACGAACGGAGCCGGAGTGGACGTGGTGCTGAACTCGCTGACAGGCGACATGCTGGACGAGTCGTTCCGTATCCTAGCCGACGGAGGGATCATGGTCGAGATCGGCAAGAAGGACATCCTCGACCGCAACCATCTGCCCATGGCGCCATTTGACCGCAATATCTCCTTCCGAGCCGTCGATCTTTCTCCAGAAAGGGCCCCCGATGCGCTCGTTGCCAGACTCCTGCGCCGCATCTTTGCGCTGATTAATGGCGGGCATATCCAACCCATCCGGCCCATCCACCGTTTCTCCTGGACCGATATTCCATCTGCCATCCGTTTCTTGCGGGCGGGCAAGCATATCGGAAAGATCGTTCTCTCGGATGGTGAACACCCCGACAAAATCGAAGTGCCTGTGCGGCGCGCCCCCAAGATGCTCCGTCTCCGCGACAACGGCAGCTATCTCATTGTCGGTGGCCTGCGGGGTCTCTGCGGCTCTCTTGCCATCTATCTGGCCAAAGTTGGGGTGAAGAACATCGCCGTCGTCTCACGAAGTGGGCATACAGATGAAAAGTCCCGAGCTGTCGTGAAACAAGTCAACGCTCTAGGAGCCCATATTGATTTGTTGACTGCCGATGTCACCAATGCAGCCGACGTGGAGAGGGCCTTCAAGGAGACGGTTGTACCAGTGGCAGGTATCATCCAGGGTGCTATGGTTCTCCGGGTAGGTTTTTCTTTATTTTCCAGTACCTCAAACATACAATCATTGGAGACTGACGGCTCTAGGACCGCCCATTCGATTCTATGACCATTACGGAATATCACGAGGCCGTGCAGTGTAAGATCCAGGGAACGTGGAATCTCCATAACGCGGCCGAAAAGCTCGGGCTCGAACTCGACTTCTTTACGATGCTTTCCAGTATCTCCGGCGTCGTGGGAAACCGCGGTCAGGCCAATTACGCCGCTGCTAATGTGTTCCTGGACTCATTCGCTGCATTCCGCCGACGACGCGGCCAGGCGGCCTGCTCGGTCAACCTGGGCGTGATCGAAGACGCTGGCTTTATTGCGAACAACGCCGGATTTCAAGAGCAGCATTTTGATGGGCGTGTGTTCAAGGGTATCAATAATGTCCTGTTGCGCAAGATACTCGAACTGTCGATCCTGCAGCAGCAGCAGCAAGAAAAACAACCCCAGACACACCCGCTACAGACTCAGATAGTCACGGGCATTATTGTTCCCCAACCGTCGGACTCTCTGCTAAAACCGGACGCCCGCTTTTCTGCTCTCTTTACCGGCCAAAGCAATGGGGACTCCGCCACCGGAGGCAGTGGCAGCGGAAACGCCGAGGTGCAGGCTCTGCTGCTATTGCTGCGAACGGCATCAGCAGACCCTGCAGCCCAAGTCGCTGCCGCAGTCGATGTAGTGGGCAAGTGCTTTATGCGCCTCTTGCGCCTCTCCGACCCAATGGACCCGGCGCGTCCGTTCTCGGTATACGGGATTGACTCGCTGTCCGCCGTGGAGGTGCGCAACTGGGTGCGTGGCGAGCTGGGCGCTCTAGTCACCACTCTGGACATCATGAACGCTTCATCCCTCACGTCGTTCTGTGAAAAGATTGTTTCGAAGATTGTGGCTGGAGATGGGAAAAACTGAGATTTGATTCCTAATTGGACTCGGTGGACGTAAATGACCAGACGAGCTATTCCTACACACATCTATAAACTCGCTCCTAGACAATATAGAAATGACATACATGATGAAAAGAAGACAAGTATTTCGCACTATGGACAGCATGCTATATGGTCCACATATTTTATATAGAACCATATGCCTATTCAGCTTTCTTGCTTAGAACACACTTGTGATGGAACCAGAGATACCGAAGCAGAGACATCCATGCTATTTCATCTCATATAATAAAAGTATAGGCGACAGCTCGGTATAAATATTGATGTAAAGAGTATAGAATTATATATCTTTTATCCTCCGGTATATTCTCTACTGGGGCTATTGACATCCTCTTTTCCCTACGCACCTGTACAGTCAGTTATTTAGAGCGATATACGTCTGGTAGTTAACTATATGGGCAAAATTGAAGTTCTAGGGAGCACTGCATGTTCCCTCTGCAGATGCAGGCGTATTTCCTTCTTGTGATCCGCCAAGTTCGTATTCATAGAGGCTGGGCATATGGGTGGGCCGGGGAGAGCCCGGTGGTCGAGCGTCTGCATTCACGAAATTCCTAGCTTGGCAATTAACTTCGTCCAATTTTCCCCGGGTGGGCGACTGTTGATCTATAGAGGACACATTCCTCGAAGAGGCATTATTTGAGATTTCGATCAGTACCTTGTGACTGTATCCATAGCCTAGAAGCCATCGCACAGATATGGACATATCCTGCAGCTTCGTGTCCCTGTCAGCGATGGTACTTTCGACGTTCGGAGAGATCGAACTGTCTCCTCCGTTATCCTGGCTGATCGTACTAATAAAATCATCCCGTAGCTTCCCTTGGCCTTCAGAGATGGGCTTGGTCGTACCCCTGAAAGGCGTCCGGTCATCCTCGGTGCTGTCTGCGACCAACGTTTCTAGAAGCGGGTCTATTCCTTCTATCGCGGTTTCGATCTGCTAGTGTGGTTCTAGCGATGCCACGTTTTACCCTCCCATCTGTCGCCTAATGCTCCACTCTGGCCCACTGACATATGTGAGAGATATGTAAGAAATTCCTGAGGCTCGGCCTTTTCTGACTCCATGACTAATCCCTGCGGCGCCTTTTCACGACTTTTAAAACAGATCTTCACTAGCATCTATGGAGCTGTATCTCCCACTGGGCCGAGATACGAGATGGCAGATCCGCCGAACGGCGGAGCTTTGGGCGGATCCTTCCCGAAACCTGGCCTGACGTGAGATGGAACAAAAGGGAAGAGACGTTGCATGCAGGATCCAACTTCCGGGCCTCTGATCGTTTGAAGGCTGTTTCAAGTCTAGGAAGGAGTGTTGGAATCTTATGTTATTGAAATCAGCTCATAATTATCAACGATGGTATCATACTAACAGACGCCTCTAATCGGTAAACTAAATATAAAAAATAAAAATAAAAAATTCCTGTCATCCAATCCACTCATTCCTGGTAGGCTCACCTACTCGTTACGCTAGCGTATCTGAGCAATAACTCCAGGATCTCGTTATGCCCCTCGGAGACGGCGAGGTAGAGGGGACTGCGGCCATGGGCATCCCGCGAGTGGACATTTGCACCGTGCTGCAGAAGCGTCAAGACAAGATCCTTATCCCCAAGTGCGACAGCGACGTGGAGGGCAGTGCATCCTTGCTGATCTCGCTCGTCCACCCCAGCAGCTCCATGCTTGAGCAGCGTGGCAACCACGCTGCGATTTCCCGAGCGCACCCCCACGTGCAAGAGGGGCGGTAATGACGTCGGAGAGGCCGTAGTGGCCGTAGTGATGCTTCCTTCGGAGCGTGAGTGGCCATGGCCCATGTGGCTGGCCAGGATAATGCCATCTGCGCTCCAATCAGAGTTGTCTACCATCTGCTCGCGCCCTCGGCCTGCATTCTCGGGGCTCCGCTCATCGGTCAACGACGGGGGATACCCCGGTTGAGCATCCACAGTCACGTTGAATAGATGCGGATGCACCTGGCCCAGGAGGGAGGAAGTGCCGAAACCGTCATCCAGACCGGCCCGCGAGGGGGCAAAGCCGGAGATGGCCGCTGAGACGGCGGACAAATGCAGCGGTTCCGATGGGAAATTGGTGTTGGGGTCCGCCGTGCCACGAGGGGGGTCGCTCTTGGCTGACACGGTCAGGACGTCATCCTCGCTGCTGCTATTAATATCATAGGAGGGAAGATGGCCGGACAGGTCGCCAATCAACGAATCCATGCTGCCTAGTCCGTCTGGGCCTGTCAGTGTGGCTGACTCTGCGAAGCTATCATCCATCATGTACGGCATCGTCATCGGCCACTCCAAAGTGGTTTCAGCCTCGAGTCTCTTCTTCGATGCCCTCCTCTCTGATAGTGTAGTCCCAGCTGTCAGTCTCTTCAGACGATAGCTTATTGTGTGCACAGGGGGCTCCACTCACCTCGAAAGCGACGTTGGGCCATTCGGTTCTGCAGCCGTCTCCGTGAAGAAATGGTCAAAGGCTTTGTCTCGATGGTGATGTCAAGCGGTTCACTCATCTCCATGGTGCGCCGCTCATGCCATGTCCCTGTTCGAAAAACACAGACACACACTCAAATGGACTTAAACGGTCAGTATAGGAATCCAGTAAACCCAAATGCCAGGAACAATCACTTTTAATGGCCAATTCCTAAACCTTCCCAGCGGCCCTAAGATAATTTCGGCATTTCCTAGCGTCATATGCGCCAGCTGCCTATCTCACGTCATATTGCTGATGGCAGGAGCACCCTTATCTCCTAGCGTGCAACGGCGACAATCAGAGCTCAGGCGGCCTACCTTTCTCCGCTCCGCCGGAATCTAGAATATCAGGTCGGCCCTTCAGAGCCAGTATTGTAATTTTGATAATGATATGCAATGCATCTCTTCCTGCTTCACACCGTGCATCCTCAAGACCCACGTGGCTCCCCTGAAACCAACTACTGATCAGTGGCGTCAACCATCGGGGAACCGTTGAGCCTTCTGAAAGCACTATGTAGAACCGCCTCCCAACCGGCATATTGGCTATGCCACTGCAACGAATGAGAACATGCGAGTTGGATATTACCTCGTATACCATCTGCTTCAGATTACGGACCATAGTCAGCTTTGACAGCGCCAATGGCGTCTTCAATCGCTATCAGCGTTCCGGCCCCAGTTATGTGCGGTTGAGCAGGTGAGACATCGGAGCTCTATGACCGCGCCATCTACAAGAGCAGGTGAAGGATTGCTGAGATGACGGAATTATCCACCGAGCATCACTTGTGTTGGAGGAAAGGTATAAAGCTTCCGATGACCTGTGGTTTCAGGAGAGCACTAGAATTCAGGACTACGCCCACGATTGCGTAATACCAGCCAGGCACCATGCTTTCATACATCGCCTTATTCTCCTTGACCATTGGACTGGCCAACAGCGCTGCAATTGCTGAGCCACCCAAGAAAACCACCCCGTCGTGTCGGAATATTCCTGGGGATGCAGGCTGGCCTGCAGCCGCAGAATGGGATCGACTGAATACCACAGTGGAGGGTCGGTTGATTTCCACGATACCAATCGCCCATGTGTGCCACGAACCATCCTTCTCGGATGCACAGTGTACGAGTCTCACACAACAGTGGGATGTACCGGAGCTTCTGTAAGTCTATCAACGAAGCCTACCTGTTAATGTCTTGGTGGAATCAGGATGAACCGGATACTTCTAACCAAAATTGCATTCATCAGAACGACAAAGCCCGCGGAGATCCTGCATCCATGGTTTCAAAACCAATCTTGCGTGCCTTTTACGCCCCAATCGGCCCCCTGCGAGCTGGGCAATTATGCATCGTACTCAATCAGCGTCAGTAACATCGACGACATCAAGGCCGGATTGGCCTTTGCAGAGGAGCACAACATCCGCCTGGTGATCAAGAACACCGGTCATGAGTATGTAAAATTTCTCCTTTCCAGCTGCATGTTTCTCTGGCTGACAACGCGAGCGACTCAGTTATTTTGGGAAAAGCACCGGAAAAGGGGCTCTTTCCCTGTGGACCCATAATCTCGACAGCATGGAGGTTCTCCCGGCCTATAATTCCTCGTACTACCACGGGCCTGCATTCAAGATTGGAGCCGGCGTCCAAGGAGGCGCTGCGGGTGAGTTTGCCGCAAAGAGAGGCTACCGTTTCGTGGTTGGCAATTGTCCAGACGTCGGTGTAGCTGGCGGCTACACGCAAGGCGGAGGCCATTCCCTTCTAACTGGGCTGTATGGCCTCGCAGCCGAGAATGTGCTGGAGTGGGAAGTGGTGACCGCATCCGGTCAGCATCTGGTCGCCTCGCCAACCCAAAATACGGACTTGTACTGGGCCCTCAGCGGCGGTGGTGCCGGTACTTACGCCGTCGTGGTTTCCCTTACGACGCGTCTCTTCACGGATGGAAAGATTGCGGGTTCATCCCTATCCTTCGGGGTGGAAACCATCGGCAGTGTGGACGAGTACTGGGGTGCGGTGGATATCTTCATCTCGCACCTTCAGGGTCTCGTCGATGACCACGGCATGGTGGCTGCTTTTATGATTTCCAACAGTACCCTGGACCTTTACTCCATCATGGCCCCAGGCAACACCAGCGACGAGCTCACCACGCTGATGACTCCCATGGTCACAGCGCTGGAGAAAAAGGGGGCCAAGTCTCTGGGCGTCAACACGACCGATGCTCAAACCTACTTTGACCTGTATAGTGCTACCCTGGAGCCCATTGTCGCCCCCAACCCTCTCAGTCCGGTTATGGGAGGACGATTCGTCTCACGGAAGAACATGGCCAGCAACAAGTCCAAGATCATCAGCAGCATGCGGGCGGCCACCGAGGGGGGCAAATTCTGGCTGGCTTGCACCGCATTGAGCACCAAGAGCGCTGTCCGCATGGTCGATCCGGTCGCCAGCAACGCGGCCCAGCCTGCATTCTCCGACGCCTTCCTCAGTATGATTGTCGGTGCCGCGTGGTCATGGAGCCGCCCCTGGCCTGAGGTTGCGCAACTGCAGGACGAGCTAATCGGCGAGGTCATGCCTGTTCTCGAGGGAGCCACCCCGGGTGCAGATGCGTACGTGAACGAGGCGAATTGGCAACAGGAGAATTGGCAGCAGGTCTTCTACGGCGCCAACTATAATCGGCTGCGCGCTATAAAGACCGCTCACGACCCACACGACCTCTTTTACGGCCTAACGTCCGTTGGAAGTGAAGCGTGGAGTGCTGACGCTGACGGGCGTCTTTGCAAGACTGGCTTGTAAGGACGGAGACAGGACTCCCAGGGTATTGAGCTTTATGGTCGAACCTAGCTTGAGGGGGGCATTGAAGATAGAAGGATCATATAGAATTGTTTGGTATTTGTACAACTGACTTTGTTCAACTGACTGGCTTCATTTACTCTTTTCTTATCACTTTTATTATCCTGTCTTTGTTTATTCTTTCTCTCTCTTTTACTTTTCATTTTATTTATTATTTACATTTTCCTACTTTGTCTGTATATATTTTGAAAATGAAAGACTAAACAGCATGCATTCAGTCTGGGATCATGGAATGACCATTAAACAATACAGCTTATTACAGTGGATATGTACAGATTGATAAAGTAGGAGAAGATTTCAGTGAATGGAAACACTACAGAAACCCGGTTTATGAAGCGTATTGCCGGCTATACGATAGAATCCCTCTACTTTAACTGTCTCGAAGCTCTAGATCAAAATGAATGTTAGCAGCGATAAGCAATTCGCCGAAGGCGACAAAATAGAGATGCTCAGCGCAGATACAGTAATTATCTACCGTATGCCCTACTACTTAGAAAAAGTGGACTGCTCATATAACCTAGGAAGCGCAACAAGAACGCATGCAGAAGAGATTCAAGCAATTCGGGAGGATATTCGCAACCTCAAAAATATTTATTTAGGTTCGAATGTTCGCATCGTGAATTCCATAGTCGATGGGGCTTCCTAGTCCTCCAGCACGAGTGATAATGCCATTGATGACAGATCTGGTAGCTTCGATCATCTCCTGTCATATAAAAGCAGCTCCACGAACAAAGAAGGATATAATCATTTACCAGATGCAATTCTGCCAACGGAGTTGAGATACCACTATCCCTGCAGCAGCAACGCCCTTCCAGCGGCTGTCGATCAGAAACTTGGCGACTGGAAACAGACAACAGTTGCAGCGAAACATGTTGTGTCTGGTTCTCGATTCATCGGCGATGAAAACGGCGATAAGATCCAGGGCAATGGAGATAGAGACACTGTAAAGCACACCAATTTCCCAAAGGCAAGTCATCACACACGCTGCATAACACATTATGCTGACCCCAATCAAGTTACCTATTAGCTCCCTCCAGAATGACTGCCGCATGAGCCGGCATGAGTTCTTCCCTTTCCATTTCGGCCGCCTCCAGAACATCTCCATATCCAGCATGACCTCGAATGATAACGGCAACAACGATTCCAGGGTGACAGCATTATGTGATGCACTCACAGAAAAACAGTTCACTGCATAACTAGTAAAGGCTCCGATATCAATAGAGTATTCGCTCAACGAGGAGATGCTATGCATGCGGTTGGCACGAATCGAGCTCCCTGGGTCCAGGCTCTGTCTTTCCCAGCTCGTATACCATGAGCTGCTGCGGCGTTTCCTGCCCCGAGAGCCACCCGGACCGTGAATTGGCTGCGCCGCTGCTATCCTGCAATCCTACACACGCACGCTTCCGATTCCGAAAGTACAATAATGCGATACCCGCTGCAATAATAAACCCCTAATCGAACACCGACTCCAATTCCCGCCGCTATTCCGACCCCAATTCCTGACGATGATGAAGATGACGTAGTAGTAACGGTGGCATTGTTTCCGGCAGCTGTCACAGCTGTGGTCGCATATGACGGGGTGCCGTCAGTTGAAATGTAGGCAATTGTCGCCAGCTTTGACGGCGGGGGACCGGGGAACTGGTCGTCGTGGGTTTGCCACAGTCTATAATTCCATTGTCGTGCTGGACGCAGCAGGCCCAGTGACCTTGATCGTGGGAGGAGAAATACCGAAGGTATGCAGCTACGCGGCCTCCTATACAGATAGTCCCGTCGTTAGTATCCAGCATATATTAACGATTCCTTTTGCAATTGGAGCAGACTTACCACACCGGGTTATACATGCAGGATCCTGCATTGCCTGGTCTGTGCAATCGGCGTTCAAATATTGCTGACCGTCCGTTCGATGCGGGTTGTAGCAGATCAGTTACCCATGCAGTACAAGCCTTTCGGACAGCAAGGCACGTTGGGATTTGTGGAATTCGTCGGGCCGCATGGGACAACATCGGTGTTGGGCTCTATTTTCCCCGCATGCATAGCAAAACAGGATTTAGGTGACATGGTGGTCGGAAACTGGTTTTCCCCTTAATACTAGATTTTCACGAAGCAAGAAGCTGAGAAAGATGATACGCGCAAGAATCATGTATCATAGTGTAACAGGACAGACATCACAAAGGAGAGAAAGAGAAAAGATCTCTGCAAAGGACAGGAGGGTGTTAACCATACGGTTGCGCGCGTGTATCCTGCACCCCTGATAGCTGAGGCGGGGTTGATATGCATATCACTCATTCTGGTGGTGTCTATCCTTGCATGAACCTGTCAGTTGGCGCTGGCTCGCAGATCCGCCCTTGGTGGCGGCTAGTAGCATGCTTTCGCTAAGCCGTCATAAAATTCCCTCCGTTCTTAAGCAGTGACTGCAACAGTTACTCTCTATTATGTGATCCCCGACTTCTGCTGATACAGCCACACCCTTTCAACGAGCGGCCAGCTGACTAAATGTCAGCAGAGGGGTGCGAACCATAAGCAGAATTTAGCAACTGCAGTGTCAGGTATTTCGTGTCGGCCATTCAAGAGGAAGGTTTAACCCTGGATGTTCTGAGGTTAAATGTGAAGATAAACAAAGGCCAAGACACCAGGATACAGTTCAGCTCGACCACTCTAAAATTTGTGCAACCTTGTTTGCAATGTTTGTAACAGTCAGAACATAAGAACATTACTCCGTAGAATTTGTCAAATGATATGGCCGTTGGTGGACCAACATCATGTGGCTGGATCAGGGTAAAACCCCCACGGAGCACACAACAAAATAATCAATCAAGAATAACCAAGAAGAATAATCAAGAAGAGCCCAACCAGCTCAATTCATTCAAATAAGACCTTTTCACCAATCGTACTCTATTTCCTCTTCGGGACTAGTCGCATATCTGACAGAATTCGACAATACCACGGGACAGGTCAGTCCGAACAGTTTTTCCGTTCCTATAACCCAAATAAGGTTAGTCGCTGTTATGAATTACTGCACAGTATATGGTGCGTGTAGTATAGTGTGTGAGAGGTCAACACTATACACACCGAAATATTTCACACTCTCACACGACACCCACACACTTTAAAATGCAATACAATTACACCAAATTACATGTATTTTTGCCAGCTCTGTGAGAGTGTGCCCATTGCAATACCCGCACTGAAGATATTTTGAACCCTTACAAGTGCTCCACACTGCTCTAAACTGTAGTGCGTGTACAGGCCTGCTTGGCACCACCCTTTTCTGCAATGTATGCACTGTAGTATCCGACCCATTGCTTCTAAAAGTAATTTCTTAAGTTGTAAAAATGTCTTCTAAATCAGGAGGTATAGTAAATGCCACATATACCCTCTTTTACGACTGTGGTAATGTCCAAAGCTAGATGGGGATCGCCTATTCGGCATTCAAAATATATATCAGCCATCTGTCCTGTAATAAACCGAAAAGATCCCGGCCTAGCATTCAAATACTCCAAAACCAACCAAATAATGACTCACACAGTTTTACCAAACAGCATGTGCGCGATCCGAACCATGGAGACTGCTAAAACACTTTGGTGTCCGCATCACGATATGCGTCTGTACTACAGCCTGACCAGAAAACCCAAAGGACATAAGTTTACATTAGGCATGGAAGTATATCATTTTCATGGCCCAGAAATCAATGTCTTAATCCCATTCCCGGCCCTCACCTCCTCAAATGCCAGCTGTGCGTCTTTAAAGCTGAATATTTGTGTAATAAGCCCCTTCACGTTAACTTTCCTGGTAGCAATAAGCTCAGTAGCAAGCTCATAATCACCACTTGCATACCGGAAACTTCCCTTAATGTTGAGCTCTTTCGTGCAAGCCGCAGTAATAGGAAACCCGATTTCCTCCTTCCCCATTCCACCTTGGATAAAGGTTCCACCAGGCCTCAGGGCATGAATACCAGTATGTATGGAGGCCTCTGCACCGGAGGCATCAATGACAACGTCTGCACCTACCCCGAGTTCATTCTCATCCTTGAGACGCCCCGCATTCGCAGTAGCCGACGCAACCATACCAGGGAGAAAAACCGAGGTCGCAGCATAGCCACGGGCGAATTCCAATCTCTTGGTCTGGATATCCACGGCAATCACCTTGGACGCACCAAATGCCCGGGCCACAGCACAGCATAATAGTCCCACGGGGCCCGCTCCGAAAATGACTGCTGATTGCCCGGGCCGGAGACTTGCTTGTCGAACAAGATGCACGGCGACGCTGAGTGGCTCCACAACGGCACCCTCTTCCAGACTCACGTTATCGGGGAGCTTGTAGCAGAAGTCTTCAGGGAGAGAGTAGTATCTGGCCAATGTACCGTCAAAGGGGGGTGTCGCGGCAAATGCCATCTCATGACACAGATTATAATTGCCTGCCTTGCAAAACGCGCATCGCCGACAGGGCACGCCAGGCTCCAGAGCGACGGAGTCGCCTACTTTGAGGGTGGTAACTTTTGAGCCGACTTTCTCTACCACGCCAGCAGACTCATGGCCCAGCACCATGGGCTGTTCAAGGACGAACGGCCCGATGCGGCCGCGCTGCCAGTAATGGACCTGAGACGTTATTAGTGATAAGCTCTTGGAAGTATGCATATAAGGAACCTACATCACTGCCGCAAATGCCTGTGAATTTCACATTGACGAGCACGTCATAAGGATCGAGTGATTCTGGTACCGGACGATCCTCGAACACAAGCTGCTGGACTTCTTTCAGTACCAGCGATGGGTTCTGCAGCAGTAATGTTAGAAAAATACTTCAATAAATGTAGCTCGGATTGCTGACATGTAGTTTACTGATCTCGGGGATCATATTTACCCTGAAAAATATCTGTTGATATGGACTTTTCGACCTCCAAAATTTAAAGAACAATGAGCACTATCAGGTCGAATTAAAGTCAATACCTGCTCATCTCATGCAATTTACCGACATTATATACACTACGCTGGACATCTGTGTTTGGTCATTGTGGAGTAGAGAATTCATCTCTTGTTGCTCATGCGGCTTTAGAACTGGGGGCGTTCGGGGCACACGCCGTTCTCTCCGTCTCCACATATTTTTTTTTTTTCCAATTTCTGGTTCCCCACGGACCTACGGAGAAGCTCCGCGGCCGAACGATTCCGAAAGAGGGAAGTGGGCCGGTATGGGACGGGACCACCTGACTCTGTGAGAAAAAGATCCACCGACGGCAAAAAACGGCGAAAACTCCGTCATGATTTTTGGATGGATGGATGTAGATAATGTACACATGTCTACATACACCCCTTGCTCACTTTCAATATTGACCCTGAGCAGGATCGTCATTCCTTCAAATTGCGCTACTTATACTTTAATACCCCCAGTTCGCGACCCTTAATCCCTTGTAGATTTGAAGTGTTCAAGGAGACAGGAAGGAGAGGAGAAAATGCAGCTTCAAACAAGCTACTATATAGGCGTTGATGTTGGCACTGGAAGTGCACGCGCCTGCATCATCGACGACACAGGTGACATAGTGGGCTTGGCATCGGAGAACATTGCTCTCTGGCACTCTCAGCAGGTGTACTATGTAAGACTTATTCATCGCGCGTTACAAAGAGTGCTCTGTTGACATTTGCTTGAGGAACAATCAACCACCGATATCTGGCGCTGCATCTGCTCAGCGGTACAGCACGCCCTCGTAGAGAATACAATTGATCCATCACGAGTTCGCGGCATCGCTTTCGATGCGACGTGCTCTTTGGCCGTCTTTGCAACAGATTCTGATGAACCTGTGTCTGTCACTGGTTCTGAATTTAATAGCGACCGGAACGTGATACTGTGGCTAGACCACCGAGCTGGAAGCGAGACGGACAAAATCAATGCAACCGGTCATAAAGTACTAAACTATGTGGGAGGGAAGATGTCCATTGAGATGGAGATCCCCAAGATCCTTTGGTTGAAGAATAATATGCCGGCGGAGACATTTGCGAGGTGCAAGTTCTATGATTTGGCGGATGCACTCACTCATATTGCAACGAGCCGCGAGACCAGGAGCCTGTGTAGTCTTGTGTGTAAGCAGGGATATCTCCGCAATGGGGTTGGGAATACCGTGTCCGGGTGGCCCGAGGACTTTCTTGAGAACATTGGACTCGGTGAATTCAGCAAAGAGCAGTTTGAAAGAATGGGAGGGATAAACGGACAGGTAAGTTGTCTCTTCAGAATCTCTGCGGATTGGGCATAATTGCTCATTTGCATTACATAGAATGGCCAACATCTCCACGCGGGCGAGCTTGCCGGGTACTTGTGCGACAAAGCCGCCACAGATTTAGGTCTACCGTCCGGTATCCCCGTCGGCAGCGGTGTGATTGATGCCTATGCTGGGTGGATAGGAACAGTCGGTGCCAAAGTGAATTTCAACAAAGGCAACGCGAGCCCTCAAAATGACATGGCCGCAGAGCTGTTTACCAGGCTGGCTGCCGTAGCAGGGACCTCCACATGCCACCTGGTCATGTCCCCGAATGCCGTCTTCGTGAACGGTGTCTGGGGTCCCTACCGTGACACGATTTTGCCCGGCTGCTGGATGGCCGAGGGAGGACAGTCTGCGACAGGCCAGCTACTTAAACATGTTCTGGAAAGCCACCCAGCATTCCGCCAGGTAGAGAAGCTTGCGGAATTACAGAACACGGACATTTTCTCGTTTCTCAATGAGCATCTGAGAAATCGAGCCAGCGAAGAAAAGGCGCCTTGTATATCATACCTTGCACGGCACTTCTTCTTCTACGGTGATCTCTTCGGCAATCGCTCACCAATGGCGGATCCCTCCATGATGGGTTCTATTGTCGGTCTTACCAGCGATACAACGATTAATAGCCTCGCAATTTTGTACTATGGCACGATGGAGTTTATCGCGTTGCAAACCCGACAGATTGTCGACGTGATGAACAAATCAGGGCACAACATCACCTCTATTTTCATGTCAGGATCTCAGTGTCAAAATGACATCTTAGTTAACCTGGTTGCCTCTGCCTGTGATATGCCCGTTGTCGTCCCGTTTTATGTCAACGCTGCAGTGTGCCACGGTGCCGCAATGCTGGGTGCTAAAGCAGCCACTGCGGACACGAGGGGAAGGACAGTCGATCTCCGAGCAATTATGAACAAGATGAGCAAGCCTGGGAAATGTTTCTATCCAACCGAAGATGCAAGGCAAAGGAGTCTTCTCAAGCGAAGTACCAGGTGTTTCTTGACCAGTGTCAGCGACAGCGAGACTACCGGGCCGTTGTTAATGAGGCGCTTGCATAACAATCTACGTTTACGGCTGGGAGGATTAGAATGCATACGGCATTATAACCCTTTGATAAAACTGAATAAAGACCATGATTAGTACTAATTATCCAACTGATAATATTCCTTCTGCACTCTATTTGGTTCCCTTTCCTGTGCCTAGTCTTTCGTGATAGGAGTAGATCTTCAATACCCAAAGTATAGGCCATACGTCAGAAGGAATACTAGTCCAGGACTCGGAACTGGGCAATGACGTTGTGGTGACTCCCAGGCGGAATCCAATTGTCCACAATTACCAACCGACTTGGCCTGTCTAGTTAGTCAATCCCACCGCACCTTTTGATAATTAACCGAACTGATTCTAGAAGGCGACAGTGGTGGCCTGAGGTTATGAAACCACGCTATAAATACCAAATAGTCACGCGGGTCCCAGTTGTTTGGTAGATGTCTCGGGAGGAAATACTCGGTTCACTTGGCACAAGAAACCCCGACTAATACGTACTGTACTTAACAGTTGTAAATTGGAAGGTCCGAAATGGACGGGATTCCCCAAGCATCTTCCCCGACACATGCCGCGAGCCACGGGAAGTCATGATAGCTAGTCCGGTTCCGGATTAGCGACAAAACTTGCCGAACTCCAAGTGGGGACGAGGCGATCAGCTGACGGGGAAAACGGCGAGATGCCCGAGGTAGTGACGAGCATCCATTGTTTTTGTCCCACACGGCAGGGAAATGGCGTTGGTATTTGCCCCCATACGTCTCGTATTGGGCTTAAACATAGAGGGAGAAGATTAGTCCGGGGAAGAGTTAGTCAACGGACGCACCGTGGAATATATAAAGAGATTGTCCTTACCCCAGATTGTGGGGAAGTGTGTTTATTATGCCCTACAGCTAACTGACCGGGCGCTTGCTCTTGGTTTTGATTCTCCTATTGATATATACTTCTTCCTCGGGTTCCTCCTTGTGGTAATCTCGCTTGCATACATCATGGGTAATCAAATGCAGGGCTGGAATATAGCCCATCACCTAGAGAAGCGAAAGCTTCTTATCGCCATCAATTGCGTGGCTGGTCTCTCCATCTTCTTCTTCGGTTATGACCAGGGCATGATGGGTGGCGTGAACAACGCCAGTGATTATCTTGAACGGATGGGCATCGGCTACGGGGCCGACATAGATGGCGATAAAAATGTCCCGGTCGTCACCGATAGTCTTCTGCAGGGAGGGATTGTCTCCGTCTATTACCTGGGCACACTGGTTGGTGCTCTCTTTGGAGGTTGGATCGGTGAGGAAATCGGACGCTTAAAGACCATTGCAGTGGGATGCGTGTGGGCCATCATAGGGGCTGCCTTGCAAACCTCGGCAATGAACCATGAGTGGATCATCTGTGGTATGTTCTTCCTAGTTGTAGGAATACTGCCGCTTTCTTTCTGAAACAAATCATTCTGACAAGACGTTGAATTCTCTAGCTCGTCTCATCAATGGAATTGGCACTGGCGTCCTTAATGCTATTGTTCCCGTGTGGGCCACCGAGACGGCGGAGCATACCTCTCGGGGTCAGTTCATCGCGATCGAATTCACGTTGAACATTTTCGGTGTCGTAGTTGCATATTGGCTGGAATTGTGAGTGATCAACCGTCTGCTCAGTGCAACATCGCTACCTCTACGACTATTGTGCTGATCCTGAATTTGGCAGTGGCCTCTCCTTCATTGACGGAGGACGGTCTGCGTTCCGCTGGCGGTTCCCCATCGCTTTCCAGATAATCCTCTTGATCTTATTGCTCGCTGTGGTATGGTTCTTCCCAGAGTCGCCCCGATGGCTAGTCAAAGTAGGCCGTAAAGAGGAAGCACGCTATATCCTTGGCCGATTGAGGGGTACCGGCCCTGAGGATGGAAACAAGGCAGAGGCCGAGTTTCAAGACATCTGCAATGTTGCCGATCTAGAGAAATCGCAGGCCTATAGCACCTCGTATTTCTCCATGATCACCGGGAGAGGGTCCGGCGATCTCCACATTGGCCGCCGGGTGCAACTGGTCGTGTGGCTGCAGATTATGCAGGAATGGGTCGGGATTGCTGGCGTGACTATCTGTAAGTTCACAATGATTTCCATTCTTCCCGCGACAGGATGAGGCGAGCAACGAAATGGCAATAGACTAATCGAGGGTTAGATGCTCCGGTAATCTTTCGGATGGCTGGGTTCGACACCGAGAAGAGCCAGTGGGTTAGTGGTTTGAACAATATCTTTTATATGGTAAGCCGCCCAATAGACCACATTCACAGGTCGTTATCCCTGATGTCTCCAGTTCGCAACCTTGATCTGTGTCTTTACCCTTGACAAGATCGGCCGTCGGTGGACCCTGTTCTGGGGCTCTGCAGGACAAGGCATTGCCATGTTCCTTGCCGGAGGGTTCTCCTATCTCTGTGCGCATGCAAATGCCGCAGGAGACAGCAGTAAGGCTTCTTCATATGGTGCTGCCGCTGCATCCATGGTTTTCATTTTCACCTTCATCTTTGGTGCCACCTGGTTGAGTAAGTTCACCGATCGTTTGAGCTTTCAATTGATTGAGCAATGTTGAATACTGATCATCCTGGGTTAGCGGTACCGTGGTTATATCCTGCCGAGATCTTCCCTCTTGCTGTCCGTTCCAAGGGAAACGCGTGGGGAGTAGTGGGGTGGAGTATCGGGAATGGCTGGCTAGTATGTAGCAGTGTTCTATCTCCCTTCACCGGATACCCCTTAAATGCTAACCGTATCACGATGCATATAGACCCTTCTCTGTCCCATCATGTTTTCTAACATTGGAGAGAAAGCCCTTTACGTCTTTGGCATCGCCAATTTTATATCCATCCCCATGGTGTATGTGTTTTACCCCGAGTCTAATCAGCGAACACTGGAGCAGATCGACCTTTTGTTTGCAGCCAAGACTCCTTGGGTATGGGATGCGGAACGGAATTTCCAAGCGCTGGTGGAAACGAACCCAGAACTTACGCAGGCAGCAAGAGCCCATCAGCGGCCTGCGGATGTGGAAGCAAAGGTCATTGATCAGGGCGACAAAGCCGCATCAGAACATGTGTCGGGCTGAGACAGCCAAGGATCCCAATAGCCTGTAGCATGCTCGAATATCTAACACGAACCTGAGGTCGTTGGTATTATGAGAAGAGGCATAGATCGAGATAGAATTTGTATAATGAAATGTATTCCAAACTAAATCACGATGGCGCAACAAAGCGTATATCCACCCGAACACATCCATCCTGAATTCGAATTTAGGACTAGGAGCAAGGCGGTCATTGTATTCATACTTAGCTTGCTTCTGTGAGCAGGTCTTCCAACACACGACGTGCTTTCTTGATGTCTGGAGCTTCGTCTTCCCAATATGTGAGAGCTTCCAGTGTACCATCAAAATGGTCTTTTAGTCCGACCCGGCGATCTATCCCCGGTACGTCGAGATTGCCGCTTCGCATCGCAGCAATTACAATTAGTGAGCTAGTAACCAGAGCTCTGAGGTCAAACCAAATCCCATGATGGCGATGTCGAAGGCACCTGGCTTCAAGGATCTTCACAGTGCAGTTCAAGCCAGACTTGACTAACGCTGAAATTGTAGCCAACTCCTCGTTGGTAAAGGATGAGCTTTGAGTCCCTCCAGCTCTGTGGCCAGCACCAATGGGATGATGAATGCCAAAATATAAGAAGGGTTGGTATAACCACAGGCGAATTTCTAATAGACGATTTGCGATTGCCCAGCTCAGCTCGAGAGATATAGAGTCTTGCGTATCGGGAAAGCCATTCCTCGTTTGGCCGGGGCTTGCGTTATCCTCGTAGTAACGCATTGCCGGGGGTAGATTGGCGGACCATGCATTTATCTGGGATTCGAACTCCAACGCCAGGGGAATTAGAGGTTTGATACTCGACCACATGCAGGGTCCCCTTCGGTAAAAAGCGTTTAGTACGCGATTGCCAATTCGTCTCAGTGCCACTTCCGTCAGGTAGTAGTACCAGCTTTGGTCTTCATCGAATAGCTGCAGGATGTGGTTTCGCACTTCGAACGATGTCTGGGCTTGGTTTAAGTGGCTCCCATTTGCTAATCTGGAAGAGTTCCAGGGAGCCGACCACCCAGTTCCCTGCGATCCCCCTTCCGGATAGTCCTCTGAGAGGTTCGGGGGGGTCGGAAACAAGTCCGGGTATTCGTACTCGGCGATCGCAGACTGTGGCAATGGCAATTCGACGCGGATCTCAACTTCTGATTTGAAACATGACCAGTAGAGGCTTTGTTCCATGTGGCGGGACACAAAGGTCCCTCGCTGTACTGGTTCATCTGTCGAAAGGTCGTCATCAATTCTCAACCCATCGATCATCCTCAGCCGGAGACGGTAGAAAGTTGACGCTTGGTAGAAGTGGTTCCAAGCGGCCAGTGGGCGGAAGGTGTACATCAGATAGACTGGAACAGCGATCAGTTTTCGTCCACAGGGGCACCGGAAAAAAAAAATAAAAATAAAATAAATTAGATTAAGAAAGAAAGGAAGAGACAAGCTGCAAGTTTGATCCACATACCCCCAGCAAAGAAATGGCACTGAGCGCCTAAAACCGAATACCGCAAAAGGCCGATCCTTCGGCAGGCCATGACAAAAAAGGTCTCGCCTTCTTTCAACCCCGAGGCAGACGTGGACTTCGGGATGGATTGGCATGCCGCTGGACCTTTTTGTAATGGGACTTTAATTGACGACGTAAAAGGCTGTGAAATACAGCCGAGAGCACAACTTACGGCAACAAGGCATGACTGAGCGTCCCACCCGAGTCCAAATTCCGCAGCCTGGCGGCCCGAACGAACTAGAGCCTCCAGGTTTAAGATAGGATTCTTGGTGTGTACATTCTGGATGAACTGATCGACCAAGGAAGGAATGCGCTCTTCATTGGTGGGATGGAACCCGTCAGGCACCACCCATGTCTCGATGGCAGAGTTCTCGGCCTCGCGGGATGATTGAAACAGAGTGGTGATGAGGGCGCTCTCACGAAACAGGCCGCGGAAGATGGGCCAGGTGAGAACGGTGTCAGCACTGCCACGACAGGATGGAATCTGTAGATAATCCTTGTATGGCTCGGCATCGTCAACGGGGAGCTCCAAGGGCCTTTCCAGCGGTCGGCGAGCCGAATTCCCGCCTGAGACTGGGGTGCCTAGAATCCAATCAGTACAAGGGCGTAGGAGTCCAGGAGATACTTGAGAAAACTAACTGCTCGAAAAGAGAAACGACTGGATATTGTCAATGGTCTGTGTCAATGTATCAAGTCGCTCGATCACCTTCCCCAGCTCCCTATTCCTGGTTTCATCAATATCGGCGTCGGAAAGCAGGGTCGATCATGTTTACTCTTTAGTATAGTCCCCGCGCTCTATATAAGTACATTCCATGCCATTGTAGCGGCAAAATCCACATGTTGGCCGAGCATTGTCACAGCGGACCTTTCGTTTCCTACAGCTTTGGCATGCTGCCCGTCGGCGGTTCGTTTGTGGTCTGACAAAAGAACTAGTGTCGGTGGCGCCTCCACCGTGATCCTGCGATCTTTGAGGTGGAGAAGATTCAACAGGCACATCTATCTCCATGACCTTACTGGGGAGGGGCCTATAAAGATACAAGGATACGGAATAGTGCAAAACTTGAAGTTGGTTGAGACTTGATAGCGACAGGCAAAGGGAGAGAAAAAGCGACAAAAACGTTGGGTCACGGGTGTGTCCGAATTGCGCTTACTAAGAGCAGCCATCCAATCACAACGGGTCGAATATAGACGGTTTACAAGATTTATTGTTTAATGAATTCTCGTAAATAATACAATTAGAGCCTATGTCTTCACAAGAGGACTCTCCTAAGATGGAACTAGTAACAGAAGATGCTTCCTAAGGCACTACTCAGCGCCTGCTGTTTTACCACCATTGGCGTTGTATTAATCTCGGGGGTTGCTTTACTCTTGATTAATAACTAATTACCATGATTTCTCATGGCACAGGTACAGTTCAAGTATATGTTTCTATTGGATGGTGGTGATAGCGGGTTTTCTGTGAGAGAGGATCTTGATATGGCTGATATGGACAGTGAGGATGGGGTTGTGGGAGATGTGGCACCGCCGTCTTGAAGGAGCTGTTTGAGGATGGAAAGTCAGCCTGAGTAGGAGTTGGATCTGCTAGGAGCTTACAATATGGGGAAGTGGAAGAGAATAGGTAGGTATGCACACCTGGTAGTGGACCTGTCCCCAAGCCTTATTTTGAAAGTTGTACTGTTCAAGAGCTGGAAGAGACGCCGATGTTGATATTGGCGGTGTAAAGTACTAAAACTGAGAGAGTCAGTAATTTTGTCCATGTCAGGCGCGGTAAACGTACGTTCTTCAGTAAGAAGTCGACTTTCGCCTATAAGTTTGAATTAGAGCCACTTCACATTCCTTGATGAAGCTTGCTGTACACACTAGTAACATAAGAGATAACTTGTCGTCGACCATCTTGTTTATTTAGGATTCTCGGATTTGACTGCGAAAGTTAAGGCGCGGTTAGCAACAACTCTAGAGGATCGGTATTCTTCGTCCTTAATTACGTTGACTTACAGTCAGTCCTTTCTCTTCCAGTCGCTTCTTCTCTTGTCTCCAATCTTGCTTCAGATCTCTTTCTGTTTTGACTGTTAGCAAGCATAAGTCGTCGTAAAACTTTTCGTTCAGAGAGCAACATACAGACTATATGAAAGTCGATTAAGAAAATATAAGCTTATCCAGATACAAATATACGCGTTTCGAAGGCCCTCACATGCTAGGATTATTCGTAGTTAAGATCAGTCTTTGATTCAACTATCCCAAAATATCTTTTTTTTTCAACGAAATAACTCACTTTCTATAGGCATGGGGAAATATGACTTATTAGTGTTTTATCAAAAAGAGATACAGGCTGTCGGGGTCCCCTCACTCACTAAAACAGGAGAAGTTTAGAAGTCAGTATTTTAAATTAAGGACCTGATATATCAAAATCGCTACTTATATTTTTCTGGAAACAAGAGAGAAACATCGGTTAATACGATTCTCGCAACTTGGGATGGAGAGAATATGCTCACAGGCTAAAATGTTAGAGAACATTAGCCATTAAGTTCATACAGGAGCTCGCACGGGAAAATACTTACTCCCTGGTACCGTGAAGGACTTTATTAGTTCACGATATATAGCACGGATAATTTAAGTTGGAGTGACCTCACTTACATGCTACAAAATTGAAAAATAAGCCTTAGCGCTTGATACTCTGTTGTTGTACATTTAACACCAACTGAATACACTTACATTCTGTAATTAGATGAAGTAGAATTAGCAATATTTCGCTATACCTGTATTAGATCCGCTTAAGCGTTGAGATTACTTACGCACTTTTAAGTCGGAGATCAATGTCAGTTATTCACTTTGCGAAAGGATAGCTAGGTAAAGAAGCCACTTACAATCTTTCCAGCGACAAAAAGATATAAGAACTGTCATCGATCTATAATAGACCTTATTCCATTTACAGAGATTACTCAAACTATCAGAGATAAAGTGAATAAGCTCAAATCAAGTACTCGGGGAAAAATTAAGAGAACTTACAGACTGGAAAAATTGATATTGGTCAGCTCTTCACAAAGAAAATATTTTTTTGACACTTCACTTACTTCCTATTGTAGTTGAAAAATTAATGTCTGTTTTATGGCGATAAACATGTATTTATTTGGAAGGACTTTACTTACGTTTTAAAGGATTAGAGTAGTATCTTAGTATTCTTCTATGTGGATGACATAGTCTTTGCGTACCAAAAGGGCTGCAAGAATCAAGAAATACTAGACCAAATTGTTAATCAGCTCCAAAACCAGTACAAGATGACTGGCGGAGATAAACTGCAGTGGTACAGAGATAACCCGGAATCAGGGGAAAAGAATTATATGACTAAGTCAATCGTGGTATATAGCGAAGATTGCTAACCTTGTTGATTCAAAAACCCCAGACGACACTCCAACGACCAGAGATGAGCTACTTGCCAATTCCGAACGAACAACGCGCCAAAGCATTCAGAGATATCAGGGAAAAAAAAGGGTTCCTTAATGTACGCAGCAGTCACCACAAGACCAGACATAGTCTTTGCAGTATCCAGATTGTCCCGCTCCTCACCAATCCAAGCGACAAACACCATGCTGCGGCTGACCACGTCCTTCTGTACCTTAAACGAACGAAAATACAGTTGTTGGGAGGAGTAGTCCGATAGAGGGCCATAGATGTCGTTTTTGGTGAAAGCCTGAGTGGCCGCAACGCTCCCGTACCAAGTATCGAAGCAATATTGGGCCTACTCTGACAACATTGCCTCGCCGTATAACTGTTCAGGATGACTCCAGTATTGCAAAGCTATTGCAAGATCTCAAGGATCATGGGATTTCAATGATGCCTTTTGAACACATCGGCCTCTAGCGTCTTCAACAGCTATAGCCCGATTGCCAAGCTGCTTGCAGGTTACAAACTCTGTTGTTCAACCCAAGATCGGTCATTATATGAGCGGCATATCCTTAGCTATCAGTGGCGATGTATTCTTCTTTACCACATGTTCCTTGATGCTAACGTGTGCATCGGATTATGACAAGGTTACCTCCATACCAGCCATGACTCGAAAGTCATTTCCTCGCAACAGCTGGAAATTATTATGACCCGACTGAAGAATGTCATCATGCAACTGATTGGTAATCTCCACAGGCCTGTCAGTAAGATTAGCTGCTTGAGTAATGTTGATATGGAGCAGATATGGAAGTGGAACCATCGGCTTCTAGAAAGCATGGATATTCTAGTGCATGACATCGTTGCCCAGCAAGGGCGAAGCCAACCCAAAGCGGAGGCTGTGTGTGCATGGGACGCAAGCTTTACATACAAAATGCTGGACATCCTGGCTTCTTAACTTGCCCACCACTTCAAACGACTTGGAGCTATTCCTGAGCACGGGCTGCCAGTGCCATTATGCTTTCAGATTTCATCCTGGACCGCGGTTTCTATTCTAGGTGTCATGAAGGCAGGCGGATCGTTCGTTCTGCTGGATGTGTCTGAGCCGCAAGACAGATTGAAGAACGTCGTTTTGCACGTTAAAGCTGAATACATTCTGGCGTCAGCCCGCCATGCAGAGCTGGCTGCTAACTTTGGCTTTAAAGCTGTACTAGCGTCACCTGATGCCATTTGGCCTCTAAAGCAGCTAGCTGCTCCTGTTCCACTCCAAACGGACCCTCCGTTTTATGTGGTATTCACTTCTGGTAGCGCCGGCAAGCCCAGTGTTGTTGTGACCCATCGCAACTTCGCTTCCGGCATGCACTATCGATGGAATACCATGTACATACCGTCTATGCAGGTGCTAGGCTTTTCTTCATATAGCTTCGACACCAGCATGGAATCGAATCTGGGCCCTCTCATGCTCGGTGGTTTTGACTGGATTGCCTCCGATGAGCTATGCATGAATAATCTAGTTGGGGCTATTAGTACTACCAGGTCTAATGCTATCATAATAGCACCTTCGTCAGCAGCGCTAATTTCTCCAGAGACTGTTCTGTCGTTGAGACAGTTGCATCTCGGTGGGGAGAAACTGACAGCTGCTAATATAGAAACTTGGGCTGAGCGGCTCAGGCGTGTCGTTGGGTACCGGCCGAATGTGCGGTTACCGCTACGGGCAGATTGTTATTGGAATGACGCTGCAGGAGAACATTGGATCTGCTTTTGGAGTTGGTTGATCCGGCGAACCATGATTGACTGGTCCCACTAGAGACTGTTGCAGAGCTTTTGCTTGAGGGTCACATGGTGGGTCGGGGGTATGTCAACGATCCGGAAAAGAAGGCCGCTGCATTTATTGAAAACCCACCTTGGCTCCTAGCAGGTGGGGGTAGATATCCGGGTCGGCGGGGGCGACTTTACAAAACGGGAGACCTGGCTTGTTGTGGTACTGATGGTACACCCATAATGATTGGGCAGAAAGACACACAGGTCAAAATACACAGACAACGAGTTGAACTGGAAGAGATGAATATTATGTACACCGAGCTATTCGTGACCTCACCGGTGCCGGAACCAGCGCTGTAGCTGATTCTATTTCCCCCAAATCGGAACTAGCTGAGTCTAGCTTGGTGGTCTTCATTGAGCTAGAAATGGTAGTATCACAGAAAGGCTATGTTGTAGATTATGGAAGGGACATGGCACAGGGATTGAGCGAGGCGCTGCGACAAGCCCTTCCACGGTATATGTTTTCCCTCTGCGTACATACCTAGATGGAAGTTACCAATTATGCCATCTAGAAAACTTAACCGCGAGCAATTGGGCGTTGAAGGGGAGCACTCCTCGCTAAAGGAGTGGGCTGCTTTTCGGGACCTGGCTTTACTTAGCTTGACTGTTGATAGGAGGACAGTCTCTACAACCACGGAGATCAAACTTCCGAGGATTTGGGCAGATATCCTTGGAATACCATTAGGGGAAGTAAAGGCCGACCACAGCTTCTTTGCACTTGGCGGTAATTCGATCAGTGCCTTGAAGTCGGTAGAGCTCGCAAGATGTCGTGGGGTTTTATTCCGCACTGCAGATGTTTTTGGGCATCCCATCCTTTGTGATCTGGCTTCGCGTATCCCAATTTTGGAGCTCTTGCCTTCAAATTCTCATAGCCTATCATCTATGTCTCTACAACATTTGATGAGCTCAAACCTAACTTTAATTCAAAGCTACAACGCAGGTATTCCACTTGCTATGATTTATAATGGAGGAGGAATGACATATGCATACTATTGCATGGGTCCTCTCAACCGCCGTTTATACGGAATACATTGTCCGGGCCTTGATTCGAGAAAGTCCTTGGATGGCGGAATAACAAGCTTGGGGCGCTTCTATGCAGACCATATCAAGAAATACTTGGCACCAGGTCCGGTTATACTTGGAGGGCATTACTTTGAAAACCTAGCCAAACATTGACAGGGCTGCCGAGACGGCGATAACAACACTAATCTTAATCGAACCCTTGTGGAAAAAAGCATGCTCCATTCAAGTAATATGATGAAAGAGTATTTGCCCCCGACCCTTGGAGACTTATTCCAGGAACTTGACTCCGACAAACCTGATGTCGGCTGGCAACGTCTAGGTGAACCGAATCATCACATAGAGAAGACCCGGATACTTGATATGTTTCCTATATTTCTCCTGCGTGCTAGCTCAACGAAAGTTTCTAGTGACAAATCCGATGAGAAGACTAGTTCCTTCTTCGACGAGACACTCGGCTGGGAGCACTATCGACACGGTCTTATCAGTGAAGCTATTGTGATTTCTGCTGAGCGTTATTCTATGTTCTCGGCTAACGCAGTAGGTGTCAAATTATTAGTCTACTTATTTTGCGGAACCCGTTAATTTCTGACTGCTGGATTCCCTATCAGATCGCCGAGACTACCAATCGTATTCGGCAATTTTGTGATAAGATTGATCCAGGCGATGCATGAGAAGCTGAACGAACGTCTTATTCTAGTACACAAGCATGCTTCAACAAAATTTTCCAAGTTCAAGCAACTATTTCGCGCAACTATAGTAAATATCACGTGTTATAAACATCATATGATAAATCTATGTATAGTATTTAATCATGTGATCAGCCTTTTAAGAAACAGTTGTATACAAGTAAACACCCTTCATTAAGCAACTCCTCATATTAAACAAGTTAGCAACCTAGGACCGTTCAAAAATTACTTGCTTAATATGAGGGTTGAATGTACTAAAAGCTCTAGCGCGTACATTCTAGGTCAAAAGTCTGGTGACACCCGAAAAAATCGAATAATTACAACAAGTTCAAAATTAAAATACTCCTCCACCACAACTCTTATAGATCCTTAATTTAAATATTATTTACAAAATTAATACTTTGCTTACCACCCATGAGCTCGATGCACAGCTCGAATCCTACGAGGCATGAACTTAATCAAACTGTCGATTACCTCCTAGAGAACCTTATCCCATGCGTGACAGATAGCATCATGAAATTTGGTCCAATCCACTTGAGATCTTCCATCTAGAAAGAGGATAGGATAAAGTTTAATAAGCTTCTTTTTTAGCAGGTTCCATACATGCTCTATAGGGTTTAAATCGGGAGAATAAGCAGGCTATTCCATAACCCAAATTCCATAAACTTCAAACCATTCCTGTGCCTTCGAAGATGTATGGATTTTAGCATTGTCTTGCTGAAATATTCGACCAGGTTCATAGACTGGAAGAAGGCCTTCTTCTAGGCATTCTATATAGGAATTGGTGGAATATAGCCGCCTCGAGGTGATGATTTATCCCGTCTTATAATAATTAAATTTAATCGGCCACCATGCCATATAGCGCCCCATATCATTTGTGAAATATCCTTTTTATAATTATAAAGATTCACAAGATCCTGCCTATAGGCCTCTTTTTGATGTCGAAAGACAAATTAAATGGTATTATTAGGCTTTCGTTGGACTAAACATTCGTCAGAATAGAAGATTTCATTCCACCCAGTAAAATTAAGCCACGTACGAGAAAATTCATATCGATTTTTGGCTGTCTTCTTAGTCAAGGAAATTCTCTTCTTGCTTTTCCATTTCTTAAGGTTATATTTCCTTAGAATTCGCTGTATTGTTGACTTAGAGGCCAAACTATTGGGGCTGGCAATTAGAGTCCTATAGCTCATATCAGGCCTCCGGCGAGCCATTTGATAGATATAGCGCTTGGATGCTTCACTAAGCTTGCTAGGTCTCCCCTTTCTAGGTAAGGAACTGGTGGTCTGGTGGTGTAGATAGCGATCGCGTGTGCGGTATACTGTTTGACGACTGACCCCAAACTACTTAGCCATTTGAGTAGGCGATTGCTTAGTCTGAAGGCCATATAAAATAGCAGAACGCGTTTTATTTGAAAGCTCTTGATTAAGCCTTCTATTCCCACTAATTTCAGTGCCAAAGGTCCTCATATTGGTGGTGTGGTGGGTGGTTGAAAAATTAACAACTTTTTGACCCGTCGCGCGGGAGGGGGAGTGTAACCAGACTTTTGACACGCTATGTACTAACATTATGGCTGAGATATTAGGGTCCTAAAAACACGATTAGTATGGCAAAAGTGGTGTCCGGCTGGCTTACATGTCCGACTGACTGGCTTACCAGTTACGTCAAAATACATGCTTACTTTGATCGGAGATTTTCCGCTAATGTTCCTATAGAAAGGGAAACCTTCGCGCAATGATGCCTTGATATCACGTCACAAACCCTGCACGAATTACCCATATGGAGACGTTGACTGGCTTTCATACATGTGGCTATGCAAGCGGTGGCTTAAAATTTGCGACCGACTATCGGATTAACAAACAGCACTCTCCTTATCTCCTATTGCATAATGGGATCCGCCAAATAGCCCGACCCCCTGACGCTCGCTGAAACGTGCTCTGGCTAGTACGAAATACACGTCATGTGCACGATTGAAAGATTTCAAGGGTCATGATAATAACCTGTATCTTAGGTGGTTACCTAACGTGCGGGGTTCACACCCCCGAATACTTCAACACTTTTCCTGTATCCCAGAGAGAGCGAGTAAACCATCCAAGGAAGTATTGTAGTTATCGTGCTCTGGGATATCAATGATATATCGTTCCCTATATTAGGTAACTGATTGCATGCAGCTGTTCAAAGAGCTTACTGCTTTCTTTCCCCTTGAGTCACATTCACATCAGGTACATACCCGCCCCCAAATGTCTGGCCCCCAGACACCCCCAGACATTTGCGGGCGGGTACTATCGCACATCACGTACATACTACGATTTACGAAGGGCCAGGTGGCAACGCTAAGTATCCCTGCTGTAGCACCCAGTGAAGCGCCAACTGTAAAGTGCTCAATCCTCAATCCTCATAGGCTCCTCCCTATAGGCTCTCTCCATTACTCTACCACTTCATCATACCACTACACCACACCAAGCTGGACGCCGGTGCCAGGGTGGTCAAACTGGTTTGACTGGTGCAGGGTCTCATTTCCGTCCGACATATATCACAAACCACCTCATTAGAACCCCAGAAGCCTTAGGAATTCATAAAATTATCACCCCACAATGTCCTTCTCAACCCTCCCTTCGAACGCCAGCCTCGTCAACATTGGCACTCACTCCCTCGCCCTCTACACCCACGGCCCAGAACGCAGCAGCTCCAAAGATCCCGTCGTCCTATTTGTCTCGGGCGTGGCAAGCTCCAGTCTCAACTGGGCGGCTGTGGTGCGGCTGCTTCCTCCCTCGCTGCGAAGCTACACTTACGACCGTTCCGGCTACCGCAACTCCGAGCTCTCCCCGCTCAAGCCCACGGCCGAGAACATTGCTCTGGAGCTCTTCCATCTGATCGAAAAAGCTCCCATTTCGAACCCTCTGATCATCGTGGGGCACTCCTGGGCCGGCGTGCTCATAAACGAGTTCATCGCCCTTACGGGAAATGGCCCGCACATCGCTGGCCTGGTGCTCGTCGACGCCAACCACGAGACCGCGCCACAGGTACTGAACGTAAATGATCCAGTTCTCCTGGCCATTGCTGAGGGTGTCGAACCATACTCTGGCATGGGCATGGAGTCGGAGCATAAGTTGACGCAGGAAGAGTGGGATATGTTTAGGAACGACGAATCGACGGAGAAGGCCAAGCTGATTGGGCAGAAGGAGGATTTTGAGTACGCGCCAAGTTTTGAGACGCTGCGGAAGAAGGAGCTTGGTAAAAAGCAGCCACTCGTTGGAGATAAACCGGTTTATGTAATTGGGGGCATGCGGAGTAGGGATTGGACTGGGTTGTACAAGGCGGGCGTTGAGAAAGGGAATGGAACCGAGGAGCAGAGGAGCCATGTTAGAGAGTTGATCAGGACGGCTGATGAGAAGAGTGAGGGTCTTATGAAGGAATTTCTGAAACTCTCTACGAAGAGCAAGCTTGTATTTGCCCACGAGAGTGGACACTTTGTCCAGTTAACTCAGCCGGATATTGTTGTTAATGGAGTGAAATGGGTTTTAGATAACTTACAAACATCTTCTTAGGTGTGGAAACTCAATGGGAAATGATTCATATTAACATGTATTATCCAAATCCAGGGAATAACTCTGTGCCACATGTATGTGAACAACGCTGGGAGCGAAGCTACATCAGATACTGGGCTGTGAAATCAAAAACGGCTTGGAGAGTTATGACATGCAGTTCTTGAACAACTCAGAATGCCAAGCAATGCCTGTAACTCCAAGTTTCACAAGGCCAGAGAAACAGCTTATTTTTTGCTGCCTCATAATTTATTCCTGCCGCTCTCAAGTGCTGAACTTGTGACACTGAGTTGCAGCTCTGCTGGGACTTCTTTCCACTCCTGTCCCGCTTCCTTTCAAGCTGCTTTGTGCTTCTTTGCAGCTTTCTTTATGGCAGGCATTGGCCTGTCTCCATTTCTCCTCGCCCCTCTCACGGCATGTATCTACTTATACTACTCATCTCGTCTCTGGCTTGGATGTCCCTCACCATCTCTCACTTTATCTCGCCATGCATTATTGCACCGTCTGGTAGTACTCCTTCCTCTCTTGATGATTGTCTTCCGGTACATGCTTCCCAGAACCAGGGCGCAAGTTGGTGAAGTCCTGGGCACAGACACGAGCTCGGAACGATTTATTCGTGCGTTCGTGGTTGAAAGTCGGGAGGACCACTTCGCCAACTGCACTTCGCCAACTGCACAGCAAGCCGAAAAAAGGGGAATGATGCAGGAGACGGCCATTTTGCGCTCCACTATCTAATGGTAGCCACCGCAAAACAGGGCCAAAGTCTGCATACAGCCAAGGTCATGATACTGATTGCCAACCGGCTGTTGGAGAAGCGGGACCAGCGGTTGTGCAGCAGGAAGAAAGTCCTCGTCTGCCAAACCATTCTTTAGCCCCGTATCTACCCCCGCTACAGAGCTGTTATGGCTACTGGGGGGGGCTGTTTGTGACGGCTGTGGAGTAAGGCGGACCCTTTGCGGTGACGAAGGGCTGGAAGTAGAGGAATGTCGAGGACGGTGGCGGCTGGCACTTCTGTAGGGCAGCGGTTAGTAGGTGTTCCTTGTTTAGTACGGTGTGAATATGTACAGAAGCACAGGACGTACACGACTGGTACGGTACCTCAAGTCTGTTCGTACGGAATCCTACTAAGTGGTAGTGGTTGACAGGTTTTGCAGCGGTTGCAGTAGATTACGGATGATGTCTAGTTGGCAAGTAAGAAGTCTGGCGACTGGCGGATTAAGCGAGGAAGCTCCTCTAGACAAGATACACCTCAAGGAGCTGTGTAACAACCAAAGTAGCAGATGATATTAATTGGCCGTTTCTATTGTCTTTTAAGTGCACATGAATTCCCATGGAGTAAGAAGGTACAAATTCGACTCTCATCATGCAAAGCTTTTCCTCTTTCCCTGCTGTTGTAATAGTCCCGTAGCAAAGTCGGCGATAGCATCACAGATGGTACTTCAACTACTACGAGTAGCGCACGTCGGATGATTACAAGTGGAAGGCTATCGTCAACATGCCCATCTGGGTCACGTGGAGATGTTTCGACGACAGTAAGGTCCAGTTTGAGGCTCGGGGGGGGGGGGGGGGAGACTAACTGAATATATTATGTTGCAACCGTTCCACTATAAACACAGGCCATACTCTCTAACTACGTGTGTTTGGATATAAGATATCTCTTTAATTTCATACAAGGCCCGAATGAAATTATTCAATCAAGTTTATTGCCCTAAACACTATTCTATAATCCTATATTGCGATGTGCCCTGCTATCTCACAAAATTTCTCCTCTCACCGGCTCCAGTTTCTCCCAAATGAGCTCGAATGTATTTAGACACTCTTGTGGCAAAGGACCCTGGCTGATGCTCTCGATATTCGACTTGATCTGCGTGAGAGAACTGGCTCCGAGGATGATTCCATTATTCGTATCCAGTGAAGAGTGGTAATACGCCCACCGCAGCGCAGCATCAATAGTTGTGATTCCAAGAGTGCCTGTCGTTTCCTCTAACTCTTTGAGTGCGTTGTGCAATGATTCCTGGTTGTAAAGATTCTGCATGAATTTGTTCATGGGACCCTCGCCGTCGAAGCGTGTGCCTTCTGGGTTGCCATTTGTGAGTTTTCCGGACAAAAACCCAGAGGCCAGAACTCTGGTGTATATCAGTATTGCTCAGCATATTGAGTGAAGGACAACATACCGGAATGCGTTGTAGGCAATACCGTATTTCTTCAGGATTGGGAGGAGCTTCTTTTCCATGCCTCGATTAACGGCACTGTAGTCGCCCTGGTAGATAGTGGGCTTGACATAGCCGTTGGCCTCGCAGATGTCGAGGAATTCCTGCAGCAAGTCTGGTTGGAAGTTGGAGACACCGAGCTAGAAGTATTAGCTGTGTTCAAGCAACCTTTTCAGGGATAGTACATTTTTAAACTTGCCAGTCTTGTGCAAACTGTCCAGAGTCTCTGCCTGATCTTTCAACGGAGTTTCTGGGTCTGGCCAGTGAATGTGGAGAGTGTTGACCTGCATGATAAATAGCAGTACAGATCAGTGAATATTAGGATCTTACCTGCTCAACACCCATGCGCTGCAGACTGGTGTTGATGGACTTTTCAATCGCAGACTTTTCTAACTCACCACGGTGATCTGGAGTCAACGCAAGAACTTGTCGATAGAAAAGCCCTGAGAGGCAGCCTTGGTCTCACCCAGCAGTTCCTCCGAGCGCCCAGGCGAAGTGGGAGGGTATCTGCCTGCGGTGTCGAGGTGGGTGATGTTGTTCTCTTTGAGATAGTTGAGAACTTCCTGGGCATCTTCAGGATTAACAAAGTTCATACCAAATGAGGCAGCGCCGAAAATGAGCCTAGGGACACCCATATTGCTGTTTGAGAGCAGTTGGAAAAGAAAGAGATAGATAAAATAAAGGAACGAGGGGCGATAAATAAGAGCAAATAAGGGCTAAGACCGGAAGAAAAGCTTCCGGCGCATTTCGCAATATGTAATCCTGGTCGAAAAGTTGCATTTTCACTCGCCTTGAATCCATCGTATTACTAACCTGTATATTTTCTTCCTTTCCACTCTTCAACTTTATTGGTCCTTATCTGTTTAAAGCAATAGATTAATGTATCTTCTGGTTGCAGTACGTTCCTTGAATCCCTTTGGGGCCTTGTTTGGAAAAGATAAAAATAGTTCTACTATTCTTGCCTTTTCCCACAGGCTTTGCAAGCTTGATTAGTCTGTTTGACCTCCTGGTTACCAAGGCTATTAAAAGCCTGTTTAATTAATCTGCAGCTACCAAGACTATCACTACGCTTGTGCTCCTGTATGGCTTTAACTCCATGGTGCAAGATTCTGTTCCGGGCTTCCGATCTCTTCGGCTTTAGCATTAAAAGTAGGAACAAATAACCCTTTAGCAAACTTGTTGCTTTGGTTTATCAAATTGGCATTTAAACCTTTCCGGAAGTCTAACGCTGCCAGTCGGAATGTAAGTCTATTTTTATCAATATACTTTTATTTTATTATTTGGTAAGAGGTTGCCTACGTAGGATTTATAGACCTTATAAGTTAGCAGTTAAAAAATTACTAATCAAATTGCTTGTTAATGCCGCAACTGTAATCTTTACACCTGTGGCCTTTTGCACGGCTTATTCCCAGTTGTTTATCCAAGTGAGAGCATCCTGAGGCTTTGTAAGAGGCTTAATACCTTTCCAGTATGCCTCGCAGGCAAGATTCATTTATCCCAACACTTTGCTGTAGGTTGTTATACCACTCCCGCATGGTATCGGCTGGTTTGCAGCGGTGTTTATAAACTTAAGAAGAGACAGTCTTCTGCATCCATTCCCGTAGTTTATTTAACTCAGTTTGCTGTCTGGTGTAGATATCAAGACGTGTCTTGTATCTTGTCCATGTAAATTGCTAATCAGCCACAGATACAGATATTGCAGATTGTGATCGAGTAGTTCTGGCTGGTGGAGGATCGTTTTCCTTGAGTTCTTCTGGCTCAGGAAGCTCCTCCTTGTTTCCGGTAATAATATCGCATATATTTCTTGCCTCTAGCTACTCCTTCAAACTGAGCATTCCATTCCTCCCAGTTGTCCTGAGTCTTTAAGAGAATGGTGTTCTGCGTGGACATTTTCGTTTAACTAGAGAAAAGGTCTTAATCAGTGGATCGGTGGGGCGTGTGGGACTAGGCTGGCCCTTGGGAGGGGATTTTCCCTTGGGATTTCCCTCCCGAATGGGACCGGGACGGGAACGGGACGGGAAACGGGAACGAGCTTATAGATGGGAAGGGAGTGGGAATATCCCGATTCCTGGGAAAATCCCATGGGAATTTCCCTTATTTTAATCACGTGATAATTAACTACTTGATATTACGTTACATAGTAATATTTTATATTTCTATGCTATAAAACTTTTTAGACTATACCCTATTAGGAAGTGGGAGGGATTCGGGATCTTAGGTTAAGAAATAGGACGGGAAACGGGACGTGATTTTTAAGATAAGAGGAAATGGGAATATCCCTTCCCGAATCCCATATAATGGGAATCCCTTCCCAAATAGCCTGGCATGGGAAGGGAATCAAAATTTAATTCCCATTGGGAATATGGGACGGGACTTGAACCCTTTCGGGATCCCGAATCCCTCCCAACGGTCAGCCTAGTGGGACAAGGGTCAGCGACTAAGACTCTTAATTGTTAGACATACAGTTAGTCCCGAAGACGAAATAGGGTACGATTGGTGAAGAGGTCTTATTTGAATGAATTGAGTTGGTTGGACTCTTCTTGATTATATTAATGCTTATAATGATTATTCTGATGGTTGTTCTCGATTATGTTCTTTCGCTTGTTGATGGCCTTTTTGACCTATTCTTAATCATATAATTTTTGCCACGTATAGCCATATTATTTGACAGTATCTGAGATAATTTTACGTGAATGCTTTCATATTGCCAGAAATAACTGAGTTATTTGTTGCAACCTCTAGTGGGCCAGCAAAGAAGTACGCAAACCCAACACCATTAAGCAAGTTCTTCAATAGTGGGTTTGATGCACCGTTCCATTCGTTGTACCACAAACAGGAGAATGTCTCCAGAATACAAGGCGCAGCACCACCCATAGTGCCTGAAACTGCAAATATGTCAGGATACATGCAATATATAAGCATTCTGACTTGACGTGGCGATATCCGGCCGGCTGAAAGAGGTCTCCAGGGTTTGTTGATCTTGTCCTCCGAGATGGCAGAGGCAGAGCGCTGATTATGGAGAGTGAAAAGAAACAGATTGCTACATGACCAGAGGAACATTTCAGGTAAAGAAGCCAAAATCTGGCTGAAAGACAAAGAGGCGCCCATGCCGAATTCAGACGCCACAGAGGTATTCAATGCCCCAAATAAAAGCCCCAGGCAAATGATATCCTTGATGTTATCGCAGACAAATAGATGGGCAGTGTATGCATGATAGCATGATGATGATATGAAAGACGCCATGGTTGTAGATATGATGGAAGTCACGCCCAGGCTGTCAAAGAGAATAGGAAAACTGTAGTAGTGCCTCTTAGCAAGCCGTCGTGTGCCAGTGTCCACGACCTTGACTGCCTTTATTCATCCAGAGCCGCAATCGACTCAGTGTGGAATGACGCCAGCTCAAAGGCTACTTTCGGATTTCAGGCAACCAACAAATCCTACACGTACTAACTGACAAGGAGGTAATCCTTTAAAGGTGGATCTACATGACAGGCGTGAATCCTTCAAACATGGAGTTGTATGACAGGTGGATGGTTCCATGACAGGCCAGGAACCACCCATGTCTCCGCACTATCTTCGTTTTCGAAACCCACTGGCATTTTGCTTGCATTGTCAGAGCCAAGATATATATCTTCACCCATTTGTTTTAATTGATGTGTCTTTGGATAGTCGAATGTGAGTAGTTCAGAAGCAATAGCTGTGTCAGGACCCATGACGAGAGACCAACACACCTCAACGTCGGCCTTGAAATTAAAACTCAAAACTCGACTTGAGGCTTTAAATACTGGCCCCATGTACGCAGCACACACAGGACCCCACCTAAATGTCTGCATCTCACGGCACAATCCCCTGCAGCTTCGCAAGCACAAACAACAGATTCGCGTCGAATTGCTGGATTCACAACCCGTTTAGTCCGTGTTGAGCCGGCCGGGAGGGGCCTCCGAGTATTCAAATGTTGCATGCATGAGGCCAAGATGCATGGGGCCGAATTCGGCCGTGATTGGGATTCTGGGACTGCGTGAACTCGAGACCGAAAACAATTGGCCCAAAAACAAGACTGCTATACTATCATTGAATCAATTTAGAGGTCTTGTGAGCTAATGAGAATTGGTAGTTATACTGCCCAAAAGTCTCCCACATGCAGGTTAGCATCCAATTTCTACACAAATAACAGAGGTTCCAAAATTGCAAGGCTCTAATTGCCACCCGCTAAGTAAAGCTACTTAATTCTACTCTCGAGCATAATAATACATTGTAACTTACGACACTGGAATACCCTTAGTTAGCACCGAGACCTCCCCGTCAATATTTCAGGCTACTTTTACACTAATAACTTATTATCAGGTTATTGGCCTTGTCAATCTTCATATTCTAACTTAAAATCCTACGATCTCAAGGCTAATATAAGCTTCCCTTAAGCCGTAGGTACTCTAGGTTTAGTACGCTAAGTTTAAACCTATCTATACTTCAATACAGTCCTCCATTCTCCAGTTCCGAGCTTATCCTCTAGTACTGATACGGTAATATGTCTGTAGCAAAGCCCGTAATAATTATCTTGGTCCTCGGTTTCATGTTGACTAGCGGTTAAAAATTAGAGTGGGGCAGAAGCTGGTAGTTTAAAATAGTACTATAACAATCTCACACGTGCTAAACTGCATTGAGGGGGCCGGTCGATCCAGTACTTTTGGGCGGGGTAGAACTGGCATTTGTGGAGCTAATTATAGCATTTCCATGTACTACTCTTATTAGGTGGTATTAATAAAATCTGTTTCTTTGTTCACTATTATAATACTGGGAGGTAATTCAATTAGTACCAATACATATGTATCTCCCGCCCACGGGTCTTTCTTTTCTTTTTAATAAGTTACTTGCTACGCTCGCATCTTAATTTTTTTATATTCTCGTCCAATCTTTCACCAGGTCTGCGCACAGTACAAAATGGCTGCTGTATATGACTTTGTCGTTATTGGCGGCGGTACGGCTGGCCTAGTGGTTGCTTCTCGACTCAGCGAGGACCCCACCACCTCCGTCCTGGTTCTCGAAGCAGGCGCCGACTTAACAGCAGATCCTCGCGTAAACATTCCCATCTTTTATGCCGCACTACTTGGATCCGACGCCGATTGGAAATTCCACTCTTCCCCTCAGGTAAGGACCGTCTCTGTCTCGATAAAGGGTGTGGGCTTACTCATTGCTTTTACAGCCGGGCCTCAATGGCAGAGTGCTTGGCCTCAACCAGGGCAAGGCACTCGGAGGATCCAGTTCATTAAATGCACACGTCTTTGTTCCTCCTTTCAAGGGAGTTGTTGACTCATGGGAGGCACTCGGTAACCCCGGATGGAATTGGTCCATGTTAAAGGACTATTTCTCCAAGGCCTACAGCAGTCCGACTGTAGCACAGGATGCCAAAGAAGGTCTGGCAATTGAGGACTGGCCTGAATTGAACGAAGCGAAAGGTCCGATCCAAACTTCTTTTGGCAACAAGACGCACCCTATTCGCAAGGCATGGGCCGAACTGTTCCGCAGCAGAGGGCAATACAACGCCGGGGATCCGTTCATCCACAGCTCTGTAGGCTCATTCAGTTGCCTTGCTAGCATCGACTCGGAGGGCAAGAGAAGCAACTCCGCCTCGGCCTACTATAAGCCTGTTGAGCTTCGACAGAATCTTCACGTTCTTACGAACTCATTTGTCGAGAGAGTCCTGCTTGACGAAAGCAAGCCTCCCAGATCTATTGGAGTCCAGTACAGTCTCGATGGTGCCTCAAAGACTGTTCAGGCAAGGAGCGAAGTTATACTTGCCGCTGGCGCTTTTCAATCTCCCAAAATCCTCCAACTTTCTGGAGTTGGTGGAGCAGAACTTCTTGAGAAGCATGGCATCGATATAGTCATGAACCTTCCTGGAGTTGGGCAGAATCTTCAGGGTATGTGAACAGCCTCCAATCTGGCACATTCAAAACCTTTGTGTTGTTGATCTTAATTTGGCTCTCAAATAACGTGAAACCATCTCCCTTTTTGACGCATACTCGCTTTGGGACGGATTTAAACTAACATCTACTTTTTCTAGATCATATGATATCGTACACCGCATTTCAAGCAAAGGCTGAACTTGAAACTAAGGACTCTCTGGTCAGACAAGAGCCCGAAGCCCTCTGCCAGGCAATGCAGGAATACACTGCCACGCAGTCTGGGCCCCTAGCTTCACTCGGGGTTCACACCTATGCCTATTTGCCTCTTCCTTCACCGGACAGAAGTGCTCTCCAGGCATTATTTACAAACCACGTCCCCGAAAACTCACAAGAGCACAGGGCGACACGAGCCTATTACGACATTGCGAAGACCACGGTTCTTGATTCCAAGCAACCATCAGCTGCGTACCTGTCCGCCTTAGGGCAGACGAATTATGCCAAAGACCTTAATGATGAGACTATCCCAGCTGCTTCGCCGGGAAAGTTCGTCACGCTTGGAGTAATGCTCTCTCAACCGCTTTCCCGCGGAAGCGTTCATATGTGAGTGAATTTTTTGTTTTCTTCTTCCCTGCTAGAGATTGTGAGAGGTTCTTTACTCCTGACTCTTCACATGCGTCCCCCCCCCCGGCCCCCCCCCAACAAACCGTATATTCACCAAATCTGACAAATAGAACTCAAGTACCTCCATCAATCCTGAAACCCCTCCAATCATTGATCCTGGTTACCTGTCGAATCCTCTCGATCTGGAAGTCATAGCACGGCACTTGCTCGGTATCAAGAACTTAGCAGAGTCACCTCAGCTTGGGGAGCTGCTCGAACAGCCACTGAAGTTCCGTGACCCAGCTGCAGACTTCCAGGGAGACTTAGATGCTACAAAGAAGTATGCTCGGGAGAATTTAGTCTCCATGTGGCACTTTGCGGGGACCTGTTCCATGCTGCCTCGCGAGAGAGACGGAGTGGTGGATTCCAATTTAAGGGTCTATGGTATCGAAGGACTGAGGGTTGTGGATGCGAGTGCTATCCCGCTTGTAAGCACGGCGAATCTGCAAGCCACTGTGTACGCATTCGCGGAAAGAGCAGCGGACCTCATCAAGCAGGACTGGAAGAGCGAGTAAATAAGGCGTTAGAGAATGTCCACACACACACATTAGGTTAATTGGAAAAGAGGTGAGAATGGGGAGACCGCCTAATCACCCAGGATTCTCACCCTCCGTCGCGCAATTCGCGGGTGATCAGTCGCGCTCCAAACGTTTCTTCCTCTTCGTAGAATCTTCCTACAGTGCAATTATTCCCTTCGATGGGCCAATACGAATATCGGTATTGCTAGGCGAGAGGTAACCTGTGAGGTCTAGAAGCGCAGCCCGAGGCTGCCAGTAAGCTGACTAAAGAAACTGTCAAATAATATGGCCTTCGGTGGACCAGAATCATGTGACTAGATAGGGTAAAACCTCCGCGGAGCACACAACGAAAACAACAGAATAATCAACATAATCAAGAAGAGCCCAACCAGCTCAATTCATTCAAATAAGACCTTTTTACCAATCGTACTCTATTTCTTCTTCGGGATTAGCCGTATATCTGACAGAAACTTGTGCGTTGCTGACGTATAGCGTACTTGATCACCTGACGCACGAAAATTGATTCTACACCGATATTTTGAACATCTTTAAACCTCAATATCTTCATCATTATGGCACCTATTGATGAGGCAATTGCAGAGTTAAACTCCCTGAAGCTTGGAGATAGACCTACTCACTTTTATTGCGAAAAAGCGTGGAATTCATAGGTCAACGCTATCAAGAAGATTCCGCGGCGTTCAGCATTCCAAACATGAGTTTGCTTAATGATCGGCAAGCGAAAGTGCTTATTTCTACGCACTAAAAGCACTAAAGCGTCCTAACCAGTAAGCATGCATGGCATGGTGCCATGGCAGCGTGCCTTTCCATAAGCGGGCTGCGTTGGTAAGCAGTGGCAATCCTTGTGCAGGATTGCCAAGTAAAGACGTTACAGCTCCTCTGTGACGCACCGTTCTGCATATTTCGCACATTAAAAGGGCATTCCATCCATTGGTTGGAGGCAATGAGCTTGATGGGACTTGCCTCCGACACGAATAGTACGATCAATACACTTCGGCCAGAGTTGAGAGTAAGCTGCTATCTAAACCGTCGTATATAACTACTAATATCCTTAGAGGATAAACGATAAACTGACTTGAATTGAAGCACATCCAAATGATCGACAATACCCCGCTCCAAACACATTGTTCTGGACTCGCGTCCTCTCCTACAAACCGTAGTGTCTTATGGGATTATATCATGTCCCTAGAACAATGGAGTGCCGAGCTGCAATCTTCTGAGTCTTCCAATTTGATTTCCTCAGTAGCATTCTCACCAGACGGCCGAAGGATCGTGTCAGGCTCCCCGGATAAGACCATCAAGCTCTGGGATGCCCAAGCCGGCTCACTGCTGCGAACCCTCCAGGGCCATTTTGGTCCAGTTTCATCAGTGGCCTTCTCACCGGATGGCCAGAGGATTGTGTCGGGATCTGGTGATGAGACCATCAAGCTGTGGGATGTCTAGCTAGCTCCGGCTCGGAGCTGCGAACCCTCTAAGGCTATTCTAATTCGGTAGCAAATGCGTCAACCGCAGATTATACTGCTAATCCACATTCGGTCTATGCAAATTTTCGTTCCAGAGGCGTACGGATCACAGCGCTGCTTGCCATAGAGTTCGTACTTTTGTTTCACTTTCATTATTTCTTATCTTTGTCCGACAGCCAGACTGTTACTATATATTTGGGTCAGATAGCTAAGTAGTGAGGAGAATCAGAACGCTTGGTTGGTTACATGGCGTAAACGAATTGGGCGTCGAGTCGATACCCTGTTCTCATTAGTACGTTTCTGTACCCTCCGATTGAGTTGCTGAGTTACAGGATCAGATCTCCCTATGTGCCTTCTATGGAAAAAAGGCCCTGTGATAGCTGTGCCTCTCATAAGTTTCTAGCCACTTCAATCGGTGGTGGGTAGCCATTCACCAGAAGGCGACAGCCAGTTCAGATGGCGTAACACGAGGTGCAAGGTCTAGTTTTATGCAGTTTCGTACCGTAGGTACCAAGCCAACTCGCAGTCACTCTACGATTTCCTTTACCAAGTTAGTGCTGCACATGGGCAAACTAGAAAGATGAAACACCCGGGCGCCAGTTTTGAATACTTGAGATAAAGTCGTGGCAGCAACGCAGAAGGCAGAAAGCAGAAAGCCGCTACGTCCCAAGTCCTCTACACAGCAACCCGTTCCCTTAGTCTGATCTATCCTCTCATCCAGAAAATGTATTTGACGTTCATCGACTCTCTAAAGAAGATCGTCCTACCAATCAAGGGGGGATCCGATCCAGCGCAATTCCTAGTTGACCGTCTCCCACCCCCGAGATTGCGGGCAATGGGTTAGAGCTTCGATAGTAATGGTCTCTATTTTGTAACCATCGAGTTGCTTTATAAAGTCGATAAAGCGCAATATTTTCAAGGAACCTTTCCAACATAGAGAAAGATGTGTAACACGTTTTCGCATCCAGTCTTCCAGAGATCACTTGAATTGACGTGTCGTACTTTCCGTATTCACGCTGCCCATGGAGGTGTCAATACCGACTGCGTCGTGTCGAGACTGCTATTACATCTATGGAAGCTGACGGCATTTTGACGGAGGACAGCTACAATCGTCGGTATATCTATTTGTCGGAGAGTGGTGCTGTACATATAAATACAGCAGTAGAAGTTCTTCAATGCCCTCATATAGCAGCTTGTCATTGAACCGTCGATAAGGTGTCTGATCCGCCCGCGGCTACCCTTCATCGTTACAGCAGCGGTGTCTCGTCGTACCTGTACACACTTTGTCTATGCACTATCAATGAGAAATGCGAAAATCGGAGTTGTTCGTCCTGCTAAAATGAAAGTGCCATTTTCCATCATATAATGGACGCATGACTGGGTTCCTCTTTCATTTCATAGGTAATTCATCAATCTCCAGTTGAATGCTTTGGCAATCCGATTCAGTCATCTCCTCGTTGGCCGTGTGGCTTACCAAGGACCGCATTTTGACTCGATTGGTGACGCCCTCCAGACTTGTGGGCGTTTCCTCCGTTGGCTGCCGCTTGCTCGAGGCCGTCCACCGTCCACAGTATCTGACTGGTCATCTTTCGTATGATTGCGACGCCAACCTGTTCAGAGTTAAGTGGAGATATACTCAGACTTGGTCGGGAGGAGGAAGAAGACGATGCATACCAACGATGGATACCGTACCATATCGAAGGCGGTTACTGATTGAATCCGGATCAGTTGATAGGACCGAATTGCTCCATAAGCTGGGTTAGGGCTGTTGATCTACATGTCGCACCTGGAGAATATAAAGAAGTTTCAAAGTAGTCATATCAACAAGGTTCTAGAGCGTCACTGTGCAATATGCTAATCTGCAAATTAGCCAATGATGAATAAATTCTTAACTATCAAGGGACCCTGGTTATTATAGAGGTTAATTCACAGTAGAAGGGATTGGAATATCAATCTTGCTGCTGTCCTCCCAGCCTTGACGATAAGAGTCAAAATGTCGAGCAGCCACAGGTCGAGACTTTCTCACCTGAAGCTTGATATTTCGTTCCTTGATATAACGATCTGCAATCTGTTCGGACATGGCACGGAACCGGACCAGCTGCATCTCAGAGGCCCACGGAGAAGCCGAGGACTCCTCGTCCTTGATAGCCGTACCTGAAGGCTCAGGCTTTCCCGGATGTTGAAGCACATTGTCCATATTCAAGCTGTCAGGTTGTTCACGTTTGATCAATTTCTTCAAATTGTCTTCCACATCCCCTGTTAGATCTATCACATCGACATCACGTTCGTTGAAATCGGCTCTTCCACCCCCGTCTCCGACCTGCCCAACCTCGTCGACATCCATGCAGTCTGAGGGGTATATAGTGACCGGTTCAGGGTCACCCTCCGCGAAATCATCCTCGTCGACTCCGAACGGCGCTGGCCTTCGAATACGATCAAGTTCCTTCTTTTGCTGTCTTTCTTTTTCTCGATCGCTGGCAGCAATCATGTCCAGTTCCTTTCGCCGAACCTCAACCAGCTCTCTCTTCTTGGTCCGATACGCCATATTCACCAGTCCATCCGCAAGGCCAATGCGATAACTGAAAGTTGGCGTCCCTCCCTTGTACGCACTTGCCCATTGGAGCGTCTTGTTATGCACCGCTTCGAAGGCCCCTGCTGCCGTGACTGTGTTTGCCGCAATGCCAAAAAACGACCACTCAATGGAGGTTCGCCTATCCATTGAATAGCATTTGCAATCGTAAAGGATACACATTGCACTGGCTAATTTGTTGACAAACGTCTCCCTTATGGCTCGCTTGGTGCGATCGATGGCGTTGTGGATGGAAACCACGCTCCGACCGCCATACTGCGCTTTGTCCGCGACGTTGTCATCGGCCATCAGATCTGCATGCGTGACGTTGTACTGGGCCATCAGCCTCTGGGCCAGGAACAGAGCGGCTTTTGCTTCTCCTTCATTTGCGGTTGCGTGTCTGGCACGACTCAGACATTTTTGAATTTTGTCGAGGATCCCTTGGTCGATATTGTTATTGGTTTTCTTGGGGTTCACTTCGGCATATCTGATCACGGTTGCCTTTTGAATGGAAGCTCTGGGTCGTTGTCGACCACTTGACGTGTGGGTTGAGGGGTTAGATTCCATTATCTTCGGGAGTTCAGATACTGATGGGACTGAGGATCGGAAACTGGGAGCAGGCTCAAGAAGTGAGTGGGTGAGAGGGGCTGGGTGTTTTTGAGAGCACATTGCTCCCCTCATTTATATTGGGGCTGGTATTATGCAGCTGCGCCGCAATTCATTTTAGGTGGACTCCTGATAGCCAATAGTTATGGCCCAGAGGCTAAAATTAAATTAATTAAGTGACAGAATCGAAGCCTTCGAGATGACCACAAATATAGCAGCTCGCTGCTCCAACGCACCGCGGTCAAGAACGATATAGAACATCGTTTAACTGCCCGAAATACGGAGAAGTACTGGATAACTGGTCCTCGAACCTCGCACAAATCCACTCACTTGAAGAAATGGTCCACTATTCCGCTAGGTCGAACGTGTTGAACGCTTCACCCATCCTTATCCAATCGCCTCCAGCGCTTGCGGCAGAACTAGCCCCGCAGGAGCCTGCCAGGCCACTCAAATTTGAACACATCATTTTGAAGATAATCCATTGTCTTCCATAAAGTAGACTTTCCTCCTTGGCACCGCCCACTCTCGAGATGCTGAGTAAGTTCGCTTAAGGTCGTGAATGATTTGACTCGAGCGGTAGGTGATGTAGCGTGGGCTGTGAAGGCGACGGGGCATGTGAAGGCCTTCCCGCGTGCGCTGCGGAGGAAATATGCATTTCGAGAGCCGTTTGGTTAGCGAACATTCTCTTCTTGCCGCTTGCAGAGCAAATGGGGCAGGACAAGGGCTTGTGCGGCACTGGACCACGGTCAACCCCTCGGGGTAACGGTGCGATAACCGAACGCTCCATCTCCCAATCACTGTCAATCTCGCTCCCTTCTGTGGGAGTGTAGACGATGTCGCTGAAACTTGACGCTGATGAGCTCAAGGCTGTGCCCGTGAATGACGTGTCCAGCAGCATCACTGGCGTTGTTATAATCCGATCTTTGTCATATCTGTGTAGTACGGTGTTGACGGTCTGGCGTGACCAGCCGGACGGGCAACGGCCGCTTTCTAAGTGGTGAATCAGAGCAGACGGAGTATTGAAAGTGAGTCGGCAGGATTCCGCAACGCAGCGCAATTCAGCTAGAGGTTTGTGGGATGCTGACCCCTTATGCTGTCTGAGTGCCGTCGTGGAAGCGAAGCTCTTGTTGCATTTCTCACAATTCCTGAGAGCCTTCTTCTTCGGCTTCACGTGCTTTTTATCGTTCAGATGTTGTCGGAGTGCCGTTGCGTCCACGAATTTTCGATCACAAGCGCCGCAATAGGGCGACTGACCGTCGGACAGTGCGACAGATTGTACCTGTATCTTTGGGGCGCACTGAGGAGTGGGAGAGCCCGCGGCCTCCTGGGATGTGTGCTGACAGCGGACACATTTAAAATGCGCCTTTGACCGCTTGACCGCTTGCACTAAGTGTGACACACTCAATCAAAAGAAGCTACCAATTTCTATACTTACCTTGTTTGGGTGGCTGCGATTAAGGAGGAGGCCCACCACGAATTGGCCACTACGTTGCACAGCGAGGCGGAACAGTCCGTTCAACGGCCTTAGGGTCATTGACAGGCGTATTATTTGGCACTTTCCACATTGTGGTCCTGATTTCTTAAACCCTGCTCCCCCGGGAGCTCAGGCTTTCAAATCTACAAGGCTGATATGAGCAAGCAACGCGACGAAGACATGTACGCACACACGAATACCTCCTTAGCTGTCGCCTTAGAGATAAAAGCAATCCAGGATGGAGCATGCTCACACGGCCCGCCAAAGGGCGTGCTTCAGCCCTTGTTGGACGCGGTCATTGAACTGGTAGGACAGTTCCAAGAGGCTTCCTCCGTCGAGGACTTCACAAAGATATCACGGAACTAAAGACCCTGGTTTTCTACGAAGAAGTACTTATTATTCTTGTTGGATGTAATGTGGTTCTTCGAGAGAAGCATACCGAAAATCATCTCTCTTTTAAGGAGGTTAGTGGGCGCTATTCTGCCGAAAGCAACGTAGCTAATAATTTTACTTAGGCAACTAACGTGCAGAGACAAATCTGAGCCAACATATATCTCGAGTGCTCTGCTCTATAATATCAACCAAATATTTGAGTATGCTGCATTCGCCGCGCTAAATAAAGACAAACGCTTGAATTAGAGGTGTGCAATATTATAGATTTCACCCTAGTACATGTGGTTAGTGCTCAACCTCATTTTTATAGCGGTACTCATGTAGTGTAAGGATTCGGACGTGGATCTTAATTATATGACGAAGATTTTTAAATACTCCCGAAGTCTGAAACATAACTATCAAAAAATATATCCTTGTGTGCAACTAGTTACGTTGATTGGTGACCCTTTTTTTTTTTTTTTTTTTCGTTAGATCATTCGATTTCTATCCCTAGAATATCGTTTAGGAAATTTAGAGGTCAGCAAAAATCTGCAGATAATGCCTGCCACAAGTACAGATATTATTACTATATTACCTGTTCAGATACCTAACAGAAAACATCGCATGACTGCCTTACACCCGGCTGCAAAATTGTGAATTATATTTTTCTCACCAAGGTTTACGCAGTCCCCAACTAGAACCAACACTTCACCCTATGCCTTTTTATGAGTACTGACTAGTAGTGAAACTAAGTGTAAATTATTAAAATTCGAATTTATGTAACTATGTAACTATATGACAAGTAGCAAGGGGCCAAATATGGCTACTTCTGTAACCATTTTATGCATCGGCGAATAACCTTCCATTCAAGTACTTCAGACCCGTGTCAGCCGCCACTGTCACAACTGTTTTCCCTGGTCCCAATTGCTGTGCCAGCGCAATCGCAGCGGTAACGTTGAGCCCGGTAGATGTTCCCACCAGCAATCCCTCCTCCTTTGCGAGGCGCCGACACATTGCGCGTCCTTCCTCCTCTGAGATACCGCGGGCTTCATCGTACCATGCGCTATCAAGATGCGGTGGACTAAACCCAGGGGCTACCCCGTCGACTCCATGTGGTCCGGAGTGACCCTCGGTGATGACGGGCGAGGACGCCGGTTCCAGGACCACGACCTTCGTGCTCGGCCAGTGGGACTTGAGGACGCGGGACACTCCCATGACCATACCCGCGCTGCCCACCGCGCCGCAGAATGCATCGATACCCTTTGGAAACTGCTGCACCAGTTCCTGACCTATCCCCTTGTAACCCACCAGCGCATCGCGGTTGGAAAACTGGCTGGTATAATAACAATCCCCCGTGTCAGCAACCTCCTGCGCACGGCGGTTCATGTAGGGCATAAGATCGGGTGTGTTCCCGGACGCACTGTGGACTACATCCAGCGTAGCACCAAAAGCTTGCATGGTTTTCAGCTTCTCCGCAGCGAAGGCATCGGACGACACGACGTAAAACCGGTACCCCTTGACGGCGCAGACAAAAGCAAGAGATGAGCCGGTACTGCCTCCCGTAGCTTCTACCACCGTCATGCCGGGCTTTAAGTCCCCGCGACGTTCGGCCTCTTCGATCATGGACTTGGCCATGCGGTCCTTGTAGGACCCTGTAGGGTTCTCCATCTCTAGTTTCAGGAAAACCTGTGCGCAACTGTCAGGGACAACATGGGTGAGGCGCACAACTGGCGTATTGCCAATTGCGTCCAGGGAGGAGTCTATGGGGGGAGGAGGAGGCATAGCGCAGGTCGGGTATGGATCCCTTGCGCAGGCCCGTGTGATGGAGGCAGACATGACGTGATATAAATAGACAGCGTTTCTGATGTGCTAAACTGATTTAGGACCCCGACAATCTCTGGTCCACCGTTACTCCAATGTCGGATGCTGATGTGGATGTCCTACTCCAAGCTGGATTGAGCTAAAAATCCTCTTTCGTATAGATGCACTGTACATGTATGATAGAGTAGTATAGGACCAATTAATTGATACAATATATAGCAGTAATTATAATTAATGAACAATCGCATCAACATCGGTCTCCACTAGCATATCTAGATCAATAAACCCCTCATGAACGATGATCATCGTCGGTGCTGCGCCGAACTCCTCGCCATTGTGCCCAGCACCTTACGAAATCCCTTGCCCACGTCCCTGCAGAAATGATTTCGCGCGACAAACATGCGTACACGCACCACGTTCTCGGCACCCTTGCTGCCCAGTGCCTGCACAGCCTTGATGCATTCCGCTAATGCCACCCGGGTCTGCTGTCTTGCGTCCCCTGGGAACAGGATCTTTGGGTCGCTGGGGACGAGGACGGGCCCACGGCCATCGTCCCCGATACGAGAATATGTTGTCCATGGTGAACGGCCCGGTAATAGCCGATTCGTTGGTCAAAGGGAGAGCTAGGAGAGTGGTAGGTTTTAGTTATTTCACTGTTTTTCTGTCGATTTTTCTTTCTTCTTCACAAGGTTTCGTTCGTTGGTGGGGCGGGAGGGAGAAGATTTTTTTTATTAATTATTATTTTTTCCTTAGTTTCTCGAACTACAATTGTAAGATTTGAACAAGAGCGAGAATATTGCGGACGATAGTTGAGGTTGTCGTGGTGGTTCTCGCGGTCTGAGGTTGTAGGTGAAGGGTGTCGGGTATTATAGTGGGGAGATCAACGGCAGGTGAGTCAATTCCTCGTGTGTATCAGTTGGAGTACCCCCAATCCAGCCCCTCATGTTTATCAAATATTATTATTAAGTTACGTTTCAGCGTGATTGCTCGAAACGTACGACGAGAGATCAATTTATCAGTTATTCCCCGAGTTCCAGTTCCATGTAAGGACGTATTCAAACCTCAGATCAAAAATTGATTGTAGGTAGGAATAAGATTACGCTGGGTGCTCTGTGCGTCATTCGCCCTCTGCCGATGTCGTTCGGCGTCCACAAAGGCGCGCATAACCAGGAATACCCGGCTATCAGTGTACCACCGAGGTATATTTCGCCTTGCTCCTCCAGTCAAAGCCCCTTCTTGCTTGTGGGCTGTGAGACTGCGAGGATCCATACAAGTGACGAGAGTGGCTGCTGATAGAGGGTCCTCGGCGGCTCCGAGCCATGGTTCCTTACCCTGGAGAGGTAGAGCGGTTTCATTATTTAGGAATGCGAGCTCAAGGACTCGCAGGACTTCGTGTTCGCTGATGTCAAGGACGTTGTTGCCTGCCATAAGATTGCTGCTGGTGGTGTTTTTGCTAGGTGCCCGAGGTCGGCGATGTAACCAAACGATACTGTCGATGCAGGTAATCCCTGGCGGCGTCAGTAGCGGGCGAAGGAGTTCTTGGAACGTGTTGGCTGCTGTGTAGGCACTCTGAGTGGCGAGAGCGAGCACCGACTCTATGGAGGAGGTTCCTAGTACCAATGACCTTGGCAGCCAGACCAGCATGCCATCGCCCAATTGGGAGCTTATCAAAAGACAAATCTTCATATGCAACGGCCATATGGATGATACCCCGAATCGGCTTCGTTGCACTTAAATCATCGAACAGACACTGTACTTCTGGGTTGCATGCACCGCTTCGTGACAGGACTGTCAAGTCGCCACGGCTAACCATCCAGTTTAGAATGGAGCGTCCCAAACCGCCCCACCCACCAGTTACCAGGTACTGTGCATCTAGATCGAACTATATGCGGGAAACGGGCGGAACCATGCGAACGAGAGAGTTCGGTTCGTGGAAAACGGTGTGGTGCTTACCCACGTGGGTTCCTTTGGAAAAACATAACAAGGCTCGATCGAGACAGGGGATATCTGAGGTCATAGTGGACGGGATCGGGCTGTTATCTCCATTATGATAATGTTTGTCCAGGCATTCCATAAGAATATGGTCCATGTCCGGGTTGGCAACAAGAACAACATCCAGATCCAAGGAGGAGAATGTTGTGCTGCGTTGGAAGAAGTCCAAACCCATAGTTAGGGAACTCTAAATATCCACGCGACCAAAGTCAATGTAACGACCCAGAGGGGCTAGTGTTTTGACGGATTCGCACAGCATATCCCCCCTTGCCGTGCTAAGAATAACATCGAAGCCACATCTACCAATGGCCTCCATCAAACGCGGAATATCCACGGAGTTTGGAGACGAGAATATTCGGGAAGCATGAGATACCCATCTTCTCAGTGAAATACAGGGTCTTGTCGGGGGTACCCACGGTACAGAAGATTTCCACACCCATAGAGCGGGCCAGCTGCATGGCACAGAGTCCCAAACCCCAAGTGGCGGACTGGACCAGTACCTTCTCACCACGGCGGACTTGGGTGACATGCTCAAACACGTAAATGGCCGTCATGTACACCTGTGGCATGGAGGCCATCTGTCCAAAGTTGTCCCCGTCCGCAAGCACTGAGCGAATGCAGCAGGCACGCGGGGATAATTGCCAAGATGATGACCGTGCCCGAATCCATAGACCCGGTCGTGTCAGACGGTTGACTGCAGCCCCAGCCTTGGCCACAACGCCGGAGTATTCGTGGGAGAATACGTTCAGGTCAAACGACAGGCGGAGACGGCCATATCCTTCCAGTTTAACTTGAGTGCAGTGACCTTGACCTCAACGCAGTCGTCACGCAAAGGATTGTCCATCTCCGCATGAGTCGTCTAAAGTATAGTGACGTGAGAATGCCGGGTGTCTCGAAGTGGGCGCGGACGGGGCCAAGTCGACCGAAGGCCATTTGCCGTGTGCGGCTCGGGGGCATGCTGGCGAGCTCATACTGATCCTGGACGTTGGAGCTCGGCACCAGTCGACTGATCCAGAAGCAGCCCTGTTACCAAACGAACTCCCGATCTTCATTCTCTCCAGTGTACTCTGTACCGGATTAGAGAAGTCCCTCTTGCTTGATAATGCCGCATGAGAGGCTGGCATCCTGGAGATCGTAGTCGGGGTAGAGGTTGAGGAACTGAATGCGGGATGTGGGATCTTCAGTGCCGGTTCTTACCCTGAATGAGACCGCAGCTAGTGATCCACACCACACTACTGATGTTTCGGACCATACGCTGCATCTGCTTCAGGCGATGCTCGTCCATGTTGATCGGAGGTTCCCCATCCCCAAGGTACACTATCGCACGGGAATTGGGAGGTAGAGATGCTTCATCGAAGTGGGCAACGTGGGATGGAAGTCCTTGGGTACTGGGCCGAGTTCCATCCCTCGAGGTCCAAGAATGGACTGTCCACACGATGTCAGGAATCCTACTCCAGTAGCCGGTCAGAGTGCCGAGACCACGTCTATTCTAATCACAGTGCGGACGTTTTCCACGAGGACTAGTTTCCCCCCGGATGAAGTTTGCGGCAGTTCGCAAGCGTCTGTGCAATAGAGGCAGTGGCATGAAGGTACTCCGATGCCACCACAACGCCATAGATTGGCTTCTATCCGTTTTCTAGGGAATCCTTTTCAATATCTAGGACGGAGAGTGGCATATCTTTGTGGTCTGCCAACGATTCCCGAGCAGAGCTGAGGAAACCACTAGTAATATCAGTGAAGGTATATGATTGATATCGTTTGGTACCATGGTTTTCAGAAAGTGTGTCGAGGATTCTGCGTGGAGTCTCCCAGTACCAGAGCCGATTTCGAGGATATTTAGGCTTGGGTTGGCGTGACCGAGACAGTCAGAGCATCTCTGCAGCTGCGGATAGGCCCCAGTGAGGATGACACTGTCAGCGAAAAGGGCATGCAGGCGGCCATCCTCAACCACTACTTTCAGGCCCGTCTCGTGGCAATAGAAAACATCATCGATATTGTAGAACAGATATCGGCAGATGCGCCCATCGGAGCAGAAATCCACTTCACCGAATATCTCCTCGAGAATCTCCAGTCGTTCAGAGCTGCGTAGCCGTCGAACCTCCTCAAACCACCGAGTGCTATCTCCCATTCGCCGACGAACCCAGCCAGCAAAGTGCTGGATGTGTTGAGGAGCATCAGCGAGGTCGACATTATGGGCGTAGCGGTAGTAGATCTCTGCGAGAGTCAAGGTCCCCAGTCGTTCGAACTTGTCGAAAAGGTAGGTGCGTACCACATTGTCTTCCGGAGCGGGGAACATCTGGCCTGCTGGTTGGACATGGCCCAGATATCAGGACGATAGATAAGACGCATAATTGGTGCAGAGAAGGCGTCCTCTGTAGGCGTCAAATTGGGGGGAACATCGGTATAGCTGGCACACTTTAGACGTCCAGCAGGAGCTCACCCCACTGACCATCATCTGAAGTTACGCATACACACCCCGCAGACCGCGTAGCGCCTCCTGGGCGATTTCTGTGCCCCAAGCCTCGAGATTGTTATTCCTAATGTACATGTAGTTGATATGAACGGGCCATATGCGGTCCGCATGCGGTCCATCTGGCCGAAATGATAACAATTTTCCAGAAACAACAACCCCGCAAGACCCGGACCCAGGACTTATTTCCTTCGTTAAGGCCGAATTATAGGCGAGTAGGTTGTTGTTGTGTTCGATTTTAACTCCGATTTCCAGTATTCCTATTCATAACTTCTTATTCATAAATCGCCATCATGGCAGCTCACTTGTGTTCTAAGCTCTAAAACATTAGCATTATCATGCTACAGGAAAGCTATATCGAACGAGAAGCTATTGTCGATGTAAGTTGACATTGTTTTCGATTAACAATAAAGCCCTTACTAAAAGGCTAACCTGTCAGGCTTGTGGGAACATTGGCAAGCATTTCACCGAACAATTGCTGAAGGCCGGAAAACACACGGTCACAGCCATCACGCGACTTGGCAGCGCTAGTTCCCTACTGGAGGGTGAACTATGCTGACAATCAAACACTTGTCGCCGTACTTCGGGGCCAGGAATTTCTGATTATTACACTATCGCTCACAACTCCTCCTGAAGCCCATACCAACATCGTCAAGGCAGCTTCCGAGGCGGGTGTGCTCTACATCATGCCAAATGTCTATGGCTCAGATATTCAAAACGAAGAGCTGCGTAAGGAGGACCTCTACAGTGACTAGGCATTTAAACTCTGTCTTGAAGTCGGGCAGTACGGCAATGCCGCCTATATCGGTATGGTCTGTGGTTTCTGGTATGAGTGGAGCCTGGCTCGGTGAAAACGGGTTTGGCTTCGACTTCAAGAACAAATCCGTCACTTTTATCGACGATGGAAAACGAAAATCACTGTCTCGACTGGCGTCCAGTGTGCGCGTGCCGTAGCGGCTCTTGTAAGCCTACCCGAGAGTGGTGCAGAGCCTTCGGTGTCACAGTGGAAGAATAAGCCCTTCTATATTGGCAATTTCACTGTTAGCCAGCGCGATATGCTCGACAGTGTTCATCAAGTCACCGGCTCCACGGATGCTGACTAGACTATTTCCTACGACCCGTCTAAGCGGTGATACCAGGACGGTCTTGCAGAGATCGCAAAGGGTGAAAGAATAGGCTTTGTCAAAGCCCTGTACACTCGCATCTTCTTTCAAGATGGATGGGGAAATTTTGAATCCAGCAGAGGGCTTTCCAACGGTACAATCTGACTGGAAAAGGGAGGTATAGACGAGGCGACAAAGCGAGCGATTGAGTTAATGTCGTCAAAGCTGTATTGTCGCCTTGTTCAAGGCTGCATTATTATTGTATTTCTGGTTACTGATTGCAACCAGCCACCGTGCCCACAGAATAGTTTAACTGTGCCCATGTAGTAAACAGAATCAAACCAAATCTCACTGAATTGTCTCGGAGTATTTCTTTAATATAACTGAAGCTTTCAGTCACTTTGTAGCCGCATTTAAGACGTGGGGTTCCTTTGTCTTACCAATCTTTTCTCTTTTTAATCTTTCCGGGTGTTGTAAAGTGCATGTGGGTAAAATGCATCTCTCTTCATGCCTCCTAGCCGCAGTTGGCGGCAATCATTCACTTGTGACATACTCAAACCAATCCCTTTTCGAATCCACTGTTCATCCATACAATTTGGGTATCCCAGTCACCCCGGCTGCTTGACATTCCCAACTGGCGCCAAACAGGTGTCGAGTATAGTGAAATGCGCAGCAGAAGGAGGCTATAAAGTTCAGGCGGCATGTGGGGGCTACAGTTACGGCACATGGTTTGGGTTTTCCTTGAATGAAAACGAGGCGCTCTTAACGCTAACTCGAGCTTGCAGGCTAGGGCTGAGTGAGCTGTGAAATCACCGTGGATTCGGGAGTTCTCAGTGGACTCCTCCACTGGGGTCGCTACTATCGGCTCCGCATTCCTCCTGGGCGATGCGACCACCCAAATTGTACGAGGCTGGCGGGCGAGCCATCGCCCATGGATCATGCCCTTCGGTGTGTGTTGGCGGACATGCAAACTATTTGTGGATTCTTACCTACGGTGCGTCTGTATGGAACCGCGCTAGACCATATCGAAATCGCGAAGGTCATGCTCGCAGATGCAAAATTATCACCGCCTCGTCCACCGAAAATCCGACGTAGTCTTTGCCGTTAAGGGCGCCGGGGCGGGGTCTAAGATATTTTTACCCAGGGTAAGTAAAATAACTATATTAGGCTTGTATAGCTCCCACTATGGACTATATATTTATAATATACAGTTCCGCCATTTAGTTTGCATAATTTGGTTGCCCCGCAACCCAAACATGGTTCACATCTACATGTACAAAATATATAAATCCCGCCACATAAGATGCTTAAAATTAAAACAATTATATTATACGCAATATAAGCGGTAAAATTTTATAAAAATATGTAAAAAAAAGCGGCAAAATTACTTGACGTTTTACATACTGCTTATTTAATTTTACCCCTAATTTTCGGCCTATTATATAATATATTATCATTAGCACCTACAATAAATGATATAAAAAAATAGTAATAAAAAATTTTTACATATATTATACTATTTTAAACTAGAAGACGGCAGATGGGCTGCCCAAAACGGCCGCAGTCGACGCCGTTTTTGGCCGTCCACCTGCCACGCCTTCCGCCACTCCCTCGTGCACTTATGTCCACGCACCGCCAAGCACCGATCGTCGACCCACCCAAAACCTCATTTGTCCGCAGCGCAGTATATCCGTGCCTTCCAGTGCACCCACCGCCTTTCGGCAGTGGGTGCACCACACCGATAGACCAATTCACACCGATAGACCAATTCACACCGATAGACCAATTTTCCATCCTCCCATCTTCTTGAGGCTATTCCTATCCACACAATATGCCTAGATCAACCGGAGAACTTGAAAAACGCGTATTGGAGGCCTGTAAAGCCGCCAGTAAGGAAAAAAAACCAAATTTAGCAAAGATCGCCCGGGAATATGGCGTGTCATACAACACACTGCGTGGTCGCGTCCGCCAGGGAAAACAGGCTCGCAACGCCCACACACCCAGAATAAGGCCCTTGATGAGTATCAGGAGAAAGCTCTGGTCAGTGGATTGCTTTATGGTGATCTTATCTTCCTGTAACCCTAAGTTGCTTGGAGAGTGGGCAAACCAGCACTGGCTGAAGCGGTTCAGCACAGCGCGTCAGTAAGATGTGGGGTTATGTTTATGAGAGACTGCCGGTGCATCTAAAACTAGGCCTGTGATAAAAGACAAAAGATAAAAAGCGATGGATGCGGAGGATGTTGGATATCTACAGCATTGGTATAATTAGCTTGGGAATGTGATTAAAGCCTCCCTTCTTACCTGGTATACAACTTTGATGAATGTGGCTTTCAACCTGGCAAAGGAAAAGCTCGGAAGGTTATTGCACAAGGGGATTTTGCCCTGATCTGGCTAGTTTGATCATGCTGAAAGTATCACCGCGATCGAGTGTGTTGCTGCTGATGGGTGGATAATGAGCCACTGTTTATTTTTAAGGGTGAGAGGTTTATGGAAAGCTGGTACGACACCTATCTGCCTAGTTTTGACAGCAGTATCCAAAAGGATATATTAATATGAGCTCGCTGTTAATGGCTTCAAAAATTCCATGAGGCCACAATTAATCGTTGAATCAACGGAAGGGGGAAAAAGGGTGTTGCTATTTATGGCCACAAGTCCCATAAACTCTTGATTCCTCCAACTCTGCAATACATAATATTATTCCCTTTTTTTAAGGCTCATACGACTATATATGCCAGCCTCTTATGGCAAGCCTTTCCTTTCATATAAGCAGCAATTCCGCAAGCAAAATAACCTTATTGCTCAGTGGGGTGGGCTTCCCGCAGGGAAAGCGGATTTCCTCCAGGATATTGTTAAGGTGCGAAAGGCCACTTTTAACCAACGAATAATCCGCAATGCTTTTAAAGAACGTGGAATCTACCCTGCAGATGGCTCTCAAATTATTCAAAAACTTCAAGATATATTACCTCCAGTGCCAGAGCTCCAAGCACCAGATCTTCGCGCGTATGGAGAGACAACTCCGCCTCCTAATCTCTCCTCTTCCAGCATTGAAAACTACCCCTCCGAAGAGTGCACAAGAGCTTGAAAAGAACCAGAAAAAGCTCTCTAAGATCTTTACAATGGAGGAGCTTACTCCGAAGCTACAGAGAGGGCTCCAGCGAGCGCTACGGCATCAGAAAATACAGAATGAGAACCTTGCAATGATGACTGATACAGTTGAGCGAATAAGGCAGATTCAGGAGCCCCGGAGGCGCCAAATTACTAAGAGAGAGATTCCAAAGCTCGGTGACTCTGGAATACTTAGTACAAAAGATGCCAATCGATCAATCAAGGCCAGGAAGGAAAAAAAGGCTCTACAGGAGAAAAGAAGATTAGAGAGGCGTGGAAAAAGGTATATAGCCAACCACCACCCACAATGCCTACGGGGATAGAAACCACATTGCCGGAATCAGCGATGGCAGCGCAGCAGGAAAATCAAATTTTTTTTGTAGATAGTAAAGGGGAAAGGCCATAGATAGTGGGAATAACTTCAAAATTGGTCTATCGGTGTGAATTGGTCTATCGGTGTGGTGCACCCACTGCCGAAAGGCGGTGGGTGCACTGGAAGGCACGGATACCTCCAGACACAATATTCTAAAGGCCAGCCAATGCTAACATCCCATGCCCTTCGCTGCGGTCTACGAAACACTCCAACAATGACCTCCTCTCGAAGTTCTCTTATAAACGGTGGCCGCTCCCTTGGCTATCCTTATGTCCTACATCCCATTTGCATCTCCCAACTCGCTCTTTCGAATCCCAATCCTCGGCGGGCCATCAAGTGCTATTAAGTGCTACAGAGGCCTTCAGCGAAAGGGTTTTACATCCAAAAGGCTTTTTCAGCTGACTGCGTGGCATCTTCACACTATGTCTCGCCGCCATCGCAATCTTGGCCTGTCGTCCGACGACAGCGATTCCTCTGAACGAGAGAGCATGGAAGACAGTCAATATGACACGGACCTAACAGAGCCCGAAGATAACAGCTTTTAAAATAAGGATGTTAGTAATACAGCACTTTTTTTTACAAATAAGAAGTATCCACCAGAGTATTATATCTAGTAGCTTGCGAACTTTGATAAAACCGACTACACCAAGGAGGACTATGGCAAGGGTACCACTGCCCTACTTAATCGGGTGGAAAAGAAGTAGTTACAGTATAGTATATTCTTTCCATTGCTAATATATATTTACCTAACACTGGTTGCCACAGGTTCTATGCCTTTTTTTAAAAAAACCCCTGAGAGAAATTTGCACGCCTATTAATTTCGATTATATATACCTTCCTAGATTGGGTCCTTAATCTACAGCGTGGAAAAGACGGAAGGCGGCTTCCAGGTACAAAGTGTAAGAGCTTACTTAATACCTTTTAAAAGGTATTTTGCCTGGTGTATAAAAAAAAAAAACTTTAAACAAGATTACCAACAAATAAACTGTTAGATGCACCGTGTATATCTAGGCTGACCGTTGGGAAGGGAAATTCCCATGGGAAATCGGGATGGGATTCCCGTCCCATAAAAACGGGACGATTTTCTAAGATTTTATGGGAATGGGAATGGGAAGGGAATGCCAAGAGATTCCCACTGGGATTCCCCCTTTTTTCTGGATGGGAATTGGGGTAAGAAATGGGATCACACTTACTGATGGGAAGGGAATGGGAATTTGGGAAATTCTCTTGGGATTAGATAGGAACTTCCCATACTAAATCACATGATTAATAATTACTATATATACTGCATAGTTACCACTAAAAACTGCTACTTTAAAAATATACTAAACCTAATTAGGAAATGGGACGGGAAATGGGAAGAGTATTTTTATAATTTAGGGATGGGAATCCCTTCCCATTTTCTTGAGACGGGATTCGGGACCACCCCCAGGATCCTTATGGGAATATGGGACGGGTCCAGACCTCCCTCGGGATCCCGAATCCCTCCCAACGGCCAGCCTAGACTGGCGGGAGGGGTGGGTGCGCTGCCAAGGCACAAATACTGGTTAGATTTGGGCGCATCGTCTAACCCTTTTGGTAACGAGGCTGATCGTCCTGGTTCTCCACCTAAAATTGATCTTATAGGCCGAATTGCTTGACCGACTTCAACAATCTCTTGTTGAGACGGGCTGTGTATTAAAAATCCCTCGTCGCACTACTTCGGCTGGAAATAGCATCGCTTGGCAATGGTCAATCAGTCCTCTGGAAGTTGATGTAACAACAAAATTCACAGGCCCACGCCAGAATCAAGTTACAGGTCAGCCGCCCCTTGGAAAAGGTCGGGCGCACCGAAACTGCTCAGGCGCCCCGTTGTGACTGCCAAGATTGTATTCAAATTCACTAAATTGCGCCCATTCATTCAATCCAACATGCGTCTTTTGACGCACTTCTTATAGCTATCCGGACCCTCTTGTTTTTCGCCACTGAGACCGTCCTCAGCTGAAGGATGCAACGTTAACTCAATTTCAGTTGTCTTTGGATAGTCAGATGCTAAACTGTTTGAAACCGATATTCGATATTTTGAGGAAATCAAGGGCATTATATACCTTCTAGGAGACAGTACGATTTGTTTACAAAGTTAAAAAGGTGCATATGACTGTAAAGGTCCCATATACAACCTGACGGTAGTCAAGTCGAACAGAATAGAAATTGGGGCGCAGCATGAGGTGACTAGTTTATGCATCCAATCACCCGGGCAGGTTTGGAAATTCCATCTTTTTTTGGCCCCAGACTCCGCACGGCACTGCCTAGTAACTTCATGAACTTCGCACAGTCATTCAAGTTTCCATGTCTATAATTATCTCCAGCGTATGGCTGATCTTATCCAGGTCAAGCTAATTCGCCTTGTCGGACTTCCTTGAACATCCGATCGATTCTATTTATTGTCAGGGCAGCTTAACACTGCTTAAGTTCCATGCTCTCTAGTACAGAGATTGTTGCTACGAGATAGTAAGAGATCTCCTCGTGAATCCCATCTCAGGGTTGAACTGGTCTTAATTTATTATCGCTCAAGAAACACATATGTCACCATCTGTCACTAGCTAGCCCCAGATCAATTCTTCACGAAGGAATATTCAGGGCCCCCTGCCAAGGATCGGAAAGGGAGTAGGGGGCCTGAAGGCTCGGAAGATGAGATCTATCGCACGCGAGACGGAAATGTGACGCGCAGGTCCTTGGAACGGTCTGCGGACCAGAAGGGCTGCAACAACGTAGGCAGACGACTGGCTGGGTCTTACACCCGACGTAGACGCCAGTTGGCGGTCGTGCGCTTGTGCTGGTCGTACGACCAGGGACTGACGACCGTGTCAGTCGGGGGCACAAAGTCTGGCGTACCTGGTCTCCTGGCCCCAGACCTCGGCATCAGGGTCTACCACACCAGCCATCTGTTCCTGTCCGTCCGACCCTCCCGGTGTTCATACCACAAGCCTAGGCCAGTCCTCGACCTAGCACTCCATGCGGATCTCCTACCATCTCTTCAGACCAAATGGGTCGTGGGAATATCGAATCCTAGTTGCCCACGATGGCATGTCTGCTTCCACATTAACTAACCTACCAGGAACAAGTCGTGGTACCGTTTATCCCAGGTACAAGTAGATCCCAGGAACACTTATCCTATAATGAGGCTATCCTCAAGATCATACCATTCAGGACAAAGCTCCCTGAAACAACCGTATCAAAGGAACGTAGGTCCCTCGACAGCGGGATAGAATGAAGCGCTGAAACGCTGAAGTGGAGGGTCGGCTGTAAACCAATCATAATAATCTCATCATCAACCGGCCCTGGTGTTTGGCGCTCAGCTCAACAGCCGTTCCCTCGGATTCCACCTACGACCAAACGACGCCGAAAATGGCTCCCCTCTGCAGTACCATCCAGACGCCCTCTCTCTTTACCCTACCCAGTCGGGCGCTTATAAGATGCTCCTTATCCCCCATCTCTCGATCTCACGATGCGCCACCTCCCATCCGGTGGTGCGGCTGAGCCGATGAACTGACGTGGGTAAGGCATACCAGTGGTTCTCTATCGCCTCCAGGGCTTACCTTCAATCACTACATAGGATTTGAGTCCATATTGGAACTGATTCTAAGCCCGCGATTACTTCCTGGTGGACCTGCCAGCTTTCGACGGGGAATCATGATCTTCTCTAACTGTCAGGGATACATATTGAAAGTTGGACCCGACACTAGCAGCCGTAGATCACCACATGTTACCAGTATACTCAATTTGCACTTCCCTCGCCAACGCATCTACCAATAGCATTTCCTCGCCAGTTGACGTAACCTCAGTCCCTCGGTAGCATGTGTCCTTTTTAAAGGACACCATACCTTAGACTTTGTTGCACTGATATGCTTCAATGTTGTTGATCCATCCATCCTTGAGTTTCTTGGTCCCAGGGTAGTCCACTGGGTCCGTGCCTTGATCGGATCTTGACCTAGATTAGCTTCTATGTTTAGTAGACCTGGGTGGTAACTCACGATCCAATCTGGCAGCTATAACCCTTGTTCCCAATTTTGAACGAGCCGGCATTTTTCCGCCATTCTTTTTTGATATCGTAAGCCTCACCGGGCCTCTTGCATTCGTTATAGCAGCCACCCTCCCAGTTATAGCCGTGGCATACTTTGATATCAACGCAATAGTCGGCGCGCGTCTCCAGGTCTGCAGCCTCGGCTGTAATTGATTAATATAGCCTCATAATGGGCGTGATTGAAAGTGAGACAGGGCCTTACCTGCCGGTGCAGCAATTGCCTGGGAGGTAGCGAATGCTATCAACACAGCGATTGGTGTGAATACTTTCATATTTGCTAGTTGAATAAGGTTTTTCGATGTTTGTGGAAGATGGATGGGTTGCAATACAAGTCTGATGAGAGATGTTTAGGTGAGTATTTATATACTTTGAATGTGCTATGTATTTTAGGCCACCTGCAGTAGTAGAGCCGACCTAGGAATTTTCTAAAATAGATCAGTGGATGCCTTGAAGTAACCATATATGTCAATGATACTCAAGAAACATGCAGAGTATTGAACGTAAGACTCTTCAGCTCCACATGGACTGCCAACACGCAACTTTCCAGAATCCACATTCGCCGGCATATCTCGATCGTAATTGGATAGCCTTCTGCGAAAAGTAATGCGGTGTACAAGGCTGAGGCTGAGATCCTTCACAGCCCGGACGCCTAACGTGCTATTTAATAAATGTGGGTAGTGGGTTTCGCAGTCGCAGTCTGGTATTGATGATTACGTAGGCAGTGTCGCGCTTGGCGAAGAAAGGGTTGGCTGCGGTTCAATGCGGGCGTACCCAGTTCCGCTTACCCCAATTGTACTAGCGTAGGCCGTTCAAAGTACGATTGAAGCAAGCGTTCTGCGGAATGCAGGTACGCACTACGCACCGCAGCCGCCGTTTCTTTGCCAGTCAGTCTAACTGTCGGATGGCCTATGCGAAGGAATGTGAGCGCCAAGGTCTTGATTGGCTGCTTCTGTTACCATCACTGTCTTAGAGGATGATACACATGACTATTTCCCTCTTGGCTGCCCATCCATTCTAGGTCTGGGCTCACACGGCGTATTTCCTCACAAGAGGATATTCACAAGACAAATACCCTCCTAAAACGGTCTTCTTAATCTGATAATTCTAAGTCCAATACGTTCCCGTGGCCATGCACACGGGATCCTATTCATGCGATGCGGTATACATGGCGGCCCACATAGGATAGTGTTCATATCCTACACCACGACACAGATGATGCTTCCTATTTCCTTCCTTGCCTTGAGAAGCCCGGCTCATCGCGATGTAAGCCATACTCATGGAGGCGCCTCAGTTCGAGCCAGATTCCACATCCTTTTCATTCATGCTCCTCGAACTTGCCACAAACCCTTCATTTATCTCTATTTTCTTCGGCATAGGGGAAGGAAGTGAATCTTCAAAGATATATCTGGTGGCCAACTCTTCCCACGTGATTTGTTTCGGCCTTGGATAATACGAAGTCTATGGATCCAGTTAGTATAGGGCTACCAGCACAACCGTGAGAACGAAGAAGGAGAATCTACTAGCTCCTCCAGGGAAGGGGGCCATTTGCTGTCGGAGTTAAAGAATTGGATCTGGCCATTTTGCTTGAGGCGGACCATGATGAAGATATCCGCATCGCACTCCCGACAGTACTCGAAGGACTTGAAGAACAAGCTATCTTTATGACGGGCCCGTTGTTGGCGTCTTGATCGTGAGCTATTCGAAAGACGCTTCTGGATTCTTCGCGGTCTAACCATGGTGGACGACGGCGTTTAGCAATGCCCAAGGGTGAAGGAAACGGGCATGATAAGAGTGGGAAAGGCGAGTAAACCTTCCATCTCTCTTATACCCAACCGGTCGGCTGATCGCGCAGGAGGGTGATGGAAGGGTGAGCTGGGGTGAGCGTATCCGAAGGGTTTGCGAAATGGGAGATGGGACCGCTGGCAGGCAAAGAAACAAGCACCATGGCCAAATGGCGCCGAAAAACGCAAGAAAGGATCACTTTATCGTAACTCCATTATATATCAACGTCATGGTTGTCGGTATTTTAATGGAAACCGGTGCGACATAGTGGTCTAGATCCGGGACCCTGGTGCAATGCGCATGGGACGTTTTGCCAGTCCCAATCTACGACCAAGGAGTCTCAGGACAGCAGGACGAGCCTGGCAGGACCGGGGAGTCTGGCAGGACCGGGGAGTCTGGCAGGAACAGGGGCTAGAGAGCAGGCAGATCCTCAGAACTAATATTTATAAGGACTCGATGTGGTTACTCAGCGGACTTTTTCGGTTCAAATTCTTTCGCATTTCTAGCACTTCAACTACCTCAGGCTGAAAAAAAGGAACGCAAGCTACCTGTTTGACCCCATGGCTTGGGAGGAGAGACATACCAAGGACCAGCATTTTTCCCAGCTGACATTTCATCTCTGAATTTAGCTTATCCTCCAAATCGGCGAATCCGCTATATGCATCGATAAGCCCATTCTCTCCGATATTTGTATCATGCGCTCAGACTCGGTATTTACCGAGTCACAGATTCAGTCGTGAAAATCTGGTCAAAGTCAATAACTTGCACAATTGCTTCCAGAAGAGCGACCAGTACAAACAACCTGCAAAGAGAAACCCCAAGAAGTCGAGCGGCAAACTCATAACCGCCACCTAAAAATATTAGGATCAGGTTAATAAGAGAAAGCTTCGCAGCCCGCTGTCTAGCCTCCTTAATCGTATGGGTTTGTATAAAATTACAAATTCTTGTGCCAGCAAGGTAAATAACTATCAAAATGAACTCAGGAAGCAAATCCAAGCCCTAAGAAATATGAATATAATCTTGGATAAATCAAATGATTTTTTTTAAAAAAAAGTCGTATAGAAGACGATAGGAATGGCGAAGTCGATAGAAATATGTGCGTTGGGCAAAATTGTATAGCATAAATGAGAAAAGTGCACATCCAAGGACTGCTCCGTAGATAAGAGGACTAAAAGTTTGCCATTTTGTTAAAAATAGGAAGCATATGTCCCAGTTGAGCATGGAAAATGGCTACTGACGGCTTTATAAACATCATATTTACCGAGACTGGTAAAATCTGGTACAGAAAAAAAAAAAGAAGGCATATTCCAAGCGAATGATTTTTCTATAGTCGTACCCAACTCGCCTTTGGATAGTTTATTCTTGCAGTGCTCCATCATTGGATCGGGGCTGCGCTTGTGGGGCTGCGACAGTGTTTTAAGGGTTGCAGATCTAGAGCTTGCAGTGGCGCTTTGGGGGTGCTACAGTGTTTTGTTGCAGATCCAGAGTTCAAAGCGGCGCTTTTGGGGTTGCGACAGTGTCTTAGGGTCGCAGCACCATTGTCAGGCTTGCGATGGTGTTTCAGTGTTTACGCAATCCAGAATGTCTGCACCACGTTTCTATGGTCTAATCACTTTGAGGTTGTAGTATATCACCACATGTTGACAGTTCATAAATAGGAGGATGTAGAGAAGTCTGGGGAGCTAGCATTGTAAGGGCCCGCCAACACCAAAACAGTGTCGCGGATACCAGCAGTGATTCGAGAGCACAAGGCCGTGGCAAAAGCTCCCGGAAAGCGACGAAGGCATCTTTGTTTTCAGCCCTCGTACATCAAGTAGCATTCAATTTTCTATTATTTGGACTAAGGGTAGGTCCCTACTGACTGGAAATGGAGTCCCAAAATCCTCAAAGGCCAAGGATCTTATAGGCATCAGTAAAATTATTCTGACTGGAGACACAAACATTATTCCTCATTCATATAGAAACGAGCTTAAACCAAGTGAGTACGTTGCGCCCCACTAAATAGTTGTACTAAGGGTTGGTCATTGGAAGATAGTACATGGCAGCTTTATCCTGTCCTTCTTCCCCGCCTCCAGAACTGCTTCTGATACACATGGTAAAGCATTGTGAATTTATCAATAGTTTGTTCCTTGTGGAGCTTCGCATCCTAGAGATCCTTTTCGTTCCGTTCGACTGGCATTGGATAGTAAGAGCCCTAAAAGAGTCAGAAAAGTTGTAGCGACAGATTCCCACCTGCACTTACTAGTTGAGAGCTAAGAAATGACCAGAACCCGGAAGCGTCCGCGGAAAATATGAAAACTTTCCCTGACTGCTGAATGCGTATGCCCAAGCAGGCATCTGCCCCGCACATTTCGCTATATTCCATCGCTTTTTTCTCCAGACATGACTTGCGTCGGTCTCTCTTCTGTCGCAGTAGTTTCTTCTCCACACTGGAGTTCTTTGGTTGTTTTGAAATTCTCGCCATTATCTTCACTAGCTGGATATTCCTGGCCGAAAGAAATAAATGGAAATGAGTTGGGTTTAATATGATCATAAATGGTCAATATTTGCGTTTTAAAGGTACAAAGGAGTTTAAAATGTACAAAGGAGGGAATGGTCCTTTTGAACACACAAAGACCACGATTTTGGGTCTTGCAAATTGTTCAAGCTAGCCGTTTCCCCTGCCCCTGTAGTACAATTTATTGGAAAAAGAAGATAGAATCATTTCTACGGCCTGTGAATTAGAAGGTGAGCCGAAGGTGAGAACTGATGAAGATCGCAATTGCGAAGATGGTGGACTAACACCGCTTCTTCCCCATGCGGAATGAACTAGCAGGCTGAAATGATTCCTGTAGTAGACTTGGGGGATGCCCGAGTATTATAAATGGAGACGTAGAAATGCGCTTGATTTGGGTGGAGAGTCCTGTTTGGCGAATAATAGTCAATGAACACCCTACCGTTACATCGATGGGACAGGGGTTTCTCCGTCGATGCCTTAAATCACAGTGGGGCGACGGCGGGGACCGAGGACCCTTTCCGATATTAAGTGGAATCAACCCACTGAGACTGGAACTTGTCCAGAGCCGGGATTGGCCAAGCCCGAAATGCTCCAGGTCAAAGATCGACCGTAGACTTGAAACCACCTGTCAGGATCAGATTCCTTCAAATGTGAACGCTCGGGCCCGCCGCCTGTGGATAATTTCTCCATTGGTTAGCTGATGTCTCGTATTTTCCATCGCGGATTTTTTGATTCGGTTTACATACACAGACAATCTCAATGTCGTGTATGCACCTCCTACTCGGCCCCCCTGCCGTGTTTTCGAGCCATGAGGGACGGCCAACAACTCTTCGATACCTTGCGTTCACCTCCTGATCTCTAACATTGGACAGATACTCGACTCCTCTCCCGAGCCACCATTGACGGCAAAACTCATCTCTATATGGCTACGAGTTAATCAGTGCAGATGAACCGATCCACCCCCGCGAACCTGCCGCAAGTAACGCCTCCGGTGAATCCCAGCTATGGGGAGGATGAAGAGCCCCCCACCATCATCAAAGGCAAGAGAAAGCCATCTGGCCCCGTCAAGCGAGAGAGCTGCCAGCGACTCAAGACAATCAGAGCGTGCGACATTTGCAAACAGAAAAAGACTCGCTGCAGCGGGACTCGTCCATGTGCGCGTTGCCAACGACTGTCGTTGGTCTGTGAATACGAAACGACGTACTCCAGGGGGCTTGCGCCGCCGCCGCCGGCGGAGCTGACCTTCGATGACCAGCCAGACGAGCAACAGTACTTCAAACATGATGCGAGCTTCCCAACATCCATTCAACAGCCCGTAGAGCATGAGGATGCCCATCGTGCTCCTACGAGCAGTACCGATCTCTTGACAGTGGACTTCCAGGGAGGTTACCTAGAATTGGCGTCCGGAACCTCGTTTATCGACCGGGTATGTCAGCGCCTCAACCAAGACAAAACGCCGTCCACCGGTGCCATGAGTGTCTCGGACGGGTTCCATGGCGAACTCTTACACAGCCCATCCATCACCAAATTTGGGGACAAGCCGTATTCAAGCCTCTACAAGCTTGATTTCACCCTTCCTCCGCTGGAGAGGGCACTGGAGATGGTCGCAACGTACTTTGAATATGCCGTTGTGACCTACCGGTTCTTGCATCGCGGTCATGTCGAGAAATGGCTTCGTCAGATCTACCAGAGCAACATTTCGGCGACAAACCTGCCCACAGACCTGATGGTGGGGCGGTGCTGTATTGTGTATAGCGTTCTTGCTATTGGTACACTTTATGAGAGGCGAGCTCCTGAATCCGACGTAGATTATGATGAGCAGAGGTAAGCCCGAAATTGGCTCATTTATTAACCAGTCCACTCGCTGATTGCCTGTTGAAGCGAACGCTGGTTTGCCCTCTCCAAGCGGATGTCGTCCATTGAGTCGGGTGCACCACAGCTGGAGACAGTACAAGCGAGACTGAACCAAAGTCTCTACCTACTGGCGTCGTCTCGATCCAGCGAGTGCTGGTTCGCGTTCGGCACAACCGTTCAGTTCTTGACCGCTCTTAACATGCATCGCAAATGGCCGTCCACTATGGTCAAGGAGGGGAAGGGCACATATATGGAGCAAGAACTTCGGAAGAGAATCTTTTGGAGCGTGTACACGCTGGACAAGTATCTGAGCGTGATGTTCGGCCGACCGCGGTTGCTGCACGATGAGGACTTTGATCAAGAGCTTCCGGACGAGGTGACGGATCACGACTTGTTGATCAATGAGCCGAGCATGCGATCTGGCGTGCCTGATGATCTGATGATTGCATCCGTACTGCATTACCGGTCTGTCTCTGACTTGAAGCATTTATTCGAAGAGAAATCCAATTCCAGCTAACAATTAGCAGACTCTCACGGGTGCTGGCAGACTCTTCAAGGAAGTTGTACACTCTTAATCCACCCAGAGGATCCCCTTTTGAGGCGGCCATCCTGTTAACCCTCGAGTTAGAACGATGGAAGGAGGCCGCCGCTCCATTGATGGATCGCTGGCGGTCTCAGATCCAGCAGCTCGCTTACTCCCACGCAATTATTTATACCACGCGGTTGTTTCTCTTAAATGACTGCAAGGATATTCCTCAATCGGGCGTCGCCACCTATGTTCACAAATGCATCGGGGCCGCCGAGGAAATTATGACCATAATAAATGGGCTCGCCAGCCGAAAGGCTCTCATTCATGGGTTTTGGTTTACCCATTACGTGTGTTTCTGTGCCATTACTGTGGTGTACATCCACATTATCAAACAGCATCAAGCGTCGTCGACGGGCGATCCATCGAACAACGTGGAAAATAGCAGTCAGCTGCAATATTTGTTCAGCCTCGCAGAGACCTGCCAACAGCATCTGGGGAAGGCCACGTCCCGGAGCAGTCCCAACCGTCGCTACGGCATTATTCTGGAGCAGTTGCGCCTGGAGGTCCACCGACAAGTCGTCTCCAGTCTCCGACCAGGCACTCCAATGAGGACAGAAGATGACAGCCATAAGGGCCTTTCCAAATTTCTTCCGTCTAGCTTCCATCCCGCCCCCGGTACCACCGTCTCCCCGAAGCCGAATATCACGGCATTCGATGCGCTGCCTGCCGACCTCTTTGCCTCTCATCTTCTAGATGACTCATTCAAATTATACGATAGTTTTGGTTTCCCAGATAGCTCCGATACTTCGGCCTGGTGGGCACAACTAGATTCCTGGGTAAGCTTGGTCATCGTTCATGTTTGTTGTATTAAGCAAGTTGACCTGTTTTAGGCGTACACCGATCTTTCTAAGGAACCATCCATCTTCCGGTTTTAGGGCATACTACGGTCTTGCAATGGATTTCGCATCGATAGCGTGAAAGTTGTTTAATGTGGCCATCTAGCATGCATCCCTAGGGGACCTAGTTCTCGCCGATCGTGACTATTCAGCCTTGCAGAGGAGAGAATCAAAGCTATCCCTATGTCACTTTGTGAATCTAGATAATAAATCAATGAGAGCATGGAGTCCTATGTCTATCGCGCTTACCCTTCCCCAGGTATTGTTAGTACCTTCTTCTATTTCTTTCTTTTCCTTGCTACTCCATAGCCTTTAGACTAACTAACAATAAATCCATTGTAATTTCTGCTACTCATTAGATGTACACAAGAAAAATGTCCACAAGTTACTATTCTCTAAATCTGATTTATATAATTTATATAAGACAATACAAGAGCTCATCAATGTCAAGAATAGAATCTTGGATTGAGACTCACAGACATTCTGAATTCTGACAATGCTTCGTCAACGAGGAGGCGCCTGCAAAAGTAGACGTCCAATATATTAGGTCAAATTCTTAGGTAGGTTAGTAGCTTTCAATTGATTAGTTGTTTGGTTGAGCGCCAGTGATAGATTTTCGAATTATTGATTGTTCTACCGAGGAGTATATTGCAAAGTTCAGTAAGGTCAAAGTGTCATCATTTTTGGCAGCGCCTGGTTCATGTGTAGGTGTGTAATCAACCTGACTACATCTCTCTTTATAAATTTGTATCCAATATCGTCTTTCGGCTCTCCACTTCTGCTAACCATTCCTCCTCTCATGAGGTATTGTCATTTTAATGTTCGAAGATCATATTCCGCGGCTCCAGCCACGAATTTAACCAGCGAAGCTGCCAGTAACAAAGACCTTTTCGTGCTTCATTAGCAAGCTACAGACCAAGCAAATGGCTCCCGCAGCGATGATGGGCACGTAGGCCAGCTGGATCGCTCTAGTGATACCATGAATTGCCGCGGCATAATCCTCGGGACTCGCAGAGCGGAGGAGCTGGCTCCCCACGCCCGATATTGCGTTCGAGATCTCGTCCTCACTAGCCAGGGGGAACACCTGCTGCAGGGCCTGTTGCGCGAAGTTCACGAACAGGGCGCCGGAGATACCCGTGCCGAAGACGATCCCCATCATCTGTCCAACCGTCATGAAGCCCACGCAGAAGGGGATCTCCCCAGGCTTGACCTTCATCTGTGCGATCGCGAAGCCGGCCTGGCAGAAGCAGCCCACGCCGGTGCCCAGGATGATGGTGTAGCCGTAGATTTTGGCGTCGGAGGTGTGTTCGTCTACCGTGTCTGTTTTGTAGCGAGGCTTGTTAGGGTGTGTTTCGTGGTAGTTGGGGAGTGCGTCCGAAGGAGGACTTACAAAGGAGGACACCGCCGATTAACTCGAGAGCAGCTCCGAAAATGTACCAGGGGTAGTAGTAGCCGGTCTTGCCCATCAACTGACCGTTGATCAGGTTGAAGGCGACCAGGAGCAGAATGAAGGGCAGGAGATGGACGGAGGTCTGAACGGCTGTGCTTCCGCGGGTGAATTGGTAGTAGATGGGCAGGTAGTAGATGCCGATGAAGCTGCCGAATGTCGCCAACACTGTACGTAGTTAGACTTTGCGCCATGTTTGTGCAGTAAACGTGGGGCATACTCACTCATAGTGAAGAAGAGAACGATCAAGGTACGGCTCTTCCAGAAATGCATGGGGAACATGCGGTTCTCGAAGCTGGTTCCCAGGTTGAAGGTTTGTTGCACTACAAACAGGATCAACAGGACACCGGCGCCCACGAAGAGACCAATGCTGTTCGAGCTGCTCCAGCTCCACAGAACGCCGCCGAAGTTCATGGCCATAATCGCGCACAGAAGGGTACCAATGGACAGCAGTGCCCCAATGTAGTCGATCTGGCCAAACCGCTTGAGGATAGGAACATCTTTCTGGGGTCTGAAGTCGGGCAAGAGGAGGAAGTAGACCGGAGCCACAACCGCTCCGACCAGCAGGTTCAGGTAGAATGCCCAACGCCAGGTCGCCTTGCTGTCACCGAGGGCACCGCCAACCACTGGACCCAGCACTGTGCCGACACCCCAAATGAATCCAGTCAGACTGAAATATTTCGGACGTTCAATGTTGTCTGTGGTCACCGACATCAATGTCAACAGGCCCATGTACATTCCACAGCCACCGGCACCCGCGATGGCACGACCGACTATGAAGCTGTTGATGTCTGGAGCGCCACCGCAGAGGGCCGACGCGCCCATGAACATGACCGTGCTTCCAATGTAAAGCTTCTTCGCGGAGAAGGTTCCATAGGCCTTGGACCAAATCAAGGTAGTAGCAGCCGACGCCAGAGCAAAGGAGACACCCAGCCAAGGAACCAAACTGACATGGCCAAAGGTTTCGACGACTTTCGGCTGAACATTGGCCACTACAGTATTGTCGAGTGCATACAAGAACAAGGACGAAAGCAGCGCACTTACCACTAGGGCCCACTGTGGATATGGGGTTAGCGAGGGATCAATAAGCATTGATGGTGCGACGTCTTACTTTAACGCCGTGCACGTCTCTTGGGGACTGTGGCTTCTCGATCGGAGTCTCCGAGGGCGGCTCAGAGGATGACGAGCGCAAAGAATCACTTGAAGTCTCCATTGTTGTGGTGACAAGTGTCGACAAAATGTTGGTTGAAATGTGAAGCAGAACTAGGAGATTTTGGTGGGGTTGGCTTTTGCCTTTGTACTGATGATTGTGGCTGAGGTGACTGTGATGATAAGTCATTGTCAGGGACACCAGTAGCTATTTATCATCATGATGCCCCGGTCGATTTGTCTTTCCACCGATGCTCTTGCCCAGCACGCTGGTATGTTCGCGAGACGGAGTTGCTTGATTGCGCTGACCGTGTCGGTAGGTGCCCACGACCAGAACGGGCCCGGAAACTCGACCAGGCCAAGGGAATTTCCCTGAGCTGTTGGCCCTCTCTCCGGATGCGTCTGTGCCAGGCTCGAGGATCTCCGGCGGAAATAGCGTGGAGCCAAGGGACTCAAGGCTCCTGCCCACCCGGATTTTCTGTGGGTCCCGGAAATGTTTTGAAATCCAGCCTCGAAGACCATCATCAATGGTATATCCCCTTATCAAGAGATACGATCGCAATGGTTATTATAAGAACGATGGCCGGAATTGCTCCGTATCTCTGTCACCTTAATTCCTCTGGCTGAATTCCTGCCTCAATCTTGCCCAGTCTGATATCATGTCCGCCCAAACGGTCACGTTCCAGCGCCAGTCGACAGAACCCGCCAGTCTCATCCGCATTTACCGTCACGACGCTGTAGGCGCCGCCCCAATTCCCGCAGACTCGGTTCTGCTGAAGTTCTTGGCTGCTCCTGTGAACCCCCTGGATTTGTTGGTGATTGCTGGCCGATATCCCGTCCAACCACACCATCGCTATAACGACGAACCCATCCCGGGATACGATGGCGTGGCTCGCGTCGAGCGTGTCGGCACGGACGTTGAGGCGTTAAAGCCTGGGGACCACGTTATACCCCGTGCCCACGGCTTGGGGACCTGGCGCACGGAAGCCGTGGTTCCGGCGGCAGCCGTGCTGAAAGTGTCGAAGAGTTTGGAACCGCCGACCGCCAGTCTGCTGAAGACAGGTTGCTCGACGGCTTATCTTCTGTTAGAGAGCTGTCCCTCCTTGTGTCCGGGAGATTGGGTTGTTCTGAATGCCGCGACGGGATGGATTGCGCGGATGGTGGTGCAATTTGCCCTGCTCAAGGGCTGTCCGAGTATCTGTGTGATTCGAGACCGGGATGATGTCGAGGCCACGCGACAGTCACTTCTCAATCAGGGCGCTCGTGCGGTCGTCACCGAGTCTCAACTTGCCAAAGAAGGCCCGGCTGAGATCGCGGCCGGGATGCGTATTACCCTCGCACTGGATGCGGTCTTCGGACAATCTGGTCAACGACTTGCCGCCATGCTCGCTCCCGGGGGTACCTTCATCAATTACGGGTCGCTGGGGGGTGCGGGCGGCCAATTAGTCCTCAGCCAGGAGCTAATCTTCTGGAAACAAATCACTTTCAAGAATTTCCGACTGTCCCAAGCGCTGAGTCGGTATACGGAGGACGCACAGATTGACCTCCTTTCGTGGTTCACCGAACTCTTCGAGGAAGGGAAGATCACTGCGCCACCGGTCAACCGCGTGGACTGGGAAGAGGACGGGGATGGTGGAAATCTCGAGAAGAAGGTCCAGTCGGTGTTGGCTAGAGTCGGTGGGAAGGTAAGACCAGCCGTCGGGTGCACCAAGCACGTCGTGCAGTTCTAAGTTTCTCTCTTTGTTTTCTTTTCTCCTTATTTTTATGCGTAAATGACAAGCCTATCATTGTTTCCTTTAAATACAGTTCAGTTGTCCTTGCCGATATAGCAGATTTACGTAGACTAGAGCATAGAATGTATATATGGACACTCTTTACAACAGGAGTATAGTAACTCAGTCCGCACCTGCGAATTTCCGGAAGGACACACGAAAAGTCACGCGAAACACAGATCTGTCGTGATACTAGGATCTCTTCCGTCATGTTCTTTATAGCCCCTGATATTGCCAAGTTAACCATCTTGGCAAACGGATATCCGAACAATCGCCAAATTTGCCCGGAATAATACTCAAGAAATATCACGATTATGTTTATAGTCCCACTTAGTAGCAATTCTCTTAATTCGACATTCCTTATAGTTACTCACCATCCGGGATCTTGTTGTCGAAGTTAGCTATAATTATTTTACCCATTGGAGGACTGTAACGTGTTCATAAATAGGGCTGGGTATATATATATCTATTGCCGAGATGAGGGATATACAGGAAACTTGTGACAACATCAGTTCAGGTGACATAGAATGACCATACAAAGGATCTCAGCAGTGCTATAAACATTCAAGTCTCCTTGAACCTATATCTACGGGAGTTAGGGAAGAATGCAGTAAGCTCATCGAACAGCTTCACGCAACCAGTTGTCTAGGATAGGGAACGATATGTCATTGGTATCCTAGACCACGTTAACTACCATACTTCCTTGGACGGTTGACTCGCACTCATTTAGAATACAGGAAGGGGGTTGAAGTATTCGGGGGTGTGAACCACACACATTAGGCAACCACCTAAGATGCAGATCGTTACTTTATCACTAGTATACGGCGTCCTTTGCAAAGACGCTCGGAGGATCTGATATCGAAATTCTTTCTGCCCACACAGGCACAGTGGACACGACATGAACCCACGACACGGAGAACTCGAGCATTGGACGAGACCTCGCAAATGCGAGATAGAACTGTGCCTGGAAGGGCATCGTCATGAACAGAAAAAAAAGGAAAAAAAAAAGCCGTATCTTGTGAGTATTATTTCACTGGATGGACAATGTATTTTGAGACGCTTGAAAGGCTTGGTCCAAACGTGTCAACTTGCGATCGCAATCGTCCCGCGACATACAGGCTACGGCTTTTACTCATGTGGATATGCACTAGTGGAAAAAACATATGAAGTATTTGAAAAGGACCTAAATCTATATACAGTTCACGGGCATGACCCCCAGTCGTCAACCCCACAGGCCTAATCCGTATAAGCGCTTTCCCGTTCGATGATGGTTGCGTTGTACTTTCGGAGCATGTCCTCCAATCCCGGAATTGGCGCATCGAAGTCAATCAAGTAGCTGTTCATGGTGCGGGCGAGAAACACGTAGATCGACTGAGTGTAGAACAGGTCCATCAAAACCTCATCTCCGAGGACCTGTTTGGCTTTGAGCACCGTGTCCTTGTTGACACGATTGCGCAGACAAAGGTATTTAACCACCGCATTGATCAGTCGTTGGCGATCAGAGAAGAGCTCCATTGAGCTCAAGTCCCCGGAGCGGATACCCGCTATTAGTTGCGTCAGTTTACCCGAGGACCCGGGCCACGGGCTCATTGACGTCCCACTCGTACGGAGCATTGAGCAGGGACGCGGTGCACAAGACGACCAGTTGCCAGTCCTTCGAGCGCAAGCTGCGCTGGGGCCACCAAGCACGGCTCAGAAGTTTCACGAAGGTTGGGAAAAAGGTGGGCGCATTGGCGACCAGCTGAGGATCGGTTGTTAGTGCATCGCTCTCCCATCGCAGAAAACCATGGAGAGAATAAGAGAATGTACCTTAAAGATGTTGCGCTCGAAGGGAAGTGTTTTTAGGGTTGCGCTGACCTCCTCCGGAGACATTGCGGAGTCCACGTACGGCAGGAGGAGGTTGTTGGTCATGTCGCGGTTGTTCCAGGAAGTCATGATGACAGAAGAGTCGAAGCCGATGAGATATATTGTGAAGAAGGATGAAGTGTGTGTTTAAGTGGGTTTTCAATGTGTTGATTGTGGTGATTGGGGCTGATGATTGCTGATGAGCTGGAGTTGTTGATGGGATGGGTTCGTCGGGGGGTTTTATAACTTAACATTTGTAGTGATTGACCAGCATAATATACAAGGAAGGCCAAAAATAAGCTAGCGAGCAGAAGCAATCATTTCCGATGGTGATTCCTAGCGAATGACCAGTATATCCTTGTCCGGCAATCCTACTACCCTTACTCATCCACGCCGACGCTCGAGTTCGCTGCCCATAATTTGCCCATGGCGCCCCCCATTGAAGTGCGGCATTTTCGGTAATAATACATGCAGCAACTGATAATTGTAGGAATAGAAGATGCAGTTTTATTAAGGGCTAGCTAAGGGTGGTGTGGAAGAGGTTGACGTTATAACTAAGACTTTTAAGAAGATTTTGGGTCTGGCTTATGCTCCTTAACTGGGACTTTAACAGGGCGGTCATGATCTTTGTAGTCATAGTCAAAGTTTTCTTCAGTGTTAACCGAGTGATTATTCTTTTTATCCTTGTTATTTGTTGAGACTGATACACTGTTTCCAGCGTCAACGCCTTTTAAACCGTTGATCAGGGTATTATGGGGCTAATGGGAATAATAGGGTAGTTATCCTGGTCCTTTTTATTATACAAGGATGTGAATTTATTTGTGGAGGGCACAGACATGCTGTTTCCGACGTCATCCCCACCTGGGCCACTGATAATTTGGTGGGATTGGGCTCGGGCTACTGCGGCAGTACGGCAATAAGAATTCCGCCGTGAAGTCCCTTTATGTTGGTGGGCTTGGCTCGGATTTACGTGATTAGCTGATGTTGTATATTAAAGTTAGAGGAAGGACCTATTAGTGGCGGACCACCTGACCACCCACCGCCTTTCCGCCGGTGGGTGGTCGGCGGCCTACAGGCATTTCCACCCTAGAGGCAGATTTTTAAAATAGTATCTTTTTGAAGCCATACAAACCACCCAACATGACTAAATTATCTGAAATTCATGATGGGCGTGTAGATGAAGCCGTCCGAGCTGCCCAGCAAATTAAAAACCAAATATCGCTAAAATAGCGCGAGAATTCGGAGTTCCTTACCGCACGCTATACGGCCGCATCCATGATCATAAAAAGTCTCGAAATGGTCGCCCCCTACAAATAAGGCGCTTGATCAATATCAGGAGACTGCCTTAGTCCAGTGGATTGCTAAAATGCGAGATCTTTATCTTCCCGTTACAATTACGCTTCTTATTGACTTTGCAAATCAAACATTAAAGCGGGTTGGATCTCTACGACGCGTCGATCGATCCTGGGCGTATCGCTTCGCTAAAAGGCTTCCTCCTGACCTCCAACTTCGTCCAGAGATACAGAAAACGAAAGAAAAGAAGCGAATAGAAGCAGAGGATGTTGGAGAGCTTCAGTTTTGGTATAATCAGCTCGCAAATTTGCTTCGCGGGGTCCCCGATTATCTCGTGTATAACTTTGACGAGTGTGGATTTCAACCAGGCGAAGGAAAGAATCAAAAAGTGCTAGGGACAAAAGGAAAGAGGCCTCGCGATAATCCTAAAGCAGAGCATGCAGAGAATATAACTGCGCTTGAGTGTATTGCTGCAGATGGCTGGGTTATGACTCCGTTCTTTATTTTTAAAGGCCAAAAATTTATGGAGCGTTGGTACGATGATAAAGACATTCCAGAGGATTATTATACCGCGGTCTCTGATAAAGGCTATATTAATGATGAACTAATGATTGAATGGCTTCATCGATTCCATGAAGAGACCAAGAATCGTAAAAAAAGGGGAGAAACGTGTTCTTCTCTTTAACGGTTATACTTCTCATAAAACGCTCGAATTTATTCAACTCTGCGAGACCTACGAGATTCTTCCTTTCTGCTTTAAACCTCATACAACTCACCTCTGCCAACCGCTTGATGGAAAGCCCTTTCTTACATATAAAACGCATTTTCGTAATGCGAATAATCTCATCGCGCAGTGGTGTGGGGTGCCGGGAGATAAATCGACTTTTTACGAGATATCGCGGCCGTACGAGACAAGACTTTTAAGCAACGAATTATTCGCAACTCGTTTAAAGAACGCGGAATCTTCCCTCCAGATGGGTCCTCTATAATTAAAGCAATTGAGCAAACTTTACCGCCGATTCCAGAGATCTCCGCGCCCGATCTACGCGCGTACGGAGAGACTACGCCTCCTCCGAATCCTCTCTCTTCAAGTGTTGAAAACACGCCTCCAAAACCGCTAAGCAAGTCGAAAAGAATCAGAAGAAGCTACTTCATCTACTGGATAGCGTACAGATTAATCCTCGCGTTGAGCGCTGCTTGGAGCGCATATTTTATCAACAGAAACTTCAGTCGGAACAACTTAATATAATGAACTCTACTCTAGAGCGAATTGAAGCGGTTCAGGCACCTCGCCGCCGCAGGGCTACTAAACGAGAGGTTCCACGCCTTGGAGATAGTGGTATACTACGCGTACGGGATGCAAATCGCTCTATTGCAGGTAGGAGAGCAAAAGAGGCGTTAAAAAAAGAAGAAGAAAGCGGATAAGGCATTTAAAGAGGCGTACGGCTTCGCCCCCACGCCACTGCTGCGGAAGATCAAAATCCTGTCTCCCATAGTGAAATGGCAGAGGAATCGGGTAGTCAGGTTTTTATTATGGATTCTACAGGTTCTAGGTGTTGAATTACGAATTGCTTCAAAAATCTGCCTCTAGGGTGAAAATGCCTGTAGGCCGCCGACCACCCACCGCCTTTCCGCCGGTGGGTGGTCAGGTGGTCCGCCACTAATACTGGTCTTTAAAAGTATAGGGGCCAAAAAAAAAAATAAAAGTCGCAAAGGGAATGTATCAATACTGGGTGCTAAAAAAAGACACTTAAGGTTGTAGTCCCATGAAAAGAGGCCGCCCTGAGTAGCTTTATAATGCTTCAGATGTTTTACTGGCATGCTAAAGTATGCTGGGCATGGGAAATAAATAAATATTGCTGTTGAGAATCTCGGGGAAGAAGCTATGTCGTGAGGTGCTAGGATAGCGGTGACTGGATAGTATATTGGAACTATCGGTGCGATGTAGTATCGCATGGTGAGTATATTCTTCTATCTAGGAGAGAGCGTAGATAAACGCTTCCTTATGTCTACGTGTCCCTTAACCCCTTAGCCCCTTGCGTGTGATATGTCAGATGGCTTCAGGACTAGGATACCCGAAGGTGCCTTAGGCATCCTGTTTTCAACAATTGCCGAGATATTGTTCTACCATAAGAATGCTGCCAAGAAAAGGATGTTTGCTTAGATTAGTTCTATTAGACCATCACATTCTTTATCCTTTAAAGCTAGGAAGGATAGGTATTAATTAGTACAAAAAGGCAGTGTGACCGTTTTATTACCACTTAATATCTGTTAAGTCTATCCCTCGAATAGCTAATTGCTATTTGTTTAAGTTTTCTATTTGTGTGCCCGTGAAATCTGATGCGAATTCAGTAAGGCCGTTTTATAATCCGTTGAAATTGTTACTCCTGTCTTCGGCTTCTGTACAAGGCAAAATTATTAAGGCGTTTGAAGTGATAGTCAGAGCATTCAGGGAGATGACCAAGGCAAGTAGGACACTGTTTTGTAGATTATTTTAATTGGCGAGAAAGTAAATGGCGTATCTGATCTACATTCCACATTAACAACTTCAAGTTGGGACTCCCTCTTGTACCGAACCTTTCTCGACGCGTGTAACCCTCAATTCACGCACTCCAGTAGTCAACAACACCCTTCCCCGCAAAACGTTTCTAGTTACTGTTGAAGTAATTCGCTGCCACGGTAGACCCCAGCCTAATTTCTTTTTCCCAAGAATCGAGATTATAGCGCATCCGATGCATATTTCCTAGATTCTGCCCGCTAGGCGGCGCATACTTCTTCCCATTGAACCCAGCCGGCTGCTCGTACAGAATGAAGATATACCGATGCGGCGAGCTTCCTGGAGGTGGGGCGGGACCGATGTAATTGGCGACGAATGGCGCGGTAACTTTCAGTGTGTGAACGTTCGGATCGCTGTCTGATGGAGTGGGCTGGAGTCCTGGCTGGATCCAATGCAGGATGGGGCCGAGGACACCGAAGGAAGGAAACGGGGCGTCGATATCAAGGCCGATGACCATGTACGTACTGCTTGGCGAAAGGTCGCGAAAAAATAGTTCCGGGGGAGATTGCGCATCTAATACAAACACATAGGTTTGTCAGTATGCCATACGTTGTCCCTGATATTATGCTGTGACTTCTGACCCGCTCTAGGGATATACTGGCCCGGTCGGATGCCCGCATGCTTGCCGACATTCAAACCGAGCACTTTGGAGACATCATCCTCAATAAGTGACAGAGCTTTCTTGATGCTATTATTTGCAGGCATGGTAAGCAGCAACAGATAGGAGGGTAGAAATAATAGCCCGGAACAGAAGGTGGAGAGAAGAGTATCTAGTATACGTACGTAGGTACTATTCAAGGGCTCGTCCTTGATTTACCAACCATCTATCGGCCTTAATGGCCGGAGTTAGGGAAACTCCGTCAAAGGAACAGTTGACGCAACTTCAAAGTCCACTCAAACATGCTATCTCATATCTCCTCTGTCTCATATCTCCATTGAATCACAGGGGTCTATCTCCGGTCCGCGGCAATCCAGAATCTAGCCCCACGGTCCGTCACGTTATGGTAAATGTACACAGTACACCAGACGGGCGATGATGTTATGCCCTTTGATTTTATTCTCTGGAATCTGTTGCACTAATTGTTAATTAGTATATAAGTCGTGCGCTATCACACAGCAGGTTTAGATAAACAAACCCAAAGATGATGGTGACATATACTGTGAGCACTAAAACTTCTACGAGGAAACATTTCTCACTGACATGTCTGTCTAGAATCTATATACCCGCGACGCCGAATTCGATGTCGACTACTATGTGTACAAGCACATGGCTCTGGCGGCCGAATTATTGGGTCCGTCCGTCCTGGTTTCTTGGGAACTCTTTCAGTTGCCCGACGATGCTCCCTTCAGTTACGAGATCGCCGTGATGGGTATAACTTAGTTCTGAAGCTAATAAGACCTCCAATATAACTCCAAATTCCTATATTTCTGAGATTCATGGCTGTGCGCCACTTTTAATATGGCGACACCTGGGCCAAGCACCCTCCGGAGGCACCTCAGGTGGCTGAAGTTAGCCAGAAATCTAGATGGCTTACCCGTGATGATCGAATTCAAAATTTAACTCTACGTGATGCTGGTTTTACCTATCAACAGATCTGCTCCCAGCTAGGATTTACCCATCGCCAGGTACAATACACATGCCAAAATGAGCAAAGGACCCCCGAAAGCCTCCTGGCTAGCATCCAAGGCTATCAGAAGAAGATGTGAATAATATTATTACTTATATTTCCTCTTCAAAACGTACACGCCGGCTACCTTGTAAGAAAGTTATTGAAGTACTTGATCTTCCCTGTGGAGAGACTGCCCTTGCTCGAGCACTTAAAAACAAGGTTATTCCCGATGCAAAGCTTTTCGAAAGCCACCTCTATCTGATCAAAATAAGAGCGTACGTCTAGCCTGGGCCCTTGAGCATGTAAATTGGACAGCTGAGCAATGGAATCGAATTCTTTGGTCCGATGAAACATGGGTTACTTCAGGATTCCACACAAGAATCTGGGTTACCGGGAAGGCAGGTGAAGAACTAGAAGAGACCTGCCTTCGAACCTCTCCTCCTAGAAAGCGTGGATGGATGTTTTGGGCGTCATTTCATGGAAATTCCAAAGTACCATGTTTATTCTGGGAGAAAGAATGGGGGTCTATTAATGCAGAGACATACTCTGAGCGAATTATATTCATCCTGCCTCAGGCAGTAGGTAGGCTGACCGTTGGGAAGGGAAATTCCCATGGGAAATCGGGATGGGACTCCCGTCCCATAAAAACGGGACGATTTTCTAAGATTTTATGGGAATGGGAATGGGAAGGGAATGCCAAGAGATTCCCACTGGGATTCCCCCTTCTTTCTGGATGGGAATCCCTTCCCATTTTCTTGAGACGGGATTCGGGACCACCCCCAGGATCCTTATGGGAATATGGGACGGGACCAGACCTCCCTCGGGATCCCGAATCCCTCCCAACGGCCAGCCTATCAATGGGACATCATGTGAATATATATACCCAATACTCCTCATAGAGGGGTTGGGCAGAACATCCTTCTGAATACATTCAATTCTCACCTCCATACCAATATCCCATATAATCAGACACGTATACACACCGGCAACATGATTGGCCTCGGCCTGCTGCGGCTATGCCCTACGCTGATTGCCACAGCGTTGTAAGTATGCAGCTGGCATATATTATTTCTACCTAAAATTACAGAGAATAACAGATGCATCAACCGTGTTAGTCAATGTATTGCCCGAACCTCCTTTCGGCCACCGTATATCCCCGAACCAGCAACATCTCACCGCCCCGCTCTTCCAGCATTGGTTCCGAAGTGCATCGGGCCGCATTTGGAAGGGCGTAATTTGTATCCTCACTCAGCTGCAATGACTGCTTTGCATTGCTAATTTTGTGGTCCGCCCATCTACAACGATTGGTGGTTGTACGGAGCCAGTTTTGTCCTGTCAAATGCGCATCTGCCTTTCGTGCCACGACTCCTGGAAGAGTCTGGCAGCGTTGGGCGATTGGATAAAGGTCAACAATATACAAGTGCTGGCGGTGGATCTGCCTCTACTACTGGTCACAACGGCAGTTACACTGGCGTCAGGGAATTGGCAGTAAAAGAATTATATTTATAGCAAATAAATTTAGATCTAAATAAATAGTTGTAGAAGTATATTTATTTACTGGTCTAGTAAGCTGCATTATCTACTTAACACCGGTCATAATCCACTGCTTTTGTCACTCCGTAGATAATACTGTCTATATCCTTACCGGACAACAGTCTTCATGCTTGTCAGGCGGCGCTCAGTGTTGGCACGACCGTTGACAAAGTCAGGATAGGCCAAAGAGAGCTCGACAGCGCCAGAGACAATGTGGTCAACAGCTTCAACACCCAGCATAAAACTATATTCCGTTAGCACATGTACACAGGTCCCAATTATAGGTAGCGACTTACCTGTGGTCCTGATTACCGACTTCGTACTTCCACGAGCCGAATCTGCCACGAGAGAGAATGTCCTTCTGCTGCAAGTAGGGCAGAATCTCGTTCAGAGCACCGTTGCGCTCTAAGCTGGGAGTGGGGTATCCATGGTCGAAACGACGCACGTAGGTGCTGACGATCTCGTCCTCGGGCTTAAGCAACTTAGTGTTAATCAGGCCCTGGATACTGTCGGCCAACAGGGTGTCGTGTTTAACAGGTTTATACTGCGACTCAGAAACCTCCAACATGATAGACCAGTACGGTCCTTCCTGGGCCTTGGAAGAAGCAGGCTTCTGACCGTTGGCAAGCTGCTTGGTAGGCAACTTGGCATTCTCCTTAGGCTGATTGTTGGGGGAGTAATTGGAAAAGATGGTGGCACGGTAGAAAGGGCAGTTGTCCTCAGGGAAGTAAAGCTGGGACTGTTAGATTCTATTTCTACTTTATCTTAGTAAAGAGGTAATATACCCAGCACTTGTCTCCGATGTGCTCAGGGCGCTTGCCACGGATACCGACACCGATAACGTTGGTGGAAGAGTAGAAGAGGGGCTTGCAGAGCTGCAGCAGCTTGGTATCAGCCATGGCTTTGGCGAGGTAGTCAACAGCCATGGTCGAGATAAGAGATCCGTAATGGACAACGGTACCTGGAAATCTTCATTAGCTTAATAGCTAGTAATAATATAAGAAATTTAACCGACCGTCCTTTAGGTAGACCTTTTTTTGGCATCGGCATTAACCTTGACCACTCTGCTGTGCTCACCAAAGCGAGTCTTATCCTTGGCAATCGTGTTAGCCACAGCAATCCAGATACCACCAGTACCACCCTCAGCAGGGAACTTAAAGGTGGCATTGGGTCCCCAATTGCCAGCCACCTTGTTAAGGATGACATTGCTGGTCAACAGCTTTAAGTTGGGGGCAGCCACACGCTCGCCAACCCAGGTAGCGTTCATCTTGCTAGGGGGGCACAGCCCAGACTTTAAAGTTGTATGGGCGCATAAAAATCTCGTTTAGCCGCTGGCCGACATTGCGGGTGTTCCAGATGTCGAAGTTCTCGGGCTTGTCGGACGCAGGACGGGCGCGAGCCTCCAGGGCGGCGTCAATCAGACTCCCAATGCATTTAACCTGCTCCTCCTTGGGCAAGACGGAAATGTTGTTCTGGAAAGGGTAGGGGACCCAGCGGCCCTCGTAGCGGACATACGAGACACGCTGGTGCTCATACCAGTCCTCGACCTTGGGAAGGGCTTCGTTGAGGCAGTCGTCGAAATACTTGTAGTGGGAGAATATAACGTGTCCACCGACATCGAACAGCTGCACAACAATTAATATCCGATAACCACATTATTATCCCTTGCTGCAGAACGACTTACGAAGCCTTCAGGGGTAACGTCAGTGGAGGCTAGTCCACCGGGGGTTTTGTTTGAGTCGATGATCAACCACGAGGCGCTGTTCTAAATTCCATGTATTGTTAGAAGTTGCCAGAATAATTCTTTATGTCTTCATCATCTAATTTATCCGACTTGCCAGCTGCTGGAGGCGTTTGGCAGCGCCCAGACCGGTCGGGCCAGCACCGATAACCAAAACATCAACATTGCTGGGAAGACTGTGTTAGCACTATAATTTATAAGCACGGCAGAGATAAGGCCAAGTACATTTGCTTAGCAGCCATGATAAGAGGATTTGAGGGGCAAGGGAAGTCAGACGGGGTTGAGATGGGAGAAAAGGAGACAGAGTGGGAGAAGAGAGGAGGCCAGTGGGAAAAAGAGAGAAAGGAGCGGTAGGAATCCAAAACAAACAAGAAGCAAAGCCTAAAAGAGAGCAGCAGGCAGATTAGGCACTTTAAGTTCGACGGCGACCGTCTTAAATCTCAAAGCTTGCCACGCGGATGCACTGCGGAAACGCCGCGCGTCAGTGGGTGCAGATCATCGCGAATCCTTCGTAGAAGCATGGACCAGACTAATAGTGATCCAGGGGGTTTGATCAACTCTAACAGGCGTCTTTGTTTGTCTGGCGATCTTAATCTGTTTGACTGGTTGTACACCGTAATTTCAGGGGCGGTTCCATGGGACTGACTGTTTACCTTAAACTTACTGCTTTTTATCTTATATATACGTCTCTATATCCACATTTTAGTCATATACTACCTATAAAGTGCTACTCTCTACTGTCCTCCATACTGATGCTTGTATCTATCCGGGCCGAGCAGTTGCCCCACACTCTTCCCCACTTAACCGGGATCGGGTCGCTCTGTCTCCTGACTACAGTTCCGCCCGAAAGTCTGAATAATCCAGTTGCCGCGCAACCCAACCATGGTTTTTACCCATACATGTAAAATATATATATCTCGCAACATATGACGGTCGGAATTAAATTTACTATATTATAAGCAATATAAGCGGTAAAATTTTATAAAAATATATAAAAAAGCACAAAAATTACGTTGTATTTTATATTCAACTTATGTAATTTTATACTCAGTTTTTAGCTTATAATACAACATAGTACTATTGGTACCTACAATAAATAATATAAAAAAAAGTGAGAAAAAAAAAATATATATATAAAAATTATACTAGATTTATCTGAAATTTATATAAAATTATGTAACTATACTATTATAATATAAAGATTGCTTGAAATACATACTGCAAAATCTTGTAATAGGAAGATTTATATGGCACGAAGATATATATATATATATATCTATAGTACTTATTGAGATATAACACAACAAAATTATATACAAGTATAGTATTTTTTTATATATAGCATTAAAATAACTATCTAGTATTAAATATATATACAAATATTTTTATGTAGATATTTTTTATTTTTTTTATAATTTGCAATTAAAATTTACAGGTTTTTCTGTTTCGGACTGCTTATTATATATAACATTTTTACTGCGATAGTAAAATTTTTTTTTTTTTTAAAACCTATAATTATATTATTAATAATAGCACATTAAACTAATTATATGGTTTTATTAGTTTTAAAACATGTTGGTTGTATAATACAGAATAAGAAAATATTGAAATTAGGAGTGTAGAAATTTCGTTATTCAAACTTTTGACTAAGAACTATATTTGTCCCTCTTTCCTCTTTCCACATCTTCCTTCCGCTATACCATCCCTATCGCCAGCAGTCGTAAAGACTCGATAATCACAGCTTTACTACTTATTTGCCGCCTCTCTGCTCTGTTCTCTCTATCCGTCACTTCCAGGGCGATGTGAAGCGTCGTATGTGTCAAGGGCTAAACCTCTATAACCTAATAACTAGGGTGGATACAAAAGGAATCGTCGAAGAGGAAAGAGAAGAGGAAACAGCGATGAGACGATTGCGAAGTAAGGGGGAAGTCACATGATAGAGTGTACTAATCAATATACTAATCATGTGGCAGGCGAGGAGAAAGGAAACACGAGGGCTGAGGGCCCGAGTAGGCTGAGGGGCTCTAGCCCCTTACACTACTCCCCCTTCCTATATAAGGCCTCCGAAGGAGGCCTAATAGCGAGGCGGGTTGCTGGCGCGGGCTGTAAGCTTTTTCGGAGGTTTCTCGGAAGTATCAGACAAAGTAGAGCGGGCATCGCAGTCTGCGATCCAATGATCATTAGAACCGCAGTAAAGGCATAAATTATTCGCAAGTCGGAAACGGCGGCGGTCAGAGGTGGTGGATTCATGAGAAGAATCAGATAAAACAGGCGAAGCAGCTCGGGCTACTCTCACAGAGCCAACATGAACAGGATTGGGGTTTATTTTAACTGAGTTGACTCGGACCGGATCAGTATCCATTGGGTCTGTATTCGGGGTCAAAGCTGGTTTCGGGGCTGATTTTGGACTAGGACGGGTACGCCGATCGGTACTCTGGACAAGTTCAATATATTCATTATAGGGAAGATCAAAGAGAGAATTATTCGAGTCTTCTAGTATTCGACGGAGATTAGGCCGTAGCCCCCGGTGTAGCGTGGTAACACGTGATATATCTGGCCATGAGTTTACATTGGCTTCATATGAAAGTCGTTCAAAACGAGCAAGGTAGGCGATAAGCGATTCGTCATCCCTCTGTTGTATAGAAGTAAAGCGCTGAATAGCCTCCTGCTGTTCCCGTGGGTTATGGCATAGACGCTGAAAAAAGAAAAATAACTTCAGGATCCCATAGCTGGTTTTCTTCGGCAGATTGGCGGAGGTGCAGGACAGAAGCTTGCTGAGACTGTTCTAGTCGATCCCATACATAGTCAAAAGCATCAGCTCCTACGAGCTGGTCTGATCGAAGTTTTGCTTTAATTGACGGGAGCCATGTGCGAAGCGTGTATGGTTTACCGTTAAAGCGAGGCGGATCTGGCAGGCGGGATCTGGGTGTCTGGACGGAAAGAAGCTGCGTACGAAGCTGGTGGACATCTGTTCGGGAAGCATCAAGGTCCGCACGTAGTTGCTGTATTTCATTACGCTGGTTTTGAATATCAAGGCGCTGGTTTTGGAGCTCTTGCTGGAGCTGCTGCACAAGCAGGAGGAGTGGATTCGGGTCGGACATCGTAAAGATATTCCCATAGACTGGCGGACAGGCAGGCAAGCGGGCGGGCGAGCAGGCAGGCAGGCGAGCGGGCGGACAAGCGGGCAGGCGAGCGGGCAGACAGGCAGACAAGGACGATTCCTAATGTCAAGGGCTAAACCTCTATAACCTAATAACTAGGGTGGATACAAAAGGAATCGTCGAAGAGGAAAGAGAAGAGGAAACAGCGATGAGACGATTGCGAAGTAAGGAGGGGGGAAGTCACATGATAGAGTGTACTAATCAATATACTAATCATGTGGCAGGCGAGGAGAAAGGAAACACGAGGGCTGAGGGCCCGAGTAGGCTGAGGGGCTCTAGCCCCTTACAGTATGAGCGGCCTGCGTCAGGACTTCCTTCCGCTGCATCCCTCCTAGTTTTTTTTGGATCTTAACAAAGAGATGACAGCACACATGCGCCAACGTTAACAGGTGCAGCTCGGCGTCCATCCGGGACAGTCTCTCCAGTCGCAGACTAGGCAGGACGCTGGCCTTGTCCCACTCTCAAGACGATGCACTCCACGCCTAGGCTGGCCGTTGGGAGGGGATTTTCCTTTGGGATTTCCCTCCCGAATGGGACCGGGACGGGAACGGGACCAATTTCAGGAAACTTATGGAAATTAGTGATTTTAGGGAATATCCCATTCCCTAGATCGGGACTCCCTCTAATGTCTATTTGGGAAAGGGACGGGAAACGGGAACGAGCTTATAAATGGGAAGGGAATGGGAATATCCCTTCCCGAATCCCATATAATGGGAATCCCTTCCCGAATAGCTTGGCATGGGAAGGAATCAAAATTTAATTCCCATTGGGATTATGGGACGGGACTTGGACCCTTTTGGGATCCCGAATCCCTCCCAACGGTCAGCCTAAAGGTTCTTGCACTATAATAATATCTGCAGTGTTTTGCACTTCTTTCTCACTAAAAAAATACTGTATAACTGCAACGCGTTTCCTGCAATTCGCCTGTAGGTCTTTTAGTTGTGCTTTTTGTTGCGTCATGAGTAGGAAGAGGACGAAGCTGTATACTCTGGCATGTCTCTACTAAGCTCGTTGTTATCGTCTTTATTTGGGGGTGGCTGTGGTGCGCTGCGCCGGCATGTTACCGGCTTAATATTGTTGGTTTGTTTAATTCCTGCCAGTGGTGTGTGCTTGTGGGTGAGCTCTTTGTTACTTTGGTTGCCTGTGGCCATGACATCGTCATCGTTCTTGCCGTCCAGAGTGTTGCGTCGGATGCGTTTATTTCTATCCCGGGCCCGGCTCTTGTTGCTGAGCTTGGCTCCTGGTTGTGGCTTTTCGAGCGTGTCGGCCTCCGGCTCTTCGAGCGGGAGGCTTCGCGGCTTGGGTTACGTGTTGCGGCAGTGACTTTCTTGTTTGTAGTTAACCGTGCTCGCTCCTAGGGGGGCGGTCCTAAGGTCCCAAAGGACATATTAGACTCCCCCGGGCATAAAGATTTTGTGGACTATATAGATCAATCTGGGGAGTCTGAAGGATCAGGACAGTCCTCATTTAGATCTAAAAACCGGAAGTTTTGGCTTACTTATCATGTGACAGTGAGATACAGCAAATACAATGCAAGCTACGACTCGTAGAGGATAATGGAGCAGGAAAAGTGCTGAGTAGACGTTAAGAAACTGCCGATAATTGTTTGTTATACGTGCCTCTTGAAAGCAGAGCGAGCCAGATTCTGAAGGAGAATCATGTGTGAATCAGGGGACTACAAGTATTATAAAGAAAGTCCCTAAAAAGTACATGCTATGTGTCGTGATTGTCTCCAATTACTGCAACATCAACCATCCTACTCCACTTCCGCCTCTTTGTTGTTTTAGGAATGGTACCACCACCAGACAGCGCCCGCGGCGGCTACCGGGGCTACCCATGTCAGGCCTTTTTTGACCAGTCCAGCAACCCGAACCCAAAAAATAATGGTATGGAATTTTGTGATGAAGTCACCTTCATTAACATGGGGGAAAGGTTTATCCGGCGCCTCCTTTCTTAGGAACTGGCAGAGGGGCCCCCAACCATCCTGGACTTCAAATTCAAGCACTTCACGCCCTCGCTTCTGCGCAGCAACGCGTACTTGGTCGTAGTGGGCAGCAAAGCCATTAGGCAGATGGCTAGCGTCCTGCCATTTCCCGCCAGTCCACACGGACAGTGCAGATCGTAAGAGTGGGATGTAAAGGCCAATGTAAGTCTTGTGGAATGCAGTCAGCAAGCCAATGACGATGAATAAGGTAAGCAGGTTAGGGTCAGTACTTGATCAATCAACTCCAGAAATCCCCACCGTTTCCAGCTGAGGATGGCGTAGAAAGTGCGCTGCATGGAAGCCAGCCATGGATCGACATGGCGGGTTGTCAGAATAATTTGTGCCTCGGGAAAGGCGTCCATCAGTTCTTGCGCGAAGAGAATGCAGGGAATATCCGTAACAGCCTTAGGAGTATATCAGCCACGCCTCACGCTAATTGGTACGTAGTAAGGCTAGTAAGATAGAGTGGGGGGACTCACATTGTAGCGCCAGAGCATCTGATCAAAATCCGCACCCGAAAACTTGCGGCCGTTCTCGTTGAACTTGGCATCTATAGCACGGCTCCAGAGAGCCAATGAGTCGTTCTTTTGGTCCAGGGAACATTCCGCCATATGATAGCAGGAGTATCCCAGCTCCTTCAGCGCAACATACAGAGCTTTGGACACCGGTCAGCCATGGATAGTTTGTGGTGTATTGCAGTATTAATTCATATTCACGCACACATGGTCCCGGTGCGGGACATGCCTAATGCCAGTACTTTCATCTCCTTCTCACGATGAGCCGGAGGCTCCATTCGTGGATAAGGCACCGTAGGAAAGGGGAGGTTAGCCATCGTGCCCGGACTCAAATCAAAGCCCGAGAACAGACCGGGATGTGAGGCTGGCGATATGGGAAGAAAATCGGGTGAGTGGGTTGGGCGGGGGCCAAACAGTTGGTGAAGTTGAACGGAATAATATACCCTACTCTGAGTGAGTAGAGTAGTTACTCCAAGTCAGTACTTCTCAGTTATGTGGAAGGCAGTTCTTTGTTTGGCTGACCTCCATTAGTTCAATCTCCACCAAGACTAGCTTCATTGTGGTGGCTGAGTTGACTTTGGGGTCCTAATTCATCTGAAAGCTTGGCGTATTTCAATTGCAACTTACGAATTTAATGGTTGGTTGTATGTACTACGGTAACAATACCGTTTGACCCGAAAATCCATTCATTGTCCAGCAAAAGTCATCTAGGACTTCCTTATCGCACCGATGAAAGTCTGACTATTTTTGGTGCTATAATTTCCAACTAATGCAGCTGTACAGGTGACTACATGTCAGTCGCAAGTGGGGCGGACCTCGCGCAAATAGCTTAACCGCTTTTGGAGGTCATGTGATCTGCCGCCAATGTTGGAAGCGTTGGTGTCGGGACGGCTCGGTTCGGCGGTTGACAGTTTACGGGGACTGACTGTATGGGGGGATGGGTATTACGTCAGCGACACACAGCGTAACTAAGTTAACTAGTTAACGGGCTTGTAGCTCGGCGTGGTCTAAAAAAACCTCGGCGTGGGCTAAAATTCTGCCCCGAGACTCACCGCTCTTTTTAGACCACGCTGAGCTTATGCCAAGAATAAACTCATCATGGCCTAAATGATTAGTCAGTATTCTTAGGCCACGATGAGATTTTCAAAAGATTTTTAGACCACGCTGAGCATATGCACTAGGGCTTAATTACTATAATTGGTAAGGTGTAGCCCTAAGAATATTTTGTACTACACAATACAGGGTATCCACTCTGCATATACTCTGTATAGGTTGACCAAACCACAACAATGGCTGGTACCGAAGTTCGGGAAAGAGTGGTAGAATGGATCAACAATATCCCAATCCAGGTATGTGTATATATGTTTATTATATACTGGGTATATACAAACCCTATACTAATATACCCAATTATCAGAACGAGGTGCAGGAATCTCATAGAGATGATTCTAGTAGTATAATCAGTACTAGGTCTACTCCGTCAGATCCAGGAGATGATATACAGGAACAAGAATCTTTTACACCAATAGTAATGGGCCTACAGCGGGTTAGTGTATATCTAATATATGCATAATATATACTAAGTCTATGTTAGGAAGCAGCTACTTCAGATGGTGTTGTCGTTGCGCGAAATGCCAGTCATAAGATTAAGGTTAAAGAGATTCAAGAACATCTTTTAATACCTGAATATCCAGCAACAGCAGCAGAAGGTATTCTTCATTTTATTCATGACTGCAATCCATTTCCATCCTCAAGGAATCCAAATGATTTCTCTGAGGAAGAAATAAATAATATTTTTACACGGCTTATGTCAAAGGTATGTAGAGTATATATCTGTTCTATACTATACTAATACTTTAAATAGATTCAGTTTGCAAAAACCATACAGGGGCTGCAAAGCTCGTCAAAATGGATCTTCTAAACAAGCTTGATGATAACGGACAACACAAGGCTTGGCATAGATCTTATATATATGGTTCGGTAAAGGCCTGTGAGCGGGTCTATGATCATATGCTAAGTATATCACGGGCATATAACCAGGTTAATCTTGATTTACTTAATAAACAGCGCTTACGTTACGCCGAACCCTTTTATCCTCAAGCAATTGATCAACTAATCAAAAAAGAAACTGAAGATGTCTTCTATGCTTTTATGAAATGTTGGTGGCAGGATGGAGGTCCTTGTGAATATCAAGGTATCAAGACATGTGGTGAAACACCACCGGTAATGTTTTATCGAAATCAGGTATGCTTTAGGTACATCTACTACATATATTTAGTATATACTAATTAACCCAGAATCATTTTCTTGGTTGCCCCAAGAATTCAGATATTGAACCTTGGCATTATGCTCATCCAGTTCGACGATTTGCTCAGATTGATAAGACTTATCTTAAGTTCTTATGGAACATGGAACAGGCCAAAAATAGAAGAATTATTTATTGCTCAGCCAACATCCGAAGAAGATGGTGTAGTAAGTATATTTCTAGTTTATATTTATATGCTAAGTATAGGATTAATCAGCTCGAGCAATACTCACCATACCGGCAGGCTTTACATTCCAAAGTGTAAGGTTAAATTTGACTTGTACATTCCAACATCCTGGCAACGGTTTCCTTTCTTAATTTTGATTTGTCGATTAAATCATATTCATTTTCCACCACCTCCAACACGATTACCTAAAGATATTGCAGATGAGGTGGTCCAAATGATCTCCCAGCATAATATCCTTGACCTAACTGCAAGTAAGTATATTTACTCTATATATACAGCATATACTAAGTATCTACTCTATTTAGGACGGTTCATGATCTCTCCACAGTTCACTGATATATATGATCGATTTGGTCCCTCAACACTACGTGTATTACATCAAAGTCTTAATATTCAAGATAGAGTTCAAGCTTTGATCCGAAAACAGAGACTCTTAACTTATCCTGAAGGAACTGATATTGCTGGTATGACAATAGCTACTGCTTTTAGGTATATGCTCAGCTGATACTAGGGGTATTACGTGAATACGCCTTCGACCAATTAAAAGAGGACGACCAGCAATGGATATATGATGTCCATTTCTTTGATCCACGGCATTTTCTTATTATATGCTGTACATATGCTCAGGCGAAGGCGTTTATTAATATCAAGTATATTGAGATGGACCTCTCATTCAAAATAGTTAATGGCAAGACAAATGTCTTCTCAATTTCTGGGTGGAATCCATATGTGCGAAGTATGTATCTAGTATATTTTTTTTAATATTGCTCACTAACTTGCAAGTTACTAGGAATCAATACCTTTGCATATGCTTTTCTTAATCTCGAAACACGCGATGCATATGCTGTAATGTTCTCAAAGCTATTTAAGATACTTGGAAATGTGGCTCGCTCACCTATACGGTTTCCCCATATTCAACATGGTGAGAATGAGATCTGGACTATAACTATCGATATGTGTAAGAAGCAAGCACCAGGTATGTAATAAACAGAATATATGCCCGGTATTTGCACCCTGTTAAGTATATTAGGTCTTGGAGATTATTTGCATACGCTAGACACATCCCGAGAGTGGTCTGAGCACCTTCCCTATGTAATCATATTCTGCCAAACTCACTTAAAGCGTAATTTTCGCTTAAAGTATAAGGACCACCCTGCAGAGCACCTACTTAACAGCCTTTTAGAAGCACCGTCCAAACCTGATTTGCTTGAGCGTATGGACTACATATGCAATACATATCCTGAGACTAAATCCTGGCTAGAGGGAAAGAAACGGCCGTGGATCTTAAGTGCACTGACCCCGGAACAATCAAAGATACAGATTGAACACTGGACATATGCTCGGAAACATACCGGAATTAGTGAAAGTAGTCATTTTCAAGATAATCAAGGTGTTGGCCGGAAACAGTCACTCCTGGCAGCTGTTTTAAAGTAAAGTATATCCAAGGTAGATGCGGAGCATAGTTAATAATATACTAACTATATACTTAGATTGCGAAGGTTTACATTTGAGGCCTTTACTCAGAATAAGATACAGATTAAGGAGGGTATTCCACCTTCATGGAAAATCCAAACGAACGTTCAAAGGCGCACTAAGATTATTCGAAAGCAAAGTATGTTAAACTAAAGGGCTGGAGCCTGTTTAATTTCTCTAGCTAATTACTATATTATCCCTATTGCCCTTATTGTCCCTACTGTCCCTATTGTCCCTATTGTCCCTATTGTCCCTATTGTCCCTATTGTCCCTATTGTCCCTATTGTCCCTATTGTCCCTATTGTCCCTATTGTCCCTATTGTCCCTATTGTCCCTATTGTCCCTATTGTCCCTATTGTCCCTATTGTCCCTATTGCCCCTATGGTTCAACATGAACAGTGTATATGCTGTTTACATACCAGGCTAATACTATGCATAGATTAACAGCAAAAAGGCAGCGAACCGCCGGCAGAAGAAGCCACACTTGCCATGGAATCCAGGGAATCCATATGATACACCTCTTCAAAATACAGACGGAGTGGCCATGCAGGACACTGATTCCCTATCAGTATCTAGCCTTAACACATGCTCGTCTTATGCCGGGCATGTACCTGCAAGTCAACGAACACACCCACTTAGCACTGTACAGAGTGTTGGTAAAGATAGCGTTATCGAGACCCCTGTTAGATCACCCGCTGTGTGTATATGCCAAACATAGACCCTTTAGAAGAGCGTTTAAAGGAGCTTGAGGGACTTAAGCGACGAAGAGATATGGTTGAGCGAATTGAGGAGCTTGAGGAAGAGGTAGAGGGGAAAGAAAAAGAAAAAGGGAAACCCCTGCAAGTGCAGAGCATACACCTAGTAGATGTATAGTATGTTAAAAAAGCCATTTCAATTCCCTAAACAATGGCTAGACTAGTATTTGCTCTACTTATTCCTAGACTCCATAATTTATCTCTAAAACCAACCGTGCATATGCCCTACGCAGTCTCCGGCACCGACTCGGCAGCATCCTTCTTGGCGCGCGCCGGCTGCTTCCGGCTACCGGTGGCTACAAGTTCTCAGCAGATGCTTAGTATAAGGGGGATGTGCTATACTTACCCTTGTGACCCTTCTTCGGTGGAGCACGCTTGCGCTTGGGGCAGACGGTGGGGTAGGTGGCTCAGAGGGTAGTGGGGAGATTTGCGCTGCATATACTCAGTATATTATAAAGAGCTTAGTTTCCAGGGGCACATGCCTTGTGACCAGAGACCTTACCCAGCCTCTAGGAAATATTAGCATACGCAGGGAATAGTAGAGTAAATACCCGGATCATATACAGGACGATGGAACTCAGTCCCAAACTGCTGAGCAAAATTGTTATCTTCCTGGCTAGTGGTTCTTAGTTATATACTATGCATATAATACAGATATGCTCTACTCACGCCAGCTGCTCAAGGAAGTTACAGTAATCCTGAATAATACCGTACATAGGACCCTCACTAGCATACGTTAGCCCTACGCCCAACGTACACATATATATATGCGGAGGGGAGCACATACCCAGGCTCCTTCACGTAACGGGCAGTTCTCCACGTCTGCTAAGGATCCATCGCTTTAAAGCGCTGTCAATTATTAGCATATGCTCAAGAGAAGCTACGTATCCACTAACTTTTCACCCGCAATGCGCTTAGCCTGGGGAATGTTAGTACAGAAGGGATTAAAAGCTATAAATCCTTAGCATCTACTAGACCTATACAAGGAATAGACAACTCACTGGCACCGGGATGGGCGTTCCGGATGTGGCGGCGAAGCTATGGAATAGGTAGCATATACCAACGATGTGCTAAAAACGCGACCTACAGCAATCTAAGAACGGACGGGCTGGCCACACATTTGGTTGCCATTGACTGCGATGTCGCATCTGCGAGGTTGTCAGCCCATGCTTAGCATGTGCCAGGCATGTTAATTACTTACACCATGCTATTAATACCTGACAGTCTTGAACCAGGAGTTGGGGCATCTGTAAATAATTAGCATATGCTGCACGTCTGTGGGGGCCCCATACTCTCGTTGTCCGCGGTGGTCACAGGTGTGCGGGGGTCCGGGTGTGGGCGCCAAGTGGGGTTTGGGTTCGGGATGGGACCTGCATATGTTAAGCACATGTTGTGAATATATTAAGTAGATACTCACCGTGGAAGTAACCGTAGTCGGGTGGGGGTTCACCGCCCAGCGACCTCTGGATTGTCAAAGTCTTCACGCGAAAGCTGCATTCTCTGCATATTATGGTATATGCTGAGAACAAGGCCCCTAAAGAACTAAAATCATCAGTGTTTCTGACATGCAAAAAAAGAGAAATTGGGTCACAGATTGGTAGTATATGCACTGGGTATGCAGAAAAGAAAGGGTCACACAAATGGTTGTAATTATATACTCTGGGCATACAGAAAGGAAAGGGGAGAAGGAGAGGTTTCAAGTCTTCCGGTCAAGGTATATACGCGGTATATGCCAAGAAGGGACATGCGATACTTACTCAAGAAGGGGAGTTTAAAGAGAGAAGAAGAGAAAAGAATGAAGAGAAAAAAAATTAGGTCTTCTAGTTCCAAAATAAATGCAAACGCGGCCAACATTTTTATTACCCAATTTGGGTGTAGGATCATTCACAGTGTGTTGCAAAATCTGCCTCTATTGTTTGATATAGTGAATATGTTGATTATATATATTGATGATGCAATGAATAATCTCACGCAGTTTAATGTTTTGAGTATATGCTCAGTATATGCACCGACCGGGGACTGACGCTAGGCCAAAAAGGTCAGCGTGGTCAAGCTACGCTGAAGGGATTCAACATGGTCTAAAAAGTACGGAAAATTTAATTTTAGACCACGCTGAGCCCATGCCAAGAAAAGGCTCACCGTGGTCTAAAAAGGCGGTGGCGGAGGTGGCAGAATTTTAGCCCACGCCGAGGTTTTTTTAGACCACGGCGAGCTGGCACCCGACTAGTTAACTTACGTGAAGTGTACGGGGAAGTGCGCAACCGGACGTCTCTGGTGCGCCGTATTCCGCCCGCGAAGACATAGGTGTCAGATATACGGCTAATCCCGAAGAGGAAATAGAGTACGATTGGTAAAAAGGTCTTATTTAAATGAATTGAGCTGGTTGGGCTCTTCTTGATTATGTTGGTTATTCTGTTGTTTGGTTGTGTGCTCCGCGGAGGTTTTACCCTATCTAGTCACATGAATCTGGTCCACCAAAGGCCATATTATTTGACAGTAGGGTGCAGGGACTATCTATATACAGATACAGTCTATCAATCACATCTACCCACCACCCCGCCCCCAATCCATAATCTAACAATTAAGCCGGAAACTTTCCTGATTCTCTCTCAAGCAGCCCGACACAAGCGACCATCCTCATGCTCCACCCATCGCTGACTCCCCACTGCGGTACGTGCGTACAGGACCTGATCCGGATCATATTTATCCTTGATTTCCTGCAGGCGGTCATAGTTGGCGCCGTAAAAGGCTGACTGCCAGTCCGGTTGGTTAAAATCTGCCTCGTTAAGGTATGCGCCACTGATCTCGCCCCGGGGAGTTAAAGCCTCGAGAACAGGGATCAAGGAGCTGGTGATGAGCTTTTGGTTATCCAGATCGACTTGGCGGTTCGTGTAGTTAAATGGGCTGATCAGTTTGGTATTAGCTGACTTGCATGTAAAGGAAAAGAAAGGAAATAACAGGTGGCAGGGGGGCTTAGTCTTACAGTCCAATTACCGCAGACATCGTAGCCTCCTGCCAGGCAGGATTAGCGGCATTCTTAGCGGATAGCCGGTCGTGGGCAGGCTGGACGTTCATGGAGAAGCCAGAGAAAGCAGCCCCGGAGCCAATAATGTGCTGAATGGCGGAAATAAAGCTATCGGGGTTAGACTCCACACTTGACCGAGGGATCAGACGGCCGCCGATGTTCATCTCGGTGATGTTGACGGCTGTTTCTGCCACCGCAGCATGGTATGTTGGGAAGACATTAAGCGAGTAGTCTGGGAGTTGATTAGATTAGTGTCCCTCCTGCACAAGGACAGATAAGCTAGCTAGCTTACTATAGGTGATGTTGTGTTTCTGCAGAGCTCGCAAGGTCGAGGCTAGGTGGGCGTGCAGCTCCTTCTTCCCAGCCCCTGGGAGAGTTAGTGGCCCAGCATTAAACATTAACGACCCCCCCGCAAGAGACGGGGGAAAGACCAGCCAGAGGGCCGTGCCGCCGGCGTCCAACAGGGGCAAAATATCCACGGCGTACGTGCGGATCACGCTCCAGAAGCGTTCGAGCGTTGTGGCGGCGGCGGTGAACGAGAGCGTCGCGACAGCTGTTTGCTCTTCCGCATAGACCCGGACGGTCATAAACAGGACGACGGCGTAGGTGCCTCCGCCGCCCCCACTCAAGGCCCAGTATAAATCAGCATGCTGCACGGGCGATGCCGTCAGGACGTCCCCGGCGGCTGTGATTACCTCCCACTCCAGTACTTGGTCTGCAGCCAGCCCGTAGCGCGATGCTAATGGCCCGTGGCCCCCACCCTGGGTATAGCCACCCGCGATACCCACGTCCGGGCAGTGGCCCGTCACGATCGTGAATCCCTTCTCGTGAGCCGTATTCTGAGCCTCGAAGCCCTGGACGCCGGCTCCAATCCGCATGGCGGGACCAGTGTACTCGTCCGACTCATACTTGGGCACGTAGTCAATGGACTTGATATAGTGCGTCCACAAGGCCACGGAGCCTGGGCCAGTGGATTTCCCAATATAGTCGTGGCCGGTGTTGCGGATAACGAGGCGGATGTTGTGTCGCTGTGTGAAGTTAAGGACATTGCGCACCTCGTCAGCCGAGGTAACATTCGCCGCGTAGCGAGCCAGAGGCCCCACGGTGCAGGGGGGTGTCCTTGGGAGTAAATGGAGAGCAGGAGCTGTTGGTCCACCATCCAGCTATCGGGGAGAACGCGGTCTCGGAGTGCGTGGCCGGAATGGACCAGCGGGCGAGCAGATCAGCGCATTCTTGGCTGCTGTAGGCGCCACACGGGCCATTTGTGTGACAAACACTACCGATCGGATCAACAGCAATCAGATTACCGGCGATGGATTGGTTAAAAGTCTGCCACTCATCTCCGGTGGGCCAGCAGGGGTCATCGGGGAAGCAGCGACAGGAGTTAGAAAGAGGCTTCTGGTCTCGAACGGCTAAAAATGCCAACGGGAGAACGGCAAACGAGACGAATAGGGTGAGCTTGGCTGAGAATGCCATGGTGTAGAGTCTCGACCTAGTCTGGAGTATGCAACCAGGGTGAAAATGGCAGACGAGCAGTTGGCAGCTTATGTAGCTGTATAATTTTCCAGATCAGTAGGGGGGTTGCGACACTACGGAGTAGGCTAATCGTCCACTAGGATCAGGTAGGTAAACGCCCCTCCTCCCCCGGTTGGTCCTGGCGCAACCGACCCTTTCAACCCTTTGTTCCCCTGTCTAGCCTTCTAGCTAGGTCTTACCGTGGCGCGGTTCAAAATTTAGGCGTAAGCGGCCAAGGCAGGACGTAAAGACGTCCCTCCAGTTATCAAACACATTATCCCCTGTCTCACCGGCCGGAAAATTTATACGATATTTTCCGATAATGTGTGCGGAGCATCATGTCGTTCATTGACAAGGCCCGTCCTAGACAACTCCGATAGCCTAAAGTTGCATTTCCTCCACATTAGCAGCTTGTGTCTTATGATGGGTTTAGGGGCAGAAAAGAAAACTAATGGGCATAACCAACCAATCCCAAAAGGTGTAAAGGCCGACCGATTGCGCACCTTTTCAGGCTGCGTAGTCCATCGTTCGGGGACAAATTTATTCGGCTTTGCAAGACAGTCCTCCCCTGTTGATATTGGTTCATCTTATTAGCCATGTGTTCGCCTATTGAGGCTCTAGGAAATAGACAAGAAAAATACGAAGCCACGTACGTCGGGAACTGCAGAAGCGAGGAGCCACCACGGTGGTGTCGGAAGGGATAAAGACCCCGGCAACAGTGATCCCCTTGTTAGCAGGGGTCTTTCGATTCCCTCCTGTCGGAAGAGAAGGATAGAGGCGCAGTGACTCAAATATAGCTCCCTCTAGATTCTGGCATCGGGGTAGACGATCTCGGCCGGCAGGTGTCGCGTCCACTCCCTGCTCCTGGATCTCACGGTAGATGATATCCGCTTGAACGGGATTTCTCATTTTTACAGGTAATTATATAGGTTTAACACATCTAATTTCCTGTATTACACTTAAGTTAGTATCTGGCGAGCTACCCTACACCCTTCACCGCAGGCAGTTTCCGGTTCGACCCTGCTTTGCAATAACTATAAATAAGTCTCAGGGTCAGTCTTTACATACTGTAGGTGTTAATTTACGGATCTCTGCCTTTTCTTATAGCCAGCTCTACGTTGCTTTATCCCGTGTTACAGATATCGAACGCCTCACAGTGCTTATGTCACCAGATGCACAGATAACTAATAATATAGTATATCCAGAGGTTTTACAAGTTCTACATACCCGAAGGCCCTAAGTATAAGCTGTAAACTCCTAAAAATCTTTAAACCACAGCACCCACTACCCCCCATCCTCCTGCTGCTTACGGTCCCCTTTCAAACCGCTGAGCGTAGCGAGGGTCAACGGCTTGTATTATAACAGAATTATAATAGATCCACCGCAGTCACGTGTTTACGAGTGGAATTAGATTTAAGGCCAGTATAGAGCCTACGCTTCGCAATTCTACGGCCCGTAGGGCCATCTTTCGGCCGATCTGTAGTTCTATCTCGCGTTATTCTGGCTGGTAAATATGGAATTGGTTGTTATTTATATTCTGCTATACATATAGCCTGCGCTTATGTCCATGCCTAGACGCAAGCGGCCCGCCATTGAACCCGTTGCTAATGGATACTAATATTGTTCTTGCTGTAAAACAATCTGTAAAGTCCTTGACTTTTCACGTGTTGCTCCTTTAGGGGCGCAAGCTTCTTAACAGTTCGCAACATGCTTTACTTGCCGTGTAAGTTGTCTATGCAGTCTTTACAAACCTTTTTAACACTTTTACTGGTTACTCGACTTCGCCAACACACTGCTTCGGTTGCTCCACCAGCTTCACGCCCAGTATCCCCTACTACCTCCGTCGCTCCTGCAACCTCTGAGTTGCCTCCTCCTGATCTACGGTCCAAAGAAGTGTCTGCTGCTTTTCCTAGACCTCGCCGCTGTTGTATTACCACTAAAGGCTTCCAGCACTGCTCGCGTTGCGGCTGCTCTAAGGATATACAGGAGCTCTCGTGGGCTGTGCCGAACCAGAATGTTACTGGTGCAAGCTACAGTCGCTGTTTTAACTGTCGTGTTGTTTACCTCTATGTTTTGCGGTCCTTTCTAAGCTTAGCTTTAGTTAAATAAGTATTGTCTTTCTAACCCTGTACCCCAGCAGGTAGTCCCTCCTGCAAACCCTGTTAAAAATAACCCTGACAAGCTGTAAGGTAACCCTAATAATAACCCGGCCACCATACAGGGCTTGCACGGTTCTCTTCTGCTCGGCTACCGATCTTAGATATATTATATAAGACCGTTGGATTTGGGCTGTATAAATCTAAAGTGTCCATACTGCAAAGCTTTACACTGGAAGGGTAAACAAGAAAATGCTTCTACACTCTGTAATCCTGTTTTTACAAAGTTTACCTTCGCGGCGAAGTGCAATCTCCACCTGTCCGTGAGCCACTATATAAATTAAGCCGCTTATATACTAAAAACACCTCTAAGGCCCGGGAATTTCGCTGTAATATCCGCCACTACAATGGCGCGCTGTGTTTTATATTTATAAATATAAAATTTAACAACTGTACCGCTGGCTAACACGGTCTGATTTAAATACAGGGCCAATTGGTCCATTTGCAAGGACTGTTACTTACTAATAAAGATAACAAGCCAAGTACGCTTAGATATGGTTCTATAACCTGGAGGCTGCGAATACTGCTCGCTGTACTTTAGATAATGTCCTTAATAAATCTATTCTGTAGAAGTTGGACAGTATTTTACACTGTGTGAGTCCCTTTATTAACATATATAAAACTGCATGGGAATAGTTAGAGGCAGTAGCAGTCTGTTGGATACCTGTATAGGTAGTCCTCGCGCCCTCTCTGTATCTTAAAGTCCTAGAGGGCAAAGATTACCGTCCGTATAATCTTCCAACTGCTGGTAAGATTGCTGCTGTTTTTCCCCGGCCCGATTTGGACACAGAAGACAATAATTTAAACTTTCGCGATGTTGTGTTGCGCCTTCGGCGGCCTGAAGTAGGCTTAGAACTAACTAAAATTAACCCTGCTTACTCTCCTTACATCCTGCTACAGTATCCATTGCTGTTTCCCTACGGTGATAGTGGTTGGCAGTGGGGTCTGCAGCTGCAGAATATGGGCCGCCAGCGCCAAAATAAGTATCTTACAGCCAGGCGTTTTTATTTGTATTGTCTTTTTACCTGTACCAACCTGTTTAGCTTATGGCTGTGTGCGGGCTGTCTCTGGCAGTAGTATTTAATTAACACCTGGGCTATGATCAAGCAGTCCAATTTAGATTAGATTACAAGGCACCAGGATAATATACGGGCTGATTTATATACTGGACTTACTAATGCTCTTGCCCATGCAGATAGGGATATAAAAGTAACTATTAAATCTAATATTATCTTACTATCTAGCTATGTTGGCAGTCCACGTTTTATGCAGCAGCTATATCAAGACATAATATTAATTTGTTAATATTACAGGCCGCCCTCTTTGTTTATTACATTTACTGCGAACCTGAAATGGAACGAAATTTCACGGGAATTATTACCTGGCCAGAGCTGGGAGGACCATCCGGACTTGGTAGCCGCGTGTTTAACCTTAAATAAACTAATTAGTAAATCCTATATTTTTTTTTTTACTATTAAGTACCAGAAGCGTGGCCTCCCACATATATATTTATAAGGGTCCAGACCGTACAACTCTTTACATTGACCTGAACAGTGAGGTCAGCCAGTATCTTAAGGCCCGCTATGTTGGGCTGTCGGAGGCTGTATAGCGTCTTTTAGGTTACCTAGTTTATTAAAGATGGCCGTTAGTACAGGCCCTACAGGTCTATACTCCCGGTGGCTATATAACCCCATACCGTGTCGGCCAGTCTACGGACCAGGTGCGCCAGCTAGCGGAGGATTACCGGACTATATTAATGGGTTACTTTGCTTACAACGTGTATGCAGCCTGTAAAGACCTACCTTGCTATTTTTACCCCATAAGCCCCAGCATTTTGTATGGGATTTGTCTGGTAGCCAGCAGGTATAGAGAACCTGTAAGGCAGGTTTTGCTGTTGGGTGTATTGTCACGGGCTAGTAGCCGGTTCAACCTATATAATAGATTTGGACTAAAAGAACTCGCTGAAGAGCTTCTATCTACGGCCGCGGCGGCCGAACAGGTAAATGTGGGTGCGAGGTAAACGAGATCACGTGACGGGAGAGTTCTACACGACCTCGCGAGTGCCCGGTATACGGGCTCGAGCACTTTGCGGGCCCTGCCCGCTACATGTATGTATTATTGTTATCCGAACCAGGGTAAGTGCTTTTATATACAATTACTACTAACTGTAAGGGTTGGCTCGACATCCTTTAAGGACCTTCGTACTGTGGATACTGTTGTGTATAACACCTTTAAAAAGGCCTGTAAAGCAATGGGCCTGTTAAATAATAATCGTGAATGGTGTTGTGGAACTCAGGGGAAATGGGGCGTAGGGAGCTATTCTATCAACTACAGGCCAACTAGCCACATTAGGAAGTAGATGTCGTTCAGTGGAAACACCAGGAATCACAGTATCTCAACCAACTGAGTCTCTTGCATTCCTATCTAGGTGCTCAACTCTAGATCTTGGGTGCTCAACTCTCTAAAGGATTCAGGGGTTGAATCGATCGTCAGATACTCCGCACCGCCAAGTCGGGCGGATTATAGTGTTTCCGTAACAAATGGATTGCTTTATTTAACAAGGCGGCTGTTTTTACAACCGGCTACTAACTCCGAAACCTTTTAACTGTTACATTGGTCTTTGGAGACGTTACGGAGCTGCATTACGGCGGACGAATATGGCCAAATGATCAAAACTAAATTTCTAATTATATTGCCGGCAGAATCTACCACCACACCTAGGTGAGAAATTTTGGCATATCAGGTGGCTTGCTTGGTTTCACCTTCCGGTTACTAGTCCTAAGCACCGCATAGAGGTGCAAGCCATGCTTAGGTGCCGTACACAGGGCCCGTACGGCTGGGACATGCTGGTGCTGGTTCTGGTGCATGGAAACATGTACAAAAAAATCACTTACTTTAAAGAATAATCGGGTTCTCAATCCCCTCTCCCTCCTCCGGGTCCAAGTTGATTGGATTCCCGGCACCCCCTTCATCTGGATCCAAGTTGATTGGAGATTCAAGCAGTCCCCCTGGTTGATTCCCCCCATTTGGAGCAGGTGCTAGGAGACCATGTCTAACATCTTGCCACAGCCCATCACGTACGGAGCACTGACTGGCTCTGTCAGGCCATTTACAGTTGGCGCATGCTCCACCGAAGGCGCCTGTTACATGGCGACTTTCAGGAAATGGGTATCCACCCTGTACGGTGCGGCAACGCGTACAAGGCTCAGCCAATATCATTCCACGTGACTGAATAAGCAGCGCATTGATGTAGGAAGGCCGGTGTTGCTTTATTTGCCGTGCTATTATACTGCCGCGTATAAAAGCCACGGGTGCACATCTCAATCCCGCATCGAAATCGCAAACTCACTATATCGACCCGCTGTAAATGGGGCCAGGCCGGCCCGCCGATGGGCCGGTCCGCAGCCCGCAGGTCTGCCCAGCTCTAATGTTATCTCTTCCGTATTCTAGCTACGAGGCTATCCAACAGTTTTACCCCTACCCACCCGTAGGGAGGGGGGTTTTTAGGGTATTCATGGCACCCATTGCGATCCTTAGTCATTTGTGTAAGGTACATATCTGAACTCGAGATAAATAGCCAATTGATGCTGTCTGGGCCTATTCAAGCCTTCTACTTCTTCTGCGCAAACAAGACGTGCTCATCTGAATCCCAAAAAATCCCATCTCGTTGAATATCGGCCTTGGCGCCCCTGGCAAGCCTTTGAAACTCCTCCTCCACATTAGGCTTTCCACTTGCCAGGAGAATCATTTTTGTGGATCTGGTACATGACCATAGGTACGTCGAATTTATGTCATCCTTTAACTCAGATCCATTCTTCACTGTATTGAAAATTTCTCGGACACGTTGTGAAGGCTGGGATGGGCTTTTGCCGCTTTAACAAAAGCAGCAGGAACACTACGATGTAAGTATCTGTATGAAAGGGAAGATAGCTCTTAACTTACTACAGCTCCATTCCCTTAGTTTCCATGTGCTTTCTAACAAGCTCGTTTATTTCCCTCACATGGGAACTGTGTACCCTTCCAGCCCAAGAGTCGCCATCAAGCTCATCCCATTGGATCCAGCCTCCAGTTCCTTTCCCAACCCACAGTTAGCTTTCCCGCTTTACACCATACACACATATAGAGCTAAAAAAAAAATAAAAAAAGAAAAGAAAAGAAAAGATTACTTACGTAAAAGTTGAGCAAGATTGTCCAGCACCGTGCTCACGTCTTCTTTCGATAACGCAGCCACTAACAATCTCACGTGAACCAAATCGTATTTTTCTTTCAATTCTTCCGGGACAGGCTGGAGAATATTGTAGACACCGTAATGAAAGTTTTCTGGGTAAGAAGCAGGGAAGTTTGCTGGGGACATATCGAGGCCATCATATTGACGAGTTTGCCCGGTCGCTGTCGGGATAGTATCTAGATAGGCAGCTAGAGCGTCGAGCTACTTTACATTCTTTCAGCAGGCTTAGATAAATCGGGTTTGTAAAAATCACCCTGTGCCTGTTCCTACATCTGCGATTCTCGTGATAGTCGAATGATCAATGGGGGCGTGAATGATTTTATTATCAATGACGTGGATCAGAACACGGTGTTGATTGTTGAGCCTGGATATTGTTGAAATTAGAATATAGTTAATAGGGAATCATAAGGACATACCTGGCGCGTTCCTCGTCATCATGCTTCAACCAATGGAGGCTTTCCTCGAGCTTTTCGGGTGCCATTTCTCTTCGGCGTTCCTGCTGGTGGGACGAAAATGCCTATGTTGTTTTTCCCTTGCCTACCGGTCCTTTACAAAGGTTCGTACTCCACAAAGGCCGGGATACAGAATACTTTATAACTTTTACTTATCGACGTGACAGCGGTGATCGCGAGGGGCCGCCATACTCAAACAATGCCGATTAGTCCTCCTAAATGCCGACCAGTTTCACCGACAGCCAATCCCGAGCATTGCGGACCTCCGGCTATTAATTACAATCTAATTCAGTTGGTATGTAGGGTACTGTTTTTCTTACTAATATTTCCTAATATAAGGCATCCGCACTAAATATATATGTCTTCGACAGATTTGGTCCGTTGTAGTCTTTAAGCAAGGGTCTTTGTCGTGATCGGTGTAATTAGCTTTCCCCAAGTTCCGTCTGCTTAGCCGCACTCATTGTCCTTACGCCTACTCGTCCTTTGCAAAAGTCCCATACTCCACGAAGGCTAGGGTACAGGCTGCTTTATAAGTTTTGCTTATCAATTATTAATCCAGTTATTATGTAGGGCACAATTTTCCTTACTAATGTTTTCTATTACAAAGCAGTAACGTTAAAGCTTTCCGACCCGGGACATGGTCAAATGTCAGCACAGGGTTTCCCCATAATAAAAACATACTTTACTTGGGGGCTCCATACAAATGCTTCCTGTACGACAAACAGTAACGCCCGCCGCAATCCGAACAAGATGGCAGAAAATCATAAAGTCGGCTCCAAGAAAAAATTGCCCATATCTGCAGCTGCTGACGAGTCTACATCTGCGACCAACAAAAAGGATGGTACTGAGAATGAGAATAAAAAGCAGAATGAGTCTGCGCCTCGCGTTGAAGACGCAAGGGAGGCGGTTGAGGCTCCCACAGCAGACGAGTATCCTCACGGTCTAAGTCTATTCTTTATTGTGGTGGCCATCATGCTCGCCACATTCATTATATCTCTTGATCAAGTGAGCAGCCTCTACTCTACCCCGAATAATCTATCTATACACACTCTAACTTGCCAGACAATTGTCGGTACAGCAATCCCGAAAATCACTGACCAATTCCATGGCCTCGACAAAGTATCTTGGTACGGCTCAGCATACTTCATGACTTTCGGTGGCTTCCAGACCCCGTTGGGCAAAGCATACAGGTACTTTAATCTGAAGACGACATTCCTCATTTCACTTTATATTTTCGAAATTGGCAGCCTCATATGCGGCGTGGCGCCAAATTCCAACGCTTTGATTGCCGGACGAGCGATTGCTGGCCTGGGTGGTGCAGGTATGGCGACGGGTGGTTTCACAATTATCGCTTTCTCTTCCGAACCCAGGAGACGGCCTCTATTTACGGGCTTGGTCGGATCTGCCTATGGTTTGTCTGCTGTAGCTGGTCCGCTCATTGGCGGTGCTTTTTCAGACAAAGTTTCCTGGAGGTGGTGCTTCTACATCAATCTGCCGGTTGGAGGTCTTGCAGCCGCGATCATTTTGATCTTCTTCCACACCCCGAATGGGGCCAAGCCGGTAAAGGCGTCATTGAAAGAGAAGGTTCTAAATATGGATCTTGTTGGCGTAACTTTGCTCATGTGCCTTATCATCTGTTTCATCCTAGCCCTCCAGTACGGAGGACAAACAAAAGCATGGAACTCAAGTGATGTAATCGGTCTACTCATCGGCTTTGTCGCCATTCTCATCGCCTTGGTTATTTGGGAGTATCGCCAGGGTGAGCGTGCCATGCTTGTGGGGCGCTTGCTCAAGAGACGTTCTCTCTGGGCTCCTTCAACATACATGTTCTTCTTTGCTGGCTCTTATTTCATCCTCCTCTACTATCTCCCAACCTACTTCCAAAGCATCGACGATACCAGCCCTGTCGGGTCAGGAGTGCGGAACTTGCCTATGGTAGTCACATTCAGTATTGCAGCTATCGTTGCAGGCGCGTTCGTTGAAAGAACGGGTATTGCAACGCCAGTTATGCTTGTGGGTGCTGCTATCGCAACTGTTGGAACCGGCTTAATCTACACATGGGACATCGGCACTCCAACAGGAAAGTGGATCGGTTATCAGATTCTCGCCGCCTTCGGGTTTATTATTCCATGGCTAATCCCTATGAACATTGCCCAAGCAAATGCCAAACCCCAAGATATGTCAACTGTGACAGCTTACATTTTTCGTGAGCAAGCCCCCTCGAATATCTTAGAGACTAAACTTATCTAACTAATTGGATTCAGTGTCCCAAACTCTCGGGGGAGCTTTCAGCGTCTCAGCCGCACAGTCAGCCTTCGTCAACACGATGCTCAAAAAATTAGCAACGACGGCCCCAGATATCAATCCTATGGAAGTGATCGCAACAGGAGCAACACAGATTCGCACAGCGTTTCCCGATGACATAAACGGTATTGTCCTTGCATATATGGAGGGCCTCAAAGCAACTTTCGCAATTTCAGTCGGAATGGTTGGATTTGCGTGTTTGATGAGCTTTTTCACTCCCTGGATGAGACTGCATGGCTCGACGGGGGCCGCTGGTTTTGCTTGAGTAGAGTTTTTGAAGGGTACCCAAGGGACGGTTCTATAACGGGCTGGCCTTCAGGGTGAATGGTAAGAGAGGAGGGTAACAAAGGGTCCAATCCGTACTTTACATCTTCATTTTAGGGTGTTTGCTTTTTTTGCTTCACTTGTTATCTTTATAATTCCACTACGGCTACGGCTTGAGATTGAAGGCAGCTTGATCCATTGCAGAAGGGATGCGCTTTTCAACTGGGCATACAGATGGGCATCTTTGAGCAGGCTGGTTTTCCATCGCGGGTATTACTAAGCGAATCAGTCTAAAGTAGTTGGACACCGAGCGGCGCAAGACACCGAGCGGCGCGCCGCTCACCGCTCCGGCTCTCCCTCACCTCCATCTTACTTTTAGATAATATTCATACCATTTATCTCCATACAAATGAAATGTATTATAAAAATACGCAGTAGAACTATCTGGTAGGACATTTTAATCGATTATGGCCCTGAATATTGCAATTACTGCATGTGGGAGGCCTTCGCTGCCTAGGTGCCTGGGCCTCGGCCTGAATCTTTGCCTCCTTCTCGCTGATTATTTGATGTGCCGTATCAGCAGTTAGACTGCCTCCATCTTGAATAAACTGTCTAGGCTCTTCCTTTTTTTGCTCTTGGTACTTATCACCTGCCTGACGTCGATGAAGTTTATCCTTTAACAAAGACATTTGCTGCATAGCAATCTTATTGCCTTTCATAGCTTTCTCAAGCAAAAGTATCAGCAATCGATGGAAAAAAGCCTTGGTTTTGAATCTCAAGAAGTTGCTCTTTTGTCGATTTAATTGGTAGAGATTATAAGGTGTTTTTCCCAAGTAAAATGACTGGTTACTGCCTGAAGAAGATGGTGGACTTGGTGTTTTCAACTTGATTTTCAACTTTGATATCACTGTCGAAGAATCAAGAGGAATAAGGCCAGTAGCCTTAAATCCACTTAATATATTTGCCGATGACATTGCTTTTGAGTGAACCGATGAATAGATAGATAAAAAATCTACCTTATCAATGGTTTTATACCACTATTCATCATTTCTTGCACTTTTGACCATAAAAGTGCTTTAAAAGGTGCAAAACAGCTAATATCGAGTGGTTGTTATTTATTATTATTATTATTATTATTCTTCCATATTATAGAGCATTTTTCAGTCAGAGACTATGCATGCTCTACCTACCACCCTGGGTGGTAGGATTTAAACTAACAAACAGATACGTACATAGTGGGTAAAATCAAACATAACTAAGCAATATGACATTCTAGGGGTGGGGGGACCTTAAATAAGGAGTTGAAACATGCTAATTTCCACTGTTTTTATTTTTATTTTTTTTTTTTTCTTTTTGTTTTCCCTATGGATCCAAGAGCCACTTTCTAGTGGCGATCCCGCTTTCCTTTAGGAATTTGATCAGTTGTTCTTGCCCTGCTTTCTTCGTGAAAAGATAAGGCAAATTTCGGTCTTTTTTGTCTAGGGTCTCTATAGACCCTTTTCTGATGTCCTGGTTGCCGGGCACTGGAGGAGTAGGTGGTATGGAGTTTGAGGTTTATTGCTGTGGCATGACGTGCATATATCACTATTATAGTTAGGTGTTCTAACTAAATATGATCTGAAGTAGCCGTGCCCTAGCTTTAATTGGATGATGGTTGACCAGGTCTGCTTGGGAAGCCTTAGGGGTTTGGCTTCCATGAAGCTATGGAATTAAAGCCCCTGTATTGATCACTTTTCTTAGTATTTTCCCATGCTTTATCCCAATCCTCAAGGCATTTCGCTTTAAGCTCTCGTTTAAGATGGCTAACTGAGATAGGGCACTTATGGTATTTACTTGTCCATTCTGCCCCATACTTAGCTGCTTCGTCAGCTTTAGCATTTCAAAAAATTCCTTGATGGCCCGGAACCCAGTGAATATGAATATTGATATTCTTATCCTTAATCCTAGTTGCCCATTTAGAGATTCTTTGGTGTGGCTCGTAGTTGGTGTCCGCTGATTGAAGCCTTTTTTAAGGCTGCTTGGCTGTCTGAAAAGATGTAGATATCTAAGGTTGGAATTTGAATAGTCTTAAATGCTTGTTTTAATGCTTTTTGAATAGCAAATAGCTCCGCGTCGTGGACCTCGTATTCGTGACCTAGATTCCATGCCCAAGCCTTTTGATTTTGAGGATTATTTTCTTGGAGGAAGATTCCTGCTCCATTTTGACCGCTTTGCAGCTGGGATCCATCTGAATAAAAGATAATCTTGTGGTTGTCTCTACCAGCAAGCCATTGAGATATTAGCGCCTTGTGTTCCTGGGCTGCTTGCTCTTTTTTGGGTTTGCTAGATATAGATATATCTATTATTTGGTTTAATGGCTGGGACCAGGGGGTAGGGTGTGATCTAGTGTCTGGAAGGTGCCTTTCCATGTTTTAAAAGAGAAAAGTGCTAGCAGTCGAATTAACTGGCTAGGGTGTTTTCTTTGTGTCTCTCTAGGATGGTATTCAGGGTCTTCTAGATCTAGCCGTCTAGGTTTCTCATTCCAGTCTAAAACCTTGATTGGTCAATGGCAAATTCCCCGGGTTTAGCGTAAACGTGGTTGGAAGTCTGCTTTGGATTGCATGGGATTTTATAAAATAAGCAGTCCTGAGTACATAGTTTCTGCAGATTTTATTAAATCTAACTAATGGTGGGGGCAGGGATGCTTCTATTTCCATGGCCTGTATAGGCGATGTTTTAAAAGTCCCTAGAATTTTCCTTAGGGCTGTATTTTGCAGTTTCTGGTAGTGGTCTACTAGGTACTGTTGGCCTTTCCACCATAAAGGGACTCCATAGTCTGCAATAGACGAAATGCATGCTATATAGAGTTGTCTTATAGCTTGGAAGCTTAGCCCCTTTTCTGTATTTGAGAGCCTCGCTATTTGGTGAAATGCCCTAGTTGCAGCTGCAACTCGTATTTGCACGTGTTCTTTGAAAAGGAGTTTAGAATCTATGTAGATTCCTAGCCATTTTACCATAGGGCTTGGTTTAACTATGATATTATTATCTAGTTTAACCTGGATGTCTTGGTTTTCTTGGTCTGGTTGTTTAGAGCTAAAGTGAATAAGCTCTATTTTATCCTGGTCAAACTGGATATGGTCTTTGGCTCCTTTTTTAAACATGGCATTGGCTACCAGCTCTATTTGCCTGCAGTTATTCTCTAGGCTATTAGAGCTAATAGTAAGGCATATATCATCCATATAGCTAGGCTTTCGGGTATTTCCAAAGGCTTTCCTTGTATCACTATCTAGTTCCTCATACATTTCAAGCTGAAAGAGCTCTCTAATATATATAAGGAACAAGATGGGTGATATAGGTGATCCCTGGGGATCCCTACTTGCACTGGGGTCTCGTTGCTGGTTTCACCGTCAAAAGCTAGGAACACTTTCCTGTCCGACATAAAGGATTTGATCCACCGGATCAGGTTATGTGGAAGACCTAGTTTTAGACATATTCTAAGTAGCTGGTTGGTAGATACATGGTCAAAAGCTCCTTTTACATCTATAAAAAGAGCTGTAGTAACCATTTTATTATGTTTTGCCACCTCTATGTCATGGACTAGGGATAGTGCTATATCAATTGCTGATTTTCTTTTTCTTCCCCCATTTGGTCATGGTAAAGGATTGATTGCGGGAGTTCAGCTAGATAAGATAGCCTAGTTGCAATAATCTTCTCTACTACCTTGCCTAGGCAGTTAAGCAGGGAAATAACTCTGTAGGCCTTGGGCTTGGAGTAGTCCCTTTTAGCAGACGCGGATTTTTTAAGAATAACCCCTTTGGCAGTTTTCCAACATTTGGGATGATAACCATTTCTAATTAGGGCTTTATAAAGCTCGTGGAATCTCGGAGCAATATTTTGGTAAGCCTTTTGAATAATTAAGAATGAGATGTCATCAGGTCCAGGAGCCTTTTTGTAGAGCTACTAAAGATAGCAGTGTACACCTCGTTTTCCCTGGTTTCTGGCCAGTTGGTTGACTCTGCCTGGTTGGTTGGCCACTCAATGGGCTTAGCCTCCGGGGTTTTGAAACAGGGTGGAAAGAAATGCATGACATTTATCTTGAAAGGAGATTGCTTGCTTCTCTTGATTCTCTATAGAATAGGTCAAGATAGGCAGTTTTTGAACAGATCTCTTTTTAGTATAGCTAAAAGCTTTGAAAATCTCCCTGTTCCGAGCTTCTTCTAGGAATTTGTTCCAGCATGCGGATTTAGCTTGCTTAATCTCCCGGAAATATTGATTTTTAATCTCTAGAAGATTTTCGTAGAGCTCTGGACATGGGTTATTTTTCCAAAGTTTTCTAGCTTTTCCAAGCTGTTTCCTTAGTATTTTAAGTTCCTTTGACCACCATGCTTTTGACTGGGCAGATGGTTTTCTTCTTGGGATACTAGCATCTGCAGCTATTTGAATTATTTCTTGCAGATTTAGAGCTGCGGTTTCTAGCTCTATATCGGTATTAAAGCTCCCCTGTCTGAATTCTTGGCTTGTATCTAGCTCGAGAGGATTTTCTTGCTGAATAATGCCCAATTTGCCATTTTTAGGTTATATGGTAAACTGACCAGGGGTTTTCAATTTCTTGTGTTTTTACTTCAACAGAATAAAGCAAAATTTCGTGGTCTGATCCCGAGGCGAGTTCTTGGTCAATTTCCCAATTTACTCTATATTGATTTAGACCTTTGGTAATAAAGGTTAAGTCAATAACAGAGACATTTCTCATTCCTTTTCTATGGCATGTTTGCAGGTCAGGTTTATTTAGCAGTTCACATTGATGTTCTTCAAGCCATTTAATCAAAGTATCAGCCCTGGTAGGTGATAATGTCTTTGAGTTCCACCAGCTATGGTGTGCATTAAAGTCCCCCCCTATTACTGCATGTGTGGAGGGGGTAACCCTAGCTAGGGCTCTTTCTATTGTCCACTCGGCGCCTTCCTCTAGTGATTGCTCGTTATATATATTTATTAGCTGCAGATCTTGAATTTCTGCACCTAAGA